AATTTGGGTGCATAAATATCATGTAGGCCGTAATTCGTAAAAGTTGTAGTAGGAAAAACTTAATGTTCGACCTAACCAAGGGTCTCTAAGTCGATCTGATTTATATCAATCAACTCCTTTAGTGCGTTTCCATACTTCTCCTTCGTCATCGCATCGGCAGGATTTGATCCTCCTGCGATCCACTTGAGCTCCATCTGGCGTCGTTCATATGTTTGACGTAGTGCCATGATGTCGATCATAAGTCGTTTTTCTTATATAGTCCCGAGACGTGTGACTACATTATATACTAAGCGTGAGTCTGTATAGAGTGTTAGGGGAATTCTGGGTAAATGCTCCACCGCACGCAGGATTTTATTTAAGGTTTGGTTGACTACGAAAGCGATATCCACTCCGTGTGATATGGTATATAGCTCGGCGGCGAGCATACTCCTAGTAACTCTATGACATTTGATGGATGACCAGTATAGGATATTAGCATTAATGACCTGGTTTTGTCCATATCCATTAGCTATAGTAATGATATATCCGATCTAGCTGCTTAAATCACGATTTCTTGCAAATGATGCGTCAACAAATACGATAAGCTGTAGCATGTCTTCTTGAAGCTTAATAAAGTGAAGTCCTCTCGCTTGATTATCGATTTACTATTAGATGCGCCTATTTAATCTCTCCGCATCTTCCTTTTTTAGGTTGATGACTTAAGCTAAAAAGGATAAGTCATATATGGCTTCTGGTTAGCAAACTGATGCGATATAAGCTCCACGAGCGCGTTAAGAGATATATGCATCCTTTGAAACGATTTTGGTGGCGATAGTCTTTAGGTGTCGGCATTAATCGATTTGCGAAATTGTAATCCTGTTTTTGCCTTTTCGGATGATGCTGCCGTTGAATTCAAGTGGATTGACCTCTATAAGCTTTTGAAGCGGTTTCGATAGAAGCTGCGCCTTCTGTAGTTCGTCCTCTTCCTTCTTAATGAATATAGCATTCGCGAGGATCAAAGTGTTGTCTATCTACATTCCGACAATTCTAAAGTATTTCTTGCTATAGAGGAGGCATACATCATAGGTGGATTGCTCTATTCCTAGCTTTTCAAGATGATGCTTATGGTATATCTGAAACCAATGATTGCCTGCTTCCGGGATTCCATAAAGGGGCTTTAAGACTTTTAGGATGGTGTCCTTTAGTAAACCAAATTTAGTAGGGGGTCGTATATAGAATTATCGGTTCAAGTCTGATATCGACTACATATATGCCTATAAGATATCATAAAGGTATAAATCTAAATCGTCTCGTATCGCAGCGATAGATAGAATTATTCTTTAGCTAACACGTTGAATCGTAGGTGCTTAGGTCAGAACAAATTCTTTTCCGTGGTTGTTATATGCCTACACCACGAGTCGTGACTTTTCTCTCGCTTAATCTGTTCCTGTGTTTTTGATCTCATCGACGAACCTGGAATTAAAGAGTCGAATTCCTTTAGGCATTTCTGTTCGAGGCACGAATTTGAAGACTCCTTTAGCTAGTAATCCATTGATTTTGCTTTATCGAGAGGCGCGAAAGTCTGGCGTCGGGGTGTTCAGGAAGATAGTATTGATTTCATCTTCCGAATCTTCTTTATCTATGTCTTCGTCTTCTTAGCGCTTCAGATATTGTGTATATCTTGGTTGTTGTAAATTCCTGCCTCTATTATCGATGATAACGCTAAATGGTGGAACCTTATACAGCTATATATTAGGCTGCGTATTAGGCTGTGTATCTAGACTATTATGTTGTATACTATTATTCTGTGCGTCTAGTAGTATATTGGTTTACTAGTCTTCTTCTAGGAATAGCTTCACGATAGTTATCTAGAACGATCTTAGGCCTTTAACGCTGCTATCGACAACATATATGTCTCCGTCGATTAAGAGTAGTGGGAATGGCCCTGTCCATTTTTTCTTCTTTTCTCTCTAGACAAGAACAGGAGAATTTAGTGGCAATCCTTGTGTAGCGGCTGTGATGGGTCTATTTCGCATGTTCATGGCGTCTTGAATTTGTCGTTTTGCTCATAGTTTCTTGACTTCCTGCATCGCTCTTGTAATAGCTGTAGCGCGCTATATGATTATTAGCGATAGGGCGTCTAGCTCCGCGAGTCGCGGAAACGCTCCAAAAACAAGTAGTGTAGGGATAAGACCATTTGGTCCGACCAAGTCGTTGATCGCTTTCTATGTCATCTGGAGAGCTAGTTCCTTATTAACATTGGCTTCCCCTATTCCTGTGGAGTCACTAAGCTCTCGTCTGATGATGTTATAGACTTGTCGTACTATAGCATGGTATCGCTCGACTTTTCCTATAGAATTATACGCTTCGACTGGAACTGTCTTTACTATGGTTCCTATAGTTTTTGTAAGATATCTGAATTCTTTGCTATCGAAATTGGTTCCTGCGTTGTTTATGATATTATCTAGGGGTCCTTGGTAAACATCGATCTAATAGAGTTGTAATGCTTCCTACGCATGTTTGGCTATCATGCCTTTTCCTTTTTATAACTATCTTCCACTTTGAAAGCTTATGGCTTCGTCGACAACATGAAGAACTGGATCTCCATCGATACTTATTATATCAATAATGATGCTATGATTAAAACATGCGTCGCCGTCCTTATCTTGAAGGGTAAATCGGAATCGTCCTGGTGATTTCCCGAACTTCTGGCAATGTTCGTAAAACTTGGTGATATGCTTAAGCGCATTCCTCTCTACCTTATGTCCTGCTTTACTCAGAATTGCTTTAAGGTGGGCGACGGCAGGATGCCCTAGTCGTCGGTGAATTCTGCGTAACTTAGTATCTGTTAACAGACATTCGGCAGATCCTTGAATAAATGCTATGATATATATAGGAGCTACTTTCTAGAGAAGGAATGGATGCCTAAATTATCGTTTTACTAGTATCCAAAGGCCTGTCTTCCCTATTAGGACATCTTATAAATTAGTATAATAGATCCCTAGACGATCTAGATCAGCGAGGCATAATAGGAATAGTATATCTGCGTTCACGACGTGGAATTGAACTATTCCTATAGGTGTTTTGATGTCTATTGATCCGATTGATCCACTAGTCCCGATGCTGAATTAAACATTGATTTGTCCGGCGGTCGATTTGTCGAGTTGGATACTAGGTTCTAGTTTCTATAAAGCTAGAAATTGACTATACCTAGTTGTTGAGTTTCGGGATACGCCTGTGTCGATCAGAATACCGTAAAAGATGTCTGAATTATACCGCGATGTGGTAGTGGTGTATATAAATAGATCGCTCTTAGACTCTTAGACATAAGGGCTTATTCTATATAGATAAGCTTGATTCATGAGTTGATTATGCCAGATCTATGTATCTGATATTAGCACCGGCCTAAATACTATTAGGAACATCTCGGAGTTATCATCATTATCACTTGATTTATCGGATTCGGATTCTGATTCAGGTTCGGATTTGGAGTCTAAAATAGTAGTTTTGAAGGCTTTAATATCGAGTTCTTCACCTTCGTATATAACCATATATTATCGAAACTATCGTTTAAAATCTCTAGATCCATTGTTTCTAGTGAATCATTCACGATATTGTTTTCTGGCTACTACGCGTTCCTCTAGTGAATGGTCCTATGATCGGCATTCCGTCTTTCCGTCGACCTAACATCTTCCTTTAGCTCGTGAAGATGAAGAGTCTCTTTTCTAGGTAACCTGCTTCCGTCGATCTAGTCTCTATTTCTTATAGAAGGTTCGATTGGTAATCTATGCTTTATCTAATATGTCCTAGGTATATTATTAAGTCCTTTAGCGCGCGTTTTCATAGGCCGCGATTAATATGTTAAGACTTATAATCATCACGTTTAGATCAGACTATAGTATAGAAAGTGTATTTTGATAAGCCGGGACGTTTTAGCAATAGATGCTAAGCTTTTATGTAAATCCTTCTTCGTTTTACATATATTGACTAAGTGCTGGACGAATTCTGAGTAATTATTTAGTCATTTATTTAAAACACTATAGGATTGTCTGCGACGGATTTTCTTGGATTGTTTTCGAGAGTAAGATATTATTCTATTAGACCATCTTCTAGGTCATATGAAGTGGACTCTTAAAGTATGCCTTAATTCGCCTATATGTTTCTATAAAGGACTTTAAAGATAAGCCATAGGTGTAATAGAATTCGCTGGCTTAGCCGGTAAACATTGCTAAAAGCGCTTTTTTATATGCCTCTGGTGGTAAACTAGAGTGTCGGTAGATATCTTCAAAGATAGCGAGTTTCAGGTTAAATAAGTCCTCTGAGCTACTATACTATTGCTCTTTCTTATATGTTTTTTGGATATTCATTGCTTCCTTCGAGTAATCTGTTCGTCGTGGGTCTGGTTATGGTTCTAGGTATATGTTTTCAGGTCGTTGTTTATTCTATGTTTCCTAATCTGGTTGAAAAGGTGGTAGACCTCTATTACCGTGATCTTGGCTTAGTGGAAGTTTTGCGTAATACTCCGTTCCTGGTGTGACTTCTCTAGGTCCTGGTAACAACGGATATCGGAGGTTTCCTTATGTATATTCCTGGTGCTAGGCGTCTTAAGTAGAAAACGGGTTATCCATTCAAGTCGGTCGGACATAAATTGATGTGGTGTCCTCTTGTTCTATTTCCTATTATAGTTGTCGTATTTCGTTATTTTCCGCTGATTGTTATATTTCGTCCTTGATCCTTCTAAGTTCTGTATTAACTTGATTTAGGTTATTTGGAATAACTTCAGCAAGAGATTGTTTAATCTCATCCATCGTCTAGTTATATATTTCACGTATTTACGCGAGGTCGAAGAGTACTTAGCTTAGCTCGTCTAGGAGCGATGGCTTAATATATACTCCTCCTTGCATAAGGTATTATCGAATATATGCTTTTAGTTATACAGGAACTTTTTCCCATGTCTCCATAGGAAAGAATTTGAAGTCAGCGATGAAGTGGTACCATAGTCTTCGTCTGAAAAGTTTCTGTTATATATAGAGGAACATCGCAGTCTCGATATACTTAGCAACTTCAAGGAGTGAGGCATTATTAGGATCTTCGTTCATTCTTTGGTCGAATTGTGCGACTCTCTCCTTCCATTCTTCCTCCATAGGTCTGAATAGTTCCTTGATCTCATTAAGAGGTGTAAGGTGTATAGGAGGTGTTGGGGAGACAGGGTATTGGCCGGGTGTTAGATGTTGTCGCATAGGAGTTCTTGGGTTTAGGTGTTCTGTCTCGCGTTCTGAGTCGGGGGGCCTTCCTGGAGTAGCCATGGTGGAGGTTTCAAAAAAGGATGATGGAGGTGGTGGTCTTTGATCAAAGAAAAGGATAGGTTCTTAGTTCCCTGATCTATAAACAAAATTGGGAGTGAGAAAAGGTTCTCTAAGAGTGAGAACTGATCAGTGTCGCTCGCTTGGCGATATTCGAATATCTTGACTGAGAACGGTGAGCTCCAACGAACCACTACTCAACACTATAGACAAACCACTAAGTGTAGTGGTCTCTACAATACTGAATATTGTGGTTGTTGTGAAGTCTGCTTTTTCATTGATGAAAGAACTAGCTACTTATAGTATATGGGTGCCCCTCTGCTCTGGACGAATATCAACATTCGTCCGAGACAGAAGAGACGGTGAAGACGGGACATTACTGTCGCGAATGCACATCGCTTAAGGGTGTCGTTTGCGATGAATGCATATCGTTCAAGGATGCCGTGATATACTAATCCAGTTCCGGAGTCGCTGTCTCGGCAGAAGCTTTTTCGGCCGAAATACTTTCCGTCTGTTGATGGCCTTGTTTCTCGGCTGTCGCAACAAAGTCTATCTCAACTAAATTATATTCATTCCGCTCCCCCACTTCTAAGACCGGTTGATTTAATAAGAAGCGAGCATATTCCCGGACAGATAACTCCGACACTATAATTCACAATTCTGCGAATAATGTGCCATCTGGGATATCATCGTCTCTCCCTAGACGCTATTCTCTGTTCGATAAATAGTTTATTATTGTCGAACGGCTTGCCCATCGCTAGAGGCTGGTCTTTTTTCTTGCTCTTCGGCTTTGATTCATTTCTGCATCCATGCATGACTAGCGGTGAGGTAAGAGATTATGTGCTTTGGTTGATTCTGGCATTCGTATCCGACTTAGAAGGCGTATTACGTATTGCAACATCTTCGCCCACCCAGTCAACTCCTGGCTCCAAGTCCAGGTTAAATAATTGCAAATCTTTATTCAATTTTGACAAGGCAGCCCTTCGGACATGCTCGCCTATCAAAGTGCTTCCATAGACTACAAGACTATCAGCTTCTCAAATTCAGTTAGCCAAATAAGGATGAATATAGTACCTACCTATAATAGCCATCTTACCATATTAGCTCTGAATAAAGCTTCTGGTTTCCATCTAAGCATTTAAGCACTAAAAGTAGGATTGAATGCGCCATGAACTAGGAAATTGACTATGGGTATCATGAGGAGCATCTTAGCAATAGATTCTCATTTTCAAGATCTGCTTTATTAGCACTGTCTGGATCAGGACCAAAAAGAACGTGAATTTAGGAAGCTTACATCAAATCCACGACGGCTATCATTTTCAAAGCATTTATTACCAAGATTGTTAGGTATATTCGCTGATCTAGGCTCGTTAATATAAGTGAGTGATCGATCTAGGTCGAAAAGACGCTGAAAACAATCCCAAACCCACAATTTGAAATTCGATCGCGGGCAGTATCTGAGATTTTTTATGTCGGAGTTATTCTTTATCACGCGTGTAGCAAGGTCGGGGAGATGCTCTACTTTAGGAAGTAGTTCCAACTCATTAATACTGTTCTATGTGACATTCCAAATTACCTCTATCGCTTAAGCAACAGTTTTTCTTTCGCGGCTATCATTCACTAGTTGCCAAAGGAATGGAAAGACACGAAAAATGCTAATATCATCAGCGATAAACAGAACGGTTCCGAATTGGCCAAAATCTGGTGGGTGCCTAAAAGGCCCGAATATATGTACTAGGAAGTCGAAATCACCCGCCATCGCGTCCAGAGCGAGCCTTTTAGTCCACCCCGGCCGATATCGGAAAAGGAAATGTACTTTTCGAGACATCTTTGTTTTCTCCTTTTCCGGGTCTTGAAAAACCTCTATATATGCCACATATAGTAGAGGAAGATGAAAACTAGACCGATATCCTGAAAATGGCATCCACAGCTGCACATGCTGACCAGCATGAATTTTCAATTGCGCAGGAGCCATGACTTCCAGCCATAAAAGTTGATCAGATGATCTCGCTCGAGCTTGAAGCTGGATATTCTTCCATAAGTGATGTTTCCACATCTGTTGGATTAGGAGAAGACAACTCCATATGACCCAACAACCAACACCACTGATCATAGCCCATAGATAAGCCGAGTGGCTCTACTATAGGTGGAATACCAATAGTGAAATTCTAATAGCCCCAAATATATAATAGATTTTCAGCATCAATTATGGATGGCGCCGAAAGATCACAGAAATGGTTGTCGGAAATATTGCTAGCAAACTGACGGCAGCCTAGATTAAAACTATGAGCGGTTTAGATCCTGATGCAAGACCTAAAAGAAGACTTTAGCAACTTACCACAATTGCTGCTAAAATAGATTCAGAGATTGGAATAGCCATACAGCCGAGTCCGGTCAAAATTATGCCATGCAATAGGCAGTGAATCAGACAAATCCTGCCTATCCATCGATGGGACTATTTAATATTATCCCGATGAACCTTATAGATATGAGATATTAGACTAAAGGTGGAGCCTAAGCATAGGGGAATGAGATGGATCACAGCGAGACAGCCGGCTCTTTTCTGCACTTCAGCTATTAAATTAGCTGAGAAGCATAGTATGATGATATTTACGATAAAGAAGATGACGACAATCGCCGCTTTCAAACATGAAGGGATATCTAAAAGCCGTAATGGAGCTGGCATTAGAGCACGTATGATCCTTCTCCAAGGGAAGAGCTGCGAGAGCTTCATCAACCCAACCAGACATAATTGTCCAAGACGACAAATGCACCATATGATTGCCAAGGCAGCAGTAGCAATACCATACTTTGCAGGAAGTGAGCTATCTAGAAGCCAAGTGGATATCTTAGATATTTCGGAAACCATGATGATATTTGCGTTTTAGTAGATTGAAATATAGTGATATACACACTATTGATTTTCAATAACCCGATCCAGCGTCTCAGAGCGATTCTAAATAAATCTTCTTGGACCAAAAGTCTTCTGGTTTCAACGCTATCCTTGGTGACTCTTAGGTGAAAGATCGAGGGAAATAGTGATATATTTCTTCTTCAGCGCTCTTGAACAGGAGAAAGCCCCATCATTACGACCCCCTCAAAACTAGCGATTTACAAGCTTTTCAATCCCCCCCCCCGAGCTCAGCACTTTTAAAGAGCTTTATTCTAAAGCGTTCTATTTATCAAGTTTCTCATCTAAACACTTATAACTTCTTGTTTAGTTGCTCTCATTTGAACGTTTTTGTTAACAAATCTTCGCTCAAGAGTTTTTGTTCAGTTGTTTTCTAAACAAAAAGCTTATATTTTCATGCTTATAATTGCTTGATTTAACCGTGCTGTCTAGCCATGCTCTATCTTATTTGCCAAGATAGTTCAAAAATGGCATCTCAATAAGAGCGTTTAAATGAATGTTATAAAACAAAGAAGTTTAACCAAGAACGTTTAAGCAAATTTTTCTTGTTTCAACGCCATCGCTGTTTAAACATACAACTCGGCTCAACGCTCCCCTCAATTCTAAAAATTATTCCTAGTACACGCTCTACTTGTTCAAACGCTGTCACCATGAACGATCTCTTTACTGTCAATCCTTTCTCGATAAGTGCCTTTCTGATGTACATTGAATAAGTCCATTCGCTTTAAACGCTTTTACCTTAGATGTTTGATTTGGAGAACTTCTATAATCCTTGGGCCTTTGACTCCAGCTGTTTGTTTTCCTTAATCGACATCAACGCTTTTCAACAACCAAACGACTTCGGAAACCTCGCGTTTTGAACACCAAGCAACACTCCTCTAGAATGAATGGATTCATTATCACAACACCTTCCACAATTTGAAAGGTTTTGTCCTAGATAAAGCAATATGAATGATGTGTTATTGCTGAGTTGGTTGGTTGGATGAGAAGTGCTAGCTTCTATAAAAACGGGAAGTTCAGTTCTCAAATAGACGAAAACCAGTATGCGATACCCAACACTACGCCTTTTAGCTTTCATTGTGCTCGATTTAGAAAGGATAGCTCTAGAGATATTAAAAAAGAGTAAAAGGTTAGAAAAATAATGCTGCCCAATGCAAACTCATAATAACCGGGAACTCACCGAGGTATGGCGTCTCAAAACACCGTTGATCTCCATAACCTTAAAACTCCCGGTGATTTAACTATCAGTTTTTAGAAAAAGCTGAACAGAATTACATGGGACAGTTTCTGTTGATTTACCTCTTTGCTTTCTCCCTTAGGCGCTTTAATCGCCTCAATTCGATCTTTTCGTCAACTTCCGCGCCTTTCCTCTTGCGCTTTTTCGAGCCTTCTCTATAGCTAATAGAGGATAGTTTCTTATTGTTTTCTTTAGTTGATGGATGCGATATTTCATGTCGGGCGGGTATTGAATTTCTTCTGTGCTTCGCATGATTACCACTGTCTTTGGTCGAGGCTGAAAAAATGGGTTTTATTAAGAGAGCCATTCTCAAATTGCCGTTCAGTATCACTTTATTATATATAGTAAATTAGATATTGAAACGTACCTTCTTTGCTATCAATGATGTAAAGTTTTACATTTGAAAATGTTTCTTCCTTGTTACCGAGCTTATATGATTCTGACGGATGTTTGTCTTGAAGGCCAGAATAGATTGGCAGGAGGATAGAGGTCAAAGATGGGTTTATGTTCATGTCTTTTGAAGTAGGAATATCTCCAGTATTGAAATCCTGAAAAAACTCCTAGGTGCTCATAGGCTCGGTATCTGCATGAGAGCCATCGTCTGTCATTGTAATAGACTCCATAGAGTTTAATTTTGTTCCTAATGAAGGAGACATATCCATAGCATCTACTATGATGACTAGGGCCAAGTATCTAAATAATATGACGTTAGCAATACAGAATCTCTAAAATTTGGATATTTCAAAAGAATTTGAGCAATCGGGGTTTTCTTCTCAAAGGCAAATCATACCTAAACTTCCTCACAGTTTTTCAAAGTGTTTCTTAGTAGATAAATCATCAGTTGCTATGATATACGGATGGGGTGTACAATACATATATAATAAGATGGAAGAGAATGACCAGCCCCTTTTATAGATAGAAGATGTTTTTTGAGAAAATTAATTCGTCATACAAGACAACCTACCAAGTTTAGCTCATTAGCGTTCCCAGGACCGCCAGAATAGTTGCTCCTAGCAACTTTGACTTCAACATTGCGCTCCTAGGAGTGTAATGTTACATACCTATATTAGGTATGAATGAAATTTTGAACTCGCCAAGTATTATGGCTTAGCTGTAATAAAAGGTGGCTGTGCAAGGTAGATTACGGGACTCGTAACTATCTTACAAGAAGAAATATTACGCTTCCGTATTAAATACGAAGCCGAACATTCAGGAATAACCTGGGTTATCATTTAATTACCGAAAAGCATTCAATCAAGTCTCGGCTCTTGATTCCAAATTTATCAATTTAAATCTTCAGTGAAATATGACTCACATAGAATATATCACTACAAATAGATCAATTACAGTACTATATTCGTTATTTCGTTGGTTTGTAGAAGCTTGTGTCTAAATCTGTCATGCATAAACAGCCTCGCCATGAGAGGGCTATTCAGTGGAATCGATCTATAATCTACCTTTTCACAGATAAGACAGACCGATATGAATGTCAGCGAAAGTGGAATCCTAGGAGCAGGAACGTAGCTCCTAGGAGTATTTGTGTCAGCTAAAATTAAATAATATTATACCAGCGAATCACGACAAACACACATAGATGATTTCTTTTGTAAACACTTAAGATCCTAAGAGCAAATAAAGTCCAAAATATGATGGACCAATAAAATACTCAAGGAAACCCACTGCGAGTCGCCACTAAGCCAATATGAGACTCCCAGGAGAAATGGCTATTGTTCTTTTTGGAACCTCTTTTGTTGGTGGGGCAACGGTGAAATTTAATGGTGAAATCTAATAGAGCTAGCGTGTCGCAGTTTATTGAGGTGGCTTATTCAGCTCCTCAGTGCCTGCTCAGTGAGCGAATCAGATCGCTCAGATATTGCACAGTGATTACTCAGGTGATGATCAGATGATGATCAGGTACGATCAGGTGACGCTCAGTGACGGCGTTCGCATGATTACATAACGGTCACTGACTTGCTCTTGGCGTTCGTGGCGTACTGAGCTCTACTCAGTGAGCAAAAAGCGGCAAGCACTGAGCACTAAAACAGAAGGGGAAAGCCAAGAACTGGGAAAGGAAATCTACTACATAGGTACTTTGGGAATACTTAGTTTCTATTTCAAGATTCTTAAGATATCATCTCAATGCAGATTCAAGGTAGGAGTGAACTCCCATCAATAACGAAATCCAGATCTCTCATCTAGTGCTCAGCCCATATAAGGCGCAGGCTCGCGGGATCAATAGTTGGAACCGTGAGTGCATAGTGTTTTCTCGAAGGAATCCTTCAATCCTTTGTCCTTCGTTCTTACTTAGTATTTCCACACTAAAATGAGCGAAAGGATTGATGATACATTTACTCATGATCTAGTCCGTACTTTGATCTGCCATTTGTACTAGAGTGGTTATTCAAGCCCACTATCCATGTGGCACAGGTCAGAAAGTGAAGACCAAAGACTCTCCATATGCCATGTCTTGATCCCCTTACATACTGCATGATGATTCTCAAACTTCAACGGAATTAGGCTTTTAGAACGGCTAGATGCCATACCGCTATCTATATGCTGTGTGACTACCTGGTGGAACAAGACTTGAGATGGAACTCTATGCCCTACGTCCAGCATCAAAATACTAAATACTTAAGAGATCGTGATCTGCATTCTTGCAATTCTCGAGTCCTGTCTTTCCAGTTTAGGAATGAGCAAGCAGTATCCCGAGCCCTGCAAGGCAGTCTCAAGGTCGACAGCTAAATCATTTTTCAAACATCAACCTACTATCGGCAGTGGCAATAATATACTGTGCAGAACCGTTTACTCCGTACAGAATGGGTAGTACGGAGTACTGGAACTGGACCTGGAACTGAAACTAGAACTGGGACTATTCCACTTTCAGCCTACTCCGTTGTGGCAGAGAAGTGCTGACCTATCAGGATGTTTTAGTGAATCGCACTACTGCATGTACCTTTGCTAAAGACGAATCTAATCCCATAACAGGGATTCGCTTCGCTTGGGCGTTAACAATGGCTTGGCATATTCCAGTAGTGGAAAGATGAGTTAGAGAGTATACGGAATAGTAAAGGGGGGGCAAAGCTGAAGGAAACAAAATAGAATATCAAAGTACAAAGTAGTACCTATGTTTGTATTGAGTATTACTCCACAGTGGGAACCTTGATCTGAACCATGGTTGAGAAAGGAATTATAGATTAAACATTTGAGTCTTGCTACCACTTTCCCTTTCAATATTTGATCTCGCTTAGCACTTTCTAAGCGCTTGACTCTGCAGATGATCTTCAAAATCTCACGATTTCCTTGATTGACTTATGATCAACAAATACCACCTTATTTCAAATCACCTAACCACTTAGGTATGCTATTTTCCGGTAAACATTTTCTTCGATGTCACAATATCTATAGAAACCCCGCAACATGGTGAAGCTCAGGCCTCTCCTATAAACCGCCAATGTGGGGAATCCCCCCAATATCCATCTCTATATCAGCCTCACGAACAAAAAACGAAGACTATAGCTATTTCAAGATCTCACTCTTTAAAAAGTCCATTTGATTCCATAATTCCCCCAAAATACGGCAAACGGAAAAGTATCCGAACACAACAAGGTGCCCATGTATAACGCCATGCATCCACTTACGTAGTCAGTAGCCCAGTTTGGCCCACCATCCATGTTTCTCGTCCATGTACGGAGTACTTCATACAAGGGATACAGAATCCAAGCCGGATCATCCGATGTTTAGGTATTTCCCCTCTTCCAGCTTTTTCCTCATCACCTACATCGAGGCACTATACCTTCAAACATTAGAATGCTGCGCGCCGATAATCCTTGTTAATCTCCACAATGTACTTCAGGCCTTGTCGGTCTCCGGACCGGGTACTGGAATATATGAAGCCTGAGGGAAAAAAAAAAAAAAAAAAAAAAGAATCAACAATGCTGATCTCCAGTACCTAACTAGAAATGGGGGATAAATAGGCACTAGACCCCTGTTACTCTCCAAAGCTAGCTGGGATCTACGGATTTTCCAAGGCTGATAACGGGTTGCAAATGCAAAGCAAAGCCCGAATCATCATTTCTCATTCCTCCATATCCCTCACGCAATGGATTAGTTAAGTGATATGCACGCTTTATGTAAGAGAATAAGCGAATCTTGGCAGCAGCTGATACAACGCCTCAAATATTCAAGTGTGATAGACCTCGCCTCGCATCTAGCGCCAAGAGTTCCATGCCTAGGTACCTAGAATGGAACACTTTTCACCTGGAAACCGAGATCACAAGCATTGTGATTATCGATTTGGAATTCCCTGGAATATTGTCGCGCGGTTTCATACTAGCGCCCTATAGTGGTGCTTCTCATCCAAACTTCGCTTGCAAACCAACCTGACGTGAGACTTAAGGACGTGGCTTGACTCAATAGTACGCTTCTGACATTCCCACGAATCGACGGCCAGGAAATTCAGGTAATTTGATACTTCGCATCAGAACACTCCACTGGAATTCGAATTCAATGGAGTGGCGAAAGCTGTACAGTTAAGAATAGTGATCGAGAAAGAAAGCAAGAAATAATAAAAAAGGATGCGAGCGCGCACGAATCATATGCTGCCGAATCGCAAGGCGTGTGGACTTGCGTTGTGCTTTTCGGGCAGTTGGGAAGTATGTAAGCTGTAGTAAGTAGATGGGGGGGGGGGGGGGGGGGGGGGGGGGGCTAGAATGGGGTTAGGATGAGGCTAGGATGGGGCTAGGATGGGGCTATGATGGGGCCATCAAGCCACTAAGTTAACTGTACTATGCAATTATGTACATGATCATCATTCTTGGTCCGGGGGGCGAATATCTTTGGACTTTCTCTTTACTTTAGATATCGAATATCCTCCCACATAATATCAAACATAAGTGCAAATGCAAATGCGGCTGCAAGTGCAAAAAGAAATACCTCGTAAACCAATCATTTCAAAAATGACATCGGCTAGAAATAGCCCGAAGATGCAGTTGGCTTTATGAAACTATTAACAGGAAATGCTTGAGATAAACTAGTTCATATGAGAGTGAAAATGAAATCCTAGCATAAACGCCATTCCGTCTCCTTTTCAAAATGATCAAATTAACATACCAGAATTCATAAGGGGGGAATCCATAGATGAAAATAAAAAGCTCCCAGTATCAGTAGCCGGGGAACGCATACCAAAGGCAACAAGGGGACCAAAACATCGGAATAAAATAATCAGTATCAGTATCAGTATCAGTATCAGAATCAGAATCATGGTCAGATCAGATATGCGAATGTTCAATGGTTTACCGAAGAATCAAGGTCAAGGTCGTGTAGAAAAATAATCGGGGAATCGGAAACATAGAAAAGTCGTGACGGGGCATCAAGCTCACACAGATTTCTTCCAAAACCAGAACAAACTCCATCTATGCAGTGTCTCCTTCTAGCCTACGCCCAAAAAACCCCAGTCAGTGCCCTCCGGTTGATTCAAAATCCGGGTGGTTGGGGGCTTATACTGAAAATTAGGATTGTATCCCACTATGACTGGCTGTCCATCTGGCATCTGATGGCCCGGGTAAGGTTGCTGGGGCTGGTGATATTCCGGGAGGTAGTTCGTGCGAGGTATTTGATGGTAACGTTGCTGCTGCTGCTGTTGCTGTTGCTGTTGCTGCTGAATCATCTGGAGATATTGCTGCTGCTGTTGCGGAATGGTCTGTGGGTGCTGGTGTTGGTGTTGCGCATGAGGCATGGTCACCTGGATCGGGGAGGTCACGATCGTCGGAGTGGAAGGATCGTGTACGGGCACCCCCATCTGCACACTCTGGGGTGAATAGAATTCATGGTTTGGTGTCGCCGATTGCGGGTAGTAGGGTTGCTGGGCGAGGAGGTACTGATCACCACTCGGGATCGATACCGTCGAGGGCCGGTGCTGGTACGAGTGTTCTGAAGTCGCATCTTCTGAATGTGTTCGGGTTAAAGATCCAGGTGGGTGGGAGCGGTGTTGATGTTTTGTGAGAGTGGTTTTGCGACAGAAGCTATTATGATGAGTTCTGCTTTACACTGAATTGGGGTTTTGATATTCGTACCTTCTTTCACAAGCAGGTTCTTGACAAATGTAAGGACGTTTGCCCGTGTGGATTCTGCGATGGCGAGCTAGACTGGATGACTATTAGAGGCGTTAATAATGATCGATATTTTGGTGACGTTGTGGTGTAATTACATCTGAGAAAGCCTTTTCGCAACCCTCGTGGTCACAGACATGCGGTTTTTCGCCAGTATGAGTCCGCGAGTGTACAGTCAAGGCGCTGCGCTGAATGAAGCTTTTATTGCAATCCTTGACGGTGCAGTGGTAAGGTCGCTCATTGGTGTGGATGCGAAAATGACGGCAGAGATCAGACTTGCGATTAAAGGACTAAGAGATGAGGTTAGAGTAATGACGACAGATACACCAGGAAGAAACCAAGCCTACTTTGCCACAATTTTCCCAGGAGCAATTGAAATCGCGTCCACTGCCAGGAGCCATCGCGAGCTCTGAGCTCTCAAGTTGTGGGGAGAAGCGGGTCGCAAAGTCAAGGCGTGGAGATAAGAGGGAGTGAGAAAGAAAAAGATGGCATAGGGCGCAAAATAAACAAAGTCGGGGATAGACCTTGTCAAGTCGGATTAATAGAAGCCGGAATTTTATGATGAACCCGGGGCATAATAAGAGATATTTAAAAGAGAAAAGGATCGAGTTGAAAAGAGGGGGAAAGAGGAGGAGAAGAGAGAAGAGAGGGGGGCCTCAAGTCATACTATGTTGGTTTCTGGGCAAATGGAAATAAACGGCGTCGGATGGGACCGTACATTAGCATTTTTAATTACTATTATTACATTAATAATTATTTCTAGTACACAGTACACACTACTCATTACCCTACTACTATAGTACCACTTCGGAACTGTGTAAATAACGTATTTTTAGAAGAAGAAGCTGATAGGTTCACATAGATAGGTTGGCAACCGAACCTATAATTTTTAATTAATTAGATTTCAAAAGCAACCCCCACAAGTAAAAAAAATAATAATTAAAATAAAGAGATAAAAAAGAGTCCAGACTACCTGGTTCCATGCAAGACCCACACATATAGACAAGTGCGTGGGGATACGAGGTATTAAAGTTTGTACACGTAATGTATTTAAATACCGGGGAATCCACTTCAACACCACTTATATTACAGAATCTATACTCTTCTACTATTCTCTTAGTCACGTTTATAGGCATATGGGCAGCAAGGGATATCAAATGTGGGCTTTCTGTGAATCTTCGGGGGAAAACAAATGAGAAAAAAAGAAACGAGAAATAAGAAATATATAAGTGGAAATTAAAATTGATTTCCACATGTTCGATACTCTCAAAGTAGACCAGTTAAATTGTGATACCCTACCCTTCCTCTAAAGTATTCGTATATTCGTATGCCTATTCCGCATTATCTCCCTGGGCAGGGCTGTAGGGACTACTATCATCTGAAACAGCCCAGGGGTTGGTAGTACAGTTAACATCGCCTTAATATCGAGATAAGCCAAATTGATACTCGTCAGATTCTGAGTCTCAAGTAACCCGACTATCATAAACTCTCCTCCTGATTCGTAAGTATACCAATCCCTTGGGTCTCAAGGTCTCTTCACCGTATATTCATATTCATCAAATCAAAGCTTCCTATTGGAAAAAGAAAGTGCTTGTTTGGCTCATGTCTCTTTCTTGTAGGTTGACCCCTGGAGATGGAATCCTTTTTTCCTCTTTTTTCCCTCTTTTTCCCCCTTCTTCTCGGGGGGCCTAGTCAAAGAAATTTCCGATAGTCGGACAGGATAGGGAGAAAATCCATCTTGGCCTATTACTGTGGCGTTCGAAAACCCCAGTTATTGTCGGGACTCGGTTGGCCACGGGCGAACAACGATGTCAACGGCTTGCTTCTCATTCCCCCTAAACAAGCCCCGATCGACATATCGGAAAATGTCTGCATGATCATAAGTGGAGGCTGCTTGTTCCTAAACGTGGCGACTCCACCAGGCTTAGACTACGCTAGGAGCGCGTTCTGATCAACCTTATCGATGAAGCTGGAACCGAAAGAAATCCGTCTGTACGGCCAGAAAAAGCAAAATTAAGAAGTATTCAGTTACTAAAGCATAACTAAAAGGGGTGTACGGAGTAATTGTAACAAAGGTACCTAGGTACTGGTAGATTTCGAGACGTCACTGTACTTTGGTATACTTCTCTTCAAGAGCTTCCAAGGTTAGGTATCATGCATCATGCATCCGTACCATGTCTGACCTGAGGCAGGGATTCTAGTATGCTCCAATCCAATGACAAGCTTTCGGTCTAGTCTAGTGGACCTTTGCCTGGCTCACAGGCTGTGGCGGCTGCAATTATTCCGTAGGTGGAAAGCATCTGATGCAATTCATCCTTACATAGTAGTACTACGAACTCCATAACGTAATGGGGAATTATCAGGGATGTTTCCACAATAACGGAGTGCTCCTGCATATTATTCTTCAGAAGGAAAGCAAAAAAATATATTCAATAACAAGGCAAGCTTGGAAAAGCAAAAAGAAGAAAAGCAATAGCCCTGGAGAAACATTGGAAGAGAAATGATAGATAAAATAAAGATGCCATGTAAACACGGCATGAAACACATCCGAGTGGGTCCATCGTATCAGCAGTAGCTTTTAATTCAACGGCAAAGAATTCCGTCTACAGATGCTTCACAATTCTTCATGAAGGGCTGGGGTTGTATACGGTAAATAGTGCGGCGCCACCATTCTTTAAGTTGTGGCTCCATGGCTAACTCTATACGGAGGACTCCGGTAACATAGCCATACAAAGAAAAAGAGACATAATCATGACTCATTTTACCCATCAACCTGGTCACTGGATCGATACAACTTACTCTCATTGAAGGGGGAAAATTATCCGAGTGGAGCTGACAGGAAGCAAAGAGAGAAAAAGAAAGGAGACTGGAGCTGATATTGGCTTTTCATACTGCTGTCGTCCGCACTCAACCTTTTCTATTTGATTCCATCCCTTTCTACTCCGTACCTAGGGTAGTCCTTGGAGTATTGTAGGTGATTTGCTTGTTCCTACCCCGCAATTCTACCAATGCAACTGTATGGCTGATTCAGTATCTGCTAGGAGAATCGGCTCGGAACAGTGGAGACCAGCTTATTACGGCCGTGCACTTTATACCCGCAATGCTTAACTTCACCCCTGGTGAAATGCAAAAAGCAAGGAGAAGGATGAACAGAAAATTCAGGAACTTGGTTGGTTGATTTTGAATGTACCTGAGATCCGGGCGAGGAATGAATTAGGGCAAGCATTTTGATTCCGAGCTCGGTAACCACGACCTCGATGCATTGCTTATTTCAGGAAAGACAAAAACTACTTTGAAAGTCTTGGAGTATTGGCCATCCAGCACTCATCATTTACACAGCCTCACAGCTTCGAGTCCAACCATGTGATTTGCAGAGAATATTTGAAATAAACGGAGAAAACCACCGAGAACTAAAGCAGGACGATAACTGGCTGGTCATAATACTGTACAGTGCAATAAGGACCATGGATTCAAAAACCAGAAGATATTCTATTCTCTCTCCTGTCTAGTGCCGTCATTGAAACTCTTGTTTTCCCTTTGTCAGTCCCTCCTTTATCGGCAACTAACCAACCAGCAACGGGTCTAGTCGCCCGTGCCGCATTAAAAAAGAGTCGGTCAAGATAAAACCCCTTCATTGGAGCCAAAACAGGTACTTCGTACATCTGATGTGCATGTGTGCCACTGAATGTGTGTGTCTGCTAGCGTGGCCGGAGACTTTCAAGGCTTGGGGCTGAAGGGAAATAATCATACCTAGATACACGTAGGTAATATCTCATTAAATTTACGGAGTACCCATACTCCAATCCCCTTACGATCTCCGGAGTAGATACTAGTTAGGATATCCGTACCTCACAAGAAGCCACAGATTACCATCCAGAACGGGGTTGGACCTCCGAGTAAGAACAAATAATAAAATAAGCTGGAAGGTAATAGTCGAATCAAAATAATCCTACCTAATCTAACGGGCGCCACAACCCAACTTGATACGCTCACCTCAACTCCTTACCGATATCCCCCGCTCTCAGCCCTGTCGGGCTTGCAAGGTCGAAGTCCACAGGAATCACAGAGTTATCATTTCCCCTACTAACTCTAACAGGAATTCCGATATCTATATCCAGACGACAAATTTTTGCTAATAATATCCACGCTAAAAAGCGCCATGTGCTCATGGTATGATGTGAGAGGATCCCACGTGATGGAATAGTTTGAAAGTTGTTAGCTCTGCTTATTGATGATAAATAACTTGTGTCTGTACTGCTGCACCATCAGCCAGGTCTTCTGATCATTGTCGATTTCGTTCACAGCGTGGCTTGTCTGCACTATCGGCTCGGCAGTCGGGTAGGCATAAGCATGTATGCTTCTGTTCACTAGGTGGGGAGATTCTTTGTTCTCGTATTGCTCTTCTCGGATTTCCCCTTCGGAGAATATGACATTTATGGATTTGTAATGGCTGGGCATGCGATAGTGAGAAGGTGCACCAAATCGAGTTATAGCTGCTTGACACATGTGCATCGTATAGTCTACATACCCTAGAGGTATTTACAGATATGCTCACCCTAGTCGATTCTGTCTATTCCAAACATGCTGCTTCCAACTTTGGACGGGTGCATACGGAAATTCCAATGTTTCGAGCTTCAGTGAAACTCCAGGATTGGGAGATCCACGGATTTCCAGGGTAGATGTTCCAACATTTATGCATCGAGCCTGAAAAGGTCGATTCTAGCTCAGCTTTAATTTTGCGATATTTATGGATATTGATAGTTTATAGTCTAGGTACACGGATGCCAGCTGGCGAGATAAATCTACATAACACACATTCCCGTCATGAAACAGCATCCATGGCCCGGAGATGGATACGAAAATGGCAAATGACCATTCTAGCCTCCAGGAACAGAGCCAAGTCCAGATCCAGGTCCAGGACTCGACATCTGATGTCATGAATGATCTACGTTCCCGTGTAAATTGAGTGATTTCACCAACTTGTCAGTCCACGTGCGCGATCAAATCCTCCTCGCAATTGCTGCCCAGGTTTCAAGACCTTGCCTTGTAAAACCGTATATCGAATGATATTTTCACACTCCTCTGGCCGCACACGTGCCAGCCATATACCCTGCGCTGCACCCTCGCCATCACTCCCTTCGCTCTCCTTCTTGTACCACTCGAAATCTTGACGTCGATACACAATCACATTAGCTGAGTATTTGTGGCCGCCAACATGGCTGATAAAGTAGATCCCTACCCCGCCAGGCCGACGGTCGTCCATATCACGGTATAAACCGAGTGGGCGTAAGTGGCGCTCAAATTCGCGGCGTAGTAAAGGTGCGGATTGTCCGCAGCGCGCGTCTCGGGTACGCTGAGAGCAGAGCAGAATAACTGCTGCGTGCGAGCAAGAGTGTGAGGTGAGCTGGGTAGGGATGGATGTGGAGGTTGACTCCTGTTGCTCTTCTGAGCTAGTCTGATCATTTTGGTCTAGAAGTTTTGGAGCTGCGCCTAGTGGTGTTGTTGTCGTCAATGACCGGTTCACAAAGTTCTCGATCAGGTCCGGCACGAGCTGTGGAGTTACACCCTCGACAACGGTGAAGCTGGGCAGAAGCAAAACATTCGTGGGCTGCTTTCCGGCTTCGTGAGTGTGATATTCGTCTGGGACTGGCATATTGGATGCTGATAGCTTGAGTCTCTATTATAATTTGTAAGTTTCACACTTATGAGATGCGCCATGAAGAAGGCGATGGCCTACCCCGTTGTTCGGCTCTACTCCTCCCTTCTCAATTGCCTCCATCACACTCCCCGTTTCGTCCGCAATGTCGCGCACCCAGTCGGATTTCCCAGTTGCGACGAGTAGGTGGGTAGCCCACCCGTTCACCTCGCCGTATAGCTTGTCTTCCTGGTCGACTTCAAATTTGGCGGGGTACTTCACTGTACATGTTGTACATTCGTGGAGACACTCCTCGCCGTCAATGGCCGGATCGACCTTTGTGAACAGCTTGTCATGGTCGGATATGCTTTGGAATCCGTTCTCAGCTAGTGCGTTATCACCAACAGCGTCAGTTGTGGCGTCGGTTTTGGAGGATACGAGCGAAGTATTCGAGGAGTTGAAGAGCGATGACGCGCCCCTTCGGAAGAGATGCATTGTGCAATGGCTTGAGTCCTTGGTCCTTGCTTACTCTACGAGATCCCTGAGCTTCAGATGGATGTAGTGAGTGAAAATTGAATTCAAATTGTAAGGGTAAAGGCGGATGGACTTTTCTAGAATGATGAGGGATGAAAATGATCTTATCAATCATTTTACATTTCTGCCAAGACGGGATCATTCCAACCGGATAAGGACTATCCCGCTATAATTCATCATCTTCTACTCCACAGTTCTACAACAGTAGTAGATCAACGGTGTGAGTATCTAATTAACTACCTAGGAAGTACGGACGAACACAGGATACCCAGGTGTGGGCTTCCCTATCAGCTGTAAATACTCATATCCAGAATGGGCTGCTTACGATGAGTGGTTTATTCCCATTGCAGGTGCGAAGAGACATATTGTAACGAATATCGAGTAGATCCAAATCTTATCAATCATTATGTATTTTTGCCAAGACTGCGGAATAATTCCAACCAGAAATGGCTGACTAGTTATACTCAATTAAGTGTATGGTTCAATGAACGGATGTGGGTCAACTCCTTGGCAAGTGTAGCGTGTAGGGAAAATCTCCGGGGGACTGTGGCTGGGCCAGCCGAATCACACTTCCCCCAGAACTACCGGACTGTCCGGATTGCACACGCCGCAGTGATCGTGTTGACGGCGTGCGGAGGCCTCGCGGAAAATAAGACCCACTAGCCTGAGACACGGGACTTTGCACCGCAGGAGCGGTATCATAGCCAGACTGCGTCTCCCAGGTAGACGCATTCGACGGTCGAGTGCTGTCGCTCCACACAGGAGAGCGAAGTCCATCGTACCTGAAGTGGTCTACTGTATCTGTTTCGCCTTCTTCGTCTGAAGGTCCGATGATAGACCCGCTATCTGCGCGTCGATAGCTTTCACTGTCGCGGATCTCTTCAATTACAGGCGTTGGGAGGGTCATTCCTCGTAAGATCTCGGCGAACAGATGCATCAAGTCCCGGAATTCGAATTCGTGTAGTTGGTGTGAAGAGAACCGGGCTCGTTCGTAGAGTGCTAGGAAGTCGGCCCCTAGTTCTAGTGAGTCTATGACTCCCATTGTGGTAAGATGTAGGATATATTGTCGTAGATCCATTGAACTCGACCGTTGAAGCACTTCCACCACGCGTGTATCTGGTACAGACTCGTTGTAGGGGTAGAGAGTGGCAGATGCGAGAGCATCAGCCGGAGCGAGCGACACAGCTTTTGCCTCGATCAGATTTGGTAGTTCCTGGATGACAGTGCCGTATGGTAGATCGGGCAGATCGGGTGATGAGGGCGATGACCAACCGGGGTGTTCGATAGGGCCCCATGGTGGGTGTTTGGGGTCAATAAGAAGAGTTTCATAGTTCTCGAAGCTGTATGCTTCGCCAGAAGTGTCGCGCGGCCGAGTTTGGTATGAGAGAATGGCACTGCGAGTCAGGCCCTCCTCAACCAAACGCCTAACACTCTTATTCACATCTTCCTTTTCCACGGGAATCCAGGCTTTTGGGATACCGGTCAAGGTGCTTCGATTGGTGTAGAGTCGGGTTGCATAAATGAGACATGTCAGGATAAATGTTATGATATAGCCGCCGGAGATGAAGAAGATGTTTGTGGGGTGGCTTGTCTCGTAGCACTGGTAGATGGCATCGGCCGGGGTAAGGACTATAAGACAAAAGAGGAGTATGCCGAAGAAGCAAAAGACGCTTATGTTCAGAAAGCGCTCGAGTCGCGGGTTCATGGCTTCCCCCGCCTATTGTTGAGAACGGACTGCATTTGGTGGCAGCGTAACTTGGGTTGCGACTACAGGTACTCCTTGAGCACTGACTGCCGTCTTGATATTAAATCACGTGCAGTATCAAAGTATGACGAAGATTTTCAATTTAATTTAAATATTTGGATGTGTCCCTCTTGTAAAATACAGTATATTTCGGTCATTCAGTTTACCCTATCCATGCTTTTCAATTGCAGCTAGTCTAAGAAATTTACAATAAGCCGATCTTTCTGGTACCTGAATATCACATGACTTCTAGTCCCCTTATTCAACGGCGATGAACTTTCTCCATTTTAATTACTTAAGATTCAACCATGAGTGATAATAAGACCTCTCAGAGGCAAGAGGACACATACATCCTCGTCACTGGCGCTAACAGGTAAATCCAGCACTAATTAGTCCTAAAATCGGATTATTAAACACTAAGCTCATGATACTTTAGTGGCCTCGGATTCTCAATATGCTGCCGACTAGCCGATGAATTTCTCTCCTTACACCCAGAGACTGGCCTTCTTCATATCATTTTTACAACCCGAAGCTCTCGAAAAGCAGAGGATACTCGCCGTCGGCTAGAGAAGCACCTCAGGGGATCAGCGCCCTCCGCTACTTCTCGCGTGCGTTTCGTCTCCGAGAGCGTGGACCTTTCAAAGCTCGTCTCTGTGCGCGCGCTTTCCCGCAGACTCTTACAATCAACTCCAAAGCTTGACGCTGTTGTTCTCAATGCCGGTATCGGTGGCTGGTCGGGCATTTCCTGGCCCGATGCAATCTGGGGCGTATGCACCGATCTTATCCAGCAGGTGACATGGCCGACCTACAAGCTCTCCCCCATAGGCGTGTTGTCAGAAAAGCAAACGGACTTGCAGGAAGAACCTCCTCTCGGGATGGTCTTCTGTGCCAATGTCTTTGGACACTACATGCTGGCGCATAATGTTGCGCCACTGTTGAAGCGGGCCCGTACGAATGGGCCTGGGCGCGTGATTTGGGTGTCAAGTATTGAGGCAACGATTAAGGCTTTCGATGTCAATGATATCCAGGGACTGCGTTCTGCTCTACCTTATGAGTCGTCAAAGGCTCTCACAGATATCCTGGCTCTGACCTCGAATCTGCCCAGCACAGCTCCGTGGGCGGTAGATAGCTTCCTGCATTCTGACGAAGACAAGGAGTCAGAACCACCGGGTATCTACGTCTCTCACCCAGGTATATGTGCTACGGCTATCATCCCATTGGCCCTGCCTCTTATCTGGGCAATGGTCATTACATTTTGGGGGGCGCGTATGCTAGGTTCGCCCTGGCATACACTATCAACCTACGTCGGCGCCTGTTCTTCCGTCTTTCTGGCCTTGACGACAAAGGACGAGCTTGATGCTGCTGAGGCACCTTATCACCAAGCTGGCGGGGGAAGAGCGAAATGGGGCTCTTCTGCAGACCGGCTTGGTGCTGCTCATACATTGAGTACCGAAGTCGAGGGATGGGGTTACGGTGGTGTAGTTGGAACCCCAACTGTCGAGGCTGACCGGTTACGACGCCGTAAACGCGGCGCCAAGGATTTGACCAGCGAAGGCAAGGAGCAGTTTGAGGAATTAGGTCGTCAGTGCTGGAAGCAAATGGAGGATTTGCGAATAAAGTGGGATGCTATTTTAGACCAAGCTGAAAACGGCAGTGAATGATAGTGCTCGTACATATTTAATAAATATACTCAAGTCATCCCGAGGTCCGAGAGGACTAGGTCTTTAAACATGTACGAAACTTGATCGCTCGCCTATAAAAAAATGTACGTCTACAGCTGTACAGCAGATGAAATCGCATATTTTAGATTCAGCCCCAATTATTTACATCAACAGAGCCCGCCCCGCGCCCATGATATCATTAAAACAGATACGGCATGATTTCTGCCCACAGATGAGAATAAAAGACACAAGCACAAGTAGAGTGGTGATTGGGATAGCAAAATCTTAAAACAATTGTGCCACAAAAAAAAGAAGAAAAGGAAGAAAATTTGGGAAGAATAAAAAGGGTAATTGTTGCAAAGGGGTTTAAACAATACACCTAGAACCGTCTAGGTCATGTAGGATGTATTGAAAGCTGGAACATGAAGTGTCGAAGGCAGTGTGAGCACAAGCGAGGCGGTAAACCTGTCCCAAGTGACAGGCATGAGAACAAGGACCGAAGAGGCTCGAAACAAGAAGAGAGTAGATCAAGCAGAAAACGACTCCGGTTCAATGCATCAAGATGGGGAGGATAAGAGGTATTGACATGGTAAGATATATGGTGTAATAGGACGTGTCGACGTGAAAAAAGATTACATGATAATCGCGGGAACTATAAAACATTAATTCATGATCTCATATTCCATCGAGGAAAGGACTTACCATCAATGTTCTGTTTGATGCTCTTGTGGGGCAGAATGGAGCCACCGTTGACATAGACCTCATCAGCGATGGTCACATCGTCACCGAGGACGGTGACATTCTCCAGACGAGCCCAGCGACCTACGGAGCTGTTCCAGCCAACGATAGTAGACTTGATCCAGGCGTGGTCCTTGACCTTGCTGTTCTCCATCACAACGCAACGCTGGAGGCGGACACCGTCACCAATAACAACGTTAGGTCCAATGACCACGTTGGGGCCGATACGGCAGTTGTTGCCAATCTTAGCGGTGGGGTCAACCATAACATTGCCGCCGTGCACGTAGGGCTCGGAAAGAGAGACAAGCTTCTTGGAGTTCTGCTTGGCCAAGGAGGTCAAGTACAGGCAGGTACCGGTAAGGAAGTCCTTGGGCTGGCCAACATCCATCCAGAAGCCATCGAGGTCGAAGGAGTGCAGCTCACCATCCTTGCATATGGCGGGGAAGGTCTCCTGCTCAATAGATGTGGGGCGTAGGTCAATGCGTTTCAGAACACTAGGGTTCAAGATGTAGATACCGGCGTTGATGCGGTTGCCGACAAACTCGACAGGCTTCTCAACGAATCGGTCAATTCTAGAGGAGTGGTTGGGCTTGTGAACAACGACACCGTACTTGGAGGGCTCGTCAACCTTTGTGACCACAATGGTACCCTCTTGTCCGTGGCTCTTGTGGAAGGCGGCGAGTTTTTGGAAGGGGAAGTCACAGATGACATCGGAATTCAATACGAAGAAAGGCGAGTCGTCCTTACCAAGGGTCTTCTCGGCCAACTTCAATGGGCCAGCTGTGCCCAATGGTTCTGTCTCGACTGAGAATTCAATGTTGACGTTGTAAAGCTCTTCATACTTCTTGAGGGCGGCGACCATAACATCGGGACGGTAGTTGACCGCGAGGACAATGTCAGTGACACCAGCAGCAGCCAGACTCTCAACCTGGTGAAGGATCATAGGCCGGTTGCCAAACTCGACCAGAGGCTTGGGAAGTGTGAGGGTCTACCAGGCAAGAAGACATTTGGGTTAGGATACAGAATGAACCAGATCAAAAACAAGATGAATTGAGATGGTTATAGGGAATGGACGTGTAAATGTGAAGTAGATCTGCAATTACTCACCAAAGGACGCAGGCGAGTACCGAAGCCTCCGACAAGAATGAGAGCTGTTCGAATGTCAGTTTAAAGGGTAAAAAGGAGATGAGGGGTGGATATGGAGGGGCAACATACCCTTCATTGTGTGGGGTAATTGAGTAAGAAGAAAAAGAAAAAGAAAAGAATTGAAGATGAATCAGAAAGAAAATGAGAAGGAGGAATGAAAAAGACCAAAGATTCAAGATCAATCAAAAGGGAGTGTAGTAAATAGGGAACACCTGGCCGTTGATTTATTTTTATCGGGGAGTTGGAGTGGAGCACGTGAGTAGGAATGATTGGTGTCTGATGTTTGCAGGTAAAACGAGAAGAAAAGGGGGTGGATCTTGTATGAGACTTGATACACTGCAATTTACTGCTTTTACTACTCTCACATTTATTCCTATATTTTTATTGTAAATGCTACCTTATATGAACATTATTCTTATCAATTCTATTGTATTATCTCACGTTGTACATATTTTGTCAGTTATTATTAGAAGTGGTACAATTCGTACTTCGTATAAGAATCAAGGGCCCAGTCCAGTCCAATCTTCCTTAATGACCGTGCCCTCCATTTACTAGATCGAGATCAACAATCTAGACGTCTGAATTCTGAGTTGAATTGATCATTGACGTGGTCATCAGATGTCGCCCCCCCCCCCTAGAGTCAGGCTGAAAAATGGGGGCATATAGTGCTGCTGCTTGCGGTCATCGAGCATCGCCCCATCCGTCACACCACAAACTCAATATTCAATATCGCTCTTATCTTTCATTGTGTGTCCGGGGGCAGCCGATGCTTTTGTATCTCATGCATTCCTGCCACGATACCGCCTACTCGATCCATCCCTACAAATTGGAGAACCCATTCTCGTACTCTGCGAAGTTTCTTCGGCAGATCGTCGTGGCCACAGTTCGGTGGGATCACTTGGTAGAACCCACCCGCATCCGTCGTATCCACCGGCCGTCGGTTTAAGATGTCAACTTGGGTCATTCCACCGCGCAGACTTTGTCCATAGACCCGATCACGGAATGATCCGAGTGCTACTGTTCGCAGGAGGATAATATCTTGGGGTTGGAGGGTGGCCAATGATTGAGCAAGTCGGTCCAGCTTATCTGGGGACAACCAGAAGTTGATGCCAAATCCAGAACTCGTCTCATCTCCAACTACTAATTCAATGATATCGAGTTCCTTCTTCCACTGTCGTGTTACTATGCGGCGGGGTGCATGAACTGCAATGATTCCAACGATCACATTGACTGTCATTGTCTGTGGTGCAATGGACTGAAGATATTTTGCCGTTGGAATATCCTGCAGGTCACGAAGAGGACCACTAATCCGAGGAGCTGTTGGATTCGATATTTCTTGGGATAGAGAGGCTGTACATTTCTTGACGCTGTCCAACAACGACCCGCTTGCCTGCGTTGAGTCTTCATCCCGCGACCCTATTTCTGACGTTTCGTGGATGTTGAATGAATGACGGTAGAACTGAGACAGAATTGAATCCTCTGTGCTAATTGATGTAGTGTCGGCCTTGAGCAGCTGATGGGTGGTCACAAAGCCAGGGTCTTCAGACCCAAAGTAAGAGGCATGCTGATTGTTGATCTTGATCGATGACAAAGGCTGGAGGACTCGCCATTTCACAGTGTTATAGTCAGATGATGGCCGGCAGTCGGCCTGTGAATCTTGAAATGGTGGCGTGGGCCTGTCGAGAAGCTCATCGTGGTCCCAATCCAGACTCCCAGGTAACGGAGCTCCCATAAGAAATATGGTTTTGATAGGCATGAGTTATATTTCGCTGCAACTTCAAGCTCGAGCTGTAAAGTCTCCAGGGTTTCTCCTCGCTACTCAGGTTAGGCTCTCGGCTTAATCCGAGTGGCATGTTTCCATGGTTGAAAGTTGATATGGCTGGTTTTGTCGCAAGACTTGGCAGCGTATATGATCAGAGCCCTGGAGATTAAATGGACCAAACTCAGTGATTCAGAGCTTTAAGCTTATATATGACTTTCTAGTCTATAAATCAAGGAGTGTTTCTACCTACGTAGAAAATGTCAGGGCCAAACTCGGCCTGACTAAAACCATGGTACTAGTATGAATGGATGCCTTGAAAGTCAGGGGAGTCTGACAAGCAGCATGAATGATAAAAGGTGATATTTTCCCTCGAATCCCTTCTATGTTCTAATTCTGATTTCTTGGCTTTTTTTATTTTTTTTATATATATAGAAAGTTTGAACTCTTTTCTAACCTCATGCGCTTACAAATTCAACGAAATGACAAGAATTGAACAGTTAAAACGTCCACCTTCTGTCATGTTCTATGAAACTGCCGGCAGTTTACAAGTGGCCATTCACCGGTCCATATTAATAGGCGGCAAGTCCATAAATAGAAGGCGGTCTACTTACACGTGACTTTACGGGAATCTACCCGGCACTGAGTGGCAATTGGCAATCAACTTGGCCGGAGAAGCATCACCTCTCAACCAATCTCTAATCAGCAATGGCATTTGCCCAAATCAGAGGCTGAATCATCGTTTATTTCCCCTTGATCTATATACTTTTCTCAGGAGAGCAGATCATTCCTTTTATCACGGCCGAGTGCCGTTGTACATTAGACAACTATGGCCTTTCAAGTCTCCATCCCGCGGCCGGTGAGATCTACTTTGATTTTGGTTCTGCTCCACCAGATCTAATCACTAAACTATATTCTCCATTTCTAGAACATGGCTGCTGTGACAGCTGACCTCTGGCCATCGATGTCTAGCGTGCTTACCGCTCCCTGGAAGCAGACTGGTCGACCTCCAACCGTCGCAACCCGTGACAGAAATCCAGCGCAGGAAAAGGAGATGGTATGAGTTTATCGTTAAGAGACCTTTGAGTTTCTCATGCTGACTTAAATAGACATTCGCACGTGCTTCTCTGCCAGACTTTCTAGACTCCATTTCCATGACCAAGCTGAAGGTAGATGTTGTGAATCGGCCTGCGCAACTTGGATGGTCATCATCACTAACTGGTAGTATGTACACCTTTCTCTTAACAGCTTAAGATTTTATATCTGACTTGTCACTAGACAACACCCTGTTAAAATTGTCAACTTTCGCCCCAATTCCTCGTTCTTCATTCTTGACAGGCCGATCTTTCTCGACCTTGACTCCCTTCCGTCCGAATTCCCTCCGTGTGGTGTCAAAGATAAATGGACTTTCTCGACTCCAGCAGCAAAGATTCTTGTTCGGCGGGTCCTCGCAGAACATTCTCGCACAGAAGGAGAAGACCGCAAACAACAACCCAAGCAGCGCAAGCGCCCAGAACGCATTCTACCAAGCTCTTCTGCATGCCAACATGCCCGCGATCGTCATCGAGAGATATCGAACCGCTCAATTCGCCAGTAACGCGACGACAGAAATGATTTACAGAAAGGCTTTGGAACTTGTAGGCGCAGGCGAAGCAGTTACCGGTCAAAGCCACAATCTCAACGCGAATGAACTCCAGGCTATTGGTCAAGCGGTTGCTGCACGCAGTAGTGGCGGCCAGATCGGTGTGGCCTCTCGGCAAACAGGCACTGGTGCTAAGGATTCACCCCTCTACGTGGTTGTCGATGAGTCCATGGGCAGTGCTGTTTTCCGCTGGGTCAAGTTCCTCTTTTACTTTGGATTCTTCACGTACATATCCCTGGTCCTGGTTACTATCTTGGTTGAAACCACTGGTGTTTTGAAAAATATCCGCGGCACGCAGAACAACGAGGCGCAGCCCCAGCAGCAGACTGTCCGATTCAGCGACGTTCATGGCTGTGATGAAGCCAAGGATGAGCTACAGGAGCTGGTGGAATTCCTTCTCAACCCGGAGCGATTCAACTCCCTGGGCGGTAAGCTGCCCAAGGGTGTCCTGCTTGTTGGTCCTCCCGGTACTGGTAAAACTCTGCTTGCTCGCGCAGTTGCTGGAGAAGCTGGGGTTCCGTTCTTCTACATGTCTGGTTCTGAGTTCGATGAGGTATACGTGGGTGTTGGTGCCAAGCGTGTTCGTGAGCTCTTCAGCCAAGCCCGTGGCAAGGCCCCGGCCATCATCTTCATCGATGAGCTGGATGCCATAGGTGCGAAGAGAAACGAGCGCGATGCTGCCTACGTGAAGCAAACGCTGAACCAGTTGCTTACCGAGCTTGACGGTTTCTCTCAGACTAGCGGCGTGATCATTATTGGTGCTACTAACTACCCACAGCTCCTGGATAAGGCCCTGACCCGCCCTGGCCGTTTCGACCGCAAGGTGACTGTTGGTCTACCCGACGTTCGTGGCCGTATGGACATCCTGAGACATCACACGAAAAACGTACAGATTAGCACTGACGTTGACGTCGCCGTGATTGCCCGTGGTACTCCTGGCTTCTCCGGTGCTGACTTGGAGAACCTGGTTAACCAGGCTGCCATTCATGCCAGCCGTGATCGCAAACTCAAGGTTGGTCCTCTGGACTTTGATTGGGCCAAGGACAAGATTATGATGGGTGCCGAGGCTCGAAGCCGCATCATCCAGGACAAGGACAAGCTTCTGACTGCTTACCACGAGGCGGGCCACGCCCTGGTTTCTTACTTCTCACGAGCCTCCACTCCCCTGTACAAGATCACCATTGTTCCCCGTGGCGTTGCCTTGGGTGTCACCCACTTCCTGCCGGAGATGGACATGGTCTCGAAGAACTACACACAGTATCTGTCTGATATTGACGTCGCTATGGGTGGAAAGGCTGCCGAGGAGCTGATCTACGGCTCGGACAATGTCACCAGCGGTATTTCCTCCGACATTCAACAAGCCACCCAGACGGCTTTTACCCTGATCACTCGATTCGGATACTCGAAGAAGCTCGGAAACGTTGATCTAGCTACAAACTACGACAGCCTTTCATCGGAGACAAAGCAAGAGATCGAAGGCGAAGTGCGCAGACTCGTTGACGAAGGTCGTCTCCGCGCAACTAAGATTCTGACCGAGCGCCGAAGTGAACTGGAGCTTCTGAGCAAGGCCCTAATCGAATATGAAACGCTGACAAAGGATGAAATGGAGAAAGTGCTCCGGGGAGAGAAACTCGACAAGATGATATCGTCACCCAGTGCACCGCTCAAGCTCCCAGAAGCCCTGCAGACGGCCCAGATACCGCCACCCGTCGAACAAACACGGACTGCGACGGAATAATTATCTCTTATCTTCTCTCTTCTATTTTTTTTTCCACACTTTGTGAAGCTATCTTCCTCTATTTCCAGGTTCAATTGGCGTCTCCATGAAAACACCTTTCTTTTCAATCATTGACCTCTCCTTCCCTCTTCCTCCAATGTACCGTCTTATGTGCTGTACATACAATGTATGACTACTCTCTTCTTGTGCTAGATAGCAAATTTGCATAACAGTAGCACTAGTTTAACGGCTATCACTTTAAAAGGTAAAGAGAAATTAAGACAGCTCCAGGGCTATATACATATACATATATATAAACCACTCTAGAGCCAATATTTCAAAATTAATTCGATATAGTTTACTGGAGTAGGTTCTAGTAGTTAATTATGTGGTATCACCCTATGATGTCATATTGGTACAACCTTGGAAAACCCCAAGAACAGAAAACTTCCTGATCTGCATCGTTCTTTCTTATCGAAGTACTAGTGAGATTGAATCATTGAAATTTACATCATGATGATGAAAGTACCAAGCCTTGGAAAATGGTACCTTTTTTAGAATATGGGGTAGTAGGTAATCATAGGAGTTGCTCCGTATACGGTAGTTGTATCAACAGAAACGAAATATATACATAAGGAAAAAATAGATGCTTAAGAATGTTTTTTATTTCGTTGCGTACTCCATGGTCCGTTGGAAATATCTTATATACAGAAAAAAAGGAAGAGAATAATGCCATCATGTTGACCGCCAAAAGCGAGAAGAAAAAAAAAAAAGAATGGACCTGTCAGATAGGTAAACCATAGACCGGCTAATACATGCCGACCTTGGCATCACTGGAAACATTGGGGGAGAAAAACGAAATTGGTCAGATGAAGAATGGTTAAACCATCATCACGGTCATGAGGGTGGTATTGCAGCTTGCTCTTGCTAGCTGGCACACCTATTAGGGCGGAGACTATCTAAGCAGGGAAAATCTAGAATATGTATAGGTGAAAGAATCTGTCCCAGTGCGCCCGATAGGTAGAGTATATGGTGGAATCGGCTCGAAGAGCTAAAGTGGGGGTGTATAGAGTTGTGTTGTTTTGAGCTCGGGTGTGGAAGTCTCGAGCGTTAAGTGTATAGGGTGAAAATGGTGTGCCGGTGTGGAGGGCAGGATTGACTCGAGGTCCGTGGCAGTAACAGTTAAGATGAAATGGAAAATATATCGGAGCGTTTTGTTTACTCTTCATCTTCTGATTCTTCCTCCTTGCTAGCCGTCCAGCCTCGAGACATCTCTACAGCCTTCGACCACTTTTTGTACATGCGAGCGCTTTTCTTCGGACCAACTTTTGGGTTGAACGTTGCTCGGTTGGCTCGGTTCATATACTTGAGATCAGAGAAGTCTTTCCACACGTCTATGGCGAAGGCTGCGGCGATCGCGGCGCCGAGGGCGGTGGTTTCGTGCATTGCGGGGCGCTCGATGGGGATCTGGATGAGGTCGGCTTGGGTCTGAAGGGGAGAAAAAGTTAGTGACATGGTGGTGGGGGTAAAGAGACCAAAAGCCGAGGGACCATTCATACCTGCATGCAAATGTCGGAGTTGCTCATTCCACCATCCACGGCCAGTTCTGTAAGCTTCTTGCCACTATCCATCTCCATGGCATCGAGGATAGCTTTCGTCTGGAAACAAGCTGCCTCTAGAGTTGCGCGGGCAATATGCCCTCGCTGTGTGTGGTGGGTAATACCCCCTGTCGAGATTGTTAGCAGCGCTCTCTGAATCAAACGAAACGGAAACAACTTACAGACGGTTCCTTGAGCGTCATCAATCCAGTAGGGTGCAAAGAGACCACTGAACGCAGTGACGAAAACACAGCCTCCGGAGTCTGGCACTGTGGCGGCCAGATCACTGACCTTGCGCGAGTCACGGAAAAAGCCCATATTGTTCATCAGGAATGAGATGCCGCTTCCCGCTACTGCAACACTACCCTCCAAGGCATACATAGGCTTCCTATCCCGACCCAGTTGGAAGCCGACTGTGCCGAGCAGACCGTGCTTGGAAATTACTGGTTTTTCACCCACATTATACAAAAGGAAGCAGCCTGTGCCGTAAGTGTTTTTGGCACTTCCCGGGGTAAAAGCGCAGTGGCCCACCAGAGCGGCTGCTTGGTCGCCGAGGCAGCTGGTGATCCGAGTTCCCGCCAAGGGACCCTCGCAAATCTCACCAAAGCCCTCTTTATCAGCCGAGGGGAGAATCTCGGGGAGACGGATCTTCTTCGGGTCAATATCGAAGAACTTCAAGAGTCTGTCGTCGTACTTGAGAGTTTCCAGATTCATAAACATTGTGCGTGAGGCGTTGGTGACATCTGTAACCAGACGCTTATTTTGAAGACCCCCGTTGAGGTTGTAAATGAGCCAAGAGTCGACAGTGCCAAAGGCAGCACGGCCCTCGTCATAGGCCGCACGGACATTTGGGAGGTTGTCTAACATCCACCGCAGCGTAACAGAGGAGGGGTATGTGGAGAGTGGCAAACCGCAGATATTGACGAGGTCATCGGCACCGGGCTTTTCCTTAAGCTCACGCACAAGGTTCATAGTTCTCGTATCAGTCCAAGTGATGGCATTATGCAATGGCTCACCAGTCTCCCAGTCCCAAACTAGGGCAGTTTCTCGTTGACTGGTGATACCGATAGCCTCTACATCAGATCTGGAGTGACCCAGGGCGAGGAATGATTTCATAGTCTCTTCAATACAAATGTAGACAGACTCCACCAATTCGTATGGGTCTTGTTCGTGCCATCTTAGGGTGAATACGTCAATTGGGAACAAGGCAGGAAAGCTAGGGGGAAGTGGAGGGGGGAAATGATAAAACCTACCCTGGGTGATCATGAAGCTGTCGGAATTCAGTCTGGTACTTGGCAATGGGGACACCCGTACAATCAAAGATAATAAAGCGAGTACTCGTTGTACCCTGATCAATTGTACCGATGAAACGCTCTTTCAGATCATCCCCGCGTCGTTCCTCGTCCTGAAGCAAAGAGCGGTCTCCATCATTGGTTTGGATGGGATGTGGAATTCGGTCCTCAAAGTCACGATCGGCCTCTGAATCGCCATCGACGCTGCTTTCATCGAGATCAAAGGGGTTGCGCATATTCGTATAATATGGGAGATGGAGTGGAGAGTTTGAAGAGGGTGTAGAGGGTAAAATAAAATATGGAATGGAGTAGAGTAGAGTAGAGTAAAGTAGAGTAGAGAATAAAAGAATAAAAGAGTAGAATAGGTAGAGTAGGTAGAGTAGGTAGAGTAGGTAGCAAGTAGAGCAGGTAGAGAGTAGAAGGAGAGAGAGAGTACGGAATGTGGGGGAAGGAGAGAATTACCAAACAAGTCCAAGCTGAGAAGCCGAAAACCAAGTGGGCTTAGTGGAGCGTGACGTACGGGGGCGACGGGCAACGAGGCAAGTCCTAAGTAGGTTATCAGGGCCTTGAACCAGTTGGGGGATTAAGTAAGTGGGGGAAGAAGGGGAAATTGATTAAATCCGGTTCGGGGTTTTTTTTCTGATCTTCTGACCTCGTCACTTCCCCCACTTCTAATTTTATAATACTACAAAGATATTACTCTGTACTGTATTCTATTCCCATAAGCTATCTTGGATCTAATACTATATTTGTGTTATACCACTATTCTATACTATGCTATTATACTATACTAGACTATACTATACTATATTACCTAGCTATACCTAGGTACTAGCTATACTATATACTAACTACTACTCCGTACATCTCAGGAATTCATATTCCCGTCGATCGGCCACATGACCATCTCCATTTTTCCAGCAAAGTGCTCCGTACTCCGTAGTTCCGTTCTAGACCCCCCTTTTTTAGGAGTATAGGATGCACCACCAAAGTGTATCTATATAACCCCTGGCCACTTCTCCTATTCACGGAATAATTACTACCTTGTTTTTTCTTTTCTTTTCTTTTCTTTTTTTCCCCATACTGTGGGAAGCCCAAACATTCCAGACGAAGCCAAGAACAATCTATAAACCCCCTGCTAGTCTTGGCTTTGAACACCCCTAGTCTAGTAATAGTGCTGCACACCTCAACTCCTGATCACCAGCATAAGGTGCAATATGACCTACGGAGTACAGAAAATAATCAATTCCAATTGTCAATTCCAATTGTTCATCCAATGGTCAATCCAATTGTCAGTCCAACTATTACTTCCTCAATTGCATACATCTACAATTCTCTTGAATCATCATGTTGGAATTTGGGTCGTGACGTCTTGATTGTTGTTGAACCCTATCGATCTATAGAAGGTATTATAGTAGCGGGGAAGAAAAAACCAATTCTCGAAGGATCTCGTTCTAGTCCTGCCAGGGACAGGGACGTGCGCTTGTAGAGATCACGCGAGAGTGAAAAAAATAAATAGAAAGCAATAATAGACGATCTAAGAATCTTTAGCTCATGTGTTCTATCGCATATTGGCTCGCTTTACCTTCCCTTTTTCTCTTCTCTTTACATACATTGTTCCAAGGTTCTGTTTCCAACATCCGCCAGGTAATCCCGGTCTGGGGGTTCCATTGGGGTCCGATTGGATAAGGTAGTTTACCCGGACTATATGAACTGATATGTTAGTATCCATACGGAGTACTCCGCATCAATTAACCGTCTACCTAGAATAGGTATTTGGGTATTAGGTAGTTCCAGACTCAGTAGTTTTGGATTGCTGCAATGCAGGTGTGTCATGTGGCCATTGAAGTGATTATTACTCCAAATCCAAATCTGATTCCTTTCTTTTCTTTTTTTCTTCCCCAACTCAATCGGGTTTAGCTCTGGGTATACCTAGGTACACGTGTGTTGCTCTGGTATTCTAAAGCCCTGGTCAGGATTTTTATATTTTATCCTACCATTTTTTATCTGCTAGCGCGGTTCCAAGGAAATACCCTTACATTTCTGCTGCTTCTCGGGTAAATACCCCAATTGATCAAAGGGAAAATAAGTAAAGCTTTCGGCCCTAGCGTTTGCCATATATATTTTACAGTAAATCACGGGGAATGCAAACATCAAACGTGGGGAGTTTCATCCCCACCAAGACATGGAACAGGTTACAGGTACGGGTACACAGACTCTCTTTCTCAATGTTGGAATTTACTCCTCCTCAGCAGCATCAGCAGCGATGCGAGCCTTAGCCTCTTCCTCCTCTTTCTGCTGGAGGTAGAGCAGGGCCTTGATCTTGTCGCCGATACTGTGCTCAGATGCAGGAATGTCGTGGATCTGCTGGTGGCCAACCAGGGTAGCGACAATGGCGGCGCCAACAATGAAGGTCAGGACGAAGCGGTAGATGCCGTACCAGCTAGGGGCACGACCTTTGACGGAAGCTCGAGAGTCGTTGTAATACAACATGTTGAAGGCGAGGAACTGGGTGATCAGAGCGAACTCAAAGGGCATCAGCAAAGTCGGCCAAGCAATGGCAGGAGCATAAACACCGGCAGCGTAACGCTTGTAGCCGAACTTGCCGCCGTAGCCAGCCCACTCAAGACCCCAGTGGATAGCACCGAGGAAGGAGAGGATCTGTTAAGGTTAGCTAACAGCTTCTTATGGCGACGGGGATATGCTACTAACCACGGCACCGTATGCGACCTGGACAGGCTCGATCAAGTGAAGCAACAGTTCGGCGCTCTGGCCAGAATAGATCAGACTATCACTACCGGCGGGGGCTGAGCTGATCTTGTAGGAAAGAACAACGGTCTGGAGAGCGGTGGCGACGTAGGGGACGACACCGGCAACACCAAGGACGAGAGCTTCCTTAGGGACGGCGCTCAGGCTGAAGGTATCCTTGATAACTTTCTAATTCCAAAATACTGATTAGATGTGATTCTATCGCTCAATTTATTCCAGTAGGTGAAGTCTTCACATACCGCCTCGGCCCGGATTCCGGCTGTCATATCGATGTCGCCATCCTATATCACTAGATTAGCCACTAATTTCGCCTACAGCATACATAGTCCCTTACTTGAGATGAAGAAGACGAGTGGCGAACAAGCGCGGTAGTAATGGGCTTGCGAGCAGCAAGCGCAAGACTCGGGGAGATCGGGCGGACGGAGCGACTGGATGAGGTCAACTGGGCCTTAAAGACCTGGCTGACCAGAGGAGAGCGAGCCACAGAGGCATTGGAGCTCGAAATAGCCCGGAGCAGGGAGCGGGCAGCGGTATTACGGTAAAGCATGATTAAAAGGGTAGCTTTTCGTGTGGAATGGAGTCAGCAAGATGGGCAAGAAATAAGATTAAAGTCTCCCGAGGTCGGATATGAAAAGAAAAGCCTACCCAATTGGCCTTGAATTTATTTTGAGTGGAGATTGGAGATTGGAGAGTGGAGATGAGGGTATAAACCCGGAGAAGGACTAGGTGTCGAAAGTCGGTACGAAGGTTTCCAGAGGGGGAGCAAACAAGAAGATCCGGAGATGAAAAAGAAGGAAAACGGCGGACCGGAGGGACCGAAACCACATACCAACACTTAAGGTCCGGGAACAGATCGACACCTGAGGAACCAGATCTCAACGTTACTCGTTTTGGTTAGTAAGCTAGGGCTTAAATCATACATCATAGCTCGATGTCACGTGCTCACGACGTCACTGTGCGTGTCAAGAACTTGGTCTTGGCAGAGTTGGGCGCTGTAAATAATGTACAGTACAATACAGATTTCAATATAGGCATTTTAGATACTATTGAAGAATATATATATATATATATATATACATACATACCTCCTGATAAGATTCTGAACCCTGAATTCTGAATTCACTATCCTCAAGTGTTCTAGATCCTTAAATGCGCCATGGAAATGCCAGCTAAATATGGGGAATGACCCGTGCGACTTGCAGTGGGAGGAACAAATTTCTTGGCGTCCCCTCTTGTATTGTACTTCGTACGGGCCACCCTTATTTGCGTAACTGATAACTAGCAACACCTTTTCTTGAATCCACGCAATCAAAGTCATTGGTTTGGCTTGAACACCCAACATTCGTCACAATTATCCTAGTTGGGCTCTTAAACTCTTCAAATCTATTTTATCGCCCATATTTCGCTCTTTAACCCTATCGCATGCAGCCGACTTGCTTTGCTTGAATGGCTGGTGATTCTATTTGCGACAAGTCCTGGTCTTTCATCTCTAGTGCTGGGTAAGACCTAGCCCGCCCATAATGCGTTACAGAGTACTAATGTGTCTTTAAAGCTAGGTCGACTTATCCTTGACATCGACCCACCCTACTCCTAGTACGCGACAACGCCATAAACCAGCCTAATACCCCATCCACCTGGCCCGGTATACGGCAACATTCCCGCAACCATGCTTGAGAGTCTTGTTGCCAACCTGCTCAATCGCTTTCTGGGCATCTATGTCAAGAACTTTGATGCGAAGCAGCTGAACATCGGAATCTGGTCTGGCGATGTGAAACTACGCAACCTCGAGTTGCGCCGAGAAGCGCTCGATCAGCTCCATCTACCCCTGAATGTCGTCGAAGGTCATCTGGGCCAGCTCACATTATCTATACCGTGGTCGAACCTTAGGGGGAAGCCGGTCAAGGTTGATATCGAAGATGTCTTCTTGCTCGCCGCGCCCAAGGAGGACGCAGACTATGATGCCGAGGAGGAAGATAAGCGGGCACATACTTTGAAAATGGAAAAGATTGACGGTGCAGAGTTGCTTCGGGAGCGTAATGCGGAAGGCATGAGCCAGGAGGAACAACGTCGAAACCAGAGCTTTACTCAAAGTATGGTGACTGCAGTTGTCGATAACCTGCAGATCTCAATCAAGAACGTGCATATTCGCTATGAGGACTCTATCTCGTCGCCTGGTCATCCATTTGCCGTCGGTTTGACTTTGAAGGAGCTCAGTGCTGTCAGCACAGACGCTGAATGGAACCCAACTTTCATCCAGTCCACTTCCGAGACTACACATAAACTCGCAGTCCTCGGGGCCTTGTCAGTCTACTGGAATACAGATGCGACGCTTCTAGGAACTGGCCGAGGCTCAGATATTGGTGCCGAGGCTCAGGGAATTGGCCATGATGAGCTGATGGACAAGCTGCGCGATACAATTGAAAACGGCGAGGGTAATCAGTTCATGCTGCGCCCAGTCAGTGGTCGTGCAGGGCTAGAAATGGATAAATCGGGCAAGTATGATCGGCCCGCTATGAAAGCACGGCTGCTATTCGACGAGCTTGGCTTTGTTTTGGACGACAACCAATACCGTGATGCCTTGATGTTGGTAGATCTCTTCCATTACTTTATCCGACACCAGGAGTACAAGCGATTCCAACCTAAAAGCTCACCGAAGGAGGATCCTCGAGCCTGGTTAAAATTCGCTGGTAATTCAGTCCTGAGTAAAATTCATGATCGCAATCGACGATGGACTTGGGATTACATCAGGGAGCGCCGAGATGATCGTATTGAGTATATCAAGCTCTTCAAAAAGGGGAAGAGGGAAGAACCCTTCACGCCGGAAGAGACCCAACAACTCGATAAGCTCGAGAGAAAACTCAGCTACGAGGATATTCGATTCTGGAGGTCTCTCGCTAGAAACCAACTGCGCAAAGAGAACATCGGGATCAAAAAGCCTACTGAGCAGCAATCTTGGGGTGAATGGCTCTGGGGCGGCAAGAAGCAAAAATCTGAAGAACCTAGCCTGACTGAAGAACAGCGACAAGAGCTTTATAGTGCCATTGACTGGGACGAGAAGAAGGCACTTGCTGAGAGTGTCGATGTTCCCCGGGAATGGGTCAAGCTCCAAGTCAACTGGAGTCTTCGTGCCGGTAGTTTCACCCTCAAGCAGGATCCACATGGTGCAGCAAACGAGGTCATGAAGCTGGTATTCGAAAACTTCCGGGCCAAGGCTCTCCAACGCCCAGATTCATACCTCCTCGACCTTGACCTTGGTGGGTTGAAGATGTATGACGGTACCACCGCTGGCACACTCTATCCTCAGATTGTCAGAGTGAAAGACTCCCTTCCTGGTTCTGCTGAAATCCAAGATCTTAGTACAGACGACGACGATGAGGTTAGTGTAGATATCCTTGACGATGAAGAAAATTTGTTCCACATGCAGTTGGAGAAGAACCCACTGGAGAGTGATGCGGATACAGCAGTCAAGGTCAAGTTGAAGAGTATCGAGGTTATCTACAACCCCCGATTTCTGGTGGGAATCGTCAAATTTTTTGAGCCCCCGCAGCGGCATATGGAGTCCATTGGTGCCCTTTTGGACACTGCAGGTGCCACCGTCGAGGGTTTGCGACAACAGACCCGAGCTGGTTTGGAATTTGCCTTGCAGGAGCACAAGAAGGTTGACGCACAATTTGACATCCACGCACCCCTTATCATTGTACCAGAGAGCATTACTCAGGAAAGTTCTCTTTGCTTGATCATTGATGCTGGTCATGCCAGTGTTAACAGCGAGCTGGTCGACCGGCAGGCAATGCGCGACCTACAGTCCAAACAAAAACAACAGTACGAGGAGGAAGATTACAAGCAGCTCGAGCACCTGCTATACGATCGATTCCTCATAAAATTGGACTCCACTCAGGTTCTGATCGGACCCGGAGTAGAATCAACTAAAGCCCAGCTTACATCTGGCGTCGAGTCCAAGAACTTCCACATCATTGATCGCATCAATGTGGACTTCGTTTTGGAGATGTGTATTGTTCCAAAGGTGACACAGCTCACCAGAACGCGCATTTCAGGTAATCTACCGGAGCTGCATGCATCCATGTCAGATACCAAATACAAGGGCCTAATGAAGTTGATCGATATCGCCATTCCGCAATTCGACAACAGTAAGAACTCCTCTGACCCGGTTGCTACCGCTGACGGCGACAAAACCGCCATTACGACAAGAGCCAGATCGGCATCTTTCCAACCTGCAGCTCAACGAGACCTCGTGGTCGACGATGAGCTTGAACCCGAGCAAGAAAGAAGAAACAGCGTGGACACTCCTGACAATATCCACCGTCGAGACTTTGAGTTCAAGTTCAATGTTGGTCGCCTACGTGGCTCGCTATTCCGATCTGATTCACAAGATCCGCTCAAGGATAAATTGCTGGTGGAGTTGGTTGCCGAGGGCTTCGAGTTGGACTTTTACATGCGACCTTATGACATGGTTGCCGAGGTCATTCTGAAATCTCTGGGCGTGGATGACTATATCGAGGAGAACCCGCTGCCTGAATTTAAGAGGATTCTTTCATCCAAGGGATTCAACGCAGATGAAGACAAGGATCTTTTCCACTTGAAAATGGTCCGGGTCAAGCCTGAGTCTCCCGAGCTTGAGACAACTTATGAAGGTGTTGCCATGAATCTTGACATTTCAGTATCTACCATCAATCTTGTGGTGACACGGAAAACGCTGCTTACCCTCCTTGACTTTATTCTTCTTACTTTTACGAATCCACAGCAATCGGTCGAAGAAAACGAACAAACCGAGCAAGCTATAGAAGAGGCAACAAATGTGGAACAACCCCAGCAGGGCAAGATCCGTATCAAGTCCAATCTGAAGAGTATCGCACTTATCCTTAACAATGATGGGGTTAGATTGGCAACGCTGAGTCTTAATACTGCCGATGTTGGAATTTTCCTTGTTGGCCGTTCCATGGTCATCCAGTCTCGCATCGGTAGTCTGACGCTGGTCGATGATGTCAATTTGGGTGCTCCTGAGGACTCTGATATTCGACGCCTTCTTACCATCGAAGGTGATAACTTTGCTGATTTCAAATATGAGACATTTGACCCGGACAGCGATATCTACCCCGGCTATGACTCTGAGGTCTACCTGCGATCTGGCTCTATCAAGATTAATTTCATGGAGGAGCCGTTCCGTAAGATAATCAACTTCCTCGTCAAATTTGGCAAGATGCAGGCTATATTCAACGCAGCTCGACAGGCCGCTGCGAATCAAGCCAACCAGCTGCAGGAGAATGCCTCTCGAATGAGACTCGATATTGTTGTCAAAACTCCTATCTTGGTGTTCCCGCGAGTGATGACCGATGATCGGCCCCGGGATACGATCACTGCTCATCTTGGAGAGATCTATATCAAGAACGAGTTCGTTCCCATGGACGAAGAAAAGGATAGCCCAGCCGTCAACGTGATTTCTACCGGCGTTCGAAACATCCGCCTGACCTCCAAGTTCCATTTCGAAGATGGCATGGTAGAAGAACTAGAGATGATCCAAAAGGTCAACCTCGACTTTAGTATTTGCTACCTGGAGCATCAGGTCAACAATCCACGCCCAGACATGGAGATTGAGGGTTCTTTGTCTCCCATCAACCTGCGTATCTCGCAAAGCCAGCTCAAGTTCCTGCTGGCGTTGTCCAAGTCGATTCCTGGCGCCTTCGCAACAGATACGGAGCAACAAGAACTCGAGGCGCTGGAGTCCCTTCCCTCTTTGGTGACAGAGCCTACTAGAGAGGCTGTTCAGGCGCAAAAGGAACAAGACTCTACTAAGCCTGATGAAAATACAAGTAAGGAAACTTGGGTTCGACTTGATATGATCTTCAAGGTTGACAGTGTCGGCCTTGAACTTATCCTGGCAACTGACAACCAACCCGTGGGTCGCTTGGAGGACTCAAGTCTTTCAAAATTCTCACTCAACGACACACGGGTCAAGCTCCGTATGCTGACTGATGGATCTTTGGAGTCGGAGCTACTGATTCATTCTTTCTCGATCCGCGACAGCCGTCGACAAGACTCCAACAAGTTCAGAAACATCATGTCCTTGATAAATAACGATGTTCAGCAACAGTTCATGGCTAGCGTATCCATGTCTCCCGGGCCTGATAAACATCTGATCGCCATGTTGACCATTGATAGTCCTCGGATCATGTTCGCTTTGGACTATCTTTCTGCTCTGCAAGCATTCAGCAACTCCGCGTTTGCATCAGAGGAACATGTGGAAGCTATTGAGGAGGAAACTGAATCACCCGATGAATCAGAATTGACTTCTGACGCTGCCATCTCCGATAAAGCGGCAACCGAGGTTTATGCTGGAGAGACCCAAAGTGGAAACATGACCGTCTCATTCCGTGTGAATTTGGTTGATGCCCAGGTTATCATGGTGGCCAACCCTGCAATTCCTCACTCGGAAGCTATCGTCCTGGGTACAAAGGAGATTCTTATTTCTCACCAAAATGTCTCAACCTTGCAGATTCAAAAGGTCGGCATGTTCCTGTGCCGCATGGACAAGTTCGAAACTAGCCGCCTTCGCATTCTAGACGATTTCACAGTTGAGCTTTCTGTTGATAGTAGATCGCAAGAAAAGGGATCTGCCCTTACTTCAATCGAAGTCCATATTGAACCTCTGGTTCTCCGATTGTCTTTGCGTGATATCCTGATGGCAATTCAAATTGTGCACAAGGCCGCTGAGATGAGAGCCGGGAACGCTCCAAAGCTGCAGGGTGGAGAGGCAAAGAAAATCACCGATGGTAAAAATGCAAGAGACTCCTCTGGCAAGACATCCTCAACGTTGGTTCACAGAGCTCGCAAAAGTGCCAGTCACATAGTTGAGGGCTTTGACAAGAACGCTGCTCTGCAGGGCAGCTCCGCTGTTCTCAAACGCGAGGAGCTGTCTGCTAAGATTGATGGCATCAGAGTGATTCTCATTGGTGATCTGCACGACTTGCCATTGCTTGACTGGAGTGTCAAAAAGTTCAACATTGACGTGCGTGACTGGTCCTCTACTTTGAATGTTGACACCAGCTTCGATACCTTTATCAATGTCTACAACTTTTCCAAGTCAGCTTGGGAGCCATTAATCGAACCTTGGCAACTAGGATTCCATATGGCCAAGGATGTCAATCCTGATGTTTTATCGATTGACGCATACTCCCACAAGAATATGGAGCTTACAGTTACTTCTGCCACCATTGCGCTTGCTTCCAATTCTTTCCAATTCCTCAACACCGATGAAGATGTTCTTTCTAAGCCAAGAGGTGCTGATGCCCCATACAGAATCCGGAATTACACTGGATTCGACCTTCGGGTCTGGGCCGATACCAATGCAGTGGAAGATGCTCCAGCTGCGAAGTTGAGCGATGGCGAGGAACATCCTTGGCGATTTGAAGACTCCACAGCCATTCGAGAATCCCTTACTCCTGAGGGTCACGGTGGAATAGTTGGAGTCAAGCTTGAAGGTAGCGGATTTGATAGCATCAACCGCATTCCCGTTTCACGGGAAGGTGAAACTCTGTACAGCCTCAAGCCCAAGCGAGACCAAATCTCTCACCGGCTTCTCGTGGAGGTCAAACTTGGAACCGACAATGTCAAGTACATCACATTCCGCTCACCACTTCTGGTGGAGAATAACACCCAGATTCCTTTGGAATTGGGTGTTTACAGTCCAGACGAAGGCCATCTCTTGAAAATTGAAAAGATTTTGCCTGGTGACGCTCGACCGGCACCTGTCGGATCAGCATATCTTCATTCAGTTGTGATTCGCCCTGATCAAGGCTTTGGGTATGACTGGTCAAACGAGCAGCTTTATTGGAAAGACCTTATTCGCCGCCCCACGCGGACCGTTAAGTGTGTCAGTGAAGGTGGACAGCAAGCTCCTCCTTTCTACTTCCAGGTCAACACAACATTTGAAAGCAAGGACCCCTCGAGCGTTTATCCTTACATGAGGATTCGAGTTTTCGCTCCCGTGGAGATTCAAAATCTCCTTCCCTATGACTTCAAGTATCGAATTTATGACAAAAACACCAAGAAGGACTGGACAAACTTCTTGAGAAAAGGTGGTGTGAGTCCTGTCCATGTCGTGGAGCTGTCTCACCTTCTTCTCCTCAGCATTGATCTAGAAGATACTGTCTTTAAACAGAGCGAATTTGCCATCGTCAATGGAAATGCTCAAGACTATCGCAGAGAGCATACCTTGTCTTTGAAAGATGAGCGCGGCCTTCAGCTGAAGTTGAAGCTTCATTACTTCAACATCCCTGATAGTGGTGGCGCTTTCAAGGTCTCTGTGTACAGCCCATACCTCCTCTTGAACAAGACGGGTCTTCCCATGGACATCCAGAGCAAGGCATTCCTTCAGTCAGCACGAAGCGTTGCTGGCCAGGGACTCAGGGTTGATCCAAGAGATGGTGGTCGCGCACTGCCTTACATGTATTCATATGGAGGTGATGATCAGAAGAACCGGTCTATCTTGAAGGTCGGAGACTCTTCGTGGAGCAAGCCGCAAAGTTTCGAGGCCCTTGGTAGCACCTTCGAGGTTGTCTTCCCTGATGTGCAAGGCAGATCCGAATTTCACGCGGGCGTGTCTGTCGCGGAAGGCGAAGGCAAGTACAAGATGACCAGGGTGGTTAGCATTGCACCGAGATTCATTCTCAAGAGTAAGCTGAATGAGGATCTTCTGGTTCGCGAACCAGGATCCTCAAATGTTCTCCAGGTCAAGAGCGGAGAGCTTCTGCCACTTCACTTCCTCCGTCAAGTTCATGAGAAACAGCTCTGTCTCTGCTTCCCCGGAGTTAACAACCAGTGGTCTTCTCCATTCAATATTGCCGATGTGGGAACTGCCCATATCAAATTGGCCAAGGCGAACCAACGCCAGAAGTTGATCAAGGTTGATGTCATCCTGGAGGGGGCCACTCTCTTCCTGCACTTTAGCTTTGAGACCCGCAACTGGCCGTTCTCGATGCGCAATGAGAGTGATATGGAATTCATCTTCTACCAAGCTGTAAGTTCAATTTCGCTTATTATAATTTTTGCAAGTTACTAATAAATTTCTAGAATCCCAATGTGGAGGACGACGAGGATGATGTGTCCAGTAGTTGGCGACCCATTCGCTATCGCCTACCTCCTCGAAGTATCATGCCTTATGCATGGGACTACCCAGCTACCAAGAACAAGTCGCTGGTCTTGACTAGCCATGGTAAACAACGACATATCAAGCTTGCTGAGATTGGTAATCTGATTCCAATGCGCATTCCACCTACAAAGCCTGGCGAATTTCAGAAGATCATCGATGTCAATATCGTGGCGGATGGCCCAACTCAGACACTTGTTCTTTCTAACTTCAAGGCCTCCAAGAGTATCTACAAGCAGCAAAAGGGCCAGTCGTCTCAGACTAGTATGAGCATGGGATTCGAAGTCAAGGAGATGAATTCGGAAGTGAACTTCAAGGCTCAACTTCGCCTGGGAGGCATTGGCATCTCATTGATCAACCAGAATCTAAAGGAGCTGCTTTATCTCACATTCCGTGAGATTGAAATCAAATATCGGGAGTCGGCATTGTATCAGACCCTCAACACCACTATCAAGTGGATCCAGATCGATAACCAACTCTATGGCGGTATCTTCCCCATTCTTCTCTATCCCAGTGTAGTTCCCAAGACTGGAAAGGAGATGGAAGCGCACCCAATCTTCCATGCGATGGTTACCCGTGTCAAGGATGACTCCTACGGTGTGCTTTACATCAAGTATGCCACATTGCTTCTGCAGCAGATGACGCTGGAGCTGGACGAGGACTTCATCTTTGCTATGCTGGATTTCGTCAAGATCCCAGGCGCATCCTGGTCTGAGCCCCATGAGGGCAAACTTTGCGATGAGGACCTCAACATCCCAGAGCCCAACCAGAATGAAGCCGGCCAGGACGTGTACTTCGAACTTCTTCACCTGCAACCGATGCAGCTGGACATCTCGTTTATGCGCACAGAGCACGTCAATGTGGAGGACACCATGCAGCCTTCGAGTCCCTTGATGTTCATCGTCAATGTCATGACCATGTCCATAGGCAACGTCAATGACGCACCCATCCGACTGAATGCATTGATGTTGGAGAATGCCCGTGTCTCTTTCGGAAGACTGGTCAACAACATTCGCGCCCATTACACCCAAGAGTTTGTGCGTCAAGTTCACATCATTCTTGGTTCTGCTGACTTCTTGGGTAACCCCGTTGGTCTATTCAACACTGTCAGTTCAGGTGTGGCCGATATATTCTATGAGCCTTACCAGGGTCTCGTCATGACCGACCGGCCCCAAGAGCTAGGTGTCGGTATTGCGAAGGGTGCCACCAGCTTCGTCAAGAAATCCGTATTCGGATTCTCGGACAGCATGGCCAAGCTCACCGGCAGCATGTCTAAGGGTCTCGCTGCCGCCACCCTTGACAAGGAATTCCAGGACCAGCGCCGGATGTCCAAATCCCGCAACCGTCCCAAGCACGCACTGTACGGTATCACAGCTGGAGGAAACGCCTTTGCTACCAGTCTAGCCAGTGGTATTGGCGGTCTAGCACGCCATCCTCTAGAGGGTGCTGAGAAGGAGGGCGTAGCAGGATTCTTCAAAGGTGTCGGAAAGGGAGTACTGGGTCTTGCCACCAAACCTGCAATCGGTGCCTTCGATCTCGCCTCCAACCTCGCAGAAGGAGTGCGAAATACCACAACCGTCTTCGACGCCGATGGCCTAGACCGGGTAAGACTCACCCGCTTCATCGGAACAGACGGCATTGTTCGCCCGTACTCGCAGCGTGAAGCACTCGGTCAATTCTGGCTGAAGACCACAGAAGATGGCAAGTTCTTCAGCGAAGACTACATTGCGCACCTCGAACTTCCAGGTCGCGACATGCTGGTCATGTTGACTTACACACGCATTATGCTCATCCGCACGAAGAAACTCACTACAGAGTGGGATATCCGCCTGACAGACATTCAAACTATTTCCAAAGAGCGCACCGGTATGGGCATTACCCTGAAGGGTGGTGCCAACGGTCCCTTCATCCCTGTCCAAGACGAAAGTGCTCGAAATTGGGTCTACAAACAGATTGCTATTGGTGAGTGATTCCATACGTCAACATGTATAGAAAGCTAATTTAGAACCTCCCTCCTACAGCTGTCAATGCCTTCAATGAAAAGTATAATGCTCGAGGATAGATGTACTGTCCAGTCATCTACCCTTTCGTAATGACATCATGAGAATGGTATGGAGAATTCAAATCGCACTTGGATGTGCTTTTTTTCACTTTACCTCAATTTCATTGGAAATGAAAACATTGGAACGGTATCTGGATTAAGCGTCTGGTTTTGGTTTTGGCTTAAGTACTTTAAGTACATGTGTTCATTGTACATTTGTTTATTGTTCAGTTTTTATTGTTCAGTTTTCTTCTCTTCATTCCTTTTACCTAGAATACTAATCCAGTAATTCATATTCTTTCTTTGAAAAGTATCGTTTGTAGATGAAATCTATCAGTCATGGCTAACTCTATTATATACTAGTTCACGGCTAATAATAAACACTGGAATGATATAAGTACAACCAAAAAGTCTTTCAAGGAAGGAGTTAAACCCTCAGAGATCAAACTGAAAGAGCCGAAGAAGAATTAAGAAGAAGAGTTGGAAGATTTTTTTAGAACTGGCTGATGCTCTTGGGCCCCTCATTCACTGTTAACAATAAAAGTTGCAAAAACATAATAGTTGATGATATAATCAGAGACTTAGGGATTAGGATTCGTGATTTGCGAGATTTGCGACTCAAAAATATGATGCCATTGTTGATGTTTTTAAAGATTCAGAGGATTTCCCATAACGCGACTCGAATGAATAATTCTCACCAGCCATGAAGAAAATACACCAGGATCAAGATATAATACAAAAGGAAATGAAGTCATAATTTTAAAAGCTAATAACAAAAGACTTTGCATAATGTACCTCTCCATGTTGTCGCTCCTCAGCCTATGGGTTAGTAGCTGGGGTTAAACGAGAGGCTGTCAACAAATTGGTGAGCAACTGCGTAAGAGCACATCAGCCTCAAAAGTTATTGGAAGGGATATAGTTCAAGTTGACGCCAGAGCTTAAATGATCATGAAGCCATCCCATAACAACGTTCAGTATGATAGGCGGTTAGCCAAGGCTCAGGGACTGAGTAGATGCTAGCCTTCTAGTCAATAGTCAGCATGGTAGATGCCGTCTGGAATCAGGGAATGAAAGACAGCTGCTCGGGAATGCGGCAACAACACAGGTAAGGCGGCTGGAGAAGAAAAGAGAATAGAAGTTGGGTGGATCCTGGATATAGTTGGAAGCTCTAGTGTGGAGCTAGTCCATAAAAGGCGAATGGTAATCAAGTCACGGGGTGATAAGGGCGATAAGGGATATGACACTTGTCAGTGTCTACAGGTCGCGTCACCGAACATGACAGTCGTATCACCTATCATGTGACTTAGCGCGAAAGCTCGCGTCACCTAACATTTAATTAGGCTTAGTGCGGTAAAGAGAGTTTCATCTCCTTTACAACTTCTCTCTAAAGATAGAGCCAAAAATACTGTAATTCTGTTGTTAATTACAATGTCAAAACATTCTTGGCAAATGTTAGGTGACGCGAACTTTTTACGCTAAGTCACATGATAGGTGATGCGACTGTCATGTTAGGTGATGCGACTCATGTTAAGTGACGCGACCTGGGAACTGTGTCAAGCACTCTAAAAGTCGCAAAGCATAGTTGGTAAATTAGGAGGAAAACTCTGTTAAATACAAGATTCAATGCAAACAGGCCAAATCCCGTTATCCTTATCTCTCCTTTGACAACACTAGACCTGGGGAGATGTAATCCTAGTTAGCTACGACTACGGAGTGCCTAATATAGTAGGTTACATTATACCTTTTAGCGAAGCTGTGACTATCCATGTATAGTTTTTTAATAATAAGGCTATCAGAAAGTTGAATCAAAGAGGCTCAGCACTTACCCGTGGAAATAATTCAAAACTTCCATGGTTTTGGCTCAGAATAAGCATCAAGAATCAATGACAGAACTGAGAACAACGCAATGACAAGAGTCTATCAGTGCCACAGTGGCCTAGGCAGACCTCAATTTGTCTGACAAGTGGCATTTGCAGAACTGGGCCAAATGGACTTAAGCAATTGAAGTAAAGAGGAACATGTAGACGCCCAAGTATGAGTCTCCTCTCGAGCCGTTCCCCAAGTCGAGCCGGAAGTACACTCAGAGGCCTCCAGAGAAGTTGGGCTCACCACAGTACTTTCATCAGCGGAATTGTCATCCTGGACCCCACTGCCGCAGCAGAGAACGTGCGACAGCCATTTGAAAAAGCCATGGACAGGCTTTGTATCATTCACCTCTCTCAAGTTGGTATCCGGGTCTTGAGCTTGAGCGGGTTGCTGTTGTGAATACGATGTCAAACCTACAGCTTGAACTGATGATTGTAACGGGGCTGTTGAGGCAGATCGTGGTGTCGTACGTTGAGAGATACCAAGTAGGGCGAGGGCTCTGGATGAGGCTCGAGATTGGCTTCGTGTACGTGGTTTGTAAGTATACGCACGCTGCCCCGAGAAGAACGATGGCCGATCGGGTGAAGGGAAAACAAATCCAGTAGAGCGTCTCTGGTGACTGTTCTGAGGGTCTTTTGCGTTTGCCACCTCGCCTCTCATGCCTTCGGTATCGAACTGAGCAGCGGGAAGCGAGTTCCGATGGAACGGGTGGTCATCAATTTCTCGGGCCAAGTTCATCCCATGACCACTTTGTCGATATGGAAATCGGCCTTGGACAACGGTTCCATCTTCAGCACGACCAATGCCAGTGACAGATAGTGGAGATGGCTCGGGTCCAGTTGAGGGCGACAAGCCGAGTAGTCTTCTAAATGTACCGCTGTATGATCCTGTACGTTGACCATTGTAGAATTCTCGCTGTGATGGAGACACTGTAGAAGGACTCGCCAGAAATTGAGCAGAGTATTCCATAGCTTCGGGAGTATTGAACGAAGGAAGTCCTGGAGGAGTCGGCATTCTCACTGGCGGTGGAAATGGCGGTTGAGCGGTGATTATTGCAGGGATGGTGTTTCCTAACCAGTGCGGAGTTTGACCATTCTTGTGAGTTGTGTCGAGTGACATAGTCTTGCGATGCTGGTGTTGTTGTATTTGGTCGGATAGTATTTGCTTGTACCTATCAATCTTCGGACTCCTTGATGGAGGCTGGTTTGGTGACCAGTCGTCGCTGGAGCCTTCTGGCACAAACATGGCCATGTTGGCTGCCATTCCCTCCTCCATGACGGCTTGCATACGGGCACGGCCATAGCTCCGGGGCTCTTCATTCGAAGTCGTGACTCTGATGGCATTGTAGATCGACCTCTCATCGCTGTAAGCAGTGTCTGAAGAGCCTCCTGAAAGTAGTGGAGACGGCGGATCGTCAATAGAGTCACGTAGGTTTTGCTTTCCGGCATAATATCGCGATGGAGGTGCGCGAGGGGACTGATTCCAAGTTCCGACCCCCCTACTATGGTTGGAAATCATCGTGTAATGAAAAGACCGTCAAGGACTCACGAAGCGTGTTGCTAAAATGAGAAAAGAAGAGTGAGAGGATATGTGGTTGGGCGACGGCATCATTCGTGCCTGCCGCGGGTGTGCTCATGCAGTAATAGTATTATACAAATATTCTAAGTAGTTATGTACGAACAACGGCTCCTGGAAATATGGTAATCCAAGAATAAAATGCAACATAATTTTCATCATCATCAAGAAGCAGCTATAGGGCCAGGTAATGGCTTGCCTGTAACTTGCGCGTGCTCCTTTCTAAGAGCTCGCAACAACCCTTCAATCCGCCGGCGTTCCTCTTGTTCGGCCTGTCAATGGTTAGTACGTCTGGAAAGAAGAGGAAGTTAATTAGTAAACTCACCTTCAATATTCTCACGTTCTCACTACGAGTATCACGCATCATCTTCTTGAATTCGTTCTTCAGCACCATGGTAGATGTTGTCTCGGAACCATCGCGGCCCACAGATCCAGGGCTGTTGGTGTTCATCCAGTTGATGCGCTCTTCGCTGAGCTGGGTTTCCAGATGCTCACAGCGATCTCGGAGATTGTCTATAACACCCTCAAAGCGCTCGCGCTCCTTCTCAAACTCAATGCTCGCCCTTGTCATGGCCTCGTAGTCATCTAGTGTTTCCCGAAGCTCTTTCTCTAGCGTATCGGCGCGCTGCTTGAAATCACCGCCACCTTGCTGACCCTTGAGCGAAGCGAGCTCCATAGTCAATTCAAGGTTACGAGTGTTCAAAGCATCGATCTCTTTCATGATCTCTGGGTTGGCCGCTACCTCTGCCGCACGCTGTGCCCGGGTACCATAGGCACCATCAAGCTCTGCCTTGACCATAGTGAGCTCGGTGGTCAGTCGCACGACTTCACCTTCAAGCTCTGTCATCTCGCTCTGCAAGCGGTTCGCATTACCTTCGGCCTGTGCACGCTGACTTTCGGCCTGGGCAAGCTCATCCACAGCTGCAGCATGTTGGCTTTCAGTCTGTGTAATCTGTTGCTCCATCTGTGCTCTCTGGCTTTCAAGTTGCGTAAGCTGCTCCACAGCTTGACCATGCTCACTTTTGACTTGCGCAATTTGATCCATAGCTTGGCCATGCTCACTTTTGACTTGCGCAATTTGGTCCATAGCTTGGCCATATTCACTTTCAATCTGAGTAATATGCTCTTGCATCTGCGCATGTCGCTCAGTTGCCTCCTGCACTCGGGCATCAGCCTCGCTGCGGATTTTTTCAATGCTGGCCTCAAGTTCTGCGGCGTTCCCTGCGCGCTCGTGAGCCTCCTGTAACTCTTGTTCCGAGCGGCTTTGGACTTCTAGAACTTGCGCAGCATGGTAATCGACTTCGCGCTTCAGTGATTCCGTAGCGCCCTGTAGGCGGACAACCTCTGCCTCTGAAAGTGCAAGGGTAGCCTTAATCTCATCGTGAGAAGAGCCATCTTGACGCATAGCCTCAACTCGCTCCATCATCACAGCCAGTTCACTCTGAGCTGTCTGGCAATCGCGTTGAGAAGTGCCGAGTTCCTCACGCACCTGTGCCAACTGTGTTGTCAGGTCGCCGATATGAGCATCTCTTTCAGCATCTGACTTGGAGTTGAGTTCACGCTGTTGTTGAATCTGAGTGGTCAGTATGCTCTTCTGTTCCAGCACCCCATCCACTCGGCTTTCTAACCCATCGATGCCAGTTTGAAGATATGCAAGTTGCTCATCAAGCCCCTCTCCTTCCGAGGCAAGTGGAGGTGGCGAGAGATTTGGCGACCGGGTTAGCCCGAATCGGTCAATTATACTCTGAACCCGGCTATTAATATCGGACAGGCGTTGCCGCCAGGCCCTTCAGTCTCAGAAGTATAGCCAGCACTTGGAGATGGACCTATCGATTGCAGGTTGTTGATACCGTTTTCAAGATACGCCAAATGTGCCTCCAGAGCTACGGCAGCATCTTGTCCATCTGATTGCTGTGGTGGAGGGTCGATGAATTCACCGGGCTTAGACTGAATCATCATCTCGCAGATGCGCTCACTAAGTTCAGCTACTTTCCTCTCAGTAGCCTGCAGAGCTGCCGTATCAATAGGGTTTGCAACCTCAATTCTTCCGTTTAACCCGTAGTTATCGATATGGTCCGGCGTTCGGTATAAATGGCGGTCATCAAAGTCGTGGGCATCGGTGTCTAGAGCGTCGGAGTTCTTGGCCTTCTTCAAACCTTTGTGGGTCATCTGCAAAACCCCGGCAGTATGCTCAAGCAATCTCTGGTTGATCAGTTGAGACCGATGCTCCAGCTTCCACAGTTCCTGCGCCAACTCCTCGCATTTCCGTTGGCTCGTTGCCAGCTCCGAGTCGCTCTTTTCAAGGACCTCTGCGGTACCGCTCCGACCAAATATACTATGGCTTCGACGGTGTGCTACTGGGGACCCGTTCGGCCTGTACTCTCCACTGCTGCGGGGGGTCGGGGGGCTGTAAAGTCTGCCAATCGATTCAGCCGCGTCACGGAGCTTGGTTTCCAAGGCGAGTTTTCGTTTCGTGCCCTCGATGCGGTGAGATAGTAGCGTGCGCTCTTTCTTCAGGCCCTCCACTTCCTCGAACGACAGGATTTCGAAATGGGTGCTGTCCCCCATGGCGGTTTCGGTCAATAGGTACATCGTGACGGGGTCGCTAGTGTTTACGAGAGCAGAGCTTCGGGGGTGAGATGGGTTCAACTGTAGGCACAGATAGATTCGTCAGTAAGGCTTAATTTTCCAAGGCGACTTCAGTTCCCCTTACCGGATTGTACCGCGCTCCATTCTCATTATGGTGGTCAACCACATCGCGATAGCCGTCGACGAGGGCTTTTCCCAGGCTCGCATGTATATCAGAAACAGTCGCTGTAGATCGGTAGCGAGGGTCTCCATATGAAGATTGACTTGATCGGCTGATGTTCATTATGCTCAGTTAGGCGCAAGGAATGCGCCGGAATAATTGTAGGAGGAATTCAGGGGTCGTATTGGCACATCATGAGTATTAAGTAGAGATGAGAAGAATTTCTAGGTCTAAAGTACTCTGTACTTCCTCCTAGAAAGAAATGAAATCAACGAGGCTGAGTTAGTTCTGTAAAGAGATGGCGGGGAATGAGGAGGAAGAAGTGATCTGCGAAGTCAGCCACATGAATTTTGGACCTCCTGAGGATTCTAGAATCCAGATCTCAAATAAGTACGGGGTATACCTTCTACGCAGAGAAATCTATTTTCATTTTTTTTTTTTATTTATGCATTACGACAATCTAGAATCCCAATATCTAATCTACTGATTTTATATTTAATTCTGAAACTCACTCTGTACTTTAATTCAAAGAAGGTTTCATAGAATTTATAGATCACAAATAGTAATTATACCCCATATATCTTAAGGGACGTGCTAAAAACCACTACACACTTTACTTCTACCACTACAAAAGCTGCTATAACCACTAAAATGCCTCAAACTGAAGGCCCATGTAGTGGTTTTAGCAAAATAATAATTCCATAATCTATACCTCCTTGTAGTGGTTATAGCAAAAAAATAATTGGCAGAATAAATATTAGTAATATCATAACAAGATTGAATGATTGTAGTAAATTATTTTCCCACATCAAAATTCTTCTTTCAACGTCTTAATTACCATGGAGCCTAATACTGACATCGAAAATGGCCTGCTTCCCGATGACCTTCCCACCGAACGCCTTCACCTCCTTCTATTTCCAAATGCGTTATGCACTGTATACCGCAACAAACTATCAGCTTTAGAATCGATCAATGACTTCGCTAAACCCACGGTTACACAGTTTCAGTTGTTTGATCGGTCAAGATGAATAATGATTTAGGTCGATACCGGATTCTTCATCTTTACTGCACTCATGGAAGGACTTGCCGGGGAAAACGAATATTGAGGCACGAGGAAGACTAACCCGTGTAATTGAATGCCCATTTCATGACGCCAGGATGAGAGAAGGGTTTTGAAAGTGTGGACGATGAGACTGATGAGTCTCGGTCATTTGAAGGAGGTTCGGATTCAAATTAGTTCACGATTGAATAAGTAACTAGCTATTGAGCAGTGATAACCCTAATATCTATTTTTGAAGGCGGTGGAATGACCCAATTAAATATTTTACTATTTTCTATAACCACTACAAAGGCATAAATGCCATAGAATTATTATTTTGCTAAAACCACTACATAGGCCTTAGGTTCAAAGCCTTGTAGTGGTTGTAGCACTTATTGTAATATAAAGTAAAACGTGTAGTTATATTAAATACCGCAACATTTAAAATTCGAGATAAGCTAAACACGCCACAAGACTCCTAAGTCAAGCTTATCATAGTATTATAATATAGATAAATACTTCAATATTGCGCTCTAGTTATGTGGCATTGTAAGTACTAGTTACATTACATAGCCGACTTATCCGCTCTCCCAAGCCAAACGTTCTTTGATACTACCTTCTCCAATTCTTACTTTATTCATTATATTGGCTTCATCCCTCCTAGAATCTCAAGGTTATGTGAGTCCACCCTCTCCGCATTTTCGGAACTATGGAAGCTCACATTGAGGCGGAGTCAGCCCTTCCTCGACCCACTTATCGTGTCTATAAACGACGTTTCTGGGGTTTAGCGCAGTTAGTGTTGCTGAATATTGTCGTTAGTTGGGATGTATATTCATTGCCCTCCGCATTGGAATTTCAGAATGCTGACGCGCCATAGTGGTTGACCTTTTCGTCAATCTCGTCAACGGCAGCGGACTATTTTCATGTATCTGAGAGTGCCATCAATTGGATGAGCACGGGATACCTGTTCGCCTTCTGCGTCGCTAGCCCGTGAGTTATCTGACGAGAACCAAAGCTATGCAGAGGTCTCTAATTGGCATAGATTCGTCATCTGGGTCTTGAATAAAGGTGGCCCTAAACCAGCCATCATCACCACAGCCTCTCTTCTGATCATCGGGAATTGGTTGCGCTATGCTGGTACCAGAGCGAATGGAGGCATCTTCGGTCTCGCAATGGTGGGTCAGATCATCATTGGTCTGGCGCAACCATTTTGTCTGTGCGCACCGACTCGATACAGCGATCTGTGGTTTTCAGATCAAGGGCGAACAAGTGCTACAGCTGTGAGCAGCCTGGCCAATCCACTTGGAGCTGCCCTGGGCCAACTCATCGATGCGGAGTGGGCAACAAAGCCCTCTGACGTCCCGAATATGGTTCTATATATTTCCGTGATTGTGAGCTGCGCACTAATCTGTCATAGAATACAGGTAGCTAACTATACCACCACAGTCTACCATCGCATCCATTCCGTCTTTTTTCATCCCCGCCGCACCGCCTACACCCCCGAGTGCATCGTCTGCTGCTCCCCGGACAGCACTGATACCCGCGACTCGGCAACTGCTCACAACCGTTGAATTCTGGCTAGTCATGATACCCTTTGCCGTGTACTTAGGGTTCTTCAACAGCGTATCGTCGTTATTAAACCAGATTCTCGAGCCGTGGAACTTCTCCGAAACCGAAGCTGGCATCGCAGGCGCCATCCTGATAGTCGTGGGCCTAGTGGTAGCAGCCGTGGTGTCACCGATAACAGACCGGTTTAAGCACTACCTAGGATCGATTCGCGTGCTCGTCCCCATAGTGGTAGCCTCTTATATTGGCCTGATCTTCGCACCATCCAGTCCAGCAGGTATCGCCCCGTCGTATGTCGTTATGGCCCTCATGGGTGCATCCTCATTCGCACTCTTGCCAGTAGTACTAGAGTTCCTGGCTGAGATCACCTATCCCCTCTCTCCAGAGGTTAGTAGCACTATCTGCTGGACGGGTGGACAGCTGCTTGGCGCATGCTTTATCCTCATCCAGGATGCGCTCAAGGCTCCTACTAGTGCGAGTCCTCCATCTAATATGCGTAATGCTCTGATCTTTGCAGCAGCTGTTTCGGCTGCAGCGGCTCCGTTGCCTCTGTGTATTGGATTCTTTGGTCGAGTTGTCAAGCGCCGTCGCTTGGATATTGATCGAGGCGTGGAGCTAGATGTCGAGTATACCAATCCTGTGATTGAGTCGAGACAGCTGACGAAGGGAGACATTACGAAAGTGAATGGTTCTCCCGTGGTGCGCAATTTGTCACCCGAGGTGGTTTAATTGACCAGTTATGTCAGTGTCTTCCATTGCCATATGCGATCAATATTTCTTAATTTCCTCAACGCTTGGGTGTATGCCTTAATGACAACAACGTTAGGATTTAATTGACCGTACCTGCATTTAAAATCAAATCACACACATGTGCTGGTAACCCTGAGGGGTAAGGGAAGTATCGAAAAGACATCTAAAATATCAAAAAAGAGTAGTCGCGCCCGGGATCGAACCGGGAACCTTCTCAGCATCCAGACGAATGAATCCGTGTGAATGAGAAATCATAACCATTAGACCACGCAACTGTTCCGATGACAAATCCAAGTCGTTTTGCATTTAATACTGACCAAGGATATAAATTCCATGCATTTAATTGCCGTTCACAAAGAACTAATAATATAAAATTGAATGATATGCAGCATAAATTCCAAAAATAAAGATCAATTGGTAGTATCCATATCGCTCTATCTAACTAATCCTAGAGTAGTGTAGTGTATATGGAGGTTGGATAAAAAATAAAAATGACAAAAAAGAGTAGTCGCGCCCGGGATCGAACCGGGAACCTTCTCAGCATCCAAACGAATGAATCCGTGTGAATGAGAAATCATAACCATTAGACCACGCAACTGCTGATATGATAAGTCACCGAAGTCTATCTATATGGCCTCGAGGCTACATAAGCATAAAGAGAACGAACTTCAATTTCTAATATTAAAATGAAACAATCAAATATGACAATAATAAAGATATTAGTTCGTTAAACATGGCCAAAGAACCACTTCTAAAAGTCTTCTATAACTCATTTGTGATTTGAACTTCCCCTAAATTCGAGAATTGGTGAAGTCCATATACTCGGCGCCTTTGGTCTTCAAGTCTTCGAGAACATTGTACTCCATGATCCACTTCATGCGCTCCATCAGTGCCTCTGGGTTGAACTTGTCGCTCAGATGATTTGGGTCATCCGAGCTAGCAAGCTTGCCAGCCTCGAAGCTAGTCTTCGTGACACGGTCAGTGCGAGGCTTGCGCAGATCCTGGTAGAACTGGAAGGCAGCATTCAGGTCGTCGTCCTTCCAGTGAGTAAGAATAGTAGCTAATGCAATACCGGACTCGATAGCCATGCAAACACCTTGGCCTGTCATATTGTTAGGAAGGAGGATATAAGGTGGAATCTCTTTATATAAACGTACCTTGGTGAGGAAGGGTGGAATGAACCGCGTCACCGAGAAGAACAATACCCGCGCTCTTCTGTTCGTCTTTCATCTCGAACCACTTATCAAGCGGGTCGCGCACATAGAGCGCCTGTTTCATCATGCGGCCATCCTCAGAGCCTAGTTTGAGGCCCTCAATGATATCCTGTACCGCTGGGCACCAGTCTCTAGTATGTTCGTGCAGGGTAGAGATGTCCGAACGAGACATCCAGTTTTCGGAATCCCAGGTGTCTAGAGACTCGGTCATGAATCCAATGACACCCACGCGGTCAGTCTGGGTAGCTGGGTTGCCGATAGGGAGGCAGAGGATATGCTTTTTCGGTCCACGGAAGTTGACAACATTGTGTAGAAGCTTTGCGGTATCCTCTGGTAGGTCCTTGTATTCCACAAAGCCACGGTAAACGACCTGGCCAGAGTAGCTGGGCGAGTCACCAAAGCCTAATTCATGGCGCACTTTACTCTTGATACCATCACATCCAATCACGATGTCAGCATCAGTAGTGGTACCGTCTTCAAAGTGAAGAGTGTACGGCGCAGCGTCAGGGCTGGTGTTGCGATCGATGAAAGCCAGGCGCTTCTGTAAGTGTAGCAGCTCCTCTGGAACGGGCTCCTTGAGTGAATCCAGTAGGTGAGCTCGGTGGATCAGGCGAGCGTGGGGCTTCGAGAACTCTTCAATGTGTCCCAAGTACTGGCCGGACTTGTAATTGTGGTACTGCATGTAGTAAGGCAGTTCAGGCGAGGAACGGCGCAACAGAGACTCTTCCAGGCCGAATTTGTCGAGGATACGGTTGGCATTGGCCGTAATATCAACTCCGGCTCCGACCTCTGCGAATTTATGAGCCTGCTCGTAGCATTGGATGTTCTTCACTCCGGAGTAGAGGGCTGCATTCATGAATGCCATGCCGCCTAGGCCACCGCCGACGACAACAACTTTCTTGTCTTGGAAACCCATATTGATAGAATTAATTGGAAGTTGATAATTAAATGACCTAGAAATAACTGGGACTTTTGGAAGTGTTGTCTTTGGCTTTGTTGAACTGAATTAATGGATGCAATGGAGAATGGTGGTAGTCTTTCACAGCTTATTTATATATTAAAGGACTGGAACTATTGTCGACCTCGCCGACCATGCCCCAGCGTAGGGCTGGTTACCCGACCAATGATGACGTCGAACTCACAACTTCCGAATTGAGAGAGGCCAAAACGTGAGGAATGCTTATTTCATCCGACTCTTCACAGTAGATAACGAGGTTGGATCCGGCTAAACCGGGGGATCGGTAAGGACAGGATCGGGAGTGGCTTAATATTAATGTCGGAAGCCCCACTATAAACAACAGAAGTACATCCGAAAAGCACCCTAGTCGTCGGACACCGTTGACCAAAACAGGGTATTGGTACATATTAATAGAATGGACGCCTTATTTACTTTGTACATGGTATCTTGATGCTCGTTAAATGATAGCCAGAAAACCAGTAGGCTTGAACCAACCAAGGTGGTTGATAGCTGCAGTCTTACCTATACCTACGTGTCTTCATCCCCCGTCCAGACTCCCGAGATCTGCACGGTGCATATTCTTCCCGAGTCGAAAGATTCTAAGACTTGGATACTTCGGATGAAAATTTGCGACTATTCTGAGCTTTAGTACATTCAGACATGGTCAAGTATTCCAGCCAGTTGATCATAAAATTAAGCCTCAGACACAACATCAGGTCTTGGGACTCTCACTAGAGCAGGTGATTAATTCCCAACGTAAGAGGCTCTATTTAAGTACCTAGGTATGCATAGTGATCCTGCTACCTTAGATACTCTGGGATGCAGAGAGTATCTGTTAAATTCGAGTATTTCTGGTATCAAAACGGTTGATTAGGTGCGCCAGCGCACATTGAATACAGCACTAACCATGTAGTCCATCCAAAACTACTGTCAAGTAGATAATATACATACAAAGTTGCTCTCGGCTAGAGCAGATATCACTTGATTGAAATGCACACTTGCAAAGGTACCAGGTATCATGCATCGGTATAGGGTTCGGTCAGCATCAGTTATTCACGACCAGCCAGGCCGGTTCGACGCATCTGCTCCTCCAATTCATGCGCTACACTCTGCTGTTGAACTTCCTCATAACCTGGCGGAGGCTCCATAGGCTCGGGTGTAATGACAGATGCGCCCTGGTTGCTCGGTGCCGCTGCTGTGATATTCAAATCTGTGTTGGCTGGGCCCTCATATGCGGGCAACTCGTCGAGATGAACGGCTGAAAGATCGACGCCTCGCAAGCCCCGTGCACCGTCCCCTATGTTTTCGACTGCTTGTCCTAGTCGCTCCCTGATCCGCTCGAAGTTTGTGTGAAAGTCGAACGCCCCGCCCTCTTTGAATATCACCTTGACCTGCACAGCAGGTAGGGATGGCGAGAAGCCTCCGCCGGAGACAGGTTGTACAAGGGCAAGCCAGAAATTGGGGCCGAAGAAAGGTGCGGAGACATGGGAATCGTGGATGTTTAGCAAGGGGGACGAAAAGGACTGAAACTCGTTGGATTTCTGAGCGGGGAGGTAAACAATCTGAGAAGTGTGGTTATTATATGCAAATAGAGAAGGGAAAGGAGTATATACTCGTTGATTAGTGAGGTGAATGCAGCCGGTGCCGCTCTGCAGGGACAAGGACTCTTGGCCCTGGTAGCCGCTTGGCGGCGTCAACACGAGAGCGGTGCGGGGTGGAGATGTATATACAAGTCGCTCATTAGGAAGGCGAATAAAACCTTCCTGGTCGAGCATCACCCAGCTAGTAGTCCGATTAGTCCAAGTCTTTTCCAAAGTTGATAGGTGATGATAGGGCGCATACTTGAGAGACATCCTCACGATCAAGTAAAACTACTAATAACAGCAGTGAAAGAAGTCAGAAAGAGAGTCAAGCTAGACTTTAATCCGCGACAGAATTTAGTTCATGTCGAAGTTTAGAGCGGGCAAGTTCATTGTGGAAGGAAGAAACTCGTTGCGGGGCAGAGGCGGGGAGAAAGCAGATTGAAAGACAGTTATAATACACATATTATATACCACAAATCAATGCATTGATTTTCATCTCGATGAAGTTTACATAGGATCAACATGAGCAGATCTACGCGATTTATACATTTCCGAGGCATCCGCTTGAAAGGATCAGCAAATATTATCCTACGTGGAAACGGAGTTAGATTCCAAGGTAAGATATAGATGATTTAATCAAATTTAAGATTAAGAGGAGCTTCGCTCTATTACTTCTATATCAACTTCCAATTCAATGAGGATCAGCAAAACAAAAACATCATTACTTTCTATTGAAATTCCAAGTTCGGACACGCGCTAGACCAAACTTCCGGATTAGGTCGTTCCATCTTTCCCATCTTTCCCTTTTCAACATTCCCCCGATTTTTATCTCTTCCTTTCTCTCTTGCATCTTTCTCAACATTTCGTTGTTGGGAACATTTGTAATCCTTGATTTTGCGGGGAAACAGAAACAAGAACTGCGGAAAAAAAGATCAACGACGTCAGAGCCCCGTCAAAGCTCGCGACGCTAACATCCACTGATGTCCCATCTTCTTTGATGAACAACACTTGAAGCCTGTGATACTACAGCGCACGGCATCATGAGCAAGTCTCAGCCATATATACCACCCCTCATCGGGTGGCTGTACGATTTGACCCTGTGGACGTTTTCTGTGCTTATCGACCTTTTCTTCCGCGAGGTACACCCTCGAGGATCGTGGAAAATTCCCCGCCGTGGTCCGATTATCATTGTCGCTGCTCCTCATGCGAACCAGGTATGCTGATACTGTCATGATTTCATATACAAGAAGCTCATTTTCCACTCTTTCACAGTTCGTCGATTCCCTAGTCCTGATGCGCGTTATCCGCAGCGAAGCCCACCGTCGCATCTCATGGCTTATTGCTGAAAAGTCTTTCCGGCGCAAGTTTATTGGCGTATTGGCGCGTGGTATTGGAACACTTCCTGTAGCTCGAGCTATGGATAACTTGAAAGCTGGACAGGGCACAGTGTATCTTCCCGATCCGGTCGACGAGCCCACCCTTTTGCGTGGCGTTGGTACGAATTTTGAAGGCCCTGGTTTCGAGGTAGACGGAACAATTGCACTGCCGACAATCAACGGAACCTCCCACAGTGCAGCTATTGCGGAGATTCATGGCCCTGAGGAACTAGTACTGAAGAAGGCCTTCAAGCACCGAGATGCGCTGTTCCAGTTGACGGGAAGGAAAGACATTGATGACGATGGCAACTTCACAGGAGATGCTGCTAGCAAGACTTCAGACTTTAAGGGGTCAAAGTTTAAGGTTGCTCCGCACGTGGATCAAACTGCAGTCTACAAGGCTGTGTTTGGACGACTGAATGCCGGCGGCTGCGTCGGTATTTTCCCCGAAGGTGGTAGTCATGACCGCCCTTCACTATTGCCACTAAAAGGTAAGTTTCAATACTTGATATAGACTTGATCAACACGACTTGGGTATTAACTACTCTCTAGCTGGTGTTGCTCTGATGGCCCTCGGTACCCTGGCAGACAATCCAGATTGTGGTCTGAAGATAGTGCCCTGTGGCATGAACTATTTCCATGCCCATAAGTTCCGTTCCAGAGCTGTTATTGAGTTTGGCAACCCGATTGAAGTCCCCAGGGAGTTGGTAGAGCAATTCAAGCAGGGCGAGCGTCGCGAATCTGTTGGCAAGCTCTTGGACATCATCTATCAAAGCCTCTTTGCCGTTACCGTTACCAGCCCAGATTATGATACTCTCATGGTATGACTCTATTTTTGTGTTCCTGGAGATATTTCAACTAACAAATCATAGGTTATTCAAGCGGCTCGTCGTTTGTACAACACCAAGGGAAAGAAGCTTCCTCTTCCCATGGTTGTGGAACTCAACCGTCGCCTTGTCAAAGGATATGCACACTTCAAAGACGATCCACGCATCGTAAGTATGCGACAGTCTATTGTGAGTTATAACAAGCAGCTTCGTATCCTTGGGATTCGGGACCATCAGGTCGCCTATGCCAAATTCTCTATCATACAGGTAATTGCTACGTTGATATACCGCTTGGTGAAACTGGCTTTACTTGCTATTGGTACTCTGCCTGGTCTCATCCTCTTTGCCCCTGTATTTGTCGCCACCAAATATCTATCGATCAAGAAGTCAAAGGAAGCTTTAGCTGCTTCTACTGTTAAGCTTCAAGGCCGGGATGTCATGGCTACTTGGAAGCTACTAATTGCCCTTGCCTTCGCTCCGGCCGTATATGCGTCTTACACAACTGCATTTACCTATTGGACTTACCGTAACCGCATTCAAGGCATAGTGCCGGAATGGGTGCCACTCTGGTTGGTGGTACTAATTGCTATGGTCGTGTTCCCTACCGTCACATTTGCTGCTCTGCGTATTGGCGAGGTAGGAATGGATATCGTCAAGTCTCTTCGGCCGCTTGTCTTGTCCCTAAACCCGTCCTCTGCAAACACTTTGGTGAAACTTCGAGAGAGACGCGCAGCACTTGCTATGCAGGTGACAGAGGCCATCAACACGATGGGTCCGGAACTTTTCCCCGACTTTGATGCTGCTCGGATCGTCACCGATCCGATTAGCGAAGTCAACCATGGTGATGAGACGCAAATCAAGCCATCTCGTGATGAAGACCTGCGTGACGAGTCACCCTCTTTAGATTCTCTGCCACGCAACGAGTCGTTCCACAACCTCGCCAATATTGGCTTCTTCTCCACTAGACCTCCTACCCGCAGCCATAGTCGCAACAGCTCGGTGGGACCCCGCCCAGGCTCTCGGAATCTGAAGCCGCTCAGCCCGCTCACCAGCAAGGATTCCTTGGAGGATGTCAGTTCACGCATTCGGGATGCGATGCGCGAGCGTGGTGAGCGGCGTCGCCGACAGAGTGAGGATGGAAGCTGGGATATGGCCAGTTCCGGCTCCCATACACCTTCTAGTAGTGATGAGTACCGAAAAGACCTATGACCGTATATGATGGCCATATTTTTTGCTCATTTTGTTCATATCTTTTCATATCCTTCATTTTTTTTTTAATCCATTCTAGTTGAAGCTTTACTCATATCCCAGCGTTCACGGGATCAGTGATAGTTTGGATGACACCTATTTTTTTATTCTTATATACCACAATGCGAGATATCCCAAGTTATTTCCAAATGTCGCCGAGTTAGTCTTACCTAGTACTATGTGCCTATCTAAACGTTTCCGTGAACCCGAGATATGCAGGCACCCACAGTTCTTGAATATCTTAATAATTGCTATCTCAGTGGAAGGAAGGAGTCTAGAACACCTCGTTGACTCAGGCTGTCCGTTAAAATTTGGCTGATACTGTACTTCGTATATGCTAATGCATACTACGCCACTTCCGGGGTGCACAGCTATCTGTAGAGCTGGGCAGCCAATGCAGTCCTAGATAAACTATATAGTGCTGCCTAGCAGCAGCCCAAGCCATACTAAATCATAGAAATCAAAACTTGATTGAAAAATTAACAAATTGTATAAAAGAGTCAAAATTCCTTGCCGACTTGACCACGTCGCCCTTTAAAGTATCTCGAAAGCCGTTCCGCTTCCTTGTCCGCCCCTAAGCCTCAAGCTTCTTTTTTCCACGCGTTCCCACTCCTGATCCGTGCTTCCTTCGAACTTATTGTGTCATCACAATCCTCCTTATTATAGCGGTCTATCCCCGCATCAACATGTCGGATTCAATACACCTGTCGCGCCTCCGGAATTGGTTCCTTGCCTCTCCACCGATCGAGTTTGCTATCAGCCACCTCAAGGCGCTCCTCATCGGCGCGCTACGACAAGGGCCCATTCCTCAACATGTGGCCTTCGTCATGGATGGAAACCGACGATTCGCCAGGTCCCACGGAATTGAGACGGTGGAAGGGCATAACTTGGGATTTGAGGCACTGGCCAGAGTACGTACATCATACCGTTGGCCATCTGCGTCAGGCTCGTCACCGATGAGCGCCTAGGATGATCATGCTGACATTCTTCTCAGATTCTAGAAGTTTGTTATAAGAGCGGTGTCAAAGTCGTCACGATCTATGCGTTCAGCATCGAGAATTTCAAGCGGTCCAAATTCGAAGTCGATGCGCTGATGGACATGGCGAAGGTGAAACTATCGCAGATGGCGCAACACGGTGATTTACTGGATCGGTATGGTGCTAGAGTACGTGTACTAGGCCGACTCGATCTGCTGAAGCCGGATGTCCTGGCCGCTGTTAACAGGGCCGTCGACCTGACCAGCCGCAATGGCGAACGCGTGCTGAACATTTGCTTCCCTTACACCTCGCGCGACGAAATCACCGGCGCTATTCGTGAAACAGTCCAGGATTATAGCAAACCTCTCCAATCTGCCCATTCTGCCAATCGAACCCCCTTCTCCGAATCTCACATCGCTCATAATATCCGGGCCCAGACCCGTGTATCTAAACCACAAGACACACACAGTGATTCCGAGTCATCGGCAGATTCCTCTGTGCAGGATGATGATCACTCTAGTCGAGTCTACGAATCCGGTTCCGGTTCCGGTTCCTCATTCTCTTCATCCACGACGCTTCACCTTATCGGTCAGGATGGACAGCTACATAAAACTGTGACACACGGCATTACGTCAGATGGTGACAGCCCTGTATTTTTATCTCCTGAAACAATCACGCGCCAAACCCTCTCAGATCACATGTTGACAAAGGGTAATCCACCCCTGGATATGATTGTCCGAACCTCTGCCGTCGAGCGTTTGAGTGACTTCATGCTTTGGCAATGTCATGAGAATACTGAGATCGTATTCCTGGACGTTCTATGGCCAGAATTTGATCTGTGGCACTTCTTGCCTGTGCTGCTCGGCTGGCAAAGACGCATTTCCAAGGATCGGCAGAATCCAAACGCAGAGGGAAACTTCGCTGGTGATAGCCCGGAATCTAGTGAAGAGTCCTTTGATAAAACGGGACTTCAGTCGAACAAGATCAAAGCTATATAAAGCTTCATTGGGTTTTTTTGATTTTATTGTACTCTCTTTAAGCATTCAGCGGAGTTGTGGCGTTTGATATATCCAGCTGCATCGATAATTACAGCCCGGTTACTCTTCCAGATAACTTGAGTCTTTTTCGAAATAAATACCAGATGTCAATTGATAAAACCCTCAGGGCTTGGGTGAATGAATATCGACTGTGCTCAGATTGAATGTGAATATTCGCTAGTTACACTGTAGTTACTGCCAAAGACTTGGTTTCCATGTTCCTTTTTAAGACATTAAAGCAGTCTCCATATCAAATATCGATATATGAATGTAAAATATGTACATGAATAATAATTCAAGTTTATATACGGAGTATATACATGTTCACTCAGCGGAAAGCGACTGACCAATCACGTGCAGCACAATTATGCTCTCAGCGGCCGGGGCATCCCGATTTTCCAGTCCGAGCTTGGAAAACCAACCATCCTCACTTCAATCTAAACCTCCCTACCTTCAATTTCTATACCCCCACATCTCCACTTCCCTCCCAACTCACACAATGGGTCTCGCAGATTTTTTCACTGACGTCGTTTCCTCCCTGGGCTTCGCCGAGGCCCAGGCTGACGCTCCCGCCGCCGACGTCGAGGCCACCCAGGACGAGACCACCGAGAAGTCCGAGGACTCTGCCGAAGATACTCCCGAGGAGTCCGAGGATGCCGAAGAAGAGGCTGAGGAGGAAGAGGAAGAAGAAGAAGAAGAGGAGGAGGACCCTGAGGACATCAAGCCCAAGCTTGAGGAGGGTGAGTGATTCCCTTGATTGAACTGTGTCGCGATGTCCGATTCAATGTCTGCCACTGCGCATCCAAATACATTATCTCTCTTATTATGATGTTCTGGATCTGACAATCTGGACTGATGTCAGGGAGAGATCAATGGCATTGCAATGGCATTGCAATGGCACAATGATGGCTTGGCAATGATTTCGGTTTCGTCGCGAACTCATACTTTGTAACTATGACTAACTCTATGTATTCCAGAGTGTGCCAACTCCGCTCAGTGCGCCCCTGCTAAGCACCACTTTGACCATTGCGTTGAGCGTGTCACTCGCCAGGAGGAGGATGCTGACTTCAAGGGTCCCAAGGAGGACTGCGTTGAGGAGTGTAAGTCATCCTGACAGCGAACCAACGACCAAGCAGATCACGTCCCCAAGGTCTGCAATTCATATCCAGAGCTAATATATCTCTAGTCTTCCACCTTACCCACTGTGCTACTGCTTGCGCCGCCCCCAAGCTCTGGCGCGAGCTTAAATAAACGGATCACTCAACCATGTTTTCCGTCGCGACTCCTCTCATGTTTCCACTCACTTCGACTCGACCATCTTCGGAGACCTCGAATTGAACAAACATCAGAGCGCAGAAGTGTCAAAACACTCAACTTCCGATTCTGTTTTTTGTGATGACTGTCAGATGTACAAGCTGATAGTCTGCCGTCAATATCATTGGTTTCTTTTTTAGCACGGGGTTGATGGAAAGAAGGCGGGCTTATTTACAGTCTCTTCCTTGTACGCATATGGTGTTCCAAGGCAGGGAGGAACCAACGGATCGAAAAGAATAATAGATCAACCCTATTTCTCTGCCTTGTTTTTGTACAGATAGCTGGTTTTATGCCTGGTTGAACTGTGCTAGTATTATATTTACTTGTTTTTGAAGACGAATTTCATCTGTTTAAAACATTACATCTAGTCCTACAGAGTTCTAATCCGAGCCATCGAGGGCGATAAAGGACCTATATACCGGATTTCATCTACCACTTCTTGGCGTTACCCTTCTGTATTAGTGCAACATGCATGGGAAGAAGTGATGAGGCTGACTCCACCCGATTGGTCTCAAATGGATGACTAGCGAATGGTTGCTTTGGTACACACTAGTAGATCCAGCGAGAATGATATACAACCTAGCTCACTGTAGCTATAATTCTTTTATACTCTTAGTATGATGATTATTGTTTCTTTCAAACAGCTAGTGAGTTATCCATTGTTAATTCACATATGGAAAGCGAGGGAGAAATATCATCTTATTAATAGAATAGTCTTGTACACTAATGTAGGAAAAATAATAGAATTCCCACTTCTAAACAGCACTCCCCTTTTTTGATTTTTATGTTTTCATAAGTAGTGAGAATACTGTAATAAAGACAACGCGAGCGCTTAACGGTCTTTTTCAGAGGGCCTAAATGGCAGGTTTTCAGCGCCGCGCGGCGGTTAGCTTAGTTGATGCGAAGCCAAATTTTGTGGAGGCTTCAAGGACGGGCCAATTGCGATTCCAATCCTTTCAATATCAACAACCATTTGCCACCAGGATAAGGCTTCATATGACATTCGAAGCAAGAACAATGCAGACTTGTCTATCTCATAGCAGTCAATAATGTGAACACTCATATTAGGTGGCAGATTTCTGATCGACTGGTTGAAGAGTTCAGGGATGTTCTTTATGTCCCCGGTCACAACTAACTTGGCAATAACATTTTGCGTTTTCTTCATGATAATCGAGGGAGGGATTCTGGATGGCGGTCCTCCTGGTGACGGGCCTGCTAGATTCAAGTCAAAGGTTATCGGTGCAACTCCACAGATTATCTTCAAGATAGGTTCAGGTGCCGACTTTGGCAAATCAGTAACTAGCTGATCATAAATTTCTGATGTTGACGCTGTCATTTGCCTAGACTTGATATACATGACCGCTTTAAAGATTCTTTGCGAAAAAGAAATGCTCTGGGGAGATCTCATTTTCGCGATCTCTGAGGGTTGACACGCCGCTAAAATTTGATGTGACTGCCCGATGACTGAACCCTGTGTCGCTAACCCAGAATAACAACAATCAAGGATGGCTAAAACGTCCACTTTCGGGTAAAGATGTTTGTTTTCGAAAAGTTCACAGTGGATAAACAGCCAGGAAATCAGGGAGCCTTTTGATGCGAAGTTTAACACCCCATTATGGTCGGCACCGTTCCCACAATAATAGAATATGGCGAGTGTGTCTCTGTTAAATGAGTGGCAGCGTTCCATCATTTGATTAACTTGATTCGTTGTCTTAGCGCCGTAATCCCTGTGGGCTGGGTCGATGATATAAACTTGATAATTAATTTGTAGTTTTCTAAACAGGTCAATCATGGTCTGACAGTCGGCTTCAGCCCCGGTGTTATCGTCCTTCCATCGGACTAAGATTGCAATCTTAGCGTCATAGATCTTTCGATGCGCGTCTGCTATTTTTTGAAGATCTTTCTTCAGGTCCACCATAGGGCGTGAACGATATCGAGTTTGGGTTGGGGACATCGTAGATGGAGACATAGCAGACGGAGACATAGCAGATGGAGACATCACATTTGGTGACGTAGATAAAAGTTTTGGTGTGACTGGTATTCTTGAAGACATGATGATAAAAGTCAAAAGGTTGAGGAAGATGAAAGATGTACAGTAGAAGTAAATAAAAATAGACTAGTCCTAGTTAGGCACCTCGCGTTTTGTAATCGCCATTACTGATTTCTCCACTTTTTGTAAAGTTCTTATTGGCTTATATTTAAACCCTTAGGGAATTAGCCTTTACTGTGAAAGGTAGCGAAACACTAGTAGTTATGTGGCGGTGAAGCGTTTTCTCCATCAGTATATGATTTGAGAGGAAGGAGAATTTATTACAGTATATAGTAATATCTACGAAGTGATAGCAGCAATGACTGGAGGTGTACGCTCGATACCCCGCACCTGTGGATTTAGCCTTGCCGGAAGGCTGAGGTGATCAGCCATCAACAAAAGACGCAAAGCCCACTCTCAACTGATATACCACTATATTGAAGACAAGTCAGGATGACTAGCCAGAGAAAGTCGCACGTCTTCCGGGTGACAGGCCTGTTAAGGGAACTGCCTGATAAGGATCTCAAGACCGCATTGCAAGAGGCACTCAACGACAACTTTACCGACGACGAGAAATCGCAAATCAAGAATGATATTTCAATAGTGCCTTCATGCTATGAAAGTAGCCACCAGAGAATGGCTCTGGTGCAATTTCGTGGCGGTGTGCCTCAGTTTCTCCATGAGCTGAGAGTCAATCCGCTTGGAGACTGGCAGATCGAGATGGGAGAAAATGACATCAACTTTGACTGCAACTTCTTTGGATTTACCCAGCTCTACGCGCCGGATGGAAACGAACCAGTGGCTATAGAGTAAAGATCGTGCCGATATCTATATCCAGAAGAGCAATACTGACTGATAACGCAACATAGTATTATTGCAATCGCCGGACTGGATGGACATGCGTATGGATCATGGCAAGGAAGAGGAAACCTTGGTCGGATGTGGCTCCGTGACTTCCTGTCGAAGGACCTTCCGCAGTGCCGCACCATGATCTACGGGTACAACTCTAAGCTGTCGAGCCACGGCGTCGATACGATCCTCGACTACGGGCGGGAGCTGATGGAAGAGATTAAAAAAATTCGGAACACGGAGGAGGTAGGACACACTATCGGAATTGTCTATCTATAGCAATTTTGGGCTGATTCTGTGACTAGCTCCAGCAGAGACCTCTAGTTTTCATCGCACATAGCTTTGGAGGCATTATTTTGGCTCATGTGAGACCACCATCGGCTTTCAGGTATCATGTAATATATGCTGATATCACCTCATAGTGCCTGGTGAGGGCCATCCAGACCATGGACGACGATCACCCGGCGATCAAGTCGCTGCATCCAGCCACGTACGGCATGATCCTCTTTGCTATCCCACATAAAGGATTAGTGATGGACGATATCCAGCAGATGCTAGCAGGGGATAAGAGCCATCCGCGAGAGCAACTATTGCGGCAGATTTCCAGCAAATCAGACCTACTGACCCACCAGCTAGCCGACTTCAAAAATCTGATCCGGGACCGTAAGGTGGTCAGTTTCTATGAGACAGAGCAGACGAGGCGGTTGGTATTGGTCTGTCGTAGTGTTGATCTGACACAGACTATAATATGTACTGATGATCTTAATAGGACTCAGAAAGCGGACGATGGAAACGCACCGGGGATTTTATGACGACAGTTGGCACAGACTCGGCCCTCCTCCAGCTTCCCGACCATGTCGAGGAGAAGGTGCCGCTACATGCAGACCACTCGATGGTGGTCAAATTCGACACGCGCAATGCGGCCGGGTACCAAACAGTGCTCGATAGACTGCGCCAGTTCTCACAAGACGCGCCATCGGTGGTGGCGGCTCGTTTTAGTGAGTTACATCCAAAGATAGACCAAGAGCATCTCATCAATCTCAGCACCCTGGTCACACAATATCGAGGCCGAGAATGAAGTTCCTGCTATTTTCTGGAAGCTCTGACGTTGATCTCGCCAGACATACTCAATTTGCATTACGAACACGCTATGTCTTCCATATCGTTCGGTAGCAACAATCTGGGGAACCAGGTGGGAATCAATTATGGAGTGATCCATCTGCCTCCAGGTGGGATTTACAAGGTAAAGTCCTCAACAAACTAAGACTAATCCCCGCTTCTTGGCCCAGTGCGACCTGAAACGCCACCGCCTCCTCTCTTGACTATTCCGTTCCGTCGCGACCCAGATTTTGTTGATCGTGGAACGCTGGTTGATCAGATACAAGAAAAAGGCGCTACAGAAGGGGCTCGGATAGCGCTTGTTGGCCTGGGTGGCGTAGGGTGGGTTCGCAGAACAGCCCGTAGACTTTTGCTTTACTAATTATATACAAGAAAATCACAACTTGCGATAGAATATTGTTATCGAGTGCGAGATCAATCGCCCACAACGTGGGTTTTTTGGATTCATGCGAGCAATGCAACTCGTTTCGAACAGAGTTGCCGGGAGATCGCCGACCGAGCTAAGATACAAGGTCGGCAGGATCCCAAGACGAATATTTTCGAGGTGCTTAATAATTGGCTCAATAACCCGAAGACTGGAAAATGGGTTCTCGTTCTGGATAATCTCGACGACGAAGAATTTCTCCATACGGTACCTCCAGAACATTCGTACGGCCTTGAGAAAGATCAGAAGGGAGTACCAAGGCGATCGATCTGGTCTTATTTTCATCAAAGCTCAGTGGGTTGTATCGTTATGACAGGTCGCAGTATACAAGTGGCCTTGAGAATCGTCGAAGACTATGATATCATTCTAGTTGAACCGATGGACAAGGCCCACGCTATCTCACTATTTGAGAAGAAGGCAGGGGCACAGCACAATCGCGAAGTAACTGTGCAGCTGGTTGCGGCGCTTGAGTTTATGCCACTTGCGATCGTGCAGGCCGCAGCCTTCATTAAACAACGAGCACCGCGAGAATCAGTCACGCAGTATTTGGAAAGATTTCGGAACAGCGATCGCCAGAAGATGAATCTTCTTGATTATGAAGGAGGCCGGCTTCGTCGGGACCCAGAAGCCAAGAACTCCATCCTTGTGACCTGGCAGATATCATTTGAGGATATTCAGGAAAGAAGGCCATCAGCGGCAGGTCTCTTATCTCTGATGAGCTTCTTTGATAGACAAGGGATCCCTGATAGTCTCCTACGAGAAGGCAAAATAACAACAAGTCATGGGGGAAACCTTTATACGACAGACGAAGAAAGCGATACAAGTGAGTTGGAAAACACTACGAGCGTATCAAGCGATGCCGATCAGTTTGAGGACGATATATTGATGCTGAGAGATTATTCGCTGATCTCTGATAGCTCAGGTAAGGCGAGTTTCCAGATGCATCGACTGGTTCAACTGGCAATGCAAAAATGGCTGCAAGATAAAGAGAATTTGGAACACTGGAAAGAAATTTATATCCGGAGACTTCACAATACATTTCCCGAAGCAAGATTCGAGAACTGGAGAGAGTGCCAAATGCTGTTTGCTCATGTACAGCGCGCAATTACGCAGCAGCCACATGCAAAGCCCTCATTGGAAGAATGGGCATCATTACTTCACGAAGCAGCGTCGTTTTCATGCACAAGGGGAAATTTCTTTGATAGTAAAAGAATGGCGAAGAGCGCAATGAACGCAAGGAAAGAGCTATTTGGGGGCGAAAAGTGAGAAGACGATAACGTGTTGCAATATGCTTAGCTTAGCGTATAGCATTGGGGGAGAACTGAAGAAAGCTGAAAAACTCCAACTGCAGGCGATGGAGACTTGCAAGCAGGTATTTGGGCCCGAGCATCCCAATACTAGGGCCATGATGGCCAATCTGGCATCAACCTACCGGAAGCAGGGACGATGGACAGAAGCTGAAGAGCTCTAACTACAGGCGATGGAGACTTACAAGCAGGTATTTGGGCCCGAGCATTCCAATACTATGACCATCATGGCCAATCTGGCATCAACTTACTGGAACCAAGGGCGATGGAAAGAAGCCGAAGAGCTCGAGCTACAGGTAGTAGAGTCTTGCAAGCAGATGCTCGGGCTAGAGCACCCCTCTACTCTTAGTAGTATGGGCAATTTAGCATCAACCTACCGGAAACAGGGGCGATGGAAGGAAGCCGAGGAACTCGAGCTGCAGGCGATGGAGTCTTGCAAGCAGGTGCTTGGGCCAGAGCATCCGTCTACTATAACCAGCATGGGCAATTTAGCATCAACCTACCGGAACCAGGGGCGATGGAAGGAAGCCGAAGAGCTCGAGCTACAGGCGATAGAGTCTTATAAGCAGGTTCTCGGACCAGAGCATCCCAATACTCTAATGAGCATGGCAAATCTAGCATCGACCTACAGAAATCAGGGGCGATGGAAGGAAGCTGAAGAGTTCGAGCTACAGGTGATGAAGACATATAACCAGGTGCTTGGGCCAGAGCATCCTCATACTTTAAGTGCCATGGCTAATCTGGCATCAACATCTACCACATCAGCACCCAGATTTACGGAAACTATCAGCGTTATTATCGAATACATCATCAACACCGAGCTGATCACCACAATCTATACGGATACTATTGGCTATATGATGATCGAAGCCGCAAGGAGCTCCTGGGATCGCGATATATTTTTAACAAACTATGAACTTGACTGGTTTGCAAGCGGCATAACACGAGACTTATGTGGAGCAAGTTTCCAATATGCAGTTGGTTTCGGCACACCTACGCCCACAACATGGTCTGGTATACCGCGAAGTGTTAGCTTCGAAGACGCCGTCACAGTTGACTCAACCAAGTCCTACTCAGCTTGTCATTACACCAATACAGCGGCCCCGGACATTGGCGATGGTCTCGAGCTGGGTTGTGCCTATACCAATTATGAAGTGGTGTACTGTAATAATCTAATAGACACATCGATCAAGCCAATCATCAAATGCATCGACACAAAAACATCAACTTCAGTCTCCACATCTCTTTTGACGACGACAGAAACGAAAACCATTACGGTATGGTGATATCTTGATACGGATGAGAAAAGGCTCGACTAGTTTTAATACATCAAATTCATTTAATACCTACCTAGATATATTCCAGTTACAGTTATCCTAAACTTAGCGATGATAATACCCTGCCAAAACATGTTTCCCAAATCTGGGGTTACTAGAATCATTTTATTTGGATAGGGGTCTTGCTAGATTGATAGAATATAGTTAGTTCACTAAGTAAATATTTGTTGGTAAATCCTCTAGTCCGAAGCCGACTCCGACTCCATATCGTTTAGGATTTACTTTAAATCCTTGGTAGGACCTTTATTTGCTCCATACTTTTTTAACCTGACGTCAATTTCGAAATTTTGAAATATGTCTGATTTCAAAAATCTTCAAAGGATTGCCGTCAAGCGTGCTACACTTACTGTATCTCGTGGATTTATATCTAGGTATTAGAAGAATACCAAAGAATAACAAGAGAACAAAATATGCTATAAAAAACTCGCGCCTACTATGATCAATAAATACGATAATATGTTCCTTTGACAAGTGATGGCCAATGAGCGCTCACTGAGCACTCGGTGCAGTGATTATGATTGCTTCCTGATCACTCACTGATTACTCAGAGGCATCTATTGAGCACTCGGCCATGCCTTTCACGCTTTTGTTATTCTAGTCCAAGCAGTCTAAGTAATAAGCCATCATCTTTCCAATTTTCGAGGGTCTTTCTCTTCCAAGACTCCCACTCCTCGTCTTCAAAGTTAAAAGCCCGACGAAGCCCTTTGAACAAATCAATAAGTTCCTGTGTGTTTAAAGAGGAGCTCTCAGTCCCAAGAGTAAAGAAAAATCTCTGAGGTTTTCTGCCCCCGACAACATAGTTGGCAAGATCTGTGCGACCCCTTTCCCGAAAAATCGCAGCTAGTCGTAACTCATCCACGGTGAGCTCATTAGAGCCATTATAGAACTTAGAGACCGGCCACATCATACACGGGGAACAGAATGCCTCTGCCCTAGAGACAGTTTGTGTCCAGTCCCAGTCGATGATTCCAATAATATCAAAGCAGTCATTGACCAGAGTGTGGTCCCCCTTGTCGTCCGGGTGCTTCAGAAAAAATTGGTCGTCAGGTGGTACGTCTCTAAAGAGAATGCTGGTAAGATCCAAGCGGAATTGATGAAAGAGATCAGTATCCACTGGGGAGCATGAGTCAATCTCGCTGCTGGCTATCATCATAAGGTAATTTTGAAGTAAAGCCTGTAATGTCCCAGGCGAGGAAGAGAATGGACCAAGTGGACCCTTTCCAACTCGGAACGTTGAGTGGTTTGCGAAACCTTGGATGTTTATTGCATCTCCCGCCGAGAAGGTAAGTGATCCAATTGCTTCGAAAGGGTGCTTTTCAATCTCAACGAAAATGTCTACTAATTGTTGCATGACCTTCTCTTTCTGTTGGGGTGTTGTTTTTTGCCAATCCAGGGGCTTCCCATCTAGTTTTTCCATCAGAATATAGCCAACTCCAATCGCATTTTCTGAGTCTGATTCACATGCCCAGTCGAGTATTTTAGGCGTAGGAATACAAGTGTTTTGTTGAAGATAAGTCATGGTGGCAGCTTCGCTTTGAAGTATCCAATCACGGACTTCTGGTGGCGAAGCCTTTGCGAGGCGGAAACGTGCAAGCCATTTAACATTATCATCGAAGGTTACTTCGGCGTGGCAGTTCTGACCTCCCATCATGGCAGACAAGCTTTGGCGTGATAAATCAACGGTACACGGTATACCTTTTCTGAGCGTTGATGCATGAAGGCATAGCTTATGTTAATCTATCTTTTGACAAAACTGGTCCATGTGACGAGCTTCTGCGGCTGAAAATTGAGTACAATAGAGTTCCCAGTCGGTCTAAACAAAAAATTATGAGTATGGTTTGCTTGCTTAGGCTACCTCATATAATAGTTGAGCAAGTATATCGTTGACCTCTGGTTTTGGGCACTTATGCCACGGCTCTCGGCGGTGCAGGCAACATAAGTGTGTATCGCACAGAAAGCAGTCTCCTGCGAGTTGCGTAGCTGGTTCCCCACAGCTCTCCCATTCGCATAACCGTTGGGGCATGATGTAAAGTTCGGAGTTTCCTCGATGGCTATGAAACGGAATAAATAAATCATTAAAAGGAGTTGTCAAACTTGTCCGAACTAGTATGTTTTATAAAGTAAGATTTTGTTATTGGGCGATCTCAAGATAGACGAGAAAGGAGCATGTCCAAGGTTGCAACCTATAAGCTACCCCGCTTAGTATACCACGTTGGATCCTGTTTTAATTTTTAATTTCTCTAACAAACAAGTTGTTATTCAAATTGTCTAGCCAACTTATGGCTTATGTTTCGACACGTGTTAAAACCTAACAGCTTTAAGAAACCTTTATAAGTCAGCATAATCTTTTTCCCCGTCTTCCACATCACACTTGACTTTTAACCCGCAAATATAATCGATACTGCAGCTAAGTCACGCAGTGATTACTAAAGACTATGGTACGCTAAATTCTTTGAAATTGAAAAGAATTATTCAATACATTCCTCATTGCTTACAAGTGGTTTTCTAAGTACTCGGCCATGGAATATTTCCAATCGGAGAAACCTCTTCGGCTGTGTATTTCCGTCACTCGGTCAAGCCCATATTGGGAAACACCAGAACCCTCCCTTGATGAAGTTTTACGTGAAATTTCGCCAACCCTAGACATAAATGGACAGCCTCAGTTTTTAGTTAAACAAATATGGCCGAAACACAAGTTTTTGGTTTACGACTTCTTTCACACCAGCTACGATAACGCAATCGCTCACCTTAAACATCAAAACAATCTTCCTGTTCTCCAAGTGAACTGTGGGAAGAAAATTGATATTCGAATCGCATCGCCACCTTTTAAAGCCTATGTGAACAGAGAGGTAGCTAGAATGCATAATTTCAATGGTTATGAAGCTAAGCTACCCTACGTTGAAGATCATAGTGACGGTGCATATCCATGTTATAGCGATCCTCGAGATGTTTCTCAACTCTAAATAACGGAAAACTAGAAGGCATATATTATAAGCTTTCGATGCTATGAATTTGCACCTTGTAATTAGCGATCTCAACCCCGACCCAACAAGACAATCTCTCTCTTTTATTAAACGGTAACTGCTCGTTGATTGTCTTTTTAACCAATCAAGCTAGCCCTGATCATCTGGCTCGCTAGATGTCAACAATTTGTGTGTAGTTGAAATAATTCTCAAATACAGAGCATTTCGAGGTTGGCCCAAGGTTTTCGCGTACATAGGCCGCTGTCTCGAGGAAATGCCAATCGAGTAAGCCCCTCCAGGACAGAGCTTTTACCACTTGGCTGGTCTCCCACAACAACCAGTTGAGGGAGGCCGATATAATTTCCAACATTACAGGAGAAAATTCTGACGATTATTTCAAGTAATATTGGGTCGGCTAGGCCTTGCTCGTTATTGTACTGGAAGGATGAACCACCATATTGTGTGTTGTCTGCTGTGAATAACCTTCCTGATTATGAGGGCGATTCAGACGGAATTCAATCAAAGATAGGGATGCAAGCGGAACATCCTGACACGCTGACGAGTATAGCCAACCTGGCATCGACATACTCGAAGCAGGGCCGGTGGAAAGAAGCCGATGAGCTCGAGGAGCAAGTGATGAAGGCTTTTAAGACGAAGCTCGGCGCGGACTATCCTGACACACTGGCGAGTATAGCAAACCTATCTGTGACATACTGGAAGCAGGGCCGGTGTAAGAAGGCCAAGAAACTCGAGCTTGAGGTGATGGAGACTTGCAAGACAAAGCTCGGCGCGGATCCTCCCGACACGCTGACGAGTATGGCCAGGCTGGCGTCGACGTATTGGAACCAGTGCCGGTGAATGGAGGCCGAGGAGCTCGAGAAGCAAGTGATGAAGGCTTTCAAGACGAAGCTCGGCGCGGACCATGCTGACATGTAAATTCGTCTAATACCTGGGCTAAATGAAGTGCTTCCTAGGAGCTTAATCCCGAGATAAGAATCGATAGACCAATCAAATAAAATACGCAGTAAGATTACCTTCTAAACAGGAGTGTGGCTCCTAGGATAAACGACGATCCTAGTGAAACCCGACATTTATTGATGGGATAATGTAAACAACCTACATGGGAAGGGACGGGACTAGTATATAGATATGTTAACCTTCGTTGAGAACACGCGGGAAGTGCTAGAAATAAGTAGAGTAGAGATTTTAATAAGAATAGTTCTAATCCTTAGGTTCTCGCTCCTCCTCCCACTCCTTTTGTAATCTCCTCTCTACTTCTCTCACCTCGCACGGATCTAAGATACTTCGCCACGCAAATTGCCATGACGATAAGTTGACTTGCGGGTGCCGCTCTTCACGATTCATAGGAACCAGACCCATCGCTTGGAATCTCTTTTTACACCAAAGTGCGACCCCTAACCGTCGATAGGAGTCAAACTTGACCGTGCGCAGGGGCGAAGAATTTATCTTTGTCAGTATTTGCCATTGTCGCAGACCAAATGTACCAGAATCGATTTCGTACGTTTGGGTTATTGGCTCCGGATCAGGTCTTCGCGGGGTTGGCCACCTTTGTTCAACTGGATGACGGAGAAAAGGCAGTCGCCGAATGCCTCTATTATAGCCACCGCTATTGCTGCTGCTGGGGTCATGGGAGATGACGAGGTCTGCTGCTCGTGCCCAGTTGATATACTCGATAACAGTTTGGATTTCCTTAGTCTCGTAACATAGGTGCCACTTAATGTAAAGGTCGCTCTCGTTCATACTTTTTAATCGCGCCACGTCTTCAGCGGGCCAGCCGAGCCGAGACTGGCCAGCGGTGCATAGCTCATAGAATAATTGAATTCTCCAGAGTGCTCGGGAAACGCGCTGCTCTTCCTCCCAGAGCGGTGGGCCATAGTTGTGAACGGGGACCTTAAAGCTTTCGAATCTTTGAGTCCATGGCAGACTCTTCTCGTAATACCGAGCCTCGGGATCAACAAGGTTTTCCGGTTGGAGAGCATTAAATTTCTCGAGGTAGTGCTCAAGGCATGCTATGGTGAGATGATTTATTTGTGCATATATAGAGAGAATCCGGCGGATTGTCGGAATAGGAGTTTTATCAGGCAAGTCTTTAGGAAGGGGTGTCGGACGGGTTTCGCCTATTCGTAGTGGGAGTGTATCTTTGACCGTTATATGGATGAAGCCGTAGGTTAATACAGCTAAGCTCGAATATGCAAAGGAGGAAGATTCGAGCATAGCTATAAGGTGAATTGATTCCCGAATTTGATCACACGTGTTCTCTTTGGAGAAGACGGTGCGGGTGAGCTGAAGGCCTTCATGGTCAAATAGGCGCGAGATGGCTGGCGATGCGCGGAGAAGGTTATACAGAGATGTGCAATCATCAATAAAAGACAATATTTTGTATTGAATCTCAAAGGGCAGGGTCTCCATCTTAATTTATTTAATGAGTAGTACCCAGCACACCATTATTACTTAGCGTAATTACCCCCCTTAGTAGTATAGTGATCACGACGCCTGTATAATCCCAAGTTTAGAATTTTAAAGTACATACGACCACAGTGTGTGGAGAACAGGGCTTCCCGTCCGCTCAGCCTAGTTAGTACTAGATTGAGGCAAAAATTAGGCACTAAGGCACTAATTACCCTAATTTAGTTTAGGTTGAGGCGAAAATCAGGCATTAAGGCATCAAAAATACCCATATGGGACCCATACCCAACCCATGCACATGTCTAAAACCACCCTTGGATGACTTGTGGATCTTCTGTCTGCGCCCTCTGGATATCAAGCGCCCGAGATTTTCGCGTATGAAGAGATTCGGTGCGTTGAAGGAATCCTGTCACCCAGTTTTTGCCAACTTTAGGGGGGGTGTCGGAGGGGACAATTTCGCGGGCGCGGAGGAGCAGATTCGCCATATTTCGGCACATTTCATGCGAAAAAGCGAATCCTCTAGCGTCCATATCAAGGAGCCATTTTTCCATCGATTTCTCCTCACCTTTAGAGAATTTATGGCGAGAATGGCGAGTTATGGCCTTCGATTTGCGACCTTGGATTCGCGCTTTCAAAGTTGAGACAGGAACTGAAAAGGCGCGAGCAGCGGCAGCAGCAGAGGAGTATCGTTCATCTTTAATAGCCTGAATTGCTAATAAGACTTTACTCTCCTGCTGCTCCAAATCTTTCGATTTTTGAGTGCGAATTGGAGGCATTGTTGGTGTTAGAAAAAGGAGGGTCGATTTCGGGGTAAATATTTTGAGGTGTCGCTCGGCCAACCGGGACGCTCGGTCAACCGTGACGCACGTTATGTGTCAGTGTCAAGTATGGCTGAATAAGGTGGATTCGAACCGAATCTATTGGACAAATAGAAACAGAGTATTCAAGAATGTTGTTGTGTGTGTAATTCAACTAATAGGAAATGGCGGTAATGCCAACTATAGAATCTGACTAATATTGCACTAAACCAGATTGAGAATCGGTGACCTCTATATCAGGCTTAGCATATTAGCGTATTTTAAGGTGGCAAAAAAATAAATTGTCTGGTTCTAAAGTCGCGTTGTTTTCTATACTGAGTGTAACAGACCAGGAACTACTACGTGATGTTCGTAATAAGTTGTGTCAATGTGATCGAATTCTAAGTTAAAGAAGGAAGAGGAGAGAAGCTCCTCCTCGTAATGTAATCTACCTGCCGCTTCGGCGGTCAGCTAGGCGGTCAGCCGATGCTGCTCTTTCTGCCTTTCGCCTGACCCGTTGTATCTGTCACACTGAGCATCCTCCAAGATACCCCTCTTTGGTTAGAACTGTTCCCAAATCCTATTCTAGGCATTCTCCAAAGAGAACCCCTTCACCATCATGGTGAAAGGCAAAGGCAAAAAGCGTGCCCCAGATTCTCCGGACTTTATCCAACACCCACGAAAGTCGCCCAGGAAGCATCAGCCGTTGCCGCCAAAGCGAGAGCTATCCCTAATGTCAACTGATATTGAAGAGGACTGGAGCGCTTTAGAGGCCAATGCCAAAGCAAGGGTAGCAGCATACGAGCTAACAGACAGACCCTCTGAGAAGCGATTGAAATCCGGCCTGAATGCCTTGATCAAATGGCTACCGCCAGGCGGCAGAGATTCTCTAGCCCGTGATATTATTGAATCAAATACAGATGATAGACTACATGCTGTATTTTTCAACTTGCTCACCGGCCTCGCAGCACCAAGTAAGTCCTAGATATCTTATACAGTAAAATATGTGTCGCTAATTATTATCTGGGATAGTGAAAGCCAGGAGTCGGACCTCTACTGTTACGTCATCGCCTATTCCAAAGCGCCAGAATAATTCGGATGCGATAGACGGAACTCTGGTTAATCATAAACACCGAGCTGAAAAATTCCGGGAGGCTTGCTTCCGTCGGGACGGATATCGCTGTGTTCTGTCTAGGTTCATGGAAACCAACCACTGGAATTCTATCAACCAGGACTCAGAGATGGACCCAGAGACGGACCTAGAGGCGGACCCAGACCCAGAAGCGGACCCCGACCCAGAGGCGGACCAGGAACCTATCATGGATGCGCGGTGTATCGGCGCTCATATTATCCCGTATTCTTACGCCTCATGGACGAATGGAGTAAGATATTGCTCTTCCCATCATATTTATTTACTAACAAACATTAGGATGAAGAACCAAATCAACAATGGGAAGTTCTTTTTCGATGCTTCCCTATGCTTAGGAAAACATCTTTCACTTCCGGGTCTATAAATGAATCTCGGAATGGTTTAACATTGACCACCGTGATGCATGATGAATTCGGTGCTTTTAATATCGCTTTCAAGCCCACGGTAAGTAACTAATAATTGAAGATCTATACTATCACTTTACTAATCTTATATACTATTAGGAGGAGCTCAACGTCTATCAAATCAAAACCTATAGCAAGTGCCCTAATTCTTGCAAGCGCGATCTACCCAAAAGCCGTAAAGTGATCTTCAAGGTTGATACCAATACCTCCTTTAAAGATAGGTTAAAGTTTGACTTGACTCTACCTTCCCGGGAACTTTTAGAGTGTCATTGGCGCCTTGCGGAAGTATTAAATATCTCCGCAATGGCGGAGGCAGTGGAGCTCTATTGGAAGGAGTGGGATACAGTGAAGGTTACTGCACCCCGTGAACTGGACGAGTACGGAAGGACCAATATCGAGGATCTCCTGCAGCCAGCTTTTTGGGAATATCAAGTTTCTGGCTAATTGAGTTTCATGACTGATGTTCAACGAATTTTTTTTGTCATAGTTTTATACCCTTATGTTATTTGTTGAATTTCTGGAATTGCATCCCAAGCCTCATAAGCAACCCTCTCTTCTTTACCGATTTCTATTAATGATAGATCATGTAATGATCTTACAATCGGGTGCCAGTGCCTTGAACAGCTTCTCCTTAAAAAGGTTCGTATGGTGGTTGTTTCTGTGTCGATGGTGAAGGTGTCGATAGGATCATTGACGGCGATACTAGCCTGAACCATCTTTTATGTCTCTTCGCGATCTGTAGCATTGAGGGTAGATTAATTGTACTCTTTTGAAATTCGGCCAGGTAGTCAGCGCCGCCACCTAGAACGACAACTCTTGATTTTGTTGCCATTGTGAATGTATGCGCAATATATGTAGACTCTTGAACTTTCGAATTTGCTCAGGGAGGAAGCTAAGGAAAAATTCTTGAGCAATAAGATGAAGCTTTCTTATCTTGGAAGCTATATCATGGAGATCCACACGGGAGAAGCCGCTAGTGGAGACATACATCATGGAAGGAGCGAAAGCCATACCCGTGCCGTCGTTCTAATCAAATGGACCACTAGCCGAGTAACTGGCCGTGTACATGGCTTTGTGGAGCTCTGGTCCGAAATGCCCGCGGAGGGCCCGCCTTGCGACAAAAAGAGGTATATCTTATTGCCTACTTTCTTGGGTAGTTCGCTAACGGCGTTTAGATTATCGTCCCCGCTCGGTCCAGCCGTGGCTGGTGTCGCCTACCCGTTGGGATCTACCACTGCAACGTGTTTCACAATCGTCCTCGGGATTGATAGCCCAGGGCGTATTACTCAAGACTCCCGCATATAGTGGTCTTCGTTCTTCGAATGGATACGCGGAACCGCGCAGGCCTCCCTGCTCCCATGGGGGGCTTACATAACAGAAATTGAGAGTCATGACTTTTCTTTCCTTCCTTCAAAGATCTATCATTGGTTTATTCCTGCAGTCTCACGCTCTCAATCTTCCTGTTGAATTATAAGCATAAAAAAGCAGCGTAATAACTCCTACTCGATACCTCCCAAATGATTCCCAGTATACAACGTTAGAGTATTGTCGGAATATATAGAAGCACACATGCTTCGGACTGGGAACGGGACATGCCTGAGGCCTCACAGCACCCAAGTCACGGGACCATGGGACAGTGTCAAAGGTCCGATACGGGGTTTATGCTGTACGTAAGCAGGATCCACAGTGTTTATTTAAGCGGAAATTCATCCCTAGATAGACAATCCAGTTTCGTCAACCAATGGTGGTTGGACGGTCAAATTCTCAGTTGACAGACAGTATATAGACAGTAGAATAGCTTCATGAATAAGACAGACATCACACAACCGCACAACGTATACATATAGAACCCAGGACGTACCATACCCTTCTTCATATAGTATATAGTGCACCGTGTGACTCTCCTTTCAATATACTCTATAGTAGTTGATCGACAGATACCATTTAGATAGTTGGATAATCCAACGGACTAAAATCTCCTCCTGGACATCAGTTAAGGCCTTATTAACTGGTTGAAATTGAGTTCTCGCGGTTGTTCCGTTTTTCACGCGATCATAGAGAGTACGTCGATTAACACCAAATTCGCGCGCGATCTTAGAGAAATTTGGGGTTTTTTCGCGTTGAGCAGCTTCTATAGCTCTCTGGAGCTTAGATTCAGTCGATTCAGGGGTTTTAGGCATGGTGGGTGGGAGATATTAGGTAAATTATAATGGAATGTGGAATTGGCGGTAAAGGTGAAGCACACCCGACACGGAAAAACGTGTCGGGTGTGCATGTGACACGGCTATCTCTTACTCCGGGAAACGTACACTCTTTCTGCCGCATACCTACCACCGCCTTCCCTATTGATCTATTCAATACATTGAATCTTCACTTCTTTACTTCTTATTCCTTCGCATTTCACGTCATGGAGCCTGAAATCATGGAGCCTGATAGCATCCCTGACAGCATGCCTGACAGTTTTCCTCACAGCATTCCCGACAGCGTTCCCGACAGCTTTCCTGACAATAATAACATCAATGATAGCATCTTTAACGATATATCTTTGACAGTATTCCTGACTCCATTCCTGACGCCATCCCCGATTTCCCCCCGCTCCCATTTTCAAACGCGCTATGCACGGTATACCGTAACAAGCTATCGGCATTAGAAGCTATCAATGACTACGGTAAAGCCCATGGTTTCGGGGTTTCAATTCTTCGATCAGTTAAGATGGAAGATGAATCAGGTCGATACCGCATTATTCATATCTGCTGCAATCGTGGAAGGACTTACCGGAAAAGGAATAAGAATACTGAGCAAAGAGAGTCAAGAACTAGTGCAATTAATTGCCCATTCCGCCTCTCATTACACCCAACAGATGACTACCAGCTATATCTTACAGCTGAGAATACCAATCATAACCATGGTCCAACAGAAAACCGTTCAGCACATGCTTCTCATCGCCGGCAAGAACTTAACCAGAGAGCTCCACAAATCCAGAATCAGCTACATCTTGGTGTAAGACCACAACAGATTATCACAGGTCTCCGCAGGGAGGATTCCCAATCATGCATCATTGAAAAAGACGTTTACAACTTTATTCAAAAGACACAATCAGAGTATCTAGCTGGCCGCACAGCTATGCAAGCATTAATTGACGATCTTCCAAGAGATGGAGTATGGGAACTCCAAGTTGAGCTTGATTCCTCTAATTCTCCAACACTCTTATTCTGCGCACATCGGACTAGTATTTCCTTACTTCAAACTAATCCCTGGGTTATTTCGATGGACCCAACATTTAAAACCAATAAGTATTCACTCCCGCTTTTTAATATTGTGGGATTTGCAGCAACCGGTCAATCGTTCCTTATTGCCTGTGTTTTTATTGAAGACCAAAAAGAAGACACCTTTATTATCGCTGCGGAATGCTTAAAAAGACTTTACGCATCTCTTCCTAGATGTCCATATCCAACAACGATTCTAACAGATAAAGATGACCGTCTACAATCTGCTCTTCTTACAGTCTTCCCGCAATCTCACAGAATGATCTGTATTTGGCATATTAACCAGAATATCGCTAAACATGCAAGACCATTACTTAATGAACAAACTATTCTTGATCGAACCAACAGTATTATCACTCCAGCTCAAAGAGAAGCCGAGCGAGAGAACGTCAAGGAAGGATGGGATAATATGCATCGACGCTGGAACCGATTGGTGTATGCTAAAGATACAGCGGAGCTTAAAGAGAAGTGGCAGTGGTTTCAGGACGAATACAAGGAATTTCCAAATCTGGTTCAATATATCCAGACTAATTGGTTAGAAAGCTGCCCAGAACAGTTTCTCCGTCTCTATACTTCCCAATATCTCCATCTTGGAGAGTCAGCAACATCGCGCACTGAAAGTATGCATTGGATGCTTAAACGTGAGCTACAAGGCTCACAAGGGAATCTTCTTGTCGTTTTACAACACTTTGAGCCTATTCTTGAGCGCCGCTTTGAGAAGATTCGGCTAGCGATTGATTCTCAAAAGATTAACCGACGACACGCTTACATCCTGTTTTTCAACAGCTTGGATGTCGAATTTCAATTAAAGGCATCCACTTTGCGCAAGATGAGCTTTCAAGATATCTCCCTGAGTCGTCATCGAAGCCTCCGATTCCACAACACTGTGACTGTGGTGTAGAAGAAGCACTAACCTGTCACTGTCCTTGCAACTGCAATTCAATTAATACATCAGGATTTCCTTGCATACATATTATTAAGAAGCACTATGATGAGAAAACCAGTCTTCTTCCAAGCCAATTTCATCAGCAATGGCATCTTTATGGATTTGATCCTCCTCCTCCTCAACAGATATTTATTCAGGAGCCACTCCGAAAGGAAAACCGGTCTGGTGGAAGGCCACGTGGTGCCACTAATTTCCCCCGATTCCAATCCCAATCACAAACTCAGACTCAATCGCAACATTTAACAGCCTTTGAGAGATCAGTTCATAGGGAACCATCTGCATTTGAATACGGAGACCCAGAGCTGTTTCAGCAGGCAGGTGATCGTTATCCTGGATGCCCACGAAGAGGGCCAGGAAGTCGTGGAGGTCGTCAACATACACAACCTACCCGGGCTTCACAAAAGTGTAAACGCCAAGATGAGAGAGAAGATTTTGACAGTATGGAAGATGATTCTGACAGTGAGGAGGAGACCGAATCGGAATTTGAAGGATTTACAGATTTACAGATTTGATTCAGTAATAAGATTGAAGAATGATTACAGTCTGAAGTAAAGGCGGTAATAGGAATATAGCAGAAAGAGTGTATGTTTTCCGGAGTAAGAGATATACACCGAATTGCGTAGTTTCAATCATAGCTGAACCATGATTACTAATATTTATTCTGCCGGTTTTATTTTTTAAGAAATATCACTACATGAGGTAAATTCTGCCTGATATATAAGACATTAAAGTGGAATTAGTAATTTTTGTAGTGGAAAAAGTAAAGTGTGTAGTGGTATTAGCACGTCCCTATAAATATTATTAGAAAGAACTTTGACTTAAGTTGCAGCCTTTGACTTATAGCTTCCAATTTCGTAACGAATAATCGTACTTGCTGATCGTAGCAGGCGCGAATTTTTTATGGCAAATTTTGTTCTCTTCTTGTTCTTTGGTATCCTGATACTCAACACCGTAGAAAACCCACCAAGTGTAGTGAATTCCTACTAGTTGAATATTGCAGTTGTTGTGAAGTCTGCTTTTTCATTGATGAAAGAACTAGCTACTTATAGTATATGGGTGCCCCTCTGCCCTGGACGAATGTCAACATTCGTCCGAGACAGAAGAGACGGTGAAGACGGGATATTACTGTCGCGAATGCACATCGCTCAAGGGTGTCGTTTGCGATGAATGCATATCGTTCAAGGATACCGTGATATACTAATCTAGTTCCAGAGTCGCTGTCTTGGCAGAAGCTTTTTCGGCCGAAATACTTTCCGTCTGTTGATAGCCTTGTTTCTCGGCTGTCGCAACAGTAGATGCCTCATTTTACACCGCTTTATTTACCGCTTTGTTTACCGCTTTACCGCCTTTATATCATAGCATTTTCCATAACATTTTCCGTAACATTTTCCAACACCTCCTTCAAATCTCCACATCTGCATATTCTTCTCTTATTTTACATCAACAATTTACTGTCATCATGGATTACGACTCCAATTCTGAGTCTATTCCTGAAACCCAGCTGATATCTTCTCCAATTCCCTCTCTAAACACACCAATCGAACCAATTCTATCTCTAGACATGCCAATTCAACCAATTCAACCAACTCCTCGTGAATTCCCTCTACCTCCACTCGACCAATCATTCCAAACTGCTGATGAAGGCGCAAATACTATCAATATATTTGTCGGAACATGGATATTGCAATCATGCAATACCATAAACCCGGAACGGAACAAACAGACCCCGAGTCACGGGGGAACAACTATATTAGGAACTCAAGTAGCTACATGAATCGAACACATTTCCCACCACTTTGCACAACGTATATACTAAGAACCTAGGACGAACCATACCCTTTTCCAGTATATATAGTGCAACGTGTGAACCCTGTCCTTTCAACGTAGTTGATCGACAATATTTGCGCGGAATCATGGATATGCTGTCACAAAACTTCGCACAAAACCTAACAAAAAAGGTGTCACAAAGCTTATACGCTTTTGCTGCGACCGTGGCCGACCATATAAACCCCGTATCTCAGTAAGTAATAATATCAATCTTATATCACAAATTTTATAATAATATAAGTTAAATAGACACGCCGACGCCGAACTACAACTTTACATACTGGTTGTGAATTCTCCATGTCTCTTCGGCTTGATGATATCACAAATATTTGGCGTATTACTGTGGAAAATAAAACACATAACCATGACCCATCACCTACCTCAGCACACCCTACTCATCGCCGAGATCAACTTAATTCTTTACAATCTTATATTCAACCTGAGCTTGAACAAGGAATTCCAACCCGCCAAATATTCCGTAATCTCTCTCCAACCACTCCAGACTTACCTCTTATTTCACAGGATATTTATAATTTCCGGAAGAAGATAAACAAGAAGCATTTAGCTAGGCATACAGCACTTCAAGCATTACTCCAAGAGCTTTCTCAAGAAGGTAATTGGATCTTCCGCTATACAGTGGACGACGATAACCATGTTACAATGTTATATTGTTTACATAAAACAAGTGTTGGTCTTATGAAGGTAAGTTATATCTTCTTAATATTTATGATCTAAATATTTATGATATCTAGTTAAATCCTTGGATAATATCTATGGATTGTACTCATAAGACGAATCAATATCGAATGCCATTACTTAATATGGTTGGGATAGTTGCTACTGGCTCAAAATTCAATCTTGGGTTTGCATTTATTCAGGATGAGAAAACTGAGTCGTATCAGGTTAGTTTACTTATTTATTTATGATATATATATATATACTAATCTTTATCAGAGTGTCTTGAATCTCCTTGCTGAAACATACACATCTCTCGGAATTGAGTCTCCCCGCACAATTCTTACAGATAAAGAAAATGCTCTTATGAATGCAATTCGTGTCGTTTTTCCAAATACTAAAAGCATGATTTGTGTTTGGCATATCAATATGAATATCATGAAAAAAGCGCGCCCAATTCTCTCTGAACAGGTCTTGAAAACCCAGCTTGAAGACCCTGATCTAAATCAGACTAAAGCTGAAAAACGAAACGCACTCCGGAAATTGGTTCATAATAAGTGGGAAAAAATGCTCCAACAATGGAATCGTATTGTTTATGCGACGACTCAAGCTACATATGATCTTCATTTACAGTCTTTTAAAGACTATTATTCTGGTAACATCCTTACTATTTTTTACTATTTATATTACATAAACCAGAATAACTAACTGAAAAATAAATGCAGATCCAATATTTGCTCCTTTACTTGAATATCTTCAAGAGGAATGGTTAAATAGCTGTCCAGAGCAGTTTTTACATATCCATACCTCTCAATATCTCCATTTAAATGAGATAGCCACTTCTCGTACAAAAGGAGCACATTGGCTCTTGAAACATGATTTTCAATTCTCAACGAATAACTTATTAGTTGTTCTACAGAACTTTACACAGGTTTTAGAGCTTAATTTTTCAAGGTAACATATAATCATAATATTATTATTTTATAATATTAACTTAAATAGGATATCTTATGAAATTGAGGTTGATAAACAGGCCCGAAAACCTACATCACCTACACATCAGATGTATAAGTTTCTTAATGGAATCATTTCCAAAAAGGCAATTCAACATTGCAAAGACACGTATAATAAGTTTCTCCCTCCAAGTGATTCCTCTACTCCAATTGAGTCACAAAAACCACTGATTCCACTAAGTTGTGACTGTAATTCAACACAAACTAGTGGATTCCCATGCATTCATATTCTCAAACAACATGATGAGGATAATATCGCCCTCCAACCATCACAATTTCACCAGCAATGGCATTTATATAGTGTCAATGCTCCTCCAATTGATCCAATTCTCCTTCTCCAAGACCCAGTTCGGATACAACCACGAGGACGTCTACGAGGTGCACAAAACTTCATTCAGACGACACAAAATACACAGACACCAATATCCTAGACGACACAAATCAACCCCTTAAACATAACACAAACTCAATCAAACACCCAACCTCCAGATTCTCCAATTAATCGTTCAACACGCCGAGATCCATCATCATTTGAATATATATTATCGCAGGAAGGAGTTAAAGGAAGGATACAGGGGGAAACGGTGAATGCGGCTCAAAATGCAGCTCATCGCGCTAGGGCGGCGATGAAACAGGGTTTAGAAATCACCCCGAGTGGTGACAGCACTCAGGGTGACTCAAGACCTGCTCGGATTCGGCAACGAGTTGAAGACCCTGATATGGAGTATTATTAGTTGAATTGAATGCTCCATTCGCGTTGAAACAAACACGTAAACTTATACCATAATATATCAACTAAAGTATGTAAACCAGAGTGTAAAATAAACTGAATACAGAAGTGTAAGATGGAAGAAGTTAGGATGCGACCGTGGGTGATAAATATGACGTATTAATAGTTATTCCATAATACTGGCAGAATATCTGGCAGAATATCTGGCAGAATAAATTATTGCATAAATGGTGCCTAATGATACCTGAAAGCCTTATTAATCAGGCAGGGAGTCGCTTTTTTGTGCCTCAAAATTAAGGCGACCTACATTTTGGTCATTGGCGGCTGGGTCACACTACGCGGTTGAAAATTGAGAATATTGGCTCAGAAGATATCGAAAAAACAGCAGAGTCACAAGAAATCAATTCGGACGAGAACAAAAAGCTATCAAGCCCAACGAGTGTGCTCGAACTTGCTCATCACCTTTACCCGGTAAATGGAAGGATGTGGATAAGGCGTGGACAATTGTCAGAGCTTTTAGAGAGGCAGAAAAGACTGCTGACGATAACCCTTTAACTCGCTGCCGATCACTCAATTTCAGACGTCATAGAACAAAAAACTTTTATCAACGGAAACACCAAAATGGAACATTTCAAGGTTCCTTTTAATGCCACACTCAATTTTTCGTATTACCTCGCCCTATCTCTTCAAACTGGACTGTCTGGGTTATAGTGCCATAAATTGACCCTCCAACATACAAGCCCTGCCGGGCTAGCTCAATCGGTAGAGCGTGTGACTCTTAATCACAAGGTTGGGGGTTCGACCCCCCCGTTCGGCTATTCCTACTACGAACCTTCGAGTCTTCTTTTTTTGCTTTCCGAACTTCCCATCTGTTTTTCTAAGATTTTACTGGAGCCCATTTCATAAATATGATACTACCTATGACCTTGAAAATGACAGAAGATCTTTACTGGGTGAGGCAAAATATTGTATCCACAGAGTAATCTTCAAACCACAATGTGTAATGAATCACAGGCCAGATGAATCCCAGGACACCCTCTTCGTTCAAATTCAAATAAAGCAGGCTCTGACAAATCTGGATTCTCCATCGTTATTGATCTCGAAAATTCCTAGTTGATCAAACACGTCTTCGTCCATATTGATTGCTGACTGGCTGGCAATCACAATGCTCCCAGCTGGAATGTGATAGCCTTGGTCAAGGCTATTCTCTGTCGCTTTCTATCATTCGAGGGACGCTGATGGGAAGAATTTGTTTCCAAAGAAGCTTTTTGATTAAAGAGCTGAAACTTGAGATGTGGCAAATGGGGCATATCTTGAAACTATGAGCTTCTAGGTGGTCCAACGACGGAGTCATTCAAGGCCGATGCCAAACTATATGAATATCGAGTCAAGACGTTCTCGACCTCGATATCATCAGACCCGAGCATCTCTTAGAAAATCTGCTTAGACTCGACAACTTGAAATTTCCGATACTTCTTGCTCATGTTGAAAGGATTGAGTTTAGAAATCGGCGGTATTGCTTCCATTCCTCCCCGTGAGGAAGAGTAATTGGCATAGTACCTTGCACCACTCGGCTGAGGTATAGGATCCTAGGACGTGAGCTGTAGAAAGTACCCCATCTGCCCAAAATTTCGTGAGCGACATCGTGAGAACCCAAGAACACAAGAACAAAGATACTTTAGGAATGCGGATGCTGATGACAGGGCCGTAGGTTTTATGCCATTGTCTTAAGGTAGACAAGATGAATGACTGAGAGATTATGGATATTTTCCAATCAGTGGAAGTTGCTTGGGGCCTAGTGGAAGTCAATTCTGCTCATACAATCTCAAGAGAAAAATTACAAGTGATCTATAAGGAAAAGTTGTAGGCCAGCACCAAAGAAAGCATTGTGGTCCTAGTCCAGCAGGCTGTGGCAGTAAGGACCAGTCCAGGAGGTAGTTTCAGAGGCACCTGGAACTGGAAAAGGAACTTCAAGTGAAAGACTTCAAGGTTGGAAGTGCACGGACTTCAACTTCGAGGTGAAATAGGTATGCACATGGCATATCAAATATATTTGTAGATCCAAACAGATATATCCTGCTTGGATTTGTTGTCAAATATATGAGGATAGTAAAAATGGTAAGTATATATGTAGATTATTCATTAGTGATACGTGAGCAAGGCCCTCAGGCTCGTAGGTTACGCACGAGGCGCAAGACTTGCAGAAACAGATCGTTCACCGCAACACTTGGGAGCGAATGATAGATTTAGATCATAGATACCCCAGTTGTAATGTGAATATCTGCATAGCTGTAAAAGCAGACCTTGAGAATTACACATGTAGATTTACAGCATCCCTGCAATGACGTGGTAGGGTTTTGGCTGTATGAACCTGAAATTGGGGTTATAAAATTGGAAGGCTCAAAGGACTCAAACTCAGTATGAACTTCCAAACATCACTTTCAGGTAATCTTCTACAATTGATACCTTTACATACCTTTACGGCAAAATGAAATGTGCTGCTAGATTGGCGAATATCTTACACACTGTATTCTATTCGGTCAAAGAACTTCAACTTACTAGAAAGAAAAGGAATCCAACCTATGTTGCTCTTTCAGGCTCAAAACCGGTAAGAAAATGGGAAATCTCTTATTCACAGATAGAAGTGTACTAAGATTGACTATCTAGTTATTTATACAGGAATCCCCTCAAGATGATGAGTCGCCTGATTCTTGGTATCCGAGGAGTCATCAGGTATGACACTAATCGCCCCGAGATAAGTTTTATCTAAATATTGACTGTAGGTCGTGATGGAACCTTTTTATTATCTTCTCTCAAATCCTGGCAAGAATACTCTCAGTCTACTGATAGATGCATTCAACGAATGGCTTCAAGTTCCTGAGGACAAGTTGAAGATCATCAAAAGCGTCGTTAATGTTCTTCACAATGCATCACTTCTGTACGTTGCCTATGAAGCTTAATAAATTAGAAGGATCTCTAATCTTCAAGGCTGCTTAGTATCGATGATATCCAAGACGACTCAACCCTGCGACGAGGATTTCCAGTTACGGATCAGGTATTTGGGACGGCCCAAACGATCAATTCGGCAAATTACGCATACTTTCTAGCATTCAGAGAGCTTCAAAAGCTTGAAAGTCACGAGGCTGGTATGATCTTAATTCATGAGATGATTAATCTTCATCTTGGCCATGGCATGGATCTATTCTGGCGAGAGACTTCTATATGTCCCAGTGAGACTGACTATCTTGAGATGGTCAACAACAAAACAGGCGGGCTTTATAGGATCATGATCCGATTAATGCAACTGGAAAGTACTTGCCCAAGGTATGTCAATAGGAATATAGCTTATAGTAGGATACCTACTCACTTCCAAGTAGGGACTATGTTGACCTAGCCGAAATCCTTGGGAAATTGCTACAAATCAGAGATGATTACAAAAACCTGCAAAGCGATTTCTACTCCCAGAAGAAGGGTATCTATAAGGATATCACAGAGGGCAAATTCTCATTTCTCGTTATCCACCATATGCACACAGATCCAGACAGTGAAATTGTTCGCAGAATCATGAAGCAAAAAACAGATAATGAGCGGATAAAGGATGTGGTTCTTTCGTGTTTGAGCTCTACTGGAAGCTTCGAATATACCGAAAGGACGATAAAGGATCTTGCGCGGCACGCAGAATTACTTATCATGGAACTGGATGATGAAAGGAAAAAGGCGGATGCTATTTTAGACTTGCTAAAGATGCTTCAAATTTAATTTAATGTCAAATATTTCAATTCTTTAGACATTGGCCTGGGGGATTATCAGGTTTCAATAAACATTTCAATGTCGATCACTTCAGCCTGAGATTTTGGAAAGTGAGACTGAAATTGACCATAAATCTTCAGAGTTAACATGTGCAATTAAATACAGTTGACGTGCAGCGAAATTAAGAGACGCTCTACGCAGTTGATACATCTCTCGGATCTACATAGCACCTTTGAATGTGGGGAGTTTAAAAAGGTGCCGTCTTGGTGATTATCACAACGCAACTTTGAGAAGAGAATCAAACTGTCCAGGTGGTCTCTAGTAAGAGCTACAGAGGGAAGATAAGAGCTACAGAGGGAAGATAAGGAAAGTAGTTCTCAACAGGCTTAATCAAAGTCCTATGCCAAAGGACTCCATGCTTCGATCGTTTGAATCACTGACATGAACGACAATTTTTCCTCTGGCACGACTTGATCGAAGCTTCTCAAAAGCTTTCCTTGCATCGTGGAGTTCATATACACTGTCTAGCTGGATCTGGATCTTGCCATCCGCTAGCCAATCCCCGAGTTGTACCAGTTGGCTTTGATTATTCTTCATCAACAAAATCGTATACTTCCTTTGTCCACCACCAAGGAAAGAGGGCCAACCAATTCGACCGAGAAAAGTCATCAATGTCGATGCACCAACTTGCACAAATGCTCCATCTTCCTTGAGGATATGATGGCACTGGTAATACAAGGAATAAGGTAGGCCGATATAATCGACTATACAGTCAAAAATGCGCTTTTGCTGCCGTAGCTTCGCCACGAGGTCAGTTTCCGCTGTATAGTCAATGACATCGTCTGCGCCCATGCGCAAGCATAACTCCATATTTCGAGTGGAGCATGTAGTTGTAACATGACAACCCATCTGCTTCGCGATTTGGATAGTGAAAAGCCCACAGCCCCCTGAGCCCCCGTTGATGAGCACCTTATCACCAGCTTTCACATATCCTTCTAGGCTCTGATACGCGGTCTGACCGGCGAGTGGCAAAGCAGCAGCATGATCCACTGAGACACCATCCGGTACGACAGCAATTTGGTCGGCTGTGATACTAAGAAACTCCCCCAGCGACCCGAACGGCCCCGGCCGCGTGGGACACCCGTAGACGAGCTGGCCTTCTTTAAGATGCTTGGCAAGTGGCCCTGTTGCCACCACACGTCCGCAAAAGTCCATTCCTGGCGAAGCGGGCATCCCGATGAACATGCGTGTGGGAAGCCCTACTTCGGGGAGCTTGTAGTCCACCGGATTGAGGGCGGCGGAGAGAACCCGAACCAGGACCTCGTTACGCTGTGGAACAGGTGGTGCACGAGCGGATGTATTGAGATTCAGATTCTTCTCGAGGCCACCAGAGGTGCTTGAGTAAAGCCAGGCTTTCATGGTCTCGGGGTGGAACGATGCAATTTTGAAAGGAGGCACCATTGTGTCCATTTCGATTGTGTTGACTTGTGTATTATAACTTTGGCTGATATTGAAGATGTCAAGATGAAATCTATTTTCTTCCACACTGGTATAAAACCTCTCCTTATTAAACCTCTATTTTGAAATCATGTTGAAGACTTCAAGCAACAAGAAGTTGGTAGATAAAATCAATCAGGTCAACTGAAGGCATTAATATTGCCGTAACTACACTCTGACCGCCCAACTTGATTTAATTCCAAAGTTCACACTGGTTTGTTATCAATATATTCATCTCCAAATTGACAGTACTCATCGTTTTATATCCAAGGTTTGCTTGATATGTGTTCGGTATGGAGTTTATGTTCTAAGCAGACCATGTCTTATCATTTCTTATCACCTAGTCCAGTCAACTTCTATAGAAAGTCTCATATGCCCAAGTGATAGTAGTAATAAGGATCAATGATGCACTTCAAGAATACTGAATACATTGCTCTTCTAAAAGATGAGCAATTCTCTTGAATCCATGAGAAACCATCTCAAATTCATATTTGCACAAAGCAATTTAGATCACTACGAGGTTCTTTCTCTTCACCGCATCACCCGGATTTGTTGCCTGCGGGGTCTTACCTAATCAAGTAGGCCACCTTCTGGATCACCTGGGTAATCTGAACGTTAGCAACTCACAACCAACTATGGCGTCCCTGTTTTTTTCCACTCCTGTCGATATTGACGTTGTGCTCGATGACCTCGATGAGCGCCAGACCATCGATGCCAAGCTTGACAAGGACCGCCGCGAGCGCGTCCCCCTGTACCTAGACGGCGAGTCCGTGAAGGGTGCGGTGACAATTAGACCAAAGGATGGCAAGCGATTGGAACACACTGGTATTAAGGTCCAATTTATTGGCACAATCGGTACGTCTGGGAGTACATGCCCCGAACACTCAATTTCCGTACTAACACAAGCTTGCCAGAGATGTTCTATGACCGAGGCAACCACTACGAATTCCTATCGCTGGTGCAAGAGCTCGCTGCGCCTGGCGAGCTGCTTCACCCACAAACTTTCCCATTCAATTTCAAGAACATTGAGAAACAATACGAGTCCTACAATGGTATCAATGTGAAATTGCGCTACTTCGTTCGCGTGACTGTCTCCCGACGAATGGCCGACGTCATTCGCGAGAAGGACCTGTGGGTTTATTCGTACAGAATGCCACCAGCGACCAACAGCCCGATCAAGATGGATGTTGGAATCGAAGACTGCCTGCACATTGAGTTTGAATACTCTAAATCCAAGTACCACCTCAAGGATGTCATCGTCGGCCGGATTTATTTCTTGCTGGTACGGCTCAAGATCAAACATATGGAATTGTCCATCATTCGTCGGGAGACAACTGGCTCGCCGCCCAATCAATATAATGAGAGTGAGACACTGGTGCGCTTTGAGATCATGGATGGCTCACCTTCAAGAGGTGAAACCATTCCGATCCGTCTGTTCTTGGGTGGCTTCGACTTAACACCCACCTTCCGTGATGTCAATAAGAAATACTCGACAAGATACTATCTCAGTCTGGTGTTGATTGATGAAGATGCTCGTCGTTATTTCAAGCAGTCCGAGATCTCTCTTTATCGTCAAGCTCCTGAGATTGCCGCCACGCCGGCGATCGCGCAGCAGCGAGAAATTCAACAACAGGTGCTTCTCCAACAACAGCAGCAGGCTCTGCCACCTGGATCCGCAACTGCTGGCCCGGGCCGAGAAGTACCCCGTGTTCATAAAGAGCAGCAGCCGAGTCCTCCCCCGTCGCGGCATGATTCAACATTGCATGGAGAGATGAGATATGAAGCGAACTTTTAATCCCTGTATCTCCGATCTTTTCGATACCCAAATTACTCACTCTCTACTTGACGTCTACACTTGTTTTTCACTTTTGGTTCAATTCATTCTTGCAGCCTTTTGTAGCCTATCGTTTTCGTTTAATCATCTACAGAGCCTACTCGCGATTTTGTATTACAATTCTTTAGAAATACCCGTCTACAGAGGCAGGATTAGATATCAATGGAATCATCTTCCAATCAATTTGACAGTAGTAACGTCTATGTAAGGCCACTTTACTCAAAAAGTCCTATTTCTTGTAACACTTTGCCGAGAGACACGAGAACTTGCCCATCATCGCGTTCCTTACCGGCTACTTGGACGGCCTTTACCACGAGGGGATAAAGCCATTCAAGGTGCTTGCGGCGATGACGCAGAGAATCATCATCTGAGCTGATGGCAGCCGGAACAGTCTTGATAGCAGGTGAATCTGGAATAACAGAGGGCTCAGTTTGAAGCTCAACCATATGTGCCAGAAGATGCAAGAGAGAATTGCGTGCAAGTGTGGGTTGAGGCATCAGACCACGGAGGGGCTGGTCGGCAATGTATGATTTGAGGGAGATGGAACAGCGGAGAAGGAGGTAGGGGGAGATAGACTGCGCAAGTAAAGTCTTTGGGTTAGGAGTAGAATCCTCAGAGCTGGGACTTGCCGCGAGCTCGAATAGGGTGTCCTTGAGTAGGTATGCCATTCTTGGACGCAGTGTTGGAGGTGGGTCAAAGGTACGGCCTGAACGAATTCTGTAAAATTCCTGAAGGGGGTCTTTCTCGATAGGAGTAGGAGGAAGGTCGAAACGTTGCGGAGGATAGATGAAGGATGGATTAAATATTGCACAGGCGAAGTCGCGGCGGACCGAGCTGGGAATGGATGACGCTCCAAGGGAGGGAAGAATCAGCGTCTTAAGGCGTTTAAATGCTGCAATATCAAAAGTCTCGTCGGCCGAGACCCGTGCGCTTGAGAGCTGCTGGGCATGGAAGCCATGGGCGGAGACAATGCCGTAAGTGGCATCCACGACACACTTCCAGAAGCGTGTGATCTCTGCCTCGTTTGATTGGGTGTACTGCTTCTCAACATAGGGGACTGAAACTTGGAGTACATTCAGGAGCGCATCTGTAGCCTTCTGCCATAAAAATGGCTCGCGATCATTGCCTTGCCAAGTGTATTTTTGTACAATTGGCACAACAAGACGGTCAAGAGCGATTGAGAGCGCACCGTTGGTGAAGATGTCTTGTTTTATACCGAAGTCGGATATGTACCAGCTAATAAGATCAACAACCTTCTTTGAGAATGCAACAAAGGCTGGTCGCCTCGAGTCGCTTCTGGTGGTCCAATTCAAAAGTGCCGAGGCTGACAGATCTGCTAGACATAAGAGAATAGAAGCTTGAGACTCTTCTTTTTCCAAGCAGAGAGTTTTAAGACAGTCTACGACCAATGCTTGCAAGGCGGAGGGACGGTCGATATCTGGAGAGTAGGAAGAAGAGACCGAGTTCCACACAAGCAGACGCACATGACGAAGAACCTGATCAATGTGTTCTGTTGTCAAGTCGTCCTTGTAGAGACGGTATACCTGCTGGAATGCCTTTAAATGGGCTAATGCAGCTTCTTGATTGGGCCGGTCCAGCTTGAGTTCGTTCTCGTCACTAGCAGGGTGGCCATTAGCCCATAGATCCCAGGAACATCGAAGCGCCTTCTTGCTCAACTGACTGGATGACTGCACTCGAATCAAAATTGTCGAAAGGCTGACGAAGATTGCCTCGCTCAATTCCAAAACATGCAAGTCCACCAGCTGTTTAAGGTAGTTTAAGAGTCGGGACCATGAATCATCGAACTTCTCATCGCGCGCAATAGTATCGAAGAAATTCTTGATCAGATTACAGACTCCATTGATCATGATGACTGTCGTCTCGATCCACAATTTGAGCTCGCTACTCTGTTGCATTTTAGTTTGTTGTATAGCGCTTTCGATATCTTTAACCATTTGGAACAAAACTCTGTTGAGGCATAATTGCCATGCATTTGGAGAAAGATGCTGGCCATATGCATCAAAAATTCTCAACAGGGTGTGAATCGCGCTGTTTCGAATTTCTGATCGTGTATCCGTTGTAATATCAACGATACGAAGCAGCAATAGAAGCCAGAGCGAGTTCCTTGAAACGGATGCATCCTTGTCTTTAGAAAGGCTTATTAGGTCCTCCTCACTGACCGAAGCATCAACGTGACTCTCGATAGAAAATTCCTCAATCTGGCCCTGGAGAAAGTCGGACACATTCCAGAAAAATGAAGTAGTTGTTAGGGAGATGTTGAAATCCTGCATTTGTGAAGCAAAACTGGAGAACGAGTTTACTAGGCTCAGAAGACAGGATGCAGGAAGTAGCGTGAGAAAGTCAGAGGCCACGAGATGCAGCGATTTGTAGGCAGCACGGACTAGGCGAGGCCCAGCAGGAAGTGCAGACGTCCTGCGCTCAGTCGTTATAGTAATGTGATCTCCTCTTTCTACCTCTGTTACACCCTGAAAGACACCTGATATCAAATCAAAGGTGAGATTCCACCCATCAACAAATGTTTCTGCATACTGCTCCAGGATTTTTTGGAGTACCTCCAAGCTTTGCTCATGGATCTCAACGACAGTGATTGGTAGCGACTTTGAATTCACCATTTCTGATGAATACAACGAGATCACCTGGTCTTTGAGAGTCTGCAGGTTCCTCGTCTGTAGTTCATTCTGCGTCTTTTCATCGTTCCCGTCTCTGGGCTTCATCGTCGAGAATACTAAAGAATTAAGAATCTCGTTGGCTTGCAGGCGAAGATTTGGACTGATTAATGTGTTTGTCGATATTGAAATGAGGGTTTGAGTCAAAAGTTGCCAAGCTCTGCTATCGACTTGGTCGAGGGATGACAATCTCTCGAGGTTTGCCTGAGCTAATGCGTTTCCCTTCTCTAGAACGAATTTCAGCTCCTCATCCTGCATTCTTGACTTGCCCACGGTATGTGACACTCGCCGGGCATTTTGATGCATACGCCCAGAGTTGCGAGATGCTTTTGATGAGTTAGGTGTTTCGGGAACTTCTTGGGCTGCTTGTTGACATTTTCGTTCTGTAAACTCAGAAAGACCTAGAAGTGCAAGTAAAATGTCTTGGAATGAATCACTAGGATAATCGCTCGTGCTTTCAAACAGTTTCGTCGAAGCTGCTTGCACCGCAATGACCTCTGAGCCCAGATTTGCCGTAGGGACATCATTGCCTGAGACGCTCGTATTTTCACTTAAGCCGCTGGCGGACTTGACCATTGCACTAGATGAGCTTCCAATCACTAGACCAGTATACTGCAGTGTTTCTAGTAGGATGGACCAGGCCGGCTGATCAAGGGTTGGTCCCAGTGCGATCCCAAGGTTGACCAAAGCCCGCAAACAAAGGAGATTCCTCGTACTCAACGATGAGCCAGGGGAATCCATGAGCGATGGATTATATCCTGATAAATCTGCGCTTTTCCGCTTACTTTGAGAAGTTTCATTCGCGTGACTTCCTGTCGCCGAACTGGACAGGGCCTGTGCTCTTGTGCTTCCTGAGCTGGCAGGAATAGCAGCTTTACCGAGGGTCGTAAGGAAGGCATCACGAGGCACAGATAATCTGAGAAGGCCTGCTGTGTGGGCCAACTTTTGAAATGCTCGGACCAAATTGTGGTAGAACTCTTCATCTAGAGAGGCATTTAAAAATGTGGAGCATGTGGCAAGAACGGCGGGCCAGCAGCTGTCAATAATTCCCGCGCATGCCTTGATGGCAGGGTATTGTACGTGAGACTGAAGATCTAGAGGATTCATGGGCACGGATGAGTTATTTGGTAAAGAAGCAAATTTCAGTCTTCCATCTGGTGACGGAAGGTCCTGAGAAGACCTGGCAAATTCAGTCTGTTCTTTGTTCATGACTCGATTTTTCCGTTTGTGTTTCAGATCTGGGACTGTGAGTGGGAGAACAAACTTCGCTAGACCTTCTGCAAAATTACTGATGCAGTTAAGAACAAGGCTGTAGATATAAGTATCTGGGGGGAGTGCAGGCTCTGCTTTGTCGAGGAGCTCAATATACGGCGTACGAACAACGCTCCATTGGCTGCTGATTCCAGGCACATTAGCCTCGGTTAAGGGAGTTGATGATCCAATAACACCTGCAACACCGCCTGTCTCGAGAGCAATTTGATCCTCAGTGGCGGATTGCGCATACTCGACACGGAAAGGTATGGTTGACTGATTGCTGACACCGATCAATGCTGGTTTCTCGGAAGCTAGCTTGACAAGAGCGGCCATATGATCACGAAGAACGTTCTTTCTACCCTCCTTTCCGTCAAACAAAGAGTAGATCTGACGAACAACACCTGGCTCAATGTAGAGACCTCGGAAAACCTCCATGCACAGCACCCGTTTCCAGGGCGATGTTCCATCGGGTTCGAGAAGATGGGTCAGTAGACCAAGAGCCATCTCACACTCGGCAGGCAGAAGAGACAAATGTTGTTTAAGAAGCACAAGCAGGATGCGAGAAACTCGAACTGTTTGTGAAAACGATCGTCTTTCTGATAAACACCGCACAGACAATGGCAATAACCGAGTTCGTAGGATTTGTGACAATTCGGGATGCCCCGCGAAAAGACGGCCACTGCTAAGCAGGACACTCTCAATAAGTTCTAGAACAAAAGTCGGTGATAGCGTTTTGGTACGTAGAAACTGCAATTGATCCTCATCAATGATCCGACAAAGGTCATCCAAGACCTGCGAAGCATCATATGCAAACCGTCCCAGTGGCACAGGTTGACCATCAACTTGAACAGTTGTGGTGGATTTAGCATTACTCGATAGTTTGTCCTCATCGAAAACTCTTTCAAAAGTTGAGACCACCAACTGCTGGAGGGTAGCAGCCGCAGTACTGCTTACTGCAATCGTTTTGCTCGCCTGTAGAGTCGCACATAGCTCTAATGTGTTTGCGAGGAGTTCCCCAGTAAGTTCATTGGAGTAGTACTGCAAAAGTGAAGGTAGCGACTGTAGAATCTTGAGTTGAATATCAAGGCCTATAAAATGTCAGCACCTAGAAGTCAGTGGGCTCTATCACCTAGTACATACTCAAGCTCGCTGTCTCCCTTAGCCCTGCAAGGACGTCTTTCAAGCGGTGAGAGGGTAATGCTCGAGATGCAATAAGCCGCTGCAAGCAAATGACACCAATTCCTGCGATCTTTGGGTGATGTGTATGACATGCGATGATAAATGGTTCAACAAACTTGGGTTTCCGGACAAGGTCTGGGGCGCTATTTAGTTGTGGTCAAGCTCAATGTCATGGACCAAAAACCGACCTGCTGCTATTTGAATCTCAGACGTCGAGGGGAGGGCCTTTAGTTCATTCAGTGACTGCTCGGCAGCCTGCTTAATTGGTCAGTTCTGCTGTTTTAAGGATATATGAGTTGGTAAGGGGATGGTCCGACATTTCGCAGGTCCGCATTCTTTCGTCTACACTCTTGAATGAGATTGGCAAGTTCTGTCTGCAAGAATTGGGAGGACATTTCCAAGTTCCAACATAAAATGGATACTTCAAAGTTCAAAGCATCACTGGCGAGTCTCAATGACCAGAAATCCGCAAGTCAACAGTGACGAAAAGCACTTGGACACCGGAACTCGGGGTACAAACTCTGCTAATTATGTTGAATTAGTAACCAGTAGCACGTAGTACCAATATCAATACAAAATCGGAAAGTCGTCCCTCTTAAGAAAGCAAATGCGTGTGCAACAGTCAACAATCCCCGTGGCTTCTCCAAGTGCCAAGAACCGACGATAAGGCGGTATCGCACGTGACTACCCCATTGATCCATCGGCGGGAAGTACCCCTCTTATATTCGTCTCGAATCCCGTCCAACTTTTTGTTCCTTGCTGCTTGCATCCGGAAAAATCACGACAAAATTTGCACCGAAATGGCTGCCGCTAAAGTCCCAAGAAACTTTAGGCTCTTAGAGGAACTTGAAAAGGGCGAGAAAGGCCTTGGTGCAGGTGAGAACGCCTCCACTATTCCAATAACAATGAACCAATGCACTAATTACTTCTTCAATATTCCAGAGGCATGCTCCTACGGCCTTGCCGATGGTGAGGATATGATGATGAGCAACTGGAATGGAACCATCCTTGGACCTCCTCACGTTTGTTTCCCTCTCCCTGACACCATCGGGTACACATAACTAACGGACTATTTGTCATTCAGAGCCTCCACGAGAACCGGATTTACAGCGTCAATATTCACTGCGGTCCTGACTACCCAGATAACCCTCCTATCATTCAATTTACCTCACGAGTGAACATTCCCTGTGTCGACCAGCGATCTGGCAAGGTACGCAATTTCGAATGACCTTGAAGAGGAAGGCTCATTAACTTTATCAGGTTGACCCAACCAAGCTTCCGTGTTTATCGCAGTGGAAGCGTGACTATACGATGGAAACCGTACTGATTGAGCTTCGAAGGTCAGATATACACATCTCTGTTAAATAAATTGAACTTCGTGCTAACTCTCGTCAATTAGATATATGGCTTTACCCGCACACAAGAAATTGCCTCAGCCACCTGAGGGCTCAACTTTCTAAACCCTCCATTTCTTGAATGTGGTTCATAAAGATGTTGGAGTATCATGGTTGTTTTCGAGACTTTTTTTGCTTTTTGTGGTTTCCGCCTTCGATTCAATTTCCTACGAGCGTGTATAGTCCTTGCATAACAGCATCGGCGCGATTCATTTAGAGGCTCAGTTTCTTATACATCCTCGACCATTAGTTTCAGTCAACAGGCTTACTCCTGGTGATTACAGTCGTCACATGGCAATGCATATGGAACAATGGATTGCATTCTTTGCAACAACAGCTCTTAAATATTTCCGGTGAAAGAACCTTAGAATATGCCCATACACAGGCGATGAAGTAAGTATTCATTCTAATTTTGAAGCTTCACCGCCGCTTCTGAGTTTTTGAATAAAAGTTCCAAGTCCATGTTGAAATTTCATCATTATCAACTATTTACTCCACATCGATACCGGATATGAGATCACGTGCTGATATCAGATCACTTGGCATCAAAGCTTCTTCATCGATGCGATATAGCCAGCTCACATTTTTCTTACAGCATGAATAGATTTGTGCATAAATTTGTGGTTCCAAGGAAATCCGGAGTTCATCGCTTTGCGTGTATGTCACTTACCTCATGGGCTAGTCCACCCGACTAACATCTCGATCTCTCAGGCTTGGCACTCTATCGAGCCCTTCTACGACAATGTTCCCCGGCCAAGAATACTACGCCATTGATCAGTGAGACAAAATTTGTTGTCAAGCAGCAGTTTCGACGGTATAAGTCGCTACAAAGTCCATCTCAGGTGGTTAATGCCCTGAAAGCCGGCTATGAGGTACACTCGTGCAAACTCTCTTTCAAAGCCCTTGAATGCTAATTCGTATGGTATTGGCTGGAAATAGGTCTTTGACATACTCGACTCCGTTGCTAATGGAAGTGAGAAAGATGCCCAACAGCTCAGCTCAATCTTGACCCAGGCAAAAGCTATTAAAGAGAAATATGCCGTCAGACAAAAGAAAGTAAACGAACAAATTCCTCAGAAACCGCTCACTCCAAGGCAAGCCCGAAAGGCTGAGACTATTCGCTTTGAAAAGGCGACAATGCGACGAAATCCCAATACCCGGTCCATCTTGGAGCGCCCATATGCAAAAATAAGTGGGATACGAAGAGTGCCCGTTTTAGTCAATGCTCGCGGATTGCCCTTTTTGCGCATCAAGAAGCCTCAGCCAAGAAACCTCAGTAGTACAATACGGAATAAGCTTGCGAAACGCTGGCATAGGATCGAGACTCGGGAACGGTTGGATTCAGAACTCCTCTTTGCCAGAGATGAAGATGCGTGGGATCGCCTTACTGGAACTGCGGAAGAATTCACATGGGCCGAAGAGGTCAAAACAGCTCTGGGAGTTATAAGTGACAAGATCAAGGTTTCCGATCGACAGAATCGGGAGCTGGCTCAGAAACTGTGGCAGGTTGTGCTAGCTGAACGAAAATTGGCTGAAAAGGAAAAAGCCGAGAGACAAGCGTTGAAACGTGCCAGGAAACAAGAGGCGAAACAAAATGCGGTTGATCAATCTACATCCTGAATACCTCGTGGCTTCATGATCTTATTTAGATCAATCCTCTTTCCTTCCTTTTGAGCTGCCTTTCTGTCACCATTTATTGCAACAATGATACCCCAGTTCAGTTTATACCACATTTCTTGTTTAAAGACTCTCTCTTACTATATGAAAACCACCTTTGATCCACCAATGCAAGTCGGTCAGTATTCATGAGGAACTAGCAGCCCGAGCGGGCGCATCAAGTCATAACTTAAGCAGCAATTTTAAGCTTCTGGACAGCTTGCAAAGCATCCTCACCCTCTTCTTCATCATCGCCCTTACCAGCCAATCCTCTCTCCCACAATTGCCGCCCAGTGAGCTTCTTCTCTTCCTTAATCTTCTTCTTCTTGTCCTCTGCCTCCTTCTCCTCCCGTTGTCGCTGTTCTTCATCCTGCTCCTCCTGTAAAAACCGCGCATGCCATTCCAAAAATGTCTCCCGGTTGACGGGTGTACCCTGAAACTTGCGGTTCTCCTCTTCCTCAGCCTTTTTAGCCAACATCTCCTTTTGCGCTTGAACAAGGTTCGCGCGGTCTTGCATAAGAACCTCGGCCGATTCCTTCAGCGCGCTCACAAGGGTGAAAACCATTGCCATTCCAATGTTTTCTTCAATCGTGGGTTGAAGAGCCTCCATAAGGAAATCCCGGTCTTCTTGAACATCTAGCCGAGGGTTCTTGGGTGCATTGGGTGGACAGGAAATGTTGAGTTCTGGTGCCACATCTGGGTATTCTTCCGGATATGAAACTTCCAGATATATCAAAGGCTGCTCTTCATCGGGATCATGCTCAGGTGTTTCTAGAATGATTGACACTTTGTATGCGGTCTCGGATATGTCTGAATGGCGGCGTCTGAAGTCAGTCACAGACTCTTCCAACTAACGAATCGTCTATCAATGTCATAGTATGGTACCTACCTGTAATTTCTTCAGGAAAAATCGAATCGAGCACTTCGCGCTCCTCGATTTGGTCTTCGCGACCCATTTTGTCTAGCGGGCTGGAGGGGTATCGAGTGAGATGGTTCGAGTAGAAGGGACCAAGGCAGTATAGCGCTGTAAAAGAGAACAAGGATATTTAAATAGAGTCTCTCCGGAGACAAAGCTTATGGAGATTTAAATTCTATTGAAGAAAGATCCCAATGTCTTAGCAAGCAGTAGAACGAGACCAATCTTGCGGTCCCCACATTGCAAACGCATCAAACAGCTCTAAATTTTGAGCGGAGCTTCACTTTTTTTTATGGAGTTTCCACATTCTTGATCAAAACTTATCCTACTTGTCCAGCCCTGGACTCATTGATTTTGTTATAAATTTTATAATACACCTGTCATGGGAAAATCTCGGCCTCAAAAGAATAAGTCTTCCAAATCTCGACAAAAATCCGTCCTCGGCCCTGGTGGCACAGTCTCAATTCAAAAAATGGCCCAAGACCCTTCTACACTCCTCGACGAAGCCAACATCCTCCTCCAAACAGGCCGGATTGAAGGCGCTCTGGCAAATGCCGAACAGGCGCTAGAACTTATTGGAAGCGACACTGCATCGCTCCCCGCATTGAACATTCTCGGAGAGATCAATGTCGAGCTAGGCGATATCGATGCCGCTAGGCAATATTTTCTACGCGCGGTTCAATTAGATCCTAATGGCTCGATATTGGAATCTGAGGGTGGAGGCTCTGAAAAATTCCTGTGGCTTGCGCAATTAAGTGACCAAGGTGGAATTGATAGTGTCCAGTGGTATGAAAAGGGCGTTAGTTCCATGCGACAGACTCTGCAATTACCGGAGAGTAAATCGAGCCCCGCGGATCTCGCTCTGATTGATGAGAAGAAGACCAAGTTAGCAAATGCACTTTGTGCCGTGGCTGAGATCTATATGACCGATCTATCGTGAGTTATTTCCGAGAAAGTATAGTGAAAATATGCTGACGATTTATTGCTTTTATCAGTTGGGAAGAAGATGCAGAGGCCCGTTGCGACGCTCTTATTACCGAAGCTCTACAAGTCACCCCTGATGCGCCAGAGGTTTTGCAGACTCTCGCATCAATCCGGATTTCACAACTGCGGACTGAAGAGGCTCAAGTCGCGCTTAAAAGGAGTATCAGCCTTTGGAAGGACTTGGCTCCTGAAGACCTCAAGATACCAGACTTTGCTGTTCGTATCAGCCTTGCGCGACTCTTAATGGAAGTTTCATTAGAATTTGAGGCTCTAGAGGTTCTGGAGCGTCTGATTCTCGAAGACGACCAAAGTGTAGAGGCTTGGTACCTTGGCGGCTGGTGTCTCTATCTGCTGGCAGAAAAGAAACAGGCACCGAAGGACATCGAGGTTGTCGACGCTACCGAATCACGACATGCCTCGCTGATTGCCAGTCGCGAATGGCTCAAACAGGGTTTGAAGCTTTACACTCTACTTGAATACGAAGATGAGCGACTCCGAGACCATGCATTGGAGCTAGTGCAAGGAATCACCGCTGAAATTGGCGAGGATGATGAAAGCGAGGCAGAAGGTGAAGGTGAAGGGGAAGGAGAAGATTGGGATGAGGAGATTGAGGCTGACTCTGATGAAGATCACGAGATGGCTGATTCATAGATTTTAAAAATTGACGATATGACACGCAAACTTGATTTTCTTTATCTGTTATCTTAGTTGTTATTTTCTTTGTTGATACCAAAACTAAACTTCTTAAATAACTACTTTTTCATCTATTCAATCTGATATTTCAACTTTGCCACACACCTCGGTCTTCGGATAAGGCATTTATCCGTAGTCACGATACAGCCAGATTTCGTTCATTCGTGTTCGACGAGTCGTTGAGGCAGTTAATACTCCTGCAGGATGGACTTGGTATCAGCGGCAAATAGTGAGAAATCGGAGATTCCGCTGAAATCCACTGTGGTCGAAGTGGAGGCCGTAGATATTGCGGAGCAGGTTCACGAGTCGGCCGCGCTCGAGGAATCCTCCGAGAACGACAGCGATAGCTCAGATGACTGCGACACTAGCTCTCGTGGAAGTCATGATGGAAGGGCCGTTCAATTCTTGAATGACGTTGCTTTACGTGACGGGCTTGGTATGTTTCCTGACTTCACTACTATCAGTACCCCATATGGATGCCCCGCTATCGGAGTCCAATCCTCAACTCGGGCTAACCCTGCCATGCGGTATAACAGTTCCAGACGCCTGTACCCTGGAAGAAGCGATCGCATACCGTAACCGTCTACATGCTATCGGTACGGTTGCGTTTGTGGAAGAGACCCTCGACCGCGAGACTATCTCCGCTAAGAAGCTATGTACGGCGTTTAACATCGTGCCCCCAAAGTTCTTAGAGGGTGAGCCAGATGAAGCATACCACCCTCTCCTTGCCATCGCGCTCTCGCGGGAATTTTCCCGACGTCGTAAGCTTGATCAGTTCAACTCGATCGATGACGCAGTTCGATTGCTACAGGATTCCAAGAACATTATCGTCTTGACTGGCGCTGGTGTATGTATCCACGATGTTGAGCTGTATTTTTGCAGGTCAATGCTGATGTGCTTATGCTTAGATCTCCACCAGTCTTGGTATTCCTGATTTTCGTTCGAAGGATACTGGTCTCTACTCAAAGTTGGAGCATCTGGGACTGAGCGACCCTCAAGAAGTTTTTGATATTCAAATCTTTCGCGAAGACCCTGGCATTTTCTTTTCCATTGCCAAAGACATTCTTCCTACGGAGAACAAATTCTCGCCAACTCATGGCTTTATCAAGCTTCTGCAGGATAAGGGAAAGTTACTCACAAACTACACCCAGAACATTGATAACATCGAGGCAAATGCCGGGGTCTTGCCAGAGAAAATGGTACAGTGCCATGGATCCTTTGCGACTGCGACATGCTATAAGTGCGGTTTCAAGGTCCCTGGCGAGGCGATCTTCAGTGATATCAAGGGAGGAAAAATTCCTGAGTGTTCTGCTTGCAAGCAGCGAATTGCCGAAGGGTCGCTGAAGCCCGTGGACCTGAAACGCAAGCGAAACTCCAACAGCCAGCGGAAGAACCGCAAGGATATCTACTATGATATCCATGATTCTTCCGATGAAGATGAACAGAATGATGACATCCCAACTCCTGGAGTCATGAAGGTTAGTTATATTGCTGGCTAAGTTCCGTCATAAGCCCCAAATTGATTTGATTCATAACAGCCCGATATAACCTTCTTTGGCGAGGATCTTCCAGATTCGTTTGCCGAACGCTTGATCCACAAAGATCGGAACCTGGTAGATTTGGTCATTGTCATTGGCACTTCGCTGAAGGTTGCCCCCGTTGCAGAAGCGCCCGGCATTCTACCCCGCCACATCCCACAGATCTACATCTCGCGCACTGTACGTCTCTTATCGGTTTCTTCTAACTCTAGCTAACCCTCACTTCGCAGCCTGTGTCGCATATTGGCTTTGACATTGATCTTTTGGGTGATTGCGATGTGATAGTTTCGGAGCTTTGCCGCCGAGCTGGTTGGGATTTGCAACACCATATGATACCCGCGGATGAGAAGGTAGAGATTACTCTCGAGGAGGGTTACGAGTCACGACATGTGTTTAAGGCGATTTAACGCATAGCAGCGGAGTTACAGGAATGGGTTTAGTGGCGGATGGCGTCTAGGATTCTGCGATTACAACTGGGAGGAGTTCTTCAGTTTCAGGCTGGGCTAAGGCCTTTCTTTTCTAGGCTAGTTAGGTAAAGTCTTTGTTTAGGAATATGAGCTCCTTTTGAGCCTGCGCCTCTTTAGACCTCCGCTATGCTATATGGCTCTTGTTCCATTTTTATTATATTTCCTCTCACTGAGAATCTGCAATTCAAATACAACGTAACTAATTCCATGTTCCTTATATTTAATATAAAGAAAGAATATTTCATACGAACTATTTTCCATATGTTGATAAAATCCATGGTATGCACGTGGAATAAGACCCATAATGCCATTCAAAAAAAAAAGAGGAAAAATTCAATCTCCCATCCCGCCAGTGAACCCCCACCACCTTGGAAAATTCCCAGAGGTATAATCGGACTCTCGAGATCGTCATGGAATACATCGTCCGGTTTGCACAGCATCATTATTCTTTCCGTCAGCCCGAGCTCGAGGCTGTGGCTGAACTTGTTGGAGTCGACCTAGAAATTATTTCCTACAGTGACTATGTATGTGATCCCCATCTGTATCGTAATGTTATGCATCGATAAAACAGCCCTGGAGCTATTTCGACTCTTCCAGCTCCAGGTTTTATTAAAATAATGTTGTCTTATACTAATAGATGTGACAGTCACCATACTGCATCGTGAAATTGAAAGATGATGCCGCAGCACGCGCATTGGTCTCGCGTTGCATCCTAGCCCAATGTGTCATTGCACTATGGGGCGAAGGAAACAACTATGAAGAGTTGCACGCAGACATCAAACGGCGAAATTGCTGGCCGGGTTATCAGAATGACCCCTTTGCTTTCAAACTTGCGTGTTTCGCCGGACAGCGAAGCCAACCAGAATGGAGCGAGATCATTGCCTCATTCAAGTATATGGATTTCAAGGGTCCAGTACAGCTCAAGAATCCCGATGCAAATAAGTTCTACGTCATGGAGGAGTGGGTTCAAGATGTTGAAACTTCTACCATCGGCACAGCGCGAGGAGAAGTGCCCCGAAAGATTTATATGGGGCGCTTTATCGTTGAGAGTGCTCGGAGTGCTGTTGATAAGCTTGATCTTAAAAAGAGAAAATATATCAGCACGACTTCTATGGATGCGGAGCTGAGTCTTGTCACGGCGAATATGGCCCTTGCTGCACCTGGAAAACTCTTCTTTGATCCATTTGTCGGCACCGGAAGCTTTTTGGTGGCTGCTTCTTACTTCGGTGCTCTGACCTTTGGTTCTGATATCGATCCTCGGAGTTTCCGGGGTAAGGATACGGAACGAAAACAAATGGCGTTGATGAAGAACTACGAGCAATATGGCATTGTGAGTCAGTTCGTAGATGCATTCACATCTGATCTTACCAATACTCCTCTACGCGACTGCTACTTCCTCGACGGAATTGTCTGTGATCCACCATACGGTGTGCGTGAGGGTCTTCGCGTTCTAGGAACCCGCAATGGGAAAATTATCGAGCCAACGATGATTGATGGTGTTGAGGCTCACTAGTAAGTATCCTGCATATATTTTTCTGATTGACGATGACTTTTTTTTACAAGTGCTAACATTGCCTCATAGTCGCCCCGGCTATATTCCTCCGAAACGGCCGTATGGATTTGAGGCTATCCAGAAGGATATTCTTGACTTTGCAGCACGGTCTCTCGTTCCAAATGGTCGTCTTGCGATGTGGATGCCCTGTACTAGCAGTGAGGCAGTAGACTTTCCAGTGCCTATGCATCCAAACCTAGAGCTCATTTGTGTTTCCGAACAACCATTCAGTAGCTGTACGTTCTCAAGTCATGTATCTCATCTTTGACATCACTGATTTCTAATTTCATATACAGGGTCCCGTCGATTGATGACTTATCGACGCCTTCCTGAAGGTGAAGTTTCCGACATTTCCTCAGGAAGAATCAAGTCCGATGACGACAGTGGTGTCAATGCAGACGAACTGAACGAATTCCGACGAAGAGTTTGTTTTTTCTCCATGAGTGATATCACAAAAGATTGCTAATTGTCTACAGTACTTCACAAGACATTTGGACAAGCTGAAAAATGCCGAGGAATCAAAATCAGGATGAGAACTCGGGAACTCATTCCTTATTAAAATCGATTTCACATGCTCCAAAATACATAAGAATCATGAACGGCCAGGAAGATTATTCAGACCTGTTTGAGGCTACCACATCATAATTTACCTCGCTTCAAGTCAGACATGAGGTCTACACCCTCGTCTCTTTTGATGCGACTTATCTCCTTGACCAGTTCAACCCTCATAGCACGGACCAAAACCTCAGCTTCATCATCGTCGAGGTCTTGGCGCTGTCCACGGCCGAACATAACGAAACTCGACTTGTGCGCGTCGTCCGTTTTGGGGCGTGGAATTAAATGGAAGTGCACATGAGGGACTACCTGTGCAGCTCTGGCGCCTATCTCTTAATCAGATTGAATTGTCTCTTAGTGTATTCAGGGATGAGATGAACGAAATGAAAAAGAATAAAGGGAATATTGAGACAATTTGCTTCAACGGCCAGATATGTATACAAGATGCAAGGTAATATTCGACCACAGACAATAATTGGAGAACCAAATTAAACTCGAGATTCTTACCGTTGTTTTGGAGGACATTCCAATGTCTATCTGAATCGTCACCGAACACCGTCTTCGTCATAACACGGGACAGAACAGGAAGCCATTTCCCAATCTGAAACAAGTAATCAGAAAATAATCTCTGGATGGGATCTCGGAAATGCCTAGTAATCGGTAGAAGTCTTTGGATAAAATAATACATACCTCCTGTCCAGCTTCAACTCCCATATCACCCAACATCTCATAATGTTTTCGTGATATCACAAGAACATGGCCGCGGGTGAGTGGCATAATATCTAAGAATGCGAGTACATGATCTGTGGATAGGATGAGGTGAGCTGTATTTTTAGCGGGTTCAAAGGAGTTAGATTCGATAGGTTCTAGGCCTTTCAAGTTGACAGGTGGGTTTGTGTTGGCGATATTGCAAAAGGGACATTCTGGAGAAGACATGGCGAAGTGGACTAGGTCCACTGTAATGTAATCACTGAACACCTAGGCAGCCTTTTAACCACTGGCCTGTGTAGGTAGAAATACAAGATGATGCTCTTGATATCCTCCAGACTTCCAAATTTGAGTAAAATCAGGTGATGTGCGGGTAGTTCGTTTTGACATCGGGAAGGATCCATGCACAGGGGGATATATATAGAACGGCAGTCGAACCTCGGCTACAATGAGATGCAAATGGACCCTGGAGCCTTGAAAACTGAAACTTCAAACAATCAAAATTTGATTTTTTGTGAGATCTGAGATATCACCAAGTACAAATTAAAAGAAGAGTAGAAAATCAGATCATTTGTCAGGCACCTATTCTAAGAAAAGATGTTCTCCCTCATTACAACCACAAAGTCCAGGAGTGCAGATGACTCAACCGGACTATCAAGAATACTAGAAGTTGGAAGACTTCCAGACCACGAACACCCCATCATCCCCAAATAGCCATATCCAGACAATATCAATACCTCATCTTTTCCCATCCCCAATGCCATATTGACAAAATTCAGGAGGAACCAGGATTCCCACTGTACCCCCAAACAACATAAATTCCTGCAAAGTAAAAGTGATCTGAAAAGAAAAATAAGAAATAAAAGGAGGTCCGACCGACGCCAGTCACCCGAACAAGAAGGTCAAGGTATCAGGGACAAATGACTATGCATCCCATGCACTAAGACAACAGCAGAACGAAAAAAAACAACCAACAAAACAAAAACCGCATGGCCGAGCGCCGAACACCCACCGTCACAGAAGACAAATGCGAGCACACAAAATCAAGTCGTGGAATATTGTGCCAAGAGGTATTGGATACCAACACAATGAGATGCTAAGATGTTGAGAAACGCCTGGTTGCACCATGAGTCCTTGGGATCGTCATGAAGAACAATGGCTAAAACAGGGCTGCTAAAACATTCCAAGTTGCATCACTACTGCTCGTGCTCATGCTCCTTGGTGTAGGTGTAAGAATCCTCGGTAGCGTAGATGTGGTGGTACTTCTTGGCCCAAGAACGGGTCAGAATGGAAGCTAGATATTAAAAATGTCAGAAAAAAAAATTTGCAAGTTTGGGAGGAATAGTGAAAGCTCTTACCCTTCAAGAACTTCTTGCTCGCATATTTCTTGAAAAATGCCTCGTGAGAGACAGGGCGATGGAGGTAATCGATCATGAGGCGGAAAACAGGGTCGATCTCTTCTTCGGTGTAACCGGCGTAGTGAGTGAGGGTGGCATCCCAGCCACCGCGATCCAAGATGAGGCGGGCTAGATACATGGAGGCAGCGGCAATCTGGCTCTGGGGGAAAGGCATGAAACGGTGATCAAGGAGGCTGATCTCCATCAAGTACTTGCCGAGAGTACGAGTGTGAATGTCGTAGTTGTCGGCCTTCGAGATACGACGAAGGAAGTTCATCGGGTTAGGATAACTGATGTTGTACTGGAGTGTAGCGAGGACGTGGCGCTCAGCATCAAGAATCTCCTTGTCAGAGAAAGTCTCGTCGGCGACGTGACTAAAGTTTGCAACATGGGGCGAAAGAACTTCCTCATACTTTGACGCAATGAACATAGCAGTGACACCGACGAGCTGCAGACGGTCCAAGGCGACCACCTCAGCGGAAAGGAATCGGTCGATGATGTTCACAGCAAGGAACAGAGTCTCCGGCAACAGGCGGAAACGAGTGTGGACTTCAATCAACCAGTCAACCAGGATACCGCGCATCTTCCACTCGAGATCGGGCTGGTGGTCGATATATTCGGGGTTGGGGAGGGTAGTCATCTCGAGTTCCTGCAGATAATCAAAGATCTCTACAACATATTCGGCGACCATCAACGGATCTTCGAGATCCTCCGCATCAAGATCAGGCACAGTGGCTTCGTCCACCTCTTCATCCACGATATTAGCGTCGAGCTTGGCGGCCTCGTAGGCGGCCTGTGCCTCCGCGGCCTTCTTCTCAAAAGCAGCCAAAGTCTTGTTGTGGGTAGACTTCTTGAGAGGAGGCTCCTCAGCCTGGACAGAGTCATCATTGTCAGACTTTGATATACGCTTGCGGCCGCTGCCGCTGATAGCACCAGCTCCACTGCCCGACCGGTTGGGGCTCTTGATCTCGGGCTTGTTGGCGGTACGGGAGCCGAGTGCATTGCGCGACGAGGTTCGGCTCAGCTTCTGAACACCTCCAGTTTGAGCAGAGACCTTGGCAGTGGTAGCTTTCGAGGCTAGACCAGCCTTGCCAGCTGCAGTCTTCTTTCCATCTTTCACGTCATTGATACCAGCTTTGCTAACATTGCTCCGATCTTCAAGGGGGCGACGACGGGTCGTTCCGGCAGTCGTAGCTGATCGTTTTGTCTTCTTCGCGTCAATACCGCCGTCGGTGGCAGCAGCCTTAGCGCGGGTAACACGCGTCGTAGCGGCCGCAGCGGGCTCAATGTTCTCGTTCATAACGGCGCGAGTGCGGAGAATGCGGGAAGGCTATACAGAGATTGGCATTAGTAATTCAGGGCAAATCATAAATCATAACACGCGTTGTGATTTAATATGTACAACCACAACACGAGTTTTTCAAGCTGTAGTGAACTTACCGGAGGCATTGTGTCTAAAGAGGAACAAGAACAAGGGGGAAGACCTCGACTTAAAGGGAAATGAAGGGAGAGGAAATTAACAGTGGGCGCTGCCAAAGTCAAGTCAGCATTCCGTATATCATACGTATAATATACTCGGTGGGGAATCAAATACCAAAGGGTTGAGCTTGAGGTGCACGTACCACGCGTGGAAATGTAATCTGTCGAACAAGAAGTGACTTATTTGAAGACACTGCCAGTTATTCAGACAAGTTCGCGTAAGATTCAGTCACTGAGGCTAGACACGAGACATAAAAAGGTGGAAATTGTTGAGGAGTCCGGATAGCGAGGTCTTGAAACACGAAAAAAACGCGTGTGAAAATTGAAATTGAAACCACAAGAATTTTCAGAATCACACGGAGAATCTAAAGGTGATGTGATCACTGAAAATAATTGGTGTTTGGGGGTAGGGAGGGATGGGGGTATCTTGAACTTGAAGGTAGAGGAAAAGGAAGAGGTTAAGAGGGTCAAGCGATGTTTGGGCCCTATTGTGCTGCGTTCAAAACCGGTAACTAAGATGACGCCCCACCTTTGTAGAGTCGCGACAAAATTGAAAGCTTTCGTAAAGAAAACAGGATAAAGTGAAGTGTGTTTGGTATCAGGAGATTGCCAGTGAAATACTGAGGATAGAGATACAAAGAATCTTTGCTTGACGTGGGAAAGCAGACTTAGATATGAAGGGGAAAGCTGTGGGTGATAGAGACGGTATTGGTAATGGTGGATACACTGCGCGGACGAAACGTGAGTCGCGGTGGGTAAACACTGCTGTTGCGGGGCAACCAAGAGGACTTGGCGTTTACAGCATCTTGACAAACGCTGACTCATCCAATTCCACGTGATTTAAGTGGCAGTAACTAAGGCGGCTGCTACACGTGACCTCCACCAAGAACTTTTTGTCCGCAGCTGCCCTAGAGAGACGTGGAGCCAGGGCTTGGACTACCGGGATCCCTCTTTCTACAATACTGATTTATCCTGATCAATTGACTACGCTGTGTAGTTCACTCAACCATGTTTCAACCCCGAATTGCCCTCCAGGGTGTTCGGCTACCTTTCAGGTGTTTACCATCTATCCCAATTCGCCGCTTCGCATCTGTCGTCAATGAGTCCGAGACTTCTGCCACTCAACCTTCAAACTCGATATATGATACTGCAGAATCTTTTGCACCTCAACCACAACGTGAAGCAACCGGTTTGCGTCTTCGCACATATCGTCCCATTACTCCCGGTGTGAGACATTTACGTCGGCCAATTAATGACCATCTGTGGAAAGGCCGCCCAGTCCATCGGTTGACTTTTCCCAAGCGCGGTCATGCAAAGGGTGGCCGTAATAACTCTGGCCGTATCACAATGCGCCATCATGGCGGTGGTCACAAGCGTCGGATTCGTACTGTCGACTTTGTGCGAATGGACCCAGGCGCTCACCTGGTAGAGCGTCTGGAGCATGATCCAGGACGGACTGCCCATATTGCTTTGATCCGCAACAAGAAGACCAAGAAGCTAAGCTATATTTTGGCTCCAGATGGTCTGGCGGTCGGCGACACGGTGGAGAGTTATATGTCTGGTATTCCCGAAGAGCTTTGGAAGAGCATGGGTGGTACCGTGGATCCTGGTGTTTTGGCTGCAAGAACTGCCTACAGAGGAAACTGTCTTCCTTTGCACATGATCCCGGTCGGTACTTCAATTTTCAATGTTGGACTACGACCTGGCATGAAGGGCCAGCTGTGCCGGAGCGCTGGAACATATGCCACCGTGGTGGCCAAGGGTAGTGATTCCAGACAGAAGGATTTGGAAGGAGAACAAGAAGCTGAGGCAGCAAGACCAGTGGATGAGACAGAGAAGAAAAAGGGCCTGACATCGAAGGAGAAGCAGGAACGTCAAAAGAAGGAACGTGCGGCCCAGCATATCACCGTTCGCCTGTCCAGCGGCGAAGTTCGGCTGATCCACAAGGACTGCTGTGCTACCATTGGAATTGCAAGCAACCCTAACTACCAATACACTCAGCTTGGTAAGGCTGGACGTTCCCGCTGGCTGAACATTCGCCCAACCGTGCGTGGTTTGGCTATGAATGCTATGGATCACCCCCACGGTGGTGGTCGTGGTAAGTCCAAGGGTAACGTCGATCCTAAGAGTCCTTGGGGTATTCCGGTACGTAAACTTCACGTCTTTATCTTTTTGCACAAATATGACCATATTGGCTGACTCTGATATTCTCCGCAGACCAAATCCGGTTATAAGACCCGCCCCAAGTGGAAGATCAACAAGGCCGTCGTGCACCCCAGACCTCGCAACCAAGGCCAACGTCGCCGTGGATACAACTAAAGCAACTGAATTCTATTTCCATTTCTCGGGAAGGGAGCTCAAGCCGATGCTATCTATCGACTTATACCTCCGTCCCAATGGCTCCCGGGACGATTGTACGATATTTCCATTTTTCTCCTGTTTTCATGACATTTACCTGGATACTGTCTTTTTCCCTCCGTTACATGTTATGACGGGGGACTTTGTTCCATGTCATAGTTTGGGCCTCGGGCAATAACTAGGGCTTTGTACAGTAAAATGGTCCAATTCAGGCAACCGCCGTTGCGTATCCTCCATAAGCCCAGCCAAATCTGAGTTGTCAACCCCTTAATGTGTGATTAAAGTCAAATTCATTCCCTAAAATTCCAGATGAATGGAATATTGTAGAAACTTTGATAAGCGAAGAGCCTCAAAACCGATCAACACGGAACCGTGAGTCTTGCCTGATCCCAAAGAGTCTCCTTCGTCATCCACGGCTCGGGAACTTTGAACTTTTACATCTGCTCCCATCTGACCGAAAATCAAATTAAAATTACCTCCTTACAATTCCCTTTCACCTGATATACAGAAACTCCCCACTCGATTTCAAATAGGCCTCCTTTTTTCATTGATAAGTAGGCGGGCCTCCAGCTAACTCGTTATCAGCACCTCATTTTTGACGTGGTCTGCTCGCGACCAGGCGCGTCATGGACAACTCTTATACAGTGTTCTCACAGGGATCGCATTTATATTCCTCGATCGAACAACCTCAACAGGAATCCTCCATGGCAGACGTTATCGTCCCATCCGAAAACGGAGTTTCAGGCGACGGCTATGTCCCACGCCCGAAGCGCATCGCTTGTGTCGTTTGTAGAAGGAGGAAGCTGAGATGTGATGGGAAACGGCCAAGCTGTGGAACATGTTCACGCTTGGGTCATGAATGCGCCTTTGATGAAGTTCGCAAGAAGAGTGGCCCTAAGCGGGGATATGTGAAGCAGCTGGAGGCACGATTAGGTACGATTCCTTGCTTAATGGAGCTACTCAAAAGCTTCTCCGCTGATCAGTCTTACACTTCCAGCTCAAGTCGAAACACTTCTTAAGGGTCAAGAATCCGATCTTTCACAGCGAACCTCGCCCCCGCAGCCTCAACCGCAAGAGCATACATTTACAGATCCTGTCCTCGATGATTCTCTTCTCAATCTGCCTGATATTTTAGGTCTTGGAAACGGTATCAATGCTTCGATTCCATCATTGGGCGAGCCCCAACAAAATTCGGCCTTTTTCGCGCAGGCACCACAGATTGCCGACGGCCCTCGGTGGGACCTGATTGCCCTAGGATTGGAAGAGCCCCTCCCTGCTCAGGATGTGATAGATGAACTGTGAGTTTTCCAGTCATGTCTTCGACTCGTCGGCCTTGCTTCTAACCTTGGCTGCTATCTAGGGAGCATACATATTTCGAGAAAGTTCATCCGATGACGCCCATCCTCCATAGCCCCCGGTACTTTGCCAGTCTTAATCTCGGTATCAGTTCCCGGCCACCTATCTGCTTACGATATATAATCTGGTGCCACGCAGCATCTGTTAGCGACAAATACTTCTTCCTGCATCAACTTTTTTACCAACGTGCTAGAAAGTATGCCGAGGCAGATGAGATGAAAGGATTTGGCGAACGTATCACTACTCTATCGCACTGCCAAACCTGGACGCTAATTGGAGTCTACGAATTTCGAAACATCTATTTCCCACGTGCATGGCTGAGTGTCGGTAAAGCTTGCAGACTCGTGTTAATGATGGGCTTTAATCGATTAGATGGTTCTGGTGTTGAAGTCAAACAGTGTCTTCCTCCGCCAAAAGATTGGACTGAGCGTGAAGAACGCCGGAGAGTATTTTGGATGGCGTTTTGTTCTGATCGTTGTGCCAGCATTGGAACTGGATGGCCCGTTGTCATCGACGAGCAAGACGTTAGTTCTAGGGTTGATTTCAGATCTCAGACACATAGATTGCTGACTACGACTACTACTACCAGATTATGACAAACCTTCCTTCTTCAGAAGAATCTTTTATGAAGAGCAAACCACAGCGTACCCTTCGTCTTTCTGATATTGAAGAGGGCGAGGGAGTGGCGACGTTGTCTCCATTTGCGTGTGTGGCAGTTTTGGCCAATCTCTTTGGCCGAAACTTGATTCACATTCATCGTCCACATCCACTAGATAACGATCAAGACCTTAATGGAGAGTTCTGGAAACGACACAGGAGCCATGATAATATTCTCCTCCACATTGCGCTTTCTTTACCTGAGCATCTTCGACTTCCGAGCGGTATGGATGATGTGAACGTCGTCTTCGCCAACATGAGCATTCACACATCCACCATTTGTCTACACCAGGCAGCGATATTCAAAGCTGAGAAGAACAAGATGTCAAATCAAATCATTATGGAAAGTAAACGACGATGTCTGGTGGCTGCAAATCAGATATCCAATATCATGAAGATGATCAGCCATGTCGATCTATCAATGGTGAGTCCACCGCAAATGTGTTATGCTAGTGATTCAAGCTCATTAGTATTAGTTGAACCCATTTATGTCCTTCTGTCTCTATGTAGCAGCGCGGGTGTTTGTGCAATATCTGAAATCTCGACCCGACGATTTAACAGTGTATTCCTCACTGCAGTTCGTCATTGGGGCTTTGAACGCGATGAAGGCGAAAAACCCTCTGACCGAGTCTTTCCTTGTTCAGCTGGATGTAGACCTTGAAGGAACTGGACTTCGGGCAATTGACTCTTCGAAACCGAGCTCATCTGCCGCCATCAAGGAAATGGTGAGTTTACCTCAGCTTTTTCGATCATATGAAGCTCCTTCGGCCTAATTTATTCTTAGATTAAAAACCGTGATGGCTGTCCCTCGGGAATTTATACTATGCGTGAACGTCAGACTGATGAGGCGCAAATCGACACTTCACCGAAGAATATGAGATCCAGTGTCAATAGTCATGCTCCACAAGCTGGCATGACCACATCCCTTCCGAGCCGAGAAAAAGATTCATCGATTGTAGATTTGGAGCAGAATTTTTACGACGGCACTTCCCATCAATACTTTCAAGCCTATAAAGAGGGCCACAGCCAAGGAGGTATTGTGGATCTAGAAATGGATTTCTCGCCAGACTTTAAGAATCCACCTTCTGACCACCCCACACCATCGACGCTCAATTCGTCATCTAACACCTCATACTCATTGTCGGGAGTGGACAACCCGTCTCCGGGAAATAAACAGAAGCTAGGCTCTCTCAATTCCAATCAGGTCTCCGCAACTCAATCTGTGCATATATCCCCGGCGAACACAGATTCATCACGTGTATCTGGCATAGGCTACATGTCAGAACAACTGTATCCCACAGGAGGAGCCGCTGGGGCAACGAATATATTCTCCATGCAATCAGCATGGGACTTGCCACCTCAACCCCCAGACATGAATACCCCTGATTTCAACGCTCTCAGTGACGCACAGTGGGCAAATATACTGAACAATGAGAATGATGCTAATTTACAAAATTGGCGCCAATCATAAGCGGAGCAGGGGAATTTTAATCCACTCGCAAGACATTGACTTGACTATGCGGTCTTTCTCATGCTTACGTGAACTCTTCCCATCACTACACAAGAGCCCGGGCTTTTTGGCAGGACTTCACTTCGTCAAAAGGCGGAATTTTGATCTTCCGGAGCCCCATGAAGATTTTTGACTTAACACGAAGTCCGAGCTTAGCCGTGACGGCTCTTCACAACTATCTATGAATATCATATGGCACAGTCGACAGCGGTTCGGGTTTAATACGCCACGATTTAATGATGAACGACATACTTCGACCTGCGAAACAAACTCCACTCTTGGGCCTTCTTAAAGCTAACGGATTTACGTTCGATGTGGTATCTACCACGATACAATAATACATCAAATCATTTTCATTTGCGGGTCTAACAGAAGTAATGTAATAATTCAGACCAGCTCATAGTATCATACAGTCGTTGTAGCCAATCAGGCCCATAATCGTACAAGCTATTATAGCAGATCACAGTCCGCCACCACCAGCAGCGCCAACGATCTTCAGACCACCGGAGCTACCGCTTCCAGGTCCATCGGTGGTAGTAGAGTACGCCAACCAGTAGCGAGATGGGTGCCACGCAACCGCGGGAATGCCAGAGTTAGGACTGGTAGGGATTGTGTAGACGCAATCGCCCGTCTCTGCGTGGAAGATATCGAGGCCATTACCAACGCAGCCGAGCTCATCGCTGGCACCACAGATGAACCGACCATCAAAACTCCAGCTGACGCCCTTGACTGCACCGCCATTTTCGCTCGTCAAAGTGCGACGGCAGAACCAATCAGTTGTATCCCAAAGCGAAATGAGTGCGTCACTTCCGCCTACGGCAAGGTATCGACCCGTAGGAGCGAGAGCCACTGCCATACAAGCAGAAGTGTGTGCGTTCAGCGTATACAGGACCTTGAACGAGGGGTAAGAGAGGATATTGACGCGGCCTTCGCCGGTCGTGGTGAAGAGGTAGAGATCCGGCGAGGCGGGTGTCGGGATCTGGTGGGAGAAGATAGTCGCATTGGTTTGGACGCTTTGAGGGTGGGGGGCGAGAGCAGTGTAGATGTTAGGCACGGGCGGAGAGACATCGGCGGTTCCAGTTGGAAGAATGGTTGGCGTCGAAGGCGACTCAACAGAGACCGGGATCAGGGTATCGTCCTGGTCAAAAAATTAGTTATGCTCAAGCTGGAGAGTTTAGCTAGAATTATTCATTGGCTTACTTTCTTGCCGACCATCATGGTTTTACCATCGGCAGACCACGAGAGAGTAAACGCCTCTCCGCCAACGTCCAAACGGCTGATACAGGTCTTAGAACGAACATCCCAGAGGCGCACGGTTCCATCGGCGGAGCAGCTCGCAAGCTCAGCATCTCGGACAGGGTGGAAAAGCACTTTCTCAATTGCACCAGAATGTCCCCGGAGCTCCGTCGAATTGCGCACAGCAGGGCGCTCCGGATTCCAGATGCGCAGAGTGCGATCGGATGAGCCAGTTGCGATGAGCTGGCCAGTGGGGTTCCAATCAAGAGTGCGGATGCTGTGTCGAAAAGTTGTGATTAGTTGTTGCTCTGAATTGCTTCCATTCCGAAAGGGAAAATCAGCTTACGTATGGAAACCGGGACCTTTGGCGCCCGGATCGTAGTAATTCTGTGTTTTGTAGCTGCCGAAGACATAAGCGAAGTGTTCCTTCGCGAGGAGATCGCGTCGCGGAGCTGGAGCCATCATGAAGCACTCGTCTGGAAGCTGCTCAGGCAACTCTGGCGACGAGGGTAGGACGACAGGCGAGAAAATAGGAGGATGTGCATGCACGGCAGCAACAACAGATGAATGCACGGCAGCAGAGGTGGCTGGGTACGAATAGTGTCGATAGCGCAAATTGGTGTGCGAAAACTGACCTCGGGGATAGCGGAAATGGGGGACTGGGTACCGCGGGGGATAGAAGGGCCGGGGCCGGGGCCGAGGCACATCCTGTCCGGGGGCCATGTTGTCGCCTCAGGTAGCAACTATTCCGTAGTGATATAGTTGTGAATATTGAGAAGCAGAAGATCAGACATGAGGAAAATCTTCAGATAATATTCAATGATGCTGGAACGTGTGCTTAATCGTATACTGCGCCTGTGCCTGCGTCTATGAAGAACGATCAAATCTGTATAGATGGGTATTATGCCTAGCCTGGTAAAACTGTAGTAGGTAGTCTTTGGGATCTTTAAACCCTTGGAAGCTCTATCAAATTTGACTTCTATTACCTGGGCTTCTTCTGCAATTGAGAGTTAACCCTTGAATCAGGTAGATGGATACATATTGTTTGTCTACATGGCTTTGTATACCGGCAGTTCATACCTCAAGGTTCAAAGGCATTAATATCCCACATAGGACAAACTCTTTACTTTGAGATTGGCACCTAGTCATCACATACCCCTTTAAAAGCTACCTAAGTATGGGAAATAAGATTGATCTTACCAAGTGAATACTAATTCATGATCTTGAACATTCGATTCCAGGACGCAGAACATGCATTGACAGTTAACTGCGCACCAAAATGGCTGGAACAAGCACAAATAAAAACCAGAGACTTCAGATCTGGTAAACCTGTAACACCTTAATCATAAATATCTGTTAAAACCCAAAATCTGAGCCGTGGATAGGTACGCGGTAGTACCTAGTTACACTACTTCGGGAGTATGAAGTGCTAAGCATTGGGCTATCGATAAGCCCCACCTGGCCTCGAGTTTAATCGAACATCAAAATTCGACTTCGAGATTTAATTTTTGCACAACCTCAGTCACCTTCTTTTCTAGACATCTCCTCATTCTTTGATAATATTTTCTACCAAACACTCAATCTTTACTCATTACGAAGATTTGTGATTGTACAATGCTGGACTTTGTTGACGACGCGTCGAGTCGCGAAAAATGCTTCACTACGATCACCCAGGTCTCTAATCTCCAGACTCCCAATAGGTCGACCATTCTTAACCATCCATTCGTGCATACAGTAAGTAGCTCAATACTGATATCACTCAATTGAGAGGTATTGACAAATATCGACAGATCGAGGCGATTCTGCCATTAGATGTCTACACCCGTATCCAGACATCGCTAGACAAACTTGATAAACCCCGATGCGCTCAAGTCTTCATGACACCATCTGACTTATTGGAGCACGAATTTTTCAATACATACATCAAAACTGGTAATTGCTACCCACAAATTGCCTACAATGCGATCCTGTTTGGAACATGGTCTAACTTTACCAGGCAACATCCTCATGATTTCAGAAGGTCGATTGGGGTCAGATACTGTATTCACCCTACGAGATGGTCAGTATTTCACCGGAAACTGCCCCATTTGCCCAAAATTAACTAAAAATTAACCTCATGATAGGCATACTCAGTGGTGAGATGGGAAAAGAGATTTATGAACGCACTGGGCTGGTCGGCAAATCCGTCCGCAGCGGTGGAAGGAAGCACGAAAAAGATAGATTTAGTAAGTCACTCTGGTACTTGGATCATTCGAATAAACATTCAAGAACTAATCAAGTCAATAGCCGTGGAGATCAATCTTCGGCTTCCTTCAATGCTGCATGGCAAGAAAGGGTTTGAGAAGATCGTATGGGCATTCAAGAACGTCCTGAATCAATCGCTAGCCTGGCTTTTCAGTGATCTCGACACGAAATTAAATGAGAATGATGGTTTGATTCTTGACTCCCATGAAAATTCCCTAATTTTAACCGACATGCAGAAAATCATCCAATCAATAAACATCACCCTCGATGGGTTGATTGTTCACCCGTTCTAACCAATATTGGCAAAGTCAAAGTGCCAGTGATGCCGAGTTTATCGGATGTCGATGTCGAGACCAGTGATGCTATCTCGGAATGGATTGCACTGCTGCAGCTACGCTCGTCTCGTGTGTCCGCCGACGATGACGTTGACCCATATTTGAGTCGTTACAGCGTACCTGAGCCAGTTCAAAATACTACCAACTTAATAAGTATCAAATGGCGCGGGTTGATTCCCTCGCAATGGACAATTGAGACATATTTATCTTTGTTGTAAGTGGCTGATCTCCAAGAAGTCATATCCAAACTAACCATACCCTCACTGGACGACTCTAGAACTCAAACTTCCCAAGCAAAAAATACGCCATGGTTTGTTATTACCGCATCAGCTTTGGGAAAGCAAGCCGTGGAAGGTCGAGATGGTTTTACGATCCTGACTTCCCCATCTCTAGGGCCTGCAGGTCTAGGCTCTATTTGCTGGGAATTTGTAGGAGCAACAGCCACCGACAAGGTTTCCGATCCATGGTATTGAATGAAACTAAGTTCATATCTGGTAGTTACACAAAGTCCATTAATAGCAAAGATCATCTCCTGCTACTCCAAGTACGGACAGAATAACTGTTCGTCATGATTCTCCATCTATAGCTGAAATGCAGCTTAGCTCGACTCCCAATATAGTGACGACTATCGTCATGATGCTCGCTTCTTATCACTTTGCCCCCTTCTCCCCCTACTTCTTTCCCTCTTTTTTCTTTTCAACTTTCTCTCTCGTTACCTTCTCTTTCAAATCACTTCGACAACATTTTGCTCTCAAAATCATTTGCTTTGCACTTCACAGCTCGAAGTCATATGCATCATCACGCATTTAATTCAAATAGTCTCCCAATCCTTCTTTCTTCAGAATCATCTGAAAATCTGTATAAAAACACCATGCAGCAATCTTCATTCTCTTCTCTTGGTAGCACTACAGAGCTAGAAAGGATGTACGTGCATCAACAGTCTGTAAATGGCTCAAGCTCCAAAGTCCAAAGCTTGGAGGAGATGTTTATGTCCTACACGAACGATGAATGGGAGTGTATCGGCGCTAGCTCTGCACTCTCTGGCACCTGTTCAATGGTAGAGTTGAACAAGCTCATCGACATTCCTGATAGCCCAACACCTATGGCTTCAGATTATGAGGACTGCCCCTCTCTGGTCAACACTCCCAAGACCAACGGGGTGGATCTTACTTCTTCTCCCTCTCCTCCGGCTATCCAAACGCCGAGGTGGTCACCGGAGCCTGAGGCAGTGCAACAAATCCAGGTTGCCGACTCGCCGAGCAGTCTGGAGCAATTTGGGAACTCATTCACTCCCCCAACTTTTTCCGCTTCAAATTCTTTCAACTCAACTTCTTTCGACTCACAGGGACTTCCTGTGTCGATTCCTATGGCGTTTCAGTCTCCTACAAGTATGTATGCTACGCAGCAAATGAACGCATTTGCTCATGTGCAATACACAGTTACACCTACATTTTGGCTACCGCCTGACCAGAATATGGCTGGCACGTCTATCGCTGGACCTTTTGGTAACCAGGCAGGCCCGTCATCTATGGCTCCTGTATCCTTTCCTGTTCAGTGCGTGGATGCGTATGGCAGGTCTTTAATGATGGCCCCGCAAAATTACTTCCTGGCGCCCCAAGTTTACCACCCTATGGGGATCCAGCCTTACTCCATAGGGCTCCCACCTTGCCCAACGGCATCCGCCTCGACAAATCACCTGAGAGGCAATCAAGCTCAGCCTTTTGGCCCCAACGGCCAATTTTATCCACCTGCACCGGTGACTCCATGGCCTGGCCAGCAGGTGGTAAATGCAGCTTCTTTCGGCAGCAACTCCCCCTCGGTCCCTGGGTCGGATCCATGGCCCACTCAGCAGGCAGGGGCGGTAGTTGCTGCTCCTCTTGCAAAAAGGTCTGCACCACCAAAGCAGACTTTTACCTTTGCAGTGCCCACCGTGCCAAAGGGGTTCGTCGCCAACCCCAAAAATCATGGCCGATGGGCTTTTGACAAACATGGGAACAAGGTATACTTGAATGGGCCCCAGAAAAGGCTCAGAAAGATCAATATGTGATCGGCATTCGGCATTTCCTTTGTTTTTCTTTTGTTTTTCCTTATCCATACCCCTTTTATTGTGTCCGGCGAGACTCTCATCTCTCGCCACTATTATTATATCATTATGACTCTCTTGTAACTCTCATTCCCACCTGAAAATTATGTATCTCTTATCCAAGGCTGTGTTTTCAACCAAAAAAACTTGAAAACACAAAAAATGGGTTCTTTTTGTTTCTCAAGTTCAGACAGTGTGGTTCAAAGCAGCTTTCCATCAAACTTGGAACCAACATCGGAGCTATGTCTCTACCAGCGCCAGGCTACTATAAAGCTTTCACCTGTATTATTATTCTTATCATGTACCTCAAAGTATGAGCTCTGGACAATGAAGCTATTCTCATCACCAATTCAGTGTTCCTTCTATATGTAGTTCAAGTATCTAGGTATTTAGGTGGGTAAGATTAGCTATATGCGTGAACTTGAAAGGCACCAAGACCAACCTTGGAAGTTAAAAACACAATCTTGATTAGAGAGTAGCCCAAAGTTTCAGTAGTCATTATAGAATAGTCACTCCAGATTGTTGCTGTATGGATGTACTGCCGCCAACATGAAGCGCCAATCCATGATAGCAAGTGCTCTAATAGTCGATCAAACTGACGATTAATCCAGACTGAAATTTACTTACTGAGCTTGAATTTGAGCATGCATTAAACACGTACTTATCTCAATCTTGAACTATGAAGTATGAAAGTGGGGTGGTCATTCGCACTAGTTTATCTTCCGGTGGCACGCAATCTCGGACTCCCGACGGCCGTTCCATAGAGAATATCTTCACAACATAGTCACAGCACCCATTACCTAGGTTTAAGTGAATAATTAACGGCAAAGGGCACTTGGAAAACTCAGACTATTGGTGGACCAGTACACTTGCAGAGTTTTATCTCCGTCTACTACGTGCTTCGACTGCGCATACCGATTTCGCACTAGCCCTATGAACTCATTTTCACTGATAATGCCTAATCTGAATCACACCCCGTTGCAGCTCCGGCACTAAAGAGGATAGACTTTCACTTGGAACTTACCACATCTCGACTTGTGACCTGAATGGCCATCACCTGCGAGGGGAATACTGCAGCCCTGGTGCGGGGTTCAGGAACAATCATGCAAGTATATTTATAGGCTATAAAGGTCAGGGGGACATCTGGAGAGAAAAAGCCAATTGAAAATTCCTATATATTTGGCCAAGGAATCGCTATAATGCATATACTGCCTTGTGTGGCTGTTTCTATGATTGGTGCCTCTTTAGCCCAAGCTGCAGTTCCAAAGAGACCCCTCCCACCACCTACACAGGCCGAATATGCAAGCTCTGCACTGAATAGTGCAAATTATGGCGAGGAGACATTTGAGCAACTTCTCGATCACAAGAATCCAAGTCTTGGAACTTTTTCTCAACGTTATTGGTACAATTCTGAATGGTGGGAAGGAGAGGGTTCACCGGTACTGAGGCTCACTTATCTCAAATCCGCATATTGATCTAACAGTAATTTAAAATAGGTTGTTCTCTTCACTCCTGGAGAGTCAGCAGCTACAGGATATACGGGTTATCTTGAGAACCGCACGCTTACTGGTCTCTACGCCCAGGAAATCAAGGGCGCAGTGATATTGCTAGAGCGTAAGTTTCCATGAATCCTATTGTTGACGTCGTGCTAATCTTCCTTGCTTGTATAGACCGTTACTGGGGAGAATCCTCTCCGTATACTGAGCTAACTGCAGAGACTTTGCAATATCTGACCTTGGAAAATTCTATACAAGATCTTACATACTTTGCCAAGAACGTTGTACTTCCATTCGATACAAACAGCAGCAGCAATGCTCAAAATGCGGTAAAAAATGAACGTCTCAGTCTTCACTGATATTCGTACTAATTCTTTTCGACAGCCTTGGGTTCTGAGTGGAGGATCTTATAGTGGCGCCTTGTCAGCCTGGACCTTTGCGACATCGCCAGGTGTATTCTGGGCTTACCACGCATCCAGCGCTCCCGTTGAAGCTATCGATGACTATGTATGTGGAACCTGACTCAAATGAGCAGATGCATTGTACTAACCTTATCAAAAGTGGCAATATTTCGTCCCTGTCCAGGAAGGAATGCCGAAGAATTGTAGCACCGATCTCTCCCGTGTGGTAGATTACATCGACAAAATCAACGCTGAAGGCAACGAGAAGAAGATCCAGGCTTTGAAAGATCTCTTTGGTCTCGGTGATCTGGAACACTTCGATGACTTTGCTAGGTAATCATGAGCTACTCCCGTCCAAGTCTGGAATCTAACGAATACTTTTCAAAGTGCTTTGGAGAATGGACCCTGGCTTTGGCAGAGCAATAGCTTTTACTCCGGCTATTCGAGTTTCTTTGAATTTTGTGACTATATTGAGGTAAATTCTTCATTATCCCCCATAACCTCACCCCCTAGAATATAAGTTGACATGATCTGGCAGAACGTCCAAGCTGGTGCAAGCGTTACTCCCGGTGCAGAGGGTGTCGGTCTTCGAAAGGCACTCCAAGGGTATGCGAAGTGGTTCACAGAAGTCTACTTCCCTGGATGTGAGTTGAAATATGTCTCGTCTCTTCATGTCTGAGAAAACTTAGAATACTTACAATATTCCTCTAGCATGCACCGGGTATGGCTATTGGACCTCTGATAACACCACTGCATGCTATGATACCTACAACGCCACCAGTCCTTTATTTACAGATAATTCTGTAGACAACAGTATCGACAAACAGTGGCAGTGGTTCCTTTGTAATGAGCCATTCTTCTACTGGCAGGAGTGAGTTTTTCTCTCCGATGATCAATGGAAGATGTCATGCTGACCATATCTCAAGTGGTGCGCCATCTGGTGTCCAGTCTATTGTTTCTCGTACTGTGAATGCTGCATACTGGCAGCGACAATGTCCTCTCTTTTTCCCCGAAGTGAACGGCTTCACATATGCTAGTGCAAAGGGTAAAACAGCATCCGAAGTCAACGCATGGACAAAGGGATGGTCCCTTACTAATACAACTCGACTGACTTGGACAAATGGGTATGTCTTGAATCAGCTTTCCCCTTGATTTCCAGAGTTTTCTCCACGACTGGAACAGAAATAAAGCTAATACAGATGAATAGGCAGTTCGATCCCTGGAGAACGTCCGGAGTCTCTTCTGGCTTCCGTTCTGGAGGCGCACTGCAGTCGAAGCCTTCGGCACCGGTTCATGTCATCCCAGGTGCTTTCCATTGCTCTGATCTCATACTGAAGAATGGCCAGGCAAATGAAGGTGCACAGAAGGTAATCGATGCTGAAGTTGCCCAGATCAAGACTTGGGTAGCGGAGTATTACAAGTGAGATGGACTCTTAAAGTCTGTGGGATCACTGAAGCTTAATTTAAAGACCTTGTACATAGGTAATTAAAAAAACTTGAGACTATGGTTCATGGATTGTGCAATTAATAAGCCAAAGCCATTGAAGAACGAGATGGAGCTGTAGAATAGCTGTCCTCTCGTATAATGAATCGCCGTATGGATCAGTTTGTATATCTCCTATTGGTGGATTCTTCACTTGTTGATGACTCATCTCAGACCCTTGATAAGAAACAAAGTGTTTCTTATCGAGATCAAATACTGAACGCGACGCGTCAACTGCAAGTGCTTTCTCATTCTCACCAGCGCGTGTCATCGCAGTAGGCGTCGCTACTACTGTACTACATCGGTATATCTTCCTTTTCTGGATAAATCATACTGTTCCGTGATCTTCTATTACTAACATTGTTCATCTCAAAGCTCAAGAATGTTCCATTACCCGATCTGAGTAGGAGCAGTTCTGAGCCGAGATCATGGCTACAAACAACATCTCATGTCCGATTTCATCCAATTCACGCTCTAAATTGAATGCCTTCCTTTACAATGACCAGAAGGTTATTCCCGGAAAAATGAACTCGGAGGATGAGACGAAAGCCTATGTGAATAAGGAGAACCAAAGCTCGTGGTTGAATGGCGTGGTTGAACCAATCAAGGCAGTATCAAACCAGACAGATCCTCTTTCTTTGGCAGCGCCAGCAAGGGAATCAAGACAGGTTAAAGAATGCCCACACACTCCCGGAAACCGCATACCTCTTGCAGATCTGATCAGCAACGCCGAAGATGCCTTCGATCCTGCCCCCGGTCCAGAAGTGACACCCGTTGATCATGTCATCTGGCAGCACGTCCCCGCGAGCTCCAACCCTGATATCTCGCCAGATCGCCGGAGAAAGAGGCGCCATAGTGCGTCATCCACCAGCTCTCCCTCGAACGGCAATTCCAAGAAACTTCAGAAAGAACCTCTCGACCTTCAGTCTATCCAGGCCTTGTTGAAAACTCCTCAACATGACCTAGCTGCCGAGCTATGGAATAATTATGTGGATAAGAACATGGTGGACGGCTCTGAAGAACAGCTTCCACCACCTCGCCTGGCAAATCTCTCCTCTTCTCCCCAAACGCCAGTTTCTGGGAAAACAAGCCGAGACTCATCAGGCCTAAGACGCTCGGTCAGTTGTGTCACTGAATGGCCTACGTCCCGTACAAAGAGAAGACGTCAGAATCCTGGCCCCGGTCGAGGTATTTTCTCGCGCGCGAATAGCAATATCTTAGATTCAGGCAAGAAGTCATCGAGGATCAACTCTTTGCTCGAAAAAATTGAGAAGAGCCTGCACCCGGCACAGAATAATGAAATAGCTCCGCCCAATTCGTCTCCTCTGCGCCACCGTGTCGACGTACAACAATGTCGCTCAAGGTCTCCTACTAACAGAGAAGACCTCGATAAGAATGCCGCAATACAAGAAATGCTTCGACAGCCCTCTGTCCACAACGATGGAAATTATCGGATGGACACAATTCAAGAATCATCATCTGACTTCGGCGACGATGATCTCGATCAAGATCTACTGGTTTTAGCCGAAGCCACAGAAGACCCGTTCATTGTTGCGCCGGCAGGTAGTCATAACGAGTTTGAATCTGTAGGGTCCTCTACTTGGTCAAATTTGGGCGCGAAAAAGCTACAATCGAGTCACTTCAAACAGCCACCAACCGTCGATGATAACCCACCCGTGCAAGATAATTTAAATGACGAAACGAAAACCGATGATACAGACGATTTTGATGACGAATTTGGAGACCTCGATAATTTCGAGGAGATTCTCGCGGAGTGTGAGGGGAAGTCGGGAACGATCGATTTATCAATCCCAGTCCCTACGGAGCAGCATGCTGTGGAAAATTTGGGACCAGTTCCTGCTAATCCAAATGCGGGAACAGTCAATAAATTGCCTACCAATGATGCGGGGGAGTCATTCTCTGAAGATGAATTCGACGATGATTTTGATTTGGAGGCCATTGAGCAGACCATGAAACAGTCTGATGAAGATGGAGCATATGTTAGTTGCTCCTAGTAGGTTTATACCTAGAATATATGCTAAGAAAATACAATTATAGAACTTGAAAGGTCGACAAGCAATCAAACGGTATCAAGTTGTTGACTTGGCAAACAGTACCTATGTCACATCTAAAGGACGTATGCAGCCCGAACAAGTACGTTTTTTTTTTTTTTTTAATCTCGCCCCAAACAAAATGAGAATGCTAACAGATAACAAGGTTCTGTCAGTAGAAGATGAAAAAACTAGATCTCGCAAGATCATCATTCTACGCGAGTCCTGGTGTGACACTCCTTGCAGCAAAGATTCATTTATCCACTTGGTTGGGGATTTCGATACATTGGGCCAGTGTGTCGTGGACAACTCCAAAAACATGCTCATTCTTCATCCCGATCATTTGGTCTCTGCTACAGTTGTGGCTGACTCGATTGACTGTCAGCGCCGAGCTGTTCTTCAGGACCGTGTCAAGGCCTTTGGTAGCATTGAGAAACCACAAGCCTTTGGAATATTCTTCCACGAAATCTTCCAGGAGGCTCTCAAGGCCAATGTTTGGGATACAACATCCCTGAGAACACTGGTCCAGACTGTTATTCGAAGACACATCGAAGACTTATACTCAATTGAAATGAGTGTACCCGAAGCTGTAGATGAAGTGATGGGAAAGATCCCCATCGTACAAGCTTGGGCAGATAAATTTCTTCATGAAAAACCACGGGTATGTGATTCAGGACGATTTTTACTCGACGGTGTCTAACTTCTCTCTTAGGCTGATTCTTTGGTCGAAGACCGCAATGGCTCTAAACTCAATATGAGCATCACGAAATTGCTTGAGGTAGAAGAGCATGTATGGTCGCCAATGTATGGCCTCAAGGGCAACATTGATGCCACAGTCCAAGTCGCATGCCGTGATGAGGATGGCGAGAAAAACCTTGTCGTTCCTCTTGAGTTGAAGACCGGAAAGCGGGATACAAACCAGGCGCACAGGGCTCAGACAGCTCTATACACTCTTTTGCTCTCAGATCGCTATGGTGAGTCTTTATCTTTTCCCCCTAACATTCGTGCTACAACTCACTGGTCGTCTGAATAGATGTTGATGTGACTTTCGGCATCTTGTATTACATTGCGAATTCTAGAACCCTCAGTATAAGAGGTATCCGACATGAACTTCTTCAAATGATTCAAGTGCGAAACCGATTAGTGGAGTTCATTCGAGAGCGGAGACTGCTCCCCCCGATGCTCAAGAAGGCACGCATGTGCAAAAATTGCTACGCTAAGACTCCTTGTCTCATCTACCACAAATTGATAGAGGAAGGGAACGGTGAAAGTAGCGGCCTCGGTGATGATTTTGATATTGCTACGGGTCACTTAACACAGCGTGATAAAGAGTTCTTCGGGAAATGGGATGAACTTCTCACCAAAGAAGAAGGGAACTTGGTCAAATTTCGACGAGAGCTGTGGACACTTCTGAGCAGTGAGCGTGAAATCCTAGGTCGCTGCTTTGGAGATGTTGTGATTGACCCACGATACGTTTCAGAAGAAACCAGAGATACTACCAAAATCAATCGATTCCGTTACACGATGCATAAACGCAAAGCGCCTGCCAATTTCTCGTTTCTGGAATCGCAGGTCTCTGTTGGTGAGCCCATTGTTGTTTCGGACGAAAAGGGCCACTTTGCGCTAGCCAACGGCTATGTTCTGCAAGTCAGTAGAACCCACATCACCATCGGTGTGGATCGAAAACTGCACAAGTCCAGATCGCGGATAGCTGGATTTGATGCAGGGACGAATCAGTCATTCAATGGCATCATGCAATTTGGGACACAGGAAATCTCACCTCTCGAAAATCCATACGAGCAGACTGTTTACCGAATCGACAAGGACGAGTTCAGTAACGGTATGGCCCTAGTTAGAAACAACCTTGTTTGCACAATGGACAAGGACCTGTTCCAAGCGCAGCATCTCCGACGTCTTATCATCCAGCTTCAACCGCCTAAGTTCAAGTTACCATCCTCTATAGCTTCAGACCCAGGCAGCCTGAATGTTGATCAGAAACTGGCCATTGAGAAAGTCATGGCTGCTGAAGACTACGCTTTAGTTCTAGGTATGCCGGGAACTGGCAAGACTACCACCATTGCCCATCTCATCCGGGCACTTGTTGCACAAGGCAAGAGTGTAATTCTCACATCTTACACTCACACTGCAGTTGACAACATCTTACTGAAAATTCGTGATGATAACATCCACATCCTACGAATTGGTGCAACGACCAAGATCCATCCTGAAGTGCAGCAGTTTGCAGACCTTGCAGCGACTCCCAAACACACTATCGAAGAACTCAAGGACTCGTATGAAAAACCACAGGTCGTAGCTACAACCTGCCTGGGCATCAACCATGACATTTTCAATAGGCGGATCTTTGATTATTGCATTGTCGACGAAGCTTCACAGATCACCCTCCCTGTCTGCTTGGGCCCTGTTCGTATGGCAAGGACCTTCATTCTGGTGGGTGATCATTACCAACTTCCTCCGCTGGTACAAAACAGAGAAGCCCAAGCGGGTGGACTTGATGTCAGTCTTTTCAAATTGCTTTCCGATGCTCAACCTGACTCAGTCGTGAACCTCGAACACCAATACCGCATGTGCGAAGAAATCATGCTGCTTTCCAACACCCTTATCTACTCTGGTCGTCTCAAGTGTGGCACCCCAGAAGTCGCAGCTCGCTCACTTGAGATTCCCAACATCGCTGCTCTCAAGCAATTCCATACCGATTTTTCCACTGCCTCTCATCCCAATCAGAAAGCTTGTTCGGGAGATGGACACGGCTGTTGTTGGCTGAAAGATGTACTCGAGCCATCTAACAAAACGCTTCTGGTGAACACCGATCCTCTTGGGACTCCGGCTCTCGAAACTGCACAGGGACAGCGCGTCGTCAATCATTTGGAGGTAACGCTTTGCTCTCAAATGGTTGAGTCTTTCACTGCCTGTGGAATTCCCGCCCGCAACATTGGTGTCATCACTTTCTACAGAAGCCAACTCTCACTCCTTCGCCAAAGTCTCCGCCACTTTTCTCCAGAACTTGAGATCCACACAACGGACAAATTCCAAGGCCGTGACAAAGAAGTCGTAATCCTCAGCTGTGTTCGCAGCAACGCCGAAAATCACGTTGGAGAACTTCTCCGCGATTGGCGTCGAGTGAATGTCGCATTTACTCGCGCTCGAACCAAGCTTCTCGTCGTTGGCAGTCGATCTACTCTCCGCGATGGAAACGAACTTCTTTGCAAATACGTCCGTTTGGTCGAAGGCAAGGGCTGGGTATACAATCTACCGTCTGAAGCTACCGATAACCATGTTTTCCAATCGCCTTCACTAGATTCTTCACAAATGCCATTTCAGTCACCAGTAGTGAAAGGCAAGAAGAGTCCCGGGATTGAGAAGGCGGCCACTGCTCGTCAGCCACTCAGCCCTCTGGGGTCTCGACAACCTAGACCAGGTCTCAAGCAACCAGCGAAGATGGGTGCAAATCTGTTCAACGGCAAGAAGATTCTTGGAAACAGACCCATTCTTCAAGACCTGATGAATGATATTGTGGGCTAGATTTGCGGCATTGTTCAAGTATTCCTTATAATGGACATGAGTGTTACTTAAGAGCTCAATTTTTCACAACTTATCTAGATCATGGATTGGTCTTAAATTGATGTTGTAAGTAGCAGGTACCTATAAAGTAAATTGGAAATACCAACATTCAATATATGAATCGGGATCGTTGTAGTAGGTACTTGTCACGGTGGTATCTGACTGATAAGCGTCTATTTTGCTAGATTAGAAAAGACGCAAAACAGAAGCCACTATTCCAACTTCCCAATCTAAGTTTTCGACAAATAAAAGGGTTGCCTATGATCTGAAGTAGTAAATTCGTGAAAAATGGATAACATGATTGTTGCTGCCTAAGGTGTCAAATGGCGGAAAATAGGTAAAACTACCCCCATTAGGACTAGCGGCATAGTGCTGCTCAATCGGCCTTTTGCGGGTTCAACATCATCGCCGAATCAACCCCTCCCTTCCTCATTGCTCTCCACGAATAACAATTGAGGCTGTGTTGCCATATTGGCCAAGGCAACTGATTGTTAGCCTTGTTTCTGAACCCATAATCTCCGCTCCTACCTTCCCACTAGCGACGTTACTCAGCCATCACCAACCCCGTTCTTAAGATGCCTGCACGACCAATGACACATATCCTTCGCCCGCGCTGCCTTTTGCGCCAGACGCAAAACATCCGAGGCTTCTCTACCCGGGGCAGTCTCCGTGCCGCCGACCATGGCAGTCACTGGGATCCCCCAACCGGCTACCTCTTCGGTGTGAAGCCCGGTCAGAAATACGTGAAGGAGGGCTGGGAGAACATTTGGTACTACGGATTTATTGGAAGTCTCGTTCTCACTGGTGTTGCATATGTTTTCAAGCCTGATACCTCGTATGTTTCACCCGTTATTCAACCGGCTTCTCTGGGGAATTCGTGGACCTGGTCCCCAGTATATCTCTCATCTGTCAATGCTAACTTTACTTCCAGGATACAAACTTGGGCTCTTGAGGAAGCACGCCGGAGACTGGAAGCTGAGGGTATCCTAGAGGATTCTCAGGCTAAGAAATAAATGAAGTGGTCTCAGGTCCAGTTTGTACGCTGTACATAGATATCGGAAAGGGATCATATCGATAATACCTGCCATGGCAGATATGATGTTCCCTTTACTAGATGGTTGTTTTTGGCTTGTTATTCTTTACAGTTCTGTTTTCCTCCTGCTCATCTGTACTACTTTTTCATTCAGATCGCACTTCCATCACGTCAATGCAGGTGCAATAAATGAATGGTTGGCCGGATTTCTTCAGTTTCCAATAATACAGGGCATATTCATCAACCTCTGCATAGAATATATTCGCCGATCTATCGCTAACTATAGCCACTTCATTTTTTTATCATGATCTCAGACCTCCGAGTAAACATCCGTTCTTCTCAGTAGCGGCATCTCGCGCCTAATCTTCGACACAAGATCGAGATCGATCTCCGCCGTGGCAATTTCTGGTTCCTCGTGCTCATCGCCCAATTCAGCCACCACTTCGCCCCATGGATTAACAATCATAGAGTGGCCATAGCTTCGTCTTTTCTCGTTGTGAGGACCTGATTGCGCTGCTGCAACTACATAGGACTGAGTCTCAATAGCTCTTGCGCGCAGAAGGAATTCCCAATGAGATTTGCCTGTTGGAATTGTAAACGCGCTCGGATAAGTTATTAGGTGGGCCCCTTGACGACGCAAAGCCAAGCTAATTTCAGGGAAACGCAGCTAAGAGAATTGGTTAACCTAGAGGCAACGAATATGAACTATATGAATGCAATACTCACGTCGAAACAGATAGCTAGTCCAACACGCCCAACAGGTGTCTGGAAGGGCGGGAGGATACCTTTGCCCGGCTGAACGCTTGCAGACTCTTTAAGACTTGGGCCACCTTTGATATCCACATCAAAAAGGTGGATCTTTTGATAATTTTGGGTGATCAATCCCTGATCATCAATCCATACCAGGGAGTTCTTGAGTTTGTTCTCAGTAGCAATTTCATGGATTCCCACATTGATATGGATTTTCTCCAATTTAGCAGCATCCTGTAGAGCTGATAGGAATTTTTCTCTCTCTGGGGACTGGGCAAGGGCTATGGACTCATCGGGTGAAGAGGCAATATAGTCCGCGGCCTCTGGCAGGAACAATACCTAGCGAGATATTAGTCACTGCACGGCTCAGATGCATTCCAATAGATAGCAAGTTCAAAGGTTGAAACATCTCCCACGGTAGTTATTTAAGTTACCTTTGCGCCTGCAGCAGCAGTCTTTCGTACTAAGGTCAGACATTGGATAAGATTATTAGAAATCGAGGCCGTTGAGCAGATCTGGCCAACAGCCTTTATATCTCGGAAGTATGGTTAGCAGATGCCTGGAACGATGCGTTTACCCAACCGAACATAATACTTACAGCAAGAACCATCGTTTATATGTTTTTGTGCCTTTGTCTAACCCTGGAAGAGACTTGACAAGGAATTATAGAGAGAAAGTTGCCTAATGTACAGCGAGATGTCGTAATTGGCCTAGTGATAGTTAAGGCTAGTGAGCTGATTAACTGGTTGATGACTCATCTATCGCAATGCGATAAGGTTAACCTCCGCCCGCAAAGATTATTATTTCTCACCTTGCACAGACTATCGCGAGTGATCAGCAACTCTCGCCAGCCAGTCCACCATCGCGATGAAGAGTCTACGAAGGGATTTTTCTTCCAATCCGAATGCTGCTAATGTCGCTAGCAAAGTATTCGTGAGGTCCACGAAAGGTGGAAAGGTGCAAAAGATTGTTCGGGAGCTTTATCTGCGACAAGACATTCCTTGTTCTTCGCAGATTTGCTCGATATGCCCTACAGTCGCCCCGGCTGATGCCACTGGCACCGGTAGATTATAATTTCCCAAAATTTCAAATGCATTTCTAATGCGTACAGTTGCGCCATTCGTCCTCTCCGATCGTCCCGCCGGCACCAAAGCTTTCCCCCGTGGCCACTACATTGTTCCCGACACAAATGCGTTGCTCAATGGAATGGATCTTTTTGAGCACACAGGTGCCTTCTATGATGTGATCATTCTTCAGACTGTTCTCGAAGAGCTTAGAAATCAATCTCTGCCGCTCTACAATCGTCTACTCTCCCTCATCAAGACCGATGAAAAACGCTTTTACCTTTTCTTTAACGAGTTCCGACTCGAGACTCATGTACGGAGAGGTCCTGAGGAATCAGTCAATGACCGTAATGATCGGGCTGTGCGAACAGTGGCAAGCTGGTACGGCAAGCATCTACAGGCCTCCGCCAAGAAAGCGAAGACAATTCCTACCATTGTAGTCATCACAGATGACAAAGAGAACCTGCGCAAGTCAAAGGAAGAGAATGTCACGGCTTTGTCGTTGTCCGACTACGTGTCTGGCTTGGAAGAGTCAGATAAGTTGCTGGATATGATTAGCGAAGCTCAAGCACGCGATACAAAGGGTGGAGCTCGGGGAGAGCTATTCTACCCCGAATACTACACAGAATCAAAATGTAACACTGGATTACGCGCGGGAACTCTTCACAAGGGAATCTTCAATGTCTCGCCTTACAACTACCTGGAAGGTTCAGTCAAGGTTGGGGCTTTCGATAGGCCACTCCTCATCCTGGGCCGTGACAATGGTAATCGTGCGATTTCTGGGGATACTGTTGTCATTGAAATTTTGCCAAAAGACCAATGGAAATCTCCCTCCACGAAAATCGTTGATGAGGAGGCGGTGACCGGAAATGACAACCCGGACTCTGAGGAATCAGAAGCCATTATTACTGATAGGGAGCGCAACCTTCTGCAGGAAGCGGTCAAAAAAGCCCATGGTAAAAGCTCAGAGGGCCCGCAGCCAACCGCTAAGGTTGTGAGTGTCTTCAAACGCAACTGGCGTCAATACGTCGGACATGTAGACTCGAACTCGGCCGGTGCTCAGGCTGCATCGGGCCGACGTCAACAGGCCGTTTTCCTGTTGCCAATGGATAAGAAAATCCCCAAAATCAGAATTCGCACCAGACAAGCTAGCGATCTTGTAGGCCAACGCATTCTTGTCACCATCGATTCTTGGGAACGTGATTCTCGGTACCCCACCGGCCACTTCATTCGGTCCCTCGGAGAACTGGAGACCAAGGGCGCAGAGACGGAAGCTCTTCTGTTGGAGTATGATGTGCAATACAAGCCATTCCCAAAGTCTGTTTTGAATTGTCTGCCCTCAGAGGGCCACGGTTGGAAGGTTCCTGTTTCGAAGGAAGATAAGGGCTGGAACGGCCGCAAGGACCTTCGTGATCTGCTCATTTGCAGTATCGACCCTCCAGGCTGCCAGGATATTGACGATGCTCTACATGCGCGTCCCTTGCCCAATGGTAACTTCGAAGTGGGTGTTCACATTGCCGATGTGTCGCACTTTGTGAAGCCGAATAACGCCATGGACCTTGAAGCCAGCCTTCGCGGAACCACTGTATACTTGGTAGACAAGCGTATTGATATGCTTCCAGCACTCCTGGGAACAGACTTGTGCTCCCTCAAGCCATATGTCGAGCGTTACGCATTTTCAGTTCTCTGGGAAATGACCCCCAATGCTGAAATTGTGTCATCAAACTTTACTAAATCTGTGATTCGCTCACGCGACGCTTTCAGCTACGAAAAGGCACAGATCCGTATCGATGATGATTCTCAGACTGACGAATTGACCGAGAGCATGCGCAGCCTGATGCGCTTTTCTAAAATTCTCCGTCAGAAGCGCTATGATGCCGGTGCATTGAACCTTGCCTCGCCGGAAGTTCGCATCGAGGCTGACGCTGATGAAGTTGGTGATCCCATTAACGACGTCAAGACCAAGTCTATGCTTGATACCAACAGTTTGGTCGAGGAATTTATGCTTCTCGCCAACACCACCGTTGCATCAAGAGTCTACGAAGCCTTTTCACAGACAGCTCTTCTTAGACGGCACGCAACTCCCCCGCCTCAGAACTTCGAAGATCTCATCAAGCAGCTATCAAAGAAGCGTAACATGGAACTCGATGTTTCTAGCTCCGGTGCGCTTGCCAGCTCCTTGGACCGCTGTGTTGACACTAAGAACCCGTTCTTCAACACCCTTGTCCGTATTTTGGCCACCCGGTGCATGACTTCTGCCGAATACTTCAGTGCGGGAGCCCATGCCGAGTCTGAGTTCCGCCATTACGGTCTGGCTTCCCCCATCTACACTCACTTTACCTCGCCCATCCGTCGATACGCAGACTTACTCGTCCACCGACAGCTTGCCTCTGCTATTGGCTACGAAGGTGAGGACGGACATGCTGTCATTGAGGGTGTTAACACTCGAAGCAAACTAGAGGACATTTGCCGCAACATCAATTTCCGACACCGCAACGCCCAGTTTGCTGGACGTGCTAGTATTGAATACTACGTTGGTCAAGCTCTCAAAGCTCGTGGTGAGAACCTGGCTGCCGGCGGTACTGATACTGGCATTGACGAGGAGGGCTACATTATGCGAGTCTTCGAGAACGGTGTTGTAGTCTTCGTTCCCCGCTTTGGTATTGAGGGTGTTGTTCGTCTGGAGGACTTCGTTCTGCCTGGTGAATCCGGCGCGGGCACTGTTGCAGAGAGACGGGAGCTGGCGGTGCACCGCACCACCGATTTTGATCCTGAGGAGTACACTCTTCGTGTCGAAGAGAAGAACCATAAGGAGCGTGGTGTGACTGTCGAACTTTTCCAGAAGGTCAAGGTGAACGTTAGCTCTGTCAAGGAGGAAGGTCGCGGTGCTGGCAAGCGAAGAGTTCGTACCTTGATAACTTCCTCGGCGGAATAGTAGCCATGTACACAGTTAGTACCAAGAATAATAATGAGAAATCGAATTATTAAAATAGCGCTTCTTATTTTCCAAAGACTCCATGTTGAGATAAGGAGGTAAGTTTGGGATTTAATCTTTCTTGTCCAACTATTAAACGACTCTTTGTTTATCGAACCGGAAACTATCGATTCGACGTCAATTAGCCCTATTATGCGATCTTTTTTCTTAGCGTTTTTCTAATCTCAGTTAGGAATTGCATGATCATTGCAGAAATACCTGTTGGGAGGGATATCGGAAAACGACCCCGGTTTAGACCACATCACGAATCCCTGTTCGAAGTGCATCACATACAACAACCTTGAACAGTATGCATATAACTGGGATGTCCCGTCTTCACCGGCTCTTCTGTCTTAGACGATGAAACACATCGTCTAAGACAGAAGAGCAACTTGTAGGATAAGTAGCTAGTCCTCGCCATGAATGAAAGATCAGATTTTATAACCACTTCAGAGACACAAGATATTATAGGGGCGTAAGCGTTTCCTGTAATAGGTGTTAGAAGTGGGCGTTAGCCTCTCATCAACCTTGCTATACCCACCGGTGTACCGACAATACCAATGGAATAACCCGGGTACCATGTCTAGCTCAGCCCCGCATCAATGCCGTTTACATATATACGCCTCTAAAATAGCCTCATCACCAAGTGTGACTTGGTCAGATAAAAGTCTTTAAAAGTAATATATACCTAAATAATACATCAAATGCACCATTGGAAGCTTCCAAAAGCCATATTCACGACCAAGGCCCAATATTATGTCTCTATAGGCTCTTCCATGGTGGATCTAATATCATCACCGTCCATATATCCTCGTTCACTCATGTCCTCTTCTATCTTTACCAATATATGGCTTTATCTAGCTCCAAAACAAAACACTGTAACTTTTCGAAAACTTACATTATTCATGTTCAATATAAATATTATCGTTAAATCAGCAGCATACAGTCTTGAAAGGCTTGAGGTATTCCAAATCATTATGGAGACAGGCCAAACACCTATAGATTTCACATTTGATCACCGGGAAACATCTAGAAAGTATTATTCCGAGCATAGCCCCTGCAAGGTAATGCCTATTCATGCTGGAACTATGACAGTATCAGTACATCTTGATAAAGAAGGTCCATGGCCAGAACCTTGGACGTCGTTGGCACCATCGCTGGATCAGCCACCACAATGAACAGACTCTGCACCTGGGATCATCGATGGAAGGATCAAAGTTTCTAGGTACACGAGGCTGATGTATTTACCTAGGTAGATATACGATGATGAGGATCAACTCCGGGCGCTATTTGGCAAGGGACAATAGTCGACCTCAGGGGCGAGCTACTGCCGCCAGCTAGACCAACAATTGAAGTGGCATACTAATGGCAAAAGTCTCTATGGATTTGTCTGACCGTCACTCCAGTGAGGGGTAAATACGCCCTGGAGGTTACAAGGGAATAGGCGTAACTACTTATCTGGGTTTCTTCTCACTTGTCCTATGCCATTCAGAAATTTTCTCAAGAAAAATTCAAGCTCATCAGCATAAAATTCAACATGTCTATTGCAGCCCGGGCTGAAATAGAAACGATTATTGTGGACTCGGCATCTCTCGTTCCATCGATGATAGACGTAGCCATTGATATCCGTATCCCCATTCCACCACTTTTTATCGATCTAGAGGGAATACAGCTTGGCCGACATGGTTCAATATCTATCATTTCGCTTTATGTGCCCTCAAAGAAGAGAATATACCTCGTTGACATCCACAAATTGGGCATTGAGGCATTTTCAACAGTCAATAAGGACGGCAAGTCTCTCAAATTCATACTAGAATCTTCAGTCATTCTGAAGGCGCTATTTGATGTTTGAAAGGACTCGGATGCATTGTTCAGCCAATTCAAAATTTCTGTTAGCGGTATCAGAGATGTCCAATTGATGGAGCTCGGGACAAGGAAGGGACCGAAGGATTTCCTAGCTAGCTTGAACAAGTGTGTCGAGAGAGACAGTAAGATTTCTTTGACCGAGAAAGAAGAATGGAAGAATATCAAAGAAAATGGCCGACGACTCTTCGAACCGACTTTGGGAGGGCAATACGAGGTATTCAATGAGCGTCCTATCAGTCCAGATATTGTGAAGTACTGCACAGGAGATGTTATTTTCTTGCCAGATCTCTTCAACAAATATTACGCTCAGCTGAGTCGGCCTGGAGAGGCATTTTGGAAAGCTCAAGTACTGGAAGCAACCAAAGACCGGGTCAGGTTTTCACGAAGTCCGGCGTTCGATGGAAATTCGAAATCCAACGCCCGCGGGCCCTGGAATAGACGGGCTATTGAAGAAGCGATCAATGCATGGAATGACGATATCATGGAGAATGCCTTAAGTGAAGAGGATGATTATCTCATGTGAGAGGATAACAGTCCGACCAGTTACAGCGTCGGAGTGGGACTATGATTATCACTATTCAGATTAGGATACAGAATAGGTTGTTAGATTGAATCACAACACAGCATCCAACTGTTGTTCTTATCATCACATTTGGCTATACACTTATGCAATATACTCATCTCTAGGGCCAATTCAAAGTCAAAAATGAGTCTTATCGACATCAACTCAATTTGTTGGCGTAAAGTCGTAACTTCTACAGGATGTTTGTACTGTTTGCATATTACATTTATGTTACCCCCACAAGTCATGTGACTGGGCGTTGATCTTCACGCGTGGCGCGTCCTTCAAACATCTTGAAGTCATCAGCGCAGAACACTAACCTTGGAGATCTTACCTCTGTCACCATGATGCAAAAGGAGGGGGATCTTAAGCTTTTTGAGCAGTGCCATATCTGTATCGTCTGTACTAATGACCTTCAACTCGTGTCTGCCCAACAGGTACGTAATTATCTACCACGCTGATTGATTGCGCACCCATAATTAACAGAGGCCAAAAGATAGCCGCTGTAATCGGAGAATATGGCGGTGAAGCAACTATTCACGAGTCGGACCCCTCTAAAGATGAAATTCTCGCCTGCACTCATGTCGTGTCTAATACGATCAACTTCGAGACCTATGACTTCGCGGCCGATCGCATGATTCCCGTGGTGAAGCCGACTTGGGTACATACGTCGTTGACCAAGCGGAAATTGGCCAATCCCCGCCAGCATAACCCGGATCCGCGACTTTTCTTAAATGATGTTGTGGTAACTTGTGGAGACATCCCCGAGGGAGACAAGGAGGCCATTATCGGTGGAGTGGCTGCCAAAGGCGGCCTGTACAGCTCACGCATGACCGGCACTGTTACCCATCTGGTAGATTTGACTATGGACTCGGATAAGGCACGTCTCTGTCAAGCGAAGAAGCTGCGCGCAAAAGTTGTTCTGCCTCACTGGTCAGTTTTTTACCTCCTAGCTCCAAAATGTGACATATGTTGACAAGATATAGGTTCGACGACTGCTTGAAATTGGGACTACGGATCGATGAACGCCCGTACATGCTTCCAGACCCTGAAATACTTCGCGCGGGACCCAATGTCCCAGTTCCTAGCCGCGATAATAAGAATATAGCCGGCGCGTCAACCCCCGAGCCCTCTGCTATGCCAGCTCCCACTAGCACTAAGAACCAGCGAAGCGTTTTCGAGGGGAAAAATATTATGTTGTCACCGGATTTAGGAATTGGCTCGCATCTATTGGAATCCATTGAATCCGTGATCAAGCAAGGCGGTGCCACCGTGACTGGAAATGTTAACGACACAGATTGGCTTATTTGTCGTTACCGAGAAGGCTTTTTCTACCGAACGGCATCGCGACTTAATAAAGAGGTTGGAAACCTTGCCTGGCTGTATCACATGATGACCGTCAACCGGTACACTCGGCCTTTAAGTCGGTTGCTTCACTACCCAGTTTCGCGTGAACCAATTGCTGGATTTCAGAATATGAAGATAAGTCTGTCTAATTATGTTGGCGAGACCAGGATATACTTGGAAAACCTGATTGCGGCCGCTGGTGCCGAATCGACAAAAACGCTGAAGCAGGAAAATACCCATTTGATTACTGCACATGGCTCTAGTGAGAAGTGCAGCGCTGCCAAAGAATGGGGTCTTGAGGTCGTGAACCATCTATGGTTGGAAGACAGCTATGCTAAATGGAAACTGCAGCCGGAGTCAGATCCGCGCTACAACCACTTCCCTCCAGGAACCAACTTGGGAGATACTGCTGGCCAGAGGATGTTAGAACGTGACATTCTCGAGAAAATCTTTTTCCCTTCCGAGGACACAGATAAAAAACCTGCTATGAAGACTAAGGATCAGAACAAAACCTCTATGCTGCCTCCTCCGGAAAGGAAGCGCAAGGAACAGACCGCCATCTCCGAGACCGCACAGGGCACCCCTCAAGCGACGTCAAAAAAGATTCGAGTTGAGGTTAATAAGACACCGGTGCGATCTGGACTAATTCCTGACGACAAGGAAAATACACCGTCGTCGACCAGCAGTCGCAAATCAAAGGACGCAGCAACTGCCCGGCTTCACGAGCTTGCTCCAGATATTGCATTGTATGAAAAGGAGAGAAAGCGTATTGGTGGTGTTATCCATGGTGGCAGACGAAAATTAGACGAAGATCGTGTGCAAGAAAACCCTAAGAAGCGTCACTCAGTCGAAGCTCAGGGCGACAGTGATAATGAGCAAGCGGTTGATGTCAAACGATTGAAGAAATCCCGACCACCTATCTCTATGCACTTGTTGATTACGGGCTACCAAAAATGGGTTGGAAAGGGAAACGAGAAGAAAGAAGACGCGGACAAGGTATGTGAATATACTTTTTGGACAAACTTAGGAACATAAAAGTGCTAACAAATTGATAGCGTCATCTCCGCGATCTTGGCATCATGGTTGTCCAAGATGTTCGACGATGCACTCATATGGCCGCACCGTCAATTCTGCGTACAACCAAGTTTGTCAACGCGTTGGCATATGCGCCGACGATCATTAGCACTGAATACATCACCAGCTGTCTCAAGCAGGACGAGCTACTGAACCCTGCTGATTTCCCTTTGACTGACAAAGCGTCAGAAAAGAAGTATGGGATCTCGCTCGCAAAAGTTACAGATAAGGCGAAGAAGAACCAGAACAAACTTCTGCGGGGCTTCCGCATCTACTGCGTCGAGGATATGCGTGGTGGATTTGACGCTTTCAAATCTATCGCAGAGGCCAATGGAGGCGAGTGCTTGCTCTACCGGGGCCGAATTGCTATAGCGAAGACTTCTCGGCGCGAGGATAGTGATGACGAAGAAAGCGAAGCCGAGGATGATGCCCCCGGACGCCACGAGGTTTTCCTCCTTAGCAGCACTGAACCTAGGCATTCTAAGCTGTGGCCTCGATTCCGTCAGGTGGTAGGTGATATTCACAAGATCCCACGAATCGTTATGGTAGATTGGCTACTTGACATGGCGATGTCACAGGAGCTGCGAGCCGCCGATGAGTACGAGCTGAATGATGAGATGGTTGGCAAGGACCAATAAAATGGGGGATATCGTCCCTGTGAGCCCTGTTTAAACGCGAAGGGTATGTAAATGCTAGTAAGTCGGGAGTTGACCCCAGACATTGGGGGAATATCTGAGCGTATTTTGTCTTGTAGTCACGAATAGCCACGATTCTTCCATTCAACAGAATCCAAATGTTTTTAGAAGAACTTGACACCTTCTTGACCTTCGCTTCCAAATACTTGAGCCTTGCCCCGCTTAACCAGAACATTTAGTGTCTTAAGCATGGCATCAGTATCCATCCCATGAAATTCTACCTCTCGGAATTAGCATAGGACGTAAAATTTCAAGCCTCTATATTCAAAGTCTCTCACCTCTTGACTCAGTAGTCTCGCCCTCGACAAGTTCATAAACAGTCAAGACAGCACCTCGCTGCCCAGTCTCGTCAATCCAATCCCCGATAGCATCAGCCCACTCCTCAGGCCTACGCCACCAAATCCACGCAACAGTTTTAGGAGCTTGACTTCCACCCGCCGGAGAATCAATCCACTCCGCACGTAGCCCACCACCACCTTCCTCCTCGCTCTTTGCCATCCAGTCTAGTACGGCACGTGCCTCGCGAAGATCTAATCGCTTGCGTAGCGCAGCATTGTGGAAGAGCGGACTCTCAACGGCTTCGATAAGAGATAGACGATATTGACGGTGATGTCTGCACCAGGATTGGATGAGCGATGACCATTTCTGGAGCTGGTCGCGGCGGGTGTTAGTGTTGGGTTGCGGGGTAAAGAATGGCGGGAAGTTGTATGTTGGAGGGAAAGAGAAGGGATGGGTTGTAGTTGTAGTCATGATGTATATAAACAGTGTTTACAATCCAGTTATATCCAGTGCTGTTCAAATAAGACAGAAAATAGAAAACAAGTGATCAATAGAAGTCAAGGCCATCAAGACGGAGATACTAAGAGCTAAGGCGGAGCCAATCGGAGTGGGGCAAGTCCCGCAAATTATTCCTACCTCAGGGCTTTTTTTACTTCTTCTTGTACAGGTTTCGATTCACCACCACGTTATAGAAGTCCATTCGCCATGGCAAAAGAAATCTCGATGAAGCGCCAAAAGCGCGAGGATTATCGCCGCAAGATGCAGGACGTGCAAGAGGACGACGTTGCTAATGTCAAGATGCCGCAGAAGAAATTCTTCCGACAGCGCGCGCACGCAAATCCCTTCTCTGATCACCGACTAGACTAGTATGTGCTTTCTGAATTGTTTCAAATATTCAATTGGACATGAATATCCCATACCAGAGCATTGGAATCACTTACAGCTCGTCCCATAGACGAAGAATCTGAGCTAACCTCTATTTAGCCCTTTGAGCCCGGCGCATATGGACTGGGCGTCGCATTACCCTACATTTGTTGATCCAGACCCGTTGAAAAAAAATCTTAATGGTGCACGCAAGCTCGTTAAGGATGTCGAGGTCGTTGATATTGGATGTGGATTTGGCGGGTTGTTAGTCGGGCTAGCGCCTCTATTGCCAGACACCCTGATGGTTGGTGAGTGCAACAATTCGAAAGTTTTGCCAGATTGGGCTCCATGTTAATAGGCGAAAATTCAGGTATGGAAATTCGCGTATCCGTGCTCGAATATGTTCGCTCTCGTATCCAAGTACTGCGTCTGAAGCAACAAGCCTTGAAGGGCACAGCTACACCTCAAGAATCAACGGCAGTGACAGAATCAAGTAACACAAACGAAGCCTCGGAAGCTCCAGAAGAAGATGTCGGCACAACTACTAGTATCGTGCCTGGAAACTACGAGAATATCACAGGCATCCGAGCCAACACGATGAAATTCTTGCCCAACTTCTTCGACCACCACCAACTTTCCAAGATTTTTGTCTGCTTCCCCGACCCACACTTTAAGGTCCGTAAGCACAAGGCGCGCATCATTTCTGAGACTTTGAATGCGGAGTATGCCTATGTACTGCGTCCTGGTGGCTTGTTGTATACCATTACCGATGTCGAGGAGTATCACCACTGGGTTCTACGCCATTTTCTTGTCGGCGAGGAGGAGGAGGCTGTTGCGGGAATCAAGGATCTTTGGGAGCGCGTCTCGGACGAAGAGTTGGAGACTGATCCGTGTGTGCGGGTCATGAAGTTTGAGACGGAGGAGTCGAAGAAGGTGACTCGAAACAACGGTAATAAGTATGTGGCAGTATTCAGGAGAAAGGCTGATCCAGAATGGCCTGCGTAAGGAGATGGAATCTTCTTTTTTACACAGCTTCTCCAAAAATCAAAAATAAAAGAGATACATTGACAGGAGTTCTATACCGTATCTACATGCATTGCCAATATTATGACCGACGCTAACAATAACAATATGCGCTGGCTGATGAAATACGCCACAAATGAGCCGAAAATATTCATAAAAAAGACTCCAAAATAGCAAATCACAGAAGATAACGCGTGCGATCATAGTCCGAAATCATGTCAGTCATCATGCAATAACCTCATTAAATGGGTTCCAGTCTTGAATGAAAGTGCATAGGGAACTCTAGCACATACCCGGAGCCTTCAGGCGAATACCTTCGCATCGCTCACAGGCAGCCAGCTGTACAGGACCGCCAATGATGCGGCCCTTGGCAGTTCGCTTTGGTTCGCCCTCGCGAACGAAAAACCGACCATCAGGCCCAAATCCATCGCCGCATTCGTGGCAGACGAAGCAACTCTCATGCCACTGACCGCCAATTGCACTGATCACTACGTCGTCTAAGACGAGCTGTTTACATCCTACACAGCGGGATGAAGTGCGGCGACCGTGACATCGAAGACACCATGCGAAACCGTCCTTTTCAACAAATGGAGTGGATGAGTTGAAGGGCTAAGAAAGAAAGGTCAGTTCGTTTAAAATTTCAATAAGAGATAGGACTGAAACATACATCACCACATTCAGCACAGAAGAAGTGACCGACATGCCATTCGGCACCACATGCAACCACAATTTCTCCTTCGATCGGAGTCTTGCAACTCTTGCAGCGTGGACTGAACAACTCGTGGAAATCTAAATGGCAGTAAAATCGAGGTACGCGATCCCCATCTGGATTACTTGCTTCTCGTTCAGCCCTACTGGCAGCTGGCTCCTCGTAAAATGCCACGCACTCAAGATGCGTGTGGCAATTGAAGCAGGTAAAGCATTCTGGGTGGAAGCGACATCCACCGGCAGTCACAATCTTGCCAGAAATAGGAAGAGAACAAGAATTGCAGGCGGCAGTGGGGACGCCAGATCGAGAGTAGGGAGAGTACCACCGTTCCTGGGGTTCTACTGGCTGTCTTCTAGGGGGTACCTGGTGATTCTGGCGGCTTGTCGCCTGTGGCTGTGGTTGTGGTCTTGCTGATTTATTCTGTTGCCGAGAGGGTTCGGCGATTTCAGCAATCGTCGGCTCATGGATAGCTGGAACATTGATCACCGGGATTGGTGGCTGGGACACTTCAATGCTAGGAGCCACTTCAATAACTGGAACCGAAACAGGAGATGGCGCCTGGGGTCGCCGGTCTGGTTTAGGCTGGTCACTTGGTCGCCATTTCGGATCGAAGCTAACGATCGGGCGTCCGAATTTGTCGCTCACGGCAGAAGGCATGGGCAAATTCTCGCTTCTGTCTTTAAGCCTCTTGCTCGTGGCAGCCCGAATGTCATCGTCACGGATCTCAATTCCATCTTTCGTAGGGATTGATGTTACGCGTGGGCTTGGGGTAGGAGGTGTAGTAGGTTCATTACTCGTGTACGCAGGATTCCGAGATTGAGTCGGTGGGTTCTTGTGAATATCAAATCGAGAAATCTTATCTCGCACGGAACCCCCGTTGGCGTTCCGATCACGTAGCCAAGGAAGAGGTTTTGGGATACGTGTAAAGGCGTTTCGGGGCTTGTCTTGGGTCGAAGAACCAGTCTGGGACAGGTCAGGTTTTGTCCCGGATACTTCATTAGTAGTTTCACCAATATCTTTGTAGATTTGATCGTCGGGGTTTCTGAAAACGCCCTTAGAGGAGTCGTTTCGAGTAGTAGGCACAGATGTCACATCTGACTCTTCCGGAGGCAAGTCAAAATTGACTTTGAGATTCTTCTTCGAGCTTCCAGCCATAGAGGAGCGCTTTATAGGCTCCGGTGTTTCAGAGCTCGAAGACCCGCTGGAGGATTGACGGGACTTTCTTGAACTCGAGCTAGAACTCTTTCGAGTTCGGAAAGAGGTCTCCATATTTGGATTTCGATTATCTCTGCAGACATCGGGATTTCGGTAGGGAGCGTCTGGGTTCTTGAGCGGCATTCCGGGGTTCTGATGCATCCACACGAGCTCTGTCGCCTCATCCTGAGCAGCATGATGAAGACGAACATCGTCATTTAAATCCATTTCCCGTAGCGCATCGCGTAGCGACCGAGCTTCCTCCTTCTCATGGCGTCGCTGGCCATTCTCTCGATAAGACGGAACTGAAGGTGATGGTAACGGGACCGATTGTGAGAATACCTGGGATGGGGAAACTGTCTTTCGCAGCGAGACCGTTCGTGGCTCCTGGACTAGTGCACAACCTGTTGGGCCACCTTCGGGAGAATTGGAGATTTTACGGCGGTGTGAGAGGGCACTACCAGAGCGAGGTTGAGCGAGAACTGGATCTTCGGAAGGTTCATACATGGAGAATGCGGATGATGCACGGGGAGGGAGGTCTTGAAGCGAGGTCGAAGTCGCCGGCTTACCGGGATACGGACGAGAGCCGGCTGGGCGAACTGGACGATTCGTCCGAAGGTCCTTCAAATAGCTTGCTGGTAGTTTGCGTTAGTGCTGATGTGGAGAATGGCTTGCGCGTTATTACTAGGGGGGACCCTTGTCGAATCGAGAACAGCATACCGATTTGATTGTTCGACATGTAGGAAGGACGTGGAGGGGAGACCTTGCGTTGGTCAGTAGATTTGGAGTGGGTAAGCATTATGTCTTATATCCAGAAGAAAAACACATCTAGGGATGGAAAAGAGTGATGTCAGGGTCAGTTGAAAGCTTGGATCTCATCGTGATCGCCCAAGCGGAGCCCAAAACAAACACTGGGGCCGGCCCCGGGGCAACCGTTTTACCGTTTCCGTTAGGGCTAGGTCATTTCATCCGTCATCAACCCAACTCTCGTACCTACTACCATCTTGAATCTTGGAAGTTCTTGCTCCTGTTCTTAACATTGGAAGCTACTTGGAAGCTACTTGACTTGTGACTTGAATTTGGAAAATTCAATCCTCAGAGGCAGCTCGAATGCCACCAGTGGCTCTCTCCATACCCGCACTTCCAGATGGATGATCATGGCTGATCATGGCTGATCATGGACCTTCCTGAAGCTTGAATCTATGAATACACCATTCATGCTCCCATTCTGAGGAAAGACTTAAAGATATACAAGTGTTATTAGATCCCCACATCCGGTATTACGGGATTATGGCCGACCCACTAACGCTACCTTGGAACGTACAGCAATCTCTTACAACCGCTCAGAATTCCTAATATTGGGAATAAAGAGCCAGTCTAGAGCGATATGATCTTCTATCTACTCCAGAAGCCCTTATACACTCGACAACAGTGAATTCAAATTTAGACGACGTTTAAAAAACTTAGTTATCCAATCTTTGCCCACAGAAGATGAAGGGCTATATTTTTTGGAGTAACGGAATACTCGGGCTAATGAAAAATCACGTTATTGTCCAAAGTGGTTTAGTAATTAGGCCTTGGTCTACCGTCTTGCTGCAGCCCAAAGACCCACAGCTATCGTACTAAGTATGTGCTACTATGTGCCATAGCGTCACCGACATCCCTATATCAGCTATTGTTCATACCCCGAAATCTACCGAGGATTGCCCGTTAACCCCCTATTAAGGCCGAAACTTGACCAAGCTTCCCATTATGGACTAGCCAGTGAACTAAATGCCACTATCTGCCGGGTAACACTCCCATATTTGTGGCACTTTGACTTTCGGGAAAAAAAAACATCCTTACAGCTTATCAGTCGCAATTGATAACTTAACCGCCTTAAGAGCACTTGAAAGAATTTGAATCGGCGGGCAAATCACGTTTTGGACCTTTGTGACCTTGATATGGCTAGTAGTGAGTCAATGAATGTTGTTCGATTACAGAATCAACCCTCGCTGAAAAGCACCAGCCATGAGCCGGAGAATTCAGCACAAACATTAGCTGAATCCCAGCCTACTGATGCTGATGACAAACCTGAGCCTGATGTGCCTCCAGACGGTGGATATGGTTGGGTTTGTGTTGCCTGTGTCTTTTGGATTAATGCGCATACATGGGGTATCAATAGTGTAAGTTTGCATTCCATATCGACAAATTAATCCTTTTTAACAAGGAATCTAGAGCTACGGTGTCTTCCTGAGTTACTATCTCTCACATAATGCATTTCCCCATACTACAGCATTGGCATATGCCTTTATTGGCGGGCTGAGCATTTCCTGTAATCTGCTCGTGGGTCCTCTAGCTAACTACTTCACCCATTCATACGGAACAAAATTTACGCTGAATCTGGGCGTCTTCCTTCAGACACTCTCGCTCATCGGTGCATCGTTCGCCACCCAGGAATGGCAGTTGTTCTTAAGTCAAGGTGTCTGCTTCGGCTGGGGAATGGGGTTCCTCTTCGTGGGCAGTGTTAGTATCGTTCCACAGTGGTTCCAGAAACGTCGCAGCGTTGCCATGGGCATTACAGCTGCTGGTTCTGGTATCGGTGGTCTGATTTTTTCTCTGTCCATCGGTGCGATTATCCCTCGTTTAGGCCTTGCCTGGGCTTTCCGCATTCTAGGCATTACTTCTTGTGTTGTGAACTTGGTCTGCGCAAATTTAATACGAGACCGAAACAAGCTTATTGGTAGTCGCTTGGCAGTTTTCGATTTCCCTCTTCTGTGTCGGCCGGAATTCCTCCTCTTTCTCGGTTGGGGTATCTTGAGTATGTTGGGTTATGTGGCTCTGGTGTTCAGTGTCTCCAGCTATGCCGTTTCAATTGGTCTCACCTCTCACCAGGGAAGTATTGTCGCTGCAATTTTGAATCTGGGACAAGGTATCGGGCGTCCTCTTGTCGGCATGTGCAGTGATAAAGCTGGGCGTATCAATACTGCTGCTTTAGCCACCTTCTTTTGTGGACTTTGGTGTCTGGTCATCTGGGTGTTCGCCGATAACGTGGGAGTCGTCTGTTTCTTCTCCGTTTTCGTCGGACTCTTTGCTGGAACCTACTGGGCTACCGTCTCGCCCGTGCTAGCCGAGATAGTTGGGATGAAAGATATGCCCTCTGGTCTCAGTGTCAACTGGGTTTTCCTAGTTGCCCCCTGCACTGTCGCTGAGGTGATTGCTTTGAAGCTTCGCAGCACCACTGCAAGTGGCGGTACATCTTACCTCCGGATCCAGATATTCACTGGTTTTATGTTCGTCGGTGCTTCTCTTTGTCTTTGGCTTGTCCGGAGCTGGAAGATTGGTGAGCTGGAACGCGCTCAACAACAGCAAAGTTCTCTCGCTCTGGGTGGTCCCCTGACCGTTGACACTGATGAGGGCAATAAAGAGGATAATCCAAATATCTTGTCATCTGCCTCATCAACCACTGTTACTGACGATGTTAAGGTCTGGGCTCCATTTAGCCTGGCGCGCAGGATGGTTGCCTTGAAGCGGGTTTAATCGTCTATGTCAATATTTCAACTTCTAAGTATATAAATTGTCCCTTTTTGCATCGCCACTTCTTTCAGGTCATTTCATATTGAGCGGATAAAAGGTTAAAAACTAAAGTGCTTTTATAGAATTTTTCCATATAATATCAGCCAGTTTTCATTGAATTTATTCCACGGTTTTGCTCAGTCCTGGAGATGTCTTGAAAATAAAGTCTACAAAATACTGCAGATTGGAATACACAACGAATGTTGCAATCAAGGTGCACACGTCTTGTTTGAAAATGTGTTGAGCAAGCAGTATAAGTTCGATATTTCCTTTCTCTGCCGACTGATGATGATGATGAGATATTAAGGTGTCAAAGCAGCAATATTAGTTTGAGGCTAGATGAACTCGGAGGCATGAGAGAATACAGAATCCGAGTTATTCATGTCAATACGAACAGACCATCCTGTGCGTGTTTCGTGGCCCACTGCATGCTGAGCAACCGAATTCCGGTTCAATGTTTCTTCTTTCTAGCCTGACGGCAGGAGCCGAACCGGTTTAAACGGGATGCCCACTTCATGACAGATACTATCAAGTCATGACAGGGATATGGGTATGAGCCTTTGAAGCATGTGAGTACTGATGATGGGAAAGCTCAGTTAATAGTTCATCGGACATCCAGCAGGTAAGGCTAGATTGAGTGAAGAGATCAAGACTCTGACAAAGTTGAGTAGGTGGAAATAGTCGAATAAATTTCAAAATAAGCTCAAAAGCACTAGAAGAGACTATGTTGTAGGTACTTGATCGAGTACCTTGATAGATTTGAAGATGGCTCAGGCAGGTGAAACCAGCTTTATAATATGAAGCACTCTCGGTATCTGTCGTCGCCACTCCAGCTGATGACCCAAGTTCTCCGTGCAAGCAAGTAGTATAGATAGACCTTGAGAGATTCTGCATGGTATGTTCAGTGTAGCAACATTACAAGGTTCAAATATGACCGAAGGTTGGATTTTGTATGACTCTTTAGAAGACCCGTTTAACATTCACTTGCCCATTCACTCCAATCTGGGGGATTGCTTTCTCTAAATATCACTTCCACACTTAATTCACTTTTGGATTCGCAACGTGCCTCAAGTATTTTGGGAATAGGTAAGGAGGTGTAAGTGATTATCATGTGGATATCACGTCGATGGCCTACATAGATCCTTGTGATGGAATAGATACTATAAGGAATACAAGGAAAGATATTGCAGGAAGCAAAGTAGTGAATTAATAGCAGATTATTAAAAAGAGCCACGAGTCAATCCCAGGAGGGAGACAATCAGAACCGGCCACAAACAACTTTCCAAGGAAATATGATAAACGAAACATGATGTCTCTTGACATATCGAACTTTTAACCAGGGTCAGAGGTATCTGATACCTTGGGTGAGACGTCGGGAAAAGAGGCTTGACCCTTACCCACGCCCACCACACCTAACCGGTGAAAAAAAGAAACTAGAGTAGGGATGCGCATAATAGAAACATGTCACGAGCTTCACTGGAGGCTCTTTTGAATTTCAAGCTGAGCTTGGAGGTTGGCGATCATCTCATCACGCTTGGCCAACTGCTGCTCGAGTTCACGAATGCGGGTCTCGGCAGTAGACTGGCGTTCCATCTTCTTCGCACGCGACTTTCGCGCGGCCTCGGTGTTACGAGCCCGCTTGGCGGCAATAGGGTCAGTCGGGTCAAACTCGATGGGCGAAAGCTCCTTGCGTTGGCGGGAGATACCGGAAACGCTGGAGTGCTTTGTAGTGCCAGTCGCAGAAATGGGAGAAGCCTTGGCAGAGACGCGCCTGGGCAGAGACATAGGGAAGGGCTGCTCAGATTCAGGCTTCTTGACGTCTGCCAAGGCAGCAGCGACGGTGAACGAGGCATCAAAGACGTTGGGAGTAGCAGAGCCATCGTGGAAGAGGGGCGCCCAGTCATCCTGGCCCATGAAATCCACGTCAGTGAACAGAGGGGAGGGGTTCTGGCTGAACGTGGCGGGAGAGTCAAAAGGCGGGGTGCTGAGATCAGTGAAGGTGCCAGATGGAGGCACGGAGTGGTCAAACATCAGATCCTTGGGAGAGATGGTACCCTGCGGAATTTCGGATGAAAAGGCAGAGTCGGTATCAAGGCCCAGAGGAAGCTGACCAAAGGCCATTGGAGACTCCATGACGCCGGTAGAGGGGAGACCGAAAAGTTCGGCGTCGTTGTCTTGGAAATTCGTGGCGGACATGTTGCGGAGAAAAGCGATCATACGTTTCTTCTTTAAATCAGAAGGACCGGCGTGAAACGGCGAATTGGGGGGACGTTGGGGAGTGTTGATAGGCAAAGAACCCGAGCGGGAATAATTTGCAATGGGATGAGACCAGTGGGAAGGAGACCGGGCAAGCTGGGTCACTCTAGGATCCGGGACAGGGGAACCAGAGAACGGCTGCTGAAGATGTCTTTGCAACTGCAGACTTGGAGAGTGTCGACGAGGAGTATTCTGAGCCAGAAAGGGCTGGAGAGCTGAAGGCCTATGGGCAATATTCGAAGGAGCTACCCGAGGCTGTGGACGGGGTGGAGCTGGGTAGAGTACGAAGTCCTCGAGAGCACTGTTGTTGTTGTTGTTGTTGCTGATGTTCAAACTGGAAGCCGAGGGCTGTGGAGGCGGGGGTGAGGGAAGCCATGGTTGCTGGAATTGATCCGTAGTGAACGACGTTAAGTCGAACGTTGAAATGGTGATGGAGGGGGAGGAAATTGAAGATCCGTAGGAATCTATGTTGTCTGTCGTTTCGAAAGACGAGCTATCGCGGGGAAAGCTTAACAGGCCAGCATTTTGAAGCTGAGTATCAAAAGTCTGTTCAAATGTATGCGGAATGGTGGTTTGGAGATACAAAAAAAAGGTGTAAGTTTTGTGGAGAAAACAGTTATGAGGGAAGGAAAAAAGAGGCGGCAATGGGGGGACTCAGGCACCTTTTAAGCGGAAATCGATTTGGCTGTGCGTGTGAGTGGATACTAAGTCTGACCAGTAATAAAATAGGATATATATGGGGCTGAGGCTTTTCCGGATCACGGGTTGTGAGTCATAGTCATATACAGGGTTATGATTGGACGATAACCCCTCAGGCCTCCTCGAGTAAGGTACTTTATGGTTACTTCGCTTGAATATGTAATCATGCCATACAAAGCAGGTATCAGCCCTGTATTGTGGATATATGAGATGAATTGGCCAATTATAGTAGTTGTGGCCTTAACCCAGGCATCCTCATATCCCTTCAACAAAGAATTCAAGGCTGCCATTCATCTACAGGTTACAACATTCCCTCTACAACCAACTCAAGGCTGAAGGCTCCAGTGTCGAAGCTAATAGGTTCTACAAGTGGAAAAGGAGGAGAGAAAAAGAAAAAGAACAAAAACAAGTAAGCCTTGATCCTTTCCTAATTGTGTCCCCGCCATGGGCTGTGTCCATGGCCCGTGTGTTCTCGAACGTCTAATTTGATCTTAGTCTTGCCGAAGGGCGTGGAAATTGACCTCCGTATGGACATATCTCCATTCGTTTCAACCTTGACGTAACATCCTGCATTCAGCATATTTCCAATTCATCTGGTCTACCGGATAGTCCACTTGATGCAGAATACTAAAGAGAGATGTATTACATCCTTATCTCACTGAAACTTTCCATCTAAAACCAAGAGTATAGAAGGCCTGGATCCAAGGTCCAACTACGCACTAAACCATTCTAGGAACCCGCTATCTACAATAGGACTAGATCCCTTGGCGATATCCATTTATCCATTTTTCACACTTTTTGTGTTTCGAAAAATCAGGCTGACTATCTGGCCTTTTCGTTTCGCTTTTCCTAGTCCAGACTTACGAGTCGCGGCGTCCCAAAATGGTCCTGCAACCGCCAATAACCGTACCATTTATCATTGGTCAGCAATTCTCCCATCACATCACAACTAGGAACCTTCCTTACTTTGGAGGCTTGTTACTGCCAATTCGGCATCCTAACTCGGTCTAGTACAGAAGTAATGCATCCTTCACTTGTACGTTTGCATGTACATGCATCTAAACTATATCCTCACGCATCCTTTCCAATCAATTGAAAATCTAGTCCATTTTACAACATTGAAAGCGAATCCTTTGTTATCTGCAACCTTTGAAGTATTTCCAAGTTTTGTAACTCAAATCTAAATGGTGGGCCTGCGGGATTTGAAAGTATTCCGAGTTACTTCCGAGGCCATCACTTCCAAAATTTCTATTTCGTCATCTTCCTACCTAGTGAAATGGGGAACGCTCTAGTCAGCACGGTTGGGACATGCAGGTCGATTCAGCTAGGAAAAACCAACCACAACCACGAGGGAAAGCTCAGTCAGAGTAGGGATTCAAAAAGTGAGGAGGTGTGTAAAGGTGCATTCTGTAACTATCACAGCTTCTAGATAAATGGTACTTGATTCTGCCTCTGCAGACCGCTTTCTCCTTCATACTGTATCATAGGCTAGGTATTTAGAAAGATGAAGATGTTAATTACTACGGCGTCACAGGTTCAACTCGAGGCCTACCTCATCACTCTATGTATTTCATTGATTCATAAAGGTCTATGATTTTGTGCTCCCTTCAAAAATTTCTAGGGGTCTGAGTAGTCTTCCCCTTCATAAATGGCAATTTCTCTCTCTAATGTTAATAATACAACATGTCCAATCCATTTTGCAGCTCTGATTGCCAATTGTCCAGATGTGTGATATAATGGTTGAAGTCTAGGAAGGTGCTATCTGTGGAATCCGTATTGTTTGGAAGCTGTAGATTCGACACTGTTGGACTCGGTTGTGTGGCTGGAGCTGCGGCTTGAACAGGCCTTGGTGATAGTACAAGGTCTAGTATGCGCTGAATAGTCCCCCGGGCTTCCTGGCATATAGAGTAATTACCGTTAGAGGGCTGGATGATTGTTTCAAGATGAGATGTTAGGATACCGAGATCCTGAATCACCTTTGATCAGAAAAATGGCGTCATGGCAATCGAGGCGGATTAGGTTCTTCTGTTGATAACTACTCCCAACGGAGAAGTTCAAGTGAAAGAACACCAGATGAAGGTAGACAATAAAATGAAATCTTGATTCAGATGAGCAAGGGGTAACGGACACAATGGAAGGGACTGGGGGAGGGGTTAACATACAGCCCATACAACTTCAACATACGGATTCCCAACCCGAATTCGAGAGTTAGTAATTAGCAAGACCTTAATCATCAAATCACGAGAGACCCAGAAAAGAACTAGAGACCTCTCGTTGAGCTTTTTGAGCGTATTCGGAGGGGTAGAAACTTATCAAAAATATGATCCAATTCTAATTGGAGGTATATGCTTTCAGTGAGTTTCAAGTTTGGTGATAATGACTCAAAGTGATACTTCGTGCGAACGAATGAAGGTAAACTGGCCCAGGCCTGTTTGGATTGCTCTAGTATCTCTCTTTGATAGGTTAGCAGGAAATATATACGAATAATGGACAGAACGGTATTACTCAATTTTCCCCTCGAAATCTTCAGCCTGCTGGCTAAGTGATAACCCCAGGATACTCTTCCGCACGGGGCTCATTAATAGGACCGCACGCATGAGTAGCCCATTTGAGCCAGTGGTATCCCAACCATTTGAGTCAAGTTTACTGAGTGAAGCATCAAGGACACCAGGCTCCGCGTTCAGTTCCTCGAAATCTAGACCCAGAGGCAATGAGAAGTTACAATATCGCCAGCTGACACGTGGGGTCTTCCCAAAAATATCGCTATTTGCTTGTCCATGCTGTAAGCTATTCTCATCAGCAGCTTTCGCATTTCGGAGAGCCAGAAGGGTGCGTCATCCATTGACGCAGGCTGATTAAGACCAAGAGTGAAAACGACGGTTGAAATATCTCCTACAGCTCTCCAGGAGCGATAGTCTGGAGCAGATTAGTATTATTTCCTTACTATTTCTATAGCTCACACCACTTACCCCTGTCTCCGTGAACGAGAGTTGTAAGCCAGCCATGTTCTTGAACTAACCAACTAACAGCATCGTTCAATACTCCAGCTCGGTTACAGAACTTGAGGCATGTTTCAGCTGCTGTTAATGCCAGAATTCCCAAATCCTTTCGGGAAACGACCGGCCTACCATGAGTACGGAAAATGTAATCCCATTCGCGTGAATAGAAGGTGCTCACTGTCAGATAAGCGAATGCCAAACCAATAATCTCCTATATATATATGACATGGAAGCCATATATTCTTGAAGTGTTAGTGAATAATGAATGCGGACCGGTTTCGAGAAGAGGATGAATATTTCGAGCGAGCGAGCCGACAAGATAGAAGGGCTTAAACCCTCTGAAAATTCTTTTGGGGGCTCAAAGCTTGAAATTGTAGCTGTCATGCCCAGAAAACCACAATTGCTAATAGCCTCGGTACCGTTGTACGCGAGTCTCTGATAGACCGGCAGATCTCTTGATAGTCTTAGAATTTTGGCGCCTTCTTTTATTCCACTTTTTTCAACTATGGCATTTGATTTTGAGCTCTGGTCAGTGCTGTTATCTGAAATTGGAGTGGGCATGCCCAGGTGACTGGTCCTTTCTTTAAACAGTGCAAAGTGACTAGTCATTCCCTTCCTGGTGTAAGTATTTCAGATAGCTTTTGTGGAATTTGTGGAACTTAGAAACGGATACGGGAAGAAATAACATCATGTGGGGAATATAGAATGAGCTTTTGCGACTATAAGCTGTCAAAAAATGCTCCAGTTCAAGGCATATGAACATAAGAGTTAAATTGCGAAAGGCCTTGCGGGTCCGATAGAGGAAACATGAGGTCTTGCTTCTCTTCAGTTTGCGTCAACCCATGTGTCCTGAATGATATCAGAAGCCGGTAGCTGACTGGAGAGCTATGTATTTTCATTGTCGCCTATGGCCGTTGTCAAATGACCCATAAACCCTTGGGCGGCGGTAAAAACACCAGCTAAAGTCTTTTGCATTTCTTATCTGGATATAAGATTTTCATAATCCGAAATGGCAGTATCTAGGCGCTCTTGGAGTTGCGAAACCTCGTTTGCCAATCTTGAGGCTTTATCCATCGCCTTCTGTTCGTCGACGGAGAATTCTCGGATATTAGCGACCATCTGGGCTCGACATTCGCTATAATTCTCCGCTTGCTTGCGTATACTATCTGCCAGTGTCCGGTTAGACTGTTCAGTTTTCTGGATGATTTCCTTGCAGTTGGCATGGACCACATCAAAATCCTTTCTCGGGCTGTTTATCGCAGCCAGCGTAGCTTTCTTTGTGGAATTGGAAGTCTAGAGACGCCGATAGTTGACATATTGTATATTGATATGCATATGTAGACTTCGCAATTATAGCTCGCTACTTACGATTTCTTGGCGATGTTGTGGGCTTCGGGATATCGTTGGGATATCGTCTCCCATATCTGCTGGTAGCGATCGAACAGGATGTGCAGTAGGTGTTCCTGCTCCAGCCAATCTACGATGAGCCCTCTGAGGTGGCACAACTGAGTTGCGTGAGCTCGTCGCGGCTTTAGGCATGACAGATAATACTGGCAAAAAATGTTGCAAGGTTGAGAATCCTTCTGCAGAAAGGCAATTTTTAGTACAAAAGATGCGAAGCTCGAGTAGCTCAAGACTTTAACTTTCAAGAATACCATAAAATGTTCCCCAAATTGACTACGCTTTAATTTTCTCGTAAGCGGGCCTTTCAACTGATCAAAGGGGTTGTTCAAAGATAGAAAGGCGGATCTAGTTCTAACTTCGGCTAAGTTCAGATCTGCCATAGAGAAAGGATAAGTTATTGAACAAGCAGATCTTGAGTGGAAAGACACGAAGATGACGTTTAAAATTATTTTTTCGCTTTGACTGGTTTATACAGTTTGAGTTGCATAGACAGGGATTGGATGCATCCTTGAATTACACTTAATTCAAGGAACCCATTGTGTAAAATACGATATCTCCATTTAACCAATGTTTATTTTGACCAGCTATTTCAATGATATTCATCGTTACCTGCACCCTTCAGTAGAAGTGCACCAGTACCCTTACATTCGCTTAGGAAGTGGTACACGACACAAGTTCATAGAGATTTATATATAGTAGTGGTGGCCTGCATATCTTTTGCGAGGGGTGCTGTGAACTTGCCGGCATTATTGGAATGCTCTCCAATGACCCCGGTAAAGAATCTTGTTTGTGGGCTAGTAAGAGAGAGCAACTGGTCCCGAGTCACAGCCTCCTTCGCATTTTCTTCTTGCATCATTTTTGAGAGAATAAGTAGACGTAGGATAGTGTGCTTGATCTTGTGACTGCTCTGACGATGAGAGTAGTTCTGCTATTGATCTGTCGTATATATTAGTTAGAGATATTTATTAGCTGAAAGGCAACTTACAGCATAGGACGCCTTGGCAAAATCATTTTTTTTCGATTATGAAAAAAGATATCAAAGTCGTCTAGCTAATATTATGGTTGAGTCAATAAGGACTTTATGGAAAGTCCAGCAGTAATGCTCAACATTAGCATTCGATACCCAATTTTCAAGCGCTTCCATAGTCTATATAGACCTACCTTTCCTCTCATCATAGCTCCTCAGATCAAAATTTTCTCGGCCTCCTAGGACTGCACGGTCTGTTTATGGGCCAGCTTCCATATGGCTTCTAGGAACAATGATTCTATTAGTCCCAAGAAAAGTTTGAAGCTAGATGAACATCTCGCCTCACAAGTTTGCTCTCAGTTTGTTGAGAGAATAGACTTCAGGTCTTTGCTTCTTTTCTCTTAGTTTATCAAAGCTCGGAAGTGAGATATACCTAAGCTCGAAACTGATTTTCATGCTTCACGTAAAAAAGTCCGTTTTAGAACCCTAGGCTAAGACATATACCATTCCAATTCCAGCTTAGGATAGGCTCCATACTGTAGCTTCAAACCGTTCAGTCCTGCTTCATAATTTCCTCATTTTCAAATATATAAGAAGGTTGCTATAAAGAACTATATGGTCAATACCGCAACTCATGTTTGAAATACCATTTGGCGCGAATTAGCGCATACCCGACATTACCATACCATGTTTCTTCGTTAACATCTTACACTGTACTGCTCTCATTCCTTTCCCTTCGATCGGGGTCCCTTGCTGCTATCAGCTGATGCTTATCAGCTTGTTCCTTTGATCTGTTGGTCAAAAGAGAATTGGCTACGTCTCTTACGGCATTATAAGAGTAATCGCGACGCGCTGGTACCAGTCTTCTTTCCAACCTTACTCTTCCCATTCATTTTTCAGGCTGATTTCATCATTTGAACAGTCATATGTGCCCAAAATTCAAAGTTGGCTAATACCAGACAACGTACGACCAAGCTCCAGCGACCAAATACCAGCGACTCCCGGGCCAACGCACCCACGACTGTACTGATTTTGGGGATCTTTACACGAATGTCTTAGACGCTTTTCTCGATCTTATTACAACTGGATTGGCGTACCCTATGATAATCAAATTGCTTAGCTTCTATTTTGATTGATTCTGGAATGGTCTGATGGTACTCGGATCGAAGAAGTGCTGTCTATGCAAATTGTACGAAAGGTAGGTCTCCCGATTCTGAGGGTGATATGCTATAGCGAGCATCCTAATACACCCTATGCACCGGTCTCGATTCCTATGACTCGCCTGCCCGGTGAAAACTGGGCTGAGTCTATGATACCCTTAAGGATCAGGATAGTGATTCAGATTTAGGGCAACTTAAATGCCACCTGAAAATCATAAGAGCATGGTGAAGTCCATGGGGTGGGCAAAAAATTTGTTTCTTCAAAGGAACCTTAATAAAGAGTGTCCACGTTCCCAGTTGTTTTGCCGGTCCATTTGACTCAAAGGTAGACATTAATGAGTACCTTATATAGCCCACTTGATCAGGTGGCTTCCTGTCGGACTTAGAGTACAATCATGCACTCAATCGAGCCTATATGATAGGGGACTTACCTTATCACGTTATTTTTACCCACGGTGATCTAAAGAACCATAATATTATGGTACAAGGGGCGAGATCACTAGTTTTTCTGAACTAGGAGCCGGCAGGCTGTTCAACTAAATATCAGAATTTCACTACTACATTAAAGGTCACGTAGGACGACTTGTGTTGGTACAAATTTGAGATCAAACTCGGTGGAGAATCATACTGGACACGAACTACGGCCCTACACCGGTGCTATAAATGTGATTACCACCTTTTTTTTCTTTTCTTATCACGGTGCCCAGGTCTGCTAGCCATGAGGATGTCCGAGATTGTATAAACATCAATCAGGGTGTGAACTCGAAGTGCAGACATATTACCTTCACGCATGTCCAGGTGATGTTGAGCAAAAATCAGTTATGGTTCAAGAAATCTCGGGAGACTCTTTCGTTGACCCTTCCAAGGTTGTCCAGGTGCCCCGGTGTTTGCGGATACTCGCAGCCCTGGAAGCGGGTACAACCTCCACCGATGATTCCATATAATCACCAACCCCTTTGGCCGTTATGAATTGAGCTTATTAGGTAGGTAACATTCAAAAATTGGAAGGAAATGGGCCAATTTGATCATCTCATAGCGACAGTATGCATAATACCTAGGACTCGGGAGCAAATTCCCTGCGGCCTCATCGATGGACGGCTATCAACAACTTGAAGAGAGACACCCAAATCGCCTTGGCTTGCTAGATACTAGCACCATAAAGGAATATATGAATAGGCAGTCCATATGAAACATGTAGGTGTTAGTGTAAGTTTATCCATACACGTGGACCTATATGGTATCTGATTGGCTTTATCGAGAAGGAAAGGAGCGTAACAAACCTGCGCAGGTGTCCACAGGTGCACAGCCTTGGAAATGTTCTTCTAGTGATGCAACCAGACCGAAAAGGATTCACTGTGATCTCGGGACCAACTATACAGGCCATCAGGTCACCTTCGCCTCCATCTTCAAGTTCGAGTTTCGAGCTTGTCATCACCCTACATTCGTACACTCCGCTCCATGGGGCTTGGATTTTATTTCCGCTACGAACCACGGTCCATAGATGGCTCTGTCAGGTTGTTGAAGTACCGCCCGTTTGATTCAGATCCACATACGGAGTGAATTTGATAGAAGTGGTGGTATGGCTGTTGTGATGTTGAGGACGTGGAGATTTCCAGATTTCGAGTCCACTAGATTCGTGGCGCCTTGAAGGCATAGTGGTGGAAAGGTTTGCCTGTGCTAGGTACATTTACAGTATTCTGGATGATTTAACGCAAAACTGAGATACTATTAAGTATTATCGGAATGTGACACATCCACTAGTAGAATAGACCGCACGAGACGGGAACAAAGGGTAAACAACATTACAGGGGCATTGAGCCAAGGACCACCCAACATCAATAGATCAGGGTTAAAGCACAGGGAAAAGCACAGGGTCACAGCAAATAAAGCACCCTTTTTGCCCAGGGTATCGAACGCGAGAAAGCAAAACGCGAAACCAGAAATGGCAAGGTATCAATCTAGTCCAGGGACACTCCACGTAACGCATTAAGCACGTCGCGAATCGAATCTCGGTTGCGGGACGCAAGTCGTAAAAGAATGAGAACGATCACCGATTTAAGCCAGACGGATTATTGGGTGATCTTTTTTTGGTGGCGATCAACGGAAAAAAAAAAAAAGTAAAAACAAGCGACAGCGGGTATCTCATTGACACCCTTTCAGATCAGATCAAGGAGAAACTAGATCGAAAGGATGAGAGGGGCGAGGAAAAAATTCAAATGAAAGAGTAAACGCAGCAAAGTGGTATCAAGTCATATTTGCACCATCCGGACCCATGGGTCGGAATGGGAGATTGCAGACCAAAGGTCACGACATTTAAGCCGCAGCCTGGACGGGGGTAGCGGCAGGGACCTCAACGTTCTTGGGCTCCTCGACGGAGGCCTCGACGGCCTTAATGGTCTCTTCGACAGCGGGGGTCTCCTCGACGGCAGGGGCAGCCTCAGTGGTCTCAGCAGTCTCCTCGGTCTTGGCCTCGGCCTCAACGGGAGCGGCCTCCTCCTCCTTGGGGAGCTTTACAGCCTTGCTGGGCTTGCGGAAAAGACCACCAAGCTTGTTCTTCTTGGTCTCCTCAGCAGCCTCGGAGTCGGAGATCTCCTTCTTCTCCTTCTTGCCGAAGCCGAAGAAAGATGTGCGGCGAGACTTGTCCTTGGGGGTGGTCACGGGTTCAGCGGCAGAGGTCTCAGCGGCAGCAGGGGTCTCAACTTCAGCGGCAGCGACAACCTCGGGCTCAATAGGAGCAGTCTCCTCCACGGGGTTCTCGAGCTGGGGAGCGGTGCTGGCGACAACGGTCTCTTCAGCAGGGGCGGTAGCCTCCTTCTCAGTCTTCTCGTGAGAGGGGCTGACTGCCTTGAAGAAGTTGCCGAAGATGGAAGAGCGCTTGTTCTTCTTCTCTTCCTTCTTCTCCTCCTTAGCGACCTCGGGCTCCTCAGCCTCGGCGGCGGCCTCCTCAGCAGGAGCGGCCTCAGCAGCAGCCACGGTGGTCTCAGGAGTGGTCTCCTCGGTAGCCTCAACAGCAGCAGTCTCCTCGGTGGGCTCAGCGGCCTTGACCTCGGCCTCCTCCTTCTTCTCCTCCTCCTTCTTGCCGAGGACCTTGCCGAAGATGCTGACACGCTTGCGGGACTGGGAGCGGCTCTTGGTGGCAGCGGCCTTGTCCTCAGCGGCGGGCTCTTCAGTGGCAGCAGCCTCCTCAGTGGCGGCCTCCTCAGCAGGGGTCTCCTCGGTAGTCTCCTTCTTGGCGGCGGGGGAAACAGCAGCGACGGCAACAGCGGGCTTGGCTGTGGAAATATCAGTATATTAAACCCCACTTGAACGTGGAGATATAATAGGGGTAAACTTACTCAGCTTCTCGAACTCAGCCTTGTAGCCCTCGCTGGAGGTGATGGTCTCCTTCTCGGCCTTGGCCTCAGCGACCTTAGCCTCGATAGCGACGAACCAGCTGTCGCGCTCGGCAGTGGTGGAGGCCTGGAAGGTGTACTTGTGGCCAGAAACCTTGAAGATGAATTCGTTGTGACTCTCCTTGATGACTTCGGTGACCTCAGCCTGTTTATTGATTAGTCACATGCTCATATCGCATAAGCGCGTGGATTTGTAACTTACGAGGTTGAAGATACCAGCGGGGGTAGCCTTGTCCTCGGCGCGCTTGACAAAGAAAAGGAGACCCTTGCCGGTCTGGCTGGCCCAGGCAGCGATAGGGTGAGAAACAGCGGGCTTCTCGTTCTGGTGGAAGGTAGACAGAGACTTGGCCTCAACGGGCTCGTCTTGGAAGTAGAAGAAGCGCTTGGCGAAACGGAAACCCCTACGCGACAAACTTGTTAGCAACCGTGTGCGCGTTGTTGTCGCAAAGTTGAATAACTCACTTGACCAGACCAGGGGCCTTGTAACCGAGAACACCCTCAGTGGCGGGCTTAATCTCCTCCTTCACTTCCTCAACGGGCTCAGCAGCGGCCTCAACTGGTACCTCAGGAGTAGCAGTGGTCTCCTCAGCAGCTACAGGGGTCTCCTCAACGGGAGCCTCAGCTGTAGGCTCAACAGGAGTCTCAATAGGAGCCTCGACGGCAGGAACAACCGCGGGGGTCTCCTCAACAGGCTTCTGAACGTCAGACATGATTAAAAGGGTTATTAAGCCGAAGCGGGTATCGATTAAAAAAAGAGAAGCTGAGCTTCAGAATAAAAAGCAGGATGGGTATCGAGGGTATCTTTGGTTGAAGAAGCAGAAATGGAGAGCAGTAAAAGGCTCGGGTATCACGTAGTAAAAGGGGGGGTATTTTCCTTTGAGGGGGGAAAAAGGGAAAAGGGAGGGAAGGGCGAAAAAAAAGTAGTTGGAGGGGGGAACACCTGTCGAAGGCTGATTCCCAAATAGGGAAAGGAACTGCAGTCCAGAGCCTGAGTGGGACCGATTATGTAATGGGCCTTCAGGGGTGACTTTTGGACCCAGAAGTTAAGATCTATGGATAATGGATAATGGATTTATGGATAGGGGATATAATATTCTTTTTTTTTCTGCTTTTTTTCTTTTCACTTCTTTACTCTCACTCTGTATAGAATTCTTTGTTTACTAAGTAGCTCGACTCATTTCATCTATGTGGTAAATAAAAATACAAAAATACCTAGTACATCATACCACCAATAGCTTGAGATCGTCAATGCAGCTGGGAATCAACGGCCCCCTAATTTATAATTGCCCTAATTTACTGTTTACCGGTTAAGCGCTCAGTCCCATTCAATTTAATTACTATTTGAGTCACTCGCACGCGATCATTTTTATATACTTTGTAATTTTTTATTTTGTTTTTTACATTTTTTCTCTCATTTTTTCCTTTTTTTTTTTTTCGCTCTTTCTTTTTACCTTTTTGTCTTTACCTTGTTTCATATCTATTGGATCATGGATCGTCGTTCATCCATTGATAACGTCTCTCTATTCCACGCATTCAGTTACCTTGGAATAAGGATTAAGGAGTAAAAAGTCAACCTTCATATTGCGAGGGGAAACACTTCCACCTCACCAAGGTTATAAGGTGCTCTAACCCTTATTCCACATTGAATGCATGATGATCAGTGAGTCAAGCATGTCGTCAGATTTGTTGATCTGAAACGGTGTAAAGAGCACAGATCAAAGAAAACCCCATGACCACAATCCTCATACTTCAGAACTCTATCCGTGGCGACACACTCCTCTTGGCCAGTGATGTTGCACCACTCCTATCTATTACACGTCATATGCCCTCTAATCGAAGGCGTTGTTGATCATATCCAGAGTAACGTGACATGGCATTGTACTGCAGTACACAGACCTCATACACTACTTTGTACTGACCACTTACTCCCGAGAATCCTCCAGGATCCAACGAATTTGTAGTACCCTGGCTCAACTCTTAATTCCCCCTAATTATTCCCCTTTTCGTTGTCTATCTGAGTAGTACTGTGTACATCGGAAATTCAGACGCTTTAGTTCTGCCCCACCTTGGTCCCGTGTCTTAAGCCGTCCACAACCAGCCCTATTTTTTATACGAGCAACATCTCATCGACTTTTGTCTCCTTTCATGGCTTTTATATACTTTTTCCTCCTCTTCCAAGGTTGTGGGTTCCATCATTCTCCCTTGGATATAACACTAATCCATAGATACCCAAACCTTCCAGAAGTCGATCATCGGAACATTTCTAGCAATGATAGTCCAGCGTGGTCTCCTCCATTCAGAATTACCCAATAATACCCCCCTTTCCTGAATCCGTTGGCTTAGAAAAAAAACAAATCATTTGCCTGACTCAAACCCATTTCAAGCCCGTTGCCTTTCTACAATACTAGTACACACCGTTGCGGTCAAGTTCAGATCCACTAGATCCACCCTTCGCCAAGAATCAATAACTAATTATGATCCCGAAGTCGATCTCTTTCCTGTTTCCCATTGTGTCAGGCTTTTTTAGCATCCTGCAGGTGCCATGCACACCACGGCGTATCCGCTGTCGCAGGTGCAAGTATGAACCTTGGAAGTGGAGATAAACGGGAGACGGAAGATGGAAAAATACATAAGATTAAGAGATCCCGTTCAATAGTGTAGGGCAAGCACAGACTTTTCGTATCGATTAAGATGTAGTAGGTAGATGCGGTGAGAGGCGCCCCCTGGTTGAAACTTTGTTCGTACATCTTAAGCTCTACGGGAGGAATCTATCGATTCTAGCGTCTACTAGTCTACTCATCAAGGCATTCTTAACCATGGCACTGAAAATGCTCACCACATGGTTGATCCTGAATATGAGACCAGAAGAAAACCTTGAGACGGACTTTGACCGAATCAAGTCATCAGGAACGTACACCGCGCTCTGTAAGCGCTGTAAATGTCTAAGATTGATAACTATCCTACCTTATACTACCTCATGAAAACCTTCGTCTGGATGAGATAGGGAAGAGGACCCACACAAGCTTGGAAATCCACTTTCACGAGTGTAAACAAGGAGACTCAATTATTGATCATTTTCAGGTCTGCAGCAACTTAGGAGTAGAATGTATATGCAAGGTACACGACCCGGCAGGCGAGGTACAAAGGCGGTGATAGATCACATTTTCAAGCAAAAAACCAGTCATGTGACTCACCCCTTTATTTTAGGAGATTGTTAAACCGACGCCCCTGGCTAAACGGACGCTGCCTGATTTTTGCCTAAAATCAGGATTAATAGTTATTCCATAATTCTGCCAGACTTATTCCTACCACAAGTTTAACTTCAATTTTATATCTCTGTATTTATTCCTGTATTCAGTTTGTCTTATATTCTGGTTTATATATTTAAAGTTATATCTTATGGTTTCGCGTTACATGTTTGTTTTGAAGCATTTGGAACACTTTTATTGACATATTTACATATAATACTCTATGTCAGGGTCTTCAACTCGTCGCCGACTCGGAACAGGTCTTTGAGAAGGACTCTGAGTGGTGTCAGCACTCTGAATGCTTTCAAACCCCCGTTTATATGCGACACCGGCGCGATGAGCAGCATTCTAAGCAGCACTTGCACTTCCTTTACTCCTTCCCCCTTCCTGTGATGTTGTATACTCAAATGATGATGGTTCTCGGTGGATTGATCGATTAATTGGAGAATCTGGAGGCTGGGTATTCAATTGGGGATCGAATTGTGCGTTTAATCGGGTGTTTAATTCAGCATTTGATGTGTTGAATGGATTAATTTGTGTCTGCGAAACTTGTGTTATCCGGTTTCGAGCACCTTCTGGGCGTCCTCGTTCCAAGATGTCTGATTTCGAAGATCTCTAGAAGATTGCCGTTCAACGTGGATTTATACTTGTCATTGATTTTTACTCTGAAGAAAATATTGAAGGATCAAAAGAGGATTCATATTGATACACCAAAGCTATGACTTATCGATATCCTCATTCTGACAATCATAACGCTCGACACATACTGGAAAACCTAACTAACTACTTATTCGGCCCATAGTTCTGGCCCTGGTCACGGTTGGCAGGCAGGGGCCGGAGAGCCAGCGGACGCACATTTTCTCTGAAGAAGGGAGGTGGGCCAAGACCGAGGTTCGTTTCGTGACCCAATTTGGGTTGATGGCCCCTTGCACGGCGCTTTCTAACTCCTTGGAGAACTCATGTAGTGTTTATCCGCTAGGCACGCTCTCCGAGCCCGTGGGTTTCGTTGGCATGACTGAGACGGCACGAGGACAAAAGGCGTTGCAGGGACACAAGAGTACTATAGAAGATCGGAAATGTCAGAGATGATTGGACTGTTCTTCCACTAAGTTATTTACCAGAGGTGGAAATGTAAATGAGAATGTGAAGATGATGTTGGGAAAATCTTCCTGGAGCATAAGGAAACTACTATGTACAAAGGTAGGATCCACTTTACACGCTAGCCAAATTTACTCTAGTGGACCTATTATAGCCTAGTTCCATACATATAAATACGTCAATCGTAACGAGCTCCGCCAAATGAATCATGGTGCCTATCCACTTTTTACTGCAGTAATATCACGTGATCTTGAGGACCTTCCATCCTCGACTCCACGCCGACTCTTTTATATCCCTTGAGTGTACACAGTTTGTGCTAGCTGGTTCTGAATAATATTAGCTTTAGCCCTTCACATTAGTCTAAATATTAAGCCGCAGAGAGATGCCGAATGGGCACCCATTAGCTAGGGTTGTAGTCTGTCGTTGACGTGCTGTAGTCCAAGATTTAGATTCCCGGCCACGGTCACATCGAAGCTGTACAGTCTCAATTATAGGAATAGGGTAAATTAGACTTGAATTATAAAACCGAAGCATATTTTGGCTTCAAATCACAAAATTGAAGCATATGATTTCATTCCTTGATAATCCCCTTCTTGCTTTTTTTGAGCGAAGGTTTACCATAGCATATCCATGATTCCGTGCGAATATATTGATAGCATATCTTCCTTCACCAGTAGTTTGGAAAACCTGATCAAGTGGAGGTAATGGGAATATAAGGAGAGAAGGAATCAGTATATTTGGCGCCGAATCAGGAGAAATTGGCTCCGTCTCAGGAATAAAATCAGGATCAGAGTTATAATCTATTGTAAAATTGGAGCAGAATATGCCGTTTGTAAGGAAAATAGAAAAGGAAGAATTGAGACTTGGGAGATATTTGTAAATATTATAAGAAAGGCGGTCAAGCGGTGTGTAAGTTAGTATATAATGCCTGATCCTTAAGGCAGACAGTCCGTTTAACAATCTCCTTATTTTAACAAACAATCACGTGGTTATATTACTCAGCTCGCTTAGTCCTGGGATCCTTTATAAGGCCTTCCCCTCCCGCCGCAGTTCCTCTCCTTTTTTTTTCTTCTTCATACTTACCTTGTTTGGGTGGCTGCGCTCAAGTATGCAGTTTAACCACGACTCGGTCTCCACATTGCACTACGTGGATGATCAGGTCGTCCAACGGCTTTCGGGTCTTTGGCAGGCGCATTCTTTGGCACACATAAATCCATTTATGGATTCTATTTTTTCATCAATTCTTGAGTCAGTGATTCGAGGTTGGAGAGGAGATTGTATATAGCCTTAAATATTAGATTCAACCGAGTTTATATTCACATATCTACCCTACTTGAGAATGTATTATTGGATCTAGTGGCTGCTCGCCACTGTCGTCGGTCCTCCCCGTGCCATGCCACATCGCTACATCAATAAGTCCTCTTCATTCCCCGGCTTTTTGAAGGTTCAACAAATTCTTCGAGTCTTAAGACTCCCATGGTGCACGCTGACCCATATGCTCTCTTCGCTTCAAGGGGACCGAGCAACGACCTTTGAAGCTCTAATCACCATAATTCTTAAATTCTTAACCTGAACATCCAGATCTTGCAAATTATGACGGTAGCTTATGACGCTGCCGGCTGACACGACCCAAAGTGATCACTACTCGTGACCTTTGAATGCTGCGACCTCGAAGTGGCACTCCTATGATACGTACAAAAGCGAATCCAGCGAATCCAGCGAATCAGCCAACAAATCTACAAACCTTTACAAAACTTGACTCTCACTTCCATATCATTCTGATTGCATATCGTACAAAAGTCTAAACACGGTCATTTATAGACTTATATTATCTTTCGCCCACCGCTTCTCGGCCTGTAAGATAAGCTCCTCGTAAACTGTCCAAGCAAGAGCAGAGCTCAGAGCCTTGCGGGTAATACGAAGCCCCAAACCACCAAATAGACTGCGCATACCGTCCTCGTGCACCATCAGGCGCACAGCGCGGGCCATGTTACCATACTTGGCTGGCATAAGCTGCAGTCGGGTCTTCACTGCATCAAAAGGATTGGTAATAGCCGTGGCCAGACCAGCAGCTAAGCCACCAGACAGAAAGTTTATAGACGAGGATGAGGCGCTGCCTTGCGGTGTTCCATCGCTGTTTGTGCCCGTGGCCGTCATTGAAGCGAGTCGTCGTTTCAACTGCTCGTAGAAGAGAACGTATAGACCGGCGTAGGGTGCGTCTCTAGCTGCAGTGGCGCCGAACCCGGCGAAGAGACCGCGCAGGCCCTCTGTTCGTAGAATGTCCCGGCCTGCGCCGTATAAACTGCGGTAGGCATACAGGTCGGATTCGTAGCGCACTTTCAGTACAGTGACGGGCATCATTAGGAAGCCGGCTGCTACACGGGCGACAGCTCCCGTCGCTAAATTTGCGGTGTTGGAGAGTTTTGGGAGCGCTGAGCTGTATTTGGCAGATGATGGACCTGAGAGCGCTATGGGTGCGTAACTTTGGGCAACTGTTTGGCGGAGGGAATTAAGGCTGGTGAAGTAGAGAGCTGATCCAAAACCTGTGCGTAGTGCTGAGGGGAGTGTACCACGCCATAGGCTATGGATTGGATGGGGAGAGGCGAGGATGTTTTTGAGGGTTGGGAGAAGGGATTGTTGAGATTGTTGGACGCGGGTTTTGAGGAGATCGGCGGGTTGGAGGAGGACTGCGGAGGTGAGGCCGGAACAGAGACCCGCAGTGAAGTGGAATATGTTTTTGGAGGCTGTCATTGAGACATGATGTTAGTTCAAGCTGTGATAGTCTCCAGAAAACGGCTTTTTGGCTGTCGACCTACAATTTGAGGTGCCTGTTTTCACCTGCGGCACGACACACGCGCCATTATTCGACATGGCTCCGGTTTGAGGCTTATATGGCTAGCCAGTCGGTGTGATTTTGAAAGACCTCGGGGCTGTATAACAGTATGTGAGCAGGCTCGATGCCGGATCGAAGCTTATGAACGTCGCGGAATCGAGATTTTGATCTCAGCGCATTCGGCGAAGAAACTCGTTGGCAGGGATCTGATCAGATGAAAAGAAGCGCAAGGGCAACAATCCAGGTAAACAATATGTCAATTCCAGGTAGGAGAAGTTGGACTACTGTCATATATCAGGATTTTGGCTGGCTGATGCGGGTTGTCAGGTTTGGATGCATCTAGTTAAGCTTGATCGATATCGATAAGCCCTGTAACGGACTTGACGGGTCAGCCTCATTCCGGAAAGCACAACATAAACAAAAAGAATTCCCAGCAAATTGCGATTGAATGTCTATTTTAAATTAAGACATTTTCACCATATAAAAAATACTCAAGATAATAGTAAATTATTAGTGAACTACGGCCTCCGAAACAACTCCAATATCTAACGGAGTTCTGCGGCAGCCAATAAACGGCCCACAATTGCTTTACTGATCGACGTCATATGGCCTAGTACTAGCCTCCACCTCTTTATCTCTCTCCATCCCTCATTCTCTCCTCCTCACACCTCTCTCAGCAACCTGAACCATGCGGTGGTTCTTACCCTCTATTCAGTATCCTCTCTCCCGGGATGGATTCTGGAGCCCCGTTACATCGACTTTAAACTGGTGTGAAGAGGTGAGTATATCCACAAACCAAATACTCTACAAACGTAAATAAAGTGGATTTGAACTAAACTCATCTGGCTCCAATCAGGATTATTATGTCACGATCTACTCTGCGGAAATAGTCAATTCTTTCACCAATTTGATGTTTATGTGGCTGGGTATCAAGGGCATCATAAGTTGCCGTCGTAATCAACATGACCAGATTTTCACTGTGGCATTCCTTGGCTACCTGGTTGTGGGCTTTGGCAGTTTCTTATTCCACTCCACACTCAAATGCAAGTCTTTCCAGGTGATAGAAAAGATGCAGACTAACCGTTGTACTCCACACACCTGTAGATCCCATGCAGTTAGTTGATGAGCTTTCAATGATCTACACCACATGCCTGATGTGCTATGCCTCCTTCGCATACAATAGATCCTTGAGATTCCGAGTGGCTCTAGGCCTTTCTTTGACCTTCCTCTCCGTTTTCATCACGCTTTATTACCATTACCTTCAGAATCCAGTGTTCCACCAGAATGCGTATGCCCTCTTGACTACTATTGTGGTTTTGAAAAGCATGCATACTATGGAAAATACACTGCGGCCCAAATGGCGTGGAACTCGAGAGGAGGACCTTCTGGCCCGACAGAGGAATTGGGAAAGTGCACCAACCAAAGAACGCCAAACTTACGAGAATGAACGAGACACCAAGATCCTCAAGACAATGTGGTTCATGGTGATATACGGACTCAGTATGTTTCTCGGAGGGTTTCTCGTCTGGGGCATGGACAGAGTGTTTTGCTCGCAGTTCCGCCAATGGCGACGACAGGTGGGCTTACCGTGGGGCATTTTCTTAGAGGGACATGGCTGGTGGTATGTTATTTCCCCTTGCAGTTAACTTTCTGGGGTTGCTTTGCTTTGTTTGTATTTGCGGCGCTAACCTTTTTTCTCTTTGGCTTTATAGGCATATCATGACTGGTATCGGTGCATACTTTTATATCGTCTGGGGTATTTGGTTGCGCCATTGCCTGAACAAGAAACAGGATCAGTACCAACTGCGCTGGGAACGCATCTGGAATATTCCTGACATCGTTCGGATTACCCCTACATCTGATGATGTGGTTACCCAGGCTAAGAAGTCGATTTGAATAGTCGGCCGACTTCTCCTCGTACAACTTGCCTGGTAGGTGGACGTTGCCAGCAGAACTCGACTTAGACTTGCTGAATACTATTTATCTCTTAAAGCCTTGTTCATTTTATTCTGTCCTTTCCCTTGGGAGACGCTCTCGAAGCTTTTCTTCGAACACGTTTCGTCCTAGTGACGAAATTTCTATTATCATAGATATTACTCATATATTCTCATTCAGCATATTTTAACAGTACGTCCTATTTCATCTGAATAAATTCAAGCTTTATTAGGTTCGAAGGTTGCTTTGAATCAACTTGCCGGCTTCATTGGTACAGATGTAGCTGATAGTAAACCATAAGATTACATTGAGATGGTATTATAGTTACAAGGTTACCAGTACAGATTAGATTGCCATAAGTCAAAAAGAGCACATTTTGATGATAATCCGAATCGATCGCTTGACCTTGCAAAAAAATAGAAAGGGAACAAATCCATCAAAAGTACTATACGAAGGCCAAAACTCCTACTGTACCTGATAGAGTATATATATATTGACTCGGCAACTCAACGAGGAAAACTCGTAAACCCTCCAACATGTTGAAAATACAATAACTTCACAAACCATCTTACTTGAAAAAATTATAGGAAAAAAAGCCAAACCAATACAGTTTTCATTGTAGTACAATAGACTCCCCAAAGAACGGGGAGGTGCTCCATAATTTTACTTCTGTCCCCCCAAAAAAGGTTGGGTCTTCTTGTCTCAGTTAATTGCTTCGTATCCAGGCCATGTACGATTATAATTACCGGTCCTTTGTAATATAACACCCAGGAATGTTACAGCTTGGAGTCAGTCTTACTTCCCTCTTTCTTAGGTCGACGAGCTGGAGCAGGCACATGCTTCAACCACTCCGCATCAATAGTCATCTTTTCAATCTTGCTCTTCTTATTCCACCTCGAGCGAAAGTTTTCCTCCTCATCCCGCCAACGTCTCAGTTCCGGCCCCAACCAGCAAACAGCAGCATCAGCACATTCATTCACAGCCTCCTGGGCGAGCAAGTGGCCGAAATCTTCTAGGAAAACTTCACGTACTCGACTTGAAGCAACACCGCCACTACCGCCCAAGCCCGTTCCCGTAGTAGTAAGCTTCGCTGCACGCATCTCTGGCAGACACATGTCGGACTTGCCGGCGAAAATGTACAGCACACTTGGGCGGAGGTGGGGTAGCTGGGCGAATATCCGTGACTGCTCGGGCCGATAGAAGGGATGGTTATGTGGATGGTCTGCGTCTAGGTCTGGGTGCGTTACTCTGTTGACGGGCTGGCTACTCCCCGGTATGTGACTGTAGTTTGGTCGTGAAAAGGTAAAGACTTCCTGGTGGAGAGGGGTGCGTAATGTCACTGGCTTGCTTTTCTTCTCAGTACTGGTCTTTTCGTCTAATGGGTGGATAGCTGTTGGTAGGTCGCGCAGGCCATATTGGACCCAACGGTCTAGGACGCGCGGATCCCAGGCTTGGTAGAACGGACTGCGCTTGAAGCTCTCTGCGGCGGCCTGGCGCGATGGCCACAGATCACGACGGTGAGTGGAAAGCTGAGTAGTGTGGGCGATGCGGCGTTTATTTTCTAGAAGGCTCATGGTGTCTAATTGGGTTGTTTGAGGTTGGATGACAGGGTCAAGGAGCACAAGGCTATGTAGCAATCGGGGGTGCATCAAGCTTAGCTGTGTGCTACGCAGAAATGAAGTCAGTAAGGACTCTGCTGTATGGTTGCATCTTATTCGGGAACTAACAGATGTGCGCCGCCCATACTGTGCCCGATTCCAACAATAGGCCGGGGCATTTCTGCTCGCTTGACGTTCACCAGATGGAGAAGGTCTCGGGGATGGTCGAACCAGCTAGCTGTATTGGAAAATTAGCATTTCATGTCCCAGTGGTTTTTACGGAGTTTACAGGCTCGTACGGTCATTCCCCAGAGAGTCCTCGTTGATAACGCTGCTCTCTCCTTCTTGTGCTACATCGGCCATCCAGATGCTTCGGATCCGAAACCCAGCTTCTTTAGACCGGGCATTGATTTCCTCCCAGAGAGGCTCGTATAGCTCCTATTAAATTGATAAGTCCCATGCTACCAAAGGAGATTGCCAATGGATGAGCAATGATTTGTCCCTTTGACATACCTTGGGGAAGCCATTTGCGTGAGCAGCAAGGATAGTCACATCACCCGGTTTGGGATTCGGATTATCCAGCGGGATGTATTGTTTCACAGCCAGATGCAAAGGCTGTTCTTGATCCTCAGCTGTTGCACCGGGGTATTCGCGGAGATGCTGGCAAGGTACCACATGCTCGAGGATACGAAATGGGGAAGACGACATGGTTCTGAGTTCAAGACTGGCTTTATCTTGAGCTGTTGAACACAAGCAATACGTCTTAGAAAGGACCAGTCTAAGGTAATAGATGTTGAGTGTAAATAAATAGCAAATTTCCCCAGAGATGAGCTTCCCCACGTAAATTATACTAGATTCGGTGTTAGTCAAATGAACCGAGGCTCGTTATTTTGACGAGTGGCATTAAGTTTTCCCCAACTGCCGGGACCCACTTTCATTTTTTTGCCACAATCTATACCGCCTTTAAAAAGAGGTTTAGTGTCTCCGCTAAGCCTCATAAAAGCTTGGCATCAACTTTTATATCAGAAAGCTCTCATAGCTCAGTTGGTAGAGCGTGCGGCTTTTAACCGCAATGTCGAGGGTTCGAGCCCCTCTGGGAGCGTCATATTTTTTACCAGATATTCCCGGGCCCGAACGTTAAACCGATACATGGGTACATGCTTCTGCCCCAATTCTGCCACATTGAATTGACTCGTGGACAGTTGCTAACCAACTAATCTGGGGTATTCTGACACCTAACAAAGCAGAGGCAAATACATGTTTCAAATTTCCATATCAAAGACAACAACTCCGAAGTCACTGAATATGACTAATCACTTAGGTACTGTAACTAACTAGAGGTAGATCGCGGTTATCAGTACATTCCGGATGAAATACTATTATCTAGTGGTAGAACAAACTGCTCTATCTGTACTCCATATAGGTCGTAGATTCGACAACTACTGAAGTCATTCGGTTGATAAATAAAGCCCCGAATAAACTATTGAGCTTCTATACTTCCAGGCTCGGGTACAGAATACGCAGCTACTATCAGGTCTCTGAGGGGTCTAAGAAATTAGTGGACCTAACAACTCTTAAGTCCCCTGGTGGGTATTTAAGGTCAAGTGGACCTCTGTTCTGCTTTTAGCTTCATTAGCCTTCATCAACCATCAATGATGAGGCTTTTTTTTTTTATCATTAATCTGGAAGCCTTCAAATCATATTAGCTGTGCCCCCGCTTGCCTAGGAAACGAACCCGGGCATCTGAAAGAGATCTTTCCTACGCCCCAATTCCCTTCGCCGGCCAAAGACGCCCAGCTGATACCGCAGCAATCGTCATTCTGCTTTTGTCTGACGGGAAACTTTTTCAGCATCAGCGCTGGTCTTTTCCCTCAAATTTTTCTTTTTTTTTTCCATAAATTTCGAGTTATAAGGTTTTCAATCGATACATGCAGCTCATTTTCCTGGTGTTGGATTAGTAGGAGCCAATATCTTGTCATGACACTCATAGTCATCTCTTCTAGCCATATAACCAAGCAAGTCATAAACAGACTCATGATAATATTATTGCTTCGAGTCTGGAAATTGTGTAGATATGTAACAGGGTAGATGGGTAGATTTATTTTGAAGACCAGTCGTAATCAGCTCAGACTTGCCTTTAAAGTCTTTCACTGAACCCTAGCTTCTTCAAATATCTTCTCCTATCGTTTCCATATACCCACTGGTTCAATATACTAACGACAAAAAACAACATTCCATAATGCACAAAATCCACCCGAGCTCCGCGCAGAAAGTGCTGGTACTTGGGGGGAGTTATGTACAGGAGGATTGTACTTTCTGAAGGTAGAATGATGGAATACAGAAAGTTAATGGATCAGACAAGATAAATGTATGAAGAAGACAAAGCGGTCTCAGAAGTATCTGTTGAGTCATCATCACTGAAACACTGGTCCTTCGGATCGAGGTGTAGGGATTGGGATAGATTTTGGAGGTAATGTGCGGACCTAGTCAGTTTTGCCTTTTATGGGTTAGCGCCCTGATACGCCATAACGTAATCTCCGACCCGCCCAACATAAAATAGTTACCTGATCTCGCCCTCTTTATCGTCCATACTTCTTTCCCTCCTCCCTCCATTCTATTCTATCTATCGCTGCTCCCTACAATATTTAACACCCAACCAACCGGAACATCTGTTCCGCCCCACATTCTCCCCCCTTTCTGTCCCTGTTTTGAAACAAGGCCGAGTATTGTTTGCCTCCACTTTTGTAGCTCTTGGATTAATATTGTTTTAATCTGGCCTCTCCGCAGGTGACGGTTTCAGAAGAATGGAAGAACTTATTCTCAAGTGATGCGATACATTAGCCTCACAGAGAGTTCACTTGAACTATCTAGTCCCCTCGCTCTAAACCTCGATTGCCCTATTGGATCATCTAATCTTTTACTTCAGTCTATCCTGGCGCCTCGCTTGTTTGGCCTATCCCCTTCCTCTATCCTCATCGTCACTCCTGCCGTATTCTGTTACAGCTTGATTGCTTGGTGACTGTAGGTGCTGCGTCTCCTATTCAATGGCATAAAGACCTCACCAATGATCGTCTCACAGAAATTTGACATACGGGCTGTGTAATACAACCTTGAGTGGGGCCGAGGTGAGACAGGCGTAAAAGGTCGAGCGTATTGGCATCCTGGGTTTTGACAACTCATCGATAAAACAGACACACGCTAGGATTTCTGATAACCGTTTTCCTTTTCCAGCAGCCTATCATCAGTGCCGGGTCCCTTATCTGGGTGGAATTGATGTCAACAAATGGCCGGAAAGGGAGAATATCTCTTTATTAAATACCAAGCGAATGGCGGTCAGTCTGGCCCAGCATTGACGAAGTAAAGGTCTACGCTTTAAAAACAAAAGTTCCGTCCTTCTCCTTTCAATCAATACTTGAAATTACTCTTTTAACAAATTAATCTTTTTCTACAATCTATCAACGATGAGTGAACCACTCGACAAAGGTTGTATCGCATGCGGGTGGACACTTCATAAAGCAAAGCGATGTGATTATATAAGCCACCTTAAGCTCTTTTATGGCACATCTGAACGCATCGGATCAGATGTGATTTTGAAGACCGGCCCGATGACGATGTAAAAGCATAGATTGAAGTCCAGACATTGAAGTGTTTGGCGACCCGTACAGATATCCCCGTTCCAAAAGTTTTCCGTGACTAGGTCGATCGCGATGGGCGGTACTTTGTTTTGACCGAACGGATAGTCGGTCAAACGCTCGAGGAGATATGATCTTTATCGGAGTCCCAAAAGATAGATATTGCAGATCAAGTCGTCAAACTAAGAAAGGGGCTTCGATCTGTCACATCAACCGCTATTCAGTGTGTCAATCAAAGCCCATGCTATCCGATCTCCCTTTTTTTTTTTTTTTTTTGATCATGAGCCCCGCGGACTATTTCACTCCGACCAAGAGCTCTGAGATGCCCTGGCACGTCACCTGCACTGCCTACCTCAGCAAGTTTTGGATAACTTGAAGAAGCGTTTACCAAGGTCCAAGCCCTATATGCTGAATCATTACGATCTCAACTTGGAAAACATTATGGCCCAAGACGGAAATGTGGTCAGTATACTAGACTGGGAATACGCTGCTTTTTTCCGAATTGGTATGAGTATGTCGCGGCCTCTTTTAGATTGACGGAAATGGACGTCGAATGGAAAGAGTTGCTCCAAAAGCGTTCAGGCGCACATGGTGAAGCCCATGAAGGTGCTAAAGCGTTCTGGACAGATATGTACAACTTAAGTCAATACCACCTAATATTTTACTAAGCCCTATATATTACCTATTCAGGATTAGCTTAAGGCAATAATCAAGTAAAAGCAGGCACTAAGGCATCCAAAAAACCTATTTGGGGACGAGAAGCGTCTTATAGACGGCCCCAGGCGAAGGGGGTCTGCTGCAAAGGGAAGCCATTTTCGGCGCGGTTCTGGTCGTTAATGGGAGTGAGAGGAACAACTCGCTGAGGCCCAGCGCCAGCACCAGCTCCAGAAGATGACTAAATGTACTTGGTACAATATAACGTGGTGGTCGAGGGCAGTGGGCGGTCAAGCACCTGCTTGCGGTCCAAGGCGGCCGTTTCTGGAGCCAGAAGCTGTCATTTTCGGCGTCATTTTCACAAGTTCTTATATTCTATGTGTAAGAGACATGGTGAAAACCACGCATAAAAAGGAAAAGATATAGATTTTAACTCAGAGTGTCGGTGCCTTTAGTTCGACCTTTCTCCATTTTCGCTGTCCTGGCACCAAACTGTATAGCGCGTTTCTTTTCGCGTGCAACACTCTGTAGCCCGAGCCGGAGAGCAACCAGACGAAGAGCCATTTTTTCTGCATCGATGCCAGCTGTGCTTTGTTCCGGGGAATTGCTGACTGACGTGTCTGCAAGTCCGAAGCCGCATTTCTTCCAGACTGGGGCATGGAGAACCCACGCGACGAACTCCTCATCGAGGTAGGGGAAGCGTGTCTCACGGCTCCAGTGGGAGAGAACACGGTCATCGCGACCGAGATTGCGCTGTCCGAGCCTGCTGACATCAAGTTTGATCTCGTTAAGAAGACCTTCGAACCCGGACCGGTTGAAGGCGATGCCATGGCGGCCATAGCCAGCGAAGAGCTCGTCTGCACCGAGGCCAGAAAGAAGGACTCGCGCTGAAGTTGTGTAAGTTCCAGGTTCTGATTCTGAGTTGGTGGGAGTGGATGTGGTTAGTGTGCCTTGACCACGTGACGCAAAGTACAAAGCACATGTGATGGAAAGGTCCATTTCTGTGTTGTGGGGTCTCATGAGTCGCCTGACGGTGTCTCGATGGGCCAAGGTCTCTGTATAAGGGATATCAATTGCAACAAAGCGCCAGTTGCGGCCAGGGCATGTACTCTTTAGCTCAGCAAAGGCTGATCGACCGGTGATCCGGTCGGGACAAGCTTCGTAGATCATGGCGGGGGTAGAAGTGGTGGACAGAGTTTTCTGCTGGTTTGATCTTGCCGCAGCTGCGACACGGGGATTTTCAAATGCAATGTTTAGCAAATCAATCGGTTCATTCAATGGTAGAATGTCATGCGAGAGACGGGCAAGCAGTGCGCAGTCCAGACCACCAGAAAACAGCACTGCAATTTTGGTACTAGATCCTTGGACATAACCTGGTGGTTCTGGTACATCTTGAATTCGAAGTGCAAGGGATTGTCGAAGTCTATACTCGAGCTCTTGGACAAATGGAGAATTAACTTCAAGGGCTGGAGGCTGAGTGTCTGGCACTGACATGTTCATTGGCGGAATTGGATTTCTCTGAGCTGCAGTTTTAGTCGTTGCGATGGTTTTATTAGGTTGGGGATGAACCTACGATGTGACCAGCAATGGGTGAAGGATCTGAGGTCCATGGTAAAGCCTCAATCTTGCACTGGCTCTGGAGAGACCTTGATGGATCACATAATGTATCAAGATCAATGGTGTAGACACCGTCAAAGCCAACTTCTTCGTAATGAGCCTCTGAAGACCCATCGCATAAACTGCATAGCTTCAAGCTTCCATCATCGTTCCAACCTTGTAGGAGGGACCTTCTGCCGAGGCAGTCTCTGCTGAAGTAAACTTGTGAATGAGTAGCATCATAGAAGACAAAGGCGAATGGCCCAGATATGGATGCAACAGCATCAGCTAGCCCATGAGAAGCCTGTTTCTGATCATCACAATTCACGGCATTTAAAAATAAAGCAAAAATATGCTCGGTATCATTGCCTAAAACACGCTCACCGGCGATCTTCCAGGCTTCTCCGTTCCAGCAGAGCACACTCTTCGTACTATTATCTACAAGAGGCTGCGAATACACGTGGTCACCTCGGAGGGACAGTACGGTTGACATGAAGGTCAAATAGTAGGTTAGGGATTCGGACGCGTCATGTTGTGTAGCCTCGTTGCGCACAGTGTGTAACTGATAGCTATCAGGGCCGCGTGTCTCAAGGAGGACCTTTGTTTCCTGGGTTGGTGGTGTGGGTGTTGATGACAGGGAAAAAAATATCCCACACATGATAGTTGAGTTGTTCAAGAGAGGAATGGATTTGGTTATGTATTTACAAAGTATCTGGTGCCTCGATGTGGTGCCTTAAAACCTGAAAAATAGGGCATTGATGGCGATAGCCACGTGAATCAACACCCCGCAATTAGATATTACAGCTTTATTTACCTCAAACATTATTTACGAATGATAGAAGAGATGGGAAATCATAATCTCAAATTAAAGAGCCCAAAAGCTTTTCATCTAATCTTTGCAGTGTAATTCCATTCAAGATCGAGGACTTCATAACAAGTACAGATACAGTTTTAGTACCGCAAGCGGGCATCGGCTTAACTAATGATCCGGTCATAAACAAGACAGACTCGAGTCCCTCGTTTGTCCTTCAAGAACACTAAGAGCCTAATTTTTGTGGCCTGCATGCCCATAATAGCTTATGTCGACCTCCGAACCCTCACCCACGTCGGTTCCTGGGATGAGGGACGACCAACCCATCCATAAGGACTCCGATAACATCACGCCTCTTACCGCCCTCCCCGAAACCCAGCCCCAAACCTCAAACGAGAGTCTGCAGCAGATCAAGATGGATTTAGAGCCAGAAATAGAATCGCGAAGTCCTAGGTATCTGACCAACAATACTGCGAACCCGAAAACAACCCAACAATCATCAACATCAGTCCCATCCGAACCTGCCCCGCTGGTGGAACAGATGGATGAATTGTCAATATCAGAAAATATTGCTTCGTATCCTCCATCATCACCGCAACTAACTACTTCTACTTCTTCTCCTCCTCCACCACCTGAAAAGGACGACGCCTACCAGAATTTAAATTCGGCCCATGCAGGGTCCAAGGAATCACTTTTTGATCCAAGTTCTGAGAAAGAGCTTCCAGAAGTGCCAACCAAAAGCCATACAGAGAAATTGCGAGCTGGTCAAACCGACGGACCTCGAGATGAGAATGATTCACAGCCAGAAATTCAGAATATCATGGGTCAATTTCAGGACCCGACTCGAACAACTGATCAACAGGAGATTATGTCGCCTCGACTGGAGCTAGCTGAGCAATTTCGTGGCACTCAAGGCTACTTCCCTCCACGAAAGTCAAGCCTTGACCGTATACCATCCAACATTCCTGGCTCTGTTGCGCCGCAGGGCAGCCACGCAACCTCATCCACAGTTCAGTTTCCCCTCAACCCCACGGGTGCTGATGAAACAATATCTCGGCAATCATCAGCTTCGGCAGCTCCGCCTCTACCAGAACCAGAGCCTGATCAGCCGTTCGATTTCCATCGGTTTCTAGAACAGCTACGGCATCGCACTGCTGATCCCGTAGCCAAGTTTCTTCGGTCTTTCCTCTTGGAGTTTGGCAAAAAGCAATGGATGGTTCACGAGCAGGTCAAGATTATCAGCGATTTTCTAGCCTTCATTACAAACAAAATGGCTATCTGTGAAGTCTGGCGTGATGTGTCAGACAGCGAGTTTGATAATGCCAAGGAAGGTATGGAGAAACTGGTTATGAACCGCCTATACTCTCAAACCTTTGCGCCAGCTATTCCAGCACCACCCACAATCCCTAGAAGTGCAAGCCGTAGCCGTCGGAAGGAGATCGAGAGGCTTCATGGACCCTGGCGACGCGGCCAGCACCAGGAAGACATTGAACGAGATGACATTTTGGCACAGAAGATTCGCATATACAGTTGGGTCACTGAGGAGCACCTAGATATTCCTCCTGTGAGCGGTAGTGGACGCCGCTTTTTGAACCTGGCACAACAAGGTATGACATCCGAATTTCCCCTCATGGCCTACTCTAACAAAGAAATAGAGATAATGAAGATTAATGGCTACCGAGCACCTCGTGACAAGGTCATCTGTATTTTGAATTGCTGCAAAGTGATATTTGGGCTTTTGAAGAATTCCAAAAAAGCCGATACCTCTGCTGATTCCTTTGTCCCGCTCTTGATTTATGTGGTACTACGTGCAAACCCAGACCACCTGATTTCGAATATCCAGTACATATTACGGTTCCGAAACCAAGATAAACTTGGTGGCGAGGCTGGCTACTATTTATCTTCGTTGGTAAGCCAATAATCTTGTTGTAACTGACGATATGTTGCTAATCAATGTGCAGTCTGGAGCCATTCAGTTTATTGAAACACTCGACCGCACCAGCCTCACAGTCAGCGATGAAGAATTTGAGCGCAATGTTGAGGCTGCCGTCTCTCGTATTGCGCAACAAAATCGAGAAATAGAACCTTTGGACGAGAAATCAGCAAACCGTCCACTCAACTCCGGTCCCACCTCACCGCCTCAAGCTGGACCAAGCCAAACCAGCGGACCAACCCGCAAAGAAGCCTCACAGTTTAGTGATGATGAGCCCTCTACGCCAGTTGCTGGACTCTTGCGTACAATTCAAAACCCCCTCTCCACCATCGGCCGCATGTTCTCCGACGATGGTGATAACAACTCTCTGCAGAATCCTCCTCTGAAACCCGCCTCCACTCCCCAGCCAGCGCCCCCACGTCTTAACCCAAACGTCTACCAGCCTCCACGCTCAAGCAGTGAGAGCCGACTCTCTGGAGACGAGGCAGTCGCCGAACTACGAGACAGTGGAAACATATCAGCCAAAAAGAAGCTGACTAGAGTGTTGGATGCCCAGGATGCAGCTGCACGTCAAGCAAGCGCTGAAGACGCCGAGGCCCGACGAATTCAACGTGCTGAGCATGCTAATGTGGTCGAGACACTTTCAAACATGTTCCCAAACCTGGACCGAGACCTCATCTCAGATGTGGTTAAGGTGAAAGAAGGAAGGTAAGGCTCTCTGATTCTGAATTCCATCGTGATGCAATTGACTTATTTACTTTCTTCTTTTAGAGTCGGTCTTGCCGTTGATGCATGTCTCGCTCTCAGTACAGAGTAGTCAGTAGAAAGTTCTCTCGGTATTCTCTCATAGACTCTTCCATATTATATTACTTCGGTACATTACTCCTAGCGCGGTGATGGAAAGGGAATGCTATAACATTTGATGCCATAATTTTGCACACTGAGTACCTCGTACACGGGCTCGATATCTTGATGATATTTTGATGCCCATCTTTGCCCCACTAAATTTCATTTGGATTGAGCGGATGACCGGATATTAGGACATTAGAAAAAAAAAACGATAGGGTACAGTTATCTTAAAACTCGGAATTTACGATCACGTTGAAATCTTTCAATGGGATACTACAAATTCCAGTAGATAATGTTCTCGGGCACATCTATACTCCGTATAGTAGAACGGACTTAGGCGGACTTAGAAAAAGCGGGCTAAATACGTCACTCGTCAGGGCTTCTAGTGGGGCCGATCAACAACACACCCAGTCGGGATTTTCAAACATCCGAATTAATTATGGATTTATTTCAATGCTATTTCGGGTCTCGGTCAAGCCGAACTTAAATAACTAGTCAAGGCACCTCTCGCTGATTTTTTCTGCTTGGAAAGCACCTACAGGAATTCCAAGGGTTGCAAATATCTGATTCTGTCTAAAAGCCCACATCTCAGTCATCATGCCGTCTCCAATTAGCATTGCAATCATCGGCGGTGGCCCAGCAGGACTGACAGCCGGTGTATTGTTACAAAAGCATGGTATCCAGTTCACCATATTCGATCTTCGGCAAAAGCCAACGGATGAAGAGCTGGCTCAACCATCCGGAGTGTTAGATCTCCACGAAGAAGCCGGACTCGCAGCCCTCCGAGAAGCTGGACTGTATGATGAATTCTTGCAGTTCACAGGCGAGTGTTCCGAGGCACAGAAAGTCTCAGACAAAGACGGCAACATCCTCTGGTCAGACGAAGGCGGCCTGGCCGAGAGGCCAGAAATCTCTCGCCACGCACTGACTAGCCTCTTGAGCTCTCACATACCGAGCGAAAATATTAAATGGGGTCATAAGCTACTCTCCTGGACAGAAGTCACCGTCACTAGCGAACGAGGCCATAAGTTTGAACTTGACTTTGGATCTCAGGGCAGACACATTTTTGACTTAGTCATTGGTGCCGATGGTGCCTGGTCAAAGGTTCGTAACATGTTGACAAGTGTGAAGCCCCATTATGCCGGCATCCAGTGTATCACTATGACAATCCGCCAGATCACGGCTAAATATCCCCATTTGGCTGAGATGATTGGTCTTGGAAGTTTCGTCGCTCTCGGTCATGGACATGGCGTTATGACTCAACGAGCATCACAGGACTCGGCACGCATCTACATCATGCTTTCAATCAAGGACGAGAATTTCCCCACGGTGTCTGGTCTAGCTGATGGACCGCCCTCCGCTGCCGAAGACAGGCTTTTGAACGATTTAGAACTTCTCGGTCTTTGGGGACCCCTTCTCAAGGATCTGGTCGTTGTCGCCTGTGATGAGGATACGTCTGATCGTCCAAATGCCAACCTGGATATCAGACCACTTTACACACTGCCTATTGGGTCTTCATGGGAACGTCTGTCCGGTGTGACTCTTATCGGTGATGCCGCGCACTTGATGACTCCGTGGGCTGGAGAAGGTGTTAACATGGCTATGCTGGATGCACTAGAGCTGGTCCATGTCATCACCAAGGCTCACGATGCGTCTAGCACGACTACCACCGCGACATTGGCACTGTTGGATCCGTTGATGGAGCAATTTGAAAAAAATATGGTTGCGCGCGCCAAAGTGAAGGCGGAGGAAACGGCAAAAAATGGCGAGATGATGTTTGGAGAGGATGCAGCGCAGGCATTTGCTAAGTTTTTTATCTCAGCTTTCGGTGCTGCTGAAGCTAAATGATGAGTAGAGAAGGAGAAATTATGACACGAAGTGAGTTGATATATATAAAGATTATAAAAAGGTTTTATGAGATAGAATTTAATGTATCTAGTCCTGCAGCTTCCTCTATCCTCGTCTGTTTGTAGAAGTTAGTTACTGCAATTTTAAACGTAGAAGGTGTTGATATGAAAGATCAAGAAACACGTTTACTCGAGGTAAAAAAACCTAGCAGACCTATTATGGTGTACAAGCTTCGAAAACATGATGCAGTCATTAGAATAACATAAGTTAAATAACGTCACAACCACTTGCTCTAACCTTGAAACTTGATGAACTCCATCTACTTGCATCCATTAATTCCCCCTTCGATATCACGATGGTCTTGATTATTCGCGTTTAGGCCAACAATGAGGCGATAGTTGAAGGATTAAGAAGCCTATGATTACAATTTATAAAGCTATTGACAGAAGACAATTGAAATTCAAGGAACTTAAATACTTCAAAAGCCAATAACAGTTGGAGACTATGGGTAGAGAAAATTACCTCTGAAGTTACTGTCAAGCCTAGAGAGCCGGAGTGAAAAGTGTCAGAGGCTGCCAGGGACATTGACGTAAGGCAAAGTATTGGAGGCCATTCTATCAAAAAGAATGGTTTCAATGACACAGTAGACTAAAGTGGCATGCAGCCATCTATTGAACACGCTCAGTGTGACATGAAATCAACACCATTACAGGGGAAATATCGATAAATTCAAAACATGATCTCTTTTATACTTAGGACCAGTAAGAGCCGCCAAACAATAAAGATGGAAAGTCTTTCAGTCTTTTTGGAGTTCCAAAAATACCCCAGCCAGCATTGCTGTTCAGCAAGCCAGCCAGCTAAAACTTTAGAAGAGTCAGGCCTGCAAGGCATCATGATTTTGATATTCCGCAGGAACTTGTTTGTCTCATTGTTGATAAGCATTGCCTGAAGAAGTTTGCAGAGATCCAATATGACGCGAGGGACTGCGCACCTGTTGTCGTCTTACGAAAACACTGGGACATCAATGAATTCAGGGATGCGCACCGCCCAGAGTGGGCGGATGGAGAGATCCATAAGGAGATCGACGAGTGTGAAGATCCAGAGGATGTGTTTATACCAGATGAGAAGGATTTGATTTTCTTCGAGGAGGTTGAAGGGTCAAGAGCCCCTATTCTAGGGTGGATGTACGCGGAAATTGGGTACATGGCAGACTTGTACAATGGCCTTCTTGCACACCCTATTAAGGCAGAGGCTTGGTATTAAGTATTTGCCCGGCCACCTAGGTTGTTTCCAAACCTGGACGACGATGAGTGGAAAATTCGTGCCTGACACATATCTTCAGCATAACTTATTACACATATCAACATAGTAGTAATAGTGCCTAATGAATCAGATCCCTATAAACTAACATAGATACTTATATTATAAGGAGAACGCTATCGCTTGAGGCTATATAAGTGAAAATCTAATTATCAGCAGTTATCAGCCCTGCATCCGCATCTGTAGATGTATAAAATTAGAGGTCGGCACGGTTTTACTTATATCACGTGTCTAGAACCACATGCAGTTCTAATATATATTTCCATGTCTATAGAGTTATAAATCTCATGTAATTCTCAAGTAAAGGAAACTTCAATTAAGAATCAATATTATATATATTTCTTAACAAAACTAACTCTCTCATAGTCTTGCTGTTTAGAGATTGTCGACGAACACCCAGGATATCCCTTACAGAACTGAAAAGTCTTTCAACTGAAACCTCAGCTGCTGGAATACCAAGGTAGTCCCTTGCAACTGCTGCCATCCTGGGGTATTGATCCTTATGAGCGTTCCACCATGAAAGCAGCCACTTAGAGCCATCTTGGTCTTCTATTAATCCTTCTACTTGAATAGGAGGCTCATCAAAATAGCGATCAATATCAGAAGCCCGAGATACTTCTTGAGAATGTACTTTTTGTAGAAGACGAGCTCTCATACCTGGTCGAGCAGGAGGATCCATAGTTCTAGAAGTAGAACTAGAGATGGAGGTAGCCAAAGGGGGATATTTCTTATGAAGAAAGACCTTAATGCTCTGAATGATTCCTTGGATAACCCCATCTTCAAGCTCTTGTTCTAAAAGAGCAAATTTGACACGTGGATCAAGAGCAAGAGCTATATAATAGATATCTTGCATATCCATAAGATTATAGTATTTCCTATACTTTTGCATTCCAACTAAGACAGTAGAAGAGATATCAGGACTAAGCCCTGTAAAGTCGCCTTCAAAAGAAGCTGCTTCTATAAGGAGGTCATGTAATTCATAGTAAATAGGAATTACTAGACTTATATGAGGTTGCCGCTGAGAGATAAGTTGGGTAAACTCATAGAATCTTGAAAGAACCATGGCAAGATCACGAAGATTAGACCAATCATCATTTGAAAATGGTATCAGCTGATTCTGAACATTATTCCAATGTTTAATCTGCTCTTGAGCAAGGATAGCATCTTGAATCATAAGATATGTCGAGTTCCAACGTGTCTCGATATCATACCTAGAACTATAAGTATATATAAGAAAAAGAGAAAGGAATCTTGCTTACCGAATGAGCTTATCAGGTAATCCATGCGTCTGACAAATGATTTGCCACTGCTGCTGTCTTTGAGGACTTCCAGATACCCAAAGGGCTAAGATTCGTACACGAGCTAGCGCAGAATGCCCAGCTGGTAGGCTCTTATGGTCCTTTAGGATACCACAGGCATCTAAAGAAGATTGATAATCGCCAGATTTCAACTCTGATAGAATCTTTTGGACAATGAGATTCAGAATATGCGCCAGGCATCTAATATAGCTATCAAGACCTATCTTAAGTGAGTTTAGATAATTAAAGAGAGAGAGAGAGAGAGAGAGAGAGAGAGAGAGAGAGCTTACCCTGAAGATTTGCTGGAATGCTGTAGACTGAAGAGCAGTGAAAGGGATATTCTCCAAGACTATCCATCGAATCAAATTCTCCTCTAATGCCTCTAACATAGATTGACTAGCTTTTGTCCGAAACATAGAAACAATAGATGCTTGCTGAGTTGCTGATGATATCATTGATCCATGTTTTTCATCAGATGCGTTTTCATATTAGAAGTTGATGTATCTCTCTGGGAATCCAAGATCTTCCATTCTCCACAATGAATACATATAATCTCTCGGTCCTGTAACGGCCCTTTACCCTGTTTAGGATGCCAGAACTTCCCTGGAAGATTGCGGATTGTAAATTGACTCTAAAGGGCTTGGTTTTTGGATTTTGGTGTCTTGGGCAAAGAAGAGTCTAAAGGAGTAGACACTATAGAAGAGGTTGTTTCAGGGAGTTGACTCGCTGAATCATTCGGAGAGATAGATTCATCTTCATCTTCATCTTCATCTAATGGGGAGTGATAACGTGGTTGCTTTTTGATACGATCACTAGGATCAGCTTCCTCATCACTACCATCATTTAGAACAAGGTAATCCTGTCGTGGAGCGCGTTTAGGGCGTGGTAGGAGACTCATTCTATCAATGAATGAATAACTATTTAGATATCAAATTAGGGACTTCGGATGATAAGTTTCTATCGTAGTATTGTATGATTTATTTAGGCGGTGGCATAATATCACGGATATCCGTAATCCGTATCCGTAACCGTAGAAATTCTACGGTTACGGTTACGGATAGAAGCTCTCGACTACGGTTACGGATACGAATAATCCAAAATCTTACAGATATGTATCCGTGCCGACCTCTATATAAAATTAAATACTTTAACCACAACACGACTTGAAAACCGGTTTCTGTTCGAGTTACTGTGGGGATTATGCCTTACTCCGTAATATTCTGCCATATACTACTAGGTGGTATTATACGTTGGACACGCGTAAGTAATTCTGCCATATGATATTTTGCAGTTAATGCCGCCTTTGTGTATCTGCCGAGGGTCCTGGCATAAATATTGTAAGACCAAGGTTGTTGAATAATTTGGGGTTTCTTAATGGTATATATTTCGAGCATGATATACTCTGCATTGAACTCTCAGTGCAAGACTCAACTAGTGTTCTGCTGACTAACTCCCGAGGTCTCGGCTGATCTGTTCTGTTTGTTCTTTGCAAGATCCAATGAATCTGCCAAGACTTGCATAACTCGGCATAAAAAGGCCGATAACCAAAGTTTCCATTGTCTACGATTTCCCTAATTCATGTCTTACTGGAGAATAGATATATGATTCCCAGCAGATACCCTCGCTCTCATTGCCATGAGACCTTGAGAATGGTGACAGTCTGAGGTCTCTCATGCACGAAGCTCTTAGGTCGGAGCTATCTTCCGAAGGATGTCCGTGCATCAACGGCGATAAACTTCTTACACGAAAACTCAATTAGAGAGCGAAGTATAGAGCCGTTTCATGGATATATGATTTTGGTTAGGTAATAGGTATCTGATATGACATCGAATGTCGATGTTTTGAGGTTCGGCCTCGGCAGCTGCCTTGTTCCAGTTGGACCCACGGACGCATATACGCCGTATACACTCCTTACTTTTTGACATTCCAATTATAATTATTCCGAGCACCTTCCAAGGTTCAGGTCCGAATCATCCCTTATTTGAAATTCATGGCAACGCTGTATTGGAAAGAAAACTGATATCCAACTCAAACTATTCGTACTCGTAAAGAATGGAAAGTTGGAAAGTTCGTCAGCCCATAGACCCCAGAGCGGAGACGGAGCAGCGTGAAAACCGAACCCGAGAAAACGAATTCAAAAGCAAGCGAATATGCATGTGCCAAGGGATTACGTATGTACGGCGTTCATTGGTTTTTCTAAGAAAGCCCTACTCCCAGGTCCCTTTAGAATAAGCCTGATTATTCTTTTCTGAGTTTTCTCCTTCAGTCCATTTTGATATCGATACCATTTCCTTCATTATTCAGTCCTTGAGCACTTCTACATAAACCTTGGATCCCTTTCGAGCTACACATACCCTTAACCTTCTTTTATGACCTGACAAGGGTCTTGAACGCCTCTTTCCAAGAAACCAGGAAAAATATGATCTATTCTTCCATGTACATTTGATTGGTAAAGCTGTACCTTTCCGCTCATTAATCCCAATACGAATCTCTTGCGGTCACTATTCCAATGGCGAACACTACAACAACGCCCGACCTAGGAAAGCCCCAACTGGCCTCACACTCATGGCTAGAGCCAATTGTGAGTTCCCCAAACAATATAGCCGATAATGCGATTCTTTCAATACTAACTAAGCCCTAGGTGGTTGTCGGCATCATGATCGGCTCATTGATTATAAACCGTCGCAAAAACTACAGCCTCTTCAACAAAAAGCACTCTGTACCTAGCATATTACCCTCTAACGCGTCATCTGGTCATTACACCTTTCTTGGACAAAATGGCCCCTATAACAGGAACGACGTTTTATACAAATCTCAAACCGTATGCGGAATAACCATCGAAGAACGTGATACTTCTCGCTGGGAACACCACATCCACAGTCGAATACTCCAGAAATTCCCTTTCCTAGTCGAGATGTTCTACTGGGCTCTCAACTATCTCTTCTACTCCGTCACGAAAACAGTCTCGCAGAAACTATCGCCTGCTCAGATTGGCGTTGTTCAGGTTGCGCAAGACCACGCAACTAGCATTCTCAGCTTCGAGCACGACACTGTCGCGAGCTGGATCTTCCCTATCAAGGAAGTTGATTTCCAGCAGTTCTTCATCCAGAACCATCCTTCCATCTTGACTATATTCAATCGCCTCTATTCTCTCGTTCATATTCCCGGCACAGTTCTGTAAGTCTACTCCCATCTTATCTACTCTCTCCATCTGGTATGACCGAAACCGATATCCTAATAAAATCATACATCTTCAGTTTTCTCTCCTGGTACTACTACGTCGCAGAAAATCATGCCTCCTTCTCCGTAGCCCGTCGAACGATGACACTAGGAAACCTAGCGGCCTTCTTAATATTCTGCGTTTACCCTTGCATGCCACCACGCCTCCTCCCAAAATCCTACGGCTTCTACGACACAGTGCGCCAAGAGCACGCAGAAAGCATCTGGGTCGGCGGCGAATCCGTCAACCAATTCGCCGCAATGCCAAGTCTTCATTTCACATACGCCTTCGTCATCGGCTGCACATTCATCTACCACTCCGGCATTCTAGCCCGTCTCGCTGGCAAACCCACCAAGTCAAATTTCGTCCAGTTTGGGTTCCTTGCGCTGGCTGTTGTTTACCCTGCCCTTGTGCTTAGTGTTATCATCGCTACAGCTAATCACTATTGGCTTGATGCGGCCGTCGCAGTCGTTACTGTCACATGCTGCTTTCGGTTCAATCGCTTGTTGTGTCTGTTGCTGCCGCTTGAGTTTGGCTTTTGTTGGGTGCTGAGAATTGCGAAGCCTGTTCCTACTACTGGGGATAGGGTCGCCGATACAAAGTGAGGACTGAGGGGTTTGGTGGGATATAAATAGCTGAGGTCATGTTTATGTCACATATATTGAAATATAGATCGAGCTGTAACTGCTTGCACAAACTCTCCAATTGTCCCGAGGTCTCCCCATCTGGAGCCCTGGAGGGTGACCCGAATCCCCTGCATATGGATACCTACCCAGAATCTTTCAAGGTTCAGAGCACTACTAGATATACCGAGGTCCAGGTCCATGGGTCTTCGACAGCTAGAAACACAAATGTATGTTGGCCTCCAGAGCTCAGAATGTCAAAGTCTGCTCTGGAGTCAATGTCGTCAAGCTTGGAACCTTTGAATGTCGATGATAGAGAATTATTACTACATTACATTCGGTTTATGAGGATATATATATATATATGCAAGAAACAAGAAGAGATGCAAGGATTCTCGTCACCCAAATTGGGATACTGTACATTGCGAGAAAAAATGGTAACATTTACATCAATCATGCTGCCATGGTCAACACATACGAAGTGATACTGTCCATCCGCTCCGTAGTCAGTTTCAAACTGACCGTCAACAACTCACGAGCAATGCGCGGTTCTTTCTCCTGAAGTTCCTTCCATCGATCATCGTTAAGACACCAAGCATCACAATGCTGTTCAGCTTTAACGGTAGCGGTGCGCCTTGTTCCACTGAAAAAGGGCAGTTCGCCGCATGGCCGGCCGGCGACGACCAGCTCGAAGTAGCGGCCCTGCGGTAGGTCGTACTCGCAGCGGAGCATGCCTGACTCGAGGAGGTAGAAGGCTCGTGGCATGTCGCCTTCGTGGTAGAGGATCGTGCCGGCGGGATAGGACCTTTGAACGAAGTAGGCGCAGGCTGGGAACCAAAAGTCTTCATTTTGGGAAGAGAGGCCGTGGAAGGTTTGGAGAAGGAGGGGGAGGGTTGGCGCATTGCTGACCAGGCTGGTGTGGCCATCATTGCTGTTTCGTGTTCTTGAAGGGTTGTTGTTGCTACGCGCTGGAGGTACTGGCCGCGCGGGGAGCTAACTATTGCGTCGGAAAGGTGGTGGGAGGCTGATGCGGATGGGGGGACGGCCATGGGGAATTGGAGGTGGCTGCTTGATGCAGACCTTGAGGAGATGTGTAATTCCTGGCGGGTGTAGAAGACTTTTAGGTAGTTGTTCTCGCAGAATTCGAGGGCGGAATTTAGGTCTTCGAATATCGGCACTCCTGAATCTGGATCGAAGAGGCCAACGTTTTGCAGGCTCTTGCCGACATCTCCCTCTGGGTTTAGACCGGATATCATTGTCTGAACGTGGCGCTTGCGGAGGATACGGTTGATGCGCGTGAATGCTTCAGCGGCGGAAAAGTCGAGGCCGTAGACTCTGGAGAAGTCGAGAATCAGGAATCGGATAGGCTGTTGTTTGAATGCATCTTCCTCGATGAGACCTCTCATCGTGTTTTCGACATTGACAATCGTTCCGAAGAAGAGGTAGCCGCCGAGCTTCATGATGAGAGTTTGCTGTCCAGCTTCGTGTAGGAACTCTTGCTGAATGGGCGGACGACGGACTGTTGAACCTGCAATCTCGCCTGAGAAGGTTGCTCGGATGGCAGATTTGCGAGATGTTTGGACCACGAAGTTCACGCAGGCCAAGATGATTCCTACTAAGATTCCTGCTACGAAGTCCCAAGCGCCCATAGTCACGACGATTACAACCACCGTCAGGTATTCAAGGCGTGTGAGCTTGCCCCACGTGTCGACCAACGCTTCTTGCAGCAGCTCAATACCTAGCAGGAAGATCAGAGCCCCAACGACCATGACCGGGATATACCCAATGATTACGGGGCCGATGACCATAATTCCTGCCGTGGCTGCCGCAAGCATCAGACCGGCCAGTCGAGATTCACCGCCACTTGCGATGAAAAGGAGGCTGTTTGTGTATACGAGATAGTTCTATTGATGTTAGTCCTGTGCATAGAATTGATCAGCTGGACAAAAGCATACCTGAATGCTACCGAAAAATCCAGAAAGAGCATTTGTCACACCATGGGCCATGAGCTCGCGATCAACATTGAGATTGTCCTCTCCGGTAGAGATTCCCAGAGCAGGAACGTTGATAGGAACGTGAAGAACGCCAAAGAAGGTCAACGCAAACATGGCCGGAATGGTATCGAAAAGAGCAGTCCAGTTGACCGCAGACATATCATAGAGGGTGTAGAAATGATACCACGGATTGTTGGATGCTGGAGCATCGAAAGCCCATCCCTGCTGGTGCAGAGTATCCATAGATATGCCGGTACTCAGGACGACAACGTAGAATATCACAGCGACGCCAATGAAATAAGCGCCAACGAGGAAATTAGACTGAATGAAACGCTTCAAGATGAGAAGGCCGATCGCAATACTCAAGGGTATTGTCCAAAGAGCCAAAGTGTTCAGACTGAACAGCTTCTGCAAGGTATCGAGATTATATTCAAGTGAACCCGAGAGACGAGCAGAAACCTCTACTCCGGTCTGCAATAGGAAGTATCCGACACCACCAATACAGCCGATAAGGATGTGACGGGGGAAGAAACCGATGAGCGAGCCCAGACCGCATACACCCATCAAAAAGAAGACGATACCGGTCATGACCGAGCTAATTGAGAACGCGAGAATGGTGGTGGCAACGACGGATTTAGGGTTGTCCTCACCGACTCTATTCAAGATGGCGAATGCCATCTGGTGGAAGAAAGGCACGACCTCGATCATCTCGCTTCCAATTCCTCCTTTGAAGATCGAGCCTCCACAAGAGAATACCACCTGTGCGATAATGGTGCTTACATAAAACATTGAGATACCGTCCGCACCGAGAGCGGCAAACAGGGGTTCCCCCAGAGGGAAGAGAATCATGCCGTAAGAAAGGGCATCGAGAATGTTGAGAAGAAGTCCCAGGAGAACAGCGGGGACTAGTGATGCGGGATAGACCACTCCTTCGCGCCATATCGCACGTCGATCCCACGCCTTGGGGTTGGCCAATGTTCGAGAGAATTTGCCCACGACCAACAGTCCTTGAGAGACAGCATTGGTAGACCGTGTGCGGACTGATTGGCCCTCAAGATCTTCCACTGTTCCATAGCGACGAGGCGATCTAGATCGTACTTTTGACAGTAAGGAAGTACGTTCGGTGCCTTGAGACTCGGGTTCGACATGTAATGTCGACAGTGTTTCGCCTAGTGAAGTGTGTTTCGGATCTTCGGTAGCGTCGTTCTGGATCATCTCTGTCAAGGCAGAAGTAGAGCTCGGGGTACCCGGAGCGACATCGGCCAATAGATCATCCTCTAGCATAGAAGTGGGAGCGTTTATTTCATCCTGAGTCGATGAACCGGGATAATGTTGGACTGGGAAGATATCTAGACTGGGTCTCGAGTTTCCGGGGCCCGAGTTCTTTTTATTGAGTGACAGACCGTAAGTCGCAAGCTCGGCTGTTTGTTCACGTAGGCCATCGGAAGCATAGTGGGCCGGGTCTAGAAGTACGGTGAATGGTCAGTAAAATTGCTCGTCGAGAAAGGATATGGAGAGATTAAAATCCACCCAATGGAAACGAGGTACGAACCTTGTGGTGAATTGAAAGAGCGGTGGTAAAACGATCGACCGGGCGCTCTGAAGCTTGACGACTCTGTGCCACCGGGGGAACAACCTAGGTTCGCATTGGCACGTTCGACGAGCGACCCGGGCGAAATGATGTGATCGAGATGATCTCTATCCAAGCCCAGTCGATGCGAAAAGGTGGATGCGCGAGAATCGCGACGGCCACGAGGTTGAAGTAGGCCCATGACGGGATAGGAGAAAAAGATTAGATCATGCAGGACCGTTGAATACGAGATCAAAAGAAAAGAAGTAGAATCAGACCATATGCTGTGAAAGTGACAAAAAAAGGACTTAAAAAGACTTTACAATTGAATTTGACACATGATTAATGTTGAAATTCCTAATTCCTTATCGCCTCATTAGCTTGAATGTGTTTATGAATTTTAACTAGTCCGTTTGCGGGTCTGGAACTGATAGAATTCTATACGATCGACATTTCTACTTCCTTTTTTTCTTTCTTCGTTATTTCCTTGATTTTCCTTAATTATGGTAAGACATAATTACAATTTTCTACTAGCAATGCTCTTTTACCATATAAGAGGGGAAAACGTGCCATTCTTGCATGATAAAGTTAAGAATGACATAATAGACATAGGGTATCAAATTATAATTCACACGTCGCACGACTTCGATCGTGCTCAAATCACGTCAGTCGCTCGAGAAACCCTTGTGCAATGAGCCGCTCAACATCACCCTGTCGAACATAGAGCTGACTGTTTTTGGTCAAGTTGATCACACTACTCCAGTTAGCATTGCGAGTCCAAAGGTTCCTCAATTGCCACTTACCCGTATTCAGTCTGTATCTCCCCCGCATCCTTTAATACACGCACGTCAATAAAAAGATCTTTCGGCGGCTCTAGTGTCCCCGTCAGGTCTATATCCGTCCACTGCCCTTTATATGTCGCCAGCATATCACCGTATAGTCGAAAGTATTCCTCTTCCTCCGGACTCAAGGAACTGTGTCCTGCGCCCTGATTCGGTCCACGGTCTTCAGACACATCGACCGGCTGCTGCTGCTCGAGCACGTCTACTCCGACCCAGCAAAGTTCCTCGAGTTTCTCAGTTCGTACACGGTGATATGCAAGTAGACAACGCTTGTCGCGGCGCATGCAGAGGTGGTTGACCAGCAGGGTACATGCCGTTGCGGGGTCAGCTGACGGGTTGAACGAGCCCTCGAAGGGACTTAGAAGACGTGTTACATCCCGCTCGAGATCGCGTACTTCGCGAGTCACCGCACGAACGATCTCCGTCTGGTATGGTGGCAGATGCGCGAGGGATTGCGTGCGCTTCGCATGTTGGACCTGGAAGGGTGAGTCTAGATTCTACTTGAGATCAGATTTGCACCAACTAGTTTGTTACCCAGTTCACCGTACATCCTGGCCTCACGATCTGTGTCAGTGGGGAAATATTGAACGCGCCTTTCGGGAGCCATCGCGCCAAGACCTTAGTCAGCAGAAAGAAGTATGGAATTGGAGTATTAGTTGTATCAAGGCAGAATGAAGAGAGAAAACTCGTCAAGATTAGTAGACGTGAAATTTCAAAAGTAAGAAGGGCTGTTTCAGTTCTGAGTTTGTTGTGAATGATACTGAGAAATGTGAGGGTTAGAGAATTGGAAAGAGGTGTTATGACACCAAGATGAAAAACCAGGGCTTGATGACTAGGTGAACTATGAGCACTTAGTACTGAATTTCAAATACAGAAAGCTTTCACATATTAAATACTCTAATGAAGCTTGAAGGATAATATCGCATACAGACTCTTCATTTTATAATTGAGAACTCAAAAATCAATTGATACCAGCTATAACTAGGGTGTTAAAATGGCAGAGATGGTTCAATAAGTATCGATCTGTGAGAAAAGGAACCTCAGAAGTCTGCACCATACCAGTAAACACGCCCAATGTTTGATGAATTTGGGCTAGCACTGGCTTTAGGATTGTAGAATCATAGTTGAATTCAGGTCTCTTCAGTTGCTGAGATTTACCGCCGCGAACAATCATCCCACACCATTTGCGAGTATCACTATGGTGGCGACAGGTCTTGGGTCCAGAAAATAGTAATATTTTATGGATAATAAAGCAATTGTGAAAAAACTCCGAAGTTGTGTGAGGGAAGATGCCTTAACCGCACCAGGATCACTTCGTCGTCCAGAACATACGGTGAATCGAGTGTGTTGGCCAGCTCATCTAGCCTACATATCCAGAATAGACTGCGTATGGAGACAACGTATTGGACATGGCCCATGGTTTTCATGGTCCAAGCATCTTGTATCGAGTGTGGGTGTAAGTATTTGCCTGACGGGTGTGTGGCAGTGAATGATGTATGTCAAGGTACATGCTGAGTGGAAACCTTGGACGGTGGAGCAATGGTTCATGTCTTGAGGCGGCGGATAACCACTATCAAGACTCAAGCTGATCACTCTGGCAAACAAACTGGCAAAAAAATCATCATATCGTTGTTGGCGGGTTGCGTCAATCGCCTTGACTCTTGATGTGTTTCTCTAGACAAGAAGGTTTTGCGGAGATGTGGATAGTACTGTGAGGCCTAGAGGCGGTTTTCCTGAGCATAAGTAAAAAATAATTCAATGCTAGATTCGCCAATATCACCTAGTATTTTCAGAATGAAGAGCTGTTTTCAAGCTATTCTATCCTGAACCTACCCTACCCGTAAGCCATGGGGAAGTATGGTATCGAACTTGTTCTGAACAAACTGAAAGCTTTGTATCAATCTGCTCTGTTCAGCCCTCGTGAATAAAGAGGCCACCTCTTCTGACTCTGTCGATTCTATAATAGCGACGCTGTGAGTCGGTACTCGGAACACTTGAACTACATTTTCGATGGCCGGGTTCCAAGCCATTCAGACTAACCAGCCAGCTATACTCGAGTCCATTCGAGCAATAGCAGGTTAGCCTGCAAAAGAGAGCGGATGGAAGGGATATATCGAAGAATGGAGAATGGAGCTAGAGTAGTAATAGCTTTCAAAAGGTCAAGACTGCTATATGAAATAGACAGTAGAGCTGAAATTTGAAAATGCTTCTTCCTATATCAAAAAGAGATCATTTTGAAGTGGAATTTGCAATAGAAAGCTTTCCTGTAACAATTTGAGCTAGTGATGTTTTGAACTTCCAGTGTTTAGTGCAGATTTAATACATTTGCTCGGCTCGCATCTGATTATACCCAGCCTGGGTTATTGGTTCATATCTGGCTGGCTCCTTAACACCCATAAAAGACGGGATACACTCAATCAGACAGTCGGGATCTGGAGCCAAGAAGTACGGAATGGAGAATCTTCTGCGAGTCATTCTATCCTCTCCTTCAATCCGATCCGCTAGAGGTGGAAGTGTGACGCGGTGGATAGTTGATCGCAAATGATCTGCGTCTGTTAGCCCTTAGCCGTGTGTAAAAACTAGGACGAATCGACAAACCGTTAGTCCATCTCTGTAGAAGATCGCCTATATTCATTACTATGGCATTCTTGATAGGAGGAGCCGGGATAAAGGTTCCGGGGCGGTTCAAATCCTCTACTTCTAATCCACCGCAGTCATCTTGGAAGAGCAGGGTGATAGAGCTCCAGTCTGTGTGTGCTGGACAGCGAGCAGACCGCCCGCTCTCGAGTTCATCTACTGGGATGGGTGGGTAGTGCAAGAGTCGGAGCTGGTTGTTATGCCCCGAGTGCTTCTTTAGTAGGTGATCCTCCTCTAGACCTAGGCCGAGAGAAAGAGCCTTCAGTACCTCACTTGCAACACGGAAGCCCTCCCAATAGAATCGTGTCATGAAGGAGCGAAATTCTGGTAGTGATTCCTCTAGGATCCATTGATTTGGCTGTGCGGAATTATCTTCACTACCGATGTCATAGCTCTCCTGTAGCGGAGCGGGTTAGCGATCGATCACAGCTAGTGAAAAGTAATAGTAGACGATTGGTAAAACCGTTGAATAAAATTTTGCTCTGATGTGAAGATCTTCACAGCTATAAAATTACCTTGATGTCGGGACCCTCTGCCAGCCCCACCTTTTCCAGCCCAGGCCAGGAATAGCCTCGATGAACAGCCCATCCAGGCGGATGTGGCGCTTTGAGCTTCTCGTCGGATGGTAGTTCAAAGAAACACTGTGACAAGTGAAACGCCTCGTCCAACAAGGTGTCGCTCAGCGAGGAATTAACAATGTAGGCAAATCCAACTTTCTGGGAGGCCTCGACCAGCTTCTGAGCCACTTGCAAACGACTCGGCCCAGAGCTCGAGCTCCACTCGGCGAAATCCACTACAGGGATTGTTTGGGTGTTTGGATCCATATCAAGATCTCTGATCTCTATTCTCAAGAGTTGGGTAGGACGCGGGGTTGCAGAAGGCGAGAATTGACATTTTTCATTGTCGGTGAAACATTTCTTGATCCAATGGGGATGTTCCCAGAAGTTCCTGCAAATTCAATAGGTGGTATTGGAAGTGGCTGGTTATGACGGTGTCTAGATTTGATGTGGGCCATTGGGCTGTGAGAGAAACTGGTTGCTATGGCACAGTGTGGGGGCTTGTAGACTTGTCCATCTCTCTACTTCGTACATCTTTCACGAATCCCTGCTCTTGGAGAAATTGTTCAAGGAAACGCAGAATAACTCCAGGTATGTTTGAGCTTCAATTCAAATAATTCACTTTTGTCTACTATGATACTGATGTTAATCTTGCCGCTTTGAGTAGTTTGTTGACATCCCGGGTCTACTTCAAAGTTCAGCCACAAGTTTGAACGAGAACCAGACGAACGACATCAAGCGACAAAGATCAGACCGCTATCTATAATTCCCCTCGGTCGCGATCGTTACTAGCCTTCACATTTCTCGTCCTCACCGCTCCGGGCCACAAGAATGCTGGCAGCGTGGTGGATCGGGATCTTGTCGCTCCCCACGACGGCACTGTCGCTACAAACGCTGCCATTTTTATCCCCGCAAAATGTCGAGTCCAATCGACGGGCCTTTGAGGTTCTCCAGATTTTGAAGCGGGATACAGATAATTGCCCCAGCGGCTACAACTCATGTTCAAAGCTGGGCAATGCCGATGTCTGCTGCATAACCGGAACTACCTGCACCGCCGATGCCGCCAACAACATCGCCTGCTGCCCGACCGGTGCAAGCTGCACTGGCAGTCTTACTGGCGCTTCAACGGCTACGAGGACTGATACCACGACCACAGATAGCAGCTTTCTCTTCCCCCAGGGCGCGAGTGCAACGACTACCAGTTCGGGAGTTACCAAAACCGAATCCACCCTCACTGGACCCTATGCCTTCGTCAATGTCCCGACCAGCTTCGTGAATGCAGCATCATGCACATCATACTACTCGCTCTGCCAGTCTGAATATACAGCGTGTACAGCAGCCCTCTATGGGCGGTATGGAGTTACAGTGGGCGGATCTGGAGGTGGAGTGACAGTGGAAGCTGTGACCGCACTATCACAGGCCACGTCCATCTGTTCGAGTCTGAGTGCAGCGGCTTGTCACGGTCTCAGCCCGAACTATTGTGCGTCGGTGTCATCAGCTACTGCGGGCTTTAGTGGTAACGGAGTGCCGCTTCGATCTTCGAGTCTTCACGATCTTGTTCTCGGATTGGCCGTTGGTATTGCAGGGATCTTTGTTTAACGTGATGATCATGCTATTAGAGGGGCATATCTAATGTCTTGGATGACTTGTACATTTCTCTTTTCTTTTCTTTTCTTTCTGTCTATTTTGGATTTCATTCCCAATTGAATGTCAATAATTCATGGACTCGACCAGTTTGCAATTCAACCAACAACCCGGACCCACCCCGGGGGCTAAAAGTACATATTTAGTACATATTTACTTTAGTACAGAGCACGGAATACGAGGTAATTGGGGGCAATTGAGCTAACGCAGAGCTAGGTTGGTGGAATTTGGTGGTATCATAATAGTTGTTGATTGTTTACTCTGTACTTCATAGATACCATCACAAGCGGTAGCAACGTGAGGGGTCAAGTCAGGTCAAGTACACCCTCTGAGCATGAAAACACTCAATTCAAGACGAAATGCTTCATAAAAAAAGGGAAATCCAAGGAAATCGAACGAGTCCAAATGTGAGACCCAGCCTCTTGGAAAATTAAGAAAGTGTAATGTAAATAAAGACAGAAGGATTGGGAGTTAATTCGGGTGGTTGGGTGTACACAGACGGTGGCTGGGACATGCACCTAGACTTGGGACTCTGCACCTTCTTCTCTTTTTATCTCTTTCATACTGCTATCTACATTCCACAACCATCTTACAAAATAAAATAAAAATACAAAAAATACATTCCTCGGTGTTGTCCGATCTTCGTCGTTCAAGTAAACGACCTATACAACCACCATTCCGATTACCGATTGATCACAGAACATTCCTCGAAGTCTCGGATCGCTTATACATTCACGAGCGCTGTATCGCTCTCACCACTCGCGATGCGCGCTTCTTCTCTCATTCCAGTGCTTTCGATAAGCCTTGTGTTGAATATTGTAGGTGTGATCGCGACACCATTGTCACTGGAGGAGAACGAACTCGAAAAGCGATGCGCAAACTCATGTGGCTACAACGGTTGGCTGTGCTGCTCCTCCAGCCAGACTTGCAGTGAAAACAGCGCCGGTGAAGCAGTTTGCTTAGACTCGACCGACGGCTGGGAATACTACACAACAACCTATGTGGTGACTGAAGCCGAAACCGTGACGGTCACTTCGGTCTGGAGTAGTCAAGTCACAACAGCGGCAGCCACCACCACCACAATGACCTGCAGACTCAACCTCGGTGAATCAACGTGCGGCACAACCTGCTGTGACGCAGCGCAAGAGTGTCAGGATGGGGTATGTGTCGCGGAGAGCTCCTCGGCTGCGATCACGGGCGAGGCTACTCCCGGTGTACGACAGACAAGTAACGGCGCTTCTACTGCAACTGCAACTGCTGCAGCTACTACTACCGAGGCATTCATCGCTCCGGTTGGAACAGACGGTGCCGAGCTAATCGGAGCCAAAGCAGCCACACACAGTGGTCTGAGCGGCGGTGCCATTGCAGGAATTGTTATCGGTGTCATTGCAGGTGTCATCTTGCTGCTACTTCTCTGTGGCTGCTTGTGTTTCAGAGGTGCTTTGTTAGGTCTTCTTGCTGCACTGGGTCTTCGCAGTCGCCGCCGAACGGAGGAGACAGTTGTCGAAGAACGCTACTCTCGTCACTCATCAGCCGGTACTCGCCCTCGACCTCGCCCTGCAGGCCGCACTTGGTTCGGTACGAGGCCATCAGGAACTGTCAGCGAGATTAGCGAGAAGAAGAAGAAATCAGGTGGCGGTTTAGCAACCGTAGCTATTGTCTTAGGTGCTCTGGCTCTATGTCTAGGATTGAGGAGACACAATAAAGAAGAGCACCACGAAGACGACAGGACCGATTACACGTATCCAAGTTCGTACTACTACTATTCAGAATACACAGCCAGTGAGTACTCCCATCAAACACTCGATAAAACAAACCCAATCCTGACTTTTACATCTAGGTAGCGCAAGTTCTGATGGACGAACCCGAGACTCAAGACGATCTCAGTCAAGAAGGTCTCGGTCACGACGGTCAGAGGGTCGATCGCGTCGATGATCTGAAGGGTTGAGAAGTGGTCGCTATAAAGCACAACGCGATAGATTCACGTATTTTATGGCGCCGGATGTTAATATGATTTTACGATGTACCATTATGACTTACTTTTATTCTTTGGAAATGACTTCTTCCCATTCTGTTTCTCTATCAAAAATGAGAAAAGAATGTACATACGAGACATGTGAACGACGTACTTCAGCTTCAAATTGAGACTTGATCCTTGAAACATGCTATGATACGCCAGACACAAAACGCTCAAGCCTCCGTAGATATCACAGCTGATATGTATAAGCTGTTGCATCAGGTATAATACTGTAATTAGGACTGGTCTTGCAGGTACAATGTTCTTCGTTGGCAAGGATAGACCCCTAGGCTGTATAGGCTGTAGGCTGTAGGCTGTCTGCATGATGCATATAGACCCGGCAAGGGCTAATCACGAGGTTGGATGAAGTTAAACTTGCTTGAAGCTTTATTGAAGATAGAATAATAGAATTACATAAAGCTTTAACTTAGGATGACTGTCTATAAGTCTTCCATGGTTATTGACGGGGATGTGAGGGTGCGCACACATAACGACCTTATTAGCCGCGGAGTCTTTTAGCTCCCCGCCTTCCGACCCGAACCTGAACTTCCCTCTTCCATCTCCCTCTCTTAAGGCATCATTTCAGCCTCGACTTCCAAACCCTTTACTCCATCAATGACTCTCACATTGAGTCAAGTTTCCTGACCTTCCTTTTTCTTTGAAATCCATCGTTATTTTCCACCCTGCCACCGTGTCACCCGGCAGATTAACATACCCGGAGCATTATCCAATTTGTCGACTCACCACCGCTCGTCATGCTCCAAGCGCAGAGCCAACACGTTTTTTCCCACCAGCATCAGTACCCTCAGGGTGATCCCTCGTGGATACAGCATCAGCAACAGCAGCAACCACAACAGCACCACCAGCAACAGCAGCATCAACAGCACCAACAGCAGCACGCCCTCGCCCAGCAGCATGCTCAGGCGGCTCATCAGGCCCAGGCTGCCGCTGCAGCACACTATGGTCGCATTAACATGAACAACAACGGCTCCACAAATTCTGCGCAGGGTGCTGGTGCTGGCGGAATGGGTGCCGACAGCCTGGCCAACTCGGCTGCCGTCATGGACGGCGGAATCAGCGAGGAGAATCGCAAAGTCTTCCTCTGGGTAGCAGAGCTTCTGGACCCGGTCCGTCGGGAGGCAGCGCTGATGGAACTCAGCAAGAAGCGGGAACAAGTCCCTGAGCTGGCTCTGGTGATCTGGCATTCATTCGGTGTGACTCAAATCTCAAATTTCGGGGATCGACTCTCCGACCGGTACTGGGCTAACTTAATAACTTCTAGGTGTTATGACTTCTCTGCTTCAGGAAATCATTTCCGTTTACCCTCTTCTAAACCCTTCGCAGTTGACTGCCGCCTCATCAAACCGAGTCTGCAATGCGCTGGCGCTCTTGCAGTGTGTCGCTTCCCATAATGAGACTCGCACACTCTTCTTAAGCGGTATGTGGTTTCCATAAGAGCAGCATTTTCACCTCTTCGGGCAATTAAGCTAATTATCAAATCCTCTTTTTTCAGCTCATATTCCCCTGTTCCTCTACCCATTCCTCAATACGACATCGAAATCTCGTCCGTTCGAATATCTTCGTCTGACCTCTCTTGGTGTCATTGGAGCGTTGGTCAAGAACGATTCATCTGAAGTGATTAACTTCCTCCTAACTACTGAGATCATTCCTCTATGTCTTCGTATCATGGAGACTGGATCCGAGCTGAGCAAGACTGTGGCAATTTTCATCGTTCAGAAGATTCTTTTGGACGATCTTGGCCTGGCATATATTTGCGCAACCTACGAGCGCTTTTATGCAGTCGGCACAGTCCTCAGCAATATGGTCACTCAGCTGGTGGAGCAACAGACAGTGCGACTTCTCAAGCATGTTGTGCGCTGCTTCCTTCGGTATGTCTTCCCCTCCCCGGATCCAAGTACCCCGCATATTAACAGTAACTAGCCTGAGTGATAATAGCCGCGCCCGCGAGGCTTTGCGACAGTGTCTTCCCGAGCCCCTTCGAGATGCGACATTCTCTTCGGTTCTCCGTGACGACGCAGCCACTAAGCGCTGCCTGGCTCAGCTCCTGATCAACTTATCAGACAACGTATCCGATGGAGCCCCGGCGGCCATGTAAAATATGACAAAAACGCATTTATTTCCTCGCAAGATGTTTTTACCACCTTGCGACATGCATGGGACAGGTTTCTGGCGAGTATCGGGCACAAGGCGCAAAAGTTATGGGGTGAGCATCTAATGACTCGACCTTGACCATTGACCCTTCGATGGTATTGAGGTTCTTCTTCGTTCACTTTTCCCTTCTTTCTTTCTATTTTCGCGACTTTTTCATTGGGAGAGGTTCCGGGCTTCTGTGATATTTCATGTTGACAGGAGAGGGCTAATGTATTCCTATGTCCTTTTTTTTAGTCTCTCCACCTCTTTCTATTTCTCTTCACCTTGAGATATGTTTCTCCATCTTTATTTCCCCCTATTCGTTTCTGCTATTGATATGCGGCGCTCAGTCGGTCGTGGGTTTGGTTGGCGCTATTGTTGTGCATTTTTACCCTCGTCTTTACCAATTCCTTCCTTCTATTGCTCAAAGGTATAGATTCTTGAGCCAGAGATACCAAAGTCCAGTCGTTGATTTGATTTGATCTGATTTTTGTTCATTTTCTGCTTTTGCTGGCTGATCTCTGTGTACATGTGCGACAAAAAAGAACGTATTTGACTCAATTACTTTGTAAAAGGCAAGACATCAACTGTCTCCCACTTCCAAAAAAGCCAAATTTAAACAAGCAAACTAGATAGAATAGTGGGGTAAATTTTACTTCCAAATACCTTAATTCTCTACTTCCATTTTGAAAGTGAAGTTGAAGTGAGACCCGCACCAAACGCGATCTGATCTGCACGTGACCCGACGCGATACTGAGCTCATCTCGTCGCCTCTCTCAGCACGGAAGAGCAGAAACCACTCCACCACCGAACCTACTTTCCACAAAATTCTTAAAATTTACCCATATCTGACAGATTCACCCTCAGTGTGACTCTGGCCCAACTACATCCCTCCTTCGCTGGAACTTCGATACAACTGAGTCTTTCACGGGCCTCCGTCCCGCCGCAATGGGAACGCGAAAGCGCAGCCGTTCCGAGGCGCATACTCAAAATGAGCAGCAGCAGGAGGAGGAGGAGCCTGGCCTCTTGCAAACGATTCGCAACTGCTGGGAATTTGCCAGCCTCATGCAGTACATCAGCATATTTGGCAAGGTTATGAAGATTGACGAGGATTTTGAGATTGAGGTATGTACTATTTTGGCTTCTCTACGAGCAATACAATGTCGCGCATTGAGGGTTGTACATGGAATTGATGGATTTTCTACTTCTTTGCGCTTTTTGAGTTGAAAATGTGCTGACTTGTCCCTCCTTTCTACAAAATAGGATCTCGAAGAAGAATGTCTCAAACCTGAGCCCTCACACAAGCTACTGGAGATTGGATTGTGCTTATTGAAATGGATTTCATCGCACCGTGGACTCACGTATGTCTATGAATATGTTCAGAACGGCTACAGGTGACATGACTAACTGTCGATACAGCTTTGATAATTTCGATGAATACGCTCGCCGCCAATACAATGCCAAAGGACCCCAACACAATAATCCATTTGGATACGAAGAAGAACCTAATAAGTTCCTCCACATGGAGGTTTTCACCAAGCTTAGGGTGCTCCATCAACTGTCTGTGTGGACATTTTGGAACGCGGATCGCCTGAGGGAGAAGATGCCTGAAAGTAAGGAAAATGAACAGACAGAATGGGTATGCTGATCTCTTGTTCCACTAATTTGATTAAACAACACCGTTACTTACAGTTACCAGCGCATTGAAGAATTCGGATGGGATCGTGAAGGTCGATCCTATTATGTCCTTGACGACAACCGTCTCTACCGTCGCACCGACCCTGCTATCCCAGAACCTGTACGTCCACAGAAGAAGGCTAAGAGCCGTTCTTCGCGAGCCTCTCGAGCCTCGAAGCGCGCGTCAGCTGTCGCAGTTGAAGAAGAATCTGCCATTGAGAATCATAATGGGGAGACCGGCAGTGACGAACTCAAGTGGGAGTGTGTGGCTGTCACCCTACAGCAGTACCATGATTTCCTTGAAACCATCAAGAGCAAGGATGAGGATGAGAAGTTACTGTACACTCGAATTGAGGATCATGTTTTGCCTTTACTGCTTAAGATTGAAGATGCACAACAGCGCAAGCGTCAGAAGCGTGAAAAAGAACTCCACAGCATGCAACTTCTTGCTGGTGCAAAGCGATCGAGTCGCCTTGCTGCCAAGGAAGAGCGAGAGCGTTCTGAGAAAGAAGCTGCCGACGCAGCCCGAAAGCGGGAGATTGCCATGGCCGAGGCACGTCGGGACCAGGCGCGACACAAGCAGCTTGAGCAAGACCGACAGTCTCGTATGATGACTCGCGAGCAGCGCATCAAGGACCGCGAGCAGAAGCGCATTCTGCATGAAGCAGAGCTTGAGCACCTTGCCGCTGAACAGGAAAAGCTAGAGCGGGGCGAGAGCAGAGCCTCTGCACGCAACCTTCAAGCGGAGTTGGCAAAGTCTCAGAAGACATTGGAACAACTCAAGCAAGAGGACCAATGGGTGTTTGACTGCTCTGGATGTGGAGCCTTTGGTGAGAATATGGATGATGGAAGCCACAGCGTTGCATGTGAGAAGTGCAACGTCTGGCAGCACAGCAGCTGCCTCAATATCAAAAAGGAAGATGCCGGGAAAGATGACTTCCACTTCATCTGTCGTGATTGCAAGCAAAAGCAGGAAGATTACAATCAGCCCAAGCTCCCGCCAATCAAATTCCGAGTCAGTGCATCTCCTTCATCTCCTAGTGACGGCAATAAGCGCAAGGTGGACGAGGATGACGATCTTCCTCCCTCGTCTCCGGTGAAAAAGACTCGTACTGCTCTTTCCGATCTACAGAATGGGCCATCCACTGGCTTGCCTGCTCACCAAACACTGCCTTCTCTCCAAGGGCAATTCTACATTCCTCAGTCACCCGAGCGTCGTGCTCAATTTACCAACCAAACCCCCCTGCCATCATCCAGCCCTCCTCGACCTCTATTCTCTCCACAAAAGAATGGCACTGTCCAGCATACCCTGCCGCCCATGCAACCAGGACCCCTACCACCTATTGGAACCTTTGGATCTTTCCCCTCTGTTCGTCCCTCTTCTTCTCACTCTGGACATGGCCCGATACAAAATCAGCCATCAATGTCTCCTACCCAGGGCAACCGTGACGTTGGCCCTCTCGCAGGCTTTCCCCCTGTCGCCATAAACGGCTCAAATTCATTCCAGAGCTACTCAACTCCGCGCCCACAATCGGGTCATGGAGCGCTCCCAGCGATGTCTGGCAATTACCGACGCTTTTCTGCTGCCGCGACCCCGAACGGCAGCCACTCATCGCCTCCACACAGCTCTCACGGAATTGGTATGTCTGGAATCAGCCCAACCAAGCAGTCCCCTCGCCCCATGACTGCAGGCATGGCTGGCGCCCATGTCCTACCACTCATTCACAGACTAGAGCCAAGCCCCAAGCTCATGGGCCGCAACTCGCCAGATGCACCTATCCCCCCGCCCGTGAAGTGCATGACACCAGAGCAGGAAGAGCGTCGAGCACGCGAGATGCAGCAGGGATACAGCTACAGCCAGCAGATGTCATCCCCTACCATGAATCGCATCCCCTCGCTGAACTCCACGGCTCAACAGCCTGAGCCTGTTCCATCGCCTCAGCGTGGAGACAAAACTCGGCAGTGAATCTGCACTGAAAATGACTATTCGGTCACAATTACAATGTTGACCGCTGTCTCGTTGAAACTAAATCGTTGAAGATCGTTTTGCTGATACCTACAAAACCAAGATTTTGTCGCATGTTTTGATTCATTTTCTCTCTTGCGCTGTGCATCAAGATGGTTGGGGCGTTTCCTTTCCAGATGGCCTTGGAGGCCGGCGCTCAATATTCTTTTTTTTTCCAGTATCCTTTTTCCAGTTCGTGGACTGGTGTACTTTAAGTAATAGAACTACGTTGGTCTTAATCGATTTAGAGCCTTGATTCCGAGATCGGCTTCTAATTCTTGATATTTTTGCAGTTCAATTGCCTTGGATGATCACCTGATGCTTCCCACCACAGCCCCGATATCTAGATATACGTACCTAGGTATAGAACAGCATTTTTACCATATCAAGTTAGTATTTATGTACTGAGTACAATTTCTGCTTACTATTCTTGCTATTCTTACAATTTAAACTCTCCCATGGAATTTGAAAACGACCAAGGCTATCTTTTTATTATCTCATCTGTAGCTCCTTCTCCGTTGTAAATTCGATCATTTCCACCACCAATTGACCCGGCGACCTCTAGGTAGTCAGGATGAAATGAAGTCGGACAGCAAGCTAAACGCAGGGTTTGAGCATCTTATGATTCTTTCTTTTGATTGTTTTTGAAATCGTGTGTTTTCCAAACCATAATTCAAGAACCGTATCCCAAATGCCAAATATGTATGAGACTTCAAGAATCAGTAGTAATATAGTAGAGTATTTGGCAGGATAATCGGGATTTCCCAAAATATGACTTATATAGATGCCCGCTCTAAATTTCTTCATCTTCTCTGTTTTTGCTCTATGTCCTCAAACACCACTTTCTGTCATTATATTATGAAAATAGACATTTCATCATTTACCTCTGCCACTACCACATTTAATGCCCTAGACGCCATGGACGGAATACCAGAGCATGCCATACGTCGTCATAGCCCCACCCATAGGGACCATTCTTCTCTCTCGCTGCATCTCTGCCCAGAAGTGTCTGCTCTCCTAGCGGCGCATGTTGGGCATTCAGTGGGACTGATTTATATACAGATTCTAGTTATGGTTTAGTGCCGTCCCTTCTTGGCCTAGTGTCAATTCTATAAGGAAGAACGGTCGATCTACCGTTGGTCCGAGCTGTAACTAGCCAATTAGTACATCATGGTTGCGCCAATCCCGTGCGCTGAATGTATCAATCAGAAATTGGTATTCGCGGCTAGTCATGAACATTGTAGCCGATAAACGAGGAGATAAATAGATGAAACTATACTATTAAGCCCAAGAGTGGAGAAGATACGTTGAAATGGGCCTAGAAAGTTAACGCAATATCTAATCGGAGTAATCTGGACAGGGGGTCATCGTCGAATCGGAGCTAACTGACAACATTGAAACTCCGTGGAGATTCAGATCGGGGTGATATTGCCACACTATGTCGACTAGTATCCGCCGTCTGCATGCGCATACCCCACCCACGGTCTCAAATACCGAATGACTAGTCATGGCAGGGCACGGGGAGATTGAGTTCTCCACAGTGTGGAAATTGATAGACTATCATCAAAAATGAGTTTCAGAGGAACCCTTGCGATCCGTGGGTTGGAGTGTTAGCTTGCGCCAACTAATTGATCTAACCACGGGACTTTAGGCTGTTTTTTTCCGACGGTTTTTATTCCGCACTTGCTTTCCAATGCTTGTAAATCTTTACGCACGGTGTTCGGAATCCGAAGTCCGAAATCCACTGGAAATCCTCGGCCCTACGTCGTAGGTATGTACCTAAGTACAGGTTGCAGTCTAGCTAGGTTATAATTGGATTATGATGTCTAGACTTGAAAGTACCTAATCTAGTAACCAAGATTTGAACAATAGCCCTAGTAACAATGAACAGGAAAGATCTACATTGCACCTGTAGACTGTATCTTAATATGACCAGGTGACTGTTTGTTTCGGATAATCAGCCTTAAAAGGTAAAAGCTAAGCGAAGTTTATATATCAAGCAAGTAACAAACCTGAGGACTCCTGAGTCCTGACATGCACGATGCAAGTGATAAGAAAAGTAAATGTGACAATGTGACACGTTCCTCTCGAAGCAGAAGAGAAAAATGGAGCTAAAGTAGAAAATGCTCTGGCTTCCATTGGATTCCTCTGTCGTGGGATTTTTTGTCATGGATTAATAAGAGGTATTAGGGAGTCATGGCATCATAGTTGAATTCCTACATTTTAACCTAACTACTGCGCGTGGTTTAGACTAATCTTATCTACGTGGGGACTAAATATAATAAAACTAAAACATACGGACCATAGGAGTAACTCCTACTGAGCTTGCTAATTTCAGACTCCACCATAGGTATGTAGCTCATCTCTATTCGTGTTCTGTATACTTGTGGGTCCAATACAGCCCCACGTTTAACAGTTTGATTCAGATCCAGGTTCAGATTCAGATTCCCTAGTCTCTGCCGCTGCGGCATTACATCTAGATCTATATTTAATTGTTTCTTTTAACCCCTGCACATGCGTAGATCTAGTCTCCACGGCTTCGTATTATCGTAATCGTTTTTGTCTACTATCTAGCGCGTCCAATGTATTTGAAAAGGGGAAAAGAGGGGGGTAACAGATGGGGAATATCTTGCGTAATTCCGAGGCCCAATAGAAGTGTGTGCCGTTAGAAGATAAATAGCCCTGGAGGCATTTCAACGCTGGTTCGAGTTCATTTTCCATGGCACTATAGTCCAGCTCTGGTGCGATGTTTGCCAGTTTTAGTCTTCCTAAGGCAACGCTGCTTCCCATTTCCTTCGTGGTCGATTCCTAAACCGGCATATATTGACGTCGTTGCCGTTGGGAATAAACTTTAATACTGTCGCGCGGAACCAGAAAAGGAGGTCGTGAACTCTCAATATATCCGTAATGGCGTCAATCCTTGCTTATGGATGTCATTAAAGCGTAGTGATTGGATGGTGGGTGTTCATTTATGTCCGTATCGGCCGAACGGTTATATGTCCACTTCCCCGATAGGTAAACGGAGGTAGTGGCGTGTTCGGGCATTTACTCTTAACCATATTCGGCCCGTCTGTGATCCGTGGGTTAAGATCTTGATTACCTAAGCCGGGAAGGGCAACCTTAAAATCTGAAGTGTTTATCGTTATCAGTTATCAATTTAATCTAATGATCTGCGGATAAACTCAATTTGATACTTACTCAAGGTTCAACTATTCTAGCCTGTCGGATACCCCGATTAAACTGGGTACTGGCTTAACACCGGTTTAGATCAGATGATTGAACAATTTGAAATATTGATCATAGCGTCTGTTGATAGGCTGGAATCTTATCTTTAGACGAACTACCCTGGTCAATTGTCGCCTAATCGTCCTCCACACTCCCCTCCCGACTCCGTACTCCGTAGATAGTCATGGATATTCGCCCGGCTTGTTGTTTCCGTAATTTGTTGACATACTCGTCTATAGCCGAGTCCGTGATGATTTCAAATTATAATTTTGTGGCCGACTCGAACTAGACTAACCTGTCTAGGAAGATGGTGGACACAAATCTCAGACCCCTGTTTAATTGACTCGCCTGATGTTTCGCTTTTAGTCCGTTATTTAGCTATGGAAATCATTACCTTTGGATAGTGCCCGTGTGGACCCCGATGCCATGTGGACCCCGATGTCCAGATATGATCTGGCGGCAAAAAGAAGCGCAGAGTCGAGACTAGACCGAAGCCATTGCCCGAAACGAACTTTCTGCATCTCTGCCATATATGAAATTTTCAAACCACGTGGAATGCATTGCAGGCTATATGTAAGTACTCAAGTAGTATGCTAAGTTGGTCATCCCCCAGAATCCCCCTAGTGCCCAGCAGAATCTCAGCAATGACCTTCAACTACGCATAAGGTTCCCGCGCAACCTATTCCTCTTCCACACCTCCATTCCAAGAGTTTCTCAATCTCGCGACATCACACCCAGTGTGCACTGCCGAGAATAGTGGAGTCCTTCGTAGGGGTGCTATGATCGACAGTCGTTGACGTTCTGATTTGCCCTTGTCCATACCTAGGTATCCACCTGGGTACTGAGTAGCTGGGTAATAACGAGACGAAGGGGCGAGGGTGCAAATACACTGCCACTGTTTAGGCAAGGCAAAAAGAAAACATACTAACTGCATTGCTTACTGCAAGGTTCTGCGCATTCTGACAGGGAACCGTTCGGTTCCTGACCGAGCCAATATTAAGATTGGGCGGACTGCTGGTGACAACTGACAGATGCACCATCCTGTTGATCTTGGATGCAGACTTGCATTTCTGTCAGAGTCTGATACCAATGATTGAAGTAAAATAGTTACTAGTCCTCCAAAAAAGAGAATTAATGATATCCCAGTGGTTGCAAAGAGAAGATGAAATGAGGAAAAAGAGTATGAAAACTGGACAAGGGTAATGCAAACCAACAGAACAAGCAGCCGCAGAAACTCCGGCTCACTCACATCGCCTTCATCTCTACCAAGACGGCATGAGAAAAGAGCGGTCTGTAGAAATGACATGACACTCATCCCCCAGGACTTCATGTTCATCAAGTCCCAAGTAGGAAGTAGGAAGGATTCAGGGTTCTCGTGATGTATCTACTATATGCCGTTTCTTGGCCACCCACCAAATCAGACATTTGACATGATATCTCATATACTTACCCCTGCGTCTATTATCATGGTCTTTGTATCCAAATGATCTCTAGTACCAAGATGGACGAAAACGTGGCAAGCCGGGTTCTCACAAATGAAAGCTTGACCAACCATGATCCCTGTCGCACCTGAGCGATATCGCAGGACCACGGAGAGCATTCTGCACGACTCCTAATCAGTTACTCTTGGCTTTTGATTCCTTGGTAACTTTTCATAATTATGGAGATAAAAAGACTTCAGATCGGGGACACTGCCGACGGTGACCTCTACTTTCTTTCAATGCAGCGGTTTCTGGTTTCACTGGAGCTTTTTCTTGGCCGTTTTTTTGCCATATGGTAGACCTCAAAGGAAATGAATATCCTGTTGAAATGCCTTCAAACCTTGGAAGCTTCACGTTTCGCCGGAACAGGCGAGCCGCAGAACGATACAGTACTAAGTAGTATGGTTGATAGTGAGACACCTATTGATTCATGAGAAGAACCAGAGAATGGCAGAATTGGCGCGGCACAGCTCGCCTCAGATCGCCTCGAATGACTGGTCAGCAGACCGTGTGGCTTTATTTAGCGCCTGTGTCTCTTTCTTCCCCTGACACACAGACCTGCTTCCAGAAGAATTGGAAGGGGCGGTTGAACGAGAGTGCGAATATAGTAATAGGAGTGGGGCTTGTTCTAAATCTACTTGGGGGCAGACGGTAGACCTGCAGGGATCGTCTTTAGTCCAGGGCCTGAGCACTCCACCTGGACAGTGCTGAGTGTTATATCCCCGGAAGTATTTGATTTGAAATCATCTACTAGGTAAACTAAGATAGACGAATACATTATAATACAAATACCAATAGTTATGTCAATTTAATGCACACTACAGATTGACTGTCAATGTCAATTTTATGTGGACTGCACACTGAGCAGAGTACGCCATACTGACTAATACCTAGGCACGTCTCAAATAAGCTCAAAGAGCTGACAACCCGTTTTCCCCGACCTTGCAGACGTATGGACTTCACTTTGTCGACCACATGGCAGGAGTGAGTTTGGAACAGCAAGCCTCCACTCTCTCCAAGGCTGGGTGAAGATAGTAAACAAAGAGAAGAAACAAGATCACGACGTTTGAAGATGCAGACGGGAGGACCTGCACAAGCCATCGGGGACCAAGAGTAATTGACATAAACTGTATCCATTCCCAAGAAACTTTGGATAATCCCCGTACTCCTAGAATTTTGCCACATTGGGACGAGTGGTCCCCGACTGTCAAAGGGTTTCAAGACTCATTCGAACCCCGGCACCTGAGTCTGACCTCACTCAACCCGGGGAATATGATGTACATTGTTCTTTGTACCTGGGGAAATGGAGACGAAGGTAAAACGGGTTGGAGCACGGGTCCTTGCTGTAAATCGCTGGTACGGCCGATGATCTCCCCGGTTTTCATAGTTGAACTCGGAGCTAAGAATATAGCTAAGGGTAGTAAAGATTGGTACGTGCCAGAGTAATGTAGGTTATGTTACTGTATATAACGAGTAATGGGATTTGAATCTGGTGATATGGTGATATGGTGATATACCATATGGAATGCTCCATAATTTAACGTCGGAATGTCGATCAACCGTCCACGTGATTATTTGATCAGGGCTGCAGAGCGAAGATCTGTCTTTGGGAATCGATCAGGGCGCGTGAACTAGAAGACCCCGAAGCGCATAACGATATACGAAGATCGGAGCACGAGCATAAGAGAATCTAGTTGATCAGTTCAGTGCTAATAGCTGACCAGGATTATTACGAAATTGAGGCTTCTAGGCCTGTCGGATACATCAACCAACCAATGGAATTACCAATCAGAGGCACTGTGGCGTTCGATAGGAGGTCTGGTCGGTTGCCGGTTTAAAGTGGAGAATCCAAGGCTGTCAGGAAAGACCTGGTTCAAGGCGTCGATTTATCTCCACTTCTGAGCCATGCTCTCGATGCCCCCAGTATTCCAGCCTGGACCAATCTTGGCATGAGGTAGAAGTGCCGATGATACCTAATGTAGAATTTTGGAATATCTGATTCAACTGAACCTTGGGAAATGACTAGTTTAGTAGTTGGAAGATAATTTGGTAGTATACCTAGCTTATGATTCACTCGGCTATTGCGCTCCATACTAAGTGCATAGTGGCATATAGGGCATGATTGCTTTTCCCGCATTCCCTCTAATGCAAGCTCCAGGGTTTCGTAGAATTTGCCATCATTTAGGGGTCAGGATTAATGAATTATTTTTGCATCCTCTAATCTCCTATCCGGATTCCAATCTATCCTATTACATCCCCGGTCCCTTTCCAACGGGCGTGGTAAGGTTCGTAAGGGCCCATAGTCTGTGTACCCAATCCATATCCATCCATATAGATCTAGAATTTACCTACTACCTATACAAGTTAGTTCTTTCTGGTCTTCAATCTGAATGGTATTACCTCGATTCAGTACTATGATCCATATTTGGCACAAAGAAAAAAGTGATATCTTAAGAATAGAGATGGATGTTATACCAGGGGAATATGTCAGTGTAAAGGCTAGTCTCTCAAATAACATAGTCCAATCAGAAAAAAGTAAAGCATTGGCTAATCATAGAAGGGAGAACAAAGACAGCTACTATGGTGACAAGAGGGGGGCTAAGATTGACAAGAAATAAGAAATCAGAAACGAATTAAAAAAAAAAAATAGAAATGTAAATGTCGGGGAAGAAAGAAAATTGAAAATTATGGATCAAATGGAAATTAAAAATAAAATAATCAAAGAGGATTTAAGCCCAGCTAGGCAAGAGTAGTAGATCCACGCTATCGGTATTGTATCCAGCTTCTCTCTTCTTCTGGAGTCAGTCTCAGTCTCTGGAATGGTTCATCCGGCTATTTGCAAGGCTCTCTCACTTTCCCTCTCTTCTACATACCCCCAATGGTCCCACTTTACCTTACCTTCTTAAGACCTGGATTTTCCTTATTTAATTCAAAGCACCCGCCTGGGGAAAAGTGGATTCTCTTCTTTGCTTTCAACTTTGTTTGTTCTTTACCAAACAACTTTATCCCACTTCAAATCCCAACCCATTACTTTGTCCTTGTCTCACATACCTGTCTTTCTCAACGTGAGTAAGTGTCTAAGAAGCCTGAGCCCTCTCAGGAGATGACAAATGGGTGCTCACAATAGTGTAGGACAGCAGCAAAAAAAGATCTCCCCTTTCCCTTCTTCCAATTCTTCTCTTGGAAATATTTACCCTTGTCCACAATATCTTGGTCTGGACTATTACAATTCTCTTCATCGGTTCTGTGTCCAAAGATAATCTATCTCCTGCACTATGTCAATTGTTGCCAACGGTCTCCCTCCACCTTCTCCCCCTAATTCTACAGAGAATGAATTGAGCATTGAGAAGTCAGTGGAGGGATACTACGTATATCCTCAAGTACCTCTATACAGCTCTTTCAGCAATAGTATGGAACACCCCGAGATGTATGGAGCTCTACCAGCCTCGTCTATGGTGAGTTTTTTCATTTTAAGATATAATATAAAAAGCCCAAATCCTGACGATATCAGCCAATGTATGCCTCACCTCCAGCTTACTATTCATCTTCTATGCCAACTTCTTACCCGGTAGGCTCCTCATCCTGATGCATTTCACATGGTATTTATGTACTGATTGGTTGCAGATGGCAATTCCCGGTCAGGCCAATACACCTCAACTAGCCGATGAAGATGGGATTTCTAGTCGGATGCCATCAACTTCACCCTCATGGGCCTCTCCTCAAACTCCCCGACGACGCACCCCGACTTCCAAGGCAAAGCCGAGCCGTTCTCCCCGTGAGAAGCGGACCCGTCCTAAAAGAAGAGACTCCAAGGGAGCTTCCCGAGAGCCGCCTCTCTCAGTGCCACTGAGTGAGTTGACTAAGTATATGACAGACCTTCCTATCAAGGATATGGATGCCTGGGTAATGCGTTCACTAGCAGAGCGCCAGCGAGAGGTCAAGTTAAAGGGAAAGATTTCGCGTCCAATGAATTCATTCATGTTGTATCGATCTGCTTACGCAGAGCGTGCCAAGCGACTTCTGCACCAAACCAATCACCAGGTTGTCTCTCGCGCCACTGGCCAGAGCTGGGCTCTAGAGCCGAAGTGCATCCGCGATAAGTATGAGGAATTAGCCAGGGTTGAGCGTGACAACCACGCAGCCTCACATCCTGACTACAAGTTCAAACCACAGAAGGGTCCGGCCACAACGAAACGAGTAGGCGAGTTGAGCCCGCCAGCTTCCATCATGCCCGACCCCAGCGTTTCAGACTGGGAAGATCAATACCTGCTGGCCAGCATTCATCACCGATCTCGAAGTCTGGATGCTGACATGATGCGGATGAGCCGACACTCCTCGCCTTTTGCAGGTCATGAATCCGTAATTCTGCATGACGAATTCAGCTCCCCCTGGAATACAAGCTACCCCGATCCGACGGTTTTTTCTGGATCAGTGGACGATATGGCCCATGTTGAGGATCTTCATTACCGCCGTGATGGCCCTTTACTTGAGATGCAGTACGGCGCTTCAAGCAGCCTGGCTGGACTTCCAGGTGCTACCCACGACGACCTAATTCAGCCGCAATTACACTACATGGTACCAGAGCACATGGATCAGAAAGTCGACATGGACCCCCGGCTGCTCGACTATGATCCCCAGTCAGAATACCTTCCCTCATACGCTCCACCACAGAACACTTACTCAGGCTGGGAAAATCATGTCTACCTGCCCACTGCGGGAACGGCTGCTTCGAGCCCAATTCCGTTCAAACGCCATGGAGATGCGTATGAAAGCCCTTCATGGAGCGGACCGCACGATCAGACCATGGCTGAGACAGGGTGGCTTGAAAATGACCAGGTCCCAGCTTCAGGCTACTAGGGATCCGGTGAAGAGCAATGACTACGACGAAACCAATGCGATACGATACAAAAAATTGACTATCATAATGGCACACGACTGGCTGACCAGCTCACTACCGAGCTCCTGGCTGAGCAAGGTAGAACAGATGGCCACGCTGATAGACTTTACAAATCAAGCCCAGGGAAATAGCATTCTGGTGCTGTGGTGCTGTGGTGCTGTGCAGAGTTTTTTCTTTTTTTTTTTACCTATATTTCTTTTCTTCTTTTTTCTTCTTTTTCTTCTTGTTTTTTACTGTTTTTTCTTATTTCCATTGGTTACACAACAGGTGCTTGGCTCTATATCAAATTTTATGTCTCTCATTTCCTTTTATTTCCTTTTTTTGTCTCTCCTTTCCTGATTTTTGACTGGTGGATCTTTAGAAAGACTCTGGACACTATATCTCACTGGTGTGAGATGAGTACGAAGTATCACTGAATCAGGGGCTCTGGTGTTTTTTTTCATTTTCATTTTATACCATAGATTTCTAGTATGTCTAGGAATGGGCCTTGGGCGGAATGCTGCTATCAATTGACAATATGCAATAATTCTTATTCAAAACATAGTTTTCTTCACATATCCTCTTCATCCATTGCTTGCTTGGGAGGTAAAATGCCAAGATATGCTTTGCAGTGGTTTACAGTACGTTTCCGGGCTTTCTTTGAGTCTCCTGGGTCCAATGCCATCAAAGACACTCGTTATAACCACCTGGGCGGCTCATTATTAATGTACTGGCTCTTGAAGGTCATCGGACTTGTGATAACTAGACGGCTAGGATTACACGGGCCCAGTATGCTGGTCCAAGTATTTGTACCATTTTCATAATGAGGCGTATATTCAACTTGACATTTAATCCCATTCTTCCATCTGAATCTATCTGAGGGGCTCTTGCAATTAATAATTCTCTTCATAATTTTTATCTCTGTGTCCATATCTAATTCTCTTCGATTTCTACTACCTTGAGCAGCCCAAGAAGCCCAAGAATTCGTTCCAATCACTAAGGTCGTATGCACGACAACAGAATTAGATTATGATGCCACTTGTTTCTGACTGGGCAGGCTTTTAGAGTCTGAAAGTTCTTTCCCTTTGAACTACTCAGCTAAAATACCTCGTCGTGGTAGTGTTGAATCTTCTGATGCGCAAGCCATCTGGTCAGCTGATTCTATCCTCTAAATCCTAGAAGGGATCTCTGGAGCTTGACGCGATAATTTATGCCTCCTTCAACCTCTTCTTAAGCCTTGGCATATCTTAAAGTATTTCCTTAGTGAGAAAGCTGCTCAGGTGGCTGAACAGAGACCATTGCAGTCTGGAGTCAAGTCTTTGTTTTACGCATAATCTTGAAAGCTCATTCATCTGACTATTAGTCAATTACTCTTTTTGAGCCCTGATCTTTCAGTCGAGTTTGAAAGACCCTACCAGTTACAAGATCGAAATCAGTTTCACCACTTACACACAGAGATTCCTTCTCGAACCTGTTACCCTCTTTCGAAATACGCTATGCCTATTACAGTTACTCTACCCCTGGCCCTAGTAATCAGACTGTGACTTATGAATTAGCACTGCGGGGTCACCTGATAGTGAGCCCGAGGACGAGCCCCTCCTTCAGCTGACAGTCAGGCAACAGCCCTTCTCATGAAAACTACATTTTAATTTGATTATGGCATCAATATCATTTCAGGGCAATAATCATGGGCAGCAGATTGGAGTAAACTATGGCCCGATTAATAAGGAAATTCACGTGCTTCCGGGTAGGTTGAAGGGAATCGAACAAGGTTAAGGCACTAATGGCTGTCTAGAGCGACCGGAAACTCCACCCAACCCACTATCAACAGTCCCATTCCCGCGCGATCCAGACTTTATTAGTCGTGATGCTCTACTTGATCAGATCCGTGAGAAAAACTCAGTCCCTGGGTCGAGAATAGCGCTGATTGGTCTTGGTGGTGCTGGGTAAGTGTAGATCGGTTCTGCTGTGATTGATTATTTTCAGTACTCATTCATTACAGAAAATCGCAACTCGCAATAGAATACTCCTATCAAGTCCGATCTGAATCGCCGGCAACATGGGTCTTCTGGGTGCACGCGAGCAACGAAGCCCGGTTCGAGCAAAGTTTCCGGGACATTGCGGACCAGGTCAAAATCCCGGGTCGTCGGGATTCTAAAAATAATATTTTCAAACTGGTCGAGAACTGGCTCCGAGATGAGCAGAGAGAGAAATGGGTCTGCATCCTTGATAATGTCGACGACGACAAGTTTCTTTGCTCGATTCCAGTGGTAGGCCAGGAAGATCTGACCAAAGACCCAACAAGGTCCACAACGAAGCCACTGTTAGAATATGTCCCAAGAAGTCGAAATGGGTCGATTATCATCACAAGCCGGACGAGAGAAGTAGCGTTGAAAATGGTCGATCACAAGGACCTGATTAAGGTCCAACCCATGGAAAGGTCTGAGGCGCTAAATCTTCTCCAAAGAAAGCTTGATGAATCAGGAGAGAGCCGAGACAGTCAAAGCCAGGAGAATCGACAGTTAGTGGATATACTCGAGTATATGCCTCTAGCAATCGTACAAGCAGCCAGCTTTATTCGGAATCGGGCGCCTCGCTATTCAGTGTCCCAGTACCTCCGAGATTTTCAAGCGAGTGACCGTGAAGCAATCAAGCTTCTTGAGAAAGAGGCGACTTACCTCCACCGGGACTGGGAAGCAAAGAATTCAATCCTGGTGACGTGGCAAATATCTTTCGATTATATACGCCAAACTAAGCCATCTGCAGCAGAGCTGCTTTCTTTCATGAGTTTTTTCGATCGGCAAGGAATACCAGAAGATCTTATTCGATATCAATCTCATACACCAAGCTCAGACCTTTCAAATGACTCTAGTGACGGAGAGACATCTGATTCTGATATAGGACCCGATTTCGAGGATGATATTATGACACTCAGAGATTATTCTTTTATATATTCTAGTGAGAAGGATAATTTCTTCACAATGCATCGGTTGGTGCAACTGACTACATACGCGTGGTTGAAATCTCATGGACAAAGAGACCAGTGGAGAGATAAATTTATTAGCACCCTTTACGAAGAGTTTCCCACCGGGGAGTATGAGAACTGGGAGAATTGTAGGGCGTTTTTCCCTCATGTTAAATCGGCAATATCGCAACGGCCATCATCAACTACATATCAGCAAAAATGGGCTACATTACTTTATAGGGGGGCATGGTATGCGTCAAAAATAGGTAATATCACAGATACAAGAGAAATGGCATCAAAATCGAGAGATCAAAGAATAAGGTTATTTCATACTGAGAATGAAGATGTTCTTGCTAGTTCAAGTATGCTAGCAATAGCATTTTGGCTAGAGGGCCGGTGGGAGGAGGCCGAGCAGCTCGAGGTGCAGGTGATGGAGACGAGCAAGACGAAGCTCGGCGAGGACCATCCCGACACGCTGACCAGTATGGCCAACCTGGCGTCGACGTACAGGAACCAGGGCCGGTGGGAGGAGGCCGAGCAGCTCGAGGTGCAGGTGATGGAGACGAGCAAGACGAAGCTCGGCGAGGACCATCCCGACACGCTGACCAGTATGGCCAACCTGGCGTCGACGTACAGGAACCAGGGTCGGTGGGAGGAGGCCGAGCAGCTCGACGTGCAGGTGATGGAGACGAGCAAGACGAAGCTCGGCGAGGACCATCCCGACACGCTGACCAGTATGGCCAACCTGGCGTCGACGTTTTGGAACCAGGGCCGGTGGGAGGAGGCCGAGCAGCTCTTTATGCAGGTGATGGAGACTCGCAAGACGAAGCTCGGCGAGGACCATCCCGACACGCTGACCAGTATGGCCAACCTGGCGTCGACGTTTTGGAACCAGGGCCGGTGGGAGGAGGCCGAGCAGCTCGAGGTGCAGGTGATGGAGACTCGCAAGACGAAGCTCGGCGAGGACCATCCCGACACGCTGACCAGTATGGCCAACCTGGCGTCGACGTTTTGGAACCAGGGCCGGTGGGAGGAGGCCGAGCAGCTCTTTATGCAGGTGATGGAGACTCGCAAGACGAAGCTCGGCGAGGACCATCCCTCCACGCTGACCAGTATGGCCAACCTGGCGTCGACGTACAGGAACCAGGGCCGGTGGGAGGAGGCCGAGCAGCTCGAGGTGCAGGTGATGGAGACTCGCAAGACGAAGCTCGGCGAGGACCATCCCGACACGCTGACCAGTATGGCCAACCTGGCGTCGACGTTTTGGAACCAGGGCCGGTGGGAGGAGGCCGAGCAGCTCTTTATGCAGGTGATGGAGACTCGCAAGACGAAGCTCGGCGAGGACCATCCCGACACGCTGACCAGTATGGCCAACCTGGCGTCGACGTTTTGGAACCAGGGCCGGTGGGAGGAGGCCGAGCAGCTCGAGGTGCAGGTGATGGAGACTCGCAAGACGAAGCTCGGCGAGGACCATCCCGACACGCTGACCAGTATGGCCAACCTCGCCTTTACCTGGGAAACTTCAGGTCATATTGCCAAAGCCATCATTTTGCTGAGAAACTGTATAGCTAAACAGAGACAATCACTCGGCCCAAATCATCCACAGACTTTACTGAATGCGCGAACATTACTTGAATGGGAAGAGGAGGAATGGGAAACGGAGGAAGAATAGGAAACGGACATTCGGTTTCTGAATACTTAAAAAGCCCAATTCTCAAATATCACACGTCAACTTCTATTTCTAGGTTCAAATATTTATTTCTCCAGAGATCTTATAATTATACTTTGATATATCACTCAATACTTCAAAAGGTGCACATGTTACCTACACCTTTAATAGAAGTTTTGCTATGTAAGAGATAGAGCACGCATAAAGGAAGTCATCAAATGAGCAAGCTAAGAGGCTGGACTCAGTTATTTTGGTATAACGTATTACGAGTAATTTATAGAAAGTGGTATCACGTGATATTGTCTTTTTGTTAATTGAATACGGAAAGCGGTCTGGAATGGTAAAGACGAGAGTATTGTTGTTAGTTGGAAAGTGCGTAAGGCATCAATCCGGCAGTAATAAATGGGCAGTATGCAGTAAGCTAAGCTACAAATGGTAGGCGGTATTCTAACCATTGACACTTTTAATACGATTCAATCCTTGAAACAAAGCTAAGTCAGAGATGGATTAGCGTGTTATAAAATAGGGGTTGAGAAAGAAAGTAAAATGGTGAAACTGTAGAGCTCGGCGCGAACATATGTTCGCAATTTTTTAGAATGTTCGCATTTGCATTTGTAGTTAGTGGTAATGTTCGCATGTTCGCAGATATTCGCATAAATTCTGCCACCGCCTCTAGTAATAATATGATGGGGCTAAAAGTATTTCTCTCTTTTTTCTTTTTTTTTCTATTACTATATCACTTCATTTTGTCATTTTCAAATGAGTGATACCCAAAGCCCTAAACGGGCACGATATGAATGGAATTATCTTGGCCTCAATGGTGGAAGTGACGATGAAGCTGATCTAAGTGATCGGATGATTCAGATTCCTCAATCTGATTCTGATCATCCAGACGATTCAGCTAGCCAAGGCCCCTCTACTCTAAGCCCTTCTACTCCTTTTTCTTTCCCGCCAATTCAAGTTCGATTCTACAAGATTAAATCCCAAAGAAGCATTCTAAGGAGCTTAATGCAGAAAGAATGTTACTTCGCAATGTCTGTAAAGTCAAGTATCATCAGTCTGATGATCAGTCTAAGTCTTGTATTTAAGGATGGGGACAAATTACTTAAAGATCGGGAGGAATAGTTAATAATGCATGCTCTAACTCTAAAATAGTAAACAATGAACTATCTATAGTTATATATATCCTAAAATATGATAGGTCTTGCGAACATGCGAACATCTGCGAACATGCGAATATTTGTGCCGAGCTCTATGAAACTGATTTCGATTCATCCTGTATTCTTATTTGTACCATTTCCCTCGTACACCGTCGACTTTGATTACGAGCCCTGGAGACCATCAATCAGGCCCCATTTGCCTGAAACGGTGAGGCAGAGACGATAGGAACCTGTCTAGTCTTATATGTCTAACAAAATTCTATGCTTGATGATCCTGATCTCAATGAAATATATCTTTCAAGGGTACTAATTATGAACGAGTCTTATCGAGTAAGAACGATTGTTTGACATAACTAGGGCACACTTATGCCTTATTATCAAGGCACCAACGTGTAGCCCCGCATTCATTATCTTCATTGTTCCAACGACCTCATCTTGCTGAATCCCCTCAACACTCAGGGACAATAAAAATCACACCTACGAAGCTACAACTCACCTCCATCATTTCTCTCCGTCCTATCTCTCATCCCACCCGCTGGACATCCACCTCACTCCTTACGGAACTTTGAACAACCCCACCGACCAACATGTCTATCCCCAACGAAGCTCTAAAAAAGGTGAATAACTGTTGCACACCACATTGTCTCGGCCAATGGCTCAATTATCACCAAATGATTTTTACCCGACACATCAACTAACAACTCGTGAAAATAGCTCGTGCAGGAGATCGAAGCCCGCGCTATAACCTCACAACAACAAATCAACATCGCGAAGGCTCAGATCACAACCAAGCAGCGCGATATCCGCATGATGCAATTGACTTCCAAGGAGTTGTCAGAGTTGTCCTCCGAAACAAAAGTGTACGAGGGTGTTGGAAAGATGTGTGTAAACCTCCGACCCCTTGCCCAGGCCATACTCTACTCAATCCAAATTAAACCCTTGATTTCTCTATTTTTCGCTGGAATCTTGCTTACTCTTTATTACAGGTTCGTCAATGTTCCCATCGGTGCTGTCAACAAGCGCCTTACCCGCGAGAGCGCCGAGGCGACTGCCGAGATCTCCAATCTTGATAAGAAGCTGCACTACCACGAAACCACGTTGAAGAATAGCCAAGAGCACTTTAACCAGATCATTAAGTCGGGTGGACGGGCATGAATGTGATACCGTACTCCCATTTCCAACGAAAAAAAACTTCTAGTGACAGATCTTTTCACTTGCTTCATCGTGAGTGGGCGAGGTGTGTTTCGCTGGACACATGTCTCGGTCTCCCGATAGGAAATCGATGAGAATCGATGAGGAGGATATGGGCAGCCGGTCCCTTTTCTCCTTGCTAGAACCTGTTCTTCAACAGCATGCTCTGTACTCCGTACTCTATACCGGCGTTGCATACCCAGGAGTTTTCGGCATTTATCTAGCGATCAAGCAGGCTATAAATACGATATACTAGAAATAATAAAACATATCAATTGGGTTTCTCCATGTGTCCCACACCCTCCAGGCTCACTTCAAACCTCCAGCAAAGTCCCCGTAAATCTAGCATATCGAAGAGCAGGAGAGTGATACATCACACTAACAGTCATACTCTCGATAGTTCTCTGCAAATACGCCCGCTGCATCTCGTCAAAGCCCGGCAAAGCTATCAGCCTCTCATGTTCCTCCAGGACCTGCCTCTCCGCATCACTAATAATAATTCGAAAAACGATCATGGCAGATTTGGGCAAGAATACAGCCAACCCATCCCCTTCTGGATTATGACGCTTATTTGCGTAGGAGTAGAGATCATTGAGAAATACACAATGTCTGATGTAGTCCATATGGGGAAATATGGTCTTTTTGCAACCATTTAGTACCACGTTTCAAATAGTATCAATAGCCAAACAGTGTCAATAAGTAAATGGTATTAGGATTTATAACTATTTCGTTATTGTAACCATTTCGTTATTGTAACCATTTATACCCTGTCACCATTTTGAACCTGACACTATGGCACTAATACTTTGGTAGTCTGTTGGTTGCTGAAATTGTCATGGGGTTTGTTTTGTCTGCAATATCCGGCTCTCAAAACTCCACGAAATCAACAAAGTTCGTGAATGCTTTTTCGGGGCTGGAACTGTTGGCTGCAGGTTGTCTTCGATTGAGTTGAAGGCATAGATAGAAGTTGGGTCTCAATTGATTACTAGGCATTTTGATCACTCAATAAGATTAATATTCCTAGTAAAGTCTATTGAGAAAGAGCTGGAGCCCTAGAGGAAAAATTTCGTATTGAAATATCGTGCTCGGCTCATCAACCTGCTGTAAAGATATCGCAACGGCATTAAATATCTTGTTATTATGAGCATTTGAAGTCTTTGCCACAAAATTATAAAAGCCATGCTGCCATGAACCCTTGGCGACGGGCTTTAGTTGCGCGCTTCATGAACTTGATAGAAGTAGTAGGGACAATCTCCAGCTTACAACCCTTTACTTTCTATAAAACTTCAACGATGCTGTGGTCCCCAGGGTCCTTGAAAGTACTATGTCATAGTTATATGCAGAATATGATCGCTTTAGTTGATGCCGTAGAATGGTACCATGTGGATACCTCAAACGATAAGCCAAAGTCATCGGGAGCAACGGTTTGAATATAATTGAATTGGGGAGAGAACTGATGGTAAATCTTTGGTATGTCTCTTTTCGGGTTATGCAGAGGAATCAATTGATTCTCTTCAGTGAACATCCAAAGTCCAGACCTCTTCATAGGCGTTTGCTGCCCAAGCCGGCGGTGGGGCCAATAAGATAAATCGTGGAATGCTTCGACGCACCTTGAATGTGCGGAATGTGGATGGAAATATTGGAAGGAATGTGTCACTGCAAGGCACTGAGTCAGCTCGTCCAACATTTCAGAAATGGCTTACGTTCTAATGTCACCTTGGTCAAAAATAGGACTGTATATACGGCTTCGGCGAAACAGATATGAGGTCGAACAATTTTCACTGACTTATAATAGCAATGGATCTGAATTCATAATCACCTGGCAATTTTCTATTTTCTATTAGTAATTATTCCAAGGTCCGTACCTGTGTCTCCTTCGAAAAAATAACGCAATGCCACGGACCCTAAATCTATAGACTAGGATGTGGCACAAAGCTCGGACGTTTCGAAATCCTCTAGCGAGCGCCATCGTCGTCATCCTTGCGCTATGGCTTCTAAAAACATATACACACATACATCTGGATAAATTGCGGGTAAGTCCTCGATCGATTCCTAAATGACGTTGAGCAACCTGACGAACATCCTAGATCCCTGCCTCTGTGACGTTTTCCACCCCAAAGTCTGTAGATAAGTATCTCAAGGCAGTGAGTGGGCTTGCAACGAAGGACTATGACAAGCTTGCTGTTTCTGGATTTTGGAATGATGGCCTGATTAGTGAATGCGAAAGTCACAAACATGATGCCATGCTTGGCGTGCAACCGAGCTTCGATCTGCAGGATAATCTGATACGAGCTGTGCAGAGCCTGTCTGCGTACACACAGATAGATCGCGCATTTCAAGATCAGCAGAGTCGGAACGCGAGCTTGACCTTTGAAGGATTCGTCGAGGCCAATTGGGCTGAGCTTGCTGGATCCGGAGTCTGGCTTCCGGAGTTTCAGATCTATCTTTCTGTATCGAGATTGATCTACTACCCATCTGGGGATCTGGCTGTTCCTACGATTAGTTTCCTGCGCGGTCGAATCTTCGACTCGGAGTGGAATCATCTGGATCAGTATACACTGGACTGGGACGGGGAAATTATATCCTTCCCATGTATATTCAATCTCCCGGTCGAGTGGCATGAAGGCGCGGCCTTCCTAGGCCCTGAGGACCCGCGCGTGGTGGTGGAAGAGGGAATACAAGGTGCTGAACCGGTTATTGTCTTCAACATGATGTCGGAGCAATTAGGATGGCGCCGCGCGATGTGGATGCATCGCCCGTTCTCTAACCTTACCGCGCCCTTGACTATCCGCGGCGAGCAGCCTCAAAATGCAGAGAAGAACTGGGCACCATTCTTCGACGAGGGCGACTCGTTTCGAAGCACCGAGGGCGATATTAAGCGAGACCCTACCATTTCGCTATCGCGCGGCCCCAGCCACCATCTGAATTTTGTATATAGCCTACAGCCGCTGCGGATCCTCCGCTGTCAACTACTGCACGGACATTGCGATTGGGCATATAAGCAAGAACCTGAACCTGTTCATCCCCTGCCCCTGTCCCTGTCCCTGAAGCGCGCGCCCAATCCCGGCGTTCGAGGCGACATGCGGGGCGGCACCAACTTCGTCGCAGTGCACCAGTCCGACCCGGCAATTCGCCTATGGATCGGATTCCCACGCACGCACGTCGACGGCGCCTGTCCACAATCCGAGTCGTTGTACCGACCGGAACTAGTAATTCTCGCGAATAGCGGTAGTGAGTTTCACGTGGTATACGCTAGCGAAGCGCTGACATTTGGAACGGCAGTTCTGGCAGAAGAGGATGTGGAAGCGCCGTGCGGAGATGGGCGCATTCTCATCCCTAATGGGATCGTGCGCTGGGAACAGGACCGGCACGACTTGATGCATTTGGCAGTCAGTGTGGGTGATCGAACCACTCAGGTGTTGCGGATCCGTGGCGTATCCAAGCTTATCAGTTCCTTACCGTATTTGAGTGAGTGGCGACATACGGATGGGCCCGACGGTGAGCCTTGGGGGCGGCGATGGTCTAAAGTGGGTGGGGAAATAGTGGGATGTTCAGTAATTACAGCGATGAACATGAAAATGAACTCGTCTCAAAATACGGGGGAGTATGAGGGATGATTAAGGAATGCGGAAGGCAAACCATGTGCTTCAGGGTCGAGGTCATGCGGCCCGACGCGTGTTCCAATTGTGATGTGTGATGCCCAATAATCTAATCCATACTGATACCCGATATTGCCACAGGTACCCAAATATTTCCATCTTACCGGTATCAGACTACTTTAGTATACAGTAGCAAGTAGTCTAGTGATATCTACTTTGAAGAGAGTGCAGTAATAAACTACTTACTAGTTGAAATCTTTGATCTGTGATCTTTCTCTCATCTTTAAATCTTTAATCTTGCTCTAACTCTATAATCAAGTGGAGTAAACGACCCAAAGTGGGCCTTGAAGTGGCTGGGATGATGATATATGATGATATGATGATATTGTAAAAAACAGGTAAACACTCAACATCCACTTGTTTCAGTCTAGAACAGTAGAACTACACACTCGAACAGCCGAGATTTCCTTCTATTCTGATTTATCTTCTTCCGCATGAGTACCTTATATGCATGCAAACTAGACTGACACTGACAGGGCGCATATTAGTACTACTCCTTACTGTGGGATTTTTAGGCCCCGATGGTCCATGAGGCTGAAGGAATCTTAATAAATACCAAAAATCCCCGCAAGTCAGCCTTCTTCCTTTTCTCTTTTCCCACACTTTCCACTTTATCCCGCCTTGAGCCTTTTGTTCACCTGAACACAAAGCTCGCACGAGGACAACTCATACGTCCTTTCTTATTGGCTCTAGAACTGGCATTTCCCTCGTACTTTTAGCCCTTTTTCCACTTTTTGACTTGGAAGCCTTTTTTTTTACCCCGCTAACCCTTAACACGGGTATACTACTACACTACTTCCCCACCGCTATATTCACACAACCACAAAAATGCCTGTTGATTACTATGATTCCGAGGACTCTGAGTTCTCTGAAACTGATATCTCAGTTCATGGAGGTTCAGTTCATGGAGGTCGCAGAAGTGGCTCCTCATTCCACCGTCGCTCCTCTCACCACCGCCGCCCAGAGCGCAGGGAGTATAAAGAATTTAAAGAGACTGTTCTATCCCCAGTTCTCAGCTCTCGACACATCCGCTCGGCTTCCACAGGCGGACGCCGTCCCCACCGACACTCGCCCGAGGCACAAGTACCAGCCGTAATGATCGTGAACGAGCAGGCCACACGCTCCAGCAACGCCAACAGCAACAAACCACGGCGAGTGCAGAACAAGACTAAAATATACGAGAACGAGTCTGACGAGGCCCTCGCCGGACACTCGGGGCGCCATCGTGCCGGTACCACTGTCTCTGTCTCGCGCGAACATTCACGGTCCCCCTTCCACCGGGACTACGAGCTGATGATGAACCAGCGTATGCTAGACCGCAACGATGTCCGGCAGGATCTAGACATCTGGAAGCAGCAGCAGGAGATCGAGCGGCTGGAGCGCGAGCTCGAGAGACACCGTGAGAAGGTCGAGGCCCCGCGGGAGGTGCTACGAGATGTGCGCGAAACCCGGCGCCTGCGCGAAGAAGAGGAGTGGTACGAGGATGAGATTAGTGAGCGACTTCATCGCCTGGAGCGGTATGAGAAGCAATCGCGTGAGGAGGAGGAGGCGAAGAAGGCTGAGCACCGCTGGCGTCTGAAGAAGTTCGAAGAGGCTGAGAAGGAGGCCGCTGAGAAGGAAGAGCTGAAGGCTAAGATGAAGCAGCAGCGCTTGGCGGAAATTGCTAAACAGCAGGCAGATGACGCTGAGCGCGACCGTATCAAGAAGGAGATTCAAGAGGAGGAGATGCGGCAAGCGCGAGAGGCTGAAGAAGCAAGGGCCAAGGAGGCTGCTATGAAGGCTGCTGCTGTGGAAGAGTGGAAGCGGGAGCAGGAGCGCATTGCCAAGGCACAAAAGGAGGAAGCGGAGAGAAGGGACAAGGAGTTCCGAGACCGACTTCGTGTCGAGTTTGGTTACAATGAAGAGGAGATTGAGGCCATTCTCAACAAGAAGAAGAAGGATGAGGCTGACAAGGCTGCGAAAGAGAAGCAGGAGGCTGAGGATAAGGAGAAGGCGGAGAAGGAAAAGGAGAAGGCGGAGAAGGAAAAGAAAGAAAAGGAGGAAGAGGAGGAGAAGAAGAAGAAGGAGGAGCTGAAGATCATTGAAGAGCGCAAGACTACATGGATCAAGGTATGTGCTTTGTGCTGTTATCATATTCTATCTTATACTGACACTGTATTTAGGTCCACCGCAAGCATCTTCTTCCTGAAACTCTCCTAGCATATGGCCTTCCTTGGGAATGGGACGAGGTAAGCATGATTCCTCCAGCATCCTATGTATGAATTCATTCTGACTGGCTTCTCTCCTGTAGCGTGACAGCAACTATATCATCATAAAACGTTGGATCGATGATGATTTCCAAGAAACCCTCTTTGCCCACACTCGTCGACTCCGTGATAACAAGGTCATTGCTCAAACCTCCCACTCAACCACCGAGCTCCGCATCAACGATCGTGGCAAGGACAGAATGTACCTTGTGCGCAAGAAGAGCCCTGGCCGCAAGTTCAGGATCTTCGCATAAGTCTTTCATACTTGCCTTTGTCTTTCTTTCACTTTCACTTCTTCGGTCTATACCATGTTTTGACTTTTTCCTTTCCTTTTCTTCTCGTTTCTCTTCCTATCCTTTTTCTTCTAGATATCTTTGTGTTTTGGATTGTTGCGATAGGCCTGGGATTATATGCATTTGAACTTTTGTTTTTGATATTGATATGTTCGGATTTTTACATTTTCAGTTCTTAGCCTGACATGGCCTTCATTGAACGAGATATGAGTTAATGACACTTTGATCCTCTTATGTATCTTGCAGCTGAGCCTTAATTCTAGAAATTGATGGGATTATAATGCATCGCCAGTCCTTCATCTTATTTCTCGCCGTTGGAATGAACTAAGTTTCATCTGTAATATTGGACCTGTGAATTACTGCATGCAGTTAGTTTTACCCTTTATGGTTTAGCTCCCCAATACACCGTCACGTAACCTTTCTCTTACTGTACTACTTAGATCTCTTATTTCTTTTTATTGTCAGTTTCTATCGACTAGCTCGACCTGGCCGGGAACGATTCTACTTGCTATGGCTTCTCACGAGCCTGATATTTTCTCTCTTCTACCCGGGCCTGTTTTAGAAATTACCATAACTCAGCTGGATCTCGCATCTCTCCACAATCTTTATCGATCGTCGTCAACCATATTTTCCCTACTACATGACGATGACGGCAGAACGGCTCGCAAAACTATTGAGATGATCGTACAGCTGAGGGTTCCTGATGAAACCCAGATCGTCATTCGCAAGTTCGCTTTCCTACGATGGGCATTCGCTTCATATCGTCGTTAGGGCTTTGGTATTTGGGATTCAAGGCGTTTATGGGATCTCGGTCTCCTATACAAGCACGAAAAATATAATTTTGAATCTCTTAGAGGTGGTATAGAGGACCGCGATGATCCGAATTTCCAAGGTCCAAGATCGGAGTGCGATCAATATTTTAGATGGGAAAGTATGCTTAGCGCAGACGATTTAGAAGGCATAGAGCGCATGAGAAAGAAGTTCTGGGGTCGTGAGATACATATGGGGACGGATGAAGATTATGAGTTACATGCGGTGCATATGGATGCACGTTCTACTGAAGAATATCTAGCCTTTGCAAATGCTACTCATAGCGTAGAGTAACGATAGACTAATCTTTTCAAAATTGCGTTAACATGGGCATCATGATAGATTGGTAGAGTCTATATAGGTTCTTTGCGCAGTCATGGAATAATAGCCAGCAGCTAGATTCAGATGAAACAGGTACTTTTAGTAAGATACAGTCGACGCTACAGTATGTGATGCTCATTGTAATACAGACCCCGATGAAGACTTACCGATCGTGGACGGGGCTGCGTTCGACTCATATGACAATCAACACGAAGAAAGATGCCTTCTAGGCATGCGAATCGATGTCCTCTGTCAAATAAAGGAGTGGGCATTCTCACCACAAGGTAGATGCATTTTCTGGTTAAATGGGATGGCTGGGACAGGGAAATCAACAATCTCTCGAACAGCGGCGGAGCTTTTTTTAGCAAAGAAAAGTCTCTAGGGGTTAGTTTCTTTTTCAAAAGAGGGGAAGCAGATCGAGGCAATGCAAAGAAGCTTTTTCCGACCATCGCAAGGCAATTGATAATGCATATTCCTCAACTTTCTCATTATGTCCGGCAAGCAGTCCTTGATAACCCAGGTGCTACGGGGAAGGCGCTTAGGGAACAATTTGATAAGCTGCTTCTTCAACCTCTCCTACACCTAGAGCAAGCTAATCTCCCAAGCCGAACCATTGTGATCGTGATTGACGCATTAGATGAATATGAAGGAGACAATGATATACGACTCATACTCCAAATTCTACCTCAGCTCCAGATATCAAATTCTTTATACATACGAGTTTCCTTGACCAGCAGGCCCGAGCTGCCGGTTCATCTTGGATTCTCGAATATTCTAGCCCATAATTATAAAGACCTGGTTCTCCATGAAATTCCTGAAAAAGTGGTGAGATATGATATATCGCTATTCTTGAATCACCAAATTTCAAGAATACTTTAACTTTGCTCTCAAACCTGCTTATAAATATTGTTTTTTGAGACTAACTAACCGTTAACGATACGGTATTCGGTATTCTCTGCCAAAATTTAAACCTCGAGCAATACACAAACGAGGAGGATAGTGTTTATAGACGTTTCTAATGACCTAGACTTTGCTTCACATCCTTAAAGCCTCCTTCATAAGATGAAGCTCATACCACGGGTGGGGCATAACCTGAATGCCCTGTTCTTGCAGGCAGCCTGAGATGCAGCAAAGGACTAGAAATCCTTCGAAAAGCGCTTTCTGAAAATCCCCGTCTAGTCAACTGAGGGAAAAAAATGGCCATTGAAAAGAGACTATGATAGAACGGAACAAGACGGGGTAGGATGAAATAAAATGGCCGAGTAAGCTCAAAACAGCTTTTATGGAATCTAGCTTCTAATAAATATTTGATTCTGAATCATTTACCTTTCATGTTCATCGACACTTCGGCTGGATTTACTACAGTTTAGCTGAAATGAAGTATAAATTGTAGGAACGAGAAACTAGATTGAAGTGGTGGGATATGGGGGCAAATTGGTCGAGGCAAATTGACTGCTCAGATGATTTTTGCAGAGAGGGTCAGGATTACTCTGAAAGTTTCTATATAAGGGAGATATCATGATGGTCCATGGTGAGCTTGGCCGCACCCATTGTACCGACTGAAACTATCTAGACGTCGGAAAACTGATTTTGAGGCGGTATTAAAAGTAGTATAAAGTACCTACTCTCTCGAAGTTGATCAGCCAGAAATCGAAGTATTGGAAGCAAGATGGAAGAGACTGTAAGTAAATTGATGATTCAAGATTTCAAATTTAGTACCATTGTGCAGACTAGAGTAGAGTCAAGTCAGTAAAGACGTTAGACAAGCAAAAATCTGATCAAAGCGTGCAAAGCACTCTGAGAAAGGTAAGCTTTGACTTCTCATCTAGTCCTAATTTGGCTAGTGCGGGCGAGGATTTTATTTCCGCACATTCAGCCTCAATCTGCGACTTTATCTACCCACCTATACCATCTTTTCTTCCCACCATCTTCCTTTCATAGCGCTCATTTTCGAATATTTTGGTGTTCAATTGTCGCTCTCATCAAATTGGTAAACTGAAGACTCTCAAAAGTCGCAAACTACTCGATAATACTGGGGTTGGAATCTTCTGCTTGTTGATCCTTTTTAATTTCTTCCATTTTTACCCGACCTCGCTATTCCAAACGAAACAGACCGGTCCTCAATTGTTTTCTGTGTTGATTTACTAAAAACTCTCATGAAAACCGCAAAAATCACTCCATAATTGGGGTTGAAATCTTGATTGTTGACCCTTTCCAAATGTCAGCAATCACATCTTACCTTATTACTCCTCCACCTCGTTCATTCGAAGAGAACAGTGTTCAATCCCCTTCCCTGCCATGCTAGATGTTTGACACCTCGCGCAAATCACTACAATACTACACGGCAATAGTGGCCTCTGATTATTGCTTCCTTCATCCCACCTCGTTCAGACTGATCGCCTTGTGGATTTGAACCCCACGTGGGAAATACAGGTATTTAATACATGCTTGTTACCATACTGCTGACCGCCCGTATTTTACATTTTGCCCAGCGGGAAAGCAATATTATGTCAGACCATCTACATAAAAGACCAAATTCGGCTCAAATATACGTCCTTCGGGACATTTGGTCAAATGAAAATATACAGAGAAGATTAGCATGGCCCCTGCACTAAGGATGACACGCTCAATCAAAGAGAAGCTACCAGTTTTTTTTTTACTAAACGGCCTTCCAGAAAGAGTTGCCGTTTTTGTGAACAAAAGCTGCCAGTCGTGGTTGCGGGATCGACCCCGGCTGAGATCACTCTTTTTCCCCCTTTTCCTACGTCGCCAACGACCACTTAATTCGAAAGCAGGATGAATTACGCGGTTCTACGGGGTTATTGAAGTCATTTTTCCCGTTTAACTGGCAGAAAAGTGACGAGAATCCTGGTTTTGGTTACTTAGGTAGCATCGCTTCAAGGGCTGGGATATAGTTGATGATGAAACTCGTTTCTCCAGACTCGAAGTCGACTGCATAGAGGAAGATTATACTAAAGAATTTATAAAAGGTGTGAAGGCCGAAGTACATTTACCAACTCCGCCACTTGCTACGGAGTACATAAATAGAGAAAACCATATCATAGAATTACAATATCCATTGGTGATTCGAAGCAGTCAAAAGTAACCAACTATACAAGTCCGACAAAGTCGGCATCGAAGACTCTCGCAGCGGGTAAGAGAAAGCGTACAACATGACCACGACTCAGCTCAATTATCTAAGCACCACCCTCTCTCTTAGCATACTCCTCCTCTATGCGTTCCTCATACAGTCGATCGGCCTCCTCCTCACTCAAGGGGCGATCAGTTTGTGAAGATGAGGACCCAAGCGCGCTGTCACCAGACCCAGTAAAGGTGCGGTCGCTGGAGTCTTGTGAGGAAGCGTTATGAGAGACGTGGTCGGCTGAGCTAGTATTTTGGGATTGCTCTTTGTCATAGTGGTCTGCGGTGGGGATGGGCATTTTGCAGGTTGATATGAGGTTGATTTAGGGTTTGTTTTTGACAGTAGGAATGGCTTGCGTGCTGTTAAGTATTGTGGATAACAACACAGTGTTGGTTTTTGAGGTGGCTTTATTAGTGCCTGGGTCTGGTGGCAACTTTTTCATACGTAATATCTCCCCACCAGACTTGAATACTACCGAAAGGGTCGAGGTATTTAAGAAATTACATAGCTTTTTCTGATTTCATCTTTCATCTTTCATTGCGAGTACAATAAATATTGATTACCTTGAAGTGCCATCATACGCGTACATGCACATAATAAATAAATTGTCCTCCTAGTACCTACATACTTTGTTCCTAGGTAGCAAAGGTCAGAGGATCTCGGAACTTGGGAAAATATTCAAATGCTGATTCATTCATCTCATTGCTAATCGTAAAATAAGGAGTGACGAGTCATGTTAGGTACGCATGATAACATAAGAAGTTCCGGGTTCTCATATACAGTTTTGTACCGGAGAACGCAATAGTCAAACCATCACAGCAAGCATTCATTCCGGCATACGTTGCAGCCTTACAAACGAGCCCGTGAAGGCTTCTCAGGAGCAGTGGCTGGCTTCTCATCAAGAAGGCATTTCATATCGGGGTCATACAGCGGGTCGATGGAAACAGTAGCCTTGATCCGACGGCCAAAGTACTCGATCTCAACTCCCTGACCTTCAGTCACCTTGCTAGGTAGCCAGGCATACACGACGGGCTTGCGGACGGTGAATCCAAATGCAGCCGTTGTGACATATCCAGCAGCCTTGCCGTTGTAGAAGACTGGTTCCTTGCCAAGGACCATAGACTTGCCGTCGTCGACGGTGAGACAACGCAGCCGACGGGTTGGCGGGCCTTTAGAGAGACGCTCCAACGCCGCCTTTCCGACATAGTCCTCCCATTTGCTGGCTCGTACGCAGTACGTAACACCGGCTTCATATGGGTTGTGTTCGCTGTTCATATCGGAGCCATACGTGCGAATCCCCTTCTCCATTCGTAATGAGTTGAATGCACCGCGGCCGGCAGCGATGAGTCCATGTGTCTTGCCTGCATTGTAGATCGTATCCCACAGTCGCTGGCCATATTCTGCACTTGTTTGGATTTCCCAGCCCAGCTCGCCAACGTAAGACTTGCGTAGTGCTGTCACTGGAATGCCGTTGATGAGTGCCTTCTTGGCGGTGAAATATGGGAATCCTATGTTTGAGAAATCATCACTACTGAGGGTCGAGATCACATCCCGAGAGCGAGGTCCCCAAAGACCAATGCAACAGGTGCTACCAGTGATTTCTCTCACTAGTACCCCATTTCCTTGGCGACGGGCTTCTCGGGTAAGGTAGGCCAGATCTGTGGCAGAGTTGGCGCCAACCTGGAAGAGGTTGTCTTCAAGCCTTATAATGAAAATGTCGCTGCGAATGCCACCGTTGTTGTTGAGAAGGAGGGCGTGGGTTATGATGCCTGGCTTGGTGGAGATGTCGCCAGTACTTAGTCGCTGGAGTAGATCTAGGGCCCCGGAGCCTGAGACCTCGAACCGGTGGAAAGAGGTCATGTCGTACATAGCCACTGCATTCCGTGTCTTCCAAGCTTCGACCGCGACGATGGGCGAATAGAATTTCGCTGACCACGCGTCCCGCTCAACGGGCTTCCACTCTTGTGGAAGGCTTTTAAGTAGTGACACATTCGCCTCATACCAGAATGGTCGTTCCCAACCTCCAAGCTCCAGGAAGAAAGCACCCAACTCTAACTCTCGGGCGTGGAAAGGACTTGTACGAAGCTTGCGAGGTGACTCTTTGGGTTGTAGAGGATGCAAGATGTCGTATATCTCGACAAAATTCTGTTGGGAGGTCTCGCTCACATAGGAACGGCTGAGCTGTACCTCCTCGAAGCGGGAGAGTTCGCACTCTGTGAGGTCAATTTGAGATTGACCCGTCGTAAGAACTTCTGCCAAGGCTCTAGCAACGCCAGCAGAGTGCGTCACCCACACAGCTTCAGCGACAAAGAAGTTATCTAGGTTAGGTGCTTGTCCGACAATGGGGCCACCGTCTGGGGTGAATGAAAAGATACCGTTGAACCCATCCTCAATCTCAGTGTCACGCAGAGCAGGCAAGATATTTTTCGATTCCTCCCAGGCTGGGGCAAAGTCTTCGGGAGTGAATTCAAGACGGGATGGCATATTCTTCTCGTCGACATCCTTAGGTGTTAGACCTAGCGATCCAGCTTCAATTGGCATTGGGCGATGGCCGTAGTAACCAATGCCATACTGATCACCATGTTCACGGTAGTATAGATCCTGATCCTGGTGTCGTAGAATCGGAAGAGTCGCATTCAATCCATTCATTCGCTTATTGAGGTCACGGCCTTTGAGAGCTGGTACAGCGGTCGTCTTCGCATACTGGTGGCCTAGCGCAAGCAAGGGAATTTGCACACCAACCATTGCGCCTATTTCAACCCCCCAGAATCCAGCACAGGACACAACAATATCGGCGGGGATGATGCCACTAGGGGTATTCACACCTGTGACACGGCTGCCCGACCGCTCGATTCCAGTGACAGGTGTCGATGCAAGGTAGCGGACACCTGCCTGGCTGGTCCGTTCGATAAGCAGCTGTGTTGCCCGCGCCGCAAGTGCGAGCCCATCTGTAGGGATGTGTAGACCTCCTAAAACAGCATCCTTGTTCAACTGAGGATATAGCTCAAAACACTCCTCGGGGCTGACCAGGCGCGCGTCAATTCCCCACGATGAGGCATATCCATGTTTGCGCTTTAGGTCTTCAAGCCGGGCAGGTGTTGTTGCAACTTCGAGACCGCCTACTTGGTTAAAACAATTCTGGCCGTCCTTCTCAATTGATTGCAGCTTCTCGATTGTGTATGTGGCGAACTTGGTCATGGTCTTGGATGGGGTAGTTTGGAAGACGAGGCCCGGGGCGTGAGATGTCGAGCCACCGGGCATTTGCAACGGACCTTGCTCGACAACAGTGATATCAGTCCATCCCCGGGCGACGAGTTCGTCTGCAACATTGGTACCCACAATGCCAGCACCGATTATGACCACACGCTGTGAAGTGGTCATTGTGAATAATATGTAATATGGATTAATTTGGCGCTGCTCTTTGCAGCGGACAGGCTCTTGTCCTTTTGTATCTAGGAGATCCGGATGGTATCTATATTTTGGAAGCTACCCCTCTTGGAGAACCTTCCTTTCCCCCACAAGTACGGCATAATATAGGGCATATTGTTGACTGAATAGTGTACACACCCCGCATCGGAGGGTAGATTACAATATCAGTAGTTAGACGGTTCAGATAGCGTTCAGACCGAACCGATACCTGGATAAAGGAGGACATTTCCATATTAGTGTCCGGTTTGCTGATGATGATTGGTCCAAGGTCGATAATAATCTAGGGTATCTCCCGAGATCCGCTCACGTGTCCGGAAGATAGTATAGATAGCCGTGAAGACATCAATATCGACATCACCATACCAAATAGATAATAATTGAGCAAAATACTGTTCAAGTAGCTAGTAATGATAACGTACTGGAAATCATGAATATCAGAATAACGATAATCTCAAATAGGTATCATGTCTATTCATAACAAACATCCACGGGGTTCGAAAATAGGAGATCTCCATGAAACTTATTTCCCGTTCCTAATACTTGAGTCATGAGCTCATCGAAAATAATGATAAAATGGGGGAGAGGCACATTCATTTCAATATTATTGTTGTTAGTGATGTGGCCCTAGACCTCCGACCAGAACCTTGGAACCAAGTTTATAACGAGTCACTACCAAGGTACTAGGTACTCATATATAGATAGGTATTTATAGAGCTCATTGATAAAATACCAAACATACGGCTACAAATACCAGGAATATACTCCTATCAAAGATCCATGTCCACCAGGCTAGGTATCGATCGTGCTGCCCAATCGGTAATCAGCCCTCCAGGGCTGGAGACCGAACTATCCAAGGAAAATCCCAGGAAGCCGGTCGCCCAGCATGAGCACCACAAAATCGAGTACTGCCGAGATACGAAGTGTCCCTGTTTTCAACTTGTAATCGAATATTTGAAGAACTAACAGGAGGCCTAGATCGGTTTTAGAATATACCCACGGGTATAATACCCGACGATCCCTACCTAGGTACCTGTTTCCCTGCTTTATTCACTAATTCTGGATCTAGCAGAGCAATATTTCATACTATCCTACTCCAGAAAAACTCTCACCTCACTAGGGCTGCATTCCATTTTTTTTTTTAAATAGCGATAGTCAGGTGGAATAGGCTGCCCAGGTGCGGAGGCATCTCTTCCTGAAGCTTCTGATAAAGACTGACGGAACGAAGAATCTTATATACAATTGAGAAAGTCAGGAATTACTAAATCCGGTCGCAAAAGAACATCGGATACGATATCCCATGCTCACAAAAAAGCATGGCATCTCCAAGGCTCTGTCGTTACCCCGACTTAGTATCCAGAGCCATTTCATGTCCCCGGGCAAGGTTACTTCCAAGATTGAAACCATCTTAAAACTTTCCCACGCTCCAAGATGATAGATAACCTTTCAATCGAGTGTCTATCGTGGTTCTTTGAAAGTCATTTCCTCTGGGAGCTCTTATCAATTCTGTCCTGGCTTACTGATCCGTATATTGGAGTCAACCTTTTCAAAATCATTGCCAAGAATGGATCAAACCTGGCCTGTTCACTTGTACGAGGCGAAACTTTAATCCTCGCTTGTCACAGCTATCGCTACTGGGGTACTCCATAAGAGGATAGGTATAAATGAGCAGTGATGTAAAGGGTTCCTGGTATCAACAATTAGGTCATTTGACCTTTTTGTTCTTTTGAATTCGGTCGGCTGAAATTTCTCTCTCATAAGCACTTCTGTAGCTCCTATTGGCGCCCAGATTGTCGGGACGCACCGTTCCAATCTTAGTGTATCAGCACATTCCTAGTGCGTCAACTAGGAAATTCAGAATTACCTTGAAGTCAAACACATTTATTTGAAGTAGATGGAATTTTGTCGACGTACTGTAAAAATAGACATGGAAACGTCAAACCACTAGCGACTACCTTAAATCCTAAAAGGTTAAAGCCGCGTACATTAAAATCCCGTTGGTCAGCCCCTCACACGCCGCACCAAAAATGAGGTCAATCCATTTCTATAAATGGTTGGTCGCATGGTTGGATGCAGTGTGCAGTTCGACATGTTCCACGGGTCACTGACAAAGTACATTTAATTGGAAAAGTTATCCGTACTTAAACCTTCCCCCGAGATCCCGCCAAAGCCTTTTTTCTCTTGAACCCCTTTACGCCCATTCTGATTGATCGGCATGACAGCATACGCAAGACCTCAGGCTGAAGGTCTAGGTCCAGCTGAAGGCCTAGGTACAGCTGAAGCTCCAGCCGAAGCTCGGCCTCAATCCCCTCGCTTAGCTACACCATCTCAACAGGAAGCAGAGCAGGAAGCGCCCCAAGCTCCAACTGTACCTGCTCCACGAGATAACCGTCCGGATCTTCCTGTGAATGTCCCGGCGGGACCCATCTTTGCCGATGAATTTAGTGTATGAACTATTCTACCCTGAAACTCCCATGCCACCCTAACTTGTATGATCAGGACGAGAGCGATTGGGCAGACGATGGTTCCGACACGACCTCTTTATCATCGAGTCTCTTATATTACGAATATGAAAATGGTCGACGATACCATAGCAATCGGACCGTACGTATATCTTGCTTGCTAAGTACCTCTACTTATCAAATCACTAAACTTCCACTAGGGACATTACATGTTAGCATACTGTTTCGTTGTATGGATGTACTAGACAACTGACAGGACTTCGGGAATAGGATGCCTAATGACGAAGCAGAGCAAGACCGTATGGACTTGGTAATTAGCGCTCTTTGTCTCTATGTCACATTTCTATACTAATCACCATTTCTCCAGGCACATCATATGTCAGTTGAGGATACGGAAATAATTGAGATGCATTGCGTACTGATCACTAGCTATTTAGATGGAGGTTGCTGCTGGATGGTGAACTTTACAAGGCACCCATAGAGAACCCTCAGAAGATTTTAGATCTAGGAACAGGGACCGGTATCTGGGCTCTTGATATTGCAGAGTATGTGTTGAACAAAAATCATTCCTATTTGCTTGCTGATAACGAAGAACAGGCAATTCCCAGATGCATATGTTGAAGGGACCGACATCAGTCCCATCCAAACAGTCTGGCCTTGGCCCAACTTGAAATTCATCTGTGAAAACTTCGAAGAAGAATGGCTTCATGACAGAGACTTCGATTTCATTCATGCTCGTCTAATTGCAGGCTGTGTCAGTGACTGGCCACAGCTATTTCGCCAAGCTTACGACCACTTGAAGCCTGGTGGTTACTTTGAAATTCAGGAAAGTGCTGTGTGGGCTTGGAGTGACGATGGCACCTTACCACCCGACTCACCGCTCATCCAGTACCTGTCTGTGCTAGATCTTGCTTCGCAGCAAACAGGTAGAGAACTGAATATCTACTTCAAATTGAAGGACTGGCTTATCGATGCTGGGTTCGAGGATGTCACACAGCATACCTACTTTCTGCCCTATGGACCATGGCCCAAAGATCCCCAATTGAAAGAAATTGGCAAATACCAAGCCCTGATGGTACAAGATGCTGTCGAATCTTATGGACTAAGGTATTGCACCGAAGTACTGAATTGGGGTGTTGAGCCATGCCGTATTTTCCAGGCTATGGTCAAGCAACAGCTTCGAGACAGAAATCAACATTCATACGTTAAAGAGTAAGTTTTGGCCCGTCCACCTTATTGCAGTTATAAAACTTTATCTAATAAATTGCTTTAAGGGTCGTTGTATATGGAAGAAAGCCTTTGAGGTGAGATAATGGAATTCAAGATGGGAATGAATGTCTGCGCATAAATATTACAATGCTCAACACAAGCTTAGATAGTGACAAGATATTAGATCGTATCCGACTTCGAATACTATGATGTTCGGGCTTGATACTCGGCTACCAGTATCTGACTTATAGGCTGAGTACTTAGCCATTAATGGGCTCTTGCGTAGGTCTCAACAAAATAAACCATTTTACGGGTCCAATGATAGCGGGATCTCAGCACGTGACATCACGTGCGTTGCGGCCAGCTTGGAGCGGATACACTAGGAGAAGCTAACGACCTCACATTGAAGGCTTGCAGACCACCCTTCATCTGTGCCCTTCTTTTCATCTACAGATCTCCTCTCGTGAGATTTTTCTCTTGATTTGATCACTGGTGGAAAGGCCTGGCTCTGAGAGGCCCCTACCTACCACCATGGCTCCAAAAGACACCTTCTTCCGCTCGTCGGAGATGAGCCTTACCCAGCTCTACATCGCCAACGAGATCGGAAGAGAGGTCGTGAGTGCATTGGGTGAACTTGGTCAAGTTCAGTTCAGAGATGTGAGTTACGATTGAAGCCATTATATAACTACCTCCGTGCTCTATTGAACAGACCTCGCTGACACTATGATTTTCTTCTAGCTGAACCCCGAAACCAACGCCTTTCAACGGACTTTTACCAAAGAGATCCGCCGTCTTGATAATGTCGAGCGACAACTTCGTATGTTTTATTATATTGTGGCTGTGGAATGGCCGGCTGCTAACCTGTTGCTGTAGGCTATTTCCATTCGCAAATGGAGAAGGCATCAATTACCATGAGATCTTCCTCCGATTTTTCGGATACTCTGGCCGCACCTCTAGCTTCAGAGATTGACGAGCTAGCCGAACGTAGTGAGAGCCTCGAGCAGCGCATTTCCTCGTTGAATGATAGCTACGAAACTCTGAAGAAACGCGAGGTGGAGCTTTCAGAGTGGCGCTGGGTTCTTAGAGAGGCTGGTGGCTTCTTCGATCGTGTTAGTATTCTATTGTTGTGTACGCGATGAGGGTAGTCTGAGATTGACGTGAACGATTAGGCCCACACTCAAACGGAAGACATTCGCCAATCCTTCGACAATGACGAAGCGCCCCTCCTTCGCGATGTCGAACAGAACGGTACTCACACCAACGGAGAGACTCAAGGACAGCAGAGTTTTTCGGAAATGAACATTGGATTTGTTGCTGGTGTCATCCCCCAGGACCGCATTGGGGCCTTCGAGCGCATCCTCTGGCGGACACTTCGTGGTAATCTCTACATGAACCAGTCTGAAATTCCAGAGCCCATCATCGATCCCACCACCAACGAGGAAATCCACAAGAGCGTGTTCGTCATTTTTGCTCATGGCAAAAACATTCTTGCCAAGATCCGCAAGATCTCGGAGTCTCTTGGCGCTTCCTTGTACGGTGTCGACGAGAACAGCGAGCTGAGAAGGGATCAGATGCACGAAGTGAATACGCGATTGGGTGACGTTGGAAACGTGCTGCGCAACACCAAGAACACTCTTGACGCCGAGCTGTCCCAGATTGCGCGTTCGCTCGCGGCTTGGATGATCATTGTCAAGAAGGAGAAGGCGGTCTTCGACACGTTGAACAAATTCTCTTATGACCAAGCGCGGAAGACGCTGATTGCTGAGGCTTGGTGCCCAACAAACTCCCTCGCGCAGATCAAGTCAACCTTGCAGGATGTCAACGATCGTGCCGGTCTGTCTGTCCCCACCATCGTCAATCAAATTAAAACAAACAAGACCCCGCCGACCTACGTCCGCACCAACAAGTTTACGGAGGCATTCCAGACCATCGTCAATGCTTATGGTATCCCTAAGTACTCGGAGGTCAACCCTGGTATATACACTGTTGTCACATTCCCTTTCCTTTTCGCCGTCATGTTCGGTGATTTCGGTCACGGCTCTTTGATGGCTTTGGCTGCCACTGCGATGATCTTCTGGGAGAAGAAACTTGCCCGTAACAAGCTTGATGAGATCTCGTACATGGCATTCTACGGACGATACATCATGTTGTTGATGGGTCTTTTCGCTATGTACACTGGTTTCATCTACAACGATATCTTTTCTCGGCCTTTTACCTTCTTCTCTAGTCAATGGCAATGGCCTGATAACATAAAGGCGGGTCAGGCCGTTGAGGCAACGCTGAAGGAAGGCTACCGCTTCCCAATTGGTTTGGATTGGAACTGGCATGAGGCCGAGAACTCTTTGCTGTTTTCAAACAGTGTGAAGATGAAGATGAGTATTGTGCTCGGTTGGTCACACGTAAGTCCTCAAGACAAGAGATGTAGTATATGAACGGATTAGAGACTAACGAATCCCCTTTAGATGACTTATGCTCTGTGCCTCCAATACATCAACGGTCGTCATTTCAAGTCCAAGGTCGATATCTGGGGCAACTTTGTTCCGGGTATGCTGTTTTTCCAGTGTATCTTTGGATATCTGGTTGTTACTATCATCTACAAGTGGACCGTGAATTGGGCGCTCACTGATGTCAGCCCTCCGAGTCTTCTCAACATGCTTATCTTCATGTTCCTGAGCCCTGGTTCTATTGTGGAGCCACTTTACTCACACCAAAGCACAGTACAAGTGTTGCTACTCCTAATAGCTGTTGCCCAGGTTCCCATCATGCTCTTGCTGAAGCCGCTGTGGCTCCGATGGGAGCATAACCGTGCCCGTGCCCTCGGCTACCGGGGACTTGGGGAGCAGTCCCGAGTCAGCGCGCTCGATGAGGATCTGGACGGAGCCCGTGATAGCCTAGCCAGTGATGGCGAAGGCGTGGCTATGCTCTCCGAAGATATTGACGTGGATGAGCATGGAGAGCATGGAGAACATGGAGAGTTCGACTTCGGCGATATCATGATCCATCAAGTTATCCACACCATCGAGTTTTGTCTCAACTGTATTTCGCATACTGCTTCTTACCTTCGTCTCTGGGCTCTTTCCCTTGCTCACCAACAGCTCTCTATTGTCCTTTGGAAGATGACTCTTGGTGCTGCCTTCGCACAAGAGGGCAACGCCATCCGGGTTATCATGATTGTGATCACATTTTACATGTGGTTTACTCTAAGTGTTGTCATTCTGTGTGTGATGGAGGGTGTTAGTGCCAGTAAGTCCATTCCTTTCGTTCCGTTTTTGAAGAGCCCTAACTAACAAATCTCTAGTGTTGCACTCTCTTCGTCTGCACTGGGTCGAGGCTATGAGTAAACATTTCATGGGTGAGGGTATACCCTTCTTGCCATTCAGCTTCAAGACTCTGCTGGAGGAAGATCCGGTCGATTAAGATCGGTAGTTGATCTGTCCTTTCGGCCTTTTTCTTCTGTTTGCATAGTTTGTTCTAGTATCTCTGTGGGATTCTGTCCTTTCATTCTCCGGGTTTTCATGTCCTGTGTATTGTAAGATCTAGAATATATACAGCTTTGAATATCTAGGTTCTATAAGTTTCTCTATCAAATCCGGACTTATCTAGGTCAAAGACATCTTCGAATCGCCTATCCCTATAAAGGGGGAGTTATGCCGTCCTGTGATAGTAAATAACCCATATTGGAATGGAACGAGGTCAGGACCGGGCTCTCAGGCGGCCGGGCAAGGCTATGAATCCTTCCCCAATAACTTTTTGATCGATAGTTCATTTCAGCATAGTGAATTATGGGCTCTTTTATACCCTTAGATGGACCCTCAAGTCGATGAACGGGCTGCCACTCAGACAAAGACTCGGGGACCAATTCCAGCGCCAGGCGATAGTTGGTAATTGGGGTCAAGAACCAGTTAGGGTTCACGGGTCACTGGGCACATGTGCAGTAACCAAAGTAGATTTGCACTTGGGGATAATTAAACAACCTTGGTAGGAAGTATCCTGGAAGAGAGCAAGCATAAGTTGTTGGTTGATAGTGATACTGGAGACTTCAATGAAAGGGTATACCTACATATCCTTGGTTGTATATCAATCAATGGGCTTCCCACAGTCTGGGAGCGTTTGGGGGTAGGTCTACACCTGGGTGCGGAGGCTTTCAGCGGATTCTTTGACCACCTGCGCTCTTCAAAATCAAGTCACCGGACTTCTCCCGAGGTCAGTCTTCTTCGGATCGAAATAGCGTCAATTAAGTTACATTAAGAAATATATTGTGACAGTCTAAAAATATAATTTATTAAATATGATAAGCTTATTTCTTCTGGTACTTGTTGTACGTATCAATGACCTTTTGTACCTCGTCCTTAGAACCAAGGAAGACACCGCTCTTATCGTGGATGTTCTCAGGGACAACCTCCATCAACCGCTCCATACGCGAGTTGACAGCCAAGCCACCGGCGTTCTCGAACAGCATAGCCATCGGTGCACACTCATACAAGATACGCAGCTTACCCTTGGGACTCTTAGAATCAGCAGGGTAAGCGAAGATACCGCCGTAAAGTAGGGTTCGGTAAGCATCGGCGACCATAGAACCGATGTAACGGGCACTGTAGGGCTTCTCGCCCTCAGGTGGGTACTTGAGGGAGCGGAAGTACTCGTTGCACCACTCGTCCCAGTACATGCTGTTACCCTCGTTGACTGAATAGATGGATCGCTTAGGAGGAAGCTTCATGTTGGGGTGGGTGAGGATGAACTCGCCCAGCGAGTTCTCGAGAGTGAAGCCGTTCACGCCGCCGCCGCGCATGGTGATGACCAGCTGTGCTGAGGCACCGTACATGGTAAATCCGGATGCGACGAGGCTAGTACCTGGGTGCAGGAGATCCTGGGGGCCGACAGACTTTCCGATGAGGTCGTCTGGGAGCAGAAATACGCCAAAGATGGTGCCGACCGAGACACCTGCGTCCAGGTTGGAGGAACCGTCGATGGGGTCGCACACTACGGCGTACCGGGCGTTCGGGTACTCATCGAACTTGATAACTTCCTCTTCTTCCTCTGAGACTATGATACGGCACTTTCCTGAACCGCGCATGGCGGAAATGAAGATGTCATTGCCGATTACGTCCAGCTTCTTTTGATCGTCACCGGTGATGTTGGAAGAACCGGCCAGACCAGTCAGGTTAATCAATGATGCACGTCGGATGTAGTAGGCAATAGACTTGAAGGAGAATTGGAGGGCGTGGCAAAGGAGAGTAAAGTCACCCGAGGCATCGGGGTACTTGGTCTGCTCCTCAGTGAGGAATCGGGAGAGGGTGACGATATCGGTGTTGATATTCTCCTGGCCTACAGGGGGAGCACCGGGAGACATGATGTGAGGGAATTGAGGGAATTGAGGGTTGAGGGTTGAAGGTTGAGGAATGAGAATTTAGAATTGAGTATGAAATAGGGAGATCAACCTCGGCTTCAATTGATATAGTAAGGAATATGAAGGATTGAAGGAATTGAAGAGCTGGAGTAGAGATATAACAGAAAGTAGGTAGCAACAAACCAGAATCCGGATAGAAAGAGGGAGACAAGAGGAAGAGGAAGAGGAAGAGTAAAACAAAACGTCAGAGGGCAGTAAAACCGGACTAAGTAGTTGATCGCGGGGAAGTACGTAAGGTGACTAAGAGCGACTTTCAGTGACTTCACTCCCGCACTTTTTCGTCATTCTTCCCCGCGTGACCCTTGACCGCTCCGATTTTCTCCTTTAACCGGCTTTCCCCGTTATTATCAATTTCTGTATTTATCAGTTCCTACTTAGTAGTTTTAGTCTGCGAGTTTGAAACTTATTCCCGATTCCCCTTTACCTGGTTTATATTTAGTTCTCAAAAGGAGCGAAATGGAAACCCATCTATATACTCCACTCCTAGTCATGTGAACGTTCAAAATTTACTGTAAGTCGGAATTCATCCTTCAAACTGTCGATCACTATGATCCTAGCGCTTGTACCTGAGTCACCACAAGGAGTTCTCTCCTCCCCCGTCTTCCTCCGTAATGATTCCACAGCCTAGGCCCTATCCTAACCGTAAGCATGTAGCCGAGCATAGCCGGGTTTCTGTCCATTGAATTGTATCTAAGTTCCTCGATGTTGCCCACCAAACCTGATAACCAGAGTTATTCCCCTGTATCAGCTTACGTTTACCATGATACCCTGTCGGAACCATGGAAATACTTAAGTGGTCTATACGCAGGCCAGATCTGATATATCAACACCTGGTATCCCTGCTTCCAAGGTCCCCTGGTCATTGCCTAGGTAATGATCCCGGCGTTGCTTCGGTATCACTTCGGCACAAAAAGCTGAGCTGGATAAACGAGCGAGTCGGCTATGGTAGAGAACGCTTGAACGATTGGTAGAGGTGCATCGCGCATCATTAAGGTACCGAGGTACGCATTATAGTTACTTCTAACACTCATCGTTAAATCTTTTTTTCTTGAAATGCTATCCACGCTCCAAAGGTGAGGATATGGATGAACAGCCACTTCTCCAATGCAGGAGTCAGCTCCAGAGAAGTAGCTTTATCCAGGGTATTCACCGGTTCTGATAAATCCATCACATTCTGAAGCATTTCCAATGTCGACTCATTTCTCGCTGTGATTTCAATAAAATCATTTTCCATAGATCCCACTCGCCGCTTTCGCTTTTGCTGACGATCGATGAAAAAGATATCGAAATATATTGTTTCGCTTTCATTTTCATCACGCCTTTCCCACTGCATGAGGAAGTTTTTGGAGCTGTTTATATCCGCTGAATTCGGCTTCAGAGTGAACTTATAAATTGAAGATCTCTCCTGTGGTTCACTCGTTACAACCTCGGCCAGCCATGGGCAACTTGTATCTTTGAAGTGAATAACTGGAGCGCCTGCTTGATCTTTCACATGGCATATAGCGCAAGTGGCGTGAATCTCTTTGGTGTCGTCAAGAGTTTCTCTTACACACTTTTTCTCCGATTCTTGTCTTTTAATGAGAAAAGGATCACCAAGAGCTCCATAGATATCGCTCGTTTGGAGTTTAGGTTGATGTGAAAAGGCTCGAGTCAACTTCGACTTGGAAAGACCTGGCCTCCAGAATTCTAACACATTCACTCGATCTGCTGATGTGACTTGTTGGATTTGAAGCAGCCTGCGAGGTGCGGGCCAAGTCATCTTTCGCTTTGAGGCCGGCCGTGCTAGAATGAACTTCGCATTTATTTTTTTATGATGGCTTGAGGTTGACGAACTGAGTATCAGTCAGATCAAATTCAATCAAGAAGCATCGAAATTTACTATATACCTCTCGTGACTTTGTTCATAAGCTCCAGAGTGCAAGGAGGATGCTGGACTTTTCATGCTGGCGTTGTGATCCATTGGAATGTTTGCGTTGAAGATGACAGGAATGATAGTGCTTCGAGATGGACATATTTGATTTTCTCAACGTGCGCATATGAAGGCTATGCTCCCTTGAATTTTCAAAGAAATATAGCTCTGAAGTCAGCCCCCAAGCTGATGGTTCCAAGGCTGCCTAGAAAACCGCCCCCTCTAAATCATCAGTTGATTGGTGAGAATTAGAATTGGTTACCTTTGCGAGATAGAGCTTGCATCCATACACTAAGTACTGGTGGGGGGGGGCATGAATACGCGTATTTCAAGGTTCTTAGGCAACAGCTTAACATGGCTTATGACCTCACGACAAACCTTGTATTTTGAAAAATCATCCAATGAAGGAGATTTTTATAGTTCAAATGTTTCCATCATTCAAACCCATAGGTTAACTTGGCAGGAGTAATCAATTTGGCAGAACTAAATTGGTCGCTGGGGCCGGTTTCTAGCTATCTCGATAGACATATTTTTCAAGAAAATTGAACATCGACGAATGAACAATGACATGATCTGATCTGTACAAAATCTTGGAGTTTTTGACACCTCTAGGAATATTTATAAGTGAGAATAAGTAACTAGAGGGCCGGGCACACAACGGTGACTGTATATTGACTCGATTTTGCAGTCTAAAGGTTGGCCAAAGGTCATTGAATAGGATTCAGTACTTTAAGTGAATATCAAAAGGGGATATTGGACAGAGCCATCTCCGGGTACGGAGCGCTGAGTACAGGGTATTCTGTAGTAATGGCTTCGAAGACAAATGTCACTACTGCTGACCAATTTGACACCTCAGGTTAACTAAAAGTTCGCTTCCGAATGTGGACTAGACTAGGATAATTCTTAATCCGGACCGACGTAGCTTGAAAAGTTCGATTTTTGTTTTCCCACTTCTTCTTTCCTCCATCAGCGCGGTTCATCTTCCTGTGGCATTTTATGTAGATGTCGAGAAAATGTTCCAATGCTGTTCCTTACAATGCTTTGATAATGCATAGCGTCTATTATCCAACCTTATGACTGAGACTTTTTGAACTTTTGGTAAGTTGCTTCGGTAGCAAATTTTTTTCCACACACGGTCATCTTCTACATGAAGAAATCTATAACCAAATTCAAACTAGAGTCTTTGACCCCTTCAGGGAATGAAACTTCTGTTATTGCACGTCAGTCTGATAAGCATGACAACAATTTGATTTTATCACTCATCACTGTTGTCGACAGAGAGCTAACTTGCTTTCTTAGAACTAACACTAACGAACATTACGACTCTACCAAACCTCTACGAAGTTCAATTATAATGGTTAGTGATTCCACCCTCTTCTTCCAACTTCCCAACTACTCTATCATGATGAACGCGATGTGTATGCAAATACGCTGGAAATTACCGTCCAAGGTCTTCGGACCATTGAAGATACTAAATGGCTTTTTCTGATCGATACAAAATCTCCACACTTGACTATTGACATCATATTCTGAACAATGTACTGACTTTGCGAAGATAGGTGGTAAGCTTTCGGCCCATTCTCCTCTCGAACACCACATTGTCCGATGATGAAGCGGCACTGGGCTCCGACGGTCGTTACAAAATGTCCGGTCATGACGGAGATGCCCTTTTGCGGCAGGCCTAGAAAACCTCGCCCACTGAGACATGTCTCAACTTATATACATGAATTCACCCATTGTGTTGTGACAATTCGCTAATATTGCGACCAGTTAACCTTTGTTAATCAGCCTCGCTTGTAATCGTAGAAATTTCGAAGGTATGCGATCGCTCAGTTTTGTTCACACCGTTCCTCCCTTGCCCATATTATGTGATGATTACCTTAGATGACGAGTCTTATCCGAGTTTTCGATGCAGACACAATCTTTTAAATACCATTCATGCCTTTCTGACATTTGCCTTCTACTTCATTACTATTCATGCTTGCCTTCTGGAAACGAGTTGCTAACTGTTTCTGGCAATAGTCACTTTTCTTTACCCACAAAACATCATTGGCTTCCGGCCTTGGAGCGTAGGTGTATGTGACACCTTTTCTCCTTTACTCTGACTATATGATGATACCGACATACAAAAGACAAGCATATGTCTGAGCCAGCTTGCTGGCGGAGACGACACATGTCATGACTGATCAGTCACAACTTGCTTGCCATTTGCATCCAATCTTCAGTCGATCTCCATACTGATTCGGATATTCATAGAACGAGCGTGTGATATCTTCACCGTAAATGTACAGATTCCACTGATATTCTGAATTATAATGTGAGTTACCTCCTGCCTTGTTACCCGTTTTTCTACTTCTCTACCCACTCCCCTCAAATGATGATTTACTTAATTATCACGACGGTCAACGTAAGGATTTCTTTGACGACCACCGCCTGTGACAGGGCTTAATATCTGATACCCATTCTTCAACAAATTTTCTTGTCAGCCGAATTTGCTAGTTCTCATACTAACATCGGCTTCTGTCACAGATAGGACACCTAAGACGCCTCAGTTCGTTCAATATTTCAAGAGTCGGCCACTTCTAAGCAGGGTAGTTAAAGAATTTAGATAATTGAAAATGTACGATTTACAAATGAAGCCTGATCATGCGATGTTTTCTCTTCTTATCACGCGCTAGAATTCTTATTACACGTTTTCATCCCGCCATATGTCTATTTTGGACAGGACCCTGTTCAAGGTCATTTTCATTTCTTTTTTTGCTTCTTTCTCCTGAGAGCTGAATTCTGGTTCGCTGCTTCGATAGTCCGATGGATGTGGGGCAGTGGGTGATGAGCCTCTCAGCATCGACAATAGGCGCCCAGCCCGGGCCTGAGTGTGATGAACATCTACAAGCTGCATATGAAAGTTCCCCGCTTCAGCTAGCACGCTTCCTTTCTTTTCGACAGAGTATTGTTCCAAATATAGCTATCTGCCTTTCCTGATGGGTTCTGATAGCGTGCCGTCCGCTCGGGCCTTTCACTAATTGACTACACTGGCCCTACACTTGGTGTTGGATCCTTTCTTTTTTTTTTTTTTCTCAGCCCTTCAAGCAGCAGTAATAGATACCTACCTATCTTGGACTCATCCAAAAATCATGGATTGGAATGGTGCGGTTAGTTGATCAATGTGCAATACACTATGAACAGGTGCGACCACTTGAGCCTCCAGAGCTCATAAGTTTTTTACCCTCCGAATTTGTCGAGGACATAACACTCATTTCCAACTTCATTTAGCTTGTTGGCTTCTAATAACACAGGCGAGGAGCAGCCATTGAACTCCCATTACGCTGGCTGGCAGCCAACGACAGTCGTCAACGCTATTAATCAACCGTCGCCAGGTCGCCGAGAACAAGCTATACAGCCACCCCTGCTAACAACGGCTCTTGGCATTTCTCAGTTTCATCCTGGATCTACGCCGCTGTCCTCTACCTCATTGTCTAGCCCATTCACACATGGCCAATCACCCTGTGTTTCTTCTCCGGCAAACGGTTGGTCTGCCTCATCATCGTCTACTTCTTCAATGTCTTCCAGACAGACAATGGCCTATAATGTGCCCTATAATCCACAGCACTGGGGACCTATGGGCAGTGCTCCCGCACAATCTCCACATTCTCAAACTAATACCGTCGTGAGGGTTCTGCCCCAGAGAACACATACAGGTTGGTTATTCAATCTCATAGATCGATAGATAGAATCATATTGATCCCTCGATAGAGGATTCTTTGTCGCCGCCTCCTCCGCCTTATTCACCTCCAAGCAATCAAAGTCAAATGTCCCAAGTTTTTACACAAGCTAATGCGAATATCCCACTGGCCCCTACTGTGACTCCACCTCCGACTGGTCCTAGAAATGGTGATTTTAACATGATAACCGAGTACCAAAGACGCTCTGTACCTCGACAACGTCCGGTTTCTATGGTCTATTCATATGACGCGGGATCTCACCGACAGTCGCTACCCCCTCCGCCACCACCGCAAGGGAATGTAGGATCAAGATCTGCTTCACACAGTCGGATTGATGGATATCAGAATTTACCCTACCACGCTACTGCGCACTCAAGATCCAGGCTTTCAATTTCAGAATATGGCCATTCTAATCAATCTCCCTCTTTGAGAGCAATGGCACCGGACCCAACAGGCGATTTAGAGCCACTGGAGAGACCTCCTGCCTCTAGAAGAGCAGTATCTGCTGGGGCTGTGGTGAGTAATGCAAGCTCCTCAAGAGGCACAAGTCAATCGAGGATTCACTCTCCATCCAATAATGGATGGGGACCAGGTATGCCGCTTCCTCCTCCGCCGCCAGGGCCTCCTCCTTCAACGAGATCTATCAGTGTGAGCGGTTCATCAGAGGCTTCATCGGCAAACACTGTGCAGAGTCTGGTTAGAGCTAGAGCTCGACCGCCGCCGCCGTTGATGGGAACTGATCTGGGTAGTATTCCACCAACACCGGCGGACTGGGTAGATGAAGAGTATATAAATCATAGACCAAGCAGTGATAAAGAGTCCTTATATATCGATACCACCAAGACTATACCAGACTCCGATCTCAATGACACATCACATCAGAGGACGCCTGGTAGCGGCGGCCTTTTCCGCAGTGCAGCAGTGCGTGAACCCAGTGCTAAAGGGATTCGTGAGAGGAGAATTGAGCGACGGAATCGGCAAAGCCAGGTCTTCGAAGATTTTAGTGCTGTATCTTCGAGCGGCAACCCCTGGGCTGATGTGCTGGAGCAGATCAAGCCGTCGAACCTCGTATTTCCAGAATCGAAAAACAGTCCGGACCAGCCTCGTCAACCCACTTCCTCAAAGCTAACTCCTCGGAGCGCTCAAAGCCTCAACTCGGATGGACGTCATCCTTCTCGGTCTCGAGCATCCTCAACAGGACTTTTCTCTGAGCAGTCATCCTACCAGACTCCCAAGAAAGAGCAAAGCCCCTCTAGATCCAGCAGGTTGGCATCTGTTTTTGCGCAGACTCCTCCATTTTCACCGAATGGAGAATCATCCTCGGCGTATGTCAAGGAGGCGTCTCAAGCAATACCACCAAGGGCATTGCCGACTCCGCCTTTGAACCCTGCAAAGGAAGCTCAGCCACGGCCTCGCACCTTGTCGAGAGGAGCAGAAGACAGACCTATTTCACACATTCTGAATATGCCCAATCATGATGCTTTATCTTGTATCAAACCCCTGTCGCCGCGTCGAATTTCTTCCCACGGAGATCACCAGGTATCGCTGGAGTCAGTCGTAAAGACAGATACTCAATTTCTCGAAGGCGCAATACAGCGACACAAGCAATTTATTGAGCAGGAATCTTCTGCTGTAGATGAAATTGAGGCTCTGAAATTATTCTCGCAGTTCATCATAGGAGAATCCCAAATACGACGTGAAAGATATGCTGCAATTTGGGATTCCAATTCAAACTCTTTCGAGGTGGAGGATGTGCGCAACAAGCTTTTTGAACTGCCCCCAAAGCCTGACCCCATCCAGATATTAAGAGCAGCTAAGCCAAAAGCACCCGTGTTGCAAATACCTCCAACGCAGCCCGGCAGACCAGAGTCTGCGTGGTGGAATAATTTTCAACCTTGCCTGTCTCCTATCGCCGCCAGTCTCAACATGAGCAACGACGAAATGAGCTCCAGAGGCCGTGCACCTAGTCGTTGGTGGGAATCAAAGACTGGATCTAGCAATGGAGGCGCAGAACAACGAGTTCAACGGTCTAAAAGAGAATCAAAATACATGGGACTGCCACGAGACACCGCTCAATGGGACCAAGAACGAACACCATCAAAACTTGATGACACGGGTTCAAACTACAGCGATAACTATGCGGCTTATGGTCCCGATGAATACCCACCAGAAAAGTCTGGCTCGCATGAGGCCTCTTCCTCTCATATTGGTGGCAAGAGTGAAGACCGATTTGGGCACTTCATGGCAAGCTGGAAGTTGGACATCTCGCGGTTAATCACTCTACCTCCGCCATATCCGCGCCACTACCCTGCAGTGAACAATAGCCATCCTGAGCTCATTTCTTACCGAACAGTGGTACGTTCAATTACCGATTTTTCAGAGATCAAGTCCACCCGACAACGGTATCAACTAGATGTGGAAAGAATGATTCAAGATCATCAAGAAGCAATCCAAGACGGTCGTCGCCAATTTAAAGCCAATATTCAAAACCAGATTCAAGAGGGAAGCATCACATTTGCAGAGGCAGCCGAGGCTGAGGCTGCAATGATCGTGGAATATAACAAAAGCGAAAGAGAAATGGCAAAACGTCAGCTGGACATGTATCAAGAGATTGTCCTGAAGCCTATGCACGCGATAATCAAAGATCGGATCGAGAAAGCAACAACGTGTATCGACGAGCTCAGTAGCCAGCTATTTAACGATGCGCAAAGTGAGACACCAGACCAAACCCAAGAGGAAGGCGACGAAAAGCCTGAACTATTGGAAAGGCTCACTCAGCTGAAATGGCTGTTTGAAGCACGTGAACAGCTCCACCGAGAAGCATTTGATCTGGTCAGTGACCGTGACGAGAAATACAAATCAATCGCCCTGTTGCCATACAAGCAAAGCCAAAATGAAGACAAAGTCCGGGAAACACAGGATTTCTTCACGAAGGATGCCTTGAACCGACGTGTACAGCAGGAGACAGAATCCTTCACCCGCCTTGAATCATTCATGGACGTGATTGAGCAGAACGTCGTACGTGGCGTGGAGATCCAACTCTCTGCATTCTGGGACATTGCCCCAAATCTTCTCGCTCTGGTACAACAGGTTCCAGAGGATCTACGAGGGTTCCAGGTTAAGATTCCTGTGGACGAGTACGACGAGAACCCGAGTTATCATGCGCACCCGCTGCAGTATCTATACTCGCTATTGTCTCACGCTGAGAAGTCTAGTTACCAATACATCGAGTCTCAGATCAACCTTCTTTGCTTGTTGCACGAGGTACGGTCAGCAGTGATTCGAACAAATAGGAACCTTACAGAAGCGGAAATGATTCAGCAGGGCGAACAGGAGAATGTTGTGCGTCGGAAAATGCAGGAGGCGCGCGAGAAAGAAGAGGTTAGGCTTACTTCTGACCTCAAGGATAAGGTTGCTACTGTTGAGAGTCAATGGACTGAGGCGCTTGGAAGTCAAATTCAAGGGCTGCGAGAGCGTGTCAAAGAGCAACTGATAGTTGAGGATGGATGGGAAGATTTGGAGCGATTAGAACAGGAATAAAAAGTGGGTTTTCCAACGTTATTCCTCTATTTATTGGTTTTTTAGGATCCTTTTCATCTGATGTTTGTGATATCCCCATTCGCTCGTTATTAATCGGGCTTATTCCAGAATATATAAGTATTCCATTTCAGCATTGCTTTGCCATTCTTCTATAACAATGGCACCTGTAACCTAAGAACTCCATTAAACCCGATTAGAACGTTTTAAGGACCTTGGAAATGACAGATATATGTTGAAGAGAGGAAAACATGGATGAGATTAGTAAGCGATATTAAGCGGCAAAAAAACCCAGAGCAATCATCTGACCGACATAATCATCCCATGTGCGTTCAACTCTAATTATACAAAATTAACAATAGATATCATAGTTTCAGTTTCTCTAAGCGATCAAAAAACTCAGTAGCAGTGAGGTTCAATTGTTACCTACGTATGGGCTCCACATGGGGCCGCAGCACGTGACCTAATCTTCTAGAGTGTTCCGTCTCAATTCGCTCAAATATCGATCCTTCCTCTCTTGCCCTACTTTCATCCCATCTTTTCCTTTTTTTTTTTTTTTAAACACAAGTAATTCACTTGGTCTACTTTTCTCAATTGTAAGTATATAATACTCTTGAATATGTTTCATTACAATTCTCTTCACCTACATTCCCCTTCTCGGCCCTCTTAGGAGGTGCCAATCAGCCCAAATGATGAAATCCAAGCTGGCACCAGTCAGAGAGTGATGGACTTATGTCCAACACCGCTGCTGATTAAGCATCGTCCCGAAATTTACGCTTCTGGACCTGATATTTGTGGCTTTTGTACGAATCTCGTACAAGAAAACTCATCTCGCTCAACAAAAGACACTTCGAGAACATCGTTGCTAACTTTTGAAATCAAGAATATTTAGATTCGGTTGGAAACGCCTGTGTCAAAGCTTCAGAAGCAGAAGAGAAAAGAATTGAAAGAAAGAGCAAAGTGAATTACTGATTCGACCCTGTCAATCACAATCTCGTCCCAAAAATCAGAATTTTCATTTTCATTAGTCAACCACATCCACATCCATCATGGTTCTTCACAACCCCAACAACTGGCACTGGGTGAACAAGGACGCTTCTGGCTGGGCCAAGGAGTACCTGCAGAAGTCCTTGACTGTCATCAGTGCCGAGGAAGGGGGCGTGTCGGTCAAAGTAGACAAGGTTTTGTCAATGGATGGCGACGTAGACGTCAGCCAGCGCAAGGGCAAAGTCATCACCCTGTACGATGTCAAGCTATCGCTAGAGTACTCAGGTTTGTAGAATCCAACCGAATCCAGAGGACTTTGGCAGCTGAGACTGTTTCAATAGGTAAGACCAAGGATGCTGAGGATGTCACCGGCTCCATCAGCATCCCTGAGGTAGCCCACGATACGGAGGAGGACGAGTATGTCGTACGTTTCCCTTGTACCCTAGTCTCTCTATGTGAGAAAGAATTGGTCAAGAGTTGTCTACCCTGAAACTAACCTTTATTTTCACGCTGTATAGTTTGAAATTGAGAACCATGCCGACGCCAGCTCTAAGCAACCCGTCAAGGACCTTGTCCGCTCCAAGATTATACCCCAGCTCCGCGAGGCTCTGTACAAGCTGACCGGTGCCCTCATCACCGAGCACGCCAAAGACATTCAACACGCTCCGGGAGCCGACCCCTCCGCCTCTTTCCCTAAGACCCCGGTTCATCCCCAGCCCAGCACCAAAGTAGCCCCTTCCACTACAACTACTAGCACCTCCACCAACGGCAAAGTTGCCATTAACACTACCACCGTGACTGCTTCGGACGAGTTCCGCACTACTGCCGAGGAGCTCTACAATACCTTCACCGATCCCCAGCGTATTTCTGCCTTCACCCGCGGTGCACCCCGTCAGTTTGAGGGCGCCACCCCTGGTGGTAAATTTGCCATTTTCGACGGCAACGTTACCGGTGAATACGTGAAACTAGACGCACCCAAGCAGATTATCCAGAAATGGCGTCTTGCCCAGTGGCCCGCCGACCACTTCAGTACTCAGAAGATCGACTTCGACCAGAACGACGTCGACGGTGTCACTCAGATGCGCGTTGAGTGGTCTGGTGTCCCTATCGGCCAGGAAGATGTCACCAAGCAGAACTGGGACATGTATTACGTCCGCAGCATTAAGCAGACTTTCGGGTATGTTCTCCTTTTTCCTTTCTTGATTCACTGTTGCTTTGGCCGTTTGACCAATACTGGTCTTTTTTTCCAGATCTTCTCCTTCATCCTTTTCTTGGGGCCGATTACTAACGTTTTTAATCGTTCTTCTCGGTATAGCTTTGGCACTATTCTCTGATCGACTAGAAATATTCTCATCGACCACATAATGCGCTGAACCAAAATCACATCTCGTCGACCTCTTTGCTGATCCAGTCCGGCCACACAAACTCAAGAAAATAACTAGACTTTCCAAAACACTTCTTGTTTTCTGCTGTCATAGACATGGGCAAGAGTGAACCTTACTTATCCTCTGGTGGACTCTGGTATATATTTTCTCTGCCGAGCCATCCATACAATCTAGTCACTACTAGCCTTTTGGTCCGACAAGTTGTCTGGTTCTACGCTCCATTTAGATTATTATTATTAATTGCTTGTTAATTTCCAACACTGGTCCAGTTGGAGAATTGTCATGATACCAAACGAATGACGTTATAATAGAGGGCTGTATTGGCTGTACTACTCATTCCAGACAGCTGTGGTATCCTTTAATGATATTAAATTGTCCACAACTCATTTAATTCTTCCGAGTCAGATACAGTCGCTAATCCTATCACGATCACTAATGATCCTACTCTACTAATCCCATCATCGTCTATATTGACGATGATTGTGGCCATTACGAGATAGAGTAGCTCGGCGCTGATGCCAATACCGAAACATGTCCGCACTGGAAACTGAGAGAATTTGATCTTCTAATTCATGGCCGATTTGTGCGACTACATCCAATCCGAGCTTCAAATCCTCAGACAATCATTGGTGAACTACGTTCACTCTGATAGAAAAATACTCCAGAAGACCAAGAGTTCTTTTGACGAGTTGGAAAGCTGCTTTAGTCTTTAGGCTAAAAGGCGCGAGAACGGTACACAAAGCAGGTAAGTTTCGATCAATAAATCTTTGTAGCTACTTTACGAACGGTTATCAGAAAGGATCAGGCACAGTGAAAGTCTTTGTTTCAAAAGTCGAGAAACCTATCACGGTTTACTGTCCGCTGAAAGCTTCTTCAACTCATACAGAGACAGACACACGCGACACTCTCAGTCAAAGCAGAGGATTTTCTAAGGTCTTAGCTTGGGTATTTCCAAAGCTGTGAATTTACCTTCTGTTTTAATCTACCGGCCCCGGGTAGACTTCGAACACAATATATATGATCACATATTGTAAACATGTACCAGCCCCGGAGAATACAAACGTGTAGATCCATGGATAAACCATAGCCCAAGAGTATCCCGCGTCAACATTGGAATAGGAGAACCTTGGAATCCGTGAGAGAAATTCTTGAGCTACTGAGTAACTTTTCTCGAGTTATTATTGATTGGAAGGATATGATATACCTTTTATATCATTCTAAGCTCGAAGTTCTGAAGCCCGGAAAGGTGCCTGTGCAAATATCAACTGGTTTTTTGGTACTATAGCAAGACATTAATATCCAAATATTTACACATATTGCTCAATTTTGAAATGTAGTGTTCACCCAGGTATTTAAGGTTCATATTTCATTTTCTTAGACCATATTTATCGACTGGGGATTGACGACAGATGTGTGAAGCTGTGTAAGCAAGACTCTAGCAGATGGAAAGAATAAAGCGGCGTGAAAAGACCTTCAAAAGTAAGTTAATTGTTCTGGTCCGAAGTCGAGAAGGGAATAACATACGCAGAGACTAGAAGTAAAACAGCTTGTAGTAGTAATGAAATCTGCTGCGGTCCCCATATAGACAAAAGCAATTGGATCACGGTAAAATAGCTGAAAAATCCGATTGATAGTAGATCAAGACAAGCGCTAATAATTGGAGGCGTGGTGATTTTGCGAAGACGTAGAACCCCATCTACTAGAGACCAGGCATCGAAAAAGAATATCTAAGGGTATTCAAATAAGCAACGAGGGCATATTCCGTGGGTTGGGAAATTTTTTACATGGAATATGACTGATAATTGTTGGGGATGAAATATGAGCAGCAGAATAGCAGCCAGCAGGCTAGTACAGACGGCTCCAGCTCTTTTTTGGAGATGATTCCTTAACTGGTTTTCTTGTAAATCTAAAGGCAGAGACACCATTTTCGAATGAGTGATAACAAGCAGGTGGAGAGGGTTGATGTGTTTGACGTTGGAAGAGAAGCGAGAAAAATATAGGGGAAATGTGAAACACTTGCATTCTTGAAATCAGGTACGGGTATTTTATAAATTGCACAGCGTTTTATTCTAACATTACATCTCCGTACAGAGTATAAAACATCACTAGCCAAACCTTGTAATATAGCCTAAACTCTGGTTTCATGGCCCATAAGCTTACTTCCCTATGTCGGCCAATCTGAGCTGAATTGAGATGAATTGATTTTTAACCGATCTGTCAAATTATGTGGTCTTGATTTTATCAATTACTTCATTTTTTATCAAGTGATTCAATCCGCCTCTTATTCAATTGCTTAAATGCTTCTTCAGGTTGTCACCGTGAGAATGCTACTACTTTAGGCCTAGTATCCCCGACGTCTTTGAACCAGAACTGTTGTCGTGGTAAATGAAATGGGTTATTATTGCTCAATAACTCGGAATTCTCGGAACGTCATGTTCATCACCTCAGGTTCAAAAGCATCAACTCCGGAGATTCAATAAAGCTCCGCACCAAACCCCCCATCCTTGCCATAGTAGCTCCGTCAATAACACGATGATCAGCACTCCAACTGAAATTTACCAGCTCCCCACGCACAACTTGATCAGCCTCATCAAAGACAGGAACCGACTTTGTGCGACCAACTCCAAGAATAGCCACTTCTGTCGGTACAATCACCGGCGCCACATAGGTCCCGCCAATATTTCCAATATTCGAGATAGTGATGGTTCCACCGCCGAGGTCTGTAGATGTTAGTTTCCCAGCTTTGCCAAGTGAACTCAGTCGAGCGATTTCGTCTGAAATATCACTGATTGACAGGCTTGCTGCATCTTTGATATTTGGTACGAAGAGGCCATTTGGTGTATCCATCGCGATACCGATATTGTGTTTTGCGCGCATGATTAGCTTTGGTTTTTCTGGTGTGCTGTTTTCAATCCGGGAATTGAGAATTGGGTACTCGTTTAAGGCTAATGAGACGGCCTTCACGACAAATGGGAGCAAGGTGAGCTTTCTCGGATCTTGCATGTTACTGGCGAGTCTCTTTCTAATGGTTGTGATATTGTTGACTTGGAACTCATCGGCATAAAGGAGATGCGGGATATTAAGGGATCTTGTCATTGTTTTGAACATGGATGATTGGATCGGGGTGAGTTTGGTTTCTGTTTCTATTTGTCGTTTGTCTGGTATAGATGCTAGTGTTGATGTGATGGGCGAATCTCGTGCTTGGGCAAAGTTCAGCACATCTTCTTTCATGACCCGGCCTTCTTTGCCAGTTCCATTTATATCGATGATGTTGATATTATGTGTCTTGAGTAAACCTCGCACAGCTGGTGTTGCGAGAGATGCATGTTTTGATTTGGGTGTCTCAATTGAGGCATCTTGATGAGAAAGCGTAGGCTGTAATACTTCAGATACTTCAACCTTTGTCGTTACCTCAGATTCGGAGGCAGATTTAGCCAGCTCTCCCTCCGGCGCTGTGGCAGGAGTATGTGATGAGCTCTGCCCTGAGTATTTTTTATCGTCGACCTCAATATCACATAGTGCCTAGTAGAAAGAATGAGCAAGGGGAAATAAGTGTCTAGAAAGTGATATTTATGACTCACCTGCCCTGTAGGGATTGTGTCGTCTGCTTCGAAATGGAGCTTCTTGATGACACCTTCATAACGCGATGTAATCTAGACTTTGTCAGCGAATCAATTTTCTCAGAAGGAATATCATTTCCCCAGATATAAGCCCTTTGAAGTTATCGGATAACGCACATCATCAACCGCCTTATCAGATTGATACTGACATAAAGGTTTCCATTCCTCAATATGTGCCCCTTCCTCTACATACCACTGGATGATTTGGACCTCAGTAATACCTAGATCACTATTAATTACCAATTGATTCAAGAGATATCAAGCATTCAACTCACCTTCACCAACGTCCTTGAGAATCTGAGATTTTATACCCAATAGGGAGGTAGTCGCATGGAATCCCCGGCTGGAGACGGCATATCGCATGTGGAGATAACTGTGGGGTCGGCCAGGCCGCAGAAGACTGCCCCCGATGCGCAAGATATTCATCGCGTCTGGCTATTTAGAAATGGGATTCAAGAAACGAGTGAGTCAAAAGACTGAAGAAGGAATTCCAGTTAAGCGACTTGTCAAAGGCAATATTTTGGAGACTGACGCTTATGTATGTGATTGCTGCCCCGAGGGTAACCGATGCAACCACGTGATCCCCCGCATTTCGGCATAGAGTGGGGAGACGGCCTTCAAAGAGTTGTAAATGCGGGGCGATTACAGCAAAACTTCCTCCTGAAACTAACTAGCACCGTGGAAATCTTGTGACTAGAATTCAAGAAACTTATGGTTCATTCATGACCTTTGCCTACTGACAAGTACGTTCAGATTTGCGACTGAGGGAAACAGAGAAAATTGGAATGCTCTGGTGCATAAAGGTTCCGAGGAGTGAGCTTGTGTGAGCTCAGGCAAAATACTATTGCTAACTCGACTATATAAGACAGTGGATATTGAAGGTACTGATGTACACTTGTGAGCTTAATAGCCAGACCATGGATTTCGGCGACACTCGGGAAACATGAGCATACAGGGTTTATTCGCTGGCCCCAAGAATGGAAGCCAAAGACTGGCTGTTCGATTCCGCCTCTCCCTTATCATCGGTAGGAATCTTCTGCGATGCAAATGCAAGGAAAACAGCCTCCCAGTGCCCATCATCAAATTTGAACAGAATGGCGCCGTCCTCATAAATACCATTGCTAAAACTAGGAAGACTGCCCTGGTTCATGTGGATATCATGGATACCTGATCCATAAGATGAACCCCAGATATAGGCGGTCGCCTTCTGGTTGATTGCATCGGTGAGAATGGGCTCCAGCTTATCAAGAATATCGTTGTTGGGGCCGGTAATATCGTCTGGCAAGACCTGGCCGGACTTGATGTCCACAAGGTTCTTAGTGCGAATGAAATCTAGACCCTGTAGGGTTGACTGAGTGCGGCGCTCATGGCTATGATTGTAATGGTAACCGTGGTGGCGTCTGTGGTGACTACCTCCGGTGGTCTCGTCACTTTGGCTGTTTGAGCTGCTGGACTGTGCTAGGTGGAAGCCCAAGTCGATTTGGGATAGTTTCTCAGTGATGGGGTGCGAGAAGTCACGGTTTAGCCAGAAGACAAGGCGGGTGTCTTTATCAGTCGATTTGACATTGATGGCGGCCTCCAATTTCCGGCTCGAAGTGGAAGAGGAGGAGTCGGTAAAGTGAAGGTAGATATGGGGAGACTTTGAGTCTTGCTGCTCATTTTGGGCCTGATAGGAGGTAGGGGTGCAAGCCCAGACACCGTAGTGAGCAATAGTCATGTTAAAGATGCGGGGTTAAACTGAAGCAAAAGAGTACTTTTGAGGTTCAGAATATTTAATTGAGAGGAGATATGGGCTTAAATAGTAATGGTAGTTACCTAACTAATCTTATCGTTTCACAAAACAGGTCGCACCATATAAACACGTGCCCTAAAGTGAGGACATGAATCACGCTAATTGAGGCTATGATGTAGCTTTTTCTGCAGCTAAATACTTATCTTCAGCTTCTCTTGTTCTTACTCGTCTTGATGACGTATGGCAATTACCCTAAAAATAGTACTGGATTCATCAATTCAGGAATAAGTAACTGTTTGCTTCGTACTGAAAAGACTCTTTTTCAGGTCGGATGGGCGTAGCTGGCGTCGCGTTGCCCCGCAGAGGGTACTTTTAGTAGTACTCCGCATTGACTGTACTAATTAGTACAGGGTATTTATTAAAACCAAATGACGAGGGTTGAAGTATCTTGACAACTAGAGAGAAATTCTTTGAAATGGACGAGGGAAACGTGATCGTATTCCCAAGTTCTTCTATCAAGTGCGACAAATTCTTCTTCAAACCACTTGCGGCCTGAGGCACCAATATTAAGGCCAGGTAGATCATTAAATTAACAAATTTTGACTGATCTGCAAGAGTTAGAGTGAGAGTGGAAGTGGAATTAAAATCGACCTGAAGTGAAAGCAAAGCTAGAGTGAGAAATTGAGAGAGAATCTCAGGTAGTAAGAATTAGGAATAGTATAAGAAATCCATGGATATCGCTCTGTCTTCTTTATCTTTCACATCTCAGTCCACTCTAGCCTTAGATAGCTCATCTTTCTAGCCCTGGAGACAGAATTTTCGTTGTCATTGCCTCAACAAATGCGCTCGATGGACACACCAACAGTTATCTTCGAGTCTGTATGGAGCTAGAATTATCCTGAGGTGATGAACAGCATAAACCACTTGCTCGAAGGCAATGGATCCATCGTGGCTTGACCCAGCTAGAAGTTGAAGAAAGAACTTACTAGCTAGCACTGGACAGACCAGCAATCAAATCTTTTCAGCGTCAAGGAAGAACAAGAAGAAGAAGAAGCAAGCTACCACAAGCAAGCGCACAACTCGATCGGACACCGTCACTAAGAACGAAAGCCTTTTCGAGCAGCTGAAAGCTAGAATTGAGAGTATATAGAGAAAATGCTTTCTCTCCTTACTTTCCCTAATATCACCATCGATACCCATTTTCAAGTTAGATTCCATTGCATGACGACCATTTCAGATACGCTGTCACCCTAGAAAATAACGACACTATGACACTGAAGAAGTAAGCCAAGGTACTAAGAGCCACCGCATGGATTTCCTCTAGGAGAAAGGGTTCTGGCGATCCGCACATTGTGACGGTAAAGCAACAACGCTGAGCAAATCCCACTGCCAAACCATGCGCAGATTGGGGAAACCCCCAAAATTTCTTGCTCAGGTGCTTCTGGTAAAGGTAAATTCCAGCCAAGGACCAGTGACTGGAATAGCCAATATCGATTTCGTTTTAAGACATAGACGTTTTCTCATCCCATTCCATCTGTTCGCCTCAGCTGTTTCCGAAGGCTTTGAGCTTTACAATTCAACTGTGCAATTTAGCCTTCCGAATTATTCTGTTTCTTGCCCTCTGATCCCAATTTAGCGATTTTGATTTCCAATTTTTTGATCTGGACCTCTCGCTCTTCAATACTACCATTTTTATTCTGGACAAGATGATCAAGATCGGCTATGTCGTGTTCTGCAAGGCTCAAGTCTTCCATAAGGTTTTTGATCATGGCGTCTTTGGTTTGGAGCGTGTTGTAGACATCTTCAAGTTCTGTGAATATTTCCTTCAGAGTCTCGTCAAGTACGCTTGTCCTTCTTAGCAAGTCACTGGCTTGCCTTTTTAATATTAGCCTCATGTTGCTGGTCCTGATTATGCGAATCAATGCTTGCACAAAGCTAATGTTACGCGTGCCATAATCAATGACACTTCTCGGTATATGTGATGGAATATTTTCTAACTGTCAGGATTTGCAATAAATGGTCTCACAATATGAGTGAACCTGCACTTTCTGTCCTTCAAATCTCTTCAATATCTGAAATCAGCGCATGGTATTCCCACACTAGATAGTTCAAAGTAGCTAAAATACACCGCTGTTTGAGGATCGACCAGAGTAGTATGGATGACTGTAAAATATCATGGAGGGATATGATGACGAGCTTGAAGAGGAAGGAACCCTCTGGAGACAACCCGTAATATTCGTGGCGAGGGGGTGTCTGATTCCAGAAATCGACCTTGTGTGTGGAAGTATTAGACAATGATATCTGATTCGCAAGCTAAAAATGCCTGTCAGTTGAATTACGTTGGATTGTCTTGGAACTTTTAAACAGTGACTCTCGTCCATCTTTCAAAGTCTTGTTCTGCCGGAGTACCTTTTTGAAGTGAAATCCCTGCGAGAAGGCTGTACGTTTCCAGGTTCCACCTAGCTTTTCTACTTCCACGAGAGAACCAATTGTGTTTCGGGCTGAACATCACCCTGCACACCAAATCGAGGGAAATTCCATTACTTCTGTTGGAGGTATAGCAGCCTGGTCACTTGGAATATTTGGGAAAAATGTGAATTTCCCAGTGGTAGGCTGAATTCCCGAGGTATTGCCTGTTCCCGCCTACGTCGTATAGAGAGTCTGAGAGAGCATGGTAACCACGCCGCTATCAAGCCCCACCATTCGTCATAAGTGGGAAGTTTATGAGTCGGAAGTGCAAGGTATTTGCTTATGCCTTGGTCTTTGACTAGCATGGCCGGTCATAGAGGGTGCCGAGACCTTCACTATCTCCATACTGATTAACCGCCCGCAGATCACTGGGTACATATACCAATTCCTTCCAAGCTCCCCTAAATATACCGAAGTGAACCAATATCAGAAAGTTATTAACACATACGGAAAAGCTTGAAAGAGACATTGCAGGACTTCGTTGGAGAATCTTGCAGGCTGCAGGCACTGGGCTGTATTATTCAATCCCTGTACTGGTTTGCAGATACAAATTGATCTATCACCTGCGCCGTGCAGGGTAAACGTCTAATACGGATGGATCGCACCCCACTGAGCCCAATCATATCTAACCATCTGAGATCGACCAGAGACCCGAGGTGGGGCGCTCTAGTGTTCAGTTCATATCACATTGCATGGATGGGTCATATTGTAGATGGCGATCGCAAAGCAGGTCCGTCCCCCATGGTCTCCTCTCAAAATTAAAATCCACCCTGTATCTCCAAGTTCAAAGTTTCAACTCGTTTCAAAATCCCTTCGCGATGACCATCACTCAAACACCGAATGCCCATATCTCGCCTGCGAATCAGGGCCCATTCTCATCGTTCACTCAATTGTGTGCAGAGAGCGGTTTGTTGACTCGCCCTGATGGGCTTGAAGACGGAGACCTTTGCGATGGATTATCTGATCCCTCGACCCTCTTGTTCGTCACATATCATGCTCGATTCCGTGGAAATTAGCTTCTGATTCTCATGCCATTAGACGCTTCCTCACTGCCCGCCAATTCGATCCCGATGGTGCTAAAAAGCAATTCCAGGAAGCCTCTTTGTTTCGCCAAGAGAAGCATATAAACAAACTTTTCGATATCATCGAAATTTCCGAGTATGAGCAGACTCGTCAACTAGTAAGTCTCAACTTGGGTTTTTCTGAACCCAAAAAGCTGTACTGACCCTCACAGTATCCACATTGGTCAGGATGTCGAGACAAGAAAGGGTTGCCCATTCTCATGTTCGATTTCGCTCAACTTGACAAAGACGCCCTTGCACGTTGGGAAAAGACACGCAAAAATGCAGGCTGGGTGAACTCTCAGTCTGGGGGAAGCAAAAAACCAAACATGTTACAGCTAGCATCGGTGTTCCATGACTCTTTGGTTCGTTTCGTCCTTCCTCTCTGTTCGGTCATGACAGACAGACCAAACCCTTCAGTCCCAATCACAAGCTCTACCTATCTTTTGGATGCATCTGCCTTGGGACTAAAGCAGGGATGGAGCGTGAGATTCTATGCTCAAGAGCTCAGTTGGTTGTTATCAACTTGTTATCCTGAGACAGTTGAACGCATCTTTGTAGGTTGCCAAGTGACAGAAAATGAACCATATGTGGATACTAAGACCAACTGAAATAGGTGTGTAATGCGCCATCATACTTCGCCACTATTTGGAAGTATTTGAAAAGCTGGGTCGAGCCTAAAACGGCAGAGAAGATCGTAGTACTTATGAATGCGGAGGTCTTGCCTACCCTCAGAGAGTACATTGACGATACGAACATCCCAGTTGTATTTGGTGGTGGCTATTCTTTCAAACATGGAGCAGTGCCTTGTCTGGAAGATGGTATCCTGCAACAACTTAATTGGAATCTTTCAAACGGGTCTTTGCCTCCTGGTCCCCTCAAATGGGTTGAAGACTCGGACGGCAAAGTCACGGCACTGGCTGTGGGTAGCGAGGATGGTTCAAAGAGAAGCAAAAGGATCGCAAGTATAGATCGCGCTCAAAAGTAGGATTTATGAGCTTGCAGCATTGACAGAATACTTCCTGAGAGAGGAAAGATAAAGCATCAATAAGATTGAAAAAATGTTGCAATCATTAGTTACTCTACTTTTCAGAAGCCTTCTTTTTTCAGTCAGCCTCCCGTCTGTTGCATCAATTCTGCAACAACCACATCATGGTTGGAATAATTACCGGTCATTTGAAAGAGATGACGGGAAGATTATCCTTGATGGCCTGTACCATCCACACCGAAGAGTCCGAAAAACTCTTCTGGTTTATGATGCAAAAGTTCCCGTCACCGTGATTCCTTCTTCCAAAGAGATGACATGCAGTTGGCCTTTATGTCACCGTTATATTGGTTCATAGTTGGTTCGCCATTCTTTCTTTCTTTCGTTTGATTAGCAGTGGTTCAACCTATATGAGATGATTTAGTAGCTGTATGACAAGGACAGAAAGCTTGCGTACCATTAATGTCAGTTCAGTCAGTGAGATATGAAGAGCGCAAAGTGAGGAGTGTGAGACAGAATTGGGAAGAAAATCAGGAAATGGAAATGAATTCAAAAGCCAGTCGCGCTATAAAGGTTAAACTCGGAACAGGGCAGCAAGTAAAAAGTATATGCTTCTGGTAGATGAAGTACTAAAAACCCTGGAGCTATCTTCATAGGTAAGGATCTCATTAGTTCGTTGAAGCGTTAATTAGCAAATTAAATATGTGGATGTACAGGTCCTGACTTTGTAGGTATGATCCACGGAGTATTTACCTATCTGCCATTTAAGCTAAAGTAAACAAGCTCTGTATAAGTAAGAAGCTGCTAAATGGAGTATCATATACCTGTCATGTCCAGAGTAAGAGTTGTTGTGCCCTAGCTAGTCCCACTTTTTCCAGAAAGGTGGATCCACCGTTTTTAGTAGGAAACAGATGGTATTTTTGAATCTTGTGCTTCTAACTTATCTCAATTTTACTTCAACCTTCTTGCAATGATCTTGCACGATCAGGATCTACACTAAAGACTTTGCTCAATGTCTTTGATAACACGTGGCTTACCATGAAAAGGGCTCTATCTTCGTATTATTCCTGAATAGGGACGTGATAGCTGAGATCTATTCCAGTCAAATCGATTTCCAAGATCAGGATCTATTGCCAGGAAATTTTAAGAAGCAATGAGGTTTCAAAGTTGAAATCACATTCATTACTCTAGCTTCGTGAAGTACCTTGTCCTGGGATATCATTTCATCATATTACGCTCGTGTTGAATATCTAGTTAGATATAGCTTTGTGCCTAGGTAGCTTAACGCATTTGCTACGGTGTTTTCTAGCTTACGGGGGATCATCACTGTGATTTTGTAGGGGGGGGGGGGTGTATTGTACATTCGTAAAAATGAGCTATAATATCATCTCGCTACGCTCTGGTTGACTCCGGTTGCTCTTATCGCTAGTTCATTGCTGTCATCCACAGAAATACCCCCACTTTTACTTTCATCTAACCCAAACTCAGTCACTAGTTCCTTACGGAAAGGCACCTCTTTGATCAGACAGGCAAGGGGCACCGCAATGACAGTAAAAGCAATTAGGACCTGCCAGGACAGCTTCATACCAGCGGTATAGAGTTCAATCAGCTCCCTTTTCGTCGGAGGATCATTGTTAAATGATTTCATAAAAGATGCAGTCGCGTGCTCATATGCTCCGCCGCGTCTGAGCAGCTCACGGACTTCCGGTTTAGTGACTTTATAAAGCAAAGAGTCAATACGCGAGTTAAAGATAGCTGCGGGGATGGCTGCATCCCAAATAGAGCCAAAGCTGCGGACAAACCCCCAGCATGCTGTAGCGATGGCAACGTCTGACTCTGGTAATGGTGCCTGTACCGCAGGAAGCGTTGCTGTTAGGGCCAATCCACCTCCGATACCGCAGATTATCTGGAAGATGACACATTTTGCTGTAGATGAGTTGGTATCCAGGAGCGTGAGACAACCTGCGCCGATAGATAGCAGAGCGTAGCCAGCAACCATTGTCGGCTTATACCGACCAGACTTGGCTATAATCAGGCCCCCAGTGATTCCAGCCGGCATAAAAGGAATAACAACGGCAAGTAGGTCAACGCCTGATCTCAGAGGACTAGCTTCGAGAAGAACTTGGAAGTAGACAGGCAGAAAGAAGCTCAGCCAGCTCATCTCGACGCCATGAAGGAACGTGACCATGTACGAAATCATTGAAGTGTTGTTGCCAAAGAGACGTATTGGCATGGTTGGCTCTGTGGCATAGATATTCTGATGGAAGAAGAGGGCGACCAAGGTAGCGGCTCCGACTAGAAGCGGTACAAGCACATGCCAAGAGTCCCAAGAGTGGAGTGTGCCACCCCAAGTCAGAGTGATAAGGACAGTGACGACGGCACCCATCAAGAGCAGGTTCCCTGAAAAGTCGACCTTTTTCAGGCGAGTGGCCAGCTTACCGTCACGTTTATAGTGAACTCACAGGAAGAGCAATACTAGAGCCAAGGCTATGCCGCCGATAGGCAAGTTAATGTAGAAGATCCATCGCCAGGAAATCGTGGTGACAATAGCGCCTCCGATGATGGGTCCGACAAATGTACCCAAAGCAAAAGTTGCCATAACGATCGACATATAGAGCTGTCGATCAAGAAGAGGAACCAGATCGGCCATGATGATGTCTACCATGACAAACAAGCCGCCTCCTCCAAGTCCCTGAATCATACGGGCAGTAATCAGCATGGGCATATTTTTGGCACCACCACAGAGCCCACTGCCAAGAGTGAAGAGAGCGATAGATGTCAACATGGGCATGCGACGCCCAAAGATGTCCGACGCTTGGCCGAAAATTGGCTGCACCGCAGCCGTTGTGAGGAAGTATCCATTGATGGCCCAGACGTACAGGGCTCCGGATTTGAGGTCTGCGGCGATGGTGGGCAGGGCCGTAGCTACAATTGAGGTATCGAGTCCAGCTAACAAGATAGAAAAGCAGAGTCCTGGAAACACAGCCCAGAAACGCCAGCCATGAGTTCGTTTCGGTGCAGACAATGAAGCCATGAATAGGCAACTACTGGTCTGATTTTTTGTACTTTTGTGGCCACGCTTAATGAAGTTGGATTATCTGAGTAGTGAGTACACAATCAGGTTCATAGCTTTTTAACAATCTGACAGGTGGGAAAAAGGGGAGTTTTACGATGGTAGGATGACTTGATTAATCTTGCGGATTTACCTCTCCGCGAGTCAAGCCAGCTAATGAGCAATGAAGATTCGATTCAGAAGTTGACGTAGTATTGGACTATGTTTAGGAACTCCGCAGACACCCCGCAACCTTGGGAAACTCCACATCGTATGTTGTTCCACCTCCGACCAAAGTCCGAAAATTTGACACCTGTGGACTCCAAGACTGCATATTTACATCGAGAATTACTCTAAGGTGGAGAAATGAGTTACCCGCGCGCTTCGAAGAGCCTCACAAATTGTAATCGACTTGTCCGCTGAGCAGTCCAATTCAAATTCCTTTTGTCAGAGATCGACTATCATTTCATGCTGTGCCAACGATCTGTCAATCTCACACTGTTTATGCCATTAACCTGACATGTATTGACTCTTTGAGTATCACGATTTACAAGGGTCTAGTACTCCGAGGTGGAGAAAGGAGTACCAGATATCCAATCATACTACGAAGTAACATGGTAAGGCCGTCCAGTGTGTAGTCCCTACACTGTCATGCTGATCTTCATAGTAAATGCGATATAACTCACAAGCAGAGAAAAACCTAGATAGTTTCGTAGCATGGAACACAATCACTCCCTTAGGGTAAGAGTGGGGGTATCGAACTGAAGCCACACAATGCCACTGCGGATTGAATCATTTCAGTGATTCTGCTCCTGTGCAATTACCATTCCAGCCCGAGTAGCAAGAACAAGCTGGGGTTCGGATCGAGCAGTACCTCTTCACAGGTCCACCGTTTACATTTCCAAATTTACATTTCCAACCTTGAATGTAGTGAAAGAGCTATCAAAAAGGGAAAATTGATATTTCAAACCAAATATTCTTGCATTTGTTGCACAATAATCGTACAAAACAACATTATCATCAATAATTACGACTCAATTTAAACGGATAAAAGCACCTGGAAAGTATCAAGACTTAGAACTGGCTTAGTACCCACCCCGCTGGTCCTGGGCACGAGCTTGTCGAACATTCGACTCAGGGCCAAGCTTACTCGTGGGATTGCCGCTTTGATTACCCTCACTGAGACCTGATCGATTGTCGTTGTAGCTGCTACCACCGGGTGCGCTTCTACCGAAGGCCTGCTGGCCCTGGGTATGTGGTTCCATATTGCAGGGCTTGGTGTGGGTAGTGCTAGAGTGAGATTTGTGCTCCTGCATCGAACTGCTATGATTATCCTCGCTTGTCAGTTTCTCGGCACCAAAAGCGCCGGGCTCTCTGTGTGTTTTGCGATCCTGCTTGGAGCTACTGTAGCTTTCTTCACTAGTCTCATGATTGTCAATTCCCTGCATACCGGTATGCATTTGTCCGGTGGAACTTTGGGTTTTGCTGTTGGGCTGGAATCCTTGGGCATTACCACGATTGCCTTGAGAGCCGAAATTCCCAGCGTTGTTACCGCGGTTATCTAGATAGACTTGTATTAGCTTCTTCATAGATATGAATGTAGATAAAACTCACCAAGATCACTATCAACGCGAGGGTCCATCTTGTTGGCCAGGTTTGAATCATGTGGGCCAGCATTGGTTGCTCTACCGCCCGTTGTACCAGTCGATCCATGCGAATTGAAACGATCTGTGTCACGGGGTTCTGTACCCCAAACATCAATATATAAAAACATAACATGGAGATGTTTGGGAAACTAACCGTCGACCTTGGATTGATTATGGGTACCAGTTCTATTACCGGAGCCACCAAATGGGTTGGATCCTCCGCTGGAAGATGGGGCTGTCCGAGCAGAGCCATGCTGGTTCGGATCCGTATCCAATCTCTGTTGAGGGTTGGAGGATTCAAAGGCACTGCGGTTATCTGAATAAAGAAGATCAGTCTCATGTTGGAACTGTTGTTGTATAATGAACAAACCATTCATTTTGTTCGACTCTTTGTAGCCGGGAGATGTATCTTCATCACGACGATCAGTCACGGCATCCTTAACTTTGTGCATGAAGTTCGACATTGTGCGTAACGATTTACAACAGGAAAGTATTGTTTCAGGTTGATTTAATTTGATTTGGGTTACTAATGGGAAGAAAAGTGATGTTTTGCATCATGATACAGCGGGCTTATATGCTTCTCCATCCTGGCTGAGGTATCAGTGACGCCATAACACGGGAATCAGATGAGAACAAGCTAGAGAACCTCGTAATCCCTAACTATGGATGAAGACCAATTAAACGGCCTCGTTTCCATGATCATGACGTGCCAAATAGGTTAAAGTAGCCAAATGAGGCTGTTGCTGAAATGAGGAGAGCGTAACATGTCATCTGTCGTCATTTCTGATCTGAAGAATGACAATTAACCCTGGGAAGGCCTCGGGAACAATGTCGAAAACCTGGAGGCTATAAAAACGACCACGGTCTACTGTTATGGGTTTCCATGGTATCTCTCATCGCCTCTCTTTTTCAGGTTTTTACTGCATATGGTGTCATGCTCTTTTGGTAACCTCCAGACATCTGATCGCATTCATGGATGTCTATTCGATATGAGTTGAAGGGTATCTACACAACTTGAATAGGTTCGAAGAAGGGAAGTCCCGTTGAATTAAGGTGTCATCTGATTGGGGCTATAACTATTCAGTTCTGGTTCGCTTACATGGACACAAAACATTCCATCCAAGGTTTTCACCCCGGACTTGATGGCTTGAGATGGTAGAAATAATAATAAAGAGATGCTCTATATTTGTTGTGTAGTGGGTACAAGATCTCAGATCTGGATCGAAGCGTCATACATCGGAGCTTCGAATCAGCTTCGATTGCCAAGGAAGCTCCCGATAAGAGGGATCTCCTGCAGATCAACTAAAGCGGGGTAAAAGGAGTAACAACTTCCTCATTTGGTTGGACATATCGCATTACCTATTCTGCATCCGTCTACGTTCGCCGTCACCATGGTCGCTGAAAAACTGACGATCCGCAATAACACCGACAAGCCCTTCATCTTAAAGCGCATCGAACGCTTCGAGAAGCACAAGAGCGTAACCTCGTTGACCCAAAACATAACAAACATCACCTCAAACTTCACGCGCATCCTGTCTAACTCGACTCGAACCAATGAATCCCTCGCTGTTATTACAGAGGACTCCCGTCCTGTCGAGGACCAGAATGACATCGATCTCCGCATTGAACCCTTCGCCATTCAGCGCACCGAGATACGCGCCTTCAAGAGCTCTGATACCGAGCGGATGCGTATTACATTCAAAGTTGAGGGCGAAGAGCATCAAGTCCAAGTTCCTGTACCTACTACTGAATCGGCGACTATGAAGGCCTTAACTGCGAACCCGATGTCCAATTTCACGGGCATTTACATCACTCCCGAGTCGTACCTGACGATCTTTTCGTCCGCTCATCTGAATTCATGGATGGGCGAACTTCGTGATGATACTCTGCTCTCGGCACTTTCTATTCCAGGCACACACAACTCGCCAACCTGCCACATCGCCGCTCCTTCCGTGCGTTGCCAGGCGGTCAGCCCGCGCGAGCAATTAAAGAACGGCGTGCGATTCTTCGATATTCGTGTTCAGCCGGTATATCCAGATGATGCGGCCAAGGATGAAATGGCCCTGGTGCATAGTGTCTTCTCCGTCTCGTTATCTGGCAGTAAATATTTTCGCGACTTGGTCCATGACATTCAGGAATTCCTCGACCAGAACCCGTCTGAGACGCTGATTATGTCAGTGAAGCGCGAGGGAACAGGCAATGCCACAGATGAGCAGCTTTCTCGAATCCTGGCCCAGCACTACGCTAATGATCGCTGGTGGGTACGACCCAAGATCCCCACACTGGGTGAAGCCCGCGGCAAAGTTGTTCTCATCCGTCGGTTCGGCCTGAACGAAGCTCTTCAGAAGGAACACGGTGGGACTGGTTGGGGCATTGATGCTGCATCTTGGGAGGATAACACACCTAATGCTACTTGCCCCAGTGGCGAGATCTGTATCCAGGATTTCTATGAAGTCCAGGAGAGTACTAATATCGAGAAGAAGATCGGGTTCGTGAGGGATCATATCGATCTTGCCTGCAGGGCGCATTATCCGTTCGGTGTTCAGGCTAATGCGCAGGAGACCAAGAAGTATCCATTTTATATCAACTTCTTGAGTGCTAGCAACTTCTGGAGTCCGAATACTTGGCCTGAGAAGATTGCGGCTAAGGTCAACCCTGCTGCCGTTGAGTATATATGCCGTCGTCACAGGGATGACGATGGCGATTGCTCGACGGGTATCCTTGTCACTGATTGGGTTGGCTTGAATGGAGACTGGGATCTAGTCCGCTGCATTGTTGGCATGAATGCGAAATTGCGCATGAGAGAACTAGCCTCGGCTTAGGTTTTCGATGGAAAAGAATCGATCTTGTATACATGTGCACAGATGCACTTTTACCACATTAAAATGAGCTATTTTATTCGCTCATCTTGGGGTCACAAATGATTTCATAGTTTAGTTATCGCAAAAAGTGTACACCCATCATAGATGAAAAAAATCCCAGATGCTTCCGGATGAAAAAGACAAATCCAACAGTTATATGATATATAATACAAGAATGAGGATATCCAACCTAGGATGACTCGTTCTTCTCGCCCTCAGGCTTCTGCTCCTCCTCCAGAACACTTCTCCGGCTCTCCATGGTCAAGTACAGGCTTTTACCAGCACCCTCAAGAGTGGTGGTGACACTAGATCCCATACTCTGAAGGGCCATGATGAGCTGCGAGCGCAGACCATCCATACCACCCTCGATGTTAGCAACCCACTTGGTCTCGGTAATGTCAAACACCTTGCCGTCCACGCGAGCAGCTAGCAAGTTGAGCTTCTGAAGACCAGTTTGGACAACAGGGTCGTAGTAATCCGGGTTGGCCTTGCGAGTGGGTGCACGGAATCCGGCTTCTTTCGGTGTGAGGATTGTCAACGCGGCCTTCATGTGTTCGGGAGAGACGGTAGGGATAGAGAGAATGGCAACAGGGCCGACAAGAATGTCGGCCATTTCGTGGCGGCCCTTCAAATGCTTCACGGCTGCATGCGCATTGCGAGACAGATCGTGGGTAAGAGAGGCATCGTCATTTGAGAATTTAATTCCTGAAGCCGAGGTAGCCTGATTTGGGCGGAAGTACTCGACAATGCGAAGTGCGACATCGAAGATGCTGGTCTGGATGGTCTGCAGCTTGATGTGAGAAGCTAGAGGAGGTGCTGTCCGGCCCTCGGCGGCAATCTTTTCATCCACCTTTTCTAGCGCCTTGGTCAATTCTCGTCGGATGGCGGCCCATTCCATGGACTTCAAATTGTTGTGCTGAAACAGAACCAGCAGGGGAGATGTGCGGAGGATGGAGGTATATTGACGCAGGAGCTGTGACCGGCGGTATTCAGGGTTGCGGTGAGAAGGCGGCTGAGTAGTAGGGTACCGCGAGATTACTGCTGCTGAGCGTGTCAATTGCTCAATGGGTGCTGCCGGGGTCACGGCCGGGGCTGCGGTGCTAGCACTCCTAGCGATTTGGAGTTCATATGGGCAGCGGAGGACTTGTCGCCGAAGCGAGTCGATGCGTAGCCGTGGTGGCATAATGTGTGGATGTTTCAACAGGTACGCTGAAAGCAATTGCTTAAGAGATGGAGTGGATCAAATGGCCGCTGAAGACTGGAAGGGCAGTTCGACGGGTGATATTTTTACTCCGAAAAGAGCTTAGTGCGAATCAGGGCGGTGGCCGATGATGAGTTCTGCCATGAAACAATTGTGGAGGGGCTTTGACTCAGCTTGAGACCATCGGTATTTAAGCCAGCCCTTTTTCTTTGTCAATTGACGCATATTCTTCTCCTCCAGGTTCCCTTTATTTCTAATTCTTGACTATTTGCCTCAATGGCCTCCCCTGTTCACCAAAAACCGGAGGTTGTCTCCATATCTCCTCTGCTCAAAGCCCTAGCATACCCCTCCACCGCTGATATCCGCGTCAGTGCAAATGACATTGCCTCCGCATTTGCTTATATCTTCGAGGATCGCCTATCAGATATTCAAACTGCGGCATTGTTGACTCTCCTGCACTCTACCGGAAAAGACAAACAGGCAGATGTCATTGCAAAATGCTCTGAGCGCATGAGAGATGCTGCTTGCCAGATTGACAAGGTTTCACTGAAGAAGATTGTTAAGTCGCGAGGGAAAAGAGAAGGCAATTACCGCGGTGGTCTGGTTAGTATCACGAGAAAGATCCTTAAGATTCATCTGTTGACGTTGGCATAAGTGTGATATCGTCGGAACCGGTGGTGACTCACACTCGACCTTCAATGTCTCTACAACTTCCTCCATCATTGCCTCGCCATTGATTATGACTGCTAAGCATGGAAACCGTGCCCAAACTTCTCTCTCCGGATCTGCCGATGTCCTCAATGCTATCCAGCCCATTCCTCCGAATATCAACGCTATTAACGCCAGCAATATTGCAAAGGTGTACGAAGAGACAAATTACTCTTTCCTCTTTGCTCCCAACTTCCACCCTGGCATGATGTATGCGAACCCTGTGCGTCGTGGTCTCGGCATCCGGACCATCTTCAACCTTATGGGTCCTCTGGCCAACCCAGTTGATTGGGCAATTGAAGCTCGGATGGTTGGAGTGGCTTACCAAAGCCTCGGCCCAGTCTTCTGTGAAGCTCTTCGACACACTGGTTCCAAGAAGGCACTTGTAGTCTGCGGTGAAGAGGATATGGATGAGATTAGTTGCGCTGGAAGCACCAACTGCTGGAGACTCTCCGAGTACCCAAATCCAGACTATACACCGTCCTCCTCAGACAGTACCGACTCTGACTCGGACGAAGAAGAGGAGGAGAACCCTAAGACACTTGTGAAGGTTGATAGCTTCAAGATCCACCCCTCAGACTTCGGTCTCTCAACCCACCCTCTCACTGAGGTCCACGGACGCAAGATGCCCGAGGACAACGCAATAAAGCTAATGAGCATTTTGCGTAACGAGCTGCCCCGTGATGATCCCATCTTGGATTTCGTTCTCATGAATGTCGCCGCTTTGCTTGTTACCTCAGGCATCTGTGAGGCCGAGACCAGCAACATGGGCTTCGGTGATGACGGAAAGGTCATTACCGAGCGTGGACCCGGCGGTGGCCGCTGGAAGGAAGGTCTGCGTCGGGCACGCTGGGCCATTGAGAGCGGCCAGGCTCTTAAGAGCCTGGAGCAGTTCATCGAGGTCTCTAATAAGCTTTAATGACAGCATATATTCAAAAGATCGTTTGGATCCATTGATGTATACTTGTTCTGAAATTTTCGTCTCTTGGGCTTTAAGTGGTTTTCGAAAAAGACAAAAAAAAGGGTCCGGTTTGGAGTTGAACGTTTAGAAAGGTGTGTTACGAACTCTCAATATATGGAAGAAGGAAAACAAAAAAAGAAAGTTACTGCTTGAAAATAATTTATCAAGGGGAGAGAACATGTTTGATACCAACTTAGTTGCGAACGTAGCTAGCTGATCTAGGACTGCCGAGGCAAACCTGACTCAAAACATATTCCTTAGGAAATTCCTGAAATGTTGGTATTGTAAAACTCCAGTGCGCCATTCAATGCATCATGAAAAGAGATAAAAAGCAGTTCAGAGATATGAAGCGTCCATTCACTTTTAACTCGAGAAGATACTCCGTCGTCGAGAATTTAGATTCGAAGGATGGCATATTAATCCGATTTAACGTGCCTCGAACTGAACCATGCTGTTGAATCGAAAGAGAGAAAGATTAGCTTGGTGAACAGGTGTGGAAGCCTATCGAAAGATCTAACCGCTTGGTTCGCTCCTTGTAAAGCACACGGTGTCCGCAGTCTCTGCAACGGATCTGATCACCACGCTTCAGGGGCACTCGCGCAGCACACTCGCCACACAGGTAGGTGACGGTGGAGGAATCAGTAGTTGAAGTAGCGTTGTTGGAATACCCAGACTCGAAGTTGCTGGGACCCGTCGGGACCTGGTAGGCTTCACGAGACATTTTGAGGTCGTGTTTTTAGTTTCTTTGTGGAAAGTATTGGAGGTTTCCGTGAACGGGGATGGCGTAGAGATCGAGGAGAGTATGGCAGTAATCTTGGTTGGATCTTTTTCTTCCACATTACTTTGGCCGTTAGGCCCATCATTAGTCATCATATCATGTGACTTCGATTTATCAGATCAGATGTTAGTATGGGTCTACAACGGAGCAGAATACATTCAGATCAACTCCCTATTAGTGGTCCACATCTTCGTTTTCCTAACTTTATTACCAAAGAAGACTATATATGTCTTGCTATCTGATTCTGTGATTTAGAATCAAAATGAATTATATCAGTTGAAGCTGTCGCCGCTTCGTTTAGCAACTCATGAACTACCCTATCCCGACGAATAAAAGACACACCATGTTGCCCAAGCGGATCGACGCTATCTTCTGACCAAGAAACCCAAGGGCCAATTGTATTTGGGTTTCAACCTATGAACATGTTTAATTTCCATCTATATCTCTACTATCATCACCACCAATAGCAACATCAGCAACAGGGATAACGCAGCTGTAATAGCGTTATCAGCTAATAATGTCTCCTAGGGAGTCTTTTCTATAGTTGAAAATAACTAAACGCTTATTGTTTAGCATTTCGTCTCCTATTGCGGAGAGATGTATATGTCAGGTAATGAACTTTTCAATTCATGCTTTTATCAGCGAGATGACTTGTCATTTGTTCTTGTATCATAAAGAATGACCCCTCCGGTCGGCAATAGCACGGAGCAAGATTGCACAGGTAGAAATTATAGTGCAAATTCGTCTGATACCTAGGACCAAGGAAGAAGTGCTCCTAGGAGCTTACATCCTGGGATAAGAAGTAATAGACCAATCAAATAAAATGTGCAGTGAAATTGCCCCTAAACAAGAGAGAGAGAGAGAGAGAGGGCTCATGGGATGAACGACCCTTTTAGTGAAACCCAACATTTATTGATGAGATATTGTTAACGACCTATGTAGGAAGGGATGAGACTGCCGTGTTGCATTTTATTGAGGTGCTTACTTAGCCTCGCTCAGTAAGCTAATCAGGACATTTATAATTTGGTCAATGAATCAGACAACTCACTGAGTGTCACCTTACAAGTATAACTAAATTTAATGTGGTCTCAAATTGGTATTCAGAATGTTGTTATATGATTTTGGTGACTTGGTAAACAATGATAGCTTTTTGAGTCCTTCACTCGTAATGAAAAAGAATGATGTTTCCAGACATCCCAACGCCATGCAATAAGTCTATTCTATGGAAGAAAGCCAGCGCCTTGAAGGTGGTACTATCACCTACCATCCACCACCAATTTTCCCAGCAATCTCGATCACCCGGGCCGTGTCGTTGGTGTTAGCGGCGCCTGCGTTCTGATCTTTCCCAACATCACTTTCGACCTTGCGATATGTTGTATAAACCAGCTTGGACAAAGGAATGTTCATGAACTCGGACCAACGGCTCAGACCCTCGTGAATTCTGCTCTCTTTTTCTTCAAACGAGCTCAAATGGGACTGTCCCTCTCCATCAGGATCGTCTGATTCCATGGAGTAATATGCTTCATCCACACGGGCTAACCATGCTCTTTGTTCATTTGGAGATGGCTTTGGTAAACTTTCTGACGCTGCTGATACCTCAACTGTTTGAGAAGCAGTGGCATCCCTGGCATCCTCCACTCTGATTTGTCCACCGCCATTTGTGCAGCCACCTGGACAAGCCATTACCTCCACATAGGCGTAATCTGAAGAGCCGACGGAGGAGGTGGCATTGCGTGATATTGGCTGACGCCGACCAGCCATTGCCTTTACACCAGGCATTCGGGAAACCTGCGAAGGCTTTAATTTGCGAACGAGGTTCTGAATGTTTCGGAAGCCGTAATAGCGGGCTGCCTTCATAATGGGCTTTGCTTCTTTAGACATGAGCACGTACTCAACCACGTCGGCATTACGGCCGCGATTAGTCACAATTTCACTGCCGGGGTTGCGGGCTTGGAATGTCTTTAGTACGTGATATAAGTAACCACCCGACGTGCCTGTTGCAGTAGACTGCTCGGCGGTAGATTGTCTGGATGAAATGAACGACCCAAGTCTCTTTTCAGGAAATGATGGGGTGAGGGTTGATAATGGTTGAAGAGGGAGGTTAGGTAGTGATAGGCCTCGTGAGGAAGCCAAGGAAAGTAGCTCACGTGTAGTAATCACACAATCTACATCACGCACAGGCTTCGATTCAAGGCTATTTTGATCAGAACCCTGTTGCCAGGAGACATCTGTAAGTTCCTCTCGACTCGCCTCTAGCTTCTTATCAAAGCACGGCATAACTGCCAAATGCCATATCTGTGACGGTGGAATCCCAAGGGATTTGCTCAATACGGTCTTGAGGAAGGTGCCAGATAAAGCCTGAGGAGACTTCAGTCGAGATAGATGAGGCAGAATGAATGGATGGGTCTTCTCAGCGTAGCAAATCCATCCAGGGCATGCAGATGAAAGGATAGGGCGCTTGGGAGCATCCGAATCACTAGCAGACTCTTCGCCAGAAAGTGACTCGGACACTTCGTCTGCAGTCAGTACCAAGACAGCTTCACGCATAACATTGGTATCCACAACCCATGTGAAGCCACTACCATTCTTTCCGCCACTGCGCAGTCCCTGTGGTCCACATAGTAACTGGTCGATCATGTGCCCCGCCTGTTTCTCCGATATGCCATATGTGGTAGCCAAGCTGGCCCTGACCTGTGGGCTTACACTAGCGACAAATATCTTCCCTCCCTCCACTGCGCCAGCATTCGTGATTGTCATTCCATTGTGATCGTTTGATAGAGAGATTTCCGGAAAAGCATCGAGAGTGTTAAGAACTTCCGTATGAGACTGCAACGAGATGAGGACCGCCTCGGCAGATGTGACACAGCCAGAACAGGCTAAGCAATCAGTCAAAGAAATTTGTGCTGGGGGGAGGTTTTCCGATTGGACTCTGTCTTCGGTTGTGACTTCATAAGGATTCTAGGCAAAAGTCAGTCAAATAGTCTTTTGAAAGAGATTTCGAGATGAAGACTGGAACACATACCTCCAAATCCTTTGTCTTCTGTGGAAGCGACTCGAAGGGCTTGATACACGCAACACCAGGCGAAATAAAATCATTCAGATCGTCGGCCGAAAGAATCGCGCTCATTGTGGCGGGTTGCCGCTTTGAGAGGCACCCCGCACAATCAAAATGGAGTCGCTGGACTTGGGTCTGGTCCTATGGAAGAATAGGATATAATATATATGGACAAAGACCTAGAAAGAGATTTGAAAATATAAAATTGCTTAATGAACGATCAATGAAAGCCGCGGAGCCTAGAGGGCTTTGTCATCGAGTGGCGATATCGGCGATAAGCCTCGGCCCTATTGCGGCGTTTTTCACTCTGACCTATCATCTTTTCTTTATTCTAACAATTAGCAGCACTTTTATTATGTACTCAAGTTCTAATTTCCAGACTTTAAATATGAAATTCTTCATTCTACAGGCCAATCGATCATCTCAGAGTCTCCGGAAAGGTCTCACTCAAATATTTTCCTAAGTTTACTTCTCATCTTGATACATTCCAAGATTCCAAACACAAACCCATAGTAATTTGGATATAATGCCAAACGGTGAGAACTCTGTGCAGAATGTCCGGGAAGAGGATACCAAAGCCTGGCGGAGAGGCATTGCCGCAGACACCCAAAGTTATATTCCATCTGTTCTGAGTCTATTGGCTACATCAGCTCCAAGGAATGCATATCTCACTCGCTGGCAAGATTTGACTCCGCTTGACAAACTGAACCCATACTACCCCAACATCAGCACCAAAGTCACAGTTATCTTCAAGGATACACTTGACGCCGCCATTGCTCTTGAGCAATCGAAAGAAGAGATGGGGGACCTTGACGAGGGCAAGGTCTGTGTTTTGAATTTTGCAAACGCCTACCACGCTGGAGGAGGATGGCTAAATGGCCAATCGGCTCAAGAAGAGCAACTCTGTTTCCGAAGCACACTGAGTGCAGCACTTCCTGAACGATTTTATCCAATACAGGCAGGTGAATGTATTTACTCACCCTCTATCTTCGTCTTCAAAGACAATGAGGAGAAAGACTTCGGATATATGTGGTGTGGTCAGAAAAATGAATATATGCCAGAGGTTAGCGTCATCAGTGTAGCAGCAACAAACCGTCCAGCGTTGAACGCAGATAACACGGCATATGGCACTGAAAGGGAAGCAAATTTGATGAAAGACAATGTACGCTTGGTTCTTCGTCTAGCAGCATATCATCATCATCGGAGACTGGTTCTCGGGGCACTTGGATGCGACATCTTTGGACATCCTACTGGTGTAGTTGCACAGATCTTCCATGATGTTCTTAAGGAAGCGGAATTTGGAGGATGGTTCGAACGTATTACCTTCGCTATACTAGATAAGTCTCGGGATGGTAAAAATTTCCAAACCTTCAAAAGCACGTTGGATGGCCTTAGTATGGTGTGGATGGAATCCTGATTTCTCGAATCTACTTCTCGCTGCTCTTTGTTTCCTCCAAGTCTGATTGATCTTAAAATATTTAAGATGCTATTGCTGAGGTCTTTTCAATATCTAATTACGGAATAAATATGTTTTTTTTTTTTTAATTCAGTTAACTTATATAGCATCTAAATCACCTACCTAGGTAATCTCCGTAGGTGAGTATTTTAAAGTGTCTCGCTTCACTCAACAAGAATGTCGAGATAAGTCATACGTCCACACTCTTTGACAAACTGTTGTCAAAAATAGATGTTGCAGCTTGGTAAAGTGTGCAGCCTTAATTCAGCGCGATTTTCGACTCGCCAAAGTTTGGATACATCAGTCAGACAACCGAGGAGCTCTTCTGGTCCATCTAGATGACAATGGAGGATGATGTCCGTCGTTAATCGAAAAGATTTCCCTGGCAAAGTCGGCATAGAAAGAAAAGAAAGGTGCACAGTAGGGTTAAAAGGCTGGTTGGACTCGTCACCGTAGGGCGGTAAAAAGGGCGGCGAGGCAGTTAGGGTAAATGTCCGTAATGCTTTGGGGTGGACAGCCACCTCAGTTCCCCTATTTTTCTGTACACCGCGCAGGTTCCTATTATTCCAGCGTGTACAGGAACCAATTTATTTAGAAATTTCCGTGTGAAGAAACGAGCCTTCTATACATACTCAGGCTGAAATGATGGGGAAACGGCGACGCCCCACCCATTCTTGCGTCGAGTGTCGCCGTCGCAAAGTCCGATGCAATCGAGCCAATCCGTGCAGCCAATGTATCCGCCACCATGAATTATCCTGCACCTATACTGACAAGCGGCACATTGCATCCAATATTGAATCATTAATTCCCGAAAGCAATCAACCGAAGAAGACGACACAGAACCTTGATGGCCCTCGCTTTGGCAATGACACTCCACCCAACTCCGTCCCTTTAGAGAAAATTGTTGGCACCCAATCCAAGACTCGAGTTTTTGGACATGGTCATTGGATGAGTTCAATGACGCTGGCAAGTCACTGCCCTTGCTTGCACCTCAGCGCTAGTCCCTTTCTGACATCCTGCGCCAGGCCTCCGAATTATCTATCCTTGGACCAGTTGCTGAGTATAAGAATACGCTGTTTCGGCCAACAGATAACCCCGCTGAAGACTCTTTCTCATGCAGACTGGCGCAGTGCAAAGTGCTAGCTCGAGAGATCAAGAAGCAGCGCCCTCGAAGAACGATCCTCCCCGCAGACATTCATCGCTCATTCCCCGAGCGGTATGTCATGGATGAACTAATCGAGCTTTACTTCGCCACTTATGAATCGTGCTACCGGATTCTTCATAGATCCTCATTTCAAACTGCTTATGCGAGCTATGTGGACCATCTGGAGAATGCAAAAAGCTCTTTTATAGTGGAACTTATTCTAGTCATGTCCACTAGTGGTGTTTTACACAGTGATGCCGATATCCGGCGCGAGATTGCCGAAAAAAGCAATCTTTGGCTTGATGTCGCCCAAAGCTGGCTTTCGGCACCGTTTGAGAAAGATAGATTGACACTAAAGGGCATTCAGATATATTGTCTGTTGCTTCTTGCCCGTCAGGTACACCGGAAAGGAGCAGACCTGATATGGATATCCATGGGCTCATTAACGAGAATGGCCATGCAAATGGGGCTGCATCAAGATCCCAGTAGTCTGGGCAATATGAGCCTTTGGCAGACAGAGATCCGAAGAAGACTGTGGTATACCGTTCTAGAGATGAACATTCAGGCAGCTTTAGACTCGGGAATGACCCCAATGATTAATGAGAGCGATTATAACACTCTTCCACCTTCCATAATTGGGGACACAGACCTAGATGCTGTGTCGAACGAGATCTGCAGAGACACAACGCCACCAAGAACCCAAAGGTCGTTCCAGTACCTCTTGGCTAGCTCTTTCTCTCTCAGACTGAGAGCCGCAAGAGTCATAAACAGCCTACAGGAAGAGCCATCCTATGATCAAGTTCTAAAGCTGAGCCAGGAGCTGGCTTTTACTTGTCGTGCAGCTGTTGAAGAGACCGCCCACAGTGTTTCCGGAGATCAACCCGCTCTAGGAAGCCAATTTGCCTACAGCTTTTGCAGTCATCTTCTGAATCGATTTCTCCTGTGCCTTCACTTCAGATACGCGATTCAGGCTACAAAAAACCCTATATATGCGCACTCACATAGAGTCTGTCTGGATGTTGCCCTAGATATGGTATCACTTCTCGATGATGAGCTCTACGGCCGACTTCTCGTCAACGGAGGTGGCATGTTTCGCGATATCATCACACGCGGCGCAATGGTGATTCATCTGGAACTAAATGCAGAAAAAGAGACAAATATCTCTATTTTGGCCAAGGAAAGAGCTCGCGCTCGACAAGAGCCTTTGCTGAAAGACGCCCGTCGAGTGGTTCAATATGCAAAGGACAGACTGTGTCTGGGAGAAACGAATGTGAAGGGCTATATATTTCTTAGAATGGCAACAGCTCAAACTGAAGCCATGCTTGACGGCTTACCAGTTGAGCAAGCTATGAGAGTTGCTACACTCGAGAGCTTGGAAGAGTGCGAAACCATTTTGAATGGAATGTCGGCAAACTTGAGAAAAGATAGCGTGAAATGTTCCTTCGAGGCTTGGGGATACAACGGAGACATGTCTTCGCCGGTCTTAGACGACAACTTTGATTTCTTCGCTAACGATGGCTTCGACTATGAAGGTTTGGATTCTTTTTATTTCCAGAATTTGGAGGATTTGTCACGTTTCTAGGTGATCATATTTCAAGACACTGTATCATCAAAGATACACAAACTCCCACGCATCTCTTGCGGGACCAAAACGACGAAGACAAGATAGTCAAAATAAACTGAAGCACCTTTCCATTCCAAAGTGAATCACAATGGGAGATTCAATTCGGGGTAACATGGGATACGCTTCCCATGATCGTCTTTCTTTTGCGATGTGGCAAACAATTTGTTTAACTTGGAAACAGTCCAGATAAGCCGATGGACGTGGATACCATTTTAGCCAATTAGAGATAGAAGAAAAATGGGGGTGGTGAGTCCAATTGATCCGGGTGTCGTTACAGTTGTAGCGAAGTAGTTGTAGGTGATATCACGTTCGCTATTGAGGAGTTGGTTGCTTCAGCTAACCACTGCTTAACGCCGTAGACGATCTATTGTTGTAGATACTACGATGGTAGGAGTTGTGGTTATTGCGAAGTCTGTGTTTTCATTCATACTGTAGATAGTTTATTTATTCTCCATCCACTCTCAATCCATTTAATTTTCCTCATACTACAACCCGTTGACATTATCATCGTCTAGTATTGAACATACTCCAAAAACCACGAAAATGCTTCGGAAAAACCAAGAGAAGCTACTCAAGCATGTATATCTTCTTACGCCAAAGTTACAGCGAAGAATTACACGTGCTTGTCGCCATTACGAATTACTTCAAGAGTCAGTTGTGTAAATATATAGTTGAGAATATTAGGGTTGCGCAAGATCCACTCCGCCGCTCAAACACTAAACGACAGCTTAAAGGATCGCCGCTTCGGGATACTGGTGTATTAAGTGTTCGGGATGCCAATCGCTCAATTGCAACTAGGAAAGCTAAAGAAGATGCTATAAAAGAGAGGAAGTTGGCAAAAGAGCATAAAAAAGATATGGCTATGAGCCTCAGCCGCTGCCACAGGAGGAGATTGAGATAGATGTAGAGAGGGAAAAGAGGAGGAATCAAGAGAGTATGACTTAGTGGCGGTGATAGAGAGATATATGCTCTATTTTGAACAGATGTGGTGTCTATATGGAATAGATAGATAGTCTAATAGAATTGGCGATTCCCGTGTGTGGGTCACCGATATAATTTCAAATAAACTCGTGGACCCTGCACATTGGTGTGTCCCAGCATGATAACAATCTAGCATGAACGATGCTTCTATGCCTGTCGGCTCAGACACCGAATCTGAAACCTCCGGTAAGCAATAAAAAGAATGTAGGTTTTGCTTATAGTGTTAAATGATAGCGGCAGTACTCTTCGCTATTTATGTAGACTGAGTGTGTTTTTAGTCCTCGTTCCGTTTGTACTTTTGAAGAGAATCACAACGCTACCGTTGATGCCGACAGACATTTTGATGGCGGTCCAGCTCACTGTTAGGAAGCAGCAGCTCTGGCACAGCGCCTTAGAGTTGCTTGGAGATCTCCACTAAGACCGACAAGACCGACAAGACCGATAGGACCGACAAGACCGACAAGACCGACAACGTTAGGAAGTTGACAGGGGGGTTCGAAGTAGAAGACAACGAATGAATTTCGGACATACGCTGATTCGTTCTTGAACCCGGCAGGGAACAACTATAAATTGTTTCACCTGTCTCTATCGCACTGAGCACTGACAATCCAACCGAGGGCATACGCGTTTCCAATATCAACGATACATCTTTCTTCGTTATCCCTCCCTCCATAAACCATGGACTCTGAACTTCCATCCCAATACCGTGGCCTGGTCTTCGAATCCGTCTCAAAGGATCTGAGTGGCCTTCATATTCAATCACTACCGACCCCACGAGCTGAAACAGGCAGCGCCATTGTCCGCGTTCTTGGTGCCAGCGTGCTGTCTTATCAACGGGATATTTACGATGGGAAGCGCGATTACCCTCTTCCGAAGCCCCTGATTGGCGGGTTTAGTGCAATTGGACGCATTGTCGCAGTGGGATCCGATGCAGTGGCCTTGCAACCAGGCAATTTGGTGTATGTCGATTCCGTCATTCGTGGACGCGACGATGTCGACGCTGTAATACTGTCTGCAATCTCGGATGGATTCAATGAGCGAGGCGCAAAACTTATGAAAGACGTCTGGCGTAACGGAACATTTGCAGAATTCGCCAAGTTCCCCTTGGAAAATTGCGTCCCTCTCAATGAATCAAAGTTACTTCAGGACCTGGGTTACAATATTCTGGACCTTGTTTACATCAGCTATCTCCTCGTGTCTTATGGCGGTCTACGGGATATCAAAATTGAACCTGGTGAGACTGTCATTGTTTCCCCAGCAACTGGTGGATTCGGGGGTGCTGGTGTTCAAGTTGCCATTGCTATGGGTGCCAGTGTTATTGCGATGGGCCGGGATGAGCAGGAACTGGAGAGACTCAAAGCATATGTCATGGAGGGCACTCCTGGTGCCAATATCGAGACAGTCAAGATTACGGGGGATGAGGAGAAGGATTTGTTAGCACTTCAAGCCTTTGGAACTATTGACGCTGTGTTGGATCTTTCGCCACCTGCTGCAAGCAAATCGCCACACTTAAACAGTGCTATTAGAGCAATCCGACGCAAGGGTCGCATCAGCCTTATGGGAGGCTTTATGGATGGCCCTATACCAAGTTTCGAGCTCATTGCGAAAGACATCACTGTCAAAGGCAAATTCATGTATGAGAGAGAAGACATATCACAGTTTGTGAAGATGCTAGAAAATGGCCGATTTCCACGTGGCAAGAACTTTGTCAAAGTGAAGAGCTTTTCTCTAGATGAGTGGAGGACTGCACTTGACGTGGCAGCTGAGTATACTGGAATTGGGAGATCCGTGGTCATTGTCCCATAGCTTCGATCTAAGAAGGCAAAGCCTGATTGTCAGCGAGCGGCCTTAGAGGTGTTCTACCAAGCAGTAGGCTCTTAGCATCTTTCAAATTTCAACATCATTGTCACGAACGTACGCCCTACTTTAGAACTATCTGTGTCTTATCAGCACACTAACCCTCTTTTTTCCAAATCCACACCACAACCCTCTATTTCTCTAAATATTAGATACATTGACGCCGCATCTCTTCAAAATAGAGCATATCTCTCTCCATCACTGCTATCATACTGGGTCCCTCCTCTCTTTCTATTTCAACCTCTTCCTGTGGCACTGGCACCATATTCTCCTCCTGTGACGGTAGCTGATCTTTTTTTTTTTTTTTAAAAAAAAAACACTCTTTTTCTAACTTCTTCTGTTTTATAGTATCTTCTTTGGTCTTTCAGACTGTAATTGAGCGATTAGCATCCCGAACACTTAATATACCAGTATCCTGAAGCGGCGGCGGTCTTTTAAGATGTCGTTTAGTTTTTGGGCGGCGGAGTGGGTCTTGTGCAACCCTAATCTGCTTAATCATATCTTTATAATTCCGAGCCTCTTCTTGGAATAATTGGACATGGTGTCAAAGATATGTAAGACCTTTCTGTATCATTGGTTTACGAAGATCTAGATCGAGATGCTTAATGATCTTCTCTTGGCTCTTCTGAAGCCCTGCTAAGGTTTTTGGCGGAGTATTCGATATTCAATCAGGCCTGTTACGAGGTTGGCAACCAACTAGTTGGTCTAGTCCTTAAAGTATTCCAAGATTTTTTTTTGCTTCATTGGCCTCCTCAGGGTCAGGTTCGCTATACTAAGTATACCAGCGTTAACAACATTCTATATTCAGGTACGTAATACTAGCGTAATCACGCTCACTGAGCACTCCGTGACTGCTCATTGGTGTCTGTTCTTCTCATTTGGAGATGCGACAGGAATTCGAATCCCACTCTCATCAACCGCGCACCTCTACACTGAGCGTGCTGTATAGAGACAGTACTAGTGGGTCATGTTTATTTGCCTTTTATAACAAGCTTCCATTCGTGTGTTTGAAACAGCCGGAAGCAATAGGCTCTCGAAGTGATATCTTCAAAGCGTGCATTTCATACAGCGGGCTGCTTATCGTGTGTTACGTCCAATCTGAGCGTTTTGGCTCCCGGTTCCTGGGAAAGTGCTAATCCTACCCCACTCGACGTGGGCGCCTGTCAATCTGATTTCATGCCTTAGCACCGCGGAGGCAAGTTCGAATGGCGTGCCTCTCCTTCAGCTGAGACCTAGACAAGAGCTTGTAATAAACTATAAACAGGCACGTTAATACGATCATGGCATCGAGTCACTCTAGTGTAAACTATGGGTCGATGAGTTACTCTGGTGTCAACTATGGAGCCCAAGTGGGAATCAATTATGGCATGGCAAACTTCCATCTGTCTGGATAAGTGAGGAATGGAACCGAAGGCCAGAATCGACTGACTAACCACTGGCTTCCCACCCTAGAGCGACTGGAAACTCCGCCGAGTCCTTTGACGACTGTCCTATTCCCGCAAGATCCAGATTTTGTTAGTCACGATACACCGCTTGACCAGATTGGCGATAAAAGCTTGGTCCCAGGGTCGCGAATTGCGCTTGTTGGCCTTGGTGGTGTCGGGTTAGTGTAGAGCAACCAGTACGCAGTCCATTGCTAATAAAGAAAAGGAAATCATAACTTGCCATCAAATACTCCTACCAAATCCAATCCTCAACACAGGCAACATGGGTGTTCTAGGTCTATGCGAGCAACGCGACCTGATTCGAGCAAAGTTTCCGATATATAGCAGACCAGGTCAAATACTGGGGCGTAAGGATCCGTAAGCCAATATATTCAATCTAGTCGAAAGCTGGCTCCGGGATGAGAAGAGAGGAAGATGGGTTCTTATCCTTGATAATGTCGATGATCATGAGTTCCTTCGCAAGTCTCAAGTAATAGCCTAAGGGGACGCGAAGAACAGTCCAATGAACGCCTTCATAAAGCCACTATTAAAACATCTCCCTAGGAACTAATATAGATTTATTATTATCACGTGTTGGACTTGAGAAGTTGCCTTGAAGATGGTCGATTATATAGGCCTCATCCTAATCGGGATCCGATTCGGAGCGAGAACCAAAGGACTCCGCGAAATCAAGTTTAAAGATATCGATAATTTTCCCTTTGATTTCAGTCTTTAGCAACGACTAGAGTGGATCCGTGATCTTGAATAATCCTTTGAAGCGAACTCTAGACACTATCCGACCTCGAAATAGAAGGTTTGGCTGAAGCCTAGTGATGGATTATGGTGCCCATTATCCAAGTCTGAGCGTGAACATAAGACCGATACTTTTTCAGGTTAAAACATCACGTGGCTCGAGTGCTTTTCATTCTAGATTCCACGACGATTCCTTTATGTTCCTTTACGTTCCTTTAAGGATTTTGTACACGGTTTGTGCCTAGCTAGTTCTGCATAAGATTAGCTTTAGCCCTTCACACTTTGCTTTCGGAATTTCACGGCTTTTGGGATTTCACGGCTTTTGGATTTTACGGCTTTTGGGATTTTACGGCTTTTGGGATTTCACGGCCTTCGGCCTTTATTTAGGACCGACGATGTCAAAATTTAACCCTATCTATAGCTAGGTTAGGTAGATAGTTGACTACTTTCAAGGGAACATGATTTATATCGCCTTAATTACCCCAGTAAAATCTCCCTGTTTCTTTCTTAGTCTCAAGAATATATTCATCTCTAGATCTAGAAATCACAAGACCCATCGTCCATCATGTCTCTCAAGCCAATTATCGTTTATGGTTCTGGACCTTCCCCCAACCCTTGGAAGGTGTACATAACCCTCGAAGAACTCAACATCCCCTACGAGAGAAAAGAAATCCCCTTTAGTGATGTAAAGAAGGAGCCATACATATCAATCAACCCAAACGGCCGTCTTCCCGCCATTGAAGATCACAACACTGGCATCACCCTGTGGGAATCTGGTGCCATTGTCGAATACCTCGTCGAAACCTACGACAAGGAGAATAAAATCAGCTTCTCTGCTGGCTCGAAGGACTATTTCCTCGCTAATCAGTGGCTTCACTTCCAGGTGTCTGGACAAGGCCCTTACTTTGGCCAGGCTGCGTGGTTCAAACTTTTCCACCCTGAGCAGGTTCAAAGTGCACAGGAACGTTATATCAACGAAATTCGTCGTGTTTATGGAGTGCTCGATAAGACTCTAGCTGATCGAGAGTACCTTGTGGGTGGCAAATTCAGCTATGCTGATCTTGCTTTTGTCCCCTGGATTGGTGTTGTCTCCATGTTCGAAGTTGACTTGGCCAAGGAGTTCCCTAACGTTGATACCTGGCTGAATCGTCAGCTGGCTCGTCCTGTTTTAGGACGCCTCATAAAAGAAAGAGATGTGATTGCAGCAAAGTTACATGCAGCCCGGGCGGAGGTGGTAAAGAACTGATATACGCGCGCCTCAATTTGTATATAAATAAGGGCATTCTAGACTATGTTGACCGAGAACTCAATATCTATGAGGTCAGATAGCTAGGAACAGAGCCTGAAACCTTCCTAATCAAACCTATAATTCTCGAAGGAGACGATGAAGAGACACATAGGAGGGGATGAAATCATATGCATGGAATAGAGAGATGATGTCGACGTGTTCAAATACGAAAGGAACCAATAGGAGCAGAAGTAGAAGGCACTTGGCGAACTAAACCAGTATATTATAAATCTTGAATCAAACCTCTATGATCTAGTTCTATCTTAGAGAGGCCCTTATGCGAAATTTCGCTTTCTCCAGAAGCGGTTTGGAGCTTCCATTTCGAAATACTCCAATACTCTTGGATAATGGATCAATACCATGACCACCTCACCTAAAAAAGGATCAGATATCCTTACTTGGCTGAATTTATGGAAAAATATGAGACAGAAAGCCGAATCACAAGATATTTCCTTTACGAGAGATTGTAAAGACCTTCGCGCTCTCTTCGTCCGGTTGACGAAAGACATGCTGCCTCTCTGGTGGCAACAATGGTATTCAAAAGTCGCTATTAAAGGAGATGACTCGATAATTTAGGTCATCCTTAATAATTTCAGAACCGCCTTGAAAGCTCTGAACCAACTAATACCCCCGGAAACACCAGAACGAAGGGAGCCTTTGCCACTTAGTAGGGTAATCCTGAAGCTGAATCAGGAACTGAACCTGACCCTAAAGCTCTGAAAGCTCTGAATTACGAAGAGCGTAGCTGTCTATATGGAAGCACCGGACACCCTGTTGTTCAATACTAGGTCTTAAATAAGAAATTGCCAAATCGTCCAGAAAGCTATAAAGCAAATTCCCGAACAACACTAGCTGTCGAAACTGTAACAGGCTAAAGCCCAGTGATGGATTAGGGTATCCATTATCTAAGTCTACTCGCTCACATTTGAGGAGTATTCTGAGCACTTCTGCCTGCTGGAACCAGGTGGAGTTCCGTCAAGTTCTACGCCCAGAGTCTGAAGTCGACCTACCAAGCCACACCAAAGCGTCGTTTCAACATGTGAAGCGATCGGACAGGCCAAGTCAGTTTTCGACAGAGGAAGATCGGCTTTTGATTGAATTGAAGGAAGTTCGCAGCTTGTCATGGAAACAAATTGCGAAGTCTTTCCCTAGGCGGTCGAAAGGTTCTATCCAGGTGCGGTATTGTATACGCCTTAAAGATCGAACGGTTTGATGTTTAGGGTGATCTCTTTACAAAAGAGCAAGTCTTGCCAAATTGGCAAAATCAGCCAAAGCGTGAGCGTTGGAGTCAGACGTACTATTCATCGGATGGAAGGACAGGATGTCATATTATACCAAAATTTACATACTATCGATTTTGGAGTAACACTACGATATTAAACAAGAATTGAGTCACAGCTAGCATATATTGCTGCGCGACGATAAAGCATGAAGTGGAAGATGGTATTTATTTACTTTAAGGCTAGTTAATATTTTTGTTGATATGGGCGGCTGACATAAGCTTTGGTTTTGTGGTGACTATTTAGCAATTCCCAAACTAGACTAAATTAGGACTGGCCATTCGACAGATTATCAACTCCGTGACAGAAAGGAAAAAGGAAATTCTTTACATGTCGTTCTTCGTGCTTATCTACCTTATGCGCATCGTATAGGTAACCTTGATATTACAATTAGTATCTAGTTACTAATGATACCTAGGTAGGTTGCAAACTTGCCAATCCCCACACAAGTAAATAATTCGCAATCAACATCAGATTCAAACTTGGCGTCCCGATATCGGGCAGCTACTTAGTATTGATATCCCCGCACTGCGCAGGTACGTCCTTTTATCGATACCTGAGCAGCTCCTATAGCTTAACAGGATCCTGCATCTGGCAAAGTCAATAAGTCAGTAAAACCTGATCTGTAGCCAGAAGTTATCTCTCACCTATCTCCATTCGTAAATAAGTCCGTCAATGGCGGCATCCCACTGCGGGGAATTGCCCGGGATTTAACCCAAGTTTCGCGTGGGGCAATTCTCCGTATATTTAAGGGCTCTATGACCACCTTTGCTTAATCTACCCTTCGTATACTACCCGTCCTTAGATCCAATTCACCTGTTCTAAGGTATCTTTCGCTAAAAAAACCGTTCGCGACTCAAAAGTTCGCTTTATTATTCTCTCGGACACCTGCCCGCCTTCCATCCCTTCTACCGGTGAGAACCTCGCGCAATTTCATGGTCCATATCACTTGATATAGAGGCAATCAAGATGGTCACCTCGATATGGACTCGTTTTGTCCTTTAAACCTTGTCCTGAGGTCTTCTTCCTTGCCCGCAACTATTGTTGCACATGCTCACGTTTTTGTCTAGACTGACTAACGCTTTAATATGCAGAATTTCACTATGACTTCCCAGCCCAAGATCCTCCTTCTAGGAAATATTACCCAGTACGTGGATTAGCAAGTCCTTCTTGAAGTACAATCATTAACAACTCACATCAGCGCGAAGGAAAAATGGAATGCGCTAAGTGAAGTGGGGCAGCTGGTAGAGCATAACGCAACCAACCGTGAAGAATTTCTTCAAGTGTGCCGTGATGGGAAGCTTGATGGTGTTGTTGCCATCTACCGCACCTTCACCTCAGCCAGTATCACAGGCCTGGTCGATGAGGAGCTTGTAAATGCGCTGCCAAGCTCATTAAAGTATATTGCGCACTGCGGTATGCCTTTACAATAGCCGTTGTTAAGCTCTGACATACTCTAATATCGTCACTTTTAACAGGAGCTGGATATGACCAGATCGATGTTCATGCTTGTAGTGCTCGCAACCCCCCTATTCGAGTATCCAACGTGCCTACTGCTGTGGACGATGCCACCGCCGATACGAACATGTTCCTTATTCTTGGTGCCCTACGAAACTTTAACACTAGTATGCACGCTCTACGTGAGGGCAAATGGCGAGGCTCACCCCCACCACCTGTTGGACACGATCCCCAGGGTAAGGTTTTGGGTATCCTCGGTATGGGTGGTATCGGACGTAACTTGAAGAAGAAGGCCGAGGCCTTTGGCATGACTGTTATCTACCATAACCGTCGTGAGCTGAGCGAGGAGCTTTCCGGTGGGGCCAAGTACGTAACATTCGATGAGTTGCTATCGACCAGCGACGTACTGAGCCTGAATCTGCCGTTGAATGTAAGTGATTTGTATAGCACGCCTGGATATTCATCATACTTATTCTCCCAGAAAAACACCCACCATATTATTGGTAAACCTGAGTTTGCCAAGATGAAGGATGGAGTCGTTGTGGTCAACACTGCGCGTGGCGCTGTCATGGACGAGGCCGCACTTGTGGATGCTTTAGACAGCGGCAAGGTGTTCTCTGCCGGTCTGGACGTCTTTGAGGAGGAGCCTAAGATTCACCCTGGGTTGTTGAGAAATCAAAATGTCATGCTAGTTCCTCATATGGGTACATGGACTGGGGAGGTGAGTTTTTCTACTCTTGGCATTCCCGTAGCCCTGCAAAGCTGATGAGTGATCTAGACGCAAAACGCGATGGAGGAGTGGGCGATTGACAATGTGCGCGTCGGAATCGAAACCGGAAAGCTCAAGAGCCCAGTTCAAGAGCAGGCGAATCTGTAGACCTTATATGGACTTAATGTTCGTATGATGTTCGAAGACTGTCCGGATCTATAGAATCTGTATGGCCTTGGCGCAATATATTAGGATCTTAGAAGACATTTCCTGGAGATTACGGATAGAACTTAGTTAGCAGTTAGATAGAAAAATCCGAAATGTTGAGATAAAAATTGAGCTCGATGATATGTCAACTGGTGTTCTGTATTGACTTATGGAGATCCGCATTGGGACTAGCCCGATCGTCCCAATCTTATCGGCGGACCTAAGTTATCACTTCCTCATCATAACTTCAACTTCAACTTTAAACACACAACCGCCAATATGTCTGAACAGTGGAAATCAGTTGTAAGTAGATATTTATTCTTCTTCTTGTCTGTTTCTAACCTCTTTGCAGGCGCGCTACTGGTGCAAACAATGCAAGACCTTCATTCGCGATACACGCTTCGAAAGGACCCAACATGATGCGAGTCCGAAGCATCTCAACAACATGGCGCGCTTCATTCGCGAACTTGCCAAAAAGAATGAATCGATCGAGAAGGAGGCAGGCCGAGCCAAAAGTGAGGTCGAAAGACTGCGAAATCTCGTTTCGGGTGGATCGTCCAGCACCGATAAGAACACCCAGTCTACGAACGCCCCATCTACGAAGCGCACTGCAGTTGCCCTTGAAAAACCGGCTCCGCGACCTGCCAGCGCTGCAGACCGGAAAACTCAAATGGCTCAGCTGGCTGGGATGGGTATCGCCGTCCCCGACGATTTTCGCAGAGACATGGCCATAGCGGGAGAATGGCAAACAGTCTCCCAAAAAGTAATCAAGACAAGTGCTACCGGGGAAGAGATCTCTTTTGGAACACACAAACGCAAGCAACCCGATGACGATGAGGAAACAGGCCCTCGTGAGTATAATGGCTGGGGCACAAAGATAAAGACGTATCCCAGTGCGCAAGCGGACGATGAGGATGGGGATCTAGATGCCTTGATTGCATCCACAACCACAAAAAAGCCCAAGACAGCTAAAATCTCACCCAAGGCTGAAGAGTTGAAACTAGACCCTGCTCTCCTCGAAAAGAAAGATGGTGAAATACTAAAGAAGGGTGGTTGGGTTTCAATCAAACGAGAAGAGCCTACGATCCCGGTCAAACAAGAAGATTCTTCGATCTTAGTGAAACAAGAAGAGCCTGCCGAGCTCTCAACTCCCTTAGAAGACCTCCCAACTTCCTTGGCAGACGAAAACACCGGGGTTGAAGATGTTGAAACGACACCTACAATTGTGTTCAAGAAACGCAAAGCCAAAGTCATCCGAAAATAAGATTCATTACGATATCAAAACTCAACCATCAACAGGAAATGATCGATCCAGAATGCGAGACAACTTTTCCTTTTAATACAATTTACCGAGTCCATGATCTATTGAGTATTATGATTTAGGACCTAGACAGTTCTTTCCCTAAGCATTTTCCACAAACAAAGTAACGATGACTCTCATCTATCCTTGTCTTTAGTTCTGAGCAAATTTGAAAGGGACTAATATGCAGCTGCTCAGCCCACGAACAGATTCTGACAATGCCTAACATTCCAGGGAAAGAAGAAAAGCCGCCTGCCCAGGTTAGCTCAATTGCTCGACCATCTCTTCGAAATTTCAAGTCCAATGTCTGCTGTCAACAGCTGTTAGTTACAACGGAAGTGGTTATCATTTGCCTTGGTGTCGAGTGATTCATATTCATCCCATTATTATCTTTTTTATAGGTAGGTAGAGATTAGGTGAGTTGAAACGTCATTCTAGCTCGATACAGTAATAGTGGTTAGTCTATAGATCTGACTGCCTACATACTATACAGCTGGAAACCCTTTACTCCAAATTATTACGAACCTATAAATGACAAATTGATAGTTCTCGTAAACTTGGATACTTAGGTATAATATTTTTAATTGTTGAAATTTATATGTCTAGGTGTTTATGTATGGGGTGCTATAGAGTTGCCACTCAATTTTTTTTTCTAGAGCGGAGGCTTGGATCGCCGGAAAAGAAAGCTCCTTTGGTTCGCTCCAACTTCGCGCATGTTCTGCCCTTAATACAGAACCTCACACGCAGCTCATCCACAACGTGCTGTCACCTTCTTTTTTCGATTTACCCAATATACACAACTTATTGACCCGGTGAGTTCTTTTTATTTGAAGCAATCGCGCGTTTCTTCCCCCAGGTCTGAAAATCCACCGTATCGTGTCGCGCATCGCCCTCCCCATTTTGCGCAGCCCCGCAGCCCTCTTGCCCACCTGCGATCGAAAATATTCCTATAGCTCTAAGTGCTTCCATCAGTACAATCCAGGAACCAGAGAGATGGGCACAGGGTGATGTTGGGAGGGCGGGGTGAGAGGTCTTCATCTGCCATGAAGAATGCGACAAATGAACCTCGATCGGCCTTAGTAAGGTGACGATAGTATCCTCATCCTTCCAGGGCTCGAATGTAATGGATACTCATACATCAATCCATTTTTGCTCGGGGCTGCGTCGCAGAATATTATCAACAACTTCTTATCTGCCCGGTTGGATTTCTGTCATTCATCACCAGAAAGAAGTGTTTCTTCATCAAACTTATTTGCTCACATATTAACACAACTATTGAATACTCCGAATGCGCGAAGTGCTGTGCAACCCCTTTTGTTTTTGGACCAATTGCATCATCAGATAAAAAACGGTTACTGACGAAGAGCTATTTTTACAGTTTATAAGGGAATAAATGATTAATAACTCCCAACTCGATCAACCTGGTCTGTTGCCTCTGCTTAGCAACAAATCATTCGGCATTTGACACTGAAACCCCGCTGTTTCGGCGCCTCTGAACACACGCACTCCTTGATCATATTATTCGAACAAGCACGACAGCGTGTCTAGACTCTGTGATAATAATTGACTGCAAATCCGGCACCATCTGAAGAGGGTCTCAGCCAGATATGGCGGAGCCGACGGACCCCATGCCTGGCGAGTCGGCCAATACCCCCGTCGAATTGAATACGCCGGCTCCCCAACCTCCTTCTCATCCTGCACTACCTTTGGAAGATATTAAACAGTCTTTGACTGAGTCTTTGCCTGAGTCTCTTCCAGAGCCCAACGAGGGTCCAGCCTCGACAAGCGAGCCACACCCTCAATTAGCACCACCGACTGTGGATCCAAACCAGCAGTCAAGCATCAGTACCATCAATGAGCAAGCCAACCCACCCGCAGTTACGCCAAACACCACTACGTCCGCCGTGGATCATTCGTTACCGACAATAGATACGTCCCTTCCGCCTATGGGTCCATCCCAGCCAATATTGGAGACAGCTCTAAATGACTTTGATTCATCGCTCCAGTCAGTGGGCTCTTCTGCGGCGCCTGACTTGTCGCTTCCAGCAATCGACACCTCTATGCCTTCATTCGACTCGGCATTGCCTGCGATAGGGACGGATATTCCTACAATGGATGACGATCATTCGTTTGGAGATCACAGTTTCGGTGACCATGACCAGGACGTCAATTCCGGAGCAGCAGACCCCGGTAACAATGGGATGCAGCAACATGGATCGATGAACGGCGCAACGCATTACCAGACGTCCAATGGTAATTACCAATACTCCCAGAGCCCTGCTCCATCACAACAACAAGAAGCACATCAACCACCAGGGCCGTCTCAACATCAATTCCAGGCCCAGCCACAGCCGAGTTATCAACCGAATCTGGACATCTACCACAACCAAGGGGGTTTCGCAGCGGTGAATACAACCCCTGGCAGTGGTCAAGGACAGCCAGGGCAAATTCCACAAGCACCAATTGGATCTCCCATGCCACCATCAACACCTATAGGGCAGTACATGACGGGATATTCTTCCAATGGGTCTCAGCAAAGCATGAATTCGAATGCGCAAATGCGATATCCGCATCCTGGAGATCCGAATAAAATGCTTTCTGGAGGACGACACAAGAAAGAAGTCAAGCGACGCACAAAAACAGGATGTTTGACTTGTCGCAAGCGAAGAATTAAGGTATGTGCTTAAAGTTTAGCATGCGCACGCGGGCGCGGACCTCGCTTGTGCCCGCACCCCGCCTTCGTTTATTTCTCTCCCAACCGCGTTATCCATTCCGCATCTTTTCTATCGACTCAGCAATTTTTAATCTTTTTTTTTACAGTGTGACGAAGGACATCCGGTCTGCAGAAATTGTGTCAAAAGCAAGCGCGATTGTATGGGATACGACCCTGTGTTCCGACCTCAAGCATCCACCCCCTCCGTCATTCAACCGGCTGCGCCGAATCCTCCCCCGTCGCTTGTTGTCAATCCTCAAGGCCCTCCTATTTCATCTACGCCTTCATATCCCTCTGCGCCCCCAGGTTATATGCCTGCTTCCTCCCAACCATTTACACCAACTTTTCACTCTGAATCTCCCAGCACCTCAATCGACCAACCTGATCACGGAGCGTCTCTCGAAAACTCTCTGGGCCCCATCAATCCACAAAGCTCCAACGGCATGCAGTCTTCTATTGAAAACGCCGAGACTTCATACAAGGGTATGTCTGACTTCTTTTAATCTTGTTACTGAATGTTTTGAGGAGTGTTTTGTTTATCGTGGTTCCGGGAGCTAATAAAGGTGCTATCAACAGTGAAGAATCTCCATGCCGAAGACTTGCTCTCAGTAAGAGGGATTGCTCCTCCCCCTCCCCATCCCATCAGCACACTGCCGCAAGTACGCATCGGGGAAATCCAGGCTGTTTTCTTAGCCACATATGCCCCTGCTATTGACAAACTGCTTGAAGTTCGATGGTATATGGACAAGGCACTTCCGGTCTTGATGGCAGATGCACAGCTTATGGCAGACTACGCGGCATTAATTGTTGCGTTCAACGAGTGGGATCTAGATGACCAAAATTCCCTCGCACGCCTTGAGAGCTTCGAGGCCTCAATTATTTGGAGAAGTATGTGTCTGTGCCGTCAAGTACCGAACGCAAAAGATGGTCAGCACGGGTCAGACTGGAATTTGCTTCTTGCCTATGCGCGCCTGGATGCAATCGAAGCTCTTGTGACCTGGAAACACTTGGAAGAAAACGCTCTATCTCGGCAGGGAAGAATAGACGCCACAGTACCACCGGATCAATTACCACGCGACCAGTCTGATCAATTCTTGTTGCGACAGCTAGACTTCTGGGAGGCACTTGGCACGTTCCTTACACTGCACGACAACGAAGCTAGTTCGGCTAAGCAAATCGATGACACTCTTGGGCGTGTTCGTCAACTTCTGGATACATACGAGAACCGCGACATTATCTACTCAATTGCTATTACGCGCCATTTTGGCCAGCGATGGCCGGGCTTCCCCAATAACCTGCCCCATTCTGGTACAACTAGTGAAAAAGAGCTTGGCACCAAGCTCTTTGTTGCACAGAAGTTCATCGAAGACGAGGCTGGAGGCAAGGGGACTAGCCAGGTTTACAAACGACTCTGCGGCATGGCAGTGCGCTCATGGTGGATTGCGTGATAAATAATTGACTTCTTATATTATTTGCCCGCTCTTCATCTCTACTTGTTTTACATTCCATCTCCTTCAAATTATTCTCCTGTTCGGAGCTGTGAATCCTAGGTTCCCTTCCTTGTGTTCGTGTCGAAGATCCAGGAAAGAAAAGCATCATGGTCAGGCGTTGCCAATCTCATAGTTTTGTTCAGATGATTTCACTGGGATCTTTTCTCTCATTCTCAATTCCTTTCATGTTTCTACAGGGGTTTGGAGGCTCGGCAGCCTATGAGCAAAGCAACATGGCGTTCCGTCTTTTCTTTTCCGGACGAGTTATATTTCATGTTGCCTCGATTGTGCATATTCTCTTATTCTTTCTGCGGGCGTTTTCATACCCTGTGATACCCAACTTTGCTAGTTGGGTCGCTCACGTCAAACAGCCCTGCCATAGCCGAAAATAGCGATGAATTCACTCATAACTTTTACTCGTCATGTTACATTTCTTTAGGTGGATAACTGTTGTGCGAATCACCTACACTTGTATAATAAACACTGTAAACAGCCTCAATTATCTTGCGGCATTGAAGTATATCATCGGACATAAATAGGTACACAATGGAAACCAAGGTACCAAGCAACCACCCTCGACATAACGCATACCCAGCCGGCGGATTACATTGTCAGGTAGGATTCAAAGAAGGCACCTCTACTCTAATCTTCATCTCACCTGTTTCGCCCTGGAACAAAAACCCAATATCCCCCGTCGAATCCGCCAGCTCGACCTCCCGCCTCACAAACCGGCTCTTGTCCGTGGCAGGAACACTGACCTCCCGAGGCATTTCATCCTCACTATCCTCGACCCAGTCTGCTTCATCAACAGTCTCTTTCTCAACCGGGTCCCACTCATCTGTTTCCCAAACTAGTTTAAAGCTATAAGGCTGTAGATCAAAGAGCCTGGACACGAGGGCTTTGACCTGGTATGAATTGAAGGAAGTTGGTATCTCCTTAACGATTGTTTTCGCATCCGTCACTTCATCTCCCTTCTGCTCGTGACAGACGATGCGAAACGCCATCTTGATGAGCCGTGCTGCTACAGACCGTGGATGAATTACTCTTTCGCCTGAGCCGTCGGCAACAACCGCTCTTGTGAGTGTTGGTTCGCCGTATTGCTCACATAGCTCAGCGTAACGCGGGTGCGCGAAAAGTATGCGCTTTTCTTCATCCTCTGAGGTAGCGGAGAGCTCTTTCGCGATGAGGGAGAGGTAGTACATTTCTGCATTTGAGCGGTCAGAAAGTGAAATTGCGCTGAAGTTTAGGACGCGGAGGGTAGGTGGGAAGCGGGCGAGGGTGAGCATGAATGCCTCATCGACTGTCATGGGCTTTGACGCGCTTGGAGTAGAGGTCGCTGCTGCTATATAGTCTGGGAGTGGTGGTTGGTCGTAGATAGGGTTCCCGGAGATGCGGAAGGTTGTTAGGCCCGGGAAGAGTGTAGCCAGGTGGTTTAGAACAGTCCATGAGGAGATGTTATTTCGGGAAATATCCAGAGAGTGGAGGGTGTTTGAGAATTTGAAGTCTATGTTGGTGTTGTTTGGGTCGTCCAGGATGGTATTAATATCATTGCCTCTTAAGGCGAGGTACTCTAGGTTTGGCATGGCTGCCAGTGGTCGTAGTGCAGATATCGATGTGAAATCATTGTATTCGAGTGTCAACGTTCTGATAGAGCTCGGCAGCGGGCATGATATGTTTGTAAGCTGGTTTTCAGATGCCGTGAGAGAAGTGACACCTGGAAATTGAGATGTCGCGGCGGCAATCTATACAGCGAGTTAGTATATATTGCAGGAATTATTGCTAGGGATGAGAACTTACTTCATCCCAAGTGAGGAGAGTCTCCTCAAGATGCAATTGATTGATTCTCTCGCTGAAGACCAAGCCCACTTCTAAGGGTAGGAAACGGTTTCCACTGTATATAAAATTAGATTCCGCTTGATTTGAATGACACATATAAGACAAAAGGATGCAATATATATACTGACTTCAATTTCAGCCGCCTCAACCTTGGAAGCTGGTTACAGATCTCCCAAACACTGCGCAATCGGTTCAATAGACTGCGGCTAAGATCCAACTCGATGATATTCGGACAAGTAGACGTAATCTGTGGTGCAGCCTCAACAACCTTGTCTTCAGGTTGCTCATATGAAGACAGCACACCAACAGTGCACAGTCCATCTAGTAGGACAATGCGCAGCTCTTGCAGCTCGGAAAGCTGCTTGCGTATTTTATCGAAGCCGACCTCCTCAACGACCTTGCCACTGATCTGAATGACCCTTTGTGCGGCACCCTCGCCTTGCAAGGCCTTTTGTGCTTGTCTCTGTTCAAACTCAGAAGCATACTTCTCATGCAAGGCTTCTAAGAAGCTTCGCGGTGGCTCTGATGGCCTGGAGGGGCGGACAAAAGACCCCGCCGTTGAGTATTTGTTTTTGCCTGTTAATTGTGTAAGTAGCTAATTCAAAATAGAAAAGATGTCGGGATCAATTCACATATAAAGTAGCGCACTCCCTTATGTTCGCCCGAGTGCTTGCCTCGAGTTGCGTCGTCCCATTCGACGCCCAGCCAGTCGCCTGTGGTGCCCTGAACGTTACCCACATAGCGGATGGTGCATAGTTGGCCGTCGAAGGACCGGCGCTGACCTACGAGGGCAGAACTCATCAGTAATCAATTACGGGTCCTCTTAGCTCAACGGCGATGCAGAAATAATGTCAATATTACATGAATTCTTGAAATCAAAAGAAGTAAAGTAGTTATTTTAAGTTTGGTCCCTGACCTAAACGTGATTATATAACCCAACATCTTTAACTTGAACATTTGCCCCACCCATCTTCAACTTCCTCACCTACACGTCACCATGGATTATCAGGTAAACAAAATCGTTCTCCTTCATTGCAGAATGCCTAGGTTTTATCAGTAATTCTAACGAATTGCAGAACAGAGCCGGCTCTAAATTCGGCGGTGGCGGTGTCGCCGACCGCTCGGCAACAAACGCAGATCGCCGCGAGCGCCTGCGAAAGCTTGCCCTCGAGACTATCGACCTCGATAAAGACCCCTACTTCTTCAAGAACCACGTCGGCAGCTTCGAGTGTCGCCTTTGCCTAACAGTCCACCAAAACGATGGCTCCTACCTGGCCCATACCCAAGGTCGCAAGCACCAAACCAATCTAGCGCGTCGCGCAGCTCGCGAGGAGAAGGAAGGGAAAGGTCAGGACCCGGCTTCCCTGTCGGGTGTTGCAGGTGTGCAGGTCAAGAAGCAGACCATCAAGATCGGACGCCCTGGCTACAAGATTACCAAGACCCGCGACCCGTTGACACAGCAACAGGGCTTGATTTTCCAGCTGCAGTTCCAGGATATCACCCCTGGTGTTACTCCGCGTGTACGTTTCATGTCGGCTTTCGAGCAGAAGATTGAAACCCCAGATAAGGCCTTCCAGTATCTCATTGTTGCGGCGGACCCGTACCAAACTTGCGGTTTTAAGATTGAGGCGAAGGAGATTGATCGCCACGAGGATCGATATTGGACCTGGTTTGACGAGGATAGCAAGGAGTTCTGGATCCAGGTCACTTTCAAGACCGAACGTGAGGAACGATTCAGTGGCGTGCCTGGTTTGGCATCTTTGCCTGCTCGGCCTCCTCGTCCCGTTTGAGGTGTTTACCTTCAATATTGGCTTAAAATTGCGCTACAACAAAAACAACGGGTCTGCTTATTGTAAATCAGGAGCTAAGGCGTTCACATGGGGTTGAAACTGTTTTGTCCGTTCGTTCTACTTATGCATATCTCTATTTGAATAAAGGGTCCCCATCGGACTGACCATGAAGTCAATGCTTCATGGCTTCTCTTAATAAGTGTTGGTGTGCCATTATCACTGTCGACCAAATGTAGATTTTCCGGTAAGCTGCGTATACTTAATAATTGGTCATGGAAGGAAATCTTTTTGATTTTAACTATGAGATGAAATTACGACATGAAAGGCAAAATCCAATGCTGGTCCAGCCCCATTCTTTCCGGGGCACCATCGGTGTACTTCATCGCATATCATGAGATATCAATAATTGATACCATTGCTAAAGAAGGCACTGAGGTCATAAAAAAACATCGCGCTGATATTCTGAGCGTCAATATAAGGCGAGTGAATAAGATCCGATGATGATACTCGAAACTAGCCTAGAACGTGTTAAGAATAAATGAGGATGTAGGATGTGCAAGCCCTGCCTGCTCTTCATCCATCCAATAAGACATGAAGCTTAGCTTGCAAAGGCGTTGAAAGCCTTGTAGGTGTAACCAATAAATGGCAAGCTCATCTCTGCTTCTTGCGAGTCGGGCATGGCACGGACTTGGGCACGGTGGATGGCACTCGTATCCTCCTGGGGAATCTCGTCGATGGGGAAGTACGACACGTCGATATTTGAGCTGAGGCGAGGTTCAAATGGTGCGCGGATATTGCGCAATTGATCCCAGACTACGCCCCGGAAGAAGGGGTGGTTCTTGATCTGATTTGCGCCGCCATGTTGTCCACCGTCGCTGCCAATACGGTGATCGGGATCACACAAGAAGCTATCAAGGTTAGAACTTTTGTCTTCATAAGTGCAGGGAAAAGAACCTACTTTCGAATCAACGATTCCGAATCACGCGAAAGAACCAACTCATCTGGGAAGTACAGGCATTCGCGCCAGTTCACGATTTTCCGGTATGTGTCATTGGTATCTTCAGCGCAGAATGGAGGCCAACCAACAAGACACTCGAACATGATGGCACCAACAGACCACCAATCGCAGAGATAGGTGTAACCTTGACCATTGAAGATCTCGGGGGCAATGTAATCTGGAGTTCCGACAGTCGAGTACGCCATAGCGCGACGGGACTTTCGCCAAGTGTTGATTTGACCACGGTTCGAGACTGTCAGATTGATCGCATCGTTGAAGTATCCTGAGTTGCGGTTCCGATCCTTTGATGTTGAGTTCTTGAGCAGGTTCTGATAATAGGCGTTGTCGTGAGTCTTTTTGCCACCAGTCGAAAGACCAAAGTCAGTGAGCTTGACGTGTCCGCCGCGGTCAAGAAGGATGTTATCGGGTTTGATGTCACTATTGGTACTTGTTAGTTTCGTCCAATACAGTGCGGTGTACAGGTTTATCCTTGACCAATCAAGGTAGTCGTCAATTTTACACACCGATGAAGGAATCCAAGCTTGTGGACGGCCTCGATGGCCATCACAACTTCAGCCATATAGAAACGAGTGATATCTTCGGAGAAGATTTCGTACTTGATGAGCATAGTCATCAAATCACCACCAGGCAAGAATTCCATAAGCAAGTAAAGGTACGCCGAGTCTTGGAAAGAGGCGTGCAGCTTCACCAACCATGGGTTATCCTTAGAGTCCGCCAAGATATCACGCTCGGCACGGACGTGGGCCAGCTGATCTTTCTTGAACATCTCCGTCTTGATCAAAGATTTGAGGGCGTAAATTTTGCCGTCGGTCTTACGCTGAACGAGTTTTACTTCACCGAAAGCACCCTTTCCGATAACCTTGATCGTCTGGAAGTTCTGCGGTGTTTCCTTGGTTCGCAAGAATCGGAGGAAGTCCGATTCCCTCTTTGAAATCGTTTCGGCATCTTGGCGCTTCTTCTCAACAGGAACACTAGGGTCGCGAAGGGTCTTGTCTAGGTCCACAGAGCTATCAAATATCCAAGGTCAGTACATAATTTTCGAAGATAGAGTAAAAGACCCACCGCATGTTACGGTCTCGTGCGCGTTCAATGTTCTCGTGAAAGAATACTGTAACCAGCTCCTTTGCGGCTTTGCCGCGTTTGTGCACATTCTCAGAGTATCGATCGGGGAATCGCTGGAGTTCTTCACTTTCCGCCGGTGGGCGAGGGCTACGAGGAACCGGAGGAGCCAAATGCGGTGCTTGAGCAGGTGGTCCCTGTGCGGGAGAGCCACCAGCGGTACGAGGCCGCTGGGCAGCAGGCGATTGAGGTTGAGGTTGAGCTTTATTAAAGAACCCACCTCGGTTGGCGTTCAAATCCTGGTTGGAGAATTGTTGGATCAGGCCGTTTGCTCCATCGTTGGGATAGCCCTGACGGTTCTGATAGGCAGGTTGGGGCGATTGCAGGGCCTGTTGCTGTGCGTATTGCTGCTGCTGAGCATATTGCTGTTGTTGCTGAGCATACTGCTGTTGTTGCTGTTGCTGTTGCTGCTGTTGCTGCTGTTGTTGCTGCTGTTGTTGCTGTTGTTCGTAGGGGTTGGAGACAAAATAACCTGGACCATAGGCTGGGTTTGAAGGATCGACATATTCCTGAGCCCCCTGAGTTGCATATATGGGCTGCGGAAAAGCGGAGGGAGTGGTGGGATAGGCGCGGTTGTTAGCCGCGTTGAAGTTGTTGCGATCCTTATTGTATCCGTAATTCATATTAGGGCGATTGTTGTTAGGATCCATGATGAAGGCCCAGTTCCCTAACTAGGAAGACTCAAAGCGGGGGTGGGAAAAAGAGAAGATGGTTGTAAAGGAGAAGGCGGGGAGGTTGATGAAGGAGCGGTGGCTCAGGAGGCAAAGTCCACTTTACTGAACCCCTCTCCCCTCCCCCTTGTATCAAGGTTCTTTACGAGGTGAAACCCTGTATTCTCAAACGGTCTTTTACTTTGTACTACACCCAATTGAATATAGGGTGGTTCTATTCTACGTATTTTGCTAGTCTGGGTTTTAGAACTAAAACTAGATGCCTTCAAGATGGAATGACGGACCATAAGAACTGATAGAAACACATACTGAATCTGAAACCTCTCGACCATGACACAGGGGTTTTCGTTTATTTCCACTTGAATTCAAGTTTGAGCCCTGGAGCATTCCAGTTCAATTGATAATATGCACTGTCAAGCCACGCGTCGAGCCCCCAAGTGAATCATCTCGAGTTATTTAGATGAATATATATGGAATATGAAGTTGTTCTGTCATATAATTAAATCCGAGAACTAAATATATGATAAATATTTAAAATGATGTTAGTTAGTTCTAATTATCAAATTATCAATTAGTCCGGAGTAGACAAGATCGATCTAATAATCGATGAAAATATAGTCACGTGATGTGGATCTGTCGCCGGGATTCGGTACTTCTTTTTTTTTAAATTCAACGCGAAAAGACAACCACAATCTAGACTCATTTGGTATCCCTCCTTATATTATGGCCGAATCCTCCAATTCAGCTGCCTCCGGAGGTACTGGAGGCTCTGCCAAACCCAAGGCAGTTCCAAAACCGCAGAATCCTGTCTTCCGAATGATGGGTACAGCTCCCATGTCCAACAATTGAGAAGCCGCAAAAGTACTAACAAAGCAAATTGTATAGGTCTGCCCCATATCAATTTCAAATTGCCCTCGCGGAACTGGATGATCTTTTGGACAATTACCGGCTCCTTCACTGGAGCCATAATGTACGATCGACGGGAGAAGCGTCTCGCGCAACAAAAATGGTGCGATCTCGTGGCCCATATCACGGAAGAGCCATTGCCAGTCGAGCAGATGCGCCGCAAGCTGACAATCTATCTTGCTGCACCGCCTGGCGACAGTCTGCGCGTGGCCCGGGATCATTTCAAGGAATACATCAAACCGATCTTGACTGCTGCGTCTTTGGATTATACCATTGTTGAAGGACGTCGAGAGGGGGATGTACGAGCTAGTACGGCAGAGATGATCCGAAAATTGAGACGGAAGGCTGGTGAGCCTAGCTCTGTTGCTGAGGAACCTAGCGTCGAGAGTGCAGTATTGGAGACCCGGGAGCGCATTGGTATTCAAGATGAGCCAGGTCCTAAGGGCGACATGGTCATTGGTCGCCATGCATGGAAGGAATATATTCGAGGCCTACACGAGGGCTGGCTAGGACCTCTAGATCCTCCAGTCGAAGTTTCGTTACCCGAGGTAGTTCCTGCGCCTGTTGAAGCTTCCACCCCCGAGAGTATAGATGAAGCAATGAAAGACATTGCAACTGGCGACAAGCCATCTGAGACCCCGGTCAGCTCCGAAGATGAAAAGAAGACCGACGAAAAAGAAAAAGAAAAAGAAAAGCCTACTGGCCCACCGAACGCATACATCTATCCCGCCGAATATCCCTCCGCCTCCCTCCCTCCAACGCTACCCGTCTCCTTTGACAACTCTGTTCCCGTTGAATTCCCTCACATCCTCGGTTTCCTGAACACACCCATCCGCATCTACCGCTTCCTTAACCAGAGATACGTCGCAGACAGCATCGGCCGCGAAGTTGCCGGTCTTGTTCTGGCTGCCAACGAAAGATCATACCGCGACGAGTCCTTCAGTCTAGACTCTGAACTAAGCGGAGCAAGTATCGATTCAACTCCCTCTCCCAATGACCTTGCCAATGAGCTTTCCCGTGGAAAATACGAGCAGCAGACTGTCTTGGAAAATGAGGAGAAAGAATGGCACAAGTCTGTGCACAAGGCTGACGACACAGGCCGTGAGCGCGTGTTGGTTGATGATATGGTGCTAGACCCTCGCATTGCTTCGCGCATGAAGCTTGCTCTTCTCTCTCCTGAGGACGAGGCTCGCTCGCAGCGTATCGCCAAGCATGAGGAGTATATCCTGGGCAAGGAGCGGCCCGCATCTGTACCGTTCTGGAAGCAGTTGTGGATCAAGTACGGCAACGGCGAGGATGAGGAGACCATCCGACGCAAGCCGATTTACGGTAACATTGATGGTGAAGATGGTGTGTAGTTCATGTATTTTGAACTGTCACATTTTTGTATTATATAATAGAAAGTCTCTCATAAACTATACGGCGCGGGGGCGTCATGTTCCTAGTCTGCACATCTCTTCTCCAACTTGATTTGTATATATGAAAGGGCCATATATCCTCAGTTCTGTTGTCAACGTAGAAAGCCTAGGTAGCAAATTTACGACATTTCTTAGGGTAGGCCCGTGGACTTCATTGAACGACAACTTTGGAAAGAATAGTCTATACAGTGAATTCACTCACTTCGTCTGTAAAATTTTGTATTTTTGAATGAATTGTGGTCAGAAGCTGCTGCACTAGCTTCCACTCTAAGGCTATAGCTCTCTTTTCCAGTATTGCGCCTTAAATTCTGGAAAATTATGGTGCAGGCGGTAGAGTTTTTGTGTGAATTGATGAGCGCAAAGCAGCTCTATTTGAGTCTGCGCATCTCCACACATACCAAGCAAAGACAGACAGCTGGTAACTGAAGAAAGTCTGGTTTCATTCAAAATTTCAGTTCAGCTGAAAGACCGATGACTCAGGCCACTTCTTGGATGCCTTCTGGAGGTAAGGTGCTTTGTCACTGCCCCACTTGCTCAACAGGCTGATGGCAAGGACAGCTTCATCGATAGTAATGTTGGGAGTGTCGAGGGTAGCTAGAAGATCCTTCTCATTTTGCGCTTTGGATTCTGGGTTTAGGAAGAAACGTCCCTCGAGGGCGGCTTGGACATGTGAAACACTGCCCTTGTTGGCAGAAAGGTAAGACTCGTTCCACTGCTCAGGCTTCTCAGACCTAGGAAGCATCTTCTCAAATTCGGCATTCACAACCTCGGCAATCGGGGGAGCAAGGGGCTCAGCAAGAGCACCAAGGGCCTTGCGGAATCGCAGCAATTGCAGATGGAGTGTTGGGTTATAGGAGTCGATAGCAAAGGCGGCCGAGAGAGACTTCAGGGCAAGGAGATGCTTGTCTGTGTGTTAATCAATATTAGCCATTTATTCTGATAGAACATTATGTACTGAGATTTGGGACTTACCCCTTCGGAGGTGGACCTCAAAAGCAAGGCATTGCACCTCAATGTTCTTCGGGCTGAGCTTGAGCAATGGCGTCAAAAACTTCAAAGCCTCCTTAAGCGGGTCCTGAGTCTGCACCAGGGTGTTGCCAAGCGGGTCCGGGTCCTCCTTCTTAACTTCACCATCAACATTTTTGGCGTTGGCAGCCGCTGCCTTTCGTGCCTCGCGCTTGTCAGCTTCAAGCTTTTCTAGACGTTGCTGCTCCTTCTTGGCCTTCTTGAGGGCCTTCTTTCGCTCCGCTTCGTCTGTGATATCAGCGACTGCGCTAGAAATTGGTCCATGAACAAGATCTGGCTCGTCATTCAGAAGTAGGTAAGCCTTGACGGCAGAAATGGCGACTCTTGTGTAGAAGGGGTGCTCGCGAAGACGGTCTTCCCAGCGTATCATGTCGACATAGGCTCGGATCATTCCTTTTCGCAAAGAGAAGCTGTGGAAATCAAACTGGTCTTCTTGCCAGGTCTCGAAGATGTTGTAGACACCGTGGAAGCGCTTGAGGGCCAGACCCAGCTTCTTCTGGCGCAGATAAGCCTCACCATCCTCGGTGAGATACCAAACACATTGCATTTCATGAAGATCACCCATAGCTCCGCCCACAGTCTCGTTGCGGGTGAACTTGCTCATGTTATCCAATCCCTTTTCATTGTCGTTGTTACGGAGCTGGTACTTCGAGGCCTTGGTATTGATGTATCGATCCTTCTCATCCAGCAAGCGAGCCTTCTCCATCTCCTCTGCTGCCTTCACCGGGTTGCCGTAGTGCTTCCAAATTCGGGCCCTAGTCATCTGGTACTCCACAGCCTTCGGTGACAACTCCACAGCCTTGTCAACATATTCCAAAGCCTTGGGGAGGTTGCGGCTGAGGTGGTAATTATAATGTTGAGCCAAGAAGTAGTACGACGAGGATAGGAACTCATTCTCCGACTTTGCTTCGGCAGAATCACTTGACTGTGAAGACTTACCAGAGACATACCCTTCCACCAAGGCTTGGACCATGTCACGCTTAGTCGGGTTGCTGTACAGAGCCTTCAGATTGACGAAAAGCGAAGGGACACCTTTCTTGAGCAAACGCTGAAGGTATGAATCAGCAGCTTGCTTGAAATCATCACCCTCGAGGAACTCAAGAGGAATGCGACGAGCTGCGTCACCGCGCGGATACTTCTCTACCCACTCGTCATACAGAGACTTCAAGGCCTTTGAATCGTCTTGCGAGATACCCTTGGCCTGGATCAAGCCGTTGTAATAGATTGAGTTCTCAGGGTTGCGCTGTAAGAGAGCAGTGTAAGCCTTTTCAGCTTCGGGCTTGCGGCCAAGTCGCAGAAGGTAATCGGCCTTTGTCTCCATGACGACAAGCACATCGGTACACCGATAGCCAACCTTCTCCAGATGTTCTAAAGCGCGCTCAATGTTCCCGGTCTCCGCAATAATCGAGTTCTTATACAACAGGGCCTCGGAGTGTTCCATGTCTGTAAGTGGAGGTTTCTCCTTCAATGTTTCCTCAAATGTTGTCAAAACTTTCTCGGCCTCTTGCAAGTCCCCAGAGAGATGGTGGGCAATCGCAAGTGCTGTCCAATTTTGTCGGAGACTCGGGCGTGCTTGGAGCATGGTGTTACGACTTTGAATGTAGCCTTGGAAATCACGCATCTGCATCTGGAGCAGAGCGAGGTCACGTTGAATGGGCTGGGATTCGGGTTCAAGTCGCAGGGCGAATCGGTAGGCCTTGATAGCCTCCTCGTAGTTCTTTTCCTGCCGGTAAAGCAGTCCATAAACGTGCCAGCAGATGTGCGACTTCATGTCGTTCCGCAGAGCCTCCTTAGCCAGGACGAAAGCTTCCTCCAACTGTCCCAAGTGACTCATTATGAGAGCCTTCATCGCCTGTGTGTCGCCATGGTTGGGATTTTTACGAAGAACCTGGTCTGCTGTCTTGATACCTGTCGAGATGAAAACATTTAGCTTACGATCGTGGGCTTGTGGGGAGGTGTTAAGAAACCTTTTTTGTACTGTTTCAATTCAAAATTGCGAACCACTTGGCGGAACAAGGATTGGTCCTTGGAGTTCAATGGCTGCGGCATGGTGGGCGCGAGATGACGGGGGGATGAATTGAGTTGATCGCGGGTGCAAGGCCTTGAGGGAGGATGTGTGCGGGGAGCAGCTCTTCTCCGAGTCCGATCTTGGCAGAACTTGGCCGATAAGATAATCAACAACATATGACCAGGGCTTTCTTCTCTTAACCCACTTCTTTAGCCATGGAATACATATTTGGTGAATATTCAAGAGATATTGGAAGTATGTGGCGAAGAGCAAGGCGGTTAATATTTCTTTTTTCAACTCTATACGCAGCGTCCATACACAGCGTCCGTCATATCGTATACTTCGTTCTGAATCTTAGCAAACACAAAGCGCCATGTATTCAGTATAATATACACTAAATTTTCGTTCGTATGTAAACAGGACCAGGTTCAGATAAACAAAACAATGCGCTCATATGCAAAAGCCTATCTACTACTGATACCTCTCCCTCCAGCTATTCAAAGCATCCTCCCAAGATCGAGAAGAACCAACGCATCTCTCAGAAACCAAGTCCCAAGTTCGAGCTCGTACAATCCGTTCCACAGTACGTTGGTTGCTGACCAGATTTGCAAGAGATTCTGTCCTCGCTTCCTGAGGAAAGAACCTAGCCGAATATGGATCTAATCGCTCATCGACAACACGCTCTCGATCTCGAGCGGACTCTGTCTCTCGCAGGATCAGGTCCGGGTCTTCGGGATCAGGACTGGTCGCTACTCCAGCACAGTAGGTGAGAACATCAGAGCGACTTTGCCATGATGGGAACAGAACATTGTCTTTGAAAGTCTGGCAGCTTTCGGGATCGATCACTTTCCGGGCCCTTAGGTCGGTCTGTCTTACGGCAGTAGATGACGAGTTGAAGCCCGCCTTGGATGGGGTCAATAGAGCATTTAGGTTCTGTGTAATTGAATCGTCGATAGTTGAGCGAGACAGACGAAGGAAATCTAGTGGACTTTCAGTCAGATTAAGTACGTGATGAGACTGTCACACACAGCGAACCTAGGAGGAGTCTTTCATCGAAACAGAACTGAGGAGTCAAGGCCGGCAACTGGGTGGTTTCGGTCTCAGCTTCTGACATATTCTTGCTTTGTGTCTCCTCCGAACCTCGACTTGTTTTAGCCCAGAACCACTCCAGCTTGAAAAAACAGCTCAGACGATGAGCACTGTGAATGATAATCGAGTTGCTTAGTTGCTGACGTAACAATAATAGATGAATCCCCAAAATAGAGTGAGTTGTACTTGACAATGATCGAAAATGCCCGTTGCCGTCATCAAATGTAAACTGCTCCCCATTAGGAATGGCGGCTTGTCAGCGGTTAAATTGGTAATGCGAAGTCATGTGAGCTCGCGTCTCCAATTAAAACGCGTTCCTCGATTCCTATATTGCAACCAAAAATTTCAAGGTTCAACCTTATTTGATCTTATTATTTCGGATCTTTAATCTATTCAAAAATGCCCGAACTCGCGGAAGTTGCCCGGATAGTGCACTTTATCCGTCAACATTTGGTCGGCAAGACCCTCTCCAAGGTCCAAGCACAACACGACGACATCGTATATGGTAAGGTTGGAACCAGTGCAGCCGAGCTCCAGAAAGCGATGCAAGGAAAGAAGATTATAGGTGCTAGTCAACAAGGGAAATACTTCTGGATTACAATGGATTCGCCGCCGCATGTTGTGATGCATTTTGGCATGGCGGGCTGGCTCAAAATCAAGGATGCCGATACATATTACTACCGCTCCGACAAACCTGCAGACAAGGAGTGGCCTCCCAAGTACTGGAAGTTCCTCCTAGAGACTAGCGATGATTCTAAGACAGAGGCTGCGTTTGTTGATGCTCGTCGGTTGAGTCGTATTCGGCTAGTGGACTGCCCTGGCGATGAAATTCGGAATCATACGCCTCTGAAAGAAAATGGACCAGATCCTATTTCAGATAAGGATATTGTGAGTGAAGCATGGTTGGCAGGGAAGGTCAAGAGTAAAAGGGTGCCCATAAAAGCCCTTTTGCTTGATCAGGCCAATATCAGTGGAATTGGGAACTGGATGGGGTAAGCATATACATTTTTCATTGGTATTGGCAAGCACTAACATTTATTTTAGTGATGAAATTCTGTATCATGCCAAGATACACCCAGAACAGTACAGCAATACCTTGTCAGAGGATCAGATCAGTGAGCTTCACACCTCGCTTCATTATGTCTGTTCGACTGCCCTCGATGTCCTTGCAGATTCTGAGAAATTTCCCGAGCACTGGCTTTTCAAGCACAGGTGGGGGAAAGGCAAGAAGAACCATTCCCCTGTCTTACCTAATGGGGCCAAGATCACGTTTGTGACTGTTGGTGGCAGGACAAGCGCAGTGGTCCTATCGGTTCAGAAAAAGGGTGGAGCTGTGTTGAAAGATGAGAGCCCAGATGTCACGCCAGTTCTGAAACGTAAGCGGGCCGTCAAACAAGAGAATGACTCGGATTCTGAGGCGAAGTTTGAGACCAAAATTCGCGGCTCAAAGAGAAAGATTGCATCAAAGGTCAAGAAAGAGGCAGAGGACGAGGACGAAAAAGTTGAAGAAAATAATGTGGCAACGGAGACCACGGGCAGAAGAAGATCCACGCGCTTCAGAAAGTAGATAAAAAAGTAGAATACGCATTTACATCATACTAGGTAGCTAATACCTAGGAAATGAATAAAGGATACAAATAGAAACTCGAGTGAAAGAACTTCCTATTCAATTATTTGCGAGCTATGACTCGTTTCGTAGCATGAAGTTTGACATGATATAGCGGCTAGACTTTTCTATCCCTCAATCAGGATACGAGTCCAGTCAAATTTCCTCCAACGTTTTCGGAAACCGTCTACTCTTCGATCGCTACCTCTCTGCCAGCGACCCTGTCGCTTAATAGCGTCTGGAGCTGAGTCAAGCATACCGCCAATGATTTCTCTCGCGAACAAATCTCCACGAGGCCAACGTTGCTCATCTTCAACAATATGGCCGAGGCCACCATCCAGCTCAAACCAGACGTGGAAGTAGGGCATTTCCTTTGCGAGTGTTCGGCGGAATGCATTTCTTCCGAGTCCTTTCTTGGCACCTTCTAGAGTATCGATAATCTTGCGATGCTGAGACCATTCGCCCTCGGCGCTGAGAATAGCCTCCTTAAAGAATGCTGGGGAGGTGTCGCCAATACTGTATGGCAAAGGCACTACTTCCATAGCTGCGTGTCGCTTTTGTTGAGGCCGAGCTGCGTTTTCGTAGAAAATTACATCACGGCCTTGGTCGTGATACATGCGCGTAAGGCTCTTCATGAAGTTGCGGATTTCCTCCCATTCGTCATCATCACACTCCATCAGATTGGTTCTGTGTTGAATGGGAACGATTGTAGCACCCCCTTCACTGAGTTCGGGTTCAGTGGGCAGTGTCAAGAAGACACGGGTCGCTAGAGATATAACAGGCGCAATTGGGGGTGTGTTTGTATCTTCATGATGACAAAGAGGGCAATTATCCAAGATCTTGTTCATCCTGTGGAAATCATGGATTGTTGAGTTTTTGATGTCGATCTCGGACCGCTGCACCCTCTTAGCCAGCTTGGCCGCATTATCATCCATATATTCCAAATCATTCTACACAGTGTTAGATATCATTACTCTCTCATAGGTGATATAAAATGTTCTTACCTGAAATTTTTCGTCGCGACCAATGCGCTCGGCTAATCGCCTTCCTTCTCCACCATATTGACCGCGAGTTTTACGTTCTTCACGAACCATATCCTCGATTGTCATGTCTTCATTATCTTCCACTTGGCCTCTCTCACGACCACGTTTAGTGTCAACTGCCTTGACCTCGTTTTTAGAACCGGCTAGCAGACGATTATGTTGAACATCAAGTACCACAACACCAGGGTCTTTGCGGTTAGCCATAGCCGCAGCGGCTATATCATATTGCTCTTCAAGCTCAGCTGCATCTGGAGAATTTTTCAGTTTGGCCTTCATCATCTGTGCCTTGAGGCGGTTCAATGCCGTCAGATCCAGAGGCTTAGTGGAGTTGGAAGGTGGTTGAACGTCCATTCTCTGGCCCTGGCCCTCGGTCTTAGACTCCTCAGATGAATCGCGAACATCTCTGTGGACTGGGTTCTTAAGTTTTCGCTCTTGAAACAACTCTCCACTTGGCTTTTCCTTGCCCTCGTAGGATTTGCCATAAGTATCGCGCCGATCCATCTCAATTTCTTCTTCTCGGGCGTCGTCAAATGATTCAAGATCTCCAAAGCGTTCAATAGCGACATCTTCCACAGGCCTACCGCTTGTCTCAGCTTCTCTGTACACACCCTTGAGCTTAGTCAATCTCCACTGGGACCCCGAGTCCCCAAACGTGTAATCCACCTTGCGCTGAGCAGGTTCCTCGCTGATGCCCTCCAAATCCTTTCCATCTCTAAGGTCCCGAAGATGAGAATTTAGCTCCTTTTCGTGAATTTTAAGCTCGAAGTCCGCCGATAGCATTTTGGGCTTCGAATCTTCTTCAATGAGCGAAGGCTTTCGCCGCTGAACGTAATCAATGTCAAGTGCCGAAGGTGCTTCCATCCAGGAGTCTCGTTTCAGAGCAGATTCCTCTTGAATAGCTTCTTCTTGAACAGTTTCCTTCGGGGCAGAAGCTTCCTCTACATCTTTAGATCGCTTCCGTGCATGTTCATCGTCCCCTTTTTCAGTCGAGTGACGTGAGCGCTTGTGTCGGTGACCATCATCGTCGTGGCGGTCGTGGCGGTCGTGACGGCGAGATTCACGATCCCTCTCAGATCCGCGGTCGCGGGATCTCGACGAATGGCGCCGACTATGATGACCGGGTCGCGAGTGACGATGGTACCTCGATTCCGCTTTGCGGTCGCTGTGACGGTCACTATGACGGTCACGGCGGTCTCGATAGTGTCGGTCCCTATCGCTTTTCTCGTGTCTCTTTTCTTGACTTTCTGCTAATGACTTTTCGAAATCCTCTAATGTCATTGTGATTGCTGGTATTGGACTTTCGAAGTGCAAGGAGTCACAAAAAGTCGTGGAATGACAAATGACGTTAGCGGTTCGACGGCCCAGGCGCAGATCTTTGCTTCCCCGCGACCCAAAAAAAAAAAAAAGCCCAAAGCAAAAAAGATAAGAGCTTTAACGCCCTTCCCCTCAACCTCACTTTCGTTCTCACCAATAATCTATTCTTGAGAGTCATTTTTGGATCGCACAACGGAAATTACACTCATCTATCATGTCGTCTCCAGTATCTATTGTCTGCGTGGGCATGGCAGGTATGAAAACTATCTCTCAAGATGCCCGGCCCAGAATGCCTTTGCTGATGAATACAGGCTCGGGAAAGACTACATTTATGCAAAGAATCAACTCTCACCTGCACTCCAATAATACTGTGCCTTATGTGATCAACCTAGACCCCGCAGTACACTCGGTGCCGTTCGACAGTAACATCGATATCCGAGACTCAATCAACTACAAAGAAGTTATGAAGCAATACAACCTGGGCCCTAACGGTGGAATCTTGACATCGCTCAATCTATTTGCGACCAAGATTGATCAGATTATTGCCCTTTTGGAAAAGCGCACCGCTCCAAACCCCGAGAATCCCTCAAAGCAAATCAAACATATCATAGTCGATACCCCCGGTCAGATTGAAGCCTTTGTGTGGAGTGCATCTGGTAGTATTCTTCTGGAAACCCTCGCGTCGTCATTCCCTACAGTGATTGCCTATGTCATCGATACTCCGCGCGCCAGCTCGACTAGCACATTTATGAGCAACATGCTGTACGCGTGCAGTATCCTTTACAAGACCAAGCTGCCAATGATCCTCGTTTTCAACAAAACAGATGTCAAAGATGCAGAATTCGCCAAGCAATGGATGACTGATTTTGACAAATTTCAGGAAGCTCTGCGAGGAGAAGAGGAGACAGGTGCATTCGGAGGCGAGGGTGGTGCCGGCGGCTTCGGTTCTGGAAGTGGATACATGAGCTCGTATTTGAACAGTATGAGTTTAGTGTTGGAGGAATTCTACAAACACTTGAGTGTCGTCGGTGTCAGCTCTATGACAGGCGATGGCGTGGACGAGTTCTTTGAGGCTGTGGAAGAGAAGCGCCAGGAATTTGAGCGCGACTACAAGCCGGAGCTTGAGCGCAAAAAGAAGGAGCGCGAGGAAAGCAAAGATGCCAAGCGTGAATTGGAATTGGGTAAGTTGATGCAAGATATGAATGTTGATTCGTCGGGCCGCCGAGCGCGCAAGGGCCCTGAGACCGGACCGGACACCATTAGCGACGCTGAAGATGATGAAGAGGACGAGATCATCAAGCGGGGATTGGCCGATGGAGAGTATGATAGCGAGGATGACGACTATGAGTACCCCGAGCCTAGTGCCGGTAATAATGAGGGTCTCTCCGAGCGCTATAAGCAGGCTCTTGCCGGCCAACAGAGTGCCCCTTCAGACCAGGACCACAGCTTCACTCGGTTCCTGGCTGCCAATCAAATTAACCAGTGATCATCGAGATAGATCATGTGGAGTTGTGCGATTTTTGGGAGTTACGGTACTGAGGGCGCTTTTATTTGCGTAGGGGATTCAATTTTATTACAAAGTTCAAGATTTAAAACTCTACGCCTGGTTATCACATAAACCATGTATGCGACTGATCAAATTCGATTGATTATAAAGAGGTATCCAAATCATATAGATAGAAAAGGCGTTGAAATAGCCGTGCACGATTCTATCCTTCAAGAGGCACATTTTATTGCCGGTAATCCCTCTAATGCAGTTTGGGGCAGATTTTTTGCTTTTGCTACTTGATTAATATTCAATTCCATGCTTTCCCCATTTCAATTGTCCTAACATATTTATTTACGGTCAAGAGGAATTGGTTTTATTGATGCCCAGGCATACATTGCAGGTGTATATCTATCAATATAAAATCCAATCATCAAACTCATCACATGACCAAATCTTGCCTACATCTTATTTCGTCGTTCTCTGTGTGCAGGGTTCGTTCTCGTAACCAGTTTTTTCATTATGCCACGTGCAGTACGAGGTAAGTACCAACAGCGAGACGTTCAATTGAGCTGGTATTAACAATGGCGGTCTAAGTATCCTCATCGAACGCGATCCCTCGATCAAATCCATAATCCTCAAATATGATGAGGAACTGCATGATTATGTTGTAGAGGACTTGGATGATGAGAATCACCTCGTTATCAAGGAGAGCTGACTCCATACCCTGAAAGAGCGCCTAGACCAGGTACTCTCTACCGTCATATAATTGACATTCATTGAAGCTTTACTCGTCGGGCGTAAAAAAATTGCGGTCAAGTTGCTAGTGTATAAACAAGATCTTGATCTGAAGATCATGCAATTGGATATATCTGAGTCTGAGTGAGAATGAGCAGGACATTAGGAAGACCTCTGGAGTCCAGGCAACGAATTGATCTACATCATGTCATCATTTACCTTTCACCTAATTGTAGACTATAGATTCGGAATTCCGAAATATTGCAGGCAAATTTGTACCTAGAAAATCTGAAAAATTCAAGCTTTTATAGTAGATCTCATGTTTGGAATGACGTCATCCATTCTCGAGCTCTGATCGAAAGCAGCAAAGCTCCGACGTCCTCCAATCTTCAATTCCCCTCAACAACACCAAATCATATCATCTAGTCCAAATTTGTGACATTGATACATTTTCTTCTGTTAAGTTCTGTATCAGAACCATAGGTGTACATTACATTACCTCTCACTTTTGACCAACATAACTGGATATGGATGTAAGTTTTCAATACCTGAACAGCATACCGGAACAGCTTGATCGAAGCTTCCAGCCATCGGGGTTTCATTACCTCTCAAATACTGATCCAGAGAATCGCAGGTATTCCACTTGTTTACGTGGTCAACCGCGGCATGGCTGTCGCTGCAGAGCTTGCCACTGATTGTAAGCCCGAGTATGGTCGCAGCTATGCTCTTGGATGAAACCCGGGCCATCACCTGTATATTCAATCCCAAGACTCCAAACTCCAATTCTCGCATCTCTAACACTTGGTTTTTTTAGCTCTCGAGATCTACTTTGCCCGGTGCCTTGGTATAGGCCTACTGACCATTGCAGTCATCATTCTGATGCTTACGGGCTCCATCCCTTTGACGTCCTCAATATCATCACCCATAACCACCGACGATTCGGATCCAAGGGCGCCATATGCCATTCCTACTCTGATTGTGACATCTCTGTTCCATAGCGCCTCTGCTTTCAACGTGTATAGTTGGTACATTGTCGGAGGACAGACAGCATTTGCCGCTGCAGTTGGTGCAAACTCTCTTCTTGCATTCATCGGTCTGTGGTGTGTGCTCTTCGCAAACAGCAATGGTAAAATTAGTACCAAAACTGGTCTTGATAAGAGGACCGCGGGATTTCCGTTCAAGAATTCCGAGGCGTATAAGAAGCATTCAGATAAAAAGGGTCTTTAAGTGGGCTTTTCCTTGAGGATTCATCTGGTTTACAGCTATTGCAGGTTGAGATAGCATAGATCAGGCAGCCTACCAAAAACTGACACGCCAAAATCATTTAAATAAGATTTTATTCTTATGATACAGCCCGAGGATTTGGCGAATTTAGTTAGTAGGAATCACGGGAGGCTTATGATAAACAACAGCCTTTGAACCTTGATACTTGCGTATATAACCAGCATCCGTTGAATGTTTATAAGGCATGATATACCTGTTCACTGATTGTGTCAAAGACTTGGAACCTTCGTCCATCCGCATGCCCAACCCAAATTGGTCAATGTATTGGAATGAAAGAGTTTATTTCTCGGTTTTCGGTGACTGTTGAATGTCTGACCTCGGAGTTGTGGAGATCGCCTCATTTCATTACTTCCAGGATCTCCAGCTCGACTGGATGTTGAGACAGAGAGGACCCTGATTTAAGTGATGTAAAGGTAAAATGAGGAACCTTGGAATGGACCTATGTTGGCTGTTCGCTTCTAAATTCTGGAGGTCCTTCACTTGAATATGAATTAAGAGCTCTAGCCCCGGAGAGTAAGATGACAGTCTTCCAAGTCAATGTTCCATGTTGTCCTACGGATACCGGCCCAAATAAATCGCCCACAGTTGAAACGACGACAGGAGGCATGGACACGATGACAGAAAGGATAACTGGTGTATCACCTCTGCCATCTTATCCACGAACGCATCGTCTAGGGTTGGTTTAGCCGAAAGAGGCTACGATACGTTAACAAACTCTTAAGCATGTATGCTTGTATAACTAGGTACATTATAATATCATTTGGATATCATTTACTACGCAGTTGATGTACTTGATGCCTGCACGAAACGAGAGTCGGCACATCAGTACTACAGAGGCCAGGAACAAACTGAAGAAAGAAGACTTGATTTGTTATATCAAACGGGAAGTGAACCTTTCATTGCATTCGTGGTAGTAGTAAAGGACTCAGCAACTTGGTCCAATACAGCATGGACTTTTGTTGATGTCATTGCCACCGCTGTGGTGAGTGCTATGGTGAATAATGACTTAGGTAGGTATTTGGTAGTACATAAACCTTCCAAGGTTGGAAGTGAAGGTGATGGTCATGGGAGCCGTCCACGCAAGCTTCAGATGCGAATTACCCTAAAATGTCCAACCATGGTACAATTTTGTCACGTTTACAAGATTAGCCTAGTAGATGGATGAAGAGTCAGACCTTCCCTTATTTGGATGTGACGTGGTTTACAGAACCCTAACTTATACTAATATATATCAAAATACTTCTAAGGTTTTACCCTCATCGTAAGATTCCCTCTCCTTAAAAAATTTCTTTGCCTCCTCTAACCTTTCTACTTTTCTCATCTTGTCTCGAATCATGCTTTGGTTCGACAAAATGAGTCAAATGACTAGAAAACGGCTGAGAGAGAGCCTGGAAGCAATGATGACGGGAATTTTCCATATTGCTGAGAAAAAGATCAACCTGGAACGGCTCAAACAACTGGCTCAAAAGCCACCAAAAGTGTATCCCTATGTTCCTATATCGTCCTTAACCCTGAAAGAGGTCGAGAAATGCATGAAGCTTAAGAGCACCACAGAAATGGACTTAGAGCTTTACCAGTTCATTGCTCCTGTCGATTTGTGTGACGCGCACAGTAAGTACTGTCAACAAATAAGAGCAAAATTCAACTAACTTATAGAAGCCAGCGTCTTGAAAAGTTGTCAGGTCGCATTTGCTAAAGACGAAAAAGAGCTTGCTCGCCTTACACTGGGACTTCTCCTTGGTTATGCAAACAAGATCGTAAGCTCCAATGCGAAAGTTGTACGCCCTTTGAATTTTGGCACAAATGGCTGTATATGGAAATTTGGATCTGTGACCCTTCGCCGAATGAAATCAATACTTTGGGGCCGACCAGATTACCACCTTTGGTACGGCAAACGGGCCAATACGGCAGTGAATGTGGTTGTGGTACAGTCCAAAGGTCCTGGAACTGGTATCGCACAAGCATTATGCTACATGGGTAAGTTCTTATACTCGTGAACTCAAAGCAATGTTCAAGAATCTAACTGGCCAAAGGAGTGATACACCGCCGCCAGATGGAAGAGAATAATGACTCAAAGGTGTATGGGGTTTGTTCTGATGGACAAAAATTCCATCTTCTCAAGATAAATGAGAACTCCGAGGTTCGTAATCTTTCCATTCTTCTAGAATATCATTATCCTGTTACTCATACATCAATAGTGGAGTGAACGCATACTGACGGTCCGAGACCGTGACTTTACGAACGTGCTTGGGTATCTGGTCTACATCTTATACCGGGCGGCGGGCTTATCACCGGAGCTTTCAAAGAAATCAAGTGGCTACTCGAAGAATCCAAGCCGTGAATCTGATAAAAGGCTCCGCTGCAAGTCCAGGAGCCGCAAAATTTGCCTTGAGCCAATCATAGAAGAAATGGAAGAGTAAGCGATTTTAACCTCGTCTACTGAGCCCACGCCAGAGCCTGTCATAGCAGAAAGTCCTTCTGTAATTGCCAACACCTTTGCAGAAGCTGAAATATTCACCTGAAATCTAAAGTAGCAGTGGAGCAGCTTCAGAGACCGGGATCGATAGCTTCCTGGAGAAACCACCTGGATATGCTAGTACGGTGAATAGCGTTACCTAGGTATTCATCTGCAGTCACGCAATTACTTCGAAAAATGCCGGTGGCTTTCAACTACCAACCTTGGAAGGTAGCAGCGCTTTCGTCCTGTGTACGGATCCTGAGGTCTGATCCTCCGGTGCTTCCAGGCAGCGCTTGTTTATATACCTCGAGGGTATGTTTGACTTGTTGTTTGTGGGAGTCAAAAAGTGACCCATCATAGTCAACTCCAAGGGTCGGTATCAGAAGATGGAACATCGAACTAAGTAGCTAAGGAGAAGCCTTAATTCAACCCTGATGTTCTAAGATGAGGTTCTGAGTAGATCCCAAGGTTCGGATTAACCTCTCAAGCTCATAACAGTTGACCTATACGGAGAATTAGTAGTGAACATCAATTCAAGTCACCTTGGAAGATAATTAAACCGTAAAACAGCTAACGAAAGCTGAATGTGGGATGATCACTTTGTTCTCTCTCATCTTACTTTTTGTTCTTGGTTTCTCCCTCATAATGGAAATGAAGAGGGGAATCAAAACTTGGAAGAAAAAAGAATAGGAAAAGGGCCTCTTATTTGAATATTAGCATGTAACATGTGACCTCTGAGTCTATAAAAATAGTCCTTATCTTATCGCTTTCGATAACGCCGCTTCAACCGCCCTCCCTTCTCCGCAAAAGCAGCAAGCAAACTCTACAGCTCAAAATGTGGGGGAGATTGATACCAGCCAAAATGAATCCACCCCTCCAAAGACCCGTAAGCCCTTCTTTAGCATCTGAGATACCCATCGTCGATGAAAACTCCAGTCTAGGCGCGCAACTAGACTCTCAGCCCTTCACCTTTACCACACCCCAACAGTCCCTCCATACTACGCAGCAGAATGCAATAACCGTTGGAAGCAATGCGCTCGGGTCTGCAAGTCATGGTGTAGATTTCCCACAGCCACCAGAGCAGTCCTTTCATCTATCTGGCTATGATGGAATGACTGACGCGGCGGAAATGTCATTCGCCGGCCAATTGGAGGGCATGAAACTTATTCCCAATCCACCCGATCTGGAATTTTGGAGAGAGAAGCTGTTTCATGTAGATGGGGTGATCACATTGAGTGAAGAAGAGTATGTCATGAAACAGTACTACGGCGTTCTTGCTGTTGAATCCAAAAAACAAACAATTCGGCTAATAAGCGTTGCTTCCCCAGATTCCAGACCTACTTTCCCCATGTTGACAACGTTTACTCCCATCGCTCCACTCAGAGATATAAACGTAGACCATTCGTATCTCACTACTGGGACTGTCGACTTAAAGGTCGACCACCGGGTACACCCAAGTCCAGCGATCCTAATAAGAAAAAGCGCAAACGTATCGCGCGGGAACGGGATCTATGCGATGTCAAGATCAAGATTACTGAATACTTTCCCATCTCTACGGATGTTGATACATCTGGGGGCTTTGAATCAATGCCGGCTGAGTTCTCGCCTGGTGTCCATACTCTATTTCCCGTTCAAAAGGAGAACTTTCCATTTGGTGTAGTTTCGCCGCGGGGAAACTTACCATCAGGTCAGGTTGGAGCTAATAGTGGGAGATATTTCACCATTCAGAGAGTTAATGGTAATGGCGCTAATGGAAAGAACGATGGTGTTGATGGTGGTCATCGACATACACTGGAGGAGAGTGATCGAGTTAAGAAGAATAGTGTACAACGACATTATTTGAAGGAAGGTAAAGAAATGAAAAAGGCTGTGGTAAGTCTATTTTTTCTCTGTTGCATGATGCTACTGCAAAATATCTTTGTATATTGATTCTTTTCGTTCTTATTTTTCTTTCTTGATTTATGTCTGACCACCTCCCCAGAGAAACGTATCAGACGCAGCAATGATGGGCCTGAAATCATACCACACCAGAGCGACGGGTCTGGCTGCCAACACAGCGATAAAACACTCAGCCGAATCAAGCCTCAAGCTCTATGGCAGCTGTTTCTGGTAAGTGCGAGTTTCACATGAAGGGTTCCGTACAAATCTTGCTTGCTTGAGGGTCTTGATGCTGATTTGTCATTTGTACAGCCCTTTCGTGCAACGAGTTTGGATCGCTCTGGAATTTAAAGGCATTCAGTACCAATATATAGAGGTGGATCCCTATTACAAGCCACAATCCTTGTTGGAGGTGAATCCACGAGGTCTCGTTCCAGCATTGCGCCACGGCGATTGGGGCTGTCATGAGAGCACAGTGCTGCTAGAATATGTAAGAAGTTCCAGCATCAGGGCATCGCCCATCTTTGGTACCAAGCTAATACAGACACTCTAGCTCGAGGACTTAAAACTCGGCATGGCACTTCATCCAGCAGACCCAAAGCTGCGTGCTAATTGCAGGCTATGGGTAGATCATGTCAGAGGGCCTTAATTCCGAACTTCACTTCCTGGTGCTAACAGAAAGTAGATCAATCGATATGTCGTCCCAAGCTTCTATCGATTATTGCAAGAGCAGGACCAACAGAAACATAATGCGCATACGCAGGAACTTCAGAGCGGATTGAACAAACTGATGGTGGCAGCACATCCGGCTGGGCCATTTTTTTTCGGAGAACAGATGTCCTTAGTAGACATTCATGCTGCACCCTGGGCTATTCGGCTCCGTCGAGTCATGAAGCCGTATCGAGGCTGGCCGGATGCCGCTGAAGGAAGCAGATTGGAGTCTTGGCTAAATGCCCTCGAGGCAAATCAGCACATCCGTGCAACGACCAGCACGGATCAGCTCTATGTTGACAGTTATGAGCGATATGCCCGTAAGTATATCTCTCTGCTCGGGTATGATTCATGACTGACGCCATTTCGCATAACAGAGAATCGACCAAACACATCTCAGCTTGCAAACGCAATTAATTCTGGAGATGTGCTTCCTTGATGCATTCCGGCCCCCTTTCCTCCATGGTTTATACAATGAGCCATTTTATAATAGTCTCGTCGTAAGCCAGTATGTTAATTTAACTCGTTCGAGCACCTCTGTTGCTGAATCCAAAACCACCCCTTCCACTTGCATCAGGGCCTCGAGGGCTGCGTATTGGTTGTTGCAGAACTTGCTGGTCAGAGTCGCTCCGGTCTCCTTGGCGATCTCGTCTCTGTAGATGAGCTGGACCATTTGCCCTCGCGGCGACGGTGGGATCGTAAAGATTCTTGGTTTTTCCGGAAGCGGTGGATGGATCTCGTTTCTCTCGGTGATCACGCCCACCACGACCTTTGCCCTTTCCTTTCCCTTCGCCTTGCTGACGAGGTGGAGTGGTAGTTCCTGGGGTCGAATTGCCTGATGTAGTCGCAGATGTAGAACCAAACAATCTCTCTCTAGCCTCTTCATACTTGCGTTGCTTCTCCTCTCTATTCTTGAGCGCAATTGCATGACGTTCTTCTGGGGTGGGTTCGGGGGTTTGATAACCTCCTCATCTGAGTCGTCCTCTAACCCAAGCTGGCCCATTCCAGCAGTCGCACTGTTAATTCCAGAGTATCTTGTTGCAACCTGCGGTCTTCGACTGAGCAATGTAACGGTTGGTTTAATATCTTGCTTTAGGGGTACGTCTGAGCGCGCCTCGACAAAGTGGAGTGTCTGTGGGGATTCACTGATGGGGTAAAAATTTACTTAGCAGCCAAGAATATTATGCTTCATGCAGTTTATATAACATACGCCTCAGCCCATAGTTGCCGATTAAACTCTGCTTGCTGCGCCCTACGCTGTGCTTTTGTAACTTTCGATGAGACTTTTTTCTCGGGTGGCGGAGCAGTCTATAGACCAGACAATTCCATCAGTATTCATTCAAAGTAAGATAATATTGCAAGAAGCAGACTGAAACACAAGTATGAGATGGCTAGATGACTATGGAACTCACATCAGCTTTCGATTCCCAGTCATCATCCCAGGCATCGGGGACTCCAGATCTGATACTCATTATGAGAGCAGGTTAGAATATGCGAAAATATGTCCAAAGTGAATAGAAATTATAATCTGAGGATATTCACACTGTGGTCAGTGAATCAATGAGGAGAAAGAAAATTGGTCGGGGCCCAAAGAAAAGGCCCACCGCCCAGTCCGATTGGAGACTCCGTTTTAACTGCCACTTTGCGATCCATCTTAACATCAACCCCAACCACATCTGCAAAAATGGATTGTAAGTTCTTGATTCTCATGACTGTTGCTTGTGTAAAAGAATCTGTCATTGTCTCTTCCTCTTCCATTTCTCCTTTCATCCACTCACGAGTTACGACTAACCACAGACTCAAGATTCACAAGATTCTCAATATTCTCGATATTCTGACATTGACTCCGAAATAGACCCCTCCCAAAGCACTGGCTCTGCCCAAATAGACCATGACCCCCAAACTCCAGCTCATAACAACATCTTCTCTTCGACCACTCGCAAAGAGGAGCTCAGCCCACCTGAACTTACTCGCTGGACTGAATTCATAGAGAAATATCCAGGGTATGCGGATATTCCAAAGGAGCACCGAGGAGATCGAGGAGAGCGCAAGCGGAGAGAACATGATGTTGTTGACAAAGACTTTAGCTTGGGTGAGTGATATATATCTCTAACCAGTAACCTTTGCTCTTGAACTCATTAGCTATTCTGCTCTACAGAGGAATTCGGAGACCCATTTGATGATACCGATATGGTAGAGAAGCTGTGATAGTTCTCGGCGCTTTATTGCTCATAAAATGATTAATGAGATATGACTGAAGTCTCTACATTCTCCGCTGTTACATCGTACTGCTGTGATTCTCCTAGCTGGATGAGAATATGAACATGTTCAGGTGGATTATCGTATGATACCTACGAGAGCTCTACTTCTGAGTGACTCTATACCATATGTAGATATCACCGCAAATCATTTGTCTGCCTCCTCCTTTCATTTCCAAGGTTAGTTATACTATGATTTGATTATTGTTATAAAGAAGGAGTTAGTATGATTGATGGAATGCCGGTGCTCATTGGCAGCCTTTCAATAGGCGTTTTTTTTTCTGATTGGAGTGAACAAAGTTGGATGAAAGCGGTGTTTTAGTATAAAGTACATAGTTCCAAGGTTGATATATGGTTTAGAACTGAAAAGCAGATAACAATTACGGTCCATGTAAGTAGAAATAGCGACTATGTAGGCCAAGCAACCTTTTGCACTAAATCTGTATGAATGGATTCTTTTTTCATGTTAATTTTCCAATATGTATAAATGGTAGAATTCCAGTATAAATTCTATTCTATTTCCCAGCATAAACTCGGCATAAAACCACATGGAATTAACGTTGTGCCTTGAAATCAACGTGGATGCCAAAATGACCTAAAGTGATTATCAAGGCCGGTTGGCAGGACAACCATCGATAAACGGCCGAAAAGCAAAAACTACCCTCATTGACAGAACCCCTCTACATTATTTACCCTTATATTTTTAAGGATAAATTCAACTTCAATAACTCATATTCCATAGCAGACATATTTCAATTTATTCTTTCGAAGAGGTTTGACATAGATTCTGGATCGGCTTCTTTGACACATTCCTCGAGTCGAAGTAGAAGTCACAACAATGTCCGCCCCGTAAGTCTCCCACCACTTGGTCGCACTACAACCCTTCAAGCCCACACTATACTATGCATCAAATCCTCTCCCGTTTATTCACAACCTCAGATCGAGATTGTGCTAGTGGCTAACTACATTCCTTTAAAAAGTTCCACTGACACGCGTATCCACAGCTCCCCTGAGCAGGAAGGATTTCACTTCACGCCCATCAAAGCCTTACGCGTCCTTCCCCGCCTGTGGGAGCGCACACCCTCTACACCGTTTAGGACTGGCCAGAAACCGCGTAAGCTTTGGAAGCGCATTGCTGGTATGGCTGGTCTCTCGACGGCGCCTACTGGTGACGCGTCGACTACTGCGATCAGTAATACCAGCAACAACACGGAAGTCCGAGGTGTGAAACGACTGCGTACCAACGCAGGAGATCTTACAGAAGAAGATGAGGACAGTCAGTCTAGAAGTTTCCTCGAGACAAAATGGGAACCTCAGGTATTTGAAAAACAACGTGAGTACGACAATTTTTTTTTCTCGTCGGCACTGTATTTTTTGAGGTTTTCGTCCTGCTAAACTCGGAGTATAGGAAAATTGCCCGACGATACAACTCATAGTTGTGACGAAGTTTCTCAACTCGGATCGGCTGTTTCTGCAGCCACACCAGGTGGTCCCATCAATGACGTCGACGTCGACATCACAACAACTGACTCGTTTCGACCAACTAAGATCCCTCGAAGCCCTAGCAACTCTCCTATATTCTCTGATGCCGAGAATCCGAGTTCTCTGACCTCTGACGTAAAGGCGATTGAAACCGAATGCTCTGGACCCTTTGCCGAAGACCAATGCGCATTGATCGACAATGCATCCAAGGACGGAAATGGAGATGACGCACCCACCCCGACAGAAGCTGTGCGCAACCTGACTCAAAAGCAAGAGGGTACACTAGTAAGATCTGCACTGCGAAGCTCGCTCGATGGAGCTGATGCCGAGCTCCTGAATGACTTCCTGTCGAAGGCGCAAGCTAAGCGTGCAGCCAAAGCGGTCTCCATCACCCCGCACATTGATGATGATGCGAAAGAGTCGTCCGGTCAAGAGTCCCAAGATGTTGAAAGTGACGTGTCGCGCTTACGTCGCGTCCTGGAGATTCTGGATGCGAACAAGTCGCCCACCAAGTCACTTCTATCGCCCACGAAAGGTGTCAACACCGGGGATGGCGCCAAAAACGAAAATAATGACAGCAACGAAATTTCCAACGCAGTCGTCAATACGAATACTCAGACTAGCGAACCAGCCCCTTTAGCCTCCATATCCCGGCGCAGCGCGCGAGCCAGAGTTCCGATCGAGCGCAACAATATCCCTCTTCGCCGGCCGAACGGTTCAGAGTTTATTTTCCAAAAGCGTACCCCGGAACAAGAGTTTGCCTTGGCCATCAAGCGTAACACCCGCAAGAATTGTGGCGCCGTATGGCCAAAGCAGGTCCTCATGTTCATGGCTCTACCTGAGGGATACCAAGGGCCGGAGCTCCTGTCTTCTGACGGTGAAGACCGTCCACTCAAGAATCCTCCCAAGAATGTTACCTGGAACGAAGAGGAGATTGAAGAGCACATACAGTGGCGAAATGAGATGGATGCCAAAAAGGCCCTTGGGTCACCCCAGGATCCGACAGATGACATCGATGTTGATGTTGACATTGAGCATGTTGATACTGACTCTGTCTTACCATCAGCCGCTGGCAAGGCAAGAGCAAAGCGATCAATGGCCAACATTCGCGCCGCTGCTACTGTCAATTCAAGAGTTGGAAACAAGAGACGCATGGTCGGTACGATTGGTGTTTCGGGTACCCCCGTGAAGAAGCGTCCGATCAGGCCATCACCCTCGATGGCTGCTGCGACCACTAGTGAGAAAAATACTGCTGAGGAGACTATGGAGCTTGCAGGCACTTCTGTGCCCACTATTGCTGAGTCCGCAACTTCTGCGCCAGCAACTCCTGCTAAAGGTCGCCGTAAGCTAATTCCTAAGTCTCCAGTTTTTTCAAAGCCAGCAAGTGCATCATCTAAGAGTAGCATCCCTACTCGTACCGGCTCTAGTTCTGGTTCTGATTTTGCTTCTGGCTCCGGAACTAGCTCTGGTGGCTCTGCGACAGAGTGCCACGCTAGTAGCTCTAGTAGCAGTGCTGAGGAATGGAAACCACATGTGCCCAAGACGACTCGATCCAACGCAGGTAGCACACCTCGTCGCGTTAAGCGCAGTAAGGTATGATGGCTTGCTCCAGCTTTCACTTGATCGTTTTACTTTTCTTACATCTTTACTCAACTCTTGCCTTTCATTGCCTGGTTGATTCTATATCTAATGATTATTGCCGGACAATATGGAGTTTCTCTGCGTTTTAAGATACCACTTTTTTACTTGCGCTCTTCCTTTTGTTTCGTGACGTTTTGATATTGGCCTGTTACTCAAAGTCCTTGGGCTTGTTATCCTTATGAATTGACTCTTTTTAACTAAAAAATTGAATGCTGATCATTTTTGTGTACCCGATTGCCTTTGCGCCGCTTTTGCTTGATAAGTAGAACTGAGTACGCCTCTAAGCATCCATGACATACGCTCAACGCTCGCTCAGTATTAATCGGCACTTAGGGACCTCACTCACAATGCTGGAACATTTCAAAGAACAACCTATACCGGGAGAAACCTCATACCTTATCCCATATTAACAAGGTCTTGGTGAAAACATAGGCCAAGAGTCGACTTCATTGATAGTAAGACTCAAAACCCGGTGTGGTTATGAAATATCCTAGATTTTCGTGGCGGGATTCCGACTTATCGAAGACTTCTGCTCATGTCAAGGATATCAAGCTTAGTTTTGAGGTTGAAAAACGGCTTTTTGATATCTTACGAATACACTCTAGAATCATTCAGTAAGTAATAGTCCTACTGAGCTTTGTATGTTTGCAGCTAATATCACGTGGCTGTCATACAAATACCCATAAGTCCTCACCCTCTCCTCTTCTCATAACTTAATTATGAAGATTTTACAAACTAATGAAGCTTTCAAGAGGATTTATGGTCGAATGGTGCTCTCCTACGTCCAGATTCTTGCCCGCCATGATGATATATTATACACTGGTAAATGGATGAATAGATTTGAATTGCCGAAAACATTTGAGGATCTTCAAGAAGTCAAGCAAATTTCCACCGAGGATCGAGGTTCAAACGCGAATACCTCTTGGTCGGCAGTCTATACCAAAACACCAAGTCTTCTCAAATATACCGATGAAAATCTCGAATGTCAAATCATTCGCGAAGTTGAAGCATGTGAAGTCCTTCGAATGAATCCCCACCCTAATATTGCTACCTATTACGGCTATCATGAAACCAATTATCGAGTTTCTGGGTTATGCTTTAAGCAATATAGGTCCATGTTACTTGAAGCAGTCAACCCTCAACACTTTGGCAAGGTTTCGTAACGTTCAAGTCCACACGAGCTAGTGAATTTGAATATGAAATGCAGTTTAGAGGGATTACTGGCCGCCATCTAACATCTCCACTCCCTTGGACTTGTACATAACGATATTAGTCCGGCAAATATCATGCTCGACGAAAACGATACCCTTATTCTCATCGATTTCAATAGCTATCGACATATTGGTGAGTCTTTATGCGATACACAAGCCAAAAGAACTCATGAATGGCACGACCCATATACTGAAATCTCCCTTGAAAGCAACGACCTTAATGCGTTTAAAGAATTACAAATCTGGCTGACCAGATCGGCGGATGAAGATCTTCTCTTTGGATAAAATGTATCTATCGAAGAACAAGTTTGTTCCCAACTGACTATAAACCGACCAAGTTATGAGTAATGTAACCTTCCAAGGTTCCAAGGGTGGAACGTTTCTTAAGTTGTGTCATTTGACCAGCCCTGAATGTTATCACTGTAGTAGACACCTGGGCGGCTATCATCTTCATAATTAGCTGGGTTAAAGTCATAGCAGCTGCCATCCACGAGCCATGTGATCCTAGAATGATAGCTCTGGAGCTGACATTGGTTCCAACAGATTGACCCTGAGCAGCCTTTGAGTAATCTATGCTCGATCAGTGGGTACTCAGTGAACACTTTATCATTAATCTATCATGTGATAGCAATGGGCAGCTCAGTGAGCCCGACCCTGAGCAACCGCATAAAAGCAGCAGTGGCTGAAACCTTGGAATAGGGAAATGCCGACTTGGAAAATATGTGGTACGTGAAGCTACCTACCTAGGTGCTAAAGTACTGTACTACTACTGTGTAGCACGGGCTCCCTGTGGGGTGACGTGAAGCAAATTTGATCTTGATCAGTTCGATATCTGATCTTCACTGGGCTTATGCATGGCGTGAGTCCGTCTCTATTGTGGAGCGGCTTATTACCATCTTCCTAATTGCCTAGAAAATAAAAGGAAATGCTCCATTAATACGTTAAGTATATTAGCTTCAATTCTATCCCCGCCCTCATGCCTACACTTGCTAGGAGTAGTTAGAGAGAATCCACTGTATCCATACTTCCAAGTTATGCCAGTTCTTTCAACGTTATCTAAGGAGGTGGGTAATACCCCTGGACATTTATGAATGGAGCGAGTTCGTATGTACAACTAAATTGCCTAGGTATGATAACCTAAAGTATAGGTATCACCTCATTCAAGCACCTCATTCAAGGTTCTAGCTTATTACTATCCATCTAATGGGCCTATCCCAATTAAGATGTCTATACTCTGTACTCCGTGCTCAAACCCTAACAGGGACACGAAAAATACGAAGTTTCTCTCCAACTGAGGCATTTAAATCCCGAACACGTTGAACTACTCCATACCTAATCTTCTTCACCACTAACAGGGACGGAGTACGTGGAGAACAGCAGAGTGTGAACCCAATCAGCGGGGTATACTTATAGAGATGACTGGATACCTGAACCACATAATGAAACGTGTACGGAAATCCTTGCACCAAGAGTAATAACCTCAGCTTGAATAGGTAACTATATAGCGAGTGCTCTATAGCTGCTATCCTAGTCGACCATTTGATTAACGATGTAAATCATACGGTCAATCTTGGAAGTACAAGAACCTGAACCAAGGAATCTATTCAGGCCCACCAGCCTTGTATCCGAACTATCTCCTTTCGGCCTCGGTGTTGCGCAGTCTCCCGAATCTGCCCACCAGCCAATACATTTTCCGAATTCTCCCGCCTCCTTGACAGAATACGCTATTCTGTCTTGGGGAAAGACCAATAATTGAAGCCTGGGGGCCTTTCCGTACTAGTGGCGCAGGAGCTGCGAGCCACACGCGGGATGACGATGTTCATACGGAGCAATGTGCTCCCTGGGTTGTAACCTTAACCTTTATTTTTTAATTTCCATCAGCCTTCAGGAACGGTGTAACCTGTAAGGATTAGGGGGGGGGGGGGGGGGGGGGGGGGGTTAAGTATATTTTTGACTGCTTTGGTGTTAGTGCTTCCAAGGTTGTTGGTATTGGGGGGTTGGAGTACGGAGTAGGCACGGAGTAAAGGAAGTTTTTATTTCCCTTACCCTCTGATAACGGAAACTACTTCGTTTACACAATACCGAGATTGCAACAGGTAATATTCATGAAGATCCCGTTCTCTGAACCTTACGTTTTACTCAGTCTACCTGGGTAGCGAATTACGACGTATTGAGGTGGTCTAGCGTGGAATCTAGCTGTACATTCTTCTAGTTACTTGGGATCTACGAGGTATTAAGGAAAGGTAATTCAAATGTTGCGTAGTGTGTCTGGTAATTGGAGCCAGGTCATTTATATTGCGTCTGTTTCATTAAAAATTTCGCCCTGTTACATAATTTTGTTCCACATTTAAGCAGAAGTGTTGTTGGCGGTCTCAGCAGGCCAGTTGTCGTAACCAAAGGTGTCCTTCATGTTCACGAAACGGAAGTGACGGCCTTTGGCCACAGAGTTGACAGCCTCAAACTCTTCGTCACTAAGCTCGATGCTCTTGAAGTTGGACTCAATGCGCTTGGGGTTGGAACTCTTGGGAAGCACAACGTAACCACGACGAATACCCCAGGCAATCAGCACCTGGGCCAAAGTGTTGCCGCCCTTCTCGGCAATGGCATTTAGTGTCGCGTTCTCAGCGACTCGCTCACCGGTAGTGGGCACTTGGTTCTGGGAGCCCAGGGGAGAGTAGGCCTCAGGCAAGATGTTGTGGTCGAAGCAGTACTTGACAAGCTCGTCATTAGGCAGGAAGGGGTGGATCTCAATCTGGTTGACCATGGGCTGGACCTTGGCGAACTTGGCCATAGCCTCCAGCTGGGGGATGGTCCAGTTGGACACACCGATGGCCTTGGCCTTGCCATCCTCGTACAACTTCTCCATGGCGCGCCATGTGGTCTCGTGGTTCTCAGTCAAGTCCTTGAGGATAACATACTAGATAAATTGTGAGCAACGAGATATTAATCTTGAGTATATGGAAGCTTCCATACCTGTCCATTAGAGTCAATCTTGGGGGTTTCCTGGTCTTCCTTCTCGGAAGCAATGGGCCAGTGAACCAAGAATAGATCGACATAGTCCAATCCCAGGCGCTTCAGAGAATTGTCGATCGACCAGAGAACGTCTTCGTAACGGTGCAGGTGGTTCCAGACCTTGGTGCAGACGAAGATATCCTCACGCTTGACGGAGGTGTTCGCTTTCAAGAAATCACGAATAGCTTCACCGACCTCCTCCTCATTCATATAGAACCAAGCACAATCCAAGTGACGGTATCCAATTTGGAGAGCAGCAGTGACAGCCTGATAAGACTCGCCCTTGGAACCTTCACTAGCAAAGGTACCGAAGCCAACAGCGGGGATCTTAACCCCGTTGCTCAATGTGAAGGTCTTTCCGTTAGACATTTTGAATCAATTGAATATATTGAAGAGGAAGTAGAAGGAAGAGAGAAAAGAAATGAGGTGCGTTATGGTGGGGGGTCAAAGCGATGACGATGAGTGGGGGTTATGAGGGGTAATTGGTGTAGCTTCTTCGTTCTTTGGCGCTCTATTTCTACTCAAACAACGTGACCTGGGAATACGGATGTCTCGAACTTATCTGAATTTCGGTAATTTTGAAATGACATCATTCTATCCGAAACAGTGTTTTGAGCGTTTGGCTCCATTTCGATCGTCATCGTCTCCATCGATCTCATACCGTTCCATGGGCGAACCGTGCTCTCATCCAATCATTAATATCTTTCATTTATTACCATTAAACGAGTGGACTAATGCTGACCACCGAAACTAGACTATCCAATCAATAATCCTTATCAGTGGCTCATCAGAGGGTCGCGGTGTACATGGTACACGGAGAAATACCGTATCAGTCACTATGACGCAGGTACCTTATACACAATATCCACCCTCACCTCTCCACCTCAAGCCCTCAACCACTTTTGAATCCTGCTAACGCCAAATGGGCCAAAATGTGCCAAATGTTCTACAGAAATACCAATGCCTAACTAATAACGATAATTCTCAGGAAGGATCACACCCAATGAGTGGATCCCCACCCCCCTATGTCTGCACCAGTCGAAATGCTCAGATAATGCCACTTTTGTTTTCAGTTTGCCAATTGAGACCAGCCAGTATCGAGATAGTTCTGATTTGTTATATATACGCCCTCTGTTCCCGTGTGGAAACTGTTTTATTTCTCTCTTCATCCTCAGTCTCCCTTTTGCGTCCTGGTCATATACTTCGTCGGTGACTTCTTCCAATCTCTATATCCTATAGATCATCCTACTCCCGCATATCTATCCATTATGGCTCACATTGACGACGCTGATCTCGCTGTTGAGGCTGCCCCTACCGGCGAATCTCACTCTGGTGCTCCCATCGCTATTCCCTCAGATGGCAACACCATTGAGATCCCCGCTACCCGTAGCGCCATTAGCGATGCCGCTCGATTCATGCACAATTTGAGCTTGTCGCCGTCCACGAAGGACCGCCGAGGCTCTCGTAACTCATTTGGCACATCGCTGCCCATCCCTCGCTCACCCCGCCTCTCCCGCCTGTCTACTGCTAAGCGGCCTGGTGCTTCATCAGTTTCCCGAGACATCCTGGCCTCCCAGATCCAGGACATGTCCAAGGAGAAGGTGGATGCCGCTAAGAACATGGCCTTTGCTTTTGATATCGATGGTGTGCTGGCACACGGCAACGAGGCGATCCCCGAGGCCATTGAGGCTTTGAAGATGCTCAACGGCGATAACGAGCTTGGCATCAAGATCCCTTACATTCTGTTGACTAATGGTGGTGGTAAGACTGAGGTTGAACGCTGTGCGCAACTCACCGAGGTTCTCAAGTGCCCCATTTCTACGGATCAGTTCATCCAGTCCCACACTCCCATGCAGGCATTGGCTGAGTACTATGACACTGTCCTGGTTTGCGGTGGTGAAGGATTCAAGATCCGTGAGGTAGCTGAGAGCTATGGTTTCAAGAATGTGGTGCACCCTAAGGATATCCTTGCATGGGACCCTACTGTCTCCCCTTGGCGCTGCTTCTCTGAAGAGGAGCGTGCTGAGGCTAAACCCCGCGACTTCTCTAAGATCAAGTTTGATGCTATCTTGGTCTTCGCCGATTCCCGCGATTATGCCACTGATATGCAGATTATCTTGGATTTGCTCTTATCAGAAGATGGTCAGCTCGGCACCCGCGCCAAGGACCCCGTTGCTAACCGTATTCCCGTCTATTTCTCTCAGGGTGACTTGATGTTCCCTACCGACCACAAGGGCCCACCCCGCCTGACCCAGGGTCTCTTCCGTATCTCCATCGAAGCTCAGTACAAGACTCTGACAGGTGTTGATCTTGAGCGTGTAGTCTACGGCAAGCCCGAGCGCGCAACCTACACCTACGCCGACGAGGTTCTCAAGGCGTGGATGGAGGAGCTCCACAACGAGAAACTCCTTCCTAAGAACATTTACATGGTTGGTGACAACCCTCAGTCCGACATCTGCGGTGGTAACATGTACGGTTGGAACACTTGTCTAGTTCGCACTGGTGTGTTCCAGGGCGGCGACAACGACCCAAACAACCCCGCCAACTTCGGTGTCTTCCCCAACGTACTAGAGGCTGTCAAGACCGCCGTACGCAAGGAGCTTGGTCAAGACTTCAAGCTCAAGTGGAACCCTAAGGTTAATCCCGTTCTGCACGGTGAGGCCACTTCCGCCATTGAGTAAACGGCATTTTCTTTGTTTTTACGACCCCAGCAAAAGAAACTGCGACTCAACCCATTTTTTGTCACGCTGAACGACCGTTTTTACTCAACCACAATATCCACTTGAAAGTGTGAACCTGCTGGGTTAGGAATGGGATTTCCTTTCCCCATGGCGTTTTCTTAATCTGTTTTTTTGTCAACTTCGCTTTCATCACACATATAGACTTGCGTTGGCTTTTTGTGTTTTTCTTGGCATGTCCCCAATTACTTTCTGGGTCGATTTTTGGGGTTCCTGGGCTTTAGGACTTCTGATATCCACTGTCATTCCATCCGCTTGAATAAAGTAGAAGCATTGGTTCGATTATATTTCAATATACTTTACTACTCCTCAATTTTGAATTTTCAGTATATGCCATATACCTGCGTATCTTTGAAATTCATCGTTAATTCATTAATACGGTCTCATTTTGATGCTCACATTAGAAAGTGAGCTGACTTTCAAGGTTCTTTGAGGCTATGAAGGATGCACATTCATTCCATTTTACGGACCTAGTTAGTTATAGCTATGCCAAACTCGGGCGATGACATCCCTATTACCATGGTCGGTGCTTTGTGTAGTTTGCTCTAGTTAGTCAAATTGACCGTAGATAACTAAGCCGTAGCCTGGTGCGGCTTTATCTACCGGGCATGGTTAGGAAACAAAATCGCCACAGATTATGGCGTGAAGAAGAGCCAGAGTGCTTTCTTGGAAGCGATAAAGAAAGTCCGAGGGTAGCATTACTGTATATGATTATTGTTACAGGCACCAATCTCAGCTAATTATTATCATCGCCGTTCACCAATCAATTGCTATCAGTTGTGACTTCTTCCCCTGTTGCTGATCGATATTAGTATGCGTTGAATGCGTTATTCGTTTCCTTGTATATAAGAAGTCGCCTTTCTTATATGTGATGCTCTGGGCGCATCCCGAGTCAAGGATCCATGGATCCAATTGGTTTCTCGCTCTTCTCCAGAGAACGCCATTAAGGCTAGTTGATCGCGTCCTCGCCCGCATGCCTCATTATTAGCGCGCTTCGCTTGGAGTACAAGTGAAACAGATAAGCACTAGCTATTTGGGTCTGGTCTAGTTTGGTTTAGAATCTAAAACCAAACCTATGCCTATTTCTAGATGTAACTAGATGGTGGTGTACTACAAAGAGATTTGCGCCTTTGGTTGCTTGACTCACTCAAATGTATCCAGCATTCATGTCAAGGGTGCTTTAAAAAGGGCTCGCTGAGTAAGTACTTGCGGTAGTCTATCTTCCGGCTAGGCATTTGCTTTAATTCTTACATTTCTTTCATTCCGACTGGCCCCTATGGGTCTGCAGGAGGGTCCACCGTCGGTTCTACCACCGGGGTTTCTGGTGCTCAGATCAGTTGGTTCGTTCTCCTCTTAGTATGGAGTTTCGAGCTCCTTTAAAGTTTTCCTCGCCCTTGACTATTTTCTTTAAAAAGCCCTAACATTCTTGCACCTTTAAACCCTTTTCTCTTTACTTCGCAGAAATTCTCTTCTTATTATCGGTGGCGTTTACGCGATAATGGCTCATAATGCAGACATAATACCATGGCACCTTCTATCATGTTGCGTGGGCTAGGAGCCTGGGACAATAAAGCCACAACAGATTATATGCCTACAAACATCAGCCTCCGGATCAAGGTTCAGACTTCAGAGTTGATCTATTTCACCGAGGCTCTTACGAAAGCCATCACTGATTCTTCGGAGCGCGAGCTAAAGAATTATCCTAAATATACGGCACCATCGATAAAGCGCCTACAGACATGCTACTTAGTGATGTAGCCATTGAAAAGATTGGTCCAACTATTCCGCGATGGTGCAAATATTCTGAAACCTCTTGTGATACTTATAGATTCCCGATTTCTATGAAAGCCAGACAGTTCTCGGCCTTTTGCCGTAATGATAATAGTAGAGCAGAGTCATACTCCGAGTTCTGCCGCAAGTTCTGGCCTCTCTTCTATGTCTCGGAGGTAACAAAGGCTCTTACTATAACTAATAAGATGAAGCCGATTCTTTAGGCTTGTCCTTCTGAAGATTATGTCTATGTACTTGGGATTATGGATTTGGTTTTGAAGAACATTTCCCTGAGGTAGGTTTTCCGGAGATTTATATAAAAGAAGTGGAATATCAGAAAAGCCATTTACTTAATAATACTATCTAGGAGAAATGGCCTGTATCTGTTAATGTTGATTGGGGCGACCTTATGGAAAAGATGATCTCAGCATATATTTGTCTTACCTGCTATACTGTTTACCAGAGACATGGAATAAAGCAGCCGGCAAAACAGAAGAAAGTGACTATCATCATACAATAATTTATCAACGTATGATGAGGGACTGTACAGCAAGGGTCGTCAGACATCAGCACATATCTTCATAGAGACTTTTTGGTATAGGCGGAGACCAGTTTAAAGGCCCAAGGCCCCAGGTCGCAGCAGAGAACCAACCCTATTGGCTTCAAGAGCTACATATACCGAGGGGAAATTACTATGGTTTAGTACCATTCGATGAATTTCTCACACCAGAGAATACAACAGTAGCCATGTCCCAACAGCTTCCGACTTCACCTATGAACAACAGTTCTTGCTCTAGAAGCTTCCAGCTGAGCTTGTTATCGACATCATGGACCTTGCCGACTACGCGCCCAGAGCAACTGCAAAAGTGCCACGTGATCCACTACATCCCTCTAATAGAGAATATTTAGTGCGGTACTTAGATTAATGCTGGCAAATATTGGTCAACTGTGATATGATTGTTAAAGCTTCAAGTGGTCAGCCATCTGGGGTTGACTGGATTGAGAAAATCAGTGAATATATTCACCATGAAACCACCCCACGGAGTAGGTGGTGATGTCTCCTAGACCGGAACACCAGGAACTGACGTTTGGTCACCAGACACTAGATGTTCCCCGTGGATAGAGTATCTAAAAATTCTGCCATATGTATAATACGTTTCCTTGAGCCGTGAAATTTACGGCAAAGAGCGACTATTTAGGATGAGTAACATAGTTCCTAAGTAGGCTTTGGCGATGTTTATTCATTGTTTCCCAAGTTCTACCCGGCCCATATACATCTTATATCCCCCAACGAAACTTCATCAAAAGATTTAACCTCTGCTCTGGGCCCCTGGACCAGTTCAGGAGAAGTTCGTTCACTCCTCTCGATAACTCCTTTCCGAATGCGCAGGACCCTCGTGGCTCTTGTAAACGGCGGAAATGGTGCTCGTCGCCCTTTCGCCAGTTCCTTTCGCAGGACTTGAAAACGCTTGATATGATACACGCGATCATCGGGCCTCGCAACGCCCTAAAACATCCGACTGCCAAAGAGAAACAATGCCCAGCCCGCCGCTGGCCTTGCTGATTCGATGCATCGCCCCGTCGGAACAACTGTCAATGTGTCGGCCTCCATCCGCGCAAAACTCGAAGATGCTGACCGCGCGGCCAAAACCAACCAGGCAGTTTTGACTGGCATTTCAGCCGCCCTTGATAATTTTCCTGCCTCCCTTACCAAGTCAGAGGATGTGGCGCTGGCAACCAATTTTTTTGAGGACATAATGAACCTCCTGCGATATGGCCCCTCGGAAGGCGCCATGCCGATGCGGAGCATACGCCCCACAGCTACTGCCGCTGCAGCTAAACCCGCCACTTCTTGGGTGGATATTGATGCCTCAGGCACAAAAAAGACCACCTTTAACCTCAAGGGAAGTTGAAGGTAAGAACAGCGAGCAACCTTCTCAAATACTCAAGCGTGTAGAGATCATAGAGTCACTGAGGGTACACTTGTGCTTTAGCTCCGGATCTTCGGCCTTCTTGTTTAGATACTCCGGCTACTTCATATCCTCTAACTGTGCCTTATTGTCCATGTTGACCTTTGCTGCTTTCCTAGCTGTTTTGCCCGCAATTTTGGCTTCTTTAAATTCTTTGATGGATTTCGGGGCTTTTGTTGCAGCCTTTTTCTGGATTCTTTACCAGCATTGTAACTATGAGAATCCCAGATGTCAAATTAGATCTTCTCTGTGACAATGGCGTGGTTTTGGCATATTGTGTGGTCATATCCCTGTTCACCTGCATAAGGGTTCCAAGGTTGTCATCCGAGTGGAAATTGTCTCCAGCCGGGCTTTTGTGCAAAGACGGACGTGACCGAGTGTTGGAAGCCACCTGGATGAGAGTGAGGGGTTCAACAGATGGATTTATAAAGAAGGGAAAAGAAAGAATGGGATGATGGATGGTGGTATTCAAGTCGTCAACTCAGTCAATCATAACAGAAAGCTGGAACGAATCTGAGCTGAGCTATTCTTGATTTTGAGCTCTATGTAAGAAGTAATCATTGGGACCTATGGAGCAACCTTGGAAGGTGCTGGCGTCTTGAATGTTGTCTTGGAGCCATGCAGAGATAAGAAGATAAAAGTACACCGGAGTTTAAAGACATCTCTCTATCCCAAGAATCTGGGGTATGGACATGATCTCAGGTAATACAACGGGTCGTCACGAACCTTGGAACCCTAAAGACAAACGGCACGTGGGCACGTGGTTCACAAAAGTACGTACACTAAGGCTTTTATAGTTTAGGCTGTCCCCGCATCCCCGGATTCCACCTCAATATAAAGGTCTCTCGTTCTCCTTTCCCCTATTTTATTAATGAAAAATCATAGAAAATGGCCTATGATTCACTCCACTTCATGAATTTGTCCCCGATGACCTATAAGTGACTATTGGTGAAATTGAAGAATATTATGCATGGTGTCATATTGCGTAATAATATCGAGAATGTGCTCCTCAGGCCATTTTAAAAGACTTATCTTAACTTGAAATAAGGAAAAGCCGGGGCCTTGGCAAGGGGTGTCTGAACTATATAGAACTACGTGCCATCTGACCATGGATAACTAGATCGTCGAGTGGTGGCCAATTGATACTCGAAATGCTCTAACAAACTAATCCTGGAGTTTGACGTCGAGTTGTCAAATGAATTTAAAAATATTGTCTGGAAGAGAACCAAAGAGTTTTAGTTACACATAACTCCAAGAGTATAAAAAATTTACCTAATGAAAATCCAGACCCCACATGATCGGTGGTTGAGACCAATAATGGTGAAGGAAAAGAGGTAAAAGTTAGGTAAAAAGAAAGATGGATCCAGCTGACATTGCGCTATGATCCTTGATGGAGAAAGAGCAGTACGGAGCAATCGGAGACTTGTTTATCCGAAGTAGGTTCCTTACGTACTACGATGTATGTGTGAGGATTCTCTTAGGAAGTAACACCATAGACGTAGTTAATACTGTGGATAATCTACTAACTAGTCACTGAGTATTATTACATTATATTCTATCTGTTTACGGAGTATTTGTTGATGTGTTCATCATTGATTGCTAAACTTCTATGACGCCATGCCAGATGCAGACTGCAGGGGAAATCTTATCGTCTAACCGTCTCTGGCCGCTTTAAACTCTAGTAGATCAAAGAACATCCTGCGCCACCGTCAATTCACATCCTTCTCTATCATTCCCTTACTCTCCACTCTTCCTTCAAAGAATTAATTCTAAACCTGAGACGTGGCATTCTTTTTCCTGTGTCATACCCGATCAGTGGATCAAATCAATTTTCCCACACCACGCAACAGTGGTTCGACCGTTTCTGTGACTAACAGCTTTGCTCTTCTTTTTTTCCCGCCGCCCACTTACTCGATTTTTTTTTCCGCTCGAGCCCTAAAACCCCCGATCTACGAACACTTTAACCCTCGTCTTTATTGACCGGGAAACTCTTTTGGCTCAGTGAAATCCGGGGTAGCTGCTCGTCTAATTTCTCTTACTACTTTTTTCTATTTTTTTTTTTTTTCGCGTTCCACCCCGAAGGTACCTTCCGACGAATCCACCTGTACCTGGGGCCTTTATAGAGGGCCCCATTTCTCCCACCATGGCCTTTGTCACCCCTTCTCCTCTTCACTCGAAGCCAGCTCTACCTAGATTCAGCACAGACGTCTGTGGTGAACTGGCTCATTCCCGAGACTCGTCACTCTCACCTTGCGACACTCCAGACGAGTCACGATCTAGCAGCCGCCGTCGCCCCTCCTTTAGTTCCATTAAAGAAGACGTTGACGGTAGGTGTCACGAGATCAGTAACCTGTAGTTCCCTAGGGCTGATGTATTTTTTTAATTTTTAGGCATTGCGCAATCCTTTGTCGATACTCACCACGCCCCATCTCTAAAAGATTCTACAGATTCCCCTAAGCTGGATCTTATGGAGTTACAGCAGACGCCTGACTTTTGTTGTCCATGTGGTGGTTTTTTGGGGTGGAAATCCATTCGTCTGGGTGGGAAAAGTTTGAGCCGCAGTTATAGCGATCTCCGCGGAATCGGGAACCTGCAGGCCAAGGGTTGGGCATGGGACACTACTGACCATGGAAGAGAATTATGCCCTCCAAACGAGCCTGTGATTGAGCAGCTGCTGGCGCAGCAAATTGCACCGCAAAAATCGACTATCGAGAGGCTTCCCTCAGAGGTTCTTGGTAGGAGTCATCGACGCACCCGTAAATCTCGTACTATACTAATCCTGTCGGCAGATCAAATTATCTCTTACCTTACCCTTGACTTGCCGCCTAATGGATATACTCCACGCAATGTCGACTTAGTCTCTTGCCTTCTGGCCTCGCGTACGCTACATGCGGCAACCTTGGGTGTGCTGTACAGAAACATGACCTTCCCACACTCTGTCATCTTCTCCAAGGCACTCAGTCATATGTCGCAGTACCCGGCCCTAGGCACTCTTGTGCGTCGCTTGGACTTTTCCCACTTTACCTCTGTCGGTCTTGGTCGTACCAAGCAGATGAATGCAGAGATCCAGAACTTGACATCGCGCACGCTGCTCCAGTGCCTAGACCTGTTGCCCAATCTCAAAGAATGCTTGTTGCAGGAACATCTCGACGGTGATATCAGCGCAGAGGTGGTGCGGAAGCTGTTCATGGGTCTTGGAAACCTCAATGCGCTGGATTTCTGCGGTTGCTCTACTCAATCCTTCTCTCGGGTTTTCCAGGAGGCTCTGACAACCGGGCCTGTCCTGCCTGTCACTTTGCCAAATATGAAGCGGCTCTCGTTCCACGAATGTAGCACCATAACAGCCCCGATGTTTGATCTTGTGTTGTCGCGGTGCATCAACTTGACGCACCTGGACCTGACCAACACGCAGGTTAACGACTCTGCTCTCTTTGCCATTCCCGACTCCGCTCGCATCACCCACTTGAGCGTATCTCGCTGCACCCGTCTTCGTCCTTCCGCTCTTGTGGAGTTCTTGACCACTCACCCAGCCGTGTGTAATTCTTTGGTGTATTTGAACCTCCTGACAGATGCAACTCGGTTCCGCCTTCTGGAGGAGGAGGATGTGACAGCTCTCCTGCCCAAGCTACCTTCTACCCTTCGCTCTCTGAACCTGGGTGGTGCAAAGATTACCTCGGACCATGTCCCACTCTTAGTCCCCCTGACTAAGCACCTGGAGGAACTAGGATTGAGCTCTGCAGACCTATCGGTCACAGACGTGAACTCGTTCTTTACTCCACCTCGCGACTCCAACGGCGATGTGATCAAGAACGCGGCTCCCAGCACTTTGTGCTACCTAGATCTTTCCAAGGTACCACAGATGACTATTGGCGCTATCTTCAACAGGAACTCGTGCCTTTTGCTGTCAGAGCAGAGCTTCCCGCTGCAGGTGGTTGAGTTCAGCGATAAGATTATCACTCCCCTACGCGAGCGTGCAAAGACTCAGCGTGTCTCTGTAGGCTGGACTGTACGGGACCTCGGGCGACGTGGCTGGTACGTTCGAGACCCTGCATCCCTGCCGATCGTCAGCCCCATTGATGACGGTGCGCGCTTCTGGAAGATGGGCGCGCGCTGGTGGGGCATGCGCAAGATCCCCATGGCCGTTGGCGACGTTGGTGGCCTCTACGGACACTACATGTTCAAGAAATGATTTCGTTTCTCTTCTGCATTGATTTTTGGTGTTTCTGGGAAAAAGAAATTGCGTTGAGAATATTTTTCTTTTTGTTCTGGCTTATACCCTTGGTTTATTGCTGATATTTTGCCTTCACTTTAAGTTTTTTTTTTTTTTTTACCTAGGCCTTATTTTTTGATGATTATGTTACGATTATATCCGGTCTATGCATGGTGGCGCGCAACATTGCTTACGAATTTCGGCATTCTAGCTTCTGGCTTCGGGTTCGTGCTCTCAGTCCGCGTCTTTTGGTTTTGCATAGCATTCTGTATGTCTTTGCTTCGTTTGGTGTTATGAAAATTAGGCGCATTCGCATTACTTAGCCTTGTTATTAATGACTTTATCTGTATAATATGCCTCGTAACTCATTCTTCTCTAGTCGCATTAGAATAAGGTAATCTTGACATATCCAGGCAGAGCCCATTTGACCATCCCTTCCGACTCAAGATTTGCATGCTGGAAGGCCGATTCTGGGGTCTGAATGAGAGCATCAGCCGTAGCATGTCGAACGAAGCTTCTCTCTCCTCTGCATCTATCGGCGGTGGGCCCTTATCTCGCCTGGGCATTTGCACGCTATCCTCAAACCGATCGTCCCAATATCGGAAGTATTTACGGTTGATTGGTATACCATCCTCGGTAAAGTTCAGTGTCGCTTCCCCACGCGCTCCAGCAGTGGCAAGATACCGAGACTATCAACATGCCCACAGGCCATGTCGTCCTCTGTCACAGGAAGTCCTTCAAATAATGGTCTTTGAGCGACGATAGACCATATGGTTTGTGCGAGAGTTCAGATGTCCGAGTGAAAGAAATGACAAACTTTTTGGCTCAAACCATGCCTCGGGGGAGGATTCGTTCTTTAGTTCTTTGAAAGGGGAAAGGGCTTCGTCAAAGTCTATAAGCAAGATCCTAGTTTCTGAAAGTGTGATTTGTTTACTTGCTTCCACTAGCAATATACTTAGTAGACACAATTCCGGGGGATGGGACGCAGGGGGTAGCGGATCGTCATCTAGATGGACAAGTCTGGTTCCGGTGCTCCATATTTCTTATATTAGTTTTCAAGTGAGAGCTGGTCGAAAGTAGGCAGGACTGTAAGAATAATTTTGCCGAGATGAAGGTCTTCGTGGACAATTCCTTGCGCACGCACATAGTCCACAGTAAGAACGAGCTGCGCAGCTAAAGGCCAGGCTACGTCGAGCTAGAATAAGCGGATCCAGATTCATGCTTAACTCGGAAGATACTAGCCCTCGCCGGCGCGGTAATGTAGCAAGTATTATTGCCATTCGTGCCATGAATGATGGACGTATCTAGAGTTGAAGAGATCATAATCTGTCCCGGCTGTTTAGCTGGAGGTTAGGAGGAGTAGGAGTGGATATAATATCCACTTCTTTTGGATTCTTTTTTGCCATGCAGACTTTCACTGCGACGGATTTATTGAATTTTCATCACGGACTAAACAGTTGGGAAAGATTCATGTCCTGGCTTGTGAAGAGCTCGGTATCGATCGTGAAAATGATCTCCGATTTTTATGGGGTGATAGCCCCCTGGTCGATAATTCTCAAGCCTTTCGACTCGCTCGAGAGGCTCAAGGAGGAATAGAGTGTTGAGACTATTTTTGGTCTCAATTGCCTTGAATGATGTGCAAGTCAACGGACGTCGAGGTTGCTTGTGATACAGCAGTGGTATATGCCCTTTGCGAAGGACAGGAGAGCTCCCTTGGGATCATTGGCGATGTGGGCGCAACAACCGTGTGACTGATGGTAATAATTTACTCATCGCTTCCCAGGTGTGTCATGCGAATTAAAAGAAATTTGATTGCGATCGGCAATAGATCACCAACTTCGACGAAGTTTTGCTTATAAGGAAAGGTTATTTAGTGATTCAAAATGAATGAACAGAATTAGTGACCATCCAAGGATTATCATGAAGCATATTTCTTATTACCATTAAGGAGATGAACTAGAACAGGCTTAGTTCTATTATCTAATTACATTCTATTTACATCTCTGTCGCGTAAAGGCTGGCGTATGGCATGAAAATGATCCCAACAAGACCTTATGAGGTCTACATAAAGGGATCTTACAGGTTTTACAGCCCCAACGCGTTCGTAATTGCTTTAGAAGAGTATGTCCCTGAGACTTAGCTTTCTGAGCCTGTTGGGCGCAGAATTTACAGATAAATACAGAGATAAATAGAGAGATAAATAAAGAAAGATATAGCCTAGTGGTTTACAGCCTGGTTTACAGCCTGATTTACAGCCTATAGCCTAGCTAAAAGCTAAAACTAGGCTGTAAACCAGGCTATAAACCAGGCTATGAACCATGAGAGATAAAAGAGAGAGGTATCTTACCATAGAGCCTGCCATAGTCGGGTTTTCAAGCTTTTTTTACCTCCACCAAAGACTTCTGCCGGCTTGCCCAAATCCAATGTAATATGTATCCCTGATCAGCTATAATAAATAACTTAATCTCAGAGGGTATATTATCAGACCAAAGCCTACTAAAAGACCCAGCACCCTTTGGATTCGCATATTTATTAGTATTCAGAGATACTGAAGTAAACAAAGCATCGGTAAAAAACAAAGAGAAAAAACCAAGAGGAGTAGTAGTTTGGTAGACACTTAAATAAATATTAGGCGAAGTAGGTTCTGAAGGCATTTCAAGAGGTTCAAAAAACGCGCCAAAAAAACAGAGTGTAAACAGGGAAGGGGAAGTGTAACTCGCGTTATTTATTATGAAATAGCTTAGTAATCTATAATAACCAATGATAATCTTACATTTCGCCAAGGCGCTAATTTGGTCAAATTCGACAGTCAAGGTAGAAATCCAGATGATAGGTCACGTGAGTGTGATAGGATAAGCCGAAGCTCTTTGACAATACTCTCGTCTTCTTTGCAAGCTCCAACCCTTGAAGGCCTCGATCCTTCTCAGCTTAAGCTTCAGCCTCAAACCCAGAGGATCTACTGATCCCAATGGGTGGAGTCATTGCCGCTGCCCAAGACAGTGGAAGCTGTCGAGACACGCAACAATGGCACCTCCGAGCGGATCTGCATCATACAAGAAGAAAGACGGCACCTTGAGTCTCGCCAAAGATGAGCAGACTCTCATCTGGACTCCAGCCTCAGCTGGAGCTCAAGTCATCGTGATCACGGTGGCCGCTATCACCAGTATGCATCTGCATTATAGCCGCCCAACCGTCTAGCTCTTTCTAATCCGCTCTCTACTAGATTTACAACAAACCCCGCCGACCAACCCAAAAGTGATGTTAAAGATCTTCGCACAGCCCCCCAACGCACCTGCTGGTGCACCGTCAGACAACTACGTGTTTCAATTTACAGCTGTCGACGGTGCTCGCGCACAAGCCGATGCTATCAAAGACGCTCTCAGTGTCCGAGTTAATGCTATAAAGGCAGGTACGCCATCACAACCTGCGACGCCTGGCGATGGAGCATCAGGAATTTCAGCAGCGATGGCGATTGCCAATGCAGTCTCATCTGCCGGGTCATCGAAAAAGCCGTGGGATGACGATAAGCGACTGAGCGCAGACGTGGACCTGCAGCAATCCCTACTAAAAGCAGATCCTATACTGCAACGCATGTTTATGGACTCTTTGCATACTAAACCAGAGACATTAACTTCAGCCCAATTCATGTCGCAGTTCTGGTCAACACGTCTCCATCTTCTGCGAGCGCATGCAATCGAACGAGCCCAGACTCGGGGCTCATACAACGTCCTCTCATCACTGAAGCCCCGCGTGGAAGATAATGTGACCCGGTTGAATATTAGCAAGGAGCAGATTCAACTCATTTTCACCCAGCACCCGCTTGTCAAACGGGTGTATGATGAGAATGTGCCCAAGCTGAGCGAGCAGCAGTTCTGGTCGCGATTCTTCCAGAGTCGACTGTTTAAGAAGCTCCGTGGAGAGCGTATCTCAGAGGCAGATGCCACTGATGCGGTTCTGGACAAGTATCTCCAGGAAGAGGCTCCAAACGCAGAGTTGACAGCCAATGTCCCGAATTTCCTGGACCTGGCTGGTAACGAGGGTCATAACAGTCAGCGCCGCGGAAACCGGCCGGATCTGGATATGCGGCCCACGGGGTTAGACAAAGTGCCCATTATCAGGACACTTAATAGATTGAGTGAAAACATTATGGCTAATGTTGCGCCAGCAGATGGCGATATGAATGCCCCGGCTGGTATAAATGAGGAAGCATGGGCCAAGATGCAGCTGCAAGATCTTCGTGGCGACGAGGCACAGGCCCGCATCACTCTCAACATTCGTGATCAGAATCGATTCTTCTCAGAGACCAAGGAGAACGAGCAGCAGCGGGCGGTTGCGCAGCAGGATCCTGACCAGCTCCTGCAAACCCTCCGTGCAGCTATTGCGCAAGATCTTCCATCTGATGGATCTGCGCCGCTTCAAAAACTCGTCGACCCCGGCGAGGATGAAGACGAGGAGATGGAAGATGTACCTGCCAGTCGACAACCTGTCGGATCCACTGCAGCTCTACACGATGCATTTGCGCAGATTCTAGGTGCGGTGCGCGAGCGACGAAGCCAGATGAATGAGGGTGCAGCCTCTGATACGCATGGGCTTTCACCGGCACTATATGATCGCTTGACGCTGACACACGCGACAACGACCGAGTTCCTGCATCAATTCTGGCAGGCATTCCTGTCGGGTGACCCCGAGCGCGCCAACGAAGTGAAATCCCTGTCAGAATCGCTGCACCGAGCAGGAGTGCGCATCCAGGCCGTGGCAGACTCTGCAGAGGCAGAGCGACAGGTGGAAGTTGACCGAGTCAAACAGCATGTCCGCGACGTATTTTCAAAAAGCGGACATAAGCTGCGGCCAAACATAGAAGGTATCGAAGGAGGTCAAAAAATCGTCAATCAGCTGCTTGGCCCTACAAAGCATGCATTAGATACTGCTTTGAAACGGTACCAAACTGCATTGGCAGAGGAGATTAAAGAAGCAACGGCTTTATCCATTTAAATGTCCTCAGGGAGACAAATATAAATAAATTATAGCATCGTAAAAAATACTGTATCTCTCAATTACTTCATGTTTACTTTTTACAAAAGTAAAGTATGCCGAGGCTCCCCGGACTCGGACGCATGATCTGGCCTCCAGTAGCTCCGCTCTTTCCACTTTCAACTCTCCGTCAATCTAACGAACATATCTCCAACTCATCTGACTGGGCCTACTCAGCCGCCCCGAATGAGAGATTCGGATTTTCTCATTCAATAACCCGACTGGAAACAATCCCCATTCCCGTCGTCCAATATGCTCACCTCAGGCTTGTCCAACACGCCACTCACGAAATTCTTCTTGGTGTACACCATTGCCTCATCAGTCGCGCTCTCAATACTAGACATCAAGCATCTAGCAGTTATCCATGTCGATCCGCACTTCTGGCCATATGCGCAATTCTGGCGCGCATTCATCTGGCAAATTGCCGGCTTCACGAACTCCACCGAGGCTCTATTTGCTGCAATGCTGATCTACCACCTACGCGTCGTAGAGAGAGCATGGGGAAAGCGCAAAATGGCGGTAATTATCCAATCTAGACCAGATGAATGAGACAGATCTGATCAATATCCATCACAGACCTTCCTCTTAACTACACTCCCCTACACCACCCTCCTTCCACCCCTCATCTTAGCCCTCGTCGCCCGCCCACTCTCCCTAAACAAACTCAACTACCTCCCCTCTGGTTCTATTGCGACTATCTTCGCCCTGCTGGTACAGTATCATGCCATTATTCCACATGTATACCGCTACCGCATCGGAACAACATCAACACCGATATCAACATCCAGCACCACCACTACCCAAGAAGACTCCTCAAATCCACCAACAGAAACAACGCCCAAATCTCCACCAACTCTATCCATTCTTCTCTCTGACAAATCAACCACTTACCTCGTGGCTGCCCAACTAGCCCTCTCCCAATTCCCAACCATGCTGCTCCCCTCTGCAGCAGGCTGGATCGTCGGCGTCGCATGGCGCGCAGAGCTGCTACCAGGCTTGTCCTCGTCCAGAGACGGCTTTCGAGTCCCGGCCTGGATAGTCGGTGAGCGCGAGCGCAGGAGTGAAGCTGGGAACGGGAATGGAGTTGATGGTTCTGCGGAGCGCGAGCGCTATGAGGATTTGAGACGGAGGTTGGAGGGGGAGGCGGCTTCTGCTTCTGGGGTTGAGAGTGGGACTGGGAGGAGGAGGAATGGTGGTGCTGATGGGCAGAGTCAGAATAGTGGACTTTTGGATAGGCTGAGGGGGGCTTGGTGATTGTTCACTTCATGTTTAAATATATAATGACTTTCCATTACTAAATTGAATAACCATTATATTGAGTTACATTTTGTCATCTCTTTCATGACTTAGATATTCATAAGGTTGGGTCTGGCCTGATTCAAATTAGATCCATGGATGGATCATACCTAGCTGTAGACTTCGCCTGGAAATGGCACCACTACTTGATCTATACCCTCCAGCTACCTTCGGCCATAAAGTTGTCGCCTAGAAGATTGCTAGCACTTAGGAGATGCTGGTTCTGACCTCTGGAGACATGGAAAACTTACCAACAGGCATGCCTTGATGCCCGATAAAGGCAGACATATTGAAACCCTGTTGAGATTCGGAAGTTGGGCAATTAACGAAATCAGCAAAGATCAGATATCACTCACCGTCTATATGGTGGGAAAGTTACGAAGCCCATATTTTCAAGCCCGAAAAGCGCTTCGTCTACCGCACTATGTGCAATGGTTATCAAATAGTCCTCAGCTAGATTGTTGACCGAGTAGCGCAGTTTGGGATATGTATGAGAAGATTTGATCTTAACTTGTTGGTGTAGTTCGCAGTGCTTTCTACAAGACTAGAGATTTCAGGACCTAGATTTGCCTACCTAATATTCCCTGAAAAAAGATACCTGTGCTTTGTACTTTCTGTATTCGCTCCAGGGCACTGATATAATCAACTCCTAGTGGCATGCAGGCTTCTTCGACCTGAACACCACTGTTATAAAGCTTTGATACAGCGCATTCAATGGCCGCTACGGTGTTTGGATCCGCCTGAGACGACATTGAAGCAACAGAGACGTCTTCCAGTGGCATGTCTTTAGGAACTTCATCGTCTTTCAGAGCAAACCCGTCGGCTAGTAGCTGTAAATTTTTGACGCTGCGAGAAAAGAAACTGATAGCGTATGTCATTTGGCCTTCGAGCGAGATGGTGTTGTGAGTCGGTTTCATAGCGAAAACTCCAGTGAACGACTCTGGGCAAGTTAACATCACCATCTGTCTGTACTCCAGGACTAAACAGAACTTGTAAATCTGCTTTGGCTGCAGCAGAGCTACACGGAGACCCCCCTGGGGTATGCCTATGGTCATGAGGATTAGTGGTATTTGGTCCAGTCAGGAGGTGATCACGGTATATTCTGTTGTGATGGTTTTTCCTGGTGATAAAATTAGCTTATGAAAAAAGCAAGAGAATATTAGGATTTTCGAACCGAAAATGAGAGTGCTGGCAGCTCGGATAATTGCAACTCTGGATGAATCAAAACCTGTCTGATATCCTTTGTATATGGGAGAGCCAAACTGCGTGGGCATATCTATCCAGGTAGTAATGCATGTGTAGCCACCTAGGTAGCCATAAACATCTACTGCTCTATAGCTGTGTTATCCATAATATCTTAGATGCATAGCGCTATTCTCTCTGATCTAGAGCTCGAGCCTGGACGAGAATGAATGCGTGATGTGATGCAATATCAGCAGACACTATGCTCCTGTGGGAAGAGAGATGCTTATTGAGAAACGCCCATGATTTGATAATGCCATCTCACTCCTAGATACGGCTCAGAAGAGAATTTGTATATTCCTCGACGGTAATTGCATTATTCTGGAGCAAATATCTCACTTTATGGCGCTCAAAAGGTGATCGGTGATTTTCGAATATTAGAGGGCAAGACAGGTCAGAAAGGATGTAGTTTGTTCATAGTTTGTTCCTATGTTGGAGTAATTATACTATCGAAGACTATGGATCTTCTTGTGCAGGCCAAAAAGAGTGCGAAGGTCAAATTGATGTATCAGGAACTTATGGCTAGGTAAAAATTTAAGCTAAATATAACCAGGGCCTATCTAGTTAACTATCGATTCAAATCATCAAGCTTAGTCACACCTTCTTCCTTCGTATTTTCCAGTCTAGGTAGCCGCCTTTGTATCAGTCTTCCTGGATACTCCGTACTCAAATACGAGATAGGCCATTCACTTCTTACCAACACCCCTTGGCAGGTAGTTTCGGAGTACAGAGGCGATTCAGGCAATGCAGGCTACCTTTTTAAGAAATGATCATCCAATTTCTGCCCTGCATAAATGACGATACATCTAATTGGATAGTTTTGCCTGATCTGCGGTCCCGAATATCTCTGTCATTGAATAATCGAACCCTATTCTAACTAGGTAGGCTTAAATGCCATAAGTGTGTAGTACGGGATACGGCTTATTCGAAAATACCAAAAACTATGGAAGAATTCAACAATAATTGCTTGACAACAAGAGCGAGCAGTGATGATTGGCCATATGCTTTGTTAGCGTCAAAATCGGTGTATCTTGTCAGCACTAAGCCAGAACTCAAGGGTCTTTCATGCTCAAATTGGGGTATTTTAACCGAGATTTGGAAAAACACTAATTTCAGCAACACAATGATATAGAAATTATAAAACAGAACATCCCCAGCTCTTCTTCTCTGAGCTTAGACTTACACATTCATCTAAGCAGGCTCTCCTTAACCCAGGTACTGTATCCCATCCTGGAAGATGAGGCATTACGCCCCACCCCCAGTGCATTCAAGCACCGGCGCATACGCCAACTATGCATCTCCAGCTAGATCACGGGGAGTTTTCGGTTTGCTTTTCGATCCTATAGATAATGATCCGCGATCTATCAGATCTGCCGAGCTTAAACATCGCGGACACTGGCACGCGGCCCGAGCCGTTGATAACGAGCTCTTCCAAGAGCGTTCACGAACACTTGGACCTGACCATGTCAACACCATAGCTGTGGGTTATAGCATGACTGAGGCGGAGTTGGAAGACGGTTTCTTGGAGAAGGCGGTTGAATGGGGTGAGTGGACGTTGGCAACCGCGCGTCGAGTGCTAGGAAGTCAACATCCACTGGCAATGAGGACAGAGAGCCTCATGACACACGTTCTTTACCATACTGGAGATTATGCGGGATCTGAGATTGCCTGCGCCAATGTTCTCGCTCGGCAGCAAATAGCTCTCGGTGACAATCATATTGACACCGCGATGACTCGACTCCGGCTTGCTTGGGTCTACCACGAACTTGATCGCTATACCGACACTATGCATACTTTAGATCGGGTTAAGGAAATCATGACCCGCTTACTTGGTGGCCTCCATATCAGGGTCATCCAGGTGGCTCTCGACATTAATAATTACGGCATTTCTAATAGTGCTATTCGAACTACGAGTACTATTCAAGGGGCATTACAAAGAATACAAGTATTTCATCAAGCGCTTAATACTGCTGTTGGTCCAGCTCATCCTCTCACACTACGTGCCCAAAATATTCAGGCCAATGCGCTATTTCACTTGGATCGACGGCTGGAAGCTTTTGAGGTGTTTCGTCGGGCTCTCGTGGTATCAGAAGACGCATTTGGGTCAGATGGTATGTCCACAATGGATGTGATTTCGAATATGGGTCTGCTTTATAGTCTGGATTCTTCCAGAGCATCCGAGGCAATTCCACCATTGTCTCGTTATCTGACATGGGCCGAGGCTCGCAAGGGCGTTACTAGCGAGACAAAAACTATTTGTGAATTGCTGGGGAACCTACACTTTCTCGTGAAGGAGTATACGCCTGCTCAGGCTTACTATGAGCGCGGTGTGACTTGGATTCAAGGCGAAATGACGAGCAAGGCACAAGAGAGTCGTATTCGCCTCCAAAAACGCATTGAAAGCTGTCGAATACTAAGAGGTCAAGGCGTAATCTCGACACTCACCCCTACACTAGAATCAGGCTCAGTGCCAGGATCAAACTCGTCGTCGGGAACGGGATCTCTCATGTCGTCCTTTTTACAGCACACGACTGATTCTTTGGTCAACAACAGTATCGGCAATGGGGGTGGTGGTGGTAACAGTGGTAATAATGGAAACAGTGGTAACAATTTCACACCGAATGCCTCTTATTCACCTGATTCTTCTGGCGGTCTTGGATCCGTTGTTTCTCCTACTTTCCAAATTGATCCTACTGGTGGTCTCGGATCCATTGTTTCTCCTACTTTCCAAACTGATCCTACTGGTGGTCTCGGATCCATTTTTTCTCCTACTTTCCAAATTGATCCTACTGGCGGTCTTGGATCCATCGGTTCTCCTACTTTCCAAGTTGACCCTGTTTTCCAAGTCGATACAGGAACTCTTGTGGGTAACTTTTCCCCTCCAACTGATCCTGGAACTCTAGAAAATATCGCTTCTTCAGTGGATCCTGGGACAATTGGAAATATGGTTTCTGCGATTGATCCCGGAGTTATAACCAGTTTTTTGACTGGCTTCATCTCTTGATATGACCTTGGAATTAAATTTGACGATTTTTTTATTACAGCCAGCCCTGAAATTCAACTTGCCACTTTATGCCAGAAGTGCGTGATTTCTGGCCACTCTCGCTGTTATTAAGAATCTTCTGAGGTTGAAACCCTGACATCGAGTCCACTGGTATAACCTTTGAAGAACACATACAACAATTTTTGGTAATCTAGTATTGATAAATAACTCAATATCTACCAACTTGGAAATGGAAGTATCTATTGATCCAAAAGTCAGTGTCTAAATAACCCCCATGGCTTGGCACCTACTTATATACATATCTACATCCATGGATAACTAGGTAGGTATGCTAATTATCTATAAAGTGACCAGTGACTCGAGTTATCAGGTTCAGAACTGGCCTGTCAGGTTTTCAATGTCCATTTTCCCTGGATAACCCGGCGATATCCGATTATGAATTGAATGAGTCCGGTTAAGGTAAGTAAAAGAGGACTTCCAAAAGGGAATCGGAAGCCCTCCTGACAGTTAAAAATCATGGTAGTTCCAATTTCCATATTCGAAGCTCGAATCCACACTAGAATCCACGCTAGTCACTTCGATGCTTGTTATTTAGGAGAAATCAACCAGGTGGATCATTTTTCTTGCTGTATTGTACTCCGTATTGATATCGACCCATCTTGGTGGGTCAAAAGCCGCCAACCGATCCCGAACTGCCCCTCAATACCTCAAGTGCTCTCTACAAACCCACCACAAAAGCAATGATCTCAATGTGACTCTGAAATTTGAAGTTTTAGTTTTGAAGGCACATTATAAACATAAATGTTCAAGTGTGAGATCGGTGACATGCAAAATCTACTCTTGATGGATTGCGACGATGCATACGTAGGCGCTGAGGCGGCCCCATCACTAGCGTGGCGTGTACTATAGAAATGGGCAAATATTGAAAATTTTCGAAAAGGAGGCATTATTTACATGCTTTTTGTATTGGCATAGTAGTTCCATGGTTATGAAAATTGTTGAGGCAGTATCACCGTATAGAAAAGAACATTGGAAAGAGTACATTATGCTAATTGGGTATTCACCAAACCTGACCCCCCTTGAAACACCTGCAACACCGCGAGTGTTGCAAGCATCAGATGGATCAAACCAAAGAAGTAAAAGAAAAAAAAAATATATATATATTATGTATAAGAATCAATATAATATGGCCCTTTCTAAAACCAAAAAAAGAATCGAAAATATAAAAATCCATGGTTCACGTCGCACCACAGAATACCGAGCGGGTCGTGAAGCGAAAGTCCATCCAGGAAATGGATTACTCCCCATTATGCAAATCACTTTCAACTAAAGTCGATGTGTACAGCCAGACGAACAGGGCCTGACACGAGGTTACCACCAATACCGTCTGCGCTAGCTAAAGCCTTGGTGTAGGCATTGATAACGCTCACAAGGTCGGCAGTTATGGTGGAGCAAGTATCAACATTGTACTGAGAGCAGATCTTCATACCCTGAACCGTGAGATCGGCGGCTTGGGCTTGGATAGCTGAGACGTCAAATCCAGACCAGCCGTCGTTGATGGTAGAACCGAAGTCGAATTCACCCCAGGTGGCAGCGTATCCACCATAGCTATCTGTGGGAATAGATGTACCCTTGGCGGCAGCCCAGCCACCCCTGAGAGTCGGCGTCGATGGCCACGTACTTGGTTTCACCGACGGCGAGGGTGAAGGTGAGGCAGCCGTTACCGTACCAGCCGTCCATAGCTCCATCGGGTCCGATCTTGTTCCAGAATACGACTGTCCATTCCTCGGTGTTGGAGCCTTGAAATTGGAGAACATACTTGTACTCATTAGCCTCGGAGCCGTCGACTATGATGATGTTGCTTCCGTAGGGGCTGCCGACGTTTCCTGTGTAAGTGTCACCGGATCCTGAAGAGTTGGTGGCGGTGCCAAAACCGGAAGTCGAATAGGAGCTTGGAATGGATGTCCAGTCGGCGTTGTAACCAGTTCCAGTGGAGGTAGAAGTCGATGTGGTGGAAGTGGATAAAGTTGAAGTTGAAGTTGAGGATGATGAGGTTGTAGTCGAGCTAGTAGTCACTTCGACTTCAGTGGTTGATGGAAGTGCAGTAGTGGTAGCCACTTCAGTAGTCGATGGAAGTGCAGTAGTAGCCACTTCAGTGGTTGATGGAAGCGCTGTTGTAGATGTTGGAGTAATGGTCGAATAAGAATCATCACACGGACAGTAGATGACAGTGTTGGTCGTAGTCACAGTCACAGTACCAGCAGCCTGACGGCGCTCGTTGGCAATATGCCAATGAGCATGATTGGAACCGTGGGCTACAGCACCAGTCGTAGCAGCCACCAACAGCAAGAAAGACTTGCTGAACAGCATATTTCCGAAAAGAGCGAAAAGCTGCAAAGCTGAAACTATCTATAAATACCTACAAGAGGAAAAGAAAGGCTTGGGATAGGTCAGCAAAGCTTTATATCAACAAACGACTGGTCAAAAGAATGACAGAAGCTATTGAAAACTTCCAAAAGAATGTGAGAGGTTGAACGAAAGGAAACTGAGCGGGGGATACATGGGTTTTTAATTTGCTTGATCTTATGAGGATTCCTGCGCCGGAGGGGCATACACGTACTAGTGCTGTAAATGGAGCTCCGGCTGGACTCATACTTACGGTTAGGGCTTGCCGGGAGTTTACGCCTCTAAATCTAGTGGATCCCAATGCTTATTAGCCTAATTCCATTGGCTCCAGCTCAATACAAATACAAGTTAGAACAAGATATTGATCCTCGTTATTTTAAACGCCATTGGGCTCGCATTGACACGTTACTCCGGAACAGTGAATTGACATTGAGTATCTATTCTTCTAGATGGACTCCGGACTCAAAGTTAAAACGTACTTGAATCTGAATTGTATCTGATCTCGTCCCTGGTTTCGTACCTGGTCTCGTACCTGACGATCCTTACATCCCTGTCACCACCTTGACACTCGAGATGAAACTGGGGCGCACTAATCTTAGCAATGACCAACGGGCACACGGCAAAAATTTCCTCTCACAAAACAATCGGTGAAGAAAGGGGGAGAACGTCGGGTATCTTCTTGTACCCATAATTCAAGCTTCGTTTACTCCTATTTCTTTGCGGGGCATAGTGCCAAGCATTAACATCAATGCCATTTCATGCGGATAATTCTTCGATTCCGACCCACTCACTGACGAATACCTAAGGAACGTACGTATGTAAACATGGCGGTAGCTGTGGCCAGCCCGCAGGATCCAGATACCAAGTGGGGGGTTTCCTTGTCCACGTATTTCACTCTTAGGGCTAGGTCATACACGTGAGGCGATCTATAACCTCCAAATTAAATAGCCCTGAGTGTTAGTCTCATAATTCATATTATTGCTTGGTATAATTTATCAAAAAGAACTATTAAAATTTATCATTCCATGCCTTTTCTATGTATGCTTTACCTTACGATTCCTATCTTTGAATTCTTCCACGATCTTAGTCCAAATCCGAGGTTTGAATCCATCTCTGGCGGTTCTAGAAATATTTTCAAGTTCCTCAATGCGTTTCTCTCGACGCTCCCTATGATAAATGACCAGACTGAAAAAACATATGCTCATAAATCCCAAGACATAGATATGTAGATAGCAAGTCTTCTCCATACAGACAAATAAGCAAGATTTGAGATACAAAAAGTAGAATGCGAGAGAGAGGAGAAAGCTAGATGGCATAAGTTTCTTCTCAAATTCTTTCCATTTTGAGCCCCGGAAGTAGATGATAAGACTTACATGTATGGATGCTCAAGGAATCCAACCTTCTCCACATATTGCTCTATAAGACCGCCATGAAGGTAATATTTCCATTGTTGCCGAGTCCATTCCTCTTGAGAGGTAGAAAGAGCTACCGGTTTCATTAAGCTTAGAGCGAAGTGCCAAGCGTTTCAAGGACGTGAGGGCTGGAGGAAGAGTGCCAGTGTTAAAGTCAATGGAAATTTTAAAAGGCGGGAAAATACGGAGTACCTAGATATTGAAAGCTCAGCCTCTCCCGAGGTCAAGTAAGCCACAGAGCCTCAAAATTCATATTCAAGATTGATGGGTATGAAAGTCGAAAGGGGTCTAAGTAGCCCTGGAGGGCCTACATGTTACAATTCTACCCGAATTTGATTACCTAGAAGATCGTTCATACAGCCTACTCAGTACTTTGAAGTAGACCCCCGAGTCACGGAGAATCATTAAATCAGCACCTCGAGTAGCTAGATGAATCAGAAATATTTCACACCACCTTGCACAACGTATATACCACGAATCTAGGACGACACAACTTTTTACATTGCCATTTCTGGTATAGTGTGATTTCGTCTGAGTATCGATCAACTACGTTGACAGGACAGGGTTCACATGTTGCACTGTATACACTGGATTAGGGGATGAGTCGTCCTAGATTCGAGGTATATACTTTGCGCAAGGTGGTGTGAAATGTGTCTGATTCATCTAGCTACTCGAGGTAAAAATATCAAATATCAAAATCTCATACACATTCAAAGTTGTTGCAAACAAAGACTATGTGTAAAGTGCTACAAAGGACTATAAAGAGCAAATAGAATCCATACTACCGCCCATTACGACCACGTCGTAAAGTCTCCTTGCACTCATTGCAATACCACTTGACTGTAAAGAGATTAGCATATACTTTAGCAAAAAGAAGGTGAAAAAAACCTACCATTCTTTCCAGGGGGTTTGATAAGGCCCACGCAAGAAAGGTGGAACCACTCGCGTGGACAGGCGTCATTGTCGCACGCAACCATCTCGCCGAAACTAATCTGGTTGCAGTAGCAGTATCGGGGTTCGCCCTCGTCATCTTCGTCGTCACCTTCGTGGAAGGACTCTTCGTCGGATTGGATAGTGGGGACTGGTACTGCCGTTTTCTTGGTGACGCGCTTGGCGGGTGCTGTTTCTGTACTCCGCGTAGGTCGAGAGCGGGACTGTGTCGGTTCTGCCAGGGAAGAAAGGACAGGCGTTGCTGTCTTGGATGTTCGTCCTTTGCTTGGTTCGACTTCAAGGGAGTCGGCGGATCGGTCGATGTCTTCACGCTTGGCGCCTGCTAGTGCGGAGGCTCGGCCTCCGGTCTCACCCTCGAAGTCGCGGTGCTCTGAAATGCCGGTTTCATGCTTGATGGGCCCTTCACGTGGTGTAGATCTCGGATCGGAAGGTTTAGCTGGGAAGAATAGGTTAAATGACTGCAGAACAGCAACTGAGAAGAAAGACCTACAAGAATTTGGATGACCAATGCGGTTGGACGCCGAAGATGACGGCCGCTGTCGGGAGCTTCCAGGTCCAGCGGATTGCTGGGCTCGAGCAGATGGCGGTCGTGCTGCATTGGGCCCAGGGCTCGCAGCACCACGTGGGGCATTGAGTGTCCCGATGAGTGGAGATGGTGCCAACACAGGTGATCCCGCATTAGAATTAATGTTGACCCTAGAAATCGAGATATTAATAATATGCAATATAAAATGAGATGGGGAGGGAGAACATACTTCTTGCGACTGGCAGCATTAGTATTTGGAGCTCGAGCCCGCTTCTTTTCAGCAGGTTCCTTCGGATGAGCTCTCTGGCTGCCAGTGCCACTGGCAGAACGCTCCATCGGCGTGCCCATATCTAACGCCTGAGGCCGTTCCACCTTGCGACGCTTAGGCACAGCGTTCGGATCAGCGGCATTCTCACCGCGCGCCTTCCCGGCAGTGGGTTTTCGAACACTACGAGAGTCTTCATAGTCTGCATCAACTTGCCGACGTTGTCGCCGCGCTACAGCGTCGCGTCGCGCTTCACTACGACTAGCAGACTCAGCTTCGTGAAGCACATGCGTAAGGTCCTGCCTCTGCGATACGGCTTCCCGTCGAGGCCGCTCGTTAGTCGCGGCCTTCGCGGTATTTTTGTTCGAGTATGCCCAGTGAGTAAGGTTACCCAGACGAGCTTCCTCACTGATCTCACCAGCAATGTATGGGAATACATTATCTAGTCTCATCATTTGGCGGTCTAGCTCATCGTTCGCGTTAAAAATGACATGGTTCTTCTCGTCGGCTGTCATCATGAGGTCTGAAAGGCTTTGTCGCACGCGATTGAAGAGTAGTCGACGGTTTTTACTCTCCGGTGATTCGGAAGATGGAGGAAGTTCCTGGAGAGAAGAAGCAGCCATGAGTATAAATTGCAGCCAAACAGGGACAGGGGGAGGAAAGATCTTTAGAAGATACCTACGGTGGGTAAAACATGCTCACGCAACACACCGCCAACTATGGGTGCTGGGTGAGAAGGATGAGGAACTGGTTGCGACTCTGAGGCAAGCTGCAGAAGTTGTAGCAAATTTTCCTCAAGAGCCCACGCCTTAGCGTCTACTTCTTTCAAAAGAGAGTTGTGTCTGCGGAACTCGCGTGGTAGAGCGGTAATCGCATCGGTAAAATGAGTGAGGGCAGGATAGAAGCCATGAGCATCAGGAATTGTGGCGGGAATCTCGGCCGTCGCGGCTTGGCCGAATCCGAACGAAGATCGTCCAGTGTTTTTGGATACTCGGGAGGGATTTGTTCGGGTTTGACGGCCTGATTGACGAGCTCCCTGGCCCGAGGGGTTGAGGGCAGAGGGGACGTTGGACATGTTGTGGAAATAGAGTCAGACCAGAAGATGCACCACTACAAAATGTTTTCGGTGCACCTGAACCAATTTAAGCAAGGTGGACAAAGGAAAAAAGGAAGAGTGATTGTAACGAATGGCATGTACCTGTAAACTATCTGATTCAGTTCGTTCAGAGATAGGAATATGTATGTTGATGGATGAGAAACAGCAAACAGCAAGTGTGCGGAGAAAGAGCTCATCCAGATTGGCAGCCTTCTCCATAAAAGTCGTGATTTCTACCAATGACGAGAGCTTATCCGATTAGGTGAGTTGATGCCAGTATCATCAGGCACTAATATTTATAGCATCTCTGAAATTAGGGTTAGCCACCATAACATTTCCTAATATCTGATGAACTTGAAATTCAAAACTGCTCAAGAACTAATATTAATTTCAAACATAGAGAATTTTTCAGCCTCGTACGAGCCCAAAAAGTAAATGGGATGCACTCTCCCCCACTTTTTTGAATCTTTTGGATAATCCTAGCAACATATTTTAGGACGGTGAGCTGAAAGTCTATGGCGCACAAGCCTGACTCGTAACTGCATATTCTGCGCACTTAGCTTGGGATCGCAATTCAAAACTCTCGTATAGCATCTTGTAATACTTGTGATACATTTTGGAGCCCCTCTTTGAACAGCCCGAGCTTGTCGTTAACCTCATCTTCGATTTGATCTTGAACATCGATGCTGAAGACATCATACTTTTCCTCGATGTCATCTTGACGACCTTCAAGGTTATCTTGACGTTTATCGAGACCGACTTGACCTTTCCTGACTTGAGAAGCGAGGTCATTAATATTCGCGTCTAGTCGGTACTGCTTTTCTATTATCGCAGCATATCTTGAAGTCTTTGTACCTTAAAAGAAAATATCCCGGTTTGATACGAAGATCTTTGACTAGAAGTTCTTTTGATATCTTTGGGATGTTGGTCTCTTTTCCCTTTATAGAAGCGCGGCAAATCGCCAGTGCTATAACTAAGTCAGTGCTATTTAGATTCGGGTTGAAACTAGCTAAGCAGACGATTAGTTGACAGAAATTCAATCTGTTGCTAGGCAACCTCTGTAGAAACTGCATCTCTTCACGCCGCCTACGATACAATGAATGCCAGTCAAGATAAATCATAAATTCAATAGTTACTATGTAGCCAAACCTGGCACCAACAAAGCCAGCTTAGATAGTAGTTAATCTATCATTAAAACTGAACCTTGATACGTCTCCCTATTAAGGAATCCGGGATGAAGCATTTGGGCTATTCATAAAGATACCAATAAGATAGATAGGCGAACCGGGTGATATAAACGCTATTCAAACGCCTGTGATGGGGCATTATTTGTGAGGTTGATAAATATAACATGACCCGATGAACGCCCGATCGCCAAACTTGTTCCTGAAATGGTAGACATTGAAGAAAAGGCCGGTCTATACTCAGGAGGTAACCACAAGACGTTTACCTCACCATATGTTATCCAGGAAAAGTCTTTGCTTAAGCCAAGGCCATATTTCTTAGTCAATGAGATCATGTCACGAGGCATGGGCGTGACAGAACAAATCGAACCTGTATCAAATGCACCAAAGCTTGTGTGCAAAACGTTAAAATCAAAGTTATCGAACTGAAGGAAGCTAGTGGAGCCGGTGTTAAGAGTTGACACGCTCTTGCCGGTGGCCGGATCCCAGATCCTGACTGTGTTATCATTGGACCCTGATGCGAGCCGGGTTCCATCTGGCGACCAGGCAATCGAACGAACTAAACCTCTATGCCCTTCGAGAGTGGACACACTCTGGCCGGTGGCCGGATCCCAGATCCTGACTGTGTTATCAATTGACCCTGATGCGAGCCGGGTTCCATCTGGCGACCAGGCAATCGACAAGACCCGATTACTATGCCCTTCGAGAGTGGACACACTCTGGCCGGTGGCCGGATCCCAGATCCTGACTGTGTTATCATAGGACCCTGATGCGAGCCGGGTTCCATCTGGCGACCAGGCAATCGACTCGACCGAATCACTATGCCCTTCGAGAGTGGACACACTCTGGCCGGTGGCCGGATCCCAGATCCTGACTGTGTTATCATCGGACCCTGATGCGAGCCGGGTTCCATCTGGCGACCAGGCAATCGACAAGACCCGATTACTATGCCCTTCGAGAGTGGACACACTCTGGCCGGTGGCCGGATCCCAGATCCTGACTGTGTTATCATCGGACCCTGATGCGAGCCGGGTTCCATCTGGCGACCAGGCAATCGACAAGACCCGATTACTATGCCCTTCGAGAGTGGACACACTCTGGCCGGTGGCCGGATCCCAGATCCTGACTGTGTTATCAGATGACCCTGATGCGAGCCGGGTTCCATCTGGCGACCAGGCAATCGAACTGACCCAATCACTATGCCCTTCGAGAGTGGACACACTCTGGCCGGTGGCCGGATCCCAGATCCTGACTGTGTTATCAGATGACCCTGATGCGAGCCGGGTTCCATCTGGCGACCAGGCAATCGAACTGACCCAATCACTATGCCCTTCGAGAGTGGACACACTCTGGCCGGTGGCCGGATCCCAGATCCTGACTGTGTTATCATAGGACCCTGATGCGAGCCGGGTTCCATCTGGCGACCAGGCAATCGACAAGACCCGATTACTATGCCCTTCGAGAGTGGACACACTCTGGCCGGTGGCCGGATCCCAGATCCTGACTGTGTTATCAGATGACCCTGATGCGAGCCGGGTTCCATCTGGCGACCAGGCAATCGAACTGACCGAATCACTATGCCCTTCGAGAGTGGACACACTCTGGCCGGTGGCCGGATCCCAGATCCTGACTGTGTTATCATAGGACCCTGATGCGAGCCGGGTTCCATCTGGCGACCAGGCAATCGACTCGACCGAATCACTATGCCCTTCGAGAGTGGACACACTCTGGCCGGTGGCCGGATCCCAGATCCTGACTGTGTTATCAATTGACCCTGATGCGAGCCGGGTTCCATCTGGCGACCAGGCAATCGAACGAACTAAACCTCTATGCCCTTCGAGAGTGGACACACTCTGGCCGGTGGCCAGATCCCAGATCCTGACTGTGTCATCCATTGACCCTGATGCGAGCCGGGTTCCATCTGGCGACCAGGCAATCGAACGAACTAAACCTCTATGCCCTTCGAGAGTGGACACACTCTGGCCGGTGGCCAGATCCCAGATCCTGACTGTGTCATCCATTGACCCTGATGCGAGCCGGGTTCCATCTGGCGACCAGGCAATCGACAAGACCGAATCACTATGCCCTTCGAGAGTTTGAAGACAAAGACTCCAACTCTTTTCTACCACTGGATTATTTAAAATCCAACCCGGTCTTTCCTTCTGAAAAGATATTCTCGTCAGGCTCTCTGTTGGGCTGAAGATAAGAGGTGAACAGTAAACTTGTAAAGGGGTATTTTCAATGCCTGTCCTATTATATCGAATGAACCGAGAGGCATCTTCAGCTCGATCTAATAGAGCTTGTGATCTGCCTTTTTCCTATTAACAAATGATTAGAAGATGCCATTATACCTTAATATCTATCGCCAAATACCTGAATTATCATCTTGAGCTTTTCCATCGCTTGGATACCATATGAAACGCTTCTAAGAATGCTAAGGGCCTCGAGCCAGTAAAGGAATTTCTGCTGTAAAAATGCATCCACTTGACTTAAGTCATCGGTTTCACTGTGCTTGCTGTCTTTGAGATGGTCTATCCAATAGATATAAGCGTATTGTGTCGCTGCTAGTGGATTTGGGCTAGGTTGTCTGATATCCTTTATCGTGACTCCTGGTGATTTGATATTGAACATATCACGTCGAAGTGTCTTGAACATGACTTCAAGAGAACTTTTAAAGATTGAATGGTGTATACCCTCTATATCTATAGGAAATAGCTCGTTTTGCACTTCCTGGAGAAGAAAGTCCTTTGCAGACTGGTGAACGAACAGAATAGTGTCTCCTCGTAACGTTAGGAACGAGCCGCAAATTGCAATAATCTCCGAGAGGGATTCCTGGTCATCGTAGTCATCGTCTGATGCTTCGAGAAGTAAGGGTAGCTCGCTAAGCGTGATAGGCCGATATACTGCTACCATGATAGCCAGTACCTCCTTACAGAGTTCGGCATCTTCTGACTTGTGAACCTGATCAATCATACGGCCATATAGAGCGTTTAGCCCAAGAGGGAATGTTTTTAGCTTCTTAACAGCTTGCCTTGATAGTGCTCTTTCAAGGTTTTGACAGACCAAGGCCACCCAGAGAAAAGTGCCTTGTGAGTTCAACGATAAGTAACGGTAGATGGCATCACGAGTGTCATCCTTATATCTTTTGATCTTCGCTAGAGAGTCGACTTTGTATTGAATGAACTTATTCACAGCTTCCGACACAGAGGCCTCATTTAGCTCTAGTGAGATCGGAGCTATCTGGGTTGCAATCTCAAGACGCTCTATGATCTCAAGCCAATTACGGCTCGAGATAATCCACTTTATCTGTGAATGGGCTGATGACGCCTGGATGATGAAGTCTAGAAGGCAACGAAGACCACTCGTGCACTCATCTAACGCATCGATCACCAGATACATACATTTTAAAGATGTGTCTTCTAGAATGTCCATGAAGATGGTCGTGAGTGCATTCCATGCATTTCTGTCATCAAAGAGGTCCTTGCCAGCCTGGTCGTACCGAGCTCGCACATGGGAGAGAAGGGATGGGTTATTTTCGACAAGTAAATATATCAACCCACGTAGGACGGACGTGGCACTATTAATTCGCATGTCGGTCGCCTGACAGAAAAAGAACGAGATTTTCGTAGTATCCCCATGTATTCTGGCCAACTCTTCGATGATACCACATAGAAGCATTGTCTTGCCTTTGCCAGGATCACCCCTGATCCAGAGGAGACGATGGCTTGGGCTGTCCTGCCATCGTTTGAACTCTTCATTGTCTAGAATCCAACGATACGAGTCTTTGAGCAGCCCGCCATTGGTTTCTATGATCCGGTTTTTATCATCGTAAGGATTGGTTGTACGTAAATCTCGAAGGCATGCTTGGTTCAATGTTTCCGATTGTACTAAGACCACTCAATATTTAGGATCTATTAGAGTTCTACCTTCGACTCACCAAACTGTGTATAAGTGACACTCCCGTTATTCACTCCAAGCTGGAATGCGGAGTTTATACCGTCATAGGAGACTGTAGTTGCCATGATTATCCGATGGATTTGAGGAGGTAAGTTCACAGCTGGATTTCCTGTCTACCCCGCTCACTAGTTATCAGGTGATCTATCTAGATGTAAAAGAGCCAACCATCTTGAATTTAGGAAATCTGCAACATAACTTGACGGTTGCTGGGTTTCGAAGAGCCAGGGACCAAGTTGATACAGATAATGGCCTCTAGATATATATAGCAGGAAATAGTATCTAATAAGAAGGTGAGCTGAAAGTCGTCTATGGCTGCGCACAAGCCTGACTCGTAACTATATCTTAGGATGATTGCAATTCAAAATTTTCGTATAGCATCTTGTAATACTTGTGATACATTTTGGAGCCCCTCTTTGAACAGTCCGAGCTTGTCAATACCATCGATGCTAAAGACATCATACTTTTCCTCGATGTCATCTTGACGATTCCGAGATTTGGACCTTGACTCTACCACCCTCATTACAAACATACCACCGTAACCGTCAATTCCACCTATTCTATGTATTCACGCCGTATCCGTTCAAAATAGAGTATATCTCTCTGTATTGCCACTAATGAAGGATCTTCTTATCTTTTCCTCTATTTCCATCTCAACCTCCTGATCCTGTTGTAGTGGCTCATAACCATTATTTTTTTTATACTCTTTTACCAACTTCCTCTCTTTTACCGCATCTTCTTTAACAAAAATTTATCAGAATAAATTCCAAGTGTTAATGCACGTGAATGGCAACTAGATGAAATTTTATTTTACAAAAACATGGATACTAGGTGTAGACAAAGTCCAGCGTTTGGCAAAACCAATACGAATCGTGTACACGACGCACAAAAAACATAGTGCGGGATAACCACAAGGGGGGGAAAATGTAGTACAAATCAAATGGGACGCTCCCAGGTAAACCAATAGACAAAAGAAAGGTTACCCAGTTAAAATTTAAATGACTGGATAGGTTCTATCGGAAACCATCTACTCGCCCTTCAGGATCTCCTGGTGAACGGAGAAAGCCTCCTCCAGGAATTCCTGCTCCTCCTTCAAGTGAACGGACTTGGTACCAGTGGCCACGGAGGCGCTGGGAGCACGACCGGCATACAGGACGTGACGGCGGTTGTGGTGCTCGGTCGAGTTCAACAGGGTCTCGATACGAGGCTGGACGTAGGACCAGGGACCAGCGTTGAGAGGCTCCTCCTGGCACCAGACAATGTTCTTGGCGTTGGGGTAGCTGTCCAAGTTCTCCTGCAGCTGAGCCCAGGGGAAGGGGTGCAGCTGCTCAACACGGGTGATAGCGGTGTTGCGGATGCCGTTGGTCTCCTGGTACTTGGAAAGAGCGGCGTAAACCTGGCCAGAGCAGACAATAACACGCTCAATCTGCTCAGGAGCATCAATGGCACCGGTCTTGTGGGCAGGGTCACTGATGATCCACTGGAAGTGGGAGTCGCCAGTGAAGGCCTCAATGTCAGATCGGGCAATAGGGTGACGGAGCAGAGCCTTGGAGAAGAAGATGATAAGGGCTAGAGGGAAAAGTTAGGTTTTTTTTTTTTTTTTTTTGCTCTCTGAAGTATAAATGAAGGGGTGATACGTACGCTTGCGGAACTGACGGTGGATCTGGCGACGGAGGATGTGGAACAAGTTAGAGGGCTCAGTCATGTAGGCGATCTGCATGTTGCAGTCCTGGTGCTGGCGGTCCAGCTTATCGGCATTAGGGAACACGCGGGGCTCCTCGTTGCAAAGCTGGAGCCAACGCTCCATACGACCGGAAGAGTGCTCAGGACCCTGGCCATCGTAACCGTGGGGCAGAGAGACAACCAGACCAGAGCGCTGTGCCCACTTAGATTCACCAGAGGCGATAAACTGATCAATGATACACTGAGCGTTGTTGGCGAAATCACCGAACTGGGCCTCCCACATGACAAGAGCCTCGGGGGAGGTGAGGGAGTAACCGTACTCGAAGCCGAGGGCACCGAACTCGCTTAGGGAAGAGTTGGAGATGACAAAGCTGCCCTGCTTATCGCTGATGTGCTGCAGGGGAGTGTAGGTGCTCTCGTTCTCCTGGTCGTGCACAACGGCATGACGCTGGGAGAAGGTACCACGCTCAACATCCTGTCCAGAGACACGGACGTGGTAGCCCTCATCGACAAGAGAACCGAAGGCAAGAGCCTCGGCAGTGGACCAGTCGATGTTCTTACCCTCCTCAACAGTCTTCTTGCGGTTGGCCAAGATACGCTTGAGGTTCTTGTGGAGAGTGAAGCCCTCGGCGGCGGCACTGGTGCAGCTGACCTTGTCGGCAATGTGCGACAGGGCGGCCTGGTCAACAGAGGTGGCAAGGTGGGGGAGAACCTCAGTGGCGAGCTCCTTGGGGGTCTTGAAGTTGTTCCAGGCGGAAGTGAGCCATTCCTTACCGGTAGCCTGGTAGTCCTTGCTGCGGTCAAAGCTGTCGTTCAGCATTCCCCAGACCCACTTCTTGTGCTCATCAATGTCCTCCTTGGTGAATGTACCCTCGGCAATGAGCTTCTCGACGTACTTGTCAAGCTGAGCCTTCTGCTCGGCAATACGCTTGTACATCAGGGGCTGGGTGAACGAGGGCTGATCAGTCTCATTGTGTCCCTGCTTACGGTAGCAGACGATGTCAATAACGACATCACTCTTAAACTTGGCGCGCCAGTCAGCAGCAATCTGGCAGACGTAGTTGACGGCCTCGACATCATCGGCGTTCACGTGGAACACGGGAGCGTCAATGGCCTTTGCAATGTCCGAACAGTATGGGGTGGAACGGGAGTAGCGGGGATCAGTAGTGAAACCAATTTGGTTGTTCACAACAATGTGAATGGTACCGCCAGTAGAGTAGGCGGGAAGGTGCTGGAAACCCATGGTCTCGTAAACGACACCCTGAGCAGCGAAAGCAGCATCACCGTGCAGCAAGACACCCATGGCAGTGTCGAACTTGGTCTCATCGTTGTTGTAGTGCTGGATGGCGCGGGCCTTTCCGAGAACGACGGGGTCCTCAGCCTCCAAGTGGGAGGGGTTGGCGACCAGGGAAAGTTGCACACGCTTGCCAGAGGGAGTAGGACGCTCGAAGTTCATACCCAAGTGATACTTGACATCACCAGAACCCTCGTCAGAAGGCTCGGTGGAACCAGCGAACTCGTTGAAGATGGACTCGTTGGGCTTGCGAACAACGTTGGACAGAACATTGAGACGGCCACGGTGGGGCATACCAATGACAATATCCTTGATACCGTAGTCGACACTGCGGTCAATCAATGCCTTCATACCAGGGACCAGAGTCTCGCAACCCTCCAGACCGAAACGCTTGTCGTTGGGGTACTTGGTGGCAAGGAAAGACTCGAAGCTGGAACTCCAGATGAGACGGTCGAGGATTCGGCGCTTCTCATCAACGGTGTACTTGTAGGGCTCGGGAACCTCGAAACGCTCGCGGATCCACTCACAGGGCTCACGGTCAGGGATGTGGATGTACTCGACACCGTAGGAGCCGCAGTAGGTCTTCTCGCAAGCGGCAATGATCTCGCGTAAAGTCATCTTCTTACGGCTGTCAGTCACGAAGCGGGGCAAAATACCAGGGCCCAGAGCGAACTCCTGGTCAAGATCGCGCTCAGTGAATCCGTAGTGGTCGAGCTCAAGCTCCTTAGGACGGGCATATCCGAAAGCCTCGGAATCTCCACGGATGCCGAGAGGGTCGATCTTGGCCTTGTGGTGACCACGGGCCTGGTAGGCGCGCACAAGTAGCTGAACCTTCAAGTGGTTTGTGACATCAGAGCCAGCGAGACCAACACCAGGCATATCCTGGGGAACACCACCAGTAGGGGTGGGGACGAGGGTAGGAGGAGGAGTGAAAGCCTGGGCGATGGGCATGTTGCCATCCTCCATGTTTCTGAAGTAAGTTTGCCACGAGATATGGACACTGGAGGGATCTTGCTTCCACGCAAGGTACATTTCATCAACATAGTTGGCGGTGTTTCCAGACAAGAAAGAATCATTAGGATTCTAAGCGCAATCGTCATGTTAGTCAAACTGTTCGGGCATTTTTTTTTCTCTTCCATCACCGTTGTATTTCAATATCAAACAATGGAAAGCTTTTTTTGACCTACCACTCCTGGACTTGTGCCCTCCGCGGACGAAGCATATTGGCGAGTGAAAGCTCGGTTGGCAATCGCGAGAGGTCGGCGAGCAGCGAGGCTGAAGGCAGAGCTCTTCGAAGCCAGCTGGAGAGATCTCCGGCAAGTAGAAGAGGTCACACCGCGCAGCATGCCGCTGTTAGTGGCCTTCAAGGCAGTATTCCTGAACATTGCGGGAATTTTGACCCGGGCCGGGGAAGAATTTGGTTTAAGTTGAGAGAGGAAGAGTGAAGATGGTCTTTCGGTGACTCAAGAGGCAGAGCTCAAGAAATCAAGAATCAGATTTGATCTATTCAAAGCAGCTTGTTAGATTGAAGGTTGACAGATTGTTCTTGCTGCTGCCGAGAGTACCGGAACGAAACGCGGAACAAAGGAAGCAGCGGCAACACGTACATGACGAAAATCGCGCAAAAGTCAGGTGTCGACTAGTAGGGCCGTAACACCTGTATAGACGTACAACTCATCAGAGAGCAGAAACTCTGCTAATAATAAATTATCAAACTGGAATGAATTGGAAGAGAAAAGCTTCCAGAGGGAGAACCTGTTCTGCATTGAGGCTGGTGTGCTGAGTCATCCCGCGACATTGCCGATTCCACCAGATCTGGGCTGAACGCGCCCCGAACTAGCCACATGCTTCGGCTAACATCTCGGTGCTTTGCGGGAGTTTTCGGCCCAATAGCCCCTGGATTATGACGGTACTTTGTGACCTTCAAACATGAAATTCTACGGAGCACCTATGTATGTAACCATATATCAAGTCTCTACGCACTCCGTAAAGAGGGCATAACGAAAAATGGAGGGGAAGAAAAAAGGAAGAAGAAAAAAACGCTGAATCCGTAAACTAGTCTAGGTACAGGATTGGGTCGATTCCATCTGGAATCCTTCCGAATCCAACAGTCATTATTATCATTAGGAAAACGGTCAAAAAGCAATCATATGCAACAGAAAAAGAAAGATATAACCCGTATTTCCAGAAACTGAGTGATATTTACAGACCATAGACAATGAAGTGCCGATCAGCGGCACTTCTCTGCGTTGATCGGCCCGTCTACCGCTCAGCGGGAGATCGGCCAGTTTGCCCCAAACCACCCTTAAAGCGGTGAGCCAGAGTAGATATGGCTGTCAAAGCCCTCGTCGGCAGTTCTTGCCTCGAGAGGGCTAGCTTCAGATGTAGAAATGAAGCTACCACGTTGAGAAGAAGGGGGGCTTCCAGCATTGCTTCCACCCCAAGCACCCCGTCGCAGCTTCAGCAGAGCACTCATGGTCATCTCATCGTCCAAGTTTCCCATGTCAACCAGCTGAGCCAGTCCAGCACCGGCCAGGGAATGATTGGACAGAGAAGCACCATGAGCTTTCAACGAGATCATGGAGTTTCGTGTACTCCATTCACTTCGCTCAGTAATCGGGGTGAGACTTTCTTCGAACTTTCCACGACTGCTGAAGCTTCGCGTGATAGCCTCGGCACCCCGTGGACCAAAGTAGCCTCCGTTCGTAAGCTCGGTGTTAGCGGTGCCGCTTGCTTGTGCATAGAATCCGAACTCTTGACCGTAAAAGCCCTCGTCGTCATTTTCTAGCGCTTCTGCGTTGGCAGCGGCGACAATGGGGTCGTCGTAGTCCGCATAGTCGTCATTATAGATATGATCGTCGAAAACATCTTCAAATCCCATGGCATCTGCGGTCTGACTGAGACGACTGTCATCGGACATCAGTCCCGGTTGCGATTCAGCCGTATCTGAGGTCTGGGGAATGCTCCCTTGTCCCAGGGATCGATTGCTTGTACTGTATTGACGTTCAAAACGTCCCTGGGTTGCTGCTTCGTTTGCTGCGAACGCAAGAGCATTATGCAAGACCTCTAGATTTTGCTCCGTCAGGACTCCCCCGTGAGCTCGGGCAGGACCCACGTTTGGTATGATCTCACCGAGTAGACCATGTTTGATGGAACCCGCCCGGAACTCACTGGCCACACTCGGCATATGCTTCAGGCCCTGTCCAGTATCTTCATCTTCCTGCATCTCCTCCTGGTCGTCACTGTCAGGTAAGGCAGGCTTGAGAGGCAGAGAAACCTCTTTATAGACTGGTTTCCTTTCATAGAGGTGACTGTTCACGTCATCAAAAACAGACTCGTCAAATCCACCATCCTCGTCGTCGATGTTGAGATCCCCAAATTCTCCGTCGTCAAAGTACATGTCGTCGTCGTCTTCAACGTCAAGGAATGTTTGAAGTGCCGGTTGATTATTATTATTATCTTGTGTATATGGCCCTGTTGTAGCATCATTGTCCGAAGCGGACAGCTCAGTCTCAGGGTATTTCTGATCGCTATACTCCGAGTCACTATGCTCTGATTGAGCCGAGCCGTCATCCACAACTGGGACTTCGCTTTCATCGTTGTTCGAAATATCAGGCGGTGCTAGAATGGCTAGGTTCCCAACTACAGGCGGTAAGCTCGAGGCCCAGGACCTGAGTTCGCTGCTGTCAGATGCTAAAAAGTCATCGTCATCGTCATCATCATCATCGTCCGCATCAACATTCACTCCTGGAATCTTCTCTTCCAGATCATCCATATCGTCCATGATATCATGGTCAAATTCATCATCAAAGTTCTCAAAGTAGCCGGCCTCGATCCGGCGCGCTGCCTCTTTCGCCTTGTGCTTCTCTTCCAGGAGTTTTTCTTGAATAGACCCATCCACGCCACCCATGTCGAAGCTGAATCTTGAAGCATTGCTCTTGAGATGCTTTGGCAAGCCTGCGGGTATATAGGGTATGCGAGGAATATCATCGTCATCTTGCTCTTCTTTATGTATGGGGTGGCTCGGTTCTGTGCATTCCGGGTCTTCTGGGACCTTTGCTGGAGTGTCTACCGGAAGCTCCTTTGGAATTTCTTCTGGGAGTTCCGCTGGTATAGGTGGGTCATTGACATCTGAACGCTGCTCCGGCAAGCTTGACGGTAGATTGCGGGCGAAAATAGGTATGGAGTGTTCATAGCCCGGTTGAGCCGGAGTGGTCAACAACGAAGATTGAAGATAGCCCTTATTCTCAACTTGCAGCACCTTTTGATCGTCTTCGAAATGCTCTTTAAACACCGGTGAATAGTCATTATGTCTGGCCTTGTCATTCCACCGCCCTGCAGGGCTTTGCACGGATTGCGGTGACGCATCCTGAGCACTAATGCGTGGTCGAGGGGCCGAAAAGTCATGAACGATCTTCCCGCGGATTCGGGGATCGTAGTCATCAGGTATGGCGGGAACTAGGTTTTTCGCGTTCATTTTCACATCGTCGACGCGGGAGTTCCCTACATGCGATGATCGCCTTCGCGCAAGAAGGGACATCGGGTTCAATAGGTGGAGCATTGCTTTGCCCGACTTGTGATGGACGTGTTCCCCCGAAATATCGCGATCTGTAGATCGCCGGTCTGTAGCCTCCTTCTGTTGGACATATTGTTTCTCTACCGGGGACTCGTCTAGCGAAGCTTTTAGTCGGCACTGACTCGTATCTAGGCCCCGCGTTGGCGAATGCTTCTGGTTATCAGCCGAGTTCGACTGTAGATTTCGTAGCCCTTTACCGAAGGACATTCGGAATGGTGAAGTTGCTTTCAGATTTGGTTCTACATCTCCATGATCTGGACGTAGACCGTAGGGTGAAAGTTGCGGTGTGATCGGAGATGGCAGGATGACATCTGGAGAGCTTTCTTCAGGACACGAATGCGGACGAATCTCTTTATTGGTTGAAGGGAGTGGGACAGCAAGGCTATACGAGGATGACAGGGTTGCTGCAGAGGTAAGGTCGCCTTCCAACGGCGACAACGGCGATTCACTGACAGAGGGGACATCGTAAGAGAGTGGAAGACCACCGTCGAAGGTAGTGGTGAGTAGAGGAGTATCTGGTATTTGAGGTAACTGAGGAGGTATACTAATTCGATTTTCAGCGGTTCCCTTAGGAACCACTGGCACAGTCGTGGACACGACGGCTGCAGAGGCGCGTCGGTCGCGACGCCAGTAAGAGAAGACGGCTGAGGGGGGCATTTGAGACGTGGGTCCAGAACCTCCGAATAGAATATAGAAAATTCAAGGCACTTTGGACGCCATGGCAGACTGATTCATCTAAGCATTAAATCCCTACTTAGTAAAGGAGCGTTGAATGTGCAGTTTCACATTTCACATAGTGGGGCTTACAGTCAACTCCACTTTTGTAATGCGGTAAACAATGTAGATTGTCTATTAAGTAGTAAGGAGGTGGTCTAAGAATAAACTGGAGAGATAAGATGATCTTTACTAAGATAGTGCAGTCACGCCTTAACTACAGTAGTTCTGGACTTGACTAATTCGGCAGTAATACTGCCCCTATATCAAACCCTTGAGTTACTTCAATCTTGGGATCAATGTCCATGTTAATCTGGAATTCATCATTTTGATAACCAAATTTGATTATCGGTGTTTGGGAAGAGGTGAATAGGCATTTCTGCATCCTGCTAGGGATTTAATATCAAAACAGGATCATAGACACAGCCCAAGGCTCAGCTCATGATAAAAGGTAGGATTTCTTCACTCGGCATTCATGATTCAACCAAAAGTCTTCCAGATAGAAAAGACCTCATATCGATAATCCAAATCTGACGAAGCTGTTCAAACCCATAGTCGTCAGTCAGCTCAGCCAAACTACAAATGGCCCGCAAGATCTGAAACGTTCAACCGGTCAACGCGCTCCTTAGAGCAAAGCAGCTGTTCAGGCAACCAATCGTGAACTTCACCACCGGGAATAGCATCCATCTCCTGAAAGTCTACCTCCTCTCCAAGCAGCATCAATGCTGTAGCAACGCCAGACAGCCACGCCAACACCATGCCCTCTCCCTGAAACCCGGCACAAATCCACTCACAAGGCTGTCTCTGGCAAGTCAAGGGCTGCGGCAGCTTCCGGCCCGTAATGCTAACATCCAATGGCCCGACAAAGGGCAGCAAGTCCGGGGTGAATCCCATGCATCCAGTCCAGGAGTTTTGGACTCGAGTGCCAGAGTCCTCTCCCCAGTTCTGGGGGCCAAACATCGTAGGCAGGAGACCCTCCAGATAGGCTTTGATGGCATAATTGCTCTTGTCGTCGGTCCAGATACCGAATTCGTCCATGCCGTGTTCGGGTGATTGCACTATGCCGCCGCCGGCCATTAGCATTCCTGAACCTGGGCGTTGACTAATGTAGTCGAAGCCTTTCTTGTGGTTGAAGCACCATGATTTCTTTCCGTCGAGGCTGGGGAAAAGACTGCCTGGCTTTTGGGCTGTCATGTGTCCTCGGACTGGAAATATCTTGCCGGTTAGATTCGGCAGTAGGTTTGCGGCGAATGCGTCTGTCGCGTGGATGATGTGAGTTGTGTGGACTTTGCCTCTAGGTGTATGCACGACGAATGGCCGGAGGGGATTCGAACCGGTTACATCAATTTCTGTTGCGGGTGTGTTGCACTCGATCGAGAATACAGGACAAATTTCTAGAAGAATCGCATAGAGACTTGTCACGAACCGATAGGGCCAAAGGGTTGCGGCGGGGTAGGTGATAATGCCACAGCAGTGCTCAGGGTCGATATGGTGCTCCTAGTCATGTTGAGATTCCCATCCCAGGTGAAGAAGAAACAAGACAAAACTGACCTTGCAAGCTACGGTGCCCTCATAAATCAAGACCTCCTTGCCAAATTCAGGCATATCCCGCTTCAAGTCTTGCACCATCTCCTTAGCCTGAAACCACTTCTCTTCATCAGTGAAAACGTCCAGAGTCAGGACCTTTCTCCCACCAGACAATTCCAAGTATGAGCAGCCCCGGATGAAGTTGATCAGGATATCATGATGACGCATCTGAAACTTGAGAAGCTTCTTCGCAGCCTCCATTCCATATCGTGCTTTCAGGCTGGAATATTCATGGTAATGCGAACACTTGATATGTCCACCGTTGCGACCTGTCGCTCCACTGCAAATGCTTCGAGCCTCGAGCATCACAATCCGTGGCCAATTCTGACGGCCGTGGAGTTTACGGCTTTGTTCGATAAGTGCATATGCAAAGCTGGCACCGGCAATGCCTGAGCCTATGATTACGATGTCGGCTCTCTCGGACAAGTTTTCAGATTGCTTGTTCACTAGTTCTGGGAAAGGAGGGTCATCTTCCCAGAATGTTGTGGAGGGGCTCATTATTGGCAGTGCCACGTCGTTCACGCGGGAGATCAGTGCGTCGAAACTTTGCTTAGTGGTGTTCATCTCGTGGAAGAGAGCTAGCAAATTGAAATAGGTATTGCGGAGGGTTGATAAAATGGACCCCATGTTTGCGGTGGGGAGGGAATTGAGAAAGAGAAGGTGGAGGGTGAAGAATAAAAAAGTAAAGTGAGAGTAAACAGAGAAGTAAAGATCGATGGGTAAACGCCTTCAAAAGAAACACCTTGAAACTTGAAATGCTCATGCAGTAAGATAATGCAAAGCTCTCATCTAGTTAAGATAAAGACTTCAGCGTGACCCGACAAAAAGAAAAGATAAATAAACATAAAAAGGTCAGAAAAGAGCTGGTCTAGAAAAGGTTGGAATTACGGTGACCTCCAGAGTACGAGCTATTACATTTGGGGAGGTTATTTTCCCCTTATATCAACCAGGTAGATCTAACTAGAAAGACCGAGGTGAACATGAGAATTTGTATTCTTCCAGGGGCTCTCTATGTGTAGTCGAGAGACCCTTCGTCTATAGAATCAAATACGCCTGGACCGTAAACAAACTCCGCTACTCTAGTACCGTACAAGAGCGATGAGAAATTTGAGAAAAACGCCTAGCCTGGGGCACTATTATGGGGACATTGAGAGCTAGAAAAGACGACATAATGCAAAGAAAGCTAACGGATGCTTTGTCTCCACCGGTCAACCATGTCTAGCTGTGCTGGATCGACCGGTTGGCGAGCCATTGCCGGACTATATGCATTTTGCATGGAATATGCCATGCCATTCATAGGCATTGTATTGACTTGAGAATAGGGACGAGCGGCAGGATATGCCATGCCATAGTTGTATGGTTGTGCCATTGGCTGTCCCATTGGCGCATGGTAGCTGCCATGTGATGATTGCACTGGGTACGGCTGCATGGACATTCGATGGCCACCGTACTGGGGCCTGCCGAATTGTTGCAGCACATCATGTGAGGATTTGCGAGCCACAGGAGCTGGTCGTACCTGTGGGAGAGCGATCATGCTTTGTCTCACGCGAGGTTTTGGCTTAGGTGCAGCCGCATTTTCTTTCTGGAGGCGACTTCGCCGCTGTGCGAGAGTCTCTTCTTCATTCACTGGCTCGGGCTCGGCTTCCTTGGTATGCAAACTTGCGCGACTTTCCACACCGGCTCTGGTATCAATCTCCGCGATCAATTCACTCGCAAAGTGACTTTGGGATGAATTCTCGCCTTTCAGGCGCTTCAGTCGTTCGGCCATTGTCTCGCCTTCGTGATCACTTTCCTCTGGCTCTGGTTCTGGCCGAGTAGGTTCAGCCACAGTAACGGCATAGAAGTCACTAACAGGTCGCTTTGCCACGGCTGGCTCACCACGTAACCTAGCCCGGCGCGAGCTCAAAGGTTCATTTTCTTCGTGTGCGCGTTTTTCCAAGAGACCTAGGGGACGGTTCTCCTCCTCAACGGCGCTCCTATCAGCGTATAAAACTCCTAGAGGAACTTCCTCGTCATCCCCGGCGTCGCGAGGATCCCATGCGAGTGTGACTGGCCGATTTCTTCTTTTATCGCTCTGTCGTTGGGCCCTTGCATCCAATTCCAACAGTGTGGCACCATATCTTCCAGTATCGCTGGGCAAAGGTAGTGCCGTGCGTCGCCGCTGTGCCAATTCATGTTTTCGTAACACCAATTCAGCTAGGAGTGTATTTGGCGGGCCGACATAGTCCAATTCATCCTCCTCTTCTTCATCGTCACCTTCACTTCCTGGGTGCTCTTCACTTCCGGTACCAGTCTCATCTGACGGATCGGAATCCTCCTCACTTTTAGAGTCACTCTTGGAGCTGACCGAGCCATCGGCCTCCTTCTTCACAGTGCTCTGGCGTTGGCCCATTGGGAACTGGGAATTACGAGACGATTTCTTGAGTATAGTGTTGCGTTTTGAACTACCGTAGACATGCGAGCCAGCATGACCAGCAAAGGGGTGGTCAGTAAATGCCGAGACAGGTGCATGAGCCGAAGCGTCTAAGATGCTATCAAGTGTTGCGACGGCAGATTGTTGCTTCACTTCAACTTCGAGAGTAGTTCTTGGTGGGTCGAAGAAGACGCTTGCACGAAGATGAGGCGAAATGACAGACTGATGCTTGTTCTTCGGGATGTTGTTTGCATTGTCATTGCCAGATTGGGAAACTTCATCAGCAGCTTTTCTATCTTCAGCTGCAATCGTCGTCAAGAGTTGTGTTCGCCGCTTTTCTCGATCAGTGATTGGGTGGCGTGAAAGTTTGGGAGGGAGATTAAGCATGCGTGGGACGGGCGCAGGGTAGTAAACCATGTGCTCGCCTGTTTGCGGCTCCTTGTATGACTGGGGTGTGCTCGCAAGGGGCGGTCGGTTCAGGGCGAACTGCCGCCCGGTATTTCCCAATGGTGTGAAATGGACACCATCGAAACCGTTAAACAGAGTCTGGGCTTGCTGGAAGGTATCGCCGGAAGCAGCTGAAGATGAACGCTGGAGTTCCTCCCCCGTGGCCTCCACTTGGCCATCTTCATCACCGGCACCGTCACATTGGTGATAATAGCGTTCGTTTCGTTGAGGATAGACTCGTGGCTGTGGGGGTGGAGCAATGGCAGGGGCGAGCGGGAATGGAGAAGCAAAAATGCCATTTAGGCATCGATTACGTTCCTCATCATCGGGCTCGGCCAGCTGAGCGAGGCGAGATGCACCCGAAACGGAACGTTGACGCGTTGATCGACTTGATGATCCATGGGGAGAAGACATGGCGCCCGGCGAGAATGCTTCATTCCTCATTATAACGGAATTAGAAGCGGAGCTGCACGAGCGTCTCTTCTGTTCCATATCCATCTTGCGAATCTCACTAGCAATGTCGGTAGAGCTTGCACTGAGTCGCATGGCACTTTCTTCTAGTCGCTCCACATTTCCGACATAGGCGCCTTGGATCGATTGAAGATCTGGGGTAGGATGACTGAGAGGGATCGAGGGGGTAGGGCTTTGCAAGGGGGTCTCTAGTGGAGAATGTCGCGCGATCGCAGTATTCAGCGGAGTCACGCTGAGTGGAGGCACATTCAGTGGAGCAACATGCAGTGGAATGTCTTCATGTACGGGGGGTTCAGCATCGTAATCGTCATCCTCGACGGTCTCGTAGCTGGCAGAAGTCACGGAGCGAATGATTGCGCCCAAGCCTGTGAGGCCCTGATCGGCATTTGCGGTTACGACTTGAAGGGTGTCGTTGACGCGATAGTGAGAGGCAGGGGTGGACCTGCGCGATGAGTTGGAGCCGGAATCGGAAGCCTCATGAGCGACAGCATTGTAAGCCATGACTGAGTAAGTCTAGGGCGCTGGGGCCCAGACCTTTGAATAAAGAAAAAGGGTGGTTACTGTGGAATGGAAGGAGGAAGTGAGAGTAATAAAAGTGATAAAGTAATAAAGTAATATTTAAAGTAATAACTTGTTTCATTCGGCGTTACATCCTGTTTTACAGTAAAAAGTTGGGTCTGAAATCTAAATTTGGCTTGGTCATACGCGCCCCTCTCCCCCTTTTATAGTACATAGTTACTTCTACTATAATGTCTCGCTCAAGAATTGGTTCCTAGTTGTACATGATATTACTACTACTATTCCTACTACTGCTACTACTACTTATCAATTTCTACTACTACCATGTACCACGTATTGTGCACGTTCTGAGATAGTGGTCTCGTGAGCAAGCATTTTAATACATACAGTATACAGTATCTGTACATGTGCTTCATGCAATAATCACAGATAAGGAGCTTGGCAGAATATTGATATTGAGAAAGTATATTGACTTGCTCAATTTTGATCGGAATATTAAGGGGTAAATATAGTTGAAAGTCAACTAGTTCTATGTAGGTAATAGACCTTGTCTAAACCACAAAATTATACCCATCTAGGATTCGAAATACTTACCTTGGAGCTGATATACTACTGCAGAACTGTAGCCTTGGCACTGTACGCCATTAAAATTAGGGTAAACAATCACCAATCAGCAATCACTCAAAGGAGATATACGAGTCCAATCGTTGATAGCGTGAGGCTTCGGCGAATAGCTCCAACTTCGTTATCTACGTTCTTGTATGTGGCTTTGCATATGCTTTCCAAACTTCCAGATTTGGTCTTCTACTTGCATTGAAGCTTTCAGACTCGAGCGTTATCTTGGGAATTAGAGTTATAGTTAACTAAAATACACTAGATTTGGTCAATAGTAGTGTATCTCTAGGTACTCATCCAAACTCACTACCTCACTATATCCACATTATGTTTAGACTGGAGATATCTACTTGGATACGGCCTTGGTGGGTCAAGTGGAGTTCCTGCCTACCATACCTAGGTATTGTATCCAAGGTTCTATATCAATTGTGTAGATTGAAACAATCGTCGAGAGGGCCGCTTTCCTGCGCTTCTTGCGCTAGAAAATTAAATAAGTCGGGTGAATTAGAGTGACAAGGCCATGGCTACAAGTATACCAAAGACCCCAGCTTCAACTTCAATCCCTGCCAGTATGTAGCCTAAACAGATCCTCCATGCATCCCACGAATCAACTTCTTCTGCTTCTGATAGCCAGTGTCCTTGCTATCAATGATCGTCGCTTTTTCGAGTGCATCAAGCAGATCTAGCCCGTAGTCCTGGCAGTTCCATGAATCTCACTGTGAACTAGGATATCACCGCTATGGTCTTGATATAGCTAATTCTGGTGGCATCCTTGTCACATATGTGGACCGTCTCTACGGGATCACTTGACTGTCTATCGTCTTTGGACTCTAGTTCATAGCTGAATCGACCGTCGGAGCCGTGTATTTGTAGTACCTAGGTAGAACTTTGACATTTGCCTCCAGGGCTTACCCAGGTGGGTTAATCGATAGAAGCAAAATTTAAAAACCTGTTATTCCTTGCAAAGTTCGATGACACCCCATTGTTGTGGATGGCAAGATAATTGGGAATGGTAGGGGTATTTAAAGTGAAGAGGTCTAGATAGATCATAGCGCTATGAGTATGAGGTCAGAGCACCAAAGGTTCGGCGTTGCAGGTATTTTTCAAAATCAAAATTTAAAATGAGTCTTGACATTTTGTAAATGTGATAAGTGTGATTAACGTGACGGAAACTAATTGATACAGCGAATTGTATCTCGTACTAGAAAACGAAGCAAACAGGACAAACTCAACTATCACGTGTTCACGCGTGCCTTGAACGCGTTGCCACCATATATTCAACACTCTCAACGCAAATAGGCTGCAACAGATCAGGTGTCGGCAAATGGGTCGCAATGTCCTACTATGACATTGACAGCATCTTGACAGATGCTCAGGTAAATTTGCCTCTGGAATAGAACAATTTGCCTGATTGCTCACATCAGCTCTAGAAACTGCCCTGTACATTCGAGCTCGAGGTACCCGGCCTAGGAATTTTAGAAGGCAACCCCGGTGAAGATGTAAGGAATAACCTGTGATGTGGAATATTCAGGCATTAACTAAGGCCAGATCCCAGCGGGAACGCGCATCGACCTTCCACTATGGCTTGGTGAAATGCTGTCTATCGGGTCAGATCAGGTCAACCAGATCTTTACATGACAATAACTTATTTTTGACATAGGGCTCGACTGGGTACTTCCCGTCTCGTGACTCTTGATATGCCCGATGCTCTATCAGAACGAGTAATTAATGCACTCAAAGCAGACCCTCGCACAGTCGACTTGCGTTCATTGGCACCGCACTTTTACAATTTGAGCCAGCGGATCCTAGAGATATTCGAAGAAGAGGAGATGGTGGATGTTTTGACTGATGTAAGCCATTAATTACCTCATGACATGCATTTACTGACGATATAGACGTTCAAACGAAGGGCAGCCGAGATAGCCGACCACGCTCATAACCCGCGTGGTGCAGTTGGGGACGGAGTGGAGTTTCTCCGTGGTCTAGACGAAACAGAACGTCAATGTAGGAAATCCCTTATTTCTTTCTTCTTTTTTTTTTCTTGCTTTTTTCTTTTTCTTTTTTTAATTGTGACGTATTGACATCTCCTTAGTGTTCCGTGCCGCTCACGATCGAGCTAAGGAAATGCGAATTTGGGCTGGAGAAGCAAAAAGAAAATAGACTGATCTGATCTAATCATCTGATATGGACTGAGTTGAACTCGTCTACACTCCGTACTACCCATTTACAATTTCAACTTGAATTCCTGTTCCAATGTTATAAGTAAAGGTACGACGTACCTTTGTAAAGCGTTGAATCAGAAAGTCTATAATCAAGTTGAAGTTGAGTCGCATCATCGTTTCAATACCTAGGAAGTGATACAGGGGCTAATAGAGTACCCATGCCATGTATATGAGAGTATGAGCTATTAGCCACATGTCTGTCTTTGTAGTACATGTACGATTAAGTCTCAGGGGTGTATACAAGGTTGAAGACTTAACCAATCAAAATAGTGATGGCGTAGGAGTGAATTAGAATTAAAGCCGGTGTAGTGACTATAGTAAAGTGCATTGATATGATTTGGTTAAAAAGTCGCAGATATGCCATAAAAGAGGCTAGACACAGTAAGGGAAAAGACTAAGACGGGTTTACTCCACGGCCAACACCCGATTGGTCTTTTATTTCATGGAACCAACGAACTGCGATTTGTGATCTACAATCTAATTGGATTCCAAAGTACTATGAGAGGCAAAAAAAAGAGAGAGACCTCATTTCTCTTCTCTGATCTTGCCTATTCTGTTCATTTCCTTTCATTAATTCCTCCGATCTTCCATCTTCCATCTTCCCGTCTTCCACCTTTCGATCTTCCATTCTTTCCTTCCATTCTTCTCCACCTAGACAACCATAGCATTACTGTGTTTCAATTCTTCCTCTCTTTCAATTCAACGCCACTATCGACCGATCACAATAGCATTGATCCCTCGCTTATACCTCACTTGTGGAACTGAACCCCCCGATTTACCACTGTACACATCTCGGAAAGTGGACACTTCCCCCACAGGCTCTGCTGCATCCCTCGCTTCTTGCATAACTCCTTCCCCAGCACCAGATCCTTCCATTATTGATCCAATAGATCTAATTGATCCAATTGTGTTTGGACAGCTCATCGGATGCTGACACTGGTGGATACATCTGCAAGTGCAACTGACACCAATTGTGGCGCGGGACCTTGGCCGACTACCGTTTGCGTCAAGTACGCGCTTTGATTGAAAATGGACACAGCTATGAACAAGAAAGTTCAAGCTCGGAGCGCAGGGCAACCTGCGCCACCTGAATTCCTACCCACTGTATATCATTCTGATATTGCTCCGTCCCTCCGACGTGCATCTGTTCTCAAAAAGCGTATGTCAACCTCCACCCCCAGTCATATATCATATACCATATTCCATACTCAGTACGATTGACCCTTCCACTATCACAGCTTCCAATCGTCCAAATCATCCTTCGATTGCTCGAGTCAAGGGTCGATCCAACATGTATAGCCCACCACGCAACGGCACCGAGACGTCATGGCTAAATGACCAGTCACCATCCAGGGGGTCTGAAACTCCCTCACTCCAGTGCAGTATGTCACCAATTTTCTTGCTTAGTTCGAATTTTCAAAGCTAATTCATGTCGTAGAAACCCCGGAAAATGCCACACATACACTGGTAAATCCAGCTTCTACGTTGTTGCAGGACCTCTTGAAGGAACAGCGTGCACACCGTGGCTCTCGGGGAGCTCCCCCAGAAGGTTGGGATGCGAGCAGTATTCCTCGAAGCCCGGATGGAAAGCAAGAAGACACTGGCTCAGACAAGGCTCGCAGGGTCAGAGACATATCCTCTTCAGGTGTGCGGAAACCTGATGGCATGGGCATGCGCGAAATGGACCAGGTATGAATTCTGGCGTGATATCCTCAACACACTCAACTGACCAGGGCAGTACGTTTCGAAAATAAACTCGCTGAACTTCGATCTGAAGCTCGAAATCTTCCACCGTACTCGGCAAGTCGGAATACTAGAGCAGAAGCTGGAGCGAATGGAAGAGATGGAAGAGGAGTTGAAAAGGATGGAAAATCTCGAAGAGGAACTGGAAAGCTTTCGAGTAGCTGATAAGGAAAACCAAAGCCTGCGAGAAACAAATCAACGTCTCAGAAAGGAACTTCTAATCAAGGACAAAGCCATCTCGGAGGCTGTTGAGTGGATCTGCAAATTAGAGGGTGAGATGGAGACTCTCACGAACGTACAGAAGTCAGATCGACTTGTACTTGATGGCCCCAATGCCTCCATGACAAATACCCCTATACAAACGCCTGATCTGCCCAAGGGCAGACTCGTGCTGGACGGCCCCGACATCTCCACCCCTAAAGCCCGGCAGAACATGTTTGAGATACCTGAGCGAACGTCGTCCAGAAGAGGATCAGAACAAGGATATATTTCGAGTCCATACAGTGCAAAGTCCCCTACCTCGCGCGAGCCCAACAAGGCGTTGTCATTTTTGCGCGCTGACAACCACAGCACTGCCACCCTCCGCAGTCTTTATGCGCCGGACAAGAAACTATCCCATGTCAGTAGCATGCTCACCAAGGCGGAAAGCCTCCACTCTATGTCCGAAACAGTGGACCCCTGTTCTCCAAGACTGAGTGTTCTCAGCGAGTGCAGTGAATTTGATATGCCCCAAATCCGCCATTTCGACGAGCTGGAAATTCCAGTAAAAACTTCCTCCATATCAGGTGTACCTCCATCCGAACAAGAAGAGAGCAAGCAGGATCAAATCGACAGGTGGATGCAGGCGAAAATGGACATGTCCGAGACCGTGATTCGACGGCGCCCAACCAGTGCAATGAGTGCATTCTCACCTTCTACAAAGCCTGGTCTCACCTTCGGAGGTGACTTATCCTCAAGCAGGCCCCGCAGCCGCCCACATCTTGATGCCTCGCTTTTTGAAATGCCTAAACTTCCCCCAACGCCTGACACGATGAGTACTGCTCTACCCAATAATGGCTCTAATGGGAGCATCGCAACTAGAAAGAGCCCATATCCCGATCAGCATGTCGGCCAGGTCAAACTTTCAGCTGATCGCAGCTCTGCCTTTGAACCTGTCACTCGACCCCGACGCAGCTTCAGTGGTAGTGCAGTAGACAGCGTGAAAACGAACTGTGGTGATACTCCACGTGTCGGCGAGACTGTCGAGTCTCCTACCATCTTCCCATTCAATCAGATCGCTAACAAAGCCGCCGGTCTTGACCCTGGTACCCCTAACAATCCCGCCATTCAATCCTTCCACGATGTATTCAGTTCTTCCTACCCGGGCGGGGAAAATTCGACAACAATCACTCCGGGCCAGAGTCCGGCTAAGACCTCGACTTCACAATCACTGGAATGTGACTCGCCACCGCTGACGCCCCAGGACTGGGTTGCTGCTGCGAAGGAAGGACCCCGGTCCCGAAAAGATCGCAACCGTGGACTTCGCATTATGCAGCCGCCAACGGAGCCTCATATGGATATCATCACCCAATCTGTCTTCCATGACGACGGAAGGGTTGTCTCTTATGACGACGAACCTGACCTACCGGAAATCCCGACTCTCGATCTTACAACACTTGATATTTTGAATCAGTCTATTGCCGAGCACCCCATTGCACTTGACCCACTGGTAGAGTCCGAGCTTGAACTCGATCCCGGGCCCCGCAGACGCCTGAGCTTCCGGACACGATTCTTCAATCGCCCCAGTCAAAGTGGAGGCCCCCGCCGTCTCCAGTCTTCTCCCATGTTGGCTGACTTCCGAGACGACGAAGATGAAGGGGCTCCATCCCCAGTCATTCCAAAGACTAGGATAACGAGCGGTGCTCCTCCACGCCGGCCCACATCGCAGATCATCTCGCCTTCTGCCGATATTTACGTCGACATGCCTTCGAGATGTGACTTTGGGAACCAGACACTCCATCAACCCTTCATGGAGCCGCAAGATCTCTCCATGTCTATCCCGTCGAGCTCTACTTCCATCTCCTCCCGCCCAGTAACATCCTACAGCACCACCGCAGATCACAAACGTCACAGCTCGCTTGGCATCTTCGGATGGATGAAAGGCATCAGTGGGAAACGCTCAGTTACAGCTACGGAGAAACTACCCGATTTTTTGAATCACCCCGCTGCTTTTGACCATGCAGCTAATGGGCTTAATTTCTCCCGTGCTTCTTCTCCAGACTCGATGAATCCCCCTGTTGTCCGTCATCGGTCTGAAGTCGCGATGGCCGAGGATGCTTCTCGACGCCCGAGGTATATGGGTCGTCGCTCTCGGAGATGATCACCCTCTTTTCAACCCTTATGACCGAACCACTGTATTATGACTATGATACCCCTTCCCAATGTATAATACCACCATATCCAGCTACGTTTTTCCGGCTAAAAAAAAAACGTATTCCAAGGTCCTTATTTGCGTGGAAAATTGATTTTAATGACTCTGACATGCATAAAATGGCCTAAAATTGATCATCTCCAGTTATTCTTAGCAATATCACAATTTATAACAAACGTTGATATCACCTGGTCTTCATACCCTTTTTTCATTCAAATTACTCAGTCTTGTAATCAGATCAATAAGGTCTATAAATTAACTTAATACAATTATATAACACTTCCAAGGTTCCTCATTACGCCAAAATCATGGCTTGTATATGCTAGCGACCACCAAGCCTCCTAAGTATTCCCCAAATAACGCCCCATTGACCGAAATAACAATCACTAACCAAAGACACTCAATACCAGCTATGTCCCTTCTCCCCCAACTTCTCACCCTTAGGATTCATCGAAATAATCCTTTGCCCAGGAAGAGTATCTGCGGTAAAAGCAGCTTCAAAGATACTAGCAATCCCACGATTGGCATAATGCTTCAAAGAATCATACTCGTCCGAAGCCCCAGTAATAGAAGCCCATTCCTTCCCAGCCGGCCTAGTCCCATCGCCAAGATCAGTCCACCGCGTAACAACAATAGCCTGTTTAAAAACACTCCCGCGCACATCATCCTTATCCTCACTAAGCTTAACCTCAATCAGATACTCACTAGGACACTCCGGACACCTCCGCATCGGTCTACAAAACCCACATAGAAGCGTCAGCGCATTCGGATCAAATACCCTTCCATGCGTCTTATCTTTCAGCTTCGCCTCTATCCCCTGCAACCCGCCCGTCTCGCGCGGCCGCGGTATATGGTCCAGCGCACATTTGCACGCTGGCATTAACTCGCCATCGCGCCAGTGTGCGCACGAGCTGAAATACGGCCAGAAGTCTTCGCGCGAGTGCAGGAGCATTCGCTTCTGCGATACCGTCTGGCCTGGAGCGGCGAAGCCTTGGCTCCTTACCCGCATTAGGAGCCGGCCTTCGTGTAGTAGGAAGCGGGAGGTGTGTGACCAGCCGTCGCGTTGCCAGCGGCGGGCCATTGCTTCGGGTGTTAGGCCGTAGCGTGGGCCGAAGCGGTTTGCCCGGCAGATTAGTTGCACGAAGGAGAAGGGGAGCATGCGGCCGTGGGTGATTCTGTGGCGCGGGGGCGGGTTTAAGGAGTTTGTTGCTTCGGGACAGTTGAAGATTGGGTTGACGACGTGTGAGGGTTTTAGACGTTCTTTTCCTTCTTGGGTGCGACGGTGGTATTTTCCGCAGGGGAAACAGAGGAGGTGGTGGGGGAGGTGTACGTCTAGCCCGACTAGGAAGTCGATTCTGTATTCCCTGTTCGAGGGCTTTTCTAAGTCCATTAGGTATTGCGTGCCGAGGAGGTGGTAAAGTGTTTTGTTGGCGAGGGTTAATGTCGCTGCTTCGGCCGGGTTCAGGTTCGATGCTATTTGCAGCCACAGGTTTCGTGGCAGTTTCCCAATGTCCCGTTCGCCTGGTGGACGGTTTTCGCTATTTTTTCCGGGTCTGGAGTTCTCATCCATCTCTTCCATGCCCAGTGCGTGGATAATGGTTGTGTAGTCGCGATGCTCGCCCAGCTGCGTGTCCATCTGCTCGTGCGCATATTTGTACTTTAGCCTGTGCGCCTCCAGCGGTGCCAAACCTGGCAACGGTGGTGCTTCTTCGTAGTAGTAGCCATCGCCTATATCGACTCTGTTGCTTGATGTGCTGGGGCGCGGTAGGTCGGCTGTAGATGGATTTGCTTTGCGGAGTGTTTGGCGGGATTTCTTCGGGCGGATGGCGTGCTGGAAGAATCCGCGGATTCCTGACTTTTGCCCTGAGCTTTCAGCAGACATTGTGGACATGTACGGTCCTTGTTTTTGGGGAGGTTGGAGATTGTGGATTGTTTTATGACACACTCAATATGGATGATGCGCTCTTTGCCTTGCGTTGCGGGCCGTGGCGGGCCGGTGGACTTAAGGTAGTGAGTGTATTTACATGGGATTTCTGGGGGCAATTTTGCTTTGGGCCATCTGTTTAGTAGCTAAATAACTACAGTAGTTAGTTAATTGAGTAAATTATTGATTGAAATTTGGTAAATTGCCTGGACTCTGTGTTATATCGACAAACTCATGCTACAATACATGTGTGAATTACAGCATTGGTTACTGAAATGTACAAGGTGTGCTACTTAAGCGAAGCGCTTCTCAGCAGCCTTCCAGTTGACAACCTCCCAGATGGCCTTGAAGTACTCAGCCTTGCGGTTCTGGTAGTCGAGGCTAAAGAAGTGATTGTGTTAGCAGATGCGGTATAAATCATTCAGAAAGAATATTCTTACTAGTAAGCGTGCTCCCAGGCGTCAATGCCGAGGATGGGCTCGAACTGGCCAACAACAGGGTCCTGGTTCTATAGCGGTGTCAGATTTTGCAATGTGTAATTAATTGGCCTTTTGCTTGCTTGACTTACGGCGTAGGTGCGGATGCCGATGTGGCCGGTCTGCTTGTCCTTAACAAGCCAAGCCCAACCACTGCCCTGGATACCGGTCAAAGCGGCGTTGAACTTGTTCTTGAACTCATCGTAGTTACCATAGGTGCTATCAATAGCCTTGGCCAGAGTACCGGATGGAGGCTCACCACCACCAGCGCTCTTGGGAGCAAGGTTCTCCCAGAAAAGAGTGTGGTTGAGGTGGCCGCCACCGTGGAAGTTGATGAGAGGCTTCAGGGCGATCTGAGCAGAGATATCTCCCTTGTGTTGGGCCTCCTCAAGCTGCGTGATAGCAGTGTTGTAGCTGGTCACGTAGGTGTTGTGGTGATTCTTGTGGTGGAGCTCCATAATCTTTCCGGAGATGGAGGGCTCAAGGGCACCATAGTCGTCTTTAGTTCACGTTAGCTGGATCATCTCAAAATATTGTATGTGCCATTGATCTATGCGCGAGGGCTTCACTTACAGGATAGGTCGGGAAGTGTCGCCTTTCCTCGAGTAAAGGTCAGTCCAGCAGCACCGGCCTTGGTGGCTGATGCACCTGAGCGAAGAGCCAGACGGGCAGAGGTAGAGAAAAGAGCAGCCATTATGAAATTTAATGAGGTGAGAGTTGGGGTGAGAGGGCGATTGGAGTTCAAGGGAAAGAAATCGGCGGAGGGGAGCAGAGTCCGAGCTGCCAAACTGGATCCCCGAAGCTTTATCCGATGCTTTTACGTCATCTTAGTCAACAATTTGCATCCAGGTGCAATCCATCCACATTAATACATCAAGTAGTTAGAAACCCCGCCAAAATAACAAAAACATCATATCATGATCTAGCCAGCTAAACTTAACCCAGTAATTCCACTTAGGCGCATGTTGAGCGTAAGTAGGCGTTGAATGACAAAGGTTAGGGTACAAACAGCCTGGATAGTCGCTTCCTAAGGTCCAGCTTCCAACCCAACCCTAGAGATCACGGATACCTAGATATCAATTATTCCCACCTGAAAATAAGTACAACCTTGGAATAAGCTATCTATGTGGGTGGATTCTTCAGAATCTTTGATCATACGTCATGTAGGTGGTGAAATGATTAAAGTAGAATATCTCTCTAGTGCCGATTTCAACAGAGAGTTTGATATCTCATAATATTTAATCATCTAAACTGCATGGGGATCTCTAGTCATGGAGAATCGAGAGCTTTAATAGGCTTTGAAACAGTATCTACAACAGCATCGGGGATGATAGAATCTAGATGAATATCTCTAAGGTCCGCTGGGGCAGTGCCTAAGAAGCTGTTTTTGAAAAATCCGGTTTTACTTAGGTTGTGAATTCGCCCTTTCTGCCCCCCTAGAACATCTCCAAAAAATATCTTCTTAGACCGATTGGATCCCATTTAGACGCTTTAAAACAGAAAAAAAAATTTAGTCGATATCTGATAGTTGGAGTATAGGATGCATAAGCAGGCATAAAAGTGGGGATAAAATCATGTTTTTCATTTTCCTGATCAAATTCAGGAATCAAATTGCTGGAATGACCGTCTAGAATCAACAGACAAAATTTTCAGGGTTATACCGACGCCCATCGTGAATCCAGGTGCATCAAAACTGAAAATATCAGCTGAAGCAATCCTATCCTTTTCAATAGTGTTTTTGGTCAAATCAAACTATCGTGCGATTTCAGAGTTCTCTGAGCAATATCTTTTATAGTCATCTTTGCGAGCAAGTCGAATCTAGGTCTTTCAAGGCTGGAAGCTTGGGCGTCGCTTAAAGCATTTTGCGCGTAGCATATTGTGGACTAAATAACCTTGAATATTCTGTTTGACCAGAGGGTTACATACCTGGATATGGAATATGCTAGCAACTGTGCCAAAATTGCTATCCCGGATTTGAAGATTACAAATCTTGACCAATATGTTTACTCAGTGTGGAACAGAATATGGAGGTGGCCAAGTGTAAAATTGATAATTGATTATGACACTCAGGTGGGCGAAGATATAGCTAAGTAAGTTATATACATCAGACCAAAGAGGGGTAAAAGGGAAAGAGGAAGTCGAGTAGACCAAAAAAAAAGCTGGGGTTTGCTAAATAGTCTAACAAATTCGTTCAAACTATGGAGTGATTGGTCATATCTACCAAAGGTAGTCATTGAATTCACTATGGAGTATCATGGGCAAGGTTCTATGCGTACTCTTTGTGAGAACATTTGAAAACAGCTTCATAGTAAGTAAAATTAATACCCATAACATCTAATAAGGTGCCGTGGTCTAGTGGTATGACGAGTCGTTGTGGTTACTTGCGAAAGCAACCTCAATGTACCGACTTAGCCCCGGTTCGATTCCGGGCGGCGCCATCTTTTTGCTCTTCGTATATAATACCTAGCGCGAATTCAACATTTTACTCCGCACTTCGTTTTTTTATATGGAGGTCAAATATGTTACTTCTCTGAGAATTAGTTAGGAGTATTCATAAATTCTCTTTATTCTTTACTCTCTCCTAGTCCTAATTAATTTCCAAGTTTAGGTAGTACTAATATGAAATTTGAAGAGTTTTCGGGAGCAACTTCTTAAGCCCTGGCTGGAGCTTACAACCTAACCCGTCTGATGAAAATTCGATGGCTAGTGGTATTAACAAAAATGAAATGACTATTATCCAATCAGGTGCCGTGGTCTAGTGGTATGACGAGTCGTTGTGGTTACTTGCGAAAGCATCCTCAATGTACCGACTTAGCCCCGGTTCGATTCCGGGCGGCGCCAATTATTTTTGCTATATTTCTGTAATTTGGCTAGGTGAGAGTACTATACATGCTCCCTAGCTATCTGTTGAACTTTTTGGATATCGTAACTAATACTAAACTGGGAAATTAGGACCCTGAGATTATCATATATGAACACTATGTTACTATTTCCGAGATTGACCTTTTTTTGAGATTCCAAGGTCATAGTGATATATGTCCCGATATACGCTTGGGTCTCCCTTAATTCTAAGGGTAAAGTCACCTACATAGCTGTAGTTGGATTAAGTAGTCCTTGATATATGATCACGCTCTTTTCTCTCTAGAATGGGATTCTAATTGTCGGTACACCTGTACCAAGTGTGGAATAGCTATTCGATAAAGGTGATGAGGCTAACGCCCACTTCTGACACCTATCACAGGTAACGCTTTACGCCCCTATGATATCTTTGTGTCCTCTTGAAGTGGTTGTAAAGTCTGGTTTTCATTCTTAGTTTGCTATCTATTATAAAGTAACAATTTGATCACATGACTGCTTTGTTCCATATTCCAACACTGGAGCCACTTTGAAAAATGATTGGAAACGCGTATTCGAATGCCAATTTTGATGCCAATCTTGATGCCAATTTGAATGCCAATTTGAATGGAAAACGACCTGGTGATCTACCAAATTTGAACTTGATTATCTGCTCTGAAGCTTGTTTCTGGATGTTGTGGCCAGCTCTATGAAGGACAGACTGGAGCTTTAGAACTGATGGGTGGCCAAATCGACGATGTAGGCGGCGAAGCTCTATACCTGTAAGAAGGCATTCGGTGCTGAATGATGATGTGATATAGCCTGCGACTGCTTTCCAGAGTAGAAATGGGTGGCCGAATCGACGGATAATTGGGATCTCAAGAGTTTTCGAGACTGGTTTCGAGCTATTTGAAGAGATAATGACATTCCGAAGATTATCATAGTATACTCCAAGTCGATCCATATCTGCGAGGCAGAGTAGGAACGGCGTGTCTGCATCAACCACATGGAATTGTATTTCGCCAATCGGGGTGTGGATAAGAACTGTGCCGACAGAAGAGGTCGCGCCAATTCCAAATTGTACAGAAACTTGGCCAGCTGAGGACGTATTTAGATTGATATCGATAAGCTTTTGGAGGGCTTGAAATTGGCCATATCCGGCTGTAGACTTGCTTGATGCTCTAGTATCGATCATTATCCCAACAAATGTGTCTGAATTATATCTCGTGGTGGCGATGGTGGTGTATGTAAATGGGTCATTTTCAGTGATTTCTGCTAGAGATTTGATAGCTGGAGACTGACTTTCTGGGATAATCGAGTGAAGATATGCCCTATCAGCTAGTTCAGATGTCATTGTTTCTGCTTCAAATAGTGTCATTTCTCCGCATGAGGTCATGAAGTTCTCTTGTTCTTCTTCTTCTTCAGACTCTCCGGAATCTCCAGAATTAGCATCATTCTGGGTATGAGGTTCAGAGATAAGGGTTTCGAATGGCTCTGCATCATCTTCTCCTTCGCCATCCTCTCCTTCGCATTGCACCATATATTGTCTGAATCGTCTCTTAAAGTTGCCAGAGCCACCATTCCGCTCGAACGATTGTCGATATCTCTTACGAGCTTGTTCCTGTTCGCTTTTGGTGTGTTTCCATGATCGGCAATCTGGTTTATGGCAGACATAACATTTCTTCTTTGGATTCCATCTACTATCGCGTTTTTGACTATAGGAGCGCTCTTGCTCACCGTTTCGGTCATTCCGATAGTATCTTCGGTCGGTGTAGAACGCTTCATGGTTCTGAAGTGTCTCTTGAGGTCGTGAGTTTTCCCATGCTGTGATTGAAATTCGTATCTTGGTAATCATGGAATTTGGATCGTGGGATGGCTGGGCGATCGCATTTTCGCATGCTGGGACTCCTCTACACGCGATTGTAAGCTTCGCGGAGAACTGAGTATCCGAACGCATCTCTGGGTGTAACCCTTGGCGTAGTTTCAAGAGTCTATCGATAAGAAGCTGGAAGCACTGGTTTAATGGCTTTCCAGGGTTCTCATTGATTAGAGATTGGAGTGAGACATTGTTCCATTCGACAAGCTTCTGGGTTTGGTGTTTAGGTCCTTCAAAATAAGCTCTCATCTGGCTGCAGATCTCGTCAAATGGCTTTGAGGATAAGCTACTATTATAATAATAGTCGTTGGCTTGATCTTTGAGCATAGCTGAGAATGCCTTTTTGTATGCTTCTGGAGGTAGATTGGCCTGTTCGCAAATGTCGTAAAAGATGGCTAGCTTAAAGTCGAAGCTGTCTTCTGATCCACCATATTTCTGGTCCTTCTGGTAGGCTTTGCGGATGTTCATAGCTTCTTTGGTGTAATCTGGTTGACGACGATCTGGCTCTCTAGGAACAGTATTGAAAGGCTGGTGACGATGATCTGGCTCTCTGCGAACAGTATTGAAAGGCTGGTAGCGATGATCTGGCTCTCTAGGAGCAGGGTAGAATGGCTGGTGATAAGGATCTGGCTCTCTAGGAGTAGTATAGAATGACTGGCGGTCGCCAGGAGGTGGGTTTTGTGGCTGCCGGGGTGCATTTCTGGCGTCGGTTGGAGCTGTAAAGGGCCTATAATAGGCTTCTTGAGACTCTGGAGTTCTGTAGCTAGCTGCAGCTTCAGCCTGTTGAGCCTGATGTTGTCTCCGATTCTGTTCTTCCTGTTGTCTTAGGAACGCATCTCTCTCTGGATCTTTAAAGGAGGGCACGAAGGTGGCTCTCTTAGCACTTGGATATTTGGTGGTTTGGAATGGGTTTGATTGGTGAGGAAGTGAAGAAACAATCTGTGGAGAAACAATCTGTGGAGGGATCGGAGATTCTTGGCTATCGGTCTTCAATTTAGTTCCTGCTTCGTTAAGCCGATCACTGAGTTTAATAGAGATCACTGGTTTGACTTCTTCAAGGACTGCTTTAAGCTCTTGGTCTGTCCAGGTATGATACTGTTCGTCCTGAACAGCTTCATGCAGGATATGAGAGATTGGCATAGGAGGTGTCATACTGGTTGGTCGACGGATGAAGACTCCTCTCTGAATCAAATCTAGTCGCAGTGCTATCCTGAGGCGGTTGGGCAGACGATCCCAGGTTCGAAGAGAGAAGTCGTTAAACTCATCCTTGAACTGAAGCCAAAGTGTCTCATCAGTTAGGGACTCTTCGCTATGAACGAAAATTGCGGTTTCGACATATTCGGTAAGTTCTTCGAGCGAAGCTTCCTCTGCGTTGGCTAATCCATGATCAAACTTTTTGATTCTTTCGTTCCAGTCAATGACTCTGTATCTTATGGGGGATGAAGAAGTTGATTGGACATGGGGTTGGAGTTGGGCTTGACGGCGTATTGGAGATATGTAAGAACCAGGCATTTCAAAGCGTGTGTAGGCCATCTCTGGCGTCTCTGGAGGCTTAGGAGATGCCATTTCTGGAGGATTTGAAAAAAAATGAAGTCAGGTGTTTTAGTGGAAGGTGTTGCTATCCTGATCTGTACTAAGACTGATCAGTGTCGGTACACCTGTACCAAGTGTGGAATAGCTATTCGATAAAGGTGATGAGGCTAACGCCCACTTCTGACACCTATCACAGGTAACGCTTTACGCCCCTATGATATCTTTGTGTCCTCTTGAAGTGGTTGTAAAGTCTGGTTTTCATTCTTAGTTTGCTATCTATTATAAAGTAACAATTTGATCACATGACTGCTTTGTTCCATATTCCAACACTAATTATATCTGGTTGATCTACCAAGGTTATCGAAAACAGGTACATCTTAGGAAAGTATGCATGCATACTCCTTATTATCTAGACTCTCGAGATCAACACTCGAAGTGGAAACCTTGGACATTCCACAATTCGTGATATAACCTTGGGAAAATTACAAAGTTTTTTCCTGCACCTAGTTCTGAGTGTTTTAAGGCGTCCCGCATCGAAAAAGTGCATACGAAAGTTAGCGAGATCAGGTGTCTTTTAATCTCACAGGCCGTAATCTGAGCTACTAGGATGTTCAGGCCCAAGATTGGCGCATCCTACCTGTGCAGTGGAGAGCTTCAAACCAATTTCAGTGTACGAGCTCTCCTCTTCGCTTGAAAGTTACCCTAATCCAGAGATTGAGTATATTTTTTCATCGTCTACGACCACTATTTGTATCAAGCCCTGGAGTTTGCTTCATGGAGACATTCATCAAAGATGGATCCACAGATAATATAACCATAGTTCACGTCCGTATCAATGGGCAGTGATATTGAATTTCAGTTCTACAATTAGCTAGTTTGGCACTACCTAACTTGGTACCTAGGTAATCCATACTTGAAATCTAAATCAACTACATCTCTGCACCCACACTTCTTCCTCTTTCTTCTCCATCGTCATCTCCAGGATAATACTAGAGTTATCACTCCTCCACGAGGTCTTCTCTCTATTTAAGAGCTTCCCTAATACGCTCTATTGGATTAGAGCCCTCATCGAAGCAATTACTCATAGGAACAATCAAAAACCCCTTTGAGTTCCCCTGACTCGGCAACGAATGATCATGGGTTCACACCGCGGTCTTCTTGGTCACCAAATCCCTCGACGAAGTACCCAATGCTTCGTCCTCGAAGTTCTGATTCATTCAACAACTATGAATCATGAGCCATGGGGTTCAATTATCCACAATTATCTCTCACCGCGATTAGCAAATATGATGAAAGTTCTGATTGAGAGACTACACCCTTCGACACTCATCAAGGCAGAATCTTGGATAAACCTTGGAATACTGTCTGTCCCCTTAGACATAAAAGTATCCCCTTGGTTCCCTATCTGTCTCTTACTACAAGACCAAAATTAAGCTGTAACCAGCCGCTGGAAAGCCTTGGTGGACTATGTATATCACACCAAAGACAGGCGACATAGTGAATCGTCCATTCCAAGGCTTCAACGTTAGTGTGCTCGCTATCATGATATAATTTGCCCAGGTAAATTGAAACGACATGAATAGAATAGGTTTGGTTAAGTATCTATCATAATGCTTCATAGTGTCAAAATGTGGACAATCATTATCTAATCAGGTGCCGTGGTCTAGTGGTATGACGAGTCGTTGTGGTTATTTGCGAAAGCAACCTCAATGTACCGACTTAGCCCCGGTTCGATTCCGGGCGGCGCCAATTCTTTTTGTTGCTGCGTTTTATTCCATTATCGAATTCAGACCTTTTTGCTCTAGCAAATGCTTCAAGGTTCATTCATATGAAGCTAAGATGTAATTAAAAACGTTAAAAATGTGATAGATCGATAGATCCAGACGGCAATGATTTAGGGCTGTTCTACGAAGCAAATTCTTATTTAGTCAAATTTGGTACCTAGCTATCACCATTCACTATTGTATCATTTTATTTTAAAATTAGAGACACATTTAAGATCCATCGATGCATGCATAGATTATCAACTTTTATGAAACAAAACATCATTAGACCGCCACTGGTACGAAGCATTCAGTTATGTAAATTAACATAAATATTATTCAATATCCAAAAATAAATGGCGCCGCCCGGAATCGAACCGGGGCTAAGTCGGTACATTGAGGTTGCTTTCGCAAATAACCACAACGACTCGTCATACCACTAGACCACGGCACCTTATTGGATGGGAAGAGAGCCATTTTTACACATGATAATCCTGGAGTAACGCTGATGACTTGATGGCCCGTAAGTGAACTAGGGCTACAATCTCACTGAGTTAGCCTAGAAATATTGCATAAGTGGAACGTTGAAACTTTGAATTCCAAGCCCTCAGAGTCCACAGGCTTCTAACACCTAGGTACCTAGGTTCTGTTCTTCCCTTTTGAAATCAATAAGGCATACATCTCATTGATGTAGGTATTAGGACATTGAATTGATACCTACAGATTTGACAACACATAGCCTATATGTTTAGACCTTCCACAGGGTCATGGGCCAATAATCTTGGAATAGACTAAACTGAAAAATAGTTGTGGAGAAGTCACAGACATAGATGGTTTATCATTTTAAGCGGAGGAAAGGTTTATACCTAGGTACCCTTTCAAGGTAGGAATCTCATCTCCTTTCAGGACATAAAATGTGGCGAGTTAGACCAATAATTACACGGTATGTACACACGTGACACTGATGTGTCCAAACAATTCAAGCATATAGCGATCAACTTGTGTCACAATTGCTTGATGCTGGTACTTGGTGAATGTGTATCATAGCCGGCAGTATATAAGGCGGTAGCCCGTGGCGGGGATAGCTCTTAACCCCGAATCGTGTCGCATCAGCAGTATACACACCGCCCGCTCGGATAACAAATTCCCACCCAGCATTATCTTGTCAAGCTTCACATCGCTTCTTCCACGGACCATCTATGGTCACACCTCAAACCCCCATATCAAATCTTCGTTTCACTGCGGATCCAAGAGAGAAGGTTCCGACAAAATGGCTGCAAATGGGAACCCCCTAAGCAGCTCTCGCGCGGCGCGAAAATGCTGGCAGCCATGGGATACAAAGCGGGAGAAGGCCTAGGCGCGCACAAACAAGGCATAACTGCTCCCATTGAAGTGAAGGTACGGCCACAGGGTAATATTGGTCTTGGTGGAATCCGAGAGAAGACCAACCAAGTCTTGGAGCAAGAACGCCAAGAGGCCCTATCACGAGGCGAAGCTGTCAGCGACGACATGGAAGACTACGAAAATCGAAAGCGCACAGGAAAACTGCAGAAAGGCGCTCAGAACCAAAAGCGTGGCCCTCCCAAGAAATCAGCACGACTGAATCCTGTGAAATTCCGAACGGCGGGTGAGCCGGAAGATGAGCTAGAGGTTTTTGAAACGATCATCGATGCCACCGGAAAAGAGCAGCGACGTCTAACCTCGACATCTGGGATAATGTCTCAGCAATTGTCAGGCCCTACAAAGGCACAGAAGTTGACGTCACGTTTTCTGGCCGAAATTGATGCAAGTGCCAACGAATGGAATTACCGCGTTGAAGATCACAATGCGAATCAGGCCCAAAAAGCCGAAATTGCTGAACTGGTAACTTGGAACACAGAGCTACTCCTCCTTGTCGACAAAATGATCAACGATATGGAGGTTCTGGTCGGCGTCGTTAACAATGAACATCCGTCTCCCTCGAAGTTTGATGAGTTAGCCGACAAGATCTTAGCTATCGGAGAAAAATACGAGGACATTGCAGATCATTTCAACATCGGAGAAGGTGTTGTCAGTGCGATCCAACCAGCTTTTCGTAAAGCAATGGATGAATGGGATCCTCTTCAGGACCCTACCTTTCTTGCTTCAGCCCTGGGTCGAATCCAGAAAGTTGCAAACAAACGACTTTTTGCGTCCATGATTCGTCGATTTTGGTTGCCGCGAGTGAGCTCAGCTCTGTTGGAGTGGAGCGTGCACGACCCGAGCTCTGCTACGACTTTGCTTGACGCCTGGAAGCAGGTTGTCCCTACATCGATCTACTCAAGCATCCTGGAAAAATCGATTGTTCCTAAATTAACAGACGCTCTGAATTCGTGGAAACCAAGTACCCGAAGCTCTAGCCATGCGTCCTGTTGGTGGCTTTTCACATGGTTGCCAGAATTGAATGAGCAACACACTGACGCTAAGAATCCCACTGGACTCATGTCGGACGCAAAGAGGAAGTTTCGGAAAGTTCTAGACAATTGCAGTATTCACCAAGGGCCCTTCCAAGGCCTGAAGCTCTGGAAAGATGCTCTGGGAAGTGAATTTGATCACAGCATTGTCAACCACTTACTGCCTCGACTTGCCCAGCGTATGCGCGAGAGATTCTTGGTTAATCCCACGAAGCAGGACATGACCGATCTGGAGGATGTTCTACGTTGGAAATCTTTCTTGCAGCCCAACGCTCTGGGAATGCTTCTTAAGTCGGCCTTCTTTCCGCAGTGGCATCGGGCCCTGCATCACTGGCTGATCAACGACCCTGACTATGAAGAAGTTGGCGCCTGGTTCTCTTGGTGGAAGACACAGATTCCAGAAGAGATTAGTCAACTCATATTCATCGATGATGAATGGAAGAAGGCCCTCAAGACTATGGATTTGGCCATGCAACTTGGACCTGACACCGCTGCTGCGCTTCCACTCCCAGATGTCACAAATCCAGTACTTCCCACCGGCCAAGATAGCGCGCCTAAAGCTTCTACCTCTACTGCCACTTCCAAGCCCAAGCGGAAGCATCAAGTTTTGGAAGAGGTTTCCTTTAAGGATATTGTTGAAAACTGGTGCATGGAGCAAGGGTTGATAATGATCCCCTTGCGCGAGGCGCACCCTCAAAACGGACGTCCCCTCTTCCGTATTACAGGTAGCGCCTCGGGCAAGGGTGGCGTTGTTGGATTTTTGCAAGGAGATATTGTCTGGGTCCGCGACAAGAAATCGAAGGACGTTTGGCTACCAATGGCCCTGGATGAGAAATTGATTGAACTGGCTGAAAGCCGTTAGTTGTTACTGTGCGATACCCCTGATACTTTTTACCAATACCCAGGACTGCATTCATGGATGTGATGCAGCCAGCACCTTTTATGTGAGACGAACATGCTTCATTTCTTGACACCGCCTTAGGTAGTCAGTCATCTATTTAATTACTTTCGATGGCCAAGTTCCTACCTATAATAAATTAGCGACTCCTGGGCTCTGTCAGCTCTGTCAGCTTTGTCAGACTCATACTAATCCGATCATGATCGATCGATCTGATAGATCATCATCGACGAGTCATTATTTGAAGTCCTGCCATTATTACGAGTCGCACAGAATACCTACAGATGGAGCACTAATTGAGTTACCTTGAGCTCAAGGTTTCTTTAAGCGGACTCATATTTAAACGGCTGTATTTCAGACTCTGATATTTTGACTTGCAAAGACGACGAAGAGATTGAAGAGAATAGATAATGGGTGAAATCATAAGCAAACACCGAAACTCCATAGAAACCGGTTTGGTCTAGAAGCTTCTCCGTGGCCAATTACGGTGGACTGCAGATAAATGGAGAATCCATCATCCAATCAGAGTTGATATAATGGTCAGCATCGGAGTGTTGACTAATGAAATCGATCTAACTTTAAGCTTGTTTCAAGTACTCCACTTTTGTTCAAATGCTCGCCAGAATCGCTGACATTTGCAACTCTTTTGATTGGTATTCAACGGCTTTGAAGCCTACTTTGCCGTGTTTTTGTTTTATACTTTGACCTAGTGAATGTGGCTTTAGCCCCTTTTGTACAACGGGATTTGGAATCTGAAAAGGTCTGCTGTCTCGCTTTAGCTGCTCAATTTTCTTTACTTTTTCGTCCAATCTTTCACTATTTCGTACTCTTTTTCCGAGACTGAGCTACCATTGTACGAGTCTCATCTACAAAGATCCACTTGTCCCTTCGACTTTCATTTTCTTTCATTCATCTGCAAAAATCGCTCTTATATACATACTGGTCGGAAATTTTGAGTTCGAAGTCAATAATAAATTCCAACCATGGCTCTACTATTCATTAAGAAAAAACTATTCCCTACCCAAGAATACCAAAATATTACCAGTGAGTAGTTGCACCGACTTCGAGGTAGGAAGAAGAATGAACTAACAATACTATCAGGTAAATCTCTTCTCAGTCATAGCGACGATGAAGAGACTATCCGGGGTGACTCGGATCGAGACGTCGAATCTCAGAGCACCCGCTCCTATGATACTTTTGGCCGCGATATGGGCATGCCCAATGTTGATACCGCATCTACGTCCTCATCCAGCGGAGTCAGTACGCGGTCACGTATTAACCCACGTATTATCTCTGATGCTATTCTCGGTCTTTCCGATGGCTTGACTGTTCCATTCGCCTTGAGTGCCGGATTATCCGCACTTGGAAATACCAAAGTTGTTGTCCTAGGCGGTTTGGCCGAGTTAGCCGCTGGTGCCCTTTCTATGGGATTGGGCGGATACGTCGGTGCTAAGAGTGAAGCGTAGGTCATCTGACCAATAACTTCTCACTTCCATGGCATGTTACTTACATCTTCCGATCTAGTGAATCATATGAAACAACCGTGCGCGAAACACAGGCATTGATCGAAAGCAATCCTGAAGAAACACAATCCATGGTCCGTGAAGTCTTCGCGCCGTATGGACTATGCAACTCTGCTGTCGACAATATCATCTTCGATCTACACGCTTCACAAGAGCGATTGTTGGAATTCTTACTAGCTTTCCATCATTGCGAGTCTGCTCCTGATGGCAACCAAGCTTATATCTCAGCTATCACATTAGCACTCGGTTACTTTGTCGGCGGCTTCATCCCGCTGATCCCATACTTCATTGCCGTACAGGTTCAGATCGCGCTTTACTGGAGTATTGGCGTTATGGCTGTGACTCTTCTTGCTTTCGGCTACGTCAAGACTTGTGTTGTGCGCGGGTGGACTGGACGTGATAATATTCTCGCTGGTGTTTGGGGCGGTATTCAAATGTGCCTTGTTGGAGGCATTGCTGCTGGTGCTGCTATTGGGTTGGTCCGGTTGATTGATACTGGCAGTGCCTAAGAACCCGGTGAAAGAAAAAGTTTCTTGTGATTTGCATTTGCATTGTATAGGGCTCGGGAGGGAAAGCATTGGAGTTTGGGCCTTTTTCTCTCTTATCGACTTGACTATTCTGGATCTCCACATGCGGAGCATTCTTTTAACAGCCTCTATATCCATAATATATCCATAATACAACAGGCTATGTACGGAATAATCAGGTACATTTTACGTTAAATGTATCATTAATCGAAGTATTCATTTGTCCAGATGCCAACGTTGGAAGGGTACCGTCCACTTCAGGGCTCTTCTGGTGAGTGAACAACCTTGGAAGTTTTCAAAAGGACAAAAGAAGCTCGCCGCAACTGTCCCCTCTAGCCGGGGACAGACTGTGCCTTAGAACTGTGCGAGTTCCACCAGATATTTGAATTCAAGGTGTCAGTCCCCTCAGATATCAAATTGCCGTTTCTGTGTTCAGTAGTGAGGCTAACAGGGCTAGAGGCCAGACAAACTGACCTGGAGCCATCTTGCAGATCCCCATATTATATAACCAATATTATCAATGTTGTTTTTTACAAAGGTTTCCAAGTTCAACAGTTGAAGAGTACCAGGTACGTTGTATGATATTCGTCTCATATTTAATGTGATCAATTTAAGGTTAAAAATTCCACATATTATTAGATGGAATAATTGTGGATTGTGGGATCAACGATGGAACCTTCCAAGGTTGGAAGTCCCGAAATTGTCTTTACCTATTCCTAGGCACTGCCATATCATGCCAAGGCACTAGTCAGGAATTTAAACTATAATACTATCAAGTAAGCACAGACTAGAGGATGAAGCGGTGATTCAAAAGAAACCAGTGCATTTAGGGTCTATTTGCTGGGAATTAAGTCAAAAGAGTTCTTTTGTAAACCTGATTTCGAACTACTGTAGTTGAGGGGAAGGAAGAAGAGAGAATGATAATTAAGATAAAGAGAGGGAGTTGGATTTGACCGAAATTCACTTACTGAATGAGGGTAGGGAAAGTCAGATTCTTCCAGTCTTCAGAAAGTGAATAGTGGAAGATCGAGAATGAGATTCTTAGTAGGTCTTCCCCACAATAATTGCCACCGGACGAATCAGAGCCTGCTATAACGTTTAAACTCACCCACCTACTCTGTAGTTACATAGTACTTGAACTTTTCTTCACCTTGGAATTTGGTCTCCCTTACTTTCATTTCAATTCAATTCATTTCTAGTTCTATATTTATCACGCCCTCACTGTCAATTTCTCTTTTGCTCCGAGGCATCATCGCACTATACAAAAGGGTCAAGTCAATCAGTTTGTGTCTAAGTGGAACCTGGTAATCATTGATGGAAAGGAATAGTAGTAATATCTAGGGAACAAGTCCATGCACAACATTGGTCGGTCTATCCTACTCCACGGATTAAAATCTCAGTAGTTGTATGTTATATGAATCATTCCTCCAATTCATTCTCACTTTGATAGTCAATCATAGCCAACATGACACATCATTTTTTTAGTATACCGAACCCCTATTTGACATCAAACATCACTCATCACAGGAACCTTACAGATTCAGGATTCCAATATCCCTAGTATCTCACGACATAATCTACAAGAAACTAAGCAGACCCAGGACAACAGCCAAGAAGCCAGTGAAGACAGGCGTGGCCATCTGAGCAGCAGCACCATTACTAGTCGAAGCCGTAGCAGAGCTAGAGGTAATCGAAGTGGAGTTCCCCTTGTCAAATCCATGAACGCCAGTGGCATTAACACCAGACACGTAAGTCTCGCCATTACGAGAGTACGAAATGCCAAGACCCACGTCGAAGGTGGCGTCGTAGGAAAACGGCGTGCTGTAATTGTAAGTGGGTGTCTGACCCTTGTAGGTGTCAACGACGGCCTGCAGGATGCTGCTACCACCAGAGCAAGAGCCGCTGGTCACAGGCACGGGCCAGGTGTTTCGTTTGATTGAGTAACCCCACTGCTCAAGCGGGCCGGGCATGGAGGAGTTCATGTACAGGTTTGTGGCATCAATGTCCCAGTTCGTGTAGTTTACTTTGTCGGCGACGAACTGGAATAGGTTAGCACCACAGTCCCAGCGGCCAAGGGAGGGGAGGTCCCAGTTTGCGGAGACGGTTGCTATGCTGGAATAGTGGGTGTATACGGTGTCATCCTTTGTGCCGACTAGATCCTTGGGAATAGCACCACCAAGGAGGATGGAGAAGACACGGTTACGCTCGGTGTAAGTCTCGGTTTCTGCTAGGGTCAGTACGATGGTTGATATTGCAGGGGCATGGACAGACCGTCAAAGGTTAGCAGGAGCAGAGTGTTATCCCAGACGTAGGTGTTGTTCATGAGATTAGAAACAAAGCCACGGAGCCAGGTGGAGGCGTATGTAATGTTGGTATCATGGCCGTCATTGGTCATGTTGGGGGTAATAAAAGCCCATTGAGGCAGTTCTTTCTTCTTTAGCTCTTCCTCAAACTGATCGAAGCCTTTGATCAGACGTAGAGCAGTATCGTTATTGGCAATCTTGTCGTAAGAAACCAAAGGGTTGTGCTTGCGTACGTAGTCATTGGCCCACGTGTCCTGGTTGGAGTAGTTGAAGCCCTGGAAGCCCGCGTAAGGAATATCCTGCATGTACTCGGACCACGATATACCCTTAGTATCGAGAAGGTCGACAATGGTGGAAATATTGCTGGGCACCCGCCAAAATTCATCTAGAGAATGTTCAGTTGCAACTCAGATTTGAATTGAATTGTAGGTCCTATAATAGATCGGCCAACCAGGTCGTTCGATTGGTCGATCTATGAAGGTCACCAGTAATTTGAAAAGACTGGCACTAACCGTTATCGGCTCCGTAGTTATCACCACCGACAGCAGCACAGTAGTTAGGCTGTGAGGAGTGACCAACAGCGTAGTAGTTGGTCAATGTGATGCCCTGCTTGGCTAGCCATTGCTGATCGGAATTTTCAGCGGCGGAGCTGTAGTCCTAGGATGTATTAGCAACTTATGATGTGCATAGATGAGATACCGAAATACATACCACATTCTCTAGCCAGATCTGGTAGAAACGGTTGAAAGCAGTACCCTTAATATCGGAGGTCCAAGTCTCTGGAACAGTCGTAGCTTCAGCAGCCTGAATTGCAGTTTTGGCAGGCTCGGTGGTTGTGATGGCAGTCGCGGCAGCAGAGCCAATCACCGTGAGGAGAAGAAGAGACGCCATGACGGGAAAGAGAGGTTGCAAGTGAGAAGGCGAGAATGGGGAAGTACGTACCTAGGTGCAAGGAGCATCGGAATGTCGCGTGCCCTTTATACAAAACGGGCTGTTTCTGGTAGATTCAGTGACCTCCACTTTTGTTTACCGATGATCGGGCAGTTCATAACCAGTCAGAATGGCAGATAAAAAGCACGTTACAATTTGGCTGATAAATAGGGCTGCATTAGTGGAAACTTGGGGCGTATTGGGCGCTCGGGGCGTAGAATAGTGTAGAGACTGTGGGGTTAAGCATTGGACTAACGTAAGCTGTACCGCCAATCTCGGAGTGGCGTCGGTGCTGCAACTTCTCTTTTCACTTCACCAATTGAATGCCTTCCTTTTAGCTTATCTCCGACTTCAAACTTCTTTGCCTTATCTTCTGTCTTGCGGAAGAGATGCTCATTCTCAAACGAAGATAATACGGTACTGGAAACTCGGTTTTTCTCATGTTCATTCCCGACATGGCACGGTACTTCCCCAAAGGCGCAACTCGAGTTTACATGTAGGCCAATTACATTATACGATATACTAGAGACCGGAGAATTAGAATCGAGAAGAGCTTGCTGCCTTTGAAACCCCCAAAGTCGCTTTGCCTCCCCCGTATTCACTCAAAAAGCTCCAAGCCCATGGTGGGAGAAGCCACAGGCGATTCATTTGAAAGTGAGACTGGCTGGCCGTCATCGTCATTCTAGACTTAAGGCTGGACCTTGGGTTGAAGCATCTTGGAACTTCTTTACCATTGAGCTCATCACAATCTTCATCCCAGACACACCGTCCATCCAGTTAGTTCCGTTCTGGTACATGCCATGCCAGTGCAGCGAAGTGCTATTCACCATGTCATTCTGGACATTGATTACCAGTCTATCACCGCGATGAGCCTGGATCATTGGGTCGGGGTATCTCCCGTTGGCCACTAAGTCTTTACGCAGGACACCTATAGTAGTTGTTAGTCTCTTAAATCAAGGGTTTGTCGAATCCTGTCTCTGCTTTGTACCATCAGGAAATGCATCTATTTCGGATAATGTGAAATTATAGGTTCTTGTCATTGCCAATCCATGGACAGTTCATACTCTGATGCGTCCTGGTGCCACGACTCGTTTCCGAGTGGTGGGTTGTACTCCAGGGATCACGCAATATCTGATTCTAAGCGGTCATAGCTTTCTCCATAACTTCAGTGGAGAACTAGTTCGGCACTTTCTGGTGGCATGGTGGTACCCAACGCATGGATGGTCTGTTCGGTCCACTGATCATTCCATTCATGTACCTGAGGAAACCGAGTATCAGAAACACTACGGCTACGCCAGTGATCAGGTCAACGTTCTATAGGATTATTACTACGATCTAATTAGTGTAGGGCTTTCGTAATGTCTCATCATAAGCAACGACAACTCAGAGCCGGGGCTAGATAACGGACTCATCCAAGAATCAAACTAATAGTCAGTACAGGGAAAACCACCTAAAATAGGCCCCACTCGCTCATCTCAATGGAGCTTTGATTGTTTCTTAGACTCATTCAGCGATAGACACACCTGCTACGACAACTCCACACGGGACCTGATACCAGTACAGCAGAACTCCAAAACACACTTCCGTCTAATGGGCATGGGCGGCTTCGCAACCTTCGACTTCGAGATCGACAACCACACGCTCACAGTGATAAAAGCCGACAACACAATGGTCGAACAACTTCAACGCCAAACTCTCAAAATCGCTACAGCCCGGCAATACTCCTCATCGTCAAAGTCAACCAGACAAATCAAAACTACTAGATCCGAGCGCAGATGGAAACAAATTGCTTCGCATACACAAATACCGTTCTGAACGCCACTCTCGTGGTCGAAACCGCGCATAGATAAAAGACACGTCGTAGAGGGCTCCAAAACGCCAATCCCAAGCCATGTTGTGCCGAACCTGCGCACAGGCGACACAACCAGCCTACAATGGCGTGGCGCCATCATACGGTCTAGCAAACCAGCTCATCCTCGACATACCCCACAATCAGGTCGTAAATATCATTGTACAGAATTTTGAAGATGGCTTGCACCCATTTCATATGCATGGCTATTATTTCTGGGTCATGGCCAGCTCGCAGAATCAGTATTTCCCGTAGGATGAGTATGTTTCGCTGAACAGGACTAATCCCATGCGTTGGGATACGGTCATGGTTGATGCGTATGGTTAGGTCTTGTCGAGGGTTCGTGCTGATAGTCCTGGTATTTGGGCTTTTCATTGTCATATTGTATGGCATCTGGCTGCTGGATTGTTGATGTAGTTGCAGACTCGTGATGATTTGATGAAGTCCAGGACGTTTCCCGATGATGTTCTGGATTTATGTGTTGTTTGACTAATAGGTATATGGCCCCTTGGAATCATCATCTACCTACGAGGTATGAATAAGATACGTATTTTAATTTATTTATTCATTCCTGAATTTCAATCTGAGGGCGCCTTCGCACCTCAAAGCCAAGTTTACGTAAAGACCTCGTAAGTCTGATAACATCAAATCGACAACTTGGAAACAGCATGTCACGGACACAAAAGAAAAAGTAAGTGAAGTAAGAAACCATGAAAGTTCGAAGAAAAGCGGAGAAATGGCCAACTGCTCATTGAAAGTCAGTAGTGACAACGGTGTCTCGAAAAATAAAGACAATAAAGGAATGGAAAAGCAGCAGATACGAAACAAAATCGGAAAGAAAAAATTAAAAAAAAATCAAAATCAGTTCGTATTCTAAATGAATACTTTGTCCCACCTTGCCCTAAACGCCGTCCGTTGATAATGAAGCCGGGTATATCCAGCACCGTGATGCATCATGTACAGAGAACAATAAATAAGCGATAATAAAAAGAAAAAAAAAAAAAAAAAAACCCTTAGAGCTGTCGACATTTTGGGGGCTTGTGAGTGGGCATGGAAAGCCCTGACTTGATCACTCATAGCCATTTTCAGAAAGAATGATATAAAAGTGTAAAATGTACTTTTCGGATCTGTGGAAAGTTTTTCATCTGGCGCCAATTCCATAAATACCAACCCCATAACTCCCACCTCGTTCGGACATGGGAGTTGAAACCTTGGAAACATGGTCCTATTGTGGATTAGTGTAAGATTCTTGGAAGAAGCGAGCAGAATCTTACCTTCTTCCGTTTCTTTTTCCCGGTTCCCTCGCTGTTGGAGTAGAAGCCAGGGTCATCATCATCATCCACGTAGCCTTCGCCGTAGCCGACGAAGCTGTTATCATCGTAGTTTCTCTTGCGGCCACGAGTGGTCCGCGCTCGCTCTCGCTCTTCTGCCGTCGTAGCGGACGCGTTCTTTTGAATTGCAGGGCGAGTACCTGGAGTAGGGGCAGACTTTTTCCCACTCTCGGAGGTGCCTTGATTTCTAACAGGCTTTTCGTGGCCTAGTAGATCTCCCCAAAAATCGTTCTGAGGCATCGTTCCAGGCTCCAGCTGCATAGCTTGGTTGTGAAGGCCGTGAAGCGCCGAGTCGTTATCCGCGAGCTTAATCTGCTTGCCAAAGACATTTTGGTTCTGCCATTCTTCCTCGGGCCACATCGTTAGGTATCTGAGACTGCTCTGCGAGCCAGGCTCTTGCTTGTTGGGTTTATTTCGTCCTGCCAAGCCCAATCCTTTTAGTTTTCCTTCATAAGATTTCCTTAGTCGATTTATCTTTTCCCCCGTCACATGGTCCATTCTTGCTACCGATTGCGCCACCGGACCGAGGCCATAGAGCGAAACTAGATCCACTGAAGGATCGGGACCAGACACAATGGGCACTATCAGGCGACAAAGAAGCTAAAGTTAACAAGTTTGGTTCCCAAAGCAGGTCAGTGGGAAAGGTTCAAACTTGGGGGTATCTTACAGCTTTTGCACAGATGGAAAGCCGAAGTGAGTTTATCCTGCAAGCAATCTAAGCCCAGGTCGCGGGAAGATGGGCGAGCTGCGGTTTCATTATCCACGTCCATGGCGTCTTCGTCTGTCGCAAGCTGGTCCTGTCCGATGGAATTGTTCGTCCCATCCGCAGAGTCAGTTTGCCTGTTGTGATCCGTACGTCTATGTTCCTGATCTTCCACGATCTTAATTGGGCCCTGGTTTCCTGCGGTAAAATATTTTTGATCGTTATCCTCCGTGAAGGTGGCATGGGCCAGATGACCGCTGACGCTACTAGCTGGGGTAGGGAACGAGTTGGTGGTGCTCATTGTGGGTTGCTGAGAGACCTGTGTAGACATGGGTGTGGAAGAGGGAGGGGAAGAAGTGTTTGGTTGAGTAGTCGCCTGGTTCGGTGATGCCTGGGAGGATGCGAAGTTTGAGACATGACTCGGGTCACTGACCGACATCAACGGAGGAGACTGGGGTGTCTGAGGGAAATGGTCCGATGAAATGAGGAGTGTATGGCTCTCTTTTAGAGGCCAAGCGGAGGGTGATGGGGGTGACGGAGGTCCGGCTCGGAAGGTTGTTGCAGAGGTGCGATCAGACATGGGAGTCTTAATGGCAGCCTTGTATTAGAAGAATTACTTCCAGATCAGTAAAACTCAGTTGTTCCACAGATTGGGGCGTTTGAGCCGCAAGGTTCGACACAAGCGCTGAGTCTTCTTGAGGGGGGAGAAGATTCCGGTCAACGATCGACGGTCGCTCGAGCGGGCGATCAGGTCGTTCCTGCCGTCCTAAATCATATGCATTCCAGAAAACCTAAACACGTCTTTGTAGGCGATCCAGATGGGAGTGGTTGTTGGGGATGGCGTGGCGGGTGGGAAGGAGTGGTTGGGTCCAGAGGTTCTCGAAGATGCTGCTGCTGAGACGGGGAGGCAAACCGGATTGTCCACGTGACACGGGATTCGGTCTCATCCGTTTCGGCTGCTAGGAAGTCGAGATTGGAAATGAACTGCAACCTTCATTCAACTACAATTAACAACAAATTCTAATCATTCTAAATTCTATTATCCTGAACTTTTTATGACGTGCTATGCAAATCAAAGTCAAGTCCCAGAATGGGATTTTTCCCTTTGAGAGCTTTCATTCTTCTTTTGTTAGCCCGTCTTTATCATTTATGGCCCGGACCCCTGGTTCTAAATGATGTGTAATGTACCATGTCGGCAGTTTTGTCGCTACGTACTTTTGTAGAGGAATTTAAAGATGACTTCAAATCATTGAATTTCCACAAGATTTAGAAAGACTTGGGATTCATGGGTATTGAAAATGTACCTAGCTATGGTATGGTCAGCTGATCCACAGCAACCATAAAAAAAAAAAGCAAACGTTCTGTTACGCAATATCTGGTATAACAGATTCATAAAACCGAATTGCCTTCCATTCATTTCAGGACTGGTAAAAGGCATGGGACTGATGAACCAGTTGGGCAGAGACATCGGGAATATCATATTCCAATGATTCCATTAGTTCAGACTGATCCTGTCGACTAAGAGTGCGCCCTCGCCACGCTGGTACTGGAAATGGCTCATTGAAATATTGGGAATACTGATCTTCGATCGTAGTGGTCCATTGCATGGGATCGACAGTGGCATCAACATATGCTAAGTGACTAGCAGTTGTGGAGGCAAGGGAGAAGTTTGGATCCCAGCCTTGGAGGCCTGGGACCACCGAGGGTATTGCGTTGTAGGGTGTATTAGGGTCAATAGATAGATCGGGATAGAGGCTGTCTGGAGCACAGTATTCCTCTGATGTGTACTCGGGTGATGGGTCGCAGCTGACTGGTTGCTGCGTGCTAAACACTGGGGTGACCGGTGAAAGTACTCTCGGTTTCAAGGAATCGGGAGGGAAACCCGGGGGTGTCGCTTGAGAGAATGCGACAGAAGGATCAACTGAATGACCTCTGGATAGAGTACCAATGGATGCAGTCTCGCTGAATGAAGACGTAACTGTTGGGTAGTGGACAGCCGTTGTCGTGCTAGATGGGCTCGATGCAGCTGGAGGAGTCAGGCCCAGGGAAGATGTTGGGGTGGGGTGACTGGATGGAGATGGTACGACAAAGGAGTCCTCTGTGGCGAAAGCTTTTAAAATAGCTGAGATCAAACGCTTGTAAAGTAGCAGTGCCGACTGAACGCCAGGCCACCGTTCCGCTGAGTATGCAATGACCTCGAGAGCCATGTCTAGATAGCTTTGGACTTCCTCAATGGGGTGCTCCTTTCGGATTTCGGGGTAGGATAGGGTCCAAAGGATGGTGTTGAAGGCCTGGAAGAGGGACTGCGTGAAGATCCATGTCAAATCCACCGAACCATTGACCATTTGTTCTTTGTGCAAGGCGATATTATACGTTGCAGCTTCGTAGCATATTTTGGCAGCATTGGCGGACGGCTCTGGAATTTGCGGCGATGGTCGATACATCAGAATGATTATAGTGTTTTTTCTGCCTTGAAACCTGGATTTTGTGTCAGTGGTTGACCAATTGGGACAATCGTTGTAGACGCGTTACCATTTTACGTTCAAACGCCCGCTACCGTCATCATTCTTCGGGCCATTCTCCACCCATGCATCAAGTTTGGCATGCATCTGAAAAAACCATGGATCCTGGTCATTGGCTGGAGTCTCCGTTCGATTTAAGTAAAGTGTTCGCCGGCCTTCCATTTGTAGTAGTCGCATTTTGAAAAAATGGACCGAAATACATTTTGCTAAGACTGGCTTCGCTCCAGGAGTGATGCCTTCGGCTGTGATATACCGATCATCCACCAACGAGAAAAACTTCACATCGATGTTGTCGTGCGAAATACTGTAGCAGTTGGCACGTCCTAATGAATGGGCGAGTCCAAACTCCATTGAAGTGACAATCCAGAACATCCGTCGCCGCATATCGACCTCTAACGGATTGAGCGGCTCACCCGAGGGAGAGGTGCTGATGGTGGCTTCTTCGGTCAATCCCAGGTCCTGAAGCAGTTTCACAGCCGTCCCGACAACCCAGTATGCCGCTGTCCGAGTGGGGGTCAACATGGAATACTGCGCAATCAATACCAGACATTGTAAGGCCCGGATATCCATCTGCTTCAAAGTCGGCTCCAGGTATGGTAATGCAGCAAGATAGAAGCTGTCTGCTAGACCTGCATATTCTGGGCTCAACTTTTGCATACTAATGGCGATCACCATTCGGAGTTGGAAATTGTGACAGGGGTTAGTTGAACCACGGAATACCTCATCCGCTTCTCGTCGGAAACTGGGCTCATGAAGCGTCGGAAGCATTGTTTGTGCTGGAAAGGTCCTGTCAGCCAAAACACGTCTTTTTTTTTCGCCCAAATTTTTCCCAGAAATATACCTTTGACAATGAAAAGACCAATCAACCTCAGCGTCAGGGACCTTCCCGGCAGTTTGGAATGTGGAATGGAGCTGATCATGGGATACACTTTCGAAGTCGGTTTAGAATCTTCCTTCATGAAGGCCTCTTTGATTTCTTGGACGGTCAAATCGGGGACTACATCCTTGATGCTTTTTGAATCGGTGTTCTGCTTGGCCACTTCCATGACCAGCCGGGCCATGGCAATGCCACTGGAAGGACCTAGGTATCGGGGTTCATCATTCTCATGAAATCGAATGCGCCCAGCACCGCGCACCATTAGTTCGGCATCGGCCGAATGTTGGACATGTTTTTCAGCCGCAGCAAGTTCCTTCTCCAGCTCTCGTGCTTTCTTTTGAAGCGATACGATATACGATCGAGGGATGGTGGTATCTCGAGTGGAATCATAATATACACACTTGGCATTGCTTCGTTCACAGGGAGCGCATCGAGGAATGCCTGGATCACATCTTGATTTTCGCTAGGAAGGAGGGTTAGAACGGGGGGTGTGGATTCCGTGATAGAGATGGATTGAGTACCTGTCGACACCTTGTACAAGCGGTAAGAGTATGAGCGATGCGACCGTTCGGTGGCTCCAATGTGAGCGACTCTGGAGAGGGCTTCACGGACGAGGTCTGGGTCATGATTATCCAAATTTCTATCAAACTACACGAACAAGTCCCTCACTGCCGAGACTAAGCTTGAGCTTGGATACTTCGGGATAAATTTGGCCCCCAAACACTTAGATCGGTCCACCTTATATGTCAAGCTCGACATGTTCAGGCGGATAAATTTGGGGAAAGTTGGAATGGGGGTAGGGTTAGTAAGAATGGAGTAAAAGAAAAGAAGAAGAGTGCCAAGGGGTATTGAATCTTGGAATGTTGGCTTTGTTATGGCGTTACAGGCTGGCCTCGGTCCGGACTACGAGAGATTAGAAGCGATGCAAACTAGAAGTGGAAGAAAGTGGGGGAAAGTAAGGTTATGTAAGGTAAAGAAGGTAAGAAAAGGTAAGAGAAGCGGCCTATTTTGCAAGGTTGAACCTGGCTTAATAAGGGACAGTAATCTTTAAACGGACTGGTAGCGACGTAAAATTCAAAATAGTCCCTGTCATTATTACTGTTTGTTTTTACCGTTTGCCGTTTGCCGTTTACCGTTCACCGTTTACCGTTTACCATCTATACCGTTATTTACTTGGATCTCCCTAAACTTGGATCTCTACTCCACTCTTCCCTTTCCCTTCAATGCAGGTTCATCATATTCACGTTCAGTTTCAGGTTCAAGTTCAGGTTCAGGTTCAGATTGAAGTTCAGGCTCAAGCTCAAGTTCAAGTCCGGCTTTCATCCCAACGTAAGTACTGAAACTTGTATTCACGGAAAATGGGGTGACGCGAGAGTTTGAATTGACGCGCTGACTGTATCTCTTCCTCCAACTTCACTAGTCCCCATATAAAAAGAATTTTTTTTTTTTTTAAAATAAAAAAATAAAAACAGAAAAATGAAGTGATGACCTCCGCCACAAGTTTCCTGGATAGTCCATTACTCAAAGTCAGCCGACCGGTCGCTGCTTGTTCACGATGTCGTACCGCAAAGATTAAATGCGATGGGAAACTCCCCGCCTGTTCGGCTTGTGAGAAGGTAGGCAAAGCGAGTACTTGCTCCGGTGCAAGCGATGAGTTTGCAAAGGGCAAAGAACGAAGCTATGTCGCCTCTCTGGAAGGCTACTGTGATAAACTTGAAAAGAGGATTGCCCTTCTTCGTGAACGCCAGAACTCGCGATCTGAAGGGGATGAAAATGGAGCAAGCGGGAGTGGGAATGGCGTCGTACGGGCCATGTCCTCCACTTGTTCCACTTCGGTGGGACCTCAGGGCTCAACTTCCACCCATCGCCGGGAGGTTTCAGATATTGATGATCTAGTGGGTGATTTTGGTTTCTTATCAGTCAATGCGACCTCTCGTGACTTTCATGGCATCTCGTCCACCACGACCCTAGCCAACCTCCTCTTATCAGTCGCAACTGTCGGATCGCCTCCACCTTCGCCTCCACCTTCGCCTCCAAACCAACATGCGCTTCCCCCACGACACGAAGCAACCCCACTGTTACAACATTACTTTGAAAATGTCTTTGTGCAGCTACCTCTCTTCGTCGAGACCAGCTTTTGGACGTCCGTGGATGCCACTTATCAGGCTGATGGTCGATTTGCGACTCCCGTCGATCACTGGATGGTACGGATGGTCCTTGCCATAGCCTCCGCGTCTGTTTCGTATCATCATCATCATGATAAGAGCCACCCAAGGGCACTGGCACTGGTCTCGGGGGCTTTGACTTATGCTGGTGATGTTCTCCGCCCCGGTTCCATTACGGGTATTCAGGCCATTTTGCTTTTGGCGCAGTATGCACTAGTAGACCCAGGACACTTTCGCTGCTGGTACTTGGTAGGAATGGCAATGAGATTAGCCATTGACCTAGGGCTTCATCAAGATCCCCCAATGGAAGTGCAATCAAGTGCAAATCGGCTGGATATTCGCCGTCGTGTGTTCTCTTGCCTTTACTGCTTAGACAGGTATGTACTTTGAAAAGAAAGATTTATAGGACTATCACTAATCTTTGAATAGAGGAGTCAGTACTGCTTTTCAGAGGACTTTCTCAATCTCCGATGCTTCTATAAATGTCGACTTTGCCTCGATAAACGCACCTTCCAACTCTTCATCAGTCGAACAAAGCCATATCTTTCTCCGTAGTCCGGCTCCAGCCCTGCATATCGTGAAAATTCGTCAAATCCTATCAGCAGGATATCAAGATATGTATTATAGCTCACGCGAGCCATCTCCACAACCCTTAGTGCAGATCTGGACCCTTTGCTCCCGGGCCCAGGAATGGTTCCAAGAGTGCCCTCAAAACGCTCCAAAACACTTTTCTCTCCTCTATCGTCTCGAACTCATCTACACCAAAATTATTCTCCTTTCCCCCTCCCACCGATACCCCATCCTCTGCGATTATAACAAAGCTCTCCTCTTTGACCACTGCATGGAATATATCAGCCAGATCCACCAAGTCCTGGATGATCCCTTCATCCTACCATTCCTCAACTTTATTGATATCCAGCGCGTTCGCCAAGTGGCCAGGCGATTCGTAGATCTCCTCTCCCAGAACTTCGACCTCCTAAGCGCGACAGTTCCATGTCTTCCATCCGTCCCGGCCGGAACCCCTGATGCCCCAGTGCTGAGCGACGAGGACCGTATTAACTGTCGCGCCCGTGCAACTCACTGTATGACCTACATCCGCGACTTACTGACTCACTGCGCACTAAAATGGGACATACATGGTCCGCTGGACGAATTTGAGCAGGAATCAATCTCCCTCGAGCAAAGGCTCCTCGCTAGCCCGGGATATTTAATGAATCATGCCGCGCATCCTCATATTTCAACGGGGCTGCCGCTTGCCGGTAATTCAACTTGGTAACAAGTGTAAAAAGAGTTATCGCACATCGCATGTGGCGTTTATCTTTTTGTCCCTTTCCTTATATCCTTCTCAATGCCTATATTATTACCTTTAAATCCACTACATGAGTGCCGCCCTGTTTCTCTTTCTTCAATCGTCGCGAGTTTTATCGACTTTGCTATCATCCTATTCATTATGTCGTATTTATAACTTTGTCTTTTTTCCCCGTGAATTCTTCGAAGACTTTGACCTATTACCTCTAATAACTAGGTAGGTATTTAGTCAGTGGTAAATGGACTACACAGCCTGCTACATATAGTAGGTATTTAACCTACTCATCGACTACTAACCGCTCACAATTAACCATGGGAATAATTAATGGTAATCTAATGATACTCGTGTATAGTTTCAGTTGAGAATCAGCGATTAATATGGTCTTACAGCTAACGGAAACTGACATACGACAGAATAGCTGATTGAGGAACGTTGTTTTGCTTTTCTTCAATTAAAGCTGGTAAAAAATGGAGTATCAAAAAGAAAGTATATAGAGAAGGGTAAAATCTTTCAAGAAATCATTCGGTTCACATGTACAAAAAAAGCTTGAAAGATGGAAGAAAAGACACCATACAATCCCACTTAAACAGACGCATCTTGTTATCAAGCTAGTGAACTAACTTACAGGTTGGTACCAACGGTCGAGACGACGGCGCCAACAGGGGTGGCAACGCCGGTCAGACCGAGGCCAGCGACGAGGGAGACAACGGAGGGGCTGAGCTGGACAAGCAGCTTCTGGCCATCGTCACCGGTGATGATGAGGACCTGCTCGAGGGGAACGGAGAGGTCCTCGAGGAGGTCACCGACGCCACCGGCGGTCTTGATAACGGAGCCGACGGGGCCAGAGATGGTGGTCAGGCCGAGGCCGGCAACGAGGGAGGTGACGGAGGGGCTGAGCTTGACGAGGAGCTGCTTGGAGTTGGAGCCAGTGACGGTGATGGTGTCCTTGGTGGCGGGGGCAAGGTCTTGGAGGATCTCACCGCGCTTCAGGCTGGTGCCGAGGGTAGCAACGACTGTGCCGACGGGGACACCGACGGTGGGCAGACCGAGACCAGAGACGAGGCCGGCAACTTCGGGGGAGAGAGAGACGAGGAGAGCACCGACATCAGCGCCGACGAGAGTGACGAGGCCATCAACGGTAGGGCCGAGGCCAGAGACGAGATCGCCGAGGGAGCTGGCGGAGGCAACGATGGATCCCAGAGGGACACCGAGGCCGGGAAGGCCAAGGCCAGAGACGAGGGCGGTAACCTCAGGGCTAAGCTCGATGAGTAGAGTCTTAACGTTGGGGCCAGTGATGGTGAGGATGTTGTCGAGCTCAGGGCCGAGATTCTGGACGAGCTTGCCGTTCTTGGTGACGGACTCGCTGGCAGAAGAAGTGGCGGGGAGATCAAGTAGAGTGGTGAGGTCACCGACCTTGGAGACAACGGGGATGTTTTTCAGGTCCAGGTCTGAAACGATATTTGCAAGGCCGAGGGTGGAGGTCAGACCGTCAACAGCGTTGAGCAGAGGGGCGGCCATGGCGCCAGTAGCCATGGCGGCGATGAGAGAAACAAAGGAGGCCTTCATTTTGATGGATTAATTTAGTATATAAAGGAAGATATTAATATAAAGAGTGAATTGGCTCAGAGAGGGAGAGAGAGAGGCAACAGTGAGTGACGAAAGAGAAATTAGTAGATGGAGGAGCCTGTTCTTATACTTCTGGAGCTGCTTGAGAAATAACTCGTTGGATCGCTCTCGCTCATAATTGTGCTAGTTTGTTAACTTGCACTCCGTAAGTGGCTGATCCATTTTCCGTACAAATTCTCATTTGAGGTTGTGGATATTCCCTAGTGAGTGGGAACTAATGGTCTCCAATTCATCGAACTTAGTTCGGAGACTAGCTTAGTATGTCAACGCTTCTACCACACCATACATATCGATTCCAAGGCTCTAGACCTCGGCAGACTGCTCGTGTTATATGACCTCAACAATATCAACATGATATCTAGCAGACATCCCGAAGTCGTTTACATTCGAGTAAACATAGTACTCGAACAGGAAATTGATTTGTATAATGCCCGTTTTGGCTTTCAAAGTTAGGGATCAGCGTACTAGATAAAATTTGAAAGGTTTTCAAATTGAGATCTGCAGGTAGTTCTTCTTTGAAGTGGATATAGGAGACGGATCACAAGGTTCGTGGCTGCCAGATCGTGCTCTGTGGCTGGCAAGTGCATGCTTATATGGACCCCGAACTGCTCCGTAGAATAAGTGCTAGAGACGTCGATCTGCACTTGGCAGAAACTTTGAAGTCATTGAAATCCACTTTCCCGATGTTGTTGTGCAAATACCTTGAATTCAGGGGATGTCGTGATCGTCGGTGCTAATACTATGATGTTGTTGTGGAGAGATAATCTCTTTTCAAGTATCATGACAGCTGTGAGAACCCCTGAGCGTCATTGAATTTCTATTCCTTTGATTCTTGGCTTTTGATTCTTGATTCTTGATTTTTTGAAGTTGAAGAAAAGGAGACTAAGGCTCATTTGGGCCGAGATTTTCCCCACGTGATTTCTGGGGGATTGACTCCTGAGTTGAAATAAAATGAATTCATATCCCATATTTTGCTACCATATTACACTTTGACGATCTTTTCTTACTTCTTTATTGTTATCCACTTTCTACTTTCCACTTCTACATTCCAAGCCCCCAAGGTGGGTCTATAGATCGAGGACTCCCGGGAAGCCAGGCCAACCAACCACTTCTATGAGAGAGAGAGGTCAACTGACCAATTAACTTGCAGACATAATTAACCATGTAAGCACCCACTTAAATTGGATCAGTACATCCATCTCATACTGTTTTTATTAAGTAAAATAGACTATCTGCATATGTAGGTAGTATCATCCCAGGAGCAACATTGAGTAAAGTTTGAGGAGTCCATGGCCCTGGGCCCTGACCACACATCTTTCATCCAGCGAGAACTCAGGTACCCGCTAGATCTGGCGATTGCCCCACAAATTGCCTCCTTTCCATGGCTCAAGAGTGGAGATGGAGACTTTAGGAGCTTCTTGGATAGACCCCGTAAGTAGAATGCTACCATGGCGTTTGTGGCTTGAGGGTTAAGCATCCGCATAATGGCGTGCGCCATGAGCCTTGACTTGTGTCAAATGTTGAAATTTCAGTGCCAGTCTTCCTTTTACTTGGCCATTGAGGGGATTTATGTATAGGTTATTGATGGCGTTTGTGAAGTTCAATTATGAATGAGGGCATGGGCTATATCTACCACATTAATGTAACTCGTTGTTTGGTTTGTAATTTCCCAATACAGAGCCTTTTAGACTTTGTAAACTCCATCATCTCCATCGTGCCAAGGTGTTGATCTATGATGGGTCAGAGATCTCGGGTTTCCTCCAGTATGCCGACGGTAATTGCTCTCAACCAAGGATTTCCGGAGACTTGTCCAGGAGGTATGCTACCTTTTGGCTAAATCGTGTTACACATCCTCGATACAATGGGTGATCGTCATACTAAGCCACTTTATTGCCTTCCAATATCGACCCATCAACTCGGGGATTAATCAGGGAGAATGGCGAATAATCTTGCTTGCGTACAGCTCATTCTATAATTCTCTCATATCTTCACTTCTGGCGCTAGAAACCGTGTCTTATGACTCTCATCTATCTACTTAGTATATCGATAGTCCGCAGGTGATACTACTCCGCACTTCATATATTAGAAAAATCCTTCAAGCTTCTCCAAACCTTACTCATTTTCGTCTCCCCCATTGTAGGTTAAGATCTACAATAAATCAAGCACTAAAAGTACTAGTTACTGTAGGGTGATTACGGTGAATTTTCGAGGTTCGGGCAAGGGAGGAAGTAACCTCAGAAGGCACGACTGCTGCTCGCAATCTACCTAAAGTTCATACTATCTACATAGGTAACCATGGGTGAGTTTAACTTAGGATTATTTACCAAGGTAGGCCACTTCCAATGCTAAATTAGCCTAGATGTCGCCATTAGTGGTTATTTTACTCGAGTGCTGCGTGATCCATTTATTTGTCGACAACCTACCTAGGCGGCTTTAAGCCTTGATATATTACTGTTGGGATATCGGACAATGACACCCCGGTTTAGACCAAATCACGAATCCCTGTTCGAAGTGTATCAAACAACAACCTCGAACAGTATACATATAACTGGGATGTCCCGTCTTCACCGGCTCTTCTGTCTTAGACGATGGAACACATTCGTCTCAGACAGAAGAGCAACTTGTAGTATAAATAGCTAGTCCTCACCATGAATGAAAAAGTAGATTTTACAACCACTTCAAGAGAAAAAAGAGATATTATAGGGGCGTAAAGCGTTTCCTGTAATAGGTGTTAGAAGTGGGCGTAGCCTCTCATCAATCTTGCTATACCCACCGGTGTACCAACAGTTATACTTGATAGCCTGTTCAACCTTGAGAGCAAATATCAACTCAAGCTTGATGATAATTCCGATTTTCAGTTCATTTATAACTGAAGAGTAAATGGAACTTGGAAGTATCTAAGTGCGGGATAGGGAAAAGTTTCAATATCGAACTACATAGGTAATATTACAATTTCTTAGCAACTCAGTGACTCATGTAGCCCGTGACAAATAGTAAATACATGCGGAATATGTTTCCTCGTTGTTACCTGCCGAGTGTAATTAAGTTTAGGAGTTCTGGCTTTCACTTTCTGGACCACGGATGCAGTATTTCGTAATCCGAGCTCGACAACAGATACGCCGCAAATGCAGCAAGCGGGAATAGAGGTTCTATCTTCCAGGATTATCTGTGAATGTCAGTTGTTCCCGTTCCCTTGGCGCATTGGATTCAACTCCAGTTTTGACTTGTTCCGGGGCTAATATATGCACCAAAGGTCCACCGCCCTCCGTAGTCCGCCCTAGGACTCATTGATATCGACAGCTCCGACCACAATTGAAAATTCTTTAGCGAAGAGAACTAGTTAAAAGCTCACTTCAATCTCTACAGTATCTTTCCAATCGCCGTCATCTCCGGTTGCAAATACTATGATAGCATCTAGATCGTAGATCTGCTTATATAGAGTTTGGTAAGACTCTGTTACCTCTTTTAACCAAAAATTACCTTTCTAAGTCTGTAGCTGAAGTTCCAAACTGTCAAGTAGCCTGGACTCTTTGCCATTTTCTCTTTAATATTTTTGATGATGGCTTTTAATCCCGCTTTCATCCATTATCTTCAAGTCGATCCATGACACCACTAGGAGATTAGTAGCATTGGCTAGTTCATATTTCTGATCCATTATCTTATCTGAGACGCAAGTTTCATGACCTGATGTACCTGTCACCTGCCTTGGCTACAATATCTGCTCCGGGGCAGAGTAATTGATCTCTGAATCGATTCGACCATCGAAACCATGATAGTCAGCATTCACGTCTTATCTGGGCCCTTTAATCTTAGCACCTTCCTCAGAACTGTAAGGTCATCTGATTAAATATCAAATTTGCGATATTTTTTACTTTGCATTTACCGCTGGTTGCGCCTTTAGCACGGATGTGTCTATGTTTCTAGGGTCAAACACTGATATTCCGGGCGATAACCGACCAGCGATGCTCTCCTGTGCACACAGGATATGGTTTTGTAAGCTATTCCAGCGTGCTCCAGATTAATGCCAATGTCATGGACGAATACTGTTGTACCAGAGCCCGCGCCACCTCGGTACTCAAGAAAACGTACCTGTTTAATGCTTCAACTAGTCTGTTCGAAATCCAAGAGGTTCTAATATTTTGATATGAACTTCATTTCCTCGCTATCGGTTTGCTGAAATAGGTTGGTAAATTTATTCCTATCAAAAAGATGGTTATGAAGTGCTGGGACTAGACTCTTTATGTGAAACTAGAGTCGTAACAATGAAGGCTTAGAACTAGATGTATTCAGCCAATATAATGGCTGAATATGATCGTAGCGTCTGGAGAAAGGTTAAAGTAGGGACTTCGGATGCCAAGACCCGCTTGTGGATATACCTTGAAAGTCCTTGACATGATGACGGTTTTTTTTAACAGGTGGTTCCTCGAAACAACCGATACCTACTCAGCTATTTTTGGCTATAATTCTTCACATTAAAATTTCCAATTTAGAACATTAGGGCTGAGAAGGATCGATCAAACCGAATGGGGGCTGAAGGAAGCCACCAGGAGTTGGTACACAGGATCTAAGGAATGATTGAATCTGCCGCCAGAATAACCCAGGAACTTTGGAACATGAATATAGATAGGTAATTATATGAGCTGCCAGGATGGTTGAGAAAAAAAAGTGGAACGCTTCCTTGCAGCGAATAACTGCATGATGAATCTAGACTTTCCAAAGCCCTTTACATTGTGCACGAATATTGAAGCAGCAGAGCAAAGCCAAAAAGCCCCGAGATTATTACAAGTAGCTTCATTCATTTCATCAGAGGACACGAATCGTTTGAATGCGAAGAGTATGTGAATGGCCAAGGAATTGATATTTCTAGATGGCTACCTAGATAATGACTGTCCGTTATCATTTGGAAAACCGACATAAGCCAATAAAAGGACTCCAAGACTGTGTCCGCAGTCTTATACACAGTTACGTGGATTAAATACGACCTCGGGAGTCAGGGGATATCCTAGGTATTGATGGATATCGATCCAGATGCCACAGAGTGAGTTGGAGGTTGGTTAAATTCGATGGATCCACTTAAGTAGATTTTTGACCGATTGGTCTTCATTTTTCCAGGGGTTGACACAAATCATCAATGTCTACGCCTAGGTCCTATCGTCATCCTCGATCTCCCAAGATCACAAAAGAGGATCATTTAATGGCAAAATATTGTATACCTCTGTAAATTGCTAGAACCGTTGAGAATTAATCTAAGAGACTTCCTCAGATACACTGGATACTAGTTCACTAGAAACCTTACTTAACCTTAGAAGTTAGCTACACCTGGGTATCCATAGAGACCTAGGTATGTATTCATGGATATGATCATATACGTGCGTTTCACGGCTGGGCTGATCGGCTATGCGAGTTGCCCTAGATTGAATCATCATCTTGAGCTGATCTTACAGTATGTGGCTCCAGGGCGCAAGATCTCCGGACTATTATGTCAGTGTGAGACAGGCTATCATAGTAGCGCTATCTGAATACTGGGGCCCCGGGAGCTAGTATAAAAAGAGGGCTAGATTTTACACTCTTCTATTTAGTTCGACGTTGGAACATGTTATTAAGTTCATGAACCTTGAGATTAGGTTTAGCTTAACTAGGTAGTTAATATGACGTCAAGTTGGCCATGAACTACTATGGTATGGCCCTGTGGGTTTGTTAAAACAGTACTTTCTCACCCCACCTTTCTGCCATATTTTAAATACCGCCTATGGTAATCAAAATGCACTTTACCCATATATTACATAGCTGTAATTTATAATAATATAATAGTCAACTTGAATAGATCCTACTCTTAGTTCATTCAACAAGGTAATAAAAAACCCAAAAAAAGATTCATTTTTTTTAAACTAGAGTCTAGTGTAACATACTAGAATTTAGTATAACCACCATTTGCATTGATCACAGCTTGACATCTCGCTTCCATCAAACCAATCTGCTCCTCCAAAAACGACTCTGGTACAGCATCCCAAGCCTCTTTCACCACCTTACGTAGCTTATTATAAGCTTAACATCTGTCCGAAGGTAATGTTTTCCAATCCAATCTTTCATCAAATTCCACACCATCTCAATCGGATTCAGATCAGGAGAATTCGCAGGCCAATGAACTAGATAGATCCCACGATCAATAAGCTCCTCAACCGTGTTAGCAGCACGATGAGCAGGGGCATGATCTTGCATATATAGTAATTTTAGCTCTTCTTTATCCTAAGCAAGTTTTATCATACCTTCCACCAGAGGGGGAATCCTCTCACAATAACTCTGACTCGTAATGGTTCCCCATTCCTTCTCCCAAAAAAGACAAGGCCCTTTTTTTTAGCACCGTAGAAACTCCCTCAGAACATCCATCCAGGAGCTCATTGAAGTCTCGTACGCATACAAAAAGGATCCCAAACCTCATCAGGTTTTCGGGTAACCCAAACCCGTCGGTGAAAGACAGACGTAACCCAGGTCTCGTCAGACCATAGGACTCGATTCCACTCCTCTCGTGTCCAACTAACATGTTTGCGAGCAAATTGAAGACGATCTTCTTTCATCTTATCCGTCAAGAAAGGTTTCCGGAGAGCAATACACCTAGAATAACCTCTCTTTTTCATAGAATGACGAAGCGTTTTCCAGCTAACATCAAGCTCAAGATATCGAATAAGCTCTTTCCAAGTCATTCGACGCGCAAGCTCAGGAGAAGTAAGAAACTCTTCAATCATATCAAGCTCAGGAGCAGATAGCTTAGAAATAGCACCTTTCCCTTTACGCGGTGTAGGCCGTGAGTCAATACAGGCATATTGAACCTGCCGAGGACTTAAACCAGTCTCAGCTGAGATTTTAGTATAAGAACGCCCTAGATTTCGTAAAAAATGAGCTAAAACACGCTCCTCTCTAGTGGCTGGCGAGCGAGCTTTTGTGTAACAGGAGGAGGAGGAGGGGTTTCAGGAATCTCAAGTTCAAACTCAAGGGTAGCCATAATAGAGATAGTATGGTATAGTAGTAAGTGGGTAATGGTAGTGGGGATAGTGGGTAAGATTTAAATTAAACCATTGTGTGCCTTGAAATATGGTGTATTACGCTATGCTATATTAGGACTAGTCTCCGTAAGGCGGTAGGAGTAAGTACCACGCTAACAAACCCACAGGGCCATACCATAGTAGTCAACCCCAGTATGGAGTACGCCGTAGTTGGACTTCAGGATTTCTCCGATAAGTCTCTGATTCGTCCATCCTCAGGCCATGCAATATTCTAAAGTAGGAAATGTCAAGGATGACCTTATCGGGCCAATTAGATAGAAGTGTTAGTAACGACAAAGAACAATGTATCAATCCCTTATCATTTCAGTAAACATCTCATTTTGTCTAGCTTCTAAATTTTAAGATCGTACTGTTACCTGTCAACCAGTAAACGGGTATAATTCGGGGAATTGGCGCCTGAAGAATCGTCTAAGCTTGAAGTATGACAAAGTGGAGTATAAAACCAGATGAAAAGTGAATCGTGGGCATATCTATCCCGTTGTAGGCCGTAGCCGTTATCGGGGCGTAATTCAGGACTATGATTATTAGTCTCATCCTGATTGAAACCCGTCTATGGTCTCCATAATTCAACGGTTCCACCAATGAGATTGATAAATATCTACGGTTTTGTTTTTATTGCCGTCACCTCCCGTACCTTTTTTTTCGTTTTTTGTCTCTTTTCGCCTGTAGTTTTTTCCCCCTCTCTTTTTCTTTTCTGGCCCCAGAGATAGAAATGATTTCCACTATCTGCACTTCATACTCAATGGGTCTTGAATCTGGTCCACTTCATATAAACTAATTAACTCAAGGGGCCAGTTTATTCTCTCATCTAATCGCTTGATTGTGTGCACGTGCCCTATTTCCCTCCTAATCTCACTCTTACTCCCCGTTTTGATTCCTCTCCAAACCCGGGATTATGCTCTTATGGCGAGCGTCGACGTCGCCGGAAACTTCGAGCCCCGTAGTGGACGTTCAAAAGTTGACATCAATTTCGCTGAATATACTGCGGTAGCCTGCTTAATCGCTATATCGTGGTACAACTCCCTCGAGTTGATCGTTCTGTGCTTCGCTACTTTTAAGCGATATGGCGGTCTATACTTCTGGTGCCTGCTCATCTCATCTATCAGCATCATCCCCTTCGGACTGGGCTACCTCCTCATCATCTATGATATCTATGATAGCTACTTCTCGGTAGCGATGGAGCTTATTGCCTGGGTTGGCATGGTCACCGGCCAGTCCCTCGTCCTTTGGTCTCGATTACACCTTGTCTGTCAAAGTCGAAGCGTCCTCCACTGGACTCTGGCCATGATCATACTAGATACATTCCTCTTCCACACTACCGGATCAGTTCTCGAGTTAGGCAGCCATTCCGACAAATCTTACCTGTTTGATAGCGGGTTTAACATCTTCGAGCGCATTCAGCTGGTGGGATTCTCTATTCAAGAGACGGTTCTCTCTCTCATATATTCCTGGGAGGCTGTCCGACTGCTCAATCTCCGACCCCGAGGCCATTACCGAAGCACCCTCATCCAGCTATTAGTTGTCAACCTGGGCATGATTTTCATGGATGCCGCCGTGATCGGCGTCCAATACTCGGGCTACTTCGACATCCATGTCACCCTCAAAGCGATGGTCTACAGCGTCAAGCTCAAGCTAGAATATGCGATCCTAGGTAAACTAGTGGTGTTTACCGAAAATGGCGGCGACAGCTCTACGCCCACCGACCTGACAGATTTTGTCGACCTCACCTACCATCCCAGCCAGCAGAATACGGCTGCTGAGAGCGAGGCTCGACTCTGCGATACCCCAAAGTCTAGTCCGGGACTCAGCAGCCCTGGGAGTCCACGGGGGCGCTTATCGAGATATTTTCTCCATCGTCCACATTGGTCAACTGGGTCTAGCGCCCCGAGTGACAGTGCTAAAAAGGAGTCACTGAAATGATGAATGATTGTAGAAAGCTTAATGCCCTTAGTGCCTTGTATATAGATTAATACCCACAAATAGACTCGAACTACGACAAATTATTGTTACATTAGCAAATTCAAGCCATCTGAGCATCAGCCAGGGCCATGAGCACAAAAAACCATTCACATAATTTTTGTGAGACAGCCAAATGTGATTGTTCTCTCTTCCAATGTTTCGTTGTCAGCGTTTGCGCTATACTCTGGAAGCGAATCTGCTCGCAACGCAGCCGAGATTTACAGATTTGCTCCTGGGACTATCTCACCGATTGTGCAACAATGATGTCAGTGAGAGCCCAGCGAAGTGGCACTAGCTCAGAAAGCCTATATACGTTTGATTTACCTCGAGATTGAAAATGGCGAGGATAGTACTCTGTTCCGTACGAATGCTGTGGTTGCAATATCGCCAAGACTACCAAGATTACGAATATCACTTGGAAAAAACGGGTTTCATTCATTATATGTCAAATATATAGACAATTAAGCAGCAGTCAATTCTTGATGATGAAGAGACTCGAGATTTGAAGAACGAGCATCTCCCCCACAGCGGAGCACTAGGTTCAGGACGTGGACCCCCTTTTAAGCCTTAAATTTTTTCTATCAACCAAGGTAAAGTTGATTATTAGTGTTTACTGGTTTGCTGATCGCTTTATTCTGACGACTCTTGTTATGGAGATCCATGTCGTAGCACTGACGTAGACTCAGATACTTATAGTTGATGTTTTCGTACTAACGGGAACAGCTAACTTGTATTGCTCTAGTTTCTATCTAAGCAGATGCACTCGATATTTACACTACACACTACTAACTGAATTCATCATGCATCTTTATGGAGGAAATAATACCTGATTGTTTGGATAGATAGTATTATCAAACTTAGAAAACTGGAAATATAAGGTTATATTAAAAAATGAAAGGGGAGGATACCAGATCCAGCCGTACTACAATAGCTATGACGTCAACACTGTTCAAGGTAGGAACGCCTCCATCTATTCTATCCCTTTCCCTGCCTTTTATTAGTATCTCTTACCTCTCCCTCTCCCTCTCCTCACTTCTCTCCTTGACATTCCAGTGATACCCCCAAATTCCTCCATTTTACTTTATTTGAAACTTTTTGTCGACCTGTGATACCCGAGCCCTTGCTAGTTCGTCTATTGTTTGTCTCCATTGTTTGTATCGCATACCAAGTCACACACTAACTGCGCCCCCAGAATACTCAATCTGTCTCAAGTTCCAACTTTTCATCAGTGACTCTTCCACGCCTTCATCATGGCGCCAAGTGTGAACCGTCCGACGGACAACAAACTCAAGGAGACGGTATTTAATCCAACAACCTATCGCAAAGTTCGCAGCGAGTGCTGAGCCGCAGTGCTGACTGTTCTACTTAATTTCTAGGACATCAATAAAAAACTCCAATTATTTGGAATCTTTCATGGTAAGTCGATTTAACGAAGCCCAATTGTCTAATCTATCTAACATTATCTTCATAGCTTTCAAGAATAGCAAGCTTCCATCGGTTCGTTTTTCTCCTCAGATCTAGCCTGTTTCCCAATACTTACCACTCAACCCCTTTACAGAACCAGCAGTGTGATATTGCTCTGAATAGTGTCTTGAACTCAAAGGCGCTCAACTCGGGCAAGGATCTCTCCTCTGAGGGCAGAATCCTTGTAAAGGATGTGCGCAATGTCATCAACAACGCCAAAAAGCTACTCCTGAGCAAGAACGAGGGTGAGTTACTGCAGGAATTTATCTGGCAAGCACAGCAGATAAGCCCCGATGATTCCAAGCTACCCAATGCACCAATTTCCAAGGAGGCTGGCGCACGGGATGCGAATAAGACTTTGGAAGGCCTCAAGACCCTCGGTACCCTGCTTATCACCAACGGTGAATTCCGAAAGCTTTGTGAGTTTTCATCTATTTGCATAAGTTTGGTCTATTCTAACAAACCCCATATAGTGAGCGATGCCACTATTCTACTGAAGGATATCGCTGCAGATGCTTCCCAAAAGGCTGCCAACCAAGTTCGTCCGTCGGAGGACCAACTCGCCCAAATCGATGTTCCAGCCGAGGAGAACGTGTGGCACGAAAAGCCAAATTTGTCCAAGGAAGACTTAAAGAACCGCATCCAGAAGAAGAAGACGAGCAATGCTGGTTCCATTGGCGGATTCGCCGAAACTGGCGATGCAGACTCTATGGCAACTTCGGACACGAGCCGCACCCGCGATGCCGCCAACAAGGCTAAGGATTATCTTTCTGGGAAAATTCCCAAGGAGCGCCGCGAACAGTCTATCTGGCGTCTGAAGAAGATGATCATTGAAATCCAGGGCCATGCTGATTGTAAGTACCCAGGAGACAATGCTCTGTAAACCTGTTGGCTGACAAATTACTGCAAACAGATCAACAGGCTGTCGAGACCCTGTTGTTCATGGCGGAGAAGTACGCGGGCCATACCAAGAACCTTGGCCAGCAGAGTGGTAGTGCTGTCAAGGACATTCGGAGCACCAGCAGCGTTATGACTGTCGAGTACAATTTGCGCACTCTGATTGAGCGCTTCGCCAACAACACATCCTTGTCCGACTTCTTTGATTCGTTGAACAATATCTACCGCGATGCTGATAAGGACCCTGAGCTACGGGGATGGTTCCAGAACATTGATACTTACATCCGCAAATGTTTGCGTGAGCAGGGATTCATCATGCAAGATGAGGCCAACGAACAGTGGAACGAGCTTTATGATAAGGGCCGTTACCTGCTCCGTGAACGTTATCGCTCGCACACTGATCGCATTGTCGACGAGATCAAGTTTATGGCTGAGCAATTTGACAAGGACCCCCTGAACAAGGGTCTAGCAGACTCCATTCAAAAGCTGTTCAAAGACTTGGGTCAAGATAACCAAGGGAAGATTGTGTTCAAGAAGCATCTGCTTAAGGACATCCGTGACGTCATCATCCCCGGTATCGTTGAAAATGTTCGCTATTTCCCCATTCCGCGTATTGAGGTGTCGGACCCAATGGTGGATGTCGTCGTAGAGAATCTTGTCATTGAGAGTGACAATCTGATGCCCAACGTGGTGGAGTTTGGTAGTGACAACTACTTCCGCTGGGGTCGCAAGAATATCAGCAACCAGCGCAATAACAAGATCATGATCTCCATGTCTGGTATCCAGGCTGACCTCCGTGATGTAAGCTACTACATCAAGAAGAAGGAGGGCTTCCCTGCCATCACAGATACTGGTATCATGGATATCCTCCTCCGTGGAGACGGCCTCAGCGTCAAGATTGCTGCTTCGACTGCCGACAAGAAAGACAAGCAGAAGTTTGTCAAGCTGGAAAAGATTTCTATCAACATTAAGCACATGGATATCAAGCTGAAGCAGTCCAAGTACAAGGTTCTTTTCGCCACTTTCAAGCCCCTGCTTTTCCGCGTGGTTCGCCCAGCTCTCACCAAGGTCATCGAGGCTCAAATTCGAGATGCATTTGAAAAGGCTGACGGGTATGCCGCTGAAATCCACAGCGAGGCTCAGCGTGCCCTGGAGGCTGCCCGTGAAGACCCAGAGAACGCTCCCAGCATCTTCTCACGCTACGCTGACGCCATGCGGGCCCGTGCTCAAGCTAAGGCCAAGCAGGCTGAGAGTCTGATCAAGCGTGACACCAAGGTCCAGACCGTGATGACATTACACGACTCTCTGTTCCCGAGCATCAAGATCCCTGGTGGTATTTCTACCAAGGCCCACGAATACGCTGAGTTGGCCGCCAAGGGCGAGCGCTGGCAATCACCGATCTTCAGCGTTGGTGACGCATCCGAGTCTTCTGATATCCCCTCTACGGGAAACATCACCCGTAAGACTCACACCACTGCTGATGGTAGTATCGCTGGTGGTGCTGGTGGCGTTGATGGTATTGGCCACATCACTACAGCTTCTGGTTCTGCAGCTTTGGCTACAGACAGTCCTGTTGGATATCCGTCTGGCGGCTTTTCCGATGAAGTCGACCAGGCCTTTGTCAAGGGAAAGCCGACTATTGTGAACGATGGACTGAAAACTACCAATGGAGCCACATTTGGCAACAGCCCTACTACCGTCACACAAATCTGAAGGAAATTGGACTCTCCTGAGAGGTGAAAGGACAATCTTCACACTGGTCCAATTATATGGGTCTTTTAATTTAGCTGTTGTAATGACTTTTTGAATCGTCGTGAATTCCCCTTTCTGCAATGGCGCTGTCGTTTGTATTATTATCAGGTTCTATGGTTTTAAACCACTGATTGCGAGTCAGTTTAATATTGAAATTCAAGATGACTTTATCGTGTATATCTGTTCCCAAACCCTCAATATGAGGATGCTGCCATGAACAAACTTAGGTGGTATAAAAAAGTAGCTGATTGATGAAGATTTTGCAGAGTAGGTATAGGTGCAGGTGTTTGTATGGTCAGTTTGGTGTAGCTTACTTACATAGTAAGGAAGTAAATAGATCAAGTTCGTGAATTCATAACTAAGGTAGTATCCCTTTCCCTGGCCTCTGTAGTGCAATTGGAAAATTAAGCTAATCGACACTCAGTCGGACCACTTCTTTGAAAACAGTAATGACAGTTTTCTATCCCCTATCAGGACAAGGTTGACAAAACTGTCCTGGTAGAAGGGATTTTTTTTTTTTGCCGAATTTCTTTTTGAAATATCACTCTTTTCCGCCTTCATATTGCAATTATTTCGAAATTCATTAGACAAATTTGAAAAACGCATCATTTTGTAACGTCCTCCATTGTCCAACATTTTATGAAGTTGTTCATACCCAGCTTCGCGTGAAATGGGATGAGGTCATATATCCCAGTAATCTCTGAAGGTCAAATAAAATAAGTCAGTCAGTCTACAGTTAGTAGCTGGAAGACAAATGTAAACAAGGGAATGAATCCATATTTCTAAAAGCTAATAAAAAAGGACTATTACATCTCCATGTTATCACCTTACCAGCAGGAAGAAGCTGGGGTTAACTCGAGGGCCAAGGCTCAGGGACTGAGTAAATGCTAGCCTTCTAGCCAACTAAAAGTCTGGCAGTGGCTGTTGGAAATCAGGGAATAAAAGTTAGCTGCTCGGGAATGCGTTAACAACGCAGGTAAGATGGTTGAGTAAGAGAGATAAAAGAAAAAAGTTGGGTAGGTGGAAAATGGATAGGCGTGGTGGGTTCACGCTAGTCTGTTTTCGGTCAATGAGTAAATTGGACGAAAGTCACATGGAAAACGGTACCACACGTATGTAGATCATGGACCCACTTAGATAATTGATAAGTGGATCCTAATATCTCTGTTCATCTTTTTTTTTTTTTTTTTTTTTTTTTTGCGAATAGCTTCGAGATCAGACCAAATGAGGACCTAGCACTCAGATCTCAAAATTTTCACCCTAACGAAAATCCGTTCAATATTCTCATAATAGGAATATTCCCTCGAACCGGCATTATAAAAGAGTTCTAAATAATGTAACCACCCGAGTTCGATCGTGGACTGTCACCGACTATAATCGACTCGGGCTTGATACCACTGGAACACGCATCCTCGATGGAAAAAACCGGGAAGCTAGCTGTAACCCAGCATACTAGATATACAGGTTCTGATTAGTCTATCAGTCCAACGGATTCCATAATCCTCGGAGTAATTTTTGCTCTTGAAAAAAGATGAATAGCTTCGTTCTGTTTGCAGATGGTTGTACCTGGTGATTGGTTGAGATAACAGAATCAAATAAGATTCACAAATTTCAGCAAATTTCAGTCACTAGTCGGACATCAGATCTGGGGTTGATCTGAGGATTAGGGTTGAGTACTTATAAAACTTGTATACTTGTATGACAGTTTTGTTTCACCGAGAGCCTGTCTTAAACCCCTGCTAGTGGTTGGCAGAAGTGCGGGCCTTAACAGCTAGATTAAAGTGTGATGGGGTATAGGTGTAGCCAATCTGTCCTGTTCAGATCAATCTATGGTCTAGTGTGTCTGTAATTTGTCAGCCATTGATAGAGCTCCCATTTGGCCAGGGTAGATGGCGGGGTCTTCAGCTTGGTTTGTTGTGACTTGAGATGCAAGATACTTGACTTTCTCAATTCAATGGAACCTCATTCGTACCAATACCTAATTGAAAGTTTATGAAATCCCCGAAAGCCTAACAATCTCACCTGAAGTATATGAGATACCCTAAGCTGCGGCTCTATCACGATGAGCAAATGTGTGAAACTAGAATTGATCGTTTGTTTTTTATAGTAGAGATAATACAGATTCCAAAAATTTTGGAAGTTATAATTATTTTTGGTAAGTACACTTGGGTTTGGGTTATAAGTAGATAGACCTATAGAGTAATGAACGTAGAAGATGAGCCCTTAGGTGGAATCTCCAGCTGGGCAGCGAGCTCATATATCTAGGGACCTGCTACTACCACTACACACTTTACATGAACCACTACAAAAGAAAAAATGCCTGAAACCTAAGGCATTGTAATGGTTCATGTAAAGTGTGTAGTGGTAGTAGCAGGTCCCTATCTCTATTACACCCTACTATTACCCCAAGTCCATTAGATGATTTCACAAACCCTTTTTCCTCCAAGATTTTCTCAACATTCCACAGGGTTTAAATGGCAACAGGGTAGCAAGAATTACGGTCTTTTCAAACATTGATTTGCATTTGTTAACACGGAGTGATGTACCTAACTAAGTATGAACGAAAACGAGTTCATCTCGCCTCACTACGTATCCTAACGGTAAAATATTAAAAAGTACTAAAGTCATTCATTGTCATCTAAAATTTGTAAAAATGCGCCTCCCACTGTATAAATCTTTAACTCAAGGACGGTATTGCCTTTTTTTTTTTGCTTTACATCTGCTCGAAATACTTCTCCCAGCCGAGTTCTTTCAACTTGGTGCCCTTCGTCTCCATGTTTTCAGCACGGGCTTCCTCAGCATAGGCTTCAACCTTGCGCTGGATGGTAGGGTCGAAAGAGCCCAGGATGCGTGCGGCGAGCAGAGCGGCGTTGATGCTGTTGTTGATACCCACGGTTGCAACGGGGACACCACGGGGCATTTGAACAATGCTGTACAAACTGTCCACGCCATCGAGTGAGCTTCCCTTTACGGGGACTCCAATGACGGGGAGAGCGGTGTGAGCGGCTGCCATGCCGGGAAGATGAGCAGCACCTCCAGCTGCGGCGATGATGACCTTGATGCCGCGGGAGGCAGCTTCAGCAGCATACTCGGCCATGTAGTCGGGGGTGCGGTGGGCGGAAGTAATCTCGACAGCAGGCTGAATACCAAAGTAGTTCTCTAGTAGCTTGAGGCCAGGAACCAGAGTCTTGAGGTCACTGTCCGAGCCCATGACGACCGCCACCAAAGGTGCGGGTTTAGACGGTCCGGACTTGGATGCTTGTGTCTTGATGTCGCTGCGCTGGGCGCGCATCTTGTCGACGACGTCGACCAACGGTTGGATGATAGTCTCAGCCTCGTGCATAGTCGCAGCGGTGACTGTAATGTGGCCCATCTTACGGCCAGGTCTGGCATCTCCCTTGCTGTATAGATGGATGCTGGCGTTGGGGATGGACAGAGCCGCCTCGGTGGCCTTCAGGTGGGAGTCGGGAGTAGCACCACCGATGATGTTGAGCATGATGGAGGGCTGGCGGATCTCGAGACTCTTGGCTGGGATGGGAAGATCTAGGATGGCGCGGATATGGCTGTCAAACTGCGACAAGCCACAGCCCTCGATGGTGTAGTGGCCGGAGTTGTGGATGCGACTGGCAATCTCGCACAGCATGAGGCTGTTGTCCTCGAGCAGGAACATCTCGACACCAAAGGCACCCTTGCCCTCGAAGGCGGCAACAGCTTTCCTTGCTAGGGCTTGAGCCTCTTCATTGATTTTGTTGGACACATTCCGGGCCGGTGCGTACACAAGCTTGCATACGGAGTCTTCCTGAACAGTCTCCACGGTGGGGTATGAAAGCACTTCGTCTTTGGTCTTGATAACCATGACAGCGAGCTCCTATTTGCAATTAGGATCTGGAAATTTTGGGCGGAATCAGAGATCGAATAAACTAACCATCTTGAAGTAGGCCCACTTCTCCGCATAGAGTGGGCGGTCCTTGAGAGCCTCCAGTGCCTCGGGAATGTCTGCTTTAGAGTTCACACGGAAGTTTCCTGTAAACAGCATATCAGTACGATATACCGATGCCATCAGTCCTCATATTACCCACCTCGGCCATCGTATGCCATTGTCTTTGACTTCAACATCAGCGGGTAGCCCAACTGCTCACCGACCTGTGCCAATTCCTCTGGTGTATTTTGGACCAATTCCCGGTGGTCGGCCATTGGGATTCCGTATTTGCGAAGGTGCTCCTTCTGGTTGAACTTGTTCTGGATGAGCCGAATAGCCTTCCAGCTGGGCTCGACACGGACTTCAGAGGCAACCTCCTCGAGAGCATAGGTGTCGACGTGCTCTATTTCAGCGGTGATCACGTCACATGTCTTGGCCAATTGGCGTACAGCCTCACGCTCCTTGAAGGAGCCTGTTACATGGCCATCGTGGAAACTGATCTGCTTGGCCGGGGAGTTTTCAGCGTCGAGGACATTGGCTTGGATGTTCATGCGATTGGCGGACTCGACAAGCATGCGGCCCAACTGGCCACCACCAAGAATCCCGACCTTGGGAGAGTTCCACATTTTGATTTGCTGGGTGTAATTGAGATCGAATAGTTAACCGATCGGAAAAAGATAGTCATCGAATGCCCCTCCGTCAAAAATTCGCGATGCACGTGACTTATCGATAAGCTAATCTCCCAGCCAATCATCATTTGATAACATCCACCGTCCAAGCTCCCTCACTTGATCGTCTTCTTCAGCTTGCAGCGCCCGACCATGGCTTTAGGTGAGTATATCTGCGCACCATGAGATATAACCTCAGCTAAACATGATACTGTTAGATGAAGCAGCCCTCCAGGCGGTCGCCAACGGCGGTTCCATCAGCTCGTAAGTTTGGCATGACAAGCGCGTGAAGCACGCGATGCTAATGCTTTTCGCTAGAGAAACATGGTCTGCAACGGTCGCATCGCTGTTAGAGAGATTTGAATACGTGAGTCATATCTGTGCGACGTACCAAACAATGTTCCTAACCAGTTACCCCTCACAGATTGTCTACAATGAATTCCCCATGCCCACAGCCCCTCCCGTGTCCCGACGTCAACAACAGTATCCCCAACCGGTCACGTCTAACAATACAGCTCTACCGGAAAGTAGCAACAAGGAGAATGATGTCCCAGGACGCCCTCGCACTCCACCACCGACTAGCAGTTTCTCATCTACCGAGCATGTTCCGGATTCCCAGCCACAGACCAGCGACTCGCTCCCTCCTGCTCTTGCGCAGCTTATTACCTCTACCCGCGCTTCAATCCAAAATTATTTTGCCAACAAACCCCCACACACTATTCAGAGACTTGCAGAACTTATTCTTTATCCAAAGCGTCTTTACAAAACACTGCCCGCTTATTTGCGCGCTGTAGATCGCGTCGTCTCAGTGACCAGTCCTGCGGACATATTCCCTTTCCCCACCGCACCGAGTGCCGGTTCCCAGGCAAATGGTGTTTTGGCAACTGGAGTGCATACTTCAACAGAGTACACTACTGGCCTAGGCAGTGATGAGTCTCTGGGTGGTGCCCTTCTCACTCCAATACCTTGGTTGACCAGTTCTTCGTTTGAAGGAGAGCCGGCCACCGCCATTTTAGATCCGGGTATGATCAGATCAATCTCCAATTTCCACTGTACCTATTTTTAACAATGTCAACATTTTGCAGAGGAACTTGGAGCCATTAATTCAAGTGCTTCTAGTGCGACTCTCACCGAGGGCGAAGATGCCGCTGCAGGCGGCTTGCCCTCGAATGAATTGCCAGAAGAGGAAGTCCCACATGCGCGAGGACCGTCGGTGTTGGGTGTTGAAGATATGGGATTGCAGAATGGAAAGGGTGTTGAGCTCAGCCTGGGCGAACAGGCCCAGCACGCAGAAAACGCTACTAATGATCAATCTGCTGCGGCATCTTCTGGAGAAGCCCCCGCTACTACTGACACTGATGGCGATATCGTTCTCAGCGATACTATTTCTAAGACAGATGATACTGCAGTACCCCAGGAGGGCGAGAAGTCTGGAGCTGATGTCAAGGAAACTTCAACATGAGGAAAACTCCAAAGAATTTAACCGTGCAGGTTGTGTGTTCTAGTCTATATTGGCCGTTTAACTTTTATGAATGTATGACCTATGAAGCTATTGATACGTTGCACACCAAAAGTACACTCGACCTCCATGAAACCAAGGCATATCTATTCCAACCCTGGAGGTTGTACTAAAACTGGAATAAAGCTGAGACCCTTGATCTTGCTCCTGGACCGAGTAGAGACCTCAAGCGCATTGGACAGCTTTCATGCGACGCCACTCAGATATGACAAAGGTTGATGCTTGGTTAGGTGAAAAGCCTGTCTTATGAGCGGTCAGGGCTAGTATTCAAGTACCCTCCTTCTCTCTTTCACTTTCGCTTCGATCTCATTCTCACTTCACTCTTCTTTTTCCTAAGCGCACGTGATATTTATTCACTGACTCCATATCTCTCCTACGACGTACATGAACCACTCTTCTTCTCTATCAATTCTTCCTCGCATATCTATCCACTCATCTGGGAAGTACAGTCCCACTTCTTTGGTATAGTAAATAAACCATCAAATACGAGCCATGTTTCCCGAGTGTTGATGTGTCAATCGCGGGACGTGCATTCAGGCTTATGCCGTACCAAAGGGACCGGTATAAGACAGTTGAGAGTACGACTATGAGCGCACCACACATAGTCGACAATGATATCGCGATACGGTGCTACGAATGACGATGGTACATGCGTCTTGCGCTCTGTCTTGGTCCAATGGATTGGAAATCACGAAATCTAACAGCTGTGGTGATTGGCCACCTGCGCTAAAGGTGATATCCCTATGGATGGGCTGGTCCCTGCTGGAACAGGAAAGGGCTGAGGACCATGAAATTCAGCCGATCGAGTCCGATACTCCTATCAGGTGGAACCTTCAATTAACACAGCCTCGAAAATTCACCTCATTCGATATCTAAATGTTGATGAGTATGATTTCGACGTGCGTTGATTTCCAAATTTCTTCGTCCTCAAAAATCAATAATCTAGCGGAGCAGAATATGCCCATAGGTGAACAGCCTAAGCTTGAAATGCTCGGTCGAGACAAGCTCGTGAAAGCCGTCATCTGTGAATACTATTGCTCGCACTAACCTAAACATCATGTGCCGGGAGAAAGAGTTCATCAAATCAGGATTATGATAAGACAATAAGTGCCAACAGAGAAGCTGAACCCGCACTGGGCAACATCTTTGTTACTCGATGTCTTTCTTCTAATATTGTTTTTGAATAATGGTTAGTGTTTCTCCAGAGACTTGCCATTACTAGAAGTATATCACCCGCTCCCTGTTTGCGGAAACCAGTGGTCTATTCAAGGCAGCCTGCCACCATCATCTATCCACCAGTTCACTAGCATTCCGTGATGAATTCTTCCGAAATATATCACGATGATGGATGTAGATGAAGCCTATTATTGCGTTGATCATAATGACTGAGTCGCAGCTAGATTCAAAGAGACCGACCGTTTGAACGTGATTCAATTGAGGTTCCAGGGTTAATTTAGGAGTGGTTTTACCTGGTTTTCCGTTCCGTTTGCCATATTGCTCTAAGTATCATACTCTGTGGATAGAGCTCATGGCGAGGAATCCTTGGTCCAAGGGATCGGAATGGGAGTCGCCATACATAAGGATAGGTCTCTATGGATTGAACCTTGATATTGATGAATTTCACTACGAGTTATGTCAAATTAAAGTAGTGTGCAAGGTTAATAAGGTCCCATGTTTTGATTCATAACGGAATTGGGGGTTTCCGATCTACGGTTGCACTGAATGATACGACATACTCTCTCCGGAAGTCCTCACGGGTTATCCGTAAGCCCTACCTGATAAAGCTGTGAAAAAGACCAAATTTATATTTACTTGATAAGCTATTCTCAAATCATAGTCCCCAGTTGATATTAATCAAGAATTGATTGGTTGTACATACGCATATGCAACAAGGTATCGAACGCCATAAGAAACCGAAAAAGGACTCTAGACAGATGCTAGCGTCTATAAAAGCAATATTCTTTAAACATTAATCATGAAACAGGTCATACAGGCTCCACAGTTTGCAGTGGCACATATCCTTCGTCTTCACGAACGACATTAGCTTTGCCGGTAGCCATGCGCCAAAGCGACGAGACAGTATTGGTAACGAAGCGACGAAGAGAGCGCGGTTGAGAGTTAGATATGATAGTAGCTGGCATCCACCAGCTTTTCTTGCGAGTATGACGGCCACGACCATCAACAGAGATATAACCTGAGCTGACTTCCTTTTCGAGGCGGTCGATGTCCATCCATGATGGACGGCGCCAAAGCTTTAAAAGTAAACTGCTGACAACGACTGAGATACTGGAGGCAGCCATGGCAGCTCCTGCTGCCATTGGGGGCAGCATGAAACCAGTAAAAGGGAGGAAGATGCCCATGGCGAAAGGAAGGCCGATAATGTTGTACAAGCAAGCCCATACTAGATTCAGCTTGATGCGGGTAAAGACGGTCCGGGACAGGGCAAGACTGGCAGGTACAGAGAGAAGGTCGTCAGGTCGCATTAGGACGATGTCAGCGGCTTCCATTGCGACATCGGTGCCTGAAGCCAGAGCAATTCCAACCGATGCCGTCGCTAGAGCTGGAGAGTCATTGATACCGTCACCGACCATAGCAATATTATCTCCCTTTGTTTGAAGGTCTGAAATGATGGTGCGTTTGTCAGATGGTGATGCAGATGCGTAGACCGACGAGACTGGAATACCGACTGCCGATGCAATCGCAATCGCAGTAGAGGCTGTATCACCCGTCACCATTGAGGTTGCGATGCCCATACGGTGCAAAGCTGCAATCGCTGCAACGGCTGTGTCCTTGACGGTATCCCGGAGGGATATTGTGCCTGCGTAATGGTTGTCGATTGCTACATGGATCCGCGTAATTCCGGAGATCGTGTTGGTAGGTTTAGCTGTAGGCGTATCGGAGGCCTCGTCAGATTCAGTTGATTGGGGATCTGCCGATGGAGGTACAGTGACGTCGCTTGATCGGAGGAAATTTGCGTTTCCAAGCAGAACTCGATAGCGGATGCGCTCGACGCTGGACGTGGGCTCAACAACAGCGGAGATACCCTTGCCTACAACTGCATCAAAATCGCCAATACTACCAGGTAGCCCATCTTCTCCTGGGTTACCGGATTCAGACTTCGCTTCCGAGAGAATTGCCCGGCCAATCGGGTGTTCACTGCCCATCTCTGCGAGACCAACAATCAACCACCACAGTTGGCGCCGCCACTGATTTGCCGTCCAGGAAGGTTCAATTCGAGCCTGTGACACGCTCATTTTACCAGTGGTCAATGTGCCAGTCTTATCAAACACGACATGATTGATTTTAGTAGCCGCCTCGAGAACAGCACCACCTTTAACCAAAATACCGTTCTCTGCGCCGACTCCAGTGCCCACCATGACTGCGGTTGGGGTACTCAGACCCAAGGCACATGGACAAGCGAAGACAATGACTGAAATGCAAAGTTTCAAACAGATCATGACTTTACCATCTTCCGACTGGAAGACTTTCGGTGGATGAGACAAGACATGACTGAGGAACATCCAACCAAAGAAGGTGATCAATCCAAGACAGATGATAGTCGGGACGAAATAGCCGGCAACGATATCCGCCATGCGCTGAATGGGGGCGCGGCTTGTCTGCGCATCTTGGACTAGCTTGACGATCTGGCTGAGTTGAGTGTCTTTGCCTGCCCGGGTAACTTTGAAATCAATAGAGCTTGTCCCATTGACTGTGCCGGCAACAACAACACTGCCCTTTTTCTTTTGGATCGGCAAAGCCTCTCCAGTGATCATACTTTCATCCACATAACTCTCGCCTCGGATCACGACTCCATCCGCCGAAACTTTGTCACCGGGACGGAGGAGTATGACATCGCCGACTTGGATCAGCTCCGTGGGTATGATCATTTGATTTACGTAAGAGTCTTCTGATAACCCTAGATTGGTACTACCAGACACCCTCTCGGTGTTCCATCCTTCGGCTAGCTTTTCCGCTGCGATGGGGTCTTCGTAGATTGTTGTCATGGAGGGGGTCAAAGACATGAGACGTGATAATGCGGCAGAGGTTTGTCCTTTAGCCCGGTTTTCCAACCATCTACCCAGTGTGATGAACGTGATAAGCATAGTACTAGTATCGAAAACTGTACTCGGGCGGTTGTGACGATCATCCAAAATGGCGATGATCATGGTAAAGCAGCTGTAGAAAAATGCAGCAGATGTACCAAGCATCACAAGCACGTCCATTGTCGGTGATCGATGCTTGAGAGATTTATAGCTGATGACGTAGAATCTTCGGCCAATGCCAAATTGTACAGGAATAGTTAGACTAAAGCAGAGCAAATCACCAAGATAGAGTCCCGGAAACAGTTGAATACCTCCAAAGTCAAAGCTTTTCAAATACATTGGCAGAATCATGTTGATGAAGAACACGGGGACTGCGAAAGAGACGGATATAGTAAACGCACGTCGCCATTCTTGAATCTCTTTTGTTTTGGAGAGAGATTCTAGTTGAGCATTCGTATCATCTGAATCGGCAACAAGAGCATTGTATCCAGATGCCTCAATCACGTCAAACACCGACCGGATGCCAATCACGGAAGAGTCGAAAGTGACGGATAATTGGGAATTTGCCATTGTCATGGTGGCTGCTTTGATTCCTGGTCGCCCTAGCAGATCCTGCTCTAGTGCGGATGAGGATGCACCATCTCGAAGACCATGGATGCTCAGTTTGAGTTGTTGAGATTTTCTTGATAGAGGCTCCTGCAGCTCGGATGATACGATAGATGCATCGAAGCCAGCGTCCTCGATCATGCTGACTAGTTGTTTAGATGGAACAATTGACGAATCGTGTATAATCACTGCACGTTCAGCCAGGAGACTGATATTGAGTTGGAAAACGCCCTCCACGTTAGTAAAGGTAGATTCGACGCTAGAGGTACACGCGCCACAAGTCATGCCTCCAATGGCGACTGTGGTGACCAAGTGTCCTTTTTTGCTCTCAACCACCTCTGGCAACGTGGATAGATCTCCCTGACCAGCAGAGGACATCTTTGTTTCTAGCACCCGCGCTCCAAACCCCCGGTCCTCGATAATTTCAGCGATTTGTTCCGGCGTGATCACCTGCGCGTCATGCTCCACCATCGCGCGTTCAGACAGCAGAGACACATTGACAAGTTTCACGCCGGGGACGTCGATAAGCCCACTCTCAACTGCGGAGGTGCATGCGCCACAGGTCATGCCTTCGATCGCGAGGGTGGTCGTTGACGTTCGGACGGAAGAATCGGTGGTATCTGCATCGGTGTTCGGTGTCTGCTCCTCGGTTGATAGTACTGTCGCATCAAATCCACAGTCCTCAATCATCTCCGCAACTTTCGCGGGAGCCAGTATGGACGGATCGTGCTGTACAGCAGCTCGGCCCATCATCAGGCTCACAGAAACGTCACCCGTGCCATCGATGCCCTTGAACGCGCCCTCTACTGCAGAGGTACAAGTGCCGCAGGTCATCCCGTCGACCTTGACCATGGTCGTGACCATTGAAGGGACCGCATTGCCCGGGCCACGCGGTTCTACGGACATGTCGACAAGCGATATTTTGAGAGGTGAATAAACGGGATATTATCGCATGGAGGCGTTTGGATAGATGAAGAGAGAAGAGAGAAGAGAGAAAGGAGATTTTGAGCGCAGTGGGCGGGTGCGTGGAAGAGGGAAAGATGACGAATGTGCACGGATCGAAGTGCTGGAAAAAGCGGCTGGAATACGAAGATGCTATTTGATAGTACTATGCAATACTCAGGCCACGTTACTGCAGCTAGAATGACAAGGAAAGAAGACACGATGGTCAAAGTCCGAAGAAGAAAAGAAAATGGAGGTGTCTTTGATTACGAAGGCAGATCGTATCCGCGCCACGCCGAAGAATGCCTTCCCAACGTGAGATTGAATACGACCATCTCGATCAAGGCTGATTCTTGAATAATCTTGAAATTACTCAGAACTAGATAAGCATCAAACAAATACAATTGTAACAAGCAATTTTACCCGGGAAAAGGGGAGTCTGATGCACGGGACTCCAAGGCTCAGGGCTCATCCTTGAAGCTTCCAAGGTTGCTAAATATAACTGACTAGAGTAATACATGAAGAAGTACGAATGAATATTGATAGAGTATTGTGCCTAGTTAAGAAGGATTCAAATGACTCCATAACTATGATCAATCTCTGATTGATAAGAAATCCATGTTTATCCACTTTTAAGCCACGGAAATGTTTGCTTCTCATGCAAACCAGCTCCTCTCAACTTCACAAAGTCCCCACTTGAATCCAAGTCCTCCAAATTCAAGAGAGTCAAGAGAGTTGATAGTATAATCAATCTCTTTCTCTTATTTTTCTCTCCAGCCTCCATTTTATTCCTCTTCTCAATACCTTATGGACCAAACACATGCTCGAGCCCTGGAGGCTCTCCAACCCTTCATCCACCTGGTCAATTCTAGCAGCGCGACATCTCCCCGCTTTATCGCCAATTTGATCACAAATGCCACCTCCAGCCCACACACCTATTTCTTCGCTGAGCTGCTCGAGACCCCAGCTGTTCAGTCGCTACGGTCTCCCGAAACACCGGTTGAGTACCAGGGCTATTTGAAGCTACTTGAGATCTTCGCATGGGGAACATGGCAGGAATACCATGGTATGATCGAACCGATACAAAAAACAATGAACAAAATCAACTAAATATTTTCAGCAACCCCCAACCTGCCAACTTTGAGCTCTAAACAAAGCCTAAAACTCCGCCTTCTCTCCCTCATCTCTCTCGCTGTGACTACAAAGCCACTCACCTACCCTCTCTTGATCAACGCCCTCTCCCTTTCTTCCACTACCGAATTGGAATCTCTCGTAACGACTGCCATCTATGCCTCTCTCATCTCTGCCCGCCTCTCCCCCGCTACTACCCCTCCACTTGTCAACGTCATGGCTGTTGCACCCCTGCGCGACGTACAGATCCAGTCTCTGCCTAAAATTATCTCAACCATGGCAGAGTGGGAAGCCCGATGTTCAGAGGCGGTGTCGGATCTGGAAGCGGAAATTGCTCGCGTTAAAACCCATGCATTGGACCGACGTGTCAAGGAGGAACAGCACCAAAGTTTGATGGACAAGGCTATAAAGAAGCGTCAGGAGCGTGCAGAGGAAAAGGGAGGCATTGGAAGGGGGAAAGGTATGTTTGGACGTCCAGGACGGCTTCCGTTTGGAGCGGGAAGCAATAAGCGGGATGCTGCCGATATCGAGCGAGATGATGGCTTCTGGGACTCTGCTGATGGTGCGGACCCAGGATCACGTATGGATATTGACGAAGGCGCTGGCTCGTCAAGAGCTGGATGGAATCGGAATTCCAAGCGCATACTGGGCCGCAAGCCTTGAAAATAAGATTCCCCTGCTATGCTGATTATGCCTTACGATTACATGGCTTAATTGAATAGCTAAATGAAGAGAACCAAATCATTCAATTTCCTTGATCACGCCAACTAGTTGGAGCGCAGTAAATTGGTGTTCGTTAAGGCCCACAACTCATTGAGATAATAGATACAAAAAGTCACTGATGTGAAGGGGTATTGGTAGCAAAGACGAGATGTCGACAAAGGGCAAGTATGGCAAATATGGACAGGGCAAGGGAAATTGGTGTGACCGCCAAATAGACGGATGGAAGGGTTGAGAAAAGGACATTGCACAGGGCAAAGTAGCCCAGGAAATCATGGACTGCCCTGCCTGATTGCACAAAAAATATCCCAAAATATTAAAGCTTCGCAGAAGCAGACCATAAAAAACATCGGAAGCCAGACGCCGAGCTGAAAGCATAACTGGTCTTAAGAATAAAAAGGATAATCCAGCGAGGCCCACGCGGTACCACGGATCTCAATCGACAAGAACCGGGAAATAATAAAAAAATGTGTGTTGGGCAGTTGTCAGATCTTGGGGGGAGGGGAGAAATCGAACGGAAAATCAGACAGTCGGCTTACAGCATGGTGCCAGGGACGAAGATGAACAAAATGCTCAGTGCCAAAGCTGTGAGGAAGGCGACTGCCCAAGTAACGATGGCTCGTTTGTTCAAAAGTTTGCGAACATACGGTTCACGAATTGGCGCCCAACTCATAAAAGTATACTCGCTGTAACCAAGGAATGCCATTGCGGGGTCGATCTTGTACTGGTATGAGACGAGAAAATAGGATGCAACGGCGAATGGGAGGATCACCTAGAGTGACATTAGTAAAGTTGAGACAGTGATATTTTTTATCGACCTACCCAGCAGCGAATGTGCCGGGGCTTGTTACGCAGAACAACGTAAAAGGCTCCCCAGAATCCTCCGCCAAAGCTGATCAAAGCAAAGGCCAGACGTGCGATAATGCTAAGGGGCACGAGATTACCCAGGGCCTTAGCCTGCAAGAAACCGGGAAATGCATCACGCTCCATGGCCTGGAAAACATAGTCCTTGGCAGGATCAAACACCTCAGGGTCATCACGTCCATCATCCTCGATCAAATTAATGATAGTCGAGACCATGATATCGGGCAAAATGATCTCACGCTCCGAGCCAGGAAGCAGATAGGTGTAGAGAATCTTCTCGGCACTAGCCCGAATATCATTTCGATCCACTTGGTTTCCATGAGAGTCACGATGTCCAGTAGCAGAACTGGAGCGTGGCTCCATGGAAGGGGTGTTGCTGTAGGCGGATCGAGATCCAAGACTGTTCTGGGGCGAGTGAGACGTAGGATGACCCTCAGCACGCAGGAAAGCAGAGAGACGTTGATCGGCATCGCGGAACTTTTCATTGTTGCCACCCAGACGAGAAGGCCCAGCCTCCATCAGCGGGATATCATTCATATTCTCCAAGCTATCAAGCATAGCAGATGAACCTTTACTTTCGGTTCTCTCGATGTCTGGAGTTGCAACGAGGACGGAACGGCGAAGCTCTCGGACATAGTGACGACAAAGTGACATGTGCTGAGAGACATCGAGCCTGTAGTATATATTAGGATTATTTGTTGACAGAAAGAAAGAGATGTTGTTTTGGAATTTACCAAAAGTCAAGGTAGTCGACCGAGCGTTGCTGGTCGCGCATGTAGATGTAGAATGAGAATAGATCGACGGGGGCCAAAGTGCGACGGCTGAGCACTTCAAACAGGGTCGGCAACCGATTGCGGTGCTCCAGCTCCGAGAAACTCGGAGATGCCATATTGGCAGTGTTGTGTGTTTTGTTTGAGCACCAGTTGAAAAAGGAAGAGGGGCACAAAAGGGGGAGGGAGCGTGTCGTGTCGTGTCGTGTCAAGCTAGATTAGGTTGATTTCAATGACCGTTTGGGTAGTAGTTTTCAGTTTCAAGTGTGGAATATTAGGTCGATGAACAAATAAGCATAAAGGTAGAAAAAAATAAAGAGGTTGGGAGAAAGGTGTTAGGTTGCAGAGTACGGGGGTACGCAGGTACAGGTCTGGAACCGCGGCAACGTCAGAAGATCAACGTCAATGCAGCTGTGCCTAGCAAAAACTAAGACACGAGCACATCAAGTGGGGGCGTGATTGAAACGAATGAGGCCAGGCTGAAGGCAAGGGATGAATTAAGAACTTTCAAGACTTGAGTTCTTTGTCTTGAAACAATACCGGGCTGGAATAACAATATCCCGGTCCCACTTATTTAAATTAAGCTCGAAAGTGAATGAACTATATCATCATGTGATCGAAATCTTAAACATCAACATTAACGTCATCTCCACACCCTTTTGTCACAGGTGACAGATGACAGATGTGATGTATAGATGAGCTTTGAGCTTTGAGCTTTGAGCACAGAAGGATTAACCTCAACATTGTGGTTTGATATCTAAATTGCTGTTTTCAACCCACTTTTCCAGTTATATATTAGGGCTTCAGATCAAGCTCGTAACTTTCTCTCCTCATGTAAAATGAAGAGCTCCCGCCCCAAATGACTCGCCCGTCTCACAAGACTTTTAATGGCTGCCCTGGATGACCCGAGCCACTTGCGATAGGTTCTTCTTTTTAAAATGTAGCCTAGAACTTTCTGTCACCGTTATCATTTGGTGGACCTATGACTTAAAACCGAATCAGATCTTTAACTATCGAGGTGTTCATAGACCCCGCGGGCTGTCGAACCTTTAAGCTCTATGTCCAGTCAGCCCTCCGACCATTTTCACCTCCGAAAGTTTGGCTCCCCTTTTTCTTGTGTCTGGTTGCTGAGGAGGGCCGCCATGCACCGTACATGTTTCTCGTCTTACTTTTAAGCGTCGAGTCAGTGCCAGGCATACTTCATACTAATTACCTCGGTCTTATGAAATAGATCATGAGCTAGTATCGAATATCAAGTGGTTGTCAAAGAAGTGATTGATTCCTTCTCGCTCAAATAAGATAAAACATACAGGGTATTCCATGAATTTCCTTAACGCCAAAAAAAGGAAAAAAAGAAAAAAAATTAGATCCAGATCCGCTTCACAAAATATGCTTAATGATTCTCTGCGTAATGCTAGAGGAATAGTTAGTAAAATAAAACAATACCGAGGGATGATTTTGGAAGGGTGAGATTTGAAGCCCAAGGAGTAATAGGAACATTAAATCGGCCGGTGTCTTTGATGTATGGTTGAAGTAACTCACCGACCACTCCGGTATGTTCCGGATCTGTTGAAACATATACTTCTCGACTTTGTTTGCACACTTCGCGTATGCAGTAGTCTCGTTGTTGTATCGGCGGCAATTGTCGAAGACCAATGAAGCATCCCTGATAAATTCTTGCGGTGTCGGATACATGTCGTTTTCATGCTTCTCCTCCATTGTGGAAAAGTCCATAGGTTCCATGATCACCTCATAATAGTCGGGAACCTCGTCGCGGTTGACGGGTTGCGTGAAAGGCCAAGCTGAAGTGTGATTCTGCATTTCGTTCAGAAGATGAAGCAGTTGATTATAGTTAGGTCCATGGCGTGGCTGACGAGCCATTTCGTCCATATCGGGCGACCATCCAGATTCCTGGATGACAGGAATGGAAAGAGGATCAATCTTGCGCACTCCATTCTTCCACTCCTTAGGAGGCTGATGAATAACATGGGACAGACTGAATGCGCGAATCTTCGCCTGCACAGCCTCCTTTTGCTTGACAAGCATTCGACCGACTTCGAGGTACCGAATCTTAGGAATCATAGTGCACTGCATGATGGTGCCACCCTCGTAATCCTTGATATAACCCATCCAAATGGTCTTATCCAACGTAATTTCCTTGGTGAAACCCTGCTTCTTAAAATATCCGATAGCGTAGTTATCGGCATATGTGAGGAAATGCATGATGGGGGATGTGGATTTAACGTAATCCTGTATTATATTAGAATGAAGTTAAAGCTGAAGGGACCCAAATTAAGGCATACCTTAAGGTGGGACATCAGGTGAGCACCATATCCCTTGACTTGTTGATCCGATGAAATTGCACAGAACACAATCTCCGCAAACTTACGATCATTGAAAGGTCGGTAGGTGATCCCTCCGACAACCTCCAGTGGATGTTTGATAATAGCAATGGATAAGTGCGCTCGGTCATAAACCAGTCGAGCGATGTAGTCCTTGGGCATCTTGGGAAGTTGCTTCTGGAATAGACATTTCAGACCAGTAAGAATGACAAAGCTGTCGTGTTCATCGTCATTGTTGACTACTCGGAATTCAATTTCGCCCTGACGCTCTTCGATCACGGCAGGCTTGAGGGAAGAGATTGTTAGCAATCTTGAAACTTTTTGGCAGCAGCGAAGTTGCGCACCTTTTCGGGGAAAGGAACAATGCGTAGTTCGGGTTTGATAGGCGGGCCATCTTCCTCCTCGTCCTAAAGTCAAACCGTTAGAAGATTGCTATGCAAGAGGAAGCAGTAACAGACCATTTTCGTCTTATCCGGGGACTGAGTTCGGGCTTTCTTGTTAGAAAGTTGAGAATGCGGGGAAGCTGCCTCGGAGGAGGCCTTCCTCTCTGTGGATTATTAGTAGCTTTTCACATGTAGTGGGGGAAGACTTGACATACTTCTAGGTTCATCAGGCTCCATGGTTGAATTGAAATATATTGAGAGGCCAAGAGGGTTAAAGGCTGCAAGGCAACCTAGGTATATGACTTCCAGCCCTGGTTGATGGATTAGGATCAGTATCGAAGTCATCGGAATATTATTTATCCGAGTCGATCTGTCCACAAGTGGACCTACTACATAGCTTCACTCAGCAACTTCCTTTCTCTGTGGACACCTTCACATTTGGTTCCATTAACCTGTTCGACTCACCTTCTACTCATGTCGTTGAACCAAGTCTGGGAGGCAGCCTCCGCATCCCCTTTCCAACCTCTCATCTCTAAGGATAGCCAATTCCCAATCGGCTTTACTCTCCTTCTCGCTGGTTCGTATTTATACATCTTCTTCTGCCAGTAAATCATCAATTGACTTATTTCAATGCAGCCATTATCCTTTCAGGGTTGTTTGGACTCAGTAAGCCTAGATTTTAAACGATTCTATGTCAATCACCGTTCCTCACACGTATTACAGCAGGTCGATCTTTCTTGAGTCTGGCTTCGCTAGGTGTCCCAGCATCACTTTTATTCGGGTAGGCATATGAGTTCTGCTATCAATCTACCTACTAATGTTGTGTCTAGTTTCGGATCTGTGCTCATGATCTGCGCTGTCGGAGTTTACGTTTAAATCGAGATACCCTCACTCTGTTCTTTCTATGTACCTACCATAAGCGTTGAATTCATCGGGGCCCTGTACTACTAAAAGCTCCAAAAACAATCACGAATTCGTGACTCCTTATTCCTGATCTTCTTCAACCTCACAATGGAGCCACTATTTACCGGCGTCTCAAGCAACGCCCACCATCTCTATACCCTCCTTTCCTGTATCGGCTTCGCCTCGAAGGCCACTGTCCAAATCACCCCCGATGGCCTTCGGTTCTCTGTGGAAGAAGCCCGCGTCATTCAAGGACTGGCTTTCCTCGACAGAGCTCTCTTCACAAGCTACACCTTCACTCAAGAGCCGCAGGAGAATAACGAATCCTCCGATGAAGTTACTTATCCATGCTTTGTCGTTTCCCTCACAGTACTCCTCGAAACCCTCAAAATCTTCGGTATCAACGACCTCGCAGAGCCCAATGGGACTCGAGATACTAGCCTCCCTCAAACAAACCCTGCTTCCAGCGCATTCAGCGCACCAGCATTGCTCATGGACCGGTCTTGCACTCTCCAATACGCGCAGCACGGTGCTCCCCTCAGCATCGCCATCACCGAAGCCGGCGTAAAGACAACTTGTGAACTGGTAACCTACGAGCCCGAAGACGACCAGAGCGATATCCCACTACAACGTGACGCCATAATCATGAAGATTATCATGCGCTCTGCATGGCTACACAATGCAATCGCCGAACTCGACTCTTCCAACCCGACTATCCTCAAACTGTCTGCATGTGCCACACGAGAACCGTACTTTGCCCTCTCTGGCGCTGGTGGTCCCTTCAGCGAATCTACTGTGGAATTCTCGGTCGACCAGCATGCAGAAGGTGGTAACGAACAGGCCTCTCAGATGCACAAGGTCCTCACAGAGGATGGAACTTCACGACCTCGTGCGACCAGGACAAAGTTGGCTCCAACCGTCACTGAGACATTTCTCGTTTCGCCGCCGTCTGCAATGGGCGAGAGAATCAGGGAAAGCTACCGCTTCGGCCTCATTCGCAAATCTGCGCGTGCCATGTCTGTTGCCAATAAAGTGAGTATTCGTGGTGATCGGCAGGGTGTGCTTAGTTTGCAATTTATGATCGAGCTTGACGATAATAACCCTACTGGAAGGCCTGTTGGTGCCGGTGTCAAGGCTGCAGTGGGCCCGGTTTGCTTTGTTGATTTTCGGTTTGTGCCGCTCTTGGACGAAGAGGAAGCTGAGATGCAACTGCAGGCAGCAGTAGATCGGAAGTAACTGAGCTGAAGTCTTGAGTATTTATCTACATTATCAAAGAAAATAGTATTACGATAGTTTTCTACAAATATAGCCGTCTGTCAACGTGTAAACATGGGTATGATAGAACCCAGGGGCATTGGCCATCTGCACGCTTTAAGAGACAAAGTAAAAATGAACTTCGGACATATACACGGAACATGAACATGAACATGAGAACCTAGCGATCTGGGGGGGGATAGGAATGTTACATAACCTAGAAAGTGTCAGTATATAAAGTAATTTAACATGATCGTCAGAACATACCTCAGCAATAGACTGTCTCTCGATGATAGACTTTTGCTTCTCATTCCGGGAGACGCGGTAATAGTAGTCACTGAAATCTCCACATTGCATAGAGCGCAGGAAGTCCTCGTCGTGAGTGATAACAATGAGTTGGAAATTTGACTGCTGTTGACGGGTCCGGATAATCTCGTGCAGCGACTCGGCCAGGGAGCGGATGTTATCACGATCCAGGTTGGTGGTGGGTTCATCAAGAGCGATCAGACCACAGTTGACTCCAAAGCACTCAGCCAAAGCAAGGCGGATGATGATACTGGCCAGGACCTTCTGGCCAGCACTGCAACGACCTCGCATGTCCATTTCTGCACCTGACTTCACCATGCACACGCGGTAATTATATGACCTGTTTCCTTTCGAGTTTTCATTATCAGAGCGGATGAGAATCGTGTCGACGTCGGTCCCGCGGTAGGTCTTTTGCCAAAGCTCGCCGACGATGGCATTGATTTCTTCCATCTTCAAGCTATGATACGACATGATCGCCTTGTCAAGCGCGCCTCCATACCGAGCGAGATCATCAGAGGCGGCCTTGGTGGTTTCGACCTTAATGTGTGATTCCTTGTATTTGAAAGCGGCGTCCTTATAGTCCGTATTCCAGTCTGCCAGAAGTTGCATGAGCTGATCGTCCTTGGATTTCATTTCGCCCATCTTGCTAGCCTGTTTGGCAGCGAGGGCACTATGTTCACGGGTCCAACGCTCTGACTCTTGCTTAAAGCGGCTGCGGTCAACATCGGCGTTTTGGTCTTCCAGTTGCTGGACTTCCTTCATGACCTTATCTAGAGATCGTGAACCTTGGCGATAAGTCAGATTATCAGAGTACTGTCGTTTAGTGTTCTCGCTGTCCTGAAGCTGTGCTGAAATCTTGTTTATATTCCGCGTAATCTCGCCTTGCTCGGACTCAAGATTGCTAATTTCGTTCTCAATTTGAGATAGCTCCTCCTTGCTCCGTTCAAGTTGGCTGGGGCCTCCTCGTTCATTATAGGAGTTAATCTCCTCATTGGCAAGATCAAGTTGATAGACGCTATCAGAGAGGCGATTGATTCCATGTTGCAGATCTCGTTCTCGTGCATCAGCTCGTTGAGTGATATCATCATAGTTTGCTTGAGCCTGTTGTAATTCCGGGACCAGGGCTTCCATGTCGTTTTCCGCCTTTTTGATCGCCTCGCGTTGCTCAATGTTGAGTTTTTTGAATTCCTCCACGCGGACTATCAGATCGGCCTTTTTCTCGAGTTGGAACTTGGCATTGTCGAGTTTGCTCCTTACATCTCTGAGTTGAAGTTCAAGCTTGTTCATCTCTGCCCGAGTCTGATCTCTCTCGTTCGTGAGCTTGCTTAGCGTCTTTTTCAGCTCTCGAGACTTTTCATTGTTGGCGGAGATCTCATCTTGGATGTCTTGCAGAGTACGACTCGCAGAGGCGTCTTGCTGCTTGGAAGAGAGCTCCTGAATTTGAGATGCAATGGATTTGATCTCGGCGTCATATCTCGTGATTGTGTTCACAGTTTTTATCAGAGCTTCAACATCTCGTTTGCTTTCTGATTTCTCACTGACGGCCCGATCATGACTTTCAATTTTGGCTAGAAGCTGATCTCGCTGAGATTCGTAGTCTTCTTCCTCTTTTTTGAGGGACGGAACGTCTGTGCCCGAAAGGCGAACCCATGTATCATAAGCGCCATTTGCTGCGCGCGCAGTCTCATACTCCTGCTCGTATTCTTTCATATCTTCGTCTTCGTCACCCACACCGTTTTTCTTCAGCGTGGCTTCCAGCTTCTTGATGAAATTTTGGAGCTCTGGCTCGTTCTTGAAGCATCGCGAACATGTACGGCACATCTTGGCTCGCTTTGCTGCTTCGAGGCACTTATTGAGGTAGTCGCCCATACCAGCAAATTGGTCAGCATCTTTCCGTGCCATATCAAATCTTCCCTGTCGCTCCGTAAGGATTTCCGGATACTCCGAGGGCTCTGCATCAACGGCCTCGCGAATCTCCTTCATACAGTTTTGAAGCTCCTTCTCTCTCTGGCTCAGAGTTTTCTTAGAATTTCTCAGCTTGAACTCAATTTGCTCCAACTCTCGGCTCACTCCGTCGCGTTCTCGCTCTGCATCAGCAACCTGCTTGGATTCAGCATCGAACGCGAGCTGGAAGTCTCTCTCTAGAGTCTGTGGTTGCCAATCTGGTCCAACAACTTTGGTGAGACGTTCGCCGTGAGCCCCCTTCATGGTTTGAAGGCTGCGTTCCCTATCCTTTGATTCTTTCTTCAAATGATCCAGACGAGCTAGATCACCTGCCTTCTTCGTCGATTCAATCAATTCAGTATTGAGTTTTGAGTTCTCGTCCTCAAGGCGAAAGATCTGATTATTAGCATCTTGAATCTCCTGGTCCCAGGAAGCAGTCTTGGCCCGTTCTTTTGCATTTTCCAGGCCCGAGGTTGTATCTTCGATCTTCGCTTCCAGAGCAGTTTGCACACCCTCGTCAACTTCAATCTCATTGAGCCTCCTTTGGTAGGTCGCTGCCTCTTTGTCATTTAAGACCACCTGCTTCTTTGCCGCATTCTTGCTTTCTTGCAGAGCAGAATTTCGCTGTCCAATCTGACTCAGAATATCTTGAACCTCACGAAGTTCTTTTTGAGCTTCTCGCTTCACGCGATCTATCGTCAGATTCTGCTCCCGGAGTAAACGCCGAATTTTGTGCATAAACTCGTCGATGTCTTCCGGCTCCATATCATCATTGACTCCGCGAATATTGTTTTCCCGCGCAATATCTTTGATCATGTTCTGACGTCGTTGAAGCTGCCGCTCGAAATTGGCCTTGTCGTTCTCATACTTGCCATTCTCGGCCTGCTTCAAGCCTAGGCGGTGTCGAGATTGCTCAATCTGCTCCTTGAGTTCCATATAGCTCTCCTTCTGAGACTCTTCCTGCTGCTGATATTCGATCTGCTTCGTCTCAAATTGCTCCAATGTCGATTCAAGCCATTCATCCGAGTCATCAAGCTCAACCAAATGCCGTTTAAGATTGTCAATGGTGGTCTGGATAGACTTGGCTTCGATTCGTTTTCCTTCCAAAGCACCGAGGATTTGAGCGTAGCTTTCGGATTCTTTCCAAGCCTTGTCAGCCAGTTCCGCAACACGCCGCATCTCTTTCGACATTTGTTGGGTCTCGTCTCGCAGAGCCTCGATTTCTTCTTGAAGTCTGACTGATCGCTTCTCTGCACGATCTGCTTTCTCCTTGTCTTCCTTAGCATGTTGCTCCATGATCTTATATTTTGCAAGTTCTTCATTCTGCTTTTTCCGGAGAAGTTTGATATTGTCAATAGCTTTGGTGTACTTCATAGCTTCGAAGATTTCATCAAATCTCTTTTTAAGAACGGATGGTTCGCTCATCGGCCACAGACTCTCATCCTGGTGGCAGAAGATGACAGAGTCGAGAACTGCTTTGGATACGCCTAGGTACTGCGGCATTATCTGGTCCAGTTCAGCAACCCGAGAGGAAATTGCGGTACGTTCTCCATTCTTCATCATCATCAAGTGTCCTTCCAGCGTCTTTTGTTGCCGGGTAAGTTTTTTGACTGTGAGTTGAAGACTGCGCGTAGCCACCATCTTGGCGCCAGATGTGGCCTTGAAAGAAAGCTTCACTTGAGCCAGCACTTCCTTCTCTCCACATAGCTTCGGGTCATGAATGAAAGCACCTCCTTTACTATTCGGAGGGAGATCGCCAGTCGTGGCATACTTCAGGCATTCAATGATGGTCTAGATTGTGTCAGTCTTCATCCCAAGACTTCTACTGTTCTCAACGACACATACCGTTTTACCAGATCCATTATGGCCGACAATCAATGTGAGAGGAGCATGAAATTGTATGGTTTCGCTACGGGTATTGTCGAAAGAGCGAACTCTTTTAAGTCACAGTACAGTGTCAGTCAAATAATCTGTGCTTAAGGTTGTAGAAGACGTACCCCAGTATCGACAATTTATCGATTTTTGCTGATATCTGCAAGTCAGAAGAATCTAAACATCTAGAAAGGAGCAATTCATACACCTTGAAACTGTTAGTATTGAGCATTTATGGAGGATAAGATCGGGAACCCACATTTTGGAAGACAACCTCTTGCGCGATCCCTCTTACTTCACTGAGCGAAACTTGATATATAATCCCAGTATCAGGTCAAATTCAAGGTCGAGGTTGTCGAGGAGAGTTATGTCAAGTGGAGATACGAGAGCTGGAGCCTGATGCGCAATGGCTCCCCACTTAAATCCGCGAAACCTACTGACGCGTGGTCACATGACCGTGAAGCGTTGTTGAACTGAATGCTGAATAAGCCGACGAAATAAATGGGGGACGAAATAAATGGGGAATTGATAGGGACCTTTCTTACACAACCAAGTTTCCGGCTGCCGTTTTCTCCAATTTCGCTTCTGTCTCGAGTTGATAGAGTGACATGCTGTTATTTTTGGGCGAGTCATTTCGGATTTATCTGTAGTTCAAGCTTTGCCCGCTGACACTGAATCTGCCTCGCTCAATTGACATTGTAGAGCAAAAACTACTGTATTTTTCTTTCTATTTCAGGAGCGGGTTACATAAAGAAGATCGGTGGTGTTGGAACTATTGGAAAAGATGAATAAGCAGGCCGATGGAGCTATTGGGGAATCGAAGTATGTCCGATTCCATCGCGGGAATTTAGAAGACATATCTTACCGCACACTTACACCACGAATCAACGTAGTAGTAATAGTGCATCGAGATCCCTGTAAACTGACAGGTAGAAAGATGCATCCAGATGTCTGATATCTGGATAGCTAGAGTATTCACATCGTCAATCAACTGCATCTCCTCGTGCATCTCCGTTACATAAGGCAGCTAGCTGGGGTATGTGAGATTTGTCTAACGGCCCCTATATGAGGGAGCGAATATTGGAGAAATAATACGGGATATGCGCTGCAAGATGCTTCAATAACAGGGTATAGATGGAAAATTGGAAATGCGTATTCCTATAATTATCCAGTAGAATAGCTTATGGTATGCACTTCTACGGGAACTTCATACATGCTTTATCCCCACTTACCCTAAACAGAGACTCACCCGGTTCTCACATCTATGAAAATTCTAGGATTTCCGTTAGGGTTTGATAATCTTTGCAGAGGTTAGACTCTAGAAATTTGATCGCGGTATAGTTCGAGATTAACTGAAGGACAAATGTCATCCTCATTTGTAAAGTTACGTCATATATAGACCTAAAAATGGTCACGTCGAGGTGACCATTTTTTCCTCAGCTCCTCCTTGCTCATATTTCCTTCTCACTCGTCCCTCAAAATGGATTCATCTTCACCAACCATGTTCCCCTCCACTTTTGCGAATCATCCTCAACTACGCCGATCATCTTGAAAGGTGCCATTCAAAGCCCCATCAGAGCCTCCCGATTTTCAAAAGAAGATCTCTTGTCCAGTGTTTGAAAACAAAAGTGATTTCCTGGAATTCTTGAGCACCACAGTCAAAAAGAGTAAAGGAACTTCTATTTTCTTCTTCAACGACGTTAACCCTATTTGGGGATCCCCCGCGTTTTTCTTTCTCGACCGCCAGAGCTTCAAGGCTCGGTAAGTTAAGAGCCTCTGAAAGCTATAGTTATCAGCCGAATATATTCAATTAGTATTACCTGGGATCCAGTACGTAGGGCTCAACAGCTCAAGATGCTCAATCCAGGCCATGACTCACTTACAGCGTGGTGTTTTCAAACTTTGCGGGGGTGGGATCGCCATGGAAGCTTGATTCCAAGTGAGAGCGACTGTATCTTCTTTAACGTTGGCACCGGTATGTTTATTCAGGCACGTTAAACGGGACTCTACTGATAAATTATAGATATCAAATTCACACAGGGTCCGTATCAGGGTGCCTGTAAATAACCGGACGGATATTTCATTGCTATTGATCTTACCGGAGCTATTCGTAATTGGAGTGGCCAGTCAGAATACATGCCGACCATGACAATTGAGTCTGGATGGAGTGAATCATAACCCGAGCTGCAAAATGATGCAAATGTGCTTCTCGTTGGCGGTAATGGAAATGTCCGAGTGGTATTCCTGGTGGTCCGGAATTTTAGGGCTTCGGGTGTCGCGTGTCGAATTGAAAAATGGATTCTGGATAGGGCCGGTATACCAACAATGGAACAACCCGTTCAAATCGTTTTTCCTGCACCCGACCCCCCTATGACCCAACATTTCACTATGACATTCAAGGACTTTGGGGTGCAAATTTAGCACAGTTTCCGGGCCGACTGGCCACTGATCACCTTGTGTTTGATGTCGCGGAATCATCGCCGGGAATATTTTTGCAACAAAAGGTCTATACCCAGCGATATAGTTTTTTCCCTTTTTATGCCTTCTTTTTTTCGCTTTATGAGTTATACAACAAAATTATATTATTCCATTATTTCCAATCCTGATAACCGTGGAAGCGACTGCAAGTAAAGAGATTCCTGACGTTCTGACATTTCAAAACAATATACCTCGGTATTGTTTAGGAGATCAGAGAGCCCTATTGCGAGATCTTGAGAAGGTAGTTGAGGCCTTTAGCTATGATCTATCTTAGTAAAAGAAATAGTAAGTCGGTCTCGATTTGATAGGACTATGAGGTACCAATAGACTAAAAACCAAATATCAGGAAAAGAGAGCAAAAAGACGCTCGTAGGAAGAGTTCCTCAAACAGCAACACCAATGGGCCGTTCGTGGTGATAACTGTTCCATTGAAATCCCGGGTTTGTACCATTTTGTGGTGGGGGACATGGTTGGCGAAAGTGAATTCATTTTGAGGATTGAAGAAGCAGGAAATATGAACAAGCAGTTGACGAAGGAGCGAGAACGTGTCACCTCGATGTGACCGCTTTTATGTAGAGGCATCGAATGATTCAGTATCTTGCCCGATCTTCTAAACTCAGTACTGCTGCCCGCAAGAAGATGTGAAAAGCTATCGATACGCTCCAGTTCTACAACGACGACTAATTTCTACAACGACGACCAAGTTCTACAACGACGACCAAGTTCTACAACGACGACCAAGTTACCACTAGCGAGGAGTCCAATGATCCCAGAAACCCAATAGCAAAACCAAACTCCCACTTTCCCGCTTTCCTTTAATTCCTGTTCTCTCCGTCGCATCCTCAGTCTCGGGCTTCCTTGTATTATCCGGTGGTGATGAGACGTGCCCGTCTGCCTCGCAGTAAACTGTGTACTTCGTTGTTCCGCATACCCGGCGTCTTCACCACGCTGCGCCCTTGCCCGTTGGCATGTTACAGCTGTAGTCTTCCTAGCCTGGGTATTCGTCCGATTTTTCGGATTCAGACTAAGCGTTTATTTTCCTAAACCACCCCAGAAGACCGGGTTGGATCATGGATTTGGCCACGTAGCGGGGGGCTTGCGAGCGAGAAACCACGGAGTCGTAAAACATGATTTTATCAAGTATGTGTCCGGATCTTAGCCAAAATCCGCCCTGACTCCTCAGATCTGCATATAATGGGCACTGCATGAGGATGTGTCTCGGCGTCTGGGACCTCTCTTCGCAGTAGCACAGGTGCATTCAATATTGTTTTCCTTGTGTGAAACTTGCATCAAAACGGCGTCGCATGTCGTCCACTGTTGAGAAATGGGTCTTAGATCGTTGCGGCGTCATTCCGTACAAATCCAGTCGGAGGTATGTCCCATGAATCGAACTCTACTTGATGTCGCATGTGGCAAATATCTTCATGTTCAGGACATTTTCCCCAAGCCTAAACACCAACAGACCTTCAGCATCAAGTACTCCGGACTTTTCGGGGCCGGTTTGAAACGATTTCCGGCTAGAAGCAAAACTGATGTGCTGATACTTGATTATGATCAATCCCGAATCTATGCTCAGCGAAACATTAACATAGAAAATCTACAGACGCTGCCGTAGTGAGCAAGTCCCTAGTCTTCCGTGAATTTGATTAAGCAATGTAGAATTAATTCGCTCTCAACTCTTCCATTTATCGTTACACGAAGTACTTTATCAAATAAAAACAGAATCCAAACCTCCATGATGGAGCCGTGAGGAAGTAAATAATTATACACTATACCTACTTAGGAAAGGTCGAGGCGGAAGGACCACAGTTTTCCTACAACCGCGCCATTCCGCTGTGATGAAGATGAGATTGAAGCATGTATGGAATTACAATTCTACAGTTAGCATAATTAGTTTCTAGCTCGCCACCACCCCTATTTTAATCTAGAGCTCGGCACGAATAATATTCGCACTCATTTCAGGTTATTCGTATTCGCAGTCGCGACCACTAGCCATTATTCGTATTCGCACTTACAGTTGATGCGAATATTCGCGAATATTCGCAGTTTTCTGCCACCGCCCAGTTATACTAGTATACATTTGTACTAGTTAGTTGAGTATATTTTTATCCTATGATAGTATTTTTTCTCTTACTGTAACAGGTTGAATCCTGGTGAACTATCACGTGGTTGTACCACGTGACCCACCAACCACGATTCCATCCCGAATTGTTTACGTTCTTCAAGGATTTTGTAAACAGCATGTGCCTAGCTAGTTCTGAATCTAAGATTAGCTTTAGCCCTTCACACCTACTAGGTCTTGAGGCTCGTGTTTTAAAAAAACTACAAGTTCCTTAACCTAAATTTTCATCGGTATTTTGATGAAGCACCTATCCAGATTGATCCTACCATGACTAGTCAAAAGGATTGGCTATTTTTATGGTGGAATGCCCATAAAGGTGAATACCCAAGAATGGCAGCAGCTGCAAGAGACTATCTAGCTATTCCAGCAGCAGAAGTATCAGTAGAGAGACTATTTAGTAGTATCAGAGACCTACTTGGTGTTCGCCGACACTCTATGGCAGGAGAGACTATGCGAAAGATTGTGCTCCTTCGCAATGTCTATCAAGTCAAGTATCATGAATCTGATGATCAGTCTAAGTCTTATATATTTAAGAATAGTGAGAAACTACTTGAATGCTAGAAATTGAATATTTCTTAGTTGTGAACCTTAGTATCTGAATATATAACTATATTAAGAAATATATATCTGAGAATAATCAGCTGACAACTTCTAATCCTAATTAGGAATAGTGTATAAAGGTGCGAATATTCGCGAATAAAGGGGTTGTATTCGTATTCGCACTTGTTTTATTCGCGAATATTCGCATATTCGTGCCGAGCTCTATTTTAATCCCACCACCTAAAACCGATAGGTTGGCGTGTAATAGGGATAACAACGAGGATTCATTAGCTTCAACCGTAGCATGTTCGCTCCAAAGGATCACATCCATTAGGGGAAGGTTATCATCTAAAGAATCATATAGTCAGGATGTTTGCTTTTGTTACTTTTCTTTTGTCAGTCTCCTTTGGAATTGATCGATGATAAGTCTCGACAGTACAGAGTATTCTATCAATATATCGTTGATTACTGGCATGAATCAAACTATGTAATTGATCTGTCGCATCCTCCGAGTCTGAACATGAGCACATGTGCACCAGTAGTTGGCTAGGTATTTGGAGGCATTGGAGCATCCACGGATGGTGATGACAACTGAGTCAGTAATACTACTCATAGATTCGGATTCGTCGATGTTTGAATAAGGGGAAATGTCCCTTGCATGATTTATGTCCTGGTACTAGGACTTCCGCTTCGCCTGGTCGATCAATTTCCACATGTACTTGATTGATGTACGTGTAAAATTACAGGGCGGTCTCCAAGGCTGTCTCCAAGGCTGAACACCACTTCAGTACATAGGTAGAGTACGGGAGAAAAACAGACCTGATAGATCACTGAGTGGAATCAAAAATCATACTCTCAGCATTCCAGCCTTGAAAAACTTTCCACAGTTGACTTATCCCTTTATAGGGCCGACGGAGAGGTAATTCCGAGCCATGGAAATAGATTTCCAAGGTTGAATGCTCCCTGACATCATTCTAGTATTTACCTAGATAGGAGTGGTTTTAAGGTTGGATGTTCATTAATAATCCACCTTATAGATTTTGGAGATTCGATCCTTCCAAGGCTTAATACCCTCCAGACCAAACCATGCATAACCCACCAATGTTCATGTACCTAGGTATTCTATGTGCCATATGTCGTGTATCTGCATTCTTCGTACCTAGATTCCTAGATAGCTTCGATCAACGCGTGCCTAGGTGGAGCAGCTGACGATCTTCACCTAAGTATTTTAAATTGTCACCATGCAATTGATGACGCCCCTGCACAAGGAAGCATGTCATATTCTACTGATTGGTGGATTGAGATTTTCTTTTGTGGCATAGAGAATTCTTATATAAATGAAGTCAAAGTCCGTCTCCTACTGCCCACTTGAGAGTTTCAAAATCAATCATGAGGTTGTTTCAACCTCTTGCCTCTCTGGCCTGTTTTGGCAGTGCGGTTTCTGCCTTCAGTGGTCTTCACTCAGCACGTCATGGCCTTCTACAGGTTCCACCCTCATTCGCACATGATGAAATCAACATGTACCCTGCTCTTCATCCCGATCATAACCCTCACGACTACACTCATCTGATCCCCGAAGATTCAAAAGAGCTTTACTATAGCCAGGAAGGACATCGTCGTGAGTGCCCTAGATAGTTCTAATTTTTACTGTATGACCTAACTCATTCTCTAGCGGCCCTGCATGGCGCAAAACACGGTCAATTGCGAGCAACCTTCTCGCGACCTACGGTTGTTTTGGACCACTCGAGCCATATCCAAGATATCACTTGTGACAACGACCACATTGAAGTTTGCTTTGCACCTGATGCATACCCAACTATTGAACGGGAATGGAAAAAATATGAAAACGGATCATTCAATCTCATTACCTATCATGTTGGATGTGGTCACCTCACAGGAGAGTACCGCTCATTTTTTATCGCATCCGAGCCCGTATTTAAAGGCAACTGCGTGAATGTCCTCGCTGAGCTCACGGATGAGCAAGGAGAGATCCAGGAGGGGCACCTGAACTGGGGAACTTATGAGCATCCGAATCTGGCGAAGCGTGAACCTGTATTGGGGCACGTCAAAGTTGAAAAAGCAGACCCGCAACTACAGATGCAGGATCTGATAGCCTCGGACTTTTTCGGTAATGGCACCGTAGGAATGGATGATCTTACCAAGAATGCAGTGGCAGTCAAAGACTTCTTTGGCACTGAAGAAATCAACACGGATGTGCCAGATACATATGAGGCAGGCCTTGACTTTCTCTCCGACGAAGAATATGATGAGTTCGTTAAGCGAGGCTTGTTCTCTTGGATCGTGGACGGAATTAATGCTATTATTAGGGTGAGTCTTCAGACTAGAATTATCTACTTAGTACTCTACTAACAAGAGACTATTGAAGGCAGTTGTGAGTCTGATCGAAAGGACTCGCGAACTCATTGAGCTAGCTGTCAAGGTTATAATCGCAGTTGCGGTGATTACTGTCAAGTTATTAATGGTTCCATTTGGCTTCCCATTTGAGCAAGGTTACCATGCAGATATCGCCTTTGATCAGAGGACAGGTGGCTCGAAACTCGGGACAGATGTAGCAAGTTCTCTTGGTGATAGCAACCTTGTTCTTTCTAAACAGGGCGCAGCCGTGGTTATGGAATGCGAAAGTTGTGGAGCTAAGGCGAACTTCAGCTTTGGTGGAGAGCTTGCTTTCAGCATCACTAAGGGTATCTATAAAGCAGAGGTTTCTTTCATAAACCATGAAGCTTTCATATTTGATGCGATATATGGCATAACCGTTGATGCGAAGGCAATCAAGGACAGCAGTTCAAAAGGTGTCAAAACGACAATTGAAAAGGAGCTATTCGCTCTTCCATTTTACGCCATCAAGATTCCGAAGATCATCACAATCGGACCCCAGGCAGTTGTAAATGCCGCCGCCAGTATCTATGTTGATGCGCATGTGGAGCTACGTGCTGGAGCTAGATTTTCAATCGCTCCAGGGAGGGTCATCTTAGATGCTATGCACCCTGATAAAAACGAGGCATCTGGATTTAAACCAAGCCTTGAGCCGATCTTCAAGCTCAAGAAGGGGAATGCTGTTGCTACCGCGGATCTCGCACTGCCAGTTGGGGTTGAAGTCGCCCTAGATATTCTCGGTGGCACATGGAAGAAATCTGTTGGTGTGTATACAGCACCTTCTATCTACTTTACTGCAGGTCTATCCTCTGGGGAAGGGCATGCCTGTAATAATGGAGTAGAGCTTCGGGTTGGGGCCAAAAACCGGATTTATACCTCTGCGCTTGGTATATGGGAATACGAATTCAAGGAACTGGGATTCACGTTCTATGAAACAGGTCTCGGCTGTCTCTCGTAAGTAGCCCTGATCATATTATAGTGAGGAAATAAGCTAACGACCTTTATAGAACTAAAGGTTGGGACTCAAAGCAGGTAGAGCCGACTAATTTCTTCAATCAAGTTGCAGGCAAATTTGGTGGAGAGGGGAACCTTGCTTCTAACAAAACCATCGCTTTGAAAAAGCCTGAGCCGATCATCTATAAAGACGAACAATTGACAAAAAGCCAAGATGATAAGCAGAAGCTGAAACAGCTGCCAAAGACAAATGGCTTCCGCTTGATTCAAGATGCCGGTCAAACAGCGACTTTGGTTGCCGGAAAGGATGGCCGAATCTATATGGCGAACAACTCAGCTCAGTACGATATCAGTGCACCCTGGGGTGGCCTTGAAGTGGATAAGAATATCTTCAGCTACGACGTTTTCGGACGTCTCATCTGGTTCAACGCTGCATACCTGGATCGTAATGAACAGAAGCAGGAACGCTGGAAAAGACACTACCAGAGACATGACGCGGTACTCGACAAGAGAAAGAAGCCCGTTTATATCAAGTATCTTCTTTTTAATTACAAAATGGTAGATTTGGGCACCTCTGCAGCTGAGAATATGCCAAAAGGTGCCAAAGCTGCGTAAGTCCTGTAATCTCCCAGCGGTTATTAATTGAATCGGTGCTAACTTCCAGCCACAGAACGTTCTCAGTGATGAAATTTGACGGCATCGAAACATATGGCGTGTCATTCCATCATCCCGACTCTGCCGATGACAACTCGAAAGAATTCTGGTTTCCCACGGTCTGCAAGGAGAAGGATGGACTCCGACTGTTTGCAACTCCCTACATTGTGGACAGCAACGGAATTGCACACGATCGAGAAAGTCCGAATGAGAGAAACGCAGGTCTGCAAACACGTTACACAATTGACCGACAGTATTACAAGGTGCCTGGATCTAAGTCAACGAAGAACAACAAAAACGGTGATATAAAGGCTTGCGTTACCGTTAGGTTGACTTCGGACAAGAAAAGCACCGTGCCAGTGTCTTGAAAGTAACGATTCATTCGACGGACCAAAGTTTGGCCAATTCTCTCTAATGTTCCTAGATGCCTCCAGGGCTCTATTATGGCCATTCCGAACATCCAGCTTGATCTTCTATTTCTAAAGCCCCACGATTGACTTTGCTTCGTGTAAAATTAACATATTGATTTGAAAACATGAATTATAATGGCAGAAATCTTCTTTTGTATCAATAATATTATAAAATGGTTATAATCTCATATAGAATGCGAGCCGCCGTGATTCATGAATCATCTACCTCCCTGTTATATCGCTCGACACCTTCAACGTGCCACACTCAATCTGAGTCTTATCATTCAGGTCTTCTTCATCCTCCCCCACTTTAACGGGTTTAACCCGAAAGAGTATCGGTCTTATATCCACGCTCAGACTATCCAATTTCCGAACAACTTCACGAAATTAGAACCATGATTCGTTTAATGCACTGGAAATGATTGGAAAATGAAGGGGGAAAGAATGGGATTTTTGTATTGTGGAAAACTCAAGATGATTGGCCTACAGCGGGCAGTGGAGACACTAACTAGAGAGATATTCAATAAACAAATACCCTATGGACGCCGACCTTTTGCAGGCAAGGATTATATGTACAAATTTGAAGATGAAAATGACAGCGTCGGAAAGAGGACAAAGTCAGTTTTTTTTTTTGGCAAAAAATCAATTGAAAACCGCGGGAGTAAAGGGGAGCATCTTTAAGACGCTTCATTCGGGGCCTTTGACAGCACCACCGTCTACAATCATCATCTCATCGATTTTGGCTTCTGTTTCACCCCACTCCAGACGTTTATAGGTGGTAACACGGCCAGGGCCAATATCAAAATCGAAGAAACGAATGCGGCGGACGTAGCCGTCATAGCCGCCATAACCACCCAGGCCGGCGCCACCACCGTAGCACATCCAGAGAGAGGGTTTCTCGTTTGCATCTTGCTCTAGCATGCAATAGTCGTTGACATGGTCACTATAGATAAGTCAGCATTTGCCTCAACTTCCTTAATCACGGAACTGGTCAGATGATTTACTTACTGCCCGCAGCTGACAAAGAGGATGCCTTCTTCCTCAAGGGCAGATTTGAACCCAGAATTGAATCCAGGTGCAGTGGGGGCCTCTTTCCAGGATCCCTTGACGTATTTTCCATTGGTGCGGTATTCCGGTAATGGGATATGGATGAAAGCCATGTTCATATGAATGTGAGAGTATTCCTGATGCTTTCTCCGCAGGCTTTGAGCGGTATTTTTAAACCAACGAGTTTGACTTGGTTTGATCCAATCATAGCCGCGGAATTGACGTTCATCAGGGGAGTAGGAGTGTGTGTCGAGGAGGTAAAAGGTGAGGGCAGAGTGGGTACTCTTGCCACGATCAAGCACTTCAACAATGTAGTTTCCGACACCGTCAATATCTTCGGGTCCGGGCGCTGAGAGAGAATATGGTAGGTCTTCGTAAATTCCCATGAGTTGTTCTCGACTCAAGTCACCCTCGTCGTCGTGGTTACCAAAAATGGCTGCGTATGGAATCTTACGGTCGACGAGGAATTTCACGGACTTGAAGAGGGCACTCTGGGCGTCAGGAGCAGTTTCTCCGTTCACCTGGTCGCCAGAGAATACGACCATGTCTGGCTTTTCTTCATCCAAGAGTCGCTCGATGAACTCCAGAGTACGGGGGTCGGCGTCACATTTCTGTCCAGGAGTGGTCTCGGCGGGGACAGGGTCACGACAGGCACCTAGACCAGTGCTCAAATGGATATCGGCCAACTGCATCACTTTGAACTTGCCATTCTCGTTGATTCTGGGAGTGGACTTTTTTATCTTCGTCGGGTTTCCTCGCCGAATGCTAAGACGGGTCTCCAATTTTTCTGTCCAGGCATTCAGCAACAAAGGGGTATCCTTGATCTCCCAGTTTGGCCGAGGATCAACGGCATCGGCGCCGAAAAGCACGTCGACATATGTCACCGCGCTTTCAGAATCACTTGCATGGCGTTTAGCTGTTCGTTTCAGCCAAATGCCCCCCGGTCGAGATTCCCATTCCTGGATTTCCCCTTTACCACTGTATTCGGACGGCGGCGTGAGTCGGCTGAGCTTCAAGTCCATGACCACCTTGTCATCTGGACCCAGCTCCTCTTCTTTCTTTCGTTGGAATTGTACATAGGCAGTCGAGGTCCATCCCGTTCGCAAGTAAAGATCTTTCCCGATGCGATGCCAGGCATCTGCGTCAAGTTTGCAGCTCGAAAAGGGGTTGATGGATGAGCATTGGACTACGGTCACATCTGTGATCACGTATCCAGAGTAGTGCATAGGAAGATGGCCATGAATGGATGTAGGGAGGACGCGGAATCGATTATCGAGGAACAAGATAACAATAAGTATAAATGTTGTTAATAACCCGAGCTGTACGCCCGTTCGAACCTATTTTATTGATTCATGTCAGTATCCAGGCCTGTCTAGGAGAATATAAGAGATTTTCGTACAATGAGGCGAGCCATGCTTAGAAGAGCTGGCGCTCCAAGTAACTGGCATGGCTGGCTGCTCCAACTAGGGTGCAACCAAAGATAATGTTTAGTAGGCATCAAATGTGGTCACGTGCAAGGCGGTCAGTATATCTGTGTCATGTGCACACCCGACTCGTTTTTTACGAGTCGGGTGTGCTTCACCGGTTCTGCCAATTTTTTTTTTTTTCACCGGTTCTTCCAATTCCACATTCCATTCTATTTTACCCAATATCTCCCACCCACCATGCCTAAAACCTTTGAATCGACTAAGGCCCATCTCTCTAAGGCCTTTGATGCGCCAAACGCGAAAAAAACCCAAATATCTCTAAGATTGCGCGCGAATTTGGTGTCAATCGACGTACTCTCCATAACCGCGTTAAAACCAATGCGACCGCGAAAACTCAACAAAAACCAGTCAATAAGGTTTTTACCGATATCCAGGAGGAGATTTTAGTACGCTGAATTACCCAGCTAACTGATTGGCGTATGCCACCAACACCAAAACAGGTTGAGATGTGGGCAAATCGCCTACTTCAAGATTCTAGTTCTGAAGATACTAAGGATACTAGAACTGTTGGGCCAAATTGGGTATATCGCTTTACTAAGCGTCTTCCTAAAGGTCTAAAACTAGGTCCTTAGAAGCAGAAAGTCAAGGATTCTAAGCGAATGATGGCTAAAAATCCAGCTAAGATAGGTCATTGGTATGATCTGCTTCGTGGTATGCCTTCGCGGTTAATCTATAACTTTGATGAGTGTGGTTTTCAACCTAGTGAGGTGTCATAGGTTAAGAACACCTGACAAATGATGTTTAGTGTAGGATCAAGAGTGGCACTATACAAGTAGAGCCTAAGTATGATTTCGTGAGAGCGAAATCATTATAGTCTTTTAGCTCAGTAGAATGGACGTGAACGTAGGCACGATCCCATAACAATATGGTTTATAGGTCCTCTTCGTCAACACAATGATGAACGCACACCATCTCTACCACTCTCTTCCTCTAGTATTGAATATACTCCGCCAAAAACCTTAGTACGACTTCAGATGAACCAAGAGAAGATTATCAAGCATATTGATATAGACCTCCTCAAACTAAGGGTTTAAAGGGGTCTTAAATATCTTACTCGCCATTCCCAATTGATCCAAGAAGAGTATCGAAATCTTAAGATTACGGTTGAGAATATTAGGGTTGCGCAAGAACCAATTCGGCGCTCTAAAACCAAACGACAGCTTAACCAACCACCCCTCCAGCAGACTGGTGTATTAAACCTACACCATATAAAACGCTTTGTGAAAATCAGGAAAACCAAGGAGGAGTTACAACTAGAAAAAAAAATTACAAAAACAGGCCCAAGAAGCTCTAAAAGCTCAAAAACAGGCCGAGGAGCAGGTTCAAGAGCAGGTTCAGGAGCAGGTTCAGGAGCAGATTCAGGAGCCAATTCAGGGGGAAATGGCCAAATATTGGAGGCGATGGAAAGGGATATACTATATTTTAAACAGATGCAGCAGAATTGTATTTAAAGCAGAATTAATAGAGAGAGAGTAAAATAATATTTTAAATTGGCAGAACCGGTGAAATTGGCAGAACCGGTGAAATTGGCAGAACCGGTGAAGCACACCCGACTCGTAAAAAACGAGTCGGGTGTGCACATGACACAGATACACCAACACATTAATATGAACACTAACTATCTATACCGAGGTCGAATGTGATGTCTAAGTACGTATACCTATGTATATCTATGGACTGTACATCATCCTTCTAATCAATCTTCAATAACGACTCGTTATATTCTGGCTAAAAGATGGATGGATTTTTGAGAGTGATAAAGGGCTGGACCGCTTACTTCCCCGCTGCTGCGCCTTCTCCACTTGCTTTCTAGGGTTCATTGAAGGCCCTGATTTGACGAGTTTAGTCTGATCTACGTCCGAGAGTCCTTGGCACTCAAGGTCGCCCAATTTTTCTTGCTATTATTGCATAGCTGCATCTAGTAGACACTGGTGAACTTAAAGTAGAATACCTATAGGATTACAACCTTGAAAGGCGTCTATGATGCTCGTGTCGGTCATTATCTGAGGTACCTCCAGGGTTAGTCTGCCACTATCTATACATCTAGATAATTAGTCAAAGAACATATATCCCCTTTCCAAAAATAATCGATCCGATCTCTAGGGCTAATCTAAATGCTAAGCCCGTTCTTGTAGATCTCCTTGGTATCAGCAAGGATAGACTCCCAAGTCTCAAAGGTTTTATAAGGGATGCCCTGACGTTGGCAGAAGATCACGAGATCTGTAACGTTGTCAGCTTATGGTTATAACGTCGAATTTGGGAAATTTTACCTTTGCCTTCTTTGGCATATAGAAGGTCGGTCTCTGCAGCAGCTGACAGATCCGAAACTCCGTCACCAGCGTAGAGCATAGTTGGGCGTTCCCCTTCTGGCAATGCCGCATAGGGCTTGATCTCGAGACTCTTGTCGTGGCCAAAGTGGCTACAAACGGTCGTCAGATCTTGGACAAAATCCATTTGATTCACAGAAACTCACCTCTCATCTCGGAACTTGATATCCCAGCCACCTTCGCTGTTGATATCCTTGCCATCACGACTTACCACGTCGTTGGCAATGATAGTAATATGACTGCGAGGCTTGTGGCCGAGAAACTTCTCAAGCAAGGCACTGATGATCGGTACCATACCGGAGGACAAGATGACAATAGGCACATTGTTCTCCTCGGCCCAGTTGTAGAATTCCTCAAAGTACGGGTCAAGCTTCATGTTTTTCAATAAGATATCGATGCATTCGTTGTACGGGGTCTTGATGCTTGCAAGCATCTCGCGGAAAGCGTCTCTGGAGATGAATCGAGGGTGATCAGCTTGGATTCTTTGGTGAAGTTCCAAGTTTTGAAATTTCTCCTGCTTACCTGAAGCTGAGTGTTCCATCGAGGATTCGGTCACTCAATTTGAGGCGTTGCTCACGGCCGAATCCATAGTTGTCGATCATATAATCATTGCTGTCGTCCACAGTAATTGTGCCATCAAAGTCAGTGAAGAAGATGATTTTGGGCTTCGTCTGCATGTATGGAAGTACGGCGGTAGACCCCATATTTACAAGGAAAGTTCGTACTGATTGATACTGACAGGTTCAATGTAAAAAAAGCCCTGAACCTTGGGCTGGGCTTCAGCGGGCGGTGTGCCTTGGAGGGCGGTCAATCGGGCCCCGAAGACGATAACACGCCACCATCAACAACCCCACTACCGCAGTAGCGTGATGCTTTACTTGTGTGCCGATCGGAGGATATCTGTCTCGGTGATTATCGTCTGTTTCTGTGATCTTCGATCTAAAATGCCTTCTACGAATTGAATTCTAAAATACTCTCGCTTGAAATAGTGATCTATATTGGCAGAATACGAGCTATTTGCGCGGATAAGCGGATATTGCGAATTTTTGTACTTTGTAGCCGCGTCAGGTTGACTAGACTTCATTCAGAAAACAGGATGAAACCCTTGGAACCCTGGAATTTGATGTAGGAGTTTATATAGGCCACCTGGCACCTGCTAGATATACTGAAAACGACGTAAGCACTTGAGAATGAGCTGTAACCTTGGAATCAAGCTTTTTTTGCTTCTTTTCACATAAATTCGGATCCCCGTAACTACTTTTTAACAGTCTTGAAACTGCGGAGTAGATACAATGAAGAAACCTCGAATGTCATCAAATTAGAGATTTTTTTGTTTTCTAGGCTTGCGGGAAGCGAATGCTAATCTACTCAGTACATCCTTATTTTGATGCGCCGCCAGCCCTATCTGGAACACGGTGCATATCAGCCCTGGTGGATACCACATTGAAATCTATTGGCGTAGTTACCCCACGAGATGGAACCTTGAAAGTAAATTCTGCATAATCTACATTGACTCAAAATGTCAGAGTAATTATTCAAGACTTTCGAAGGTTGAACGCCCAAAGGGTCTCTATCAAGTCCAAAGTCCTGTCAATGTTTTCTACCAGAGAGGAAAGACGGAAGAGATATCTGAAGAAGCTTCGCTCCCCTAAATTCATTAATTTTGACTAGCTTTTAATGGAAACGGAGCCCACTTCGACGTTATCTGTTACTACCCCTATCTTTCTGTGGGCCTTTCACGGCATCTTGAAATCCACCTAAAATCCACCACCATCATCCAAAGTATCGACCAAAATGGCCTGGATACCAAGAGGAGAAGAGAACAACAGCCTCGTTCAGCCATCTCCAGACGGCCAAAGTCTCGGCGTGCCGGCCCTCGCAACTCATCGCGGCTCCCTATGGTGTCTCTGGTCCTCTCCCTCCAGCGACCTCTACTACGCAATCGGTAACAATGACACCTTCTCGCCTCGTAACCTATTCCCAGACCATGGCATTCCCGTGCTCGCGGAGCTCCTAGGCACACTGCACGTAATAATTGTGAGGCCAACTGGTGCAGTCGTTCACTACTTGTTCGATGACGTGCAAGAGCTCTGGTCCGAACCTGTAGAGGTCGCGGGACTCGAGAGCCAAGGCAAGCCGGCGTTAATTTCGTGGCACAATAAGCTGTGTCTAGTGTTTCTGAAAGATCAGGCGCTATGGTATAGTATGTGGGTTCTTGATAAGAACGAAGCCACGGTATGGACTCCTTTGCAGGAGCTGAGTGGTATTCAGAAGGTCAAGGGCATTCCTGCGTTGTTCGTGGTGCGAGACAAACTGCACGTTCTGTGTGGGAGTGCCGAGGACGAGAAGGAGGTTTTAGGCTTCGTCTATGAGTATGAAGTTCCTGCATCTATCAGAGCTCACAAAACTGACATATCATCCAGTATCGAAAACGACGTCTGGAACACTTCCGCTGACGTCACAGAAGGAAAAGCCGTAAATGGAGTGTCGGCGACATCCCACGGCTCCAGCGCCTTTCTTGCGTTCCAAGAAGAGGGACCTGATGGCGAGGCGAACACTATCTACGTCACTGAATTCAAAGACGGTGAATGGCTTCCCCAGGAGCCGATTCCGAATCAAGTCTCTGTTGATCCACCGCAGTTGGCGATTTTGAATGGGCGGATGAACTGTGTGTTTAACGGAGAGGGTGAAGACAGTGAACTGAAGTGGTACTCGAGGAGTCTGCTTAATTTCGAATTGGAAAGCTGGATGAGTGGAGTGAAAGATAGTCGGTTGCTGAGCGACATTACAATCCCTGGAACTCACGATAGTTCGTTTACTCTGCTACTTGCGGAGAAGCCCTTGCTAATGAGAATGCATAGGTTGTGCGCGTTCAAACATCCCATTCGTCAGAACTCAATACCTGTCAATAGCGCAGCAGCTCACTTTTGGCATTCGATTCCTCGACCTGAGGGTTCGAGTCCATGATGATGGACAGCTATATATGTACCATGGCGGAATCCCCATCAATTTTCCCATCTACCTTAAATTTGACAGCGTGATGCAAGAAATCTTCGATCATTTCGACAAGTATCCTTCCGAAAGCGTCCTGGTGTCGATCAATAACGATGATACTTCGGGCAAGAAAGGTTCGGAAATCTTCTACGATGCTATCCAGAGCCACATAGAAGAACACTCTGAGCGCTGGATCACTTCGACCGGTACTGGCACCATGGCCGAAGCGCGCGGCAAAGCCGTCCTCCTCCGCCGTTTTCACGCCCCGGATTCCTGTGAGTCGCCCGCTGGACTCGACCTCTCAGAATGGCTGGATGATAATCCCGATTTCACGCTCCGTACGCCCTCCGGCGCGGTCGTCACTCTGCAGGACAAGTGGAAGTACTCGGATCGCATCGCGCTGCAAGATCTTGTCGATTCAAAGTATGGGTTTGTGGAAGCCATGCTTGAAAAGGCCAAGAACAGTGGAGAAGAGGAGTGGCACCTTAACTTTTGCTCGGCTGTGGGCGATCCAGTCGAGAAGGGGGAGGTTGCTGAGAGTCATTGGATTGCAGTGGGGGCGCATAGTGGAATTATAGGGAAGTTTGTTGAGGGGATGAACCCTACAGTGCGGAGAAGGTGAGATTTAGGATTCTCTTTCTGGTCTGAGAAATTACTGACGGTACGCAGGTATGAGTGGGATTTAGGCAAGAGATATGGGATTTTGGCGCTGGATTATCCGGAGTTACCAAAGGATAATGATTTGGTGAGTTTATTGATTGGGACGAACTTTTAAGGGAACCTTGGAAGGCTACTCAACCTTGGAAGGCTTATGCAGCCCAGCTTCCAAAGATGGCAGAGCATATATATCAGGTGTCTAGATAATCCTCTAAACAAAATCTGATCATATTCATACCTCCGTGATATTTTAGAATCCTATTGATGCTTGGTAACATTCCCCCGGGTTCCAAGTGCATTAGAGAATGAGCCCGGCCTGTCTGAACATCTCAAAGCTGTTCAGCCATCCCTGAGCCGACTCTCGATTGTCTATAAACCCTGTTTCCCTCAGTCTTTCCAGGCTGAGTTGACGATCGAAGCTAAGCCAATAGCCTACACTATCTAATTGCCGGTTTCCAACCCCCACACCCCCCACTCAGAGCATTGGAACGCCCATGCTGAGAGAAAATATCTCTATACTTTGTGATATACTCCCCGGGAGTCATAGACCGATCTTCTGGAAGCTCGCCAGCCTTTAAAGTGTTATGTTCGGCCGCCTCGGTGGGCCCTACGCCCACAAGACCAAACCAAGCTGCAAGTCGAGGCCAGAGTTCGCCGTATGTAGAAGGTACATCACTGTCGGCTATATTAAATAGCATTCCCCCACCACAAACCTCAGGATGGAGGGATGCATAGATTGCAAAACGTGCTAGTTTCCCGCTAGAGACCGGCGAGAAAAGCGAATTTGCGCAAACAATGTTGCCAGGAAAGGGTACTTCGGCAGGATATGTTCCAGACTCCTGTACTTCAGGTCCTATGTTATGCTTGTATGCATATAGGGACAGGTACTGAGCCCAATGCAAAGCAAGACTATATTGAGACCCGTTGGGAGTGAAGCCAACCTTGAATAATGTCAGTGACGCTTGCATGAGGCTGAACAGATGAAGACGTACAATCATATCTGGACAGATTTCGCACCATGTCCACTTACCCCCTTGGCATGCTTCATTAAGAAGCTTCCTATACGCTGGGTATACGACCGTCTTGTCTTGTTCGGGGGGTAAGTTGTTCACCATTTCTTCGTGTAGAGGAGGTGTAAATGTACCCCCAGGAGCATATATTCCGTATCCCTAATCAATTATTATAGGTCCTGATGCTTTGTTCGATTTTATAATTACCCGCGTTCCACCTGCAAACACCACAAACTGTAAGTTGGGACTGAGCAGGTTGTGGGCGTTTATCACACTCTCGAACATCTTCCTGTTGGTAGCAACTTCTGCTATATCATCCTCAACTGCCGTAAATACTGATTGCTCATAGTAAGTATTGTTTTCAAGTAGTGGTGTATCAGCTATCACATACCAAAGTAGAAAACATGTGTGACTGTTTCAATCTCTCTGATATTTGCAAATGCAGTCTCGTCACCGTTGCAAAGATCAATACCCGACACAAGTTGTAAAAATGGCCGTTGCGAGTCTGACTTTGGCCAGTAAGTATCAGATTTCAATGGGCGGTTAGTCACTGCCGTGACTCTTGAGAATGAGCCAGTGTGAGGATAAGGACCCAAAAGCTCGTTTACTAGAGCCCAGCCAATCAGGCCGGATGCACCATAGACGATAGCATGATTTGAAGGATTGCTCATTTTTGACAATGGTGAAAAATTGCCCCGAGTGATTATGTTTGAGGTTTGGTCGATGGTTGATGTGAATTTAAATTAAGATTTTAAGGTTTAGGATCAGATTTGGGAGTAGTGACTCATTATAAGTCATCATGATAACTAGTTCTCGTTATGAACTTCAATTACCTGGTTAGAAGCTTGAGTTATTCAATCACTGAGCTAATGTTTGAACTGATTCAACAAAATTATACCCATTGATGAGAGGACGTTGCCAGTATACTCATAATAAGAAGATTCTTGATTTAGCAAAGTTTCAGGTATGTCATCGCGAAGCCATAAGTGTCAATCTGAACCTGACGACGCTATGTGTGCTAGGCGTCTTCTGCGTCATTTTTACTTTGGGGGTTCAGTATATGCACGGCAGAAATGCTGATCTATCTTAGACTAGCAACGGGGGCCATGTTAGATTACGACTTTAGATGTGATATAAGGTTTAAGACTAGAGACTCTTGGTTTCCATGCATCGAGATTTGGAAGAAACACAATCAAAGTAACATCAACGTCACTAACTAATTCAACAAGACAATACTCCACGGATGAAATCATTTTCTGAAGAATAGTCCGGTCATCCTGGAAGCTAAGCCTACGCACTCCAAGAAAAATAATATTGAAGTAAACTCTTCCCCGCCAAGTCCAATACCTGGAGATTCAGCAACCATTCCATCATTCAGAACAGCAATATACCACCAACAAACCTAATATCCCTCGCATTGTAACTTGTATTACCTAACTGCCGGGTAGTAACCATGAAGAGTCCGGTAATATTCAAGAAAGAACGAGGTTCATCCGGCACATATCCATCTTCATCTATCGGAGGTGCTCTTATTTGAAATGCATAGGTCGAAAAAGATATCCCTGCAGCTTTTAGCGAGTTGTTATGAGGTGTATTGGGCGGTTTCGCGTGAAGTTGCCATGATGAAAGGGACTTTATACTACGGACTCCGTAGAAATAAAGGAAGCCCCACTTATAGTAACTACGCTAACCCGATATAAGCATGAACACCTCATAAATCAGGTGTCACATATCGATGATCGGGTCTAGTTATCCGGAGCTGCTTCTTAAGGGCATAATGTCGCGCTTCCTACAAACGCTACGGCAAGCCATTGGCTTACCCAGGGCTACTAATCCAATTTCTCGCTCTCAGTCTATTGACACAAACTTCAACATCTTTCAAGCCGGAGACTGGGCTATCTTCCATGTCAAAACGCCCATCTTGAAAAAATTGAAGAAGGGCGGGAAGACAAATCTTCGCCGGGGACATGTTAACCATGACGACGTGATTGGGCGCCGGGTATTTGATACTGTGCCGGCCCACAAAGGTATGAGACATCTGCTTTTATGGTCTTCATGCTTGAATTCTAGAAATTGACAATTGGCTCTGCATAGGTCCCGATACGCGATTGAGCCTGCCAACACTCGAAGAATATGTTACTCTCACTCCTCGTCTTGTAACACCGGTATGCGATTTTCAATCTTTATAATGGATGGACCAGCAATATACTTATAGAACTCAAAAGATATACTCCCACGATGCGAACTTGATCGTCTCTCTCCTCGATATCCATGCCGATGTTCCCGCCGCAGGCGAGCAACAACCACATCTGGAAATACTTGAGTCTGGCACAGGCCACGGCTCGTTGACATTGCATTTGGCACGTGCTATTCACGCTGCGAACAGTGTACCTCCATCCCGCCCGCAACGCTCGCAGATTCGGCATGTCAAAGATCGAAACGCAAAGCCTGGCAAGGAAGAGTCGCCGAAGGATAATGAGGCTGCGACTGACCAGGTACAGCAAGAGTGGGATGAATGGCGGGCGGAGCGCAATGCTGTCATCCACACTGTTGATGTCTCCGGGAAATACTCTGCGCTAGCTGAGGGGAACGTGAATGGGTTCCGGCGTGGAATCTATGCTGGTGATGTGGACTTCTACGTTGGTGCTGTTGAAGACTGGATTTCCGAGCAGAAGGATCATCGTAAGAAGAGCCTGGGTACTTTGTCTAAAGTATTTGGTGGAGAGGAGTCTGTTGATCCATTCTTGGATCATGTTATATTGGACATGCCCTCTGCTCATAAGAGGATACCCAGTTTGCCTCCTCTGATGAAAAGGGATGCAAAACTCGTCGTGTTCATGCCAAGTATCACTCAGATAGGTGATTGCATAGAATTGATCCATAAATTGAGGCTGCCCTTTATTTCAGAGAGGGTGGTTGAGCTCGGCACTGGACTGACTAGTGGACGGCACTGGGATGTTCGCTTGACTGTTAAGAAGTCTGCTGCTGATCCTTCGTCTTGGTCGGAGGCACAGGTTGATTCCGAGCTATCCGAGGGAGACGTGGAAGATATTCCTGTTCCGGATGAGCCAGTCAAAGAAGATCCAGCCAAGGAAGAGCCAGTCAAGGAAATGGTCATGGTGTGTCGGCCAAAGGTTGGGCTGAAAACAATGGGTGGAGGCTTCGTTGGTGTGTTCCGAAGGATAGAAGATGGCGCACGATGAAACTCTTGACTACGATACTATAACAAAACTTTACCATATCAACTTCAATTGTACGATATTAATCTCATCTCAAGAAATATCCGAAATACCAGCCATTGTAGTAAGTATATCATCACAGTTTAGCCTTATTGCTCTTGTTCGAAATCCACTCAATCAAATCCGAAGCGAATTTCTCGCGCGTCTCGGGCAACTCAGCGTGCAAAACATGATAAGCACCTTCATACGAGCAAAAAGTCACATCTCCCTTCTTCGCAATCACGTCAGCCAGCCGCTTAGCTGCCGGATAGCTGGTAAGCTTATCGGCAGTACCATGAGCAAAGAGAACTGGAGGGATAGATCCGTCATGGCTCTGCAGAGTGTCCAAATAGATGGCCCGATCCAGCATGCCAGCCAACCCCTCAAGGGTACCATAGTTGTGGCACAACGGATCCTTTGCAAACTCGGCATTAGTGGCCTCATCCCGTGTTAGCATGCCTTCGTCTAGGGCTGTCCATCTCTGAAATTTGGGCATTAAGAGCCCAGCAAAGCGGCCCGCTACCACGATGAATTTGGACGGGCGGCTAGATTTGTCCAGGTTAACGAAGGCTGAGTTTGAAATAACTCCAGCAAGTTTGAGATTGGACTTGTGCCATGGCGAGTTTGGGTGCAGGATGTATGTGAGTACTTCACCACCTCCCATACTATGACCCATTAAGAAGACCGGAGTGGAGCCGGACGTGGAAAAGACATTTTTGAGGAATGAATCTAGATCTCCAAGAACAGTCTCTGTTGGTCCGGAATCTCCACGGTCTTTGGGATTCTTGACAGTTCGGCCCCAGCCACTGGTAGGGCTATTAGTATCGTACGGTGGAGTACGGAGGAACAACTTACCGCTGATCAAAAGATCTGACCTCAATATCTTGAGATGTGAGGAGGGGAAAGAAATCATTAGAAGTGTTGCCTGTTCTTATTAGTATCTTTTTCTGGAAAAATGTATAGAAGTTCTGTAGAAGTTCTAATACTCACTGTGATCGCTGAATCCATGGATAGACACTAGGATAGCACGTGGGGGTCCATTTGGCTACATCGATGTCAAAATCAAGTCGGAGTTGCTTTCAGTGAATGGCAAACTGACCTTCCAAGTCTTTGTGTAGGCCTGAAATCCATCAGGCAGAGTGAATGTTCCTTCTTCAGTAGACATGGTAGGTAATTGAAGAGTGGGAGTTTCCTGGAAGTGGAGACTTGCGTAGTTGACTACGACAACATGTGATCAATAATAAGCCCTATCAGATCACTGAAATACCAAGTCTCTTCTAAGCACTTTTAGTTAACTACTCCATACTTATTCTTACAATTCATAGCCTTGTAATTAGTAATTACTGTTCTGTAACTTTGAAACACCATTTCTATTCAGGAATAGAATGTAAAAAAAAAAAAAAAAAGACTAAACGCCTATCGCCAGGATCAAAGGTAGAAATCTCTTCATGAGCAAGCAAGCATCCACCTGTCCTGAACACCAGAACCTCACCTAACCTGAGATCGAGATTATGTGAGATAAGACCGCAAATATCAAACCAACGAGGTGAGGGAAAAGTCGTTGAGGCAAAGACGCCCGTTCAGACTAAAATGGGATCAGAGCCAGGAGAAGGGAAAAAGTAACGTAAAATGGGAAGAGTAATAAAACGATTAGGCTGGAAAATCAAACCATTGCCAGAGATTCAATGCCCTGATTTGATCTACTCAGTGTCGTTGAGGTCCAAAATCCGCTTCTACCACCTTTCCCTTTTGGCCTCGGACTGTGAACTCCGCAAACAAAGCGATGTGATCGCTTGGGAAGTGGACGTTAGGGAACCCAGGCACTCGGCGCAGATACTCTTTGTCAACTTCACCAAGCAGAGCCGAAACATGGAGTGTGTTTGATGAGTACCAAATGTAATCAAGGATATCCTTGAAATCAGGGGTGTAATTGGTGAAGCTCAGCTCTCCAATAGAGCCATATGCCGACTTCAGCTTAAAGGGATGACTCATACCCACTTCGCTGAGATTGCCATACATACGGTTGTCAAGGTCTGGGTGCGATTTGATCAGACCTCCATTCGCAATCAACTTGTACGCTGCTGACTGAGGGTGTGAATTGAAGTCTCCACACAAAATCATCGGGATTTGACTTCCGCTGGAGTACACTTTAGAAGGAGCTGGTTCCACTACAGGTGTGGCTTCGGCATCACTCTCAGCTTCAGAGAAACGGAAAGCGACTTTGTCATTGCAAGCAGGGATTTTGGCGTAGTCGTCGGAGATTCGTGTGAGTTCTTCCATCATGATGGCGGTCTGCAGTAACTTCACATCCTTAAATTTCGGGTCCCAGTACAGGTGAGCATTCGCCACGATGAAACGAGCTCCAGTCTGGCGGTTCTCCAAGAAAAGAACAACACAGATGTGATCCTTCTGCCACAGTCTGTTGAAAATATCATCTTGACCCTTCGCGTCGACCCGACGGACCGCAACCTGGCCAAACTGGATGACTTGCTTGTCCAACAGGATAAACTTGCTGCCCTTGAAAAAAACGGCGCATCCGTCAATGGTCTTTGCCTCGTCATCTGACATGCCGTGCGCGCGGCCTCGGGGGAAATAGACACCCTTGTAGTCGTTGTAAGCTAGTTGCTCTCGGAAGAAGTGGTTGTAACTTCCTCCGTCCACTTCCTGGAGACAGACAATGTCCGAATTGTGAGCTCGTAATTCGTTGAGAATGAGTTCTCGACGGAACTCCCAGGAGAGAATACGCGAGGGTGCGTAGCCATAGTGCGATTGGGTGGCAGAAGAATCACACAATGTGTTGTATGAGATTACGGTGATCTTTTCGGTGGTGCTACTGTTAGAGCTGGTCGTGTCATCGAGGATAATCCAATCGCGATCAGGAGGAGGCAGGTGAACTAAGAACAAGATCAGAAGTTAGCCAGACTTCAAATATTGTTAGGACGGGTGAAATCTTGCCTGGCATTTCTTCTTTAAGATGTTTGATCAGCTCACGCGTGCCACTTTTCATGATCTTCGATTTAAGAACGTCGTTTAGGGGATTTCCTTCGATACCCAAGATCTCCAGTCGGTAGAGGTAGCCCATTTCGTATGGAAGATTGCGAATATTATTGTCACAAATTCGGAGCTCCTGTAGTTTCGACAACATCCCGATCTCTTCGGGAAGCTCCGTCAATTCGTTTCCAGATAATTCCAGGTGAGTCAACAATCGAAGTTCACCGATTGAAGAGGGAAGAACTTTCAACTTGTTGTGGTTCAAATAGAGCTCCTTTAGGAATATGTAGTTAAACAGCGAAGGTGACATGGCACGCAACCCCTGTCCACCAAAGTCGAGTGCGGTCCAACCCTGGCCGTCCGATCCAGTGTCATTATTTTCTCCGTGCATCATTCCCTTGGACTGCTGCGCCACGATGCGAGCATGGTAGTGAGGGGAATGAGCTTGTCTGGACTCTTGGGCAATTTGAAGTTGACGCTGCCGGTGTTCATTCATCGGGTCACCTAGATCTTCATCTACCGCTGCTGGCCCATCACCATTCTGCATATGATTTGGGGTGAAGTGAGGAGTTGCGGTTGAAAGTGCACTGGCGGAGAAGTGCTGCTGAGGGAGGTTGTGTGTCGTCTGGGTGTGGTGGGCATGATGTTGAGATTGCTGTTGAGCATGAAGAGGGTGGTGGGATTGCGACTGATACTTGGGCATGGGAATACCAAACCGCTGGTGCGGCTGCCCTCCGGCCATCATGACATGCTGTCCCTGGTGGCCCTGGTACATGTTGTAATGATTCAGTCCACCTGGTTGGTTGACAGGTGGGGTGCTCGAAGGTGATGGGGTTTCGTGGTTTAGATTGAGTCGACCCGGTGAATTGGTCCCGTTTGGAATAGGGTGTCGATGCGAGTGTGATGGAGGAGCTTGAGGTTGAAAATAAAACTGGCCGGCCCCAGGTTGCTGGAACCTATAGGTACCATCTGCCATTTAACGAGGCAGATGAGACCGTGGCTGATTGTTTTGTCCAAGTGTGAAATGGAGAGGTGGTTTTGCGAACGGGGCGATAGGTGTAGGAAGGAAAGAGGATAGAATGCGGTATCTGTTCTTCTTGCAATCCATGTGCAGAAAAGTAAAATCTCGCTTGGCGGGACACCTGGTGGAGAAAACACCCGGGTGAAGTTAAGAGGTTGAATAAAGAGGCAGAATATCCAAGCTTGATCAAGACGTGGGGGAAATGGGCAAAGGGTGGTGTGAAGGACAGCGGGCCACAGGCGCACAATCTGTTGGACAGTAGGTATGACGTCAGTTTAAAGCATAAAATAAGAATTGAATGATTTAGATAAAGATAAATCTTACGATTCCAGTATGTAAAGGGGATGGGGAGGGGGGAATGATCTTCAAATGCAAGAGATGTCGACTCACCAGACTTGGTCGGAGGCGGGTAGCTTCACGTGATCTTGGTCCGGATTGGTGTCAAGATCCCGTGATCTAACTTTGACAACTTCACAACAGCAAATAAGATGAAAAAGAAACTGGGTGAAATGAGAAACTATGAAGTTTGACAAATTGACGTGTTCTAAACATTGTAAACAAACTTTTAACTTGCTTACCAACACCCATCGCTGACTCGTAATTCACTCGAGTCTCTGCCTTACCTCTAAGGTTCTCCAGTGATACATCTAATTTCTCTGACCTTATTCAGCACCTTAGAATCAAATCAGTCATTGAATCCAAGTGACAATATCAACTTCACGATTCTCACAGTGATGATTTTCTTTCCCACTTTACTTTCAATTGATCCAGAGGTCAGTCTAGGTATGTATGTATGTGTATATTTAAAGCCTCCTAACCTTGGAACGTAACCCTAGAAAATGAACATCCAGTTATAAAGCAATTTCAAGGGTAAAGTAGATTTCCACTGTACAGTTAACGTTGGTATTTATTGATGATTGAATGTGGGGGAGAAAGCAATGGAGTTTGTAGGCAAGCTGTTATCTAGCGGGTACTACTGAGCTTCCAGGTAGGCAAGTCTGGAGCTCAAAATTCCAACATTTCCGTAGTGCTCAGGTAGTAGAACCCAACTTTGGAAGTCTCTACTTCATACAAAGTGTAATATGTAAATAATGAACCCACATCCAAGTGGACCTCGGAACCATCTCAATGCCACTATCGTATTATGGATAGTTAAAAAAAGATATCGATGACAAACCTAGGTATCTGGGTATTTTCAAGGTCTCTCTACCTAGGTATATGTAACTATATATGTCGCTGCTTATAAACCTTACCCTGGAGGTCTGGTAGTCAATGTTTCAATATTATTACCTTCGTGCACTTGAAATAGAATTTGAGACAAATTGGGCAACTTATACCTAACCTTGAAGTAACCTTGAGATAATTAGAAATCTCGAAATAACTTGAAATTATGAGCTTTAACTAGAGTTCTGACTGAGCTGAGCTAACTAACTAATGATAGCGTAAAAACTGAGTATTTACTCTGCAGGCTTACTACTCAGTACTACTGTACTTATTTTATGCATTATTTACTTGGAGAAGCTAGTTCACTAGTTTAGGTACAGATCTGACTCAGCTTCAAAAGTGGAGTCAAGTGGCCCAATCCATAACATTCATGCGAACCAAAACCAAACTGCAACCAATGAAGTGAGGTGAAAATGGCGACTCTGAAAATTAAGAATTGGGTTAAAGTAATATGCCAGGTATTGGCAGGTATTGACAGGGAAGCACAGGTCGGTAGTTTCTCGTATTACTTAGTAGTGTCTCCGACACGATCATAAAAGCAATGGGATATAGTACGGATTACTTACTACATCAATAATGATAAATCATATTCTGACGAGTCTAGTGTGTATGGCAAGATTGAGCAAAAGTACATTCTGCAGAAGGTATTAAAAATGAGGGGTTGAAATATAGCACTCGTACTCCGTACATGCTATGTAGTATCATGATATGATATCTCACAGGGCACGGGGCGTATCAGATAGATGGTGCTTCTAGTCCCATGCGGGTACCTGACTGAGAAACACTTGTCCTGTCAAATTTAAGAAACTACTTATTACTAGTGAGAGGGGTAAAATTCATTCCTTCAAGACCAAAAATACCAGTACATGACCTCCAGTTCGCATTCCATGGTCCATTCTCCTATTTATCCCTAATCTAAAGTGGTGATGTCAATGGTTGCCACTACCGATAAGTACCAACTATAACAAACTCCTGTACAACCTGGGATTTCTGGCATCATAAGATTTCATAAGATTTCATAAGAGAAGAAAAATACTAAAAACCTTCTGGTTTCAAGGTTAGCCGAACTCACTAGTTCTTGAAGTGGAACTTTCCCATCCAGGGGGACCAGGCCGGTCTTTTCCATACTTTTTTCATTTCTCCCTACCATTTTTATCATTTTCACTTTATTCTTACTGCTCTCTGCTTCTTGCCACCAATTCCACTCCCCAGATGTGAAGAAAGAGCATCGACAATGGACATGATGACCCCAGGCGTTCCTTCGCTCTCCGCCACTACGGCGTCTGGATCAGATAACCATTCCAATCTCAGTTCAACCTTCGCCGCAACTTCATCCTCCTCTTTGACCTCCATGACCGACTATTCCACCTTCCCACTAGGTCGTCAGGGTGACCGCACGTACTTCCGAGACCCCGAAAACTTATACCCTCTTCCTAGCGACATCGCCGAAATCCACCGCCAAAGCTTGCGCACGATGATGTTACTGCGCGTCTTCGGCGGGCCATTTTGTAACCCCCACATTTCAAATCACCCGCCGAAGCGCGTCTTGGAGCTCGCATGCGGATCCGGTTTGTGGTCCGGTTTGTGCCACGAGTACTTTGTTCGGCGCGGCCAGCCGAACGTGGCCTTTGTTGGCCTCGACATGGTTTCCCTGGCCCCGGATCTTCGGAAACAGGGAATGAACTGGCAATTTAAACGACACGATCTCCGCCGCCCCCACCTTCCTTTCCCTGACGATTATTTCGATCTCGTTTTCATTAAAGATGCCGGAATGACTCCCCAGAGCCCCGCGCAACAAGCTTCCGGGCTGACAGAATACCTGAGAGTGTTAAAGTCTGGTGGTGTCTTGGAAATTTGGGACTCAGACTCGGTATTTCGCTCGTTGCTCCCCAATCCAGCTCCAGCCCGGAAAGTTTCCACGAAAGATCAGGAGATCGCCAACTCGACTGCTACCTACACATTTTCCGCCGCCACTCCCTTCACAGCGGCCCAGAATAAATTTCTCATCGATTATAATTCGTGGGTCGAGAAATCTTTCGACAGGCGCAAACTCACTGTTTTGCCATGCGCCACCATCGGCCTTGCCTTTCAAAGCGAAATCGATATCATGGAGAATGTCGACAGTCGTCGAATCGCAATTCCACTGGGGGATATGCGATGGGAGCGGGAGGGTCAAGGAGGGAAAGATTCCACAGGCTCCCGCAAAACATTGACCCCCGAACAAGCATCTATACGGCAAACTGCCCTCCTCACAGTGATCAAGATGATCGAGGGTATGGAGCCTCTGCTCATGGAAGCTAGTGGGAAAAGTCGCGATGAGTGGGACAGATGGTGGGTCGCGATGACCACAGATCTTTTCCAGAAGGGAGTATTTGCCAGCGGCGAGTGTCTCGAGGTCAGTGCTTGGTGGGGACAAAAGAGATGACCATGTCCCCTTTTATCCCTCTTATACCACGTTCAACCCGGTGTTTTGGTGCGCGCATTAAAAAAGAGTGTGAATCATTGCGCGTCATATTGGTGATACCCCCAAATTTTTGATTTTCTATTGATTTCATGTTCCTTTCTTTTCTTTTTCTTTTCTTTTCTTTTCTTTTTTTGCCTGAGATTTGCCGGTTTTGCTTGGGATTTCAAGCATTTTCGTACCGCTGCTTCAACGTCCGGTACCGCTTCAAGTAGTACCTGGGTTTTTTTTCACTCGTTAGTGTCTTTAACGAAGTTCTGTGGTGAAAGGAGATGATGCTATGATGTATGACGAATGCGTGAAGACTGTGCCTATGCCACCTGGGCACGCGACAGAAAAATGACAAAATGTCTCGATGATACAGTATACTGATAGTATATATGGGTTAGGGAGAGCACTCACAAGGCTTCGACCTCTATAATAGATAATGAAATTAATAAAGTCAATGATATTTTCTGGATTGAATGATAGCGCTACCTTTCTTCACGAACTCAGCCCTTGCTATGCCATTACGGATCTGTTCTTCATCTTGAAGATTGGCCTGGCTTGTAAATGCGTGATGGAGCCGGTTTCTGAAGTACTTATATCCAAGAGGATACTCGCGGCCCATGAAGAGGAGCTCTGCATGGAATCAGCATATGAGGGGTTAGCTGTTGTGATCTACATACCTTTGTAGACGTTGATGACCTGCCGACGGAGCTCGGGGTTGACCATGGCTAGTTCATGAGAAGTCAAATTGCTCAGTTATTAATGATGAGGATAGAGGATATTCATAAGAGGTTGAAGGAAACTTCGGGAAGCGGTGACGTTGAATGCACGTACACGGACCAATACATAATTACCGACTTAGTACTACGGAGTATGTACAACATGCAATCGAGAATATATAATTTTTCTATGGCTATTATCTATAGTGAATCTGGAAATTCAATAATTTAAAATTTATTCAACGGAGTCCTCAACAACAAACCCCAATGGTATTCGTATTCGTATTTAGTCTACTTACTAAGGCCGCGGCAAAAGACGGGGGTTCTAGCCGAAACCCAACTATGACTTCACTTAGATTCAACCTTCTCACACCACCACCATGATCTCTCGACTAGCCTTACCAAGGCAACTGCACGTATACAACTCACTCCAATGCCGATTTCTCTCTTCGACTTCCCCAGTCCAAAACGCCCTGAGACAGGAGTCACGGCCGCATACGGTTGATCCACGATGGCTTACAATGATGAAAAGACGAATCGGGCGGTGCATGATGTTCGGTCTTAAGCCAGCTCAGATTGACGAGGGAGGAAAGATACTACAGCAACTGGCAACAGACTGGCGGGAATTGATCGCTGGTAGCGAGGGTTTCCTTACAGATGAAAAGCGGCGGAGCTTGTATCAGCATAATGTGGTGTGGGGAGAAATGGTACCACCCCAGCTCTGGTTTTATTCTGTTGACACTAGTAATTGACCTATCTCCAGGATGTGATGGGTCATGTCAACAATGTTACATATGTCCGATATGCCGAGTCGGCACGAGTGAATTGGACGCGGAATATAGGTCTCCATATTGACCCGGCCAACAAAAGCAAATGGCTTAATTTGCTCAATTCCACCGGTATTGGCTTGATCATGCGAAGTATCAAGATTGATTACAAATTTGTAGGTTCAAGGTTCAAGCCAAATGCATTGATGATGGTTTATTAGCCTAACGAATTAAATAACCAGCCTATGAAATTCCCGGACAAGATCACTGTTTATCAAAAACTTGTTTCAGACCCATCCTCGTCCCTTTCATCCCAATCTGCTTTTCAACTTCAGGTCATAATCTTGTCGGAAGCCCGTCAGCGCCCCGCGGCGAGGTGTTATGAGGATATCGTCACATATGACTACAAGAAGAATCAGAAGACACCAGAGCTTCCGCCCTTCATTCGTGATCAGTTCCAAATCATTTGGGAGCTGCAGGAGGAAGCGAAGAAGGACTGGCAGCGGCGGATTTTGGAGATTGAGGATCGAGTTCGTCGTCTTGAGACTGAAAGCTGGGATCGTGCAGATGCTGTTGAGGATACCGGTTCAGCAAAACAGTAAGAGGTCGTGGAACTGCTAAGATTAGGGATATGTACAGTAGACTTCCTAGTGAAGCTATTGAGTAGATGCGCATAAGAATTTGGATTTAAAGTATGATGGATTTAAAATGCCTACTGTAACTCATGCCCTACTCACTTCCTTCCTGAATACCTTGATGGTCGAAGGACGCAAAAAACCCATAAAATGACATTTTCTAAACGTCGTCTAATGAACATCAAAATGATTGGAAAAGAAGTGTAAAAAAGGGAAAATTAGTGGTGTTTGTAGATTTTGGCAAAATTCTCTTCAATCGGGACTTTTTTGAATAGTCCTAGTAGGAGATAGAAAACTGTCATTACAGTTTTTTTTTTAAAAAAAAGTGATCCGACTCAGTGTTGGCAATGAAATATCACTTCAATTTTGACCTTATCACCCTGATCTATTAGGGGGTTTCATAGGGACAAAACAGAATTCTAATAACTTAAAAGTTGTTATGCAGCAATTCCCGTCTGTACAATATGGCATCTTATGCTACCCACGGAATTTCCCGGTGTATTGAGACTATTTAAAGATGAAGTGACTATGATGCTGCAACCCCACACCTCCGCATTAGGTAGTATTATCGGAAGATTGAAGAGGATCGGCAAAATCTAGCCTTTGATTAGCCCGTTTTCTGTAAACTCCCTCGGCTACAAATATATTATTGTTATCCTGATATTATTATGATAAGATTCGCCTTATTATCATCAGGTAGCTCGTATAGAGTCAAAGAATTGGATAAGCCATCAATTTATGTATATGACGTATACGGGGTACAGTTTCATGGATACTGAAGACGGAGATGGTAGAAGTTTATAAGAGGGAACTACCATCTCTTCAGCCTCTTTTCTCTCTGAAATCTCTGATCCTATTCGTCCAAGACTAACAGCAAATGAAGAATCAAAGCCTCGAGGTCTCACCCGAAGAGACTCATAAAGCCATTGACGAAACCCTAGAAAAAGTAGCCAAACAACTCCGTGAGTTGAACCATGCAGCAAGTCTCGGCATCCACAACAACCGAGATGCATGAATTTTCCTAACGCATTACCCAGATCTGGTCAAACCCCAAATTAGCCTACGAAGAGCATAAAACCCATGATGCAATTTGCAACTTTCTTGAAAGTCAAGGGGTAACAGTGACTCGCCACACTTATGGTCTAGATACCTCCTTTGAGTGCATTAGCGGTAAAGAAGGTCGTATGATGAATTTCAATGCAGAATATGATGCTCTTCCATATATGGGCCATGCCTGTGGACACAACCTCATAGCAACAAGTAGTACATTCTGAGGTAAACTGGATTGAGGAGGCGATTCTAATTGGGGATATAAAGCAAGCCACTAATGACATACAAATTAAAGCGGATCAAAACTACTGCCCTCAAAAATTAGCGGCGGAACTTATGGCATCCTATGCTAGGTCAACCATCATATAATTCACGAATCATAATCGTTGTTTTAGCGCTGTGGAGTCACCTGATGGTGAACCTGAGGACGTGCCCCCCTTCTTCAGCTGACTGTCAAGCAACAGCCCTTCTCATGAGAACTACAAGCCAGACACGTTCATTTGATCATGGCATCAATATCGTTACACGGCAGTAATCGTGGGCTCCAGATTGGAGAAAACCATGGCTCGATTCATATGCTTCCGGGTAAGTTAGAAAAGGGAACCGAAAGTTAAGGCGACTGACTAATGACTGTCCAGAGCAACCGGAAACCCCCAGCCCGCTATCAACAGTCCCATTCCCACCCGATCCAGATTTTGTTAGCCGCGATGCTCTCCTTGATCAGATCCGAGAGAAAAACTCTCAGTTCCGGGGTCGAGAATTGCGCTGATTGGTCTTGGCGGCGCTGGGTAAGTTTAAAGTGCTGATCAGCTCTTATATGATATATTACTTATAAATTAAAAGGAAATCGCAACTCGCAATCGAATACTGCTATCAAGTCCGATCTAAGTCGCCGGCAACATGGGTCTTCTGGGTACATGCGAGCAACGAAGCCCGGTTCGAGCAAAGTTTCCGGGATATTGCGGACCAAGTCAAAATCCCGGGTCGCCAGGATCCCAAAAATAACATCTTTAAACTGGTCGAGAATTGGCTCCGAGATAAGGAAATAGGAAAATGGGTTTGTATCCTTGATAATGTCGATGACGATAAGTTCCTTTGCTCTACTTCAGTAGTAGGCAAGGGAGATCCGACAGAAGGACCAACAAAACCGCTGTTAGAATATGTTCCAAGAAGTCGAAATGGGTCTATTATCATCACAAGCCGGGCAAAAGAAATTGCGTTAAAGATGGTTCATCATAAGGACCTGATCGAGGTTCAACCCATGGAAAGGTCTGAGGCACTAGATCTTCTCCAAAGAAAGCTTGATACCTCAAGAGAGAGCCAAGACAGTCAAAGCCAAGAGAATCAACAATTAGTGGAAGCACTAGAGTATATGCCCTTAGCGATCGTACAGGCAGCTTGCTTGATTCGGAATCGGGCGCCTCGCTATTCAGTGTCGCAATACCTCAGAGATTTCCAAGGGAGTGACCGTGAAGCAATAAAACTTCTGAAGAAAGAGGCAGGTCACCTCCACCGCGATTGGGAAGCAAAGAATTCAATTTTGGTGACATGGCAAATATCCTTCGATTATATACGCCAAATAAAGCCATCTGCAGCAGAGCTGCTTTCTTTCATGAGTTTTTTCGATCGGCAAGGAATACCAGAAGATCTTATTCGATATCAATCTCATACACCAAGCTCAGACCTTTCAAACGACTCTAGTGATGGAGAGACATCTGATTCTGATATAGGACCCGATTTCGAGGATGATATTATGACACTTAGGGATTATTCTTTTATATTTTCGAGTGAGAAGAATAATTTCTTCACAATGCATCGGTTGATACAACTGACTACATACGCGTGGTTGAAATCTCATAGACAAGAAGACCAGTGGAGAGATAAATTTATTAACACCCTTTACGAAGAGTTTCCTACTGGGGAGTATGAGAACTGGGAGAAGTGTAGGGCATTTTTCCCTCATGTTAAATCCGCAATATCGCAACGGCCATCATCAACTACATATCAGCAAAAATGGGCTACATTGCTTTATAGGGGGGCATGGTATGCATCAGAGATAGGTAATATCACAGATACAAGAGAAATGGCATTAAAATCGAGAGATCAAAGAGTGAGGTTATTTCATACTGAGAATGACGATGTCCTTGCTAGTTTAAGTATGCTAGCAAAAGCATTTTGGCTAGAGGGCCGGTGGGGGGAGGCTGAGCGGCTCTTTATGCAGGTGATGGAGACTCGCAAGACGAAGCTCGGCGAGGACCATCCCGACACGCTGACCAGTATGGCCAACCTGGCATCGACGTTTTGGAACCAGGGCCGGTGGGAGGAGGCCGAGCGGCTCGACGTGCAGGTGATGGAGACGAGCAAGACGAAGCTCGGCGAGGACCATCCCGACACGCTGACCAGTATGGCCAACCTGGCATCGACGTTTTGGAACCAGGGCCGGTGGGAGGAGGCCGAGCGGCTCTTTGTGCAGGTGATGGAGACTCGCAAGACGAAGCTCGGCGAGGACCATCCCGACACGCTGACCAGTATGGCCAACCTGGCATCGACGTTTTGGAACCAGGGCCGGTGGGAGGAGGCCGAGCGGCTCGAGGTGCAGGTGATGGAGACTCGCAAGACGAAGCTCGGCGAGGACCATCCCGACACGCTGACCAGTATGGCCAACCTGGCATCGACGTTTTGGAACCAGGGCCGGTGGGAGGAGGCCGAGCGGCTCGAGGTGCAGGTGATGGAGACTCGCAAGACGAAGCTCGGCGAGGACCATCCCGACACGCTGACCAGTATGGCCAACCTGGCATCGACGTTTTGGAACCAGGGCCGGTGGGAGGAGGCCGAGCGGCTCGAGGTGCAGGTGATGGAGACTCGCAAGACGAAGCTCGGCGAGGACCATCCCGACACGCTGACCAGTATGGCCAACCTGGCATCGACGTACAGGAACCAGGGCCGGTGGGAGGAGGCCGAGCGGCTCGAGGTGCAGGTGATGGAGACTCGCAAGACGAAGCTCGGCGAGGACCATCCCGACACGCTGACCAGTATGGCCAACCTGGCATCGACGTACAGGAACCAGGGCCGGTGGGAGGAGGCCGAGCGGCTCGAGGTGCAGGTGATGGAGACGAGCAAGACGAAGCTCGGCGAGGACCATCCCGACACGCTGACCAGTATGGCCAACCTGGCATCGACGTACAGGAACCAGGGCCGGTGGGAGGAGGCCGAGCGGCTCGAGGTGCAGGTGATGGAGACGAGCAAGACGAAGCTCGGCGAGGACCATCCCTCTACGCTGACCAGTATGGCCAACCTGGCATCGACGTACAGGAACCAGGGCCGGTGGGAGGAGGCCGAGCGGCTCGAGGTGCAGGTGATAGAGACTCGCAAGACGAAGCTCGGCGAGGACCATCCCGACACGCTGACCAGTATGGCCAACCTGGCATCGACGTACAGGAACCAGGGCCGGTGGGAAGAGGCCGAGCGGCTCGAGGTGCAGGTGATGGAGACTCGCAAGACGAAGCTCGGCGAGGACCATCCCTCTACGCTGACCAGTATGGCCAACCTGGCATCGACGTACAGGAACCAGGGCCGGTGGGAGGAGGCCGAGCGGCTCGAGGTGCAGGTGATGGAGACTCGCAAGACGAAGCTCGGCGAGGACCATCCCGACACGCTGACCAGTATGGCCAACCTGGCATCGACGTACAGGAACCAGGGCCGGTGGGAGGAGGCCGAGCGGCTCGAGGTGCAGGTGATGGAGACGAGCAAGACGAAGCTCGGCGAGGACCATCCCTCTACGCTGACCAGTATGGCCAATCTCGCTTTTACCTTGAAAACTTCAGATCATATTACCAAAGCCATCGTTTTGCTAGGAAACTGCGTAGCCAAGCAGAAACAAATACTCGGTCCGAACCATCAACAGACTTTATCAAATTCTCAAACACTGCTCGAGTGGGAAATGGAAGACTCACACCTGAATGCTTAAACAAGCTGTATAGTTCAATATCTTCGTTATTTCCTGCTTCAAATGTTTACTTCTTGGAAGATTTCCCTATAATAACTTAGATATTACTCATTCTCCGAGAAGGTATATTTATGAATTGAAATTACTGCCAGCAAATCTCTCATAGGCAAAAATGACATTATGTAGCTATTGTATCGATAGGAGCAGAGTTTTGGTCGAGGTGAGATAATACATTTTCTTTATGTCATACATTGGCAATCGGCAAATCTGGCCTCGACTCTCTCGTCAGATAATCGGCAACTTTAGCTATTTAAATTAAGTTCTATACTGCACACAGCATCGACAGATACGGCATTATCTCAATCTGTGGATGTCAGTCCTTACATCCATACCAACCCTGGCAACCCATGTAAGAGCAGGATGATTACCCAGACATGTAGCTTAGTTGATCATATAAAAACTCTATCTATATTCCAAGGTTCGATCATCCAAAGTGATTGCTCATTAGGCAAATCTATCATGGAGGATATATCCTATAAAGAAAAAGGTACATATGTCACAAACGAAATAAGACAAGATGCCGATGTCGGTCAACTTGAGGAATATCGTGCTACTCCCGTAGAGGAGCGCAAAGTTTTAAGGAAATTGGACATTTTGTGAGTAACAACAATTTTCCAATGTTGAATTTAAGCAGTCATAGCTGCACTGTACTAAGCAGCACTTTTACCTATAGCCTCCTTCCAACTATAGGACTTTGTTATATGCTTCAGTATATGGATAAGCTCGCACTGAGCCAAGTAACACCCCTCAGGTTGCAGAAAGACCTCGTGAGTGCTCTATCTAATCCTGCTCAAATATATTTATGCAATGGCTAAGAGTATTCTTGAAGGGCCTTGTAGGTCAACAATAAACGTGGTGCTCCGCTATCTTCTACTTTGGGTATCTGGCCTGGAGTTGACCAACATCATATTTGATTGTTCGTCTTCCACTTGGGAAGTACTTGGCTGTTTCTGTGTAAGTCTAAAGCTAAGTTAAGTGAAGTCCCAGACCATGGGAGTCAGTTGACTTATGCTCTTTATTACAGGTTTTTATGGGGTGGAATATTGATGTGCCATGCGGCATGCAAGAGCTATGGCGGTTTTATCACGCATCTTAGTCAAGGCAATCTTGACTCAAGTATCGAGAAATGGCGTCTGTTGTTTCTTATCTTAGGAGCTGTTACGTCTGGATATGCCGTACTTCTTTTCTCCGTTCTGGCTGATTCTCCGGCTACAGCCTCATTCCTCACACCGATTGAACGCACAATTGAAGCTCAACGAACACTTGTAAATGAAACTAATATCGCTGAATAGAAAGCTTTCCAGTGGTCTCAGGTTTGGGAGGCTGCGCGGGATCCGCAAGTATTGTGTCTCGTGATTTACACATTCTTAGTCAATATCGGCAATGGTGGACTTACCAGCGTGAGTACAGTTGTCCATAATCTAAATGCTGTTTGATGCCAATGAAGCAAACAGTTTTCTGGAATCATAATTCCAGGATTCGGGTTCTCTGATATTAAGTCCCTTCTGATCCAGATGTCCCTAGGATGAGCTCAAATCGTCTTCCTATTCACCACAGCAGCTATCGCAACATTCATTTCGAAGTCACGAATTGGGGTAATGATCCTCAATGTCAGTGTCCCTTATTGGCACTGTCATCATCTACACTCTCAACGTCACTCAACGAGCTGCCAAGATGCTTGGATTGTGTTTTGTTGCGGTATTTGCCGTCAACATTCCTCTATGCTTGAGTCTTGTAACCTCCAATATCGCTGGCGCTACGAAGAGAAGTACAGTCAGTGTGGGTGTCTTTGCTGCTTATTGTGTGGGCAACATTGTTGGCCTCCAGTTCTTCTTGGCTAGTGAAGAGCCCAAATACCCGGTATGTCAGCCCAATCTTGGAAAGACATTACAAGTATCTTAAAACAAAAACTAACTTTTATTTCCACAAACAGACTGGTATTCGAGCTTCGCTGTGTGGCTTTGCAATTGGTATCTTGTTTCTGATTCTGCTCCTTGCTTACTACATCTGGGAGAATAAACGACGAGACTCTCAGCAGGGTGCGGGAGCTGACACTGATGATAATGGTGATTACATCGAAGAACGAAGCGGTCGAACAGATAGACAGATATCTGGTTTCCGCTATGTTTTATAATTAGTTTCAAATTTCCAAGGTTGGAAGGCGAGAACCAACGGGAGGATTCTGAATCTTAGAACGGCATAATGTCTCTATGCAGCGTATTAGTCGATGACTTCCATGGTATTCTCTGTTTTAACGGTGTACTGGTCATGAAACAGAAAGCGTTATGCTATACGAGTAGTGATCGTCTCATTTAGATTTGACCTGACAAAGATTTTCTGGGGAAATCTTGATCTCCTTGTGCACCTAGCAGTGACACGTCACACCGTTCGCATGGATGAGAACCATGTACCTAGTCGTGCATCGTGATTTTGTTCAGGCAGGTTAGGGTTACCTGAGTAGGTGTAAGGAGAGAAGGGCCATCGATCCATGTATATCTTCTCTTTTCTTATCTCCACCCGTGGACCCTTTCCACTCGTCATTTCAAACTCTTTGGATCTGGTTAGATACAGAGTTCCTGAGCATTGCAAACGTCGGGATGTGTAGAATAGATACCTAGGTAGAAGAACTTAGAAGCTGCTGATCAGTGATAAAGATGGCATACAATCACGCCATAGATATAAAACCTCGGCAAAGATCCGGTGAATTAAGGACGACAAGATCTACTCAAGCTACTCAAGGTTATCGGACCCAGTAGATTCTGGTTCCACTTTTAGCACGGGAAAATCTCAATCAGGAAAGGTGTAATACCAGTACTGATATTTCAGTCTAAGAGTTTTCAAGGTTGTATTGTCTAGATTTGAAGAATGTAAGTTAGTAACTGGGTACTCCATACTTGATAGTCAGAGAGTACAGCGTACAGCAATGGAAAGTACAAAAGCCAGCTCATATAAAGCATCCGTATATCCGCATATGGAAGTGACTCGATGGAATGCTGATCTTTACTATAAAAGTGACAGATCTACCAATACCCAAGAATCTACCAAATCAATTTCAATGAAGAAATAAGAAGAGTCGTTGAATTTGGTCCAAGGTTGCAATCTCCACCATGCAGATGTCTGTTGACCGTTAGTGCGAAGCCTTGTTTGACCCTATTCATCTGTCCTTTTTATTTGCCATTTCTGCAGATCTGCTTGACCTGATTAGGAAATGCAAACCCCTAATCCATCCTCCCTCCCAATGACCTTTAAGCTTGGTCTCGTGTCGCCATGCATACCTCCAGATTTGATGCAAGGATGACCCCGCAGTATATGGATCAAGGGATGGTGATAGTCGGTATAGGAGTATAGGACAATAATTTGGTCTGACAGGAGATGACCTCCATATTTTGTTCTGTGTTGGGTCCCACAGTGCAATTTCCAGTATACTCCGTTACGGAGTGTAGAGACTGGAGAGCATGACTAGGGTCAACATTTGAATAAGCAGTACAGAGTACACAGTACATTCAAAACTGCTGATTCTTTCGTAATGACTAGTTAGCGTATTAGCTTAGGAATCAAAAAAGAAAAAGACAAACGTCAATAAACTATTCCTCTACTTGATTCTTTCTAATCCTTTCTGATCCTTCTGTATCGTAGTATTGTAAACAATACCAATCCCGACTCAAGTGGAAAGCGGCAGCCACCGCCTGCCCAGCCTGTATGATCGACATTTTACCATACGATACGTACTTTCCGTTTCTTTCTTCAAACTTCAATGTCCTTGACTTTTCCCTCCTTCTTCATTACCCCGAAATCTTTCGTTCCTTTCCCTCTCCCTTCAATCCTCCCCAGTTCGTCCCATCTTTGATAGTACTGGACGTCTAGGGGGTCTTATCCTGATATTACTCTTCCCTTTCAATTATTTCTCCCCTCTCCTTCCAGCCTGGTCCCAGTCCTTGGCCTTGTCCCGCCAAGCTGACTCGGACCTGGGTTTCGGGCTCCCTTGTCCATGCCGCGCCCATCCGCTGCTGGTAGGAAGAATCAGAACAATCGAAACGAGAATGGCCTCGTCGGTCCTGGCAAGAAAGTAACCAAGCAGAGATCCAGCAGCCATCTTAACGGCTCATCAGGCAACGGCTCCGCTGCCGCTTCGGGTGTATCAACTTCCTTCGATCTGGGCTCGGCTCGTTCCTCCAGTGATACCGCAATCACACCCCCTAGTGTCGCAAGTAAAGTGGTCGATGAGTCCAAGGTCGAAGGCAGCGTGCGTGGGTTGGTAAATGGGAATTGCAAGGGTTTGGATATGGCGAATGGCCAGGCCAATGGTTCTGTATCGCATAACGGTGGCACCACAGTTTCCGCAAGTCGCAATGGTACTGCAAAGCGATCGGCGTCAAACGCCTCAATCAACCCGCTTCACCTCGCGTCTACTATCCTAAAGTCGTGTCCGATGTACGACACCATCGCCATCCTGATCTTTATCCTGCAGCTTCCCCCGATGGTCCTCACAGCGGTTCAATTCTTGTTCGCGTCCTTGACATTCATGCCCCCGAGCGGTGCAGCCGCCGGCTCCTTGTCGTCAAATTTTGATATTTTCCAGGGTCCGGCTGGTACACCATCTTTGGGTACGATGATGGCAATGGATGCATTTTGTGTCCTTTTCTGGGGTCTCATAATGTGGACTTGGGCCCAAAACTTCGCAATCGATCTCGCCCATGTCCAGGTCGCCATTACTCTAGGTGGCGGGGGTTCAGGAAAGAACGGCGGGGTCAATGCTCTCTGTGTTGGAATTGTTCTATTTCTTCATATTGTCCGCAGTGAAGGAATCCAGGATTTCGTATTAACCCACCTCGCTTCCACCAAACTTATCAGTCCGGATCTTCTCTCGCAAATTTCGAATTTTCTCCCCGCCCAATTCCGCCGAACCGAATCGCAAACTTCGCCAAGTTGGCTGAGAAGTCTACTCGCTCTTCATATTCTAGCACAAGCAGGTACTGCCATGGCACGTCGTTCGATGGCTAGGAATAGGTCACCGGCACCTTCGCGGAGTGGGAAACGGGTGGATACAGAGGCATCAGCAGGCTCCCAGGGTCAAGGGGATTCTGCACTTGAATCTGCCGCTAGTCTTTCGTCTTCTCTTCTCGGGCCTGATGGCAAGGATCGACTCACTTCTGCGAAAAAACGCAGGAGACAAGCCAACCAAGTTCGAAGCCGCCAACCGTTCTGGGCTGCCCTCGCCAGTACGAAGATTACCGTTATGCGAGAATACGAACATTCGCGAATATCGTCAAAAACATCACGTGGACTAACAATGACTGAAGAAGACCTTCAAGGTGTTTCTCTTGAGGATGGGCTGGTCTGGATCACCGAAGTAGATAGTTCTTCGATCAAGTTTGCTGCTGGTGATCTTTCCGAAGAGTCTACCACATCAAGCTCCTGTGAAGCTAGTACCGTTGATGCTGATATGGAGCCGTTCTATGTTTGTGTGAATGGAGCACTTTGGGCCACTGCCACAATTTTCCGCGTCTCGGAATCTTCCAAGGGGACAAGCGTGGTTCAATGGCGAGGCGAGATCCCTGGTCTTGCTCCTAATTGTGCCTATACTTGCTCCTTTGTGCGCAGTGATACTGACGAAGAGATCTGCGCGATGAGTGTCAAGACGCCTGCCACGGCTGACGCAGAACAAGGTGAGTTTTTCCAAAATCGGAGAATTGGGACCATACCTGACGAATATGAAAAAGCAATCTCCGCCGTTTCTACGCCCCCACAGCCTTCTTACCGACCATCATCACCTACTACAACTCTCAAGAATTCCATCATCAATGCTGAGGCCAAACTAAATGAGAAGCGCACGCGTTTGAAAAAGACAAAGAACGACCACAAACTCCACATCTCCAAAATCCGTAAGGAACTAGACAATTATAACCATCGCCTACAGAGTGGAACGGACGAGAATAGGCAAAAGCAACGCTCGCTTCAGCTTGAACGAAGCATTCGGCAAACGGAGGAGGACACTGCGGTTTTAGATGTACAACTGGACGGCATGGAGAATGTTCCAGAGGAAGAGCTTCAGAAGTGGTCTTCACAAAAGGCCGACTTTGACCGTGAACTGGAACGTTTCAATGCAGCCAAGGAGGACCTCCAGGCAGCCCGAATTACTGCAGCACAGCAAGCATCGTCGTTGGAGACTGATTTGACCACGGTTGTTCAGAAACGCGAGCGTCTTCAGGGCCGTCGTACGCGAGTCAATGAGCAGTATGAACGTATTATCTCCGCCAACGCCCAAGGGTTGAATGAGAGGGAGCGTCGTGCGGCCGAGCAGTTTGCTCGAGAGCAAGATCAAGCTAAATTGGAGACCAGTTTTCACGAACAATTTGCCAGCATCAGCCAGTCCGTGCAAGACTTTCAGTTGCGCACCAGTCAACTCTGGCAACAAGCATCTGTGATCGAGCAGTCAATTCAGCAACAGCAACATCAAATGCTCATGGAATCCGGTCCTTTGACTCCCGAGGGTAATCTTCCAGGTACCAACGCACTTCCCGACATCACAGAGTCGTCTCTGAATTTGTCAACAAGTTCTGCCCTGGGCGGTCGAGCGCTGCTCGGACTCACCTTCCCGTCATTCAAGTCTAGCCCTTTGCAAATATCTTCGTCTCCAGTACATGCTGCATCGTCAGATCCTACCAGTCCGGTATATGACGCATTTATGCCTCAATTCCTGAATTCCTCTGATAAAAATGGCTCCTATTTTGGATCTCGTGTTAACAATCGGGACCGCTCCATGTCCAACCGCTCAACCCATAGTAGCCAGTACGGAGAGTTCTTTGATGCGAACACGCGCATGGCAAATTTCCAAGACTTGTCTGACCTGTTTTCTCAGAAGCAACCCGATATCAATGGCTTTGCTTATACGAATGGTCGCCCAAGGCTTTTTCAACGGGCTGTAAGTCGTGGTAGCGGAGCTGGAAGTGGTAGTGGCAGCGGAAGTGGAAGCGGCAGCAGGAGTGGAAGTGGAAGTCCGAAGTCAGTACAGGCATAAGAATTCAGGATATAAAACATGCATACATGATCCAGTCTTCTGTTAACCTGCTTGATTTTCCATGCTGGCTTTGAAGCGATTCGCCCGGTTGCTCGCGCCCGTGCTTTGCCATCCTCATGTTCAATTATAGTTCCATCGCGCCGCGCCCAGATGTGGTCTTGGTATGCTTTTGGGGGGGGTTTTCTAGGGTTGGTATATCGGCTCCGACAAGGTTTCAATCGCAGATCGGCTCTTACAGTCCAAAAAGCTTGTTCTATGTTCCATTTGAGTTTTTGTAGATTTCCCCTGCGCAGTGATTAATGATGATAAGGACCGTATCATAAGTAGGCTTTTACTAGTTGTACGAAAGTGGTTTTAATTGCTCAAGCTTGGATCTTAGTCCTTGCTGTACAAAGATATGATGTGTTCGCCTCAGATGCTGGGTATAAATACATAGGCTCATGGATTCAGAGCTGGATTACGTGCAACACGCTTACTCCGTAGTATTAAACTTGGTGTTTGCATAAGTCAAGCATAGCTGGTGCGGCGAATCCTTCATCCCCTGCACATCATGCGAACATTGAATGACACGAACGACCGTACCAAGAATAATCGAGTGATCCTGCACATCGATCTTACTCGGGTGGAGGGTACACTCAAAGACAAAAGGAAAATCCACCTTCCCCTCGTTAGATATACCAGATCCCTGCGGTCTCCGCCTCAAGATAGGCAAAGGCCTATCAGATCCAGACTCATGACAAACATCCGATGGTTTGAATTCGAACTGGCCATGTCCATTCATCATTGCGGCAAGAGTAGCATTCCCTTTTGAAAAGTCGCGTGCCAGAGTTGCCGTCGCAGGCTCGGGTGCTAATAGGTGAACTAGGAATCGACCGGATGCAAGAAGTGCATTCAGAGTTTCTGATGGCCGTCGCACATTGAATGAGATGACTGGGTTCGGGGTCAAAGTTACTGTGTTAAATGATGAGACGGTCATGCCGCGGAATGAGGTTGTGTCTTGTGCGCCGGTGGGATCGGTTGCTGTGATTATGGCGACTGGGTATGGTACTTGGCGCATGAGGGTGCGGACATGCTCGGATAATGAGGTGGACGAGGGAGAGGTAGAGGTAGATGCATTACTGGTGCTTGTTGTAGGTTTTTGGAAACTATTAGCTGAGGTATGCTGGTTTCTTATTTGATTGTGTTTTGAAGCTGTGTCGTTGTATTTGAGGCATTGCCCTGATGGAACTTGAAGGACGCCTGAGTTTAGACAAGGAGTGGAGATTGGGTTTCTTGAATATAGAGGCCCTAATTGTATCATTTTGCATTTGTTATTTAGTCTGGGGACCTATTCAAGAAAGCTGTCAAACTCACCTCCGAATGCTGTCCGAGCCGCAACGCGCCGCAGTGATAGTCTCATTGCACCAGTTTGAACGAGTTAAACGACAAGTCCAGAATCCAGAAAGAAATAGTAAGAATTAAACGGAAAGTCCAAAGCTCAATTTCATCCAAATCCTGCCAAAGACTCGAATTGTTCAGTTAAGACTTGATGTATGTTTGGAGATTTAGTTCTGCAAAAAGCCCTGTCCCGCTTACATAACCGAGATAATTTCTCCAAGACGTCCGCGGACCCTAGAGGTTTATATGTTCAGCCACCCACGCAACCTCCCCTCACCTTCGAATTGCAGGCTTATTGCTCTTACAAGCTTAGAGCTGAACTCTGTCCGACCCATCCGGGCCAGCTATAAACCTCAGCGCCTCTCAAAAATGTCAATGCACACCACCATCCGCCGCACGGCGGCCACATTACCCAGCTCAACAAGCACCATCCTGCCAACAAGCCAACTCTCACAAAGCAAGGCCACAACCTTCATCTGCTCGCAATGTCGACATGCCACACTTCTCCGCCGACCTAAGCGGCCATACACCTTCACCCAGCTCATCACCCTCTCCGATGGCAGTGCCTTCACGCACCGTACCACCTCTCCGGCACCCGTGATCCGCTCTACGCGCGACACACGCAACACGCTTCTTTGGAACCCGTCCAGTAGCAAGCTGATGAACGTGGAAGATGACGAGGCTGGTCGATTGGCTGCTTTCCGTGCGCGCTTTGGTCGTTCTTTCGATGCGACGGCCCCTGCTTCGGACACCGGTGACGCTGCTGCTGCGAAGGCTGATGAAGAGGCTGCTAAGGCTCAGGCTAAAGCTGACCAAGAAGAGGAGGATAATCTGCTGGATCTGATTAGTGCTTTTGGTCAGCAGGAGCCTGCGCCTGCTGAGAAGAAGAAAAAGTGGTAGAGGGGTTATTGAATGGGGTTTGTTATACTGGGTAGACCATTTTGATATGAGGAACTCGGGGAATTCGCCTCGCTTTCAATGGTTGGGAGTTGTATTTTCTTCTGTATAATATACATGTGTCCTATTTCTATTGTGCATCAATTTCGATATTTCCAAGAGAAACGTAACCGCCAGCATATGATCGATTTAAGGCGCCGCTGATATTGGGGCTATATATATATAACCATGGCATAGCTAGGTAGCTGTAGATTTCAAGGGTACAATCATCACTTGGGCAGCTGGGTCACGAGAGACTTGAGTAGAAGCTGAGACCTGAGAGAAGGCTTCCACAAAGTGCAGGTGACAGCGATGTATAATCATATATCTTGTTAATACTCTGGTCAGCAAGAGTTAGATGAGTCTTAGATCTAATGGCACTATCGCATGGTATGCGATAGGCCCAGAGCTGTCAGACACATCACCCAGTGTTGAATTTATTCATTCACACCCTCGCAGGAAGAATATAGAAGATTTCCGGTAGTCGCAGCTATGCCAAATTTTGACCCAGAAGAGATTTTTGAATTCAAAGGCTATGTTCTTGGCTGTTTGCCCGCCATTATCTTTCATCGTTTATCTAATTTTTACTGGAATCTTGATATCCTGTTACGGGGAAATCCACCTGCACGGATTGAGTCGGATACTTCTACTCGAAGTCATTCGTTTGATTCTGATGGAGTGGCTGCTGTATAGTCAGAAAGCTCATCTTGTATTATCTATCTCTGATATGTGCGAGCTTCTGTTGGGATATTGCGCTTACGACGGAGGGCAATGCCTTTACGAGGGAACTTAGAGGTTAATTGCTGGTTGCCACGCTGTAACGGAGTAGTGGCCTTTGCCTTGAACATTGGTTCGATGTTCTTTATTAATAAAAGTTCTTCTTTAAGCCTTGCTGCGTATGGCGGTTCCAAGGCAACGATAACCATTCCAGCTTCTATGTGGCTTTGCAAGACACAGTCACTGCCTTGCAGACTAGGGGGTTTCCGGCTCTATTTGGACTCTTCTGGTATGATATCAAACCAAAAGGGGGCTAGATGTTAATAAGGAAGTATTCTGATGATATCTACGACAAGATTGACTTGTAGCATACCGTGCCCCAAATTTCATAAATATCTTAAGCATTAGTAAATTCCAAGGTTAACCGTACCTTCACTTTCAGCTCCAGAGCTAGAAAGCACACATATATCCGAATAATCTATTATAAAGTGCCCATGACAGTTGTGGGCTCCAAAAGAAAGTAAGCTCCGGGTATATAGGATCCAAATCCACCTAGCCTAATTCATGAATCACCCTAGGCTGGCCCACAGTAGCAGACGACATCTCATGAACAGCACCATGCTCCGAGGACATTTCCGACGGCTGCCATGTTGAATCGGTATGAGCCATAGATTGTGCTTGCGGAGGCATATAGACGGGTGACCAGGAAGAACCACTCTCTGCAGGCGTGCCCTTTCCAAATGAACTCATCAGTCTCCTTCGGAATATGAGAATTAATGCGATTATTGCGACGGGTGCAATACTTCCGATGACTATTCCGGCTATGTCGCCGCCTGTTAGGCCGGAGTGGGATTTTGACGAGATTGATGATGATGTTGATGTTGATTGGGCGCCTGTGGTTGTTGCGGTGGGAATCGCGGCTAAAGGAAGTATTAGTGAAGTTGTCCAGTTTCGATGGAGTTCGTAAGTCCTACTCATTGAAGCTGTTTCAACGGTGCCTGTGACTGCTGGTGCGGCAGTTGATGAAGCAAATCGAGCTGGTAGTGTGCGATAGATACTCTGCGCAGCCCAGTTCAGCAAACACCCATATCGAAAAAGTGCCTGGGCGTCGTTCGATCCCTCTGTGGGGAAAATCTTATAGGATGAGCACGAATAGCCACTATCTGTCTCGCTATGGATTTGTTAGATGGCTAAACAGTGAAAAATGTATGGATGGAGATGCCGAGTCGAGCATACTTACCAGGCACCCGAGACATCTATTTGAAGCAATGTTGGTCCATCGCATCCTGTGGCTAGGGGTATTGAGCTAGTTGGATCGAAACAGCCTGCATAGGTACTACTGGTATAATAGGTTTGCGTCCCTCCACATATGATAGGTTGGGCTGAAGAGATATCAGTGACTGCTCTCTAGCCCAGTATAATTTGATGAAAACGAACGAGTTGCTTGTAGATACCAGCCCTGGAAATCGGGTTCGGTGGTGTAATCTGCTGCGATGAAGGTTGAGGTCGCGGTATCCGATACTGTCGAAGAGACCGTCGAAGTCTCAGAGACAGTCTCTGTTAAAAAGGTTATAGTAACAGTTCCTGAAGTCGTAGTCATGTTGAATTTGCTATGGAACAACCCTTGAAGTTCAGGAGGAAGTCCAAAGACACGAGGGCTCCACGTCTTGTATGGAAAGAAAACCTCAATAAGCACTAAGACCGAAGCGTTTTAAAGGGATTTTATACCCACAACAAATAGGCTTTATTCGTCGAATGGTCTTGAGCCGTTCTGAGAGCGTGGGGGCAGGAATAAAGACACTTCATCCGACTTCATGCCCAAATAAACACGGAAATAAATATGAGGCCGAATTTCCGGTGCTGGGCCCTGGCACTGCCCCAATGGACCGTTGTTGGCCATGTATACCTGGTGTACTCTGAGCCTTGTAATCTCAAGCTGAGCCGCTCGGTCCCACAGCAACAGTGGAGATCGAGTATCAAGGGTAAAGTTAGGGTTCTGAAACGGTCGCACTTTAGCAATGTTCGATCCCTTTTTGATATGAGATCAACTTTGAATAGGATAAATGAGACTTCAAAGTCTACTAGCTTTGTAAATTTGAAGTTGTGTGCTGTGTGTTGACTAGTGTTTACTAGTGTTTACTAGAATTGGCCTGTGGGGATGCGTTTCAAAATGCTTATTTTTGTGGCTTGATTTAGTGACATACGGCAATTCCGGCAATTTTAATGAGCCCAAATTTTCACACACGACCATTTGCCTACCAAGGCATATTAAGGTGGTCTTATGATAAGACTCAGACGCTGGATACTCGGAAAAGATGTGCAATACATTAAAACAGTGGTATTGAACGGGAGTCACGACGCAAACGTGGAGGGATAAATGAAAGAGCGCAGTTTTTCCGTAATGGATACATCTGGGTACAGGTCTGTTTGCTGTGTCAAGTGTTGAGAGTCAAAATGTCAGACGTTCATGCTTCGTCGTCATCGGTGGGTTGATCCTCAGACTGCACGGAGGCCTCTGTGTGCTGACTGGCTTCAACAATTGGCATGTAGTATGGAACGCCATCCTCTCCAGCATCCAGGCGAAGAAGGAAGGTCTCCCATAGTTCGATTAACTGCGATGTGTGAATTAGTAAAAGTCAAAATCAGGTCGCTGAGTAACAAGCCTACCTCCTTTTGAGCCTCAACGGCACTCTCCAAAAACGTCTCCACGCCAGACTTGAAATCCTCCACCTTCTCCTTCTCAAATCGCTGTAGCTCATTTCGCATCAACCGGCCCATATCCTCGAATAGTAGGCGTGTCTGGTGTACTTTACGCTCTGCATCCGCAACGTCTGCGTTGACTTGGTTCAAGCGATCCTGCTGGCTCTTGCCTTGACGGAGCAGCTTCTCCTGGTTATTCTTGCGCTTCTGAAGATCAGACTCGGCAGCGTGCCAGCTGTGGAAGGCCTTTTGTCGTTGAGAGAAGGCAGTCTTGATGCTGCCGATTAGACGAATATACTCGTCAATGGTGATGCCCAGAGTCAGAACATCTTGCTGCGCCTGGCGATCGTATAGCTCTCGAATTCGTAGTTGGAGCTCTGACAAGCCATCCAGGGGGCAGATAGAGCAGGCGACAGTTCAACCGCAGCAAGAGCATGAAGCGAGCTCGAGAAATCACCTGCTGCTTCAGAAAGCCCCTTCCGCTGCGCAACGACAATATCAATCGATTTCATTAATCCCTTCAATTGGTTCTCCAGAGCATCCAAGTAAACTTTTCGGTCGTGGAACCACTGTCCTAAAAGTAAGCAGGTGTAATCTACAATCATCGGACGGAACTTACGTCGTCATGCTCGACAAACTTGGTGCCTCCACCAACAGAAATGCCGAGTGAGCTAAGCATACCCTTACTCTGACCAAGATCAGGCTCTCGATTCTCCTTGTTTTTAACGTCAACATTGAAAGCTTCGCTTTCAAGGAAGATTTTCAAGTCCGCGTCATGTTGAAGAATCGGATGACCGGCAATTTTGTTCAGCATTCTCTCCAATGCAGCTCGTCTTGATTCAACAAAGTTAGTATCAAATCGGCCAACGGCCTGCTTCTCAGGTGGAGGAGCAACAACGACACCCGGGTTGTTGTTGTGCAGGGAGGTATATAGCCAGAGGAAATCACGGTATCTACGGCTGACAGCGAATTCAGGTTGACGGTATGCTTTGGACGATGTCTATTCCATTTGCCGAGGATTAGCCACTGTCCAATTGTTGTCATGCGACGGCCGGTCGATTTACCTTTGTCCGAACTTGGTAAACAATGTGACTGCTGGTCAGGTCTCCCACTTTGTGCGGATCCCCCACATGAATATCAAAAGTCGGTTTTGAGGCTTGCTCTATGCTCATGCTAGGTTGCGACTGTCGTCTCGGTCCCTCGAATTCCACCGGTAACTGTACGGGCGGAGGACCACGGAAACTGGCACCATCGTCATCCAGGCTGACAGAGTCTGCCAGGGCGCCTGCACTAGGGATATGGGAGAAAGCCAGGGACGACTGGGGGTTGCGTTCAGCAAGAGATTCTTTCTGTGGAGGTGCAGGAGCCTCGTCGGAGGGTGTTACGCTGGCCTCGTTGGTCGCTTCAGCAAGCGGACCCAGTGGGTCGACTGAATTATCCACGGCTTCCAATCGCGTCGCTTGAGCGCTGATCTTTCGTGTTCCGCCTCTTCTTCCAGGAGTTCGAACCTCTGCGCGGTTCTCAGACGGTGCGGGGTGGGCAGGAGCTTTAAGGAGTCAACCGTTTAGTGGAGGCCGGGGAAGGGTTTTCAATGACAAGACGAACCGCTCTCTTGACCATCAGGTTTAGGTGTGTCATTGCCGGTTTTGAACTGCGAGGGCTCATCTGTATTCAATATTAGATCTCAATTGAAAGAGCTGCGGGATCATGGCTGCCTACCGCCCCACGGGGAGTCGCCAGTGTCGAGGTCCATTTGTCGGTGGAGAATGGAATATTAGGGGGTCGTCAAATTAAAGGGTAAAGTGCTCTGTTTAACCAAAGCTCTGAAGTTATTAGGATTGGAGTAGCTTCGAGGTTGGAAGCTGCAGTTTAGCGGTTGAGATGGAGGATGATCCGCGGTTCTTAGTCACCAAGCTAACTAGCGTTGTCCCTTGTCATGGACTTTACACAATACATTTTCCTACTTGAATTGATTGAAATTATCACTGCTTCATTATTTTTGCTACTTGAAAATATGGTATTTCTCGAAGCTAGAAAAGAATGCACTGAACATGTTTACGTCATCTCAATGGGATAGTTAACTATACTTTTCTTATAGAATCCTATGTCTACTTGAGCCATGGAAGACCTAGCTTGTGCATTTCCACCGCCAGCTGGAACAAGTAATCCAAGCTTTCACATTGCGTCTTGGCTTTGGCGACATTGTCACCCCAAACATAACTGAAGAGGGTTAGCAGATTGAAATTTCGAGAATTGGAGTCCTTCTTACATTCCGTGTCTCCGCACAAGCACAGCATAGGTATCGGGATACTTGTTCATGGCCGCTTCCAAACCCTCGGTGAGATCCTCCTCAAAGGCGGTGTTATCGATGATGGGAATACGCAGGGTGTCGTGGAAGTTGTGCATACCCTTTCCTTTGCCGAGAGGAATACCCTTGATCTGCTCGATATTGCTGATCTCGAAGCAAGCATCAGGACCCTTCTCCCGCTCGACAAGCAAGGTCACCAAAACTGCCCATTGGGAGTGAGTGTGAATGCAGCAGCCGGCGCCATGTTCAAAAGCTGTCAGGAATAGCGGGGTGCAGGCGGAGGGGTTCAGCTTAAGAGGCTTGCGGATATAGTTGCGCTCAGAGGCCGGGTACTTCTTGGTGGGCCACTGCAGGACAAAGATGTTTTCGGACTTTATGAGCTCCTTCTGCACTCCAGACGGGGCAATAAAGATATGATCACCATGACGGATGGATGTCTATTTCTAGTCAGTATCTATGTGCGGGGCAAAAAGAAAGAGAGAAAGGGCCTCATACACCTCCACCAGTGCCAGTGACCCATCCCCAATTGTAGAATCTGCGGCAGAGATCTGGGATCAGGTTTGCCGGGTGTTCAGGATCAGATGACTGCACTAGATGGTCATTCTTGCCAGCCTCGACGACCTGGTTTTCATTGGCGCCCGGGCACATATTGGATGTCGGCCTTCAAATTTTGCTTCGAAGGATGGTGTTGGTTGATTCAGAGTGAGTTTGGATTATGTCCTGGTGAGACAGTGTCGAGGTAGACCTGGTTAATCTAAGATGAAGAGTGTAGAGAGCACCTGGGGCGCAATAAATATTTTCGGGGTTTGGATCTCCGTCTCCGCACTTCAAGCTTGGAAAGAACTAAGTACAATTTAATGGTGAAGATGTATAGAATTTTTACAGAATCAAAAGATGACAGAGTCTATAGAATAAATGATATTCGTGACATATTAGAATAACTCAGTAACCATAAATCTAACCCCTCGTGGCGACATAACTGGCTCCGATTGCTTCTACTTCTGACCGCCTACCGTTGAAGTGGGCTGAGTAATCACGTGATATCGACTGCTATGTATAGTCACGTGATGTTTACTACATAAGTACAAGATTGAGAGTATTACACGGGTGCCGTGGCGCAGAGGTTAATCCCAGCGTATATTGCGGTGTTCGGCTCCAAGGTTACCAGTTCCATCCTTCAAGGGGACACTTTTGAGTTGCACTGGTTAATCCTAGTGCTGAATGAATATAGCTAATTGGTGTGTATTGAAGATAAGAGAAGAGCTGTCCATCTACTTGCATTTTGAAGGCTCTAGAAGTCAGACGTCAATGATTAGCCCTGGAAGATGAGTCTGTGTAATACTTGGATATTTGATGGGCCCATAAATAGTAGGCAGTAAACTTGACATAATATCTTCTAGTAATCTGATATCCCGATGTTCTAATGTTTTGATACTGCAAGGTTTGTAGGAAAAGCTGGGGGATCGTCTGTATACAAGTCAAGCCAATCAGGAAAGAGTCTCTCCGCTGTGGAACCTGCCCGGGACAGGGTACACAGTAAATACTTGACCATTAAGTCCTCAAGTTGAGGAAATCTGTGCAATTTATTGTGTATGACCATTTTATTGAAGTTTGTAAAAAAGGAATGATATGAATATTGAAATTATACTATGAATGTGCAGAGTAATGCAAGTGAACTGCAAATGGAAGGCGATCGAAGGGAGTACCTACACTAGTCCCGATTAGGAGCTGCCTACCAATTTGAAGAGGACACCTGGACCTTCTCCAGTTACCAATTATTCTATATAACCTCCACTTCTCCTCTTTTCTTCAAGGCGTTCTTTCCCCTCCCTGTCTCCCCATTCAGGTGCTGTGCGCTTCCCTGATTCTTAATTTGTCTCACCATGCGTTTCAACGCCGCCATTACGGCTCTGGCCCTCATGGGCGCTGCCCATGCCGAGGAGTCTGAAGCTATTCCAGACGCTACCTCCGCTATTGAGAGGCCCACTTTCACTGTACGTCACTATTCCTCATCCAATTGACTTAATACTTATATTTCCTCTAGCCTTCTGCCCTCAAGGCTCCTTTCCTTGAGCAGTTCACTGATGACTGGGAGTCTCGATGGAAGCCTTCCCACGCGAAGAAGGAGGACTCTAAGTCTGAGGAGGACTGGGCCTACGTTGGTGAATGGGCTGTTGAGGAGCCCTCCGTCTTCAAGGCCATTGATGGCGATAAGGGTCTGGTTGTCAAGAACCCAGCCGCCCACCACGCCATCTCCGCCAAGTTCCCGAAGAAGATCGACAACAAGGGCCAGACCCTGGTTGTTCAGTATGAGGTCAAGCCACAGAACTCCCTTGTCTGCGGTGGTGCCTACCTGAAGCTTCTTCAGGAGAACAAGAAGCTCCACCAGGAGGAGTTCTCAAACGCTACCCCGTACGTGATCATGTTTGGTCCCGATAAGTGCGGAGCCACTAACAAGGTATGATGAGATCCCCAATTTCACACTACGGAACAGCGCTGATCAATCTCCAAAGGTACACTTTATCTTCCGCCACAAGAACCCCAAGACTGGCGAGTATGAGGAGAAGCACCTGAGCACTCCCACCGTTGCCCGCACCAACAAGGTCACCTCTCTCTACACTCTAATCGTCCGACCCGATCAGACCTTCTCTATCCTTATCAACGGCGAGTCTGCCAAGGAGGGAAGCCTCCTGGAGTCTTTCAGCCCTCCCGTCAACCCTGAGAAGGAGATTGACGACCCCAAGGATAAGAAGCCAACTGACTGGGTTGAGGAGAGCAAGATTGAAGACCCTGAGGCTACTAAGCCCGAGGACTGGGACGAGGAAGCTCCTTACGAGATTCTTGACGAGGAGGCTGAGAAGCCCGAGGACTGGCTAGAGAATGAGGCCACTAGCATCCCCGACCCCGAGGCTGAGAAGCCCGAGGACTGGGATGATGAGGAGGATGGAGACTGGGTTCCCCCTACTGTCCCCAACCCCAAGTGCGCTGACGCTTCTGGCTGTGGAGAGTGGACCGTTCCTTTCAAGAAGAACCCTGAGTACAAGGGCAAGTGGTCTGCTCCTCTGATTGACAACCCCGCCTACAAGGGTCCATGGGCCCCGCGCAAGATTGCCAACCCTGGCTACTTCGAGGACAAGACTCCCTCCAACTTTGAGCCCATGGGCGCAATTGGTTTCGAGATCTGGACCATGCAGAATGACATTCTGTTCGACAACATCTACATTGGTCACTCTGTCGAGGATGCTGAGAAGCTCCGCCAGGAGACTTTCGATGTGAAGTTCCCCATCGAGACCTCCCAAGAGGAGGATGCCGCGCCCAAGCCCGAGAAGCCCGCCCCCGGCACCACCGTTACTTTCTCTGAGGACCCGGTCACATTCGTCCGCCAGAAAGTTGACTACTTCATCAACCTGGCCAAGGAAGACCCTGTCAACGCCGTCAAGACCGTTCCCGAGGTGGCCGGTGGTCTGGTCGCCATCCTTTTGACCTCCATCCTCATCATCGTTGGTGCCATTGGCCTCAGCAGCCCTGCCGCTGCCTCCGAGAAGACTGGCAAGAAGGCCGAGAGCACCGGCAAGGAGAAGGCCAGCCAGGCTGTCAGCTCTTCTACCGACACTGGCAAGGGCAGTGCCACCAAGCGCACCACCCGTTCCTCTGCCGAGTAAAGAGTGTGAGACGAAAATAACCAATTCTACAAAACAATGAGCCCGCATAGCCCCCGCGTTGATTCCAAAGTTTTATTCCCTGTTGTGTTGTTTGTCATATGTGTGTACGGTAGCTAGAGATTCCCAATAAGGAGGTCTTGGTATAGTATTCATACTTCTGACCATCAATTGATTTCATGATTCATGCTTCAATAGTTGAGATTTGAGATTTGTGATTCGTAATTGCCTACAATAAAATCTATAAAAACTCCTCTCTAATCTGGATCGTATTGTGGTAAACAGTCATTTAGATAAGCTCTTATCTCGTTACTACTACTTCCAACAAGCGGGTCAATCCTCGGGTCCTGAAGCACTTGCTCGGCCACTTATCCTTGATTATGATTGGTTAATATCACCGAACTGTTATCTGAGCGTTGTTATCCAGTGCGGGGAACCCGATTAGAAGTGACTTACGATTGACCGAGGTCTTAGTTAAACACATCCATGTAGTACATACCTCCCTTGTTCACGTCCTAACCACCTGACCCAAATCTTATCCTACCCACCCGACTAGATATCTTCGTATCAGATTTGATCCCTTTATCAGATCTCTTTTTGTTCTCAATTCACAATGGCGGCCCGTAGGTCTTTGGCCCGTACTATCCCCGCTCTCCGCTCCATTCCCCGCACGCCTTCAATCGCCAGGGCCAACATCACCACTTCTCAAAATGTCCAGCTATCACGTCAAGGCGCAATATTTACTCCTGGTGCTCTAAGATGTCTGCATGCCACTTCTAAGCAGCTTAACCATTCCACAGTTGCTTCAACTGCCACGGAATACCCGACGGATCACAAGCAGATCGTCAACCCCATTGACACAGCTAACTTCATCGACAATGAATTTGTGCCGTCAAATGCAGCAAAATGGATTGAAATCCACGACCCTGCCACAAATAATCTCGTCACCCGCGTACCCCAAAGCACGGATGAAGAGCTCAAGGCCGCTATTCAGTCGGCCGAGAAGGCCTTCCCCGCCTGGAAGGCTACTAGCATCATCGCCAAACAACAGATTATTTTTAAGTTCACCAGCTTGATTCGGGAGCACTGGAACCGCTTGGCTGCTTCCATTACTCTCGAGCAAGGCAAGACCTTTGATGATGCCAAGGGTGACGTTCTTCGTGGTCTGCAGGTCGCTGAGACCGCTTGTGGTATAACAACTCAGCTGACCGGCGAGGTCTTGGAGGTCGCAAAGGATATGGAAACTCGCAGCTATCGCGAGCCTCTAGGTGTCGTTGCTGCTATCTGCCCTTTTAGTAAGTTGAAAAGATGTGGCAAATCAATTCACGTCTTGCATGATGCTAACCATTTAATTAGACTTTCCCGCCATGATTCCCCTGTGGTCCATCCCCACCGCCACAGCTACCGGTAACTGCCTGATCCTCAAGCCTTCAGAGCGTGATCCTGGCGCTGCCATGATTCTGGCCGAGCTGGCCAAGGAGGCCGGCTTCCCACCGGGTGTTGTCAACATTATTCACGGAGCTCACCGAACCGTGGACTTCATCCTAGACGAGCCTGCTATTAAGGCAATCAGCTTCGTTGGTGGTAACAAGGCTGGCGAGTACATCTACTCTCGCGGCTCCGCCAATGGCAAGCGCGTACAGGCCAACCTGGGTGCAAAGAACCACGCTGCAGTCCTACCAGACTGCAACAAGAATCACTCTCTGAACGCCATTGTCGGTGCGGCCTTCGGTGCTGCCGGGCAGCGCTGTATGGCTCTCAGCACTGTTGTGATGGTTAACGAGACGAAAGAGTGGCTGCCCGAGATCGCTGAGCGCGCCAAGGCCCTCAACGTGAACGGAGGTTTCGAGGAGGGAGCTGACCTCGGCCCTGTCATTAGCCCCGAGAGCAAGAAGCGTATCGAAGATCTGATCGCTAGCGCCGAAGAGGAAGGTGCTACCATCCTTCTCGACGGCCGTGGATTCAAGCCCGCGAATTACCCCAACGGCAATTTCGTCGGTCCTACCATCATCACAAATGTCACTCCCAGCATGAGGTGTTACAAGGAGGAGATATTCGGTCCAGTCCTCATCTGTCTGAACGTTGATACCCTCGATGACGCCATCAACCTCATTAACGCTAACGAGTACGGCAACGGCGCTGCCATCTTCACAAGCTCCGGCTCAACCGCTTCTCGCTTCCAGAAAAACATCGAGGCCGGTCAGCTTGGCATTAATGTTCCTATCCCAGTCCCTCTCCCAATGTTCTCCTTCACTGGTAATAAGAAGAGTGTAGCCGGTGGTGGTGCTAACACCTTCTATGGCAAGCCTGGGTTGAACTTCTACACTCAACAGAAGACTGTTACTAGTCTCTGGAAGAGCGAGGATGCTACTAGCACTAAAGCGAACGTTGTCATGCCAACCCACTCTTGAAAGTATTTCTACATCAAATCTAAATTGCATTGATGCAATTCTACCCGGGTGTTTATTATGTTTTTCTGCTGTCAAAAGAAATGGCCAACAAGCTTGTTAATTTGGTTTAGCTAGAAAGCTCACTACAAAATCCATCTTGAATTTCTGAAGTTTTCTTGAACAGATTAAGGTGGTTCACTTGGTTGGTCGAAATGTAGACTCATAAAAGTTCTGCGTGTTATCGTTTTGTTAACATCCAAAAAAAAAAAAAAAAAAAAAAAAAAAAAAAAGAAAGAAAGAAAGACCTTCAACGGATCCATATCGAGAGTAATGATATGAATTACTTGCTCGATTGCCAAATAAGTTGAGTCTCTTCATGGCCCCGAAAGTGTTCCATGAATTCGTCATGGGAGCACACTTTGTCTCGCACAGTACACAGAACCCTTCCTAATCGCAAACCCTTCTTCGCAAACTGGCAACGACTGCGGCTTATTCCTTTCAAAAGCACCCTCCACGACTGATCCATTTCGAGAGGGTAGTGATTTCAAACCCTTCCTTGCTCAATTTCCAAATACGTTGAGCCTCTTCACATCCACGAAAGTGTTCCATGAATTCTTCATGGGAGTACACTTTATCTCGCATAGTAAAAGTATCAGACGGAACATTTCGTAAATGCAAACCCTTTTCCACGGAAACCTGGCAACCACAGCAGCTGATCCCATTCTGAGTGCTACCGCTTCTAATGTCGAGATATGGGAAAGGTGTTGTCACCATGTAACGAATTAGTTCTGAATTGTTGGACGGCGCCACTACAGCACCATAATCTTCTTCACGTAGATATTCGAGGTTGAGAAACAATTCAGGGATGACGTAGAACCCCTTATTTCGAACATTCCGAGTCATTGAATAGATTCCTGGCAATGTTCTCACAGCAGGCTTTGGTCTGTGTAGGAAGCCCTGCGAGGGGCTGATTAGGCAGCCTGGGCTGAAACGAAGACGTTTTTTCATGACTGCAAAATGTAAGAGGATGGGTAAGCGATCTCTCCGAATGCAAGCGAAACAGCACCTCATCAACGATGGAAACGACGGCAGGAAAAGAAAGCCACCGAAGCCACCGCAGAAATCACAGTTCTTCGTACAAAGTGCTTTGAAAATATCAGACATCGTGAACCAAGCTGCAACGTTGGTGCTCAAGGCTACGCAGAGAGCCTTTGAAGCATGGGTTACCACTGCTTCGTAGCGACGGGTTTCTCTCGCAATTTGGCGGGCACAGCGATTGACATGGCGAAAGTTCATCAGGGATCGGATGTCCAGTCGGGAGCATATGTCTGTGACGATTTCACGAGGTAAAAATTGAAGATTTCCGAGGCTTGAGTCAGTGGTATGGATGTTTTGAAGTAGTAAGCTGCGTACCTCGTGATGGTCATAGGGGTTCGTAGAGGGAATGGCAACCGCTTGATCCCAGTCACGTCGATGATATGAAGTCGTGCGGATAATCTCCACTTCATCCAATTCTTCGGACTCGTCAGGAGATGTTGGTTTGGTTCCAGATTCCATAGTTGGCATAGGTCAGTAGACGGGTGTGAGGTTTGAATTTGTAGTGTTGTGTGTTTGAGAAGTTGATGAGGAGTTGGAGAGGAAGAAGGATCAGAGGTCGAGTTTTGATAGATTTCGAAAAAAAAATACGGATTGTATTGATGAGTCTTGTGACGGTTGAATTACACCGAGATGTTGAGTACTCGACACTTCTTCATGCAAATAGTCAGCATGGAGTATTCTAGATCACGAAATCTAATCATGGCCTTTGATAAAGAAGCCTAGTAGGTGAATCTAAGAAGCTAGATGCACGAAGTTAAGATCTGGAATTTGATGTTGGTCCACTTTGTCACCTGTTGTTATGCTCTTTGACTATACTAAGCTTTCACTCCTGTATCATCTAGGATTGCGTCATGCAAGATGCGTCGATATTTTAACCCTGGAGTGAACTAGTGATATGGTGAATGTGTGGTCAACCGGGTAAGTTGACGCTGGATAGACGTTGCTTGAGGTCTAGAGGCCTCATTAAGCCTCAAAGGTAGAAGATAGAGAGAGGCCTTCTAAGACTTGAAAATGTAGTTCACTGAAAAGATAGAGATTAGCCATAGGCAACTTTGGGTATCTAGCTAGGATACTAGCAATACAAAAAATCCAAAGGCTGTTCTCGAGCTCAACTGTGAGGATATACGTCACTCAATAAGCAAGATCATCCTCCTGATCCTCAGTTGGAAGCTCATGGCCGATGAAGGTATACACCAGACGGGCCATTTCAAGCTTGTTGCCCTTGGCAACCGCAACGCGACGAGTGTGGCGGCGCTCGCCATCGACAATCTCAAAGCCCCAAACCTGTATCTGATCAACAAAATGAGCTAATCATTAGAACAGGAGGAAAACATACCTGCTCGGCAGTCCAACCACTAGCAGCATTCACAACCCAGCTTTGCACAAACAATTCCTCGTCCACGATATCCGCAATGAACCCTTCAGAAGCGGAACCATCGGCATATATTTCACCACGCAAGAATCGCTTGATTGTGGCATCGGTCTCTTCATCAACCTTTGTCTGCATATCGAGGGCGGGACGTACTTTGCCGTCTTCGCCCTTCGCTCCACAGATCAAGCGGGAGCAGCCTGCCACCTCTCCGAAGATATTGTCCTTGTGCTCACGCACGGCCCAATTCATCTTGCGCTCTTCCTTGTTACCATTGATACCGCCAGTCACGACCTGCTGAATATCAATGTGATAGATCGTGGAGTCTTCTGTATCTGTGTACTCGCGTATCTGAAGTGTAATGGTGGCATATGCGAGAGCTTTGCGGAGTAACCAGCCCACACCTTGCTATCGGAGTGTTAGCTGACCTGAATTGCCTCCGGTATTTCACGCATAGTTATTGGGAGTGTTTGTTTGATTGAAGATTGTGTATTGCAAATTTCATTACGTCTGCCAGAGCATATGAGGAGGGATTGATACGTACCAGGTCTAGGATAGGATCAAAGGGATTGGACTGGGTGGTGTCCTGTTATACATCGATATGGTCAGTCGACTTCAGCTCAGAATAACTGTGGAGTTTAGATCAAGGAAAGCTCCTAATTCATTGAATCAGTTGACCTACCATCACCCACTGTCCATTGAGGTTTTTAATTGTGATATCAGCTGGAGCGGCCATCTTGAAGAGTACCTTGGTTTATGTAGAAATGTGGGGTGGGGAGAGAAGAAGTAAGGTACCTGTACTATAATTAATAGCTGGAAGGGTTGGCCCACCTTATCACTCCGATAAGCGGTGTCAATCTGATATGGAAGGTAAATAGAAGCGGTCAGTAAATATTTCAATCTTTAATTATCCATTCCGTTAGAGAGTAATTTAGACAGTAGAAGGTAAAATATCGAAGCAGAGAAGAATACAAATTCAACACAAGAGAACCTTGGAAAACCGGGAATTCTAGAACCAGAAAACTGAGTAGATTCATTTCCAATCACTTTATATGGAAAACCTAGTGAACCAACCCTTCCTTTCGAGTGCTCGCTTCATCCTGAAAGTCTGATCAAGGCCCAACTACTAGGCTTCATGCCGTTCTAAGGGGATATAAAAAATGGCCTTGGATTTGTAGCTTTCAGTAGATATAATAATTAATAATTAATTAAATAGGTACTTCATACTCCACAGATATAATATCAAAGACGATGCGTACTTCGACTCCGTTGTAAACAGTCTTGGCAGGCCCACGTGCCTTCATCTGTAACTGCGGATGCCGCGTTGTTGACTTGATCAAACATCAACCATGGCCTTCAACAAGAAATATGCCGGTCTTCCAGACCTGGTAAGTCTCTGAAACATCTGTTCTTTGCCTCATATTAACTTTGCCAGGATCCTGCCCCAGATCTTTACGAAACCCCTGATCTGACCGACGAAGCCTCCACTGTCCCCGTGAGTCTGTCCGAAGCCCTATAGCATGACCGAAGACTAATCAAGCCTTGCCAATTCCAGACAGGTACGATTCACACAGACTTTGATCATGACGAGGCTGGCTTCAACTCTGACATCGACCGCGACGGAGTCAACGCCGACAAGGCGCGTGCCCGCTTCATGGGCGCTGCGGTCGATGCCCGCGAGGCCAATTTCTCCGACGACATTTCCATGAGACGCCAAGCATACCGAAGCAAGAGCAAAGGCCAGCACCGACGGCGAAGACGCCAGGATGGTACCGAGGAACTGGGTGATATCAGTGATAGCGAGGACGAATCACTCGATCGGCGGCTGGCGCGCCTACGGCGAGAGGTTGAGGATCTGAAAGTGGACATGGCACAGCAGTCGGAATCCAAGCAAACGACGATATCTGAGACCAGTCCTTCCCAGGATAATTCTGCTGTGAAGCCTACAGTTGGCTTGAATGACGGCGTCGCTGAGTTGAGTCGTGCACTGGATAATTTACATGCTTCAGCACGTGGCATGAATAATTCACACTCGGCTGTTTCTGCGCTGTCTCAAAAACTCGAAGCCGATCTCCTCTCACAGGCCCCCACCAACCCCTCGCAAAATCAAATACCGTCCGATGGATCAGCATCAGCTGCTGCTCCTTCTATACCGACCCATGCCAACCCACCAACAACTGGAATCCTCTCACACGCAGCGGCGTTCGAGAGTCGCTTAACACTACTTGAAGCTTCTATGGGCATTTCGAGTTCCTCTAATCCATTCGTGGGTGACAGCATTAGTGAACCGGCGCTACAGCCTGTACTTCCTGCCCTAGACCAGCTTACCTCCCGTCTCGGAGCTTTGACGAGTCTTCTTACAGGCCCAAACCCAACGTCCTCGGCTCCTACTACTGTGTTGAGCCAAACCACTCCACACCTCGAAGCTCTCTCCTCTCGGGTCCGCAAGCTGACCACCGACGCAGAGGCTCTCACTTCAGCACGCAGGCGTGCAGCTGACGCCGCAAAGTCTGCACAGACTGCACGCATCGCATCTGGTGACTCTGATGCCGATGTCCCCGCCGCTGTAGGTGGATCTTCTGTAGCCAACGACGAATATGCCGCCAAGATCCAGGCGTTGTATGCAACCCTTCCGACCATCCAGTCACTACACCCGCTTCTACCTAGTGTCCTGGAACGTCTACGTTCTTTGCGTGCCTGTCATTCCGGTGCTGCTCATGCTGCAGAATCACTCAATGAGTTAGAGAAGCGCCAAGCTGAGATGACTTCTGAAATTGAACAATGGCGTGAAGGTCTTACTGCGGTGGAAGAGAAGATGGGACAGGGTGAAGCGGCACTGCGTTCAAATATTGAAACTGTCGAGCCCTGGGTGCGTGAGCTCGAGTCACGTATGGGTCGGCTAGGAGGTCCTCCTGCTAGTTTGTGAAAACATGGGATAGAATCTGTTAATTTTTAGTTTGCCGGTAGGACGGTGTCGAACTACCACATAATACCCATCAAATGCAAATATTGAATTGATTCATTGATTGATAAGATTAGGGCATTTACACGATTTTTCTAAAGTATCAGGTGATATCCTAGTGGGTAAGAGATAGGACTGAGTTTCTACGCACAGTGCAGTGCCTTATGATAAGGTGCTGTTGCAAAAGTGTAAGGTCTGTCTTTCTATTCCGCACAGAGCCGCAACTAAGTATACATAAATACCTCCACTTAATCTGGCCAATCAGAGTTGTTATAACCGACACCCTTATAGGCCTATATTCAAAGGGAATCACTGAAGTGGGAAGATATTGTAGACTAAGGAGTTTAACGGACCTAAATTCTAGAGCTGTGATAGATCTAATGGAAAAGCTTAAGGTAGAGAAGAAAAGAAAGGAACGATCAGGAAGTCGCTTCGAAGGCAAGAGCAAGAGAGGAGTAAGAGCGAGCAGAAATAATAAGGAACGATGATCAAGAAAAATAAAATAACGTCGACATTGCTTCGATACGCATTTCCATTTTTGGTTTAGTCATAAACTTTGAAGTATAGTTACAAAGTAATTTAGAGGAAGCTGTCGGATCTGGAGCCGAGAACGAGGCTGGATAATGAGACTTTTGTAACGGACCTGAACTCTACGAATAATACGCAAGGAGTTGTGTCAATAAAGTCGGATTCTAAGTTAGAGGAAGAAAGAAGAGAGGTAAATCCCTGGCATAGAAAAAACGGTACGTAAAGCCAACTTGGTATAATAGTAACGGCTGATACCCAACGCAATTTTGGATAGCCTTTCCACGGCGTAAGCAACGGCGTCCTCCGCTTAATATCGCGCTTAGAAAATTTAAAGCTGGCCGATTACTTAAGAGTCAGACCCTTTTAAATCGAATAAATCGGGCACCTCTGGAGACTGAAGTGGAGCTTTGGGTCCGGAGCATGCCCTAAGAGACCTCATAAGGACTGTGTCTTGCCATCGACTACGGAGAAGGAGAAACCTTGGAAAGCTTGAGTTGAATTTTTTTTATTGAGCCAATATTTCATTAAATGAGTTTCAGGGTTAGAGGAGAGAGTGTTTTTCTTGAGATTCTTGTTACATTCGAAGGTAATCGAGAAGACAAGAGAATTGGGTACTGGCAATTCCGCTGGTATATCATGATATGTATTGTAATGCACGGGGTCTTTTCTTTCTTGGCCAGAAAAAGATGTCTTTCTTATTGTGTACCCCAGTAGAAAGGGAATAATGACGAAATCTATGTATTTTGAGTGATGAAAAGGACATTGCTAACCGAAGCAAAAGAGTCCCTTGTAAAAATGAAATGTCAACGCCCTATTGTTTTAAATTCTTAAACTTTTGTGCCCTGGAGCTGCTCTGCTAGGCTGGCCACGGATCCTGACTTCTTCTGGTCAAGTCGTTTTTGGAGCTCGGGGACCAATGAGGCCAATTCGACCTCAACACCATCCTTTTCAGGGTGGCCCTCTGGGAGACCCATCTCCTTGACACGGACCTTGCCAGCGGCCCATTCCTCTTCGCCAAGAATAATGCCGAAGGGAATGCCACCTTGTTCGGCAGCCTTGAACTGTTGAGGGAGCTTGGGCTTCACCTTGTAGGAAAACTCAGCCTGTGGTCAGAGGTTAGCATTGTTTGGAAATAGTAGCATTCTTTTGTCTACCTTGATATTAGCGTTCCATAGCTTCTGAGTGATCTGCATTCGCTCCTTTAGCAAGCCAGTAAAGCCCTTTCCACCGAAAGCCATGACGTATGCGTCGACCTCACTAGGACGGAGAACCTGTTTACTCTGCTCACGCTCAAGTCGTGCCTTGGTGATGGAGAAGATACGGTCAACACCGAAGGAAATACCGACGCAGGGAATCTGGGCCTTGGGCTGGAACATGCCTACAAGGTTGTCGTACCGACCACCGGCGGCGACACTGCCAACACCAAGAGTGGGATCATTGGATCGGTCGTCATCCTCAGAAGGCTTACCCTTTTTGCTAGATTTCTTGGCCTTTTGCGCCTCCGGGGAGTCGGACTGCACGGCGGGGGCAGAGCCTTCGGTAACAACCTCGTAGATCACACCGGTGTAGTAATCCAATCCACGGGCCAGGGACATGTCGAATGAGATCTTGTCCAGAGCTCCGAAAGCCTCAAGGTAATCCATCATAAGAGACATATCCTGCAAACCGGCCACAGCAGACTCATTGGCAGCAAGAGCCTCATCCTTGAGCAACTTCTCCAGTAGCTCGCGAGAGCCCTTGTTCATGACATAGGTCTCAATGCGATCAGCAATCGCGCCATCCAGGCCCTTTTCATCAACCATTTCCTTGCGCACATCCGCCCACGGCATCTTGTCGAGCTTGTCTACCGCACTGGAGATGGGTCTGATCTTGTCCTCTGGCACACCACAGACAGCAAAGACACCATCCAGAATCTTGCGGTGGTTCACCTTGATGGTATACCGACCAGTCCAGCCCAACTCCTCAAACACTTCACTGACAATACGCAGCACCTCGGCGTCAGGCACCATGGGGTCGAAGGCACCGGCGATATCGAAGTCGCACTGGTAGAACTCGCGCATGCGGCCCTTACTCACAGCGGGCTGATCCCGACGGTACACCTTGGCAATGTGGTAGCGCTTGATGTTGCGGACGTCGGGGTTCATGGCGAGCCAGCGAGCAAAGGGAACAGTAAGGTCGTAGCGCAAGGAGCAGATCTCACCACCCTGGTCCTGCAAGTCGTAGATGAGCTTGGAGTCCTCGCCATACTTGCCAGCCAGGATCTCGCGGAGCTCAAAGACCGGGGTGTCGAGTGCGGTACCGCCGTGGCGCTTGAAGACATCGGCGATGGTGGTGAAGATGCGGTCTCGGAGAAGGGCGTCTGAGCCGGCCCAATCCTTTGTTCCCTTTGGAACTTTCAGGTTGAATGAACTCTTTTCCTTGGGTGCCATGTCGTCGGTCGAGGCGTAACGAGTAGAGGAAAAGTATCGGCGGGGATAGTTTTGATGGTGGGGGGTGGGGGCACGGAGACAAATTTGATTCGAGTATTTAAGGGTGACACACCGGACGCTAGACGAGATATTTAGACGATATGAAGCGCTGGTAGCAAATGAGTCAACAATTGCCCGTCGGGTACAGCGTAGAGCAAAAAGGGACGTCATAAACGCAACCGCGCACAATTGACGAAATTGGTTGCCCAAGTTGGGTTTGGGCGGGCCTTCTTTCTACTTCGGGGTGTTTTTCCGGATAATTGATCCGATTGTATATATCCCTAGGGCTGAATTTTTTAGAACTAAATACGTTAGTAAAAACTTGGTAGGAAAGGTGTCGTAGGTTCTTATCATCTGCTATGATTATCCTGGAGGTCGCTACCAATCTTCATACCGCATTCCTGGGTATGTTGAAAGGTACGATCTATGTAAGTTAATAACCACATCTGATAGACTTTGGCTAAGCTTCTATCTTCAGTCCGGTCAAGAGTACAGGGTAAATGAATTCCTAGGCTCAGCAGCGCCCACTGCCTGTAAGAAGAAAAGCAGAAACTTGATAGAGCAATTTTCAAATATTGTTGAGATAAACCCTATCGGAAGGCGTGTTGGATAACGGACACATCTCTATTGTCTCTCATGGCCGAAACTCGTATGATTCAACACCCGATGGGCACTGTGCAGGATCAACCCAATAATTTCATATAGCATCCAGGATAAAAATTCCTAGTCAATACGCTAGATTAATGTCTCGACTGGCTTTTATCATAATTAGTGGTGATATCGCCTGCCAAGCAACCAAACAAGCTCCTCGTGCATACATCGAGGTAGCATCGGGCGATACACGGGACCTTGGCCATGATTTGAGTTGATTTTTCTGATTTCACATTCAATTAACCTGTAGGCAACAACGGACTGCTGAGTGGCACATGTATCATATATAATAGCGGACATCCCTGGACCCTGGCTATGTCTGAGGTCAGACTTCCACCGGCCAGTCATCAATGGGCACAGACTTGTCAACAGATTGTCATTATCAGCATCATCTTGACACTTCCCAGCACCAAACTGGTGCTTATTTTAGGAGAGTTTTCAGGCCTCCAGGAGTTTCTCGGGAGATCCCTGCTAACGTAAATCGAGCGTTGCAGCAAGCCGGCGGGTACACAACATGCCCGGCGTCGTTAGCGCTCAGCCCCACATGAGAAGTTAATGGAGATAAAAGATCAAGTCAGATTGGACGTTAGGTGCTGCACATATGTACATGTACTACGCCCGGGTGTGTGGATGCTGGGTTGGTTTCCTTTTCAATCAGCCGCCGCAAGCCATTACCGAATATGGGGATAGCGCAACCAACCAGAAGACATCATATCATCTTTTTCTGACATGTCCACTTCTCCTTGCACGATTGACCCAGCAATATGGAATGTTTGATCTCTGGAACAGGCTCGGGGTCGAAATAGGCAAGACAATCGAATAATAAGCGAAATTCCGAAGAAATTGGGCTCCGCCGTGGACCGATTCCCCCCCACAATCACAACGATCATTGGCCATTAGAGGCACGCTAGGAGAGAGCGGGGACACATGGCCCATGAGCGTTTATTGGGAATGGCCAATGATTAAAGTTGAATTGAAGACGGATCCAGAGTTCATGAATCAGGCCCCATTCTTCCAGTACAGAAGAGGAGCATCTCCCATGGTCACAGCGGGGGTCTCCGGGGAAATATAACCAATGGTAATGATATTATTCAATCCACCAGTATCCAAACGCCGATACAGCCGGTGAGATACGCCAGCTTAGGTTGAAGGGTAGCTCTGCGCAGAGGAGATGTTACTTTTGAATTGAATGACTACCCCGAATCAAGTCCACGATTGGACAAGTACCTGCCTTAGAACTTCCACGTGGCTCGCGGCTTTGTTGGGTATTTAAGTGTGGAGTGGTTTTCTGGACGTTTCCGTTGCATGGAAAGAGGGAAGATGGAAATACCGGGTCAATGTTTAATGTCCCTTTTTATCCTTCCCACATCCTCGTACTCCCTTACTCTCTCTTTCCTTCTACCCCGCCCTTACTAAAGTTCCTGGCGTTTCACCTTATCTACTATTCTTGGGCTCAGACAACGTTCCTGGAAACTCTTTTTCCCCGACTCCGAAACCTATCCTCTATCCTCTCATTAGAGCCCAAATCCTCCTAATCCTCCATTCCTATATTCCCCCACCAACCTCCAACCTCTTCTCATCTTTCTCATATCCTGCCCATGTTAACTACCTCCCCGTTCATTCTCTCTCCTCCATGAATCCGGGTTCCGACCGGTGAGGATACTCGGCAACCATGAAGGGGCTCTTCAAGAGCTCGCGGAGCAATGGGGTAAGTCTTCCCCGAGCATCATCCCTTCTGGATGGGTGGCACAACAGCGCGCTACGTTCCTCCGATCCCTCGTGGGACTATTCAGATTGCGACCATTACTGATACCCCGTTGCTTAGGCTCCTCCCCTTTCGCCAGTTACAGCAATACCCAAGAAGGACCCCCAAGCCCCGCATAAAAGTCCATTAGAAATGAGGATGCAGGATATGGGTCCAATCCGTGGAGATGGGAGTGATAAGTTCTTCGGCATGGAAAATGTAATTCGGACTGACCCCAGATTCTCGCCGAATGGACCCTTGCTGACAACGTCATGCACGCTTCTAGTACGGAAATACCTGCTACTGTAATTCTATCCTGCAATGCCTCTACTATTCAGTTCCCTTCCGCGAAGCCGTCATCAATTACCCGCAGCGTACTCCTCTCGAAACTCTCGAGGCCGCCCTCTCCACGAATCTGCGATACCAAGATCCAAATACCTTTCTTGAAGCCGAGGCTCTGGCGGCCAAGCAGAAATCAGTGCCTACGGCTTCCTCAGCACGCCAAGCAGGCGTGGCTCCAACACAGCCACAGAAACCGGAAGACAAGGAATCGGCCGAATACAAAAAGAAGGTCGCCCTCCAAACCCTGCCAATCCTTGAGACTACGAATAATGCCAACAGTTACGGCATGTCGGAAACTCTTTTCACCTCTTTAAAGGATATTTTTGAATCCTTAGTTGGAAGCCAGTATCGCATAGGTGTGATCCGGCCGCAACAGTTTTTGGACGTGCTACGGCGCGAGCACGAGATGTTCCGAACGGCTATGCATCAAGATGCCCATGAGTTCTTGAATCTTCTTCTGAACGAAGTTGTATCGAATGTAGAAGCGGAAGCCACCAAGCAGAGCTTTCCAGAAAAGGCCCTGCCGCCCACAGAGAGCGCGGACTCGCTGGGCATGGTCAATAGTAGCACAGGATCAAAGTCACCTAACACCACCCGATGGGTGCATGAATTGTTTGAGGGACTCCTGACATCGGAAACGAAGTGTCTAACCTGCGAGAAAGTCTCGCAACGCGACGAAATATTCTTAGACCTTTCAGTGGATCTTGAGCAGCATTCATCAGTAACATCCTGCCTTCGAAAATTCTCGGCCGAGGAAATGCTTTGTGAACGCAACAAGTTTCACTGCGATAACTGCGGTGGTCTCCAGGAAGCAGAGAAGCGGATGAAGATCAAGCGTCTCCCTCGTGTGTTGGCTTTACATCTCAAACGTTTCAAATACACAGAGGACTTGCAGCGGCTGCAAAAGCTCTTTCACCGGGTTGTGTATCCCTATCACCTCCGGCTGTTCAACACCACCGATGATGCTGAAGATCCGGATCGTCTGTATGAACTTTATGCAGTGGTTGTCCATATTGGAGGTGGTCCCTACCATGGCCACTACGTTGCGATTATCAAAACTGAGGATCGTGGCTGGTTGCTCTTCGACGATGAGCTTGTGGAACCGGTGGATAAAAACTACGTTCGCAATTTCTTCGGGGATAAACCAGGGTTGGCGTGTGCGTACGTTTTGTTCTACCAGGAGACCACACTGGAGGCGATGATGAAGGAGCAAGCCCAGGAAAATCAGACACCCACTACTGGAGCAGCTGAACCAGCAGAAGCTACGAAGTCGAATGGTCACTCATTATTCCCAGTAACTCAGGTGCACAGCGCATCCTATCCTTTTGAGGACCACCACCGCTTTACTCCGGTCGATCGATTCAATACAGCTCCTCAGATGACTACACAGCATGAAGCCCCGGATCACGAATTCTTCCCGCCATCGCAGCCTGTCCCTGTTCAGCCTGTTCAATCACCCCAACTGCCTCAGTCATCTTATCCTACGCTACCCCCGATACCTGACGAACATTCTCCCGTTCTTGGAGCGAAGAAGAGTGAATCTCAGCTGAAGAAGGATAGAGCGCGCGAGGAAAAAGAGCGCAAGGCTCAGGAGAAGGCGACGGAGAAAGAACGAGAGCGACAGGAGAAAAATCGTCGCAAGGAGATGGACCACCAGCGGATTCGAGAAGAACTTGATATCAAGAGGGCGATAGAGGCCAGCAAAATCAACACCCATAAACCCGATGTGGGTGACAGTGGACCGGAGAATGGGTCGCCGAGGAAGTCTCTTAACTTCTTGAAGCGTGGTAGCCGCAGCCTAGGCCATCGACTGGGAAACCACAAAGATCTTCGAGTATCGACCTCTGATCTGGGAACTGGTTCAGTACCTAGCCCAGTACCACACTCCGATATACCTGTCAATGGGACAGAGCCGGGTCGACCGCCTGTACCTTCAAAAGACCCAGATCTCCCCCGCCCCTTGTCCCCGCGAGTGCACACCTCACCCTTCCGCACCCTCCAGCATGCAGCTACAACCAAGGACCATAGCGACACCGAACAAAAGAATGGTCATCACCACATCCACCATCCTCGGTGGAGGTCATTCAGCTTTAAGAAAGGGGCTCCAACTTAAGCCCTAACCACATTACATACAAGGGAACACAGCTTTTCTTCCCATACGTGGAATCTTCCAGTCCTATTTCATACGAAGATACCACTGCCAATTCTCATGCACATATAATACAAGCAATACCTGCTTTGCACATAGTTTCTGTGAATGTATCATCATTTCAACTTTCAGAATATGCGATTACCAACCCTGTTGTCTTCTTATCCCATTCTCCTGTGCATTGATCCCGGTTGATCACGAACATGTGTTTTTAGGCTCTTTTGGATTCTCGACTTCGTTGCTTTCTTCTCTTTCCTACCTCTGATTTACACAGCTTCCAGTTTTCTTATCATGCGCCTGGCATGATCATTCACACCAGAAAATATTTGGCGCAACATTGGGGGTTCAGTCATCTCTAAACCTCTTTATCCACAATGCTGGTACAAGCGAATTAGGATCAACAGGCGTTTCCTTTTCTACTTTCTTGGGTGGCACTTCTTATGCATTTTTCTACTCGGATTCGCTACTGCTTTATCTTCACCTCACAGACTTGGCCAAGGGTACCTTGTGAACTTTAACGTCGCTTGTCCTTGCAATTCTCTTGAAATGTACTTACTTGAATACTTGGATAAGTGACCTTGGTATATAGAATAGAGTCTAGCTTCCAAAGGTTGTAATATTAAAAATCGAGGCATAGTATATGCGGATTGTCAATTTATAGCTCATATAAATTGGATAACATACTCATCAAGATATGTCATAGATCAATAGGACCTCTTCAATCTCCAATTATAATCAGCCGGTTATTCTCTACGTTGCACCGAGTACGTTAAAAGGTAAAGGTAAAAATGGCGAAGGACATCCGTAGCAGCCGCAGTTTTCAAAGATTGGAATATGTAACCAGATAGAAGGTAATGACATCGGTCACATAAAGCATGTGTACTAAGAATAATGCTAGATTCTTTTTAGGAGGGTACGTGTTGAGAAAAGGTGCAAGGTATTATCCAAGAATAAGCTCGTAGACGATTATCGTTGTGTTGATGACAATAAGGGGTACTGCGATTATAATTGAGTGTTAGCTGAGCGGCCTGTGATAATGTTGAAAAAAGTATACTTACTCCGCATCACTGTCCGTACACTGGCGATCATGTTGACTGACTTCGCCTTCACACTGGTGCTATCGTAAGTGGCACCGAAGCCGGGCTCAGCTTGTGTGCGGCCCCATCCAACTGTATAGAAGAAGGGATGTTAGAAGCTTTCTCTAACTCAGAGATCCGTGCTACTGGAAAGGGGAGAGGAGGGGCGTACTGCGAGCAAGGAAGCGGTCTTCGGAGAGAATTGCGATGGCGTTGATGATGAGGACAATGACTAGGAAAGTTTAGCTTGAATGTCTCAATAAGCGCTATATATACGGACCGTAAACGAGATTCCCAAGGCCGAAGAGCAACATGGTTGTGCTGGGTGGTGGGTGTGGAGGTTGAGGTTGATAATGTGAGGTTCGGGAAGCGCCAGATCTCCGGATCAACAATCACCTTCTCAAATACCACCATGAGATATGGTCAGTCAGCACCAGATCAAGAACAAACACTTTATTTAAGCTTTAGCGTGTTTGACTAATTATTCCTAGCTTTCCCCATCCTCAATCTTCTTCTGCCAGCCCTGATTCTGCTCCATTGCCTTGTTGCGCCTTACACCAAGGTCGAGGAGTCTTTCCATGTTCAAGCTGTGCATGATATATTAACCCACGGCTTTCCTGGGAATAATCTAACTCGTGCTCATTATGATCATTTTGCATTCCCAGGAGCTGTACCTCGGACTGCCGTTGGTGCTGTAGTACTCGCCAAGCTATCACAAGGAGTTCTCATCTTGAATGAGGGCATCGATCGACAGATTCTAGGTATGAGCGCTCTCGTCACTCTCCGGGGCCCAGAGAAGAATTAAATTGACACAAATCAGCTCGCGTTATTCTGGGCCTTTACAATGCATTCGCTTTAGCTGTTTTCGCATACGGTCTCCGCCGCAACTTCGGCCAGACCGTGGCAACTTGGTACCTTCTCTTCCAGAGTAGCCAGTTTCATCTGATATACTATGCTTCGCGGCCTCTATCAAACATATTTGCATTTGGTCTCACCACAATCGCAATGCGATATCTCCTGCCTGACAAAATCCCGCACAATGGACCTGGACGTTCAACTCAAGGTGCACTCGCTCTAGCCTTGCTCACTTTCTCCGGAGTAGTTTTTCGCTCTGAGCTTGCCCTGCTAGTTGCAACGCAGACATTATATTTGCTCACCACAGGTCAAATTCATCTATTCCGAGGCGCCATCATCGCTGGACTTGGAGGTCTCAGCGTTGGCCTGCTTACCACCGTACTCGTAGACTCACAGTTCTGGCAGCGCTGGCCGCTGTGGCCCGAACTATCCGCGTTCCTTTTCAACGTAGTTGAAGGCCAGTCCAGCGCATGGGGGACGGAGCCACTACCCTGGTATTTTATAAATGCGCTGCCGCGCCTCCTCCTCAATCCTCTCACCTACCTCGTCGGTATCCCAGTTGCACTGCGCCAGCCTGCAACCCGATCATCGACATTCTCACTGATTATCCCATCTGTGGCTTTCTTAGCGATCTACAGCTTCCAGCCACACAAGGAATGGCGCTTCATAATCTATGTCATCCCATCCTTTACAGCTGCTGCCGCTCTCGGCGCTGGATACCTCTGGACTCACCGTTCGCGCTCTCTCTTCGCCCGCTCTGCTTCTCGACTCCTGGTGCTATCCACCTTCGTCGTATTCGTGCTTTCGAACCTTGCTCTTCTGCCCGCATCAGCTGCAAACTACCCCGGCGCACATGCCTTGAACGCTCTTCATCGCCATCACCGACTCGTATCAGATGCAGACTCATCGGCTGATATAAACGTCTACCTCGGGAATTTTGCCTGTCAGACTGGCGTGACGCAATTCTTGCAGTACCCCGCCGGCTCAGGCTGGAACTACGATAAAACCGAGAACGAAACTATCAAGTCATCGAGTTCTTTCTGGGATCAATTTAACTATATCCTCGTCGAAGCCTCTGGAGACCTTGAGTACAGAGATAGTGATGAGACCAACTTGCGGAATGCCCTGCCTAATTCTGAATGGAAGACGGTCGAAACCATTGAAGGATTCGCTGGAATCTCTGTTCTGAGACCTGGCGCCCCTGCCAGTGGTACTGCTGAGCGCCGCCTTTTATCTATTATTGGTGGTCAGCGTGCTGTCTCTCTCTTGGAACAAGTACAGGATTCTGTGAGGAAGACTGTTCTTCAGGGCTGGTGGGTTGAGTTGAAGATGTTGCCTAAGATCAAGGTCTTGGAACGAGTTCGTTAGAGTGAGATCCGTGGATGCCACTGTATCTATGTGAAGATACCCGAATTAATAGAAATGGGCCGATCTATACCTAGGTATCTGATTGGGCCTATTTCAAAGCCTGTATGTGCAAAGTTTAGTATGCTATTCCATAGGCTATAATTGACAGCTTGATTAGAGCTATGCCGCGTAGATTAGCTACTGCACGTAAAATTGGGGGATATTATACTAAATACTGGATGAATTCTGACTTTCCTGACTATCGACCTATTAAAATAGATATCATATACCCACCTAGGAGGTAGCGTGAAATATTTGTGGAGATATCAGTGGTTGAGGTTGTTATACCTAGGTAGCTTTACATACCGTTTTTTCTATGACGGGTGCCGCCGCTTTTATCTTATTCCAGCTTCCTCCAAGACCTCCTTTGGTTAGAACTGTTTCCTATTCTAGCTTCCTCCAAGAGACCCCCTCCCTTTGGTTGGGACTATTTTCTGTCGATGTTCCATCTGGCGACTCTGTAATCGAGCTGACCGAATCACTATGCCCCTCAAGAGTTGACACACTATGAACTAGCGGTCAGGGATCAGCGGCACCGACGATCGCTGATTCCCCGGGTGAGCTAGTTAGAGATCTGTCACTTCCTGATGTACTTAATTCCCTGAGATCTTCGAACTCTTGAAGGACTTCAAGAGTTGTTCTTGTTCCCAATTTACCCTAGTGGAATTGAACCCTATAGGATACCATACACACACCTGCCCTTTGGTAGTCTTCTCATATTAGTTCTTCTCTTGTTTACGGTAGCCCAACCGTATTGGACTCTAACCCTTACAATTACAACTCTTCTCTCTTAAGCAACTGAAGAACCTTGAGATGGCTCCCACCACAAGGCAACGAGGAGCTACTCAGGACTCCACTCCTGAGATAGGACTTCCGGCTACACAAGAAGAAGCTCGACCTCCTACCGAATCAACCCCCGATCGCTCAACCCTCCCTAGCGATCCCCAACCGAATATTGCCGAAACCCTACAAGCTGTTCTACAAGCTGTTCACCGCCTAGAGGGAGAAATCCAGAAACTGAAAAACCCAGTCCCAAACCCTCAAGACTTAGTCGACTCGCTAGCCGGCTCGGCCCGTAGCGTCGCCACCAATAGAGATCCTAGAAACGCTAGCACCCCTGCCGGGATCCGACCTAGAGAATTCCTTGATTCAACTCTAAGTCATCCTCCTTCTGGTCAAAACCCTCGTCGGACCCCTTGGACGGGCAAGAGCCCTCAGCTCAAGTTCGATGGTCTCGAAAAATTCGGCACCTCCTTTTCCCTACACCAGAGATCTATGTGGTTCAGAGATGTGGAAGGAACCTTCTCTCGAGCAGACTATATCGGACTACCAGATTATGATAGGATCATCTCCTCCCTCCAATATTTTAAACAGGAGGCCAGGCTTCGCTATTATAATGCGACCGAGCGTCTACCGATCGACAATCCTCTCCGTTCTGACTGGGCCACCTTTAAAAACTGGACCAAATGCTTATGCCAGAAGTACGCCCCTCTTCTATCTCGGAGATCTTACGAGAGAGCTAGACAGCTACCAAATCAGCACCCTTTAGACTTCGATAGGCATCTCCAAACCCTTGAGAACGAGCTTGATCTAGTCAATCATCAAACCGAGAAGAATAGGGCCATGAATTTCCTCTCGAAGTGCCAGGACAAACTTCAAGACGATATGATCCAAAGATGGGGAGAGAACGGCCTACCTACCACAAGACATGAAATGGTTAGCGCATGTTCAGTCGTATGGGAACTAAAAAGCTGGACCCCAGATCAAAAAAGACCTTATTCTAGCACTCAGTCCTCGGAGAACTCTCACCCGAATAAGAAGAATCGCACCAGAAAGGACACCCGAGACCAAAAGGACCCCCCCCCCCCCAACGATATAGCCGCGATTCCAAGAAAGATAATGACCCTAGGAACCGTGATCGCTCCAGCCAGCTCAGTAAAACCTCTACCTCAGAAAAATCCACTCATAATCGAGATGTGGAATGTTTCTATTGTCACCGAAAGGGACATTTCGCGAAGGACTGCCGCAAGAAACAACGGGACGAAGAAACACAATCGACCCAGGTCAACTGTAACGGCGTACGAAGATGCGACCGGCATTATGCTCAATTCAGTGTTCTACAAGGTTGGTATATATATATAGAACTTGCGCATAATCTTCCGTTCTGAATATTATTATAGCCTTTTTTTTTGGCTCAGTGGAATAGTCTACAAGCGCAAGTGTAGATCGTTACAGGAAGCCATTATTGGCCTATAAACAACACTTTCGACGGCAAAATAATGATATCTCTTATTGGCTTGGCGCGCCTATAGGAAAGTTCAAGTGTCTAAGGGGAATCTACTCTATACGACAGAAAACTTTTTAATGACGCATCATTCAAGGCGCCTTTAAAGACCGTGTAGTGGCTGCGCCTAATCGAAAGGTGTATTCTCTATTACAGTACGTCCCGAAACTGGTTGCACTAGTTTCGGCACATACTGTAATCAAAGAAAAACGGTAAGAAAATTATCAACAACGATACATTTAAGATTATACTCTCAACCCCTGATTTTTGTCTCAAATACAACAGCATATGAGGATATTTAACCACATTAACCAGGTGATCATGGAGAAGCCCAATGCGAGCCATGTAGCCACAAACGTGCGCATCCCAACAGTAGCATGTATGCCCCAGCTTCCGAGAGTGGTTTCTATCGTGAAAATGGTCAGTAGGTAATTGACTGTGATTATGCCTGACCTGGTGAGGATGCAAACGGTCAACACCTATCAGTGGTTAGCCTATTTATTAGATGGATCCGATAGACAAACTGTGGAAGAGATAGCGAGTAATATCTTGTACAATTTGACCGTCCAGGAACATAGAACTATCAAATGACCCAGAAAAAAGGCAAAAGTAGTCGCAATAAATCCAGCAATATAGGCTAATATAGACCACCTTGTCAAACCTTGACACCCAGGGAGAATTTTGTTGTCTTCCTTAGGAAATACAATGAATACCTCTGAGCAGGCTGAGTAGAAAATATCAATGAGATTAAATGAAAATGAAGTGCTTGGATTAGAGCCGTTCGAAAATAAGGCAGTAGTATCTTCTTTTTGACAGTAGCTGCGGAGTCCCACGAAGTAGTATGCTGGCAACTTCAATCTGAGTTCGTGGGAGACAGACTCAACTTGACTTACTCGATTCACTTTCGTTTGAAATTTGGAGCTTAATTTCATCGTACTATGAGCTGCAATTTCTCTTGTATCGTTGATGTCAATTTTTGCCGTTTCTTTTTCCTGAATACTCGAGATGTTTGTTTGACTAAAACTGAACGAGCCCCGCTCATCAATGGATCCAAGATTCGGGAAATTTGTCGAGTCAATCTAGATGGTGAGAATCAGTCACTTAAGTTGAAATTTCCTTCACTCGCTTCATATCACCTTAATAAAATAGAGATCAATTGGAGATGAAATGGACGTACAACCACTAAACACATTTGCCAGACAAATGAGCCTACCGATATGAAAATCCAGCGATGTAAATGAAAAAAATTAACTCGAGCTTGTGTTCTGCAGGAATGTGCATTATTTTCAAATTCTTCTCTCTTCAACGTCTCAATTACTATGGAGCCTAATACCGATAACAACGTTGGCCTACTTCCCGATGACCTTCACACCTTCACCTTCACCTCCTTCTATTTCCAAATGCGCTATGCACTGTATACCGCAACAAACTATCAGCTTTAGAAGCGATTAATGACTTCGCCAAACCCCACGGTTATGCAGTTTCAGTTCTTCGATCAGTCAAGATGAATGATGATTCAGGTCGATAACGGATTATCCATCTTTGCTGCACTCGTGGAAGGACTTACCGACAGCGAAAAACGAATACCGAGACACGAGAGAGATTGACCCGCGCAATTGAATGCCCACTTCGCCTCTCATTACACGCAACAGATGATTATCAGCTACGTCTTACATCAGAGAATATCAACCATAACCATGGTCCATCAGAACATATCTCGTCACACCCTGCTCATCGCCGCCTAGAGTTAAATCAGAAATCCAAACTTATCCAGAATCAGCTACAGCAAGGCACTAAACCGCGACAAATTATCACACGTCTCCGGATTGATGATCCTCAGTCATGTCTTATTGATAAAGATCTCTACAACTTTATCCAAAAGACTCAACTTGAGTATCTAGCTGGACGAACACCTATACAGGCATTAATCGATGACCTTCCAGAGGATGGAAAATGATTTCTTCAAATTGAGCTTGACGCATCAGATATTCCAACTGTCCTATTCTGTGCACATCAGACCAGTATATCCTTACTCCAGACTAGTCCTTGGGTTATCTCTATGGATCCAACATTCAAAACTAATAAATATTTGCTACCGCTATTAAATATTGTGGGATTTGCAGCAACAGGTCATTCATTTCTTATCGCTTGTGTCTTATTGAAGATCAAAAAGAAGATAACTTCGTCGTTGCTGCGAAGTGTTTAAAACGACTTTATGATTCTATTGCCATTCCTGGGTGTGCATACCCAACAACGATTTTATCAGATAAAGATGACCGCCTTCAATCAGCCCTTTCCACTGTCTTTCCTCAGTCACAAAAAATGATCAGTATTTGACATATAAATCAGAATATCGCTAAACATGCAATACCATTCCTATCTAAACAGATCATTATTAATCGAATTGGCATCCCTCAACAAGATGATAGAGAGGCTGAACGGATAAAAATGAAGGAAGGATGGGAAAATATGCATCGACGATGGAATCGTATCATTTACGCCGAAGACACAGCAGAGCTTGAAGAGAGATGGCAATGGTTTCGGGACGAATATAGCGAATTCCCGAATCTGATCAAATACATTCAGGAAAGTTGGCTTGATAGCTGCCCAAAGCAATTCCTCCGCATACATACTTCTCGATACCTTCATCTAGGAGAATCAGCAACATCACGCATTGAAGGTATACACTGGATGCTAAAACGTGAGCTACAAGGCTCAACAGGTAATCTTCTTATTGGTTTAAAACACTCTGAGCTTATCCTTGAGCGCCGGGTTGAAAATATCCAGCTAGCTATTGATACTCCAAAGATGGAGCGACCACCGCGATCACACTTTCTTTTTCAGCATCTTGATGTCGGATTTCGCTTAAAGGTATCCATTTTTCTCAAGACGAATTTGAAAGACATCTCCCTGAGTCAGCTTCAAAGCCTTTAATTCCTACACCACAGAGCTGTTACTGTGGTATTGAAGAAGCATTGAGCTGTAACTGCCCTTGTGACTGTGATTCAATCAATACATCAGGGTTTCCGTGTATACATATCATCAAGAAACACTATCACGAGAAAACAAGTCTTCTTCCAGAATACTTCTATCAGCAATGGCACCTTTGCGGTTTTCATACACCTCCTTCTCAACAGATTCTTGTACAAGAACCATTCCGGAAAGAGAACCGTTCTAGTGGAAGACCACGAGGTGCATCTAATTTCCCTCAATCCCTTCAATCACGGAGTCAATCGCAGAGGCAGTCACCACGTTTAACAGCCTTTGAGAGATCAGTCCACAGGGAACCTTCTGGATTCAAATACGGAGAACCAGCCATATTTCAACAGGAAGGTGATCGTTATCCTGGATGCCCACGGAAAGGGCCAGAAAGCCGTGGTGGGCGTATACAGCCCAGTAGCCGGCCTTCACGTAAACCTAAACCCCAGGCTGAGAGAGAGAATTTTGAGAGCGCAAAAGTCTAAGATGAGAAATTTGAAGGATTTTCAGATTCAAATTAGCGTTCAGATTGAATAGCTATGCGCTTGGATCTCCTAAGTACAGAGTCGGCCCTTATACAATAAGACGGTGTAATGATTGATCTATTATTTTTTAATTTTGCTAAAACCACTACATAAGCCTTAAATTTGAGGCATTGTAGTGGTTATAGCAGTTTTTATAGTGGGTTTAGCACGTCCCTAAATATATCAAGAAAATGGTCCATTGCCCACCTCGCATAGTTCAGCTGCCTTATGAACTAAATTTTCCTTAATCCCTATGAGCTATTGCATATAGTATATCTCGTTATTTACAGAGTAGTCTAGGAAGTCCCTAGTCTTTTCCCCATGAAACTCCCATCTTGGTAGATCCGAAAATTCTTAAAATGGAGATACGTTATATCTACACTTCTAAAAGGGCTAAATGAGCATCTTAATGATCTTATTAGGAAATGGAATGTCTCTATATTCCTAGGGTCCCCCTGTCACCCGCCGCTGTCTAGTGAATAAGATGATACCAATAGATAATCCGCATGTTAAGCTCTAGTTAAGTGCACTTACTACTCAATCATGTGATTTGGCAGCCTCATAAAAGCGGCGGCAACTAAGATTCAGCAGAGGCAATATGGTAGTCTTCGAGGGAAACCCATTTGTTCCCAGTTTCCTATCGAAGGGAAGATATTGGACTGTTAGTATAAACTTGGAACCATTTGTAAGTCTTTCATTATCAAGCTTTATTTAGCCCCCAAGCTTAGGTCTTGATGGCCCCCCTAAAAGTCAAACATCTATTATTGCCTGAAACCATCTCCATGATATCCCCATAAGGTGCTAGCGTGTCTGTGAAGCAACCGTGGTCTTTGTTACTTTGAAGCCTCAAACCACAAAACCAGAGAAATCAAGGGGCTTTATAAAAGTATCGTGTTCTTTACCTATTGAAAACAGTATCCCGTGTGTTGCTCTCCCGTTACCCCCGAAGATCCTCCTATTCGAACTCGGTGTCAACTTGCCACCTCAACTTCCTCAGCCCTTTGATCCCTTCACAGCTTTCCCTTACCCTATCCTTCATTCGTTAGGCTTGTTACATTTAATGGCAGCTCTTTGTCCCGCTCTACTTTAATAGTGTGAGCGACTGCTAAACCACCTCTAAACTTGCCGAGCCTTCTCCACTATGCGCGTCACCAGCAGCATTGCTGTCGCCCTCAACCTTGCAGGTGCAGCTTATGCTGGTCTACACCCTCGCTCACAGGAATCTCGCGATTTCTTCGCCGTTCACCTCGATCCGTCCACTCCCCCGTCTCAGGTTGCAAACATCCTAGGTGCCCGACACGAAGGCCAGATTGGAGAGCTCGCAGATCACCATACCTTCTCATTACCGCGAGAGCAAAGTTCGGACGTCAATGCCTTGTTGGCAGATATACGGTCCAAGCGCAAGCTTCGACGGCACTCGGGTGATAATACAGTAGCTCCAAGTGCGGATCCATTGGATGGAGTATTGTGGTCGCAGAAAGTGGAAGCACCCAGGCAACGGCTCGAGAAGCGCATGCCACCTCGGGTAGAAGGCATGGCCCCTCGAATTGCCCAGCTTCCGGATAAGAGTGCCACAGAACAACATAATCACCTTATCTCGACACTAGGCATCACAGACCCGATATTCAAAGACCAGTGGCATCTGTACAATCCATTGCAATTTGGTCATGATCTGAACGTCTCTGGTGTCTGGTTGCAGGGTATAACCGGCAAGGGCGTTGTGACGGCAGTGGTTGATGATGGGCTAGACATGGACAGCAATGATTTGAAGCCCAACTATTTCGCCGAGGGCTCTTGGGATTTCAATGAAGGAACTCCCACCCCTCGTCCTCTTCTATATGACGATAAACACGGCACCCGCTGCTGTGGTGAAATTGCGGCGGCGAAGAATGATGTTTGTGGAGTGGGAGTTGCATACGATAGCAAAATAGCCGGCATTCGGATTCTGTCAAAACCTATTGATGATATCGATGAAGCCGCAGCTATCAATTACGCTTTCCAGAAGAACGATATCTATTCCTGCTCGTGGGGCCCCCCGGACGACGGTGCCACAATGGATGCGCCTGGAATTTTGATCAAGCGTGCCATGGTCAATGGTGTGCAGAATGGACGTGATGGAAAGGGTTCGATTTTCGTCTTTGCGGCTGGCAACGGAGCTCTTTACGGCGATAATTGCAATTTCGATGGCTATACTAATAGTATCTACAGCATCACAGTTGGTGCCATTGATCGACAGGGAAAGCACCCGAGCTACTCGGAGTCATGCTCGGCCCAATTGGTGGTCGCGTATAGTAGTGGATCCGGCGATGCCATTCATACCACCGACGTGGGTGCGGACAAGTGCTACTCTTCGCACGGCGGTACCTCTGCGGCTGGTCCGCTTGCTGCTGGCACCGTGGCCCTTGCGCTGAGCGCGCGGCCCGATCTAACATGGCGCGATGTTCAGTATTTGATGGTGGAAACTGCCGTCACCGTTGATGAGAATGATGGAAGCTGGCAGACTCTGCCCTCAGGCCGCAAGTTTAGCCACGACTGGGGCTTTGGAAAGGTTGATACATATACACTGGTTGAAAAGGCTCGCGACTGGAAGCTGGTTAAGCCCCAGGCATGGTTCAACTCACCCTGGTTGCGTGTGCATGCCAGCATCCCTCAGGGTAACCAGGGTCTGCTCAGTAAGTATATGGCAACAGAAGAACAAGTGAAAGACGCGAATATCGCTCATCTTGAGCATGTGACTGTCACCATGAATGTCAACCACACTCGTCGAGGTGATCTTAGCGTGGAACTCCGTAGTCCAACCGGAATCGTCAGCCACCTCAGTGTTATTCGCAAGAGCGATGATGAACCAGCTGGATATGAAGACTGGACTTTCATGTCGGTCGCCCACTGGTATGTTGCCCTACGTTTTTTTTGTTGTACTCCGAACTTATTCACTGATATAATTACAGGGGCGAGTCTGCTGTAGGTGAATGGACTGTCATTGTGAAGGATACCGAGGTCAATGAATTCTCCGGTGATTTTATTGATTGGAGACTCAACCTCTGGGGCGAAGCCATCGATGGATCTAAACAACAGCTCCATCCGATGCCTGACACACATGAAGACGATCACCCTTACGAGGATGCCCATGCTGCTACGACCACCGTGGAGCCTGTGCCAGTCAAGACCGAGGCTCCTGCCAACCCGGATGATCACCATGACCGTCCTGTGAATGAAAAGCCTTCAGAGGTTGCTGCGGAACCGACTCCAATTGCTTCCGCGCCAGAGGAACTGAAACCAACAGCTGTACCAACAGCGGAGCCGACTTCAACCATTCCCGCAGCAGAGGAACTGGAAGAAGTAAAAGAGCCAGCTACTTCCACGAGCACTGCTTCTCCCACCTCCACTGCTGTAAATGACTACCTATCCTCCTACCTCCCTACCTTCGGCGCTTCTAAACAGAGTCAAATCTGGATATACTCGACCATGGTCATGATTCTTCTCTTCTTCATTGGACTGGGAGTCTACTTCCAGCTCCAGCGACGGAAGCGTCGACGTACAAACCCTCAAGATGACTATGAGTTTGAAATGATTGATGATGAAGACGAAACACACCCCATGACCAGCGGTCCCGGTCGCACGCAGCGAGGAGGAGAGTTATATAACGCATTTGCCGGAGAAAGTGACGAGGAAGTTTTCAGTGATGATGATGAGCCATACCGAGACCGGCTAGCCAACATCCCGGAAAAAGATGACGAGGAGTCATCACCGGGCAGCCATCTGCTTGCTCAAAAGTAGATCAAGCGTATTTTGCATTTCGGACCTGTTTTCTTAGTATTTCGAGATGTTTGGGATATGATTTATTGATCATAGAGGCGGCATTGCATATAGAGAAGGTCTGCTTTGTTGTCTCTGTAAATTTAACCTATATTAAGGAAACCAGAAATTGTATATATGGATTACATCTCAAGTCTAGCTAACTGCCTAGTACTAAATAGATCCGCGGGTATTTATGGCCTTATCAGTATAGGCTAACGGGTTTAAATCGATGTACGAGGAACCTGTAATGTACTCCTTATATACGGTTGGTTGATTCTAATAAGGCTTACTAGTGAATAAAATTAAAATTATCTCAGATCAAATATTTTATGTCTGAACGATAGACAATGTGATAGGACAGATGATGACGTTTGCTCTCACTCCGCCTTAATTGACGATCATCTGGATCCCAGCTTTCACAGCTTCTTTCCCGCCTCAGCCCCCCCCACATTCTAGGTAACATTTCACATTTCTTGCTTGTAATTCAATTGCAGCTCCTTATTTCCTGATAATTCTTGGCCTAAATAATCACTTCAACCCCCATTTCGTCGATCTCCGCCCCCATGGATCCGAACGACGACTTCGATAATGTCTCCTGGCGGCATGAGCCAGATAGCGACTTCTCTCGGCCTACAACAGCTGGTACTGACGCAGAGGAGCCACACGGACAGGAACATGATACCAATGGCAAGCGGAGGATGAGCTCAGCCCATGAGGAAACCCAGGCTGGCCCGCTCGCTGATGCCGTTGACCTTGCGGGTATCGGAGACGGTGTGCTTGAGTGCCGAGTCGACACCCCTCTAAAAGAAAATGATGGTACCAAGGATGCATATATCTCTTATCTCGTCTCAACATCTGTAGGTCTTCCTGTCTCTGGCAGCTCTCTAGAATGAGACGATGCAAGCTGCTGCCTGCCCGCGGCCTGCGCACCATCCGCAGCATTTGAGAGTATCTCCAGGATAATAATCACCAGACTAATAATACAAATATATAGACCGATTTCAAGTCATTTCAAAGATCTGAATTTAGTGTCCGGCGACGATTTACAGATTTTGTCTTTTTGTACAAGACACTCTTCCGCGAATACGCAGCATGCGCCGTCCCGCCACTGCCGGATAAGCACAAGATGGAGTACGTGCGGGGAGACCGCTTTGGAACCGAGTTTACAACGCGACGAGCATGGTCACTACATCGCTTTTTGAAACGACTGACACTGCACCCGGTGCTTCGGCGGGCACCTTTACTTGCTATCTTCTTGGAGTCACCAGATTGGAATGCACACATGCGATTGCACTCGTCTCGCGGGTCAACGAGTACCTCGACGGATAATTCAGGAACGGGAATGCTAGAAGGTTTGACCGACTCATTCGTCAACGCGTTCAGCAAGGTGCATAAGCCGGACCGCCGATTTATCGAAGTGCGCGAAAAGGCTGATAAACTGGACGAGGACCTGACTCATGTGGAGAAGACCGTAGCGCGGGTCGCACGGCGTGAATCTGATCTCGAGACGGACTATACTGAGCTGGCGACACAGTTCCGCAAGCTGGTTCCTCTAGAGCCGGCGATTGAGATGCCACTGCAGGTGTTTGCGGCTTCAGTGGAGGAGACCTCGCGTGGAGTTCGCGAGCTGAAGGATCATACAGACCAAAATTATTTGGGCTCTCTACGTGATATGGAGGCGTATATCATGTCGCTCAAAACGCTCTTGAAGACCCGCGACCAGAAACAGCTTGATTTCGAAGCCCTGGTCGAGTACCGCAACAAGGCTGTGGGTGAGCGTGACACTCTGGCCGCTAATCCAGCCGCTTACTACGCCTCAAACCCCCCTCACATCATCTCCAGCATCCTTTATCCGTTCTAAAATGGAGGACATTCGCGGCGTTGATCATGAACAGTCTCGCCGCGAGCGTGTCCGCAAGCTTGAAATTCGCATCGACGACTTGACCCGTGAAGTCGAGTCTGCGAAGACAACCTCTGAAATGTTTGACGAGGAGGTTGTACGCGAGGTGGCAGATTTCGAGCGTATCAAGGCTGTTGAGTTCCGCGACTCGCTCGGCTCATTCGCAGAATCCCATGTTGATTTCTACCAGGGTGTTCTCTCTACCTGGGAGAGGTTCATTGCGGAAATGGAAGGAGACTCTGAGAATGGTCTTGATGATGAATCGGCTGCTCCTAGGGGGCGACAGGGGCAATAGAATGAACTGTTTCTATTATTCGGATGGGTCTAATATGGCTTGCTCAGGTCCAACTTCCTTAGCTCTCTCGTGATAACATTTCATACCCGCAATACCATTATTCATTTATACAGGTTTTTGGAGGCCCTGGTACCTTGGATTCGGAGAGAATGACTTTGTAATATTATTTGAATGACTAGCTACTCAGGCAATAAATTTCATGAGCTATCATAATAGTATCATTCGTACGGTGTATTCTGGTCAACTATAACTGTGGGTTGATGTACCTTGTAGGCGGTGAACCTAGAAACTACCCACATTCCTCTTCTTGGCTGGGTTTCTTCAATCTCCAAACCACAAAAATGCGCCCAATTCCGAGAGTCGCTCTGCGACCGTACGTTTGTACGTCTTGCCGTCATGGCATTGGCTCGAATCAGCGGCGATTTGGCACACAGCCAGGTCAAAAGCCCGATATTTATGACGTGGTTGTAGTCGGAGCCGGCCCTGCGGGATTGTCGCTCTTGGCTTCTCTCCGTGAGTCCAATCTGCATACAAATTGAAGGATGTATATAAGATAGATAGCTAATGTCAAGACGAGTAGGAGCTTCGCCTATTACATCAAAGCTTAGGGTCGCGCTCATTGAAAGCCAAGACCTTCGGAAAGCCCAATCCTGGAAGATGGAATCGGACCAGTTCTCTAATCGATGCAGTAGTCTCACTCCGTCATCTGTTTCATTTTTGCGCGATATTGGAGCATGGGAGCACTTAGCACTCGAACGTGTACAGAAATACCAGGGAATGCAAGTGTGGGATGGCGAGACTGGGTCGCGAATATCTTTCGATTGGTCTGGGGAAACGTCTGCCTTTGAAGAACTGCGCACCGTGGCTACCATGGCAGAGAACACAAATATTGTCTCCGGTCTGTTGCGTCGGATTGCTGCTTCTGGCGATGAAAACATGACCCTGTTCTCGAACACCACTGTTGTTTCTATCGAGAATGGATCCGATCTCCAGGCTTGCGGAGGTCCTGACCTCTCCGCATGGCCTGTCCTTTCGGTAAAACCCACTGGACCGGCTAGCGAAGGCAAATCACCATCCAGAATTGCGGCAAGACTTCTCGTTGGTGCAGACGGAATCAACAGTCCCGTTCGCTCGTTCGCCAACATCCCCGCCGACGGCTGGGACTACAATCGACACGGAGTAGTCGCAACCCTGGCTCTGGGTGATCTACCTACACCTCCAATCCGGGAGAGCATGCGCACAGCATACCAGCGCTTCCTACCGGATCTTGGCGGGCCGATTGCCCTCCTCCCACTACCAGACAACCACGCATCGCTAGTCTGGTCCACAACACCAACGAATGCAGCATACCTTAAGTCCCTCCCCACCCCTGCCTTCATCGCCATGATCAATGCGGCTTTCCGACTATCAATGACAGATCTCAACTACATGATGGGCATGCAGCAATATACAGAATCAACACACGAAGATGAACTCACATGGCGCGTCCGGAATACACCCCTCCCCTCACAAACACCACCGCCAGTAATTGGCCTGCAAACAAGCACACTTGCTTCATTCCCGCTGCGCTTCCGCCACGCAGACCAATACATATCCCCTCGTCTCGCTCTCGTCGGCGATGCCGCGCATGTCATCCACCCGCTTGCCGGCCAAGGTCTAAACCTTGGACTTGGAGACGTTGCCGCACTCTCTCGCACAATCGAGTATGCCGTATCTCATGGTATGGACATCGGTGATCTTCTCACTTTGGAACGCTATTCTTCAGAGCGATATTTCACCAATTCGAAGGTCATGGGTGCTTGTGATCTATTGCATAAGATGTATACTGTTCCTGGTCAGAACCCAATTTCCTGGGCTCGTAGTGCTGGGTTGACTATTCTTGATAAGTTGCCATTTGCCAAGTCCTTCCTGATGAAAAACGCTGAAGGGTATTGAACTCGGCTGCAATATACTGTATTTTTAGTTTTTTATTTAAATATTCAATGATTATATCCCAGAGCGATTTTCCTAGTCTTGTATTGTCCAGAAATATCATATTGATATTCTACGTTGAATCGAAATATCCGCGAATATTGATCATTCAAGAATCTCTCTTCCTTCTGATACTGTAAGACAGGATTCCAAACTTGAAACTTTGGACCTTGGAAAGAGTTCCCAAGATCATAGATAGTGTGAGCCTGCCTACTTTATATATCCGACGTATATTGATCATTATAATAACATACTAAGTAAATGAACCAAGAGAATCATAAAATGGGCATCATCTTTACCATAAGTTGATTTCTTTGAGTACCCAAGGCTAACCTGAAGATTCCCAGCAAAGCACTGCACAATGCCGAAGCTCTTTGGCTACATTGGCAGCTTCTGTCGTGGACTCGACTGTTCCCAAGCCCACAGCTCCAAGTTGGCTCTGAAGACACTACCAGTGTTAGCAAGTCTCAGAAGAAATGCCCACCATCATTTTGTCGAATGTTGCCGTGCCAGAAGGCACGACTCTGAAGCTTACAGAACTCGAGGAGGATACCACAGTAAAAACTTCCATCTTAGCTATGAGCCATGCTTTGAGGCTGCTTTATCTTCTTATGTCGGTTGCTAACTGATTGACTTATCATCTTCGAAGGTGAAACAACCTGGGATCATAGGCTATACACGCATTATTGAAATCTATATCACGGATAAAACTACTACAACTTCACTTTGTTTCATCCTATATTTTCTTTCGGCGAAAAGAAAACTTTCCTTCCGACAAAAGATGGGAATCAACGCAGTGAATCCTCAATCCCGAGTTTACCTAGCGAGCCCCACTATAATTCTCCAGGCTGTAGACTCAAGCAGCTCAAATCAAGAAACAGCTTCGGATGAATCTGCGATTATACGACTGAATACTCCAACCATGATCGCCGTGAAAGATTTTTCAGAAGGAGACAATTATTCGGACTAGACACAGACACTCTCATAATCATGTGGGAGTACGACAGCGAGATCGTGTAGCACGGGAAATTCTCATAGTTTCTTTCTCTCTTATATCTATTCCCTAGCCAGTACGAACACATTTAATTTCCTTGTATTCATTCATCATTACTTTCCTATTAATACTTCTTCTCATCCATGGATATCTTCATACGATCAATTCTCTAGAAAGTTATAATATGGGTTTCAAATGAAGAAGTAAGTGTAAAGGTCTTGAGCTATACCGCAGAACCATAATCTAGACCTATATACTAGGTGATAAAAGTGACTAAAGTGCGTATGTTAAGTATTTACTGTAGGAGTCTAGTTACATTGGTACATAGACTGATCGCTGAGTCCACCTCTCAGTAGCAGAATCAGTAAACTTGCACTAGAGAAAGACTCTTCAACTATTGACTATTAGCATCAGAATACATTTGATAATCCTCTCGCCAAGACTAGCCTGTAGCCAGTATGCCTTCAACTCTGGATGATCAGTTCTTATCTCAGAAGTCTAATTCAGGACGATAAATAATCGACAAGATTGAATTCGGAGGAACGTTGACTAATGAAGTTATTTTTTCCGATTCCCGGCTTAGTATTTTCGGCTCTCCTTTTACTTCGCTTATCGCAGTCGTTATAAGATCTCCGCATTTGATAACTATTTAAGGTTTCAGCTTATAAATAAACCTGCTTGACCCCGCTGATAACATTAGTACTTACACTTGGGATCACGGTATCTACTATGATCTAAATAAAGGCCTTGATCGCTTCTAACTTCAAATTCAAATTCAGCCTCCTCTCTCTCAATTCCAGCAGAGATTATTATTACTATACCCCAGAGCCATTGGCATATACAAAGTCAAGAACATCCTCCAAATAGCGAAGCTTCACCCTAGATCAGAGATTAGCTCCTGAAAAAGCAGGAAAGGCTATTAGACTCTTTACTGCTCGACAGATAGTAGATGGATCTCTTATTTCAAAGCTTGTTTCCCAAGTTGAGATCTTTCTTAATCAATAAACAAGAGAAGAATTACTATAAACTCTGATAAGTGGTTTGCAGATGTGGAAAAGAAGAGTAGGCCAAAGCTTTCGCAGAGTACCAGTGAGAGAGGGAGCCAGAGAAAGAGGCTAGAATCTAAAATAATTCAGAAAGAATAATGAAGGCTACTTTACAGTATTTCATATTTGAATGACAGACGTAGTATCTGTAGTAGTGTAAATAATCTCGGATTAGACCCACTTATACTGATCTTATCTCTTATCATGTACTAAATAATCTCACCCCACTTTCTTCGATATCCATGATGATTCCCCCCAAAAAAACCCCGAATACTCGAAATTGATTCTGTAATACTATTGGCAGTATGAGAAGCACTATTGCGTGTGCTTGGTGCAGGTTTGTTAATTCACCAATTCCCAAGAGCGAACTCCACATAATGACCATTGATATTACCTTTGCAGGAGTTCGAAGATCAAGTGCAAGAATAATGGATCCTCTCCATGCCAAAGATGTCTAAGAGCTGGAGGGATGCGCGAGAAAACATGTGCTCTGACTAACCCCTACATTCAATCTACTAGTAGATCTCGCCGCACCTCAACACCACTTGATCGGAGTACTGTCACCAGTTCATCTCCAGTGGTACATTTGCCCATAATACCACAGTCTGAGGGGCATCAAACTCCACAGGCTGACAGCATCCAATCGTCCGTACAGGTTCTTCAAGAAGATTCGATGCCAAGAGGAATGAATAACCTGATTGTCGATGCGGGTCTTATTTTCAACCAAAAATTCCCAGAGCTTGCATTCTTACATCTGCCCACATTCGTCAATAGCGTTCACCAAAATGCTCCCCATCGTGATTTGCTGAAAGTCACTGCCGTGCTCGCACTTTGCGCAAGATTTCTACCTGAGATATACACAGCCTATGATATACCGCACCAAGCTGGCGAGACTTACGCATCCCAGGTCAGAAAACACGTGTTGCGAAGAGTGATGGAGTCTCCAAGCGTTGACACCATCCAAATTTTGTTGCTGATGGCCTTGTATGAATGGGGGGCTTCGAAGGGACACAGTGCTTGGATGTATAGTGGTATGTGTTGTGTTTTATGCTTGAGGGAGAGATAAGCTAAAAAAAAATAAAAAAAAAAGGAATGGCATCACGCATGGCACAATCTTTGAGGTCATCAGCAAATGATGGCCTACAAATGAATCAGTCAGGTTACGATCTTCAAAACTGCGCTTCTGCAGTAGAAATCGAGAACCGCACATTTTGGGGCTGCTTTGTTATGGACAGGATGCTTGCTTGTGGTAAAGGCCGGCCCCTGTCTCTTCGTCTGGAGAGAATGTCTATTCATGCTCCAGTGGGTGACAAAGAATTTGCATATACTCAAATCCCAACAAGAAAGTACACTTTCAGTGAAATTTTCAAAGACGAGCAATTGGTACGTACTCAAAGCACTACAAACTACCGCTTTAGTGTGACAATACGAGGGCTTGACATTTGGGCGAAGCTTTTGAAGTGGGTTGCAGAGGGTGGCAGGCGTCATTCAACACTCTTTCAATTCAGTGAATGCCCTTGGGAGCCGGGTTCAGCGTGGTTTGACATTAACCATGAACTTGAGAATTGGAGGAGGGAGCAAGACGCAGACTTGAAATTCCCCGAGTTCAATATATCTGCCCATGTCTCTCTTGGTTGCGGTGAATCTTTCGCGTTTATCAATTTAATCTACTACTTGAGGTAATCATATCCGAGGCCACTCTGAAAGAGAAAGACTAACTTAACCTTGAGCATCTTGCTTCTCAACCGGGAATACATCCCATTCTTACCCCGAAGCCACTCTAAACCCTGTGGTCCTGTTGATCCACCACTTATAAAAGTGGAAGCCCCGACAGGATGGTGGGACGATCGTTGTAAAGACTTATTTCATGCTGCAAGAACTATTACCGATATCTTCTCAGAACTTGAAAAATCCAATTGCCAACTTTTTACGCCTTTCGTCGGATTTTGTGCCTTCTCGGCAGGAACTATGAATCTCTATGAAGCCCACTTTCCCGGAATGAGTCCAGAATGTGACAAAGATCTTTCTTTTGTTGCAGCAGACTTGAATCTCCGGTATATTGAGCGATTTCAAAACATATGGACTATTGGAGAGGAATGGGTACGTCACACTCCACCTTATAGCTACCAGCATCTTTTCCGTCTACTTTGATTAAATAAAGAGCATGATGGTGACTCTGACCTTTTTGTTCAGTTACAAACACTTAGGCAGACCGAGCGACTCTATCAGCATCTAAAAACCGACACAGGAAGCTTTGATGGGAAAACAAGGGCCGATTTTTGTGACTTGGAAAGCTCTATGAATCAGTATGGGCGAATATACATACCAATCAGTCCTCCACCCATGGCGGAAAATCAGGAGCTACTTCAATCGGCCCCCGACGATGGTGTTCATCGGAGCACACAATGTGCAGGAAAAAGCCAAAGTTGTCTACAAACAACTAACCAAGAAGAGCAATTAGAAGGATTCAATCAACCTACTCAGGTATCGAATTCTTGGTCAGGCCGAGGATTCATGCCGTTCTTTAACTATGGAATCGAGTTCGAGCTAAATACAGAACTACCAGACTGCCATTGAACTGATATATTTGGAATTTGCTAGTAGTAGTTAGTATACTGGGATAAATATTTAAAATTCTTATGTTATACTGCCAGCCTAAATTTTTAATCAATATGTTTAAGTACAGGAAAGGGTATTCCTTCTGTCGCATCTAAGAGTCTAGTGCATATAGTTGAGAAGCAACCCAAGTGATTCCACTCTGTTGCCTCTTCATGCTTATTCTAGTACCCTAGCTTGACTTTAGGGCTCTAGATCTTTATCTGCGTCAATCGGCATTTTATTCGCTTATTATTGCTTCGTACCCTGCACCTTTTTATTTTATTTTTTCTATAACACACCCACTCTATTGCCACACAACCATGTGGAGATTTGCTCCTTTCATCGCCTTAAATACAGGCCCCTTCCATACTTCTCATGTTAGACCTTGTGTCACCATCCTAACTAATTCAACTTCTCAGATAAGATTTGACTTGTTCAGCCCATATAGGCGCACGCTTGTAATAATGAATCTCAGGAACAGACCCCTTTTTAAGCCCGTCAATGGCTTCTGCCAGCACTTCTCCTAATCCTTCTTCCTTGATTTGAGATAGTGGATATTGATAAGAATGGAAGGAGAAAACTATGGTTTTCGATTCAGGGAGAAAACGGAAACTCTGTCTTTCGGACCGGACACAAGTCTATTTCGAGGAGAGGGATTAATACTGAGGCATGCTGGAGGGGATTTCTCAGAATGTCGACCTACTGTAGATATTTCAACCGTTTCTTCTTCGACTTGGTTATCTTCATAGAGGTGGAACTGCCCACCAGGAGCAAATAGATTGTTGCTTGTTGTCACTGCCCACTACAACTCGAAAATAAGCTAGCTGATGGACAGCCGAAGCTAAATTCACTTACATTCTGCCTCATGTATATCTTCCCAGGTTTCTTGAGCTTGCTCAGTACGCGATCGAGGCTCATAGCCATCTTTTCCTTGTATCGTGGGACTGGTGCGTGGATGTCTCGAAGACTCATCCCACACTTCTCTTTTGGGCTCCAGCTACTTGGGAAGCAAGCAACGACCCCTTGTAAGGAAAATGTCGTCGAATCTCCCTGTCCCGATGGAACTAAAAACATGAAATCTTCTTCAACCATTTCACCAAGGATACTGAGGGCCTGTCTCAGATCCTGCGGTGGCTGTGTTGGATGAATAGCACCCGTGACAGTATTTTGTAGTTTAGGACAAGATTTTCCATCTTTTTGTTCAGAATGCAAAAGAATGAACATTGTAGGGAAACGTGACGGTAGATATTTGGTCATGAGCCAAGTATAGAATTCCCTGATTGCTGGTTGAGCTGCGTCATTAAAAGCTATCACGGTATCTGAATAATCTTCAATTATACGTTGACGCATGCGAATTCGTTCCAAATAATCTTTGTCTATTTGAATATACTCTGAAGGCGGTACGTCCTGAAGGCCTATCGAAGTTAATTATGTTGTCTCTGGCTTAGGAGAAAACGAATCTACCCATAGTCATGTGCCAGATTGGCTTGAAAGGGCGCTGCTTGACAGGCTCGGTCTTGCTCCATTCAAAGTTCTTCAAGGGCTCTATCTCTTGTCCGCCATCGATGTCAAATAAGCCAATATTGGCTGATGAGCTACTTCCGTTGGTCTTGCGAGACACGATCTGTACCTTATCTTAGTATATATGTATATATATAATTACATATCTGGGAGATATTTTGTTTGTCCGAGAGCTTACCTTGAATAAAGATATCAGAATGATAACAAGGGCAATTCCCAGCAAGTAGGAAGCTGGGAGCCTGACGAATAGAGTGTTAATAAGCACTTGCGCCATCGACCCGACTTAAGGCCGTAAGTCAATGAGCAGTCGAAGATCTGAGTCCAGAATTATACATAACAAGTCTGACCGTTCAAGCACATGTTCCCAATAAATAACTAGATCCTTATCGTAGGAGTATTTGGTTCTAGCCAACAGCTATAACCTAATCTCGGCTTTCGCTTTTCGCTTTTGCTTTTGCTTTTGCTTTTGCCACTATCAACAATGAGCATCCAAAACTATAATTTACCATGTATAACATGAAAAGACGCAAGCTAAAATTGTTTATCAGAGTTGACATGCAAGCGCAGTGGCTAGTCTTGAGTATTTGAAGCACGCTGTAATTTTTGCAGCGCGATATCATATTTTTATTCCTATAAGCTTGGCTGTCTGCTACATTATTTACAATCGGTACTTCCATCCTCTGAGACGCGTTCCCGGGCCTTTTTTTGCGTCTTTTTCCAAAATTTGGATGCTATATCATGCTTTTTCCGGACGCCAACATTTGACAGACCTCAGAGCCTATGAAAAATATGGTAAGAATCCTCCCTTGGATTAGTCTTTAATTCTGCTGTATGAAGACTGCTCACTCTCCTTTAAGGATCAATCTTTCGAGCTGCTACCAACTATGTCATGGTCAGCGATCCATCTATATCACTCTGATCTACAAAGGGGACAGATCTGATTGGTTTATTTCTTTCGATCCACAAATCAATAGATCTAAATTGCCAACCAAGAGTTGCTGATCCGGATTCGACCGCAATGGCGCTACGTGCTGGCGTTTTTACATCGCCACTCATCAAGGTGCCCATAGAAAGTTTATGGCTGAAATTGATGAGACAGACAGGCTTGGGAAAATCTCTCTCCCGGTTGCCTACCGTGAAATCAGAGATCTACCGTATCTTAATGCTGTCATCAAAGAAGTCTTCAGAATTTCCCCTCCTATTGGGTATCTCTCACATTTTGCACCCCTATCAGTTTCATGAATTGCTAATACGGCCAGGACTGCATTTCCTCGGATTGTTCCGCCAGAAGGTGTATCCATATGTGGGCATTTTATACCTGGGGGTACCAAAATTGGTAGGCTGCGAATCTTTATTTAAATTGCTTGCCATCCTGCCGATCGATTTTTAACACTTATATAGAAATGAACTTTTGGGCTATTAGCCGGAAAAAAATCTATATACGGCGAGGAGGCCGATAATTTTCGTCCAGAACGGTGGTTAGAATCACCTCAGAAGACTAAGCTTATGGAACGATGTGATTTGAATTTCGGAGCAGGTCATTGCATTTGCTTAGGAAAATGGGGTTTGAAGATACTAGTCCTTTTTGTCGCATCATTTAACTAAAAAATACTGCAGAAATATTGCGTTGGTCGAGGTCCATAAGGTGTTGTTCGAAGTAAGTGAACGATCTTGGAGATTTTTGAAGTTCTCAGTTACTGGCCGAGGTCCTAAAATTCGGACATGCTACTGCATCGGAGAATAAAAAAAATTCTTAGATATCTGTTTTTACATTACATTTGTCAATATCTTGGAGGATACTATTGGTCAACTTATTATGGCTACCAAGATGATCGGGTGCGGGGTTTCTGTCCTTTTTACTAGAGTCTTCGTCGGCTATGCTATCTTCAATACCAGTGCTTTCAGATTTTGGGAAAGTGGTGGTTGCTGGCAAGATCAGACTTTGGTCGTTGTAATTGCATAGAAGATGGGAATCTGAGAGAATGGGGAGGACTATTACGAAGGTTACAAGGTTCCGATTAGGACTGGTGTCCTCGATGGATGTTTACTATGTGTGCGGATTTCAGCTGTTACTTTTTCTTCAGCTGTACCTTTATGAATGTTATGTTTCCTTGATATTCTGGGCTGTGATAGGCAAATTGCATTGTCTTTTATATGTACAATTACCTGCGCTTGAACGGATGAGTTTTATGTACTTTTTTTCCACCCCCCGCAATTAAACAATATATCCAGGCTACCTGAACATCGTTGCTCTTGAGGGACAAGTATATCCAAGTTTTTCTCGCCATGAATTTAATTTACAGTCTAATCAAATCGTGCTATATTTATTCTGATTAACTGCTAATATGAGGCTACTATCTCAATGCGCGATTATAGAACCACTGGAATGCTTCCAAGGTTCTGTGAAGTTTGATAGCTGCCACAATGTTGGTTCCTGATGCGTTGTCTGGGTGGCTCCTCTCTCCTTGTTCAGAGTCTCCTAGTAGAGCTTGCACCTCATTAAAGACTTTAACTGACCTAGCCCTTGTCTCTCTTGATAAGTCTATTGGGTTGAGACAATCCAGCAGCGTATAGGTCACTAAAGATTTAATACATCGCATTTACTATAGTGTTGGGGGTGGAAAACTCGTGGAATACGTGAAGCAATCGTAGTCACTGCCTGTCTTCGTAGGTAACCAAAAAAGCAGAATACGAAGGAGTTTAGGGCTTAGTAGCGCCGATGAGAGCCTTAGCTACGAATAGGGTATTGAATACGGGCAGCATATGATAGCGCAGCATTTGATAGTGATAAGACGCATAAGACACAACAAATTATCGACGCAAGTGGTCTTATCTAATCTTCGTCCGATAACGAATCTATAAAATATTCGGGTATGACTACCTAGGTCGGGTCTGGGCAGTGTATCGCTACCCACAGGTCGAAAATTGGCGGGGCTTTAGTAGCTAACACGAAGTGGCTTCGGCTTAGATATCGGCTTATATCTTATTGGCTTGGGCTTATGACGTTGAGTCTAATGATTTCTAGTCTACTATGTGAATTCCACGCGTTGATTGTCGATGCTCTTAAATCCACCGAAGTGATTTCCTACTTATATTCAGCTTTCCACCTAGCTGTGGCCTTGTTCGATCCCAACCCATGGTGAGTTGCAGCAACGCATCCCTCACAACAAATTTTATCATTCCATATCAAAATGGATACCACCAGCCACGATGACATTGCCATGGGCAATGCAACTAGATACCATGTAAAAGACGCCGGGGAAAGCAAGGAGGAGAACAAGATTGAAACAGCTTCTATTGCGTCTCATGACTTTGGGAGTATGACGAACATTTCCGACAACACACATCGCAGTCTAAAGCCACGACACATTCAGTTGCTGGGCATCGGAGGCGTTATCGGAACCTTTCTGTTTGTTGGAATCGGAAAGGCCCTTATTGCCGGCGGACCAGGTAGTCTATTCCTATCGTTTGTATTCTGGTAAGCAGCTCAATCTTTTCTTACGGATGAACATTACTTATATCGTTAGGTGTTTTGTTATTCTGGGTGTCACGGAGTGTAAGCAATCTACAACTCTTTCTTGAGGGAGGGAACTAATAACAATAAACAGGCTGCAGCGAAATGGTCACATATCTGCCAATTTCGTCGCCCTTCATTAGGTTTGCAGGACGATTTGTGGACGACGCATTTGGAGTTGCCACTGGGTGGAACTTCTTTATTTTCCAAGCAATTCTGGTTCCATTTGAAATGGTTGCAGTCAATATCATCTTGAATTATTGGACGGACAAGATTCCAGTTGCGGCAGTTGTCAGTATTATCCTGGTTATCTACATGTAAGTGCACATTCAGTGAACTTCATTACAGCAGTGTTTTCAAATTCTAATACACTACTTACCAGCGTTGTGAACTCCTTCAATGTCAAGTACTACGGAGAGATTGAATTTTGGCTTGCCATTGCTAAGATTTTTCTCATCGTTGGACTTACCGCATATACATTTGTAACTATGGTTGGCGGAAATCCTCTTCACGATAAATACGGATTCCGGTACGTTTTCACGATCTTTTGCAATATATCGAAACAAACCTTGAGGATCTGACTATGATTGCCTACATTAGATACTGGCGTGACCCTGGCTCCTTTATAGAATATTATACTACGGGAAACACTGGGCGGTTCCTTGGATTTGTCCAGTGTCTTATTTCGGCCTCGGTTACGGTGACAGGACCCGAATATATCTCCATGACGGCTGGTGAAGCTGCAAACCCCCGTGACACGATGCCGAAGGTTTTCAAGTCCGTCTTCTGGCGTTTAGCTTGTTTCTTCGCATTAGGGTCACTATGCATTGGCATTGTCGTACCCTCGAATTCTGAAGACCTTGCTGCAGCCTACTCAACATCTGGCTCCAATGCCGGTGCGAGCCCATACGTCATATCTATGAACAGGCTTCAAATTCCAATATTGCCGCATATTGTGAACGGTGCTCTTATCCTGTCGGCGCTATCGACCGGAAACAGTGTCTTCTACTGCGCATCTAGAAGCCTGTACGGCCTGGCTTTGGAAGGTAAAGCACCAAAGTTTTTCAGGAAGACAACTAAAGCTGGTATTCCAATCTTCTGTATTGCTGCAGTGATTTTGATATCACTACTGGCATTTTTGCAAGTTTCCAGTGGTTCTGCCAAGGTGTTTGGATGGCTTGTCAACATTGTGAGATGATTTCCTTCCAAAGAACAATTGGCTAGATGCTTACTACATGACCAGATTACTACTTCTCAGCTCATCAATCTTGCCGTTATCTGCTTCACTTACTTGTGCTTCAGAAAAGCTTGGGCAGTTCAGAAACGGCCTCAAACCCTGCTTCCTTACAAAGCACGTTGGCAGCCGTGAGTATTAGCTCTGAAATAACTCATGAAAAGTCTGCTAAATATTCATTCCGAAACAGATACAGTACTTACTTCAGTCTCACCTGCTGTTTATTGATGGTTTTCGTTAGTGGCTACGAAGGTAGAGTATTTGCAATTACTCCAGCGTTTTAATTTGTTTCTAATGTCACCTAGTCTTCCTCAACGACGAGTGGGATACCGCGACATTCTTTTTCAGCTACACCATGATTGGTGTGTTTATTGTCATATTTATCCTGGCCAAAATAATCAAAAGATCATCATTCGTTCGCCCGGCCGACGTTGATTTGGTCTCGGACGTACAGGAGATCGAAGATTACACAGCGAATTATATCGAAACCCCTGACAGGTAAATACTGATGCCTATTCTCTACATTCAATTGGCAATTTGACTAACCAGAGCTTCAGAAACTTCTTTTCCAAGGTTCTCAATAAAATTTTTGGATAGGGTACATTGGCTTCTTTTGGCACGAAAAAGACCAGATTTAAGCGTTATTTCTCATTTATTACGAGCAGCCTATGCTGGAAAGAATAAAGCTGTATCAACCTCCAACTGTAGCATAACAGACCTCGTGTTCAATAGCCATGATTGACTAGTCTAATTATTGTCTTTGACTTTCACCATTTTATAAGGGATAACTAGCGACCTTCATTTCAGCTTATGGCTATGATAGGATACCCCACTTAAGACTTGAAACGTCATGGTTTAGATTGAGTCAAATCGAAATTGCCGATGCTCGGAGTCACGATATCTTAGAGGTTCATTGATCAGTGCATCACTTTCCTCTGTGAAATTGAGTTAGGTCTAATCTATGAGAATCTGTAATTGATCATTTCGGAGACAGAGATAACAATCTGCAAGTATTCGAATATGAAGTTTTCCTTGGAGGGTAAGGTACTATTGCGGTGCCAGCCACATAGATAAGGTTGATGTGCCAAGACTTGGCACATGGCCTCAAACCTCATATCACTTCTGCCTTAGCATAGCTCTTCAAGCTATTTCTTCGTCTATAGCCTGCCTATTAGAATGCAGCTGCTTCCCTGAATCCTATCTGAAAGCTCCTAACGTCTCCTAATATACCTGCCCGACCCTGCACTTTGACAAAAATTGTTATTTCTTCAGATGGGCGGACAAGGACAGTGGCGTAGCGTGGTACTATGCCCGAAGAATTTCTCCGCCAAGGATGCTACGTCGATCTTCGTGACCTCAAGCTGCATAGACCATTCGTTTATTGGATCATTGGGGTATTTTTGTTACTTTAGAATTGGATATGATCCAGCGTTAAGCATAAATACTATATGATTACACCCTGATATAAGGATTGAGAGATCAATCAAAAAAATGGCGTAGTAAACTGATTTCTGGGATGAACGAGCATTTAGTGAGGCCCAAAATTTATTAATGGGATAATAATGTAAACAACCTAAGGTGCTTAGATTTTGTTTAGTGAGTGAATCAGACTTGCTAAGTCTGATCGGAACAAGTGTGCTCAGTTCTACTCATGGAGCAAAAGCAGCGACGGAGCACTAATATAGAAGGGGAACGCCAAGAACTACTAATGAATATCCGGTAGGTATTTAGTGAGAGTGTAGGTTGTGACAATTTGAGATACTTGCTGTCCTGTTATCTCAAATTTCCAAATTTCCGAGATCCTGACCCTGGCTGGACCTGCGAAAATTCCCTTGAATTATGCTTGTCACGTCAAGATATAGAAAGACCTGACCGCCTTCGGCAAAGCAAACCCGAGTCTGATTCCGATCTCCAGAGTATGTGGTCAGTATAACTACATACTTTAATTGATAATTATCTATCGCGAATTCCTCACTAGATGAGACGAAAACTGAATAATAAATATTTAAATATTGATCTAGAATAGTTACAATGGTAGTAGTTTGAGCAAAATCTGACTGACGTAATTTGGTCTCGACCGCTCACGTGAATTGTGCTTAGAAAGCGATGGGTCTCGACGCCGATGCATGATTAATTTGGAGAAAGACACGGAAGACTGCTAACCTCATCATCTGTGAACCCCCACTTTGACTTACGATAAAAAACCTTGCTTTTAATTTCAGATTTATCCCTCCTTTTATATCCATACCTTCAAACTGTTTTCCTCAACTTTTCGCCGTTTCCCTATCGCTCTTCGATCCTTAGGATTCACTGCCGCTGCTTCTACAATCCACCAACAGGCCCCGTCCGCTCCGACAGTCCTATCCCACCCGTTCTCAACGCCCCCACGCGTCAATTGCATAACCCCCGTCAGAATGTCGCACTCCAAAGTAGTTAGTATGTGTCACCAATACTGCCGAACAAAAATTGAGCATTGTACAATTGCTAACCCCCCGAAGTTATCGGCTCCGGCCCCGCCGCCCACACTGCCGCCATCTACCTCTCGCGCGCAGAACTCCAGCCTGTTCTCTATGAGGGCATGCTTGCCAACGGCACCGCTGCTGGTGGCCAGCTCACTACTACCACTGAGATTGAGAACTTCCCAGGTTTCCCCGCAGGCCTCGGCGGCGCCGAGTTGATGGATAACATGCGCAAGCAGTCCGAGCGTTTTGGTACCGAAATCATCACCGAGACCATCTCAAAGCTGGACCTTTCAGAGCGTCCCTTCAAGCTGTGGACCGAGTGGAACGATGGTCCCGATGACAAGCCCGCTCGCACTGCCGACGCTGTTATCATTGCCACTGGCGCCAATGCCCGCCGCCTCAACCTCCCCGGAGAGGAAAAGTTCTGGCAGAACGGTATCAGTGCCTGCGCTGTCTGCGATGGTGCCGTCCCTATCTTCCGCAATAAGCCCCTCTACGTTATTGGTGGTGGTGACTCCGCTGCCGAGGAGGCCATGTTCCTGACCAAGTACGGCAGCCACGTCACCGTCCTAGTCCGCAAGGATAAGCTGCGCGCTAGCAAGGTCATGGCTGATCGTCTTCTTGCCCACAAGAAGTGCACTGTTCGCTTCAACTCTGTCGCTACCGAGGTTTTGGGAGAGGATAAGCCTAACGGTCTCATGACCGGTCTCCGTGTCAAGGATATCATCTCCGGCGCTGAGGAGACCGTTGATGCCAACGGTCTGTTCTACGCTGTCGGCCACGACCCCGCTAGTGCCCTGGTAAAGGGCAAGGTCGACCTTGATGAGGATGGATACATCGTCACTGTCCCCGGTTCCAGCCTTACCAGTCTGCCCGGTGTTTTTGCTTGTGGTGACGTTCAGGACAAGCGCTACCGCCAGGCTATCACCAGTGCTGGCTCCGGCTGCATGGCTGCTCTGGATGCTGAGAAGTTCATCGCTGAATCCGAGTGAATCGAAGATCCACTGCCCACGCCTAATTCGCTCGCCAGAATGGCGGCTTTTAATCCCAAGCCGCTGCTCTAGAAATCCTTTCTTCACCTTGCTTATAATGTCATTCAACTGCACAACCTTATAACGACCTCTATTGTGGAGCGTACTGTTTACATGCTCGTTGCGCCCATTTTTGTTTTTTCTTATCATTTTAGACTTATTTGCCTCGCTATGGATACTTAGCCTATCATTTCCCCGTGCATACATCTTTGCTATACTTGGCAATTTTTTTTTTGTCTGTTTCTTCATCTGATCTAAGAATTTGGAGTCGGGCTCGTTTGCTTTGGTCAAACTTTTGTTGATCGATACCGATAGAGATAGAAATTGATGAAACTTGAAAAGCATTTCGCAGTAGTACGTCAGATGTCAGTTAGGCTGTACGGAATATGCTTGACCACCTGGGAAGTGCGGTTGAATACTGAATGTCGTATCATCCGACTACAAGACGGTCCTAATTGAACGAGAAGGATCGTACGGAGTAAGTTTTGTCAGAATCCGAAGTATACTCATAAAGATATGAACCTGATCTAAGTAAAAGGTAAGGAATGGGTCATCTAGACCGAGTTCTTAGGCAGCTAGAACGATGCAATCATTTAATAATTATACAGTAGCTTCTCACTCCCTGCTGTCGCAGGCTATGACATAACCCACGTCTCATAGGGGTTATCTCCACACCAGGCATCCTTAACCTCGTAAGAACGTCTCTCCCACTCCGTAATAGCAGCCTTCCACTGCACCAGTGCGGCCTCATTCTCGCGGCGATTCGCTTCAACATGCTCCAGATACGGCTGCTTCTCGCAAGGAGAAGCATCCCGCCACATCTGGCCGAGAGCTTTGCGGATCTCATCGCGGCCTGCTTTAGCGTTTGGGTTGCCTGTTGCCTCGCGACGCACATTGTCGGTTTGGACGCGGCATTTTGCCCAATAGTCTTTTTGGTACTGCAGGAATGGGTTTAGTGATGTGTTTTTTGGGCGGATTGGCGCTGACCCAATCTCTGCGTATATTGCTGTCCACATCGCTTGTTCGTATGTGTCCTGGCGAATTTTGTCTTGAGATATGGAGCCTCGGGAGGAAGAGGTGGTAGCTAAGGGTTCGGATGCCACAGGTTGTGAGAGTTGAGAAGGATGGGGGACATGAGATGGCTGAGAAGCCTGTGTTTGTGTTTGTGGCGTCGGAGTTGGGAATTTGGCTCCTGATTTCTCAGGAACGAGGGGATTGGCAACCACAATTGGCCCGACCACCGCTTCAATGATTTCGGCCGCAGCGCGAAGACCTGATAGATAGGCTCCGTGGACGGTGGCAGGATGTGTTCCGCAGGTAGCCTCTCCTGCGAAGTGCAGATTACCAACTTGCTGGGCCATGAGATTGTAGTCTTCGGGAAGTGCTTTCGAAGCTACATATGAGTAGCTCCCGTAGGTAAATTTGTCAGAGGCCCAGCGGGTGATGATAGTCTCAAGCGGATCAGGGACGGCGGTGTGCTTGAAAACATTGCGAAGCTGTGAGGTGACTTCGGCAATAATCTTATCGTCTGGCCTTGTCTCGGCTTGGATTGCTGAATCTCCTGCCATAAGGGCAATAAGGACTGGCAACCCGGTGGTTCGAATGCAGTTCCAGAAAAGGTAGAAACGACCGCGGTTTCGGGCGTAGTCTTCTTGGACCATACTGACAGGATTAGTCGGCTCACGAAGAAGCCCAAACATGTCCCGTTCGATATCCCAGAAAGGTTCTTCAAATACCAGGACTACCTTGTTCATCACACCGAATCCCAATCTCTCGATTGCCCCACTCTTCCAGTCTGGGAGAGGGGGATTGAACTTGATAGTCTGGTGCTTGAGAGTACCAAGGGAGCCCGTGAAAACCACATGATCTGCAGCAAACTGTTCGCCTCCCTCACAGCGGACGACTGCCTTGCCCTTCCCAGATGGGTCATATGAGATGTCAGAGACAATTTGGTTTGTGCGTACGTCGAGTTTGGTAGGAAGTGAATATAATCCGAAGGGAAGTTGAGAATAGCCACCAATAACCTGTGAATGTTCGCCCTCAAATTCATTGCCAATATCCTGATCCCAGCTAGACAGGCTGAGATTGTGGACATTCGTTGCATTTGCGTATTCGAGATTTGCATAATGCCAGTTAAGGAGTCTCATATCCCTGGGCGTTAGAGGAAGCATCTGCTGGTACTGCTTCACGCCCTCATCAAGGACAGCTCCCAGTGTTTGCGTGGGAGTCACATTTGCAATTGCATCGAGGTCGACCGTGTTCTCATCGGTATAACCGGGTTTCAGGTTCCAGCCTATCGCCTGGGAAGTGACAGCGGCTGAATGTTCCTTCGAAGGGCCAATGTGGTCCACTACCATCTCGTACGCCAATTCTGCATCTGCTGTCTTGTGTCCTACACCCCGACGTCTTCGAACTCTTTTTGTGGGCACGAGAAGATGCTCTGTTCCTGTAGCACGCGCATTTTCGTACTGACGAACAGTAAGCCCGTCATCCACAGCTGATTCTCTATTGTCATCAATTAACTCCCGATCTCCCTCAGCAGTTGGGTTGATAACGGCTTTCCGGCGATAGAATCCGCTACGGTCCAGTACATCATTGTATAGTTTTTCGTCCATGGTATCTCGCACTTCATCGACAGGAAACCCATCGATGTCGTAGATTGTTGAAATGTCACGCAGTAAGTGGTAGTGAAGGGCCAGCTGGCTTCGAACTATGAGGTCCAAAGGATTTCCATTGTCAAACCCAACAATGATTTGGGCTCCCATCTCAGCCTTTGGAACGAGGCCAGGAGGCAAAATTTGTGATGGCATACTATGTAAGGGATGCGAATAAATTCTGCCACCAATTCGTCGACGTCCTTCAAGTACAACGACCCGTGGAGCGGTTTCTGCATCGCGGTAGTGGATGAACAAACTTTCCAACTGGCGTGCACAACCAAGACCTCCTACACCAGCTCCGATGACAACAATGACTGGACCTTCCTTTCGTCTGCCTCGTCTGGCAACTACTGGAGGGACAGGGGTTTCGACACAGCCGAAGTTGATATAGCCATATCGCACGAGCCAGTCGTACGAAAACGAGGCAAGATCCATCCACCGGTAATCTTTGGCACATCCGAGCGCCTCATCTCTGGTCACACTGATCATGGCATTGCGGGTCCAGAGTCGCAAAATCCCATTTCTTATGTTGAGGTATGCAGTCACATGAACGTGACATAGAAGTTCTTGCAACGCTGCCTGTTCTTTAGGATGAAGGGCATACGGATCCAGTCGGGATGCATATGCAGCTGCCACGCACTGTTCGCCGTAAAGGCCGGGCGGCATCCGCAGGGGAATCGATGAACGGGGTCGACATTTAGAAAAATCGATATTACCATTATGAAAAACACTCACTCCGGCCGTAAGAGGCGGTGTAGGCAGGGATGGTACGGGTGTGGTTGATGTAGAAGTTGATTTTCTCTTGCGCGAGGCTGTATGAGAAGATGATGTAGTTGATTCATAAGGAGTGGTGGTGGTTAAAGAGCCATTCAAATAATTAGATCCATCGGCTTCAAAGGACTGAAGGAGGGAGATAGGATTCCCGGACAGTTCCTGGAGCTCTGAGGAGGTAATAATGGGGTTAGATGGCCCAAGAGAGGGTTCCGAGGGCTTGAGCCGTTTCATAAGGGGTTGGCTGTCATCATCAATCGATGATACATGCCGTTCTTGACCAGTAGAAGGAAGGTTCTCTGTGATAATTTGGTTGATGTATGTGGTAGCCGTCGAGACGGCTGGAAAACCCTTCGTTTGAATTTTCATGGGTGCCTCCATGTTCAAGTTTGAGTAGTTACAACCCAGCTATCTCTTCACGACACTAGTAGAGGAGTCTGTTGAAGCTCTGGAGATATGGGATGGTAAGTTACGAAATTCGAAGCTGAAGCCCTAAAACCTGACGTACCCTTAAGATGGTGTCCCGATGTCTGGTATTCAGATATTGCAACGCAATTGATCAATTGTCACTGATCATGATGCATGTATTGGAATGTAATCATAAAAGCCAGTATATTTCCAGCGGGTCAAAATACTTTCAAATGTATTATGCCGTCTATCTGCCCGTCGATGTTAACGTCGTAGTAGGGAGTAGATGGTGGGGGTTCAGATTTGCAAGTATGAATGTGGAGAGAGCGGAGGGTGGCAAGGATTGTGAGCAGGGATGTCCTACATCTATACCCAGTCCCTTGCAAAGCCAAAGCCTAATCCTGGCCTATTGACTTCCATCGAGTCTTGAACTGGAAGTATTCACAAAAAACTTGGAAGAGGAAGTCGATAGAAAAGAGTGGCAGTTGTGCCTTGATTCCTCGGAACGGCGTATATTTCAGACCGCGCTGGTCGATCGAGTCCTCTTCATTTCGTCCCTTCTATAAAATCACTATATTTCTTCGTTGCTTTAACTTCACTTTGACTTTTATTACGCTAATTATCAGGAGTGTTCAGCAATGAACCGTCAATTTTAATTCTATAGCATTGGACCTCCAATATGTGCAGCTATTTCCGTTGAATATGCCTGTGCAAGCCATATGTCTCATCCACATCGTTTGTAGACTCAAGGTCGTCTGAGTCATTATCCGTAAACTGATCGTGGTAGGATGTCCGACTCGACTTCCATCGGCCTGGTTCATTATCGCTTTCATCGTCGAGATCGAGATCAACATTGTCGTCATCCAGAGTGGAGAAACCAAGAAGCTCTTCCTCATCCCGGGCGATATCAAAAGCATCGTTTGTAGCATCATCTTCTGATAATCCGTCACGAGGCTGATGCGCACTATGGTCAGCGTTCTCATTATCTTCACGCTCTATTGCTTCGAGTTCATTCGCGCGAGCCAAGGTTCTGAATAGAGACCACAGGATTAGTAATCGATTAAAGTAAACTTTGGACAATGAGAGAATGACCTACCTTTGATAAATATAATATCCAGTACCGACACCAATCACTCCTGATGCGATAATGCTGATGATATTTACAGCCTTGGCGCCTGTACTCATCTGATCGCCCGTTTCAGCAAGAATCCGCAGGCGACTGCCAATGAAGACGTGGGTGAGCAGCTTGGGTGAGACGATGGCCGTAGCGAGACCATACATCAAGGGCTTGACCGTAGGAAAGGTGGAAACGGCACCATTGCAGATGGAGTATGGAAGTGGACACAGGCGAATCATGCACAGAAGCTTCAGTCCGTCATATTTCAAAGTCAATGCCAGTGCAGCAAATCGCTTGTCGCGCTTCATGAGCGCATTGACGAGTTTCGACAGTAACGTGCGCGATACATAGAATGACACGGTAGAGCCGAGAATAGTTGCGGATGCGTACAGCAGCCACCTATCATGAATCAAAAGTCAGCACAATCATTTTTGAACACATGCAAATATTACATACCCTTTCCATATTCCAAAGATGAAACCCGCGGATGTGCCCATCGTTGACCATCCCACCAAAGGGGGAAACGAGACAAAAAATACACATGTCCAGAGTATAAAGGCGACGAGCGGAGACTTTTCCCATCTTTCTGCGACCTTGGGCAGAACCCTGAGTATCCAGCCAGACAGAAGCAAAAACGAGATTCCCAATGCAGCAGCTATTAAAGCCGCCGCAATGAATGCGACTTTCTGCCAGATAGTCATTCCATTCCATTTCGCATTTAGACTGTCATATGTCTCTTTGCCCCATTTGATCAACCTATCGCGGTAGGTGGCTGCCTGATTATTGGCCCAGCGGCTAGACGAATCTCGTCCACCGGCGCGGCTCCATGGCAGCTGTTCCTCACTATCAGGAGATCGAGGGCTAGCATCTGGGGAAGTGGAAAGGGCCAATGCCCTTGCCGTGGAGTGATAGTCGGCAGGCATAGCTGGAATTTGAAGAGGATAGCGCACGGGAGGAGCTCCGAGAGAGCTTTGAATCAGCGACCGGCGCTGTGAAGACAGAATATGAATAGAAGATATCCAAGATATTCACAAGAACCCAGACTCAAAATAAAAACGAGTTAATATCTAGAAAAGAGTTTGGGCGTAAAAAAAGCCCAGTAGGGCCGAACATGAGAGTTGTACAAGGTACGGCTAGAAGGCTGAGGTAGAAGCGAACGCCCCCATAATTACTTATCGGATGACAAGTCAAGTTCGACGGATCCAACCGGGAGCTTTCCGTTGATCCAACATATATGAGATTCATTGATAGATTATATCAGATTCTACGGAGTAATTTGACCTTCATCACAGAAAATCAATAATATTCGTTTCATTACTTGTGCTTCATTATGTCGGTGCCAAAGTACCTTTTCAGATTATGCTGTTATTCGGCACGGAAGTATAGTATACGGAGTTAAATACTCAAGTAGCTTTTGGTCATCTAAAGTTTTACTTGATACTTCAATGTCAGAAGTAATTAAAGGAAAAGGCCTGGTCTAGCAGATGTAAACTAATAGATCATATTGGTAGGGATTGCAATTAGTCCCGGAGCCTGTCTTGCCATATAATCCGGAGAAAGGGGAACCCCATCCTTTTGTTTTCTCTTTTACCAACTCCCCCTCCTTCACCGTCTGCTTCATTCATTTCTGAATGATGCGATGTAATCACTGCCTACACTTTGACTTTACATCCAGTCCTCGGCTATCACCCCTTTTTATCACCCCGTAGATCTTTCCAACTCGATCACCTATAACTTATTGAAGAAGCTATGGAATGGGCACGCTGAAGCCCCCGATATAGCCTTCAACATTGGAATTCAGTGGATCTGATTCGCAGACAAGAGATCCTCAAGTTGATTCATTCTCTTCTGTCCGAGGGGTAGAGGACCGGATCTCAATATTATCGCAACATCAACAACAATGGTTGCAGAAGAGCTCCTCGATAAATGCCTGGAAATCCTTCAGGATCAGGCTCTGGATGATGAGGAACAGGCGGAGAAAGTCGAGGATTTCTTACGCGACAACTCGTCACTGTCTGGCTCCCCGTTGGAGAACGCAGTACTGGACATATTATGGCGGCATCGAAATCGAACTCTCCCCGACTCTTCTCCTCCACCCCAGCGCCATACAGTCATTCGCAGGTCATCTCCAGCACCATGGCAGATGGCAAGGTCCTCAACCCCTATGTCCCCCTCAAATCTTGGGACCAGTCCTAGTACCTCGTGGGTCCAGAGTTCGCGCGGGGCATTCTCCCGTCCCCCACTATCCTCAACAGTATCCCCATTTACATCACCACGCCCTTCGCCTCGACTTGCTCTCGCACAGCCCATCCCTCACTCGCCAAACTTGAATGCTTATGAATTTTCGGATCCAAGCCAATTCTCTGAATTTTACGGAGATTTCGGAAATGATAGTGTTGACTGGCTGGTGGGAGATGATGCGAAGAGCACCACCTCATCAATAGGCGGTCTCAGCGTTTCTGGATCACTGAGCGCTACCGCAGCAGAATTTGTTCCCGACATGAGCCCGCATGATATTTTGCGCACTGTACTCGGTGATAAACGATCAAACGATGAAATCGAAGCAGCACTTGAAGCAAATGGCTATGATCTCGCTGCAACAATTTCATCCCTTTCTCAAGACACAGATACAGACCCGTTCCCCAAGCAAATGGATGATGGTCGTATTCTTGTCGGTAAGTCAATGGCCGTGGAGCAAATGCGGCCGATCACACCGCTGGCGCATGGTCGCAGTCCAGTTGTGTGCAAATATTTTCTATCTACTGGTCAATGTCTCCGTGCCGATTGCCGCTTTAGCCATGATTTAACAAGCCATTTATGCAAGTACGTATATCAAGATCTTCCTCCTATTATCATTACTAACACTCATTGTCAGATACTGGGTCATGGGTAGCTGCCTAGCTGGTGATGGCTGTCCATTCTCGCATGATCCGTCAGCTCTCGTTTCCACTCTCAGTGTTTCAGGAAGTAGCCGGCCAACTTCCCCACCAGCTGGCTCACCCTTCCAAGTAGAAATCAGTTCAGATGCGTTTCCACCTTTGCAGTCGACTGGAGGTTTGGAAGACCCATGGGCAAATCAATATGGAGGCCGGTATCCAATGCATATGTCTGGTCTTCCAGGGGGTAAAGTGCCACCTGGGCTTCACCCCGGTATGGGTAGACGAAATGCGTCACACTTGGGACGCCCCGGTTCCCGACCGAACAGTCGTCACCAGAACCGAGATCTCAACTCTGCACCGTCCGTAGATGATCAAGACGCATTTCCAACACTTGCCTCCGTCAGCGCTAAGAACGCAGGCAAAAAGCACCATGGTAAGCGAGGTACTCACAATCTTGACACCAAGGAGAACGTACCTTCTTCTCTAGCAGATGTGGTTCGAATGACTCCATCACCTGTGCCCAGCAAGGGGAAATCTGGCTCCAAAAATGCCAAAGATACCAAGAGTCGTGAGCACAGTGCAGCTGCTCAATCCATTCCTGCGCCACAGAATATCCCCTGGCTTGAAACCGGTGGCCGAGCTAACCAGCAGTATATCAAGTGTCGCACAGAAGCGATTCGCCATGGAACTGTTCGAAACAAATTCCTACAAAGGTAATTTGCTCACTAACGTTTTCAGTCTTCCGTTCTAGGCTAACTTCAAATCAACAGTGCGGCTCAGGCATGGAACCGTAATGACGCGCGTGCTGCGAAGGCCTTGTCTCTACGGGGACAGGCTGAGAACGACGCAATGCGCCGCTGCCATCGAGAAGCAGCGCGCCAGTTATACGACGAGCGTAATCAGCATTTACTCCAGGCAGGCCTGGAGGAATCCTCAGAGGAGCTATACGTCGATCTGCACGGTCTCCATCCCGAGGAAGCGATTGAATATCTGGAGAAGATTCTCCTCAAGCATGCACGCGAAGGTCTTCGGGTTGTCTATGCTATCACAGGAACAGGCCACCACTCGAAGAATGGCAAGGACAAGATTGGCAAATCTGTCAAAGCCTGGCTCAACGAATGGCGGTATCTCTTTCGAGAATTCAGTGTGCCCGGTGAAAGAGGCGGTTATGTCGGTGGCATCCTTGGTATTGATCCGACTAGTTATGATAAATCTTTGGCTCGGAGCTTGGAGCGTGAAGAGGCCGAAGAGGACCGACAACCTACTCTTTCCGGCAAGATTCAATTGCTCAAGCGTCAGGAAATAGAAACAAGAAACCAATGACTACAAATTTGATAATTTTGATTATATCCTTTCTTAACGCCGCGTACTTGAGCAAGCATATATCCGACTACGTAAAAAACTATCAGTCAACTCTAGATGTCGGGCAAGGCTGTGATATGACGTGTTAAACCTTACGAGTGTCTAGATAAAATATGGCATTCATTGGGCAAAGTAAATCTCAAATACGGAGTAAGCCTACCTATCTATTCAGGCTCTTGATGCTTCCACAGCTCTCGCATCGCAGCCACGTCAATACCACAAGCCTCGGCTTTCTTAACAATGACTCTTGCCTTCTCCGCAACAGGGACATCAATCATTTTCCCATCAAGTGTCCAAGCCCCGCGTCCAGCAGCAGCAGCCTTCTCATCCGCAATCACAACCCGCATCGCCCACGCCGACTCCTCAGCATCAGGCCCGAAGATCGCATTCGCCACCTTCACCTGCGACGGGTGAATCAGCTGCTTACCATTGAAGCCTAATCTCCGCCCATCCCGGCACTCATCTTCCAGTACTGCAGGTGGGGACCCATCCGCTTTATCGGATTTATAGGTTGTGCAGACAAGGTCAATGGTAGAAGGGAGATTCGCCGCGCGCGCCGCCGTCGCTATAGCCGAGCGCGCGAACAGGAATTCTGTTAGCGATGGTGTTCTTGAGATGCTTAGATCTAGCGCAAAATCCTCAGCGGCGAAAATAAGACCTTGGAGGAGTGGGGACGCAGCGCATATTGTGGACAGATTCATGACTGATCTGGCTGATTCCACGAGGGCGATGAGCGAGATGGGAGTTCTTGGGTCTGGGCTTTGCTGCTGTTGCTGTAGGGTGTGGGTGATCACATCCGTGACGAAGGTCAGATCTGATGCGGAATTGACTTTCGGAATGACGATTGTGGTCAGGTTTGGTGATTGGAGCTTACGTTGTTAGTATAGCAGGCTTTAACTGTACTTCACACGTCTCGTAACATACCACTTCGGTCAAATCACCCAGTGCTAGCCCGCTTTCTACAGAGTTGATTCGTACCGCGCGTTCGCGCATCCCTGTTGGTTTGGGTTGGTCCATTGCTCTCCTCACGAGTGAGCGGGCCTCGGCCTTCATGTGTGGAGTAACGCTGTCTTCGAGGTCATAGGTGACACAATCTGCGGCCAGAGACCGAGACTTATCAAGAAAGCGTTGCGATGAGCCGGGAACTGATTATTCGGAGCGACGTTAGCTCTCGTGTGATGGCATTGGGGTAGCTTGTTCGAGTGCGGGGAAGATGCAATCGATTTACCGTAGAGCAGAGAGCGGCGGAGAGTATTGCGGGCGGCCATTTTGAAGTATGAACAGATGGAACATGTAGATGCGAAAGAATTTGGATCTCTTAGGACACTTTCGAGGTCTCAAAGTTAATATGTGCAAGCGACTGTGGAGGTGCGGAGATGTGGAGTTTCAATGTTCCGAGGTTCAACTTTTCTGCCGCGTGAGAACTTCAATTCATTGATATTTGATGGTTGGGTTAAATGGGACTCAACGCTAAACTGCATTAGGCCATCACATGATAGCCAGATGTACCCTGTTTTTTAAATGGTAATCCTGCGTTCCAATTTCTTAGTAATCCCCATAGTAATAAGAACGTTTTATTACCATTTCCACCACCAATTCCACCACCAATTCCCCATATCTGCCCTCTATATTCATTATGTCCATCATATTCAATGCCCTCCCCCTCCTACCGCCTATCTCTGAATACGGCGAGCCTTTTTACCGCTCAGTTGAGCAGGCTATTGAGGCTATCAACATACATGCCCAGCCCCAAGACTTCGCAGTCTCAAAGCGAAGCTCCCAGCTTAATCGTATCCAACTACGATGCGCCCGAGGTAAGGTATACGCGAAAACAAGGCATCTTTCATGAATTCCTCCGACCTGTTGAGCAAAAGATCTCGGAAAAAGCGATATATATGGCTGCCACCATATATAATAAGTTTTTATCCGAGAGAGATCCTAGAGAACTCCGCATTCGTGAAGAATGTAGTGGGTTAGCCATTCACACAACAGGACTCCCTTGTATTCACACGATACTGCTCGCTAAGAGGGGTCCAGGCCTCTCAGTAGCTGATTTCCACCCCCATTGGCATCTTCCAGAGGCACCATCTATTCAACCATCTATTCAACCATCTATTCAACCATCTATTCAACCATCTATTCAACCATCTATTCAACCATCTATTCAACCATCTATTCAACCATCTATTCAACCATTCTCTCCGCCCATTCCGGCATCTCAGGTGCAGAACCCCCCTAAGGCCATTACCCGGGGCCGTCCTCCGGCCTCATCGGCGCGGCAGGCTATCTCTCAGCGCTCAACCCAGCGCTCACCATCTCAATTTGAGATCACCGAGCAGCAGATACTAGCTGAGAACCAGGAATTTGAAGTATCACGGGCGGCCTCACAGGCATCTCAGGCAGGGGGGGAGAGGGGGGGGGGCATCGCAGGCATCGGCGGCAGGGGGGCAGGGTGGGAAGCCTCGGAGGATGAAGGGCCAAGAAGATCAGGCCGGGCGCCTAGGCCAAAGAGGAGAAGAACGGATGAGACAACTCAGGGTGAAACCACTGAAACAGACCATTAAAAGGCATGTAAATAGCTTCAAAAATGGAGATTTAATTCAGTGGGGCGGGTGTGTTCTCATCACTGCGGGGATTACTAAGAAATTGGAACGCAGGAGTACCATTTAAAAAACAGGGTACATCTGGCTATCATGTGATGGCCTAATGCAGTTTAGCGTTGAGTCCCATTTAACCCAACCTATTTGATATCGATGATTCATCGGAGTCATTTCAAATTCTTTTTCCGAGGCTGTATTGGACATTCCTCTAACTTATTTCGGCCTTGGAATGTTGGAAGGTCTACCACTTCGGTTGTACGGCTTCCAGAGGTCGGCTTGGACCTCAGAGACGACTCCTACTGCACTATGAGTATGCCAACGTTGTGCGTTCACTCGACCTGAAATATACAATCCCGTACTAAATGCAAATTTGATCTTGCCCCTAGCTGCACAGGCGGAAGAAAACCAGACCATGGAAGGATATACACCCTTTTGGCCTATGATATCATCATATCAACACACTTCTTTTGTAACGAACTAATGAAAATAGTTTCACCAGCTCTCTCAAATTCCAAGGCTTCAATAGCTCTACTTTAGCTACACTACACTTTGGCTTAAAGAGGTTCTCTGACCTCGGGAGTATAACTAATTTAGCCATAGTCAAGCTCAGCCACAACCTTGGAATGGACTATAATTGTCCCTGTACTTCGCAACATCAGCTTGAAATTTACTCAATACCAAGGTTTCAAGGGTCCGGTTTATCACAATGCATACCAATCGTTCACCATACCAACCGCAAGAAGTACCGCCAGTAAAGCCTCGAGATAACCCGGTAGTCTTCAATGTCTTCTTTACCACCACTCCAGAATACAAATGTTACAAAATATTCTCATCAGACAACAAAAAATCTCTTTTAAGAGTCCAATCTCGAAGTCAGCAGTCCATATTGCATCTCTTAGTCAAACACCTCTAATCACCCTCTCATGTATTGCAATCTTGCTCATAACTAAACTGTCGACTTGGGCCTCATAAAACCTCACCATGGAGCACCAAAAACCGGTTGGTGGTCATCTCAACAGCGTGATATCCATGTCCAGCTTTATGGCTACAGTCAAGTCTCCTGAAGAAGATCCTTTCAAACTATTGCTACCGAGACTCGACGATTCACCTAGACTCTCACTGCTACTGGGGTCTTCTTGATAGATGAAAGGTCAAGGACTGTGGTTGCCAAAGATGTTGATATGGAATCTGACTCAAATACATGTGGAACAGTGGAGGCTCTGGGGTCTTACGAAGATATGTTTAATCCTACAGTCTTGACCTCAATTGGAAGACGGGAACTGTTGAAGGTGAACACTTGCATTCATCATTATTAAATTGACAATTACCACCTAACAAGGACCCATTGAAATTCAATGCAATTCCATAGATGTGTAGTAGTAAATATTTTCTAATTTTTAGCTCTGGAGGACATGAATTCCAGGCTTTCCAGTACTGTATTCTGTTGAAAATCAAGCATCGATCATAATGAATGACTATTAAATAGGCTAGTGTAGGTAAAACAACTTATGCAGTAGTACCTGTTCTCAGTCAATGTAGTTACTCCCAGTTCGGTACCTGAATATTCTGCCAAAACTTCTATACCGCTTTCTGTCCGTTATGTCTACCGCCTGCAATCTGCCACTCATCAAGTGAACACAACACATCATCTACCGAGTTTCATCCTCCAACCCTTCCGACATCCCTCCTTTTTGAAGTCTTCAGGACCTAGAGGTGCTGGGTTCCTGTCACTCACCATGGATCAAGGAGGTCAAGGTGACCTGAACTGGCGGCTCAGTGCCCATCCAATCACACTGCTTGTTTTCCTGACGATTCGCATCGGTTCGTACTTACCCCGCAGCCATTGAAGCAGGTATAGACTGACAGTTTATTTGAAAAGGTGCCTTGCTGATGTACCTCTTTGGGGTACTGTTTATCAACAATTTGTATCACTCTCCCAACCACTTGTTCCGCAGAGCATCTAGTTGCTAACAAGCTTCCGCAGTGTCCTTGTCTTTATTCTCACCTTATTGCTTCTCTCCGCCGACTTTTACTACCTAAAGAACATCGCTGGTCGTCGATTGGTAGGCCTCAGGTGGTGGAATGAAGTCAATATATCCTCTGGTGACTCGCACTGGGTCTTTGAATCCTCTGACCCCAATGTCCGTACAATCACAGCCACTGACAAGCGGTTCTTCTGGTTGAGCCTTTATGTAACGCCAGCTTTGTGGGTTGGACTCGCTATCCTGGCTATCCTCAGACTTGTTGGTGTGATCTGGCTGAGTTTGGTTGGTAAGTTTGGTCTCTGAAAATACAATCCGAGACTATGATTTTTGTACACATGCTGAGCAGATGGAAACAGGTATTGCTTTGGTCCTTACTATCACAAATACGGTGGCATTCTCCCGCTGCGACAAGTTTAGCCAAGCCTCAACATTTGCAAACCGGGCTTTGGGTGGAAGCATCGTCAACAATATCGCCGGTGGTCTATTGGGCAGGCTCTTTAGGTAATGAAGATGCTTTATTTGTGTTCATATTATCTTATCTGCAACTGTTTACTTAGCGGTGCAAGTGCGTCTGATGTCTCACAGTATTCGCAGAATATCTGCTCAAATATTTGTACAATTGTTTCAATAGGCTGACAATTACAATGCATTCTATTGAACTTCAACCATGGATACTTCTAGGAAAAATGCATCTAACAAAGAGGTATGACAATCCACCCTCTTAAGTCCTTAACCACGATTGGAGGCTCTTCCTGCTGGCTGGTAGGTTATTGTCACCATTGCTCGTCGAATAGCTAGCAGTGAGGGATCCGGAGTCTCCCAAAAGCCAGATCAATCATCTCCAGAGCTAGCCATCTCGATTGAAGCTAGGAAATCGAGCAGATGTCGATTCATTATCGTCTCTTATCGACACGTGACATTGGTAGCCCTCGGGGAAGATTTAGGCAAGTGGAGGTTGAAAACTATGGCTTTGGTCAATATTTCCACAGGGCTTATACCGCCGTTGATGCTCTTTACTCTGATTTTGGTTTATAATCCAATTTTCCTACGAAGATGTCGTTGCTCAACGTCAACCAATGCCTTCCTTTTTCATTGTCCGTGATAGGGAAAGAAAACCCCAAAAGCCCCTAAACTCTTGTCCAAGACATTAAACAAGGAGCAGCTTTCACAAAAGGCCAAGATGATCGATGAAATATAGACACGCGGTCGCTGCCAATATGGGGGAGCAGGTCAACATGTGGTATTGGCGATCTGGCTAAGGACAACGATGCGCACAACACAACTGAAGCAGTTTTCCGGATCATTCTTAAACTTCCTATTCAGCGCTGTTCTAATGTGTGGATTAATTGTCCGTCGTTGCGCGGAACCTAACGGTCTATTTTACTGAAGCGCTAGTATGCTTCCTTTATGTTTGCTTTCTTCTCCCCCATTTCTTCTCAACCTCCTCACCTCTCTTCATCTTCCCCCAATACCCCCACCCCCTTTCTTTGACCTTGATCAAGCTTCAGACTTGATAATTGTTGTACTCTTTACTCATTTACAAGATGGGTTCCTTTGACGGCGAAAGCCGTAGCCATGATGGGTATATTTTATTCCTTAGTCCAGTTCATTTCCTTCGGGCAATTTTGCTAACTTCAGTATCTATTACAGCTCCTACCAGGAGAGCCACGAGGGGTACGTATTTTATAATTTTCCCTTTCCCCCCTTCTTTGTGGTATATTATCTAACATTATCTCGATTACAGTGGCCGCGACGAGGGCTACGGCTATGACGAGGACTACGGCTACGACAAGGGCCATGAAGAGTATGTTTTGCTCCTTAATCAGCCTCACTGTATTTTGGAAATTACCTAACTTGATCTCGATTCTAGTTGTTACAAGGACTACAACGCCTCCGGCGAATTCTCGAACGTTTGCTTTAACTGTGGCAAGGAAGGGTACGTTTCCACCCAGCATCTCAAATTTTGTCTATGTTCTCATTATCTAACTTCATCTTGACTACAGTCACTCCAAGCAAGGATGCATCAACGAGCGTGTATTCGCCGGCACCTGCTTCAACTGTGGCCTTGAAGGGTATGTTATATTCCTCACTTATTATCTTGTCTCAACATCATTCTCGATATCTAACTTCATCTTGACAGTCACCCCAAGCAGGAATGCCCCAATGAGCGTGTCTTCACTGGAACCTGCTTCAACTGCGGCCTTGAGGGGTATGTTACATTCTTTCCTAAACTTCTTTAGATGTTGTTCTTATCTAACTTCATCCCTACAGTCACCTCAAGCAGAACTGCCCTACCAAGGGCCCTGATCTTTGCCGTAACTGCGAGGAGGAAGGCCACGCGGCCCATGAATGCACCAACAAGCGCAAGCTGAACCTGGACGATGTCGAGGACATGAACCCTGAGGTTGCCTGGGCCATGATGAAGGCTGCATCGGCTCCCGGTAAGGATCGGGACATCGATGATTTCCGCAAAGCCTTTGGTAGTTTCTCCAAGGCCAACCCCGATATCACTTACCTCGAAATCGAAATGTTGTTTCGCGCCGAGAGATTCCCTGTCTACCTGATTGCTATGGTAAGTGGTCTATGTTTGGTGAATCGTTGATGAATTGAATAGCTAACGTGCGTTACGAATCAGCAAAAGGAACACGAGCCTGTGATCACCCTTATCGACCTCCAGGGCAATATCGATCGTAAGTACATGGTCGGTTTCCACTTCTCGGCCGATGCGCCCAAGAAGTCGATGCGCGAGCGCTGGCCCGAGAGCCCCGAGGAGAACATGGAGCGTCTGGCAAATTGCGGACTCCCCTTCGATCGTCGTGCCATGAAGTGCCACAAGTGCGAGGGAGTTGGACACATCGCCAAGAACTGCACTGAGGAGGTTGTCTCGACTCACGAGCGGGTTGAGATCAAGTGCTTCAACTGCAGTGAAGTTGGACATCGCGTCCGTGACTGCCCCGAGGAGCGTGTCAGGAAGAACCCCGGATGCCGCAACTGCGGATCTGATGAACATCGTGCTAATAACTGTACCGAGGAGCGTTCGGCTGTTCACGTTGAGTGCCGTCGCTGCAAGGAGAGTAAGTTGAAAGCCCGACCTATTGAGATATGCTCTTACTAACGAGTCGCAGCCGGACACTTTGCTAAGGACTGCCCCAGATATGCCGATATGCCCGACGGCTGCCGCAACTGCGAGTCCCCCGACCACAAGTCCCGGGATTGTCCTCTTCCCCGTGACTATTCGAAGGTCAAGTGCAACCGTTGCCAGATGAGTAAGGATTGACCATCACATTTATCGCTTCAAAGATGCTGACTTTATGACTTTAGTGGGACACACTGTCGTCCGCTGCCGCCTGCCTGACCCCGAGGCTGAGCCCGTGTGTGAGAAGCGTCCTGACACCCCTGTGCCTTATTCGTCTGATTCGGCTGACCACTCGGCCAGCGGCGAGGATGAGCTTTGGTAAATCCAATCCCAATGAGATTTCAGCTAGTGCGTGAGAGGGTCTGGAATGAATGGTCTAATGCCGTGGACAACAATAATCTATTCACGATCCGGCAACTAGCTTCTGCCGAAGTCTCCCTGTCGTCTATGTTCTCAACATTTCCAACGCAGGTTTCTCGGTTTCTCAGTTTCTCGGTTTTCCGGGTTGGAACTATTCGCCGTACTATCATGTGCCGTGTTTCCTAAAAACGAAAAAAAAAAAAAAAATTTTGCTGCTCTTTAATGATTTTTTGACCTACTCTGGCGCTACATTTAGTGCTCAGATGGGGTGACGTTTTGCGATGCTGTGTCGCATTTTAACCAAAATTTCTGCAAATCAATGAACTCAGTTCTATTGCGTTACATTTTTCCTCCCATTTCATTCCGTAATTAGTGTCTTGTAAGGGTTAAGTCCCATATCGCGGGCTCGTACTCAAGTTCTTCGTCTAAGTATCCGATGCATGATGCTTCATATACTGAATCTTGGAGAATCTCATCATGTTTCTTTCAAAACTCTTGCCAACCTTCAAGCTTTGAAGATCAATGAGGCAATTCCAGTTATACATTAAATAGTAATACAACCTTTGGAATATCATCACACTAGAAACAACTGTGATGGCTACGAATGGCGAATGGTCTTAAGGTAGATTTACCTGACTTGTATGAAATTAGGGTAAATAAGTGGTATATCAGAGCTGAGAGTCAGGCACCAAAATCTAATAAAAGTCATGAAATATGATGGTAGAAAGAAGGGGTAAATATCTGTCAAATATATGATTCAAGTGGGACATGCAGTCCAAATCATTTATTTTCACGAGCCATTTCTTTGACATTCTTTAGTAGCGAGTACATAATTGCCCAGAAGATGGTTATTAGAAGTTCAAATTGGAGTATCACTGAGTTCAATACCACCGTGAAGACCACTATGAAAGCCACCACGGATACTAGCATCATGGACAGCACTGGCACCACGAACGGGTTGCAGGACCCAATGGTAAAAGTTGACGCTCATCCGTTCGGCTTTGCGCGTTCAGCTCTGGTCGTATCATACATTCAACTCAGTTCCAAGCAGTCAGGAGACGGATCGAATGAGCAGAGGATGATAGTCAACCGACCGAGAATGAAATGGCTAGTTGAGCATCGCTTCGAGTTTTCAAGATAGGCGAGACTTCGACAGCTTTCAGCCTTTGCTTCATTGATGCATATATTTTTCACTTGAGATGATAATAGAAGCTTTGTCCTACTTGATAAGTGAGATTGAGAGCTTGCCCACAAACTTCGACGTGGGAAGATGAACCTGTCAATCTTGTCATGGGATGTGGCCAAGCTGTGAGCTGAAAACCACCCGGCTCGAAGTAGGAAAGATAGCCTATCGCCATCGTCGCAACTGATGTATCCAAGTGGGCGGTGAAGAAATTTAGTGGAAAGGAAACCCGTTTCCAGTGTCATTTCTTTAGGAGCTTACACTTATGGGGTCCATTCAGGATCCAAAGAACACACCCACTGTCCAGAGCAATGACGGAACTGAAGTCTGTTATTTTCAGATGGTATGCTCACGCAAAGCTGTGTTCGCCGTCATATTCCTTGGGTATGGAAACTTAGAAGGGCCTTGAACTTGGAACTTGCAAGATCTGATTAGGCAGATATGCCAAAAAGAAATTGGTCCACGGCGCTTCCGAGGTTCCTGGTCATAGGAGGACCATCAGAACTCCCAAAGCATGACCCGGGAGTGGAGCTTAGAAAGCCAGAAGTACCTAGGTGGTATGCAACTTCTGACGGCTTTGTATACAGTCGTGTCATCCTTTGGGAGGACTTTAATGTCCTTTGGCTTCAATCTCAACTTCGATAGGGCCAGCAGTCTCAACTGACCTGCAGGCTCTACTGTATCCATGACTGTATACGGGTTAGACATATCCTCTGACGAAGCCTGGATAGCACATCCTGCAAGACCGAGAAGGACATTCGTGTTTTCATCCATATTAAAATCGAAGATAGCGTGTTGATGAAGGCCATCTGATGGAAGAATTTGGATTTGAAAATGACGAAGGAAATTACCAACCGTCATTAAACATCTACCCATCATGTATTTATTGAAGCACAATACTCTTGAGATGGGGCTCGAATCTGTATCGGGATATTGGGGCGCAGTTTGATATCAATTGTCACTCATCATGATGCATGTATTGAATCATGACCACAAGAGCCCTCCATCATATTGCTTCTTGATGCAAATCACTTGATCATGGAGAAAAGGCCCTTAGTAAATGCGGATATTGAGGTAGTGCGTGCGCTTTAATAAGATTGGGCGTCGAGTTGCAATAAGACTCCTCAAAATACATCTCTCAGCTTTGGATAGAAGTCTTGAAGTCTGTGCATTCTCGTGAGAAAGTCGATTTGAATATAGTGGTGGGGCACAGGGATCCATCAACAAGTTTGAACGTGTCAGAAGTTTCAAAAGGATACTCAATTGTGGGGTCCGATATCAAATCGATTATGTCATAAGCCTTTTCAGCACTGCCTGGCCAAGTAGTAACTTATGAGATGATTCGACAGGCTATGATTCCATCGACATCGATGGTGGCTCAAATATGCCCCTGTCGATTGGCTACGGTGCCCGCCATAAGATGAGTAGGTGAGATCTTTTCTCCTGAGCAATGATTCCTTAGTAGTTCATTGATGACTGATAACCTTAAGCTTCATATAGAAGCAGAGCTCTTTTTCACACCAAGCCTCAGAGGTGTGTCCACATAAGAGGATGGGAGTGATGTAGGAGGGATGAGAAATGACATCGAACAATAGAGAAGTCCTGGCACATATATCAGACTGGCGGTCAATCCATGTATTACACGTCGCTCTTCACGCGCATTGTCTAGTTTGCATGCGTTCATTTGAAAGGTGAATGTACCTAGCCCAAGTCTTTTGGCATTCAAGTTTGGAAGTTTCACCTTTCAAGTGAGGCCCCAGATAATGAGGAAGAACCCTTCCCAAAGAATTTGGGAGAGGCTTTACTAATAGTCATCATCCTATCCGAGGGTGAAATGCTTGGTCCTATTTCTCGTCGTAACATCGATGCATTTTATCATCATAAAGAATTTCGTATGCTTCTTGCGGCTGATTGAAGAAAGCGAGGGCCAAGGAAGCAAATCTGGAATTAAATTTGCGAAGGATGATAGTGATGATCCATGTCTAGCGGCTGTATCGTGGGAGGGGTTGAGGCGTTTGCTGCTCTCATCTGTTTTTTTTTTTGGAAGGCTATATGAGATCCGCACCAGACGGTACAGAAATTTCTGGAGTTGTAGACCCCAGATTAAAGCCATTTTGATGGTTCCTGGGCCCAAATGGAGCACCTGAGTACAAACAACGTGCATCTTCTTTACATTCAGCAGCAACCCAAGCGGGGCTCCAAATAGTGATTCTTGATATTGTGCGCATGTCTAAGGCGGATAGGATAGGGTTGGTAGCTGTTGGAGACATTGGCGCTCTGTATATCATATTTGCTGTGGCGCCAATTTGAGAATCAGCCAGACGGGTTTGTTTCTTCGATTTCCAGTAATCTAAGTAGTATACTCTGGCCGGGATGGGTGTAATATTGTGTCTCAGAGCGCACGCACATTGCCGCGAGTGGTAGATACTCACTCCAAGTTGATGGCTTGGAATTTTCAAGTCCGGATGTCATGGAGCTCATAGTGACAGCTCTGTGTCTGCGGGCGCCTATTGCTAATCCAACAGGTCTTCAGATGTCACCCCAAGATGAAGGAGTAATGTCTTAAGGAAGAAGGTATCGGACCCATATATCCTGTTTATATACCTGCCAGGACTAGGGTCTAGTCACGTGTTTACTCTCTTTCTTTTTGACAAAGTGAGGAAAGTGAGAGGTAAGTGAGAAGAACGTGAGAAGAAAGTGCGCTTGCAAGGATTCCATTGCGTTCGCCACATGTTTCCTTCATTGACATGTAGGTCGTTTCACTCCAAGATGATGTGTAAGTAAGAAGAAGGTAAGGACAAGCTATAAATCTTTAACATATTTGGGCGGGTTCAAATAATTTCAAGACCAGCTGAATATTAGTATTCACATTCATAATATTCTTTGCGTTGGTATGCTCTGAAATGGAAATCCGACATGATAGGCCAAGATAATTTCGGATGTCTTCTAATTGCCCGCAGATGCTAACGGTGTCGTAGTCCGGAGCAGGATGTGAAGAATTCAGGACTGCACGTTTGAATGAGACCTTTAATCAAGAGTGAAATACCTGTCAAGGTTACATACCTTCTTTGGCAAGGAGGTCTTTGTACCCTGAGGTGAGGGGGTGCCTTAAGGAAGACGAATATATGAATATATGACCGATATCTTTCTTGTAAAGTCTTGGGTCTTGGGTATTGTCACGTATCTTCATCATTGACAATTAAGTCTTTGTATTCCAAGATGAGGGAGTGATGTATAAGGAAGAAGGATATATACTGAAATATCTTCCAAGGCTATTCAAATCCTCCAGGGCTGGGTCACATGCTCCTTTTTAACAAAATGAGAGTCAAGTGAGACGGGAGTGAAGTAAGAGTAAGAGTGAAGCGAGAATGAAATGACAGTGAGAAGAAATTAAGAGATAATTCAAGCTCGAGCCCGTGGACGTACTCTATTTCAGACATCCATGCAAGGAAGGTGTCATGAAGCATGCTTATGGTCACGTGCATCATTTAGCCCTTAAGAAACAACTACGTAGAAGTTTGAATAATGCGATACATTCAAATAAAGAGAGATTCTCAAACGATGGTTGATTTTCCATCCATGTCATGATTCTATGCTATTGTACGTCACACATAACCCACGGAATGTGGTGATTCAGAGGAAACAAAATTAGAGATTCGGCAAGTGCAACGAGGGAGTCGAAAAGATTGTAGGAGGCGACCCTCCAGGAGAGGAAGAACAGATAGAAAGTGAAGAGTAAACAGACGGTAAAGAAAAATAAGATATCTATCAAAGGCTCCCTCACGCAGTCAGGCCACTCTCAAGGTCCTCACTCCCGGTTGATGCCGATGGGTATCGGAGCGCTAAGACCAAATGATTTCCTCACTCCCATTTACAGGCCACCGCACAGAGTCTCGGCAATGATACCGGTGATCTGGTAGGGGTCAGCATTGGAAGCGGGGCGGCGATCCTCGAAGTAGCCCTTGCCGTCCTTGGCGACCTGGCGAGGAATACGGATGGAGCCACCGCGGTCAGCGACACCATATGAGAACTTGTCAATGTTACCAGTCTCGTGGCGACCGGTAAGACGCTCCTCATTGCCCTCACCGTAGACGGCAATGTGCTCGGAGTGGCGGGCCTCGAGCTTCTTCATCATACCCTCAATGACCTTCAGGCCACCCTCGGCACGAGTAGCGTTGGTGGACACGTTGGAGTGGAGACCAGCACCGTTCCAGTCACCCTTGATGGGCTTGGGGTCGAAGGAGATGCGGACACCGAACTCCTCAGCGACACGGTGGAGGATGAAACGGGAGATCCAGAGGTGGTCACCCACTGTGAAGATAAATTAGTTCTGTATGACAAGACACACACCCCTGTCAAAAAAAAAAGAGAAGAAAAAAAAAAAATAACTTACTGTCAATGCCGGGGCAGGGACCAACCTGGTACTCCCACTGAGAGGGCATGACCTCAGCGTTGATACCAGAGATGGTGATACCGGCAAACAAACAGGCACGGTAGTGAGCCTCAACAATGTCACGGCAGTAGACCTTGCTGGTACCGACACCGCAGTAGTAAGGACCCTGGGAGCCGGGGAAACCGTTGCGGGGCCAGCCGTAGGGCCAGCCGTCAGTGCCGAGCAAAGTGTACTCTTGCTCAAGACCGAACCAGAAGCCCTCGCTGGCGTGGGTCTCGAACAGGCGGGCAGCCTCGTGGCGGTAGTTGAACTTGTTGGGGCTTCCGTCGGAGTCCCAGGTCTCACAGAGGACGAGGATGTTTTCGCCCTGTCGGAAGGGGTCAGGGTAGATAGCGCAGGGGCGAAGGTAGACGTCGGAGTTGTCACCAGGGGCCTGGCCGGTGGAGGAACCGTCGAAGTTCCATTCGGGGAGTTCGTCAACGCTCTTAACGGGCTTGGACAGAGTCTAGGTCGATGAGTTAGTAGAGATTCAATAATAACTCCTCCACACGTGATATGCGGATTGTTGCAATCGCGTGAGGAATGCCTCGTGCGCTAGTGCTTATCGAAAGATAAGTGACATCCCACCTAAGTGGGGGTTTGGGAGGTTGGGGAAGACGGCGATTGGGAAATTGGAATGAATCTCACCTTGGTCTTGGAACGAGTGCCACCGTTGGCATCAATCCAGATGTACTCAGCTTGGACTTGGCCGCGCTGGTCTAGGGACATGTACTTCAGAAGCTATCAACCCGCCACGGCATGTCAGTATGTCTGTTTCCTATCTGGCTCAACGGCCATTATGGAAAACCAATGCATCAAGAAACAAACGCACATTCCCCGTGTTGGAGACGACAGTTGAATCAGCAGCCTAGAGATAGAGAATGAGTCATAAGATCTGGAAAGAGTCGAGTTGAGATACATACCATAATGAATGATTATGGGGGTTGTGTGCGTGAAAGGAAGGTTTTTGTTATTGCAAAAGCAAAAGAATCAAGAATTATCCCGAAGGACTGTAAAACAAAGATGGATGAAGAATCCAAAAAGAGGGGAGGTTAAGAGTTTTTAGATGTAGAGGAGGAAAGAAGGAAGGGAAAGATAATGATTTAAATTTAGTCACTGAGCCTTTTTTTTGGGGGGAAAAGGACGGGAAAATTGCAAAAAAATAGGGAAAAAAGGAAAATAAGTGGAAAGACGTGGATCAGCCACTCTCAATCGGGTCTAGCGGTATTTTATATTATAGTACTTTTCAATACCGCCTTCTCACCTTATCACCTTATTATCCCTCACCCGAGACTAGAACTACATAAAATCACGCATTCTCGCCCAGGTTGCCCTAGTCCATCCACTTCATTTGCCTCGTGATGTAAAAGGTAAAAGATCGAGTCCGGCTCGCCAAAACCGGCAATTATTCACAGTTCCACGCCACCCGTCATCACCGCATCACCGCATCATACTCAATGCTGCGGTATCGGTGCCGATATTCCATGGAAGATCATTAAGAGGTACGTTGGCTAGATTCAATGTTGATTTTGGATTAAATTTGGATGTTTCAAGTTTGATATATCATATCATCGACTAGTGTTAAAATAAGATACTAACATATAATACCGCTAGACCGCCACCTGATCGCACTTAGGCCTCTTTCTTTTCTTATTCTGATAAACCCCTCTACACCCAATCATCATACAAAATATGTAATCAGACTAACTAATGAACAGATAATAAAACACAACACACAACTTGTTATCAATTCTAACGCTTCCACTTCCCAGATCTAGCTGTCTAACCCCACCACGAGGCTGGTAAGAGTCCATGTATTTCCCTCGATGAATCCTAGTCCTAGGGGTATTCCCGATCCTGATCCTTTGACTGGACATTTCACACAAGATAGCTGCTTAGAATCCACATCTCTTGCTTATACCAACCTCGAAAGTCTTTCTGAGGATACCAAGGTAACTCCGTTAGGCGCGTACCAGCTGCCTTGTGCCCTAAGAGATATTGTCGATCATTTGGAAAACTAGTAGATACCAAATAAATAAATACTGAGACTGTGTAAAGAATATATCACGAGACTTACTTGGGGCATTGTATCGAGTCATGGGATGTACTCTGTACCTATTAAATATCTTATCTAGTAGATTTAAGAGGCGCGATATCTTCGGCGAACGAGCTCCTCCACACTTCGCGGTTCTTGGACCTTTATCGCTAATGGCGCGATTTGTTATCGTACTGAAAACTGGGTAATGCCGGTTTCATTCAGCGTAGATGTTCCCAGTCTTACAATTACTACTCCGTAGTATATAATTTTGTACCTGCAGTGAACTTTACTATCTACTACGTACTATTTATTGAAGCACCTAAATATGCCTCCCTTACCTACTATGGGTACAGAGTGGAGTACAATACATAATCAAAACTGACCCACCATTCTATGGAGGACCCAAGCCACTGGATCGATCATTCAGAGTCGTCGGTCGAGTGGAGCGTGGCAAACCGATCTCGAAACATCCGCCAATTCACCAATCATACTGAGCCAAGTAACTTTGGAACCACCCCGACACCGGCCATTCACCGTGGGATTCAGTACGACGTATGGCTCATCACGCGCAGTTTATGTTTTACGTTTCAATTACGATTAAGAGGGATTAAAGAGAAATAATGGGATCAAATAGATTTAGAAAAAAGACTTGGCAGAAGGGAGGTTGGGGTTGGGGTCTGGTTCTGAAGTAGGAAGTATAGGAATCATGGATCTCTCCATGATTTTGATATCTTAGAGGTGGCGAGGTTTCGATCTATCCCCTCCCCCGTATTTTCTAGACAAATCGAAGACGAGCAATAAGGATTCTCGGGAGTTTCAGGAATTGTGCATCGACTTATTTTTTCATAAGTTTCCCTAACTTCAACCCCAACTTACTTAACCTAACACTGCCCAGGTATAAATAAGCGGAGTATTGTCCTTGTCCTACTTCAGAGTCCCGTTAAAAGGTCAGTGCTTGGTTACAAAGCTCTACTCTAGTAACTACGCAGTAAGTATTTCTATTTTATCTTCATTCTAAAAATAGACCATGAAACACCCAGGATTCGTTTAGTCATCGAAATGGATTTTGACCTTTATTACTTTTTGAGTCTTTCTTTACACAGTACTATCTGTAAATGACTGTTACTGAAACATGAATACAAAAGCAGACCAAACCAAGAATATGCTGTCCCCAACAGCCCCAGCAATATAAATCAATTGTGGGTTGCTTATCCACTTCTGCCTATTGGTCAATCGTAAGCTTGACACATTGTCTTGACAAATGGCCCTAATTGATATTTACTCCAGGTTTGAGAAGATCTTCAACCCTGAGGATTTAACCCACCTAAAAACATGCTGAATTAATGCTCCTCTAAAATCACAAAAATACAATCATCTACCTGGATTCTTATTCTAACTCTAGGATTGCACCTCCCTGATTCTTCACCGGAATGTGGATAAACCCCGCTCGTTTCCAATTGCCAGTTTGTAAATAGATACTGATAGTTCTACTATGGTAGGGGCCATTTGTTTTCATAGTGCGAAATTAGTGACCTATTTAGAAACAACTAAATGTAATTTACAACTTAAAAACAACTTAAATACAAAAAAAAGATCAGACGCGACGCGATAAAAGACTTAAACAGCAGGTAGTACTAGTCTCGATAACAGCCTGACACTGCGCGTGCATTAACCTTCTCCTCTAGAACCCATATGGCATAGCTCTCTATGCATCTTGAACAGCTTGCCGAAGCTGATCATAATTCAATTTCTCCCCCAAAAATAGTCGATATCGTCGCCCAATACACTTCTTCATCCAGTTCCACCACTGCTCAATTGAATTTAGATCCGGCGAATAAGGTGGCCAATCAATATGGCAATTTCCCCTCTCGTTTGGCTCTAATATCGTCGCCCAACTCCGATGGCTACCCATGAATAAGAAGCACCATCTTCTCATTGTAGGATGCCGCGGAGATATTAGTCCATTCTTTCTCCCAAAAAAGAGATGGACCTTTCTCAACACCGGAAATTGTCCCCTAGAACATCCAACCAGGACGACGTTGCAACCTTTTGCGAGAACAGATATCATTCCATTCCTCCCCAGCTTTCCGCGTGACATACGACGATGATATTCCGATGTGACCTGATAGTATAGCTAATTATATAGATAGATATTAGTATAGATATTAGTGAATGAGATCATATCTCGTCCATATCATCATCTGATAATACACAAAGAGCCCCTAAGCGTTGCTTATCAGCAGTTAATACTGTTCGGACTTGGTTCTGGATTATATGAAGACGCTGGGCAATTTGTGTATATGACCTCTCTTTTTCTTTTAAGAGACGTGCAATAACTCGTATATCGCGTGTTGTGTGGTGACGGTGTGACTGTGTGTGTGAGAGAGAGAGAGAGAGAGAGAGAGAGAGAAGGCCTAAGAGGCATCTCATATGGCACCGACGGTGGGCATAGAAATGCGTCGCGTACCAGATAAAAACTAAGATCCAAATTCGGACGGTATAAGCACGTATCATACTAGGCCTAACTAGGGTGGTCGTCACCCCATTCTAACTAAATTGGATTACCATAGTACTGATAACCGCTGATAACCGCTGATATATATGAATGTCTTATGACTCGGATGTTACTTTCAACCGTCCTGTAGCCTAGCTATTACCCATCTGGCATCTTGCAGATCAGTCGGTGAATTGAAATGCAAGACACGCTGTCGACTTCCTCAGCCAAGAAGCGGCATGTGTGGATTGTGGGTTGAGAGATTTAAATCCACTCATGATTTCCACTTTTGCCCTTAAGAGACTCTTTGAGATTCCCCATTCCAGATAATCCTAGAATCTAATGCTCAGGTGACTCTTTCTACCTAGGTAGTGAGCTCCAACACTGGTACAAGGATGATATCTTACAGAATCAAGACCGCCAAGATCTTTACGATGGAGAGAGTTGTAATAAGATGCCAAAGGGCAGGATAGATATGGTGCTCATTCCGTAGAGCTTTGGCCGTGCTTCAGAGCGCGGCACATTTGTGGTCCAGACCTTCTTGCTTCCCTATTTATAGCTGCCCTTTATTGCGACTATGGCTTGAGACTATAGTGCATCTACCTAGTAGCATCTCAGGGCTTGCATCTCGTAACAAGTCAAGATCTGAGGCTAGCCCTCGTCAAAAAAAAAAAAAAAAAAAAAAAAAAAAAAAAAAAAAAAAAGTACGGATGACTATCCAGTTACAGTCGGCAAGAAGCATATTCATACATACGGAGATTTGCGCCTGTGCAATTGCCCGCTTTGTCTTTGTCAAAAAACCAACTCAGGCATTCTCCCGATTTCATTTCAGGGCCTAAGACTCGGAGTCTTCGGCTGGCATTCAAGCTCAGCCGCTGCCGGCCCGCTGCCGCAGCCAACGCAGGACCCACTCTACCAGTATTCCCAAGTCTTGTGATGTCTCCAATTTCTCGGAGATCTTCTGGTGAAGTTCCTGCAGCGTGACATTTACATCAGTCCCTTGCATATCCGTGTCACCGTCATCCTTGGTCTTTTGGATGAGTCCTGTACTTTCCAATGCGGAAATGCGGCCGTTGGGGCCCACTTCGAAACAGAGGGAAAACTGGGCTGGTCTGCGTGAGGTCTTGTTACCATGCATCTGCTCGCCAGGATCTGTAATGAGTAGCATGAGAGTTGGTGCCTGTCCCAACTGCGTTCGTAGTGTTACGTCCACTTTGACATCTTCCAGGTGGATCCGATATTTGTTGATCTTGTTGTTGAGGTGGCTCTTGCCTTCGCCGCTGAACAACGAAACTTCATCCGAAAACCCGGTTTCCAGTAAGATATCCAGCTTTTCTTCGTCGGAGTCATCATTGCCCAAGGTAATGATATCTTGGTCGTCTTCATACTCCGCAAAGAGAGCGAGTGGTTCTTTTGGAGACTCGGACTTATCCTTGTCTTGAACGGATATACTGAAGACCTTCCGGATCAAACTTGCCAACATGGCATATTGACGTAAAATCTAAAATATTGTTAGCGTCAGTTAATGCTTTATAAAACGAAACATACTGGAATGATATCGGTGAGCTGCCGAGGATGGGAGAATGGGAGATCGTAGATTTTGCGGCCTGGAACAGACTCAAAAGCTTGAAATGTGTAGTTATGGTTCTTGGTAAATGGCTGGCCGGTCGAATCAAGTCCGTGTACGGACGTCCTGCACTTTTTCCGGCCAAGTTGGGATGTCAAATTCGACTCTGAAACCAACGATTCATCGTATGGGACCAATTTGAACTCCTGTGGTAACTGCATTCCAAGATGTCTGTATATGTCAGAGGCCACAAGAATGGGAACATCTAGTGCAGGCTGTAGTTTAGCGACAAATCGTCGATTGGGCGTTGTTGACTCCAGCATGCTCGAGTCCACGGCCATCGGGTCTGGATGATTGCCATGAGACAGTCGCATGGTTGGAGGTGGCTCGAGCCAATTCACGAATTCTGCGGCCTCGACTGCAGGGGACAACTCGCTTTGTTCACCAGATGTGAAGACTTCGCTTCCTATCCATTCCTTTGAAATGCGCAAGGATGGGTATCCCTCTTCACATTCAATCATAACAGTCCACATCCGTTCCTGCTCTTCTACCTCCCGGTCCCGGGCGGTTTCCTCGCCATCAATGGCCATTCCATCGGACGACAGGTCCTGCTGTTTTGTGTCCAATGCCTTGGGCTGTTCAACCCAATACTCCAGACCCAGTCCAATGCGAATACCTTTGTGCATTCTAGGACGGCCAATGGCGCCATAACAAAGATGCTCATAATCATCGCCAAATTTGGGTTTCTTTTTTCTTCCTCCCAAACTCGCCTAAAGCTCTCCTCCAGACCCTCCAGTGCCTCGAAGCAGTTCACTTCTTGGCTGAGCTTGTCCAGGCTTGCAAGCCATTGCAAATTCGTGTGGAACCCCTTAAGCGACCTCCAGTTTCCAGTGTCTGCATCTTGGATATCTTGAACAAGATTGCGTTTGAGAACCTCGGTTGCCTCTTCTCTCCGTTCGCCTTCATCATAATTGGGTGTAGCATATCGCAGACTAACATTCTTCACAACGTCATAGCCGGCATGGAACTCAATCTCAAGATCGACGAAGTTACCGGCAATGTTGATGTCATTGTTTTGCCAAATAGATTCAAATCCCTCCAGCTGGCTTAGGCGTTCGACGCCTTCCCGGGAGACTCCATATCCAGCAACACGTGTACGGAGAATTGCAACAACCTCCTCAATGCGATGTCTCTGTTCCACGTCGCTATCCCGCCCACCAGAAAGTTTGAGACTCATTTCGAGATTATGGATATCACTATCATTCATGCCAGCACCGACAAGACCATCATGGATTGCAGGGGATGGGCTGATTCCAGTAAATCCTCCCAACGCAAGTAGAGCTGATGGTGAGGTGAAATTGACAGGATCGTCCACATTGCTACTCACAGCAAGAGGTGTGGAGTATTGATGTGATGAAGAAGTTATACCTTGTGTATGACCAGGTCCTGAAGCTGTCGGAGTTCGTGTGGAGGGGGATTTATGGGCAAGAGATCGAGCGAGCGGCGCAGATGAAGGGTGCGGAGAAGGCGTGAGATAAGTAGGCGTTGTGCCAGGTTTGGCCGAGGGAGTCGCCATATCTTAAACGTGCACTCAAGGCTATGAAATAAAAATAAAGCTTCTAAGCTAAGGAAGACCTTGCCACGATCTGGTAAAATTGAGTGCCCACAGCACTATAAATGCAATTGACCTATCCTTTAATAATGAAATTGTCGTGCGTGGGATGCTGGCTGGGTAGGTTTGGAAGATTAATTTCTTCTACAGGCCTAGTTATACAGCCTGAAGCTCCTGAAAATCGCGCCGACAATGCGATTGACAGGCGCAACTTGAGCGCGACTGCTGTTTGATAATCACGGAAATATCACGTGGGAGAACTGGTAAGCTAATTAATTGTCACCGCCATCCACACCGCCTTAATTATGCCAGCATGATGACTGCATCGTGGACATTCAAGAAACTTGCCATTGAGCAGAATTCATGATTATACAAGAAATGTTTGCTTCAAGATCAGTTGGGCGACAGGCCTTCAATCTGACCCGCTGGAGCCAGATACGATGTGTGTCTACCTTAAAGTCGAATCCTCATATTGTATGAGCTTTCCCGACCCAAGCTCCATCAACCTCTCATACTAATATTCAATAGTATGTACATGCCAGTGAAAGTTCACCGGGATCTCATATTCTTTCACTCCTTCCATCTGAGCCAGTCAACCCAAGCCTCGCTATTGGAGTCACAACCAAATTGCCGCCAACAACAGAGTCTCTCACCGAGAACCCTAAGTTCCTGAGCACTCTCCAAAGTGTCTTCAGCAAACACGCTCATGAAGATCCTGATGCAAAGTCCCAGGCACATGTCATGGCTTCAACATCTGGAACAGTGTTCTTGAATTCCCAACAGGGAAAAAGACGTGGAGGGAGCGACGGAGCTAGTGGTCAGGGTGGTGCTGGATCCGCCGGACGGGGTGGTTGGATTCATATCTCCGATACCCGACGACCCCCTGAGTATGGTCGTATCGCATGGTGAGTCGAGATATTGGCAATAAGCCAACAGATGGGCTGCTCCTAATCACTGTATAGGCCTGAGGATATCTTTGGCAGTCTCGAAGTGGATGCGAATGGCCAATTTGTAGGAGGGAATGGAAACTATCAGCCGAGTGGTAAGATTTATATGAAAGCCCGACTCAGCTTATACTGACACCATGATCAGGTACTTATAGAATCGTCACTCGCGATGGAATGTAAGGCTCTTTTATCTAATAAAATCCAGATACAAGGATGTTTTACTGACTGATATATCTAGTTTGGGACTCACACCTTACCTCAAGGAAAAGATTTTACAGCGATTGCAAGAGATTGAGAAGGAGTAAAAGAGTCTTGTTCCCTCATTTTACCTGGTAGAAAAGCCTCGTGTATTATATTATAACTTTCAACCCAGTGATATTTACTTTTTGAAAAAGTTTGTAATCTGCTGTGATCCATCTGTTGGTTTGGTCGTAGAAAGCTTCTTCTTGGGAGTGTTATGAGTAGCACTTCGCATCTCTCGTTTTCGCGGCGAGGGGGAGGGTTGTATCTTCTGCTTCTTGTCATTCTCCTTGATACCCAGACTTTCCGGTGTATGTTCTCGCTTAATTCCTCGTGAACTGGGCTGGTCTGCATCATTTTCGCCCTTTTCATTATTCTCAGTTCTCTGTGACTCCGGCTCTCTTTTTGGAGAGATATCAACTGTAGAGCCAATTTTATCTTCCTTCTTCTTGGCATTGGCGAAGAAATTCGCAATATTCTTCTTGTTTTCTTTGCTGTCTACCGGAACAATGAAGTCAGGTGAATTGTTTCCAACTTTACCAACCTCTTTCGAGACCTGATAGCATTCCAATTCGCCTTCATACGGCTTGAGGAGATTATGTAAATCATTCGACCATGTTTTCCGATTAGGATCAAGCCATTTTTTCATAGCTTCAGAACCCGCATCTAAAATGACAGGCATGCGATCATGTAGGAACTTCAAGTAGGGGTTTGAGGAAGTCGTAATGACAGTATATGTGTAAAGTTTCTCCTCCGAGCCTAAGATATCCATGTCAGCTTCCACCTTTACTATCATCAAGATACTATTAGAAAACTGACCCTCGTAGGACACACAGTCCCACAGCCCTGCAAAGCACATCAACCTGCCGTCCTTATGGCGCACATAATGCGGAATTCTCTCTTTGCCTCCTGGTCCCTTCTTCAGCCACTCGTAGAATCCCTGACAGACAACAATACATCGCTTGCGGCGCTTCATAGTAGTCCACATGCCGCGATCCTCGATCAGTGAATCGTCTCTACAGTTGATTGTTCGCATCGTGGAACCATAGTTCGGTTGGCGTTTGGTCCAAAATGGGATGAGACCCCATTTCATACTTTGGAGCTTATATTTTGGTTTTTGATTCTTCTTCTCGGTTGCATCTTGCTCCTCATTTTTGTCTTCGTTGTTTTCCTCTTCGGGTTGTGAGCTTGGCTCTGGGGTGTCAGCTCTGTAGACGGCACCAACGTTGCCCGGCGCTAAGTTGTATGTTTCTCGTACTTCGTCATCTTCTGGTGTGTCGTCTACTGGCATTCCTCTATCTTGGAGTGACCGTCGCACATATGCCATTTGCTATTTCATCGTTAACATATTGTTAGGGAACATTTGAAGACAGCCTTCGGTGTCAGTGAGTGAGAACGTCAAGACTTACGACACCTAAAGCATAGCGTCCACACATTTTCAATTTGAGCCGAGGCTGTCGAATTTACCGACAAAATCAACTTTTAGGCATCAATGGGCTGAACTATTTGCACATATACCTATCGTTGCAAGGCAACCTGTGAAATTCCATCGGAGACGTCATCGTATCAATGCGGGGAAGATCGGCAGAATTATGGCTACATAAAATGTATGTCTCTTGTTAATTCTTCAAGCCAATATCCCTTCGCTTTAGGAAAGAACATATAAACGAGCACTTTGGACAGCAAATTTAGTCCAATATACACAACGTAATACTTCTATCCAATAGCAGAAAGTGCAACTGGTTTCATGTACTGGCGTATAGCCAATGTGTATTGAGATTTAACCTTCTTGCCCGTCAAAACTTTGCTCCTGAGGTGATATGGAAAAATCTAGACCAACTGGGTGTATAATAGGGGATATGATTGCGCCGAAGCAAGTCTAAGTGGCCATGAGAGATCCACATATCAAAATGGATTGTATTGTTTGGAATATAATTGATCCACGACGTGCAACTTGGGGAAGTACCAAGGAAGATATCATGCTCCCGCATTCTGGGTGAGCTAGTTCTATATAGATAGTCTCCATTGGCTATATACCACATATTTTAAGGTTTATCTCTATCTATACCTTAGAATTCAAATAGAGTCGTGAAAATGGGATAGAGTGGACTTTTTACCCTCGGGGCCAGGTTTATGGATGGTCAAGGTGGGGGATAATGGTAAACGACGGCTTCATTCAGTTCGACAAGGGTCATATCTGTCCTCAATTGATACCTAGGTGTTACCCGACGTGCTGTATATTTTCAATGATCGAGATATCATCTGCCAATTGTCGAGGCTTACACTCTATACCCTATTGGTTCGTAGATATTTGGTAAGGCTTTGGCACATCTGCAGCCTTCCAAGATTACTAAATTAAGAATTTAGGTAAATACACCATACAACATTGGAAAATTGGAAAATTGCGTTGAATGTCTGAATAAAAAATAGAGATAACATGTATAGAAGAAAGGCAGATTAATTCACAAGATAATTAAATCATAATTGCATGAGCATGTGCTATCAATATTCCACAACCCCTGCCAGTTTTAACAACTGATCAGTGATATTAGGCTTCTCCAACGGCTCACTGCGATTCCTCGGATCAACAGTCCCATCATCCAAAAGTGCCTCTTTCTTTCGATACACAATATTATCATGAGGCCAATGCGTAGTACCAGCCCAGTTTCTAAAGATTTCATTCTTCGTCTCCAGCGCCTCCCTAGTCGCAAAACTAGCCGGCGTATAAGAAGCATATATAACGGTACGAATCACATCACTCTTCTCTGTAGGCTCAGCTCCATAGTGAATGAGACGACTATCCCACACGATAAGATCGCCTGGCTCGGCGCAGACTTTCTCAGGCTGGATCCCGAAACAAGCTAGCTGTTCGTCATTGAAGAGGTATGCGTCCTTCTTGCTCCAGGTTGATTTATCGGTTGTTTCGAAGAATGCGTCGAATAGCTTGTGTGAACCAGGGTATACTACCAACCCGCCGTCTTCTGGTCCGGAGTGCGAGAGATTGATCACGCCCTGAATACAGTGCAGACCCTTGCGGAAGGGACTCTGGTCTACATGTTGCCAGGCACCCTTTCGAGGGATGTCTTTGCGGTTTGGAAATGTAACATTTAGACTATCGAAACTGACTAGCAGCTCATCTGTGCCCCAGAGTTTGGAGAATGTTTCAAGAACACCTGGTTCTTGACGAGCGTCCCAGATGAACTTCTCGTGTACGACTGCGTAGTTGGAGAATGTGTTTATCTTTGTATGGACGGGCAGGTTTTCTTTTATCCAGGTTTGTGGGTTGTCGATGTCCAGTTCGGTGCCGAAGGACTTGAGCCATTCAAAGGCCTTTTGCTGGTATGTTTTTGCGCGGTCTTCTGGGATTGCATTTTTTATCACGGCGAATCCGTTCGCGTGGAAGTCATCACGCCAGTCGTTCGTCTTTTGGTTTGGTAGACTTTGAAATGTTAGCGATATTTGAAAGGTACTTTTCAAATTGGTAAATACCTTTCCAAAAGGGTTGATCGCGGTAAGATAGCCATGGCTTCGTTGAGGCGTTGGAATGTTGTATATTCTCAAGTCAAAGATGGAAACGCGAGAATTGATATTTATAGTCTTAACCATGGAAAACAACACATCGAAGGAACTAATTGGGGCCATTTAAATATTAGTAGGTTTTCACTGTCGTATAGATCAGCTCATTAAGTGGAGGCTTATCAGCAAATCTCGTTCTATAATCACCACATCACCCCCGCATCTAAAGCTAACCATTTTTAGAAATTTGCAAAGGAAATGTGCAGTTTAGAACAGAATCATCCATAGATTTCCTCCCGTTCTACCCGAAGCCAATCCAGTCCTGTCTATCCGCTGTTCTTCCTAAGCCAGATCATGTCACCAGTTTATGTGCAATACATATAATACCAAATCCTACTGTTATCCCATGATACTCATCCGGTATTCGATGCCTAGTCGGTCGTCTTTTTGACTACTGTGAGCCTCCCCATGATGAGTGGGAATAGTAGACGGGATCTCCTTTAAGTCTGGTTTTATCGCTGGTACGGCGATTAATCATGTCGATGGCTTACTAGAGCTTTGGGGGTGATATGTTGCTTTCTTTGATTCTCTGGTATAGTCGAATCAGTGTGGCCCATTGGAATTCGCAGACATTGATTGCCTCCTGGTGATCAAGGGCCAGACCTCATAACTGCTCCTTCGCTTCAATTGTACTTCTATTTCGATCATCTTGTTAGTCCAGACAGGAATACTCAGTATAGCCGACTACTCATTACCATGTCTGTTTATTCGGTCTAAGAGCAAATAGTACGGTTGAGCAAGGCCATAAAGCGAGTTGATCATGCCTATGTTTTCACTAATCGGCACTTCTACACTATTCAACGCAAGTGATGGTGAAGTTACTAGGGTGAGGCTCGCTGTAGAGTCGCTGAATTGAAGAAGCTGCAACAGAAAGCTAGCAGTCTCGCTTCTCGACGTCAAGTTTGGCAGCATCGCACGAGAACCTCGTAGATGGCACAGCAATCGCTTAGATGAGCCTCGGAAGATGTAAAGGGCGTTGGTTTACGTCGTTAGTCCTTGGACTTATGGATTGAAGTTGACCTCAAGCAGGCATAATATCAAAGTGGTCGTAAGTGTGCAGTCGGTGCTAAATTCTTCTTGACTCAAAGCATCTTTCAGTCACGTAAAGCTCGACTCTGGTGCTGCAGGACATCTCGTTGAAAGTCGGGATATGCTTTTGCGAGATATGAGGCGGATAGAGCGATGATTGAGTATCTGACCGAGTCATATGTGATGGCCGTGGGCACGAGAAATCTAAGGAAAGGATTCTCGTTATCATTTACTACCACGAGGGTCCGTGAGACGACATACAGAAAATGATTGAACAGATGCTGTTCCCTAATTGAAGGGTCTCCTAAAAGTGAGAGAGAACTTCGGAGGGGGACGTCAGTAGATATCACGGAAGATTTATGGAGATCAACTGGAGGTAGGACCAGCGCATTGCTTTCACAACATGCGGCGCAAGGGACATTCAGTCACTTGAAGTCATGACATGTTGGCTGTCGCTCGTCGCACTTGCGCTTGAATCATGTAGCTGTTATAAAATGGTAAACGCTGCTTGAAATCGGTTAAAGCTACCTGTCTCTACAGGTCAAGCATTTATCGTTATACCGTGTATGTTCGGTGCGCTTCCAACTTGGAGAAAAGGGCTTGAAATTCCCAGTGACATATACTGATCTCTCATAGTGGCAGGATACCTGGAGTCCTGCTTGGCGTAAGTGAGGCATACCTTATCAAACTTACTGGCACAAGATATCGACCGCCGGCAGTTTTGATAGATGCACAGGGAAGATATGCAGTTATCCTCCGGCCCACGGTTGACCTGGAGGCTCCAAGTGAAGCAGTTTTAATGTATGTAGAATCTAGATTAGAGTAGAGACACTGCCAGCTCTTACCATCTATTTACATTCACCTTTACGCAACTACGCAAAGATTGTAACGGGTTGAAGAAAAATAGGAAACAGTTTTGATGTCTCGTGTGGTATTAGAACATCATGCCATAACGAAAGCCGAACTTTTCGATGGTAGGCGAAGGAAGTTAAGTTTAGGCATGGTTGGAAAAACCCAAGGACACGGAAAGAAAGCAGTAAATCCGGCCTAAAAGTGCTTCATTGCTCGTGGCTCATACATCCCAAAAAACCAAAACTAAAGGCCCTTCTTGTTCTGGATTTTGAACTTTTTTTTGATTCCCTAGGCGATAAGATCAAAAAGAGGCCTCCTCCCTTCCACCTTTTCACCCTTCATCCGAAACAACTCAATTTCATCTATGCCCGCGACATAACACCCCAGGCACGGATCTTGTTGTCGGTGTAACCAGCGAACAGGGTCTGGCCATCAGCGGACCAGGCGAGAGAGATACACTCGGGGTCACGGCTCTTCTTGCCCTTCTCAACGTACTCGGGCTTGAGCTCATCAACCTTGCTCTTCTTCTCGAGGTCGAAGATGGTGATGGAGCTGCTGGTAGCAGCGCACAACCAGTAGCGGTTGGGGGAGAAGACGAGAGCGTGGATCTCGTCACCGGCGTGCAGAGAGTAGAGGTGCTTGGACTCGTTCAGGTCCCAGAGCATGGTGGTACCATCCTTACCACCGGAAGCGCAGAGGGATCCATCGGGGGAAATGGTGACAGTGTTGATGTAACCGGTGTGACCGATGTGGTCGGTCTGCAGACGGCAGGAAGCGAGCTCCCAAACCTATAACGCGGAAGTGTCAGCAAATGATTCCCAATTAATCAATTGAGTGAATATAGTTGCAGAGAAGAAATTCTTCTTATATCTTCCTCGTTCTCAATTCAAAACACTTTTGTGTATGATTTTTTTTTCCATCAGGCAAATTAGGTGAAAGGTTGTCTCATGGCCCCCGAAGGGCTCTGAAGTAGCAAATACGTTTTATGCAAACATCATGTGGGTAGGTGGGGAATTGGTAAGGGGAATTGAAAACCGACTTCGCGTCGATTTTCTTTTTCGGGATATTAGAGCATACCTTGACGAGCTTGTCCCAACCAGCGGAGACAATGACGGGGTTCTGGGGGTTGGGGCTGAAGCGAACGCAGGAAACCCACTCGGTGTGACCCTTGTCGGTAATAGTGTACTTGCAGTCACCGAGGGTGTTCCACAGCTTGATGCTGCGGTCACGGGAGCCGGAGACGATCTGGCGGTTGTCGGCGGAGAACGAGACGGAGAGGACATCGTTGGTGTGGCCGACAAAAGTGCGGGTGGTGTTACCGGTGGCGAGCTCCCACAGGCGGAGGGACTTATCCCAGGAAGCAGACAGAGCGTAGGCACCGTCGGAGGAGATCACCTATAACAAAAAAATACATCCAGCGGTCAGCCAAAACATGTTCTCCAGATAATCCACTGCCGCTCGAAATATAATCCATCTACCGTCAATCGCATTTCGATGGGATCTAAGATTTATTGTATTCGAGTCGGCGGAGCGTGGCGGGTGAAAAAAAAAAAAAAACAAGAACATACACAGTCGGAGACGATGTGGGAGTGGCCCTCCAGGCTGCGCTTGGGGTAACCGTAAGCCTGCTCATCACGGGTAAGGTTCCAGATGATGAGGGTCTTGTCGCGGGAACCGGACAACAGCATGTTGGGGCTGTAAAGAGGCGGAATCACAGTTAGAACATGCTGCAGCGCGAATCAATTCGAGATCATTTTCTTACTTCTCCAGAGAGGTAGCCAGAGAGGTAACCCAGCCATTGTGGCCCTCGAGGGTGCCGCGAAGAACCAACTGCTCAGCCATGATGAAATGAGTCGATGAAAGGGGGGGGATGGGCGAGTAGGTCGTTGACGCTGGGGAGATAAAATCAAAGAGGGAGTTGCAGCGTGCCCGCTCAAGCCCTAACCCGGTTGGCTGGTTCGTGTGGTTCCGCTGATGCCCTAACCGTAAGCGAAGGTCACGTGATTAGGGGGATTACAGAGCAGTTGACTTGGTGTTTTTGATGAAGTTAATCTCGAGTTCTAGAATCTAATTTGCTAGCGCTAACTACTGAATTATGCCATCTGCACTAGCTGTCAGATGACTTATCAATAATACACCAATTGCCTTGATCTTGTCTCCTTGGTTTTGTTTTGGATAAATAGTACAATGGGCCATTGTTTTAGACCCTATATTACAGAAATAACTCGATCTACGAGTCAAAAACCTGCACATCCGGCATCCGACCCAAACCACCGCCACCACCAGTCTTCTTATTCTTCGCCGCCTCAAATCCGAGAGCACTCTTGTCCCTTACATGAGCTTTCAGTAGCTCCAAAACCTCAGAGCCGCTCCACCGCGCCGGCACAGGTCGGTATGCAGCTCGGAAAGCGCCAATTGTTTGCGCCCACTCGCCGCTCTTAGCTGCGCGCTGTTTCCAGTTCTCAGTGACTGTGTCTTCGGACAGGTTTACAGCTTCGTCGGCCGGCGGGTCTTGCGTTGACCAGTAGTAGATGTCCCAGTCGTTCTCGTCGAGGAAACTGTCATATTCCTGTAGTTGCTCGGCGGTCATTTTTCCTAGGTAGACGTCGGCGAATGTAGAGAGGAGGAGGTCGGACTCCAGAATTCCGCGCTTTCGGCTTTGGTCTGCTATCATTAGCTTGATTTTCTCATTGCGATTTGCAGTGATGTTGCTGAAACTCACAAAGTAGCCGAGCTCGCTTGGTTGTAATGTCCTCGCCAACCCGCTTCAACGGCTCAACCTTGAAGGTAATACCTTCCATCTCACCGACTCCAAGCTCTGGCTTTGCAGCGCCAGTAGTCTCCTGGCGACCACCGGTGAAGTGTTCAATCTTGCCGGGGTAGGCTGGGACGTGCGAATCATCTTTGAGGCGTAGGGTTGTAGAGCCGAATGAGCGGGTTGTCATGCGGGTTGATGGCAGCGACATAGGTCGCAGACTGCGAATAAGTCGTGATACGGACATGATGTTTATTTTAGCCTTGGTCTTGGATCTGAAGACTTGAGAGGGCGTTGTTCAGCTTCGGCTTGACGTAGTTTATGCCGAAGACGCCTGCATTTCCCGGTGTTTGGACTGTTTGCAACAAGCTGTACAATCGGACCGCTTAATAATATCCCGAGGTATTATTGAGTTTACATAGATCTTCAATTGTTTGATATCTGAACCCCTTAATCTTCTTATTTTTCAAATCTGTCTATGAGCGAAAACTACTGAATTCATAATGTCCCTTTCAATCGACCTTCACCTCCCAAAAGTCCACTCCAAAGAACCAGCCAAAACCTCTCCACCAAAGGACTTCCTAATAGGAACTTGGCATGTCACGCATTCAAGCCTTCCACTATGGAAAAAGAAGCGCAATGTCAAAATAACCTACAAACCCCTTCCGAGCTCAGCGGAGACAGACACGATGAAATTAGATGACCTAGTTGAATACCAGACCCTTACCTCCGAAACAATCAAGTCAGTACATGGCATTGATACACCCAGTCCTGGTAATCCAGGGTCATGGGACTGGCGCGGGAAGGGGTTGCTGGTTATTGCTAGTTCGCACTGGGAGTGTTTAGGGCATGGGTCTCTTGCTGATGGGAATCAATGGGTTGTGACTTATTTTGCGAAGACGCTGTTCACACCTCCTGGTATTGATATCTATTCGAGGAATAAGGACGGGTTGGAGGTGGGTTTTGTGGATAGACTATTGGCTGCTCTTGGTGGCTTTGGTATTGAGGAGATTACCAGGCTTGTTGGTGATATGTTTGAAATTCCGCGGAGCTAGTATATAACTTTGAGGGCTCTACCTACGTAGTTCCCGATACCAGGTAGTCAGTACTACTGTTAATGTTAATTCAAAACAAATGAAGTGATTAATTCTCTGCGAGCAGAGCGTATATTTTCTTTCATCGAAGTCATGACTGTTAGAACAGAATGTCATAAGACATGCAAGAATACAGACAGCCGAGACACGCTGCGTAAGGATCTAGGCCGGATAAATAGTAGGAAAAGAAAACGGAGCTGACCAGCCTACCGCATCAAAAACTAGAACTTAGATCAGATGCTTAGATCGGAAGTAAGCACGCAGGTAAACAACCTGCCAAGCTCCAAGACCAACAAGCATGCCCATAGTGCCGAAAGCGAACCACTTTACGCGCTCGTTGGTGCTCTCGTTTGTATCGCGCAGACGCTGCTCACGAGCACGCAGGTACTCCATCTCTGTAACGATATCCTGGACCATCTCTTCGATACGGCGGAGATCGGTCTCGACGGGCTTGAGCTTCTCCTGTGCCTGAACGCTGGACCAGTCGCGGGCATCGGCGCCAATTTCGATGTCGAGCTCGACTTCACGGGATGGATTGGAGTTGCCGCCTAGACGAGGGATTTGTTAGACCGGAAATTTATTCATAGCGCCTTGCTGAAGGCCAGGTTGTAAAGGTGTTTGACTTACTGCGTCCGGAAAGTTGGTTCTCTACGCACACGTCGAAAGCAGTATCAGCAGTCGAGGTAAAGGCCTGGCGCACTTCACCAACGATATCCTTGGGACGACCGTGGTCATTACCCATAGAATCCTTAATCTGTACCGGAGAGAGTTAGTTGTTGTACTTAGTCTAACAGCTTGGTCTTGATCTTGATCCAATCCCTTAGACGGGGCAATTGGAACAAACGAAGAACAGAGGGAACACTACATACATGCATGTTGACTTTCTGCCCATCACCTTTCTGCCCACTGACAATGGCTGTCACAACTACCAACTGGTCCTTCGCGACAAAGTTGCGGATGCATCGCTCGTTCTTGCTGGATGAAGCGTGCAGCTCAAATTTGAGGGCTGAGGCTAGTTGAATCACTAGTAGAAAGACTGTGAGAATGGACCTCATTGTGATCGGAGAAGAGCCCATGGTTGCGGGGTTAGAACGCTGGTAAACAGGAGAGCTTGTGGTGTTGGTGCCACCTGGTAAGGGGACCAGTTCGGACTAACTATGTTCCGAATATATACAATCCACTACTAAGTCCTGTGTACACGAATTCAAGTTTTATATCCACAAGCTGATGGTGGATTCAGCAAAGAATTGTTTGATGATTAGCTATATTTAAGGAGAGTATATTTACAGAGATCTGATAGAAACTTTGGAATAGAAAAAATGGATAGTCATGGTATCTTGCAATTCGAAAGGAATCTAGGAACGTCCAAGTCGGAATCCAACCAAAAAGAAAGAATAAAAAGAAACATTCCATATTGTCGTGAGTATCCCATCCCAATCCCAGAAGACGAAAAGAAATAATTCAAGAGAAAGTACCGGGTCGTAGCCGTGTATACAAAACAATCAAAAAGATAAAAAGGCTCTACATGAAGGGTAAATCAGGAAGAGAATGGTGAGAAAAAGACAAGAAGAGGAGAGAAAATTAAGCGGCATGAAGAATGGTCCAAATGATGGAAATAAGAAGGAGATATGCATATCATTATAGAGGGTTCAAACGCTCAAGACATTAAGAGTGGCTGTGGCTAGGTCGCGTATTCCCTATGCCTCAACCTTCTTGCGGCGGCCAAAGAAGCGTGATATGGAGCCTTCTTTCGTCTTGGAGTTTGTAGGAGTTGAAATAGTCCGGGGCGCTGGAGATGCCACTGGTGGTGCGGTATTCCGGAGGAAATCTGCCAGGGCACTTGTCTCAGTCTGGCGGGCGGGGCCGGGATTGCGCTCCATGCCGACCTTGAGGGTGTAGTTGTTTGATTGAGATCGAGGGTTGGGAGAGCTCTCTGAGCGCAGAGAGTTGGTCGACATCGAGGCGTGCAGTGCACGGGACTTCATGGAGTCTGAGATGGCAAATGGTTGGGGAGACGACTGGGCAGATGGAGGAGGGGGTGCGTCGCGCAGGAAATCCATCAGACTCTCCTCCTGGCGCTTGGGCTTGGCATTCATGATTTCCTCAAGCAGCTCTTCGTCCTCGTCGGAGTCGTCAATGGCGTAAGGATCTCGAACGCGACGTTGCTTACGGATGGGCATCGGCTCATCTTGTACCGGCACAGGCCTGGAAGCTGGGGACTTGGAGTAGCCAGTGGAGCGGTTGGATGACTCCAGCAGGCCGGTTCGTGAGCCAAGCGAGCCAAGAGAGGTCATGGACTTGTTCTCGCTGTGGCTAGCAATCGAAGTGCGTGTAACACCTTCATTGTTATAGTCATTTTGATATGCATCCGAGGCGGCTGTGTTTCGGAAAGGTGCAACGGACCGCGGGATGCGGTTGCCCGCTTGCGGTGGTCCTTCGCGGATAAAATCAATGAGCTCCGAGGTTCCAGACGATTTAACCTCGGGAGCACGAGCCTGAAGACGAGGTCGGTTCGAATTTGAACCGACGGTGCTGGTTGAGAGTCGAGGTGGAGGGATAGGGGACTTGATCGATGCAGCTGGGGAGTTGGTTTGCTGGACCTGTACACCGGTGGGACCGGACGACTTGACGAAGTTGGCGAAATCGCGAGTAGAGCCACTGTCAGTCCGGGCGTCACGGGCTCGGGGAGGAGGAATGACCTTTGCAGGCGAGTTCGCCCGGGGAGAGAGAGGAGAGAGAGGAGAGAGGGGTGAATGAGAGAGGACAGGAGATTCGGTAAAATTTGCTGTCAAGTCACCGGTTGGCGTTTTAAGCTCTCCGTTAGGGGAGATATCCGTGTCTCGAGGTAGAGGTCGACCAGGAGAGTTATCGGGGAAAGTCATCTCACGGACACTCTTTGGTGTCAAGGTGAAGTGGATGGTTTCGTCAGTCTTGATCAAGCGATCGAAGTCTTCTACATCCTCAGCAACAGGGGCAGATACGCGACTCGTTTCGGACGAGGTGCGCAAGTGCTGCGACGGTGATTCTAATTGACGAGCCATCAGTCCCTTCAATTTACTCGAAACTTGTGACGTAGTGGAGCCAGATGTGATGGGCCGCTTGTCGCGTGCACTGCTAATGCTCTCAGAACGACGAGAATTGGGGTTCATGGGAGGAGAGACGGAAGTTGAGCGAATAGGCACACGTTGAACGGCAGCGCGCTCGGTTGGGGAAATAATGCGGCTGGCGCCAACCGCCGGTGTCTGCTGCGGAGGAGTTCTTGAGCTTTTTGAGCGCACGCTATCCACGGAAGGTGAAGTTTGCCTAGGAGTGTTAGGAGTGTTAGGAGAAACCTCTTCTTCGAAGGTGTCAGTCTCCGTTAAAGTGGCCATGATCGGTTCGTTTTGATCGCTCTTTTTTCCTGACTCGACAGCCTCATAAACGGTTGAAGGTGGGGTGGATTTGCACCACTCAGCCCCTTGCATAGATTGGGGGATCTTTGGCGTCTGCATATCTGGCTCGCTAGTCTCTGCAATGATCGGCTCTACATTGGACACATCCCTACTAGACTGGCCATTTGCCGACGTCAAAGTGAGCTGTTCGCATGATCCTCGTCCCTCAACGGGCTCTGAATCGATGATTGGCTCATCGCTCAGCGACGAAACTGATATGTGAGAGTTGTCTGTAGCAGTCACGTCATCGTTGGAAGACCCAATGGTTTCACTGGCTGCGTGTCCTGCTTCTTCCGCCTCTTCATGCACAATGGGCATTCTGGCGTTTTCGGAGGGTTCGGCGATCTCTGCCTCAGATTTCTCAAGTGAAGTGATAGCAGTGGCCGGCGCAGGAGACTCGACAGCATCGACATATTCAGCTGATTCCTCATCTTCGTACATAGTTTCCAACTGCTTCTTCTCCTCAGATGGAGAAGCTTGATCGGCCGATGTAACCTCTGATTCAGCCTCGGAGGCCTCCTCTGGGAGGTCAGGCGCCGCGTTTGGCAGCGATCTCGAACGTGAATGGCGAGCCTTGGCAGTCTCTTTGGGCGATACTTTTACTACCTTGATCACTACGGGAGACCTGGCAGCTGGAGGAGAGCTGCTCATCGACCGAGGTGACCGAGGGGATCGTTGGGACATGGCGGGCGATGAGAACACCATCAAACTCCGCGGTCGCACTTTGTGAGCAACGACGGCCTGCATCGTTTGCACCTCCTCCTCCAGCTCTATTGAAAAGCCGGGAACCTCGATCTCCTGAACGTCATAATTGGTAATGGGTAAAGGTACAGTGGAAGGATCCACCGGGATAGGAGGCTCGTGCTCATTGGGAGTGAGGGGCTCCTCAATGGTTGCAATGCTGCTCTTTCGGCTACCGGCCAGAGAGTAGCGGCGGCGGAAGGACTCACGCGACAAAGTGCGCGAGAGGGCGTTTCCACGTCTACGCTTCCGCCATGTGCGCCACAACCGACCCAATGTCGCGTTCAGTGCCAATTTCTCCATGTCGAGATCCTCCACAATCAGGCGGTCAATGCGCTTGCGATCGTCTGTTGAATTGAATGACTCTGCGTCGTTGTCATTCAACTTAGCTGATAGCCTCGAGCGTGCGGTTTCGCCGGCAATGACTAAGGCTCTTTCACCGATATACTCAATAATTGAAGTGAGGAAAATTGCTGCCGCGGGGGTGATGTTGTCGACATGGTTGGCGAACCTGCGGGATGGACCATCGCTCTCCTCGAAGCTCTCCTGAGCTATAAATTCGTCTTCATCCTCCTCTTCCATGTCGCCTAATCGAGTGTAGACCATGCATCGCAGACGAGTCAATTTCCAGGCGCGGATGAGATCAAAATCATCACCGCCCGATTCTTGGCCGTCGCGAAACTCGTCGCCCATGTACTCTTTCAGCTCCTCGTCGGCTGCGTCCACCACCTCCTGTGCAAGTCGAGGCTTCAGCACATCAGCCAATATGGGGCGAATACTTGACAATTGTGTTGATTTTGATTCAGCTAGAATACTGTAGATAAGATTATCGAGGAAGCCGTTCAATAGGGAGAGCGCAGCGGGAGTAACCACCGCATTTGCGCCGGCGGCTGTGCCAGTTTCCTCATTCTCGGCGACAAAATCCGCGGCATTAAATTCTTGGTCGGATGTAATGATTTCACATGCGGATGTGGAGGAGATAAAAGCTGGAGCGGGGCGGGCAGCAGGTGGCGACATGAGGTTGACTCGGGGGTATTGCGAGTCACTGGAGATACTGGTACTGCGAGAACGGGAAGCAGACCTGGTGTCCAGGTAATCAGATCCTTTGTAGGATTGCATGATGAAAGAATGGGGACCCTGAAAGGCCGGGGTATGTGATCTTTGTAGGACAAAGTGATTGGAATCCCCTCGATGTCAGAGTGGGACTGGATGGAAATCAAATCTCTAAATCATCCTGTACTCCGTCAGTCTGACACACTTGTAAAATTGGAGCTGACATTGGGGGTTATGTATTGCATGATTGGGGGCTGAGCCCGGTCGTACAAGATGGGAGATTCCAAGGGTTCAAATGCTGACTTGGAAGAGATTAGACATACCCGAGAGATCATTGAGGTAGTGTGGTACGTGGTGAGTGAGTGCGTATGTGTGTGTGTGTGTGTAGTATGTAGGTGTATGTAGTATGTGGGTGTATGCATATGTGTAGAAGAAACGAGTCAGGAGAGGCACGAGGTAATTATTTCCATATTGTATTCAAAAGTGGAGTAAGTGTTAGTTAATGACTAAATGACTAACGAATTAATTATGGAGAAATGGAGCTACATAGTAATAAATTGTGGCTATTCCTAGACTCTCTACTTACAATGTATTGTTGTTATGTTTGCTTGTATTTGTACATCTATTACTTACTATCTATTAACTACATTTCAATATCCTTTCTCTTCTGAATCTCTCCCTTCTCACTTTCTCTTGTCCTGTATGATAGGGGAAAACCAAAAATCAGAAAGGAGATCCACAATCCCAATAAAGCGCGAGTCAAATAAAGTGGGTAAAACCGCTCTGTTTGGCTAGGGTTCATCGAACTTTAGAACCCCTTAGTACGATACTATCCATACTTATACTCCTTATACTCCTTATAATCATGATAATGAGGTCACTCCTTAAATAAGGGTTAATTACTTACTCTCACGTGTACTTTCACCTCCTTCTACTATGGAAGTACTATACATATATAGGTAAGATACCCAATCCGTGTTTCCGTACGAAGTAATACTCCACTACATATTCCGTCGATCCCACGCGCGCCACATCTTCCAATCATTACGATAGTTCAAATCGTGTTCCTCTGGTTGAAAATGTGGAGAACAGGATTCACGAATCAATAGCTACCTACTGTCTCATCTTTTGTATTCCCGTACTTTTGTGGCAGATAAATCAAATTCAAGAAAACTTAGCAAAACTTAATTCACCTCGTGGCAGGACTACTTAATTTGACGGTACCTGAAGGTGATCCGTACTTTTTTACTCCACGATCGGCAGAGGATTTAATATTATCTCCGGGATCCCAGTAAATACCTGCTAGTAAGTACAGAGTAGTTTCAATTCCTGTTTTGAACCAATTATTCAGTTAGATACTGCTTCTATACATCATCTCGTGCTACAATAGATCAGATCTAATCGCAATATTCTTATTTGATCTCTCCCCGATTGGCTCATCTGACGATACCCTTGCACAAACGCCTCTACCTTACACTGAACATATACCTCAGCTTCTCGCATGCATTAAATACGTGGCGGCATGGTATTTCCTTCTGGCCGATCCTTGTACGAAGGATGAAATCCCCTGGCCCTGTTTAAGTTTCCACCAGCTGAAATGCTCGGGAAATTACTCCCGTTCAGGCTACTTTGACTGTCAAATTCCCCGTGTTTTCATTTCTAGTTACTCCGATTCTGTCACCTTGTTTCAGATATTGGTAGTTCATTGCTATCTTAATCCTGTTGATCTCTTTCTACATGTTGATAACCAATACTGGGAGATACATGCCTTTTTTTTATAGAAATCGTTGAAACAGACGAATACTCATCTCGGTGCAAGATCGACACCCCACTGCAAATTCAAATTTATCATTTCTGGCATCCTTTGTTGATTTGATAAATGTAAATTCTTTGAAAGGATACATCGATCTCGGGGTATTACGAATGCCTCACCTAAGAGAAGAACGAATACGAAGGAACCTTCCAGGTACATTTAGACAAAGAATCTTGTGAGTACATTGATAGATTATTCGATTCGGAGTACGGCTCAAGGTCTCAACTCTCTTGAGATACGTCTATAGTATAGAGTTTTGAAGCAATAAAAAGGCTTTGATATCCGATGTGGCCATGTGACTAAAGCAAACATTATCTACTGTCGTGGACAGAGGAGATCTACAACCACAGCGCCTGTAGGGAGAGTACCAGACTTTGCGTAAATTCACACAACTTCGATTAGTGGCCAAAATTCCATCTGCCGCTTGTCTGAATTTTCCTAGTGGGTCTGTTTTTGCGTAATGTCTGATAGTAAGGTCATTTCTCGGGTTGATAATCACACTCGCGGCAATACCAACAATAAGTCAAAATGATGTCTTTGAGTAGTCTCTCAGCCTAGGAAGTTTCCAGGTAGAGTTTGATTCTGTGAATTAGATGGAAGAGCTCGAGAGGTGGTCCGTTTGGGGTCTCGCTCTAATGCTGACATAACCAACATATGAAAACGTAGTTGTAGAGATACACTTAATGAGAGGGAAATAGGAAAACTCATTGGGCGTATGAAGTAAAAGCGAAGACAAAGTGAAACAAAAAAATTAAAAGTAGGAGTACACAGCTGATAGCCGCAGGGAGACAAGTAATACCTAAGCATGTTTTCTGACTTTAGATAGGCAAACAACCTAGTCGTTTTCTAGGCTTACTCCTGCCTATCGGTATCAGGCAGGGCCAATCGTGAGCTTCTTTCCTTCTTCTAGCACCTTTCCAGTTCCCAGTCACATCATTGATATTCCTAGGTATCTCACAGATGCAGGTGACCTGTCTTTGATGGCGCTATCACTAGAGATAGGGATCTCTTGCCCCACACGGCTCTCGCTTGTTTCAAGACATGATACTTGACTCGAATGAGACAGCCGACCTCGAAAGCCTATCCCAGCTTTTCTTGATTATTCGGTTAATTCTTTTTTACCGGATTAAATAGGTACTTAATACTTTTCCTCAGTATTTGGCATGCTAACTCATTCATGGGTCAAATTGTCTGGTATGTGCGCGGATATCTCTTCAAATCCTTTTACTCTTCCACGTCATCTAGCTATGGGACACAAGATCTCACCTGTGACAATGGCGAAGCAAGGCATCATCTACGTCAAAAACACCTCCTATTTAGATGTTCCAGTGTTTTCTGGGGACTGTCAGTTTCGCTTTTTGTACACTTCCAAGTCCAAGTTGCTTCTAATCAAACTTAGGTAACGAGTGTACGATAGAATGTAACCCATGAAAATTGTCTGCTATGATGCAAGTAAACTAGACGGTAACTTGATAGCGTACTGTACACCGATTCCACCTGTTGATATCGTTCTCGGATTGTAATATCAAACGCGATTATCTTGAGCAAACAGGTCCGGAAGTATGTCAAAAATACTACATCATCATTTTTGACTGGAACTCAATATTCTTCATTGAATTCAACAAGGAGAAAACCAAGGACGGGCTTACTCAAGATTTATTCCACCAAGAGAACCCGTGAACAACAAAAGTAGTTGCAAGGATAATAAACGATAAAACCCCGAAACGTCATTTTCAGGAGTAATTTTGGTATGGATAAATTATCCAAAGCTTGCTTTCTAACTGTTTATTATAGACCTTTGATTATATCCCAAGATCGTCACGAGATATCTATTAATTTTGCGAAACTCAACATGAAACATAGTCATTACCTTCCAGGATGCACTTCGCTATTCGGACCCCGGAAAGAGTGCCTTTCTTCCAACGTTTATATCCAGATATTCACGGAGGGACAAGCAATAATTTTTCACCAACCACTCTACTGCAATATGAGTGCATAGAAGATGCTTTAGAGCTCTCACTTGTCACCTTTGGAACAGAACTCCTACCATGGAGATGCTTACACATGTGATGGACCAGCAAAATTTCAGTTTTGCGAGACAAATTTGATATCATCGTTACTGTCTATGTCAATAACATCTTGGTTCATCGCCATGTGTACGCTAAAAAGGTTCTTGAACGGTCTAAAAAGGCTGGGATATAATGCAGCGTCGTCAAGTGCGAATTGGAAGTCCACTAAGTTTATCAGATTCATCATTGCAGTGGACAGTATCATGGTCGATTCTGCCAAGATCGACGCAATTACCAATTTGAGAGCTATACAATCTTTTCTAAAGGCTTGCAATTTTCAAAGGCTGTTTATTCAGAACTTAGTGGGCATGTATAGCACCGAGTGGCGTTCACCCTGCAGAACCCCTCAACCTCACTTTAATATCATTTTATTCTTACCTTTACTAGCATCCTGTGACTCTTCCTTCGACATCTCAGTATCTTAACCACTTCCCTCTGAATTCCTTTCTTACTTCTGCATATACCCAACTTTACTTCGCCCTCGATAGCAACCTACTCCATCTTACTTCGAGTCCTGAGTGGCGTGACATAGATCAGTGTCAGGCTGAAACATCTTGAGGAGACGGACGGACAGAAGGAAGCTTTGCGTGCTCATCAGATCATTGATAACCTATCATACCTACTGCAATGACCGACCATGGACCCCTTCCCCTTCAATGACCCTCATGTCATCTACTCGCCAAGTTCGATGAGGTCGTCAATACAAGCCAATTCAATCGGACATACCCTACCTGTTCTTGAAGAGTCTGACCGTAGTGGGCACATTCCGCTATATCCTGGAGAAAGAAGAGATGGAGGACCTCGTCAGTTTCCATCAGGAAAACCAGAAGTAATCGCTCCAGGAAATCGAGCGATTCATTTTATACCGGCTGAATGCTCTTCGCAAGCGACCCATATACCAAGGCAGCCATGGATGGCTTGCCAAACGTTTCAGTGCAGCAAAGCATTTTCTTCACTGCCTTATGAGAAATCAGTAATCTGCAGTTCAAATCAGTAATCTGCAGTTCATACCACCACGCCAAAAGGCCAGTGGTTCAGATTTCCGACAAAACTTCAAGGCGCCTTTGGACGGCTTGACAAAGGTATTTTCGGACGAATTGAGTTTCCTAGCCGGAGGTGAATTGAGGAGACCACTAAAAACAGTCAATAACTATATGGTTTATGATTATGACGCAATTAGTTGGACCAAAAATTATTACCTTGACCATTCTGTCATTCAGCCATGTGTTTGCCATTGTTACACACTTATAGGTTCTGGAGATAGATAACATAGCATAGTACGTAGAAGAAAAAGGGTGGAACCATGTCATTACAAGGTCTACGGGCCCTATTAGATTATTAGATATCATTCTACAGATATTACACCAGCAAAGAGTATCAGTACTGTCGGACGTCATATCTAGGTAACTCTTCGTATATACCCAGGTATTGTAGGTATTTCCAAAGGCTTCGAAATACCTAGATATTATGAATTATTTAGGGGAAAAGAAATCTTAGCTTCAACAATTTTTAATTTCGAAATGATTTCCTGATATTCATTCGCCTAAGAAGAAATGAAAACCCGAAATTAATTGCTTCATAATCATAAATCGTGTCAATATTTGTTTTTTGTGGCTTCTAAACCCCCAAGGTCTTCTCGACACCTCCGGCAAGGAAACTCAACTCGTCCGGAGAGACCTCGATCGAGCCGTCCATCAGCCGGTCCCGGAGGAATCGTTCAATCTCCTGGAGTGACTCCTTCTGGTCCTCCTGATGGAGACTAACAAGGTCTTCCATCTCGCCTTTCTCCAGGAGATGACGGAATGTGCCCACCACATGTGCGGTCAGACTCTCCAAGAACAGGCAGGGTACGTCGTCCGGGTGCATGGACTCGGATTGACGGCCCTGCCGGATGTTCTCTGCTTGTGTGTGAAGGTAATTTTTGTATTTCTTGTCGTCAATCCCATGTAGTCCGTTCATGAATGCGACGAAAATATTCCGGTCTGTATCCACGGCATCCAGAGTAAAGTCATCAAGCTGATGAATGGAGATTTGGAGACTGCTAGACTGCTGAGCAAGAAGCATCATTTCGTGACATGTCATTTCCTGGACGGGGCTTTCGTCGGAGCTATTGTCAGAGCTTTCGTCCTCAGAGAATTCAAGGTCTAGAGTCTCAATATACTCCACCTTGGGATCGAAGCAAACACAACTTCCGAATCCAATGAAGGAGTCGTCAAACTGCTCGGTGTGATCTTCGTGCGATTGAGGGGCATCATGGGTGGCTTCTTCGTCCCAAACGGAAAAGTCAGACATGTTGTCATCGTCGTCTGAATCCTCAACTTCGGACAGGGCATCATAATCAGAGTCGATTTCGTCTGATACATATGCTGACTCGGAGTCCGAGTCGGACTCGGTATCTTTCTGAATATCCGCGGTCGAGTTCTTCAAGATAGATTTCAACAAGGGGTGAAAAGATGGCTTGACGATGCAGGTCGAATCGCAGGAATCGAGAGTGGTGGGGGTATTGGAGGAAACGGAGACTTCATCAGAGCCATAGCTGCTGTCGTGGGAGAATGAAACTTCGAGGTGAGCGAAAGAGGAGGACATAGAGTCCCAAGACTCTCGGCGGTTGGCGCTTGTCGCAGACATTTTGGTGTTCAAGTTACTCGAAGACACAGTGGAGATTCCATGTTTTGAGTAAGTAATCGATCGTACGATCGTTTAGACTTCAACAATAATGTTGGACAACATGATTTCTTGTTTTGAAAAAAAAAATAGGGTTGTGAAGAGAAGTCGGATCTTATCCGACGCGACCGATTTCGCGGGGTTCGGTTGAGTCACCAGATCGGATGATGAGACGATGAATTACGGCGCGCGAATGGTGAAGGGACTGAATATGAGTGCGTCAGGGGAACCGTAGCGCTGAAGAGGATTATTGAGGTGGGATATTTGAAGAGCTGGAAAGTTGGAAATAGTAAAGAAGATGGCAAGCATCTGCTGATAGGAAGGAGAAACTTCCACTTCCATTTCCTTCGCCTCCTCGGGAATCTATCGTTCCTTAGTCAGCAATGTCTGACTAAGCCCGTTTCGCTTCCTGAACCTTCATTATAAATGAAGGGAAATTGGTGCCTTGGGCTGCTTAATTCAACCTGGAATTAGTAATGAACTCTATTTTGTCATTCTGACGAAATCCGACCATTTCGAACATCTACGTCTATTTCCCAGTCATATCAACGATTGCAAATATTGATTATCAAGTGCCGAGGTCCAATTGACAGGCCAAGAAGACAAAAGTACCACCGGTAATCAGATAACTACAATTTTCTTGAAAAGCAAAGCATGCAGTGTTTCATTGGTCACCTTTGACAATAGTGCTTGACATCTTGAAACTCACTCTCTATCACTGCAGAGCTTAGAGCCAAACTGACCGGTCTCTGAATTGTTACGAACCCTTGTCTACTAGCCCATGTCAACACTTAACAAAGAAATCAGCTACACACCCATGTCCAGGAGTCGGCTTATGAATGACCCTTTTACCAGGAAGTCTTGTCCGGATTTGGTTATGGATCAAGACAATTGATGGATATGCTAAGTGGTCAAGTGATATTCAGTCCAATGATAAGGGTTGTCTAAGTTGGACTACTGCATGCGACAGTGCCATAAGAGATCGCCCTGAGAGATCATCCTAGACTATGCGATAAATATAGAACATAGAATTGTTCGAGAAGATCCAATGACAGGCACTGACGATCTTTATGCAGTACGGGACTTTTACCACGTTATACTCAGTATGCACATCAATTGGCTTGATCGGTCACAATCGAACAAACATTGTTGGTGGAGGCACGAAATTCCAATCGGCCCCTAGTATGCTAACGCTCACATTCCAGTCTACTCGGGAGGGAACTGGATAGCCATGTTATCCACACCTTAGTCAAATGGTTCCATTGATAGAACATGATTATGACCAAGATTGAGAGAACTGCAGATCATACTATCTCCGAAACAAACTGTGATTGAGCTGTTGATGATCGAATACCTATACCAACTGTCATGACGCTTACACTCATGAGTCACGTTGGATGACCCTGCCATTATGGTCCTGGTCCCTTGTTCTGACGGCTCGGGCGTTCCGATCCTTGTCCAATATTCATGTACGGAGTATAGTCCTACTGCCTCCACTCTTAATCGGTTACCTAGGTTCGCTCATCTATTCATTGTATTGATTGGGAATTATCAATATATCCCGCCACCGCGACTTATTCAAACTCCTGCTGCTTTAGGTACAGTGGGGGAAGGTTACATTCTATCGGATGGCTATCCAATTCAAAGCTCACGATGAAGGTGGGGACAGTTTGGCAGCTCTATAAGCTACCTTTATTTTTCCAAGCTGATTGATTGGTGCCCGAGATGAATTCTTGGATCATTCCTACTATGAGTGGACTCCATGCCGGGCGAACCGGATCTCTTATAGCACATTCCTCACTCCATTGGAATGCCAGCAAAAATCCCGAGGCTGGCACTGCCTGCAATAGTTCAAATAGTCGCATTGATCTGTTTGTTTGCTTTGCTATCTTTGCATACTCTGCAGTGTTTTCTTTGATTGACAAACTATCAAACACAGCACTTTGCATCCTTTGCATATTCTGCATACTTGCATACTCCGGTCTTTAGCCTCCGATCTCCGCGATCTACTGAGCCTAAACCTTGTCACTAGAGCCTCAGGTCCTTGGTTATCCAATCACATCACTTTGTGGCTCAGTTCACTCGACCCCCTCTCAAGCTTACTATTACCGCAAACGGACAAAGCCTGCAAGATGTTCGCCCAGCAGTTCGATCATTCTTTCAATGATTTGTTCAATCAATACGTAAATATGGAGTCCTCCGGACCCGAAAAAGACTCGTTCTCCACAAATTTTGACCAGTTCTTCCCGCTTGACTCCCTATCCAGTGACGGTGGCGATCTGCCTGCTGTCTCCACTCAACGCCATCATCAGTCACCGCAACCTTGGGCTAAAGAGTGGTCCCTGCAGGACGATGAGCCCCAGTTTACTTTTGAAGACACTCTTCAACCCTCTGTCATCCCAGACCTTGGTCTGAATACTTTTGAAGTCTCTACCGGCCTTGCTTCGACTACAAACAGAGCTTCCACTTCCCCATCAACTCCTCCGACTACTCCCCACCGCAAAGTTACCAAGAGTGCACTTGTTACTCCCAAATCTATCCGCCATCGTGACCCTAATGAACGTCGCGCACTTCTGCGCAAGCAAAGCTTCTCTCCTAGTTTGATGCGCTCTTCTAATCATCCTAAAGGAAGAATGGCGTACTCCGAGGCCTGGGCCCAGCGGCTCCAGAACTTTAGCCTGGCTGGATCCGATGATCGCCTTCCTTTGTCTCCTCCGCCATCTGATGCTCTCATCCAACACGAAACCACAATGAACCAAGCCAGAGACTCGGCCGAGATCCCCCCTCACTTCTACCAGCCGTCACCTATTTCTTTGCAATCTACTCCTATAGGCGCTATGGCAAGACACCAACAAGCATCTTTTTCTCATCAAAATTCCTCAGCTTTGACAAACTCAAGCTCCCCTTCTGCCGATGATATTTTCTCTTCATCGCACTCTTCAGATCCCCACTCTATCTCTTCATGGCAATCAGATGCCCTTGGCACCTCTTCCCTCCCTTTTACCCCAGACCTTCAATCCCACGATCAGACCTGGTGGTCTCCTATGTCTTCGCGTGTTGCGCAACAGCAAACACACTACCTCCAGTCTCCAACACCCAATCCCTCTATGCAAAATGTTGGAACTGTTGGGAGTCAAAATGAAATGTTACACGGAGGACTGATGATCCAATTGGATCCTACATTTGACATCTCTGCCGATTCCTCCTTCTCATCTAACCTCCTTCCTGCCAACTCTCAAAAATTTGTGGCTCCTTTCCCTACCCATCCGCTCCACCATATTTCCTCGCCTTCTCTCTCACCCAAAGCTACCACCACATCACCGAAAGATATTCGAAATGGCGTTTTCAAGGCGACTCACCGCCGCACGAACAGCCGCAAACTCCCTGGTCAGAGCATGAATGGTCCTAAATCCGCAAAGTCTGGAAGCCCTCGCGGCGCAAACAAGTCTGTAAGCGTATCATTTGTCAACTTCACTGCCAATGATAGCCAGAAGATTCTCACTGGTGTTGCTCCTTCCGGTAGCTCCAAGACAAAGGCTCGTCGGGAGCAAGAAGCCCAAGATAAGCGCCGCAAACTCAGCGAGGCGGCTCTCAGAGCTGTCCGCAATGCTGGCGGTGATGTTGAGGCTCTTGAAGCCGTATTCTGCTAAGTAACTTTTCATTTTATCTTATTATCATCTTCTTTTTTGACTTGTGATATCTCCTATGCGTTGAAGCCGGTGTTCTGGTTGGTTCTTATATCAGGGTCTGTTTGGTCGTTTCGGTGTTTTCTTTTCTCCCTTTCTGATTCATTCACCGGGCTATACTCCAAAATGTTAGATCTACTTTTATAGTTTTTAATTTTTAGACAACCTTAAATGTCTAATCTGAATACACTTTATAAATATCTTCTTGTCCGAACACACTGCACCTTTTGTCATTTTACTCCTGGCAGACTTCCGAGAGAAGTCGTCCTTCGAACTTCCCCCGTACTTCAGTTAGCTACCAAAGGTAGCCGAAGCTAGTCCAATTGACTGCTACCCCTTCAGCAAGGAGGTAGTATCAACTTTCTTGATATTGGTATCTTTAATGATACTAGTGGCTCTCTATTCACTATCTACTGAGATGAGTGGTTCTTACTTAAGCCTAGAAGTTCAGCATATATAGTCTTACTAGTTACAATACTTATGAGCTATACTAATAGCGCCACGGAGTACTTGGTAGCCTACTATTTGGAGTTATAACTCCTCAAATATGATAGCCAGCCTATAGGATCTTGGTTTCTCGAAAAGGAGATCCAGCGGCCAGTAGATAACGACAGCGGTGTCCGTTTGTCTAGCGTTAAAATTTCTTTATTGGAACTAGGCCTAATGCCCCCTATCCTTTCTGTGGCAACAACTAAAGGCGGGATGGCATTACATCTTTAGAAATCTGTTTTTGTTTCTTTTTCATTTCTTTTTTTTTTCGGTCGTTCAGGTGGTATGGCTTTTTCCTTAATTATTAAGATACTCATAGAATATTTCCTGCTGAGTTCGAATTAGTCGGGAAAGATCTCGGGCTGATTATTTCCTAATTCTTTCCCCTGCTTTCAACTAGAATCGGCTTTAGGGTTATTTCATAGTTTCCCTATTTGCATCAAGTATAAGATGAGAAGTTACATAAAGATTAGAGCAAAACAAGAATGAAGAGAAGGATGGTTGCTTGGCTGCTTAGCATTCTTCTACACTGGCCATACTATATCCGTCTGCAACCTAAACATGATCATCGATTATACGTAGTTAATAAGAACTTTCTCATACCTACAGATCAACTACCATAAAAATGTTCTCTTATATCCATCCATAGAGGACATTGGGATCCAGTGCCCAATTAAGGCAACCCACTCACTCCTGAACAGTAAAAGGTGCAGGACGGTAGATATCAAAATGCGGTTTCGCTCGCAGCTATATTTCTCTATTTTCGTCTAGCTTCAAAGGACGGCTAATAGAAATCAATAGTATCTCCTTTGTTGGACTGGAGGTGTATGCATAAATGAATATATAAGGGAAGAAGTGGGATAAGTAGCTGATACACAGTATACCTAATAGGCACCTGGAGGCAAATAGGTAGAGTAAAATCTAAGAAGTGGAATGAAAGTAAAATGAAGCTTGCAATTGAACTAAAATCTCCCAGATGGTAGTGGCATCGACGACGAGACTCATTCCTCCTCTACTCTCTGTATGACTACTAATGAAATTTCATTGTATAAGAACTACATTCACAACGAGACATAATCTCGGAGGGCAATTCATAGTTATAGCAAAGGACATATAGTTAGACTTGGCATTAGGTTAGGTAAACTGAGTAAGTAATATCTAACCTGATTCCGAAATAGGCTTTGGTTAGATATATAATAGGGCATAGGAGATAATCCAGCGCGTTGACCTTGGAATTTATACTGTGATCACCTAGCAATAAATTTCACTCCCTAATCCACTTAGAAATTAGAATATCACGTTATGTTTATCTGGCTCGCTTTCACCTCCTGATAAAACCTGCACTGCTTCGGTCATCACTGCTCTCTCACAAGCTAAATCAGCCTTCAGGTCTTCTACCTGGGAGCCACTGGAGAGTCTGCCCGATATTTCCTCACCTGAACAAAGCTCTGCCAGTACACCCTCTATGGTGCCAGGGATGAATTGGATGGACTGGACCGGGCATTCGGAGGACTAGGTGTGAAATGAATAAGATGTTTTTACAATGAATATATGAAATACCTTGTATTTTCAATGCAATGCATTTGGGAGAGAAATATATTTACTCAGCTATATTTAAATACAGTTACTATTGTAATTAAGTTCAATGCTTAAGGGAGCTACCTTAAGCGACAGAAACTTTTATCTTTACTTGATTAAACTTGAATGCCGATATGAGAAAGCTAGCCCTAAATAGACAAACTTCTATGCTTGATTACATTCAAATGCACATTGTTGTGCCTTTAATTCCCATCATATTTATATTTGATATAACACCATTGCTAAAAACTAGTCCTCAAGCGAGGGACTGATTTACTAACATGCCCTACTGTGCACTTCCGTCACTTTATAGACAAATTTAATGCTCAAAGTAGCAGCCTCCTTTCAACTTTGTTATATTCCGTCACTTTATGGTAAAATTTAATATTCCAGGCTTAAGATAACCCATCTTTAAAATTTGATATGAAATTCCCGCTATTGTATATCGCATGTCCAAGGATGAAAATGTAGTGTCCAGGTTAACTTTGGAACCCATCCTTAGGACCCTTTTTGAATATTCATGGTATTCCCGTCACTTTATAACGAAATATCATACCGAGGCTGAAGGTATTGGAGATGTCTATTTTCACCTTATATTCCCGTCACTTTATAATTTATACTGATATTAGCTGCCCAACCTTAGAAGTTTGGTCATTCACTACCGGGGGTATATAAACCATATTCATCCCAGTATATCCCTTCTTCCTACACATATCTCTTCCTTCTTTGATCGAACTTCTGCCAGAAACAGGTGAGTTTCTTCGCCTGATACCCTCTGAATTGCGTATTTTCGAAAAAAACGTGACTTTCTATCCCATTCACTGTTTTATACCATCTACTGCCGATTTCCTCGGCTTCCCCAATTGCTCTACTTTCCTTCCATTTTCAACCTCATCAGGCGTGATCTCCAACTTCCTATTTCCTCTTATCCCATCTCAATTTCTTTCTGCTCATCTTCTGCTACTATATCTTTTACCCATTGCAAGTTCTTTCTCATCGTTTTCCTCCGGCTTTTGCTATTTCTCAATTTTTTTTCCATTTCGTTGTCCATTTTATCATCTTCATTCTTCGCCTCCTCTATTCAGTCACTTCTACTTTCACCGGATCTGACTTCAACTGAATTTATTCTTACAGATATTTACTCACCCGTTCTTACCAGAGAACATCAATCGCCTCAAAGAAAAACATAAAGACAAAAAAACCTCGTTCGAATATCTTTTTTGATATTTTTTGATATCTCTCGCCTTTGATTTTATCCTTTCTACGAATCGAATTCTTTTTCTCCTGAGAAAACATGTCTCAAGATCGAGGCCGCAGTGGCGGTGGGTTCCCCACACGAGGTGGTGACCGAGGACGCGGTGGTGGTGATCGAGGAGGTCGCGGTGACATCAACCTTGTTGTTGGTCGCGGCCGTCCTGACTACCGTGGCGGTGGTGACCGAGGCCGCGGCGGTGGCCGCGGAGGTTTCGCTCGTCCTGAGATGGGTCCTGGGTAAGTTTTTAACTCTTGTTTTATATGTGCATAGCTGACATGTATTTTCTAGCAAAATGTGGGAAAACGTGCCCGCAATCAACACCAAGAACATTCAGTTCGAGGAAGCTGTCACCAAGACAAACAAAGATCAGAAGGCCAAGATCGGTGAGATTGCTCTGCGTCCATCATACGGAACATTAGGAAAGAAGACGAATCTTCGAGTCAACTTCTTTGCCATGGAGTTCAAGCCTGGAGTCACTTGGTTTTGCTACAAGGTTGGTATTAAGCCCGAGCCGAGTCCCCGCCGCCTCTTGAAGGAGATCTTCTGGAAGTTGCTGCAAGATCCTCGTATCAAGACTGTACATGGAGCATCAGATAGTGCTGCTGAGGTGATTACTGTGGGAAAGATCACTGGATCTCTTGCCTTCAAGATCGGCCTCGAAGCCGGCGTCAAGAAGGAAGACAAGGTTTACGACGTTACTCTGTCTGAGGGAATTGAAATCGACCACAAAGTTCTGAACGGCAGCCTTCTTGATTTGAAGCAGGAACATGTTCCTTCGGAGCTCATTGCTGTTCGAGCATTGAACATCCTTATGGCTGGATATCCTGCTGAAGATCCAAAGGGTGTTGCAATTATCGGGAAAGGACGCAACAAGTACTTCTGGATTGATGAACGCAAACAGAATGCTGACCTCTCCGGTGGACTCGAGTGTGTTCGTGGTTTCTATTCCAGTGTTCGACTTGCAGCTGGCCGTGTTCTCCTGAACTTAAACGTGAATCACAGTGCCTTTTTCCGCCCTGGCCCATTGCAGAATCTGATGATGGAATTTGAACGCAACTGGGGAAATGACCCTCAGCTTCTCAACCGGTACATTCGCGGTGTTCGAGTTGAGCTTAATCATCTGAAGCCTGATCTCAAGAACGGCAAGTTTCGTCAGCGCTCTATCTGGGGTCTTGCAGCACCTCGTGATGGTCATGGAAACCCGAATCCTCCCCGCATCAAGTTCATGGGTGCTGGTCCTGACGATATTCAGTTTTATGAATCCGACCGAGAGCACCCAGGTAAGGGTCAATGGGTTACCGTAACCGCTTACTTTAAAAAAGGTACATATATCTCTATTCCCTTTCTTTGCAGGTCACCCGTTTGAAACTAAGCAAGCACAATTCGTATAGCTTACCCTAGTATTCAACTTCGGAATACTCAGAAGCCTTGTGTGAACATTGGCAATTCCTCCAAGCCCGTCTACGTTCCTATGGAGGTCGCCTCTGTCCTTCCTGGCCAGGTTTACAACGGTGAACTTCACACTACTCAACGCCAGAACATAATCAAGCACAGCTGCCGTCCACCTTCGGCCAATTTTGCATCGATAATTGATGATGGACTCAAATTGATGGGTGCTTACGGCAAAGAGACTATGGTCCGTGGTTTCAAAATCGCTCCTGAAATGTGCGCTTTCCCGGGACGGATTCTCAGTGCTCCTAATCTGCGATATGGAAACGTTCGAGAAACTCCTCGCGGTGGTTCTTGGAACCTGATGAAGAAGAAGTTCACCGAGGGTGGCAAGTGCAACTCCTGGGGCTGCCTCGTTCTTTTCCGCAAATACGGTCTTCAAGGTGATATTGCCCGGGCTATGGGGTCCTTCCAGGCTCAGTTGAAGTCCCTTGGTGTCAGTGTTCCCAATCCAGGACCGACTAAGAGTGTCGAGCTCCATGACCGAAACTGGCGTGAGCAGGTCGAGACTGTTATGCGGGAGGCCAAGTCCCACTTTGAGTTGTTGGTCGTTATTCTTACCACCATGGATGAGAAGACCTTCAGCTGGGTGAAATTTGTCGGAGACTGCCGCGTTGGTATACTAAACCACTGCATGCAGGCTGAGAAGTTCATGAGGGGAGATGTGCAATACCTTGCCAATAACGCCATGAAGGTAAATTTGAAGCTGGGAGGCGTCTGCCAGATGCTCGACCAAGCATCTCCTATCATGGCCCGCACCATGGTTGTTGGTCTTGACGTGACCCACCCGTCTCCTACGGACCCCGAGTCTTTCCCAAGTCTCGCATGCATTGTTGCTAGTGTTGACGGTCGGGCCGGACAATGGCCTGGAGAGATTCGCATCCAAGAACGTCGTCAAGAAAGTGTCATTGACTTGAAGCCCATGCTTCAGAGCCGCCTTCAACGATGGAAGAAGGGAAACAAGGACCAACTGCCCGCTAACATCCTCGTCTATCGCGACGGAGTGAGCGAAGGCCAGTATATGATGGTCCTGGAAAAGGAACTGAGAGAAATCAAGTCTGCTATCGAGGCAACCTACAAGACTGCGACTCAACCCAAGGTGACTGTTATTGTAGTTACCAAGCGACACAATGTTCGATTCTATCCTACAACCAAGGCAGACACAGATAATAAGATGAACGCACACAATGGATCTATACTTGATCGCGGAATCACTCGCCCGAGACAGTGGGACTTCTACTTGCAGGCTCAGTCCGCTCTCCAGGGATCTGCCCGCCCAGCTCATTATATTATCATTCACGATGAGATCTTCACAAATGACCCCAAGGCTGTTGACAATGTGCAGGAAATCACTCACAACATTTGTTACTTGATGGGACGCTGCACTCGCTCTATCTCCTACGCTACCCCTGCGTTCTTGGCTGATAAGTTCTGTGATCGAGCTCGCAAGTATGCTCGTGCCTACTACAGCCAGGAAGCAGATGTCCGCGGCAACCCTCAGAATGTTCCAGCTCCCTCGGATTCTGTTGTGCGTCTCGCGACTTCGATGTCCGAGCGCATGGTCTACATCTAAATAGATGCGTCATTGTACTTTCATCCTCGCATTCTGATCTCACACATTCTGCCTTTGTCATTCTCTGGTATTATTCCTTGACAATCTCGTATTGATAATTGAATGCGTTTGACAGAAAACACAGAAGCACAAAAAAGAGCAAAATAACGAAGAAAAAGGTGGGAAAAAGTGAAGAGTTATGCAGCACGAGCGAGCGAGTTTGATTTCCTGATTTTTGATTCTGTTTTATAAAATAAAAAACACTAAAAAATAAGCCTTCGGGTAAAAAAAAGGTTTGTTTTCCATTGTGAACGTAGACTTTGGTGTTGATGTAGATGTAGATGTAGACCTTGGTAGGAATAAAAAGTTGACAGACTTCTGTATATGAAACAATGAGATGAGAGCAATGTACAAGAGATATGGTAACGGCATAACTCAAGAGAGGAGTTGTTCATAAAAGGGTGTGATATCACGAGACCCTTAAGATAAAGCATGAGAGTGAAGCCCGTAGTTTGGCTCTTAGCGGCTTCAGATGAGAGAGTAACCTCGTATCTGTTAGAGAGAGATTGAGGGCATGGAAGCACGGTATTATGTCAATCACTCCAAAGAAACGCAGTTTGCAAACTAGGGACATGGAGGAATGGTTGATCCATCCATAATGTATACTTCGAGGAATTCTTTTTCTTATGCGGAAATACGATGGCTAGGCCTTATTAGGACTCATTCAACCAAATTCGCATGGAATAGTGCAATTATGTTGGATTGAATAGTCCTGCCTCTCTATAGCAGGCTTCATATCACCGGTGAGAGTTAGGCGTCCATGATTCGGGCTGCCAGCCCTCGCCAGGAACTCTACCGTCTGATTTGGCCCATGGATTCTGTTTCTGTTCATTTTTTGAGGCATCGGGGACTTTAGATTCCGCGGGTGGAGAAGCAGAATTAGACGTCGAGTTCACCGCACCGCTCTCCACAGCAGAAGTGGGCTGGTCAGTCTTAGGTTTATCGAGGAAGGAAGATTTACTGGCCCATCGCTCATCGGCTAATCGGGCCAGCTGTTTCATTTGTGCTTGACGAATCAGATCTTGTCTCTGCTCTTCGATGGTCGGTGGGTCTTCACGGAGGTGTCGTAGCCATTGATGCCATTGCGCTGAACAATCATGAACATATTAGCGATTTCATCTATCATTGCGCATCTGTCATTGCGATCTGAGTGCGCATTCCTCTATTCCCCACATGGGCCGACTCACGTGTCACTTTGACGTCGCCGTAGTGTGTCTTGGGATCGAATTTCACAATTCTCCGGTATCTGCCCGCCCTCAGTGCATCTTTAAATATCCAGAACGTATTTCCCGCGAGGTCCTGGCCTGGTAGGTGAATGATTAGCGATCCAGTGTAAAGCTTTACGAATAGATGAATATACTAACCGACGAGAATTGTTTTCCGCCAAGGGAAATTGATAGCCTTCCACTTGAACCAAAGACTGCCCACCATTGTTATGGGAATTCCCGACAAAGGAGGTTGGGGGAAAAAAGTAGTTCGCGGGAAGCCGAAGAACATTAAAAACGTCATCGGCGGATCCAAACATAGTCCCGGCTCATTCCATTCCACCCTTGCCCGCCCCTAACCTCTTCTCTCTTCTTCCCCCTTTATAATTTAGAGAAAACTTTCGACTTCTTACGCTCTTTAATTGCCTACTGATACCTTGGTCAACTTACCATCTTTGTCATACCGTCTGTTCCGCCGATACCCAACCCCCACTACTGGGCCCATTTCAGGCATACTTGAATAAAGGGATATAAAAAGGGGGCTGAATCTAACCAGCAGTTGCATTCTGATCCGTCATATTCGAAATCATTCCGATTCTTTTAAGCGCATGATGGCTTCGGTAACTTCGCTGGATAAAGACCTGCGCAACTTGCGCCTCTCCCGTTATACCCCGCAGACAGCCGCAGAAGTGCGCGACTGGATTGAGGAGGTTTTGCATGAGAAACTACCATCGGCCGATCTGTTAGAGGGATTGAAGGATGGAGTGGCACTATGCAAGTGAGTGGGATAAATCCACGCGGAGAATATTTGAACATGAACTGATGTATTGGCTACTAGACTAATCAACCTGGCCGTGTCTCCAGGTGTGAAGTATAAGCAGTCCTCGATGCCGTTCGTACAAATGGAAAACATCTCACATTTCCTACGCGCTTGTCAAATTGCTCCTCTCAGTCTCCCTCCCCATGACGTTTTCCTTACAGTTGATCTATACGAAGCAAAAGACCCGGCGCAAGTCTTGCAGTGCATAGCGGCCTTCAGTCGCAGGGCTAATGCTCTCCAGCCAAATACTTTCCACCGTACAGTCGGTCCACAAAGTAAGCGCGGACTTATCAGTCCCAATGCTACTGGCTCTTCAAATTCGTCATTTACCAGACCAAGCCGTGCCTCTAGCAATGCGAGCGATGCAAAGCCCTCTGGATTTAGTTCCTGGAGTAAGAAGACTGACGAGTCAGCGACTTCTCCAGCCTGGAACATTCACCAGTATGGTTACATGGGAGGAGCAAGTCAAGGCAACCAAGGTGTTGCATTTGGTGCCCGGCGGCAGATCACCACTCCGGGACCAGCGGTGCCTAGCCTTGCTGAGAAAGAGAAGCGGCGACGTGAAGAGGAAGAGAGAATTCGACGACAGAATGGGGAAAGAGAGGAAGCTGAACGTGCTCATCAAAGACAGGTGGAAGATCAGGAGGCACGGAAAAAGGCAGAGGAGCAGCGTCGCTGGGAGGCAGAAACTGCTGAATTGAGAGAAAAGGAACGGCGTGAAATGGAGGACGAGAAGAGGAGATGGGATGCAGAGAAGCGACAATGGGAGGAAGAGGAACGACGCCGTCTTGCAGAAGAGAAGGCAACGGAGAAGCGTTTCGAAGAAGAGCGGGAACGTCGACGAAGTGCCAACGACAACCGTCTTAACGGTCAATTCCTCAGCCAGTACCAAGCCAGTCAGACCAGTGCTCTCCCACTTGGAGCTGTATCTACTGAAGAAAGTCCCGAAAGTCGACGTATCAAAGAGCTTGAGCGAGAGCTACAGTTGGCTAAAGAGCGCGAACGCCAGTATGAGAATGAGCGTCAAGATACAAATACTCCACAAAGTGAAGTAGATGATCAGTCTCATGGCGGACGCCCGGTACCCGTTCCTCCAAAGCCAAGCTACGACCTCTCATCCCTAGAACAAGAACGCCGAATGCTCCGCGGGGAATGGCAAAAGAGTCAGGATGTGGCAACAGCAACGCAGCCTGAAAACCAGGCTCCACCTCCACCTCCACGACCGCTTCCAGAACCCGTGCCATCCCAGAAACCACCTCTTCCAGCCAGAGAACTACCCCCAGCTCCACGTCCCTTACCAGACCCGGTAACATACTCAGCCAACCGCACAGATCGGTTCCTCGCTTCCAACCCTGCACCGAGGACAGCTGCCCCTGCAACTCATAGACCACAAGACTACACCACTACTTCTGAGGTCGATGCAGAGAACAGTCGCCGCCTAGCCTCGCAGCAGAAGACCAAGGCTGGCGAGTGGGCTTCCAAGTCCCTGCTTGAGCGTGAGATGGAGCGAGAGCGAGAACGTCAACGCGAATGGGAGGAAAATCAGAAACAAACTGAGGCAGCCGCGCGCGACGTTTCCGAGGGTTCGGGACCCGGCCAGACATGGGATGTTCACCAATATGGCTACCTGGGCGGCGACAATCAAAACCGTGGTGGCGTTGGACTGGGTGTTGGAGGGGCCAGACGCCAGATTATTGGACCTCGACCACCGCGGTAGATCCTGAGGAATGTGTAATGTTCACACTCCTTTTCTATCTACACTTTCTCATATTTACTCATCCCCGCGCTATGTTTGTATGCATTTGCGTTGATTAACTGGCTTAATATTCTTTGCTTCGGCGACTGGATTCTTGCATGCCATGGTTCCATCTAGCAGTTGTGTTTTATAACTCTTCTTGTATGACCTGTGGTTCGCGATTACTGTAAGTAGTATAGAAAAATAACTTCTAATTTCCATATTGCGTATTCTGGGGAATAAGGGCTTGTTAAAATGTGGCTTTGAAATTAAATTTCAACCTGCAACTATTCTATCTATGGATTTAAGGGTCCAATGACGTCATGGCATAGAAGTAGTCTTGTTTACCTCTGAATAACTTCATAAATTGGAAGTTGAGAACCAAAGGACACAAAAAACTGTGGAAATGATGTGTTTTTAAAACCCTTCTAATGAACTTGAAAATAAGTGGATAATGAGGGGGAAGTAGGATTTGTACAATTTGGTAATAAATTTCTTCCTGCTAGTAGCGCTGAGAAATTATCGCAGAACCTGTTTCTGTAAAAACATGAAGATGAACATGAGCCCTGGCTGGAGTCTCCCTTGCCAATTTTCCTAACTGACAATACCTCGTCGATGAATCAGGATATTTCGCCGTGCCGAAGTTCATTCACGCCAAAGACCAGCGTCACCCCGAAGCCCCTCTATCACCACACCTATTTCGATGCTTTGATGCCAGGGCTGACTCACCAACGAGAAATTTAACTATACCCTCCTGAAGTGGATTTTCAATATCCCGAGGACTATGTGCCCGGGGGATACTACCCAACTCTCACTGGAGACACCTTTTGTAGTGGCCGCTACACCATCGTTCACAAATTTGGGTTTGGTGGATACTCAACAACTTGGCTCGCCCTGCATCAGTAAAGTAGACGCTACATATCACTAAAGATACTTACCGCAAGAGCATCGCAGATAGTTATGAGGGAGAAGTCCTTCATTAAGAGTGAATTTACTCATGCTGGAAAGCGATTCATCCCACCAATGCTTGACCAATTCTCGTTTCATGGTCCAAACGGACATCACACGTACTTTTTCGGAGATCCTGCTAGTGCCAGTATTGCTCAGTCTAAGGAGGGCAGCATAAACTTCATATTTCGTTCAAATGACATTGCAATTGTTGCAAAGAGGGCTGACCTACGCTAGTGTATCCCAACATCTACTGCCGACACCATGTTCCAAGATTTTGGATGTTCATTGTTGAAAGCTCAAATCTCTAATAACCAATACGGAGAGAGCTGTATGCAGAATAATAATATATTTTCATCAATGCCATCAAGAGATAACCAAAGAAGCAAACAAGAACAACATCCAGAAACAATTCAAAAAGCAATGCCAACCATGCAAACCAGCAATACCTTGAAGCATCTCATCCAAGTGAAACCCCTAATAATCAGAGAACGGTCGAGCTGTTGTGGTTCCACGCTCCCGGAAAGCAAACTCAGCAGTAGCCATGCAGCTCATATCCTGACCGTCACTCACAGGAAAGCGGCCAGGATAGCTCTCGGTAGATTGACACTTTTCCTTCCAGCCCAGCTTCAAGGCATCCCTATCAGATTTAGGGGTATGATCCTCGACGGTCACGACTGGCTGAACGGTCTCGGCAAGATCATAAGGACCATCGAACGAAGCAACCGAAACCTGAGCTACACGCAGTAAGCCGCTAATCAGATTATCTGCGGGGTATTGGCCCTCTGATATCTCCATATGAGCTGGGTGGTACGTGGATTTGTCGTGCTCTTGCGCCTGTCTACGCAAGGCAGGGCTTGATCGGGCCGGCTGCAACGTGTTGAGGTTGATCATGGCATGCAGCTTTGGTACATTGGTTGGGGCTTTCTTCACAGTGTCATAGACTATGGAACCATTCTTGCCGTACCGGTGTACTGCTTTCTTGGGGGTGAGAAGATTGGTCTTCTGCTGGACCGGTCCAGCTTCGGTGGTGGGTGCTTCGTAGTACTGAGGCAGGTCTGGTGGAGTGGCGAATCCATTTGCTTGTGGTGCTGGGATATTTGGTCCGGATCGAGAGTTCCAGATAGTAAAATCGGGTCCATACAGTGGTTCTTGCTGCTGCGGGCTTGCAGATGCGCGAGGGTGGCTGGCCGAGGGAATAACCCTCAGTATGATGTTGACAGTCCACTTCTCTGCCCTTTCAATGGTGGACTTGAAAGGTGGAAATTCTTTCGGAGAAGCTCTGAACGACCGTGCAATAAAACATGCTGCGTATAGGACTTGAAGGTAGCAAAGTGCGACAATGAGAGTCAAAGTCGTGACCAACGATATCGGGAGAATAACAAGCATGTGAGAACGAGACGGTCTTTTGTAGACAAGAAGAGGCATTTGGTTACTTTTCAGGAGCGGATTGTTATAGGGAGAATGTTCATCTCCAGAATTAATGAGAAATTGCTCCAATATTCTATTAGAGGTGAGACGATGGAAGGAGCGACTTGAATTGGGACCGGCAGCGACGTGGATACCCTCGATATGTCTTTGCGCGCCTCCTATCTCGGGAACCTGTGGAATACACATCATTATGATACAAGAGCAGTTACAACCTACACATAGTTAAAAAAAGTGGGTACAGTGGGACTTCAAAATAAGCCACAGGAGACCAGAAGGCCCGTTTTGATTCCAGAAGAATTAACTACCTAGGTAAGGAGAAAAAGTCAGGATCTGCAGGAAGGACGGTCTAGACAACTATACGTAGGTACCATATGTTAAGCAATAACTACCTAAGTGTCGGGTTCACCTTTGATTTGACTCTATTAGGTATCCATTCCATGCTTATTTCTAAGTAGTCGTTAGATACATCCAGAACGACACACATCTTTCAATACTCATATATGACTCGACCATCATAGTGGCTGTCATTTCTCAATACTTTAGGTGTAGGACCCTCTTTATTCCATCGGGCATCACGATGATATTGATACTTTCATATTCTATCTCATCGATATCAGATCGATCAGGCTTCTCTTCTCCTCTATCGACCACTCTTATTTTTCCTTCCCAAGGCCATGTCAATAAATAACTCTCCCATCAATATACGTGTTATGTAGCGGGCTGAAGCCCGGTGGTGGATTATATTTAACATATCCAAAGCCACGACGTTGAGCTCCACCAGAATGATTCTGTTGTTGTGAAGCACTCACATACTTCAAACCGTGGAAAACCTTTCATCTAAGGATCACTGCTGGTCCTCCCATATTTCTTCAAGGATTTTGTACAAAGTCTGTGCCTAGCCAGCTCTGAATCTAAGATTAGCTTTATCCCTTCACAAATTTAATCAATTCATTGCCTAGGAGGATACGCTGTAGTCAATGCATGGTGTATCGTCTCGCCTAACACATTGGCAGTTCAAGTATGAGTCTTCCACTTCAACTCCAATTCCAGATTAGAGCGACTTCAGGTTAATCCAAGTCAATGATCATCAATAGAGGGCTATCAACTCTTAGAATCTAGATGTATGGGTGGTGCCGAGGCACATATGATTGGTCACTATAATAAACAACGGAGCTCCACCTCCACTTCAACCTCAACGTCACTTCACACCTCACATCTATGACTCGTCTTGCTACACTTCGTTCGCGCTCACCAATCATGTCTGTAATTGTGGATTGTACCCATCTACGCCCGAGGCGATTCACACCCCTCGACCCCGCCAGGAAGTCGGATGCGCCACTGTTAAAGGGTATTGTGTTTGATATGGACGGGACGCTATGGTATGAACACTATCTTTCTCAGGGGTTTGACTATTGTTTAGCCTACTACTATATCCATTGTTATATCTTAATCATCTCAATACTCCTTTTTCATTGCTTGGATTCAAGAACTCTTGATGTTGGACGTCGCATAGTTGAGTCATAGATGACTGACTAAAAACTAGTCTCCCTCAACACCACATGTTCAAGGAAATGAGGTGAGAAACACGCCAAGCTCAACGGCTATATAATCTGACCACAAATAGAGATGCACTGGGCATAGATGGCTCTATCGACATCCTACATCACATCCGAGATCTCCCCACACCAGAAGACCGAGCAGCCGCTGCCAAGAAGGTACAAGAAGTTGAACGACGTGCTATGAAAGACCAGCAAGCCCAGCCAGGTCTTGTTGAATTGATGGATTATCTCAAGTCGCGTGATCGAAAGCTGGCACTTTGCACACGGAACTTCCAGTAAATGCCACCTCACCTCCACTTGTCCCAACCTCAATTAATCAAATCAGAGCTCCGGTGAACAATCTGCTTCAAAAATTTCTCCCAACCCACAACTTCTTTCCCGTCATTACTCGAGATACACCTGATATTCTTCCCAAGCCTGAACCAGCGGGCATCTTGCACATCGCTCAGGAATGGGGCTTGACAAATGGGGCTGAAAATCTCATTATGGTGAGCTCATCTAATAGCTTTTGGATGTTGAGATCGACATGTTAACAGGCGATAGGTTGGGGATAGCATTGACGATATGACGGCGGGACACACTGCTGGTGCAGCCACGGTCCTACTTCTGAATGAACGGAATACTTCTCTGCGGGAACATGCCCACACAGATCTGTGTATCAGTCGACTGGATGAACTTATTGATATCCTTGACAAAGGGTTCATTGGCAGTCGAGGAAATGATGAGGGTGCCAAATAAAGTTGACACCACATGTACGCTACACATTTAGGTGGCAAATGCACTTAGAAGCCATATTTGATTAGGCGTTCAATGCTGTCTGTCAAGGTAGATATTTACCAAAAGAAGACTTCCCAGATGTCACAGACCTGATTCAGACCTGAGACATGGAATTTGGTTGAATTTTGATGATACCTAGTAATACACGGAGGGTACTCACCACACCGGGGTATAATAATGCTTCATAGTCGCATCGCTATAAGCATAGATCATAAAGAGCACATTTTACAAAAAGCGCGATTCGCAAAGATGGAACAAGCCATCAATTTTAGCCACCACGGCCACCACGGCCACCACGACCACGGCCGCGACCACCTCGAGCACCACGGCCTCCGCGGCTTGAACCCCGGCCAGAGATGCGACCACGACCTCCTCCCGCTCCTGTTTCTCCTTTTCCTCCTCTCCATGCTCCTGCTCCTGCTCCATTTGCCCGAGGCTTCGAAACAATTGGAACAGTAGAAGTTGAACGAGTGGAGGCTGGTCCTTGTGGCACAGGAGTCAAAATCTGCTGGCTGACGTTTTTAGCGCCACCTCGACCATGGAATGATGGTTTCTTTTTTCGCGAAGGACCAGAGCTATTTCCATCGCCACCGAAACCGCTGTCACCACGTGCTCCGTGAACGATGCCACCCTTTCCATTAGTAGGATCTACCACCCTTCCACCAGTAGGGCAGTAAGTGCCGCTGGAAAGGTAATGGGGCAGACGGGGGTCACGGCGACTATCTCCATTAGAAATAAGGTTTTCGATTCTGGCAGGATCTACACCTCGAAGGCTGGGAAGAGGTGCCTCATAACGCTCTTTGTCAGTAAGGTACGGGCAGTCGCCCAATATGTGTTTGAAACTGTAACACCTAGCACATTGAAGAGCGATCTTGAAATGATCCTCCTTCGCTAGGGTTTGTGAAAAGCCCATAAGATAATGATCACATCGTGTCTCCACGTGCCAAGGACAACCACAAATGTCACAGGGGACTTCCCCTTCTATGCTTTGTAATGAAGATTTGCATTCTTCATGATTATGGCCCCTCTCTCGGCACCGATCACATCGTCGCCAGAGAGGGCAGAAAAGACTCTCGTGTTCACCCCATGCTTGACAATGAGTACACTAAGATAGGTTAATATGATTTTGGTCATGTTACCAATAAGATCTTGACTTACCCTTTTCGAGGGACATGTGTCAGATAGATGACCCTTTTGTAGACATACTTTGCAACCAACTGGAAGATCGCCATAGCAATTCTTCGGGTCCCGATCCCAGTACATGAACTTGACCTGATCACTGTAATCCTCATCGTCCAAATCCCTCAAAATAGTAGGCGGTGTCGAGTATTTCGAAGAAAAAGGAACCTGCGGAGGTGAATTTTGAGTAGACTTGGGCATATTGGACTCGGTGGAGTCTAATGATGAAAAGATTTTAATATCGTCCTCTGTGTCTTGATCCATTGCAATTGTAACGGACGCCTCCGGATTGTTGACAACTTTTTGAGCTTGTGGCTCGGTGCCAATATTCAGTAGAATTGAATCGTCGTTTTCCGAATCTAAAGATATCGCCCCATCGGAGTCACTCTCAGTGCCCGCAGAATCCTTTTCGTTCTCGCTGTCGTTGGAAACGCGCCAGTATGCATCATTCACAGCTTTGAATTTTTTTGACTTGCTGTCCTTGGAGGTCCGAGCCTGTGAGGTAGATTGGGATTGTGGGGTAGGTTGCGCTGAAGAAGTTGACGATGCGCTTCGCTTTCCAAGTGTAGTGCGCACGGCCTTTTTGCTAGCTTTGTTCCAGTTGATGGCGGGCGCGGTACTTCCAGCATTGGGGTTGGCATTTTGCGGGGTATTATCGGCGTCGTTGTCGACGTCCAAACCCGTTTCTACCGGGTCAACCTCAAGTTGACCACTGAAGGTTGCACCGCGAGGTACAAAATCGCTGGTCAAATCAAAGTTGTTGCGCCTGGCCCGTTCCCGTTTGTTCGGTCGCTGTCTCTTTCTTGGGGGAAGGTTGGATTGGTTGTCAATAGAACCATTGGCAGATAAATGGTTTGAACGAGTTCGTTGAATACCGACAGATGCAGTTCGCGAATCAATATCGTCTCCGGCTGAGTCGGCCATCTCAACGGGGTAAAAAGAGTTAGAATTAGTACACGCGCGTAAGCAAGAGGTCTCTATTGCTATCGCGACAGAAGAAAAAAAACAAACACGAAAAATAGAAAAGGTTGAGACGGAGAGGTGGAGGCAGAGAAAGCGAAGAGATCTTCGTGCAACTTCTTCATCAACACTTTTTGCAGTAGACCATAGGTACCATTTACGCAATTTTTCATTACCTCACTACGTGAATAGCTAAATTACTAACAATAGAGAAATTTAGCCTTTCAATAGTTACTGCCTCAAAGTAAAAGAGAATTAGGCTCTTTACTACCGATTCGTTTGTAAGATTCATGGCTTTAGTTGAATAATGGCACTATTCCTAGGTAGTTGACCGGAGGATCTCGAAGAATGAAACAAGATAGACCATCAGGCCATGTTGAAGGTGAAGGCAATCAAAAGGAATATGGCCAAATCCATCATCCCATTATGATGCTATGATCTGGGAAAAAAAGCAGAGATCCCCCTCACCCTGAGTACGAAAATAGAGGCGGAATAGAGTCTAGGCTAGGATATATTGAGTACCAGAATGCACGTGCCCCAATCCAAATCCTATTTGCCCGAACTTCTTTCCTTCTTCTTTCGCCTTCGTCCATTTATTTCACTGTGATCTCCAGCATCAGATTTTCCCATTTCGGTAAAAACCCAAGCAAGTAACAAATCTTGCTCCCGTGACTCCGCCTATCCGCCCGACAAGTCTGGGCCGGTGCCACTTCTATCCCCACGCTCCTTTTTCTCGTCCCACCCCCCCAAATACCATCAAGCTGGCTTCCGATACCTCTAAATCTTCCCTGTTGGTCCCTCGTGCCATTTCATTTTCACCAAAAATGGATGGACAACAGCGGTTATCTCCTCATACCCAGAAGCAGGGTCGTCGGCGACGATCCAGCAGTCTCATCTACCAGGAGCCTCCAGAATCCATCGAGCATACTAGCGATCAGGCTGCTCTACCTAATCTCAATGCAAACTGGGTGAATGCCAAAGGTTAGTTATCTGTCTTGAGTCTTCCCCTTCTTTTCAGATACCTCCAACCCTGCGGTCTGGACACCGTGGACAGTGGGTGAAATAAAGATGCCTGAAATAATTGGGATTCATGAACATTTGGCTAATCATGAACTTCTTTTTATATAGGTGCTTGGACCATCCACTTCGTACTCATCGCCGCGCTGAAGATCTTCTGGGATATTATGCCCGGTTGCTCACAGGAGACTTCATGGACCCTTACCAACATCAGCTATATGTTCGGCTCCTTCCTTATGTTCCACTGGGTGCGGGGCATTCCATTCGAGTTCAACGCTGGCGCCTATGACAATCTCAACATGTGGGAACAAATTGACAACGGTGACCAGTATACACCGACCAAGAAGTTCCTGCTATGTGTGCCTGTCATTCTTTTCCTCGTCAGCACTCATTATACCCACTACGATCTGACCTACTTTACCATCAACTTCCTTGCCACTCTTGGTGTTGTGATTCCGAAACTACCTTTCGTATGTTCCATTTCTCTTTTCACCTCCTATCTTTGGGATTCACTGCTGACCTTTTTTTTTTTTCTTTTACAGTCGCATCGCCTGCGGATAGGTCTATTTGCTGATGACCTAGACGAATCATAGTGTATCCTTTTGCCTATTCTTGACTGTTTTATTGTCTGCTCCTTTTTTTTCCCTTTTTGCTACATTGGCACCTACGGTCGTCGAGCTCGCTCCCCACCTTCCCTTGTCCTATTCTTAAAGACTCTTTTTGCATTGCGTTGATTGACGGAGACTCGATCCGTCGTCGAAAAAATTGTTTTCTCTTTCTCGGAAATAATGGATTGGGTGGGAGATTCATGGTGCCTTTGCTCCCTGTCTAGATACCAACTTTAGAGCCCTGCATAACTCTGCACAATTTTTGGCTTCTTACTTTCCTTCTGAACCGGACAATAATCAATCTGAAACAAGAGAGCCAAATCCTCAGGCTAAAACAATCTGGAGGCTAATTATGCAGGGATCTTAGCATGGACTACGGATCTTAGCTTGGCGGGGCTCGATCTGAGTATAAAATACATTTAAACTCCAGAAATTCATAATTATTAGTCAGTACTGTAAAATGCATACAGGTAATACAGCCGCATGGTTTGTACCGTATAATCCGCCAATAACATCAATTCTGGATATCGCTCGGTATTTCCCGTTGTATTTCCCGTATGCATTCTCCTTTAGTCAGTCCATAATTAAGTAATTCGAACTGTCATCATTGGTCTATTTTAGAATCTGAAATGTTTGTTCAAAGGATATGAAGGGTTCCTTATTTTAGGTATAGAGAACAAAGAATCAACATACTTGATATTTACTATCTTAATGTATCAACTATCTCCTAAATTCTACTAATATAAACTCCTCAGTATTCATGATCTTTGATCTATCTCCTCTTCTGTACACTTGAGTGGCTTTTCTGCGAGTCTTTAAACCTGACTAATCGCTTATCGATAAGACGCGAGACGCCAACGCGAAAATGTTCGAGTTAAATCAATATGAGATCACAGTCTCGGACAAAATGGTGTATCGAGAACCCCAGGATATTCCATACACATTGATTGAGAATGTGGCAGCATTCCTCTCAGAATCTCTTTGTCAGACATCCCATCGCCTCGGTACATATTCGTGACTAACTCTTTCTTACAGACGTGCAAGCGTTAAACATCTTGATCAGCACGGTTGCCTCCAGGACATACGCGTCAGAAAAGGCATATAGGCCAACCCAGAAACATCTCGCCCTCGCAGCCACCTTTCTCGTCCACCCATCAACGACAACGAACGCCAAGTCCGCCGGGCACAAAGAAGCTTGCAATGCTGCGCTGCAGCTCTTACGACTAACCAGTTGTCTCATCAGTCCCAAGGATGCCAACTTCAACCTCGCGTTCAACTTCGAGGCTTCCCAAAACGCAAGAGGTGGACGACAGCGGAGGGATGACAGTCCCGTCCTTGATCGTAAGAAAAAGAACGAAGTATTCGATCCTCATGCTCTGAAGTATGTGGAGCTCGCTGATGCCGAGTCGTTATGGACGTGTGCCGATGATTTCTGGCATGCTGTAGGCTGGGCCTTTAACTGCTCCGTTCTTCATCCTGAGAGATGGGAGCACTGGAACATATGGCTCAAATATATGTGCGAGGTGATTCTAGATGATTGGAAACAACGTGAAGCGGAATACGCAGAGGCCAAGGCAGCGAAAAAGAGCATGTCGCCTGCATCTCCTGAAGAGAACATAAGAGGTAGAGGTGCTCGGAAGAATGAAGATGAAGACCTGGACATCTTTCGGGGGAGTCTGATATTCCAGTACATTTCGGCTGGTTCTTTGGCTGGACGAAACAGTCGGATCATCAAGTCTATCTTTGCGGATGGAAGTAGCAATTCTGTCAACATGTTCCGCCAAGTGTTTACTCAGGAACTCAAGCGTTCTGGAAAATCACAGAGCAGGAAGAGAGTTCGTGATGTCAATATCGACCGAGAGGAATATGGCGATTACCTGAGCGATGATGATTCCAATGAAGAGGAAGATGAAATCCCCGATACGAGCAACCCACAGGCCCGTGGCTCATTGCCACCAATGGGTGCTAACCGGCCAAAGCGTACAAGACGAGGAACAAGATCAGACGCTAACTCGATTAAAGATCCGAAAACCAAAGACCAAGCCTCCTTGACAAACCACAGTGGCAGCGTTGCGATGATGGGCGGTCTTGAATCGATTTACTTGCGTAAAATGCTTCTACACATCCTATCGCTTGTCTCCGAGCGGCTTCCCCAGGACTATGTGTCTATCTACGATCTGTATCCCATGTTCGTTGACTACATCCGCCCTCTCCCCCTTCCAGTGTTCCAAGCTTTCGTCAGCCCAACCGTGCTTCCAGTGTTCTCATCAGAAGAACACACCACGTTCTGTGAGATCTTGCTTTTCACCCTGCGCGAAAGTTCTGCCCCGGCGTCAAGCGAGGAATACCTCAACCAAGAAAAGTTAGAGAAATGTTTCCTTCCTTACACAGCAGCCAACGCCAATCGTGTCAACAACGCAAAGGTGTCGATACTTCTCGAGGCCCTGGTCATCCTCCTAGCGAAGAATGACATGTTGGTCGTCACGCCTCTTTTCAGAAACGCCGTCGAAGAAGGAATTCACCGGCGGGCTGACAGGGTGCATGATGAACGCCGTGGCGTGAATGGCCGCCGTAACGCGAATAGCCGAAACAAGGACTCAATCGAATGGTGCTGGCTTGTAGAGAGCGGTGATAGATTGATGCTTATGATGGATCTTTTGTCACTGAAAGATGAGGAGTTGAAGTAAAGATATGATTTATATGACAGTCACGATGCTAATGGGCATAAATAAGCGTTCTTCATTTGAATACTACGACTTCAACTAACTTGGTGCTGCTCAGATAGCTGGATTTTCAACTACCGTGTCTTCTCAACCTTGATCATGAGGCAACCACAGACGTCAGGAAATTTGGCAGCTCAAGGGAAGACTATAGTCCCCTAGTACAGAACAAGCAGTCCGTTTTCAAAATGTCATATCAGTGGGCAGATCATGGTTATGATAAGTTCAAAATTGAGGTAGTACTTCATCCCCCCCCGGCCTCTGTTGTGCATTTGGAGACTCCAGATAATACCTACCAGAGGCCTATCTACACTCAGTCGAACCACTTTCTCTAAAAACTGCAATGACAGTTCTCTAGATATCTCTCACTAGGCAAAGTCCTAGTAGGAGGGAGTTTTACCAAATTTTATAAATCCCACTCTATTTCTCCTCATTTTCTGGTCATTCCCAGGTTCATCCACCCAGGTGGGAAATCTTGGAGGATGCGTCATTCTGTCTGCTCTTTACGTCCTTCGATCACCCAACTTTTATGAAGCTATTCAGGGAGTAGATAAGTGGGGCATAGATCAGAGCCGCATCCGCGATGAATACACATCACATGATATGCCGATGTCAATGTTGAAATTTAAGCTTCGCTGGTCCACTTATCTGATTCCCTTGAGCCTTGAGCCTTGAGCCTTGAAAGGCATGATCTGGCCTACTATCATCAAACTACAGTTTAACGATCTAGAGTAGTATAGAAGTTTTACTCGGTTGCACATAATGTACCGCAGGAATTCGGAATCTCCCTAGGGCTCATCTTATCTACCAACAAAAAGTTACACAAGACATAAAAAAGAAGCATGGCTATGACATGCACCTCACATATGCATATGCAAAGCAATATTAAAAGCAAATGAGTATCTCGAAAATGAGGCATAAGCTTGGAGAGAGAGAAAAAAAAAAAAAAAAAAAAAAAAAAACAAAGAAATGCACATGTCTCAATCCTAAGATTCAGAATGAAGTATGGGAAGACGAGAAGGGGAAAAAGCGGATCCAAGCATATTTTTATGAAAACGGCTCAAATGGGTGGTGATAAAATAAAAAGCGCAATCGTCACAGTCGTAAGAGGGCGCGGACGCCGAACATCATGAGGGATACATCAGGGGAGAAGTGGAAATAGAACAGAGATGAGATAAATGAATAATGGGTCGCTGGGCACAAATAAGACCCAGGTTATTAGTTCTCTCACTGTTTAGTAGTCGTCGTCGTAGTCAACTTGCATCGGGCTGCCTTGGTAGCGGGTACGTTTTGGGCTGTAGTTGCCGCCGGATGTAAGAGGACGAGGTCCTGTTGGCTTTCTGGTTGGGGGAGAACGGATGATCGAGTTCTGAGATAAAGGGTTAGTATTGAATTTCAAGGCTTGATAAAAAGGGAATACATACCCGCGAGGTGACACGGTCGGTGCCATATGAAGCCTGTGCTTCATCTTCGGTGACCTTTGGGGGTCGCTCAGGAACCAAAGGCCCATCATCTAGGACCTTCGGAGGTCGAGGAGGTGCCTGTTGTCGAGCACTGCCCTCTGAATAGCCTCCATCTGAGATTGGAGAGAGACGGCTGCCATTGCTATAGCGGTTGGTAATGGGTTGGACAACGGGCAAGCTGGGGTTTGATCCCCACTGCTCCGAGGTCGGAGACGCAGTCAATGAAGTGTACGTCTGGGCTTGGGACTCTAGTGCAGACTGGAAGCGACCGGTAGGGCCTTGACGAGGCTGGGGGTGTTGTATTTCAAGGCTGCCACGATGAGCCCGATACTTGGGGGCCTCTGAGACCTGAGAAGGAACCAGAGGCGAAGGCGGGCGGTTCTCCTGCTGAACGCCCTCATCGTCAGTGAATGTAGATCGGAGACGGTCATCGCCTTGAGGATCGTAGTAGTTGCCGGTCTTGTATGCCTCATCGGACCCAGAGCGGGAAATTTCCGAGTGAGGGCGCTCCTTTCGTGTAGGCTGGATGCTGTTGCGAATGTTGTCGCCCATAGAAGAGGCAGTTGTCTTCGACCAGCGAGAGATCTTCGGGAAGATAGAAGAGCTGGTCGATTTGTGCTTGCGGTTCTTGTCGGCCTTTGGAGTCGTCTCGGTGCTCCGAGCCCCGCTGCCAACCGGTTTCCGAGGTGGTGTCGATAGAGGCATGGATCCAGCTCTTTCGTGACGGATTTTTTGCTGAATTGGGAGATGCGCACTCATGTACGCATCATCACCATCGATCTCAACATCCTCCTCTTCGTCCTCTTCAGGGACAGTGCTGACTCGCTGATCCGCAGTCATTGGTCGGGGACTCAATCTATAAGGAGGGCGGCTTCCAAAAGGAGCGTCGGCGTTGCCATTAGCCTCATAACCACTCGGGTCCGCACCTGACAACAGACCACCGCGGGGTTTGATATAGCCCTGTTCTTCACGCATGGCCTCAACCTCCTCAAGCAACTGCTCAAGCATGCCTTCAATCTTAGTCAGATCATTGCCAGACTTTAAGCTAAGACCTTTCAAAGCACGCTTGAAGATGCTCGCTCGCTTAGTCTGAATATCTTCGTCTTCCGCTACTGTGTTCAGCTGACGGCCTCGAGAACCGCTGGGAGGCAATGGACGAGGTCCACCAAGTGCTCTGTGAGTTTTCTCATGCATCTCGTCGCTGTTGTCCATGATCAAGTCATCTTGCTGCACAATAAACTTCTTCATCGCTTCGAATGAGTTGCGCATCTCAGCTGCACTCCGAACAAGAGTCACCAGGATCTCAGTATCCCGGGCATTTCGTTGGGCATCACGGACAGTGAGCTAAATGCAGCGTTAGTGATGGGTGGGTATTTTCCGGGAATGATGGTACACTTACATGATCCATGAGGGCAACAATGTCTTTAGATTGAATGCGCTCGATGCCGCGGCCAGTTGAGCTGTCGTAGAGTGGCGACCCTACACCGTGAGAATACCCGCTGAAGTGTCGCTGTTGATCAGTGGTAGGAGCAAATGGGTCCTCGCCCCCAGCGGGATTACCAAAGCCTTCTGGTCCTCCAACGCCTCGTGTGCCTTGTTTGGGAGTACCAACGCTGGGAGACAAAGGGTTGGCAGCCGATACGTAGCCCTCGTCCTTGGCTCCGGGAGGTGTACCGAACAGTTGTTGGGCCTGTTGGTCGAGATAATAGTCCTCGTCGGCACCAAAGATGTTTCGAGCCGTCTCATAGTATTCCGCATCGAGACCAACCGGTTTCCCGTGAGTCAGACCCGCAGCTGCTTGGGCAGGGTCGTAGTTAGGGATTTGCCCAGCGGGCACCCAATGATCAGTGCCGTAAGCAACTCCGCCAATGGGGCCTTGAATGATGGATGGGTTAGTATTGATCTCAGACTCCGACTCTTCGCTACCCTCGGCATCTTCAAGGGGGCTACTGAGGTGGCGAGCAGTCGCGGCCATCATACCGGCCTCTTCCAAGTCGTCAATAGACTGAGTGACACTCTGTGGGGGAGAAGTGAGACCCATTCGTCGAGGGAAGGATGTTTCATCAGTACTGGCAGCATCTTGTCGTTGTTTCAGAGGGCTTCCGCGGTAAACCTCACTCTTTTCGGGGCTCCGACTTCCTGCCCGTGGAATCTCACGATCAACGACATCAGATTGCGTACCGGACACATATGACTGGGAGAGAGTAGACGGTTCCAACAAAGAAGCAACAGCTGACTCAACACCGACTGGATGCACGAACTGGGGGTTGGCTGCAGCGCCGCGTGCCACATGCTGGCCCTGTTTAACCTGGTCCATGAAATCAACATCACTACCATCTTCTCCAGCCGAGAGTCTGGACTCTTCATTCTCATAATAGTCATTTGTCTGGGTCAATTGTGAATCCTCATATCCCAATTCGGGACCTTGGCTTTCATGCTTCGATAATCCACCCTGGCTTATAGGGCTAGCACCTTGTCGCGTTGATCGTGCAAGATTTGTGCTGGGCGCAGACGATAGAGTGTCAATGGATAGGCGGGGTTCCATACCTCGCTGGCCTTCCAGATGAGGCTGCTTGTTTGCAAGTTGGGCGGTTTCGATTTTTTCACTGACAACACTCTGGATAGGGCTGAGCGATCGACCAGCCTGGTAATGGCTGATTTCTGCGGATTGGTGTTCTGGATAGGCAATATCAAGCAGATTGGCTGCAGCGGCTGCAGCAATGGCCCAATTTGCACCGTCACTTCCAGGAGACTGGCTCTTGGCACGCAAGTCACGATCCGAGGCGCTATGCAGGGATAGATCCCGCTGCGACTGGTTGCCATGGCGCATACCAAGTTCATATCGAGATTCAAGGGTTGGTGTGCGGGATTGTGTGGATGAAAGAAGTTGTCTGGGTGAGCCTGTGGAGAGGTCCGCGTGCGAAAGTCTCTGGCGAGGGGTGAATATTTCAGATGGTTCAGAGAGCAACGATGTTCTGGTCACCTGGGAGTCGAGTTCACTGCGCATCGGCATGAGTGGCACGTTGTGCTTCTTGAAAACAAGCTCAGTGTCGTTGTAGCCCTCCACACTCTTCCGCGAGCCACTTGCCCTTCGCTCCTGTTGTCCAAGACTAGACTGAGAATCATGATGCTTGAGAGATGCCGCAGTCAACGCCGAGCCTACTCGTCCAGCAGCTTGGGCATCGCGGAGACCCTTGCTTTTCTGTCGACGAAGCACATCCTGCTCAGTGAGATCAGGTCGGCCCCACTTGACCCATGCAGCATCAGACGTCTCGCTACTCTTGCTGGGCTTGCGCTCGGTGTTTCGATATTCTGGCTTTGAGTCACCAGACAGAACAATACCCTCATCTTGGCTGTCCTTATTCAAAACCACCTTGGGCTTCATGACATCCGGTGCACTGGCATGTTTTGATAATCGTCGAACCAATTCTGGTCCCTCTTTAGAGCTCCCCGTGGAAGAAGAATGCGAGTTGGCCATATCCTGATCAAACTTGGATTTGTTTTTCATGACTTTCTGGTCCTTCTTGAGTTCCTTGAGCTCTGGCAAGATCAGTCGCCGAATCGCATCTTCTACTGTCTCTAGCAACTTCGGGTTGTTGATTGAAGATTTCGAAGCTCCAGAGAGCATGGAGTATTGATCTCCAGATTTGCGGTTCGAGGAAGTGCTGAGAAGGCTGGATTCTGCGCTAGGAACTATATCCTCCTCTCCCGAGCCATGACGCTTCCGGTGTGTTGATTTAGACTTAGGCTCAGGATCCAGATAGACCTTGCCGCTCTTGCCCTTGTTTTTACTCTTGCTCTTCTGCTTGCCGCTGGAGACCTCCTGGGGTGGACCGCTGAGCTTTTCTGCCGCTAGATGTGCGATACGCTCTGTACTCAGACTGCGACTGCGTCGCCGGTGCGGGGTTTTCAACAAGCTCTTGTCTTTTTCCTGGTGAGCTTCCTCGCGCTCGATACTTTTACTACGTTTTCGACGAGGCCCAGCGGAGGACGTAGTGTCGAGCATGCTATCTGCGGGCATGGAGGAAATATCTGACGTTCCGGGTAGATATCTGCCTTCTTGGGACATGGCTGAGACCTCACTTCCTTGTTCACGATTCATGAACTCGATTTCAACCGGGTGAGGCGATGAATCCAGTTGACCCTCTTCAGCAGAATTGGAACTAACACTTTGATCATCAACAGTCAGACTTTTGTCTTTGGCAGGTGAGTTGAATGATATCCGATGGGTATGAGATGGCTTGCGACTGCTGCCCGAATCGGTGATCTGAATATGATCTGCGTCCCTGTGTTTTCTGACACCGGACGGGGTTACACGAACTCGTACACTAGGCCGAGAGACAATGCCGGTAGATCCCTTCCCACCCTCAAAGTATTCTATGAGGAGGGAAGTCTGCGAGTCCCGCTGTGAGCGAGACAGCTTGTCGTCCCGGTCCCGATGGCGCCGGGTGGACACAGTGATAGGGCTACCGTCGTCCGGAATTGAATACGACGTTTTGTCTGTGCGGCGAGAAAGGTCAGTTGCCAGATCAGTGCCCGTTATGCTGTTGCTCGGTGATTCGATGATGGATTCTGTGGGAGCGGGAAGGACTGGTCTGCGGGTATTGACCCCCATAGTTGGAAGAAGTATCTGATTTTTTTTCTTTCTTTCTAATCCTCGTTCAGCCTGACAATGGCATGCTCTGGTAGAATCGAAAAGATAGAACCAGGTATTGTAGAGGGATGGGGGAAGAAATGATCATTTGTTGATGGGTGTATGTTGACACGATAAGGTGGGGGGGAGAAGAGGGTTGGGAGGAAAAGAAAAACAGCCGGGGTAGATGGAGGTAAGGGATGGTAAGTTACTTGATTTGAGAGAATTTCAAGCGTACCAGCGACAAGTTCACCTTCACGGTGATACAAAATTAAATGTTAAGGATGAAAAGGACGGAAAAAAAGCAAGGTTGTGGTTGCTAGGGAAAAAGATCATGAACCGGAGCCGTTTGATGTTCGGAAGTTTTGGACCTTGGAACTTTTGGGGTTTTGAGTATTGGGGAAAATTGAATGTTGAAGAAGAGAAAAGGAGGATAAACTGTTGTCACATTACGGAGTAACAACGAGTAATAAAGATTCGATCAGCCCCAGCCTCTTAAAAAACCAAATGGCTGGTGAGAGGTAGACTACAGGTTCCGATAGGCTGATGCGGCAACAGTGAAAGTACCTGAGAAGTACATATACGGGATTGAATCAGGCAGATCTCGGGAGTTCATCACATTTCACTTGTCCTAGTATCGCAGTTAGAAATTTCCTTATTTCTTATTTGTTTTTTCCTCTCTCTGAATCCATTCTGTATCACAACACGGACCTATTAATTGAGACCCACCAAAGATCTTGAAGGCTAGTCCCGTCCAATTTGATCCAATTTAATCCAGTTTGGTCCAGTTTTGGTCGCCTAGACGACACAGACCCTACCATGGAGTGTTCATGATTGGCCCATACTCAACTGCCAACTCATCACATTGAGATACGGTGTATACTAATTTGGCTAGAGGAGAAAATAGATTATAATAGATTATAGAAAGTACTAACCAAAGACCCTTGAGATCCTTTTTCTTTAGACCTGTTCATCCAGCATTTCTATGCATCTGACTTCTGCACCTCGTGCATCTTGACATTATGAGCAAACGAATGGAGGCATGTAACCGCCTGCGAACAGGCATAATTGCTTTTTTAAAATAACCAATTCATCTTATGGAAGTGGAGTCGCTGCTCGTTTCAATGAACATGTCATATTTTCGATATAGTACGCCGTTTGATTTAGCTACTCCCCATATAGGGCTAGCCATCCACGTGGTTCTGATTCTAGGAATGTGTCCCACACATGGTTGGATTCCATCAGATCCAAGATTCCCAGTTTGTTTCCACATTCCAGATCTGATATAATCTTGGAAACTACAAAGAAGAGATTCAATCGAAAATGAATTATATCTACAAAGCTGAACTCCATAATTCCCAAACAATATGCGACGAGATAACTTTTTCAAACACACTTTACGTCATGCGCATTACCCTAATCTTCGTGCTTCCGCTTGAACTTGAGGGCGCCCTTAGGCTGGCTGCCATAGGTGCGGCGTCCTTGTTGCTCTTGCTTCCTGTCGCGGCTCATACTGGCACCCAGCTGAATGTCAATCCGAGGCGGGGCGGAGAAACCAAAGCCCTTGGCAACCTTGACCAAGTCAAGCTTTTGCACGTCGAACACGGAACGGAGGGAGTGCGAGGCATATGCTTGTAGGTACGATCGGTATCCATCCTTCGCGGACTTTAAAGAAGTTAGTAAGAGTAATTATCCCAAGAGGAAAAACACGTACCTTGTTGAGATAGTAGTTCTGGCTAATGAGCTTCTCAAGCTGAGACTGCACGTTAACAATCTTGGAGGCTGGGAACTCGAACTCAACCACCGGCACACGTGCCTCCTTGAGATGCTTCAGGAAGCCAACCTCTGATGGCTGCAGGAACATCAAACTGCGACCCTTTCCATTGGCACCACGGGCAGTACGTCCGACACGGTGGATGTAGTCACGAGGGTCATCAGGAGGGTCAAACTGGATAATCCAGTCAACGGCAGGAATCTAGAACGGAGATTGTTAGAGCGTATTTCAAGTTAAAAAATGGAAGAAAACATACATCAAGTCCTCGGGCAGCAACATCAGTACAGATCAGTGTACCTTGCTTAGCATTGCAGAACTCAAAGAAAGTGTTGGTTCGTTTTTGTTGCTTTTGTTTGCCATGTAGCTCCAGAACGGGGAGATCGATATAGTTCAACAGTTCCGCGTGGTACTTGACACAGTTGCAGCTGGAGAAGAAGACAATAATCTTCTTCTTCAGGTTGCGCTTGAGGAAGGAGAACAGAAGCAAGAACCGCTTGTCCGCCTCACAAATTACGTATCCTTGTTCCAAGCCGGCCACGGTGCTGTGTTCCTTTCGGTGATCGACGTTAATGTACAAGGGTCCAGGGCGCAGCGAAATACGGGCCAAATCCTCGACCTTGGTGGTCTGAGTGGCGGAGAACAGCATCGTTTGGCGTTCTTCGGTGGGCAGAATCTTGACAATCTGGCGCATCTCATCCTCGAAACCGACTTCGAGAATTCGGTCAGCCTCGTCAATGACTAGGGTCTTCAGATTCTTAAAAACGAAGCCTTGTGTGTTTTGGAGGTGATCAAGCAGACGACCAGGGGTAGCAATGAGCAGGTTGACACCCTTGACCAGCTTGTCGGCCTCAGCACGACGGTTGGCACCACCAATCACAATACCGTAGGTCTGGGAGTGGTGTGCCATTAGTTCACGGGCAACACCAAAGATCTGGAGGGCCAGCTCGCGGGTGGGAGAAACAACGAGAACACCAGTACCTAAGCAGGTAGAATCAGCAAGGTATTCTTCATTTTTCAACATTACGAGATAATATAAAACTTACCGTTTCTAGGCTTGAAGCGCAAGGCACTGAGCATCTCAATGGCAGGAATCAAGAAGGACAAGGTCTTGCCGGATCCAGTCTTGGCAGCTCCCAGAACATCACGTCCAGCAAGCAGAGGGGGGATAGTACGCTGTTGAATCTCGGTCATGGTCTCAAAGCCCATATCCTGGATACCCTTCATGGTCTTCTCTGAGAGGTTCAGCTCGGTAAACTTCTGCAGCTCGCCTTCTGTCTGGGGCAAGCGGACTTGATCCATTGTAGGAAGATCGGCAGCTGGGTCATCGGAGTTCTCCTCACTTCCCTCATTCTCTTCCTCCTCGTCATCTTGGTCTTCATCCTCAATATCCTCGACATCCTCGTCATCATCTTCTTCTTCGCTTTCCTCGTCGTCGCTTGGCGAGTGGCTCACTTTGCGCTTCTTGATGGATTTCTTAGTTGGCTTTTCGGGGGCGGACTTGGAGACCTTGGAACCCTTTTTTGAAGTCACATCAGGAGTAGACTTGGCCTGAACGGGCTTCGGAACATCTTCTCCATCGCCAGTGGGCTTGGTGTGCTTTCTCTTGCGCTTCTTGGAAAGGTCCTTCGCGGTGTCCACGGGGCCGGGCATCTTTCTAATTGAAAGCACAATAATGTGCACTAATCAATGTGGAAGAAGCAGGAGATAATTCTGGAATATGTTCTGGTTGAAATCTACCAGAGTGTTTTGATCTCCGAGGATATGTCCTGGGTATCGCAACAAAAAACGGGTCTGCTACTTTTTTTTTCTGGTCGGTGAGAAGAGGCAGAATCTCCACATCACGTGCTGATAGTGATTGGCGCCATACATTTCAGGCATCAATATTTGAAACGGACCACATGGATAGATCGACGATAGCTACGTTAGGTACCGCACCCTCTTACTGTTACTCACCGCTAATATCCACCATAGTATCCGTACTCCGTACATACCAGGCTGAGAGAAATGACTCCAGAGGCCAGACTCGGGAGTTGATCAACCCCCGGGGATCCTGCTCTCGGTTGGAGAACTGCCAAGACCATACGGCCCCCCTGGATTTTAGGCAGGGACATTTAACCATCACTATTTACTAATAGTACACCTTACGAGTCCCCTCCGACTTCGCCAAGTTCTTAGACTTCTGACTTCACTTGCCTAAGTCTCTTGGCAAATCAGATGATCTTTCTCGACCTCGGGAAAACTGATACAATTGCGGAGAGGGTATACCATCAGCCGCTCTGTATGAGACAAGTTCTGCACGAGACACCGCGCGGTTAAGTCACAAGTGATGACTGGATTTTGGAATGGAGAAATCATCCAGAATGTTCAGAGAACGAGATGCGTCGGCGCCACACAACCTACCATTATTTAGCGCCTAGAAAGCCTAATCCAAAAATAGTCTCAAACAACATGGCACCGTGACTTACGCATCGACTTACAGTCTGGCACACATGAGCAGTTTTCTAATTCTCGTGATGTGAATGTATTCCATGTTCGCAACTTGACCAGGAATGTGGACGGTGTATTCAATGTCCTTGTTAGAAAGAGTACACCCGACATGATTGTGAGACTGTAACATTTTTATTACTTGGGGCTGTGCCACGCTAATAAGAAACTAGAACGACGCGATGAGAAGATTTGAACGGTTTCAAATATTTGTACATAGTAGAATCTTAGCAGATAACTTTAAGTAATGATCGACTATTTTGTGCCTGAATTTATTACAGCGGTAAATTATACCCCATCAACCTTCCGAGATTGATATGCAGATCAAAGGATACAGTCAGCGTCTTTATTCGGACCTGAGCCCCTTGTAAGGATCAGGGGGTTTTGAAGTTTTCAGGTACTATTATCTTCAAAAAATTCAGTCCTAATTAGCAGTTACAGTATTTAGCGATGACGGACATTCCTAGAACTCACAGTCATCATTCTAACTGTGGTACATTTGATGAGCTAATATTGTCTCTTTAATAGTGAGACCCACGGTTCCATAGTTCCACTACAAGTACCGCTTCCGGGGCTAGAATGAGGAGAGGTTAAATTGTTGTACACAGTAAGAAAGATGAGACTCATGTTATATACCAAGAAAACTTATTCATCTAGAGCCCTAAAATAGACTAAAATTGACTAGAAATGGAGATGGATATTGATCTCCAGAATGATGTTTGATTTGAATACAGATCCATACACAAATACTCCATATTTATTGGTTATGTTACAGCCGCTGGGCCCTTTTTACAATACAATACCAACATTCCCAGATCCACTTGTCCCTGAGAATAAGGACAGGGCACACCCTTCTTTTTCCAGTCCTTTGAACTGAACCTTCCAAGGGTCACTCATTCTTTCTCCCTTTCCCAATACTTTCCCTATTGGCTTACTGTGTATCGCCATTACCACTCGTTTTCCACCCCACACTCGCCCCTTCGATCATTCCCTCACTTGGGTCCAATCTTTCGTTCAAAACCCGACTTCCACTTTGAACTTCAATTCTAATTCTCAATCTAAGGGCTTCTACTCTGGCAGCTAGATAGCCATCTACTCGTCATCACTTAGGGCTCATATCCCTTCCACTTTCATTTACTCCTTTGCATCGTCGCAAACAACCCCTTGATCATCCCGAGCGATTTGTCGAACCTCCCATGAATTTCTGAGGCCCACTTGCGATCCGTTGACCTCTTGATCTATCACAAAAGAATTTACATCCTGACAGTGTCCGCGACACGGGAAATATCCACCTGGTAACACCAACACCGAACACTCGGCCGTCTGGACACTTCCGCATCCGGCGGTTGGCAACGTGGTACTCTGGAGTGCCGCTCTGACAATCCGCCGTCATACCCCTCAAGATCGATCTTTTCCCTTTTCTCAGACGATCTTCACTTGACCTCTTCTCTCGAAACTCCCGGCATTAACCACAATCATGCGGTTATTGTCAGTTATCGCTTGCGTAGTCGCCTTTGTGGCACCCATGGCGTCTGCCGTTAAGCTACTCGAATCTAATGCGCTCAACCTATGCATGGAGAGTAGCAATTTCACCGCTACCTATTTCAACGTCATTTTTTACCCTGGAAACAATTCGCTGGTTATCGGATTCGATGGTGTTTCATATATCTCCGGCAAAGTCGTCGCCGACATGACACTCACAGCTTACGGTTATGATGCTTATACCCACACCTTGGATCCCTGTGACATTGATGGAATGGGAATGTGTCCCATGGCGCCAGGTCCCATCGATCTACAGGATGTCCCGCTGCAACTTTCTAGTGATACGGCTTCCAATGTTCCCAGTATTGCCTTTACAGTGCCCGATCTTGACGCAAATGTGAAGATTGTCATCAAGACGCGAGACACCAACGAATCCATTGCTTGCGTAGAAGCATCTCTCTCCAACGGCAAGACTGTTTACCAAGATGGAGTCGCATGGGTTACTGCCATCATCTCCGGCTTGGCTCTTGCAGCATCTGCCATTACGTCTGGTCTAGGACACTCCAACACTGCTGCTCACGTTGCCGCCAACGCTCTCTCTCTATTCGGCTTTATGCAGTCTCAAGCGATGATTGGAATGACCGCGGTCCACATGCCCCCGATTGTCGAAGCATGGACGCAGAATTTCCAATGGAGTATGGGAATTATTCACGTTGATTTCTTGCAGACTATTTGCACCTGGTACCAGCGCTCAACTGGTGGTACTCCCTCGACACTACTCTCCTCACTTGATACTACCTCGGTAGAAGTACTAAAGCGCCGCAAGCGTGACCTGATTCAACCTGCCGTCAACATGATGAAGCGATCCGCCGGACTCATCAAACGAGCTAGCTCTAGCCAGACAGTCTCGGTTGTGCGGGGCATTGATCGTGTTGGTTTCAAAGCAGATATCGAAGAGACCAATATCTTCCTGACAGGGCTCATCTTCTTTGCGGTTTTCGTCTGTATTGTCTGTATCATCGTTGCGGCCTTCAAGGGTATTTGCGAGCTGCTTGTCAAGAACGGCAAGATGCAAAACGAGAAATTCCAGGAGTTCCGCAATGGCTGGAAGGTGGTCACCCGGGGTATTCTTTTCCGACTCACTCAGATCGGATTCCCCCAAATGTGCGTTCTATGTCTGTGGGAGTTTACAAAGCGTGATTCGGCGGCCGAGGTTGTCTTGGCTGTGGTGATGTTCCTCTCCATGATCTTCGCAATGGGCTGGGCAGCTCAGAAGGTCATTCGTCTGGCCAAACGCTCCGTCGCCATGCACAAGAACCCTGCCTACATCCTGTATTCCGATCCCTCCGCTTTGAACAAGTGGGGTTTCCTCTATGTTCAATACCGGGCAACGGCATACTACTTTGTCGTTCCCTACATGATCTACGTGCTCATAAAGGGCATGTTCATTGGTCTGAGCCAGTCCTCCCCAGTCGTTCAAACTGTCGCATTGGTGGTTCTCGAGGTGGCCATGTTGATTGGTGTTTGTGTCTTGCGGCCGTGGATGGATAAAAAAACTAATGTCTTCAACATTTCCATTGCGGTCGTCAACTTTCTCAACTCTATCTTCCTGCTGGTCTTCTCAGATGTTTTTAATCCTCCGGGCATGATGATCGGTGTGATGGGAGTTGTGTTCTTCGTTTATAACGCCATATTTGCTCTAGTCCTCTTGATTCTTGTCCTGATCGCTGCGGTTTATGCCGTGGTGTCAAAGAACCCCGATGTACGGTACCAGCCAATGCGCGATGACCGCGGCTCCTTTATCAAGTCGGAAAATCAGATCACCACTGAGTTGGATGCTCTGGGTGCAACCGCCCGTGGTGATGTCAAGACTGGCTACCAACACCAACAAAATCCGTTCGAAGACGATTCCACCTCCATCTCCAGTGCCCAAGGTATCACCGTCAACCACAACATGAATCCGGCTCACACACAAAACATGTCCCAACCCATGTCCCGATCACCAGTCGACAATTCAGTACCACTCTTCCCTAGTGACAACTCGGGTTACCGTGGTCCTCCACCAGGTTACACGCAGGCCAACCGGGCCCCCTCTCCTAACATGCGAAACTACGACAACGCACCAGTTGGAGTCTCTGCCTTGGCGCCAAACTATAGGCAACAAAACAATGCCAGTCCTTGGCAAAGAGGCGCTGGTTACGATCACTAGACAAGGGCTTTCCGGTCTGTCTAGTTTGACAATTCACTAGAGTTTCCTGAGATGAAGACATGTCATTTTATAGCGCGGATCTGCGATGGTCTATGAACCTTATCCATCGTAATTTTTGGTCTTTTTTTTCTTTTCTTGTTATTCTTGAATTCAATCCTGTACTTTTCGCTGCAGGTTTTTCCAGTATATCCCCATTCCCTTTCTGTTCTATTCTCTACCGTCTTACCATGGTAGAATAACTTTACAATACTTCCATCAATCCTTATTATATCTCCAGATGCCTTATTGAGTACCTAGGTACTTGACTGTTTTCTAGAGAATTTCCTTGTCTCAACCTCTGACTTCAACCAAGCGTCCAACCTGCTCTTCTGTACTTGCTACTACCCGATGTCCTGAAGGAGGTCAGTTCTTATATGTTTACTGTGTGTTAGAAGCTAGCCCTGAATTAAGACGAGACAACTGTGGCAACTCAAAAGCTTTGATATTGGTCCAGTATCCTTAATTCTTGAAGTAAGTGGCAAGATGAATACAAGTATTGGCGCGGGCAGAGATGTTGAGGTAATGCAAGACGGTGGTGATAGCCATTTCAATAGCGCATTTCATGTTTTGCTGAGTTACTAGCAGTGTTGGCGCTCGGAAGTTCATTCGTGACACAATCACATTGACGATTGATATCACAAGGATAAGCCAGACGCACCCCGTCAAGAGATAAGACCCTTGCATTTGTTGGCTCCCCAAAGTACTGCGTTCAATTTCCAGTCTTTGCCGGGTGGCCGTCCAAATAGCAATTGCTATTTGATTTTGATTTTTTTTTTTTTTTTTTTTTCGTTCGCTAGGGAATCCTAACCAGGAAAGTGGTACAGAGCTCGCACCAGTCCCTCCTTCGTGAACAGCTGCGGAGATATGACTCACTTGTATCAACATCTCATTGACTCGATCATGTCCCCTTCTGTGAGGGATGCCACTAGAAACTTGTCGGATTGAAGCAACCAGTCCTCTCACTTGCCAATCCATTTCCAACCAGGTGTGTTTCTGTGAAGTGATAATATCCTGGGATGGAACCGGAAATTGAGGTATCAACATCAAGAATTAACTCCATGCTTGAGAAGTGCCTTCAGAGGCTAACAAGCGTTTCAAGCTGCCACTGATTTTACCAAAATGCCTGCACTTGACGGTGTGAATCAGTCTCAAGAGATTGTGTCTCAAAGATATTATCCTCTTCATCTGGCTCTGTATACACTTGAAAGTGGCATCTCATAGTGTTTATCAAAGGAAGAGACACTTTTCCTACGCTTATTCCGTGAGCAAGCCGATGGGGTGAGAATCTGATATGAAGTTTTGGACCTCGATGATTCCGGCCAGATCTTCCTTTTTGCCAGCTCAATCATTGAAGGAATTATGCCGAGTTAGTGAAGATCTTTACGTCCTATATTAGCATTCAAGGATCTCATAACCATGAAGATTAGAAAGACGCCATATGCTGCGTATCTGGCCCAATATTTGTGTGAGTACGTGTCCGACGACGAATTTCGGGTCCCGGGTTCCGGTAATCCCAATTGGGATTCCCACCACGTAAATTGTAGCAACTATATGCTCGGATATATACAAGCTTGATGAGTCTGTAGTTCGTGGGAGATCGACCGTGCCATACTATCGTGTACTTCGCGTTTTTACGGTCTGGATGGTTGAAATCGTCACCGTTGCTGCTGAAATGCCATCCCCTCTTCTCAGTTCATAACCTCCGCGTATACTGCATACTTACCTCAGTGATTGATTAGAGCTTTAGACCCAGGACACGGTGCGATATCAATATTGGTCGTCTCCTTTCTTGACTGATCTCTTTGAACAAATGCGCTTGTTCAGGAGATAGTGATGTTTCGGCTTCTCTTAGGTATTGACCGTTGCGCTGTTATCAGTATAAATGACCGTCGGCATATCAGGCGGTGCCACTAGGATCATGTGTCTTGTTTTCTGTTTAAATACAAATGTTAGATAGTCAGGTCGAGAAGGAGGAAATTTAAAGAGAAAAGGAACGGAAAATCAAGTGTAATCATAAAAGCATTGGCTGCTACTTTGATGAGAGCTCAAGAAAGAGCTCAAGACGACCGTGATCATAACAGTAAAGAGGTATCCAACGGGGATGGAAAATTCAAGATCCATCACGAGATATTAAAAAAAATACAAAAGAACGCCGTTTTTCGCAAACTACCACTGTCGCTCCTGCTCAAACGAATGCCCACGAGCACCGGGATATCCATCTGCTCCACGAGGTCCGGTGGGGATGGACGAGTTCTGGGGTCCAGGGGGACCACGCATGGCAGGAGGGAACGCACTCATACCAGGAGGAGCCACACCAGGAGGAGCGCCCACACCGGGAGGAGCGCCCATACCTGGAGGAGCGCCCATGCCAGGGGGGCACCCATGCCAGGAGGAGCCATGCCAGGCGGGGCCGAGAAGTTAGGAGGGAATGCGCCTCCAGGAGGCGGGGGCAGGTTGCCCATGCCGGGAGGCAGACTGAAGTTAGGAGGAAAGCTACCTGGCGCGCCAGGGAAGGGAGGGGGTAAAGGCATTCCAGCAGCTCCGGGAGCTAACAAGATGGGAGATATGTTAGCTTAAATATAAATATCGCGTTGAGATTTCGGATTTGACATACGAGGCATCATTGGGGCACCGGGGGCTCCAGGAGGAGGAATACCGAAGGGAGGAGCCAGTTGGCCGGGGTGAGCGCCTAGATTATCAGTGTTGGTGAAAGTTTCTTCCTCATTGACGGGGGGTCCTGACCAGGAAAGGCGAACGGAGGCAGGTAACCACCTGGGACGACCATATGTGGGTTCGGCACGGCCTGGCCCTCAGCGGCATACGAGGCAGTAATTGAGTCAATCACTGCCTGGGCCTTCTCTTGGCTGATCTCTGTAGACAATTATTAGCTGTGATTTCTTTCCGAACAAAAGATGGTGGGCGTACGCTGGTAGTAGTCGACAACATTGCGCAAGTGGTTGCGGCCGGAGTTGTGTGCCTTGCGCACGCTCATAGAGTCGTGTGTGAGGTAGACATCGCAGTAATCGCCTGTTATTTTCATAAAAGATCAGCTGGTTGTCCACTTTGGAATAATTATCGCGACGGCAAGTAATTTAGGTTTCAAGTTGCGCTTTTTACGCTGGGAGGGTAGCGTAGGAAGAATCTGGAATGATAAACCTACAGAAGAGTGCATAGAAGGTCAGCATAAACGTCATGAGAATTGTCATCCAGAAAGCACTTATATTTCGGCATCTTGAGATGCGGACTTGATGTCGCGCAAAGAAAGCAAAAGTCCCGTGTCGGGGAGGTAATTGACTCAGGTGTCGTGGATTAAAGAAATGATTGAATTTGATTGACAGCGGTCACAGATTTCAGAAGAAAATCTGGGATCAAGAAGTTGTTGATCTGGAAAGGTTGAGGTGCAACGTCGTAAGGCTGTTAGCATGGGTCTTCAAGGCGGTGTCACATGGCAGAATCCGAGGCTTATCGTAATCAGCTATCTTACAGTTTCACTTCTATTTGCTTCGGCAGATATTGATGCTAGCCTATTTTGTGCTATTTAATCAAGTCCTTGGGCATTAACATTCCGGCAATTTATACAAATTCGCTCAGAATTCTTCTTATGCATCAAATCCATTACGAATCGTCTTCAGATAACTAGATCGTGACAATTGCCAAGCGCCCAGTGAGAAACAGGAATAGTCTTTTGGCTCAAGTGGTAGTACAGCAATTTCAAAAACTTTCAGATACACGAAACTTAATTCAGACGTTCCTGATCTCCAAGCCAAGCCCGTATCTTTCCAAGACCAAAAACATCATGTTGCGCCTCAGATGTACCATAGTCTTCTATAGCTCCTTCAATCCACCCCTCAGATCCGCGGGCAAATTGTAAATTCGTGCCAAACTTCTGACATTCCTCAAAATCAATCAATCAGAATCGGCTTGCCGATCTCACTAACCAGGATATTGGATGGCTTGATGTCATTATGCGCCCAGCCCAGCCCATGTAGATGACTGATAACAGACTCAAGTGCTGTCTTGAAAGCGACCTTGCCGACCATCCCATGGTTTTTTATATATACTTCCAGGCCATTGGGGTGTCTGTCAAGTAATAGACCGGTATTATATCCGCGTACTACTCGATAACTGTGATAGCGGATCATGTTTGGATGCGGGTGCTGGGATAGTTCTTCTAGCACTCGCGCCTCTGCGATGAGGGAATTGAATAGCTGTTTTCAACCCCCAGATTCTTTACCATAAGAAAATATTCCATCGTGGGACGCTTCACGTAGAATCTTTCAGATAGTGCTTCTGGTGCTTTACTCAGGTCCACTGCTTCTGGGTCATGGAGGGAATATTTCCTCGTCTGGAATAGGGTTGAGAGCAGCCGTCAGCTGTTTGAGCGAGATCTCTGCCTTGGGTACACTCAGTTTGCCGTAATAGTAGTTGTCATCCTGGACCAGGCCAAATGATGAGGATTTGATCGCGCTAGAGTCTGGGTCAACATCCTCAGACAATAAGCCCAGGTCATTCCAACTGGTGACTCGCGGTATCATCATGAGTGGACAAGTCACGAGCTGGGAGGGTTTTTGATATGGATACTATGGTCAGCGATGTCGTTGGTAGAATTGAATCGCGTAGGTCAGTGTTCGAGTATACGGAAAGCATTAGAATATGATGTATCACAAGCCTTGCTGTGACTAGTAGCATCCCTGCATGTATTTAACACAGCAATTAAGTTAACCTCAATATTCAGATGTGATCGAAGGACGCAAAAAGCCGACAAAATGGCGTTTCTTCCAAAAATCCTTCAATAAATATGGAGATTATTGGAAATGAGGGGTGTGAGAGTGTGTTTTTTTTTTTTTTTTAGAAAAGTAAAGATAAAAATAAGCAACAATTCCTACCAGGACTATTTCAGAAAGTCCTAGGAGATAGAAAGCTGTCATTACTATTTTTAAATAAGTGGTCCAGCCAAGTGTCGATCTCCCGACCTCTGGTATGTATTATTTTAAGTTCCCAAATGCAAGTGAATGATAACCATGCCCTGGCGGAAAATGACGGCAGAAAGAAAAATGATCTGGGACTTTGGATCGGGTACTTTCACCACTACATTCTCATGAGCCATAATTTCTTAGGGCAGCTGATAGTAGTTATCAGTTTAAGCTGTATAATTGGTGAAACAAGTATAAAGCCTGAAGGTGTTGGAAAATGATGCCAAGATTTTGAGGCTCAGCGGATACCCTATATAAAGGCGGTGGAAACTGAACTCCGTCCACTTCAAATTCTGCCACTTTGCATTATGAGAAATATATCCACTTCTCGAGGCTAATAGCACCTTCATATAATATTCAAATCGTTTCTGTGCTACGATCTAGCATACTGTAACGTGATGAGGTAATTCGTACGACTTTAATTGAACTGAATATAAGTTGATCTTGAAAATCGTGTTTTTATCTACTTTTGAGGTTCATATCCATGGATATATCTTGCACTACCTCACTTATGAGAACCTACTATCTACCTAGGTAAGAATCTTGCACAATTTTGTATTTGTTGAAAAAACTTGGGAGTATATGATATCTATCTAGATACTAAAAAATTTGAGAGCATCTGAAGTTGCGGGGTAGTAGTTATCCATCTCATACCCAGATGACTCCTGAGGTGAAAAGCCACAATATCGATAAGTACCTAGATGCATAGGTAGCGAGGATGCAATCGCAGAATGTCATATCAAAACAAGAAGCGTTCTACACCTAGGTAACATTGAATTTCCGAGGTCCACGTATACTCAAATGCTCAGACCGGCGGACTGAGCACAATTATACTAATTAACCATCCACTGAAAGTATGAGACCCGCATGAAAGCAAACAGTCCGTAGTGACCTCGTGCCAAATTGATAGACCCTTTGCCTAATCCTGGAAGGAATGGATCCTTATGCATTTCCTGCAGGCTGGGCGCAAAGCCTTGAGCTATATCGAATAACCGAGGGTATTACGTGCTTTTTTGCAAGGTTGCCATTGCGTCATTGCTGGTATATACCGCATACACCATATAGGTACCTTTTATGATTTTAGTTGATTAGGTATCAACCTTGGAAGAATTGGAGGACCATATCTCATACTACTAGTAGATGAGCAAAGTCGTTACAAAGGATTCTCAAAATTGGATATCTACGTCATCTTGGCTCCTACAAAGTTTCAGGTATGCACTGTAAATTAGATCTGATGATGGTCATGTGTCTATCCACGTACGGATGTAGAAGGAGAATTAAGTTGGTTCCTGAGAATCTTAGATGCACGGACGAGGTTTCAAGGAATTCCCCGCATGTTCAGAAACGAGGGAAATTGGAGATGACAAAGTTAAGAATTCTAGAAGCATATGTTAACCGACCCCTTTCATAAATTAACTTAACGCGGGTCCGTAATAAATTGTAATTTATGAAAGGGGCCGGTTAGTTGTTCGGATATTCCTCTTCTCAGCCTAGTCCTTGGATAGTACTAAGAATAACTGTCCCCAAGGCTGAAGAGTCTCATGGGGTGGAAGCGAATACATCGGTAGCCAAGTACGGTATATGAAGAACTCCACGCTCGGGCCGTATAGTCAGGGGTGGTATGACCTTGTTAGACTTGGTAGTCCGTACTTAATGGATGAAATATGCGAACAAAAGCAGTCTGGGGAAGAAAATCCGGGGAAAGGGCCCGAGAGCGGATATTGATTCGCCAAAAGTACCGAGGGAACTCGGATCTCTCGGCCACTCACGACCACATGAGCTGAAGGGTTTTCATTTTTTCATTTTTCATTTTTATTTTTATTTTTATTTTCATTTTTTATATCCACAATTCCGTCATTCATACCTTAATCTGGGGAAGGCCTAATTAGGGCCTGACTATTACGCTACAATTGTTTCTGGTAGATTCCCTCAAAATTAGAACACGCGGACTCCACGTATGATAAAATTGGACCAGACCGAAGTCTGAGTTAGGAGTTATGAGTAAAGGAGAAGTAAGAAGAAGGCCACAGGGGCACCTTGGAGCACTGAGTTACAAGTACGGAGACCATGTGGGTTAATTGCGTGGTTGTGAGTTTCTGGAGGATCTCCCTAGACCTGATCGACTGTGAATAGTGGGGAATGAATCCACTCTCGCAATTAGTCAATAATAGGAATAAGGGGTCTTAGACTATTTCTCAGCATCGTGAGGAATATTCTATAATGATTAGTGACAGAATTAGCGTCAGCTGGGGCCAGAATAGGCGTGTTTGAAATCGAACAAAGACTACTAAGTAGATAATTATCAAAGGGAAACGAAGAATGATGCAATGACGTCGGGATCCAAGGGGATCCAAGGGGCTATGGCGAGATTTGGCACGAGGTCTGAGGTCTGGCCTCCAGGCCATGGCATAAGGGCAATGCGGTGAGAATCGAGTATTGGAAATGGATTCCATTACCCCCAGAAAACGATTCCACTTCTTAATTCGTTGAAGGAACAGTTTCTGTTACTAAATAGTGGAGTTATAGTCCGAGTCAAATGACTAAAGTATGGAGTTGATCGAACTAAAGCAGCGAGTGGAGAATCAGAGATGGGATCCAGTTATATCCATGTACTGGGACACAAGGACGTTAGTGCAGCATTCAGACTGATGAGTCAGATCTGAACTATACCTTTTATAGTAGTAGTTCCTGCTGCTTTCACTAAATGACGCTATTCTAAAACAAGGACAAAAATGAGTAAGAAAGAAAAAAAGAATAAAATAGAATAAAAATAATTAAAAGAAATTTTTAGATCCACTTGTCGTGATCCACGGATGTCGTGCCTGGCTTGCAAATGACTCTATATCCATAACAATCACTATAAATCTCTTCTCCCCACCTGCCCTCAACTCCATATCATTTTCAATTTCTTGACTCTACCTATAAAAGTCTTCCACTCCCACACTCTTCAGGTCTTGACCTTCTAGCCTCCGTGCTACAAAATATCAACTTAATATCACCATACCATCATCTCTATACTTCACAATGCCTTCAAATTACCGCGTCGTGGAGCCTCACCCTTCGGTGCCTACCTCCAACCGTCCAGCAGTCTTCACCGGCATTGGTGGAGCAGGTAACATCATCTCTCTGAAGAGCATGAAGGTCACAGACTCCCGAAGTGCCACTGGTCCAGCCTCTTTGACCCGTCTTGACTCTCGTGTTCCAGCTGCCTTCACCTCAGGTCGTGGTGGAATTGGCAATGCCCACACAAGCTCAGAGAGAGCCATTTTCAGCTTTGATGAGGAACTCCAGCGTGATCTCCGTCGTGCTGGCCCAGTCTACCACGTTGGCCGTGGCGGTGCTGGCAATATGGTCCACTCTTCGCGAAACGATTCTTCCAGCATCTACGGTCTCAGCCGCAAGCACTCTTCCAGCAGCACAGCCTCAAATAGCAGCACCAACTCTGTTGCTGAACGGGCTCGTGACCTCGCTCGTCGCGGTCTAGACAAGTTCAAGATCACTGCTTAAAGTGTACAGTCTTGATCGGAACAGTCCCTCATGAAATCACGACCACCTTAACGACAACCAAAAAAAGTTTTTGCTTTCACTTTTATATCCCCATACCTTTAATTGAAGGGGTTCAAACTACCATCTTGATTCTTCAACCAACATTAAACTATTAATCTGCTCTATATCTTTTGTCTACGACTCTGGGTTTCTTATTCTTATTCTTGCATATGCATACATCAAGATAACTCTCCACTCTATTTCAACCACATGAATGGGTGTTTCTTTGTTTGCGTTCCGCCATGAATGGTAGCCAAGATTTGCATCCAGACGGATTTGCAGCTTTCATTTGTTTCCTTTGACTTTCTTGTTATGGACTTTATATCTGTTTTCTTTGTTTCTCTTCTTTCCATTACCACTATTCACACCTGGTCGTGTTCTACCCCTAGTACTTAGTATCTTTTGCAACTTCATATTCCCCACATAGCGCGCTGGCTACTACTTCCTAGCCATGAGGCTCCACTCAATAATACACGCCACTGTGGCATTTTTGAATGACTCAAATTTTTCCTTCTATAAATAAAGTACTAGTCATTTTTTTGAAGTCATTTCTTGTGCAGAATTTTAGTAGTGGAGTCGATGAAATGTTGGCTTTCTTAGTGTGCCCAGTTCCAGGTTATGGCCTCCGCGAATATGCGACCTCAACCGGTTTGGGGTTTCCACAGTGAAGTTTCATGTTTTGTTTAAAATTTAAAATTTAAAATTTAAAATTCTTACAAAATCAATAAAAATCGACAAAAGATCTAATTAAATTCATTTGTATATTTCTAATATCAACTTCTAGGCTGCTTTCTGGTTCAATTATCTCATAGGGCTGGTCGGATCCATTATTATTGGATTTGGGCCGCGATCCGCAGCTTGCAGGTCGTACAGATACTAGCACGCAAGATAGAACAATAAACTGCCTACTCGCGCAATCGATGCCATCAATAACAACATAACGACATGCTAAGTAGATCTATACCGGCTTAGCTTCTCGGTCTCTCGATTATCGGTACTGACTGTTACGTCAAGGTTGTTGTAGATGTACACATGGTCTAGGAATCGAAGTATAAGAACCTAGAGTTGAATCTATTATTGTAGTCCATGGATTGCATGTTGAACTCTTGAGGATATAAGGGCAATATAAAGATGTAACAAACGACACCCGTCTAGCGTTTTGCGTGGTCATGTCGCCATCGTATTAGAAAATGGTCAACCATGCTGTAATGGGTTATCATGGAGCAGGGCGTGTGGAGATTCCAGTAGCGAAAAGAGGATAGAATTGAGATGTCGGCTTTCTAAAATCTAATAGATGTAACCGAGAGCATACTATTCACAAATTATACTCCCTGAACATACTTAACTCCATTAAACAAGAAAGACATTGCATTTGCACATATGGAGACAAGCCAAGGCTCGCGGAAGTAGTTATCGATCAGGATAAATGGGAGAAATGGGTATCAAAAGTCACAGACGACTCGAAGGTTAGTTCGTGATCATAGATCACCTTTGTGCAGGGGTCATACACGGTTGCCCTCTGTCAGTAAGGGTTAGGGGGATGGGTTCGAGGTAGCCTTGCAATGAAGGCATTTTGTGGTAGAGCAAACGTTGTAGAGGCCTCAAAGTCTAAGCGAAGCGCTTGAAGATAATCTCGGGGTCCTCGTGCCATTCTTCCGCGCTTACCCACATCTGTTGAAGATTAGTCAAAATATATAAGTATAGTTGCACGAAGATCACATACCTTTCTGAATGTGCTAAGACCTGCAAGAATACTGCCTCCAATCCATGTGGTATACTTGCGCTCTGCAGGTGCGGAGATGCGGATCTTCATATCCTCAACTGCGAGTCGCTTGATTTCACGCATCAGACGATCTGGGAAGCCCTTGCACAGAGTTGATCCACCAGAGAGCACGATATTAAGGTAGAGGGACTTGCGAAGGTCCAGATCCGTGCGGGTAATTGCGTCCTGGACGATCTGGTGAACTCCGGGATATTCAAGACCGATAAGTTCGGGGTCGAACAGAATCTCGGCGGCGCGGTAGCGTTCTTGGCCAATCTGTAAATAAGAGTCAGCAATGCAAGAAACAAGTTATCCAAATTACGTCTCTTACTTTGATCTTGTGGCCGTCTGGCAGAACATAGTCAACTGCCTTGGCATCTGACTTGTGGTAGTTGTTCATCCAGTCCTTCTCCTCGCGCTTCGGATCCAGCGACACGTAGCAGACCTTCTCCTTAATCATCCGCACCACCTCCTTCTCAGCACTGGTGTGAAGCACATGGCCCGCTTTTCGAAGAAGTAGTTGCAGCTGCTCTGTAACATCGCGACCAGCGACATCGATTCTCCGAATACTGTTGGGGATAGCGAAGCCCTCGAAAACAGGCACGGCATGAGACACGCCGTCTCCGGAGTCCAGAACCACACCAGTAGTGCGCCCAGACGCGTAAAGAGACAGAACGGCCTGGATGGACATGTACAGCGCTGGAACGTTGAATGCCTCGAACATAAGCTGAGCGGTGATATCACGGTTGGCGCGTGGGTTCAGCGGCGGTTCAGTGAGCAGCACGGGGTGTTCTTCCGGGAGGGTCTTGAGTTCGTTTTCGTAAACGTAGTGCCAGATAGACTCCATATCCTCCCAATTTGTAACAATTCCATGCTCGAGCGGATACCGGATCTTCAACAGACCGCGGAGTTCCTGTGCGCGCTGTCCGATGAACGAATCGCCCTCCAGACCGCCGGCCATGACTCGGGGGTGTTTGGGACGACCGACGAACGAGGGGAAATAGCAGGATGGGATCTCCTCGCCAGCGAATCCGGCTCGGATGGTACCACTGCCATTGTCAATGACAATTGGTACGTTGTGGAGGGTAGCCTCAGCCATTGTGGGGGATTGGGTGTGAACGGGGGATGGAGAGTTCGAGTTCGAGGCGGTATTTTGAGACGGCCCTACGGCCTAGGATCGGCGACTCGGAGAATCAGGCAGCGATGTTCGAGGCAAGAGAGCATGTACAATCTCAATGGTTGATAACTGTTCACCTCTTCAATGTGATAGGGGTGGATTTGATCGCGTCGGGAGTTGTCAGAAGCTTGGGCCAATAATAGACTGCAAATAACGGCCCATCCACAAGATACGGAGTTTACCCGTCTACTTTGCCTAATGGAATATTCGATGGAAATGAAATTTATGTTATTTTAATTCTTTATGAAAGTTGATTTCAAAGTTGATTTATTACAGTCGGCTTCTTTGTTTTGGAATCTTAATATCGAGGACGGAGTACCGAGCCTCGTAAGTTGAAGAGTAGCAAAACCATTTTTAAGGGATACGAGATGATTCATGGATTGATCTAGATCATCTCAGCAGACTGGTCCTAAAGACCAGAGCCAGTAATAACACTGGGCTATATGATACAAAACAAGAGATGAAAGTGCCTTCAAGTGCCTTTCAATTAACGCCGTTAAAACACCCAACCTGGTATTCCCCAACCGATTGCGCCAAAAATTTGCGATTGATACTGCGCCCATAAACCTTGGACACACAAACATGCTAGACTGGTCACGTGAGACTGCCTAGTCAACAACCAGGAACCGCTCACGCATGAGAGCGTCTGCCTCTGCAGAGGGCTGATAGTAACCCTCGGCATCCTCGAAGTCGGTGGGATCTTGATCACAAAACTTGTCCCAGTGGTACATGAGATTATGAATATCACTATTAAGATGAATCAGATCAGCACACTCCTAAAAATTCAGGTAATAGCTTACTCAATATTAACTGGGCAAGCATATCCAATACGATACAACATCATGGCGAGTTCCTCTTGATGATTATCGGCCAGGTTGTTGTTGGGAACAATAATCATGTTCAGCCCAAAGTGAAGGGCGTCAAGAATGGTGCCAGTACCTAGAACTAAGAGTGTTGGCCCCAGAAAATTCAATGTTTAGCATACCTCCTACCTGCATGGCTGATGACAATTCCCAACTTGCGATGCTGCTCATCGTCTGCAGTAACAAGTTCCATGTATGGAGCTAGGCTAGGCTTGAAGTCAAATCCACCAAGGGCAAGACCATGAAGGGTCTCACTATCCGTAGGATTGTCGTTGAGGAATTGCTCCCAGAGACTCTCACCATCATGTCCATACTGGACAATGAGGTGGGTGAAATCTGAAAGGACAAGCTGGCGGAAGAAAGGCTCACTAAGAACATAGCGCAGGAGAGGCTTAAATGATGCACTAGCACCAACAGTCACAAAGCATGTTCTGGTCGATGTACTTTTGGTTTTGCGATGCATATCGGCGATCATATTCAGGTCTGTAACGACTTCTTCATTGGTCATATGATCCTTGCTGTTGATGAACTTTTGCATGGTGTTGGTTCCAAATGATTTGGTGACTTGATCCTCATCCATGTTGACTGCCATTGAGTTTGTAGAGAGCTGAATATAGAGGGAAGATGAAGAGTGGATGTTTATCTGCACCCCGCAGACCCCAATCCACCACGACGTACTATTATTGCCACACCATATTAGCACCCTATTACCACACACCTGTCATCACGTGACTAACTTATTCTGGCTTAGCGTAAATCGGACTTGAAGGTGGAAAACATCGAAGGATAGGATACCCGACATCCATACCCTGCTTGCTCACAACAATGGCTAGTGTCACAAGATCATTGGCCTCCTCTACCAGACTCCTGGTTCGAAGGGGCCCAGGTTCTTTATCTGGACGATGCTTCACTACAACCTCGTTCCGATCTGTGTCTGAAGATCCGGTCATTCCTCCTCCGCCGAAAGAACTCAAAGCTGAAGATTTCCCACCAATGCCCGAGTATTCACCAGATATCCTCAGCAAAGAGGCGCGCTCTATGTATGATATGCTGTCTCCCGAGGAGCGAACAGCTTTCAATGCTGAGAACAACCGCATTGTGGCCGAATTTAACGACATTGAGAAGCGTAAGGCTGCTTTCGCAGAGCTTGAGAAGAGCGTCAATCAGATTGACAAGGCTGAGGATCTGCGATTTGAGGATATTCGTGTGAAGTCGCGAGGATTCTGGGCTGAGGACGAGGACGATGAATTGGCCCAGGTGGAGGACGGTGATGAAGAGATCAACGATGATGAAATTACCTCCATGGCTTATGCTGAGATGGAGCTGCACCGGGAGATGCGAGAGTATGCCCGAATTGCAGCATGGGATATGCCAATGCTGAGCAGTACGTCTGATCATTGTCTTAAGTTATATTCAATTACTGACTCATTCTCCCTTCAGAGCTGGCCCAACCTTTTACCCTTCCTGCCGAAACCCAAATTCTCCGTTTCCGCTACACTACCTACCTGGGTGAACAGCATCCTGCCGAGCCCAAGGTCGTTGTAGAGCTTGCCTCCAAGGATTTGACCCCCAAGCATCTTACCGAGGCTCAGCGCCTGACTTTCCTGAAGCTCGTTGGTACTCGTTACAACCCACAAACTGATGTGGTTCGCATGTCCTGTGAACAGTTCGGATCGCGAGCACAGAACAAGCGATATCTTGCCGATATTGTCAACTCACTGATCAAAGAGGCTAAGGAAGGTGACTCCTACGCTGATATCCCTCTTGATCTCCGCCACCACAAGCCCAAGTCTCGTCCCAGATTCCCAGAGTCTTGGGTAATGACTGATGCGCGCAAGAAGCAATTGGATGCTCGACGGAAAGAGCGGTACCTGGCCGAAGAGGAACGACAGACTATCGTTAATGGTAACAACGTTGTTGGACATGCCATTGCATCTCTTCCTGAGTTCAACCCAGAGCTGAAGGCTCAGGCTACATTAGAGCGGGAGCGCGTTGCTGTAAAGGTTGGTGCCCGGGTTAAGAAGCAGCCACTTCGTCGGTGAGGGTAATGCGTATGCACTGCATGATCTCTCTCATTGGTTTGTGTAAGACGTGGACATTTGTGAGGCGCGGGCGCACATTCCTGGATGTCTTATCGACTCCATTTCTTCTCTATGTACTATAAATAGCATTGTATTCAAATTGTTGGTGTCGCGCTGCCATTTGGTTGACGAGTAGACGGAGGATTCCAATAATATTCAAGGCGCTGAGTGTGATGGCAAGATCTATTCCAAGGTTGCTTACATAGGTATGAATTTGCAGCTCTTCTAGAGCAATTCAACATAAGAGAAACCTTGAAATAGAAGCGGATGTTAAGTTTATAGAGGAATTTTTCGACCTTACTAAGGAATATATGCTTCGGATGAGTGATCTCAAACCGAAGTCATAGTCATAATGTAGGGAAAGTGCTAGCATCCTCATTACTTGGACCAATATACTGCCAATCTTGGAAGGTTAGTAGCCCCAACAAATATTAAGAATGATACTACGCCTTGATATCACATGACAAGCGTACTAGATCGCTTACCTAACAACATGCTCAACTCCAATTTATTATCGCGACGCGTCAAGGAACAGAAAACAACAATCTTCTAAATTTAACTTGAAGTGGAATGTCAGCCAGAACACTTGCCTCTGAGGTTTGTCGATAATACCCCGGCCAAGCTCCAACTCCAAGACAAGAGTTGTCGGCTCTCCTGACTTCCATGATTACTGAAATTAACGTACCTATTGGATGTCCTAACAAGATTCATCAACTGCTCCACTGCTTTAGATACTGGATAAGGTCGAGATATCGAGAATGTTCTCTCCAATCTCATCCATTGCGGCTGTCCATGTCGTTCTTGACACCACGGTGAAGTAGATGATGAATCTTGTTGCGATGTCCAATAGGCCCACTTGTATCGGCAATCATGGGAGCCAGAAGGACCGACAGCTCTTGCGCAGCCTCGAGCTGGGGACTGGTTGAGATATTATCAACGACCCAAATCATAAATGCAATTTACTTCAACTTTGCAATATGACCTCCAATTACACGAAATGCTTACAAATTTCTAGAAAAAGGCTTTAACAATCAGTATAGTAGCTAACACCATGAGAAGTCCATAGAATAATTCCTTTACTCATAGTGAGAAATTCAAATGAAGGCAAGAAAGCGATCACCGTGAAAGGACAGAATTTCACCATCAAGAATTGAGACTTTCTGATCGACTTGGTCCTAGTGGCATACTTGATACAGTGCTTGTCCACCATATCCTCCAGCCATCGTTAATATTCTGCCTACATAAACCGGGAGTGCCACTTAGGTTACTTCAACTAACAAGCTCTTTTTCATCCCTAGGCCTCGGGAGACCGCTATAAAGCCATTACAGACTGATGGCGACAATTGGGTGCTAATAGACCCGACTCCACACGCCGCGACTCGTTCGGCCCACTTTGAGGTTGCGCCCAGGCTGCGGGTTCTAGGCGACTGGTATGGCAGCCCATGCCGTCCAGAACGAGCTAGGTGTCGGATGGTGCGGCATCTCTGGTAAAATAAAAGGGGTAGTGCGTCGGGCTGAATGCCAATGCATAGTGGTCGGCGGAGGCGAGAAGAAAAAAAGAAAGGGGGTGCAAGATAGAGGGGATGGAGAAAGAAAAGAGGGTGAGATTGGGTCTTTAAGTCGGGAGCATTGAGCGGAGGTTACGTGACGACGTATTGAGACGCTGAATCCAAAAAGGCAAAACTAACCGGATACTGTAATTCACAGGTCCGCCGCTTACATAGATAATCAAATTGATTGGAATTTGGAAAATAGGTGATACCATTTGCTACTAAAAGTTGTACTAAAGCCAAACAAAACGCATTCGATCGAATCTCTGACAGGAGCTAAGATGAGTCGATTAAATGTAAGACCAAAAGGTACAGTTCAAAGGTTCGAGCGTCTGGAGGCGCCGGCTTCAAGAGCAAGGCACACGTAAAGTGCTTCAAGAACCAAAATGAACGGCAAAAAACAAGTACCCAAAGGCAACATAAGAGTCTGCAGAAACAACAACAAAATAGTCAATGACTTCAAACTCGTCTGAATTTGAAAGAAAACCAGACGAGCTCCAAGCGTAATCGAAGGAAAAGCAAAAAAGTAAAAAAGGCAGGGTATAATAGTACAATGATTCAAGATGAAGGTCAAAGTGAAAAGTATCGAATAAGTCGTGGACGCTACAGACCAATATCGGGAATCAAATTAGGAGATCGTAGCGTATCAAAAATAATTAGACGCCTCATTCGTATTCAGAGGCAATTGAATGATTTGCGGCGGTCAATAACTGATCACTTTACTTGCAGCAATGACAAGTCAGGTGGTCATCAATGGGGCCGTTTACAACCTCCGAGTGGTAGAGATCGAAGTATTGATACTCAGAAGTAGCCTTGATTTCGGCCTCGTACTTGAGAATCTCGTCATCGCCTCCAACTGGCCCAAAATTAAGAAGGAAGTCACGAGAAGTAAGGCCCTCATCTGGGAGGTAGCGGTACTGGTGACCGACACCAATGCTCTGGACACGTTCACTCTCAATGTCCTTTCCAAAAGTGGAAACACGCTTCCAGCCATCTCGGGTCAACAGACGGAGAGCGTTGGAGTAAGCGACGGTGTTGTTGGGAACGCCCTTGCCCTTCGAGCGTGGAGGAGAGTACGAGCCATCGTAACTCTTGAATGATCCATTAGCATCCCAAAAGCGGGAGTTGCTAGAGCGTGTCGAACGACCAGAGTCAGAGTTACCGCTAACGGGTGGAGTGCCGAGTTGGCGGTTGATAGTGTCACAGCGGCTGCTGTCAGCATGTTGGACCTGGGGAGGGCCAAACCCCCAGACGTTGCGGGATACGCTTTGAGCGCTCAGATTCTCACGGGAGGAGGGACCCTGTGATGTGGTCTGTGACGCGGTCTGAGAACCGGTCTGAGTCTGAGAGTCGGCGTGAGAGCCAGTCTGGGAGCCGGTATGAGAATCGGCCAAACTCTCACAGGACGAGCGAGAAGAAGGGATAAATGGTGCACTCGAGGCAGCAAGAATACTACCATTGCTGGAGGTAGAGCGACGAACAACATTGTGGGCATTGCCGAATGAGGTGTTGATGGCCAATGAGCCACTGTCCGAGCTAGTCGACTTGCTGCCGCGAGACTTGCTGGCACCAGCTCTCCAGATGTTGTAGCGACTGTTGTTGCCGTAGCGAGAATCAGTAGCACGCTGAGTCACGGCGGACGAGTAAGGTACCACTGCGTTGGGAATAGGAGTATATGGGGCGATGAGATTGGTGGTCGAAGTAGGATAAGGGTCAGTGATAGTGGGAACCAAGGCGGAGTTGAGCGCCTTTTCCTCACGCAGCTCACGCTGCACATCAGCCAGCATACTCAGTGCATACTCAGGTCCGCGGTCGCTGTTAAGACTAGGCAAGCCGTGCAGATCACGATACCAGCGAGGAATTTCACGAAGACCTAAGGTGTTCATTTGTTCCATTGTCTCGGGCATCTCGTGCTTAAAAACACAGCCTTTGGAATTTATTAGTTAGTAAAGACAATAGATGAGAAAGTCTCGATATTGTTAAGCTTACCTTGCTGGTGGTAATCGCATTCGCCATGGCGCATCCAATAGCTGCAATACTCCTTTTGAGATCGCTGTGATAATTGTGTTAGGTTCTCTTTGGATTGCCGCTTTCAAATGCCCGAAAAGAAAGCTGGAGAGCTTGTTAGCCTACCTGGGTGCGTCCAGCACGGGGTTGGTCAGGACGGTGAACATTGGGCATGATAGAAACAGCGAAATTGCGAGAGGTAGCGAGGTTGGACACAGCAACTTTGGTGCAAGGAGCAACAATGCTGGAAACGTTGACACCATGATGCAGCAGCTGCTGAATCTTGCTGCGATATCCTATAGGGACACTGGTGTCTGCGATCATGGACACCAGCAAAGCAGCTAGCTCTTGCTCAAGCTCAGGTTGAAAGTTAGTAGTATCAATAGCCCAAGTCTCAGAGCGACGAGGGGCCACACCACAACTAACCATTCCCTGAGTGTCACTGGCAGATAGGACCTCTTGAATGTCTTGAATCTTGATAGTACGAGGGAGTTCATCAACAGCGACGAGAGGAATCTTTTCGCCTGAAGGGCGCTCCACAAAATGAGAAGGACGCATTTTAATGGAAATAACAGACTTAAGACTGTTACAAACACAAAGTTTGGGGAGTTCAAAAAGAATTGAAGAGTTGATAACGTTTGTGAACAAGCAGCAAGTAGAAGCTTTAAAGAAATCCAAAGGTGGTGAAGGTTAAGAGTGGGAGGGGTGAGAAAGAAAGAAGAAAACGAAGAAGAGGGGAAAGTAAACGCGTGGGTAAGTAAAAAGTGGGAGGGAAGTGGAAGTGTCCCATTTGAGACTGGAAACTAGAAGTAAATAGATACATCAGTACAGATATCTGGAAGTATACTTGCCTGTTTTTGATCTAAAGTCTTCCAAAAGCTTGCCACTTCTTTGATATATCATTATTTTATATTCAGAATAGAGTATATCACATCTGGAGAGAGTAATTCCATAAAAAGATCGAAATGAATCTCAATATGAATCTCGATTGACGAGTGGCAAAAATCGAACTGCCCCCCAATCACGCACTTGTAGCTAAACATAATAAAACTCTGGTAAACAAGAGCCCAACAGCTAAGTTACCACAGATTAAATTAAGTTCAAGAAGGTAATATCTACATATCATGATTCCACTGGCATCTATTTTAAGATGATGTTCAATAGAGCGAGTCTTGCGATCTGGATCTTAGTACATTAGCATTAATGACACATTTAGTATTGAGAATCAAAAGTTTCTGATCCATCAAGATCTTTAGTAATTTGAGTCACGTCCATACCGCGTCGTTGTTGTGATGTCTACTGGGCTGGTTCTCTTTTGTCCATTTCAGAGACTTTAAGTATGTCATGCACAGAATCATTGAGTGGAGTGATGAGTATTTCCTGAGAGCTATACTAACAGCCTATCTACACTACCCTCTGGAGCTCTGATAGAACTACTCTAACAAGCACATTCATTAATTTAGATAGCCGCCCCCGATTGCCGTCATTGATGAAACCAACGGGTTAAATCTCACACACCTTCAATCACATAGAAGGTCCAGGCAAAGGGTCTTATCCTTTCAAAGCTTTAAACTAATCCTCATGAGTGAACTTCCAAGCCTTTGTTGTGACAACAGATTTCGTTCTACTGTGGAGACAAACAAAAACACATGAGACTTTTCAAAGCTGAGAATTGCTACTGGGTTTAAAAAGGCCAAAATGACTTGAAACCAACATGATAAGCACAATATGTGTATATATTGATTACTAAAGTGAGTTCTTCATTCTGACCCTTCGACGACTTTGCTTTGACGTTAACCCTAGGTTAATCAGGTGATCTGACTGAAAAGCTTGGCAGGGGAAAGACTAGGATGCTCCCGAGCTATGAACTAATGGGTTGACAGCGGGCCTGAGACTGTGGGACAATAGTTTGAGCGGAAAATAGTCAGACAGTTGCTACTAGCTTGCTAGTCTGACGGATGTCGAAGATAAACTCACATTCACCTCGACATTGGACCGGGTTGGTAATACTGCAGGCAGTGGATGAGACGGTCAATACTCTAGACGCGGAGCAGATACCGAGACCTCAAGATATCGTCGAGCAAGAGAAGACAGAGAATGAAAACATTTGAAAGGCCAGAAGAAGACAAAGGGAGAGATTATGACGAGGTGAGCTGCTTTCGACTAGCTTGGGTTTAAGACGTGCACGTCAGAAAAAGCTGATACGAATAGTTATGAGATGATGTGATTGATTCGTTTAGAAGAGATATAATGACATCAACTCTTCATTATCAAAATCTCGTCTAGGAGGGCACGAATGTCGGAAGCAGGAGCCGTCTTTACTGAGCGACCAAAGTTTGAAACTCTCGAGGAGTTAATGTCAACTGATATTTAAGTAATAGCCCTACGAATCAGCACATAGGCAGAATGTCTTTTCTCACTGGGCATATCTCTTCCTCATGCTCAAATGTTCCTATAAGTATAGCCAATTCGGATTTTGTCCAGCCTTGTCATATTGGGTGGAGCTGGTCCCAAACTGGTTTCTATGGACTCGACTCGGATGATCTTACAAAAATTGGGTTCAAACATTTGGTGAAGGTTATATGCTGGGGCGCTCATATGGGAGTATGAACACTGACAGAAGCCAGCAAGCAACATATTAATGCCGCCAATGCTCTAAATTCTTCTCAAGGTTCATATTTTGTTCTTCTTGCTTTCAACCAGATCTAGAGGAGTTGGTATTGACCTCACGACTGCGGCCCTCCTCCTACTTCTTCCTCCTCCTCATTCCTTCCTTTTTCATCCCTCATGGCTTCAATTACATCGCGCCTTACACCACCACCTTGGCTCCCAGTGCCATTGCTTGACAGTATACCCATCGAGTCAGATTCAAAAGAAACTATAAAGATCAGTCTCCATGATCTTTTGCACCATGTCAAGATAAGTGAGTCTCATTTTGGTAAGAGATGAAAATTACGATATATCTCCTGCTATCTCCATAGTGTACTAACCTTCAATGTTGCTAGGGGTCAACGACGCCGATTCACACATTGCGAGAACTCTTCAATTCCCCAAAGCGACCTAGTATGATGATAATGTATCCAGGTTGCAGCTATTTCGCTCTCATCAGACTAACGTACCAAATGAGGCTATAGAGGTTCATTGCGATAGTTCAAGAGATCGGATGGGTCTAGATTATACGAGACACAGGCCAACCGAGCTGTATACAGGCACCGCAAATGACCTGAGAATATGAGGATATTAAACAGACAAAATATCGCCGCAGGTCATTGAAGGATTAGAAAACAGTGAGGCTCCAATTTAGTATGGAAGCTATTGTCAATACAAGCCCTGGAAGATTTCATATTCTCGGGATTGATGGTGTAGTATGCCGGTGGAAATAAAAATTTGAAAATTAGGCAAAAGAAAAGCTTCCTAGTTACCTAGGTACTTATTAGCCAATCGATTTTTCTACCATTTTTTATATCATATCGGGAGATAGCGGGAATCAAGGTCAATCCGTGCCAGGTATAATGAAAAGCCCGCATATCCCGTACGATTTTGATTAAGCTCAACCAAAAGAGAGAATGGAGGAAACATGGAAATCATATTCTGCATGAATGTTGATCAGAATGCAATTTGCCTACCTAGGTAATTGCTATTTCATAAAGTGGGGGTATCGCGCCGCGTGATGCACCATCCATATTGGAAAGAATAAGAAAATAAACGTATGACACCATTTGCTTCATATACTATGCATGGTTCTGAAAAAGACTTGCCCACCTGTATAGCCCGAGTAACTACCTTCCATCAGCTGGTCGCATTGAAAGAAAAGATGAGAAATACAGATCTTAGGCCGGGGGCACTGAGATGTTGCCATCGGCCACCTTATCTCGATCATGTTTCATTTGGCTTCTAATTGCACCCTTCAAGTATTTCTCTGCAATACCGATGAGCTCCGGAGACTCGGTGCTGCGTGGCAATCTTTCCAGCAAGTACCGAAGCTGGGCAACAGAATGAAGCATGGCACAGGAACGGCGGCCCCCAAAATGTGCCAGGCCACACAGAGGACAAAGCTCGACCCCTGCTAATTTGCAGGGACAGTGACCAGAGACATGGTATTCAGTGCATACGACGCAGCGAGACGATGCGCTGGCCGTGTTATTTCCACCGGAGGCACCATCAAGACCCAAGCTCTGCTGAGGATGCTGGACATGAGCGGGAGTGAATTGGGAGGGATGGCTCTGGATCTGGGCGTGAAGAAATGGGACTGAAGCACCTTCGTCCAAGTCCATAGCATCAGATAGTCCTACATCCTCTTCATCAGATAACTCGGACTCCTTTTCAACGTAATCTTGTTCATTATCACTCTCGGAAAGCTTTCGGCTCTTTTGACGTTTAAAGGGAGAGGAGTTGGGGGTGAGATCAGCGTCAAGTTCAGTATTCTCCAAGCGTGAAGTATGATAGTGGACATTGGCTCGTTTACGTTTACCGCGGCCAAGGATCTCGGCTCTCCGATTAGATTCTTTGATGGCCTCCTGCTCACGTTCCTTAAGTAGGGTTTCCCACACTGGGTCATCAATCGGGGTATCTTCGGTTTCCGTCACTTCTTCAAAAGCCCCCCGGTCATTTTGCCAGACTCGGGCAAAGCCAAATTGCGGCTGTTGGTCGGTCAAGAAAGTAGTGGCATTGCGGTTAGTCTTTTGTGTCTCTTCGGCTTGGCTGCGGTCTAAAAGTTTGTCGATAGACTCGGAATCGTAATGGACAGTGTGGCCAGAATTTTCGTCCTCGAATAACAATCTTGCTCCATGTCGAAGAATGGATACAAGGTCCTCGCCATCCTCCTCCGTGGCTTCCATACGATCGATAAGAACATGATCAAGGGCCATTTTTTTCTTGCCCTTCTCCATGATTTTTTCCTCCACAGAAGCTCGTGTTATCAAATGGAAAACGAGGACAGTTTTTTGTTGACCGATTCGATGTGCACGGGACATTGCTTGCATATCTTGCTTTGGATTGAAGTCTGGATCCATGATGATCACGGTATCCGCAGTTGCGAGGTTGATACCAACTCCGCCAGATCTGGTTGAAAGTAAGAAGGCAAAATATGGAGAATTTGGAGCGTTGAAGAGATCTATCTGTTGCTGCTTCTGTCGAGCGTTCATATTTCCATCGAGACGACAGTATTTCAGAGATAGGCCATTAAGAAAATCTTCGGCAATGTCCATATATCCCAAAAATTGGCTGAAGATCAAAACCCGATGTCCACGCTCATGAAGTTTGGGCAGCATCAAGGTCAGTAATTGAAGTTTACCAGATGCCTCCACCAAGTGCTTATGCTCCAATTCACGATCTTGAGTTCGCTCCTCAATATCCTTATTGTAGATGAAAGGGTGACAAAGACACTTGCGGAGCTGCATCAATATGTTGTTCAAGCTCAACTTATCCCCCCTCTTCATCATGTCAGGTCGTTTGCTGCAGATTGCTTTGATAAGATTTGGGTTCTTTGCCAATATAGACTTGTAAAGTTTTTTCTGCACGATGGACATCGAGACGGGAATGATGATTTGCATTACAGATGGCAAGAAGGGCAAAACCTGGGCTTTCGTACGACGCAGGAAGAAGGGGCGGATCAAATCATGAAGAGCGCGAATTTTCTCTGAGGTAAGACCTCCTTCATACTCCTCCTCCAATTCTTCTGCATCATTATCTTTGTCAAGGAATTGCAGAAGGTTGAACAACTCTCGGACGTTGTTCTGCAGAGGTGTGCCGGTGAGAAGTAGCCGAAAGGAGAATTTCATTTGTTCAAGGATCGTATAAAGGATTGTTTTGTCATTTTTGAGGCGCTGTCCTTCGTCGACTATCAAACCTGCCCATTTAATCTTTTTCAAAACTCTGTTTGAATCGTCATCAATCATGCTCTCATACGAGGCAATCACCACATGGCATTTGGGGGTAGGAGAGCTTCCGGGGAAGATTTCATATTCCTTGGCCATTTGGCGCGAAAACTTAGAACCGAAATATGTCACGACCCGAATTCCTGGAGTCCATGTTTTGATTTCACGACGCCAATTTGCAACAGTTGAATTGGGGCAAACAACCAAAAATGGAAAACACTTGTGCTTCTCAATAAGAGCTGCAAGGAAGCCAATGACCTGTATAGTCTTTCCGAGACCCATGTCATCGGCTAAAATGGCGTTTTGTTGCTTGAGAAACATGTAGTAAATCCAGTTAACGCCATCCATCTGGTACTCCATGAGTTCACCATGTCTTATCATCTCAGGCTGCCTTTTCAAGACTAGCCTCTTCTCGAAATTCTGTAGCCGAATTTTTGCCAGATAATCCCTGAGTATCGTGGCATTAGGAGTCGTAAATTTGCTTTGCTGCTGCCATTCTGTGAATGCCAGCTTGAAGTCTTCCCAACGGGATGTTTCGGTTGGCTTGGGTGGTGATTCCCAAACGACGTCTTCGTAGTTAAGGCCTATGTATTTGACGTACGCCTCCTTGACCATTTCTGGCCTTGCTTTATCTTCCGCACTGACATTGTCAAAATAGGTCACGTCAAAAACAATGTCAACCCGAAAATTATCGTCTGGAATGGCATTTTCGGCCTCGAAGATTGGCTCATGTGGCTCCTTGTTGAACTTTTTTCTTATGGCAGCGTGAGTGTAACACGTGACCCAGTCTCCACGCATCCAAGTAACACGATAATAAGATTTCCGCTTCCACTTGACGAGGTATTCTTTTTCAATCTCTGGAATCTGATCATGGTCGAGGATTTTAGCGGCTTGGAAATTGGCTGGACGCCATGCAACAATTAACTCCACTTGACTGTCTACTCCAGTGCAGTCATGACACTGCCAGTGAGCACCGTAACCAGCGAAAGAATCAGAGGGGTCTAAGCCGTCCATGTGCGGAAAATGTTCAGTATGGAATGCACGATGACAGCCGGTGCATCTGAAAAGTATATTGCGTATGTTGTTTACTCGAGACATCTCTATTGGGGTGACTGGATCCAATCCACCATTATCTGACCGTAGCTGCTGCTCCTCCTTCGACGAAAGACGCTCTCGCAGCGGCTCGGACATTGGGCCCTTCTCATTGCAGACAGCACAACAGCCTAGATGGGGGAGCATTTCGTTGTTCGAATTTGCAAAACCAATGCAGCGGCGGCATTGAAGAATGCAGTTTCCCTCGCCGATTTTGGTTACGAGATGCTGTCTTGTGGTACGAACTCCAAGACAAACCTGATGACAAGAAGAACTGCAACCTTGACAAAAAACAAGTGGTCCTTTTTTGTCATCATTATTGTGAAGTCCACAGGTGATACAGTATGGATAATGAAGCTGTCTGAATTCATCATCGAGGGAAAGTTCACTGAATACCTCTCGAGCGCCAGAATACTTTTTGCGCTTCGGTGCATCACTCTCCGCTTCTGAATAATCGTCCTCCTGACGTTCTTTCAAGTTTCTCAGTTTCTGACCCTTGTGGCGTGAAGACTTTCGGTTATCTGCGTGGGACGAACTCAAAGTCGAATCACGAACTGCCCGACCACGAGCTTGTTTCACCCTACGACCATGATTATTGGACAGCTCATCATCACTTGAGAACTGGGCCTTAAAGTATGCCATGTAGTTTTTCTTCTGCTTGCGCTTGCGTTTGCTTGCGTTGGTCATGTCCTTGGATTCTTCGACGGATGCCGTGTTAAATCCTGACGCAGAAGAATAGTAGTAGTGATTGGGTTGGTCTGGACTCAAAGCAAGATCGTCAGTCGAATCTGAAGATGATTTTGAGGATGATGTTGATGTCGATATTGAGGGTGAAGGTGAACGTGAGGGGAAATTGAAACGCTCTAGAGCATTTAAACTATTTTTCAGTTCCAAGAGGCGCTGGTGGGTGATCTGGGATGTATGGGGTTAATTTTCAAATCAGAAATAGGCAAAAGAGAGATCTAGCTGACCGTTTGACGTTCCCCACTATGAAGCCTGATAGTATAAATCGGATTATCTCGATCTGGCTCTACACTTAGAATTCGGCGAACTGAGTTATGTCCTGGCAGATATTTGTAATCTTTAGGATTTTCAACTGATGGTATAATGACTTCGAACGTGGTTTCATGCATCTCCAATGGAGGGCCCGTTTGTAAAGACTCTTGTACATGGTTATCTGCTTGTGCTTTGTTCGAGGATGTTTTGCGAGTTATTGAGCATCCAAACTGCTCCAGGAGCTGGGCGGCAGAAGCATCTGGATCATCGACATCAGAGCTGCTATGAGTGAACATTTCGAGAAAAGCAGAGGAAATTGTGATGTAAAAGGACAAAAGTATGTCAAGTATCTAACCCACGCGTTAAAAAGAGATAATTAGATGCCGGAGGAAAAGACTGAGGTTTAGAGAATTAAGCCGAAGATGAATACTGAGTTTGACACAGAAATACAGAGGGCCGTGGGAAATAGGCGGCGATTGAAGGCCCAGGTGAGATGATCCTCTTATAATAAAGAGCTACGTGAACGCGAAAGGAAAGTGAACGCGATTTCTTATCGATAACGGAAAATCAGTTAATCCGGCAATCTAGCTTTCAGGCTCGGAAAAAACACAATATGTATCAAGAACATTGAGATTCAAAATGAGCTGGACAATTTCAAGAGCAAGACTTTCTAGGCAAGTATCAAGTGCTATATTACCACCATTATATACCACAGTGCGATATGTGTCCTTGAACTCCGCCATTGGCCGTGGTATTCGCAAATCACAGAATTCAAGAACTTCAGATGCGGCAAACAGTGGTCGAACTTTCCAAAGAGAAGAAAGGCATCAAACTTTCAACAGGAATAACTACAGACAAGATGAAAGACCTGGAATGGACAGGAGGGATAGAAAACCTGACATGTACCGAAGAAACGACATGGAAAGGTCTAACGCAGACACGAGACTCAACAGGGAGATCAGGTCCAATACGGATAGAGGAGACAGAAGACTTAGTTTTGACAGAAGGCCTAAAATGGAGAGGAGATCCAAAGGCGACTTTGATGCAGATGAGTTCGTTCGGAGCGGCAAATTTCAAGGTCTTCCTCGTTCGCACCAGGCCCATGCAGAGTCAAGGTGGGATCGGGAAGAACGATACCCCAGATTGGCCCGGCAAGATGACTCAAAGGCTTTAAAGCCCCGAGCTCATCGGATTACTGATAGCATGCCTGAACGGGTAAAGGACAATGTCAAAGTTCCTGACTCGGTTCCATACACCACTCCCGCTTCCGAATTCATCTATGGCACTGGTGCCGTTGAAGCAGCCCTACGATGCAGCCGTCGTCAATTATACAAGCTTTATCTTTACCAAGCCACCGGCGAAGAGCTCAGCCCGACGAAAGTATCTCTCCGCAAATTAGCGCTCTCGAAAAACATTGAAATCAAGTTGGCTTTCGCAGGATGGGATCGGCTTCTCGATAAAATGAGCAGCAGTCGGCCACACAATGGATGTGTACTGGAGGCATCTCCTTTACCTAAATTACCTGTCCAATGCTTCCATACTGTGCCAGCTGTGACAGAAAGTCACTTCCGAGTAGAGCTAGCACCGCAATCTCGAGAGGAAGCGGCTATCAATGGTACAAATGATCGAATCCAAATTCTTCAGCCGCACCTTTCGGAAATAGGAGAACAGAACAGCCGCTTTCCTGTTGTTTTACTTTTGGATGGTGTTGTTGATACTGGAAATATGGGCGCTATAATCAGATCTGCTTATTTCCTCGGTATTGATGCAATTGTCTTTGCAGGCCGCAACTCGGCACCACTCTCACCTGTGACTATCAAGACATCGGCTGGTGCAGCTGAAAACATGCCTCTCTTACATGTCAAGAATGAAGTTGATTTTATCCAGCGATCCCAGAAAAATGGATGGCGGTTCTATGCTGCCGATGCCCCATCACCTGGCGCCACTTATCTTGATCGTCTTTCGGCTGATACCAAACAAGATGACAGCTCTCTTCCCGTTCTTCAGTCTCCTAGTGTGTTGATGATGGGGAGCGAAGGGTCTGGGCTTGCCTCTCATATCAAATCTCATGCAGATGCAGTGGTCAGTATCCCGGGAGCTCGACACAGCATCGAACTGGGGGTTAAATCCGACCCTGCCCGCATCGATAGTCTGAATGTTAGTGTGGCTGCGGCATTGCTGATGGAGATGTTTTTGCGAACCCCTCTTGGACTTTCTCAACCAATTCAAAAGGGAAGGGGCAAAATGTGGTAAATTGACTGTACTATAATCTTTCGTTTATGTCGTATACAATACGGATACCTCTTGTATAATAAAATACCTTTGATATGAAGTACAAGGCAAACAGCCATTTCAAGCGACCTCGGCACCAGTGACCCATATTGGACTGAAATGCTTGGCAGTGGCACTCTTTACAATAAGGTTAATTGCAATCTGTAACTCGCAGATGAGAGATATGGATGATCACTCGGAAAAACTACTCGGCAGTTCTTGATAGCTGCAAGACGCTCACGGAAATATAATAGTACATTAACCGAACAAAACCTCGGCATAGTAAGCCGCCTTGGCGATAAAAGCGATAAAAAACGGTCGGATACTCGAAGCGTGTAGTAATTTGACGAGAGATATCGACTAATATCACATAACTGGGTAGTAAAAGGATCCCGATTTCTTTGGAAATAGATTGAAATTTCACCCTGGAAATTTCAAACGAATTATTAGATAATGAATCATTGATTAGATAGACGTGTCTTTACACAGTAATACCGACTTTATGGAGAAACACTATGAGCCGTGTATATGACGTAAGGTAGTATAAGTGGGGATTCAATATCAACTCCTATAACTATAAAAAGGAGAATCATCTTCAGTTATTGCTCACCCTGCACATTTCTGTAATAATCAATATCACTTTCAATAGTATCTTTTACAAATACAGCTACCATTACCCAGACCACACAGATTTAACAACCCACAATGATTCCTGAAAATAATATCCCTACGAAGGCTTATGTCGTTGACTCCCCGGGAGCCCCCTTTACACTCCAGGATGTGATTCTAGATGAAGTGAAACCTGATGAGGTTCTCGTCGAAATACAGTATACTGGTCTGTGCCATACAGTAAGTCGCTATCTGCAACTCAAGGTCCCATCTACCATCTCTGGACACACTAATACTTTGAGTATTAGGATATTGTCGTTCAAAAGGGTATCATTTCCGCTGGTCAATATCCTGCTGTTTTAGGCCACGAAGGCGTGGGAATTGTCCGCCGCGTCGGCAGCAGTGTCAAAGATAAGACTCTTAAGGATGGTGATTTAGTTTTCCTCGGTTTCAACACCTGCAACAACTGCTCTGCCTGTCACGATGAACGAAAGGGATTCTGCCATAGTTTCACATCGTCCAATTTTGTTGGTGGCCGTGGGGAGAACGGTCCCTCGCCTATCTCTTCCACAAGTGGGAAGTCTATCCGAGGAAAGTTCTTTGGACAGTCTTCCATGAGCAAGTTGGCAATTGTAGCAGAGTCCTCCATTGTTAAGAGTCCTATTCCGCTTGACATCGATACAGATCTTGCCCCACTTGCCCCTCTAGGATGTGGCTATATAACAGGGGCTGGAACAGTGATGAATGTTTTGAAACCCAAGCCGTCTACTAAACTTGTTGTGCTCGGCATGGGTGCTGTCGGTCTGGCTGCAGTGATGGCTGCTCGAGCTATGGGTGTGGAGACAATTATTGGGGCTGACTTTGTTGACGCAAAGCTTGAACTCGCCAAAGAAGTAGGAGCCTCGCATATTTTGAACACAAAGAAAGTTGCTGGCCTCAAGGAGGGGCTGCTGGAGATGTTCCCTGGCGGTGTTGATCAGATTCTTGACACAACTGGCGTAGTGCCCCTGCTCGAGGCGTCTATCGAAGCATTGGGTCATGAAGGAGTGTTGGTCATAGTGGGAGTCGTCCCTGCTGGCGCAAAACTGAGCTTTGAGCCTCAAGAATTCATGATGGCCTGTAAACAGATTATTGGTTCGATCGAGGGATGCTCAAATCCACAAGTTGTAAGGCTGACTTGATGATACTGGTAAAACATTAACTGACATTTTTTTTTATTTCTAGCTACTTCCGCAACTCATCAAACTCTACAAAGAGGGTAAATTTCCTGTTGATAAGCTATTCAAAGTCTACGATACCAGGGCTTTGGAGGACGCGTTGGAGGACTTAAAATTGGGCAAGGTGATCAAACCTATACTCAAATGGACCGATCTGTAATTGTGGCACATCGTCGTTTAGTATGATCATGAATATACTTAATTCCAAGATTATAATTATAATGTAATCAACATTTAGCAAGATACGCATCTATATCAATTTGGTACTCATATACTCTAAGATCTCCACCAATGATCATAGACTCAACCCCCTTTATACTTTGTATCTCCTGTATATTTATAATATAGCCAATCAGAAGTATATAAAATGTGGAACATCCAATATGATTTTGGTACATTTAAGTGACTTTTAGGGCTCGTACAAGCTTCATATTTTCAGGAGCTATAATTGATGGCCTATCATACCTCTATTACCATTTTCAGACCGATCAGTTTATGAGAAATTGTGTTATAATCGATCAAAATGACTTGCAACTTTTTTGATGGTGTTTAGACCCAAGATTACAATACGCGACTAGTGGTATTCGTAGTACGAGATTTAACTACGAGCGTTGTTTGTACTGTTTGCATCGCCTCCTCTCTGTTCCGAAAACTCTATTCAGCCACATTGAGACTTTACCATCGCCTTTATCAATGCTGTTGGCATTCCCACCCCTCTTCTCACCAGTGGACCTTGCTGTTTATGACCTGAATCGACTAGTTACTAGCACCCTCGATCATCCTTTGCCAACTCCTACTCAGCGAACGCGAGTGCGCAAGCAAGTCTTCGCTGAAAGGACTGGGATCTTGGACAAGGTGCCTTCTGGCTGCCGGTAGCGAGCCTAGCCGTGTTCAGGTCATCGACCGAGGCTCTGTGGTATCCAAAGCACTACGGCACTCCTTTCCAGTGCTGGCTTCCTGGTCGTGGCCAACAACAAACCGACTAGCATTCGCACCCTCGATCATCCTTTGCCAGCTCCTACTCAGCGAACGCGAGTGCGCAAGCAAGTCTTCGCTGAAAGGACTGGGATCTTGGGAAAGGCGCCTTTTGGCTGCCGGTAGCGAGCCTGGTTTGTGTTTTGTTGTTGGTTCTTCGGCCAGACCGGCGAGAGAGGACGTCTGTTGAGCCATTCGTCGCGAATCGATCGACCAACTGAGTTTGTTTGCTCCTAATTGTAAGTATTATAACTGGCTTCTCCCTCAAGGATTAGGTCGATCATGTCACCACCCGAAATTCCAGCCTTCGAAGTCAACCAGGCTTTCAACAAAAAGGCACGAAATGTCGCCGTCGCGTTCAAAATAGCTGGTACACGAAAGCGAGACCGAAATCACGACCACCAAAGCAATAGTCAGAGTTTGCTTCACCTCAGCTACATTGCTATACGCTACGAGCGACCACCTAGTTTTACCGTGAGGTTCACGGTCAGAGTCCATAGAAAAACAGGGGAGGTGGCATCTCTCTACTTCGATATTCCTCGACAAAATATCGTCGCGCTCATACCAACCTACCATGTTGATTACGCCACCATCCAAGCTCTTGACCAAGATAAAAAGCTCAAATCCATGGGTGATATTACGGGTATCCGGTTTCAACTTAACCTACCTGGCAATCTTGTCCAACCAAATTCTACGGAGTTTTACCTCAAGACTGCCTCAAAAAGCACTCTGGCGGCGATGACATTGTTAGCCACTGTTTCCGAGTTTGATCTGTTCATGCCACACAAAATATTATCGAATAAACAAATCAACTGTCTTCAGCAAGCCCTCAATGTACCAATGACCGCTGATGATCAGCTGGATCAGGAAAAACAAACTAAGATCTGGCTCGCTTCTTTGTATGCCGGTAAAGGTGGTAGGCTGCTTGACAGCCACACCGCGGATATTAGCCCAGCGACAATTGCTAGTGGGAACGTAAGCGGCGACACAAGCCCTGCTACAAGTATTTTCTCCGATTCAGATGACTCTCTTATTCCTCTGAATTTTCCGCCAGCATACACGAGTTTAAGTGTCCCCGGTGATGGAAGTCCTACTATTGCCAACGCCAATCACTCAAGCATACCATCTGACTTGGATGACAAGACTCCCACGGCCAGTCCACCTCCTTATAAGTCATTGAAGCTCAAAGGTGTGGATTGTCATTTGATAGCTGAGAATTTTGTCTAGTTGCTGATAGTTTGTTGCACCCATTTAGGGAAACGACCACATGACAGTGCTAGTGAAGACTCCGAAAGTCCCCATAGGTGTAAACTTAGGCTTATGGACGATGAAAAGTCATTGTTGGGGGACATCTATAGTCAACTCATGTGTAAAAATCGACAGGATAATGCAGGCCTTGAAGTGCTTGAAACAGCCCAAGACTTCAAGAGGAATGATTCTCTTGGAACTCAAGACTTGCAAAAGGAGAATGATTTTCTCAGGGCCCAGTTGTCTGCTATACAGACAGGATACGAAGAGGTTATTGCTGCTCTGACTACTCAAATAACCGATATGAGGAACGATCATGAAAAGTTCCGGTCACGTCAAATCGAACTCGAAAACCGGCAAGCTCAACTCGAGAATCGACAATCCGAACTCGAGGAAGGGCAAGGGACTTTGGAAATATGTATGGAAGACAATATTCACAGCCTGATGAGCGACAAGATCGATAAGATCTACGCAGATGTGGATCACGATATCGGCCAGGTTTACCAAGCTATGGGCGAAGAGATCCACACCCAGGTGGTCGACGAGATCGACAACAAAGTGATCGAAACGATGGACAAGATCAAGGATGAAGTACGTACGATGGCCGAGGAAACGATTACGGGTGCCATAGAAGGTGCATTAGAGGGTGCCCTGAAAGGCGGCATAAAGTCAATATGGGCCTGATCGAGCTCTTAAAACACAGTCCCGTTCATGAATTCTGCCAATCTTCCACAAAGTAAAAGTCATATTATTGTCCATTTCAAAGACTGTATAGAATGGTAATTGGTTTTGGTGTTACCAATCCATGGTTTAAAAGTTTGATTGAATAACAACCTCATCGTTGTTGTGATTGATGATGGCTAATTCAGCAAAAAGAGAACCGAAAGTTCTTTTTATGGGGCCCAAACTATCCACCAGGAGACTTAGTTATTTAAGTCTACTAATTTTTTAGACTCTGAAAGACGTTGTAGCTACGTGTTCTATACCCAACCACGGAAGTATAGAAGCTCAAAGTGACTCGAGACTTTTGTATTCTTAACCGATGATTTTGGTAGGTCTCGAACCGATGGTTGATCATTTCAGAGACAGAATATTTTCAACTAATGACAACTATTTTGTTTTACCACTGCGCCCAAGGGGCTCAGACACATTAATATTTCATCCTGAAGTTACTGATAACCCTGATCTACGCCCCAGTACAACATGCATTCAGGATTCTGCCGCTTCAGACCGCCTAAGAAGTTGACAACTACTAAAACATCTCCATATCTTCTTCTTTAGGTCGTTCAGTATTCAATTGTCCATTGGTACATTAGTACAACCTACCAACTAACAGAATTTAATTGATGATGGGTACTGTGACACAGTAATAAACGTCGACTTCGTTGGGAGATGAAGATATGTGAACATACACACACACACACACACTTCATCCTGTTCTCGAGTCTTAAGACGCGTGTATAAAAGTTAAAGAGTCAGCTGTGGAGCAAAGCAAGATGTCCACCCGATCATTACAAAGTCAAAATGCAAAAGCCGTACTGATGTCCTCTGGGCCCGTCCGACAGCGCTCAAGACAAGCTTGTCTACCTTGCCGTCGGCGTAAGAGGAAATGCGACGGGAAGTTTCCATGCAATGTCTGTCAGGGATATGACTACGAATGTGAATATGACAATTCAGGTCAAGCAACATCTCAAAAGCGTTCAACTCCCTCCGATAATCATCTGCCACCAAGAGGGAAAGTAGCGCGTGTGTCTCATCAGCAAGATATCCCGACACTAAGTACCAGCTCATCCAAATTCTCAGATGTTCTCGAGCCATCAAAGCCTCGACACATGGGGAAACACTCAGCAGTAGCATTTCCCCTTTATGTGGGACTGGAATTTCAGGCCACCAAGCTTCCACGCTTACATTCATTTGCATATCATGCGGGTATCCGCGAGGAGCCGCCTTGTGCAGTTTTCTTCAAGATCGTGGAAAGAATCCAATGGAACACAGCAAGAGCTCTGATCGATGACTATGCAGCCATAATTCATCCTGTATTTGGATTTTTAGACATGAATCACGTTTCCACGCTTTGCGAGAAGCATTGGCACGGACAAACGCAAAACATGGTTTTCGAAGCTTTAATTTGTGGAATGATGGGTCTCGCTTCCCTGTTCAAGGGCACATTGGACCAAGAAACCGAGACGTGGCTTATTCTTCATGCGAAAGAAATCCTCGAAGATTCTTCCATCAGCCGTTTTCCTTGTCTTGAACAAATCTCGGCGTGGATACTTCGGGTGATTTATGTGCGCTCTACCGGACGACCTCATACAGCCTGGCTCTGCAGTTGCAATATCATACACCTTCTTGAAGCAACTGGCCTGCACCATGTCTCTGAGTTCATAATACAGACCACTGGCCATACTGTGCCAAACCCGGAAATGTCCAAAAATGTGACTAGACTTGTACAGGTGGCTATCTGTCTTCATACGTTTATTGCATTTGAATATGGAAGATCAGTCATGGTATTCAATCGGCAGTCCCTTGAATCTTTGCGTTCTTCGTATGGCCATTCAGACTTGACAATGCAATTCTGTGGTTTAATTGCAACAGTACCTAAAAATCAAGGAACCGAGGATTCTTCAGTGTCTATCCAGGAACTTTCTTCTGTCTTGGAAAATTTGACTGCCATTACGGTGGATCATGACTTCCTCACACTTATACGGGCAGATCTTGCCTTGGGTATATATCGTCGACTTCGTTTCATGGACTCAAACTTCCATCAAAGTCAGAACGATCGAGTGATTGCTGTATGTTTAGCTGCCTTGTCAGCAGCACGGAGACTAGCCAGTGATACCCAGCCATGGTGGAACATTGTTGGCACGGTGTTTCAATTTGCGTGTGCTCTTCTTGTCATGGACACCCCAGATAGCTTTGAAAAGCTTCCAGAGACGATGGACACTCTGGAGTTTATTGTTGACTGCTTTAAGACGCATTTAGCCAAGGAGGCCCTTTCGACAGCTCGACAGCTTGTCCAAGCCTCCCTGGACAAGAAAAGAAAAGGCGTCGCAACTCTTGAGCGAATTATCGGACTTGATATGCCGGATGTCACGGTGAATTCGCCCCCCCGAAATATTGCGGCTCTGAGCCCGCCCCTTACATCTCAGTTCCCTGTTGATCTTGATTATCTATGGACTATGGATTCAAACATGTCGATATGAGGAGCTATATGTTGCCTCCCGATTCAAGACTTCGCGATATATTCAAATAAGCATTATGTATATCACGAATCTTTTCTGGACTTCCTCCAAGTTACGATCATGAAACAAGTCGCGATGACGACACCTGCTCCAGCAAGACCGACACCAGTATAACTAGCTCCCCGGTATCCCTTCAGTTCATCTTTACCATTGTCATTGACGTAGTATTCTACTGTTCCGGCAAAGCCCAGACCCATGGATATGGAGTAGTTCACAACAGTACTCACAAGCGAGCCAGCAACACCTTGGTGCTTTTGCGGCATGGCATTGCTGAGAATCAAACTACCTGATGGGAATGACATATCCCTACTTTAACATTAGCTCAAGGTCTTCCCAGGTTGCAATGTTACACTAAAATATTCGCGAAGTTACTCACATTCCAAATGGTGTGATAAGTGTGATGACAAAGGCGTTCGCCCAGTACACCTGCCCAATGGGCATCGAGGCCAACAGAGCTTGACCAGCAGAAAACGCCAGCATTGCGAGTAGCATTATAACGCTTGCTTGAACACGGCCAAGGAGGAAGCCGGTGAATATAGCAGCACATGCGCCAGACACAGCTGCACCGCAGAACTTGGCCGTCACAAGCAATCCCTTGTTTCCTTCGATATTCTCAAGAATGTTGTAGAAATAGAACACGACGACACCGAAACTCGACCATCCAGCTGCAATACAACCAAGAACCCAGCCAACCTCTCCTCGCAGCGCTGACTGAGGCAGGAGCGGATAAACAGCCTTGCGTTCAATGAATATGAACAGGACAATGATCAGGATTCCAACGATCAAAAGAGCGTATGTATAAGGGACTTTCCACCCTACAGCAGCGGCCTGGTTCCAGGCAAAATTAATCAAGATTAGGCCTGAGACTCCTGTCATGGCACCGTACCCGTCCAGTCGCTCTAACGTTGAGAGATCCTTCCGTGGAACTTCCTGGTACATGGGAGGGATGACCAGGTATCCTACTACTGCAAATACTACACAAGCAATACCCATGATCCAGTATGCCCAGGGCCACCAGAGGAACTGAGCGAGCAAGGACGAAAAGGTCGCACCCAGAACAAAACCAGCTGGCGCCACAGCTCCAAACACACAGAATACCATGCCCTTGCGAGGACCCGGTGGGTATGTGCGTCCCAGAATCGCAGCTCCATTTGGAAGAAGCAGAGCAGGGCCAATACCCTGGAAAGCGCGGCAGCAATCAAAGAATATCTGGTTCGACCACACAGAAACACCTGCCAGCACAGACCAAATTCCGAACCACAGAAATCCAATAATGAACATCAGCCGGTGGCCGTAGACATCACCTAGTCTTCCCGATATGAAGATGAATGTTCCAACGGTCAAACTGTACCCGGCTGAAGCCCATGTCATGTCTTTGGTAGAGCTATTGAAGCTGGTGGCAATGATTTTGAGAGGTGCGATAGATAGTGCCAGTCCGGCTTGTGTCATCAGCTGAGCTGTACAGACAATAAAGATGAAAGCTATCTCGTGAAGCAGAGACTTTGGATCGGGGTATATTGGAGTGGATGGAACTGCTTCTAAGTCGTCACCAGGTGACGCTTTTGGTTCTGGGCGTTCATCGGATGCCACTTGACTCTCATTTAAAGTGGGAGCAACTGATGCATGATCTTGAACAGAAATTGTCAGTCCATATTGGGAAAAGGAGAACATTTTCATCTCATTACCTTGATCGTCCATTGCCTCTTTTGTGCCGGGAAATCTCAGAGTCTTTTTTTTTTTTTTTTACAGAAATGATCAATGAACTTAGTGGTCCAGTAAGCCTTTAAAAATCTATCATTTATACGTGTCGAATAGAAATCCCGAAAAAAGCAAAAGTCAGAAAGACTTGGCACTAGAGTATCGGAATCGGAATCTCACCCTAAAGTCTTTGTCGGTGAGCGAACTTAAAGGATATAAGGCAAATCTCCCGCACGGCCCGCACGTTCCGCGCGGACCTAGGATGAGGTTATCGGCAATCCTCCACGTTGTACCCGAGGACTGCAATCTATAAATCGATTATAGATGCATATAGAATTCTTCCAATTTTGAGCAAGCCTCACAGCATAATGGGCTCTAGGACCATGAAAGCCGTTCAGCTATCAAAAATATCTGATGGATCACCTCCAATATTTACATCGGTAGTAGTACCAATTCCCAATACGACTCCAGGCTATGCCCTCGTGCAAGTCCACTATTCATCGATTCAACCATCGGACAGAATGAACGTGAAAGGTTATTTTCCATACACAAGTTACCCCCGTATCCCGGGCCGGGACTATGCGGGGATTGTGGTCGAGGTCGGGGATGACTCTGACAAATCAAAATCCTGGATTGGGAAGAGCGTCTTTGGAACTAGCGGCTCGAGCCTGTCGTTTACTATGGACGGCACAAATGCCCAATACTTTTTGATTCCGCAAGATGCACTTGTCGAAAAGCCGGAATCTATGTCGCTGTTCCAGGCTTCAACTGTCGGTGTCTCGTTTACTACGGCTCTTCTTTGTCTCCAGCGTGCAAGCGTTGGTGAAAGTGATGTTGTCCTTGTGCTTGGTGCGAGTGGAGCTGTGGGTACTGCAGTTACGCAAATGGCCAGAGCTATAGGATGCAAAAAAGTCTTTACAGCTGCTCGACGCCCAGATTCCGATCCTGATGTTATCCTTGGCTCAGGTAGTCCTGCCAGTGTTCTTGGCGAAAGAATTCCCAGTCTTACAGGTGGAAGAGGAGTCGATGTTGTTATCGATACGGTGGGAGATCTGGACTTAATGTCGGCTGCAATGGAGCAGTTGGCTCAAGATGGGCGGTACACGTGGATATCAGCACCTAAAGGTGGTGCCTCTACTACGCTTACTTTTGATGTCCTACGCATATACCGCAAGGGACTATCGCTTTTTGGGTGTAACACGATAGCTCACAATATTCAAGATACAGCAACTCAGCTGCGATCCTTGATCAAGTGGATTGATGGAGGACAGCTACAGGCCCAGAATGAAGCGGACTTTAGGAAAGTGAAGTTGGACGATGTTATTGAAGACGGTTATGGAAAGCTCGGAAAAGTAGTTATTGAATTGCCACGGTAGTTTAGTGACCGAGGTAATGAACATCCATGCGCTAGTCCGATATCGATGGCGTATTTGTGCGATGTACGGGGCGAGAGATCACTAGAATCACAATTAGAATCACAATTAGCTGAGCCTTTCTTGGTGGATGAACGTCAGATGAGGGAGCATACCGAAGAGATTCTGTGAGAGATCAGTAAATTGTTCTGCACGATCGGACTATCAACTTCATCCGGTACGACGAATTGGTGGCAAGAATCTAGGTAACTGTGAGACCTATAAGGCTGGCAAGCTCGCTAGCCAGACCGTCGATTTCAACTTCAGTCGATTGGATATAAAAACTGTTATTATTCTTTTTGGAGTTCTACTATATTATGTGATTGGTTAATCTCCATTCAAGTATGAGGAAAGAATGGAGAGAATTATCTAGAGAACCTGCCGGGTTGACAGTTCTGACTGATCTATCTGATCAGAAAATCGGAAAAGATAATTCAATTAGTTATGGCCTATTATCTTACCAGATATCCTATCAGAACCCCTTCCACCTGCATATTGGAGAGTGAAAAACCACGAGAGGAGGAGTAGTAGGGGATGATTCGAGAGAAAGGGGAGGGGTAAAAAGGAAAATCAAGGTGACTGATTCTAGCTGATTGAAATAAAATGAGAAATAAAAGGAAATCACAGGTTTGCACTCGTCTTTTTTTATCGAGATGGACATTGACTACCCAGGACGAGCATCTGGAAAGTTACGTCTTTTTCTGGAAGAGTTTCGGAACCTGGCTCAATCCTGAAATGAAATTTTCACGTTTTATATGCTCATTTTGGAGAGTGATCTGTTTAGCGTATAGATACTAGTAATCTCCTTATGCTGCTCCTAGCTCTGATCCAATACTGCTGACCTTATTCCTCCAACAGTGAATGCGTTGCATAGCCAGCTCGATAAGTGCTTTGTTGGTTGGGACCGTCATGGCAAATAATGCGACTGATATTTCCACAATTGAGCAGTAGTATATTGGGACAACATCCCACGACACGTTATGGCCCTTATAGAGAACAACAACAAACGAAAGTCTCGCGGCGGCTGCAACACAAGCTCTATAAATAAATTAGTCTCGTTGGAACCTCGGAGGTTGATGAAAGCGGAACGAAGGCTTACATGAGTCCAGCTGCGGAAAGTAATATAAGAAATGTCAATCTCTTGGATAGAGGGAGTTGAAGGCGTAAAGTACTCTTTAGAGGGAGAACGGTGACCCATATATCGGTGATGAGAAAACAAACAGACACGTCGCACCAGAATACCAGAGTTGCATCGCAGCTAATTGATCCATTTAAAGAGGGCGTCCATAGCCTTCCAACGGGCTTGCACTGGAAGATCGAAGAGAATATGAAAGCGGTACTGATTAATGGGACCACGGTTATCGTGACCGCAGTCAGTATACGAAGATTCGGGAATATGCGGCGATAGAGGAAGGCAATCGAGAGTTTGATGAGTCCGCTTGATGATATGTACAGTACCTGGGCTGCTAGTCGTATCTTCAGGTGGGTATGTCAGTATAATTCAACATGGATTGAGGGGGTCTTGCAAGTACCTGTCCTATTTCATCATCATCAATGTAATTGCCTGACTCGGGTGAACCTATTCCATACGTCGCGCCTGTGGCTGTTTAGATGACGTTTCAAATATGCCCGAGGTTTTCAACTAACCCAGCGAAATTGTGATAACAAATCCCGTGGATGTGAATAGGGCTGCTAGTGCACACCAATCATCTTTCCCTGAATTCTTCAGTATAAAAAATCGCCCAATCAGCCTTATGATGACTGACGTTGTGGCGATAAACATCAATATAAATGTCACTATGATAAGGGTGACCCCTCGAGAACTGATTCTCTGGGAAGGTTCAGTGGTCTGGTTTGATAATTAAAGGGACAGGGCTTAATTACTTGAATATATTCCATTCAAACAAGTCTTCAAAGGGGGTAGGTTTCATGAAGTGGGTAGTAAGTCGCTAGAGCGAAGTCTGAATTTGTCTTAAACCAGTCAATAGTTATGATGAAGCTAGATTATCTTCTTTTAATTTACCATTTCCGGCCTCCTATGGCATCAGTATTATGGGTTCTCATGAGAAAGGAATTGTAGAGGCATGGGATGTGACTCGACGTAAACACGTTACACAAGCAGGAGGTTATGTAGCGTCAATTTCAACGTGAAAACTCTGTATTCAAGACATATATAAGTATCCGATATGACTGCAGGTGCGGCATGAAGTTGCTTGTGTTTTCCAAGGTTAGCTCAATAGTCATGACGCAACGATATTTGCAAATTGAACAGTACCGAGTTGTAGATAATTTTGGATAATCGCTTACGAAGGGGAATTTCCGACAGACCAATCAAATACAATGATCTGAGGTCTAGATCTGAGAAAATCAATAGGTCTTGTAGTTGAAAACTAAGGTCTGAAGTCCTATATAGTATGCATAAACCTTGAAACTGTTGAATGTAGATAGGTATCGTTTCATAAAGCCCATGGACCCTTACATCTCTAACTTTTGGAATGGTAGTCTGCCAGAGACAGACTGTGGTATATGCTCCCTTCTTCTTTAATAAAGACTCAAGAGTATACAATGTCATGCATCGGTGACTACCACTTTGCTGAGCAAAGCGAGCCCCGGAGGTAAAAATATATCTTAGAACCCTGGTAGAAAATATAATTAAAATAGACCATCTAGCTATGTAGTTTAAACTATTTAGTTTAAAGAGAACCTTTGCTAGGGGGACACGCTATAGTATCAGTTACATGGTGTACTCATTACTCCTCTCTTGCGTAGAAAAAGTTCATATTCAACCTCCAATCTACTCAGAAGGAGGAGTAGCGAGATTCTGTTGCAGCTCCTTTCTCTGCACAGCACCAAAGCGGAGGTTACCAACATCGAAAACCTGAACAAAAAAGTCAGCAAATGCAATACAAGGGGTCCGTGGGAAGAAAGTAATCTACTTACAGCGTAAATTCCCTTCAGGAAAGTGTCACCCAGGATATCCATGGTCATAGATCCACGGCTCTGAATTCCACCGTAGACATAGCCAGTCTTGGCCTCGGCATAGCTCAGATCCTCCTTCTGAACCACAAACTGCTTGCCGCCAACATCAAAGGATACAACAGGCAAGTTATCAGCAGTGGTGTCAGATGGGAAAATGTATCCCTGGCTGCTCTCGTCATAAGTCGCTCCCTCAATAGCATCGTAAATGGCCTTGCAGGTAGCGTCGTCAACAAGAGCAAGAGTAGTACCTGTATCGGCGATGGCGGTGTTTCCAGAACGGGTAATAGTCTTGCCATTTACCGTCGCGGAGGTTGATTCAAACTCCCAGAAGCCCTGGCTGTTGTCGACAGGTGTATAGTGGAATGAACCACCGGATGCTGTGACAGTAGCCTGGTCAATATAACCAAAAGTGTAGAATGATTCGCCCTTGTCGGGCTCATTGGAATCACGCCAGGAGCCCAGCTTGGCTGTGAACAGCTCTGCGGTTTTTGGGATATCGGTTTGAGTGATCATGTTCTCAACAGGTGTGGCCACTGCTGTTGGCTGTACAGTGTTGATGTTACCGAAGGCGAGACCCAGCAGTCCATCGCCAGCGCCGCTGGAAAATTGTGCTGACATCTTCTCGGCCAATTCGATGGCTTGGTTCTTGACAACTATACCACCAACATTGACATTGTCGGTGCCGACATTGCCAGATGCAGAAGAACCGTCTCCGTAGGAGATCTCCCATGTCGAGCCTGATTGCTCCTTGAAGGTGCTAGACTTACTCTTGTCAAAGACAGTGTGGCCACTGCTCGAGGACAAGGTAGAAGAGGGGAGTTCAGTCGACCAGACCTGTATACAATCTGTTAGCAAAGAATGAACGGAGCGAAGGAATACCATATTCATACCCAGAGATCGGCTGAGCCCGTGTCAAAGTCTAGCTTCAAGGTCTGTGCTGGAGTACCAATTCCAACCTCAACCAGATACTCGGAGTCATTCTGGATATCCTCCGCAGGAACCTCCCCTACCTCATTAGTATCGAGGTGCTTCTTATGGATCTTGCGTCGACGAAGAACACGGCCACCGACGGCCTGATCAGTATATGATCGACCAATCTGGTGCAGAGTGCTACCAACGAAGTAAGGGCCGGCTAGAGTTGGTTCAAAGCCATACTTTCGCATCAAATGCACATAGGACTTTGTACCTGACTTCTGGTATTGAGGGTTGGTAATGATCTTCAGCTTAGTTGTGGCGACAGACATGGTGGAGAGCTTGCGAGAGTGAGGAAATTTGGATCTGAGAAACTTCAGGATTGACATGGCTGAGGGCATATATAGTCGTGGGGTGGCGATTGAATTATACTAAATACAGGCATTGGTGCATTCCAGGTATTTATTTAGGTCATTTATGGTCAGTTGCTCTCTTTCACCAACTGTGTCACATTCATCATAAACAACTGCTCAAATGACTATATCTGGTTAGCGTGACCTATCTAGCAATATCGAACATCCACTAAGGGTCTGACGTGGTATCGGATCTGCAATGTGATTTCATTTTTCAGCTGCAGGGACTAGTCAACAGATAAGCCTTTCTAAGCGTTTTTCAAAATTACTTTCTCTATATGGGAATTCATTTGCCGAACGCCAGGAACTCGGAGGGCCAAGACTTAACTAAAGTAAACAAAAGTATTAATCAAATCTGTTATCCCTTATCTCTTTCGGCTCTTTCCTTTGGGCCCATTTGTAACGCTATTAGCTCGGGATGGCGTAGTTGAGTTTGCCTTGCTACCCTTGACATTTTTGACCTGTTTATTCTGAAATAAGTTAGCAAAAGTACTTTGATGTGACTTCAGATGATGAACTCACGGTGGCGCCATTTTTAGCCTTCTTCTTAGCAGGTGCCGCGTCATCATTCTCCTCATCTTCATCACGGTCTCGACCGCGGCCCTTACCCTCCCCATTGGTCTTGCCCTCGGGTTCAAACTCCTTAGCCACTGTATTCAGTAGAGTAGTGCATCGACGACCAATTTCAACAGGGGTCCGACTGAGGAAGAACCAATCAAAGCGGAATAGCGGGGAGTCCCGTACTTCATCCCTGATCTTTTCGTAAAGACCGTCACCTTCAACGCCATACTTGTCTAGCATCACTAGCAAGAATCGGTCTTCCTCTTCAGTGTAAACCTTCTTGTTGGTTGTAGACACGGTGTAGTTGATCTTGAGCTGCTGTAATGGCACACGGTACATTTCCAACTTCTTTCGAAGCATCTTGCGCTGGTGGCCCATCTTGCGGACCTTATCTTCACCTTGGTCGATCACCCGCAGGTACTTGGAGTAATCCTGGATCTCCGTGTATCGTTCCCAGAATACCTCGGCATACTCCTTGATCTCATCGGGCTCCTTGCTATCTACCTCGGTGGCAATGCCTACGTAGTCGGTGCGTCCGAACTTGGCTGATCCGTTGACGAATTGTTGGAAATCACGACGGTTCCAGAGGGAAAATCCCTCCTCGGACATACTAGCCTTCTCGGCCTTTTCTTCTTCAGTGAGAGGCTTGGCATCGTCTATTTCCTTTTGTTCAAGGTCCCGTTCAGCTTCGCGCTCACTGAGCTCATCCTCTGGACCTTCTGGCAATGGGACCTTGTAGCCAATCTCCTTGTGGAAGTATGCAGTCTCCTTTTCCTGCAACTCCTGTAGGCCGGGGGGAAAGAATTGCCAGTCATGAACTGTGATTTGTCGGGGCGCTCGCGGCGCCTTGGGTTTGGTATCTGCGGTTCGTCCACCGGTAGCCAGGGTGTCACGATAGTATGCGTCGATCGAATAGAAGTTGTCTTTGTTATCCTTGCGCTCTCGCTTGGGTGGATTGATCCAGGTCAGTCCAATATCTTTCTTGCGCTCAGTGAAATCCTTGCCGTTCCACTCGTATGCACTTTCGGAGCTGAACTTCTGCAAGTCATCGATGCCAAGCTTCTCGTACTTTTTGTTCAGCTCAGCCGTGCGCTCCTCTCCCTTTCGAAGAATAGCTTCAAAATCATTTTCAGTGATGTCATTCGCGCTTCTGCTACCTGCTTCTTTGCTTTTAAAAACGTTGGCGGCGCCATGCTGAATCATGCCGAGAAGATCGTCCTTCGAGGCGGCGGCCTTGGCTTGTTGCTGAGCGCGGCCTTGTTGGATAACAAGTTGATCCAGACGCAGTTTCTGAGCCGCACGCTCAAGCACCTTTTCTTCAATAGCATTCTCGGTCACAAATCGGAAAACTTTGACTTGTTTGGTTTGACCAATACGATGCGCACGATCCATGGCTTGGAGATCCGCCTGGGGGTTCCAATCGCTGTCAAAAAGCACCACAATATCAGCAGTGGTCAAATTGATACCGAGACCGCCGGCACGTGTAGTAAGAAGGAAAATGAACTTGTCCGATCCCGGCTTGTTGTAATTGTCAATGGCAGAGATACGATCCTCGTGAGCCGTAGTACCGTCAATCCGGCAGTAGTTGAATTCGCGGAACGCACAGTAGTCTTCAAGGATATCCAAGACACGACTCATCTGGGAGAAGATAAGAACGCGGCTGCCGTCCTCCTTCATGCGCTTCAAAAGCTTGTCCAAAATTGCCATTTTTCCGGAGTTGTAGATAATATGTTCATCGGTCGTGTACGGAGGGCCCGGTTCGGCTCCTTCGAAAAGGTAAGGGTGATTGCAACACTTGCGCAGTTGCATGACGATGTTCAGTAGGCGAGTTTTGGACTCCTTCTTGCCGGCCGCTCCGTTGACGGCATCAATATCCTTTTCCAGAATCTTTTGATACCAGTTCACTTGCATATCAGACATGGGCACGTAGAGGTTCATCTCTTGCTTGGGCAGAAGACTCTTTTCGACGTCACTCTTCACTCGTCGAAGCAAGAATGGCCGAAGGACACGATGAAGTTGCTGCACAACGGTATCCTGGTCGGAGCTCTGCGTAGAGAACCATTGGTCGAAAGCCTCTGAATCTCCAAAAACATCAGGCAGCAAGAAATTGAGTAGAGCCCAAAGCTCATGCAAATTGTTTTGCAAGGGAGTACCGGTGATGAGTAGTCGGTTGCGCGAGTTGAAGAGACGGATAATTTGCGAAAGTGAAGATTCCTCATTCTTAATACGGTGGGCTTCATCGATAATAATGTATTCCCAGGCAAGCTTCTTGAAGTGCGTTTTCTCGCGAAGAATCATTTCATAGCTGGTGATGCACACATCGAAATCCTCGTCGGCCAGGCGCTCGTTGATCAGGCGCTGGCGCTCTTCCTTGTCACCCTGAAGAACTAGGACATTGACCTCGGGCGTCCATTTGGCAAATTCTCGCTTCCAATTGTCCAACGTGGATTTAGGCACAGCAACCAGATGCGGGCCAGTGATGTCGCAGATGTGACGTAGATAACCCAGGAACGAGATTGTCTGCAAAGTCTTTCCTAGACCCATCTCGTCGGCCAAAATACCAGAGATACCATTCTCGTGCAAGGAAACGAGCCAGTTCAGACCTGCGACCTGATAGTCGCGGAGCTCACCATGGACAAAAGCGGGCGACTCCCGAAATATGGTTGTCGTCTCGCCACCCTGTTTCTCATCCTGTAGAAGCTCGGCATCTTCCTCCTGCTCGGTTCTGCGGGCGCGATCACTAGCGGCACCACCTGAGCGCGATGCTCCTTTGCGTGCCTTAGACTTGTCCGCATTCTGCCGATCGATCTCAGCGATGATCTCCTTAATCCGTGGGTTGGGGTTTGTTTCGATAAAATGGCGGAATAGATCAGTCAGACTGAGAAGGTAGCGGAAACGTCGAATCGAGTCGTCTTCCTGTGGAAGAGGCCAGTGGTCAGTGCCTACGGGTTAAAGAATGGTAAAAATTAGAGGGATGTAGATACCTTGGATTCGTCCAAGCGACTTTGCTTCTTTCCAAGAAGACTTTTTCTCAACTGAGTAGCCTCTGCTCTGCGTCGGCGTCCATCAGCTGCTGCCAGGTCGCCTGCGACACTGCTCTCGGTGGTATCCTAGGTGGATTGTCAGCCTATATATAGACTAATAGACTTAGACAAATCGTTACCGTGTATTCAGGGGTGTCTTGGTGGCTCTGCATCGAGATCAAATAGTCAGTTCAAAGGCCTTTGTAAATAGGGAATTTATTCAGTTGTGCAGGTTGCAAGATATCTCAAGCCCAAACAAAACGACGACTTACAGGCGCGTCGACTGGAACCAATGGGATAGAGTCATCATTTGCGTCAGTCATAGGTGTGTCCACTTGGGATGGTGAATCGGTTGGTGCTCTTGCCATTTTGGAGCTCTTTGCGCAAAAGCGCACTTAAAGTAGGTCAAACACGTCTCTGTAACTATTAACGTGAATTTTGCGATTGAAACCACTGATTGGAGAGGTTGGTAGTTGAGGAACAATTGAGGTTCTAGGGTTAATCACGGGAAAAAAAGCCGGGAGGTGGAAACGGAAGTAATAGTTAGCTCAACGCGCGACAAAGATAGCAAATGGGCATGAGCGCGCGGTGGGAACTGCACGTTATCATTGGCTATATATGTTAGTCATCAACATGAGTCAGCATTATCCGAGCGGCATTTCGGGCCTTTTATTCCCCGCAGTGGGGGTCACGTTACCCGGTCAGCGGAAATCTGCAGAGGGGGAACAGCACAAGTCCATGCCTTCAACATCACTTTGGCATCACATCCTAATATATAGACTCGGGGACAAAATTGGTCTTTCAGTCACTTCGCACGCTCACCTGATAACTATCCTATAAAGCGGGTCTATATATATTGATAAACGAACAGGCTCTGCTTTTCCTTACTCGTGTTGTCACAGCCTAGTCCCAAAACGCTGAGACCACATCCCCACTACCACACCCTCTACAACTCTAACAATTCTCACAACTGCTCACTGTTGGTTTTATCATCATGGAATCCATGCGGTCACTGAACACCGGCCTGCCGAGCTCCCCGAGGCGGCCACAGCCATCGGAACAACTCCTTCAATCCTTTAAAGCTGCTGCTTTGTCAGTCACCCAACTCTACAAGACTGCAGCCCTGGACCAGGACAAGTCAAAGCAAGCTGGATACCAGGAGGCTTTAGAGGACCTGTTGAAATTCCTCGATGACGAGAATCTCGGCGTCGGTGATGGCGAGGGATGGCGAATTCGACAATGGGCTACCGAGAGGTACGACGGAAACTCATCCCTGAGCAGTGATGAAGATGTGGAAATAGAAAAGAGAGAGCACAGCTCGAGCCCACGAGGTGGCCATAAAGAAGCCTCGCAGAAAGAAACATCGCAGGCACCGCCTTCGTACCTCTCTCGCCAACCACCCACCTCGATTCCGGCCACAGCCCCTCGATCAGAAACATTGACCCCTGCCGAACAACCCCAAGAGATCACAGTCCCAACCTCGACTATGTTCACCTTTTCCGCTGGTCCGACTTTCCCTCAACGACAAGATCTGGATATGGACATGCAAGGGTCCGAAAACCCACCCTCAGCTACGCAAGACGGTGCACCAGTTAGTGTCTCCTTCACACCCCGTATTTCTCGTCACAGTCGCGGCCGACAAAACACCCGTGCTTCATCGCGGGAGTCCCCAGCTGCTCTCGGGTCGAAGCGCAAGTTCAACGTCACAGATTTTTTTGACTTTTCGGGGACAGATAAAGGACTAGATCCGTTCGGAGGTGGCAAACGTGGACGGTTCACTTAGAGCATAACAACAATGGCTCTACGAAGTTGACGAATGGATGAACACGGATGTATTATTCCGACTGTCGCGCAGCTGAAAAAGCCCTGGGGTGACCTTTTCTACTCTTATCTTTTTCGGGTGCATACGTGGGTGGAGATTGGTTGCATAATATGGTTTACCTATTGCATTTATTGGGCTGGAATTTCTTTTATCTGGGTTTTCTTCGGAAAGCATTTAGAGGACTTGGGATTGGTAACGATACCCGGTGCGGCAGCTTCCATTGACTAGCATATCGATATCAAGTATGCTATTCATACTTTTTTTGTCCTTCATTTTTCTCCTATCGTACAGTTGTATGAGTGGTATATTCCCGATTCGTCGATATCAGTTGAATGCACGCCAAACACCCACGCAGATCAAGCTCGCCGAAATGGTAGCGATTCCCAGCTGGCGTGAAGCCATCTTGTATTTCGTAGCGCTTTGCATAATGATCTTCTCTTGTTTCCGAAGGTTGTTCATGCCGCTGTAGTAGCTGTAGATACCGAGACCGACGAATGCCGCAGATCCTATGCCAGTCAATACTTCCTCATTTTAACAGTCCAAATAATATGTAATTGAAATCGTACCAGTGACCCTGCAGGCTGTGCAGTCTTCATATTTCTCCTCCGTAAGGACCTGTTTTGGATCCTTGGGCTGGATTTCTAATTGAGGAGTCATGATGAGTGTGGAAGGAGTAGATACTGCTTCAAATGTTGGAAAGGAGATAATAAGAGAAACCTTGAACAGACTGAATCAATAATCGACTCCGTCAAGCATCACCTCACACGGTAATTCATGCGGCCGAAAGATAATCAAGGCGGCGTTCGGCGGCAGAATACACAGCTTCACATGGATCGAGCTTATTAAACACCTCAACGACCCAGCATCAAATAACAGCAAAAATGAGCGGCGAGATAGATGCCGTCTACATATACGACGAGCATAAGTCAGTCAACTGGTCTCCAGATCTCTGAATCCCTGCTAACCTCCTGTAGCGCCCCTCTCGTCGAGCATGTATACAGAGCCCGCCCGCCATCGGCCGCCGCCATATTACCCCTCTACCTCGCGCATGCTGCCCCGCGTCCCTCATTACTGTACATTCCTGGCACGAATCCACCGGTGACAGTGTTCTCGATAATTCAGTCGAATCTTCTATTTCTGGCGATTAGCGAGGTGGACACTGAGCCCCTTCTGGTACTGGAGTTCTTGCATCGCGTAGTCGATGTGCTCGAGGATTTCGTCGGGGCTCCTTTACTCTCTATCAAAATCCAGTCTAACTATGAGGTCGTGGCGCAATTGCTACATGAGATGTGCGATGGCGGGTTGGTGTGCAATACCGAGCCGAATGCTTTACAGGAAGTTGTCGAGGTGCCGGGGTGGATGGGGAAGCTTCTTGGAGGAATCAGCATACCGGGGTAAGATCAAGATCAGCATATGCAGCTTGTGTTTTAATATTTGTACCTGACATCTATACATTTCTAGTACATCTACACCAACCCAAGGATCGAGTAATCCTCTGAAACAATCGCTGGCTGCAGCTAGCGTAGCTCAGGGCCCCGCGATTCCCTGGCGACGGCCCGCAGTACGACACACCTCAAACGAGCTATATGTCGACATTATCGAATCACTCTCAGTCACCATGGCGCCATCGGGGCGGTTGCTATCGGCACTGGTTTCCGGAACTATCGCATTTACAGCAAAAATATCAGGCGTGCCAGATCTTATGATGTCTCTTTCAGCACCTGGAGGTCAGCAGTCACTTGCTAAGAAGATCGAACTGCCAGTCTTCCACCCCTGTGTCCGACTCGCTCGTTGGCGAGAACGGCCCGGCGATCTCAGCTTTGTTCCTCCGGACGGCCGGTTCATTCTGGCCGGGTACGAGGTCGATTTGCTCCCCGTCGACCCAAACGCTGACGAAGCACCCAGCCACATGGAGAAACTGTTTCTCCCAGCCATAGTGGACATTCGAAAGTCATTAGGGTCAAGTGGGTCCGAGTTCGAGGTCCGCTTGACTCTTAACACGAGATTCCCGGGCTATAATCCGTCGTCACGCCCGGCTACTACGCGCAATGGTTCAGGCAGCTCGACACCTTCCTTCCTAGGCGGCAATAGCAGCTCTGCCGGGCCCATATTGGAGGAGGTTGTCGTCAGTGTGCCCATTTCCAAGTCTGTGCGACATATCACAGATATGCAGGCCAGTCGCGGTGACGCGCAGTACTCACCCAGTAGCGGGCTGCTTGAATGGCGAGTCCCAACGGGTCGTGATGCCGGAACAACATCTGGTACTGCAACGCTGCGCTGTACAGTTGCAGGCTACCCGTCTGCAGACGACGAAATCGATAGTAACGAGGACGCTGATGAGGATGCGAACGCAAACCTACTACAAGGCTACTACGAGGCTCCAACGTCATACAATGATCCGGCTGCACCAACAAGCAGGAAGACAAGATCTTCGGACCCGAACAAGAAAAAGAAAAAGAAAAAGAAGTCCACCAAGAAATCGAAACCTGTCATCGATGAAGCCGGTGACGGCTTAGAACTACCGAAACCTTCTACCCCTTCTCCCAACCACTCTAAACCTCACACTCCAACTCCAGCCGAATCACACCGTTCTCATCCTCACTCTCATTCTCAACTTTTACCTCCCTCTCAACTTCCTGCATTTTTCTCTCCATCCTCTGCGTCAAAACCTGCGCGCAGGACAAAGGCTCAGATAAATGCTTCTCTCATGCCGAACTCGGCTTCTGTCTCCTTCTCTGTGCGCGGGTGGCTTCCATCTGGTATTAAAGTAGAAAGCTTGAATATCGAGCAGCGTCGCAGTCGTGGACTGGGCGAGAGTGTGAAGCCTTATAAAGGAGTTAAGTATCTATGTGTGAGTAAGCGCGGCGTAGAAAGACGCTGCTGATCCAATACTGAAAAGGATGTCTTTTATTTTCGGGAAAATCAAGTTTTGAAGCGGAGCATGAATAATGATAGTTACTGCATACATAGAAATTTGAATATCTTCAACGATACCTACATTAGATTATAACCATGTTGTCATAGAAAGTAAACCATGCCAGATTGATGGCCTCAGGTATTTTTCAAATACTACAGCAAGTAGACGCTCATATTTCAATTTTGATTCCCTTTCCCATTCCGATTCCCATTCTTCCTGTAGCTGTCTCACCAGAACTTGGTGCCGCCACGCTCGAGGTATTTGATGACGTAGTAGTAGACTGTAAGATTGTATGAGCAGCGGTTCAGAGGAGAATGGTAGCTGAGCAGTTGAAACAAGGACGCCTCTGAATTATGATTAAACGCTTAGGCTGCCTCTTCATAGCTGAAGCGTAAGAAGAAAGTGTAGGTTATGAAAAGCCAAAGATGAAGTATGTTGAATGCCAATTGAACGATGAAAAGGGGTATAGAAGTTGAAAAGGGATCAGGTGTTTCCAGTTATTCGTCATGATCATGATTAAGACCGAAACCAAGCCGAAGGGGCAATAGAGCTTGGATACTATTTATCTTCTCCTTCTTCTGATGGAAGTGAACAATGAGAAGATGAAAGGAAAGAAGTCAAAGACTTCAAACACCAGCGCAATAGATGGAATGAAGATGTGGGAAAGACAAAAGAGCTTGGTTCACTTACTAACTGCAATAGTTGCATATCGGACAGCCCCTTTAGTAGCTGATCCACCTCCAAGTGTCAAAAACCACTTGAGCCAGCCGCATACAATCTTTTTTCCGGTGCGGTCAAAGTCTGGGTAGGTCGCAGTAGCGATCTGAAGAGATGTTAACTTAGCTCCTAAGTAATACCTGGAGTGGAAGGTGAACATACTTTAAACGGCTTCACCTTTGCAGCGTAGGGAGGGTAACGGATCCCGAGAATGGCCTCGATCCAGCCGGGGCTAGTGGTAATAGTACGGCGATGCACCCAAACATCGAAGCTGGCACGACCGCGGTATGAGCCGGTACCACTTTCTCCGACCCCACCGAATGACAAGGTGGGAATATGCAGAGAGGCGTCGTTGACGGCAACACCGCCAGATCGGGTATTGGCGATAACTAAATCAAGTCAGAGTGTGGCTGGATCAAGGGTGGTGGGGAGAGCATACTTTTCTCAACTTCGGCCTTGTTGCCGAAGGGGTAGACGCCGAGAGGTGTGCTTTGCACATTATTAGCCAGTCTAATTGCTTCATCTGTGCTGTCCACGGGAATGATGGTAAGGAAGGGACCGAAGGTCTCTGCCTCGCACAATGAGTCCTCGGTTGAGTCGAGCAAGACAAGGGTGGGCTCTATGTAGAGCTCCTCCTCGTCTAATTCACCACCCATCAAGATCTTGCCCTTAGAGTTGTCAAGTACGGACTTGAGACGTTGAAACTGTCTCTTATTGATAATACGTGAGTAGTCGGGTGATGCCTTGGCACCGTTGGGATAGAACTCGTCGTAGGCCTTCTTGAACTCCTCGATCACCTGAGGAAGGACCTCCCTGTCCACAAGGTGATAGTTCTGAGATGTGCAGATCTGGCCTGCGTTCAAAGTCTTACCCCAGAGCATGCGGCGAGCCACCAATCTCGGGTTCGCGCTCTTGGTCACAATGGCCGGGTTCATACCACCCAACTCGAGCACGACCGGGGTCAAGTTCTCCGCGGCAGTCTTGGCGATAATGCGACCGACAGCGTGACTGCCAGTGAAGAAGATCTTGTCCCATTTCTGGGCCAGCAAAAGCTGGGTCTCATCAATGCTACCTTGGATGACCTGGTAACAGGAGGGGTCAAGGGCAGTCTCAAAAAGCTTTTGCATAATAGCGGCGCAGTGCGATGAGTTTTCACTAGGCTTTATAATGACTGTATTACCAGCGGCGATAGCGCCAATGGCCGGACCCAAAGTGAGCTGGAATGGGAAGTTGAAAGAGCTTTTATCAGATATTAGCTTTACTCTTGTAATCAGGCCAAACAACATACCCAATAACTAAACAGCAACCAAAGGGATCCTTTCTAATCTTAGGATTCATTAATTTGTAGGTAATTTCAATATCTTCAGCTGATTCATCCTTGGCCCATTTCTTGAGGTTGCGAATGATGAAAACGAGGTCATTGAGCACCCATCCGCTCTCTCCGGTGATAATTTCAAACAATGGCCTGTTCAAGTCGAGTCGGCAAGCCTCGGCAATCTCCTGCTCATTGTCTTTGATGCTATTAAGATGTCAGTTTAGTCTAGCTTTCTAGTGCAGGGTAGGGTAGCACTCACGCCCAGTAAAGCTTGCGAAGCTGCACGAGACGGAACTCGATGTCGCGAGTCTTATTCTCGAAGAAAGTATTCTTTATGATAGAGACGCGATCAGGAATGGCCTCCAATGGAGTATATTTGAGCTCTGGAACAATAACACCCATTGTTGCGTGTTGCGGGGAGAAATTGAAAATGAATCAAGATGAAAAAGAGAGAAGGGGTTCATATTTGAAAATTACTTAATATTCGGGGTAAGAACACTTCCTTCCTGGCTTGACTTTAGTTCCGCCTCCTCCACTCTCGACTTGATTTTTGGTCTTGTTCCTCCTCTTCTTTTCTTCTTTACTCTTCTTTATTCCTCTTTATTCCTCTTTTTTTCTCTTGCTCGGTTTCAGCCCTTCAGCCCCGGTATTCTTAATAATTCACGTCAAATTAACCTTCAATCTAAATCCGATCTGCTTCAATACTCTAGAATCCTTCCATTCCTTCCCGTGAATATTTTCTCCGTAATCCACGTCCAACCCGACTTAGTTGTCGCAAATCTCCTTTTACAACTTTTCCTCCGGGCGCTAAGTCTTCTTTGGGGGGACTCGGACTCTGAGCCGAAAGGGAACGTTGTGAATTCTTTTATTGCTTACATCGAGAACGCCGGGAATCAAGTCAAAACGATATCCAAAAGCACGCCGCACAAAGTGACAACTACAAAGTAGGAGCTCACTGATTCTCTCAGCTCTCTCTACCCCGGAGATACTAATAATCAGTTTCTCAAGTCTCCCACTCACTTGAACTGATCCTCGGTCACTCCCTTTCCCATGGCCGCGGTACTGCTGACTCCACCAGAAACCATCTTAAGGAGATTGTCAACGTAGTTGGCACCACTCCATTTCTGATGAGTGACCACGTCGACTCCCTGAGCCATTTCAGGTTCCTGAACTAGGTCGCCATATGCACGCATGCCGATCTCCGAAAACGACTTGGAGAACTGGTGCGATATCAGCGCTGTCGTGTGCAGACCCGCCAACGTGATGAATTGCCAGCAGTATCCTAGTTCGCCCAGTCGCTTTATATACGTCTCTTGCTCGTCGCGCGGCATGGCTTTCTTCCAGTTGAATGAGGGCGAAAGATTATAGGCCAGTCTAGACAATTATCGGTCAGTTGTCGGATTTGTGCGGAGTGGGGAAGAGTCTAAAAAGGGGGTCCAGCCCGTTCGGAGGTGGAGACAGGGGGGAGACACTTACTTCTGCTCTGGCCATGCTGCGTGTACTCCGTCCGCGAACTCCTTGGCTTGTTTGTAATCTGGAAGCTTGCTCTCCATCCAGATGAGATCTGCGAATGGTGCAAATGCGACGGCACGGTTGACGGCGCATTGAGTCCCGCCCTGGTAGCGGTAGAAACCCTCCCTGGTGCGAGGAGCGTCCCAGTTCCAGTAGATATCAGCGCCGGTGAGGCTCTTGGCTATTTCCCGAGCTTCACTGTTACTCTTTCCCTTTACGGCCTTTAGGTACTGTTCGGCCAGATCCTGCTTGTTGCCGCCACTGGCATTTATGGCGTCGATGACGGCGTCGTGGAACAGCTTAAGGCCAGCTTGAGCCGTCCATTGATCTTCAATGGCTTGTAGCTCGGCGCCGTTCTTGCCCGACTGCTCGGCCTTGAACATGAGATCGTTCAAGGGCTGGATGTCAGGGTTTGTGGAGCCAATTATAAAGCTGTGATCGCGGTGGTCAATGGTCGAGGTAATGAGAGTGGCGGCTTCAGAGTCGGTACGGGCAATTGCCAAGAGATCGGAGCCTGTATCTTATTAGATATGGGTTGCGGTTGAGAGTCTATTGTACCTACCCATGATGTCGGCCTGAGCCCGGATAGCAACGAGACGGTTGATGTGCTCGCTGATTGGCACGAGCACTTTACCAGCCATATGTCCGCACTTCTTGGTACCAGGAGCCTGGTCTTCGATGTGAATACCAGCTGCACCGCGCTCAACAAAGAGCTTGGTGAGCTTCATGACGGCTGTCAAGCCACCGTGACCGGTATCGGCATCGGCAATGATAGGTCGTAGGTAGTCGATATTGGCCACTTTCGAGCGCTGATCCTTGGGGGTAGTAATGCGCTCCTCGCGCTGTTTCCGGTCATGAAAGAGCTGTGCCATAAAGAGTTGGTTGACTTTCTTTGGCACAGTGTCCTACGAGATCCTGTTTAGCGATGATCACTCAGTAACGCAAGATTAAACGTACCATAGGATAATCTGCCAGATCGGGAGAGGGCTCATCTGTTGACGAGGCTGTAGACGAGCTCTGCCAACCAGAAATGTAGATAGTGTCGAGGAACTGGCACATTTGGGTGATCATAGTTGGTTCTAGACAGCCATAGGTGTAGCTAGCTTGCTTATTCTGTTGAAGAGATGTGAGCATCGATCTCAAGTATACGGAAAGCAGACTCACATTCCAGTTTCCTTCCAAGATCTTCCAGAGCTTCTTAGCCTGGACATTAGATGGATATTCAATCGTCAGATTGCCACGTTTGGCTACAATCTGCTCAGCAGTAAAGGGCCTCTTGGTGAACCTCCAGCGTGAGTCCTTCCACCAATTTTGGACAGCTTGGACGTCCTCGGCATACTGCCGATCTTCATCTTCATGCAAACCCATGATGTTGATTTGTTAAGGCAAATTGTTTAGAAAAGTGACTTATTTTATCCGAACACAGCTCAGATATGTAATAATTTAGGCAAGAAAGAAGAGATGAAAAGAGATTTGAAGTAAAATAAACTGGCTAACTATCACATGGGGAGTACTTAACTACTTAACTCACAGTCGGTAAACTCTCGGCTGAGCGGGACCGTATAAGAGTCAGAATAATATTACCTAGGTTTTCAACGTTTATGAGTGAACCGGATATAGTTTCGGTACTGAGGATCCAGACTTGTAGATCCTCGGCCTAATGGACCAACTTTGAAGAGGTTGTATTCCAATTTTCACGTACGTTAAGAGATCATTATGGTAGTATATCGCTGAACAGTATTGTAGTATTCTATCTCTTTGACGTTATTTCTCTACACGGGCAAATCTATGCATATTGATGGAAGTAGAAATTGAGCACGCGAATAGATCGGATCAATGACGTCGAAACACATGCATCTAAACGTGACGATACACGGTAATTTTCACATGAGATGCTTATTACAACCAACCAATTCTGGAAGTATCAATTTGGATCTTAATTGTTTGCACAGATTCATAGTTCATAATCGCAATTGATTATCTACTTCTCTATCTTATTCCCTATTTCCCGTCCAAAAATAAGGAGTAAAGTCAAGATTTCAACTCGGATGTGTATCTGAGTCATCAATACAACCCGTCATGCCCCGGTATTCAGTAGTTTCTCCACATGCAAAGATCCGTTCTTCATCTGTAAGACACACTAGATATCAACATATCAATGGGAAATCGTTCATTCCCTTTACACCTGCGTACATAGAAACACCTATCTACCCAACTATGACTATCAATATGACTATCATCTTAAATAAAGTAACCCCTCACCTGAGACACGAATTCAGACCGGAACAAGATGACTGAAGATTCATTACTTGTACACCAATGACAGCCGACCCATTTTTGGACCTCGGCTTCTATACACACATCAAGACTACAGAATACATAGTATGAGGTCGACAAATGGTCTTCATACTTCCAGATTACATCATAATGATAATTATGAGAACCTTCGGGTAAATCAGGAAAACCAGGTTCCGCATCATAATTAAACCATCGCTAATAGATCTACGAGGTAAGATTCGGGATGCTAGAGCCTCTTTCTTCATTGACGGTGTTGCCGGCCCGGATTATTTTCGCTGGTTCTCGCCTTTCAATGCGGAGATTTGATTTTGCGAGGGTTTCAGTGTTTGTTTTGGAGTTGTAGTGTTTTGCATAATTAATTGTAATCCGAATTACACGAAATGAATGAATAGATACACCATATACATTCGTTTTTGAGGGGAGTGGAGTTGAAGCCGTTTTCCAAGATGAAATATCTGTTTTATAGAGCGTCTTACTCAAGTCAAGACGGTCAAAGGCAGCCCAGCTCTATACATTTTAACGCACCTGGTTTTGTCCCCATTCATCCCTTAAAAGAAAAGAGAAAAAACCCCCTTCAGTTAGCATTCTGAGATATAATAGCTTTATGGTATGTGTCGTAAGGCGTTATAGTTCCCAGCGAGCGTCGCATGTGCCCATTGAGAATCTCCAAACCATAGACGTAACTGGCATTGACCCACCCGAAGCTGGAAAAGATAGTCAGTATTTAATCAAAGCCCTTGGACGTTATTGAACTCACCCTTCTCGTGGTGCGCCCTTGAAATCAGTGCCTTGGTTTCCATACTCGGCATCGACTCGGTGCGGATCGATTGGTCGTGTCACATCATACTTCTCCACGACTACACCGTTGAAGTCGACGAACGCCTTTGTAATCATGTACAACCACTTATACGCGAGTCGTTCGGCTTCTTCCTCATATCCGTACCGCATGAATGCAGTCCAGGCCAACATCTGCTGTGGTGCCCAGCCGTAAGGGTAGTCCCATTGTCGGTTAGGTCGGTCCAAGCCTACCGGGCCGCGAGACTCTTCTGTTCCAGAGACCAGGCCACCAAATGCTTCAAATCGAGGCAGTGCTTTCTCTACCATCTGAGCAGCCTGTGCAGGTGAAGCAAGACCAGCCCACATCGCCCAGAATGTGGTAGCAGATTCGTATCCCGTACGCTCCTTCTTGACGGTGTCGTAGTCAAAGTACATGCCTTTCTCCGCGTCCCAGAGGAACTGGTCCATTCGCTGCTTGCGCTTGCGGGCCCGGCGGTCCCAGACTGCAGATGATTCAGACTCAATGTTTCTCGTCGCAGCAGTGCGGAACTCGACGGGGATCTGCAGCTTATCCTTGAAGTAGATGCGGATGATGCGAGCAATGTCCACCTCGTACTTATACAACAGCGAGTTCAGGTCAACCGTAGCCAGGTTGGCGCAGACTCGCTCCAAACGATAGCTGGTGTCGTGGCCGGACTCACGCACGGCACGGTCGTGAAGGAAGTATTCATCCAGCTCGGGTTCGCTGATTTCGCGGTTATTGTAGGCCCGGACAAAATCTTCAAAGCTCATGTCATGCTTCTTTGCATATGGCTCAATAAGATGGGTGAAGTGAGTTGCCTCGGTCTCTGGCGGCACACCCCAGCCCTCGGGGCGATACCGTGAGAGGCCGGAGACCGGGTCGTAGCGCGGCTCAGCAACCCATACACTGTGGTACTCTTTGATGGCAGCAAGAACCGCATTGCGGAGGAACTCTAGCGCACCGGGTTCATTCTTGATTCGCTCGAACACGCGCAAGGCCATGTCGGTAAGGAAAGGGGGTTGCGAGCGTGTGAGGTAATAGGAGCGATTGGCGTTCAGGATCTTCCCGTAATGCTTAATGCAGAAACAGAAGTTGATCACCATGCCCTTGGCGAGGTCAACACGATCACTGGCGAGCAGTCCCAGGGACTCCATGTAACTATCCCAACCGTATAGCTCGTTGAATCGACCCCCCGGCACCACAAATGGAACGCCGGTAAGGTCTGCATTCTCGTCTGCCTCGTCTGTGAAGTTTTCCATAGCCAGAGCCAGCAATCCTGGCTTTTCGTTCAGCTTAATGACATATTCAGGAGTTATGTCTACGTCCAACAATTGCACATCCAAACGCAACTCCGGACGCTCCTTAGCAATTCTTGTATAATACTCAAATTGTGCAGGAGCGCCCGGTGGGATGTAAATTCTAGGTCGCGGGTCATCCGTCCAGTCCTTGGGGTCCTTGCCCGCCACTTCAATATTGGAGCCATCAATACGTCGAGTGAGTGCTTTCCAGAAGGAGTTCTTAATCAAACGGGACAGTCGCGCCACCGGGTTCTCGTTCAGGCGGGCTTCATCAAGTATAATGTGTTTCCGACCGTAGTCTTTGGCAATGGTAAGTTCCTGGAGAAGATTGGAGAGCATATAAGTTCCACGGACATCAACACGGTTGAATCCTGACGATCCAGCCGTTCCGACCGAAAGCACCTATTGATTTAAGTCAGCCGCCATCATCAGAGACCCCAGCCTGGCCAACTTACCTTCGGTCCCAGATCCTCGATTGTGATCTGCATGTTACTATCAGTGTCTTCCTGCTTGAGAAGTGTCTCTAGTGTATCGTCCACTTCGATGAGGAATTTGCGAGGCTGTCCATACGACTCATCTATACAACTGGTCAGACTCAAAGGCTCAGACTTCCGTACCAATAGAAACGTACCATGACTACCTCGTCGCGAAGGTGGAATAGTACCGAGAAACTCATGGATACTATCCTTGCTATAGTCCTTCAAGCTCTAACCCCACCATTTGAGTTAGCTGGAGTCCAGTCTGCGGGGTAAAACGCACAGTCAGACCTACTTACCGCCGAGAAAGCACGTCTGCGGTCACGGATTCTTGCAATGGAGTCATCCTTCCCATAATAGATATCTGGGTGAGAGAAGGGGTCGGATGGACCCAGCTGTTGGTTTTTTGGCGAGCTCATATTCAGTCGCAGAAAGGAAGTGTCACAAAGGAAGTGGCACAAAGAAAGTATTGAGTAACGTAGGGGAGTGCCTGTTCAGTTTCCACACCGACTTTTGCTCCTGTGGCAGTGGAAATCTCACACAGTAAGGGTATGTGCGACGAATGGTGAGATGAGTTGAGGGGTTGATAATGAGCTCAAGGTGAGATAAATGATAATTCCAATTCCAATTCCAAATAAATCGGAACGAAACGGTGGGAGATATGGGAGTGGTTGAAATAAGATTTATCAGAATAGAAGAGAGGAAGAGAAGAGTAAGAAGTAGAAGAGAAGCTGTTGGAAGTGGATTTGGATAATGACGTTCAATCGATGATGTCGCCCGCTCCACAATTTAAATCGCCTCCGATAAAGGATATTCAATTGAAAGAAATAGAGGCCACAATTGACGTGGGTTCTTGTTTCTTTTTGTTTTATATTTCAAATTTCAAATACGAGGCTGGCCTGAAAAAAGCAAGTTGACTTAACCCTAAGCCATTTTTATATTTTTTTCAGACTGTCAGATGATTAGGGCTGCAGTACTTTTTACGGATTATTTATTCCAGACAGCGTGGACGTGGACGTCAACCTGGACGTGGACCGGACTGGACTGGACCTTTCTCCGACATGTAATAAGTAAGGGGTTGATTCCATGATAAATCTGTCATCTGATGACTCGTCTAATTATAATTGTCATCGCGTGACTTGATGCTTAGAGCTTTGCGGCAACGGCGCTACCCCCATCCACAGTGATAGTTGCACCATTCACATAGGCACCAGCTCGACTGCTCAGGAATAAGCAAGTACCAGCCACATCCTGGGGTGTTCCAATTCGGCCAAGTGGAATTCCAGCCTTGATTGTCTCGCCAAATGACTTGAGCGTAGCAGCCATCATCTTACTCTCAAAGGGACCGCATGCGATGGTATTGGAACTGGGAAAAGATAAAATGTCAGTATTATTATTGAGAAGTTGGATATGGACTTCATACGTAATATTTCTTTGGCCCAAGTGATTGGCCAGCACTCGGCTTAGGTGATGCAGACCGGCTTTGCTGGCACTGTAGGCATAGTTCTCAAGTGCCGGGACAGTAAGGCCATTAATGCTACCAATGTTGATGACTCGGGCTGGGTTATTCAAAGAAGATGCCTTCTCTAGAAGAGGAGTCACCAGCTGGGTTAGATCAAAAACACGTTGTAGGTTGAGGGTGAGGACTCGAGTCCAGGCCTCGGTGGGATATTCGCCGTAGGAAGCACCCCAATTAGAGCCGGAGTTGTTGACCAAGACATGGAGCTCTGCATATACCAGTGAGCCGTTTTTCTCATCCGAAATTGATGCTAAACTGACTGCTCTCTCGCTTTCCCAATTCCTCGGCCAGCTTCTTTACATCGTCGTGCTTGTAGAAATCGGCCGGGATGGCATATGCCTTGCCCTTGCCAAGTGCATTGAGCTCTTTAGCCGCCTGCTCACATGCCTTGCTATCGCGTGACGATATATAGACAGTGGCGAAGTTCGTTACATAGCCCTCAGAGATCATGCGACCGACTCCCTTAGCTCCGCCTGTAACCAGAACCACTTTGCCCTGAGTGTTATTAGCAGAGTAACGGCGTCAATTTAAGAATACCAACCTTCACATTGAAAAGACTTTCTGAATCCATCTTGCAATCTGATATCTCCAGACTTGAGCTTCCAGATGGTTACATGACTGCTTTTTGAGCTCCCCAGCTTGGTCCCCTCATTGTTACATACCCGAGCCGAGGTTCGGTGAAATACTTTTTCCGGTTCCACAATATCAGGTATGGAAGCTAGGGCAGCGCAGGGTTTCGCGGGGCGCGTTTTGACCCTACTCTAAACAATTGAGTCGATCCTTTTTTTTCAGATTATTTTATAACTTCCGATCTCTCAAACCACAATCCTCAATACATTTAAGCTTGTTCCAGTATGGATGAGCTCTTGGCAAAACAACGCAAGGAGCAAAAAGATCTGCAAGGCCGGATCACCCAGAAGAAAAAGTCCGCATCTAAAAAAACCCGCAAAGGAGTGAACGATGAGTGTGAGCGGATGCAGAGGGAGCTCAACGAGCAGCACCAGGCGGAAACGTCAGCTCTAAATGGCGATGACCCTGTCAACGGCATTGAAGATCTCAGCTTAGAAGACAATACCAAAGAATCGAACGAGAACGAAAGCAAACCTCACCAAGCCGCAGAACCCACCCCTCTATCAAGCTCAGAAGAATTATCTGCCCGAACCAAGAAACCAAACCGTCAAAAAGTCCGTCTGGCCCGCCGTGCGGCCGAACAAGCTGCGGCATCTGCAGCCGCCGCCGAAGAGGCCGCAAACCAAACTGATCACAGAGGCAACGAGCGAGAGGTCATGGAGGTGGTTTTCAAAAAGCTAGGGTTGAAAGAAGTGGAAGTGACACCGGATGGACACTGTCTATACTCGTCTGTTGCCAAGCAGCTGGATGAATCTGGACTTGGCTTGCGGCCGGACCCAAGCCGAATTGTTCTCCAGCCGACGACACAATCGCGCATTGATACCGTTGCGTCGCCGCAGCATGACGGGTACAGGGCTATTCGGGCTGTAACGGCTGATTTTATCATACAGAACAAGGACGATTTTGAAGCGTTTATGGAGGAGCCGTTGGATGAATACACGCGCAAGATCAAGCTTACTGCTGAGTGGGGAGGTCAACTTGAGCTACAGGCCATTGCGAGGGCTTATGGTGTGGACATCAATGTTGTGCAAGGTGATGGGCGAATGGAGAAGATCGAGTGTGGTGATATGGATACCTTTGAAGAGGAGGAAAAACGCAGACGCATTATCTGGCTAGCATACTACCGCCACTCCTACGGACTTGGCGAGCATTACAACGCACTTCTGAAGTCTTAATCTATAATCCCCGGATCGAAAACTTCCCGGCTGTGACTGTATTTACAATCTGCTCGATCAGATCTCCGAGTTCCACCTTTTTTCCCCCTTATGCTTCTAATATCGTCGGTGCCAAATAGAAACTCTGTCATGGATCATGCCGTTTTCATACTGGCCCCTTGGCAATGTCCGCTCAGGCTGCCAGTGTGCCACACTCTCGAACCCGGCTTTGCTCGGGGTAAGAGTGTGTTGATTGACAAAGCCCTTGTCATCATAAGGGATTTCTTCTCCCGGATGACTCAAGTGCTCCATGTATGCCTCGGATGGCGAGGCGTATGGCGGCCCCGCAGCCTTGGGATCTTTTGGACGGGGAAACTCGAGACAGATCAAGTTACCCAAGGGTGATGGAGCCAGAAGTTGAGTATGGCGAAGTGCTCATTTGGGACGAAGTGCAGGGCTCATAGCGCAAAAGAACTGTATGTGGTTAGAAAGTAGAGAAAAAGAGACATATTTGAAACTAACAAGCAATTTAAGACGCTCAAACATTTGAATACTATGGTTTGTAAGGAGTGGCAAGGTATGCACGTACTGTATAGTCATAGACAAGGTCAAATCCATTCCGAGAAACTCCAATCTCCTGCAACCATGCATCATCAAAAAAGTCACCCTGCACAAAAGTCACCTTTCCCCGACCTACAGCCTGGTCCCGAACCTGATACCAACTATAATTTTCTGCCTCCTCTTTCTTGCATGCCTCAATGGCAGTGGCACTATATTCGAGGCCGTAGGCATCATATCCAAAGCTAGCAAGCAGGAGAACATCGACTCCACGACCACAGCCTGGAACTAGGGCCTTGCACCTGTTAACATTGACAATGGGTAAGCCTAGTGTCATCTGTTGCTGCACCAATGTATCCTCTAGTGCTGGATTGGGGAATCCTTCATCCGAAGGTAAATCACCACCCTTGTCCCATAGTGCGGCCCAGCCGTCAACGTAATTTTCATCTGTGTATTGGGCCATGTGGTCCTGCATGTCTTTGGGCTTGACTGTCATTGTGGGTGAATGACAATTATAATGAAAATGTCACTGATTGGAGTATGAAGACCTGTATCTTATGCCCTGCTAGTGATCAATTATTTTGATTAATAATCACCCCAAATGTTAACTAACTAGTTAACTAAATAAGTAAATATAAACTGTTGACTTCTCATTGCCCGTGGACTGTGTTCTTATCAATTATGACCGGTGAAAGGCACACTTCTTTTTATAAGCACACATATCTAAGTAACTACTATGTAGATCTATCTATGTTGATAGATCTAGATTCTGTTGTCGGAATAAACCGCCCTTAACGGAAGAACGGCAATGATAATGAGTTCCTTGGAAGGATTCAATCCTAATAGTTATCTAATATTACCCCCTCTTTTTGATAGCCGGATATTAATCCAGACCATTCACAGATCTCGGTGATTGTCGGTGTTCTCACCGTTCTGATTCTGAATGCAGAACATGCCTTTGCAAATGGCGAAATCAAATGAAGATCTTTTTCCTATCCAATTTCCTCAGATAATGGTTTTTCCTCTTTCCTCTTCAAAAATTATTTGTATAATTGATTTCAGACGTTTTAGAGGATGATTATCTAAGGAGTTTAAATCAGCCAAAGATCCGTTCCTGCCTCTTTCGGCTCTTTATAGTCCTCACCAAACCTCCCCCACCGATTTCAGAGACCACGACAAACTCATTGCCTCTTTCATTCACACTGTTGCTGATATCGCGGAGGCTCTATATTGTTGTTTCATGCAGAGGCTTTCAGCTTGGGCATCCTATCTGGTTCAAACTCAGACACTTTGTGGTCCTGAGGAACTGCCGATTGAGAATGTCTGATATCGGAAAAGACGTCGCAATGTCGGATTCACCACAATCACGTTCGCCAACTTTCAAGGCAGAATCCCCCCACTCGGATCATGACAAGATACATGTCTACAAATCCCAGCCCCGGTCGCGCGACTCCAGCATCTCGGTGCAGAACCAGGAGAAGAACTGCAATGACCTTGAAACCCCAGTCCCGCTGTCTCGTCAGTCAACAGGACTTGGCCTGGCTGTGAAAGTACCTCGATTGAAGCGCAGAGGGCTTTTTGGTCAGTTTACTCTGGTGGCTGAAGTCGAAAATCCCAAGACCTACCCCAGAAATATGAAATGGTTCATCACATTCATTGTCGCATTGGCTAGCATGGTTGCACCCATGGGAAGTGCCATCTTTTTCCGTAGGTGACCGAGTAACACTGTGTATGTGTACCTACAACTGACAAAACCACCCGATTAGCCTCGCTCTCTCAAGTGGCCAAGGACATGAACTCGACTTCTACCATTACCAACTTGTCAATCTCCTTGTACATGCTGAGTATGTCCATTTTCCCTTTGTGGTGGTCATCCTTCAGTGAACGACTTGGACGACGCACCATTTACCTGACATCATTTGTCATCTATGTCGTCTTCAATTCCCTCTGTGCAATATCCAGCTCAATTGGCATGCTGATCGTAATGCGAATGCTGAGTGGAGGTGCTTCCGCTTCAGTGCAAGCAGTGGGCGCTGGAACAATTGCTGATCTATGGGATTCTAGTGAAAGAGGACGTGCCATGGGAATTTTCTACCTTGGCCCGTTGTGTGGACCCTTGCTAGCACCCATCATTGGTGGTCTTCTGGCTCAACGCTGGGGTTGGCGGAGCACCATGTGGTTCTGTGCGGCTTTCGGTGCCCTCGTTGTTATTTTCATCTTCTTTGCCTTGCCAGAGACGCTGGTTATTCAAAAGCCCCTACTTCCCAAAAACGAAGGCGAAGATGAGGATGGAACCCGTCCGGTCAGTCGAGCATCATCCCGAAAGGTTGTCCACTTCACGACTCGATGGCTCAAGTTTTTGAAGATCTCCTTCCTTGATCCCTTGAAGATTATTCTTTACTTGCAGTATGTTCCTGTGCTTTTGAGTGTATACTATGCCAGTGTCGCTTTTGGTTCGCTTTATGTGTTGAATGTCAGTGTGGAAGAAACCTTTGGCAATGAACCATATAATTTCTCAACAATCGTTGTTGGACTGCTTTATATTCCAAACTCACTTGGTTATCTTGTCGCAAGTATCTTCGGCGGAAAATGGATGGACAGCATTATGCACCGAGAGGCCAGAAAGGCCAACCGATATGACGAAAAGGGTAGGCTGGTCTTTCGTCCTGAAGACAGAATGCGTGAGAACGCTTGGCTTGGAGCATTCCTTTACCCAGCCGGTCTCTTGTGGTACGGCTGGACGGCAGACAAAGGGGTGTATTGGCTGGTTCCGGTATGTCGAATGATGAGTCAGATGACTACAAGGACTGACCTTTCCAGATGATTGCAAACTTCTTTTTCGGCATCGGCTCCATGCTTATATTCAGCATGGTGACTACAATGCTGACTGAGTTCATGCCCAAAAAGTCTTCCGAGGGCGTGGCGCTGAATAACTTCATGAGAAACATCTTTTCCTGCGTTGGATCACTCGTCACAGCCCCTATAATCAACGCCATCGGCAACGGCTGGCTTTTTACCATTCTGGGTATTCTCGGCTTCGCAAGCAGCTCGGTCATCTTTGCTATGCGAGTATTTGGCCCTCGGTGGCGACAAAAGATGGATGCCAACATGCGATGAGCTATTTGATTCACGGTCTGCATTGTTAGTCTTGCATTTTATATCTCAGATCTGCTGGCCATGCCCCTCCTTCATTACCAACATGTTGATCTGGCATTCACGACTTCTGTTTCACTTTTATCACACCCACCATGGGTTTATATCGATATCCCTTTGAGCGTTCTTTTCTGATGTCTTGCGTCAATGCATTTTTCTTATAGTGGTGCTTTACCATAGATGTCTAAAAGTCGGCTGGCTTGACTAAATTACAATTCGTTTTCAGCCGAGAATAGAACCGCTATTCATTGTTCAGGATCCTCTTCTCGTTGTCAAGCACAGAGAAGTAGTGTCTGAAAAGACGACCTCGAAGTCTTAAGCATTTGGAATAGCTTGATAGCTACCTAGGAAGCTGTACCTTGGTAGCTGGCGATAATCTTCTCATACTGTCTCCCAATATCCAGGGATTCAAGTAGTACTTCCTTCGTGCTGCATAGCTCATCACAACAGAAAATTCAGATGCATTTCCTAGACAAAGGACGGAATTCAGAAAGTGGTCAGGTGATCGAAGACTCAAAGACTTCTGGCTTAGTACTACTCTGCATAATAACTCGTACTCCACGGAAGACGGCAAATATTCCACGTATGTTTCTGTACTCCTTACACACTCGAAAACCAAGGCAACCAATCAAGCTACGCCACCCCGCCTTTTGTAAAACGAACTGCATTTAAACTGTATACGTCGTACATTTAATTGGTTCATCTGGAGTGACGAGTCCATCCCGATCATCGGCTGTGCAGCTTTTGTTTGAATTGCTTCTAGAGACTAGGATTTTGTTCATAGATAGTAGATTATGATGTCACTAGATCCAGATGCTTTGATTTTGCCGTATTATACCGCCTTTAGATGAGTATTGGATGTTTGCATTGGTGTATTGCTCTTCTTCAGGGACTTGGGATCAGAGCTGCATCAAAGTATGGGAACTGGACGAGGCTTCAGATAGCTACCTAGGGATGGATTCTAACCCCAGAATTCCATAATCAGCCAATAGCCATAAGAAGGGTTGTATATGCAGTTTTACAGAGTCCGTACGGAGGAGATGGACCCCAGGCTTATAATATCCCAGGTGTGATTGAAATCGATGCTCTGCTGATTGGATCCAATCAACTATCCATTTTATATTGAATACGCTGTGGTTTCTATTTGTAGTTTCACCCTGTACTACTGCTTCACGAGTTGGGTCTTTTGGGTGCCAAGCTTGAAACACGTACTAAAGAAACATGCTAGCTACACAGGTCTACGGTAGTCGATTAGCAATGCATGCTTCTTCTTTGGGGAATTTGCGACGGAAAAAAACCATTAATCTTATCCATTGATCGTCGAGAACATTGAAGAATGAAACAGTACTATGTATTGATTCTTCGTCACCTGATCTTCGCCTTCCTTCGTTCCACCGCATGTTCCTTCTCTGCACCTGCACTGCACGGTGCGCGGATGTATCATTAGGGGTCAAGATCTCCATTCCATCTGGAATTTGAAATCCCCTTACTGTACTCCGTAATACCACGCAGTTCCCCGGAGATGAGATGGGAATCGCCTGAATATCGGTGTCGAAGAGTGGACGCAGACTCGATGACTTACTCTCTCAATCAAGTCGATTGCGTTTTCGCTTTTTCGCTTTTTCGCTGTGAGTTTCTGACTCAGTGGGTTCCTACTGTTAACCTTGAATTATCTCCTACTGTCGGGTCCAGCCCCCCTTCGTCCGGCACTACTTAGCCTAAGTTAGGCGTGCGTCTTGGTTACCCGTTATCGGGGGACGTTGGGCAGAAATGGGTCAACTGCATCATTTCATTTTAGGATGCCTTTGGGAACACTGCATATTCTTTCGGTGTGGCTTCACTGCAGATTTCCAGTCTCAGACCCACTCCATATCCGCTCCAGATCAGCCCAACTTTTTGATTTTCGATGCGCTGGCTAATAGACAGATACAAAGAAGAGATGAAAACCTTCAAAACTACCGCTGGCACCAAAGAAGTTGCTTGGAAACATTTCCCTCAAGATGACCTTACTACAAGGCGGACTCGTACCAACTCTCTCCCCAGTCTAATGCTGTGGTTGCATACGCCCTGCTGTGGCTTCTCCCGCAAAGTGGGGATCATACTGCTCTGTCCCGGCCTTAATCCTGGATCGGGCCCTCATTAATCCAACCAACTTTCCTCATCGCATGGAGACCAAGAGCGACGTGGTCCAATGGCAGACCATAACATCGGACAGTTCATCGTTGATGTTCCAGGGCCCGATTGTCGCAACCATAACTGCAGCCCAGCGTTTGTATGGCCCATCCACCCCCTCGAGTAATTGAACCCTTATACGCTGCCTTACCATAGCTGTCCAATTGTAATTATGATTTATACTCGTTCAGTTTTCGAATACATGAATACATAGGTACCCGGCCACTAGTCTTTTCAATCTCCCATTTTTTGTACCTTTCTTTCCTGACTGTCCCGGTCGACACACCCACCCTTGCATCGAGCCTGACAAGCGTCTTGTCGGTCTCCCATTGTACCATTCCTCGCGTCACGCGCTACCCAGTATTATTCGCCTTGGTTTATATATGAAACGCCATTGAACGGAGGATATGGCCAAGAAGTCGAAAAAGAATAAGAATAATAAGAACGCCAACAGTCGCCTTCCCACCGGAACTACCGATCCAAATAAAGAGACCCAGGATACTGTCGACGAATCCGTTCTCACTCCGGCTGTAGGCCAGGAAGATGCAGCAGCCCGAGGAACCACATTACCAGTATGCATCCATTCCCTCGTTCACGTACGCGAGCTTCGACAGTCAATTCCAGACTCAAGATGTTGGCCATATGAAAGTTTCTTTCAGCAGACCCATTCTCCCATTCAATAATCTGACGGGGGCCAACGATCAGGAAAACAAAGAAGACCCCAACACCGACGATTCAAAGAAAGAGGAGGCTCCTGAATCCAAAGTAGACGAACCAGAAGGCTCTCCTGCTGAAAATCCAGAAGCTTCAGAGTCTGCAGGTGAGTATTGACATAATTGTAGATCAACTGTTGAAAGGTAGAGTTACTCACTCTAAATCTAGAAGCAACCGACCCAACACCACCGACTGAGCCCGCTGAGACTGAAGCTACTGAAGCTGCCCCCACCGATGTCCCCAATGAAGACGCAAAAGAAGAAGCCAAAGACGCGCCTGGCGATGATCCTGCACCAGACGCAGAGGGCGAGGGCGCAGCCGAAGCCGAGCCTCCTACGGAAGATGCAGAGCCAGAAAAGAACGATGAGAACCCTCCTTCAGCAGAAGAAGATATCGAAGCAGAACCGACGCCCGACGATATTGGAGAGAATGGTAAGTGGTTATCAAGCTCAGGGAGGTTGAAGTCTCCCGTCTAACGATTCTGTAGATGAGGAGTTTCCAGATGTTGACCCTGGGGCTGAGCACGATAAAGTAGAGGCTGAGAAAGCGGAGTTTCTAGCTGAAGATGCTGAAGCGCAAGAAGAGGTTGTAGATGAAGCTAATGCTGATGCCCCTGCTGATGAATCTAATGCTGATGCCCCTGCTGATGAGGCTAATGCTGATGCCCCTGCTGATGAAGCTAATGCTGATGCCCCTGCTGATGAAGCTAATGCTGATGCCCCTACTGACGGTGCTTCGACTGCGGTTGAACCTGCGCCTGAGGAAACTCCAGTCGCCGAAACGGAGCCGGCTGGCACTCCTTCAGAGGACCCGGTAGTAAAAGCAGCAGAGACTCCCAGTACTACTGAAGAGACTCAACAGGATGAAAAGTCAACAAATTCAGAGTCACTACCGGAGGAACTTGAACCAACCTCCTCTTCTAAGAAAAAGGATAAGAAGAAGAAAAATAGGAAGGGTAAAAAGGCGGCGGTCGCTCCAGATCCTGAGCCCGAACCTGCTGCGGAGTCAACTACTGAAACCGCATCCGAGCCTGAGCAGTCTCCTCCGAAACCAGAGGAAACCATAGCACCAGAAGCTCTGCCTAAAGAAGAGCCTGAGCAACCTGTGGAATCAGAACCACCCGTTGAATCGGAGCCACCTGCTGAATCAGAGCCACTCGCTGAATCAGAATCATCCGCTGAATCAGAACAACCTGCTGTACAGGAAGACCAACCGACAGAATCAGAAACATCAGCAGAAGCTCCCACAGAAACACCTGCAGAACCTGAAGCTCAACCAAGTGATGAAGCAGCTGCCGAACCTGAAGCTGTACTAAAGGATGAAACGGTTGCCGATATCGAGAATGACCCGATCGAATCTCCCGAAGATCTCGCGGAAGAAACTGCTTCGCCAGAACCGGAGGAAGCGAAATCCGAGCCAGAGTCTCAAGCTGAGGCATCTGATCAAGGCGCAGAAGATGTACCTGTAGAGGCTGCTTCAGTTCCAGACGCCGAAGGAAAATCCGAAGAGTTAGCCTCAGAAGCAGCTGCCGAAGAACCCAAGGACAAATCATCTACTGAAAGTCCTGGTGATCCTATTCCCAATGGGTCTATTGAAGAAGAAGCCCCTGAACAGGAAGCGGAAACTGAAGTAGCAGCTCCAGAAGTTGCCGCTGAAATTTCTGCAGAAAAGCCTGTGGAAGAATTCGTGGATGACTTTGTTGACCAACCCTTGGAAGAGCCTGTGGAAGAATTTGTGGAGGAATTTGTGGAGGAATTTGTAGAAGAACCTGAGGAACATGCGCCTGATGATGTGCCTAGTGAAGAACCAACTCCAACAGAAAATCCAGTAGAAGAAGCTCCTACAGAGGAGAAGACTTCTCCGGTAGAGAAAGAACTGACTACTGAGGACCTGGTGGATCAATTCTCGCCAGCAGAGGAGCCAGAGATGGAGGAGTCTGCTAATGACCCTCCCATCGAGGTAGAACCTGCTGAAGAGCCTATCGCGGAAGATGCACATGTTGAACAGTCTCCCGAGGCGGAGACTAAAATTGCTGCCGATGAGCTTGTCGAGGAACCTTCTGTCGAAATTGATGAATCTCCTCAAAATGATCATTCAAATGAGACTGTTCCTGAAGATTCTGCAGCTAGGGAGATTACCGCCGAGGAAGTTGCAGCCGATTTACCTGCTGAAGAGCCCGAAGCGCCGAAAGAATTGGATGTTATAGCTGAGCCTGCACCTGAAGAACCTGCTCTTGAGGAACCTGCGCCTGAGGAGCCTGCGCCTGAAGAACCTGCGCCTGAAGAACCTGCGCCTGAAGAACCTGCGTCTGAAGAGCCTGCACCTCCTGCACCTGAAGCTGCTGATCCTCCTCCAGAAGTAGTCGAGGAGATCCCCGTGGAAACCACCCGTGAACTTACTCCCGAAGCCGCGGCACCTGAAGAGGCACCTGAGCCTGCACCCGAGGTGCTTCAAGCCACGGTGGAAGAGCCAGAGCCGCTTATCCCACAGCGAGAGCAGCCCAGAAACCTTCCTCATGAAGAGCCTATTGTCAAGGAACGAGCACCTGTGGAACCGTTCCCCACAGAAACCACCCGCGATAAGCCCATGAGAGAGCCTTCTCATCGACATAAGAAACGGGTGCCATCGGATCGTGAGCGGCGGGACTCAACAAAGTCATCATCAGACGGACGTAAAGATCAGCTGAAGCGCCAGAAAAGCGAGCGAGGCATTATCACCAACCGATGGGCCAAAGCTATGGAAGAGGCTCGCCGTCAACACGAAGGGAAGAAACGCGCCGAACAAAAGAGCTACAGAAAGCACTCTATTGATGAAAACAAGGAGCCAACTGACGCCGCACCTCCATCAGGTGGTTCCAGACGCTCTGGCCACTCTCATCATTCTGCAGAGAAGGAGAGAGGGGTGGAAAGAGAAGTGCCTGCCGTTAATATAAAACCTAAACGCCGTTCCTCTGAGAAGGAGCAGCCACGCTCGTCTAAGCCCGATACTAATGTTAAGCCCAGGCGTCGCTCTTCTGACAAAGAGCAGCCTCGGTCCAAGCCTTCTTCGTCCGACAAACCGTCTGCCCCGGCACCAAAGCCCCGTGCTTTCCTCAAATACATGGCGAATGGAAAGTCAGATGGTAATGGTCCTTTTATACGGCCTAATCCCTCATCCAAGTCCTCTGCAGCTACATCCGAGCGGCCACGTCGTGATTCCACTAGTCATAGCCATGGAAGCAGTCACCATGAGCAGGCGCCAGCAGATGAGAAGGTGGAGAAAACGGAGGAGAGGAAAGTTGAGAAGAAGCCTATTCGTCGATCTCATGAACGACGTGAAGAGGGATCTCGACGCGAAGAGCATAGTTCTCGACACGAGAAGAGATCACACAAAAGAGCTGCCGAAGAACCAGAGAGCAAACCCCGCGACAAGGAGAAGAAGCCTGAGAGCTCCCGTCGCCACCATGAAAGCAGCAATGACAAGGATGTTCGAACGCACCATCGCCGTCACCGCCGTGAGCAATCTCCACCAAGAGAGCAGTCTAAGCTCAAGGGATTCTTCAAGATGATTTCGGTTCATTGAGCTTCTGGCTCATTTCGATGTTTTGGATGTTTATGCTTATGTTGATGTTGAATGAAATTGATGTGTATTATTGATGGATATTGCATAGCTTGGAAACATTGCAGGAGTACTTTTTGTCCAACTTGGACTGTATTTAGTCAACCGACTCAGACTGATCGCGTGGCATTGATTCATATTCTCCAGGCTATACCGTTACTAATCCGTGGTAGAATATATTAGGAATTTCACTGATCATCCAATGTTGGGACTACATAAGAAATGCTAATCTATCCAGGCTTTTCGTAAGATCTCTAGGATATCAAGATTCAAAACCTCTTGAGACTTGTTGACAAAAAGACAGCTCTGGAGGACACTATGACACCATGACAACCGGCATGACAACCGGCATATATAATATGGGGAATAAATATTCATTTGAACATTTCTTTATAAGTTTTCCCAGTTGTACTATCCTAGTTATCTATAAGACTTTTCGTCCCGAAGTCTGCCGATATACGCTTCTTCCACAGTTTGAGACTCATAGCTATCTGAAAGGTGCACCTGGGCAATACAAACGCATATACCTAATTCTGGAGGTCAAGACAACCTTGGAAATTCTCACTCCATCTAAATTTCCTTATCTCAAGCACGGCCCAAAACTTTTGCACGCTTGGATTTTGTAGAAGTGATTGATCTTCGGTGGCAACGCAATCTTGGAAGTATACACAGATCGAAGTTCTAAGGCTCCAAGGTTCCGAGGCTCCGAGTCTTAGGGCTCAACCTCCCACCTAGGTCTTCCCTCCCTCGATCCACTCATCATACTTGGGTATCTACATCTGCTCACCGGACCTCAAGAAATCTCTCATCCGGTAATTGTCTGACCTAAGTTCCTCAGAATCAAGATATCCCTGCAACAGCCGAGACACAAAGCCGCACCTTTCCGGAGCATAGCCTCTGAGGTCAGTGTCAGGTGGTCTGCTGACAAGAATCCAAGTCTATAGTCCTCTGGAAAACCTCCCTTATGCAGAGTTTGGAAACATACATGTGGGGGCCCAGGGGTTGACAGGAATGCTTACGAACCTAGAACTTAGGTATGACAGGAAATGGATTGATATTGCGAGATAAAATCCTGGCAGCATGGGCTCGGCACATCTTCCAAAGCTTACAAGAGAGTACAGATTGAAGGATTTGATGTTGGTACGTACTTATTTGCCATGTAGATGTCCATGGATCGTGTTGGATGCGGGCTTTGATCCATCAGTTCGGTTATTCCCGACATGTGCCTGCAGGAATGCACGCCTCCGGGGTATCAGACACGAAAACAGAGCAGATGTAGCTTACGAACAACTTACCAGCCTTTTGATAGTGCCATGAACCCACTGTCATCCCGCCAAATGCGGGTGCGGCGTCGACACTGAGACATCCTGGTTCATCTAGGAAGCTCCACATAATTTCTCCCAGTTCGTGCTAGTATAAGCTGTTTTAAACATGAGACATACAATACCTGGCTGGAAGGGTCTCTTTTGAGACCAATGACAGGGGTCTGTTGGGCCAACAGCGCCTATCTTCATGACTCAAGCACGCCACAGACTACAAGTGCTTATACAACCTTGTAAGGATATCCACGTGAATGATGTAATTTTATGGACAAAGTACTAGAGGGATTTCAAGTTAGATCGATTGATGGTTGCCACGGCAAGAGTTTTGAGGATTTGAATTGGTGCATGTACGGAACTTCCAGCATCCGGAAATTGTGGCGATATGCGCGCTATTTCGAGTGTGCTTGTCGATGGCAATCTGGCAATTGGTTGTTTGTTATTCAGAATTCTAGCTTTGGAGCTTTGGAAGTTTCGTTCAAACAGATTCTACGTTGGAGATCTACAGATTTTCATTCCTTTTCAATACCTAGTTACTTGTGTACAAATATTGGAAGCCTTGTAACGCTCAATGTTGGAGGCTAATTACGAGCAGTCCCCCGAAGTTCAAAGCAGTCAGCATATAATTTACAGAAGATAGAGTACGGAGTAGATCGGACCGCAGTAGGGCACGTGCGATAACCGTCACTACCCATGTATACTCTATTCAACGACGACTGATAACGAATCCGGAGGCAAAACTCCGAATTCCATTCCTTTGATCTATTTTAAATCAGATTATCAGTTAGCAAGGGTGGTATTATGCCGTTTTGAATTGACCTTGGTACCGGAGACCGGATATATTCCGTTTAGTACATTTGGACGCTGTGAGCAGGATTGTATACTGTAACGGAGGTATATTGAAATCAACTATACCAAAAAGAGAATGTGATGTGAAACTTGACACTTGCTGCCAAAAAGAAACTGAAACGCAGATGAAGCCACGGGGTACGAAGATAAGAATGGCAATTATTTGTCCACTAACAACGGACAGAAATTATATCCGTGGCAGCATCTGTCTGCCTCGTCCCAAAATAGGATCTCTGAAGAAGGTGAATTAGAGTATGAGAGCTAGCCCATAAGATGATTGGCTTGTTCCTACAGTGATGTAAACCTGAAACAAATTATGATCAAGTGGCTGGGGATGGGAGGTTCGTTTCAGCCCAGATTTTCATATAGTAACCCTCTATAGATAGCTTTAATTCCAGAAGGGGAAAGGACGACATGCCACGAGATACAGTCAGTGTTGCATGCAGATGCACGAAAGTGGACATGGAGTATAAAAATAGTCTTGGCACGAATTTAACAGTGTCCTTGGCTGCACTGTCCTAGAATAGTTTAGTGTTATAAGGAACGCATAAGCTCTGCATTAGTGCCGCCCCATAACCCACATTATGTCTCCTAAATAGGAGAACTTTGAGAGTAACAAGCTTGTAAAATGCTCTAGACCCAGAGAAGAAACTTGGGACTGCAGCCCTTAGTCCCTTTTAGTCTATAAATACAGTAAATTTGCTTATTTTTATCAATTCCTTCCTGAATCCTTCCAAACTACCACATGGCAAAGAAGGGATCGTGAAAAAAAAAAAAAAAAAAAAAAAAAAAAGAAGAAACAGATCGGTGAGGATTCAAATTACCCTAAATAGATTGGGTGGATTTCAATGTACCTTTTTATAAGCACGTTCTTACTGTTCCCGAACCGTAGCCCACATATGCGGGTGAGAATAGAGCCCATACGGAGTAGAACTTACGTGGTTGAACCATTGACCGTTCAAGTCCTGATCAATATCCTTCCCAGTCACCCTGAGCATCCTTAAGTCAATAGTTGAATATAAAAAATTCACATCTAATCACGGAATGGAATAGACAAGGGGTTGAATAATTTTAAATTCACGAATCACAACTGAATCCTTCTGTAAAAGGAGGGGACTTTGATGATATCGGACGCTATGGTGCGAGATCTGTCTGCGCCCAGCCTCTGATTCGTCCAATTTATTATATCGAGTGAGCCAGTAAAATCTGTTCTCCAGGGGCTCCATAGCCACATGGCCTGGTCTATGCCTTGATCATCGATCTGCAGCATCTGAAACGACCCCCAACAGCCAAAATCCCAGGGCTTGCATTGATCCATGGATGTAAGTACTCGGGACTCTAGGAGTTTGACATAAGCTGTATTCCTGTTGATTTTATCGCGCATACTCTATCGGCATACCCAAAGGTTCTTAACAAAAATAGTGAGAGCTAATAATAAACTTGGAGAGGCGTAGAGGCCCTGGAAGCTGTTTCGTCTGTAGCCGACGTCGGAACATTTACTGAGGACAAGATCCATATGGATAAGAATTTCGTTGCGTTGTCACTAAATACCGAGACAGTACCTAAATTCTTCGGATCCGAGGACGTGCAATATAAAATACATTCCATGGATTGATATAGAATCGGTATGACCCCCAAGGCTCCCCTCGGAACTCAAACTCGGGCGCGCTGGTCTACCAAACTTTGTACATGCGGAGGTTTGAGATAGATCACATTGACAAGATCGTTCACAGTCCAGCCTCGTAGTAAGCAGTTCATCATGCCGTACCTAAATGATTGGCGTCTAGATCCTACTAAGGAATAGTTTGCGATCCACTTGGAAAGCCTTGTAGTAAGCCCCGGAACATTTTGTTTTCCCGTATTCCGAAATAATCAGGATCTCTTCCCTGGTGCTATCCAAGATTCAACTTCCAGTTCCCGCTCCTGTCCACCTCAGCAGGAACATATAACTAAATTTATTTCGATGTGGGTTATGCTGCGTCCACTCCTTCATTCCCGATGCAGCGGCTCTGACATGAATCTACATAGGTACGTAGCCAGGTGAAGAACTAAGTATATCCGAACGCCGAACGGGTATAACAAATGGCCGAAATCAAGCTCGCATTTTTCTGCAGGTCTTTCAACATACTAGATTTGAATTGGCAGGTAAAGCGTGTGCTTTATTGACTAGTTGACGGGTACCTGGTACTCCGTAAGCGCACAGACAATTAAGCTCAATGCGTAGATCTACCAAAGCACGTGGTCGTTATCTTTTGACTGATTTCCTATTTGACAAGTCGCCAGGCGGTACCTAAGCTCTAAGCGAGCAAGCAACGTCAGACTGACTTCCTATTTCTGACGGTGGAGCATACCTAAGTGTAACTACTGTGTGTACTAAGGCAGGGGGGCTGCCACATGGGAAATTCTCGGTACCCACCCGAGCAGAAACAAGACGGGAATGTCAACGTTTTAACGGTGTAAGTGGAGGCAGCTAGCTTGCAAAGGTTAGAGTTGCGAAGAACTAGGTCAATCTGACCACTCAACAGAAAAAGGCGCGCATCAAAGGTGGGGTATTTTTTTTTCTTTTCTGTTTAGTGCTTGTTTAGTATTTGTTTATTCCCGTTCTAATAAAGTATTAACAATTTTGGGCTCAACGGGTTCTAGACGGGATCTCAACCGTGGTTCAGTGAGTGCGGCAAGCCACGTTCCGTTGACCATCGAGGAAAGGTACATAGTACAAATGAAAAAAAGGACTTTGGAAATCAAAACTAGGGCGGTAGATCATCCACGGAGTTCAATGTCGTCCGAGTCACCGACCCGCTCATGACAGTTCTAGGTAATTTCATTCGGAGTTCATTAACTCGGGGTTCATCACCGATTTTAATTAAGCAATTAAAAGGGGCACGTAATTCCCGATTTTGACTATTCTTGATTTGGATAATGCACACATTACTGTTTAAGGATAGAACTAAACCCGACCGTCAGGGCTCGCTTCGCAAAATTGAAGAATTTAATCTTCAAGGATCTAAGTGCTAAGGTACCCTGTATACCTATGTATCTGGGTATGCACTTTACCTTAGTACCTGGATAGAAAGATGAAAATCATCGTAAGCAAGAACAGGATTGCATTGAGTTTGATCTCTAATGAATATGAGACTACATACTATATTCCGTGCCAAGAACTGTCTCTCTTCTCTTCTTCTCTAGACCCACTGTAATAACCTTGAATGTTGAGAAATTGACCGATCGGCTGGGAGTGGATAAACAATCCAGCTTCAAGAGCTTCTCTGGTGGAAAGAGGAAAAATACGGAACAGCTCCGGACCGGCATATCTTACAGAGCGTTTACCGCTGAGGGTTATTGAGTCGGACCCGGTATACGGAGTAGTTCAGGGGTATTCTAGTTTACACATTAAAAAAAATCAACTTTTTTTTTTTTATCATCGGTAAATCGAAGTATGTTGATGCTCCGTGTACTTGCACCATTCTGAGGTTGGAATGCATAACTATGACTGATTACCTGATTACTTGCTTACTATATTCATGGATCGCCACATGGCACGCCTAAAAAAAGAACCAACCCCCATTCTCTCGTCTTACTCGCCGTAAATCTACAGCTGCAGAATCACGGATCGCAGTCAGACCTTGGAAATCCATAATCCATTCTTCATGCAGATTATGCAGAGAACTCCACTTTTCTATAAGCACTTGGAAATAGTAATATGCAGCGCTTTATTCCATGCAACCTTGAAATTTTACAATTTTACAAGTTGGAATGTAGGCCGATCACTTTTGATTTCATTTCTACTTAGGACTTAGTACTCATACACGTTAACGCCGATATACCGCTTCTTTATCATGATCCACTGTTGCAAACAATAAAAAGAGAAAGGATTCAGAGCTTGGAGCAACGAAGGAACTGGCGTGAACCACTTTGTCGGTAGTAAAATTACAAGACTATCTATCCATGCAATTTACTCGGGAAATCCGATCATCGAACATGAGCCAGGAACAGGATGAGATTAGATGCGCTATGAGTTACCAGGAATATGAATTTTTTTTTTTTGAACTAATGATAGCTAGGTATCATATGATATCAAATATGAAATACAACTTTAGAATAGAGTATGGAATATTAGAAAAAAAAAAGCCACGTTCTTACTTTCTGTTACACTTTCCCCGCGTACTCGATTTCCTCCCTTGATTCGTCATTTTGTTCCTGGCCCCATACAAAAATATATGCGATAAAGTAAGTAATAGAACAAATAAAATAAATGCAGTAAATTCAACTTCCATTTTAAGCTTTACGTCAAATCGATGTGAGACGAAACGTGCACAGTAACAACCCCTGCATAATCCCATAGTCCATGTTCCCCTACTCCGTAGTCACATATACTTTTTCTGTTGTGCGCAGAAACATACATTCCTTCCAGAATATTAATGCTGTACATATGGTTTCAAGAATTCTCCTAAATTAATACATGTACATAGGTGACGACATGTTTCATCCTGGATCTGATTCCCTATCAATCACAATCTATTATCGATACCATTAGATGGTCGAGATCCGCAAGGCCGTCCCCAAGTTCCACAAGGTCCACGAGGTCCACGAGGTCCTAAAGCTGGGGTGCAGAGTCGGGCGCAACTGCAGAGATAAGACCTGCAGATAACAATGCGAACTACAATAACAAATACCGTACCCGGGTGCCTGCATACCTCCGATCAAACCTCCTTGATAGAGACCAAAATCATCACATAGTAGTAGTAAAAGTGACGTTGATGATCGGCTGATCGTACCAGGGGCCACACATAATTAGAGTGGAGGCTTGAAGTTGCTTGGTATTGTTCATTCACCTTATACAGTAAGATCATCGTACTGAAACGAGCTACAGGACTCCAAGCAGAACTGAGGCTTACAAGTACTTTTGCCAAGGACCCAACTTACTGGCTGAGTAAGTAAGGTATTTCAAGTGTTCGGATCTTGACGTTTTGAGTTCTTTGACAGAGGAGTTTGAGAGAAATATAGGGTACAAGAGATTGTAATTGAATATAGTATAGAGCTCCTTCACTTGTCTTTCCATAGTATTAGCAATTTAATAATATATGAGCGATTTCTTGAGGATATACGGAGTATACACTATTAACTGGATCGGGAATGCCACGTTCAAAGTGTATCAGTGGGGCAAACCCGTTTAGAGCTTGGACTTTTCGCACTTTCACGCTTTGGGCCCGAATTGTACAAAATGCCTCCGTTTATAAAAAGATAGCATACTTAGTACTAATTCACCCGACAGTTTGGTAGCGAACGTACATGTATGCTATTCCTAGGGCTATATGCAGATTATAGCCGTTTTACAGCGCCAAAGTCTGGGTTGGAAATCCTTCCAACTTCCAAGTAACGACCAACTCCACCAATTAACACTCCACTCCCTCAGCCGCAGGTTATGGTTCTAAGTGTTAGGAATATTGGGGACGCTTGATCATCCCGAGCAGATCATCGCTCTCCACGCCCGTGCTAAGATAAATTATGGGTATTTTTGGATTAATCCTTTTTATTTTCGATTTTGTTTAATTAATATTCCTATTTTATTTAATCATTATTTTATTTAATCATTATTTTATTTTATTCGTTTTCCCAATTCGGTTTTTTTTTCGTTATTTTTCTTTTTTAATTCAAATCCTCCGGTAGATCTTGTACAAGGCTGTCCTCTATATCAGTCCACCTTCTCCTCCGCTCTTCTTCACTGCAGTTTCAGATTTTCAAACCCTTCAAGCCTTTCCTCTTCAATACATTCTACTGGGCTGGATCCTGGCATTTATATATATATATATATATATATATATATTCCCTTCCCTCCTCATTCAACGATGGCCCGTGGTTCCTCTACTCGCAAATCTTCTACATCCTCTAACATTCTCAACACTACCTCAATTTCTCCTTCGCCTGACTCTCAATTCACAATGGCTGGCCGAAAGAATGCCCGCCGCAATCCCCAGGCTGAGATTGTCCTGCCTGTCACTTATACTCCTACCACCCACCGCATTAGCAAAGCAAAGAAGGGCAAGCGTGTACACGCTTGTGAATTCCCTGGATGCAGCAAGGTGAGCTTTTCTTTTCTTTTCTTTTTTTTGCTATTTCGAATTTCGCATTCTGACAAGTCCTAGGTCTTCACTCGCGCTGAACATCGCAGACGCCACGAACTTAACCACAACCCTGAAGCTTCATACCGGTGTACACATCATGGTTGCAAGAAGGCCTTCCACCGACCTGATCTACTGGCCCGTCACATGGAGAGACAGTAAGTAACATCTTTGCGCGCATCGTATCGCATTCTTCAAATCAGGTAGCTAATTCAATTTTCAGTGAACTGGAGTCGCAACCCCAACCCCAATCGCAATGGGCGCATACTCAGCTCACCGATTCTTCCTCCATCCCGTGCTGTTTCCCCTCCAACACTGCTTCCCTCGTGGCGACTTCTCAACACTCGCAACCAATTTCCATTGGCTCTCTCGTCGCTCCCGGTGTACACCTTGACTTGCATAACGAATACTCGATGGGGTGGAACGGTATGGACCTGCCTCTACAGCAGCCTCGTCCTGTGAACATGTTCCAGAACCAGCTCCCCGAGACAACAGACGACAGTCCGTTTTACTCTTCGCCTGCAGAGACCTGTCCCTCGCCTTTGTCGGACGTAGCCTACTCTCTCCCTTCTCACTCTGGCTCTTCTGTCTCGTCCATGTCCTCTATCTCTTCTTCGCTTTCTGTCATTGATCAGTATCCTAAGGGTATCTACAAGTCGGATCTGAGCTCGTCTCCGTTACATATGGACTCTCCACTACGATGGGACAGTTCAGACAACATACCGCCGCATATGATTCCTCTTTCTCTAGATGAGAGCCTCATCCAGCCTCCTATCTGCCACTACCCCTCCCCATCATGGTCTACCGACTACCTGCCATATGATGACCAGGTACACTCCCTAGCACAATTCCAGCCTATCAGCTGGAAGCAATGGATGTGAAACTCGATCCATCACCGATAGCAAAGTCTCAAGTGCACATTCCACGGAATTGGCCAACCCTCTTTCCCCCTCCCCCCCCCCCTCCCCGAGGGGCCATGGACAAAAGTCCCACTCCTTGACCAGCGGTTTCGGGGGCGACCATGGACCTCCTGAATATGATGAGTCTGAACATCCTCAAAAAAAGGCACGCAAAACCTATTGCCTTGTGGTCTTGTTTTCTATCGCTTTCAAAAATTCGGCCGAAGTGCCCAATACCCATTCGTGAATGCATTGTGTTGGGTCGAGACCGCATTTAGTGGGGAAAGCTCCACCTGCCTAGAGCGGCTCATGTCGAGAGCAAAGGGGTTCACTTTATCTTCTATCTTTTTTTTTCTATTTTTCTTTTTCGCCTTTTTTTCGCTTTTTTTCACTTTTTTCACTTTTTTCACTTTTTTCACTTTTTTCACTTTTTTCACTTTTTTCACTTCTTTTTCTTCTACTTATCTTTTAGATGGGCTTGTGATTTTATTTGGATTTTATTGTTCTATGTATATTGGATTGTTTGTTGGTGTTGATGATATTATGATTTCTATGCGTCTCCTTTTTTGTTGCTGTATATATACCCTGGATGTTTACATGAATACCCTACCCTTTTAGCTTACTGTATATAATACATGAAACAATGATCATTCTGTCAACTCTTCATTCGCAATACTTTCTTCAACCTTGGCATTAGTATTCGGGACTGGATTAACATACACTTATGGTGTCATACCAATTAACGTTAGACTTGAGTATTGATAGGGTAGAGTATTCGGCGACCCCGAAGACTTAAAGTCAAATAGAACCTTGGGTTGGGGAACTTTAGTTGCACTGTTAACCCAAAGGGTCTACATTATTCAGGTTAGTTATAACTCGGATAAGCCGAGAAGGTAAATTAGGGCATCCACGGTTCCAATAGTAAGTTACATGAATCATGTAGGATCTATTCGGTACCAAATAGCAAATAGCAAATAATCAATCTCAAAACTTGTATCAATGATAATTTGACGTCAAAAACCAAGGACATAGCAATCGGGAACTAGAGATCGAGTGAGATCATCGGAAAGCAAGACCACCGACCCCCGATTAAGCAAAACCAGAGAGCACCGACTTCCGATCAAACAGCGTTTCAGCAACTCCGTCCGTTCAATCTCCGTTACTTACGGACCGAATAAATTTCCGTGGTCCGTAGCTAACGCGGGTAATTATAATTGGAAGGGAAGTGCTGTTCGGCCGGAACGTGTCAGAAATTAATATACCACTTCGATCACAGAGGTTCAATGGTTCTTGGTTGAAGGGCTGACTCTGCGGGTAGTTATTATGAAGGGACAAGCGGGACCAGGACCTGGACCTGATGAAGGTGGAGTCCATAATTAACTATACTTTTCTGACCCTGACTCAGTGATTTGGAATTTTGTAATCTTGATCTTAATCATCTGTTCATCTCTTAGCTCTGATTATTATCTTGAATATCTTCTGCCCTGAAACCTGCAACAGATCAGACCATTTTGCGGGGAAATATGCTCGCATAATTAGCGGTGATTATGTGCATGTACCATGCACATGCAGCTGCTTACTTTTTGCCCCTGAGTATAGCTTAGGTTGCCTAGACACTATCTATATATACAACACGACATTCATGGACCTGTGGATACACCTCAGGACAGAAGTGAGGCCCTCTCCTATTGGAATAGATTCCTATATGCTCTACAGATGAGGGGTATGGAGTGCAACTTAAAAATTACGAGGCAGTATTGCTAGGTTGGACTTCTTCCAGGGTTGTCAGCTGAACCCAGCCTCAATTATATCATGTTTGGGACGCCTGGTGCCCAGGTGTTCCAAAAGTTCACTTCTGCGGGAAATTTTTGTCATAATATTCCATTGGAAGCTATTCTTGATTGAGCTATGTAGACTATTCTACAGTTTCAAGGCTTCCAAAGTTGAATATCTTTCCTGAGCGCGTATCTGCCTTGGTGGCTATACAAAATGATGCAAATACTCCAGCAGGGTGGATGGCCTAACTTGGTTAACTCTTTACCTCCAAAGTCAAGGGCTATACGATGTTTACCTAGGCAAACAGCTCCAATCAATATCTCACTATTTCAGCCTCGGATTGCTCTCTTAGTGGGTTAGTATCTGACATACCTAGGTAGGAATTGCAGAATTAGGTAGCATGGAACAAGACGATCATATCAGACCTTGTATTGTTAATGGTTTGGTGTCATAGATATTCCGGTGTCAGCTATGTCATAAAGTTCCAGATTTAAACGTATCAATATTGTTATCACAGGTAACAGGATCTGAGCTGACATCGAAATGCCTCTGATGAAAGTTCAGCTCACCTGGGCAGCAACCTTGTAAAAGTCAAGTAGCGTAGTCAAGCTACTACCTAAATATCATACTTGCTTGGTAGGTCCTCTCATGATATTTAGAATAGATAAGTACAGTCATAGGGTTTAAACTCATCTCAGATATATAATAGCTTCAACCACTGATATCTCCATAAGTATTGTAGATGTATCAAGTCTATAATCTATGCCTAGGTATATCTAATTAGGTAGATAACAAGAGAATAGGATCTCATTCAGTATAGAATGATATCACCTACGTTTGTATACAGCAGCCTACCTGCGCGACATAGCCCTCCAGGGCTAATTAAGCTCTCGATTATAGCCCGTGGAATGGTATCCAAATCTTTACAAATACGGGCCTTAAACTGGGCCCAGTCAGCTATATTTTGGCACATTTCTATCAATTCGGGGTAGAACTTTCTCAATATACACTCTAATAGATGCCAGCATGGTTCGATCGAGCTCATATCAGGCGATCATGCAGGCCATTTTTTCAAGACGAATTTTCCAATGCCTCAACCGCCTTGTTTCTTTTGATGTATGGATCTAGCATTATCCTGCTGAAACATATGATTATCCTCAAAATGCTGTAAAAGGCCTTCCTCTAGAGCTTTGATATAGGATTTATTGGTAAATCTTTTACCTTCAGAACTAGAATCGCGCTCCATACCATCAACTTTGAATGACCACCAGTCTATATACACACCCATACCATCCATGATATATCCTTCACATAGACTTTAGGGCTGAAAATATACTTAGATATATGTTTTATTCTAGCATGTATGCCCACTAGATACTAGACCTGATATTCTTTAGACGGAATATTTATCCGAAAAGATCCATTTCTCAAATCCACATTTTAACACAACTTTTGAGCGAATTCGAGTCAGTATTTCGCGAGATGAGGACCAGTAGGGATCTTGATCTCTCGACGTCGTTTCAAAAGGCCGTACCCTCTAAGAATTTTCCGTATCGTAGGTCGAGAGGGGTTCGAAGTGATACTCGCAGCAAGTCGTCTATAGCTCCAGAATGGATGACGGCGCGCTTTTAGATAAATCCAGCGTTTAGCGGCTTTGCTATAGATAGGAGGACGTCCGCTTCTAGGGCGAGATTCTAGAGTTTTGGTGGCTTCGTAGCGGTCGCGCGTGTAGTAAATTGTATTGCGGGAACAGCCATAAATAGCAGCGAGTTTGGTTGGCGATACACCATTCTTGAGACTGGAGATAATTCCGGCGCGCTGATCAGTAGTAAGTTCTTGCTTTTTACCACGTTTCCCACTGATTTCTGTACTGCAGGAAGCCATTGTAGATAAATGACAGAGAATTTGAAAATGTGGGTAGAGGCCTACGCGACAAAACGCGCTAAGCAAGTGCACTAAAACTTTGTGACCCTTATGTAATCAATATCACATTTGGAACAGTAGCTCTGATAATTTTATTCAAACACTGTATTGTTCTAAGGCCCTTTGTCACTGTCATGCCTCATAAGTACCTGCTCAGGTGGCCTGAAGACATTACTCTCGAAGTAGGCAGGCATAAATGGATCCATATTCAGCAAACCCATTCCAATATTCTGAGTCTTGGTCTTCAACTCTGCCTGTCTAGCTCAATTGAATCTTGATAGACAGCCGCATACTTAGGACTCAAGACCGCGACTAGAGGGGCTTATATCAATACCCAGCTCTTAAGGACTTCATTCGGTTTGCGCGATGAACTATTCTTTCAAGGTTGCACGGATGTGGAATCTGCGTAGTCGGCGAGAATTCTGTCTTTGAAATTGAGACATGAAAGAAGTATCGAGGTTTCTGCTCTCAATCTTGGCAGCATTCGAGTATGGATGGATTATTTTGAGTCATCCGTGAACATTATATTGTAAAATTACCTGGGCAGTTTCCCCGCATTCCAGGTTTCAGATTCGAAGAATAATCACCATGTCGGGTAACGGGTTACGCATATTCTGACTAGAGTGTTACCAGGAACAACTTTGAAGGATGTGAACATCATCGCATTGGGTAGGCTAGCCTTCCTTGACTACTCATCCACCTGGGTCGAGTAATTAACGAGTGCAGACCTAGCTGAATAAACAACTTGAGAATAATATGACTAGAAGATCATTCAAAAAAAAAAAAAACTCGCGAGCACCAATAGAGCCGAAATCAAACGCTTTGAGCTGAAGTCCCCATTAATTCACGATCCAATAAATCCCACACATATTCATTAGCCAGTCTTTGTGTAGGAATTCATTTCAATTCAAGGATGTGGACACCAAGCCAGTTGAGCCATCATGCCTTTTGATTAGTCGACATTGCTAAGTAACTGCTAAGTAATGCAAGGTGGAATCTCATGAATCAAGATCAAAGCTGGGACAACGCTCGGGTATGGGATATTTAAAAGTGATATGTCGAGTAGAGTAGGAATGGGAATGGGAACAGGAACGTAGAATGATGGTCGTATAGGTTAGCGGTCGGGATTGGATACCTAAGATTCAAAATTAGGAAAACAATGTAACATAACTAGTGTGGCCTAGTAGGTACGAACCTGTAAGATCCGACGGGAGAAGTCTTTGTCATCCTCAATGCTACCATTGCTCTGACGACGCTGGGCCATGAAGTCACCATCAAAGCGAGAGGACATCTCTGGCATCTGAGAATTGCGATTGTAGTCGGGAACGTCGCGGAATCCACGGGTCTTTGATTTACGGGATCGAAAGAATAAGAATGCGGCACCAGCGATGGCGGCCACACCGACAACACCGAGCACAACACCAGCCGCGATTGTAGCGGTAGCGCGCTTGCTCTTATTCAGCTCCTCTTGGGACTCTTTGCTAGTTGCAGAGGTGGTTTTGCCAGAACTACTGCTGCTAGCAGTGGCCGTCACGACGACGGTGTCACCATTAGCGTCGGTAGTTGTCTCTGCAACGACGGCTGCACTATCAGTCTTAGAAGCGGCATCGGTGCCATCAGCCTTGGTGCCGGTGGCAGTACTGGCTCCAGCGGCGGTTGTTGTTGATGCGGCATAGACAGGCACATCCGACTCCGTGCCTGTTGTGTAAATCGACCAGTAACTTGTACCACCACCACACATGTCTGTCGGCCAACCTTGACACGCAGTATCACACTTTGAAGAATCCACTAATGATGACTTTGGAGGTAGTTCGTCACCGCAAAAGCAGTTGGAGCCGGCGTTCATTCCGAATACCGCAGAGTTGTAATTATCAAGACAGTGATTATAACACCATCCAGAACTTTGATATTCATAGCTTGTCTTGTTGGTGAGGCCCTCATCACTGCTGTAACAGCCAACTAGTGTCAAATCTCGCTTCATAATGACATCTAAAGGCTTAGCTGTGACCGAACTGGCAAGAAGAAGACTCGTGAGAGCCAAAGGGGATCGCATAGTGAGACGCATGATGAGATTAGGGAGAGAGAGGGAGAGAATGGAAAAGAAGAATCAGGAACGACCGGCGTAAACTTGAAGAACTTCGGGAGGATAACGAGTCGAGTCGTTGGGTGTTTTTTTTTTTTTATTGTTTGTAGTAGCGAGTGTTGGTTCCGAGAACCGTCGAAGGAACAGGAATGTTTAACGAATGATTCCAAAGTCAGACTCTATTACACAGAGTTAGGAGTCAAAAGCCCCGGTCGGCTTTGTTTAGAAGGACAAAATAGGATAGAGGCCGTAAGTGGAAGGAATGAGGTTGAGGAAGTTGGAATGAAGAACCCCGCGAAATAACGATTGTGAGTGAGATGGAATGGAAGAAAGAAGGAAGAACAAAAACATGAACAACAGGAAGAGTGAGAGTGAGAGAGGAATGGGGCAAGGGTCGAAAGTTCAAGGGGTCTAATCCTTGTACGGTACTAGAACAGAAAATTATTCAAGTCTACGAGGTATTTCCACCCAATGAAACATGTATTGTACTGTCAGGTAATTAAAGACTCAATCACATTAACGTAAACAGATTATGTCATCAGGGACGGGGCTGAGGTTGTGCGAACACGGCTTAATAGTGGATCCCAGTCCCGCTCTCGTTTGTTGATCTTTAATTTCACTCTTTGACTCTGAATTGATCATCGAGTTTATCATGGGATGGAATGGAGAGTTGGCTTTGTCAGTACTAAGATCTACTTGACTACTCTACATCAAATTCATGACGTAGTTACCAATCGACATTATTGGGCGAGATAGGTTCGATCGACCGTTTAAGGGGCCTAAACGTGCCGAACTTCGTTAATGAAAATCAATATACAGAATGATTTCCATTTGTTCCTTGCGGCTTTTACCTAGGATTTGAAACTTTGAGGGATATTTGACGTGCCTACCTAGGAGTATGACAGATATGACAGCTATGATTTGGTACTGTCTAAAGGGTACTATGGCTACAACTCTCTTTACTACGACGTACGGCATATTTAGGTAACTACCTAAGTATGCAACACTGATCAGAGATACTTGTATTTACTTACCAAGTACCACGGTTAAATCAACGGCCTCTCCCGAGTGGTCCACTGAGCCAACTTTTCCGTATCGTATTCTGAATCATAAACTAAATTACCCCGTAATTGTAATAACACTGACTTCTCTTAAAATAGTTATAGTTTCTGCTTCCTGAAGATAACTGATTACGATGTAAGATGTGTATTTTTGTTCACGTGAAACTATCACTATATGATTGGAAGACTCGAGGTTGTATTGCTGCGTTTTCCGCCTGATTCTATGTGACACAACTTGTGCAATCATTCAGTTCGTATTACAACTCAGTCGCATCTATCCGTACAGAGCAAACTGCTTATCTAAACTTAGAACTGATTATAAACCCTATGTATCTCTGGTAACTATACCCCTGTAAAATTGAAAGCCGGTCTAGCCTCACTGTTATATATGGAATAGTGGCACTTCTAGACCAGATAGACGGTGTGATTCTCCACCAAAAATGATGAATCAACCTCTCTGGTCAGAGGTCAGAAAGTACGTCGTGCACAAGAACGGAGTACCACAGGGCTGGGCCGGCTAGAGATGCCAGAACTAGCGGGACTTCCACCAAGGTCTAGAATCAGATCTTTTTCTTTTTTTACCGTGAAGGAACATGCCATCCTGCAGGTACGGATACCCTTTCCGTATGAATATTGCAATCGTGTACGGGGTATTCACCATACTTTAGCTTCCATCCAAGGTTACTACTCCGTGCCTCCTTCAACTCTAGGTATCCTGTGAGCCATGGCGAATATGGATTCCATTATCTCTGGGAATGACTGATTACTATAACACAACACATTGAGCACAACACCCGTCATCCGTTTCATCCTCGATTTTGAAATCCTCCCTCATCGAAGGCTCCACATAATCCCTCTTTGATCCAAATTCATGGCCACACTTCACAGTCCAGAAAACCTCATTCCCAAACCAATGATAGCTATCTGCATTATAGGGTGCTTTATCCTTAGAAAGTAAATTCTGGACCTGCCAAGGCCCATATTGGATATCTTCTACCTGTCCGCTCAACGGAGGAACCACCAACGCCTCCCAATGCGTCCACTCATGCAGAAGAGCCCCTCCCAGTGTGCTTTTGGTATGATCTAGGGTGTTCCCTATAGTGTCGCACGAGAGCGGAGTTTTCCCATCATTCGTATAGCCATACAAAAGTGCTTCTTTGCAAAGGATCAAGGCATTATTTTCGAGGATATCTAGTTCCGCAATTGTACTGCCGTCGCATGCCGGCGTGCCCTCTATTTCCGCGTTAGGTATCGTATTTAGCGTAGCTAATAGAGGGTCACCGGAGTATTCGGCATTGTTTCCTGTGATCTTTCGGAAGACGCCTATATGTGAATCAGTATTGAAGGCTGGAATGGTACTAGAAGATGAACTGACTGAACACCAAGTCCTTGTCTTTGGAAAGAAAGTACTTTTTGAATATAGGATCCACTATAGTGGTAGAGGTGGTAAGTACAGCCTTGCCTATATTCATAGCATCGTCGAATGCGTCTTTGATCTTATTCGTATCCTCTTCTGAGAAGCCATTGATTTTCATATTGTCGCGTGTTGTGCGCTTCGTCATATGTCGGCCTCGATCAAAGGGAGTGGCCAAGGCAGAGACTGCCATAAGGCATTGTAGAATAACTCCCAGCAGCATAGTAAGTGATGTCCGGATGAAAAGGGGAAAAAAATGAACTTCTTGGATACTAGCATTTTTTGATCTGCAATCAATCTGAAGCACTCCTTCCAAAAATACCGTTAGTCCTGGTATTGGATCCTGCGCCCGGAAGGATTATTTTTCGGCTCTAATTTTCTGTCTTCGCGAAACACGTCTTGTACTTTGAATTCCTAGACTACTTATCACCACTTTCCAATCTCAACGAACACACGGATGAGAGTACTTTGGAAGGGCTGACTCTACAACTCTGTGGACCTGGTGCAGGTTAGATTATCTGATGTTAATCGCCATAGTGTCTTCAATGTATCATGAACCCTAGAAACCCCAGGGCCTTTGAGTTGATTAGACATGGATTTAAATCATACTTTATGAGGTCTTACGCCTTCACTTTTACTAACCGAGCGTGAGAAACAGTTCAATTGAACCTTGCAAGTTATTGAGATGAAGACCACATGTATAAATGGAAAGTATTCCGAATAAATATCTTTAATCATTCTCCATTGAGTATAGGTTTTGAGGTATCTCAGTCGTGCCTACATAGAGCAGCATTTTTCTCACCTCTATTTTCAGTCACCCATCACAAATGATGGAGACAAGTCCAGGTCCTTTCTGAAAAAAAGGACCTTGAATCTTGTGGATGGATTCAACCAGATCACGGCTTGGGAATGTGAATGGTCTTGCTAATCATTAAACAACCGTGCAAAATGAACATCAGAGCGACGGGATGGAACTCGAAAATGGTACCCTCTGCGACAAGACCAAGGGGAATGTTTGCATGAGTCCAGCCCTGGGAAACCCAGTAGGCCATGAGAGCGGCAATACCCAAGGTAGTAGGGATGGGTGTTCCCTCGAAGTACTTGGACTTGCCAGTGTTGTCCTTGGGAAGAACGGCTACAGTGACGTTGAATCGAGCTAAGCGGGTCAGACCGCACAGAACAAAAACGGTGAGGAGAACGTGGTCGACGTTCGTACGGATACCGAGGGCAAAGGCAGCAACAGCGGGAGAGACACCGAAGGAGATCTGCGTTTATACATCTAAATTAGTCATTGAGTTCTTGCCTCCTTCGGTTATGGGATGTCTTACCAGATCCGCGAGCGAGTCAAGCTCCTGTCCCATCAGAGACGACTTCTTGCGCCACCGAGCAATTTTACCATCCATGAAGTCAAAGAACAGGCCGAATGGCATGAACGCAAGAGCAGCCCAGAGAGCTCCGTAGTCTGAAGGGTCCCCAAGGCAGTAGCGCATAGATGAGAAGATGGACATGACTGTACTGGACGGTTAGTGGGAGCGTGACAAGAGCTGAGAATTGTAAACTTGCCTCCGCAGAAGCCTAGAAACATCTACGTTAGCGATGCACATCCTAGAATACATGATGCAAACAATGTGTTGGCACGTACCGTTAAGCTCAGTCACTAGATCGGCAAGGTGGAGAGCTCTAGCGACACTATTAGATAATATTCGCACGTCCATATATCCATGATGCTCACTTCACCAGACTGAAATGACCATGTTCGGACGAGAGAAGCATCTTTTGCTTTTCTTGGCCTGGGAAATTGTAAGCAATGAACATGAGGGGTGAGGTGGTAAATTGCCAACTGACCTCCATCGCCCGAAGGTGGGCTAGGTTTGGAATTCGACGGCATGGTCGAAGGTCTACGGGACATGCTCAATGGATGACCAGGTAGAATATGGCGGTACTAGCACTAAGATGGAGAAGGTAGCGAGGGGATATGTGAATCCTGTTTCACAAGTTGTTGAGCCAAAGGTTCGTAGGCGGTCAAACGTCATCTATTCAACAAACCTTAGGCAAAACCGGGGGCTTGGATCCGCGCCACATATCAGCCACATCACCAGCCACAGATAGTACTAAGAGCGTGAGTATTGAAATCGAATAAACCTTGGAATGCTTAGAATACCTTCATATACCTTAGACTAACTTCTCTCTATGACTGATAACTACAGCACTGGATTATTACAGGATAGGAGTGATGCGGACTCTAGGCAATGTCTGATGTATCAGGCTCATTCAGTATGTAGAAAGCACATAGTCTATCAAGTTTGAACGAGAAGAATTGAAATTTTAAGCTTGGATCTGGACATATTCAACAGTTCCTGAAGCCAAGGAAACTTAACGTGTCAGGATTGCACAAGAAAGAAGAAAATATTCCGGCAAAAAGCTCCCGAATCCCCCAAACGCCGTAAGAAGACACATATTTTCGATCAGAAACGACCGCGACCACCTCCACGGCCTCCGAAGCCACCACCACCACCGCGACCTCCGAAACCACCACCGCCGCCACGACCTCCGAAGGAAGAGCCGCCTCGGCCGCCACGACCACCACCACGTGAGAATCCGCCGCGGCCTCGGTCACCACCTCCACGACCTCCAAAGCCACCACGACCCCGAGCACCTCCACGGCCTCCGAAGCCACCAGCACCGCGAGCGGCACCGCCAGCACGCTTGACCTTGGGTCCAGTTACCTTCGGCTTTGGTAGGAACCTAGGTCAAAAAGTCAGCAACAGGAAATCAATATGAAGTCTAACGAGTGGTGAAAACATACTTCTCCAGAGGAAGTAGCTTGTCGCCACCGATGTAGACCTTGTCACCAGGCTTGAACGAGGTGGCGACAATGCCGTCTTGAGGCTTAACGGTGAAGTAAAGCTGGTTGATAGGGCCGAGGACCTCATCGACCTTGCCGATGGGAGTCTGTAATGAGGAGCTTGTTAGCTTCGCACAGGTCGCTAACGGCCAAGGGTATTGTGTACCTTGTTCTCGAGGTAGATCGGGGCGTTGAAGTAGGGAATCTTCAAGTTTTCGGTCCGCTCGCAAACCAATTCACCTTCACAGTCGTGGAGCACAGTTCCCATTTCTATCCAATATATCAGTATCAATTTGTCGAATATATACATCAATTCGTTTATCGTAGGGGAATTTACCCAAAACCTGCGCCGGGGGACCGAACGATGGCTGGAAGCCTCCGCGGCCTATCACCAAAAAAATTTCGTTAGTTTCATTTGACTTCCTATCGCACGAACTCCCGGGGGATTACGCACCACCACCACGATTGGAGAAACCACCGCGGTTCGCACCAGTTCCGAAACTTCCACGACCTCTAAAAGACATGTTGTGCTGTTGTAGTTGGGGTTTGATTTGGCGTGAGAAAAGTTTTCAGGTGGTGGACGGTAAAGCGATCGCTAGCCAGGGCAGTTTCAAACCACGTGACTCACCGCCTCCGTCCCTCACGAAAGAGTCATTTTCCTATAGGGTTTTGAAGTCATTCAGTTTTGAACCTTTCCCTCCATTCTCCCCGGTTAATCTCTCTGCTACTGTCAGAAGAAACCACCATGGCTGAAGCCTCCAAAGATCTCCCCGTGCGCCCTGCCGCCGAGGCTCAAGCCACTCCTGAGACCGCTGCCCCGCCAAAAGATGCGAAATCGAAGTCCAAGGGCCCCCCGCCTGCTGATGAGCTGCCCGAGTGGCTGATCGAGCGCAACAAGCTTTTCGAGGAACTCTGGCAAGAACACCTCGAGCTCACCAAAACCCGTGACCACCCTGAGATCAATGTTACCCTCGATGTCGGCGACGGTAACCCCTCCCCCGTCCCCGCCAAGGCCTTCGAGACCACTCCTGGATCTTTCCTGCGCGATGTGCCCAAGGATGTGGCCAACAATGTTGTTATTTGCAAAGTGAACGGTGAACTTTGGGATCTGAACCGTCCCCTTGAGGCCGATTCCAAAGTCGTCTTGATTCCATTCTCCAACCCAGAGGGTCGTGAAGTGTTCTGGCACTCTAGTGCCCACACCCTGGGTGAGGCTTGCGAGTGTGCATTTGGTTGTCTTCTCTCCCACGGTCCTCCTACGCCTCAAGGTTTCTTCTACGATATGGCTATCCCCGGGGGGTATGTATTCCAGTCTACTCAATTGGCAACGAGTCATCACTAATATCTATGCCTTGTTAGACGTGTCGTTCGTGAGGGAGACTGGTCAGGATTGGATAACAGGGCGACCAAAATCTTCAAGGAGAAGCAAAGCTTCGACCGCCTCGAGGTTACCAAGGAGAATCTCCGCAAGATGTTCGCATACAGCAAGTACAAGCTGCACTACATTGAAAAACTGGTGACTGGAGAGAAGAGCACTGTCTACCGCTGCGGTACACTTGTCGATCTCTGCCGTGGTCCTCACATCCAGAACACTGGCAAGATAAAGACCTTCAAGATTATGCAGGTGAGTCATATCAGAATAATGCCTGAAGAGAACCATTTTCTGACAGTTTGTGTAGAACTCGTCGGCCTACTTTATGGGCGATCAAAGCCAGGACTCCTTACAACGTATTCGTGGTGTCGCCTTCCCGGACAAGAAACAGATGGTAGAGCACTTGAAGTTTTTGGAAGAAGCCGAGAAGCGCAATCACTTGAGAATCGGTAAGGAACAGGAGTTGTTCTTCTTCGATGAAGTGTCACCGGGTTGTGCATTCCTGCTCCCTGCTGGAACCAAGATCTTCAATGCCCTTCAGTCCCTCTTGCGATCTGAATACCGCAAGCGTGGATACCAAGAAGTCCAGACCCCTAACATGTACGATGTGTCCATCTGGAAGACTTCTGGTCACTGGGCTCACTACAAGGACGATATGTTTAAGCTGGATATCGAGAAGCGGGAGTGGGCCCTTAAGCCCATGAACTGCCCCGGCCACTTCGTCCTGTTCGGCCACCGTGAGCGCAGTTACCGTGAGCTGCCTTTGCGTGTTGCTGACTTTGGTGTTCTGCATCGAAACGAGGCAAGCGGTGCTTTGAGCGGTCTTACTCGTGTTCGCAAGTTCCAGCAGGATGACTCACACATTTTCTGTACCGAGGATCAGGTATGTAATTCTTATTTTTTATAATTGTTTGTTTCAATGACTGACTTTCTTTTACAGATCATGTCCGAGATTGAAGGCCTCTTCGAGTTCCTGCAAGCCATTTACGGCCTCTTTGGTTTCACCTTCAAGCTGAAGCTTTCCACTCGGCCTGACAACTACTTGGGTGAGATTTCTACATGGAACTACGCTGAGGAGCAGCTGAAGACTGCGATGACTAAATTCAAGGGCAATGACTGGACCATTGATGAGGGTGACGGTGCCTTCTATGGCCCCAAGATTGATATTACTATCGCCGATGCGCTTAAGCGTGAATTCCAGTGTGCCACCATTCAGCTGGATTACCAGGCACCTATCAACTTCAAGATGGAGTACATGACCAATGAGAAGTCTGTAGCTCAAGGTGACGAGGCCAAGGAGGCCAAGAAGGATGCTGAGGCTAAGCCCAATGACCTTGCCCCTGGTCGTGCTCGCCCTGTAGTAATCCACCGTGCCGTCATTGGAAGTTTCGAGCGATTCCTGGGTATCTTGATTGAGCACTTTGCTGGCAAGTGGCCCTTCTGGATCAGTCCTCGCCAAATTCTCATTGTGCCGGTCATGCCTGCCCTCAACGAATATGCCGAGGAGCTGCAGAAGATCCTCCAAGGTGACAAGCTGAATGTAGACATTGATATCAGTGGCAACACCATGCAAAAGAAGATCCGTACTGGTCAACTGGCCCAGTACAACTTTATTTTCGGTAAGTCTTTGTATCTTTGGGCGGACTATTCAATTACTGATCTTCTATAGTGGTTGGTGCTTCTGAGAAGGATAGCCGCTCTGTGAACATCCGTAACCGTGATGACCCAGCGACCCAGAAATTGGGTGTGATGGTACCTCTAGAGGAGGCTCGTTCCAAACTGCGTGCATTGCGCAAGGAAAGACGCCTGGATAGTACTCTGTAGGTTAGCTTACCGTCTTACAGTGTATACCGTAATGAAAAGTGAAATGAAGCATTTTATAGAGGAACCATAGTAGTAAGAGGTAGACTCCACTATTGAAGAACAAAGCTCGGAATGTCACATTTGTTGATTAGGCATCCTCCAACCGTTTCACCTCTTTACTTCTACTTTCTGTCCTTTCTTCCCTTTTCCTACTTCTATTTTTTTTACTCAATTTCTTTGATCACGTTTCTTTGCTTGAGTATTCTCTTATCTTCCATATATTAAAAGTACCAGGGCGCAAGTGGTGGCCTCATTTAAACCCGCCGGGTGATCGGACACTGCGGGGCTTTGCTTTTCCATCTCACCTCGAACTGTTTCTCCCCTTTTCAGCTTCTATCTTCTTCCTCATCTTTTTGGGCTGTTTCTCACCCTTACTTTCGTTGAATTCACTCAATACCTTCTCCCCTCCAATCGCGTTGTTATTCCCGACATCCCGCCATGGCTGATTTACAAGGTCGCAGGGTCTTCAAGGTCTTCAACCAGGACTTTATCGTGAGCGAACACTACACTGTCACCAAGGAGCTAGGTCAAGGTGCATATGGTATTGTCTGGTATGTTCTTTGAGACCCCGTCACAAAGTCCACGTGGGTCTGACGTTTTGTCTATTATAGCGCTGCAACCAACTCCCAGACTGGCGAAGGCGTAGCCATCAAGAAAGTCACCAATGTCTTTAGCAAGAAGATCCTCGCCAAGCGAGCTTTGCGCGAGATTAAGCTGCTCCAGCACTTCCGTGGTCATCGCAATGTACGTGGATATTTACGCCTTTGTTGATTGTGCCCCGCTCACACGCACAGATTACATGCCTCTACGATATGGACATTCCCCGCCCGGATAACTTCAACGAAACATATCTCTATGAGGGTGAGCGCTGCAATATTGCATTAATTGCAGACTTGGTCTGACACTTTAATAGAATTGATGGAATGTGACTTGGCGGCTATCATCCGGTCCGGCCAGCCTTTGACCGACGCGCATTTCCAGTCCTTCATCTATCAGATTCTTTGTGGTCTCAAGTATATTCACTCCGCTAACGTGCTGCATCGAGACTTGAAACCGGGAAACTTGCTCGTCAATGCCGACTGCGAGCTGAAGATCTGTGATTTCGGCTTGGCCCGTGGATTCTCTATCGATCCCGAAGAAAATGCTGGTTACATGACCGAGTACGTTGCCACAAGATGGTACCGTGCACCCGAAATCATGCTGAGCTTCCAGAGCTACACCAAAGCTAGTACGTTGATGATTTCTACAAACCCTACAAGAACGTCAAAGCTAACTATCTACAGTTGATGTCTGGTCTGTGGGATGTATTCTTGCTGAGCTTCTAGGTGGACGACCATTCTTCAAGGGTCGCGACTACGTCGACCAGCTGAACCAGATCTTGCACTACCTGGGAACACCCAACGAGGAGACCCTCGCGCGCATTGGATCTCCCCGCGCCCAGGACTACGTCCGCAACCTACCATTCATGCCCAAAATCTCCTTCCAGCGCCTGTTCCCGAACGCCAACCCCGACGCTCTGGACCTGCTGGACCGTATGCTGGCCTTTGACCCTTCGTCGCGTATTTCAGTCGAGGAAGCCCTCGAACACCCCTACCTGCACATCTGGCACGATGCCTCTGACGAGCCAACATGCCCCACAACCTTCGACTTCCAGTTCGAGATCGTTGACGACGTCCAGGATATGCGCAAGATGATCCTTGATGAGGTTATTCGCTTCCGCCAGACAGTTCGTCAAGGAAGCCAGTCCCAATCTATCCAGCAGCAGCAAATGGCCCAGCAGACCAATGTTCCCATCCCCGACAACCAGCAGGCTCCCTGGAAAGCCGAGGAACCGAAGCCTCAGGAGGCCTCGATTGGTGGTGGTCATTCTAATGACCTGGAGTCTTCGCTGCAGCGCGGCATGGACCACCACTAATCTTGTTTCCAAATCCTTTCATTGCGCCGACTTTAAATGAGGTACCAATGAAGTTTCTCCATCAATTTCATTATTTAGCAAAGAGATACCTCCAAGACGAAAGCCGGATTATTCAAGGGTTATTTCTCTCAATCACTTGAATAATATCCGCTTCAGTCTCCCTCTTTTCCACGTTATTTTTTCTATCCTACCATCTGTCATATGCGTGTTCTTTGTCGTATCGGATCTTATGGGTTATTTTTTTTTTGGATTGGACGCGAGTCTGAATTTTAGCATTGCCTTCATTTGGGCCATTCAATCCGACTTTTTCGGGTCTAGCAATAGATAGATGGTTTCTAGGCATAATCAATGCCACAAAATGGGAGGAGATTTGGCATGAATAAAAAGTATTGGAAAAAGGAGTTTTTGTCATGGTAAGATTAAAGAAACAGTAATTTAAAAATATATGTAAATTGAGACCAAAAGGTCTAATCAGTACGCACCAGTTCAAATGTAGCTTTCTCAACTTAGCCTTGAATGCCGCGGTAATGCCCAGACGAGTAATCCGAGGGTCAAGAGTGCGAGGGATCGTTCGCCACAACGGCTAAAATAGACTGGAAACGGAGCAGCATGAACAAAAGGCTCTGGGGGATGGGGTGATCAATATTGTTCATCGGAAGTTCGTTACTGGGAGAGATGTGATGCTCTTGTGTTCCAAGGTTCAGCGAATCAGGCTTCTAATACTCGACATATGCGAGATAGATTCTGCCATCACATATCCGAGACATAGACAGGTGCGCTTGCAGTAGTAGTACATGAGTAGTACATGGCTTCTCCTAATATTTCCCCTGTCATCCAAGAGTCACCATGCATGATGTGATTCTGTAATTTCTCGTTGACTCTCGTTGTCCACAGTACAAATTGAATTTCCGCATTGCTGCTCATTGACATTTTTTGGAGGGGTTTGCTGCGATCCTGGTGCTCTTATTCTCTGCATCAAGTATCTGTGTTCGTTATACTTGAACAATTAGTACAAAACAAATTGGGTCCATTCTGCTGATGTATACAGAAAAAGCATCTTTTGAGGCCCGTTTATTGAGCCACTCTATTGGAAGAGTCATTGCGTTGTTGTTTTGGTGAATATCCAAATCTAAATGACGCGCGTCATTCCAGGAGTAGTGGTAAACAGCAGCCTCATGCGTTGTTTTAGGTGGAAGTGAAGTAATGATGTTGGTGATCAGTCGTATTTGATGGAGTGATGATTCAGTAAATTGAGAGTGTGGAAGAATGTAGAAGAATCTAAGCTCTGATCCAAAGCCTGAAGATATACTTCTGGTTGATGAGTGAATTGGGCTGGAAATCGAATTAGTGAAACTGAAGTGAAAATGAGAAGGAGGGTGACGGGAGAATGAAAGCGAAGTGATAGCTGATGTCCAGGTACAGATCAGTAAAGATGAGCTGAATGCCTATCTTTTGGAATCATGGTATCTGCCAGCCTGGGGAAGACGTTAGTGTCATGGTCAACAACCCGATTGGTGTTCGCTATTCTGCGGACAGTGGGAATTTTCACCTAGATCAGGATGCCCTTGATGATAAATTCCTAGATTGGTATAGTTGACGATCTCTGAGGCCCAATGTACCATCCTCAAAGCTGTGGTAATGGTGTAATTGAGGGGTGAGACCTGCCTGCATCTAGAATAGCCTGCAACTGATGCAGAAGGGACGGACAAGCTGCTCGTTCTCGTCGTTTTGGGCAGAGCTTCATGCAGGAGATGAGGTCTAGATTGTAGGTTGACTGACTCTTTTTGACAAATAACATGTTTGCAATTCAAAAATAATGCAGAAGGGCCGTTGATATTCTTGCTGTGACATGTTTCAGCTGATGATGAAACCAGTGGTGGGAATTAAACTTGAAGCTGATAGACGGCTGTTTTTATGCTTGACTAAAGGTGATCTTCTCACAATTTGGAGCCATTTTGGATAGAACTGGGTTACTGCACTTATATATGGTGCACCCGCTCTACTAGTCATGAGAACTGCAGTAACCACCTATGTAGCCTGGGTGTCCTAGCTCGCTAAGGATGAACGATGGAAAGAATCTGGAGTGGAAGGCAACCTTGGGGGTGATGTGGCAATAAATAACCTTGGAAGAAGAAGATTTGGCGAAGAGCCCGTCCGAGAGTAACCCCGATGGCTTTTCATTATTGTAAATTGCAATTAAGAAGAATGGAACCCGATCAAATGCTCTCAATTTTTGATGGCAATCAAGACCGAAGAGCAAATTTTCTACAACGTGTTTGGCCCCTCGGGCATACTCAAAGGAAGAGAGACGGTTGTTCTTCTTAGCACACATGCCGTCAAGTACCTTCCATTTGCTGACCATATAGTTGTACTCGGAAGTAATGGCACAGTTGTGGAGCAAGGTCGCTTTCATGAACTTGTCGCAAATCAGCAATATGTCTTTGGTCTTGGCATCCGAGCTGATGTCCACGACATTCCTAGTTCAACAGTCGTTAGACAGTCCAAAATCGAGACCGAAGTTCAGATTCGAGCAGAATCACCTCTCTGTAGTACCAAAAGCGAGGAGTCATCCATGGCTGAACCCTAAATCGGTGCATCAAACAGAGCTATGGGCGACTCGACCGTTTTTGCACACTATGGCCGAAATATCGGTGCTTTCTGGCTGACTGTATTCCTCTCTTTAAGTATAATTTGCGGGTTCCTCTTCAATTTCCCTATGATATGGTTGAGCTATTAGAGCTCAGACTCTTTCAACAGACCCAGATCTCTCTATATTGGTATATATGCCCTACTCCAAGTCCTGGCCTTGACTACAATACTAGGTGAGGCACTGATTAGCTTGATATTGATTATTCGTAATTCTGGGTTCCGTCTATATGAGACCGCTCTATGTATAGTTGTTTCCGTGCCGCTAAGCTTCTTTTCTTAAACTGAAACCGGAACTGTGACCAATTTATTCTCCCAAGATATGATACTTCTCGACGGGGAGCTTCCATAGGCCTTAATTAATACTGTTGCGACAGCCGAGAAACAAGGCCATCAACAGACGGAAAGTATTTCGGCCGAAATAGCTTCTGCCGAGACAGCGACTCCGGAACTGGATTAGTATATCACGGCATCCTTGAACGATATGCATTCATCGCAAACGACACCCTTGAGCGATGTGCATTCGCGACAGTAATGTCCCGTCTTCACCGTCTCTTCTGTCTCGGACGAATGTTGACATTCGTCCAGGGCAGAGGGGCGCCCATGTACTATAAGTAGCTAGTTCTTTCATCAATGAAAAAGCAGACTTCACAACAACCACAATATTCAGTACTGTAGAGACCACTACACTTGGTGGTTTGTCTACGGTGTTGAGTAGTGGTTCGTTGGAGCTCACCGTTCTCAGTAACGAGCGATTAGCTAGCTACGCTCGCTAAGCGAGCGACAAATACGTCCTTGCAGACCTGGATTGCCATAGGAGGAGCTGTAGTTGCTGTAACATCATCTCCCTATATTATCATCACTTATCCCTTCGTCATCTTGATTCTCTATGTGGTTCAGAGATTCTACCTTCGCACGTCCCGTCAAATCCGACTCTTAGACTTAGAGGCCAAGAGTCCGCTCTAGTAAGATCTACACTAGTCAGAATAATAAAGTTAGTTGCTAATTTTTGTGGGATTTAGTACCCATTTTCTTGATATAATCAAGGATTTGGCTACTATTAGAGCCTTTGATTAGACAGAAAATTCCATTTCTATTAATAATAACCTACTCAATATATTATAGCGCCTAGACATGTGCATGGGTTGGGTATGGGTCAAAATTCATACCCATACCCAACCCATCAGGGGTAAGGTAAACCCATACCCATACCCAACCCAACCCACGTGGGTATGGGTTGGGTATGGGTCCCATATGGGTATTTTTGATGCCTTAATGCCTGATTTTCGCCTCAACCTAAACTAAATTAGGGTAATTAGTGTCTTAGTGCCTAATTTTTGCCTCAATCTAGTACTAACTAGGTGACAAATATCACGTGAAATAAAAGTCTTGGCAAAAAGATGGGTTTATGGGCTGGGTGTGGGTTTTACTTCAAACCCATACCCAACCCATATGGGTTTTGGGTAAAATTTCTGACCCATACCCAGCCCATTGTGGGTTGGGTTGGGTTGGGTATGGGTTTACCCAACCCAATGAACATGTCTAATAGCGCCCTATTTATCTACTAAGCATGATATAGCGATGTCTTACTTTTATACTTAATACTATAGTAGCAGTAATTACATTACTAGTAGTTGTTCTTACTACATAACTTCGCCTAAGCACTAGCTTTATAGGTGCGAGTATGGTGTCAATCATGAGCCTAGGTAAGACTCTATTGAGTCTTATGCAAATATATACTTTGTTAGAAACTTTAATAGGCGCTGTTTCTCGTTTAAAATCTTTTAGCGAGCAAACTCTTCCAGAAGATCTACCCGGTGAGGATATTCGCCTACCAGCTTTATGGCCAGAGTGTGAAGGGCTAAAGCTAATCTTAAATTCAGAACTAGCTAGGCACATGCTGTTTACAAAATCCTTGAAGAACGTGAACAATTCGGGGTGGAATCGTGAGGTATGCGGTTGGTGGGTCACGTGGTACAACCACGTGATAGTTCACCAGGATTCAACCTGTTACAATACCCCCCTCCTATTCTCCTGTTTTCCGGGGTCCATTCGAAGTCGTAATTGGTCCGTATCGTAGTTCAAAGGTGTCGAGAGCTGTGCAGTTTTCCATTGCGTCGATAGGTTCCCATGTCAGTTCTGCGTATCCTCGCCATTTCACTAATGCTTCCCTCCGCGATCCACGTCCAATTTTTCGCGTCCTTGCTTGTAGGATCTCTTCAATTTCGTATTCCAGATCTCCTTCGACTAACAGCGGAGGCGGTTGCGAATCGTCCACGATTTGTGACGGTAACGGGTCCGTTGCCGCGGGTCTTATTAACTCAACATGGAAGACAGGATGTATGCCGCTTGGCACATCCAGCTTCACTGTATGAGAGGATGGCACTTCTAGAACTGTGTATTTGGCGTGAAGCCAGTCTAGTTTCTTTGAAGGCCGTATCGTGCGTACATTCCGTAGGTTTAGCCATACTTTATCGTTGATATTATAGACTGGAGCGGCTCGTCTTGAACGATTCGCTTGTTCCTGTTGGCGTTCTTGGGCGATAGCCATCGCTGCATTTGCCCAATCGGTGGCGTCTTGTAGCCGGTTCGTGAACGTTTCCGCTGCGATCTCTGGTCCTTTCTCTGCTTGGACTTCTATCACTTCGACTGGATCGACATGGTATCCGTGTGTGAAGAAGAATGGAGATAGTCCAGTAGAGGTTGCGTCTCGGTTATTGATCGCCATGGCTACGATAGGTAGTAAACTTGCCCAGTCGTCCTGTGCGTACGTAGTAAAGGCGCGTAGAATTCGTTCGACTTCTTGATTTGCGCGTTCCGTAGCTCCATCAGTTTGGGGGTGGAATGCGGTAGATAATCGGCGTCGAATCTTTAGCTTTTCGCACACGATTCGCCAGAACCCCCCTACGAACTGTGGGCCGCGGTCACTAGTGATCGCTATCGGTAAACCATGATGCATATAAATATGCTTCATAAAGACATCTGCGACGCTTTCCGCAGTAATACTATGCATATCTATTAGGATCACTCCTTTAGATAGCCGATCAGTAATTACTAGACAATTCGTCGCTCTTTCTTTCCCAGTGGGTGGAAGTTCTGTGATGAAATCCATGGATAGTTCGGCCCAGATTCGTTGTGGAATCGGTAACGGTTTAAGTAGGCCTTGCTTCGAATCTCTCCAAATCGTGTTTCGTCCGCAAATGGTGCAATTCCTTAAGAATCTCCGTACATCGTTCGTCATTCCTGGCCAAAAGAATCTACGGGCCAGTATCGTATAGGTTGCGTCCCGTCCTGGATGTCCAGTCGTGTAGGAATCATGGACCTTCTGGATCAAGGTTGTGCGTAGTGGTTCGTTGTCTGGAATCCATGTCCTTTTCCTAAAGCGTAGAAGATTTCGTTCATCTAAGTCACACTCGGATAGGCTTATTTTCAGGTTCGATTCGGCAGGGATTCGTCGGTCTCCCTTTTCAAGTGCGAGTGCGAACTGCTGGTATATTTGATCTTCCTTCCGCGCGTTATTCCATGCTTCCTGCGTTTCTGCTTCTTCAAACATCGCCACTGGTATATCAAAGTCTAAAGGTGGACTTGGTTCAGTGCTATTGTTACGGATTGTTACTGATTCGAAGAGTTTCCGGAAACGATTCGTGAGCCTCTCATCAGAGATTCCTTTAGGTTCGTCTTGTCCTCGCCGGGATAGAGCATCTGGTTGGATCGCCTGTTTCCCGGGTCGATATCGTAGCTCAAAGTCGAATTCGGCCAGGATGTCTGCCCATCTCATTTGTCGTTCGCTTAGATCCTGCGCCTTATGAAAGTATCGTAGATTTTTGTGGTCCGTTAAGACCACGAATCGCGGGACCATCTTCAGCTCTGGCTTCCATTCCCGTAGCGCATGGATGATAGCGAGTAATTCCTTATCGTGTATCATATAATTGGTCTCTGCAGGTGAGAACTTACGCGAGAGATAGGCGCATGGTCTTAGTGTCCCATCTTCTTGTCTTTGTGATAAGACTGCTCCTGTCGCCCATCCAGATGCGTCTGTTTCCACTATTGTTTCGGTGTCTTCTCGGAAATGAGCCAATATTGGTGCAGAGATAAAGAGGTCCTTTAGGGTCTCGAATGATTCTTGTTTCTCCTTGTCCCATTTAAATATCGTATCTTTCTTTGTCAACTGCACCAATGGTGCAGAGACATCTGCGAATCGTGGTATAAACGTCCGGTAGAAGTTAGCGAATCCAACAAAACCACGTACTTCTCGGATATTAGTAGGTGCTTCCCATAGCTTAATGGCTTCAACTTTCTTCGGGTCTACACATAGACCTTCTCCAGCTCGTATGATGAACCCTAGGTATTTCACAGAGCTCTGTTCAAATTCAGATTTCTCGATATCGCATTGAAGTCCAGCATCTCTTAGCTTCTGGAGCACCTCGCGTACTTTTCGTCTATGATCCGTGATCGATCCGTCGGAGTAAATAATGATATCGTCCACATATGCTGACACAAACTCGTCGAGAAATTCGCGTAGAACTTCATTGATATACCGTTGGAAGGTTGCGGGAGCGCCAGTCAGGCCAAAAGGTGTAACTAGCCACTCATAGAGCCCGTATCGTGTTCGAAACGCTGTCTTCCATTCTTCGCCTTCCTGCATTCTGATCTTATGGAAAGCCGCTATGATATCGAGTTTGGTAAACCAGCGAGCCTTCGACATGTTTCGTAGTGTTTCTTGAATCAGAGGTAGGGGGTAACGGTCCTTGATGGTTATGGAGTTTAACCCTCTATAATCGACACAGAATCGGATGCCTCCACCAGGTTTTCGTACTAATAACACCGGTGAAGCTGCTGGCGATTTGCTGACTCGTATGAATCCTTTTCCCAGTAGATCGGTAAGAGTTTTTCGTAGAACTAATAGCTCTTCTCTATTCATTCCATATAATGGCCCATGAGGTGGTGTCGATTCGTTACCATTTCCATCGCGTGTCAAGGGTATCTTATGATCGATCCCTGGGCGATGGCTCGGAAGCTTGTCTGCTTTCTCCTGGCTAAAAACATCTAACCAAGGGAGATATTGTGGGGGAAGTTTAGCTCTCGGATCGGTGAATTTCTTAGGTTGCAGCGCCTTGTCGATATCGTCCATAGTCACTTTGGCTATTCGGAGGTGGTCCGGCGACGAAACGCTATCGAATAGTTCTTTGATTTCTCCCGCAGATGATTGCTGTACTTTCAATCTCTTTACTTTTATTGGACCGATTGACGGGTCGATACGGTTCCAACAACGAATGCGCTCTCCATTTCTCGAATGGATATCTAAATACCCTCGTTTCGCAGCGTAAACTCCGTCGACATCTTTTAACCAAGGCGTCCCAAGTATCATTTCGTCTGACTGTCTTGGAATGATGTAGGCAAAGACTTTCTGCTGTTGTAGTCCATTAACATCAAGATCGAAGTATGTGGCCTGAGTGATCCGTCCTTGATTCTTGATGACTCCGTTCAGGATTCGCGGTGGAATCGGGATACGCGGAAGGTTAAGAGATTGCGCTAGGTGTCCGCTGATAGATGCATAGCTATCGCTTCCGTTGTCTACTAAAGTCTTCGCGAATTGAATTCCATTAACTCTAGCATCGACATAGAATGACGCCTCTTTCTTTAGCAGCTTCTCAACCCCCTTCTGCTCCTGCTCGCGGTTTAGTGCAGGAGCTAATCTTTTCCCGAATCATTCTCCGCTTCATCTTCTTCGATCGCTGGCGAATACTCCCTTCTTCGGGGGTGGCTCGATCTTGGTTCTTCGACTACTGCATTCCGTACCACTACTTGGTTCGGATTCCGTGCGGGCAGTAAAGGGCATATACTTTGCCAACAGTTATCTCGACCACATCGTAGACATCTCTTTTCTGTACGGCGACGTTGGAGTTCTTCTTTCTCGACCCATTTTGCACGTTTTCCCACGAGATGTTGATCCTCTTTACGAACCTGTCCCTTTTCGTTCACGAATCGGGACGAATTCGTCTGTGTGGTGTTCGTGTTTACTGTTGGAGTCCAGTCCATCCTATCCTCTGTGGCTATGGTTGATTGATCTCTTTGGATTCGCTGGCGAGTGGATAACTGGCGTCTGCCTAATGCGATATTCAGTGTCTCGCTATCAGTGTCGATTTCGTGGAGCCGTGTGATAAGACCTATAAAATCATAGGGAACACCACGATTCATAAGCGAATTCGTCATATCTTCGTTAAGAGCGTTTAGTAAGAGTTGTCGTTTTGCTTCGTCGTGCCATTCGGTTGCACCAGCATCTGCGAGCTCTCTTTCTAACTGGGGAAGGAATCGTGAAAAAGGCTGGTCGGGCTTCTGTTTAAGCTGATGTAGACGCCGAGCTGCTCGTGATCGAGCGTTAGGGTCTCCATACATCCTCTCAAGATATTCCAGAAGCATATACGGGTTGCCTTCGCTTCGTTGTGTCTTCACAAACGTTCCGGTGTTCTTGGCGGCCATTTTCTCTAGGCGGGAAAATGTATAGAGGAATTGCTCTTGTGGGGTACCGATGGCAGCTCCGTCTACTAGCAATTTGTTCTCTATCGAGATTCTCCAGGTTGGCCAATCAGAGATGTTTCCTGCATACATCGCGGGGTCGGGGAGACGAGGGCGAGGTCGTCGACTCTGGTTATTATCGCTGGTTGATTCGATTGGTATCCCTTGTGGTTCCGTGGGTGGTTCGGGAGCGGCCCGCTCCTGGGACCGAACCACTAATTCTTCGAGTCTTCTAATTCTCTCATCGGTACTAATACTTGTCTGACTGATGTGCTGCATCAACGTCCTGGCCCACTCGGGTGGGCTCGACGGTTCGCTTGCAGCCATGATGATGAAGATATTCGTTTTCTTCTCGTGTTTGAATCGGATGCTTTCCGTCTTCAATTCGTTTGTAGGATGCTCAACTAGATACTTTCTAAGAGCTTTTCGTATTCGTTGGTATGCTCGATCGGATTCTTTCCGAGAGCGATTCGTTCGTCTGTCGTATGTGGCTCGATCAGATACTTTCTGAGAGCGCTTTTCTTATCGTCGGTCGTGGGTTTTACTCTCGTTAGAGGAAGGATTTTGTATGTGAAGGGCTAAAGCTAATCTTAAATTCAGAACTAGCTAGGCACATGCTGTTTACAAAATCCTTGAAGAACGTGAACAATTCGGGGTGGAATCGTGAGGTATGCGGTTGGTGGGTCACGTGGTACAACCACGTGATAGTTCACCAGGATTCAACCTGTTACACAGAGAAAGGCAAAATTCAAGTCCAAAATATTTCTGCAACATACTATGGTGCAGAACTGGCTATAGATATAGCAAAATCGGGAAATCTTGCTCTACGGAACCGTATATTCATAATCGAAGCTAGCCAGAAGGTAGTAATTAATAGAAGAACAGGAATATGATTTTAAAACCTATATATGATATTCAAACATTAGTATAGCCTGATCTAGATATTTATGTTTATTAATAGTGGTAAGTCTTCTATCATCCTCCTTCTTCTACGCCTCTTAGATCCACTTTCTATATATAAGGGCGACTTGATCATCGATGATGCCTCCCTCCTGAGAATGGATCGCTCTACTTTGCGCGAGCGTATAATCATAGTACCCCAGGATCCGACATTTTTTACTGATGGCACTTCATTCAAAAAGAACCTCAATTCATTCAACAAAATCGGGGAAGATGAGTGCCAGCATGTGCTCAAGATGACAGAACTTTAGGCATCTATGTCTAGTTATAGAGGTATTGACGCCGGACTGACTGCCGACATATTAAGCTAAGGCCAGAAACAGCTATTTAGTTTTGCCAGAGCGGTTATGCGTCGGCGAATTCGTTCTCGTCTACTGAATGCTGAGTTTAGGGAAAATTACTTGGAGTTAAGATCTTCTTTAGTACAGCCGCAACGTGGTGGTGGTGTCCTAATCCTTGACGAGGTCAATAGTAGCACAGACCGGGAGACGCAGAAAACCATTCAGAAGATTATATCGCAGGAATTCGAAGGTTACACTGTAATTATGGTTAGTCATCTGCTTGATGTGATCAAAGACTTTGATCAGGTTATGGTTATGGAAGAAGGTGTACTTGTGGAAAAGGACTCGCCATTGGAATTGATAAATCATGTAGGATCGTAGTTCAAAGGTCTATGGACGGCCGAGCAGGGCAAGCAGAGTTGTGACAGTGAAATTATAGCCCCTGGCAAAGATAGCCTCTGCTAGGTTGCGTTTTTGAATTGGCATTGGAGATTCAGCCTGAAGTCTTACCAAGGCGCTAAAAGAGAAGGCTGAAAATCAAATTACATAGATGGAATTTATTGATAAAAGTGAATTTGCAAAAAAGGGAGAGAAGGATACTAAATTTTCCGAATGCTACGGTAGTCTGCTAGGATTGTGGTAGAAGTGTGTAGATTCTACGTTCGAAACGCGGATCTCGAATCCAATGTTGAATGATTCAAGTTCAGACGCGTCACTCCGATGAATCATCTGGGACATTGCCCTCCGAGCCCTTTATGAGAAAGGACTGAGTGCTCAATAGATGGCACTGATCGATCTCTGAGTAAGCAGCAGCCAATCACGCTCACTGAGTAGTCACTGAGCGTTCATTCGGCCTCAGTGCTCTGTCACGTGATGAGGCTGAGCCCGGACTGAAATTTACTGAGCTTGATTCTGAGCGTCCTCATTAAAGCGGCGGTAGCTGTTTTAGGAAAGCCCCACCGTGGAAAGGAAATCTGCTACAGATGCCTAGGTAGAGACTCATGATATTATGAGAAGAGTGGGATAGGTATCCCTGAAGGTAAGTTTCTCTATGTGCCATCTTTATTAAACACTGTTACACCAGATATGGGCCCGGGTAATGTTTAGACCCAGTACTAGTTAATTTGCCTTAGGTTATACATGGCATGACCATGTTTAATATTGATATCAATAAAAGAGACTGAAGCAAAAGGCTCAAATATAGGCACAACGCTCCTGGTCTTACAATGCAGATGAAATATGGTATGGTAAGCTCAAAAATATTGCCAAAAAGGAAAGGCCGGAAGAAATGCTAAAAGAAATACAGAGAAGACGAGAAAGGCACTGCTGCATATGTGCGCTCCCAGATCAATAATAATAACCGCGCCACCAGACTGCCATAGACGCCGAAACCACCAAATCAAGCATCTTAATGCCCTCCTCTTGCACTAAAAGCTTTCCTATAGAAATTGTTAGTGAGATTCATTCTCTGGAGGAGCCTGAGATGCGGCAAAGTCCTATGTCAAGTGCTTGTCATATCTTGCAGCTCGAGTTTCGTTTGATCTCACCTAGCTTAGCTGAAGAGCCTCGGTATCCTCCTCCTGCTAGTTCCCTCGCAAGTGACATGTCCATCCTGTCCTCATCCGAATCAGGTCCACCACTGCTAGTACTGGTACTGCGACGGTGACCGGGCAGTTGGTTCTGGCGTGCGAAGCGACTTGCCCGCAGGGATGTTTTGCGGAGGATAGCTGATGGGTCGAAGTGACGATGAGTTTCAGATGAGGTGAAAGGAGTACCAGGCCCTGTGTGGGAACGGGGTCGGGAGTAGGTATTTGGGTTAAGCATTTGGGACAGGGATGTACGTTTTGAGCTTGGGTTTTGGTCTTGAGTGGGGCCGTCGTGTGTAAAGGTGGGATTTGTATGGGAGAGATTGGTTCGTGCGGCGTGGTAGTGGAGGTTAGCTGCCTGCAAAGGGAGGTTGAATCGGATTTCCGCTACTGTCACTGCGGGATTTGGTTCGCTCTCTGCGTTAACCGGGCTGTGTCTGGGTATCATGTGTTTGCACTTTAGACTGCGGCCGTTGACGCCGCTAGAGAAAGTGCAGATGCCATTCCACGGGGATTTAAAGACGTAGTAGCCGCTTTTCAGCTTGGAGCCATCGTGCGAGTAGCCGTTGCCATAGTCTATAGGCATTCCTAATTCGTCGAGAGGTTTCGAGACACAGAGTTGCCTGTGGAATTTCCGTGGGCCGGTTGCTGCTTGTTCGGTTGGTCTTTCAGGTGCTACTGAAGGTGTTACAAAAGGCCCAGAAGTGCGAATCATCCCCGCAGGAAGATTGGCTGCTAAGCTTGCCAGTGAGATGGTCTCATTTGACCCGGCAAATCTGTTGTATCCCGGCGTAGAAATATCAATATCAATAGAATTGCGGTCTGCGCTCGGGGTGGATATCGTTGCGACGTTCCATTGCGTACCAGACGCGGGGTCGCGTCGAATGAGCGTGATATGGAAGCCTGCATTGTTGTTCTGCGCAGTTTTTGGTCTTTGAGACGATCTTGGAGGTGAGTTCGTACGGCTCTGCGGCATACGAGGAGGTAATCGAGGCGGTGGTGGCCTGTTAGAATCGAGACTGTGACGGCCAGCTGACATAGTATCGAACCTCTCCTTCCACCTGCTAGTCTTTATTGGTTGATCCTCAGATGGTTGATGCCATGGCTCCTCGCTGGGGGGAAGAGCAGGCAGCGGGTGCTGTTGGTTATCTGCACTCCTGGTTCTTGAGTGATTCCTAAAATTTTTGGCTTGTTCGAGGCTCTGTGGCTTCGCTACCGGTGTCCCAGAAAAGGACATATTCTCAGCAGAAACCTGAGGCATAGCAGGTAGAGGGACAGGTCGTCGCGATAATGACCTAGCAAGTGCTGGATTTAAAGGAGCTTGAGATGCGATAGGGTTCTGAGTCAAGCCGGTTGCATCATCCTGCGCCGACTCCATTCCCCCAACAGGCTTCCGGCGGACGCGATTCATTCGCGAGAACTCAAGATCATCCTCGCCAGCTTCCCTCCGTTGCTGCGCCTCTGCCTCGCGCTCTTGCTGGAGTTTTTCTACCAGCGCCTCATCCTCGGGCGTCGCAACATGTAGATAGTAAAGTGAGGCATTGATAGCTTCAGCCGAGATACTCGACTTGGTAGCTGGTTTGACGGGTGAAAGGAATATATCTGTAGTCATAGCGCGAGTTAGCCCATCTTATCTTAGTACCTCTTAAGCGCGATAAGCCGGGGTGAGATTCCTGAAGTTCCCTTAAGTGCGGGGGATCTCATCAAGCGTACCTTGACTTCCTGGCACGCGCACGATATATAACACCAACGGGTCGAGCTTCTCGTGTGTGGGATTGCGTGGGTAGGCGGGAGGATTGGATGCGATGGCAGTGATCGACGAAAGTGATCGAGCCTCGACTGGGCCTTGAGGCACTTCAACCTTAGACATGACAAACTGGCAACGCCTGCGATGCGCCAGCCGAAAGAGTCAGACAATGTTGAGGGAAAAGAGTGATAGATTTTGCAAGACGGGGTAAGGTGAGGGACAATGTAAACAGCGGGTCCAGTCGGCAGTGGGCCATATGCCTTATTTAATTCTAATGGCTGCGGCCTGAAGAGTACGTATTCTACCTAGAGAGGCCTAGCAACAAATATTTTTAGTCGTTTCGCCATTCAGAGCACTTAAACTAATCGATGCCATAATTCTATAATTCTTATTATCTCCTTAATAAAGAGATGGAAAAAAGAAATGGTCTAGACGTGACAACAATCCCTGCCGGTTTCTCCGTGCCGGGACCGGGGTAATACTGCTATTTGGGGTAATCTACAATATATTGGGTACGAATCTCCATATATTCAGCAGGTTGTACCGATAGCTACAAGGTTATTGACATAAGAAAGGATCCAAAAGAGGGAATATATCCGGATGGGGGAAAAATCATAACTCCAATGTTCAGAACGCCACAAGACCCAACTCCCCATTTCCCGCAATGTCCATGTCGAACTTCCATATAGAATTATTAGACAACGGTTTCTGACCGTTCTCCCACTGCGATCACAGGGACACTGAGACCACGATCGGGACTTTGTAATACCAGTTGTTCGTGACGCCGCGCCCGTAAGAAATCGCTAACGGCGCGGATGAGAATGAACCAACCAACTATCATCAGAACATATGAAATCCATTCACTGGTGCTGATCGCTGTTATGCCGCCGTCACTTCCAGTGCTGTCGTTGACATGGTTGGGATCGAAATTATGACTGTTAGGGTCAGGTGGTGGGGCATATGAATCAGAACTTCCATCAGAGTCTGAGGTGTCACTACTGCTACCCTTCATGTAAAAACCGTATTGAACGAGAGTGAGGCCAAGACCCGCTCGGCTGCCATTCTTTGCGGCATGAGTAGTGTGCAAGAGATAAGTGAGTAGGAATCCAACAAGCTGGAAGGACATGGAGATCATCGCATTCCAGATGAAGGAGAAGATCGATCCAACGGGTAATCCATCCACGTAGACTTCGTCGGAGGACATCCCCGGTGCAACAATAGTTGTCTCCCAGTACGGAGGTGTGGCGTCGGCTGCAGCTTCTTCGTATGACTGTAAAGAAAATCAGTAAATGAATACCTTGAAATTTGATGTGGCGACATACAGGAGGCAGATCCTCGTTCTTTTCGCCCCGTTCTGGCTTGGCAGCCAAGTTAGCAAAGACTCCATCATTCGATGGAACTATAGCCCGACTCCCTGAAGATGTCGAGGTAAAGCTCGGGAGAATTGTTGGTCGTCGAGTGAGCCCCGAAATATGAGACTGGTCTTGCATGCCTATCGTGGACTCTGACGATGAGGATGACATTGGTCCGTTATCTAGAGGTGACCGGACATCTGGGTTCCCCCGCATCAGGCGCTGTCTATCATCTGGCTCATCATCCTCGTCCGATTCATCCTCATCTCCAAAGGCATCGGCTAAGGTTTGGTCGTCGTCGTCGTTTGAAAGTGGGTCACTATGCAATAGTTGCCGTGACGATGGCGATGATGTTGAGGAATGAAATGAGGGTGATGGTGAGGTCGAGTGGGGGTCAGATCGAGTAGGATGCAACTGATAGGACTGTGAATCATCTTCATCGCGGGCGTTCACCTAGATGGCGTCAGTCCTGATAAGGGTCTAAATCCGGGGTTTGGAGGCGATCCAACTCGGGGCTGAGAGGGGGAGGAGACGACGAACCCGTTGATAACGCTGCGAGCTCATGGCGAGCTAAGCGGTCGCAGTAATTAGAGACCAATACAACGAGAAAACAATTGTAGGAATTAGGGTGGAGAGATAAGGGGAGGAGAAGAGATGGAAGCGCCGGGAATAGAAGGCAACGTTGCTGCCTAAGGCCAAGAATCTTACAAATGCCATTATTATCTCCGAATTCATTTTCTATCCTGACCAAGACCAAAGGCGTCATTTTATTCGTCACAAAATATCCACCATCATGGCCAAACCACCGGTATGTTCACGATTACTGCAAATTTATCAATCAATTGCAATCTAATTTTCAACTAGCGTACCCTTCAAACTCGTCTCACATACCTACTCAAACACTGGCCCGCTGATGCTGTCCGGCCACCCTCCGTCTCAGTGCAATCCTACCTACAAGCAGCCCTAGGCCAGAAACCCGAGACTGATCCCAAGAAGAAGTCCGAAACACCGACACACACACCGCGAATCTCCGAGTCTTCGGCAAATTCGCTGCAATATCTACTAGAAGACCGCTTTGCGCGTCGCTATCCATTGACCTCGAAGATCCGTCATCCGGCCAGTGATCCAGATCACTATGATAACGTGGTGCGAGAATTTGCAGAGGCGCCCAACCGTGACTGGATGGGCCGCATATGGAAGCGAATAGGTGGAATCCTGCGCTTGCAGTGATTGTGGTTACTTTGATCTTGTATATTAAGATTGGGATTTATCCCTAGGTGTTTTGTTTTATTGGAACTCTCTGGTACTTCAGGGGATCTGCATGGCGTGTACTGATATATCCCGAGTTGAAATATATTCCCCTACCTACTCCAAGCCCATGTTCCAAGGCGTGATATGATAAGTCAGTAATGATCCATGATTACTGTGGATCCAATTGTGAGATGGGAAATGGTCTAGACTTCCGAATTCAAGATCTAAATCTGAGGTTATGTAGGTAGACCTACGTACCGTTTTTTCCATGCCAGCTCTTAGCATTCCCCTTCAGTATTAGTGCTCACCCCTTCGCTGCTTTTGCTCCTGAGTAGAACTGTCGATCAACTACGTTGAAAGGACAGGGTTCACACGTTGCACTATATACACTGGAAAAGGGTATGGTTCGTCCTAGATTCTTAATATATACGTTGTGCAAAGTGGTGTGAAGTGTGTTCGATTCATGTAGCTACTTGAGTTCCTGATATAGTCGCTTCCCCGTGATTCGGGGGTCTGTTTGTTCCGTTCCGGGTTTGTGGTATTGCATGATTGCAATATCCATGTTCCGATAATGAGTGAAACATGCTGATTGAAAGATGTATCGCTACTGTATCTCAGTAAAAACAAAAGAACCACCAGGCTAAAAAAAACAAGGAATCATTTAGAACCCCCCCCTCTTCCTCCTCCCCAAGGTGACTCATACTGTCAGTTACAGCCTCCATGAGGCTGGAGTTGTCGTAACCCCGCTCCCCTAGATCCCTAATATCAGCGGCCAAGATCATACCGGCTTGGGTATCCCGACCAGGATCCTTTGGTAGCTCAAAGGTTTGGTTTGAAATGAGGTGGCTTGGAATCTCCGAGCCAGAGACACAGCGAGCGAGTGATTGCAGAGTTGACCTTTGTAAATATGCGCCACCTGAGGGCCAAAACTTTTTAGCCTCTACATGGTGGCCGACGACGCTATTCTGGCGCTTTGCCCATAGATATGAGACAATAAATCGAAAATATAGATACCGACGACGGGGGCGATTGTCGTTGAGGAATTTGAGCTCCCTTTCGTCGAGGTCTTTGACACGGATGTGTCTTTTGATATTCTCTGGTTCAGAAACATATGTATAAACGATATTGTTCAATTTCTTCACGGATTGATCAAGTACAACACATTTCCAAGTCGTTGGAGTGGTCATTTTTCCAGGAATAGGGATTACTGCAATATCACCGCTATCTAGAAGGCCCTCAACAACGTGGTGCAATGAAAGTGAATTTTGCGGAAGAGTAGTCACGGCATCTTGATCTCCGAATAGATGGGCCAATTCTTCCCGGGACATACTCTTCGGAACAATGTGGGCCGCTTTGACCAGTGGAGGTGATAGGTACATCCCAAGAATATGGCACCAAGAGATATCATTTTCGATGCCGTAGTAGCGCTTAACCTCATCTTTGAACTGGGCTGCATTAAAGTGTTGGGCTTTTTGCTTACCAGACGCTTTCATGACGCGTGGGAGAATTGTGTCTCTATACGCTCTTTCGAGCAGGTCTTCGTTAGGTGGCCCTACCACGCGCGGGCGTTTCTCTAACGCGAGCGTATCAGTGAAGTCTTCTTCGAGAATATTTCGTTGACGCTTTAACACAAAAAGGGTTGAACTAGTTGATCGCAACTTGCTAATAAGAGGATTCAAATGAGTGCGGTATTCTTGGTCATCAATGGCATTAGCGAGGTTCGCTTCATCTAGGCCTTCTTTAATGCTGCAAATGTAAAGCGATTGGTTCTCTAGTTGGAGAATCTTTTCCGACAGAAAATCCGATACCGTTGACTCAATACACGTTTGAGATATTTCTGAAAGCCTTGACGCCGAACTAACTGACCGCGCCTGGTACGTATTAAGCTCGTCTTGTCGTGTTCTTGTCATCAGCGAGGATACCCTCGCTGGAACCTGGAAAAGTGGATTCGGTAACATGATGTTATCACCTTTAGAAAAAAGGGAGGATTCACAGCAAACTTAGTGAGCAGAACTGTCAAAGATAGGATTACCCTTCTTACTATATTTGGTTTAGTCTGTTTTCGTGTATAAGTCATCAGTTTCTTCAAAACATAGCGTAATTCCCGGGCAGCACCCCACAAACAATTTCAATTTCATATTTAAACACAAAAACGTAATAAAATTGACTAAATAACACGGTTCTGATACTGGTTGATTCTATGCCCTTTCTTATTAGACCTAGAAGTGACAGGTCGATTAGAAGGCAGTCCTAGACCTGATAGACATTCAATCTGAATATTCAGCCTATTAAGCACTTCTGGTCCAAAGGCAATAAACCAGTAGCCTAAAAGCTGTTTAGTATAGTATCTGCCTTAAAAGCTTTTTGACGTGCCCCAAGATCTCAATAAAATATGTTTTGTCCAGTTATATCCATGCCGTATTAGCTCTGCCACAGAACCACCATAATATTTTTTCAGTGGCCCTAAACAGCCCATATCTAAAGATTGTAGAAGATGTGATGCATGCGCAGGCATACATAAAGCAATAATGTCATGTTTCCCACATAGCTCGTCAAACATAGGCGTTAAGAGGAGTGGCAATCAAGGATCAGGAGACAATATTTACCCCGTCTATTCTGAATATTAGGGATAAAATGCATCTTAAGCCAATCAATATCAATCGGATAACTTATCTAGCTATGAGAGCTCTTATTTAAGCTCCAAGAAGGCTCTTTTTCCTTAAACTAACACTCTTTAAACACCTTTCCTTTAAAGATCAGATAAGGTAGAAGAGCTTCTCTAGCCGATCTTGTAGTCTCTATTAGCGTCACCTACTCGCGATTTCCAGGTTGTAAAACTGCTCTCCGGCCATGATATTCAGCAGAGGTAATAACACTTTCAGTCTGATTTATCCCTATCGCGAAGCCTGACTCGTCAAAGCTGAAAATATCAGCCGAATCGATACCATATTTAGTGATAGTATTTTCAACCAGCTTAAACCAGGGAACAATAATCCTAGGATCCTCTGATAAAGCTCTCTTATAGTCGTATCGTCGTGATCGATGGACTATTAGACTCGGGTGACGTTTAATAAAGCCAGTTACCCAGTTTTTACCAACTGAAATAGAGGTATTGGTAGTGGTTGAATTTCGCGACCGGAGTAATTTAAAGATTGGCCATATTTCGACATTTAGAACAGGTGAGAGCTCCTCCTCTAGAATCCATAGAAAGTAACCAATTTACCATTGATTCCTCTTCAATTTTAGAGAATAAGTGGCGAGACGGTCGTTTATCAACCATATTTTCAACACCCTTCATTCGGTCCCGTAAAGTTGATCGTGGGACATCAAATGCTTTAGAAGCGGACAGAACAGAGGTAAATTGAGCATTCTTAAGAGCTTGAATAGCTAATAAGACCCTTCCCTCCTGCTCTATAAAGTTTTTTTTTCAGTGCCAATTGGAGGCTTGGTGTGTGTTTGAAAACAGTGGGTTGAAAATAGAGTAAATATCTAGATTGGGTGGAGGAGCAACCTGGAAATACGTTATGATCATGACCAGCTCAGTGAGCCTGACCCTGAGCGCCCTCATAAAAGCGGCGGCACCTGAAATAGGAAATCCCCACCTGGAATGGAAAAAACGGTACGTAAAGCTACCTAGGTAATAGCATTATAAAAGCCATGAGAAACAACCTTGATAGGCATCAGATTCCAACCTTGGAATTTTGTCTAGTATGGTAAAGTATTTAATGCTCAACCCTCGGAAATCAAATTGATAGCTCTAGCTACCGACTAAATAGTCCATGGGTTTCTGGCGATACCTATCCAATATTTTCATGACGGCAGTTGGTTCAAATAACAATTCGTTTTCTCTTGATCGTTTAAAAGCTGATCAGCCTTTTCTTTCGAAGTAGCCACAGTCCAGCTTCTTCACATCGGCCATGATGAGTAGCCTAATTATCTTATATCTTACCTCTAATTGTATCCATCCCATGATTCTCTTGCCCTGGTTGATTCAACTCTACATTCATCTCATGTTCATATGCTTCAATCGTATCCTCAAGCGCTGTAGCCTCATCATATTCATGCTTAAATGCCTCTCTTCTCTTGCAATTGACAGTCTTTTTCCCATCACTAGTACCCTGCTCAATAGATCGTATAATCATTGAATCTTGGTTTGGTGAAACGGGATCGGGGAAGTAATAGATAGGAATGGCTATTTGGCCATACTGGTTTCACGTATCAGTCAAAACGAGCGAGTACAAGCGCTGATATTGTGAGCAGGAAATACGTGATGAATGGAGATATGGGTGATACCTGAGCTATTAATGGTAACACGTGATGCTGTTGTCATCCTTAGACTATAGAGGGCAATAGTAGCCAATGAAGAGATTAGCCTAATTTACGACGTACATAGCGTCACTACTGCACCTAGCGTAAAACAAAAGTCCCGTACCTCTTTTAGCTCCCTATCAACAGCCACTGAGAACCAACAAGGGACTGAAAACCCCTCTTTTTGTGAAATTCATATGCAAACACAGCCCCAGGTCGCCGTCTATACTGCCTGAGGCCTGGTGCTTGGCATATTTATTGGCGAACGTCTTTAGAATCTTTCACTTTAGCGCGGTACGATTTCTATTCTGAGCGCTGCGCCACGCTGCTGTGGCAGAATAGCGTCTCATGTCTACTGGGATACTTCCAAGGCTCTAGGCTATGTATAACTCGAAGTAATAGACGATTTGCTATAAAGAAGCTTTAAGAGAACCTTGGAGACATAAACGCAACAGAATATATTCATCGTTTGTCTCTGTATTCCCCAATAAATCACAATGACTTCCCGAGATTCCTATATGGCAAGTTCACCCTTAGCTCCTCTATCCGAGATCATCAAGCTCGAACCAGAGCAAGAGCCATGGTGTGCTGGTTATTCCCCTTCACAGGGTCGTCGCTGTCATGCCCGCACAAATGCGCACGGCCGCAGATCAGCTACCATACTTCTCAACGAGGGTACCAAAGACCTTCGAGCTGGTCGCAACATCGATGCACTGCTAGAGAATATAGCTCCTCATGTCCTATGTACGAGGTTCCACCAAGGCCAAGCCTTGGATCTCACACGTCGTTGGAAAAGCCAAGTCCGTCAATATCTCGATTCGCGAGTTGCTTCCACGATATCTCCAAGACCGGTGAATGTCCTATCCCGAATCGTCTATTCAGAGGCCGCAGAAGCGAATACGGAGAGGATCGCACTTATCGAACAAAGACTTTTTGAGGCCATAGAAAAGGTTAGGCGCCTTGAGGCCGTTCAGCGGGGCCTATCAATCCCTGCGAACCTTTCTAGTCCCTCTGAGGGTGGAAACACAAACGTAGTTGTCAGTCCTAGCAGCACAGCACCTGCATCAAGCAGACATACTCCGCCATTAAATCACGTTTATAATGCAGCGAGGAGGGAACCCACGCAACCTGTCAGTCAGCCAGCAATTACGATACCTCGACCAGCACAGCTCCAAGTCAGCCCGGAAACAGTGGCCGTTTCTGCATTGAGTCCAAGATCGGCCACCCCACCATTAGTGATTCACACCTTCAGCAGCACCGACCAGGAGAACAGCCAGAGAGAAACATCAGAACCCAATCGCCGCCAGGTCGAAGGAGAGTGTGGGATTTGTTTGTGCGATTTGCATATTCCACAACAAGATGTGGACTGCGAGGAAGAAGAGCAAGGCGAGCACGCTGACGGTGATGAGTACAATGACGACAACGAAGACCCCAGCGACGATGATGATGACGATGATAGCGATAGATACGATGAGCAAACAGAGACCGAGGATGAGCATGAACATCAAAATGAAGAATTGGTTTGGTGCAAGGCACGCTGTGGAGTCAACTTCCACAAACGATGCATCGACCAATGGCTGGAATCAGATCATGCTCCCACATGCCCAATGTGTAGGAGTAAGTGGAAGCACTGAATGAAAGTGAAATTTGTTAGTTTATTACATTGCACTTCTGAATATTGAGTTCATGATTTTAACAATAGCACACAAAGAAATGAATATTGTTCTGTCTAATCATGAGTAAACATGCTGTGTTTGTCTTCCACATACTGATAAATGCCACCTATCATGAAAACAGGTATTGAGTGGCAGACTTAGCATACGTGAAAGTTCAGGATTTATTTAGTTTCATGGTTAGAGAGAGTACCCCGTGAGGACCCCCCGTGATGACAAACTCGTGACTTTAGGACATATTTTACTTATTAGATAGAAGATTGATTCTGAGCCTAGAAATATTTACTAGTTCGTCAAACTGATTGCCTACCTTACCAAATTTTATAACTGGATCTAGGTATGTTGGAAATTTTCACGTTTCACCCTCAGTTGTCCCTTTATGGGTAGTTTTATTTATGGCACTAAAGTTATTTATTCTATATTAGCACTCGCGAATAATTCTTTCAGCAGGAGGAACGAAAGACAAACCGTCAGTATGTCTTATCAAAAATACATGCAAGACAGTTGATATCATTATACCTAGCCTAAACTAGACCGCTTGGTCAGAGATAAAGCCACAGATTATCACAGTGAAGTGTATGCTAAATGATGAAAAATGAGTCCGATTTCAATTAGCCTGACTCGGTTTTAGGAGCTCCTTTAGTTGGGAATCCTCTCAATAGCGTTCCAAGGCCTCAGCCTTCCAGGTTTCCCAGTTTGAGGTTCCTTCGCCTAATATCTTGGGTAGCCAAAAAAATAGTCCAACAAATCCATCACATAAACAAGTATCTGATCTCCCTTTTCGTCCGCATTTTTCAAGTAGAACATCCCATCATCGAAAGCACGTTTTGAGATTCTCTACATACCTTGTAAAACTTGGCACCTCATTTGACTTCTTTTTTTCTATAATAACGTAGGACTTTTAGTCACGGTGCCTAGCTCATGAATAAATGAATGTAAGCTGGTAAAACTGATTTCAATCCATCCCAAAGAGACGGAAAGAGAAGAGAGTCTAGAATCATTATGTGGTGGTAATATGCCGAGGGAAAATCTCATCCAATGATTTTTAAAACATCATAAAATAAGGTAAATAATATACTGATGGATTATATCCTTGAATTTGAACTGATCATTCAACTATCGATTTGCGTCACTGACTTAGATGAGCCCTGACCCAGCTATTGCTGATTCAGCCTGCGGATTGCGAAAATTGGAGATTATAGGGTTGGGAAGATGCGGAGTTTGTGAGAAAGCTGAATGTAATATAAGATTCAATTGGCAACTACTACCAGCCTTACGTAGGTAGAAGATACCTAGGTAGGCTTCACCTGATAGTCTATGTGCTTCCAACATTGGTTTCAAGGTTCAATTAATGGATACTTCACCTGGGCAGATTCCAGCTATATCAGATGCAAGAATGAAAGGTGTGCAGCCAGAATCTATCATATCTTCATCCCAGATATCATTGACTAAACTTTATGACTTGGAAACCCCTGAAATGTGTCTATGGAAACAAAGAGTTTAGAACGAATGTCTAGCCCAACCCAATTTACCTATTTACTCCAACGTGATCAAGTCTAAGGCTTTCCCATTTGGCACAATAGGAAGCATTTCCGTCTCACTCATCAAGACATCAAACAACGCCGGTCTCTTGCATTCAAGCAGCCACTGGATCGAGCTCGACAACTCTCCGGCATATTCGCATCTCCGACTATCACATCCCATGCTCTGAGCCAGATTCACAAAGTCCGGGTTAGACTGACGATTATAACAGATTCGATTCCTGTAATCGGCCTTTTGAAGCTGCGAAATCATTCCTTGACCGTCATTGTTGAATATAATTAACTTGATGGGGAGATCGTATTGTGAGGCTGTAAGCAGCTCCTCCATGGTCATGCAGAATGAGGCATCGCCGTCTATGTCAATCACAATGTGATCCGGTCGCGCGATTTGTGCTCCGATCGCTGCAGGGAGTCCGAATCCCATCGTACCTAGAGCACCAGACGTGATGAGTGGCCGTGGGGATCGGAACCTATAGCGCTGTGCTGCCCACATCTGAAGTTGTCCTACTCCTGTCGTCATGGTGATGCGATGCTTCAGCGAGGATGTTTGTCGATCTAGCTCTGCGATAGTTTGTTGAGGCGAGGTACGGCTTTGCATACATCGAGAAGGGACCCGGAATGCATGTTGCTTTTTCCATTGTTGGATCTGATCCAGCCATGGTGTACGATTTCCCTCCTTATTCAAACCATGGAGTAGATGTGGCAAGGTTTCGGACAAATCTCCAACGACGAGTTGGGTTGGTTTAATGACTCTTCCCACGATGTCAGGATTCAAATTAAATTGGAAAATGCCTCCCCTTCCGGTTAAAGCAGCTTCTTTGACTTTGGGAGCATATTCGAGTCGATTGCCTACGGCTCTCTCGTCAAGACGAGCCCCAAATACGAGAACCAAATCTGCATTCTGAATGGCGTAGTTTGCATATGGCGCTCCATAAGTACCTATCATATTCAAGGCCAGATCATGAGTCTCGTCAAAGCATCCCATTCGCAACAGTGTGGCTGTGACAGGGATTCTGCTCTTTTCTGCGATTTTCAACAAGATTTTTGAGCTAACTTTATGTGCGAGGACTCCACGACCAGCACAAATGATAGGGCGTTGAGAGTAATTAACAAGTTGCGCAATTTTGTCAATACTCTTGTAGATGCCAATATCAACACATACCGACCAACTTTGAAAAGGTTTCTCGGGCTCGGCCATCGTTGGAAAGATACTGAGGAGATCTGCTGCTGCTGTTTCAAAAACAGCTTGCCCAATATCTTTCGGCACAGAAATCAGAACAGGCCCGGGACGCCCAGATGTCGCGTTGTAAAATGCGTCATTAACAATCTTTGGTAAGTCGTTTATATTCTCCACTGGATCACACCACTTTGTACAAGTCTTAGCGACTGACATGACATCAATCTCTTGGAAGGCACCAGTTCCCTGAACCGTGGTTGCTACCTAGCCACAGATCACAACCATCGGCGTGCCATCCAGAAGAGCATTGAGCATGGGTATGACTAGGTTGGAACTTCCTGGTCCTGAGGTTACCAGAACAATCCCTGGCTTTGAGCTAGCGCAGGCATAGCCCTCTGCCATGTGGCCGGCTCCTTGTTCATGGTGGGAAAGAATGAAGCTAAAGAGATTGGTCTTAAAGATTCTATCGAAGATAGGAAGAGCTGCACCACCGGGATAGCCAACTAATAAATAACCTTTGTCAGTGAGATTTCATAGTAGTTAAATATCTCGGGAAAAGTTCACATACAGACATGGTCAACATTATGATTAGCTAGTAGCTGGAAAGGAGCTCTCCTCCTGTGAGACCTTCTTTGTGGTGAATTTTCAGCTTGAAGGCCTGTTGGTATCTCATCGATATCGAAGGTGAAAAGAATATACCTAAGTGATCTACTATTCTAACTACTAATTGTCCATACGTATCTACTCTTTCATATTGCCCAGGTGGCCTCGGGAATAACTCGGCAATGCCCCGGTGGAACATTAACTTTTCTATCTCCAATGCTATGTATGTATTTAGTTCGAAACATATTTTCTTATGATCTTGTCTACCTGCCTAGCTAGGTGCTCAGCTAGGTAGATCAAAATCTTCTGACGATATTCGAAAACATATCAGATCAGTGATTAGGTACGAGGCTCAGAATGGTAGCTTTCTCAATCCTCCAATTCATTCGAGTCCAACAACATGTAGATCTATCAACTAATTTCTGTGAGCTTCCGATTCTGCTTTGACAGATTAGGTCATACATGGCCATCCTTCATGTCCCTTGACTTTCTAGGAAATTATCATTATCTTTCACTCTCTTCAAGTATGATGGTACATATGTAGAGACATCGTGATACATGAAAGGTTGGTTGGATAAATGTCGTGTAACAATCCATAGAAACTTCCCATTTCTTGGCCCTCTCTCCGTTTCAGTGCTCAATAATTGCCGCTTTTGCTGACTGAGTAGAGCTGGGTACACCTGGTGACTATTACATAATTGATTCAACGAGATCGATTGTAAATAACTATCTATACCTCGGGAAACTCGCCATAATGTGGTTCTTGAATCTACATGTATCCATTCTGAGTTTATCCAGATGATTCAGTAGTGATATGCTAGGTAGGTAGCTCATGGCAGGCAAGTAGACAGTGTAGTCAATTGGAGATTAACGTTCAATTAACTCTTTCACATCAAGATTACTTCTCAGTTTTTCCTATCAAATTAATATCCTTTTTGTTTGCTTCGCAGTCTTTAGCTTCAACTTTGCTTCTCTCAAGTCTCTGTCAAGCTTCATTCCTGTTCAACAAATTCTCTTCGAAGGGTTTTAGAAATCCAAAGTCTATCGAGTTAGACAATGCAGAAGTATAGGGACAGGTGGTAATCAAAATCAGACTTCGAATATCTCGTCAAGGGCATGACTTGATGTAGTGATCATATGAAACCTCTTTGAAACCCCTTCACCGCTCAAAGTGGAGTTGTGGGGGTAAGCTGATGGAAGTGTTACTGGCATTTCGCTGTCAGAGAAGAAGGATTGTCGTGACATACGATAGTACTTTGGGGTCGCATTACCGTCAATCAATGATATTCTTGGAACAATATGACATATCACGTAATCCAGCCCTTAACCGACAGCCTTCCGAGATCTCCTTAATTTAGAGTTTCTTTTCTCCACTATATCTCCACTTACTAGTCTTTAAAAGGGTTGAAGTAAAACACATGCGAGTGGAGATTGCAAGCGAGCGGAGAAAATGACCCACTTTTTTTAATATTTTACATTATTTGTCCCATAACTCCATTAAAACCAGTAAACCTATGTAAATAACCTATTGAATCGGGCGCTGTGGACACGTCTCTCTCTTATGTCCAGTTTCTCTACATATTCCGCATCTGCGTGGCTGCTGGCGTTGTGGAGAAGATGCCCGGGTTTGGCGTCCATTTACATCACCATCATTTGCATCACGATTTATTGACGCGTCGATAAGCTGGCGGCCTTCCTGGTTAGTAAGGCCACCTTCAATGGCCACTCGCGCATTCGGAAGTGCCTTTTGTTTCTTCTTTTTTTCATTGGCTTCGCGAAGAGCGGCGATTTCCTGATCTTGTATTGCCATATGTTGGTGTATGGCTACTGCGCCTTTTAAGAACTGGTCTAAGATCTGCTTTGTTCGTGTAGATGGTGATCTCGATGCTGCGCGCAGAAGAGCTTTATGTTGGCGACGTATATCCTTCTGTGTCATTGGTGTTTTTGGAGTGTAGTTCTTACTAGAGTCGCTACCCCGGGATGGTGGTGGTGGTGGTGTTGACGGACGAAGCGAAATAGTAAGCTTTGAAAGCACCCTCTCTGGATCAAATGGTGTAATTCCAGTAGCGGCGAAGGCATTAGATGCAGATCTTATAGCTTCTTCACGCGCAGAAGGATATATAGCTAGAAAATCGTTCTTGTTGATAGAGTTGAATCCTAGCTCCATTTTGATACCAACCTCCCGGAAATAAGAGCGCTTTAAAACAGCAAAACAATATACATCTAAAGGCTGTAAAAGATGAGATGAATGCGGAGGCATGCAGAGTGGTATAATATCGTTTTGTCGGCAAATCTGATCAAAATCGGGTGTAAGGTGGCTACCATGGCCATATAGAATCAATAGCCTGTATCTCCCCTTTGTACGTGTCATAGTAGAAGGGATAAATAGTTTCTGTAGCCAACGAAGGCCTATTTGGTCTAATGTCCAGCCATTAGGGCTTATTTCAATACGCCAATCAGGTGGTAAATTAGCGTCGCCAAACCAGCTTTGCATCATGTTTTTGCCCTTGAATATGATGCATGGTGGAGGCGCCCAACCAGTTGAATTTAAACATTCAATAGCCGTAACCCACTCGCGATTTCCAGGTTGTACTTTGTTTCTTCGGCCATAATAGCCTGCCCTCGTAACAATTTTAGCAGTAGCGGTTTGTCCCATCGCGAAGCCAGTTTCGTCAAAGTTGTAAATATCATCTTCATGAATCCCATTCTCGTGAATCTACATCGGGAACCTCTGGCCTGAGGCCGACGGCTATGACCATACTGCGTGGCAGAACATCATCGCACCTTTTATAACCGCCTACAAGAATGGCGCGACTGACGTCTCCGCTGTAGTTCCAGGGGCTGGCGACTTCTCTGGCGCTATGTGGTACCGTCCGCTGTTGAAGAGCGCTACCTGCCTGTCAGACTCACTAGGCCCCCCGAGTAACGTAGAGAGCATGCAGGATGTAGTCAATGTTGCAGTGCTGCTTCCTTCAAACACCAGCGGGGTGACTATCGAGGTTTACAGCCGTGGTAACCAGATTGGCTCGTTTGCTGGAGTTGCAGGGCTGAATGCATACAGCGTACCTGGGATGGTGGCTGGAGCGCAGAGTGTCCAGCTCGTATCATCAGACAGAACAGTCATTAGTAGTGCGAAAAGTATGATTGATGTGGCTGCAACCACCACTGGAATTTGCAACTTCAACTACCAGGTCATTGGGGTCTATTAAGCTCGACACAGCCTGGAGGCTGGCTATTATTCCTTACATATGTAAAAATTACTTTGAATAAATTTAAGTCAGTCGTGTAGAATGAGAGGAATGAACACAAGTGACAAATTCAACAGTATCATACATAGGTAAGGGACAAGTAGCTCTGTAGGTAAAGATTGATTTAGACTGCAGTGGAGGACAGAATCCAAAGCAACTCCTGAATAATTGCTGACAATTCTTCCACGTGACAGCAGTCTGAAATCTACTGAGCCTCGCCCTGGTAAAGCAGCGATAGCTTAACTAAGAAATGCCCTAAAGTATTTCACCACTGAACGGGTCACACTACTGAACGGGTCAGTTTGACCCACTTATTTTTATGAATCCCAATAACTCCATTATTTACTATGTAATATAGTAAAAAAAAACTACTGAATGGGCCTACTAGGACAGGTTTCCCTCCTATGTCCAGGTGTCTTACATATCCCACACCGGCGTTGGGTTACAGGCGCCCTTACAGGCGCCTGGCCCTCTTGTAAATTGGCATCATTAAGTTTAGGGCCACCATTCGACGCGTCAACCAGGTCTAATCCCTCCTGAATTGTAAGACCCCCTACTACTGTTAATTGACGATTCGGACGTTCTTTTTGTTTTTTCTTTTTCTCATGGGCGGCGCGTAAATCTCTGTTTTCCAGGCGTAAGAGAGCATTCTCTTGATATAGGTAATTTGCACCCTTTACTATCTGGTCTAATGCTCTCTTAGATGGTGTTGGTGGCGTTCGAGATACAGTGCGTAATATAGCTTGGTGTTGACGTCGTAAATCTTTCTGCGTCCTAGGCGTCTTAGGTGTCCAATTTCGACTTGAATCGCTTCCTATAGAGGGTGGTGGTGGTGGTGTATCGACGCGCATAGTAAGCTTTTTTAACACCCTAGTAGGGTCAAGTGGCACGATTCCAGTTGCAGCAAACGCATTAGAAGCAGATGCAAATGCTTCAATACGCGCAGTAGGATATATCTCTAGGAAATCTCCTTTACTAATGTGGGAAAAACCAAGCTCTACTCTAGACTCAACCAGCCGAGAATAAGAGCGTTTTAACACCGCAAAACACCCAACATCAAGAGGTTGAAGAAGATGAGACGCATGCGCAGGCATACATAATGGTATAATATCATGCTCCTGGCAGATTTTGTCGAAATCAGGTGTTAAATGGCTACCATGGCCATCTAAGATCAGAAGGCGATACCGTCCTTTAGTACGAGCAGTAGCAGGTATAAAGAGCTTTTCAAGCCAACGGAGCCCTATTTGATTTGATGTCCAGCCATTAGGACTAATCTCAAGACGCCAATTAGGTGGTAAACCTAGATCAGGAGCAAACCAGCTCTGCATCATCACCTTACCCTTAAAGATAATACAGGGTGGAGGTGCGTAACCAGACGCGCCTAAACACTCTATCACAGTAACCCATTCCCGGTTACCAGGCTGTTTTTTTGCGCGTTTACCATAATAACCAGCTCTAGTAACCACTCTCGCGGTCGCACATCGTCCCATCGCAAACCCAGTCTCGTCAAAATTATAGATATCGTCGGTGGTGATACCATATTTTGCGATCGTGTTTTCAACCAGTTTGAACCAATTATTGATCACATTATAGTCCTCTTGACGCGCACGTGTAAAATCGCGCGGTGTTGAATAGGTCGTCTTAAGTTCAGGTAAACGCGTCGCAAACCTAGTAACCCAGTTTTTACCGATCGTAAGAGGAGGGTTGGTTCCGCGGTCGGCGAGTAGGATATTAGCCATTCTACCAACATCTTTAGTTCTAGGAGCACAGCCGCGATCATCTAGAGAGACGACCCATTGAAGTAATGAATCCTCTTCAGATTCAGTCAGTTTAGACTGCGGTGGGTGTGTTTCAAGACGAAATTGGACACCAGAATGGCGGCGTTGGAGGGTTGAAAATGGTATATTAAACATAGCTGCAGCTTTACGCATTGATGATATATCGCCATTCTTGTAAGCTTGGTAAGCTAATAAGACCCTATTCTCCTGATCCTGTTTGTCTTGGACATATAGAGCATTTAGGGGGGGCATGGTGGGTAGTTGAAAATGGAAACACCAGACTGACGCGTAAAATTGGTGGGGTGACCCGTTCAGTAGTGTGACCCGTTCAGTGGTGAAATACTTTAGTAAAACGTGACTTGTGTATGCATGAACTAATAAAGTAGATCTCTAGGCACCAAGCCTATTAGGGAAGTTGATCGAATTTTGAACTCGTCCATTCGTTCGATGAACTTCGATCTCTTATTTCGTGATTCAGTGAAAATATCAGATCCACATCTTAGGTGGAAGTAGCCCCTCGAGTATGGGAGTGCAACTTTGCTCATCAAGTTTACCGTTTCTCCTACAAATCTTTCGGATCCCCCCATGTCCAAGGATGAAAAATCATCATCTCTTCGTACCTTTCCACTCCTTTGTGCTCCATTACAATGACCACAAACAACCTCTTCCAGTATTCGATTCTTAGTGCTCTAATGAAGGTTATCTGCGAAACTGGAATAAACGTCAAAGATACTCTCACCAACGGAAACCACGGCCTCGGCACAGTCTGCAACTTGAATGAAGAAATAGTCATAATAGACGGCGAAGTATACCACTTCCCTCCAGGCGAGAAACTACGCAAAATTGAAGTTTCAGATACCCTGCCCTTCGTCATGGTTACAAGATTCAAACCTACCATCGAGAAGACATTGCCTTTCCTTACCATGGGTTCACTCCCAGCAGCTCTGGCGCCTCTTCTTCCCTCTCAGCAGAACTGCTTCCTGTCTGTTCGAGTCGAGGGGCGATTCGATCAGCTTAGGTTTCGTGTTATTGCGGCTCAGTCGAAACCACGCGAACCTCTTGCTGAATTGGTTAAGCGGCAGAAGGAAGTCACTTGCTGTGACGTTAAGGGGACTCTATTTGGATTTTGGTCGCCGGCTTTCAGTGGCGGGTTTAGCGTTGCTGGGTTTCATTTGCACTTTTTGTCGAAATGCAAGACTCAGGGGGGGGGGGGGGGGGGGCATGTTTTGGGCTTTGCTGCAAGGGAAGTTAGACTTCAAGCTGCTGCTATTCGCGACTATACGGTTGAGTTGCCTCAAAACAAGGACTTTAATGAGGGGATTATTGGAAGCGTGAGGGAGGCGGAGCTTCATGCGGCGGAGGGTGGTTAGATTTCAACATTCAGCTTAGACATATTGCTTTTAGAGAAAGAATGGGCCTGAGTGGCAATGAGCACTTATACAGGAATATATTCAAATGTAAAATTGACAATCGACCATCCATATTCTTAACAAGGACTATATATACTGATTCCATAAATCGTCACAAATTCCATACCAGGGTACAATATTTTTTATGCCCAAAAGACCCGAGAATCCTCGCTTCACATTCATAAGAACTCATGCAAGAAATCTAAGCATTTTTCTACAACATAGGCTTTAGGTCATCGGCGACCTTGAAGGGAGCCTCAGTCTTAGCCTTGACCTCTTCAACTGTGACACCATCCGCGAGCTCGACTAGAGTTAGACCGCTGGCGAAATCGACATCGAAGACGCACAGCTCGGTGATGATACGGCTGACGCAGGATGGGCCGGTGAGGGGGAATGCGCACTGCTTGACAATCTTGGGGTTGCCCTTCTTATCAGTGTGCTCCATGGTGACGACGACCTTGGTGGCGGCGGGGTTGGAGACGAGATCCATGGCGCCACCGAATCCCTTGATCTTACCAGGCAGCATCCCTATGTAGAACGTTAGAATGGTAAATATAGGAAGAGTGAAAGGGGTTCACGTACAGTTGGCCAAGTCACCCTTGGCACTGACTTGCATAGCGCCAAGAATAGTCAGGTCGATACGGCCAGAGCGGATCATGCCGAAGGACTCGTCGCTGCCGAAGACGGAAGCACCAGGGTTGAGAGTGACGGTCTCCTTGCCGGCGTTGATGAGATCAGCATCCTCCTCGCCCTTCTTGGGGTAGGGACCCAGACCAAGAATACCGTTCTCAGACTGCAGGGTCACCTCGACGGAGGAGTCGACAAAGTTAGGAGCCAGCATGGGCATACCGATACCCAGGTTAGCGTACATGCCGTTCTTGAACTCCTTGGCAGCACGGCGGACAATGCGCTCGCGCTTGCCGGCAGTGTCACCCTTGCCCAGGGCGGAGGTGTCGGGACCATCCTCCTTGGCGAAAGTGTACTTCTCAATACTCTTCTCAGTGGTGCTCTGGACGACACGCTTGACGTAGATACCAGGGAGGTGGATGGCAGTGGGCTCAATCTCACCAGGCTCAACGATGTGCTCAGCCTCGACAATGGTCACCTTGGCGTTGCGGCCCATGGCGCCGTTGAAGTTGGCTGCCGCATAGCGGAACTGGCAGTTACCGAGTCTATCAGCCTTGTAGGCCTTGATGAAGGCGTAGTCACCCTTGATAGACTCCTCCATCACATATGGCTTTCCGTCGAACACCTTGACATCCTTGGGGTGACTGTACAAATTGACGGTGCCGTCACTGTTGTGTCGCAGGGGCAGCTCGCCGGTCTGGACAACAGTTCCGACTGCGGCCGGGGTGTAGAATGCGGGGATACCAGCACCGCCGGAACGGCAGCGCTCAGCAAGAGTACCCTGGGGGGTAAGCTCGAGTTCAATCTCGCCGGTCAAGTACATGCGCTCAAAGGTCTTGTTCTCGCCAACATAGCTGGAAATCATCTTCTTGATCTGCTTAGACTGCAAAAGCAGGCCCAGACCCTGGCCGTCCACACCGGCGTTGTTGCTAGCCACTGTCAAGCCAGTAATAGATGGGTTCGCCCTAACAGCGTTAATAAGTGTGTCTGCCACTCCAGAAAGCCCGAATCCACCAGCAAGTAGGGTTGAGTCCGACTTCATGTCCTTAATAGCCTCCTCGGCTGAGGGGTAAACCTTGTTAATTGCGCTGCGGCGGAAACTGCTGGAGAAGTTACGGGCAAGGAAGCGCTGATGCTTTAATTCAACAAGAATTAATTAGTTTTTTGATATTCAGGAGTATAGGAAGTGCATTTACCTTGATCGGCTCAGCGGAGAACTGGCGCGCGATGCGCAAGCACGTTGCCACTTGGGAAGGCATTGTGAATTATTATACTATAATTGATGGATATATCCTTTGGGTTTGATTTCTGCCGACTGAGAGATACAAGAAATCGAATGAATGAGGCAGCGACAGAGGAAGAAGGCAAAGAAAGGTAGAAATGGTCGGCAGTGGGTCTTATAAAGGCGGCGAGTCCCCGAGGTTCCGGCTGTTCTTCGTTTCCCCGGACCTTCTCCACACATTTCAATTTCACTCCATCTCATCTGGACAATTATATCTGAAATATTTTCACAATTTCATAATTGTCACCCGTAATGTAACTCATACTTTGTACTCATCCTCACCATTACTCGCATCTTCCATAATAATGAAAGAAACAAACATGTTTTCATTCGAGCCGAAATAATTGCCGCTCCGATCCCGATCCACAGGTCGGGATCTGATGACTCAGCTTTTTAGCTATGTGCTGTTGGCTTCCCCAAGTTATTCAGTACATAATACTTCCGGCTAAGCGTTTTTTCGGCTACTGGATCAATCCGTAGCCGAAGGCTCGTGTGAAGTATTCTCATCTATAATCACTTTTGAGATCCAAGACTCTGCACATATTCCTTAATTTAATTATGATGTCCACAATGATCTCTCCTGATAATTTCACTTCAGGATTCTACTAATTGCCACAATGATTCGAGGCTGCACTCATTAGCACTCTTGGTCACCTGACACCACTGACCCTAATTTGTACATATTGAGAGCTCTAGATCGTTGAACAGCATGAATGATACACAGTTTAGGATTGGTTACATGATAAGAGTTTCTACTGTTAAATATGTACGTAGCTTTCTTGAAGACTCCAGTGATATCGTTATCACGCTCGTGGGTGGTCAACCACGCCACTTACATTCCTCATTCTAGGACTGCGTTAACCGATACCTCTTTCATCCCTCGCTATCATCCCCTTCTTCCGCCTAGCCCAATCACTGGACTTGTGGATGTTCGCTGGAAACTAGATTGAGGAAATATTCGTCTTCTGTTCGTTGTAGACGATTTAGTCGCTGAGATCGATCATCGGGCTATCCCTCGACTCATTCTGCTCTGTCTCTTCGCCCTCAGACTGTCGGCAAACGGGATTGGCCAGAAGGTGCTTCTTCTCATCGTTAAGGTAGACCAAGATGTAGGAAGTCTGCGGATCGATTACGTTGAAAGGCTTGAAGATTTCGTCCGTGTTCTTGACTTCGGTTACATCTTCGTCGTTGTACTTTCGCCAGATGTTCTGTCGGAAATCAAACATGTACAGCCAGTAGTGACCACGATCTACAGTTCCACGGTGAATGAAAACTGCGTACAGGCTGTAAGCCAAATTCTGAAATTGGGGGTGGTCGAATTGGCTGCCGATCTTCGCCTTCAAGTCTTCGATTTCACTATCCAAGGCTTCAAGTGTGTCAGTAAAAGAAATATGAGAGTTGTTTTGGAACTTACTAGTGGAGATACAAGCCATAATTCGTTCAATGTCTTCAATTTCACTGTTCAATGAGTCGGGTTCTTCATTTTCGGCATCTTCCATTAATGAGTCTTCGTCCAGATCCAGGTCATTCAGTTCATGAAGGATTGCACGTGTCGCCTCGTCTGGCAAGTCACGGGATTGCTGGTGTTTGAGTTTGAATTGCTATATATATCAAGTCAGTCTGATTGAGCTCCCATTATTTGATAGCCAACAGTGAAACGGTGATTGATTGAATAAACGCTACCTTTTGTAGGTCTTTTCTGTGAGCTTCAGCCGAAGCAAGAGCATTCTTCCATTCCCAGCATTGGCGTCGTCGGTCCACTAACTCAGGGGCTCCCGGACTATCCATGTATCGGTCCATGTAAATGACTTCATGAAGCTGCAGATGATTTGTTGACTTGTAAGCAAGCTTAGTGACGGGGTCAAATTGAGCTCGCTGGACTTGAATCTGGAGAATTGGAGGAATGCTAGTGATAGACGCGTATTGTTCAGCCTCGGAATTTTCCACACTGATCTTCTGCGCATCGAAGGCCCCATCAATCGCAGCATAGATGTCTCTCGGTCCGTCGACTACATCTACCTTGATGTCACACCAACGCTCCTCCTTCGAACGTACGCCTTTAGCGGTAGAGATATATGATCGGGTTTGACCATAGAACAAGCTGCGAGAACGTTAGATACGGTATTATGGAAGTAGACGCGGGTTTGACCTACTCTTTGATCATGTCAACCTGTTCACCGTCCTTATCAATCGCAGTCGGTTTGATACCACACTGACTCTGGAAGAGGACGTTATTGATGACTTCAATGACGTCTTGCTGAGCGCCAGTTTCAATCTCGGCCTCCTCGATTGTCTTGAAATCAGTGTGAAATTCAGGCTGGGGGCTGGGTCTAGGAGGAACCGGCGGTGGATGGGCAGCAACTTCAAGGGTCACATAGGCATCGCTGTTTATATCAACCGGTTGCTCCTGGTTATCTTCCACGATCTTTGGAGGGCCCAAGGGCCCCAGCACAACGGCACCGTCAACTTCACCAAGACCGTGAGGCTTGACGGCGCTAATTGTTGATCGACGACGGATTGCAGCTTCATTCCCTGGGCTGATGAGAGTTAGGCGGGCGAGCTCCTTCGTCGGGACGACGTAGTGTTTCCCAGAAGGATTCATCATGTCACGAAACAGAGAAGCAAGTGACGAAAGGACTGGAACTCATTTAGTATTTACACAGGTAGAGAAGAGATATCAATTTCAGTAGCAAGTGACTCACATGTCAATGAACGTTTCACTTCCTTCATAGTCACTTTACGTGATCCCACCTGTTTGTTTTCCAGACTCTGTTCATCAGTCACGTCCATCTTGTATTGATCAATGTTCAACACCAATTCTCGGTATGGGATGATAGAGAAGTAGAATTGGAGTAAACTGTTCAGATAACAGGTGTTTCCAATATTGTACAGGCCAACTGGACCACTGGACGGCAAAAGAGTCGTTGAAGGCGATTCGTCAAATATTCCAAGCATTTCCCTAATACTGGCACTATTCGTTGCTCTACCGATTATTTCAAGAGCGCGTGCATATGCATCAGCCTGAGCAGGGTAATCTGCAAGACAACAGGTGTACACGGCGAGAAGATCGCCATCATCGGTCGTGGCTGGGTCTAATCCAAACAGCTGATAAGCTTCTGCGAGAGTCATGTCACCAGCGAGGGTTTTCTTCAACTCGAAAGAATTTCGTTCATCCGCGATATCTTGGAGTGCTCGGTCAGCATGAACCTTTTCCAATGGGCTATCAATAATCTGTGATGAATGTCAGCCATACTCAGTCAAGGAATGATGTTTCCTACTTACTTTCGCAGTGTACGCTGCGCTGATGAAATCGTCATCGGCTAATTTATTAACACCAAGGTATTCATAAGAATGGTCAAGTCGAGACAGATCTAATTTGTAGATTGTGAGCATTATGAGACTTAATTGCGGGGTTTTGTCGATGATCTCACTCTGGCCCCAGATGTGCTTGATCTCCTCGCTTTGGAGCTCTTCACCGAGAATGCGCAATTTTTCACGAGCCACTTCGTGTCGTTCGTCCGAAAGGTCCACAGATTTGATAGGGGTATTTCCCAGTCCATAAAACTTGTCAATTATATGACGATGGTTCAAACCTTGATGCCAATGCAGGCCAAAGAATTCAGCTGCATCCGTCAGATCCCGCTGCGTGTATTTCCCCTGAGCATACGCGTTCTCAATTGCCACTGCAAGCGTTGCCGTGTCTTTCTGATATGTACTGCGATAATCAGTAATTTGCTTCAGCGATTGCAGATAAATTTTGGAATTTGTCGGATCTGTTTTCATTTGCAGGTCAAAACACTTCACAATCAGGCTAGAAGTCATATCTTCCACAGCTCCGAGGTTATGGTAACTGGAGAGCGGAATCAGTAAGAGGGGTTGAAAGGGCGGGAAATGGGAATCTAACAACGGCTCCATCCCAACAAAGCGATCTTTATCGTATGCAACTGTATCGTCTGTTTAGAAAGTCAGTCACTATGTCCTCCGTACAAGGTGCGATTGACTTACAGTATGCCTCCAAGACGGAGAAGAAATCACTTCTAGCGAGAGAAGGCATCTTGGGGAGATCGCGCAGAATTTCTTGCTCTGAAGCGGGACGCTGATTGATCAGACAGACAAGCTCTTCAATTGTATTATCAAGGAAAATGCGTTGATCGTCTCGGTAAGGGATAAAAGCATCTTGAATGGGCTGGGGAGGGTGACAGGTCCCATCGCTCTAGAAAAGCCGTTAGCATCGGATAACATCCAAAGATAAGCTCGAATTGATTGTTACTTCACTGAATGAAAATCCCAAAAACTGTAATAACTCTCTGCAAGGCCCGGTACTGAGGCCAAATGAGGCAAGATAACGCGGATTGTCTGCGGCGATGGGTCGTCCTTTACCATCAATAGAATTGCTGAGATATCGGCGCAGATTATCCAAGATAGTAATCGGAGAATATGGGACCACTCCTTCAAAGCGAGCAGGGTATATCTTGATTGCCTCCTCAGTTCGAGAGCGTATCAGTTGTGGATCAGTCAACATTTGTTCGAACCGAGGGCTGATAATTGGCGATTGAATGTGCACAGACACAATTGCTTCGCAATCGTTGGAACACCGAAAGGAGAACCTGTCTTTTTTTTGTCCCTGGAAGGACTGTTGGTACAAAGTATCATGAGATGGTGTGTACACAAAATGGTGCAAATGATCCGCATCGCTGCTGGTTGTAGACCCTTCGTTCCATGTGCTTCGATAAGCCATGACCACCTGCATATGACAACGACATTTGGAGCAAACAGCGGAAACCCGGCCTCCTTGGCCATGCTCCATGGAGAATTTTGTTTGCTTGCTCTTTACGACATAGTTGTGTTGACAGCTATCCCTATCGAATGTGAAGGCCCAATACGAACCATCGGGGTTTGCGCGACAAATGGGAGGGACTTGCGAAAGCAAGTTGGGGCCGTTGCTTGAGACATGAGCAGGGTCGTAATTGATGAGGTCCTCTACAAATCGAGGACCAGACTTGCCTAATAAATCAAAAAATTAGCAATGGATTCGTAGTTGAGTAGTTAAAGAAGATAGCTCGTAGGCTTACCAGCTTTCTGGAAAGGCTCCATAGGAGCGTCTGATGAATTTCAGAACTTGAAACCGCAGAGGTTCTTGAGTTTCTATGAGATTAAATCATAAATCAAACGAAATGGGTATTGGACTGAAGTTGGCGCTTAATGACGGAATCTCGCTGGCGCGGAGATGCAGCGGGGTGCACCCACCGCACAAGCTAGTTGGTAAGCTTGGGGGTTGTTCGGGGTGGATGTATGGTGGGGGGGGGGGGGGGGGGGGGGTATTCAAGGATTTGGATGAATTCTGGGAAGTTCAGGGAGATGTAGGATTCAAAAATAAAAAAAGATCGAAGCAATGACAAGAGAAACAGTTGAGAGTGGGAGGAATCATGAGCACAAGTAGGCTCCGCCTTTCGATCAAAATAGAGGCGGTAAATAAAACGGTCTAGATAGTGCCTGTTTATATAGACTTGGCAGGCGGTCAGTTTAAGAGGATTGTATCAAAAACTGCAGGCGGTGTACCCTAGCAGAAACGTACTCCCATGGAGTTAATCTTCAACAACCACAACCCGTCTAATCCGCTTGTCCACCCCTCTCCTCTCAGCCATGGCGAACCACCACGACGAGGATCATAGCTATCACCCCAAAGATGCTATCTCTGCAGCAGTCAAGGCGACTGCGTTGACTGGTGGTGTTGGTCTCTTTGCCTCAGCAGTCCAGAACACTCTTACTAGACAAAATGTCGGACCCTTGGGCGTCTTCCTCCGCAGTGGCGGTACTATTAGTATCTTCGGTACGGATTGCATATGATTCAATTCCTGTTTTTATTAATCAATTGCTCATGTCGATCTATTTTAGCTGCGATGGGTGGTACCTACGAGTTCGTCAAGACCGCCTCGGCCAACCTGCGCGAGAAAGAAGATCCGCTGAACACCGCTCTGGGTGGATTTTTCGCCGGTGCCCTCATGGGAATGAGATGTAAGTCTGGAAGAGCTTCAATTGACTTGATATTGCCTGAAGAACAAACTCTGATTCATCCGTAGCACGAACCTTCCCGGCTCTTTTGGGATACGGTACCACACTAGCGGTCTCCATGTATGCCTTTGATTACACCGGTGGATCGTTGTTCGGATACAAGAAGGACCACTCTGAGGATGAATTCGACCGCCGACAGAAAATCCGCAAGAATTATCAATCTCCCGCGGAGGAGACTTTCGCGCAGCTTGGCGAGGGACGTGGTACGTTGAGTCCCATTTATCCCTGACACGTTGGCAAACTAACGCGCTAATATCCAGGTATCTACGCACCTGGCTATGAGGAGCGTCGCAGAGCTCGAATCCAAGAGTCTTACGGAATTTCGGTTCCTCCGTCCCCTATCCCCGCATCATAAATTGTTTCTTTGCTTCAACCTCGACCTTGCCTTGTTTCCCGATTTGCGATTTGTAAATTATCACCTTTTTCTTACGGTGGCCACTAGCATGCCGGACACGTCAATTCTACAAATTTCATCTGTCAGAGTCTTGTTGTATCAAGTGACGTAGATGCCTAAGACTTCGCAGTGGCGCATTCTAAGAGATGGCATCTGCAAATTGACGAGGGAAATAAAGCTAGATAATTTGCCTATGACACAGTAAGTATACAGCTGAATATGCTGTGCTAAGGTTAAACAAGCTCAATTGGAGTGGGACAGGTTGATATGCCGCGGGGCTCTCTTGTGACCAATGATGGAACAGGTATATCAAAGTCAGGATCCACACAAGTTGAGTACAGAAATGCACATTGTGAGAAATAGCTACTCTTGAGTCAACTACCTGACTACTTAGTAGTTAATTATATCATGAACTTATGTTCAGTTAGGTAATCAGGCCAGTTTCGACGAAAAGCTGCTAAGCTGCTATTTCGGATTCCTAACCGATTCCGGCTTTTGGCCAACTACTACCTCGGAATCCACAAAATAGCAAGAGAAAGCCCTGGAGATAAAAACAGCGATGACTGACTACCTAGTTAGCCTTCAATTTTTGGAACTATAAGCGAGCTATGTACACAACGCAGACCTTGGACTTTATACCCAGGTACTTGGGATTCAAATGGGTACTCTTTACTGTTCCTCCAAGGCTGTTACAAGCCTAAATAATTATCGCTCTATTAGACAGGACGATTCTACGCTGTGTACCTAATTGTACTTTTAAAAAGGAGACCTCCAAGTTCGCCGTATAACTAGGTAGTATAAGACAATATGATATTGTACGTTCAAGTGAACTAGCAACGCCCGGTTGAAAACAATACTACGGCGTAATTGATTGCCTTAGTGCCCACTATGTCCGAAAGTGGACCCTCGGCTATGGTTCATGAGAGATCTAAATCGAACAATTCGAGTTCACGGAGATATCTGTCCCGAATGAACTGCTGCCTGTAACCTGCTCACTTCATCGCACTAGGTATGGCCAGTTGAAGCTCTAGAGGAATGAACCGACTACTATCGTCGACCTTGGCAGTTGGGCAGTTCCAAGGTTACTTTGGCCCTTACTAATATTATGGGTTTAACGCTATTGTGAACATTTTCCTGCCAAGATGGTTCTAAAGCTTCAGTGCCATTCTATGTGTGAACCCTGTTATTTTATCTACTCTTGGAACCATTTCGCCAAAAATAGCGATCACAGTACATTTTCATAGTCACCTGGCTGCATAGTAGTTAGTCAATGATTATTTACCTAGGTACCGCGTAATCCGTACTATAAGCGCAATACCTTAGATTAGTCAATCAATAATGGAGAGAACATTCTACGGGACTTGAATTGCGTTGTTGACAAGGCTTCTAGAAGGCTCGCGATCTAGGGGGATGAAGTTAAGAACTATTATAGTAAGGCTCCTTTCAATTGCGGTTCTTATTTGAGAAGATCAGGGGAAAATAGATCCCTTAATATCCCAGACCAAGCCACAGATTGTGGATCATGTCCCTATAGGGGCAAACAAGCCCCTGTATAATAGGAGGCTGAGCCGAAGGCAGCCAGATTGAACCCACAGTTAGCTCCATTCTCCTATAATTGGATACTAAGAAGTAAATAGATTAGAGGATAAAGAAGTAGATGATGAAACTGAGTGTAATAGTTGAAATAGTAGTAACATTGAATGTTTACATTCCGGCAGTTCGTACCAAAGACGTCAATAAGAAGGGGACCGGAGTTCCCGGGAGATGAAGATCGAGAGAAAGTGTACCGTCATCACTTTTTTTATTTTATTTTTTCGATCGATAGACGTCATCCACCTACGACCCACCTCGAACTCTCCCTTCAATAGTCAAGTTAAATAATTCCATCTTAATCTCTCCTCCCTTTTATCCTGTACCCTCTACCCTCTACCTTTTGGCCTTTGCCCTTTGCCCTTTGCCCTTTTACCCTTATATCTCAGACTGCTTGAACCTCTTCTCACATTTTCCCTCTTATATAACCGAAATCCCCAATAATCGAATATACTTCTGCATCCCTTGCCTTTCAAGGTTTATTCTCCATATTCTACCACGTTCCCTGTCATGGCGATGGCCGCGCGGCCACAGACACCCGTGCAGGATGCATACTTCGCGCAATCGACCGATCCGATTCCAGCAGTCACTTTAAGACGCGGTTTTGGAAGTCTCCGTTCCTCGCGACCCAACTCCTACGCTGGAAACAGCTCCAACTTCGCCCTCGATCAGTCGCGAATCTCACGGGAGATTGAAACTCCCCGCAGTTCTTTGGCGCTAGAGCGCCCTTCCGGGCTTCGGCGCTCGGTCTCGCAAATGTCCCACGTCCGTTCGACCACCCCGTCTCGATCCAGTTTTTTGGGCAAGAAGAACTCTCTGAGTAAGAAGAGTAGTATACGACGAAATGGAAGCCGTCGCTCACTCCGCGCAGGCAGTGTGAGGAGCCTAAGCTTAGGCGATCGTGAGAAGTATGCGGACGGTGTAGAGGACCCAAACAGCGTCTTTGCCGTCCCCATTCCAACAACCGGAAACCCGACAGAGGCTCTAGCCAGTCGTTTTCAAGCTTGGCGCAAGATCCTGAAGGATTTAATCGTATTTTTCAAGGATGTACAGAAGTCCTACGAAACCAGATCAAAGCTTTTCTTATCCGCGTCCAACATCATCAATAACCAGTCCGTACCCGCTGCCTTTCTGCAGTCGGGTGGCTTGGCCGATGCGACCCAGATCCTCCGCGACTTCCACCGTCAGGGATACGGCGAGGCAAGCAAGGCTGCCGAGGTCGAGGTCGAGGTCATTAGTCAGTTGACGGGCCTGCGAAGCGATCTCCAAAAGAAAACAAAGGAGATCAAGAACCTCTCTGGAGACTTCAAGAACACCGTTGAGAAGGAAATTGATGTTACGCGCAAAGCTGTTCGCAACTTGCACGAGTCATTAGGTTTAGTAGACGTTGATCCCTCTGCCACTTCAGGCAAGGGTGATCCCTTCCTGTTGCGTCTAGGTGTTGAGCGACAAGTCGAAAAACAGATTGAGGAAGAGAATTATCTGCATCGGGTTTGTCGCACTCGATTCAAATGCGAAAATATGTTCCGTATAACTAACACTGTATAGGCATACTTGAACTTGGAGAACTCTGGTCGCGAGCTCGAGTCCATTGTGGTCAGTGAGATTCAAAAGGCCTATAATGCATATGCCAGCATCCTCAAGCGGGAAGCCGATGATGCCTACGACACTGTGGAGAAGTTGCGCGCGGGGCCGATCTCGATGCCACAGGATCACGAGTGGAACTCATTCGTTGCCAATACTGATGAACTGGTCGACCCGCGGATCCCTCTTCGCAATGTGGAAAGTATCACATACTCTGGTAAAGATCATCCAGCTACAGTGGAAGTTCGAGCTGGTATGCTGGAACGGAAGAGCAAGTACCTGAAGAGCTACACTCCAGGCTGGTACGTGCTCTCGCCTACCCACCTGCACGAGTTCAAGTCTGCGGATCGCGTGGAGTGGCAGACTCCAGTCATGTCTCTGTATCTTCCCGAACAGAAACTTGGATCTCACTCACAAGAAGATTCAAGCTCTCATAAATTCATGTTGAAGGGCCGCCAGACTGGTACGATGCATCGGGGTCACTCATGGGTGTTCCGTGCTGAATCCCACGAGACCATGATGTCGTGGTACGCTGATATCGAGGGTCTAAGCAATAAGACAGGTGAGGCCCGTAATGCGTTTGTTCGAAAACACGTCCGAAGTGTGAGTGGCATGTCTATGAACAGTGAGGCTATGGAGGATGATGAGGCCGATCGTACCCCATACTCTGCCGAATCAGTTATTCTGGTCCAGGATCGCCCTATGTCTGCCACTCGTCAGCCTGGTGGGGCTTTCCCCAGTGATGTTCAGATTGATCGACACCTTCAAGCACCGCTGTCTCCATCCAGTGGTGCTAGCTCATCTGGGCGGGAGTTAAACACCGGCTCTCGTGAAATTGACAATGTGTCCCCACTGCCTACAAATGAGGGCTCTGTTGCGTCACGCCCTCAGTTGGCTCCTCCACATGATAGTTACTATGGAGACTGGATGGGTTCCAAGCAGAGGGAGAGATATGCAGATGATCGTGAGATTAAATCAGACAGAGACCAAGCCTCTGTTATAGGTCTTCGTTATACCCCAGCTCCTCAAGTATCTCATCGGGAGAGTGTATCCACAGTCCCTACCCACACTGACTACACCAACTACACCAACAATACCATACCGAGTTCTGTGGAAGAGGGTATTCCTCACGGAGGAGAACTTGATTCTGACCCTTTGGAGGATGGTTATTCCCAGAAACTTGCACAAAATTCTAGCAATCCTCAAGCTGGCATTACTCAGGCTGGTCTTCAAGCAAGACCAGATATGGCACATATCCGACAGGACAGTGTGATTGCTATTGATATGAAGATTCCCGGCCGCTTCCCTCCCACCAATGTTGCCGCATGATATTGATTTGAATTTCTTTTGTTATTTCATTACTTATGTCCTTTTCTTTTTTCATGGATTTCCTTTGATTCTTTTTTTTTTTTTTTGGTTTTATCACGTACATGAACATGAACCGCGTCTTATTATTGCTTTTAGGTGTTTCTGTTATATCGCGGGATCCACTACCGCCACAACCGCAGTTCAGGCCCACAGGGGCTCATACTAGTAATATGGGTTCTTTTTTATTTGATTCCCAAGGTTGTTGAGCTTTGATGAAATTTGCGATCTGTGGAGTTTTGGGTCCAATGAAACACGAATTTTGGATGATCATGTACACTTCCAAACCTCTTTGGCAGACTTGGCAGGTTTGCAAATTATGAAAGTTATACCTACTACAGAGGCTATTATGACAGAACTATACATTTTACCTATGCTTTACCAACTATCCATTCCAAGATTTGAAGTCTCTATGGTGCCCAGGTTTTGGAACTCGGAATGATTCAGGCCTGGGCCGGAATACTACCTATTGCATACTCAGCCAGAGATTTGCACAAGTACCTACGTACTGATACTGTTTAAGAGTATGCTGAGGTCTACTAAATCATTCCAAAGTCTCATCCTGGTACTGTCTCACCACTTCAGAGGTCCTGATCAAGCTCTAGATCATGATTTTCAGTCCATGGATCTTCTAAAATTATATAAATGAAGCTTTAGGCTGTGCGTCGACCACGAAGTATACAGCGTGTAGGTACCGGGTACCTGTCTAACTTCATGTTTTCTTTTGTTGTATTATAATTACACGCTATTCCAAAAATGGGATGACTGTTTGAATCCAAGAACAAGACAATAGCCATCTATCAATCAACAACAGGCAATAAGATAGACTATAAAAATCAGTAAGGCGGTGGGGCCGCTTCTTCAAGAGTACGAGAATTTCGAAAACAAAACAACATTCACCTTTTCATCTTTCCTTCCTCATCTCTTTCTTTCCACCCTTGTTGGTCTTCGTACCACACAGCCTTCATCATGGGTATGTATTCCCTCTCCCTTTCTCTTTCGGAGTAATATATTACTCGTTACTCTCACATCCCCGTACACATTCTCAGCTCCTATTCCAGGCCATCCAATCATCGTTTGTTTCACCCCCAAAATGAACTTAGGACGGCCTGATCCTTTCCTGTTTCCCCTCTCTTTCTCTCTTCCACCCTTCTTCTCTCTTTCTCAACCCCTTATCGTTACATTTATTGACTTTCCCAACTCTTAGCCGACATTTATCGGCCATACAGAGTAAGTAACCTATCTCATTCGCGTATTTGATTTAAATCTGTGTTTTTCTATTTTCAAATACTCCATTTCGAGTCCTGATGTCGTATATCGGATGGTCAGTGCGGGGGCGGAAAGCTCCATGCCATAAGATTTGAAGCCTCATAGGAGTATAAAGGAAGAGGGATGAATTATGAGACAGCGCCGTTGTCTGTCATATTTAAATTCCTCTATATCTTCTATGGGGCATTTTCCAAAGATGGAGTATTGTGTGCACGTCTCTTAACATAAACTTTGGTCATACTTCAATATCTCGAGCTCGTCACATGACTTGAGGACGCGCTTTTTGTCTTTGGACTCCACATCTTCTGCCCGCTTTATCACCTTATCCTCAACTCAATTCCTCTCTCTTTCCTCCCTCCCCCAATTTCGAGCTGTTTGCTTTCCTTTTTTTACACTCTTCTTTTATTTGACCATGTCTTCGGAATACCCTGACGCTGACCGCTTCCAGCGTGAGAGATCTCGATCGCCTCGCCGTCGCTCTTCGCGCAGTCCTCGACGCAGTGCTCGTCGTTCGTACTCGCCGCGCAGCCGTTCTCGCAGTCGTCCACGTGACGACTATCGTCGCAACGACCGCCGTTCCCGAACTCCCGTTAGTACAACTACTGGTGCTGCTGGTCCTTCGGGCTCCCCATACGGTGGACGCAGTGGTTACGCGCCGGCTCGGGCTTTTGACGATCGCTCCGCTGCTAAAGAAAATATGATGCAATCGGTTCGCGACACTTCTCAACAAGACCGCCGGGTCTATGTCGGCAACCTCTCATATGATGTCAAGTGGCACCACTTGAAAGATTTTATGCGACAGGGTAAGCTGGATCGTGCGGATTTGAAAATGCTACGATGCAAGTACTAACTAATGGTGCCTGTTTACAGCTGGAGAAGTTCTCTTTGCCGATGTCTTACTTCTTCCTAACGGAATGTCTAAGGTGGGCAGAAATACGTAGCGCGGGCTATTTCCTGATCGTTTCCCTGATTTTTTATCGTGATTTGGTTTCTATTTTATTTTTTCGAGGACTATTGGATTGACGGAATGGGCCTTGTCTGGATATTAGGGATGCGGGTAAGTCGATTCATCCAAATCATTACTTTGATCAGTGCTAACGCGCCAAATTTAGAATTGTTGAGTACGCCACTCGGGATCAAGCTCAAACTGCTGTCAACACACTTAGCAACTCCATGTTGATGGGACGTCTCGTTTACGTTCGAGAGGTAAGATCCATTGCTCCAAGCCTGGTGGACTGCACTAACCTCATCCACAGGATCGCGAGGCTGAGCCCCGGTTCACTGGTGGACCTCCCCGCGGCGACTTCGGTGGACCTCCCCGAGGTGGCTTCGGTGGTGGCTTCGGTGGACATGGTGCTGGTGCTGGCGGCGGTGGTCGCCAACTCTATGTCTCCAACGTTCGTTACCCCTCTGACACCCCTGGTCTACTAATTTTACTAGCAGGCCATGTTAACAAGTCAATCTAGCTTCCTTTCAACGTCGGTTGGCAAGATCTGAAGGATCTCTTCCGTCAGGCTGGTAAGTATAGATAACAGGTCGTGGTTAGCCTCTTCCTGAGATCATTCATTTCTCTATTTGACCGTTCGGTATACTGATCTGAACTCGTCTTTAGCCCAACAAGGCGCTGTTATTCGCGCCGATGTACACACTGACCCCACCGGACGCCCTAAGGGATCCGGTATCGTTGCATTTGAATCGCCCGATGATGCACGTAACGCCATTACCCAGTTTAACGGATACGAATGGCAGGGCCGCAACCTCGAAGTCCGTGAAGATCGCTTTGCTGGCGGTATGGGCTTCAACAACCGTGGCGGCTTTGGCGGTGGCTTCGGTGGCCGCGGTGGTTTTGTTGGTGGTCGTGGTGGCTTTGCTGGTGGCCGCGGTGGTTTCATGGGCGGCCGTGGTGGCTACGGCGGTGACTTCGGAGGCCGTGGTGGCTTTGCCGGTGGTGCACCCCCTGGTGGCTTTGGAGGCGGTGGTTTTGACGCTGGTCATGCCCCGCCTGTATCAGTCCCTCCTAACCCCTTCACCGATTTCGCTGCTCCTGGGGGCGACCGAAGCGCTGTTATTTATGTTCGCAACGTAAGTACCCAGTCCGGAGTTGAGTTTGGAACTTTCAAATGATGATATTAACAAATCACAGCTCCCCTGGTCAACCTGCAATGAAGATTTGGTCGAACTTTTCTCGACAATCGGCAAGGTCGAGCGAGCCGAGATTCAATATGAGTCTAACGGACGTTCCAAAGGTACTGGCGTCGTTGAATTCGATACCACCGACACTGCCGAGACCGCCATCGCCAAATTCAGCGGCTACAACTACGGCGGACGTCCCCTGGGAATCACATTCGTTAAGTACATGAACGCAGACGCCCCTCCTAGCGAGAAGATGGAAGGCACTGAGTACTCCAGCGGCTTGACTCAAGATCAAATCATGTAAAGTGATTTCCAGGTTTGATACTTTCTTGCTCAAAGGGGATTTCCGCTGACCCCTTCCCCCTTTACGTTTCTTTTTTTCTGATTGCTATCGCAATTTCGATATGATTCCCTTATTCCCACATGTCTATTTCAATCTCTCAACTCAACCCCAAGGGGTCTCATTAGCTCGATACGAATTGAAAAATCGCCTATCCGCCGCTGCTCTCAAGAGCAAATGTTTTGTTAGTCTGAGGAAGTCAACCTTGAGGGGGTCGACTTTGTCTATAAGAATGGTAACGCTCTTCTATTCTCCTTGCTCCCAAGCATATCTTCTTTCTATCAAAAATTAAACATTCAAGTTATGTGTAGCACATGCTTGAATTTGCTGCATATGTGGGAATGCGACCAAATTCAACGTACTCTAGCTATGAAAAAAAACCCCGGAAGTTGAAGTTCAAGTCCATTCAATATAGTAAGTAGCCTGTAAATTTCCATGAAGTAGTACCTCCCTATATCAAGTCTCTATGCCACACACGCATGGTCTTTTGGAGTCCGACACTATTCCGAGCCTAGATATGGAAGCAACATAGGTTGACCACTCTCCATATTGGCTAGCAAATGGATCTGGAGCAACTCTGGCATCCCACATGTCGCCGAAGTATTCAGCCACTTTGCTGGGGCAACAAGTTCGAATTCCCCTCCATGCAGTTCTTGCAGGCGCTGTGCAAATTGGTTGAATGGGACACGGATGCCACTACTGTGATGAACATAAGTGACACAATCGGCTATAGCTGGTTGTTGCGCTACGATTTCAGATGCCACCTCAACGACATCTTTGAAGTCAAAGAACCCTTCTGCTGATGAGATACTTGGTACCTTTCGAGTCAGGATTGAGAATCTCACTACTGAATTCATCACGTCGTCGGCTGGTGCCCGCTCGCCAATTAATGCACAATGACGATGGATCGTAACTGGAAGGCCTAGGTCCTGACTGATATTTTCCAAGAAGCGCTCGCTCGCCCACTTTGATGCCGTGACACCCTGGGAACCATTGACTGGAGGGTAGTGAGCACTCATTGAAACAGGTAGACCTTCGGTTTTGCCTGAAAGGAGAATCACCCGTGGAGCTGAGATGAGATGGAAGGGAATGCGTCTTCTGGACGCAATCAGGCCGACCAGAGACTGTGTCGAGACATAGAGTGCTTGCTTAACCGTTGAAAAATTGTTCATACAATGGCCCTGGACAGTAGCATGTACTATCTGAGTTATGTTTGCTTGAAGGAATGCGATCTCTGTGCTCGAAAGACCGAGAGTGGGGCTTAATATGCTGCCGGCATACACAACTATCTTGCCCTTGTCTTCCAGTGGAAGCTTCTTCCGCTCATCATTCAACACTCCTATGCAATGGATTCTCGAGACATCGTCACAGTTAATCAATTGGCGAAGAATTTCTCCGCCAAGGAACGTTGTTGCTCCAGTAAGAAGGACCTGACGTTGCTGCTGCGCCACTGGATAGCTGGATGAGTCTTCGAAGGCATCTTGAACCCAGTTTGGAATTGACGTCTCAACATCCCAGTCAATCATGTCTTCGGATAATTGGCCTCGCTCCTTGTGCATTGCACTCGCCATACCCTTCAACGTCGTGGACTGGTACAGCTCCTGAAGGGTTAGTGCCACGCCGATCTGCTCCCTAAGCGCATTTTGCAGGTGAACCAGAAGAAGAGAGCTTCCTCCTACAGTGAAAAAGTCGGAGTCTGGGCCAATACTCGTCGAGCTTGCAGCCTCTCCAAGAACCTTTAGCCAGATGACTCTGAGTTCTCCTTCAGGTACAGTAAGGGCTCTGCTGCCATGGGCGTTGCCATCGTCTGCTGATGTAGGAAGTGGAAGCATCTGCAAAGAGGCTCGGTCGAGCTTTCCGTTTGCCGTCGTTGGTAAACGCTCTAATGGCACGATCGTAGAAGGTATCATGTAGCGAGGCAGTTCAACCTTTGGGAGAAGAGCGTTCAACTCAGCTTGCTCCAGATGCTTCCCTTGTGTCATCACCACGTGGCATACCAAATATTGCGGTTCGCCGCGCACTGTGACTGCTGCATCGGCCAATAAGTCTTCTGGGGCTGCCTTCAGAACGGCGCCAGACACTTCGGTGAGATCAATACGAAGACCACGCAGCTTGATAACCGCTCCACCTCCATCTGTCCGACCAAGGAATATGAGAGATCCATCTTTTTGAAGAATACCTTTGTCACCGGTCTTGTACATCAAATTCCATCCGCTCGCTAGATCTTCCGCTGTCGCGAACGGATTTTTGACAAACTTCTCCCGGCTTAGATCTGCATCAAGATAGCCACGTGCAACACCAGCACCCCCAACGCAGATCTCTCCTGGCATGCCAACAGGAAGCACAGTGTTGTCTTTCTCGCTCATTATGTAAATGAAGGTGTTTGGAATAGCCTTGCCAACCGACTTCAAAGCCCCGGATTCATCACTGACAGCCAGAAGCGACGTGCTCTGAAATGTCGTTGCGCAAGAGATCTCGGTTGGACCATAACAGTCTGTCACCATGAGATCTGGAAGATCCAATCGTCTCATTTTGTCCAGGAGCACTTCTGTCACCGCTTCCCCTCCAGAACATACATGACGCCAGCTAGTACACTTTCGTAATGTATCCGCGGCGAAGGTTGCAAGCATTTGATACTCTGAAGGCGTAGCTAAAGTGAGATCGATCTTTTCTCTCAGCATTATTTCAGAAATTATGCTAGGGTCGCCACGAGCCTGTAACGGAACGACTACGAGAGTGCCACCATTGGCAAAGGCGTTGAATGCCTGAGCTATAGCCATGTCAAATCCTGCAGATGATTGCTGCAAGACCTTGACTTGTCCTAGGTTGAGATGGGCTTGCTTGGATGCAGCATAGTTCATAATTCCTTCTTGGTCAAGTCTGATCCCCTTGGGTGTGCCAGTGGATCCACTGGTGAATAAAATGAAGCTTTCTTCTTTGGCCGTTATGAGCTCGTATTCTGGAACAAGGACACTATCTTGAGATTGACTCAAAGTTGACAAGTTCAGCGTAAGGAACCGTGCTTCATTGCAGTGCTCATTTGCAGCCTTTTCTGTAGCAGTGTGGAACACTAGTGCATTCGGTTGGCAGGCATCGATCATGGCCTGTCGTCGCGCAGCTGGCAAACTGATGTCTAATGGAATATGGACAGCTCCGGTATGAAGGTTGGCAAGCATCATGGAATACATGTCAACACTTGGCTCACAAAGAACTGCCACTCGAGATCCCTGTTTAATGCCTGCCTCAATTAACGTGGCAGCGTAGAGTCCGACTCGCCGAGAAAACTGATCATAAGTCAAACATTCGTCAGAGTCCTTGATCGCTACCGAGTCCGGGAATGCAGAAAGGACTTGTTGAAATCTCTCAGACAATGTCTTAGGCCAAGTGTGATCCACGGCAGCTCCTCTCCCAAGTATCATACCACTTTCCAATTGAGTTGACTTGAAAAGTTTGCAGTCTTCAATCTTAACCGATTGATCTTCGGTCAATGACTCAAGTAACCCTGAAAATGTCTCCATGATCATATCAGTGGCCTCAAGTGAATACAGACTGTCAGCTGTGATACACTCAAGCATGTTGCCCCCTGCCGCCGTTTGGGTGACGTTGATAGTCAGGTCGTATGGCGTCTTGACATCTGTATATCTTTCCATTACCATACTACAGTCTCCAAGAGGTCTTTGCAATATGTCGCCAACACGATAGTTGAATGCAACCTGGAAAAGTGGCGTAATAGAGGGCGATCGGCTGATACCAAGCTTTTCAAGTATCACGTCGAAGGGAACCTGTGCATTTTCGAATGCATTCAAGACTATGCGCGATGTTTTACTGAGAAGCTCTGAAAAAGATTGCCCGCTCTTAGTATTGAACCGCATTGGTAATATGTTTGCAAAATGACCAATGACTTCGGCAAATTCGCCAGTCCCACCACGACCGCTGTCAGTCACGCCGATGCAGATATCTTCGGAGTCAGTGAGCTGCGCTAGTAGGACTTGGAAGGTGGCTAGATAGAACTGCATCGAAGTTCCACCAAGCTTCCGGCTTGATTCCTTAACTCTGAGCACCAGGTCACTGCTCAACTCTCGCTCAATGACATGATTACGGTACGTCCGACGAGGCCGTCTATTTTGCACATGTGTCAACGGCAGTAGAGGCAGATCAGTCGGAAGCGGACTGAGCTGATTCTTCCAGTAAGTGATACAGCTGTCAAGCCGACCGGAATCTAAGGCATCATGCTGCTGAACAGCGAAGTCTAGAAACGAGCCTGTCTTTGGTGACAGCGGCAACATTTGGTACGCGCAGTCAAGATTGCGAAGAAAAATGCTGAAGCTGAAAGCATCACTTGCAAGTAGGTGGAAGCCAAAAACTGCGGTATGCCAGTCAACATTGTGAGAGAGAATAACGGCACGGAAAGATTCTCCTGTAGCTAATTGGTATCCAGAGCCCGCTACCTTGTCGTATACAATTTGGGCATGTTCCTCGGCCTCGGCTGCAGTCGAGGAGATCTGAGTCACTCGTTTCAATTCACCATTTCTTGCGACGTGATGCTTGATCTCTGGGCTTCCAGGGTCGGCGAAGAAACAGCTTTGGTAGATCTCATGGTGGGCTAGAACTTTCTCAATTGCTCGGAGTAGTCTTTTTATATTCAATTGTCCACGGATTGTGTACTGGGTGGTAACGTTGAATGTGGTTGGGTCCTCAAGAAATGTATGCAAGAAGTGGATTCCCGCTTGTGCAAATGACAAGCGCTCAATGCGTTTGTATTCCAGTGCAAGAGGTGACTTCTCCGAACTTGGAAGCTGAAATTCAAAGTCTGGAATATTCGGTGATACTATGGAGCTGATGGAAGAGGTCATTGATTCGCTGGTTGCACCAGCTGTGTCTGGAGATGTTGAGGCAGAGTCCAAATAATCGCTCTGGGCCTGAACTATGAGTTTTCCAAGTTGAGGTTTGGGCTCAGTCGCTGTAGTTTGGCTGGTGGGTTGGGCGTCAAGAGATTGTGTTTGGCTAACTGGCTCGGTTTGGAGATCCTCACTCGGTCTTCCGTCCATAAATAATTGGGCAACACTAGCGCAGATTGAGGACAAGGACTCTAGTCCAAGGATTCTAAGAAGCGGAAATTGGATCTGCATGTTCTTGAGAAGCCAATTGCGGATTTCAATGGCGTGGAGAGAGTCAAGGCCTAGATCTGCCATCGGGGATTGAAGATCAATAGCAGCTCTTGAGACCATGATCATCAATTCAATCTTCTTAAAGAACATCTCTTGCACGGCAACTGTGACTTCATCGATTCCCTTTGCACGGAAGAGCTCTTCACGGAAATGTTGCATCGAAGAAGATCCCGCAGTTAGGGGCTTTGAGCCCTCAGAAGCCACAGGTGTGTGTATCATGTGAGAGAAGAAAGCCTTGTCAACCCATGGTGGCCGGGCAGTCGCCTTGCCATCGTCAATGTATGGCTCCATTCCCATAATAACCTCACCGCTTGGAGAGCTTGGATGGCCGTAAAGGATTCCTTGGAGCACAACATGGTGGAATTCTGCCTCGGACAGCGGTGTCAAGAGAAGTGATCGAAGGGTTCCCTCGATATCTGATCCATCAGCACGATCAGTTCTAGCGACATAGCCAACGTCCACCAGCAATCCAAAGTTGAGAATTGATGCCGCCTGACCGCGACGTCTTCTCTTCTCAACCAAACTTGCCATGAATAGGTTGCCTGCATGATACATAGCCTGTCCAGGGTTTCCGCATACAGTTGCTAGAGAACCAAATGTCAAGAAGAAATCGAGACTGTCGCTTTCGAACTCTTGGTCCAGGTTGACTGAGCCATCTACCTTGGGCCTGAGCTGTCTTGTAACATTGTCGGCAGAGAAGTTTGCAAAGATACCAGCTTCGAATACGAGAGCAGCATTGGCAACACCTCCGATCTTGGGCATGGTTTTTCGTAGCATGGCGACTGTCTCTCTTACCTGCTCGCGATCTGTCACATCAACCTTGACGATTCTGATATCAGCACCATCTGATCTGAGTTCTTCAACCCAATGCGGGTCTTTGGCCGGGTTTCGGCTGCCCAAAACAATGTAGCGGGCTCCGCCTCTGATCATGAACCGACAGAGGGACTGACCCAGCTCGCCAGCCATACCGGCCAAGAAATAGGTCTTGTTTGGAGAAAATACGCTGCTTGCTCGGAGAGGTGGGATCAAAGTGTTCAATAAACCGTCTCGTTTCCAATCTAAGACAACTGATAGACGCTTTCTATCTGTAAATAGAGCTTCGGATGCGCTTTGGATGCTGATAACCGTTACTGGCTTGACTGGAGCTTCATAGTCGTGGTAGCCGTCACGAATAGCTGTGGCAATTGTCGTAGGCTGTTGTTGCAAGATATGAAGTGGGTTGAACTCCTGCACGATGCAGCATCTGGGAAGGCAATTCGAGATCGTTCCCAGGTTTTCATTTGAAAAGCTCAGCAGAGTGAAAGCATCACTTGGGATCAATTTGCGAATAGATCGAACACTGGCATGCGGATGTACAATTAAATACTCTGATCGTTCTTTTCCTTCGGCTGCGCTAAACTCAACGAACAGCACTTTGCCCCTTTTTTTGTGCGAATACTGTCGACAACCTGTGAGTTAGATTGTCGGGGGCTCCAAGAATTAAAGTCGTTCCACGTTCTGGGAGTCTGGATAGCACACAGGACACAATTAGAGAGCATGCCACGCTCAAAAGAGTTTCGGCAATGCACACTTGCCCAGTTGGAAGCTTGAACGAGCTTTCTGTTGGCACTACAACTGTTGAAGAATCGGTTTCGGATAAAGCAAGCACGGTTGTCTTGGAATCTTGCCATCCAGCCACTAAAAAGCAGGGCGCTTCCTCTTTACTATGCAGCGCCAATGAAAATTCAACATCGATGGCTATGTGGCCATCTGGAATCTCAATAGCATCACCCTTGACTAACGATGTAGCCGTTGAATCATTACTGCAAGCAACCTCGATTCTCACATCGGGTCCGACAGCCTTACTGATCCGGCGTCGACTTGCATTGAGGGTTTCATTGGCAGCATGATCTTGAATAACACGCGGGATCATGGCTTTTCCATCCCTTATCACGACCTCTGGCTCTTGTACCCAGAGCATATTCTGAGTATTTTGCTCTTCGGACAAAGTAAAAGCCATTCGGAGAAGTTGGCAAATAATGAAATTGACATCCCATGAACCCGCCTCCTCAAAGTCGAGATAATGGATATTCACATGAGGCAGCTCTACCGACAAAGCGCGACCAATACCAACCATCATGTTTGAGTAAGGGTCCTCGAGAAGTCTTTCGCGAGTAACCCAAAGAATGTTCTTGGCAGTAGACAGCATCTCTTGCAAAATTTCTAGCCTCTGGGCAGTGAGATTCTCAGAGAAGAATGCTTGGTCGAGCTCTGTGAGGCACAGTACGAAGGTCCCAGGTAACATCTTGTTTGGATCCAAGTCGTCGATGGAGTCACATACTTGAATATCTGACGACCAACGATGAAGGATCTTTTTTATCTGCTGGACTGATTTAGACACCTCCAATGTCTTCCCTCCTACTATCAGGAGCGGGCTTTCTGGGATGAGATCGAAATAAGCAAGAGGGTTCCGCAGGAGATCAAATTGGTCGTTGGTTGCCTGTGCAGCAAAGACGGAGCAACTATGCCTCGCGACTTCAGTGTGGTCATAAGAAATGCAATCAATCCCTGCAAATCCACTTCTCTGCAAGATATCATCCCACTCCTTGGCGTCAACACCAGGGCCATTAATTCTTCCTTCACCTGTGCCTAACCACCAGCCCTCCAACGCTCCCATAAGACCAGTCTCGCGAAGCATTTTACCAGTAACTTCAATTACAATCATGTAGCCTCCAGGGCGGAGCAATGCCCTTGCATTTTGGACGGTCTCTGAAAGCTTCCGCGTCGCATGTAGTACGTTGGCTGCGATGATAACATCATAAGCACCCTCAGTAAAGCCCTGTCCTGCTGCTGGGTTCTCAGCATTAAAGACCTTGAAATCAACCTTTTCCGTATGCTCCTCGGGCAGAATCTCCGCTAGCCCAGTGAAGAAACTTGCTGAGATATCGGTGCAAGTGTAGGACGAGTATGAACTTCCAAGACTTTTCAAGACGCTCAGCGTTGTGCCACCGGTTCCCGCTCCAATTTCCAAGATTTTGATCCTAGGATGCTTGTAGCTGATTTGACGCATGATTTCAGCCACGTACTCATTGCATGCAGTAAGTCCTCCGCTTTCTTTGTACAGTCGACTGAGGAGGCCGTCCTTGAGCATGTGCTCGATCATCTCAGACTTTCCTCGTACAACGGAAGACAAATTCTCACCGACAGCAGTCAACATAGAAACATCGATGTCGTGAGGATAAAGACTTTGGAATTCCCTAATGGTCTCGTAACTGTCATCCAACCACTCCTTCTTGAAGGAGGGAGTATATCGACCCTCACGAATCGCAACCACTGTAGATTTAATGAAACGAATCAGTTCACGGTGGTACCACTTTGCGTTGCTTAGATCGTCTGTATTCACTTGCTGCACCAAGTTCTGCATGTAAAACAGGGTGATCCGCTCATACACGTCGGACATTTGGACTGATACCCTTCGATCGAGACCTGTCACAGATGGGGCGGTCAAGCCATACGTAGTATCAGTATCCCAAATGCTTCTGACGAAAAGGTTTCGGTCATCTGATTCCTGGGCCTCCGCAATGGCTTTCAAGGTAAGTCCTTCAATCTGAATGGAGGCGACATTACCCTCTTCCATGGCGACGCACACACCGATATCAACATCAACGGCACTTATCTCAGAGTTCAACATCGAGGCCTCGATGTCGATATTAGTTGCCCCAGACGCATTGTGGTATATTTGATTAGGATCGATAATAATGCGCTGGATTTTGACTGGAAGATACGGGCTTCCCATTGCCCTTTCAGCGGTAGACAAAAATGTTGCTAAGCCTGTCTGAAAGGCGACATCCATGAGGGCAGGGTGAAGAGCGCAGCCGATCTCAAGATCCTTCTCGGCCCATGAAGCTGTTCCTTTGGCATGTCCCCATGACCTACTGACTGATTTCAATGCTCGGAAAGGTCCATAATATCCCAATCCTATCGCTGAGACAGCACGGTGAAACCTTTCTACGCTGAGCGGCGTGAGCTCTGCCTTCGAAAGGCTCTTAGACGGCAAATCATCCGGCTGAGATTTTCCTATATGAATCAGGAGGCGACCACTGCAGGTTTTTTCGAGGACTCTCTCATTGGGGCAGATATGTGCAAAGAACTTCGCCTCCAGTACAGAACCTTCGGGTGCTGAGATAGGAGAAATCTTACTGCGGATGGTGAATAAGATTTCGACACCTTTGTCTTCACCTATGACCAGTGCCTTGGGAATAGCCACATCTCGGATTTCCAAAAGCTTCAATGGCCGATCTTGCAAGAAAAGTTTGGCTGCCTCTGTGACAAGAGTGACATATCCAGCTGCTGGGAACAGCACCTGACCTTGGAATGTATGGCCTCTAATCCAGGGCATCTCACTCAGATTGAAGATGTTTCTCCACGTTTTCTCGAGGGGCAAATCTTCCCGTGGGCGTCCGAGCAGACTATGGGGAGGTTGATTGGCTACACGGTAATTGTGAGAGAGGCGGGATTCGTGCCAGTAAACCTGATCATGATCCCAAGGGTAGGCAGGCAGGTCTTTCAGCATTGGCACCTGAGAATTCATGCCGAAGGCCTTACGCCATTCACAGAATTTGACAGAATTATGTCCTAGATAGCTCCAAACCATACCAATGACCGCTGATAGAGTATCAATGCCGCCTTCACCACGCTCCAAGCAACCTGTATATGGCAAAGATTCAATCTTCAAGGGCTTGAGTGTCTGATTTACTGGACCTTTCAGAGCTGGATGCGGCCCAACCTCTAGAGCAAGACTAAATGGGGACGAGCTGCTTTTGACAGCGAATTCCACGGCTTCAGAAAACAGAACTGGCTGCACCATATTGTCAACCCAATAAGAGCTATCCAGGTGGCTCTCAGCAAGATTTTCTTTGAGTATAGCTGTGTTCCGTCGTACACTCGAAAACCATACACAACCTGGCGTCGGATCTTGAACTTTGATTTGAAGGTTTTTGAGATATCCCAGGTACTGCTCTGAGCAGCGCAACATTTGCGGTGAGTGATATGCGGTATCAACTCTGAGCTCCCGGCCCTGAATTTGACGTCCGTCCAAATGCTCTTTGATTTCTTTGATTGCGTCCATATCACCGGATAAGGTGACGCTAGACGGGGCGTTGCTCGCTGCGACATTGACTCTTCCAGAAAATTGTTCCTCGGAGCAAAGTTCAGTCGCATCGGTGAACGACATGGCCACAGCCAACATGCCGCCCTTGTTTCCATCCGGTCCCCGGGCTATATGTGCGACGTAACCTCGGTAGTACGCAATGCCCATGGCGTCGCTTAACCCCAAAATCCCAGCTGCGTATGCTGCTCCAATCTCACCTGAAGAGTGACCGACGACAGCAGCGAAACTTACGCCTACCGCCTTTAGAAGGTCAATGAGGGCAATCTGAATGGCGGTACAAAGCGGTTGCGATATTTGTGCTTCTGCAACGCGTGACTGATTCTTGGGAGCACTCAGCTCTTTGTATAGTGACCATTCAGGTGCCTCGGGCAGTGCTGCCAATGCCTCTTCACATTTTCGAATTGAGTCTCGGAAAAGCGCACAATGTCTCAACAACTTATAGCCCATTTGAGCTGCTTGTGCTCCCTACAGATAACTTGCATTAGCTCTAAGCTCTTCTTGGACCTCATGATTTGAACTTACCTGTCCAGTGAAAATACCGAGTATTCTGGGCCCATCTGCTAAATTGGCAGTATTCAAGGCTCTTACGCCAAAATAGCCATCGGCCGGGATGTTTGCCTCTATACTGATTTGGTTTTTGAGTCGTTCTATAAGCTGCTTACGATCTTGAGATGCAGCAATTGCAATGCGATGAGAAAAGTGAGTTCTTTTTGACTGCAGAACATGGCTGAGGGTATCCAAGCTCAGTGTTTTGCTGCCATGAAGATAGTCCAGCATCCCCTTGAGCGAGTTGACCAAAGAGCGGCGGGTCTTTCCTGAGAACACAAACGGTCCAACAAATTTTGGTGTTACTAGCCCATCTTCATTTTGCTTTGCCTCTGAAGAGACATTTTGTGAAGGTTCCATTGGCAGTTGCGGTGGGCTATCAAAGCTTTCGATAATAGCGTGAGCGTTGGTCCCACCAAAGCCAAAACTGTTGACACTTGCCCGACGAGGCATTCCATTCGTCTCTGGCCATGAAACAGCATTTGTTGGCACACAAAGATTAGTGTAAAATGGCTTCACTGTCGGGTTCAGCTCATTGAAGTACATATTTGGTGGGATGATTTTGTTTTGAACTGCAAGTGACGCCTTCAAGATACCTGCGAGTCCCGCACATCCTTCAAGATGACCAATAATTGTCTTGATTGAACCACAGTACATGGGGACGTTCTCGCTTGTAGTTTCACTTGGGAAAAATGCATCTCGAATAGCTCGAGCTTCAACCGGGTCACCAGCCTGCGTGCCAGTACCATGGCATTCAAAGTATTGGCAGCGATCTTTTACGATATCTAGACCAGCATTTTTGTAAGTCTGCCTTATAAGAGCAGCTTGTGCGGTTGGACTTGGCATAGTGATACCATTGGTAGTACCATCCGAGTTGACACCGGTTTCTCGAATTATACATTCAATATAGTCACCATCTCGAATGGCTTGGCTGAGAGGCTTTAGTACCACGGCGGCGCAGCCGTCTCCACGGGCATATCCATTTGCGCTCTTATCCCACATGCGTGAGCGAGAGTCGGGGGATAGCATATGCAGAGAAGACTCGGTGATAAACCAATGGGGGTCGAGGAGCAAATTGACACCAGCCACAACGGCTTGAGTCGCCTCTCCCTTTCGAAGACTCTGGACTGCCAAATGTAGGGCGACAAGTGAGCTCGAGCATGCAGTGTCAATGGTCATAGACGGTCCCTTGAGGTCAAATGTATAGGAGACTCGATTGGACAAGATACTGCGAGACAGGCCGGTAGCTGCATGGCTGTCCATTGTATCAGGGTCACGAGCCTGGATGGTGTAGTAATCATCGGTCATACTGCCAACATGTACGGAGGTCTGTGAGCCATTGACCACGTGAAGTGGTAGACCTGCTGCTTCGAAGGCCTCGTAAACCACTTCCAAGAGAATACGGTGCTGAGGATCCATTCCAGAAGCTTCTTTTGGATTAACACGGAAGAAAGGTGCATCAAAGAGTCTAACATCTTCTTGCAAGAGGTAGGATCGCTTCTGTACATCTGTTCGACCGTGAGACTCGCCATCTTCATTGTAAAAGTTCGAAAAGTTGAGTCTTTCAGGGGGATATTCGCGGACAACATCTTTTGGCTCCCGTAGGAGGTCCCAGAGTTTGGAGGGATTGTTTGCTGAGCCTGGGAATCGGCAAGCCGTGCCTATGATTGCAATTCGCTCGTCCATATGGTCTGTTTGTTCTAGTTATTATGATACTAGAATTTCTTGTAAGCTTGGAAATAACCCTGAGTAATGTGACGAATATCTTTATTTTCCCTTCTTCCAGACTTACCTCAACTCTCACTAATCAATTTCATAGCTTTGTGACCTACGATTCCAACATTCCTCTCTAGGTCTAGTCAATCATCTAGCTTTAGATCTACATAAGCCACAAATAGACACTGGAAGCAGTGTAAGTGGACCTACTTTTCTCCACCTAGGCATCTGAACTTTTCTCTTACCACTGGCCTTTCCATGCTCTACATTCAATTTACAAGAGCGCTTCGGACTGGAAGATCTGACTTGAATATTAGGCCTGTCATGTTATCCCAAGACGCTTCCAGGATTTACGCCTTCGAATTCACGACCAAGCTTCAAGCTTCAGCTTGGACCTCTCCCTGACCCACTAATATTTTCCGATTATTACTGTCTAGGTATGTGGGGGGCGATGAAAGAAAGTTTTTGTCCCTAGATCTGAGTATATCTAGTGGGACATCGAACTTTGTTAGAACCTGATGGGTCCAAAGTTTCAGCCTCGTAAAAAATCAACCTCACTCAGTATCTATACTTTTTCACTCTATTGTTTCCTTTTCAGGGCTGTTAGAAGTGCCCGAGGTTGGTCCATCAACTCTGCGCAAGGAACTAAACTGCCATCCGACTCGAAATTAGGTCCACGGGTGACATTGAATATACCTAGTGGATGAATATGGAGGTGGCCTGGTGGAGTCCTTAGTCCTATAGGCTGTCCCTCCTAAGAAATCCAAAACTTCACAACCTCAAGAATCAAAAAGCAATAAAGGAAAGCCCTAGAGGTATTTTTTACCTCTTTCCAAGGTTATCCATGGTGGATATTATTGAAGTTTAAACTATGGAGCAATCTTCAAGGGCCACACCGCTGCCACATTTTAGGGTCTTGCCTAGATTGAAAACTTGGAAGGACTCAAGGGGCCAAGGGCCTATGTCTGACCGAATAGCCGATACCATGAATGATGAATCTTGCAAGTAAATATTAGCAGAATGTTACTACTTGCCAGCCCAAAATCTGACCATCCAATCGTCAAATGTAGAAGAATCTGAATTCTCTATCTAGGGGTGGGAAAGGATCTACTAAATACACGCCCATTGTGGACTTAGCAAATAGTAGTACAAACAACAACAGCCCTATTTTTAGGGCTGACATGAATGTTTGGAGCCACAGGTAGCATCTACCTAAGTTTAAGAGAATTTTCAAGCTTGAAAAGTTACCTGGGTATAGGCATTGTTCGAGATTATCCATAGGTATTCTTTCAGGGTCTGAAAATCGTCAGCTATATTTTACCTTAGCTGACGCGTAACTTTATATCCAAAGGAATAGTGATAGCGGCACTAGCAAATGAAAATGCCATGAAGACACCAATAGTGCCCTTGAAAGCATCATTGCTGTAATTATGGGAACGTTAGACAGGAATTTACCTTAGAATTAAAATAACCTTGAAAGAGAAGACTAAAATATTTTGAAGAAGGCTAAAGAGATCAAGTGGTTTGAAAGAGCCACTAAATTAAATCCAATGGAAAGAATTAATTCTTAGGAATATCTCCTGTTTGAAAAACTTTCGCTATGGCCTAGCAGCTCACCTGGGGCGTCTATCACCCTCGTATTTACCATTCGTAATCTTAAGATTTGATTCTGATTCTATTATTAACCAGTCGTGACCTTGATCATTTACGGTATTTAATTGCCTTATACTTTCTATACGATGGATTCATGTAATAGGCGAAGTATTCTATGTAATTCACCCATGGAAATGGGTAGTTTGATATGGTACTATACAAGAACAATCCATATGCACGCAAACGCTAAACAATGGCATAATGATCTTTTGGGCCATTTACTGTAAAAAAGCTAGAAAGTCCTTGTTTTGTGTCAGCATAACCCAGGCTGTCCAGTAGGTATCAGTCTTCTTAATCCAGCAGGAACCGATATTGACAAGGACAATATCTGAGCATATTCGCAGATGTATACCAAGAGCTATTTAATATGCCCGTCGAAAAAGTGTCCCACGAAATCGGTAACGTTTGCTGCGGTCAGTTTGCGGTGGCTCATGAGCGTATCTGAACGCAACCTAAGGAGTTTTCCCAACGGATACTTCAGTATATGACAATGACCTATTTGAAAGATAGTTTCGGTGTTGGCCGGGTTCTGGAGAAATAATGGCATATTGTCTTTGGGATGGATGCACTTCAGTAAGTCTCGATTCCTAGACCATGGAATACCTTGTCACTTGTTACATCGCCTATGAACTTAGGCACTATAGATCATCTACTGACTGTCTCGAAATAGCTGCCCTCATGAGCAATGCCGTTGGGATGTGTATGGATAGTGTGGGCCATTGGCCTCATGAGAGGTTCTTCATCTAGTGATAGCACCTGTAAAGCCGTAACAAACAGTACAGTGAGTACACGGCAACTACGAGCTACCTGAATCATGATTTCTCTGTCCAGGTGGATGGCTTGAATTCCATCGATAAATTGATCAATTGATGAGGGCAAGCGTCCTTAGCAGAGTTTTGATTTTGCAATTTGCCAGTCATGGATCTCTCCTGTACCTCAATTCGAGATTCCCATTGAGGCTTAACAGCTAGCCACTAGGCTCTCTTAACAGAAAAATCATGCGTATACAGTTAGGATGCTAGAGATCTCAGTCGGTCGTTTGTACGGAAGGTCACGGGATTAACACATGATATACTCGTCGCGTGTCTGAATATAGCAACGTCAGATTATTTGCACTCAACTAGTTATATGAGATGAATATTGATAATTAACTTGAATGGGAGAGGAGAGTTCTCTATCACCTTATCGTCTACAAATCATTTTTAATTTTTGATTTTTGAAAGCTCAACTAATTGCTTCTATACCAAAGTGCTTCTTATCTCCTATTGCCATTCATTAGTGCGATTATACTAGCTCGCTGACTATTTGCTGTCCAAAGTTTTATCTATTTATGTAATTAAAATCTCACGTTATCTATTTCTTCCGCCAGCATAGCTTCCTGCTATAACGCTTATTACTACCTTTATGTTGGGATATCGGACAAACGACACCCCGGTTTATATCACGAATCCCTGTTCAGAGTGTATCGCAAACGACAACCTTGAATAGTATGCATATAACAGTGATGTTCCTTCTTTACCGACTCTTCTGTCTTAGACGATGGAACACATTCGTCTCAGACAGAATAGCAACTTGTAGGATAAAGAGCTAGTCCTCACCATGAATGAAAAACCAGATTTTACAACCACTTCAAGAGAACACAAAGATATTATAGGGGCGTAAAGCGTTTCCTGTAATAGGTGTTAGAAGTGGGCGTTAGCCTCTCATCGACCTTGCTAAATCCACCGGTATACTGACACTTTATGAGCCGCTAAGTCGGCTTACTAGTTGATTCCTTCGCCTACTCCTACGCCCAATGAGCCCTGTACGCGCCCGCACCTCGCATTTTGCAATGGACAGTAGCCATGTTCCGCACTCATCTTGTCCGCTGGTTCCCGTGACGGCTGTAGGCCGGAGATCTGTAGTGATTCTACGGCAGGAAACTACTTTAATAAATATTTCTTGTGTTCACTAAAGGACTAGGTTCATTATATAGTGTAAACTATCTAAATTTAAAATAAATTTAAAACATCATAAGTAGCGTGAGCCAAAAACTCTGATGGTAATATATAAGAAGAGTTATTCAAATACGCTCTCCCCACCTCGACCTGATAAATCTTCTAGTGAATTCGGTAAATCTTCAAGCTCTTTTAGAAGCGCATCTTGGTCGACATACTTTTGTGCCGTTTCAAAATCGATTAAAACAGCTGTTGAATCACGAATAAGAAAGTTGAACCGGTTTATGTCTCCGTGTCGGATCCCTAAGCTATGTAATCGTGACAGTGTCTTTTGACAAGACTCAAGGTCCTCAATGCTAGCATGCTGGACATTCTTGATGCGTTCCATCAAGAATCCGATCACACGGCCATGTTCCATTAAATGGCCAAGGAATCGGGGACCAATATTATTGCCCTCGATCCATTGGTAAGCCATGGTCTCACTCTCTAGATATAGAATCTCCCATTCAAAGCGAGCGAATTTAGCCACAACTACTTCATCGAACCTGGGGCATCTGACTTCATAAATGCCCGTTGTCAACTTGTCTCCCACCTGGATATCCATATAATCCACAGAAGTTCCGTTCCAGGTGTTCTTAACGCCAGGGAAAGCAGTCCGTCTGGCATCGTCAAAATGAGGTTGGCCCGTCTGTTCATTTTTGGTCACCATTGCATCATTCCAATCTCCATCAGGTAGAGCGGGTAGAAATTAAGCTAGCGAGGGGCCAAAGCACATGTCGTCCACCTCGTAAAGGCCAGGGTCTATAGTGACATATTTTATATTTTGACCATTAACTAGGATGCGAAAGAAACTCTGATCATTTCCATCCACTTCTGCTTGAAGCAATTCGACTTTCGTTTGAATGTGCGTCATAGTGTCGAGCAAGGCTTGGACATAGAAAGAAAAATTAGAATGTGACGAAATAATTTTATTTGAATATCTTTCGACATCTGTGAACCGATATTTATATTTTAGTATCCTAAATCAAGAGCCGAAGAAGCCAAGAGAACACCGCCCTGTGATCCCTGGCGTCGAGGAAAGCGGTGGGAAATGCTGCTCAGAAATCGCCTGCATAGTCATGCGCTACTAGTTAGGCTGCATCAGGTTAATAGAGTATTGATTGAATGGTGCTCAGAAAGAAAAGAAGGCAAAGGAGGCTGCCCGAAAGGAAAAAATTCAGTGGTGTACTATTGGCCTTTCGGGCTCCATGGCTATTACCGCGCTGATAACGCATCCTACACCTGTCGACCTTGATTTAATCCAAACCCCAATCACCTGACCACAATGGCTTCAATCACCCATTCTTCTTTATCAAGAAAGGCTCTTCAATCCATTTCTCTACAAGCTCGCCATATTCGCCCAACTCTAAACTCCTGCACCCCGCGACCCCCGACACTATTCCAAACACGAATCTCACCATCAGTCTTCAACACTAGCCTTACACCCACAACAACCCGCAAATACCACTCAGCCCTTCATCCACGCCTCCCAGACTATGATTACACAAATAGCCAAGCTGCAATCCTAACTGCGGCCCTCTCCCATGTCCCAACCCACGGATTTACAGCTATATCCCTCACCCTCGGCGCCCACGACGCAGGCTTCCTCGATGTCTCGGTCCAATTGCTTCCCCGCGGTGAATTGGACTTGATCCTTTTCTGGCTTGCCAGTCGTCGTGGCCTACTACGTGGCAAGGTTGAGGAGGGTGCACTGTTCAATCGCATTGCCGCTGAGCGCGGCATCGAACCACAGGCTCTTGGGGTTGACGAGAAGATCAAGGCGCTTATTATGGAGAGGTTAAAGATGAATGACGCTATCCGGGAACAATGGCAAGGCGTAGGTCTTTCTTTAAATCCATGATCCCACTGGATTCCCACTAACCCTTTTTCACCGTATAGGCTCTAGCCCATATGTCTTTACTCGGAAATATCCCACTCTCCATAGCAGAACTCCACGCCCTCTCAAATGATATTCTCTTATTGGCTGATGACCCTGCTGTCAACTCGGCTTGGTATACCCGCCGCGTAGCCGTGTCAGCCGTCTATGCCAGTGCTGAGGTTTTCATGACTCGTGATACTACGGCCGATCTGTCAGAGACTGCATCTTATGTAGAGCGTCGGTTCGAGGATAAGGAGGCTCTTGCGCTGAAGTTCAACGCTGTTAGTCAATGCATTGGGTTTTTGAGTAGTTCTGCTATTGGGGTTGGGAGGAGTTGGGGGCTGAAAGTTTGATTTTGTATATCTGGGCATATATTCTGGCATTCCAAGGTTGTTTCTTCTGTGCTCTTGTATTATATTTATAAAGGCTATTTATCATCATGATCGCTCATCCCAATGCTCAGGTTGACTGGACCATTCATACTTTCTATATGTACAATTGAAAACACCATCATTCTTCTATCACTTGAGATTTACAAATGATACTTAAGGAGTGAAGAATTGAGGTGGGATGTAGCTGGGCGAAAAAGGCAGAAAGAAGATGTAAAAAGGCAGACCACTAACTAGGTAGGAAGCTAAGCATGAACAGACTCAAATTTACTCGAGTCCATTGTACGGCCTAGGCACGTAAGAGCCATTGCTATCCCAATCCCATGCCCATGCAAGCTGTCGGACCATTTCAATGTCACTGCCCTTCCACTTTTCGATCATATCGAGTGAAGCGCTACTCAGCGGTAGCGGGTTCCACCCACTTCTGTCCGGAAGCACCATCACTGCTAATTTCGCCCTGACCCAGGTCTTCACGTGCCTATGTTGGTCATGTTCATCACCGCAGTACTCTCCAAGCTTTAAAGCAAAGCCTTCTTTTTCCTTTTGCTCGACTTCGGCCAAGATCGGCGCAAAGGCATCGACCTTCATTACCAATACAGGGTCTGCAGCGTACTTGCAGATCAATCCATCAATGCCAGACAAAAATGCATCCAATGGCGAATCGGACGATGATATTATTTTCGAACGTGGTGATGGAAGCAGCTCAATCTCGTACTCCATTTTTGTTGGAATAGTCACTGGATGAGCGGTCAAGCCTGGTGACCATCCTTCTTTCCGGACCAGTTCGGCAGCGTCGACGATACTGGTCATGAGCTTTGTGAAAAATGAAATATCATGAGGGCAGTTATCTTTGCTGTTGTACTCTCTTGCCTGTCTCAACCCGTGCAAAACTGCCAACATGTAGCCTGGATGGATGCTGTATTTATTCAAAAAGGAATTGTAGGCGATTGGAGACCTGGTGAACACATTGACTCTGTAAACAAATTCATCAAGCACAAGCTCTGGAGTGATGCCATTTGGTTCTTTGCCCTTCACAAGTGAGGAGTATTGATACGCAAACCGGAAAGGACATCTAGAGCGTTGGGACTCGAGAAGGCATTGTAAGTGACCCTGCACATCAACATCATTCTTAACCGGGTCCGAGGTCCATTTGAATGCTTCATGGATTTGATTGAAAGAGTCGCGGTGCAAATAAGAGAGTGCCCAGCCGCGATGCTCCTGCAGATATGTACCTGGGAGATAGTTTGCCCATTTACGGACAACCAGATCCACCAGATCGGGGGAGAAAGGGCCGATGTCTGAGTCGGTTAGGCCGAGATCTGAAAGTGAAAGTCCGAGTCTTGCGAGCAAGATGTTCATCCACCTGGTGTGCTGGCGAACAGATTCTGTAACCAAAGGCAATATGACCTTTTGGACATATTCTGAACGTAGCTTGTCTGGGACTTTGTTGGGGTATTCGATTATCGTCTCTAGGATGGGACGCTGATCATCCAGGATGGGAATCAGTGGACCTCCAGCCTCCGCTTCCTGCCAGTCATGTTCACTTGCCATGTCTCTCTCGCTAGGCCCCGCGGCAGACAAGGCAATCCTGGACAAAACCTTGAACGGCTCAGCGTTGCAAAATTGCTTGAGCAACTCGAAAGCAGAATTGACTATCTCCACGCGGACGTCAAGTTGGCTACTGGAGCTGCAAATTTTCTCCAAGTGGAGTAGTCGAGTTGAAGGCGCAAGGAAGTCCGCTTCGGTAAGACCTTGTACAATCATCTTCAAGGTTGTAATCTTGACTATTGCTTTCTTATTTCCGAGTGCTTCGCACGCATTGCCAACAAGGCTATCCACCAGGTCCTCAGCCTGGTTCGGGGTGAGGAATCTTCCAATCTTTGAGAGACTCACTTTGCGGTGGCTCGAAGAGTCATTTGGAAACTCTGTCCATACTCTGGATACCACTTCTACCACGAGTTGGGGTTGACTGCTGTGCAATAGGACCTTGATCAGGTCCAGTGTACACTCTAAGAGGCTTGGGTAATTTTCAGCATCCGGTGATGCTTTCAATGTATCCAGCAACGAGCAGATAAGGTCTCTCAATATCTGAGCTGGGACATCACGGGGCCCTCTCTTCAGAGCCTCAACTGCCTTAAACATGGGCCATGAAGGGTCATCCTTATTAGCCACTCGTGTGATAAACTCGTCTGCCAAATACGTTGGTCCGTAGCGAGAACCTTCGGTATCGGGAAATCCCATCTTCAGAAGCCGTGACTGTGAGGCGAAAGTGTCCAGGTATAGCAGAGCAGACAATCTGATGGCTTCTTGATTGTTGAAAAGACCAGACCTGCCTTCGTTATTCGATGCAGAAAAGCCTTCCCAAATTGCAAGGGGGTTTGTTCTTGCCCTAGTCTTTATAGCTCTGGTGCGGACAACTCGATCTCTAGACCGTATGCTGCCTTGCATGAGGCAATTGAGAAAGATGCAGGGTATTTCCCTCGGCCTTTCTTCATTCACTAAGTGCTCATCGATTTCCACCATATCCTCAACATCTTGTTGTGGATCCCATTCCGTCAGCTCTGATCCGGTTGGAACTCTCGACAATAGTAAGTCTGGTGCTGGCAGAACAGGAGGCTGAATGACACTGATCAATTCATGCGCGTTACCAAGAAGACCAACCATCCATTCTTGGAAAAGCTCCAGGTGTAAAGGATGTTCGTGCAAAACTGAGGAATAATGCTCCCAGATACGCGTGAGCCACTTCACCTTGTCTTCTTCTTCTCCTAATGAAACTGTAGCACGAATTGCGACGCCCAAGCTATCCACAAAATCACGATTTGGTTCAACGACCTGCGGTATCGCGGCGATGACAATATCCCTTCGGCTGAAAAGGATCTCATTTGCCCTGGAAGATAAGAATGGTGCTTCTTGGGGACGCTCCAATGCATGGTATAGCCATTCCACTTTGCCTGCAGTCAAATTCTGTATCGAAAGACCGCGAGGCCAGCCAGGTCCCAAAATGCAGACATCGGGGTTAAGACGCACACGTAGGTCTTTCCACAGTTCATCCCTTGCCTTCTGGAGTCGGTCTACAAATGACAGGTTCACGCGACTAGGGCTAACAGGGCGCTTGAAAAATTTGATTAGTCCCGCTGGGCCGCTCCAACTGAAAACTGCCTGGCCTTCCCTGTTTCCTTCGCGTTCAAAGTCGATGATAATTGGCAGTAAGGAGTCGAGTAAAGTTTCAACTAGGTCAGACTCTGTGGCTAGCTCGTCACTGAGGTAATATTTCACCGCATTAAACCGCAGATCGAGGATAGTGTTGAACATGGAACCAACCATATTTGTCATACTTCTCATCAGGGGTTTAGCCCAAGGCTCGCGAAGCAAAAGCATGCAACTCTCAAGTAGGCCCTTCAAAGCCAGATTTGCCCTCTGCACATCGGCTCGGACATCTGATATCGAAGCCAGTTTCGCAGTCCGCGTGTCGGGCCCGCATGCGAGAATGAGGCCAGCTGACGTGTGAATAGTATGCAAGATGTCGGGAAATACTTGCTGTATATATCATAAAGGTTAATATTATGTAGTTTCGATGAGAAAAGAGCGTCACATACCGGATCCCGTAGATACCGCTTACTCCAATCCACGACTTCACAAAAAATCTCCACAGACTTTGTCTCAGAGGCAAGCTTTATAGCCAATTTTGCCCACTTTAAGCGCTCATTGTATTCTCGTCCCCGCATAGCTCGTTTCTTCATCTCGGCAAGAGCTATATATTGTTAGTCAATTTGATCTTGCATGGCTAGTTTGAATCTTAAATACCTTGAAGAGTGACTGGAAATTCAGCTCCTGATTTGGCGGTTGTACGCTCCCAGCTTGCCCAAAGAGTGCATTGTAGCTCCCAACTCATATTCCACGAGTTCTGCTTGATCAAAGTGTTTGATAAAAAGGTTTCACAGCTGTGAATTTTCAGTTGTCGTTGGAAGAGGACCTTGGAGTGTCCTGGATCCAACAGTGCCAGAATACGATAATCCCATATCGGGAAAAGCTCCCTCTCTTTTTCGGATGGAGGCCATGCAGTAAGATCAAAATTAAGGTTAGGTGCATGTTTGCAAACAAGTTGTAGCAGTTGGAGCCTTCCCTGGCTGTGTACATTGTTGAGCAGTCGCGTGAGACGGTCAATCAAGTTCGCCTGCATATTTTCAGAAAGCCCATGGTCTTCGAGATTCAACACTTGATCTAGTAAAATTTGTTCCAGTGCAACTTCGTTCACAGCACTGGGCCGCGAAGGGGATGCTGCATGTGTCTTTGTCATGACTGGATGGAATGGTGGAATATCCTTAAATGTACCAAACCGTATCATCGACCAGCACCGAACTACATCTTTTGCAAGAGGCGAATCCAACCAATTATGGGATGACACAAGTCGGGATATATCTAAGCCGCATTTTATAATGGGCATGATCGTATCAAATGGTACTCCGCGGCGAATCGCGAGGTTTAAGACTAGCGTGATCCATTGACGGGGCATATTCCCTTTGCAAAATTCAGGCTCGATGGTCTTCATATACGATAATATATCCACGCCAAATCTCAGACCTGGAGAGAAGATTTCCGATTGGATTTTAGTGGAATAAACCGGGTTGTATGCTTCTTTCGATGCCACTAAGATTTCAGCGCAATCCTGCAAAATCTTGATTTGTTTTCGCGGGTCGCTTTTCACAACACCAATCGCCACCTGTCTGAAGAGGTTTGGATGTAGTCGACTGGCATCGCGGTAAAATTTGTCCGGACTAGTAGCCTCGGAATTCAAGATCTCAGCCACTTTCTTGGAAGTGCAACGAGAATACAGCGGGGCTACATATGATGATAATGATCTCGAAGTCCATGTATCAGATGCGTCGATCAGAGCTACGAGCTCATCAAAACATGTCGCTAGCAAATCCCTGCCCCCGGCGTTGTAGCCACCTTGGCAAATGGCTTTGACGAAGGAACTCACTTCGACTAAGGGGAGTCCATCGAGAATTTCCTTGATGCCCTGCGCGCCTCCGAGTGAGTCCCACCCGCGCTCTTTCCGAGAAGGTTTGGTGAAAATGTTTGAGATAATTTTGATTGCTGCTATGCGAACTCCAGCTGCCTGGTCACGAAGAGCACCATAAAGTAGAGTGGGCTCATATTTGCAGGCATTAGACAGCCAGACACGGTATACGGAATGGGGAACCGCCTCTGTGTGTGCTAGATGAAGAATGTGTGAATTGATAGCATTGATACTTTTTGTGGAAGAGTCGCTCTTCAGGATAATTTGGAGATGTTTGGTGAGCGCAGCTGGGTGGAGCAGCAACGCCACCGGCTGCAGGTCAAAAAGATTCATCCGGCGTGCAGTACTGGAGAATCGAGAAAATTGGTTGAGTGAGAAAGCGTGTCGAGGGGAAAAAGAAGAAGAGTTCAACTTAAGAGATTCCCTCTTCAAGTATGAGTCAGCTAAAAGGCTGTTATGATCATAACAAAACTGGCGGGATCCTAATCGGGAACTGGAGACGTTGAGGGCACCTAATCGGGGAAAGCTCGACCTTGAGAAATGACGAACATTATTAGCCCCAGAAGCAATCGAATAACATGCACGATAAGACATGTTTTCCGATTTACAATCAGTTGAATCTATTCATTTAATCAAGAGCATTTCCGAATTTAAGTACCTGCGCAATAAGCACTAGTAGCAGAGCCCCACTGTTCAATATTGTGCTTCTTATGATATTTGGAAACTATCTAACTTTCGTATTAATATTCAAGCAATTATGAAAAGCGCCAGCTTAGTTCAAAGACATATTCTGCACGGCCTCCTCTACACTCAACGGTACAGATCCAGTCCCACCATTGAGTCCATGATGTTCAACATCAGTAGGTGAGACCAGTAGCGTCGGTGAGCTTGGGGAAGTGGGGGAAAATGGATCAGAGAGTGGCACCACTGGCTCCTCTGGCGGCTGCAGGGTAGTCTCAACTATCTCGGATCCTTCTCTTGCCAGGCTACCACTGCTCGTTCCACTCTCCATAGAGTCGGTCTGACCATGTTGTGCCTTACCACGACCCCATCGTCTAGCTTTAGGCGGCGGAGGTTTTTGTCCATGCTTGCTTGGCATTGTCATTGATGAAATTATAGCTACAGGCGGGACCTGCTGATAGGATGATGGTGTGGTGGAGTGAGATCGGCGGGGTGGAGGAACAGCTGGGGGTGGATTAGATGCAGACCGGCGTGAATGGCCGGGTACTGGCGGCATAAGGTGGGAGCTTGTGGTGGAATTACGCCGGTCTACAGGGGGTGGTTGGGAAGTGACGGGTGTTGTAGGTGCAGGTGTTGTTGGGGCTGTGTGGGATGTTGGTCCGATCTCTATACCCTCGGGGATGGTGTTATGGTCACTACTTGTGCCGGCGGAATGTTCATCATCATCTGCGCCTAGACGACGCCCTCGCCAGCGCCGGGATTTGGGCGGTTCGGGTCTGATCTTTGGCGGACGGATGATGGGTGCATCTGTGACGTTGGCGGGATGATTATCTTTTCGGCTGGGCGTGATGATGCCTGGTTTCACGTGCTGTGCTGCAACGGCCTGGACACTTAAAGTAGAGGAGTTTGCCGGTTCCAAGTTCATTCCTAGTCGTGCGGTGGCCCTGAATATCCCCCGGAAATCCGGCGCCACGGATGAGCCTCGTGAGTCCATTCTCGTTGGTGACTCAGGGATACTACTGGCGCACGAGACGGTGCGACTTAGATCAAGTGATTCTCCGAGTGATCCCGCAATTTCAGTGGGAGATTCCTGGAGAGCTTCGTCAAGAACTGTATCGATTGACGCAGTGACTGCTGGAATTGGGGCATCTGGAATAGGCGTGGTGTCAGGTTGCTCCATGTTGCGCAACCACTCTACCGTTGCACATCGAGTCACTAAACGCCGTGTAGTATCATCCACCTCTTCAAAGTGCATCATCTTTTCATCATGGTCAGTTTCGTTTCCGTAAGACACTTGGCCCCGGACGAGGATATTGAGTGTCTTCCTAAGCTCTTCCCGCTTGTAGTGTGGTGGAAGTCGCAGCTGAGTATGAGCTAAAAGTGGGTATAACACACGCAAATATGTGTGTCGAAGTGCTGATGCCTCCTCGGGCAGATCCAGCAAATTTCGAATCAAGATGTCCACCAGCACATGAAGATCATTGGTGAAGAAATACTCGTAGGTACTGGGGGTAGTGAAAATCAGATAAAGCAGCTTGAGGGTCAGTAACTGCAACGATGTTTCCCCTTCACGGTTGATGAGTAGAATGATATTCTCGCCGAAAGTCTTGTATAAGCTGCCATACACAGACAGAACCTTGATGACTTTATTGGTCAATTGACTTCCAGGAAACCTGTCATCCACTGGGTCATGAGCCGATATCATGAATTGTTCATTCAAAACAAGCTGCAAAAAATCAGCTGCGGTTCAATCTTTGACACCAATTTGAACACTCACCAGGACCCGGATAACGGGATAATGATAAGGATCCGTCACATCGTATGAAAGGTCTTCAATAATATCAAAAAGACATCGAATGAAGTTATCGTCGACTAGCACTGTTTTAAGTCTCAGGTCATCTGCAAACCCATTGGCATGAATATACCAAACGTACCCAAATCCTCAATCTTCATGCGCTGAATCCGCGACATCTCATAGATCAAATCCATAAGAATTCGGTGCAGACCGCCATCCAAGTCATCTCTTCGCACTGCTTGTATTAACTCCAAGAGACGCGCAAATGCGCCCTCCTCATTCAGCATCTTGAGCACGACTTCATTCTGGCGACCGTCGAAGAGGAGAAAAGATACTATGACATGTAGTGTGTTCGGATCGTCTTCCTAGTTAATGTTGAGTAGGAAATAAGCGCACGTTCGGTTATTTGATGGGTTCAGGTGTGTATATTCGGTACCTGTAAAAGACCGTAGATAATCTGGCGGCGGACATAATCTGTATGAGCTTCGAAGATGCTCGACACGAACAGTTTGTAGGAACAGCGCGAAATGTCATATTCGCCCGGGAGGAATTCATCTACACGAAGAAAGTCAATTCAGTTCAGTCCAGTCCAGCTCAATCATGACAAGCTGTGAAACAGCCGGTTTGCGCAGTAAGAAGTGGCTCAGAGATGGGAAATTTACCCTTGAATTTTGTTATGAAACTCAGATATTCTCGGAGAGCATCGTCAATTAGGTCTTCGGAGTCGCAAGGCTTGGAAACGATCGCTTGGAGATCTGCGCAGTGTTAGTAGACAGGGATCAAGAAAGGTCCGCATAATCAATTATTGTCGTAAGGGCATAGAAAACATACCATCCCAGAACTGCTCGGGCTCCAATACTTCGTGCTCCATTTCCCAGCGAGCTCAATCTGCTTCTGCAGGGTTGTGGCAGAGCACGCATCCCGTTACCTTGTACGGATTAGAGGAGGTTGGAGACGATGTGTTTTGGAGGCGGGGAGATTCCCACTTCGGCCCACACTAACCTTCAGTAGCAATAGTACAGAACTGATATCTACCTTTCTACATAGATGTTTTTTTTTTTTTTTTTTTAGCCAGATCATCATATTGAAGATTCTGGAAGAAAAACGCATTATAGATTTTATGCAACATCTCTTAAATTGTACGAGAGAAAGAATTTATGCAATTTTGGTATTACTATATCAAGAGATAACGTTCAAATGTATATAATCAGGTCGGGCGGAGGAACGGGTGTGCTTCAGTGTTTCTTTAAGAAAGCAGTCAGTAATTATTCCAGTCGTAGAAGTTGTTAACATCAGTAGAACACTCACAAGACGTATTTATCAAGATCCACCACACTGGGATCGCTGAACAGTAGATAGAAATATTTGAGAGTTTCTGCTAGCCAGAAAGACTCCATGGTGTCCTTCTGGGTTGGCTTTTGGGACATCACGTCCCCAATGGCTGCATGAGCCAGTTCCGTTCGTGTATGCTTCACAATCGCCTCAAACATATTCCACCCCTTGCGCCGCCAGGCCTCATCACCCGTTATACGGAACATGATAAACACAGACTCGATGGCTTCGGGTCGAAGGTAGTACTGGGCTGAGGGGATGCTGACCATGCCGGAGGGTAGAAGACCACTTGGATCAGATTTTGATAGAGCGGGGGATTGAGGAATACGAGGTGTATCCCGGTTCTCAATACGCTCAGTCTCGTCAGAACCTGCTGGCGGAGCAGCTGCAGATACATTAGCGAATCCTCCTCCAACCAGGATGTCACGCTTGGAAGCTGGCTCCTGGTCATGAGGATTCTGTGATCCCGGCATAGGAAGAGGAACGCTGTGGTCGTTCGTGCCAGATTTCTTTGACTCGGTATCCGCGTTCAATTTCACCCGGCCGCCGTAGGACTGCCCATAAGCCGTTTCTCCGGAGCGGAACTTGGCCTCGGCTTCAGAATCTGAGATATGTCCAAAGCGTTTCACTTCGGCATCGTAGCTTGCTTCGTCCCAGTCACAGGCCTTTCCTTTTCCACAGGGCATGAGCCGGAACCTTTCGGGCATCAATCCGGTGGTGGTCGTTTCGTACGCCCACACGCAGCCGTCGGTCAGCTTCGATGCGATATCCATGTCACCCTCGATTCCAAAGGTTTTGGCCCCTATGGCCATCATTCCTCCAACGAAGCATGTTAAATGATGACTTTCATAGGCGATATCACGCGAAGGATCTACACCCTTTGAAGAAGGATCCAGTGAGTTGGTGGACGCCATAAAACGGACATCCCGTCCACCCTTGATCATGGGTCTGAAGAGCAAGTTTCCGCGGGCTGCATCCATGGCTTTCTTGTACATCTTCTTGTACTGATCTTTCACGCCTCCTAGCAATAGGTACTCCTTGGGCAAATATTCATAGGTTGAGTCGGCCAGTCCGGCCAAAGTATACTTGTTGTCACGGAGTGCGGTAGGAAGCAGCAGTCCGCCATCACACGTGTCTGTCTGGGCTTCTGCCTCGCTACCGTAAACAGCAGGTTCGGCTACACTGAGGTCGATCTCGGGATCTCGAGAGATCAACTTCGAAGGATTACTTGACTCGGTCGGTACCGAGCGTTTCAGAGAAGCACTAGTAGGTTCTCCTTTCGTGGTAGAGGAATCTGGACTTTTTCGAGTCGGAGCTCCGACTTCCGCAACAGGATCAGTAAGAAGAGGCTCATACTTTGCGCAGCCCTGGGCATTGAGACGGGTTGGCCACAGGCCCGGAAGACTAGTGTCATCTTGGAGCTTCTCTAATTCGTTCGTGACACGAGCAATCGCATCATAATACTTATCACGCTTTGTCAATTGGGCAAGACGGGTAAATTCCAAGGAAAGAGATCCGAGTTCTGCTAGAGACGCTCTAGATGAGGCTCGGTGGGGACGGTCAACGTGGTCCCTATAGAACAGTGTCAGCAACGCAAACTCTCAATAACATATCGCAGATGATCCACAACTCACGGAGTCCAGCGGTAATATAATACTGGCATGCGATTCGGCGTGTCAAAAGCGCCAATCAATACCTCGGCGAGTTGCTCGGCCTTTTCCAACAAGACCGCGTGCCTCTGTCCCGAGATATCGTAAGCACCCAATAAACCACCCAAATACCGGATCACAGTTTCGAACATGGGAATGTCCTCTCTGGGCGAGGTGGTAAAGTCGATCTTGCCAACGGTATCTACAGCCTCTGTAAATTCTTCCTTCATTCCCATAATATACAATGTATCGAGTGAATCGACCAACGTTGCGCCCCAGCCATTGAATGGATCCTCAAACTCTGCTGTCAAAGGCTTGAGTTCGTCGTGGCCCATTGCGACCTTCTTGTATCCCTGCCACGCGTGCTTGAATTCCGCCGCGATGGCGCTCAGTCGCTGCAACCGCTCCTGTTTGTCCGAGGTTGTCTCATCTTTAAATTTGGCCTGCAACCTGGAAATGACCTTAGGCTGATCTTTGGGCAGCTTGATCAATTCCTCCATAGAAACTGGGAATCTCTCAGGGAATTTCTTCCATCTGGGTGCTGATATCCCTGTATTTGGGTGCTTCGCCACCACTCTGCCAGTACCCCCATTGTCGATTTCCTCCTTTTCGAGGATCTTCGTAGAGACTTTCGTAGTGACTTTCTCGAGGGTCTTGCCAGGAGTACTGCTGTGAGAATCACCTCCTGGAGCCTGATTCTCTTTCGTCTCAGAGCTGGAAGTAGCAGGCCATTCTGGTTTGTTTTTATTTCCGGAGGAAGAGGAGACAGGGGAATTAGATTTTGGCGGATCTTTCGGGAGAGAATTGGAGTCAACCTTTCCAGCTGAAGCGGATGAATCAGTTTTAGCTAGCTGATCTGCGGGATTAGCGGATTCAGGCGAATGGCCCTCGTTGGTCTCGACGATGATACTACTCCAATCGCGCGACCGAGAGAAATGGATAAATGACAGGACAAAAATGACCGCGAATACTAAAAGTACGCGGTAACGACGTGAACGAAGCATGCTGGATCGTTAATCCCATCTATAAAAGGGGGGATTAGAAGACAAGAAAAGTTGCAGTTCGGCTGTCACGAGACTACAATGCAAGGATGCGGAGGTCGGAGTATCCACTTACTGTATACGCATCCTATACGAACATGTAACTACTTATTTTCAATATTTATTTATTTAAAAAACTAATTATCTAAATAAATATTGGAATAGCTAAATAGTTAGTTAACATTAGATTGATTATATAATTTGATATTTATAATCGTCTACTCTGATAACAGCAAACACTGAGACTATTGACCCTCGGCTACTTATACCAAGTCGGAGAAAAGACATGGTGAGAGTGACCTGTACAACTAAGTAATTAGATGTATAGAAAAGATGATATCAGAATAATGGACTAGCCATATAAGTAACACTGCAAATTAAGCCCTGGAGTACATCATTTGACAGACTGATCTATCATCAATAGATATGCACCTCATACAAGAGACGGCAGAAATAGATGTTGTAAAAATAGGTAATTGGGAGTCCTACTCTAATCTAAAAGGCCGAAAAAGGACAAAGGTCCGTTCTGCAAAAAACCGCTAAACCACACTCCAAACGCCTCAACATCTCATAAAAGCATCTGTCAACAGATGATGCTTGGTAGTCTAGATCAGCAACTTCAAGTAACATTTAAATTCCAACGGTAGGTCGTCTGCCATCGGTGTTGGTCTTCTGAAATTGCTGAAGGAGACCTAGCACACCAGCACCACCGGTGATTTGATCAATATCCTCATCTTCTTCGGCATCCTCTTCAATGCCGTCTGGATTCATGCGCCATGAGTTATCGGGGTTACTGACTGTGTCAAAATTTCCACTAGAAGCCCCTGCAAGATTAGATTTCGGGATTTCTTGAGATAGAGGTTCTTCTGCGTCATATATGGGATGTTTCATCTGATACTGAGACCTCGCGACATCCCGCAGAACATTGGCGCGTTTCATATGCGTCTGCGTGAAACGAAGGTCGGGGGAAGAGGGTTGGTGATGTGGGTCAAGGAGCATGGAGGCTGCTGGTGAGCGATGATCGCCTGCGAGCATCGGCCTGAATTTGGAAGCGCCACCAAGTATGGAATGACCGAAACCTACTGTCTGTCCAGGTCGTTTCGCATCGTATCTGTCGGTGAACCCTCCCAGATCAGTTGCAGGAGACCCAAGTGTAGGTAGCCCCGGTGGTGGGTGAAACGGTCGTCGACCAACAGGCTGATGGTTTGGACCATACTGATCTAAAAAGCCATAGTATGAAGCAAGCATCTTGCCATCCTTGGTTGAGAAGTAGTTCTCTCGGATGTCTAATTTTCCATCATTTCGCTGACCTTGTGGCATTACATTCGACCCCTTCTTGAAATCGAATACTGCGAACGAGCACACATGGCCCACACCATCCACGTGTACAGTGAACTCGCGGAAGAAATCGATCAATCGATCGCTGCATTTGGGCAGGCTGAACCACAACACAAAAGGTGTAAATATCATACTCAGGATCTCCTCCACGAAGATCACAAGTTTCATCTGATACAGTGCGGCAAATTCCTGACGCACATCGTCACTGTGTAGCCGCCCTTTCCATGTCGCAGGGAAATAATGGGTAAAATCGATAAGCTCACGAATGGCAAACTCGGGATCATAGACTTCATTGTCCTGGCCTACCACACCGTGGGCAACCGCCCACACTGTACCAAATATGCCAAGATAGAAGAGAACAGTCCGATCATGGGTAATCTCAAACCCTAGAAACATTTCTGGGTCTATCACCGACGCTAAGGCAAGCACTGAGGCTAAAGAGCCGGAAACAAACGCAACGAAGCGAGCAAGCTGGATCGTCTTGTATTTAGGGAATTGGTCGATGTACCGACTGGCAAATGGCAAGGACATGTTGAGACGGCGGGTAAACATATGGAAGACCTCATTGAATTCGCGAAATTTCCACTCTGCCAGTGGGGTGTATCTGCGCGTTCCGATCTCGCCCGGATTACTCTTAAACTCATTGAAATACTGGAGGAAATACATGATCAGGAAGTAGAAGACGAGGAATGGGGCCATAAAGATGTTCATGAAGCCGGCGAAGATGAAACGCCGACGTAGTCCGTCACTGAGTACCCTGCGATGGGTATCTGTAAGGAACAACTTGCGAACATGCCCTTTTTCGTTGAATACATAGTCCATGATGCACTGGTTGAGATTCCACTCCAAAGTCCTAGAGAACAGCTGTCGATTCCGAAGGAATGGGATGGGCAGAGTGAGGTTAAGGATATCTTTGTTGACCAGGGCGATCATGTAGTTTTCCCTGCGCATCAGCCGATTTGCGATGTCATGGGCATCCATTCTCTGCTTTGACTGAGTGCCTGTGAACTGGCGGTGGTTTTCGGGGGCATTTAAGGCTGTCATCGCGTTGGAATCTCGTAGGGTCATCAATCGGCTGACTACTTCCTGCCAGGAGATCGTCTGAACCTCCGGGTCAGAGACTCCTAGTAGATAGTAGAAGAAGTCGTGTAGGTGTTTGAGTCTGTAAGTATCCACCGCAAACTGGAAGGTCTTGTAGATCAAGGCAAAAGTGGAAATCCAAACAATAAATGAAATAGTGCCCGACGTCTTTGACGTGCATTGTGGAATTAGGATCTCGTCTAGAGACCGGCTGCCACGCACTTTGTGATAATCGATACATTGTGTGAGAAAGAATGCGATTCCCAAAGTAAACGCGATAGTTCTGCGGTAGTTAGTCCCAAATAAACGTTGCCATCGGTAAATTGATAACATACAGAAGGTTAAGAGCTCTGTCTAGCTGAATGGCCCATAATCCTTTCCCAAGATAATAGTCATACACATCCTGCAAAAAGAGGTCCAAATCCGTGAGAGCTGCCCATCGCATCAGAGCTTTCTCCTTTGGGTCGGAAATTACAAGGTTCGGGTGTTGTCCCCCTAACCAACGGGACCATGGTGGACTACCTCTGGTACGAATTGATTCCCAGCGAGGAAGATCATGGTGTGAAGGAGACTGGGGGCTGGGACTTCTGGGATAACTAGGCATCATCTGCGGGGGCGGAGGAAGCCGCGCCTTGAGGTCTTCCTCTTCGTGGCCTTCCACCAGCAGAGAGAGAGGTACGTCTTCATCCCGATCATCAAATTCATAGCCGTGCTGTGATTCCAGTGTCATCCACCGGGGTTTGGAGGGTTTATGACGACGCGAGACCGTGGGAGAGCCACGAGGGAAGTGAGGTGCCGATCTTGGTTCGGGACCAGGACCTAGCAAGGCAGCGGTTGGGCTTGACAGCTGGCTGTCCCTTGCATTTACTAGGGCATCCTCCAGCTCCCCGTCACTGAAATTGTCATGGTTACTTGATGCCGGATCCCTCCCCGCACGTTGTTCGATATCGGAGGAATCAGATAACTCGTGTTCTTGAATAGCTTCGTAGACTGACGGTGAGTCTGTTGGGGGAAGGAAGCGCGACAGGACATTAGAGGACATCATATTTAAACCAGGTTAACTCTGATCTAATAGCTTCCGTACTAGATCATTGTTGTTGTAATCGGAGGGTACTTTGAGTGCGGAGAAAGAGGGGTGTTTCCACTACTATGAAGAGAAAGGCTCTCAATCAAGAGTCAAGAAGTTAGGACTAGGTCATTCGAAGGAGTATGATTATTATTTGATCTCAAAATGATATCGTGATCTGAGGCGCCTGATCACGTCCACGTGAACTCTAGGGTGTATCTTGCGCGGCTGATCTCCATGATTTGAATGACATAATATTAAGTGCCTTGGTGCCTGATATATACCAGAATTGGAGTGAAGAAGTCTGAAGTCTACTTTGTCCTGGTGTCTAATTATAGTCACTACTAGTACTAGAGATATAAGTCCGGAGTAACTTCTTATCAAGATCTAGGTAATTTGCAAAATTACCTAGTTGGTATAGGTATAATAAATAGTACGGAGTAGTCAGTGGTTACTAGTAAGTAACTATTTAAGATAGAAGAAAGCGGTGTGGCATAGATCACGAGGTATATGAATGCTGAGTCATAGAACGTGCGGGGATTGCCTCTTTTGGTCTCAACGACTCCACCAAATGGATTCTGGCCCCTTAAATGCCCACTAAGATAGGAAAGGATGCCGCTATTTTCTAGAATCTATCCACTTCTCGGCCTCTCGGAATTTTCTCATGTGACGACCTGACCTTTGAGGTACATGCTACTTGGCCCCATTATGGAGCTCATATCCTGATGCCTGGTACCGGGTACTCTAGGACCATGCCATACCTCTTAGTTTTGACCCTCTTTTGTCTCTGCATCCCTTGAAGACTTCTACTATCTACCATCACATAACCAATGAGAGGTAGTATTTGATCCTAATTATTAACGTGTATGTACTTTTGACATCGGTGGAGAGCAATGGGCAGAAGAAGGTCAATTCAGATCAAAGGACAAGAGATTTCATCCACTTTGGGGCTAAAGCGAAATCCAGTCCAGTCAATTGTATTACACTGTACACACTACCGAAAATAGGGTCTGATCGACGTTTGGGATGTTTGTTGGTGGTCAGTAGCTTTTGCCCTAAGTTATACTATACATAGTACTCGGTAGAACCCGCCACCTCATAGGCGTGTCGTAATGGAGTATCATAGTACGCCTTGTCCTCTAAACTCTTCCAAAGCCTCTAGTTCGGAAAGGGGAAAACGGTGGGATTCAACTTCTTCCAGTACCTCTTCTAGTGCCAAACACTCTGCAGCCCCGATTGGTGTAGTCTAACATCGGCTTAAGCAGGATTGCATGGTACCTGGAAGGAGTGCGAGGTGAGTATTTCTAGAAGATCGGAATCTTTTTAAGAATTAAAATTAAGGACTTGTGAAATTCCTGCACCGTTGAACTTGCGGTCAATGCGAAGTTGCGGTTAATTTCTCCTTAACTGAACTACACGTTAGTATCCACTATCCCCCTCCTTACCCTCTCTCTCTTCCTCTCTCTTCCGTCTTCTTACATATCTCCCCCTGTCACTTTCTATTTTGGCCCATCAATTTTACTCATACCCACTCTTTGTATCAAGACTCTAGAGGTCGCTTTGCCGTCTTCCTCTTTCTGGGTGGGGATCAAGGATCTGCAAACCGCAAAGACGCACACAAACCCGCTTCAAACGAAACCTCACACTGAGAAGATCCTCAACCAATAATATACTCATCTTCAATTTGAAAAGAGACCGATGAAGGTGTGTGTCCGTTTCCATGTTCTGTGATGCCGGCTACGGTTCTTTAGCACCTTTTTCGTTGGCGCCCCCTCTTCTCCTTTCCCCTCTCAATGTTATCACGCCCTTCCCACTCCAATTCTTCGGCTTTGGTTCAGAAACTGATATCGCTTTAGTGACATTATCGCAATTGAGGGCGATTACTGTGGAAGCATTACTTATAAGTCCCTGTATCTCTCAGACAATCGACGTACCCTCCCTTGATCCCTTTTCCCGTTTCGACCGAATGTACGATTTCGAGCCAGTCCCTCCTACTAGACTCCATGTGTTCTCATAGCAACTTTCTTTCTGGAAAAACGCGACTCTCAGCTGTTTACGGGCGGTTGGGCATAATAATATCTACGGAGTACGGTGTCTCCCCACCCACTGGGTGCTGAGGCTGTGTGGACCCTGAAAGCGCGCTTCCTCCCAGAACAGGCAGCTTTTCCACATTCACCGTCGACTCTGTACTGAGCGACAACTGACCATAATGGACCAAGATAATAACCCAAACGGCTACAAGCGGAATTCCATACACCAAGCGCTATATAGCCGACCAGTGGAACGAAGATCAAGCAAGAAATCATCCTCCCAAGACCGCCATGGTATGGTCTACCCAGATAATTTTCGAGATACTGCCATTCGAACGGTGACTCCGGAGGCAAATTCACCATTGTCCGACACCGACTACCTCAACCACCACAGCGCGCCTTCACCTCGGTCCACGATGCGATCGCGAGCCTTTGAACGTACTGAAGAAGATCCACCGTCGACGGAGGGGAGGAGCCAGCGCACACGATCGCGGACAACCACTTTAGATGAACAGCGCCCTGATGGCCCATCCAACAGCGGGAAAACACGGTCACGAATTGGGTCGATCAATGCCTCTAGTTCGTCTCAACATAAGTCGACAACTAGCGAACCTAAGCGATCTGAGGATTCTAGCTCGTCCATCGGATTTCCATCGATTCAATCGGGGAAACACGCCGATCGCCACCGACTCAGCAAATCCCCTGGCAATAATCGGGCCACCCCAGGCTCTCGAAATCAAGTGTCCTTCGGAACTCCACTCTCAACCACCGAGGCTGCAAAAATTTTACAACTTATGAAGACCACCTGTGGTCGAATGCACGGAATCCTATCCTTTCGAACAGCTTCAAACAATGCATGGGCTTCAAATGCCTGGACATCCGGGTACTGCGCGATCAACGTCGCGACTGGAAGTCTAATATATCAGGCGAAGGGCGAGCCTGCATTAGCGAAGACATTGATCCCTGATCTTCGCGGCTGCCGCGTTCGAACCTTGTACGATGCGGAACTTGCAACTACATATCTAAGCGTACATACTTTTACCTCTGGATTGGGAATTCAATTACGACCGCATGTGAACGAAACTTTTGATTCCTGGCTTGCTGCTCTGCTTTGCTGGCAGCCTATACGTCCCAAGGGTGTTCAAAACAAGATGACTAAACCTCAATTGGTTGTGATTGGGGACCGACGCATTTCCGAGCGTCGACGAAACTCGGAAAGCGTGAATCAAAAAGATGCCGCAATCATCAAGGTTGGAAAGATGCTTTTATGGGATAAACCAACTGCTTCTGGTGCACGACCAATCTCTGCACGGCGTGTGTCGACATATCGACAGTCACGCGCCCTTTCTTCCTCGTGGCAACGTGTGGGCTGCACACTTCAGGAGAATGGCTTTTTCAAACTTTTCACGGAGACGGACGTTTCTCTCGTTGTCACTGTTCATCTCTCACAATTATCTCGATGTGCTATCCAGCAGTTGGACTCGTCAGTACTTGACGATGAGTTCTGTATTGCCATATATCCACAATATACAGCCCATCCCGTCAATGATCCTGCGATGCATCCAATCTATCTAGCCTTGGAAACCCGTGTTCTGTTTGAAGTCTGGTTTGTCCTGCTACGTGCGTTCACCATTCCTGAGCTATATGGACCCGAATCCCCGCATACGCAGGTCGAGGATGTTCATAAGACGCCAGAGGCCGAGCCCGAGACGTCCCACATTAAAGATATGTTCCGTATCGAAAGAATTCTGAACTTGAGGGTTACAGAGGCAAAGCTTTTCAATATTAAGCAAGAAACCCCCCGAAGTCGGAAGCACTCCAAGTCACATAACTGCTCAACACCATCTTCACCAAATACCAGCGACTATTATACTGAAGTGCTGTTGGATGGGGAGATACGTGCCAAGACTGCTGTCAAATATCGTACCACAAACCCGTTCTGGCGCGAAGATTTTACTTTCAGTGATCTGCCGCCCGTTCTCTCCCACGCTTCAATTCTCGTCAAGACACTCAATCCGACGCACCGAGACTGGACACTCGTAGCGCATGGGACATACACATCCACACAGGAAGTTAATATGGTCAACATGCTGGATGACATTGAAATATCTACGAAAGATGCCATTTTCGGTCGCGTAGATCTGCGTCTGGATGAATTAGAGCCTGGAGTCGATACCGAAAAGTGGTGGCCTGTTTTAGACGACCAAGATCAGGCAGTTGGCGAAATGTTCATGAAAGTGCGAATGGAGGAGACGGTGGTGTTGATGTCTGAAGAATACACACCCATGTCAAACCTTCTCCGATCCTTCAACAATGGCCTGACAATCAACATGGCTCAAGTGATGTCTTCCGAGCTAACTCAGATGGCTGAGACGCTTTTGAATATCTACCAGGTGTCAAACGTAACAGCTGACTGGATCTCTGCGCTGGTTGAAGACGAGATTGACGGTGTCCACAAAGACTCCACCTCCAACCATCTGCGATACACAACAAGGATTCACACGACTGATTCTGGAGGCGCTGGTCATGATCGTAATGTTCTCGTAAGGGATATGGGGCGGACGGCGACGGTGGAAGCTAATCTGCTCTTCCGTGGAAACTCGCTCCTGACAAAGACACTTGACTTACACATGCGTCGTCTTGGAAAAGAATATCTTGAAGACACGATCGGAGAGCGACTACGTGAGATTGACGAGAGTGATCCCGAGTGTGAAGTTGACCCAGCTCGAGTGCCACGCGCAGAAGACCTCGACCGAAACTGGCGAATCCTCATTAGCCTTACCACTGGCGTCTGGAAAGCCATTGCTAATTCGTGGACAAGATGTCCTTCTGAACTCAGGCGAATCTTCCGGCACGTCCGGGCATGTGCAGATGACCGCTATGGCGATTTCTTGCGTTCTGTGACGTATAGTAGTGTTTCGGGGTTCTTATTCTTGCGCTTCTTTTGCCCAGCCATTCTCAACCCCAAACTGTTTGGGCTCTTGAAAGACCATCCCCGTCCGCGTGCCCAGCGCACTTTAACCCTCATTGCTAAGGCCCTGCAGGGCTTGGCCAATATGACGACTTTTGGAAATAAGGAACCATGGATGGAGCCCATGAACAAGTTCCTGATTGGGAATCGTGCTGACTTTAAGCAATACGTTGATAATATCTGCGACGTCCCGGTTAATCCCCCGGTGCCTATCTCAACTCCTTCATATACAACCCCCAATCAGATTCTGGGCCGACTGCCGGCCACCTCACGTGAAGGCTTCCCTAGTCTTCCATTCCTGATCGACCAATCCCGATGCTTTGCGAACTTGATTCGTATCTGGCTAGAGGTTGTCCCGGAGCGCCTGGCCGAGTTGGATGAGATTGACCCAGCCCTCGCCAAATTCCACCAATTGGCCCTTCACTTACAGGAACGCACGGAGGATTGCTTAGATGAAGCTGAACAAGCGGAGCGACCAAATGGAAACCTTGAAGTCAAGTGGGAAGAACTAGTAGATTCCATGGAGCGAGCCATTACTTTCTACGATGAGACCTCAAGTAAACCGACCACGCCAGCTCCTGAATCGAGCGGCCCAATATCTACGCCTGGCTCTGTTCAGCGCGGATCGGTCGTCTTCGCTAATCGACTACCCATGTCTCGTAAATCAACCGATGTTGCGCCGGACGAAGATGATACGCCACCCAGTTCGTCTTCTGCTACCTGGGATCAAAGTCGCATGCCGTTCACCGTACCCCGGTGGTCCGATGCTCGTGATAGTACCGGCAGCTCTAAAAACTCCTCTACTTACTCCCTCGAATTTTCCGAAACCCCCAAGGCTCGCAGAACTAGTGTGTCAAAGGAGACTTCTAAATACCGCTTTTTCGACTTTGTTCCTGCCCCGTCCCGACGCAAGGCTAAAGACCGGGATCCGACATCCCAACCTAACTCTCATGAGGATCTTCGAAATGAGATCTAATGACTATACGGGGTTTCCTTATCCTTTACTAGCATCAGGTGTTTTCTCTTCTTCATTCTACATTGTACGTGCTCATGAAGTCCACGCTCTCCCCTTTTTGTACTTTCGCCTCTTCACCTTTCCCCTGGGTCTTTCTATCGGCCATTGCTCATGCTCTCTCACCTTATCTCAACATGTGTCACAGTGTTGCTCCTCTTCTCTCTATTCCTCTTTTGGTTCTGCTTTCAACCATTCCCCTAACATACCCCTGCACTCCCTCAGCCTAGGCTTCGAGCCAAAAAGGCTTCTAGGGTCAAGATTAGAAGAGAAAATAAAATCTCTTTGGCTTTCTTCAGTAAAACAAACCAAAAATTGCAAATGCTCTTACTCTCCAGAAGATAGGATTGCTGTCGTCCTTGAAGTCTGGACTGCAATCGTGTCTTGACTTCTCTGTCTACGGATTGGTTTGATTCCTTTGATATGGACAGGATTGACTCGTGTGTATACTTGCAATTTCATAGACAGAATAGACTCTTGAGGGCTTGTTCTCGTTGACATGGTCCCAAAGTAGAACCCAGAATCCGAAATAGACATGGATCGTTAGATCTCCCATCCCGGTCTCTCTCCTATCTCAAGGTGACAGGATTTATTTCCAATGTTGAAACTAAGTACTATGTATATATCCATGGAAGCAAGACGGATGGAAGTATTTAAGATTTGAATTATTTCATGCGCATGTGTAGACATTCCGAGGACGGGAATGGATAACTTTGGGGGCTCTAACCTTGTTAGATTGGAAGTTCGGTCGATGCCTACTTGGGTACAAATAAGGCCTCGAGATTGCTTAACTTTGTTGACATGTATCTAAAAAGAAGTAAACTATATACACCAAAACGCAACAAAAAAAAAAAAAAAAAAAGAAAAGAAAAGAAAAGAAAAGAGACCTTGATACCAAGGTCGGTGATCCAAAAGTAACGAGTAAAGCCAGCAATATCAGACATAGGATTACCTCTCATTAATACCCCAAAACCGTTCGGCATCAAATGTAAACTGATTATCCGGTTTCCACAAATCATCAAAAGCCGTAAAAAGCACAAGATCATCCCCGCGATGCGCAAAGCTACTCTTCAAACTCTCAACAGCAACCTGCTGATTATCCCTCGACGGAACCGCAGCACCATTCGTCAACCCAGCATGAGGCCAGCCCGATTCCGTAATCACGGTCCTTTTCCCACCAGCTGCGGCTGAAACAGCGTGTGCCTGTTCCAGCGCGTAAGGGCCTGCATTATGCGGCTGTTGCGTGTTGTCGAAGAAAGCGTGGCAGTTTGCGGCACAGTAGTCTGAGGCGTGGCATAGGTCCGGGTGTTTTAGGAGGACGGAGAATGTGTCCACTGTTACTACGGGTCCATTGTATCCGTAGCTGCGAAGATAACCTCTTGCTTCACTTAGGGCTGCGGTTACTTCGGCTGGAGAGTACATGTTGCTGTTGACTAGTTCGTTGCCGATGGCTATGGTGTGAAAGACGGCCCAGTCTTTCTTGCCATTTGGCAGTGTTGCGGCTTCATCGAAGGCTTTGAGACTGTTTGGGAAATCCGTGAGGTCGTATATTCCGCCAAATACTTGCATGGTGTGGAGGCGCGCTGCTGTTGCTAGAGTTTTTGCTTGGTCGCAGTCTGTGCCATAGATACGGATGAAGGAGTATTCGGCGAGTTTTGCGACGTCTTGGTTTACCTCTTCTTGGGTTTTGCAGCTTCTGTCTGCATTGTAGGGGGAGTAGGATATGCCGTACGGACGGTTGTCGGAGTTGGGTCGAGTCGGTTCATGATGTGGAGGGTTATAATTTGGCAGTGGGTGCTTTTCGGGTCTGGTGCCTGCTAGATGTGTATCACTCTCTGTCGGTTGTGGTCTTGTTTGTGTGAATAGAGTCTGGCTGGCGATTTTTGTGGGTGTTGATTGGGATGGGAAGGTTGTAGGCTAAATGAATCAACATGACATCCAAGGATCGATGTCTTATACAAGGGGCTTGTCTACTAACCATTTGTCGAATTGTCGTAGTAAAGACAGAGAGGGTCTCTGTACGGAATGGATTTCCATCTTCATCGACCCAAACAACTACCTGAGGGCGTTGCAGGTTTCCAGAGCCTGGGTCTACGAAGTCATTAGCAATGACATTGATCAATGTCAACCTATCAATATGACGCACCTTGGGACGCTGCATGAGCACAGGCAACAGACAGTGCAAGCAGTGCCTGGGTTAAATTTCTCATCGCACGTTGATGCTGGGAGGAATCTGCTGGGTTAGTCGATAGCCATATGGGAAAACAGACAAAGCAAGTCCCAGTGCAGATCAAGAGGGTTTTATTCAACATTCAGCAGATCATGGGAAGGGGCCATCCAGGCATAGCTATTCAGTGTTGTAACGTCTGGAATGGGATTCTAGGCCCCCCTTGTATCAAGGGTCTGTTCGCAGTTGAGGATCGATTCGAGAGTCAAACACTTCCGAAGGGGGGGGGGGGGGGGGGGGAACTCTTTGCGGAGATGAAGATGAGGAATGCGCCCAGTGCCATGGTCGCAGGTTTGAGGAATGTGAGCCATTCCAGCTTGGGCACAAAGGAAATTACCTATATAGGGGCGTTAAATGGCGCTTGGGGAAGCAGAATGCACCGCATTGAATGTCTCAATTTAAAATTTAGAAGTCCGTGTAGAAGCGAAAGTAATAATATTAAACATTCTAGAATGAATACGCCGCTGAAGAAAAGAAGAGAGTTGTACAAAGTAACGATGAGATGCATATCAACAAGTCGGGTAGCAATAGACGATAGTGTAGGGCATTAGGGCGTTGGTAATGTAAAGTGAAACCGTTTTATGTGCCAGAGGTCATGCGGGCATGAGCGATCGTTGTATGGCTAAAGCCTATATTGTGACCAACATATTGCAAGAAGATATTTACTTTTTCTTGCCCATAACCTTGGTGATGGCATGTCGGATGATTGTACCGGCCTTTTCAATTTCTTTCTTAGTGAGACCGGTGGTCACACACACTTTTAGTCCGGCAGGGAGGACTTGCTTAGGCTCGAAGTTGTCCTGGAGCGTCTTGAGGCGGGAAATAAGGACTCCATTGGCAAGGCACTAAAAAGATCCAGGGGTTAGCATTGTGGTTCTGTTTCTGTAGAAAAGGTCACTTCATACCTCATCAACAACATCCTGCAACAAGAATTGCTGGTCAGTATAAGTGAGCTTCTTAGAAGCCACAAACTCAGGCTTCAATACTAGGATAAGAATAGGATTCTCAACAGCGCTAGGGCAGTAGACATAATCGCTGCGAGGATCAAGCTGAGCGCGCATAGCCTTGGTGAGGTCTCGAAGCTGAGAAATGATATCGGGGCTATTCTGGAGAATGTTGATAGTCGCACTAGCGGTAGTCGAAAGGAGAGCTGGGAGGGCAGCAGAGAAAGTATACGCAGACGCCGAGATACGCTGATGGTGCACAATCTCTTCAGATCCTGCACAGAAGCCACCACCACCTACTAGAGGACCAGCCAGTGAGCCAATGATCATGTCAACTTCAGCAGCATCCACGTTCTGGTGCTCGGTGATACCGCGACCGGTACGACCCAAAACACCAAAAGACCATGTCTCATCCAGAATTAGACGGAACTTGTACTTGAGTCTCAGCTCGATGATCTTGGGCAAGTCTGTCATATCACCGAATGTTTCAGAAATTCCCTCGGTGATGATGAATCGGCGAGTCAGCGGCTTCCGGGCTTGTTCCTTGGTAATCTTGGCAAGTACACGCTCCAGATCCTCCATGTCGTTATGCTCATACCACAGCGTCCTGCTGCGAGAAATCTGGATACCCTTTCGAATAGCAAAACTGACACCTTTGTCGGCAACGATAATGTCACCGCGCTTTGAGAAAGCTGGAATAACACTGGAGATGGTCGAAAACGCCTGCGAGTACATGATACAGGCTGCTGTGCCCAGGTGGGATGCGATATCAGCCTCAGTCTTCAAGTGAACATCCTGGGTACCGTAGAAACCACGCGGGCCACATGGCCCAACACCGTAGTTGCGAAGGGTCTGAATAGCCTGATCCTTGAGTGATTCGTTTGTGTTAAAGTTGTAGAAATTGTAGGAGCTGAGATTGGTGACAGTACGACCGTTCGTAAGCTTGGATTTGGGACCGACAGGGCTGTGAATTAGGGATCGATCAATACATTTCCTACAAATACCAATGCCAGTAAGTCAAGAAGGCTCTAAACTCACCCGACAATTACGGTGCGCTTATCAACTTCCATCTCCTCCAAGGCAGTTGTGCTACCGACCAACGGCTCGGGCGTCCACTCATCCACCAGGTCGTCGATTTCATCTTCGGTCAAGGGCACCACACCAGGCTTGGTGGAGTACTTAGGGGCGAGCAGGTAGCGGACAACGAAGAGGAACAGGAACAGCTCGACCGCAGATCGAATTGGATCATCTTGATAGCTTGATTTAACGTAACGAAGGAAGATCGCTGAGCCGGGAACACGGTGGAAAAGGTTCGACAGTTCATGTAGGTATTCGGTCAGAAGACGCTGTGTCTCCTGGAGATCCATGATGGTGATTTATTAATAGCGCTCGGGGCGCAAACAAGGAGCCAAGTGTGGTCCAATGGCAGTAGATTTGAAGGGTCGAGGAAAGTGAATGGGGTCGAGATAAGGAGATGAGGCAAGTCAGACGGGTAAGTGGCTGACGATCAGTCACGTGATGTTCCCCTGACATGTGCATAGTCATCTGCATAATCGGCCCGCTTTGTGAGCAGCTTGGCGAAGACTGAAAGTTACTAGATGCTAATAATCACTACGCGCAATCGAAAAATGGATGGGAAAAGTACGTTGTCGTTTCATTGCTATGTTAAGTAATGCAGATTGTATTTCGTTAATTGTTTAGAAAAGAGGAACAACCTATGATAGCGGGAAAAACGAAGGTACACTGCCTCGGGTGATGACAGAACCAATCAAGGTTACCAATCATTCCCACAAGGAGCCATTAATATCAAAACATGTGCGCCGGTTATTTAGGAAGAATGCAGGGAAACAGGAAGTGAGGAAAGGAATGAGACTGAAATGAAACTCTGTACAACCCATTTTCATACAAGTTGATGAGGACGAAGACTTTAAAGCATACGGTGGAAGTTATTGTCACCAGCTGTGGGAGATACTGCTGCGCTGGGAGACGGGTAACCATGGGGAAGATGGCTACCAGTGTGGTAGGACCGGGTGTCGTTGAGGCCATGGTCCAAAGGCTGTAAAAGGGCCATGAGCTGGTTGTTCTCATTTCCAGGACTGACGCCAACGGATTTCCAAAGCGTTTTTCTCATGCTCACATCAATGCCGACATTGTGAATAATCAGGGGCGCGGCAATCAGCACAATGTATAGAAGAAGCATTGAGAAGTATAAGATAGCGAAACGAACCACCCGTCTCTTGCGAAGCTTCGACTGCTTGAGGGAGTAAATAGGAGGGCGAATTTGGCGACTAGGAACGAGCTGTTAGAGAAGGCATTTTGAATGGGTGATTGGGATTTGACATACCTTGGACGCAGCCAGAAGAGAATTACGGAGTGGAACTTGTCCGCATACGGAACAGCCAGGAAGGGGAGCATGAAGAACAGGATAAAGTGACCGAGGATGAAGTCAGCGGCAAAGTAGCCAAGCTCGGTGATCTTGCACAGGAATTCACGTCCAGGCTGGGACAGAGAGTGCCAGCCCATGCCGTACCACTTTCCAGTCCACCAAGCGATGTTGGTCTCGTCATTCTTAAATTCACGGGTCAGGCAGAGGGCGATGATCAACTTGTAAACGAAACGCTGGATAGCCATCATTGCAATGAGACCGGAAACAGTTCTGGGCCAGCTGAACGATTCCAATACAAACAAGACCAGGTACATGACGATCAGGATAATGACGGCAATGGCATGGGCAATGGCAGCTAGAACGGCGCCGAACTTCTTGCAGCACAGGCCGAAGAGGGGACCCATGCAGCAAGCCATACCGAAGAACATGCCTGCAACGCCGGCATTGACAGCGACAGGGGCAAATGCAACAATTGCAATGCGAACAATGACGTTTGGTGCATATTTGACATTGTCACTAAACATGGTTCGGGAGTTGATATACAAGTAAGGGACAAATGTGGCGCCAACGACAACCAGGGGGGCAACGATTTCACTGAAGAAGATGTTGGTGATGCGCGCACGGGGAATGTCTCCAGATCCCTTCTCAGAAGGAACACCGAGGAGCTTCTTCTTGTAGCCGGTGATTCTGGTACGAGACAAGCGACAGAACCCAATCCATGAGGAAGCGTGAGACCGGGAGTTTCCGCGAGAAAGCCAGCGAAGGTAGTCACGATAGTCAATGAAGAAATCGTTCCAGGCAAACTGATGAGGATTGAAGAGGAAGGGCGAAATGATCAAAGCGAGGAGAGATACCCAAAACCAAATCAGTGCAGCGGTCCAAACTGTAGAAGATGCAAACAGCAGCATCAGCAGGAGACGAGCGCCGGCGTAGATAGAGGGTCCAGCGAATCGGGAGTAAAGAACACCGAATGGAATACGGGCAGTTGCAAATCCACGGCCTGTACCGATGTAACGAGCACCACCAAAGGACAAGTTCTGATGCACAGCCTGAGCGTAAATCTGACACACAAACACCTCGAACATGAATGAGAAAGAGCCGAAATGCTTAGCCAAACGGGTAGCCATGCGCCAAACACCGCGCTCAGTCAATTCCTGAACAGCGAGGGGAACAAGAGAGATGAAGAACACAATGAAAATGGATATGACGCAACGATTGACCCAATTGACAATAGGATGGAGGTTGGCGCAGTAAGTGGGAAGCAGGGGGTCGGTGATGGGCAAGTTCGAGTCGTAACGACACATGATGGTCTCGTGCTTGAGAGCACCAAGATTGATCAACACAAGCATGAACATTTGCACGGAAAGCATGATAAACATGTTGTTGAGATGGAAACCAGGATGGGCATAGTAGAAAGACAGGAAACGATCGAGAGGCAGCTGAGTTCCCAAGTAGTAGTACTCGCGAGACAGCATCTGTTCACCCATACCAGTACCAATCTTGGTTGTGAAGTTGAGAATGGAGCCGAAACCCAAGTCACGACCCTTACCACACTGGAAGTACTCGCAGTGCTTGATACGTCCTCCACGAAGCAGCGCATTCATACCGGCATAAATATCCTCGTTCAGGTGCAGACCCTTTTGAGCCTTGGAGACACCACCACGAGTACACATAAAAGTAGCATTCAGGAAATCAGGGTGACCGTAATGCAGCTTACCACCGACCTGAGAAAGAGTACGAGCGAAGAGGGTACCGAATGTCTGTTCCTTAGAGGCAGCCACGTCACCAAGGACACCAATGTTCTCGGAGAAAATGTATTCACGAGCACCAAGAATGGCGACAGGGGCAGTTTCAGGGGAGGGGATACCAGGAGTGTAGGGAGAGACGTTGTCAGTGGTGAGCTCCTCGAATTCGGCGAGAACGCTCCGAATCTTGAGACACTCTTCCAGATAATTGTCCTGATTGGCATCGATCAACTGAATGTATTCACCACGGTAAAAAATGATGGAGTGGTTCTGGTTGTCGGACTTTCCGTCACCAAGAATAGGGTTACCAGACAGTTGAATGCGGAACTTGGGTTTGCGCATGTTGTTTTCGAGGAGTTCGCAGTGTCCATCGATCAAAGCAGAGTACAGGCGGGGCTCATCGCCCTCATTCTCTGGGGGCTCTTCATCGAGATAGGCAATCTGGAGGTCAGGGTAGGCACGCAGGAGGAACTCGGTGTTCTCACGCTCGTCCTTGTTAAACTTTGCATAACGTTGCATGGAGACACAGATACGGAACTTGCGACGAGCCATACGCTCCAACTCACGTTCCAACTTTTCGGAGTTACCGCCAAACATCTGGACAACCTCGGGATTCTCAACACGGTACAGCAGCTTGATGGCACGGCTATAGTTCATGAAACCAGAAACAGTTCTGTACAGAGTCTGGGAACGAAGCGAAGCCCAGATACGAGTTCGAAGGGTGTATTCAGGGGCAGCAGACTTGAAACCAATGCAGTAGAAGGGCAAATCATCGATCTTACTCTTCGCAGCATCCTTCTCACCCTTCTCATTGTCGCCGTTGAATTGCGAGGTCTCATCGGCGAGAATCTTGGTGTCCTTGACGAAGCAGTCCCACTCGTGGGGGTGCAACTGTTTCAAATATTCCAACAAAGTGACACGGGAGTACGGCTCATCTTCACGAATAATTTCCCTCAGCGAGAGAAGGATCTTCTCACCGTAGTGGGGAATCAACACACTGAAGGTAGGCATGTTGTCAACGGGCAGAGGCTCAGGCATGGGAGTCGACAAAGACTGGGCGAAGAAAGAGATACGGCGCTCAGCTTCACTTCCAGCAGGGAAAAACTCAGTTTTGAAGGACTGATCCTCCTGAGAAACGAAGAAAGTAGGAGCACGAAGAGTACGCTTGCCTTCTTGCTCAGACGGGACCTGGTGGTACAAAAGCTTCTGGACATGGTCGATAGCCAAAAGATGTTCTCTATACATAGAAATGATGATGGCATTCCACACCTGCGAGATTAGGACCTTGGGCTTATACTTTATCTCCATGTCAGTGGTGGCCAGGACCTTGGAGTAAATACGCTTGGGTAGGCGGGAGAAGATGTTTCTCCAGGGAGACCAGATCGAAACACCCAGGTAGAATGAGCGGGCAACGGAGAAGATGGTGTTGCAAATAATATACCACAGATAACTATCAAGGAAAAACAGGGTCAAGTCCATGAAGAACATGAGACCAAGTAAGACTTGCGGCTGCTTGTGGCACAGGACGTTGCCAATATACAACACACCAGTGCATTCGTAAATCGTCATTGGGGAGAGGATACGGATAGGATCCTTCAGAGATAGAGTCAAAAAGAAGTACGACTCAGCAAGCTTGGCACCGAAGACGCAAACCCAAAGACCGTAGGACATCCACATGTCATTACCCTGCAGGCGAGGGAAGCTGGCAGTGAATGTCTGACTCGCGACATACTGGCGACCGTTCTTCCGCAAGTAGCTACCAAAGAGGGCACCAAGGGGCTGCACTGCGAAGAAGATTGCAGTGATCAGAGCAAGGATGAACGAGACAATACCAAGGGCAAGGCCAACAGCGTCAGCAGCCGTTCCAAACTTGTCGACGAAACCAAAGATGATGACACCGGGCACAAGATTGATGATGAAGACACCGAGAAGGAAGAAAAAGCGCTTAAGCAAGTGCTGAGCACCAGCCCAGCGGCGAGGCACGTAGCACCACTCACAAATCGTAGCAAAAATCTGAATGAAGGCGGCCAGGACACCACCGAAACCAACAGCACCCAAGTACTTATAGGCAGGGGGCTTGTTGTCCCATTGTTGCTGATAGCCGCCAACGTAGAGAGTAGGGGAGTTGTAGGCAGTGAAGAACCAGAAGGCGCACAGGTGAATAACCCAGATACGGTTGAAGTTGGTAACCATGTGAAACCAGGAGCGAGTTTCCTTGTAGGTCTTGAAAAAGGCCTTGTCCCAAAGCACTTCCTTGAGCTTGGGCCATCTCTCAGCCGGCGGAAGATCGACAAGGCGAGTCTTGTCCTCAAAACCAATGCGCTCAATACCCTCGGGGTACCAGAAAAGCTGGTTCATATCATCGTAACCGATGATCTGGTTGTGATCGCGTTCACGACGGACGTACTTGCCTTCAAAGATCTCATAACCCTGGTCACGGCAGTACTGGTAGAGAGGAGTGATGATCTCGTTAAGGTAGGTAAACTCCTCAGCTGGCTCCACGCGGGCTTGACACTCGGGGGAGGTATAGTAGTCGTCGGCGCACTTGAAGATAAAGCAAATACACTCAGGCAAGAATCGCACCTGGTTAGCCTCTCCCCAGACGAGCAGATAGAGGGCAATCTGGCGAGCACGGTCATGCTGAGACATACGGTTCATGCGTGTCTTCCACCGGTACTCAGCTGCCTCAAGACTGTTGTCACCTTCGAGCGCTTCCAAGACTCCGTCCTCATCTTCCGGGTTCTGTGCTGCGGCTTTCCTGGCGGCCTTGCGAGCCTTACGAGTTTTGCGATCCGCCTTGCCAAGTTTCATGTTGGCGAAACCCACGGCGTCATCGAGATCGAGGTGAGCGGAGAAGTACCATCTCCGGTAGTTGGCATTGTGTCCACCAATGTAGTCTGCGTGCAATGACAAAAGAGCCTGGTTGGGAGTCATACGAGAGGCGCGAGAGTCGAGGAGAGTCATCATGTGGTCGTACATGTTACGCATGCTGTCACGCTGGAAACCGAACTTGTTGACCAAGTCCAAAAAGATGTCCTCAACCTCCTCTTTAGACAAAGGAATCTGGGCATCTGAGGTCCAAGCCGGGTAAGGCTCCCGCGAGCGCTGGCCTGCCGGCAACGCGTTTCCGTACTCCATTCCGTAGACAGGGGTCGATGCACCCGATGATCGGTTACCACCGTACGAGACCTGGGAAGAAGGGGGACGGTAACCACCGTACCCTCCTTGGCTGTCGGCATAACTGTTGTATCGATCGTCAGCGCGTCCACCGTAGTAATCCATATCGGCCGCACGGGCGGTCTCAGATCTCATGGTGAAGTCGCTGAAAGTCTCGGAATCCTCCTCAGAGCCTCCATGGCGAGCCGGACCGCCTGCTTGATCGTAGTATTGATCGCCGTAGTATTCATCCTGATGACCACCACCTTCGTAGTAGCCACCCTCGGCGTAGGCCTGGCCAGCTTCGTGTCCGTAGCTTCTGTTAATTACCGTCAGTTTTGTCGATTCACAATCACTTCGGTGGGTCACAGGAGCTCCTTACCCTCGGTCATAGTATCCATCGCCGTATTCCTGGTTATTGTCATAATAACCCTGTGCATGTTCACCCTGCGCATGGTGTTCGTCCTGGTAGTAGGCGTCGCCTTGGGCCGCGTGGCCGTAGCCGTCATCGTAATGGGCACCACCTGCGTATCCGGACATGGCGAAAGAGAGTTGCAGTTGTAGCTCTGTGAAAGATCAGCGAGGGTTTCCGGGTGTCCCGCCTTGAAATTCATACCTCAGTCGCAATCCAATTCACTGAATTACTGTTTCTTGATGTGTAACTCGGCTTATTATTAAATCATTGACACAGGCAATGTCGTAGAATATCGAGACTGGGTTGTTGCAAAGAACAAGAGAATGTCAAGCAGGAAGCAAAGTCCTCAAGTGTCAAACTCGGGGAAACTGGGCCAGATGCAAAAAGAGCGAACGGAAGCGAACAGGGGTAGACCTGTCGTATTTTTTTTCTGATTCTTTCCAAAAAGTAAGAAGATACCTACCATTAGAAAGAGCAAAAAAAAAAAAGCAAACTACCACAAAGAAACGAAGGTGTAGGAGGAAAGAACGAGAGGAAGGGGGGGAAAAGTAAAATAACGAGTAAGGGTTATTTTGGGATCGGGGGAATCGTAGCTAATTTACCGTCACCGTAATGGAGAAGGAAGTACACGTACTTTCGGTTCGTCTACTTTCGGGAGGTAACCCGCCCCTGTACATGGTACCTGCATTAATGTGGTTGGACCACATATTTTACAAGTACCCACTACAAACACGACACGCTCAGGGGAAACAGACAATGCAGGCCAGGTTAACAGTACTGTATGTAATGATAATACCAACAGCCATAAAGTCAAGATTATCTTCAGTGCACAATAGCTTGATACTAACAATCCACTCAAACTCATGATCCAATCAGAGGATCCTCTATCAAAGATCATATCCAATGAAGATGTAGAAAATCCACCGAATTCCAAGGACATTGCCACGGCCCCTGAGAAGTTGCTCCACTCAGACCTCTCAGTATGTAATTATGGTAACGAACGACGTGTAAATACCAGGTACATACACAGGTTCCTTGTTATTATTACCAGGCATGCAGGGATAGCGTGACTCTCATTCCTCGTTTCTATGGAATAAAATATTATTATTATTATTACGGAGTATTATTATTATTATCATTTATATTATTAATAAGATAGTAGAGCAGTAGAGTTCAATAAGTAAGTCAAGTTTGAGACGTAACAAGGGTAGTCTATTACAAAGGACCGCTTCTATATGATCCACGGCTCTTACTACTAAGTAAACCCGCTTATATTAATTTACACTTTGAGATTTACATCCTCTGAAAACTGAAACTCGATCGTCCTTCTAATTTACTTACGGAGTAATCCTTGATCGGATCTAGGGATTTAACGCTAGAAACCTTGGAATTCACCCAATTCCTTTTTGCCACAGATAGTTACGTACGCGTACACTTTATGTGCTGTTTGACTTTTCTTGCCGTTGCACTATTCCATTCTAAGTACAGCGTAGTCCTATTATAAGCCCTAACTGGTTCGTGGCTGATGGTTGATTTGCCCCCATTTCTGTTTTGTACCTATCACAGTCTATCTTGTTTTCTATCTTGTCTTATCAAATCTATAGGTACTGTGTGTATCCTGTCTTTGCTTTTTATTTAGTTGAGGCCTACATATTGTTAGTCCATTCTTGAATTTCATTTGCTATTCTCCCAAATTGATTAGCCTGCATATCTATACCTATGTCTTATGTATGAACTACATACATAATCGAATATGACCTAGAATCTTGACAAGTCAAGATACATGATACACTAGTATTGGCTCATGGTATCAAGTACTGTAATTAAGTGTCGCAGATTTATCCCCACTATCGGTTCTAGCCCTCTCTCGTCCACTGTGGATCAACTCCAAGTGGATCATTAATGCTTCATCACTAGAGCCAGCGGTACGAGTACGATATATCACAGACTATTCGTTGACTATAGTATTTATATATTTCCTTTCTGTATTGTGTTGATATCTAAATCAATATTTAGGTATCCTTCATATCTTAACGGCATCACACCCCAGATCTCGAAATATATCTTCAGGACCTCGGGAACATCGATATTATGGACTTCCGGCACTTGCGATCGCCTTTCAAGCATATATTTATCTGGTTCAAGTCCAACTTGCATGCCAGCACACTACAGACCGCAGGACTGTACAGGAACGATAAGGAGCAACTGAGTGCACGGGTCCACCACTTCACTCCACCAAATCCCCCTGAACCTTGGAAGTACTCAGCAGTAGTTGATATTCCAGTATGCATGCACCCATGTGCTTTTGCATATCAATTCAATGCTATCTCAGTATCTCAGCCGAATCAAGTACTATGATAATAAATATTTCCATGCTCCTTGTCTTCCGTAATCATCTGATAATCAGCAGCCCTAGTGTCGCAAGTTTATTGTGTAAGTTGACCCACTACCGGTCCCCCTTTTCCACAGTTCAACCAATCCCATCCACCTTTGACTTGACTGTGGCTTAAAACCAGTCTTACAATTTCACACCTGGTAGTTGCTGTCGCCCCCTGGTGGCGCTTCTTTTCCTTGATGGGCCTGTCACTGGCGGGCCCGGCAGGCTCGGGAACCCCCTAATCCCCTGAACCCAACCAAGCACAGCCCTGTCCATGAAATTGCCACTGCTTTCTCTGATGACTCCACGACCCTGTCATCTTTGTTAACTAGTCAGAGGAAGCTGGCTTGATAATCAGCTCTCAGGGGTTGGTTGGTAATCAAGGACCGGTCGCATTTAACTTCATTGACCAAAGCATGTCAACGTGCGTGTGATGGAGCGAGACAATTATAAGACTCAAATATTAGACTAATTATATACTACCATTCAATACCTTTATCCATATACAGTTTAACTCCATTAAGACAGATTTGAAGATCGTTGTCTCACCTACCACGATAAGATGATGATAAACTACCCACTCAAACCCTCCATCCCACTTCAACTGAGACCCTTAAAATGAACGAATCAGCATGGACTCCACAGGTTCCGGTGAACGTAGTGACCTACTGTAGTAAATCTCAGCATCTCGTCCTTGACCTTGGAATGCTGATCTCCGAGGAGTTTGGCAAGGAATGGTAGATCCTCCGGTTACCAGCCCCCACGCTCTAGACTAGGACCTCAGATGCTTCGGAGGATCGGAGAATCGGAGCCTTTTCAATATGATCACCATGTTAGAATTTCCATTCCAAGCACCCGGGCACCAGGTGGGCATTTGCGTTTAAGTGAGCTGCATGGGGCTTGGCCAAATATACTCCGTCTGCACTGAGCTGCATCAATGAGGTGGCAAATGCAATTATGTAGTTATATCAATTAATTATTATTCCTTTTCAAACAGGTCACCAACACACGGCAGTGCTGCAGGTTTTTTCTAGAAAGGACAAATGAGCATGTTTTGGGCACTGGATTGATGTAGGTGTATCTCATATTTAAGCATCTGAGGTTGAAGTCTAAAGGTATCAAGTTGAAATCATGGATAGCATTATAGTCACTGCTGACTATGCCGTTGTAATAAGCTTTAACGACGGAGTATTTATCTGAAACTTTTTCGGTGGAGGATATTCCCGAAGTCCTGGGCTTGTTTCAAACCTTCCAACAAATTTATGGACATCACCTGTGTAACTACGTTCTCTCGGCCTAACGAGTGGTTAACCTCCGAGGTTAGAACTATCCATCTGTACTGTCAGTAGCAGCCCTAAAGTATCGATCTCCGTGTTCAGTTACCGGTCCATAAGTTCGTTTTTTTTTTCTTTAAATACTCTACAGTATTATAAATAGCCTAAATAGGACAGTACTACTTTGGTAGAGATCCAAGATCCCAAGGTTTAAGTTGCCCATCCTGATTAGTATCTAATGTGCGAACCATGGTTCTGGCCTTCTTCTTGTTTTAGTACAAATACCGCTGGAACACAATCCCGAACCAACAGATCTTAACTACTTAAATGTAATATAGCCTTGGTAGGAGCCTTGAAGCATGAAAGATCCATATCGTTGGAGTGCCCGAGGTTTATATCTAAACCTTCCCAGGTTGGTTGTTCCAAGGTTGTGGTGTGGAACTGTACCTATTAAATTACACTACTACGTAATAATCACCATTGCCAGCCACTATATATACTTAGGTAGCCATGACTTAACCCCATTTCAATTGTTTTTTTTTTTTAAAAATATTCTCCTTCTTAATGTGGACACTTCAGTTTAACATTATAACATAATTAGGTAGATCTTGTTTAAAATTACCTTGTATCTAGGTATACTATCTATTTACAACATGAATAACAGTTTCTGTTGGGATATCGGACAAACGACACATCACGAATCCCTGTTCAGAGTGCATCGCAAACCATAACCTTGAATAGTATACATATAACTGTGATGTCCCATCTTTACCGACTGTTCTGTCTTAGACGATGGAACACATTCGTCTCAGACAAAAGAGCAACTTGTAGGATAAATAGCTAGTCCTCACCATGAATGAAAAACCAGATTTTACAACCACTTCAAGAGAACACAAAGATATTATAGGGACGTAAAGCGCAACCTGTAATAGGTGTTGGAAGTGGGCGTTAGCCTCTCACCAACCTTGCTATACCCACCGGTGTACCGATAGTTTCTAAGTGGACTTGGGATGATGTGGTAAGCAAAAATCAAAGATCAAAATGTTACACAACAAATAAACCAGGTTCATATATACAAAATTTGGGTAGTCCTCCATCGAACAGCCCGGGTGGTCTAGTGGTATGATTCGCGCTTAGGGCAGCAACTCCTAAGCACTCCTGCGCGAGGTCCCGCGTTCGATCCGCGGCTCGGGCCTGTTTCTATTTTTTTTTTCTTCTTTTAATTTCAATTTTCCTTACTCCTTTGCTTGACTTTCTTGAACTCACTAACAACTTTCCTACCTGGGCAGCAACACAGTAACCCTGTGAATGATACTAAATTACCTAAATAGGTAAGCGTCGCCCGTTTTAGCGCAGGCCATATAATAGTAGCTTGGGGACAAGATAGTTACAATACTTCTTACCACTTTTGCAACTGCAGTTCTTCATCACAGGAAAGCATATGCGATACAGTAGAATATCTCGGACATACTGAAAGATACAGATTTCCAGATAGAACCAATAAATCTCTAAGTTATTACTTGTTGCCATTAATCGATACTCTACGCTTAAAGATCGCAAAAACCATATGAATAGGGGATTGCTCCGGCATTGACCTCTTCAGCGCTCTTGATCCTAAGGACTTTTGATCGATTACTTTACAGACTTCGGGTGGCGAGTTTACCTCATCAGTAAGGTACGCCGTATTTACAGTTTAGGTCTACGGATTTATAGGGCGTAACACCTATATCAATTGCAGACAAAACTTGCCAACTTGAAAGCCTGTAGCTTAATAACCACGTATACTACATAAAAAAGAATTAGATATTTGGTATTCATAGGCAATTTTGTCTAAGGTGGATACAGAAAATATTTGATAGAGTTGTTTTTGGGGCTTAGTTAACATCAGCTTTTGAGCCCCTGCTTCTCTTTGTTTCCCGGTCTAAATATCCGCTGTCATAATTAGTGGCTGACATCTACCTCAGCTCAGCCACTAATCACTACCAACCCCCCATATCTCGCAAGTAGTGACTTTAATCGTATACCAATGTCACCATCGCTATAGGCGAGAGATAAAGACGTCTTTCTCAAATAATCCCTGTTATTTACATCCACTTCTTTGGTTTCAAGTAGCATTTTCATCACTCCCGGCATTTACCAGCGGCGACACATAATGGTGTCTATCCATCGCTGGTTCTTGTATCAGCATCCACTCCTTCAGTTTGAAGTACCATTTTCACAGTTTCTTTACTACAATACCTAGCAGCGCAAAATAAAGGTGTCCATCGTGGGAACTTAGAATAAACACACATCCTACCGCACACTTACTCCACGTATCAACGTAGTAGTAATAGTGCATCGAGATCTCTGTAAATCTACAAATACCTAGGGTGGAAAGTATAGCAATGCTCTCTAGGACGCTATATACGAAGGAAGAACCGAGATAGTGTAAATGCTACTTGATGCTCCCGCTGATATCAATACATAGGTTGGTCCGTGTAAAAAGAGATGCCCGCTTTTAGCAGCTGTTTATAGATGCAATTGTCGCTCGCTTAGCGAGCGTAGCTAGCTAGTCGCTCGTCACTGAGAACAGTGAGCTCCAACGAACCGCTACTCAACACCGTAGAAAATCCACTGGGTGTAGTGGATGCTACGATACTGAATATTGCGATTGTTGTGAAGTCTGCTTTTTCATTGATGAAAGAACTAGCTACTTATAGTGTATGGATGCCCCTCTGCCCTGGACGAATGTCAACATTCGTCCGAGACAGAAGAGACGGTGAAGACGGGATATTACTGTTGCGACAGCCGAGAAACAAGGCCATCAACAGACGGAAAGTATTTCGGCCGAAAAAGCTTCTGCCAAGACAGTGACTCTGGAACTAGATTAGTATATCACGGTATCCTTGAACGATATGCATTCATCGCAAACGACACCCTTGAGCGATGTGCATTCGCGACAGTAATTGTCGCTCGCTTAGCGAGCGTAGCTAGCTAGTCGCCGATAACTGAGAACGGTGCTCGAGTTCTTACTGCAGTAAAAGGGAATTGGAGTTTACTGCAGTAGAAAGGAGTTGGTGAGCTTCAACAAACCACTACTCAACACCATAGACAAACCACCAAGTGTAGTGGTCTCTACAGTACTGAATATTGTGGTTGTTGTGAAGTCTGCTTTTTTATTGATGAAAGAACTAGCTACTTATAGTATATGGGTGCCCCTCTGCCCTGGACGAATGTCAACATTCGTCCGAGACAGAAGAGACGGTGAAGACGGGACATTACTGTCGCGAATGCACATCGCTCAAGGGTGTCGTTTGCGATGAATGCATATTGTTCAAGGATGCCGTGATATACTAATCCAGTTCCAGAGTCACTGTCTTGGCAGAAGCTTTTTCGGCCGAAATACTTTCCGTCTGTTGATGACCTTGTTTCTCGGCTGTCGCAACAATATCCCTAAGCTTTTTCTTCACTTGAGATTTTGATATGCCTAAATCAACAGCACTGATAGAGTAAAGAGGCACTCTCATCACTTCAGCGACACGCTCTGCTATAAGCGTTTTTCCTTCTTCAGGAGGATCACTTAACTGTATTATCAGGCCTTTACCCTGGACCAAATTGTTAAAGTCATCCACCTGCTTAGACTGGTCCTGGATAAAGGCTAAAATAAGTTACTTTAATTCTCTTGGCCTTTTGGCAGAACCAGAGAATTAAAGGCTTGAGTATTCCACTCAATATCTGACGTGAAATCGAGGTAGAATTGTAATTACTTCTTATCTTCTAGGAAATAACCGTAGAGTAACCCTGAAGAAACGATTCGCTGCTCATCTGTTAGAATATCATCGATATTTGTATTATCAATATATATTATCTTGATGTCGTGGAAGGTTTTGAAAGCCTCTGTATCGATGATGACTCGGCTTTTGACGTGGTACTCGATAAGATCATACTCGATAAGATCGTCATCTATTCCGTGGTCTAGAAAGCCATAGGCAACACCTTCGTATTGCTTATGGTGAAAGCCTTGATGCTCTTCCCAGATCTTGCCGTTAGCTAGCAAACTGGCCTGGATAGTATCTTTATCGGCGTGGTATCTCAATGGTGAGACAGCTAGTGATGTGATAAGCTTGGTCCCATTGAAGAAGGGAACTATGAACGATTGATCTTCAAATCCGAATGTTGTACCGTCGTATGCAATACGCTTAGCCTCGATGACCCAAGCTTTTGTTCGATAATCAACGCTCGTGTCTTTAAAGAGGAAACCGCTCGTGCGGCCATAAGATGTGCTGATAACTAAGCCACTAGGCTCAAAAATGGTCCACAATAGCTCATGAGTAATAACTCCGTTAGAAGTCATATCGTTCTTGCGGGATAGAATATCCCGGAGCTCCACCTCAAAGATCGTATAGAAGAGATCTATATATTCCTTGGTAACTGCATCCTCCTCTTCTTCGCGGATCTTCACGAGATCATCCCACCGATGAACCAGCGGTTTGAATGGCGCAGTGAATTCAAGACGTTGCAATGTAGTTGTGATAGTAGGGTATCCTTCTAGCACTTTGCCTAGGAATGTCTTCAGCGTTTCACTTTGAACAACGACAGAGTGAATCTTGAGGCTTTTGTGATTATCATAGCGTTTCTCGTTTTTGATGATTAATGCGTATTGCGTAGACTCTGTATCTTCAGTAACCCAAGATGTGTTGCCGGCATTGTCAGGCATTGTTTGGTAAATATTGTGAGCTTTACAGATCGAGCCTTGAGCGATACAATTGATTTTCTCGTCTCTATCAGTTTCGGTCTTCTTCTCATCAGCTGTGGTATCTTTGTTATTTAAATGTTATAGTTTAAAATTTCCCGATAGCTTTATAGTACTTACCAGGTGTGGCCTGTCAGGATGCCGTCTTTTTAGAGGTAACTGTTGCGACAGCCGAGAAACAAGGCCATCAACAGACGGAAAGTATTTCAGCCGAAATAGCTTCTGCCGAGACAGCGACTCCGGAACTGGATTAGTATATCACGGCATCCTTGAACGATATGCATTCATCGCAAACGACACCCTTGAGCGATGCGCATTCGCGACAGTAATGTCCCGTCTTCACCGTCTCTTCTGTCTCGGACGAATGTTGACATTCGTCCAGGGCAGAGGGGCGCCCATGTACTATAAGTAGCTAGTTCTTTCATCAATGAAAAAGCAGACTTCACAACAACTACAATATTCAACTAGTAGGAATCCACTACACCCGGTGGATTTTCTACGGTGTTGAGTAGCGGTTTGTTGGAGCTCACAACGTCTACTATTCTCAGTTAAGATATTCGAATATCGCCAAGCGAGCGACAGTAACCTTTACATCTAAAAGAGGATTTTCGATCTTTTCCTTGACGGTACTCTCCGCCATTATTGAAAATTTATTTAAAAGAAGAAAGTATTGAAAGTGAAAGGGAGTTGTTGAGAAGATAATAGATTTGTGGCTCTTTTAAGCTTACAAGGTTGACAACAGCAACAGGAGCCTTACACAGCAGCCTAAACTGAAATGTCTCTACAAATTTGTATGTTTTTTCACGGAATTTATTACCAGATGCGGGATAGTTTGTTGGTGATTGGTGGTTGAGCTGAGGTGTTAGCCATGTGACCTCGCACCCCACACACGTCCGGTGTTAAGGTGAGCTGGAATGCACTAATTATGACAGCGGACAGACTGGCAAACAAAGAGAAGGAGATATAAAGCCTGATAGATCATGGTACTCATTCTTCCCTTTTAAGCTCACCACGTGATTCGAAGTCCCTTCAATCTCGAACCCACACACGTCCGGTGTTAAGGTGAGCTGGAATGCACTAATTATGACAGCGGACAGACTGGCAAACAAAGAGAAGGAGATATAAAGCCTGATAGATCATGGTACTCATTCTTCCCTTTTAAGCTCACCACGTGATTCGAAGTCCCTTCAATCTCGAACCCACACCGACTCTCTTATTTCCCTCAAGGATTTTATACACAGTTCTGAATCTAAGATTAGCTTTAGCCCTTCACATGTTAACCCTCGAAGGGCATAGTAGTTCGATCAGATATATTGCCTGGTCGCCAGATGGAACCCAGCTCGCATCAGCGTCCTATGATGAGACAGTCAGAATCTGGATTCCGGCCACCGGCGAGAGCGTGTTAACACTTAAAGGGCATAGCAGTTGGGTCAACTCTATTGCCTGGTAACTAGATGGAAGCCGACTTGCATCAGCGTCCGATGATACGACAGTCAGAATCTGGAATCCGGCCACCAGCGAGAGCGTGTTAAATCTCGAAGGGCATAGTGATTGGGTCAGATTTATTGCCTAGTCGCCAGATGGAACTCATGGGTTATAGCCTATCCTATAGGACTCTCTGTGATATGGCATATTATACCAGGGTTAGTAGGTATTGGGCTTATTTTTTGGGCGTTTTTTTAGCTTTATAATTTTCAATTTAATTTAATTTAAAAGCCTCAGAACCAAACTGGGGTTGTGGGACTAAAAAGGAAAGAAGAAGGATCCTTATTTTAGGTAATGTCTCATGAATAGAACAGAACTGATGACTCTTGATCTTTTCGAGACAACAATGTTAATGTTTACTTGAAATGATACTGTTACGGGATGAATACAGAAACACGCTGTACGGATCCGGTGTTGATCAAGAAGAATTAACCAGGGAAGAGAAAGAGGATCCTGGAGTCAGGATACTCTTAGGTAGTAGGTAGATACTGTTAAGATAGTTCTAGATAGTCATCAGGATACCCACAATTACTTAAATCTTGACTGGAACATACCACTTGGACACGACAGTTCCAAGTCCAAATGGTCAACTCCATCTCCAATCCCATTGATCAAAGTTCAAGTAAACATCTAAACGAAAAGACCCCAATCACAAATTTCTATCTTCTCAACCAACGCACTGACAGTGTCCTCCGCCACAGTTTCCTCGCCATTCAATCCAGCCACATTCCCAGCCTTTTCAAACTCCTCATGAGGGACATTCGAGAAAACCAACAGATCCGTCTCCTGAGACTCTAGCCTCACAATTAAATAGTGACACGTGAGTTTTGTTGGTTGATTGGTAGCCGACACAGGAGCAAACTGCCCACCCCGTTGACGAGGCGCATTCAAGAATAGAACGACACCCTTGTACATAGTAACTTGCGAACCCGGTGGTGCCGTTGCGGCTAAACGACCAGGAGATACGCGCTGTGGCAGAGTCACCACCTGCATCGAGTCGCCTTCATCACAGAGGTCATTTAGATGATAAAGCGCTGCGGCTTTATCCACGAAATTGGGTGTTGCGCTGGCTGCACTGTCCTCTGCTGCTAGCGTAGGTTGCTGCTGGCTGAGGGTAGCAAAGGTGCTCAGCGCATCTTCTGCCGAGACGCGCTGATTAATTTCAATAATTAGATTGGAGAGTGTGCTGGGTGAGAGAAACAGCTCTTGATGGTCTGGGATCTCGCGGAGAGTGCTATGTCATTGATTAGAATGTTTTGATACCAGGGTATTAACTTATGTCTGATAGAAATCGTAGATGCTTTATATGGGGAGCTGGACTTGACCTACCTGGCATCGATCCAATTTTTGGGTACCACACCTCGAATTGATCCGCCAAAGAATTCCTGATTTTTAAACTCTGCCATATTTGATGTGAGAGGGCAGCGGTTGAGATTTTAGCGTGGAGTTGAAGTTCTCGTGTTAGCTGGCTGCAAACTTCAATAGAATTTCGCTGTCATGTGCCCGTAGTAGAGCTTGGTAATTTCGTTCCTCAGAGCTGCTTGAATGACCTCTGTCTTACTGTCTGTATAGGAATATTTCAAGAACTGTTGAAGTAAAGAAAATATCAGACGTTGGCAGTGACTGCGGGATTCTGTTTTCCACCCAATGACATCCCGCTTTTTAGCGGGGATACTAAGTCCTACTACAACTGATGATTTATATCATCTTTGATTTGAAATTATATGGATTCAATGTTGATATTGCATGCGCAGGTACATATTTAGTACTTTTTCTAATTTACGAACACCTGTCCAGTTCCTAAATTTCGCGCTGGATAGATAATTGAGGCCACTGACTACACAGGTATCGATCTCAGCCATGCCTCGTAATAGTTGGTCACCTCGTAGATTAAGTAGGAAGGATATTCAGCTTGTTGTCATCACGAGGTATAAATGATAGCACTCAAGGTCAGGACCCTCGGAACATATGAGCTGAGCTGGAAGATGGAATCATCTCACTTCTTTTATCTAAAAGATGACATTCTTTATCAACGTCCTGTATATCACATGGCTGATTAAATCAGGCCAACTAGACTAGAAAATATGACAAAAAAAGAACAGAGTACATGAACTTCCTCGTTTTGCCAACAATCTCACCCACTGTGGCGAAGCACCGTACCCCCCGAATCCAGACCCACTGTGAGCGACCCCGTCCAGTCTTTAACTGAGGGAAGGCGCCAAGGTGACCTGGCGAGGAGGACGAGTCGACAAACTCTCCAAGTTGTACAATATTAGTACGCGAAGCACGAGGTCAAGGCCCACGCAGTAGACATATCGAGGCTAGTGCTCTATCGCTCGCTACGATCTAGATAAAGCAACTTCATAACATCACTAGGTACTATCGGAAGTTTCATCACAAGGACGCCAAAATCGGTTATGGTTGCGGGGTCGAGAATACAATAGAGCACGTCATTAGTTGTATTCTTCGCTGCTAGCTAAAGTGACTAGTGTAGGTCTCATCTAACTCTATAGGCGAAGCACCAGATTGACCCTAATCTCGGACGTTATATACCATTAATACTACTCCCTTATTCCTTGTTATTTAGTCGTAGACGACGTGATAGACCAAGTATTTTGCATAGCTGTCTAGGCCCAGCCATCAGAGGACTTAAACGGTCTTCGCAGTCCGTCGCAGTTCTAGTAGCATGATATATTCATGCATTCAATGGTATCTATGCCTCGGCTACGACGTAAAATTACATCGGCCAAGTGAATCGCTCAGCCGGAAACAACTCGTTCAAAAACCTTTCAATCAATGAGCAATCAAATAGTGGCGTTAGGCGATTGATTGAGCAAGGGTATCAAATCCTGTGCCAAGGATTCTCGAAAGCTTGGTTGATTAGACAATCGTAACCATATTGGTATCGTGTTCAAAACCATGTTCAGTGACTATCGGCTTTCAGCTCTTGCTGAAAAAATTGCTGAGTGAATTGACTGGGAAATTCCGGATGAGTTAGCCGGCATTCTTATTTCAAATTATGTGTGATATGGCTCAGGTAGAAAAACAAACATTGGAGCTCTTTTAAGGCATCAGCTGTTACTACACCTGAATTAGCATTCCCAGGTCAATTATTTGATGATCTAATAGTGTGACAGGCCATGATCTACCAATAACTCGGCATAATTATCCAGGTTGATCAGTCGGAGTTAAGCCACTCAAGTCTTCTAATTGTCTTCACATTGAAACAGCCAGCTCACCTGGCGTTTGAGGCTGACGACCTCTACATGTCAGCCCAGGTTCAATGCGCGCATCACAACACTCATAAATCCACTATCCACTAGAATAGTCGGATACGCTTGAACCTAATCACTTAACGCTACTCTTTAGTGATGCATCGTTGCGAGATTGCTCGTCAACTGAAAGATGTTTGCGCGAGCTACTTCCAGTCAACCGGTGCATTCGGTCAAGAATGTTAGTCTCAGCTTTGGTGGTCGAGACCAAGTTATCAGAGCCACAAAGGACTCGTTTGAGGAAGTCTCGTTCTAGCATTAGTGCAAGATTATCAAAAGAAATGCCGGGACGACGTAGTCGAGTAGTAGTATTAGTAACTCCTTGACTTTTTCCTCATAATACTAAAAACCCATCGAAGTATGATCGAAAACACATTCGATGGAAGGTCAAAAATCAAAAAATTGGACATGTCGACGAAAACATGGATTTCTGGCCGCGCGTTGTGAGCAAAAATAATTTTGCACCATGTTCCAAAGAAGGATTCTTGGTGGCGCTTCGTGAGTAAAAGATTGAGAGAACGGCCATCACAGACAGGGCTTGGGTCTCAATTATGTGGATTTGCAACAAAGTTGAACTTGTGACGCGATCAAGTGCGCGCCAAACCCCGGGATTTTCAAGGCGGTAGGATATACTTTGTACGTACTACCGCACTATTAAGAGGAAGCTAATCCATATCGGTAATGACGAACGATAGATCGTGATGAGTCATCAAAAACAGGGTCCAGAAGGTCATTGTCACGTCATTAGTGTGACGCCACAACTAATCTAGAACAACGTCATATACACGCAAGATGGATATAGCTCCAACCCTCGAAGTTGATTGGTGGTAACTTTTGCCATCATTACCCCGCCACAGGTCCAAGATCTTTGTAGCAGGTATATGCACGTAAGTAGGTAAACTAGGTAACTCCAGATAAACTTGCTTGTCCAAAGCACGCAAACATTTGTACGACGTCATTTGTTTGGCGTCATGGATAATTCAACTTTGGTATTTAAACTACCTTCCTCCCACGTTTACCCTATCTTTCTCATCCATCTTTCACATTCAATTTCCACAGGAAACTTCCACAATTACCATTTCTTTTTAAAGAACTATTTCAATCCACCATCATGTCTGACACCGGCCGCAAGGATTGGTCCACCAGTATGTTGCTTTTCCATCGTTTATCATGGACTTTTCATTAACACCTTTCCTTCACTATAGAGGCTAAGGAGGAGATTACTCCCGATTCCTCCAAGTCTACCCAGGACAAGATCAAGGAGACTGTCACTGACACCTCCGACCGCATTGCTCGAGGTGTCCAGCCCGATGACAGCAAGAGCAAGCCTCAGGAGGCTTTCGACAAGACCCAGCGTACCCACGACAACGCTGCTCACGGCGGCGCCAGCAACTCTGTGTAAGATTTCCTCTATATTGCATCAATGACTTCAACTAATTATTTGTATCTTTAGTGGTGACAAGGTCAAGAACGCCCTTGGTCTGGGAAATTAGATTTCCTGATTGGCTGTGCACATCGCCACGGATCCGAGATATCGGTGGATAGTTAGCAATTCACTTTGATGGGTTCGGGTGTAGCCATTTCTGCTACCAGAGTGATGTCCAGTTTGATTCAGCAATGAATCTACGATACCACGTTTGATTTTATGACTATCACAACGCATTTTGTTAACTCTTAAATAATAATCAGCTATTTTCTGATGGCCTCTGATCAATTTCGTAATGAGTAATTTCAAAGCTATAAATAAGACGTAGTAACATCATTTTGTTAGTCTGAGTAATTTGATGACCCATGAATTTTTTGTTCAATACTTAGTTCGCTATCGTCAACTCCCAAGTATATTATCTCGTTGACGTTTCAGACGTCCTAATTCTCCTTCAAGCTCCTTGTATGTTGCTCGTGCACCTGGAATAGTACTAGGCAGGTTTCGGAATGCTTTAATCCGCCTCCCTAACGAATCGACTTCTTTACGTAGACGAAGTGTAATATCCTCTTCTCTTTTCAAATCCTCGATCGACGGCCCTTGAGTTTGTATCCGTTCAAGTGATACAATGCGATCCTGATATTCCTCAACCTTCTTAGAAAGCATCTTGGTGTTGCGGTTCCAATCCGCTGTCATACTTTGGATATCTTGTGGAGTCTCATATACCTCACGAGACTTCAAAAATTCCAGATATTCTTGTAATCGGACTAGTTCTTTCTGAAGGTATGACTGTATGGCCTCCACTTTGGTCACTTGGTTCTGCGCATCGAAGTCCTCAACAGTGAGTTCGACAATGGATTGACTCAAGTGCATGGGCTCTGGATTCAAAGTACTGCCCAAGACAGCGGCTGATTGAGCTAGATCATCCAGATCACGTCGCCCTTTGTCGTCGAGGCACATTTCTACCTCGTCCAAGATCTCATTCTTTAGCCGTTCATGTGGGTCTTTCAGTTCTGCCTCTGCCTGTGCTTTGAAGGCTTGAATAGCTTCCTCCCGGGCACGGTGTTGCAGAGCTGCCTCCTCATCGGCAGCATCATTGGCAGCAGCAAGAGTCAATAGAACCCGAAGTGTATCTTCATTGCGTTCGTATTGGGGTACTGGTTTTGGCGCGTATTGCCGAATGAGCCACGAGTTCACGTAAGCCCAATCTTTTGCCTTCATGGCAGCCTGACGGGCTTTGCTTGGAGAGACGAGTGGACTGTCGAACGAGTCCATTGTATGCGATTTGTGGATAAATGGTTGTGGAATGCTAATCTAGTTGTCGATAAAATCTAAGTAAAGTATGGGGCAAAGGCGGTCTAGCCAGTGTTTGCGCTGTCCTTTCGTTCCCCGCCCGCTGTGATGCAGCCATTGCTTCCACAAGGATGACGAGTTATCTCAATGCTAGTGCCAGCAATGGCTCTTCTCCAGCTTTGTCGCCATTATCCCCACCCACTCAGCGATCCACCGCCCTGTCCAACCGATTGACCTCCGTATTATCGGCATCGTACGCCGACTCCGATATCCGCGACTCTCTCGAAACACTGAGTATTCGAGGTGTTCACAATTCCCCCGAGACTCGACGTCAGCTCCGACTTGATGTTCAGAAGGAAGTGATTGATTGCAATGCGGAAATTGTCCGGGATTTCGGGAAGGTTGCGGAGGTGAGACTCGTTGTAGAGCCGTCGAGTTCTAGAGGCTAACATGCCATGGCTTGATAGCAATTAAAGCGGATTGGCGGCGTGATTAAGACGTTAAATCAAACATGCGATGACATGCGCAAGCATATCGGTCTAGCAAAGCAGGAGACCGCACCCGTGCTAGATGAAGCTACAGCGTTGATGACCCATAAAAGAGACACCGAAACAAAACAGCAGTTGCTCGATGCATTCTCGAAACACTTCTTGGTTCCTGAAGAGGAACTATTGGCTCTCACATCATCTGAGGAGCCTGTCGACGACCGCTTCTTCGATATACTTGCTCGCGTTAAACAAGTGCACCACGACTGTGAGCTCCTGCTGGGTGGGGAGAACCAGCGACTCGGCTTAGAATTGATGGAGCTGAGCACTCGACACCTCACTTCTGCTTATCAGAAATTATATCGATGGATTCAAAAAGAGTTTCAGTCTCTGAATCTGGAAGACCCGCGAATCAGCAGCTCCATCCGTCGTGCCTTGAGAGTGCTGGCAGAGAGGCCAAGTCTGTTCCACAATTGTCTTGACTTCTTTGCAGAGGCCCGTGAGTACGTTCTTTCTGATGCATTTCACTATGCCTTGACAGATGCGGTCTCCGGCCCTGGTGCTGGTGCCGGGGATCACACTGTCAAGCCTATCGAATTCTCGGCGCACGATCCGCTGCGGTACATTGGTGATATGCTTGCCTGGGTACATTCCACCACTGTATCGGAGCGGGAAGCTCTCGAGGCACTTTTCGTTTCCGATGGCGAGGAACTCGCTCAGGGCTTCCAGGCTGGACTGGTCAGTGAGCCCTGGTTCCGGATTGATGAGAATGAAGAAGTTGCGTTTGATGGCCATAAGGCACTCAGTGACCTGGTAAATCGGGATCTCTCTGGGGTTTCGCGATCGCTTCAGCAGAGAGTCGAACTAGTCATTCAGGGCCACGACGATCCGGTGACCTGCTACAAGGTGTTCAATTTACTTTCCTTCTACCGCACGACCTTTTCTAAATTGGTTGGTCCTAAGTCCGAGCTAGTGGAATTGATGCAGACGCTTGAGAAGTTTACATTTGGCAAATTCGAGACCTTGATGCGTGACCAGGTTACTGCGCTTTCGAGTGATAATCTAGCTTTGACCCCACCAGCGGATCTGTCTCCTCCCGAGTTCCTGCTGGATGCACTGGATAGCTTGGTTTCTCTCCTGAAAACGTACGAGGCCTCAGTCGGATCCGAAGATTCGGAAGAGTCTAGCGGCGAGAACGGATTCACACCCGTCCTCCATGTGGCGCTTGACCCGTTTTTGACACTGGCTCGATCCTCATCCGATGAACTCAAGGATGCCACTACCAAAACCATCTACCGCACCAACATTCTTCTCGTGGCACGCGCAGCTATCGCCCCATTTACATTTGCTAGTGCCACGCATAACAACCCTATATCGACAGCTTTATCTACCTTACGTACGAACCTCCTTGATCATCAGCACCAATTCCTTTTGGAAACATCGGGATTGCAAGTCCTTTTGGAGGCTTTGGAGCCATTTTCAAAAACACTCACAGAATCAGAGTCAGATGCCAACAAGCCAGATCAGCAGAAGCCCCAACTTGCAGATCTCACTAGTCTCCCTGCTTTCCAGCCTACATCGCTAATCACGTCCAGTCAGAAGCTGGATGATTTCCTCCCTTCTGCCCTCATGGATGCCACGGACCATATCAAGCGGGTCCAGAGCGCCTCTCTCATTCAGAGCGTGACTGAGGATGCGATTGAAGCATTCTGCTGTGACTTTGAGTTCGTCGAGGGTATGATCATCGCGGCAGACGAAGCTAGAGGAATGACCCAGAACTTGGGTACGGCAGAGAGTGTGCTCAGTGGCAGATCACGCAGGACTGATGACGAGGCTCAGAAGGAAGATCAGTGGAGCCTACGCACCTTATTCCCCCGAACTACGGGAGAGATACGGGTGTTGTTGAGTTGAGGTAGGGAGTGTATACTAGAGAGCATATCATATTACTACTATAAAGGGCTCTTTTTAAGGCACGGAGGTCCTAATCTAAAGATACAAATACAATTGAAGGATTCCAATCTTAATAAAGCGGCATCTGGCCATGGCAGGTGCCTACCCGTCCAATACAAGTTAAGTGTGTTAATCAGTGGCCTTCCTGGGAGACACTGGCTGAAGTGGGTGCGGGTTTGGCTCAGGCGCACGCTTAATAGGAACGCGCAGAAGGCAAGGGACTAGGATCAAAGTTAGAGGTCAAATCGTAATAATGAACTCAGAAAATAAAACCTACGGATTCAACTGGTGGTGGCTGAAGAAGTCAAAAATGTACTCAGTAGCATTGAAGACATAGTGGCCAAGGGGGCACTGAGCAGCGAGTCTGACATAATCATCGTTCGAGACAGTGCTAGGCCAGCAGTGACCATTGTCACCCTCACGATAGTGTTGCACAATACCATTCTTACCACCACAGTTCCATGAAGCATGCTTGACCAGAGGCTCTGTAAAGACCGTCTCGTTGCTCGCCCACTCGGCGCCCTTGGGGCAACCGTTTAACTCGGCCCACTGCTCGAGGATATCGATGACAGCTAACTTGGGGTGAGTAGCATTTTTGCCATCGATAGGGGCAGTTGTATCGATAACACCGTGGAACTCGAGGAAAGGATATCCCTCTTCTCTGGGCAGAGGGGCACATGTGCCCACTCCATCAATCTCAGTAGTATTGTACCAAGCTCCACTAACTGCGGCAAAAGCTGCAAAACGTGCGCCTACGGTAGCATTACACGCAAGCACACCAACCATACCTCCACCGTTGGACTTTCCACCAGCATACACACGAGTAGTGTCGACACATAACGACTCCTCCAGATAGGTCAGGACGTCGTTGGTGAAGTCCAAATCGTTCGGACGGGTAACATTGGCCTTAGGGTTGGAGAGCCAGTAGCCATTCTTACTGTTAGGGTAAACAGCGATACCGTCCTTGTTGAACTCGGGGTTCGAGAACTGGCTGAGGCCTATTTCCTCGTACATGTCACGACTAGCACCATGATAGGAGAAGTACACTGGTGCTGGCAAAGACTTCTCATAGTGGGCTGGAATAAACAGCTGGAATTCGCGGTCGCCCAGAGTGACTGTGGTGTTCAAGCCAGGTTGAGGGAACGAGGCGGGGATATCTTTCCCACAACCGGAGGATTGACCCAAAGTGACGGATGATGCCGTTGCTAGAGCGACAATCGATAAAATGGAGAAATACATCGTTGACGATCCTGAATTCTGATGAACAAGGCGATATGTGGGAAGGGGTTTCTTATAGTAAATGGTTACCGAGCCTTATTCAGCTATCCTTTGTACGGAGTAGAATTCCCCTAATTTTTGAAATGAAATCCTTATGAAATCCTTCAGGAAAGACCCCCATCGTACGTCGTATTTGGATAGTGTACTGGTACTTCCTCAATACTTCAGGGGGTCTTATTGGATTGAAATGATGGGCTCCATAATTATGACGATCATCATCGACCATCAGCCCCATCTGAGTAATTCAGCTGAGGTCAGCACAAAGACTAACGAACGCTTTCAAAAAGCTAGCCATAGCATCTCGAAGCTATTGACGACCTCCCAATATAACCTTGGAAGCTTATAAAAGACGTTTATAGTATCTACTAGGAATTACAAGGTACTCGAAAGGCGCTCAATGATTTCAGGTTAGCCCACCAAGAGCGGACCTCTTATGTAAAGCCTATCGTCGGCCTGACATCATCACATCTTCACAGGTAGAAGAAGAAGCATTTCAACTGAAATTGGAGGATAGAGAAGCTTTAAAGGTGAGACCACATCGGAAGCACGTGATATGTCAGCTTAAGATGGTACATAGGCAGCAAGGAAGGAGGTGACGCTGAAATTAGTTTTCAATCATATTTGAATCATTGAGTTTGACCTTTACATTATTTTTAGTATTAAATCTACATGTTATGGCTAATAAATGTATAGGGAGAAAGAGAAGTAGAAATTATTTTATTTACACGTCCGAAATTGGTAATTCAATATGCAAGGGGCCAAATTATGGGGAAGAACAGTTACAAAGTACGTCACACAATCGTATGTAAGAAATTTGGCCCCCTTATGAGTATAGACCTCGGGAGAAACTCCGCCAGCTTATGCAGGTGAGATTAAGCAGTACTATATCTACTTTGAATATCTTTACCTTCTTAAAAAAAACCAGGATCGCCATGAGGACAAGGCATTTTGTGTCCGACACCAATGATATTGAATCTAAAGCCTGCCAGCATCATTGCTGTTGGTGTGATTCTTCCAGTTCTCGCCTCTTTGGCGACCAGTTTGCGCTTCTATAGTCGATATAGGCTGAGAATCTCTCTAAAAGAGGATGACTTCGCTTTCCTGGTTTCAGTAGGACTGATATGGGGTCTGGGTATCACAGTCGTCATTGGTAGGTCATTTCTTCTACCTATGTACTCACATAAGGAGAATCCCGTTAATAAGGTACTCGAGTATAGGTGGTGCTTTAGGTGCTTTAGGCGGTCATTCAAAGCAGGCGGCTGCTCATGCATACCACCATGATACCATCGTTATAGGACCCAAAGATCACATCGCAGAGAAGGTAAGATCTGAGACCCCCAATATCAAACCAACTTCACGGTGTAGAGAACTTAACAAGATCTTTTTTATAGATTATGCTTGGATACAGCATTATCGAAAAGCTCGCATTCGGTCTCATCAAGATCAGTGTGCTATTATCCTATCGACGGGTCTTTCCAGGGAAGAAATTTAACATCGCAGCCCTTACCATGATCGGAGTATTATCACTTTTGACCATAGCATTTGTCATCACATCGACCTTTCAATGTCCCACACGAAACTGGAGTCTTACGCACGCCGCATGGGCTAAGAAGAAACATTGTATCCAATCTGAGGTTTCATGGTCCGGGTTTTCCATTTCAGATGTTGCTACAGATCTGATTATTCTTCTCTTTCCGGTTATTCCAGTGTGGAAGCTGCAGCTCACTACTTCCAAGAAGATGAGTGTGATTCTGGTCTCCATTCTTGGATCTCTCTCCACTGGTATCGGCATAGTACGAATGGTGGTGATATTGGTATTCACTTACAGTATGATATTGTATTCTCCTCTCGATAGTCAGCCCATGACTGACTGTAATATGATAGACTCTACAGCTGAATACAGAGATTTCCTGGGCGCCATCTCCACAGCCTTAGTATGGAGTCTAGCAGAAGCCTCCGTGGCTATCATCGCAGCTTCCATGCCTTCCATTCGACCACTCATTCATCGAGCCTCCGACAGTCGTGCAAGGAGCAAGAGTACAAGCACTACTCGAAGTGGGCGACAACTACCACGAAGTCAGCGAATGTCAAGTAATAATTTCCACCCCCTTGATGGACCGAGGTACCCCTTTAACCAGGACCAGGATATCTTGGATGATGCATACACCCTTGAATCTCTTAATAATATTGATAGTATTGAGAATTTTGATAAACAGCAGACTCCTCGAGTGGTGGCAAGGGCATGGGCATGATCAATCACAGCTTATATCTATTGTTCTTAGTATATTGTCATTGAAGTGACTATTTTGCATTCATCCATCTAGACTCATCACACTAAAGTCATTGGGAAGGGACCATTCCAGAACGTCTCCGGCGTTGGTTAGCGCAGTCCCGTCATTGGAAGCTTCAGCAGAAGAAGTAACCCCATAATCAAAACTTCCCATGTTTACACCACTGCTTAGCGCTGAAGTTATCGGTCCACTACAGCCAGGCTCCGTCTCAAATAGACTTTGATACCACGTCTGAATCCCTTCCAGCCGGTGAATAGTATGAAGAAAGAAATCTCTATCTTTCCGGTTCTCCGCACCTGGCAAGGCAAGGCTCTGCGCACGCAGGATGGAGTCTTGTAGAATCTGGGGTAAATTGAGATCCTCTCGCGCGGTGACTGTCTTGTGCTTGATGGATTGCTCTGATGCGATGATGAGGAGGCGGACACAGAGGACCATTATAAATCCAATTTGTACCCATATGACATTTGTGAAGGCCATTTCTGTACGAGGAGGAAGGCCTAGGTAGACGTTCATTACCTTTTTAGCCGTTTGCATGCCCTGAAGCAAAATCTCGAGTGTACAGTGTGGAAGACTGATTTGACAGAGATAAAGCTCGGCTGTGTGGAATTTCATAAAAAATAAGACTGCAATTGTCAGCATGTATGTTCATTTATGGGCTGGGTAAGGAATCGGCAAGCGTACAGTTTTCTCTGAGAGGGAATGGAAGGGTATTTAGATGGAAATTCAGTTCATTGCGCAGATGGCCTAGTTGTTGCTCAAGATCGGTGCCTGGTTTTTGTAGTTCTGGTGAATTTTGAAAGGAGAGTCGATCTACTTTTTCAATGAAAAGCTGCAGACGGATTATGTGGCCGAGATAACGATCTACTGGATCTGTTGCATTCACCACAAGAGACTTGCAGCAGTCTCTGGCATGCTCTGTAAATGGAAGATCATAGTTCTTCTGGAGAAGAATGGAGGTACTTCAAGTTGAAAAGGTGATGTTAGCTCGTATCTTCTACATCCGGATTGCAGTGATATCACCTTGACAACATATAATAACAGCCCATGATGGCGCGTTGCTTTTCCTGGCCCCAAGCTTCTATCCAATTCTTCATATCAAGTGTTGAAGGCATATGAGACTGTGGTGCCTTACCTAGTTCAAAGCTGAAGATTTTGTTGACGGCCATAGAGATCAATTGAAGATATCTCCGTGGCTGAGCATGATACTGGGCCCTAATTAGATTAGTAACGGGGGCTTTTTCTTGAAGTTGACGATCATACCACGAGAGATATATCAAAAGTCCCTGTAGGATGTCAAAGGTGATTTTCCGATCAGATTTCATACATAAATTCAGAATCTGCCTTAGCTCAAACTCAACCATTCGTTGGAGAGGTATCAAATCATGGAGAGAAACCATTATCATAGCCAGAAAGACAAACGGTCTCTCGTGGCGTATCTCCTCGATACTTAAAAGAGGCGGTATAAAGAAGGGGAAATAGGGCGCCATCTGAGTACGGTACCTCTCTAAGAGAGATTCTGCTAGTTCAAGTGACAAGAGCCCTTGATCAACTACGTCAATCTTTTTAACATCATCACTACTACGGCCTGCTTGCTGCTTTGGGTCGCATGTGAGTTGGCTCAGCTGTGCCTCGAGGGCTTCGATTCTCCTAGTTCCTAGGTATTAGACTGGTATTAAACAGATATTGGAAGTCAAATCAAGTGAAAAAAAACTCACATGCTGTTATTCTTCCTAGTTGATACCTTGGTCCGTAGGTCTCGATAATGGCACTCCTTTTGCAAGCGATGACATCTAAATTATAAGCCATGAGATCATAGCGCTATGTGTTCGATTCACACATACCGATCACATATACCTAAAGATAGCTTTTTTGTGCAATTGATCTTCGCCATCGAACAATGATCACAAGTCTTGAACCGTCTGAGATTGGCAACAGAGCGTGGCGCATTTCTGCGGTCAATTTCTGACTGCATACCTGATTTCATGAAGGTCAGATGAAAACAACATGTCGATCTTGTTGAAGAAAGATCGATCTTACCTACTTTGCACGTCAGGATAAGCGAATCTTTGTCTTGGCTGCGCGGGGCCACGTCAGTTCTTGAGGTTCGGGACACGATTACGGATGCTACGAGCTATATTTGATCCATGGGCGGTTATTAGGTTCAATAGACCAAGGTTGTGTCAACTTAAATAGAAATTACTGCAACATTCAACAGAAGTCTGGAGGGTCCAAATGTTCCTTTTAACTATCAGAGGTTTCATAGTGGGGTAAGAGATCGTCGGATGGTTCACAAGGGCGGCCCCGGAAATTGAACCCTTCGGAAACAAAAATTATTCTCAATGAAAAGCTGACGCCAAGTGGATAAAAAGCATTGAGCAACCTTGGAAGTGAGAATAAGCTTCGAATGGTACCGTAGTTAATGGTAGTAATTAGTTAAGAAGTCTACTTTCTATACTTATGTAAGCCAGTGCTACCCCGCATTTTCCAATCTCTCTCTCTTATCTCAGCCAATCACAACGTTATTTAATAACTGCGTATTCTCCTTCCTAATCAAAACACCACCTCCTCTTACCATTATATCTTCGTGCTCTCACTCTTGATCTCCAGGGCTAGAATGTCGGTATATCGGATCCTCTACCTATACTATTTCTACTCTCGGAATATTCATACAGCCTATGATGATTCACCGACGACGAGGAAGTGCCAAATCACGGTCTGGATGCAGCTTGTGTAAACAGCGAAAGGTTAGAGGCGATCACTACATTCCAGATACTCTTTCTAATTCAAGCAGATTAAATGTGATGAAGGCAAGCCATCATGTCAACAATGTCTTCGTAAAAACAAAGTCTGTCCTGGATATTTCATTAATGTTCGCTTCTCTTCGAAGCACGAGGTTCATGCAGCCTCCCCACAGAAGGATATACAGACTCCAAGACTTATAAACCAGACACATAGTATAACAAATAAACCGTCACCTAGTCGACAAACACTCCAGCTATCAAAGGCGCTGGTGGGTCAGAATCAGAATGAGCTAGACTCAATACTGCTAAGCCATGGATCCTCTCCAATACAGTCTAAAAGTGATGCCGAATCTATCAACAGATTAAGCCAAGACTCATCGGCACAAGTCTCTCGTTCATCACTGAACTCCAATGATATGACTACATACCTCAATTTGCCCAAAAATAACAAAAGATCCCGATTATCCCGGCCTCTTCAACAACCTTTACATGGCCCTACCTTTTTAATCAACTACTGGTTCTCTCGAATCTGTCCTGACTTCGCAACATTTGACTCCCCCAAAAACCCTTTCAAAATATACATCGACTATGCGTGGCATCATTCGCCTTCAATATTCTACGCCATGCAAAGCATGGCCGCCGCTTGCGTGAACGAAAAGATTCCGCAGATCAAATCAATATCGGTTCATCTGCGTGGAGAGGCAACACGAATTTTACGAAGAGAAATTGGAAATATTAGATATGACACCAACGCCATCACATTTCAAGAACTGTTTTTAGCTTGCTTCATGCTTGGCCTCAGTAGTGCCTGGCATGACTCTCGTGATCTAGGTCTAGTGTACTTTGAAGCGGCTCAGTGGATGGTAACTGAGCTACTGGATCATCCAAGAACACTTTCTGCTAGCGAACAGCAATGTGCTTCCTTTTGCAAGAAGGGCTTGATATATTGGCAAATGTTAACGGTCGCTATGAAAAGTGAGAATTCGGTTGACTCTGGGCTGCAACGAGGTTACAGCCTCCGTATGAGTCAAGATCCGATGATTCTGCCGCCCTTTGAACTTACTTTACCACACCCGTTTACTGGATTGGCAGATGTGGCCCAGGAGCTTATTGCAAATGCAATAGCACTGACTAAGCAGCCACAAACTCCAGAAAACCTCAAGATAGCGTTCGATCTCGAGGAACGCCTATTGAGTGTGGATATTCCAACGCGTGATGACATTCAAGACACGTTAGATGACCAAAGCCCCAATTGGCACTTTTCTCTGGTGGCAGAGGCCTATAAGAACACCGGATTACTCCACCTCTATAAGTCATTCCGACCACTTGTTGAGTGTCGTCTCAAGGGCGTTGGGGACGAAGGTCAATCTGCAGAAGACTGGCTAGCATCATTTGCAGTCTTCATTCTAAATATTCTCAGTCAGATCCCACCCAGCTCGGGAACCCGATGCACTCAGCCATTGGCAATTGTGATTTCGGCAGCCGCATTGAAGTTTCCAAAAAGAGTATACCCGTCTGACCCAAGCTCATCAAATGGTGATGTCGATACACTACCATTGGGAGCAGATATTATGCGAAGTCGTACATTTGTAATGGACAGACTGCAGTGCTATGAACGTAGCCTTCCTCCTAAGCCTATTACTACTGCTATCAAGCTGGTGAACGAAGTATGGCGTCAAATTGATGAGGGAAGAAACGTCGGATGGATGGATGTGATGGTACAAAATAGCCTCCAATCTATTTTTGGTTAGTAATATCAGATTTAAATATAATAAGGACATGTAAAGTAATAGTACGGAGTACCTGTATGCAATTTTATGCACTGTGTTTTGTCAACGCTAGTCCTGTTTGGGAAGGCAAGTACGACAGCTTTTCTCATTGATAAGCTTCTATCAAATTATGAATCACGATAAATTGACTGCAGCCTGCATATCTTCACTTCTTTGCAGTTTTGTTCAGCCCCAGCCGTCGCAAAAATATTAACCAAGGCCATCAAAATGGTATCCTCCACTGTTTTGGCTGCATGGGATGCATGTTCCAAGATAGACACTCTGTTTATCCTTGTATGCTGTGTCTTTTGCTGGCTTATTATCCCAGCAGTTGGCTTGGGATATTCTGGGTACTCGATTCATCGCAATGCACTTGCATCTTTCTATCCAAGTCTTCTTGTTATTGCAGTCTGTTCTATACAATGGTGGATTATTGGATATTCAATCGCTTTTGGAGACGGCGGAAGCTTCTTTGGTAGCTTCACCAACAAGGCCTTCCATAGGAATGTTCTGGCTAATCCTGTCGGGGGAATTCCTGAGATTCTATTCTCTGAATTTCAGCTTATTTTCTGCGCTACCGTCTGCATTATTACCGTGGGCGGTGCATGTGAGCGTGGAAGAATACTTCCTCTCATTCCGTTCATCTTCGTAAGTTCCTAGATGCTATCGCTCATATTCAAAATCCAGGATCTAATAAAATTACCTTCAAGCTTTGGTGCACCTTTGTTTATGAGCCTTTAGCTTATATGGTCTGGTCAGAAAAGGGATTCTTTTCTCAATTAGGAGTCCTCGATTTTGCTGGCGGTACACCAGTTCACATTTGCAGCGGTGCTTCAGCAACTGCCTTGAGTGTTTACCTTTCATATCCTCTGTTCCGATCTCGAGAGTCTGCACACCGTACACCGCAGCACTTAAGGCTTCATCGACCTCACAACAGCATGTGTCAACTCTTAGCTCTTATCATCATCTGGAATGCATGGCTTGCCTTTGATGCCGGCACGACTCTTGCGCTTAACTTCAAGAGCATCATGGCTGCTGTCGTGACAAACATCTGTGCGTCGTCAGGCGCACTGGCGTGGGCATGTATGACATACTGGGAAACAGGCAAATGGAGCCTAGATAGCACTTTCATGGGAGCGATCTCTGGCCTTGTCATGATCACCCCGAGTGCAGGATTCGTCGATATGACTACTGCTTTCTTCTTTGGAATCTTGGGGTCGCTGATCTGCCGACAGGCGCTGCGAATAAAATTCACCAAGATGGCGGCTCGTTTACGCTGGGTCGATAATGGCGACACTTTTGCTACACACTGTATTGGTGGCTTGGTCGGTACTATCGCCACTGGTCTCTTTGCACAGCGGGCAGTATCTGCATATGATGGTTCGTCTGAGATTCTCGGTGGGTGCTTCTTCGACGGGAACTGGAAACAGCTTGGCATTCAAGCTCTTGAGGCTAGTACTGGGTCTGTATGGAGCTTTGTTGGAAGCTATACTATCTATGCCCTCATTGATTGTGTTCCTGGCCTGGAGGTCTTGGCTAAGAATAGGTAAGTTATACCCACGCCCATACTTTTCTCGTTTCTGGGATAAATACTAATACAATTGTAGTGAAATTCTGGTCGGGATGGACGCCTCTCAGATGGATGAATCCCTATACGAAGCTCAATGGAGTGGAGAGGAAGATTACAGTCCATTCTCAGGAGATATCCAGCTGGACTGATTTTTTACATAGGTATATTGGAGTTGGATCAAATAAATTTCATCAAGACCGACGATATGTACCTGGGTATGGTCTTATTTCCAGTATTCTCATACGCCTCCAGAGATCAAGCTTAGTTTTTTCCACTAATTGAATCCCAACCCTTTGCACCGAATGAGTCTTTGAAGAATACTCTAGATTGGTACTACCCTCATATATATAGGGCACCTATGGACATTTCTGAACAAATAAAACCTACCTAGGTAGTGTGACGAAGTAGCTAGAAATAAGCCCAGCTCTAATAAATGAAAAATTGAGTAAGCACTAGCCCTAATATAAAGATAAAACAATAAATCTGAAAGCTGCCGCAAGTGCTAAGTAGTTGAAACAAGAATATCAAAAGTAAGTGTTCAACTCACAACCAGATTTGTAAACAAAGATATTAAGAAATCTTCAACTCAATTGGGCTCGTGGTCTAGTGGTATGATTCTCCCTTCGCATGTATCAATTCATTGATTCGATCTTGGGAGAGGTCCGGGGTTCGATTCCCCGCGCGTCCACTTTTTTTCGCGAGCGGTTTATCTTATTTTTTATAATCACTTGTTTTTAATAGCCGTATTACAAGTAATTTTATTTGACTACCAGCCATCCTTCTTCTATATCTACATGGGTCCGTTAGTATCAACGAAAATGGGATGAAATCAATGTTAATGTTGGCAGATGCATCGGTTGTAGGTTGGCACGTGATAGCGCTTACCCTTGGAATCATTTTAAGCATCATTTTAAGCATCATTCATCCGTACCTCAACTTTCTTTAAGTTGAATCCATTATGTTTGCTTATTGAAGCAGGTAGATAAGTAGGTAATTACTTACACCGAATATGAACTAAGTCATGTTTGATCCCATAAATCCTCACAACATGATTAGATGCTATAATCATATAGAAGGCAAAATAGCTATAAAAAAACTTTTATGCCACGTGGATGCCCGTCTAAAAGGTAGATCAGATGAACCTATTTTCAACACCAGCTTAAGCTCATAGCAAAAAGGGGAAGCAGGCGTGAGTCACGTTCTATTGCATGTATCTCAAGTAACATAAAGTGAAAACGCCACGAGAGGTAAAAACACGCTGAGGTCGAGATATGAATTTACCCACCCCGTTCACCAAACTCCTTTGCCCACTCTTCATACTTGCGTAATCCGTCTGGTGACACACTAGGTCGAATAGAGAGAAGGCTCGCCTCAAAATCTTCAAATTTAATAGCACGGATTTGGTCCATGGGCGTGTGAAGAAGGGCTTCGCCGAGGTTACGCAAGGGACCCATTGCGGCGTCCTTGGCAAGAGCTGTTATGTCCGACCCGGAGAAGCCTGGATTCATAGGGTTAGAGAAAAACGAAAGAAAAAAGGGAAATTGGGGTTTGGGAATTGGTTGGAGCCGAGGCCAGTTTACCTTCTGCCACACGAATCAGGACTTGAATATCCGCATCAGTGAGTTCATGGTGTTGGTGACTAAGGAGCCTGCGTATCTGCTGCTCACGGACATGCAACTCCGGCAAGGGAATGTACTGACGACGAACAAAACGACGACGGGCAGCCTCGTCAATATCCCAGGGTAGATTAGTAGCTGCTAACACCAGTACTCGGCTGGCATCACCCTCTTTCTTATCACGAGCAGTTTGCTCACGACCTGCTGCAGCACGCTGAAGATCAGACCACTGAATCAGGAACTCAGTCTTTGATCGGCGTGAAGCTTCATTCTCAGATCCAGAGGACCGCGCAGACAGTAACGAATCAATCTCGTCGACAAATATGATGGAAGGAGCAAGGACTTTGGCGAGTGCGAATAAAGCACGGACAAGTTTCTCGCTTTCACCATGCCATTTCGATGTCAGGCTTGACGAAGACACGGAGAAGAATGTCGACTTTGATTCAGTGGCAACTGCCCGAGCGAGCATGGTCTTGCCAGTTCCTGGAGGACCGAACAACAGCATGCCGCGCGCGGGTTCACGCAAACCAGAAAAGAGATCAGGACGAAGAAATGGATAGACTACTGCCTCTTTGAGCGCTTTCTTGGCTCCTTCTAACCCAGCAATATCGTCCCAATGCACCTCATCGCCACGAACAACGATGTCGTTCAAGATTTGCCGCGCTGATTGTAAGTCCACGCCCCTCGGCAACTTGCTCAAGATTTCTACGTCGTTGTTCTTAATCTTCTCATCCTCATCCTCATCTTCTGTCGAGCGCTGTTCAGATGACTCTTGATCACTGGATGGTGGCGTCTCTCGCCGCTTGACTGGTGCTGTTTTGCGCCGAATTCCCCTATCGTCGCTTACTGCTGAAATGTTCATTCGATGGACTCCACGTTGAAGGTCATCACTACCCGAAGATGGAGACATATAGGCCGAATCTCCAGATTTTATTGTCCGTGGTGTAGACTTTGTTCGTGGCTTGCTACTATTATTCAATACTTCTCGTTGCGGACGAGGTGTCGTAGAATGGGAATTGCCTTCAGATTTAGTCACTGGTGTCGCGCGAGGTGGGGGTGGAAGCGAGGATCGCAAAGACACAGGCTTGGGTTTGACAGATGGTTTGGGGGTTGGAGGGGATCTTGGGGTGGCAAAGTCTGTCGGTTCTGGCATCACTAGAGATCCCTCAGAAGGAGGGCGTCTGCGGATTTCAGGAGATGAATGTGACGGGCCGGCATGTTGCTGTGCAGAATGTCGAGGCGAGGGTCGTCTAGGAGTAGGGTGTTGAGGCTCCCGCCAGTGAGCAGCCGGAATCCGGTCGCCGGCAGAGTCTCTCGATTGTGGAAGCCTCCCCGTGGAGGGCTCATCCCCAGAACCAGATTTGAAATCTGGGTCACGACGGAAGCTCGGGTCATTCGCCGCACTCCGTTGCGATGAAATTCGAGCGAGATCGCTCACAGGCTTCGAACCTGACGGTGTCCGATAGAGATATAGATTGCCCCAGGCAAGACCAGCAGCTTTGGAGGCGGCCGGCCGCGACTCCTTTTTAGGACTAACCTTGGATTTCTTCTTTTTCCATCCCGCAGTGTCGTCAGCATTCCCTTCCGGCGTTCAGGACTGGAGCCGCGGGACTTGGATTTGCTCGAAGAGTTGGAATTCACGCGGAGCGCAGGCGATTCTCCCGGTGACAGGCCCATAGTAGCAGAGTCATCATGTGGGATGGTCGATTCAGAGTGTGCTTTCGTTATTGATGGTCGTCCAGGTATTGCGGCTGGTTTAGAGAGATCTGTGTAGCCAACGACCGGAATCGTGCCGTCTCCGATCCAACCAGGGGAGTTGGAAGATGATTGTGTAGTTGCGCTGGCAGTGGACTTGCCTTTGAGGGATGGGTCCTTGCCACCGTTAGCCTCAGCGGACTCCTTTCGACTATCCCTTAGGGCAGATAATAGGTCGACCCGTTCACGGCATTGGACCTCTAACGCCCGGATGGAGTCCTGCAGGGCCTTTTCGGTTTCTGACTTGGGGATGTAATTTGACGGGACACGGCGAGCATTGTGATGGTAAATGGTTTCAAGTGCGGATCTCCAGGACCGCAATGCTTCCTCTTCGTTGCTCTGATGTCATGAGTAATTGTATCCGACCGGGGGTATGGAGGGGTACTTACTTGGCCCTCAAAGTAAACGGCAGTTGAGCATAGCAGATAACACTCATCATACGTCTTCTGCATGGAAGATGCAGGCCGTGGGCGCATCATTGGTAAAATCCTCCCATTTCAGGATCGAAAGTTGGTAGTTGGAAGAGTGGAAAGCGGTGATCTCCCAATTAGAGGAGTTTTCGGCGTGACGTCGTCAGTTCGGTAGTTGCTGCATGCGTCCAAGTATACAATATTTATTTAATTGTGTTTACTTTACTTTTGATCTTCAATTTTCAGTATTAATCCCGTTATTATTCTTAGATCATTAAGAATATTCTAGAAATCACATTGACATTGCTCGTGGTAGTCCATCTATCCTATCCGTACATGCAAGAAACCAGGGAATAAAAACACTTTATCCAACAGACAAAACCCAGCCAATGACTCTTGAAATTTTCATCTTTTTTGTCAGTAGATTCAAGGCATATCGGTTTGTAAAAGAAAAGAAGATTTTGACCCGATCCTTCATTTCAGACCGGCCTCAGAAGCAGAAAGAGTCACCCCGGCCCTCTTCTACTTCATAACTCACATAAATGTACATCGCTAGTATTTGTTTTTTGTGGGAGAAAGAGCAGAAGCTCCAAACATGCAAGATCGACCATGGCGCGTCTGGCTCAAGATAAAATGCACCAAGATGCGTACTTTCGGGCTCTGCCCGTATTACCACCCAAATTGGGGATGAAATCATAAACACCCAAATCGCCTCAAATCCGAGAAATTAGAGAGAGGAAAAAAAAAGAAAATATGTAATGCATGGCCTACAATGCAATACGGTATATCGAATATCGAACAACTGGACAGGGGAGTTATTCGATGGTAGTCCAGCTGCATTACTCGGAATGTTTTTTGAAGTAGGCCTTGGCCATTTCGTAAGAGGTCCTGTTTAAATGGAGTCAGTATATATATAGCAGATAAAGTTCACCGCGGGTAGAAGAGAAGACATACCAGCATATGGCCGTGCTGGGCATAGTGGAAATAATTCGAGGCCGCATGCCTCGCAGGAAACCGGACCAGCCAAATCGGCGCTTGATAATGGAAGCGGCATTAAACAGACCCTTGGCAGAGCGAATTTCTTCACTCTCGGAGAGACCACGGGTCTGGAGGAGCGTCTTCACGACGTCGAGGGGAGTTGTGAGACCCGCAGCAAAGGCACCGGCGAGACCACCAGCCATGCAGTGGGTGAAAGGGTCATATTCTCCCTTGGGATTCATGACCTTGGAGATAGACTCGTATGCGACAAATTGAGTGGCAGTGAATGGAACGGTCATGCAGAGGGTGGTAGGATAGGAAAGATAGAAAGCTTGAAGACCCTCAGTGCGATAAAGCGTTTTGGCGCATTGAAATAAGCTCTTGTGGACGGATCCATGGACTTGCATGCGTTGTTTGATCACTAGATTTGGTCAGTATTTTGTCGATATGAAATCGGTTTGGATCATCCTTACCATCAAATGGGTTCATCAGCGCATCGCTGGCAATCGTAGCAGCAGCTCCACTCGTTGCTAATTCTCCGTTAGCAATTCACTTTAATCAAAGGCTAGTCAGATGAGCCATACCGGCAGCAAGTGGGTGGTGTCCATCGTCAACATTACCACCTGCCATATCCTTCACTATCTCATATGTACCAAAGTACACGGCATGTGCTGGGCCTGGTTCTCAAAAATCAGCCCCAAATCTAGATCGCGTGTATATTCTTCTTGGATTGGTCTCACGCACCTGCTCCGACAATGACGCTGGAAACGCCCTTCCATAGTGTTCGCCAGCCTTCAATCCGGTAGATTGTCGATACAGCGTTGGTCAACCCGGTATAGAGACCGCCGGTCGCAGGGTTCAGGATTTGCATGCGAGTCTGGTGGAAGATCCTTGTCAGTGACAATTCCACGAAAAGGGAAAACAGTAGAAAAAACAACATCATTCCTCCTCTCTATCACGTACCTTTAGCAAGTCAACAGGATACATCACCGAATGTTCCTTCATTCCAATGATCAGTCTCAATATTCCTAGCTGAGTATCCATCTTGACTTACTGCAATTCCTGCAAAAGCACCGGCGAGCATGTTACGGCTGAGGCCATAGTTGGAAGGAAGGGCTTCATATCTAAGAGCGAAAAATTATTAGCTTTGCTGAGCTGGCAACCCTGGAGAGCCGGAGAACGGAAAAGTGATGGATAACCGTGATGAACTGAAATCGCAAATAGAAACCCAGATGGAGTATTCTGAAGTGTCAATTGCCCATCGACAAAGCTATCCGTGATGCAGCCGTATGGGTTGGACCTTTCAAGGTCTGATGGAGGAAAAATCAATCGCGAAGAACTCACTCATATTCCTCCCCCAGAACCTCGTTCGACGTTGCCATGGAGCTCTGCTAGCTCAAGGCGCAAGAGGCGCAATTCAGGAAGAAGTTTCGGAATAGGAGAGACGTCTTTGTGGTGGTGTTGGAGAGAGATATTTTTTAGAGCGAGTTTGCGGAAGGAAGACGAGGTAGAGGTAAATCAGGCCCGCGGCGAGCAACAAAGGGCACAATCGCCAAACAAACAAGAATGATTGTTTCTGAGTAGTCACCACACACAAAAGTGGTAGAAGGATTGAATCAGATGAAGAAAGAATAAGAAGTAAAAAAAAAAGAAGGGTTTTGAAAAGGAGCACTAAATAGAAACCGTTTTTACGAAATCGAACCTGTTTTTAAAGTCGAAACCGTTGTTCCCTTTTGGAAATAAATGGTATTTTAAAATAATGAGACGTACGTCTAATACATAAGCTGTAATGTTACTTTTCTGCCACTTTTTCTGGCGGAACATTTTGTAGTGGTTTTCCAGAAAAAGAAGATGAAAATAAAAGGCCGACGTTCACCGAGTTCCTGGTCAACCCTAGTTTACAGGTCCATTTCTTTTTTTTTTTTTTTTTTTTTTTTTTTTTTTATAAAAAAACCCCATAATAATCAAGTAGAATTAAATTCCCGTATCAATTTTGATTTATTCTATCATCTCTACAATATGTTAATTTCTATGACCTTCTGATTTTTTCCTACAAGTATGAAAGTACAACGATTACTCAGAAACAAAAGCCCAGACTTGATCCCGACCATCGGCGCTTACATAGCATAATACCGGACAGGTGTATGGGGAAGAGTAAATTACAGGAAATGCCTGAATTAGGTATCGGCGAGGTACCGGTTCACTCCGGTATCTCAATCTGATAAGCTCAACCCAGGATCAGCTTAATATAAGATACTGCTCACTGATTCTTGGGATTCTATATTAAGGATTATTGAATCAAACTGATCCAAGGAACATTATAATACATACCCAACACTACCTATGTACTAATAATCTCATAGAAAGGCGAGTTCTAGACAAGGCCTGATCTACACGACTCCGGGGCTGCCGAAAGGCCCCAGATATACTAGTATCGACTTTACAATCTCAGGTATTAGTACTATCGAGTGACAACGAATGAAAACAAAATTAACAGTTTAAAAAAAGAATAATCGCTATCTGGGCTGAAAATGAACTTGTCTGAGTACTCTGAACACCTTCTGCGCCGTATGAAAGATAAAATATGTAAATGGAGTTACAAATGCAACAAAAGCCCGTAAAGACAGGCCAGACAAGATGATCTGATCTGAGATTATCGAAAGTGGGCGTTTGCAGTTCGTCATGAGAATTGGTTTATTTTTGGCTTACATTAAACGACCATTCACCTTGAATCCAATAAGTTAGCATGTGCACTGCATCGTGCGGTATAGAGATATAAGTTGAGCAGTCATACCTCGCTTCAAATTTTCTGCAGTATCACTTAGTAGAATGACACGACGTTTATTGCAGTAAGCGGTCTTATCCAAAATGTCCACTTTCAGATTGGCGAGTTCGGAGACTTCCTTCTCGAACATCTCGCTGAGAGACTCAACGGCCATTTCTAGGTCCTTCTGGTTATCCTCAAAGATCTCAGTGAGGTTGTTGCGTGCCAGATAGTATGCAAATGCATATGTCCACTTCAATGTCTGACGGCACTGTTGCAACGCCCGCGATGCCGTTTCAAGGAACTGAACCTCGATCCAGGACAACCCGGACGTGGATTGCAGGCTTGTCATCTTCTTCTCCGTCTTGATGAAAAGTTCTTCATCTAGCTTGGCAGAATTTTCGTGGTTGGAGTATCGATGGTAATAGTGGAGATACCGTTCGAGATATTGCCGGGACTTGGCCTGGACCGTACGTGCTTCTTGTCCGGACTTTTCTTCATATCGGTTGCAGTTGTACCAAGCCGTGCCATGCTCCGCCCACAAACCCATGCACATCCAGCAGAATTCATGCTTGCATTTCCGGCATGTCATATGATTGCAGCCCCCATTCTTCTCGATGGTAGAAAGGCATTTTGGGCACTCCTTGGTATTGGCGGAGATCCAGTTGGCAGTCTCGGAATCGTCCGCACACTTCTGTAGCCATAGCTTGACTAGGTTGCACGGTGCGGGTTGATGGTCGGCTCGAGAACAGCCAAAGCAGAATTGGTTTTGACATTCGCAGCGCACCGTCGGCACAATACGGGGCAGATCGCGAGGCTTGACGTGACATTCAATCGCATACTCGCAGTCAGGGGCCGGGCACCAATGAAGATTATCCGTGTCATCCACAAAATTTCGAAGAAGAAAAAATTGATAACTGAGTTGAGATTTTTCATGTCAGTGAAAGTATTGTTAAAAAGGAGGCGAGAAATTTACGAACCGGTCTTTGAGATCATCAGTCACCAATAGGTCCAGTGACTTTGAGTCCATTACCTGATGACAGCCCTCACCAGGACATTCAATACGGGAGGCCTCGCCTTCTTCCAGAATTTTTTGGGCTAGATAATTCCGGTAGCATTCTACGCAGAAACGATGACCACACCGCATGGTGAAAGTTTCGAGGTTCGGTCCATCTTCACAGCAGATGTCACAAGTGAAGTCAGACAAAACCTCGATCTGAGCCGAGTGGTCCAAGTTCGATCCTAGACCTGCATCCTCTAATATCTTCTCCGGCTGCTCCATGTATCCCTCAATCAACTTCTCCTTCTTCCACTTGGAGAACCGCAAGAGGACAGCCGCCCACTCTGGTGGCAGACCGAGGATAGTGGAAACCTCATTAACCTGGCCGAGTTGATCACGCTTGATCTCTGCTGGTGCTAGAACTTTGTATTCGACCTCGTATGGTTTCCGTTTCTGTTTGTAGAGGTCCTTATCGTCCGAGAAAACGGTATCGTTGTCTTCGTATTCTAATCGAGTGATGTCAGTGAGGGGAAAAACCAAAACAAACTGATTTAAGTGAAGCATACCATCCCCTAGACTGCCATCGTCGCTATCATCAAGGAACTCATTCGATAATTCGCTCATGAACTCATCACCGTCAGAGTCCATGGCTGTAGTCGCGGGAGTCGCGATGTCGGAACTCGCCGTAGTGCGAAGGGAGCGAGCGACCTTGGCGGTTCTGGCCTCCAAACTCGCCTCGGCCTTTCTCTTTGTAGGAGGCGTGGTGGAGGAAGTGGTGGAGGACAAAATGGGGGCTCAAAGTCACGTCACAAAACTGGAGGGGCGGGAGTGGGGAAGAAGGAGATCGCGGGCTTGGAGATTTAAGAGTCAGAGTCACCACAACTCGAGATGAAACTCAGTACTTTACCTATTTTTATTTTACTCACTTATTTTATGACTTGGATTTCTTATTGTTTTTTTTTTCTATTTTTTTTTTTTAGATCTGTTTGACATTTGCTATTAATCCTACTTTTCTTTCTCTTTTTTTGTTCCATTTCCACTATCTTATCGATCCCTTACCACGGCTTACTTCATCTTTTGCCTCATGCTTTCTTCGTGATGTTATATTCGCACCTAAGCTAGTCTTACAGAATTTCAGTAAATTCTATGTTATATTTTATTGCTCTGGCTCATCTTACTGAAAGTTATGGTAACCAATGTAACTTGGCGATATTGCTACGAAAGGTGGCATATGATGAGATACTACTACAACCATGGAACCGGTTGAAGTGGAACATGCCTGGATGCCCCAAGAGAATGCGCTAGGAGAGTAGATAATGTGGGATATGCTATATGCCCGCTTGAATAATAACAGCCTTGTTCAGATCAACCGCCAAGGCAAAGCAGCACTAAATATGAGCCTACCACTAGCACGATCACTGTCAGGGAAGTCTGATGAGGATAATGGCTATTGTTTGTCTGATGATCCGGTCCCACAGCTTTTGATTCCAGGCCTCTAGCCAAGAAGCGAAGGATCCATAAGATTGGGTCTAATTCACTTCATTGGACCTTGGAGCTCGGCTTCCCGGGGATGGCATCAGGGGTAGCCAGATTGGATGATGAACCAATCTTTGAATTCATACATTGACTCGCCTAGTCCCCTAAACATCTACCTAGGTGTTCAAATACCGATATCTTTAGCTACATTCAACTTCTTGTTCTTTCTTCCTACAACACTTCCAAATTATCCCGACGATTTATTCAAGAAGTGCCTATACAGCCACTACTTTCGTCGATACAGCTCACAACTTCGGTCTTATGCATTTTGCTTCAGCTCTCAGTTCTGCCTACCAAATCCTGTCACTGAAACTACAAGACTATTATGGAGTTTATTCCATCGACAGCAGCCATAACACATTTTACAAACAACACAATGTCCAAATGTCTCCGTGGTTTTTTTTAATTTTTATTCTGGGTGAACCAAAAAAATATTTGTATATCACCATGATTCCATGATTTTGGAGAAGGCCCAATATGAAGGGCACGAATTCGTCATGCACTCTAATCTTTGCTGCTCACATAGCTCTCCAGCCCCTCAACGACACTCCTCATTCCACAAGTGATATCGAGCGAGAATTATGTGGGAAGCTTGCCACCTTTATCAGCTGGATGCATTGACCATCGATACAAATCCTCCAGGTATCGACAACGATTTGGACAACCTCAACCTCTCATGGGCTCATCGGATGAATCAAGACAAGAATCTAAAGCTTGAGGATAAGCCTCGGGTCTGAAGCCGATTTTAAAAAGATGACTACATAAACTGATGGGTATTACGAAGCAATCAAAGAGATCTTCGTTGTTATAGAGACTGCTAGCAAGTCCCAAGATTCTTCGACAAGAGGCTGCCGAGATGGTTGTATAGATCATGAGTGATGCAAACTTGTGACAAAGCTCTCTTAAGAGTAGCCTGATTACCTCTCAAGATAAACCGGATACCGCTTAGGCAGATTGTTTCGGTCTTAGTGGCTGTATAACACTGGCAAAATTATCCAGTGGAAGGAAACCTTTAAAACAAAGTACTTCATACCGTTTGGAGCTTTAATCCTTGTTTTCCAAAAGTCTTGTGACTAATTTCTTCATGCTTTCAAACGGTTACTTCACATCATCAAGTTGCTAGACCAGAATATCCGTCAATCTCGATATGAATTTCCATAGCTCAGAGGTTAATCACGTCGAAAGTGAAGATCACTGGAAGGAATAAGTTTTCCGTACCTGATTATCTGTGTGTGGATTCGTAAAATGCCTCCTTCTGGCACATGATCCAGCTGTTGAAGGCCGGGGGAAGCTAGAAGACGATACTTACTCCAGAAAGATACTCGGTTCTGATTGGTTCCCACAAAGCGAGAATCCGGGGCAAAACACTAAACCATAAGTGGACGACGTCTAATAACTTCTGTCAGATCTGTATACAGTAGGTAAACCGTAAATAGGTCTCAGAAAATAAGATGACGAGGTCCAACGCATTACAGACATTTCTTCAACCATTAAAGGTCGATAGTGATACCCTGTATCGTTTGTCTTATCGTTTTTCAGAGACTTATCGTGATTTAGCCGCGGGGTCTTTTGATCAGTTTTTCTCCACTGCTACCACATGTCTGCCTACCGGTAGCGAAAAAGGTCGTTATTTGGCCGTCTACCTTGGATTGCATTATCTCCGAGTGGCCTTTATTGATCTGCTTGGCGAAGAGCAAGTAGGGAGACGCTCTCATGTCCGTCGAACATTGGAGAAGGCATGGCCGATCGAGGATCGCCTACGACAAGACCAAGCAAACTCACTCTTTGCCTGGATTGGAGACTGCATTGCAGAGGTCATACATGATGATCTAGAAAATTGCAAGGACGTTCCATCGGAGATCGCGATGGGAATATCGTTCTGCTTCCCAATCAAGTACTTATAACTTAACTCACTTGAACCACGAACGGGTTACTGACTCATGAATTATAGGCAGGAATCTGTTAATGAGGCCATTCTTATGCCAACAGGCAAAGGGTTTGCCCTGGGCTCTTCTATCAACCTTCGTCAAGCCCTCCTAGATGGTTATGAATGCCATACTCGGCGCGCAGACGAGGATCCAGCCGATGTGCCTATCAAGCGACAAAAGAAATACTGTCTGCCAAATTTGAAAATTGCTGTCATGACAAATGATACTATATCTACGCTAGCTTCTCTGGCATACTCGATTCGCGCTCTACCAAACGCCCGGGTCGTCATGGGTCTCATCGTCGGTGCAGGCTGCAATGCGGCTGTGCCGATGAAATTGGCCGATCTTCATGAAAGCAAAATTGGCCACATCAAAGAAAAAGAGCCAGATGCTAAGGAATCGGTTGTTTGTACGGAGTGGACGCTGCGGGGTGCTGCTGCACCACTGCAAGAACTTGGTATTAGAAGTGAATGGGATATCAAGCTGGAAGCACACTCTGCGAGGCCTGGATTTCAGCCACTGGAGTATATGGTTGGAGGTCGGTACATTGGCGAGTTGGTCCGGATAATATGTAATGATTGGTTCCACAGAGCCAAAGGAATACCACAGTCTTCGCTCCCCGTGAAATTGGTCGAGGAATACACATTGACAACAGATTTTATTTCCCTCGTCGTGGCCTCAAGTCATTCAGACGAACAACTTGCAAAAGACCTATCGGAAAAGCTCCCCGCTCCGAGCTCCAGTGATTGGAAATGGACTCCCAAATATGCTGGTTATATTCGCTTGATTGCAGCGGCCGTACAGGACCGATCTGCTGCACTGGTTGCTGCTGCAACTGTCGGGCTTCTTGCGTGCACGCGGGAGATCCAGCTTCAGGTTAGAGACAATCTAGGTTCTCCAGTAAGCGAGTTGAACCTGGATAATAAGATTCATGAGCGGATGCCATCAACCCCGAGCTGGAAGAATGGGCCAGAAGAATTGGTTGTCGCGGTCTCCGGTGGTGTTATTCAGCATTATCCGCACTACAAGGAGACTATTCAACGATATATCGACAGACTCATTATCAACGCTGGGCCTCAAGGGGATGGAAAGAGTGTCTTCCTTCGTGAGGCCAGTGATGGTGGGATTATTGGCGTGGGTGTCCTTGCAGGAACTGTGGCCGCAAATATTGAAGGTATTATTGGATCTACCATGAAGTATAATGTTGAAGCATCGGGTAAAGTCAAGGGAACTCCGCGATCAACCGAAGGTCTAATCTAAAGTTGGTAGATACGGTATAAGAAGAATTAATATATATAGACCATGGACCTTCAGTGAGTCTGCCTCCCTCGATAAAAAACGGAGTAATTTTAGTCAAAAAGTAGTTAAAAAGTATAAATGATTAGCGTGTAAGAGCTGCACTTAAGCTTTATCATACACGCAAATATCAGCAAGTGCCCCAGCTTCCTGATATTTGTTTCTTTCCGTGGTATCGATATTTTTTTGTGAAAAAGCTGACCGCTGATTACGGAGCCCGGGTTAGTTCGAAGTGGATCGAAGCGCATTCACGAAGTTGGTTCTTTTGTTGTCCCACTTGACATATATCAAGAATCATGTTTTCTCTGGAGATAGCCTTCTTACTGCTGCAAGGCCTGCCACTGTTCGGGTGTGTAACATTTGGGGGTCCAGGCGTGGATAGCCGCAATCTCGGCCTTGAGGACAGAGTTGACGAGACGGTGACGGGCAAGCATGTTCTTGCTCTCAAACTGGGGCGAAACGATAATAGCCTGGAAGGCCTGTCCACAGCCGCCTATACAAAAGAACTCCGGATGAGTATGCAGCCTTAGAGAAGAGTATTATGATATGAAACCAATTTCTTACCTGATAGATCCTCAATCTCGACATGCTGTGCCTGCAGCTGCTCAATCAGCTTGCTCTTCAGGGAATCCGCTGTGACACCTGATGTATCGGCCATGGCTGAGTTGACGGCGGCGAAGGAGCGAGCAGAGAAAGAAAATGGCGCCCGAGGAGCTATAGAAGGGCGGAGGAGATAGCGACAGCCTCTGCTCAGTGTGATCAAAGAGGACGTGCGGGAGAACATCAAGCACGATCGAAGACAAGTATGAAGCTTGAATGATAGAAGAAAAGGCGATTTCGGGAAATGCGATTAGTGATTACAAATTTGGCGATTGTGGCTAGTGATGGCACGTGCGGTGGCTCTATCGTCATCCCGCTACCTTCCTATTTAGTTACAACTTTCTTCTTTCGTTTAACAAATGAATCCATTGCTTGCAACTATACGTCGTTACTCTGCAATGTCATCAACTACTCCTCCATGCTCACCCTTCACCAAGGCTGTGGTGAGCTCTATGAGAAAGCTGTGTGTCAAAGCTCCTCCCACAATTCCATGGAGCCTTTGGTTAACCTATGCGCAGATATCCAGAGTCATTGGCTGATAAGAGCTTTGATAATACTGGATGTGAGTCAATTTGATTATTTAAAGCAGTAGCAAAGGATAATGGGAACTAGTAGTATTAATTGCCGCTATTTAGTGCTTCTCGAGGCTCCCTTTGAGCCATCTCGCCGTCAGAAGAATTCGGTGCTATTGGCCATTGATCTAACTACTGCGGTTGCAGATGAGGCAATCAGCAATAAAAACTCAGTTGTTGTTGCTTATCGTAAGAGTCCTCGTCATTTTTATACACATGGGCATAAGCCACATGTTGCCAACCGTGAAACATCTAATCTGACTACTGTATAGACCCAATCATCTTCCGAGGCCTCAAGTCTCTCACGCTTGATGACTCCCAGCAAAGATCTCTTCTGCGACTGGCGCAACATGGAATTAGTGTCTACTCACCTCACACAGCTGTTGACACTGTTCCTGGTGGCATGGCAGATTGGCTCTGCGATGTGGTGACGAACACATTCCTAACAGCTGATTCAAAGCCAGCAATCAAAGATTGTGCTTCAGCTTTGTACTCTGCACCTATCTTTCCCCAGCCTGAGCTTGTTCCACTCCGTTCAGCAAAATCTGACCACCAAATACCCCATACCCGAAGCACAATTCACCCTTCACCCTCGGCCACCATCCCGGAAGGCTTTGAGTCTGCTGGTGCTGGTCGTCTCGTTACTTTTACTGAGGCGCAGCTTCTTACTAGCCTGATCGACCACATTGGCCGTGGCGTTGGATTTCCAGCTGGCATTCCTATCGCTATCCCACAGCTAAAGTCTATTGATGACATTCAAATCCGGACAGTAGGCATGTGTCCCGGCTCTGGCTCGGGTGTGCTCCTTCGCGGAGGAGAAATTCCTGATCTCCTCTTCACCGGAGAAATGAGTCACCACGAAGCTCTCGCAGCCACGGAGCGGGGATCTGTTGTCATTTCCCTTTCACACTCCAACTCTGAGCGTGGATATTTGCGTGGTGTTATGCAGAACAAACTGCTTCATGAACTAGCTCAGCAGTGGGAGACTGATCGGAAGACCGCTTCTTCCTCTGAAGAAATATATGATGATGCCACTGTTGACGTGTCTGTCAGTAAGACTGATCGTGATCCATATGGAATCATGGTCTGGCGTGGTTGAGCCATGGTAAGGTCTTCAAGCAGAAAAGTTTCTAACTCTTGGAATCTGAAATCTATCCCAGAACTCTTCACCTAAATCTCCCACACTCACCCTTTGTGTCATTGTTTTAGGCCGTGTTACAATATGGTTTCAACGCAGCCAGTAGTCACGTAGTCTAGGCAGATGGCCAACTGGAACCCACAATTAGGATCAGCGTTGGCTAGATAATATTACATCTACCTTGACAGCGTTAAAACTGAATGTGTCACTGTTAATGGCTTCCTTACTGAAACCTCCTGCTCCCCAACTCTTGGGGGCACTTGCAGTCTTCATGTCCCAGACGGACGGTGCATTTTATAAAGCCACAAATCCCAAATCTGGGAGAAGAGACTTTGTAGCCATGGTCAAAAAATCCACCGGAGAGAAGTCTAGCTATCAGGACGAAGGGGGAGCACGAATGTTCTGGAACATGGTCACTCAATGTGAGGCTGCGTGTTGAGGGATTGGCACATTGGCAAGAAAACATATAGGCTTGGTGTTGCCAACTTCGTATACCCGTGGACCTAGGCTTGCACAAAACTGGAAGTCTTTTTAAGAAAAAGAGCCTAAAGATTTTGAAAGTGCCTTACAATCCAGATATGGAGTAGCGCGGCAATTCCTATAAATCTGCATCTTGGTCATCCAGGAATCAATACTTGATACACTTCAAAAATCTAGTCCGTTGCATCTCGTCAACTTTCAACTTCAGGAACTTGGTTGGAACATTGAAAGTTCAAGCAACAAGCTCGAGAACATACAAGTTGCACATGGGCACTGACTAAACATTTCTTATAGACTTTGAGAGTAGGCATTTCAATCAAAGAAGCTCTACATTGACACTTACAGTTGAGGTAATCTTCAGATTTAATAGATCTTCCCATCTGTTTCGACTACAACATCTAAGAGAGGAGGAATATTGAAAATCTTGGTAAAATAAAAGGATATCCTGACGAAATAGACATATGAGAAATTGAGTGAAAGGGGACGGGAAAGGGATATGGAAAGGCATAGAATTTGGATTGGAGAGGAAGAAGAGAATTGATAATCCCATAATCTGGAGTTTGGCTTCGCAATGCAAATGCTCTATGTCCAGCGGGGTACAGGAAATGGGTGCGGGTAAAAAGAAACGAAGCCAGACTGTTTAAGGAAGTCAGGGCAGAAACTCGAGAAGAAAGAATAATAAAAAATAAAGAGGGGGAAAAGCCCCCAAACAGGCAAGTGGTATCCGCGATCCCAGGTTCATGAGGGGTCCCAGCAGCAAAAGTCGACGAGAGAAAGAATTAAGAAATTGGTCCACGTAGGGCATAAATCTGATTACAGATCGATCAAGCTGCTTCCATGCTGCGACTGCTGTTGACCACCCCATGGGTTGTTGTTGGGCTGTTGCTGTTGCATGAAGCCTGTCTGCTGGGGAACGCCGGTATGTTGCTGGCCGAAGAAGGGGTTGCTGCCCGTTTGGTTGGCGTGTAGGCTGTTCAGACCCTGACCAGCGGAGTTGACAAAGGTGCCAGGTGTGGTGTGTTGAGCTGGAATACGTAGATCTCCGGTATTGCCGAAGGTGTCCAGACCCTCGCCTGTTGACAAAAGGGCGTTCAGGCGAGCATGATGAGGGTCTAATGACTGATGAGGAGGAGTGCTCTTCGGGGGCTGGGGGACTTGAAAATTGGCAATCGGATTTGGGTGGGTTGGTTGGCTGAGTGGCCTGCTTGGTTGAGCGAATGGGGAGTTGTTCATCTGACTGTATTGGTTGTTAAACTGGTTGGTGATGCGGTCCTCCGCTAGGGTGTTGAGTGATGGTGGGCCCGTCGAGTGAATCGGTTGGTTGAACTGGGATTGAGTACGTTGGGCAAAGGGATTGTTGGAGCCTGTGATCATAGGCTTGATAGGCTCCGCCGGCTGGTTTGCAGCCCATGGATTGTTGCTTCCCGCTGAAAGGTAATTCTCCTGGGACTGCTGCTGCTGAGGCTGTTGCGAGAAAGAATCCGTAGCCGCACCGCCGTACGGGTTGTTTCCTTGGAATGCAGTGTGCTGAGGTTGCAGAGCGGTGGCCTGTGGCTGCAAGAAGTTGTTCTGTCCGTAGGGATTCTGATCAAATGCAGAAGACTGGCCGTAGCCAGTTGCGTAAGGGTTGACGCCCGTGGGTTGGTTCTGGAATCCAGTTGGCTGGGCATATTGGTTGTTTAGAAATCCTGTAGTCAGCGGTTGCTGGGCATTAATTGGGTTTCCAAACCAGTCCACAGCGCCTTGCTGCTGGTAGCCTTGGTTGAAACCGGTGGGCTGAACCTGAGCAGGAGTGGTGTCATCAAAGAGCGCATGGGCATTGCTCTCCTCCAGCTCACGTTTGCGGAGCTCTTCTTCCTCTTTGCTCAACCGGATAGCCTTGGCCAAGTCCTCGTCATCAACAGGTGCGGAATTCTTTGCCCGTCGCTTACGCTCCTCCTCGGCCTCGTATTTGCTGGCTTCAATAGCCAGTCGATACTCTGTGTCGTCCTCGTCATCACCCTGGCGTCTTCGTCGCTCCCGGCGCGGTGGTTCATGTCCACCACCATAACCGTCATCAAGACCGCTGACACGGGTTTTCCAAAGCTTGCGATCAGATCGTTCACTGCGCAGGCGATCTTCGTCAAGAATCAACGAGGTAAGTTCCTTTGCGGCCACACGAACTAAAAATAGGTTAGCGAAAATGGGCCTTCTCGCATCTCCAATAGATTAAAATGGATCGTACCATTTTGCCCCACATCTCGGCTCTCCTCATCGATGTATTGAAACTCGCGCAGAGTCTTAATAATGTAGACGTTTTTCCGAGCCCAGGTAACCACCAATTCCGATCCTTCATGTAGGCAGTAATCGAGGACCTTCAAAGACTTGAGAACATGGCGCCAATTCTTGCCCTTATCGTTGAGACGCTTGTCAATCATATCCATGATCTCGTAGAACTCATTTGGGCTATTTGCAGATTACATTAAACTGGAACCTCGCAAACATAACTAACAACGGTCTCCTTACCTTCCAAATGTCATGGCCGCAATCTCGGACATGTCGGTACCCGTGGGGCCCCAGGGATCATTACTCGTAGCTAAAATCACAAGGAATAATCAGCATGCATGCGTCAATGAGAGGATGCACGATGATTCAACCACATGGCTAGTGGCCAACAAAGCAAGGAGGTCGCAGCAGAACCAACAGAAGTGGAAGTATTGCCACGATCGCCTCACACTGCATAAAGAAAACAGCACGTACCATTTCGAACTTTCACCTGCACCGAGGAATACCCCTTTGTAACGTTTTTTACACTGCGCACGACCTTGGACATGGTGCCAGTATTAATGCGATGGTCGCAGATTAGGTAGAGAAAAGGAAGGCACGTGGAAGGAGATCAAATGGATCGCGGTTCTAGCCAGGAGTGGCCTAGGTTGCCAAGCTCCGTCAATGCTGGCCTCAGGTGTACCGGGAGATTGCACTGGTTGAATACTCTCGGATATATCGACCGGTTCGGAAGGAAGAGACAAGATTTACAGGAAAAAGACTGTCAAGTGAAAGAATTGAAGGAAGAGAATAAAGGGAATGAAGAAGTTGGAGAGATGAGAGGGGGAAGAGTGGCTAGAATGGGGGCAGAGTCTTGGCAATGACGAAGCGGGAGAGAAGACGAGACACACTCCGCAGATTGATTATGCACTTCTTACCTAGCCAAATTGAGGGATGTCAGTCAAAATTCAATATCCTCTTTTATTGATCTTTATTTCAATTTAACTTTGAAAAACAAAATAAAAATATCGACTATTATGAGTGCCGGTGTTCCGGTTCCGTCAGCCGTTTAAGGAGGTCTCCATCTAACTATATGCGGACTCGAGATGAACCACATTTTCAATATTCGTCGAGTCTTGACCAGGTCGTGACTATAGATTTGCTATATACTATATACAATTTCAAGGGAAGCGTTCTACGTATGTATGTACAATTTAGTTTGCTTAGTCGCGACGTTTTGATGATTGTGGCTGCCAATTATAATTTTTATCGTGCTCATGTACGAGCAATGGCGCAGTTGAGAATTTCTCGTGGGATTTCTAGATGGATCGAGTGCTCGGATCTAGTTTGGGGTTGATTGCAATACAAACTTGCTGCAAATAGCTCTAGCTAAGGACATTTTCGGCAGTTGAGACTGGTTCAATTAGTTAGGAGTCATGAATATATCCTGAGTGTATCCAAATACTTACCATTGACACCGGTGTTGTCGGGCTCAACAAATGCCTCTTTGACCTTGCCATCCTCCACCAGCAAAGCATAACGCTTGCTGCGTCGGTTGCCAAAAATTGCGACACTGTCAAACCCGAGGTCAAGAGCCTCAGTGAACTCGCCGGTCGGGTCACCCAGGAAGCGGATCTATTTTTTTTGAAAAAGATAACGGTTAGTCAAGAAACTAGTGGCTGGGAGCAATAACATACGCCACTCTTGCCGCTCTTGTCGAGGGATTCGGCCCAAGCCTTGGTCCTATCATGACAGATTAACATCTTTATCAATTTCATACTCCGGCTGTCGTTGAAAGCTTACACGAAAGGATCGTTGACGGAAATAACGAAGGCCTGGCCAGCTTCCTTGAGCTTGGGGTGGTTGATGAAGCCGGGGACATGGGTGCTGGAGCAGGCAGGGCCTTAGATAGAGTCAGGAATGCAACTCATTTATTTTCATCGAATATTACACGTACTGAAGGCAGCTGGAGTACCAATAATAACCGCTTTGCCCTTGATCTCCTTGGCGAGGTTGACCTTGTTGCCGGGTGAGTTTTCCACCAGGACGTTCAGGTTGGGAATAGCATCGCCCTTCTGAACAAATGCGGGCCGAGAACTGTGGAAGAGAGCAATCTGGGCCCTCGGAGATTTTGTGACAATGCGGCGTGTAGCAAACATGATGGATGGATGATAATTTGGTGAAGGATGGAATTGATGGGAAAAGAGGTTTATTTCGGGATGTCGTCATCACTCCCTTATCTAGCTCAACATCATCCTAATTTCCATTGCAGCATAAATTCAAAGGTTGGGTAAAAATTGATTTATTCGAAGCTCAAATGCATGCATATTGCAATATAGTCTCACCTACATATGGACTTACCTTAGAATTATATCATTAAGCTTCACTGCCTGTTATGGTAGGTTGAATTCCATCCAAATCACCGGGAAATTCTTTGTCAAATACTTCGTCTACCATTTGAATAACCTGAAAATTGGAAAATTTGAACAAGAATGTGTCTGAAAACATATCATTCAATTCTAATTCTAGGTGATTTGCCTACCAAAAAGTTCAATAGTGAAGACTATGGCCTCGACTTTCAATTGCAAGCTTCGTTGATCTTTGGAAATAAAAGGCAGTTTAGCGGCTTCTGGCGACGGGACACCTACAATGGAGTCTGATAAAAATTCGCACGGAGTACTTCGGTTCTACACCGTCATTTTATACCGCCTTTCTCTTTAATTAGTAAACAACGCGTGAGCGTGTTATTGTAGAACTAGCTATACCTACTCCCTATTCTTCTTATTTTTATCATATATTATCTATGATTCTATATATGATTCTTTTGTGATTCTATCCTATGGCCCGCCAGCATCTGTCCCCTGAGACACGCTCTCGAATTTGTGAGCTAAAACGTACGAATGGATGGGGTGCAAGACGCATCAAAAAGCTTGCCTTTCCTGATATTCCTATCTCTACTATTCATAGTACGCTTCGAATGGAGGATAAGCGTGTTGAAAATCATCGAGTTATTGGCTCTGGGCGCCCTTTCAAGCTTAACGACGCTGATAAAAAACGTCTATATGAGGCTGTGGAGCAGAGCCCAGATATTATGATTAAAGAGCTTCTTGCTCTTGTTGATAATAAGATTGGACGTGATGCGCTATGGCGTCTGATGCAGGTACGCAATCTTCGGAAGTGGAGGAAAAAAAGCCAATATCTAAAGCCTGAACATGCTGAAAAGCGACTCCAATGGGCGCGTGAATATGAACACTTTACTCCTGATGATTGGCGTCGTGTCTTTTGGTCTGATGAATCTACAGTTGAAAGGGGTATTGGGGCACGTCCAGAGTGGTCTTTTATCTCTCCGAAACATCAATTAGACCGATATGAAGACGAGAATGGTGAAGAAACAAGCCAGATTCAACCAATTCCTGCTACTGGGACCCAGGTCAAACAGATGTTTTGGGCAGCCTTTTCAGGCTCTCTACGACGAACACCTCTTATCGCCTTAACTGGGGACCCTTTGTCTGCCCGTCAGGGTATTTCCTCGCGTACAATCGACACCGTTCTTCGTCGCTATCTCCCTACTTTGATGTATGGTAGATGATGCCATTTTTCAACAAGATAATGCACCTGTTCATAATGCACGTCTAGTTGCTGCTACCCTACAAGAGCTTGGCTTTATAGTCATGAAATGGCCACCCTATTCGCCTGATCTTAACCCGATTGAGAACCTCTGGGCGCTATTAAAAGCTGAAATCCTACGTCTTCGACCTGATCTTCTACACCTCTCAAATAACGAATCTACACGTCAGTTACTGATCGAGACGGCAAAGCTAGCTTGGGAGAATATTAGCTTTGATATACTAGAGAAGTTAGCTATCACTATGCCGCATAGAGTAGAGCAGGTTATTAGGAACCACGGCTGGTATACAAAGTACTAGAATTGAGAGGTTTCTGCCAGACAGAAATTGGCTTGGCAAAAGTGGGGCTTGTACTCCGTGCGAATTTTTATCAGACAGCACTGTACGTACCGTTTTTTCCATGCCAGTTCTTGGCGTTCTTCTTCCGTATTAGTGCTCACCCCTTCGCTGCTTTTGCTCACTGAGTAGAACTGAGCACGTGCCTGAACATTACATAAGCTCCCTAATCTGCTCAAAAAGTGGATAATGGGCACCAAGATCCATATGGCGGGCATCAGCCCGTTACATAGACTTAGTTAACTACAAGTTGCATTACTAAGCTGACATCTTAGCCCCCTATTTTCAAATACTCCTATCTCGAGACCTTTATACTTGTTCTTCGGATATTTCCAATTCAAGAACCCATCTGTCAGCGCTAGATCCAATATCAGAAGTATAAAACTGCGAATATGACGATATCTGCAATGAACAAAGTCCTGGATACTCCAGAAGTTTTGGAGATGATCCTGGGCCGGCTTGATATGCGCACGCTTCTTGTATCAGCCCAACGAGTCTGTCGCAATTGGATGAACCTGATCAGAGCTTCACCGTCTCTTCAGATGGTGCTTTTCTTTACTTCAATCAATGGCTCTGAATGGGGCAAAGAAAAGATACCGAATCCTCTATTAGCGTGGGCTTTTCCTTCTATTTTTCCCGGCGATGACAATTTTAGTTTTGCCAACCTGATCATGACCAAAGATGACTCAAGCATGGCCAGATTCATACGAAAGGATGCAAGCTGGCGCAAGATGCTAGTTCAACAGCCTCCCATTTCAGAGGTTGGACTTTTCCATATACAACACACAATGGGTGGCGATTACGACGCCAGCTCTAATATCTCGGTCAGTTCAAAGCCTCTAGCCCAATTTGCCCTCTGACATTTATAGGATTCAGGCGGATGGATCTGGCTATATTAGAATGGAGAGACTCTTTGAGATTTTACTCCTTAGTAAGCTTGTCAGTGTCCATTTCACAAAATTCAGTAGGGCACGAGTCTATTGGTCTACTGAGGAGCCCATCTCGTTTATGGAATCTGTGGATGATACCAACCGAGAGTTCCATCGGATGTTGAACAAGTTTAGTTTGGTTGTTTATACACACGATGTGACGCAGTGCTCAGGGGGCTGGGGACCGCCAAGTCAAAATGAAGGCATCATGAAGAAGATCATCGCAGCATATAAAGAACATTGTTTAGATGTTGATATGAAGAGCAATGAGATTGGAGAATCTAGTGTGGGCGGCGAGCTGGTTAGACGCAATCAAGACAGGAATGATCAGCGGCGTTTGCTGGAAATGATCTCTCATGCCCAGATGGCCCAATTTAACTGGCGATGAGTCAGCGGGACCCTTTTCTAAATACTCGAATCATATTGATGTTAAGGATATCTAGTTCTTTTCCAACGTTTCAAAGGTCGTTATATTGAAAACGTGTTATATGGAGGACCGTACAGTGCCCAGTACTTGACAGGTAATACCTAAATCACAATCGATCTTATCTTGGCTCGACCAATGAGCCAGCTGTCGTTACCAGTTGCCGCCGCCATGCGGATATCATAGAGTTCGTCAATAAATGCTTGCACAAAACTGCCAGGTCCACGAACATACTCCTTTGCTGCTGCATTCTCAGCTGCAATCTCGTACATAACTATACCAGACAGCACAGCAAGTAGCTTTTCAGAGCGATATGCAGCCAGGAAGCTAGCTGCAATACTTCCGACGGCGCAGCCAGTCTTTCAGACGGTTAGTTCACTTGCTCATAATAGACCGGGGGAACTTACTCCTGTCACCTCTCCCAGTAATGAGTGGCCGTTCTCAACGGAGATCACTTGGTTTCCGTCACTGAGATAATTAGTCGCTCCGGTGAGTAGCACAATGTTTTCTGAAAATTATATTAGCAAAAAGATAGTCTGTTTGGAATATGGTCGACTAACGCTCGCGTCGAGCAACATCATGGACCAATGTTGCCCTTTGCAGGCCATCTAGAGTGCTTGGTCCGTTATCAACTCCATGCTACTGTCGAATACAACATATTCAGACAGTTTCAACCTCCTGCTAACGGCCTTGATCACGGTATATTCACACTAAGTAGGTCATCATCTCAAGGGCCTCGAGATGTCCTCACCAAACTTCCCTTGAAAATTCTCTTTTAGCTACAGATGTAAGCATCAGTGACCTATACCTCCACTGCAATGGGAATTCGACTTTCTGACTTCGCCTCCCAGATCATAAGACGTCAATGACTTGGGCAGGGGGTGCTTCACAGTCTATGGCGTACAGGAACTAGAGGTGCGGCATTTTGGCCACGACTAAAGCTCACTCTCATGCCGAGCCTCGCCATGAAGCAGGGTCCCCCTTAGGAAATCGGTTGACAGATCAAAAGCGGAAGATTATAGGTGAGTTCTTTTCATCATAATAATTTCTTGGATGAATGGCATCTTTATGAGGACCACTATGTAGCCTAAGAGCTAGGCTCGTAGAAAATGCTCTAATCTTGGCGTAGGTAAACTCGCCATCCCAACTTTAAAAAATAGAACGATCAAACCCTTCAAGGAGCCTCTTATATTGTCTGGCTACCTATCAAGGTGGTTATAAATGAAATTTCCCTTAATATCTACCCAGGTAAGTAGCTCCACCATAGTAGGCGATATAAATCTTACTCTACTCAGGTTGAAACTTCACCTTGCTTCCATGCTTTCAATTTAACTTCACTTCACTTTTATCTCAAATGTATGGTGGCCTCACCGAGCTATCATTCAAATCCATGAGCATGGAAGGCCCGCTTGATGAATATATATATTAAAACCCACGCTCTTTTTCTATACCTTCCAAGGTTCTATTCTTCATGAGGTCTACCTACATCAACTCCCATCCTCAACAAATGAGCCGAGCTCGATATACCCGATGGGCTAAGACTACCCAAGACAGAGGTCTCACAATGGACTTCTCAGTCACCACATAGGCTGAATCCAAAAATCTAGCCAAAACCGTCACCTTATCTTCCAAGTTTCCAAGCCTACGATGGCTACGGCTTACCATCTAGAAAATCTTGCATTGATACTAGAGCGGGACCGTGCGGTTTTCAAGAGAGTCCTATGTGACTTGGAACCGTTTTTTCAGCTCCATGTGATGGCCTGTCAACGAGTCTTATTTGAGCCCAGCGTCACGCTTGAGGTATCAGCGAAGCCGTATTTTTCCCACCTGTGACCTATCGCATCTTGGCATCAGCGGCAGTGCCGACCATGAATATCTCTTCTTGTCTTGACTACGCTGATAATCGCTAAAAAGGATGCCCTTGCCCAATAGCGACGATAGCCGCCTTGCTCAGCAGGAAACTCAACACGACGCTGTGTCCGTTGCGCGGTGCATGAGCATTTGTCCGAGCCGGTAGTAAGATTGCCCTAATTTCACATTTCCAGCTTCCGTGGCCAGCTCCGTGGAGACGAAGTTGATTTCATCTCAATTTCGATAATTCTACATCAAATCCTCAAACTCTTCAAAATGCTACCAAATGTGGCTCAAATAATCTACAGATGGAACTTAAACATACATCACCTTGCAGGAGCCTTTATTATTTACCCAGGCACAAGTCGAAGCCGACACACTCAAAAGGAATGAGATCCTGAACGCCAAATTCACTTTTCTTGGTGGTGTTAATACACCAGGACACTCTGTCTGAACGGAAGAATGTGCGTACACTCTCAGTGGTGCATATTGTGGCGCAGGAGGTGTTTCTTGTGGCAGACGGGGTTGAGCCCAGTTGGGCAGTGGACATCGCGACGCACGCCTATGAGACTTATCGAATGAATTCCGATTGTATTGTCGATATTTCACCTTGACTCTTCAATGACAGTCCTCAAAGATTGGGGCTGGGATCTAGAAAACAAGGCTCTACTAAGCTCTGGAAGGGTCTTCCTACGAACTCATCAGATCAAGATATCTATGAAGCTAAGGACTAAGACTTTTATACTCTCAATATTAATGTAACCATCTCACAGAATCAGAATCAGAATCAGAAATAGGCCCATAATTCCTTGTATTGTACAGTAGAGGGTGATAAACTCCGATTTGTCCCAGGTGATATAAAGTAGTATCGACGAGCCCTATTTAGGATTGGCTCTAGAATGACTCTCCTATTGAACTCGTAAACCACCTATGTAGTAATTTGTTTTGACGATCATGGATGTCTACCTAGGTAGGTGTATAGTGAGCTGTCACCTTTATTATCAGACTCCACGTGTACTCCTTGATTATCTTATCTCGCAAAGAAGAGAGATAACAAATGAATATCCTCAAGATATGAGGTGGTGGTACTACCTCCAGTCTATTCCGGAGTCCGTAGTACTATGTATGATATTCTCCGACCACTCACCCTCAATATGTAGAGCACGAGCCCCAATCAGGCATCAACGCGGATGCTGCATAAGCTTCAGATGATTGAATTAGTCGCGCTGTCCGCCAATTTATTTATATAGAATATATGAATCAAAGCATTCGAGCTCAAAGCGTAGTGGATAGTGGAATGGAAAGACAAAGAGAAAGGAATTGAGAAAGAGGAAAGATAGTAGGTTCCTGAACTTGGAATGATTGTTCCTTGTGCCTTGATATGGTTCCTCGTGGATACAAACGGTTTCTTGGCAAGTATTTGAGGTATTGAAAATAGAGAACAAGAGAATAGAGGGAGGGGAAGAAGGGGAGAAAAGCTCGGACTCACTGACGATCTAGTGCATAGATTAAAGAGGAGAGTAATGTGTATTGAGTAATGGTATTAGAAGGAGAAAATATAAAGAGATGTACAGAGTATGTACCATGCAGTACCTGCGCAGTAACTTCGGTACTTGGTTCTACCGCTTCCTTACAATACCCGTTCGGAGTCCCCAGTTCTTTTTTTTCCCTTTCGCACCCCGACACTTTTCTTTATTGCTGGCTTGAAGACTCTTGACCTTCCATGATTTAATTCACCAACTTATCCACCATTCTAGCATTTAGTCTAGTCGTTCATATCTCATCTTGTCGCCGCACCAGTCGAACGGTCGCGACCCGTCCAGGCCATGGAGGGCCAGACCTCGAATCCCGCCCCCGCTGGGAACTCCAGTGACTTTGTGAGACGATGAACTCCTCGATTGAATGATTTATTGCTAACAGATTGAAAAGGTACGCAAATTATATAAGTAAGTCATTGCGCATACTCTGATTTCGACGGGGACGACTTTCCCCCCCCCCCTCTCCCCCCCCCCTTCTCCTGTCCGACCGCCATTTACCCGAGGCTTAACCTGGTCTAACGATCCTATTAGAATGCTGGAGGACCCATCCTATGCGTCTATTGTTCGCTGGGGTGATGAGGGTGATAGCTTCGTCGTGCTAGAGGTAATGCGCCTGGCAATTCATGGTTGCACCAAGGCTTGGGCTAATGGAGTAACCTAGTGCGAGAAATTCACCAAGACGATCCTACCAAAACACTTCAAGCACAGCAATTTTGCCAGTTTTGTTCGCCAACTGAATAAGTATGATTTCCACAAAGTCCGACAAAACAACGAGGAGAGTGGCCAGTCGCCGTATGGTCAAAATGTAGGCAAATCACTGCCCCCACTTTTCGCTTCTAGAACAGTACTCACACCGATCCCCTAGGCGTGGGAATTCAAACACCCCGAGTTCAGAGCCAACAGCAAGGATTCACTCGATAATATCCGACGGAAAGCACCTGCACCCCGTAAACAGGCCCAGAGTACCGATGACTCGGCCCCAACTCAACAGATTGACTTGCTAAACCAGCAAGTCATCGCCCAACAGCAACAAATTCAACACCTCTCAGACCGTTACGCACAGCTCACAGTGGACCACCAGCTTATGCTTCAGGAACTAATGCGCGTACAAAAGACTGTTTTGAATCATGAGAATGTCATTCATCAAGTGATGAACCATTTGCTCTCGGCAGACGCGCGTCGAAGGGGTAACAAGGCAGCTGTCGCATTTCAGGGACAAAGTGGTTCGACCATGAGTCCCTCACAGGTTGGGGCTGTAGATGACGAGACATCATCCCCTCTGCAGCAGGCCTCGAAGCTGCTGAGCGGGATGAACGCCGAGATGCAGTTTAACTTGGGCAACATGGAATCTGCAAATGAGCTGTCAAACGCGGGTGCTGCTGTCCCAGTGGCGACTCCTGCCATAGATGCGACTGCTCACAATGGCGCGGTGCGCCCTGTAACTACTGTAGCTCCTCCCGCTCCAGCGATGGCCTATCCGAAAATGGGCAGTGATCTAGAGCAGGTGGTCTATCCAGTGGGCGCGACAAACGGTATCGACCCCATGTACAGCGAACATGTCAACAATGTGCCGTACCCAATGCCTACCAAGACAGAGGTGGCCGAGACTTCCGAACCCCGCCGATATCCAGACAATCGGAAGAAAGGCAATCACGTCGACCCTGGGTGGATACGTTCGCCCCAAATCCTCCTGGTTGAGGACGACGCTACTTGCAGGCAGATTGGTGGAAAGTTCCTCTATTCATTCTCTTGTGTTATTGACACTGCAGTATGTCCTGTGTCCTTTTTCTTTTTGACTTGACGAGAACGTGCTAATTCATTTGCAGTTTGATGGTTTGGAGGCTGTAAACAAAATTAGAGGTGGTTCCAAGTATGATTTGATTCTTATGGATATCATTATGCCAAGTCTGGATGGTGTGTCTGCATGCCATCTTATTCGCCAATTTGACCGAACTCCCATCATTGCCATGACTTCCAACATTCGAAGTGATGACATTCAGCTATATTTCCAACACGGTAAGCCTTGGACGGTCACTCAATACGCTTCCTTTCTAATGCCCTCTAGGAATGGATGATGTTCTCCCGAAACCGTTTACACGGTCGAGCCTTCTTGATATGCTTGAGAAGCATCTGGTGCATCTCAAGCATATACCTCAAGGCATTGAAGCTCCACCACCTGCTCCAGTGGCCATGGCCCCGCAACCATCAGCGTCCCAGTCAATCAAAGAAGACAGTTCTCCAGGTCAATCACCTGCCGGTTCCATGAACAACTGGCAATCGCCTGGTCAGTTCCAAAACATGCAAGCTGTGCCACCTAACATGCCTACTGTCCAAGGTCAATATGTCACCACAGCAACAGCACCACCAGCGGCATATGTGGTCGATCAAAATGGCGTTCAATTCCCCCCACCGGTGGTTGCAGTCCCTTCTAACGGAGCCCAAGCTCGCCCTCCACATCGACGACAAATGTCCGAGATGTCAAGTGTCACAGACAACTCAAATATGGCTAAACGACAGCGAATGTATGCTCAGCCCCAACCAATGATGGCCGTACAAGCGGGACGGCCTGTTTAACTCATTTTTCTTTTCTTTCTCCCTCATTCACCCTCTCCCCACCTGTCTATCACCTTACGATTCCCAATGTCTATAATGAGGTTTTCCAAATCGTACATTGTTGCTCTTTTTCGAATGTTTCGTTACCTTGGTCGCGATTTTCACCCCTTCATAACTGGTCATGGCGTTTTTTGCAGGCTCTTTTGTTTGGGCGGTAAATTCTTGCTGCAGTTGTGCGTCAGGCTGGACTTTCAGCTGATTTGATATATACTATCTACTCGTTGAATTCCTGGTATTTGGAGCTTGTCTGGTCAGGTATATATTAACACAAACCCCCTTTTTCATATTAAAATTATTCGCGTCCTGGGGACCAAATTGGAAGTTGGAAATTGAAAAAAAGGAAAACATGGCCAGGAGTCAGTCAACCTTTTGGGAGGATTATAGAAGCCAAGGAGATGCGAAATGCTTATATGTGTACGGAGCAATCATAACATCTTAAAAATTTACTGGTCCATTACTTTCAATATAAATCAATCTAAATTTAAGCTCTCGAAGCACGAAGCACGAACCATGAATCACATAGAGTACCCCACCGAACGAAAACGGTAGCTTAACAGCATCCCTGCGTCAGCCCTACCACAATTTGCACGAACCGAACCGCAAAAGCAAGGACTCGAGTTCTAGACCAGATTCTATATTCAAAAGTCCAGGGCCCAGACCCGCGGGGATTTCTATGCACTTTCTCTTTGCTTATAGTGGGTCCCTTTCCTTTTCCAATTGTTTCAGGAGACAAGCCTACTGGTTACAGGGCTTTTTGCTAGTAACCTACTTAATCAGCAAGGATTGAAGAATGCGCTTGTCAGCGTATTCCGTATTGGAAATCTGCGTGTGAATACTGTGGAGTATCAATTCTTACAACTGCATAACATGTGTACGGGGTATCCATATACTGCGTATATGATAGATCACCTATCTTTAGCTATCTATTTTAATACATCTCGTACTGTTGATCATGATGACTTAAGACCCAGCCTTGTCACGAACTTGCATAATACATGATACACGTTCCCAAAGGGCCCTAGCTGATAAAGTTATGGGTCCTCGAATTTCAGGCACGCAAAGTTCACGCCAAACCATTTTAGGTGAAGTACTTATGTGTGGCTTATACAGTGGCTGACTCAACCAGCCACAGTCACGTTACTGAGTGCAAACAAAACAAACAATGGGAGTCACCGAGGCTTGGCGGGGTTTTTTGTGCCTTCGATGTTTCTTCGATAACGATTTGGAGCATCACAGCCTTGGATCAGTACAATTCTCCTTTGTATCTTCAGTTTTCTCCAGATATCTAGGTAAGACAGCGTCATCCTTGGATATCGCCATGTGCTACTCTGCGCAACCGATATACCCAATTTTGTGAGATTATCCACTAACATAATTATCATTTATCTATAGCTATGGCTCCCAAACAAAAGGGAGGCGCTAAGCCCAAGGGGAATACCCAAGAGGAGGTTGAAGAGACCCTACAAGCTGTGGTCCTTGCAGATACTTTCGAGACGAGATTCGAGCCGTTCACAAATGAAGTGCCTAGGGTATGACTAGACAGAGGCATTCAGGTTGAGATGATCAGAGTTCTGATTGAGTCGCATAGTGTCTGTTGCCTTTGGCCAATACTCCTATCATTGAATATACCCTGGAGTTTTTGGCAAACTCAGGCGTGGAGGACGTGTATGTGTATGCCGGAGCCCACTCGGATCAACTCGAGAAATACATCAAGTAAGCTCTTCACCCACGCAACATTCAGAGGAAATGGCTAATGAGACAATCATAGCGCTTCAAAATGGCGAGCCCCATCCTCGCCCTTCAAGCAATTCACCTTCCTCAAATCCACCTCCACCTCCGTTGGCGATGTTATGCGCGATCTGGACGGCAAGCATCTGATCACCGGTGATTTCATCGTTGTTAGCGGTGATGTGATTTGCAACCTACCCATCGAGAGCGCATTGGCTGCGCATCGCACCCGCCGTGCCGTGGACAAGAACGCGATTATGACAATGGTTTTGCGACAGGCCGGTCGGAACCACCGTACCAAATCCTCCTCCATCTCACCCGTATTCGTGATCGATCCCACCAAAGATCGCTGCGTCCACTATGAAGAGATTGACTACCACTCAGAGGAGCAACCGGCTCGGCTGAATATCGATGCCGAGATCATTTTGACCCACCCCGAACTGGATATTCGTCAGGATTTGATCGACTGCAGTATTGATATCTGTACGCCAGACGTGTTGGGCCTATGGTCTGACAGTTTTGATTACATGTCACCGCGGAAACACTACCTTTTCGGTGTTCTTAAGGATTACGAACTTAACGGTAAAACAATTCACACACATATTATCAAAGACGGTTACGCTGCACGAGTACGCAATCTAAAAGCCTACGACGCTATTACAAAGGACATTCTCTCTCGATGGACCTACCCATTGACCCCGGACACAAACTTGCTTCCAGGCCATACCTACCAACTTCGCAAGAACAATCTATACCAGGAGAAAGGTGTGACTCTTGCCCGGTCCTGTCTAATTGGTCGCCGTACCGTCATCGGCAAAGGCACTAGCATCGGTGACCGCACAACAGTCCGCAACATTGTTCTGGGACGTGACTGCAAGATAGGCCGGAACGTCAAGCTAGATGGAGCATACATCTGGAACGGCGTCACTATTGGCGATGGCAGCGACGTACGCGGGGCTATCATCGCCGATGGCGTTGTGATTGGCAAGAACTGTACAATTGCCTCAGGAGCTCTTCTATCATACGGTGTGAAAATTGCCGATGGCACAACCATTGAGGCCGGGAAGCGTATCTCCAAATCTCGGAGCGATGGAAGTGCGGCCACAAACGATCCTGATGTCGTTGGCAAGGGTGGCGAGGGCTATGAGTTTATCTCAGGGGTCGATGATTCCGACGAAGAGGATGATGCCAGTGTTGCCTCATCCGGACTGGTATACCGTATGCCAGGACTTTCTCTCTCCTCGGCTTCCATCTCGACATTATCATCCGACGTATCCGACGGCAGCTGGCCCCGCTCAGCTAGAAGCAGCTTCTCCGACGACGAGAAGGATAATTTCCACCACGACGCATCAGTCAGTGTCTTCGACAGTCTACGAGACGGCGTTTCGGCCGATGTGGTGCAATTGGAGCTAGTGTCTCTACGTATGACAACAAATGCGTCAGACATCCAAGTACGACGAGCAATCGTGTCCTCCTTCATGAAACACATCCAGCAACTGATAGAGGGCGGCAAGAGTGCCAGCGAGGCAGTGCACGATGTTTTCTCCAAGTACCGTGAAGTCGTAGACCGCACGCTGTTCGACAGAAACAAGGACCAGAAGAAGGATCAAGTCGACTTCCTGCTCCAGATGCAACAGGATCTCGTTCACCGCAGCAAGGGAGAGACAGTCTTGCTATTCACTGCGAAAGAGCTATATGAGTTGGAACTTGTTGACGAGGAGGCGTATGAGCAGTGGTGGAATGATGAGCGGTCGAGCTGTACCGAGGAAATGAGAACGGTACGATCAAAGGCGGAGCAGTTTGTCGAATGGCTGGCAAATGCTGAAGAGAGCTCTTCTGAAGAGGAAGATGATGAAGAGGAAGATGATGACGAGGATGATGATGAAGAGGAAGAAAGTGACGACGAGTAGATGTTTACACCCATATCACAAGCCATAATTCAAAAAGTTCTCTGTATCATTTTCTTGATAGAATCAAGAGTAAATAAACGCTTAAAGCTGTGACAACTTGGACCCATATTTGTTGACATATTGGGACTAGCGCATATGAGCTAGCTACTATGTGATAACCTCGTAGTTTCTCACTTCAAATCTTGCTCTTGGTCTTTGAATTAGATACAATAGGTTAGCGAGTCAACTATATCTACCGATACTACACCTCTACTTTGCCTCCATCCCCTGCAGAGCTTTTTATCACTACACCCCTAGGGAGTCTCGGGATATGGAAAATTACTGAGAAGCTTGACAAGAAACGACAATATCCAAGATGATATATCTTACTGTTGGAATATGGAAAAAGCAGTCATGTGATCAAATTGTTACTTTATAATAGATAGCAAACTAAGAATGAAAACCAGACTTTACAACCACTTCAAGAGGACACAAAGATATCATAGGGGCGTAAAGCGTTACCTGTGATAGGTGTCAGAAGTGGGCGTTAGCCTCATCACCTTTATCGAATAGCTATTCCACACTTGGTACAGGTGTACCGACACCAAACTGCTGAAAAGTTGGCACCCAGAGGAAATGTGCCCATGTGGTGAGCTTGTATATGAGGATGAAGTTCATGTCTAAATTAGAATTAAAAAATGAGCAAGAATGAAAAGAAGCGCACTCTCGGGATCGAACGCATAATATCGTGTATATATTAAACCGGAAATTACCTCATAATACACTAATTAAGGCCGTTTAGTAAAAAAAAGTTGGTAGCGTCTCTTTGATTGAGCGTGTCATCCTTCGTGCAGGGGCCATGCTAATCTTCTCTGTTTTTCTCATCTGACCGGGTGTCTCTAAAGACATAAGTTGAGTCAAAATTGGGGATTATATATACCCCTTTTAAGTTCTGCCGCTGGATGCCGCTCTGTATTGACATCTCGTTCTCTGAAGTGTCAGACCTCGGGAGCTAAGCATATCGAAGATCGATATGAATCTGTGAGAATAACAACTCTTTATGTCTCTGTCCACTTTTATTTATATCAGCTGGTACTACCATCTGTCTTTAAGTTAGTGCTTCTCGGTTGATCAAAAGTTATCAGCAGTGCATTTATCATCTATTGTTCATTTCGCTCACTGCAGCCAGTACGATGGCAAATAACTACTAACTCTGATGCACAAGAACTCTAGCAACTATGTAAGCCGTGTCTACAAGCACCGAAAACTACATGTACAGCAGTCTTGCTACGTACGTAATCTGACATTTGAGTATCTCACTTGCTTCACCATCACGTATATACCTAGGTATATTGCCGAAACGCACTTTTCAGACGTTCATACCAACTCATAAATAAGTAAATAACACTAAATAACACTGAATATTCAGGAATATCATTCTGTAAAGTAGTAGCCAACATTGTGTTGATGCCCGTTCTAAGGGCGTTACAATAACTGGGATGTCCCGTCTTCACTGAACCGTCCGTCTTAGACGATGGAACACATTCATCTCAGACAGAAGAGCAACTTGTAGGATAAATAGCTAGTCTTAACCATGAATGAAAGATCAGATTTTACAACCACTTCAGAGACAAGATATTATAGGGGTGTAAAGCGTTTCCTGTAATAGGTGTTAGAAGTGGGCGTTAGCCTCTCTTCAACCGGTGTACCGACAATACAAATGCGGCGATGATCGACTGCCTGTAGCATAGATGGATTGTGCCGGCAAAATCATGGGTGTTTGAAGTTATATATAGTCTCGAGGTCGAAGAGGTAGAAATTGCAAGTAATGTGTAGGCAGAGGTCAATGCAAGGTAAATTTAGAAAAAATCCACCACTTTCGTTCCAACCAACCACTAAGAGAGCCACCTTCGTGCCCTCTTTCGAAGATCCAGAGAGAGACATGTTCCTAAGACAGGAGAGTTGGCAGAGACGGGATATCACTGTTGTAAATGCATACTGTTCAAGGTTGTCGTTTGCGATGCACTCTGAACAGGGATTTCGTGATGTAGTCTAAACCGGGATAACATTAATTCTTCCTTCATTCTCATATTTGGAAGGGTCATGAGTGGCTAAATATCAAGCTTTGCATGATCGACACCCATCTCATCACTCAAAGCATCTCCAGTTATTACTAGGACTTCCCCAGTATCCATGGAATCCATGTGGCATCCGCCGTTCTTAGGTCAAACCATCGTTCAGGGGGTTGGCGGCACATCTAGTGAAATGACTCTCTGTCTTACCAATGATAGCAGTAGTTGGCGGAGCAGTAGTGTATCTGGTGGACATATTATTGCTTAATAGAATGTACCTAACAAACAATAAGATCTATTATCAGGAAGATGTTTTACAGTTTGCGAACTTGGAAGTAATCAAGTCCAGATATCGATACAGGAGAATTGCGAGAGCCCTGGAGAAGGAAGTTTGAAAAATGAAGAGAGAATAATCTAAGGCTAGGTAAGTAGCTATGAACATCTACCTAGGGACAAAGCTTAATTCACACCTGGGCAGGCATGTTATTATATAGAGGCCATCACTAAGTAGCCTTGGAATGTATAGTAAACCGCGATCATAATGACCTCGGGATCTAACTGTAGCTTGAAATATCCTATTTATTCCCGAGGTCCGTCAGTCCAAACACTCTCAGCTTAAATGAAGGACGACAGCAAGATAAAACACTTAGCATTGGTATTTGAACCTTGGATTTTGGAAGGTAATCAAAATTGCAGTCGGGAAATATAAAGACCACCAAGGAAACTAATTAGTAATCAGCCAGATTATCAATCTAAAAGGGCCACAGGGAGCAATAGAGTCATGAAAAACCTCAACTGGTATAAAAGTCACTCATCTCGAGACTTGGGGTTTCAGGGTTTCTGAATCTCTAGGTGCATATTCCTCATTGTGTAAACTAGTGGGCCATGGACCTGGGCCAGGAGTTCCTTTTAAATCATTTGTTTCTTTCTTTCTTTCTGTTTTTTAATTTTTAATTTTTAATTTTTTTAATTTTTTAATTGGTTATCACCGGAATCTTGTATAACTTTTACGGAGTATTGCTTGGAATAGCGTCAAACGGTAGATAAAACGTGGCACGACTACCGCCTACTTATTTGGGATACTGAAGATTGATTCTGCCATATGATTATATAATAGAATAACGGGATCCCACGGGTTTGCTGCAGTTAACTAAACCACATGGAAGTATTGGTCGGTCCAGTGATATCAGAAAGAATAAGTTACAAGTTTCAAAAAGGTAAGTTAGTAGCGTTGTTATAATAATACCATGCTATATATATCATAAATCTTCGGAGTATAAGTAGGTTGGACCCTGAGTAAGCGAGTTGCACGAGAAAGGGCCGCAACCGTGGGGCGCCACACTGATTTGCTTTGCATTTCAAGATTGAAGCCCACTTTTAATGGCTTTAGTGGCTGAGGCGTCTGTATGTGGCTGGTGCCGAACACTTTCCATCTTCAATTCGGAATCTCCAATTAATCTTCCCCTTTCCTCTTTGACATCCCCTCTTTCTCCACCATCTACATCTATCATTCATATTCTACACTCATTCCACTCTTCAAACTACCCAGGTGATTTTCCTCCCCATCTTAATCCACCTTCCCCCTTTCATTTCTATCTATTCTATTTCCGTTTCCCGATCTCTTTTTCTCCGCACATCCAAAACCTCCACTTTTAATTTTCCCAACGTCAACTTCTTCACCTCCACTTTCTTACCTTTTGGCATGATTGCGGCACTTTAAGTGGTCGCACATGTAATCATGGCCCAACATGATCTAACATCCCATCATGTCAATTATTTAATCTGGAGGTATGTCTTTAATCTGATTGTTCTTAGCTTAATCGGAACACTAACCCGATTCTCCCAGATATCTCCAAGAATCAGGTTAGATCTTTGTTGTCATGTTTACTCATGGCTCAATTCCTCAGCTCAGTCCAACTGATGTTATCACAGGTCATGGTGAGGCTGCAGTTTCACTGCAACAGACATGGTATCCTGATCCACAGAATCTACCATTTGCACGTCACATCAAAACTCATGCCTTGGTCTCACTGATGCAAAAGGGTCTGCAGTACCATGAGCTAGAATCTTCCATTGACAAGGTATGAAGGCATGGCATGTCAACATGCACTCATTTATCTAATTAATGAACAGGAGGGAAACCCCGTTGATCTAACTCCCTCTGATTATTTCTTCGGCCCGGAACCCCTTGAACTCTTGAAAAGCCGAGATTTTGGCACGGACCATCCTACAAAGGATGAACCCTCCGACCTTGTGACAAATGGTCATCCACCTAATCCCATGACCGGGGATGCAATGTATGTTGATGCCGATGCTGAGACAGATGCCGATGTAGAAGCAGAAGCAGAAGCAGAAGCAGAAGAAACAGCTGCAGACTCCAAGACAGATGCAGAACATGAGAGCAAAGCTTCTCCCAAAGTTGATGGAGATGGAGACGTGAGTATGGCTACTACTACACTCAACAGTGGCCAAAGTATCGGGGTTCAGATCTCCCCCGCTAAGGCTGCCGATTTGTCCCCCAACACCGCCCGCTTGGATCTGATGGATCACGTGATGTTCACTGCCTGGAAACCCCGAGACCCGACTATCTTGCTGTCAGCCGGCGAGACCTTTTGCAGTCTGTGGAAACTGTCATCTTCAGAGCCAGTGCAAAACAAGTTCCTTGATTTGAAGAACACTGGAGCGTATGTATCCGCTGTGGCGTGGGATGGTATTGGCGCCAATTTGGCCATTGCAACCATGCGAGACTCGAAAGGAACTATCACCTTCTACAACGACCAGGGTAATGCTGTCGATCTGCTGCCGGATCTTCCCCGTATGATTAGCGGCCTTCATTGGGCGCTGCAGAGCCCGCAGCTGATCATTGTGGCATCGGATGAGCGAACGTCCGAACTGGCCCTCTGGGACAACACTGAACGGCCGGACGCATACCCTAACCCGCTGATTATTGACAACAATGTGTTCGACTTGGGATGGGCCGGAAAATCCGAAGCCTTCGCCTGTGGAACGGGAACAGTCTACCAATGCGAGGTAGACCAGACTATTCGTCTGATCAACAAATTCACATCCGCAAACCCAGACACTATCTGGTCTTACATCCGCTGTGCAGAGACCAATAATGGAAATGTAGCTGTGACAGCTAGCTCCACCACCAGCACGATTTGGATTCCTACACATGACATTCTCATCGAAACAAACCAGGATGTGCTCACGGCGATCGACATCCAGCCTCAATCGCCTGCACAGCGACGAGCCTGGTCTATTACTGGAAAGCCTTTGATCACCATCGCCTCGTACTCCGTCGACGGTACAGTCGGCGTGTGGGAAGTTGACTTGGTCTTGAAGCAGTACAAGCGGGTTCATCGCCTGAAACTGGGCGTCCCCGTCCTCGCTGGCGGCTTCTCTTCGGATGGATACGCTCTGGGTGCAGTCAGTCAAGACCGTCTCGCCCTTTGGAATGTTGAACGTGGTGGTGAGCCGGTGGCTACTTGGAGTGCAGCCGGCTCGAAAGAGGTGAAGGAAGAGCCCGACCATTTTATGAATGGCCAAAATGGGGGCTTGACATCGCAGGATGTCACTCTTTCCTGGGATCACGATGGAAAGAAGCTTGCCTACGGGTTTAGAAATCAGGTGACTTGGAAATATTCCATGAAGTCTTCGTCTATACTAATGTCCCGTTTCTAGATGGCCTTGGTGAATCTTCAGCGATGATCGAACTGAACCGATGATAAAAACCAGAAATTATGTCCAGCGACATTCTTTCAAACCACAGTCATATTGAATATGAACTATGATGTTCCGAAACTAGGCTTATCAACATTTTATTTCTACATATCCTTTATCTTTTATTTTTTATTTTTTTTTTTTTTTTGGACATAACTTTCGCGATTTTAGAAAAATGCACGGCATGCATTGGGATTTTGGGTATGGCGAATGGGTTCCTGGAGTGGCTTTATTTTTCAATTTCTTGTTTTGGGTGGCTGGGGGAAGTGAATGGATGGGATCAACAAAAACCAAAATGCATTTCAAATTTCGAACTATTTATCGTTATATCGTAGTCTCACTTTCAGTCTTCACTCTTCACCAGTCTTTGATCACGTCTCGTCTTCCGTGTGCGTCCTCGAATCTGGAAGCCGTCCTCGACGTCTTTCCAACCTCTCATCCAAGCACTGAGACCCTCTAACATCTCCTCATCTGCCTGACTAGTACGACGTCGCCGTGATTTTTGATGTGCCACCTTGATCCAGTCATGCAGCCCACGGACTATCCCTTGCATCACTTCCAGCTCCACTGCGTCCTCACTCAAGTCCGATTTTCTGAAATATGACATGTTAGCCAATTCCCTATCGCACAAATCTTGCAAATTACTTACAACTCTGACACTTCATCCTCCAGATCGGTAACCGTTTGTGTCAGCCCGAGACAACGCTTCTCGGAGCTATCGCGAATCTCCTCCAGATCAGTAATTGTTTGTGTCAGACTGAGACAGCGCTTCTCGAAGCTGTCACGAACATCCTCCAGATCGGTAATTTTCTGTGTTAAACTGAGACAACGCTTCTCAAAGGTATCGCGTATATCCTTCAATTCGGCTACTTTTTGTGTTAGACTGAGACAACGCTTCTCGGCATCGTCGTGGCTCTCCTCTAAGTCGGTTACATTTTGTGTCAAATCGACACAACGCTTTTCAGAGATGACGTTACTCTCCTCCAATTCGGTTATAGATCGTGTTAAACGAACACACCGCTTCTCGAAGCTATCACGAACGTCCTCCAACTCGGCCACCGTCCGTGTTAGGTCGGCACAACGCTTTTCGAACATATCGCGAATCTCTATTGATTCCCTATGACGTCGATGCAAGTCCTGATTCAATTCTGTCACCTCCTCCAATATGCTCTGGAGATCCGTCGATACTTTCTTCTCCTTGACTCGCGCCTCATGATCCGCGGCAAGCCAATAGGGCACTTTCAGGTGAAACGGGTCTTCGGAAAGTCCAAGCAAAGAGTCTGGACGCTCTCTATCGCTTTGAGTGGGAGAGCGATTGGGAGATAGTTGTTGAGAACGAGCTGGAGATTGACTTGCAGGACGCCGAGCGGGGGACTTTTGATGCCGAGTGGGAGACCGTTCGGGAGAGCGATTGGGAGACTCTGGTTCCGGATTACGAAGGAGAATGTTGATCGCGTCGATGTACTTGTGGATCAGAGGTGCAGATGCACTGTCGCCGACATCTGGCCCAAGTTTCGTAACGAGACGGGCGAGGTCTGCCATGCGGTCCTGCCATGGCTTTCGAGGACCTGGGAGGGCATCTCCGTATCCAGTGGAACCATTGGAGTCTTCAAAGTCGTGGGAAAAGATAGAGCCACGCCTCTCACTCCACTCGTCAAAAGCCCAACTGGGGCCTAAACCAGACTCTAAGGAGGGACCTAAACCAGCTTCCATGTAGATCTGATGTGCGGCTTGATGTGGTGAGATGATGAAGTTCGCTGCAGTAGGTGTCGACACCAAATTGATGCAGTTGAGAGTTGATTGAAGGTCGTAAGCAGGCTAACAGCTCTTGAAACAGCAAACATGCTCAGACAACAAAACAATCTTATGCTTATCGATCGATCATAATTGATGCTCCCCACGCTAGACCATATTGGGCATCAATTCAGTCTGGAGTATGTACTCCGTATATTTTACTTTTAGCCGAGTTTCTTCCGAATATATTCAAATCCTCAAACTACCAGGGTTTGAACTAGTTTCGTATAGAATAGTAGATCTTGATGCAATCCATCACTTTAGTTTTTAGCCACGTCTCTGTTAGTACTAAAGACCGTATGAAAATGATGACTCGACAGACCCACAGGGGATTCAGTCATCCATTCTTCCCGCCGAATTCCCTTTGACTGTCTCATTTCATCTTTTGAATAGGTAACTGCTATCATGTCACCTTCAGTAAGTATTCCAAGGCTCATATCTCTACACTATTTCCGCCGCGATTTGCGCCATCCAAATTTATTAACATGATCGCACTATGACTCAGATCGCAGTTGTCCCTTCGCTTGAGAAGGCGCGAGAAGTAATCTCCGCCTCGAGAGACTCCGAATTCCCTCCTAATCTACTGCCTGTCACTGCCTCAATCCCGGCCGATCTCTTGACACCGACATTGGCCTACCTCAAACTTGCAGAGAGGTATGTGGGATATTTGCGACAAACCCCGCGAAACGAGAAACGCATGGGAGTATAGGCTGACATGTGTACAGCTCAAAATTCTCATTTTTGTACGAGAGTGCTGCAACTACAGAGACTATTGGACGGTATAGCTTCGTTGGTGCAGGTGAGATCATCTCCGTGGTAACAACAATACTTCTCATCACTCATTAACCGCTTTTTCCCCTCCTAGACCCTAGAAAAGTGATCAAGACTGGCGCAGGCCATGGACCTGAGACCGACCCCCTTCCTCTCCTAGAGAATGAACTTTCCCAATTCCGCGTGGCATCTGTCCCAGGTCTTACTCTTCCTTCCCTCAGTGGCGGAGCGATCGGATATGTGGGCTACGACTGTGTTCGATACTTTGAGCCTAAGACCGCCCGGCCCATGAAGGATGTACTTCAGGTACCGGAGTCATTTTTCATGCTCTTCGATACCATCGTTGCCTTTGATCACTTCTTCCAGGTCGTCAAAGTCATCACATACCTTCCGATTCCCGCTACAGACGCCGAGTTCGAGACCGAATACCGAAAGGGCCAACTGATCATCCGAAAGGCCATTCAGACCCTGCTACAGGAACGCACACCTCTACCGGCTCAAGGGCCTATCGTTCCCGACCAGGAGTATACTTCCAACATTGGACAGGAGGGTTATGAAAACCACGTCAACCGCCTAAAGGAACATATCGGCAAAGGCGATATCTTCCAGACTGTGCCTTCACAACGGCTTTCGCGGCCAACATCCCTCCACCCCTTCAACCTCTTCCGCCATCTCCGCACAGTCAATCCCTCTCCATACCTGTTCTATATCGACTGCCAAGACTTCCAGCTCGTGGGCGCTAGCCCCGAGCTTCTTGTGAAAGAGGAGCGTGGCCGTATCATCACCCACCCCATTGCAGGCACAGTGATGCGTGGGAAGACACTGGAGGAGGATATCGCATTGGCCGACGAGCTGCGCAGCAGTTTGAAGGACCGTGCCGAGCACGTCATGTTGGTGGATTTGGCCCGTAACGATGTGAACAGGGTGTGTGACCCGATGACCACGCAAGTGGACCGATTGATGGTGGTCGAGAAGTTCTCCCACGTGCAACACCTCGTCTCACAGGTTTCTGGAGTTCTCCGACCTGGCAAGACGCGCTTCGATGCCTTCCGGTCCATTTTCCCTGCTGGCACAGTATCCGGTGCGCCCAAGGTGCGCGCCATGCAGCTCATAGCTGAGCTGGAGGGTGAGAAGCGTGGTGTGTATGCTGGTGCCGTTGGATACTTTGGTTACAACATTGCCAATGCAGACGGGTCAAGCGAGATTCCTGGTCCTATGGATACTTGCATTGCACTGCGGACGATGCTGGTGAAGGACGGTGTTGCCTATCTTCAGGCTGGTGGTGGTATTGTCTTTGACTCGGATCCTTATGACGAGTACATAGAGACGATTAACAAGCTGGGCGCTAATATCCAGTGTATTCGTGGCGCTGAGGCCAAATATCTCAGCTTGGAGAACACGACTGCTTGATGATCAGAGGTATTAAAAGCAATTAATCCCAAGGAATAAACCAATGGAATGAATTATGTTACTAGACGAGCTATCCATATTCCGAATCCCAGTACTATGCAGAAAATAGAGATCTATGTTAATTAGTACTTCAATTGTGCTTAAACTCGACGTAATCAAGTGTTTTTCTCAGTTACTTACTTTTCGTCTGATATTCTTCAATCCTCTTAAAGGGTAGTCGAGTTGTCCGCCTTTCCCTAAGCGGAAGCAGGTCGACTACAACTTCCCCGAACAACACCGTCGGTCAACACTACGTGGTCTCGCGCACGGCGACCATGCCGCTTCGAGTCAGTCTCCCTCCAGCCACTCGTCTCTTCCTTGTCGCCCTTCTCTCTCTATCATTACTCTACAATATTGCAAGATGGCGACAACTTGACACAACCGTGGGCAATCAGGTTACCCCGATTGTTCCTTACCTGACCCTCGTACCTTCCCACTTCTATTATTACCCCTGGACTCTCTTGACTTCTACATTTGTAGAGCAGAATATCTTCACCGTTCTCCTAAATGCTGCTACTATCTTCTATGGTGGCAAGTATCTGGAGCGCGCGTGGGGTTCCCGCGAGTTCAGCAAGTTTATCGCGACAGTCACCATAATCCCAAATATTGTGATTATTCCAATATATCTCATTTGGAGTGGAGTGACTGGGTCATCTAGCAGATCGTAAGCATTTCTCCTTTCTTTTTGCGGTTGTAGTAGTCGGAGCTGACCATGTTCGTTATAGCCTCACCCAGATCTGCGGCGGGGTTGCTATCCAGGCCTCCTACCTTGTCGCTTTCAAGCAGCTTGTTCCCGAACATACAGTTGCCATATTGAAGGGTCTAGTCAAGATCCGCGTGAAGCATTTCCCCGCTCTGTTCCTCCTCCTGAATACTACCAGCGGCATCGTACTTGGAACTGACACCGCTGCCGTCTTGGCCTGGTTAGGTATCTTGGCTAGCTGGAGCTACTTGCGATTCTATAAGCGACAGCCCGATCTTACTGGAACCTCCACAAATGGCCTCGGTATTAAGGGCGATGCGAGCGAAACTTTCGCCTTTGCCTGTCTGTTTCCTGATGTGATGCAACCCCCAATTGCTTTCGTCGCAGATCAGATCTATTCGCTACTGGTGGCTGTGAAAATTCTCACTCCATTCTCAGAGGATGAAATTGTTTCTGGAAACCAGCAAGTCCTAGCTCGAGGTGAAGCGGGCTTGCCTAACCTTCATAGCAGCTCGCACGGATCGAGGGCCTCTGCGAAGCGCGAGGAGGCAGACCGGAGGCGTACTATTGCGCTCAGGGCGTTGGACCAACGATTACAGGCTGCTTCTGCTGGACGTTCTCAAGCTGGGCCGTCCATAGTCGCGGAGCCCTCAAGTCATCCGCAGACTACTAGCCCACCTTCAATTTCTGGACCAAATATCCTGGGAGGAACTACATATAACCCGGACAACGCATAACAATGTCTAGTCTCACATTCTGCGAAGGGTGTTCCCCGGGATTTTCGCTTGTTGGACATATCCCACCCTCGGAGCGGAATCTGCGGGGGAGTCCTTTCTTTCTATATAACGATGTACATTGTCCGCTTATATCCTGGCTTGGATCCCTGTTTTTATAGGCTCTGTTTCTCAGGGCCTGTGTGGGTTTATTGGACTCTTTCTTTGGCTATGCCAGCATTTGTATTATTTATTCCATTTCCGGTCTATTTAGCTCAATACTAGTCGCTAGTATGAACTTCCAACGTTCGTAATCTAGGACATGGGTATAAATATGGATAATTTATATAAATATTCCCATGAAATACACGGTCGTAAGGAAGAAAAAGAGAAGATGCTATGATACAAGGGATTCCTGACCATCTCACTCTCAATAACTTTGAACAATGAGAATAGTGGGATCCAGATAAGAGAGAACCGAAAACAATCACGCGATCTTAGATCTCCTTCAGCTTATCCACCTCACCACGAGCTTCGGCAAGCATACGCTCCTGATCCTTCTTCGCTTGTCGCTTAGCCTGTATACGCTCGCGATCCCCTACAGCCTGCTCGGTGATTTTGCTCAATCTCACAAGATCAGACTCATCCGCCTCAGTGGGCTTGACTTCCTCTGCTCCAGTGGATGCCTGCACCCGACTCCAGATCTCTTGGTAGCCCAAGTTCTTCAAGTCCACGACAATCGACTTCTCGTTATCTTCAGCTGCAGGCGCGAACTTGTCGATTACCTGCTTGCCTGAGATCGCTGTCGCAGTGCTGCTGAGTCGCTCCGCAAAGTAGATCGTCAATGCGGACGGTCCTTCCTGATCGTCGATTTGTTTTACCGTCATCTTCACGGCGGGGTTGTGGTACTTCAGTCGTGGCAGGCATTGGCGCCAGAAGTGTCGTGATCCTTGGTGGCCTCCGTAGATCTTGCGGGCGTATGTGAGGTGTAGACGGGTCACGGCTGGGAATTCTTTTGTGGCGGTGGCTAGGGAAGGGAAGAGGGCTGCGCCGGTGCCGACTCGGATGTTGAGGATCTGGTTGACCTTGATGTTAGTATGATAGTTTTGCGAGTAATGTATGTCTTCAAGCTAGAGTCTTTTGGTATTTGGCTGGGGGAGAAGTGGGAGTTCTTACTTTCTAGAGAATAAAATTGTTAGATTGAGTTATTAAAATATCTCGACACTATGCGAAGAGAGTCGGCTCGATATAACTTACTGTCTTCAGCTTCCGCATCCGCTTGAACAGGTTCACCATGATGGCAGAATGTGGCGCACAGGGGCTGACCCTGATACGAGTGAAGTTTGGAGGCTGGTATAGATCCGGTATAATTAAACAAAAAAGACAATTGGCCTTTTGGAGAGTACAGGGAGCGATGTCGTGGATCCGGGGAAATTTGCTGCGGAAACTCTTACGGCCTCGAAAGTTGCTCCATGATATAAGTCACGTGACATGTATTTTATTATATGTTAGTAGATTGTCCCTTCCGCTGGAATTTTCTATACAAAACAGCCGAGCACGTCTAAAACTATGAACAAAATATTACATGTCTAGGTACAGAGCTTTAGCCTGTAGGTTACAATCCATATTCATTGTCGATACGACGGTATAGTTAGCAGTTGCTGCAAAGGCACGTGTTGTAATTTACATATCGTTTTAAATACAGCCGCAATACCGGCGTGACTCAGAATTCCTAAATATTTTTGATAACCATCAACCCCGCGGTCTTTTTTACATTGCCTTCTGGGAGTGCAATTAAGCAATATTTTGCACATAAGATCATCATGGCAGCTGCTGTGGCTGCGATCGACCCGAGCAATGGCTCTAAGAATACCCTGAAGCTCGAAAATGTTAGTATACCCCTCCCCCTCCAATGGCAGCTTCATAGCCATATGATGCGATCAAAATAACCATTATAGATTGGCTAACTTCTCTCTAGACTGAGAAGCGCGACACCCTCATCGCAATCGAGAAGAAGTACCAGGCACAATGGAAGGACAACAAGGTTTTCGAGGTCGATGCTCCATCATTCGATGAAGTCGAAGCTTCTATCACCGGCGACGAGCTGCGTGAGAAGCACCCCAAGTTCTTCGGCACCATGGCATACCCCTACATGAACGGAACCCTGCATGCTGGTCACAGTTTCACCGCTTCAAAGGTCGAGTTCATGGCTGGTTTCGCTCGTATGGAAGGCAAGCGTGCTCTCTTCCCGCTTGGTTTCCACTGCACTGGTATGCCTATCAAGGCTTGTGCGGATAAACTCCGGGACGAAGTTAAGTGGTTTGGCAAGAACTTCGAGGGATACAAAGAGGAGGTAGAGGAGGAAGCTACTCCCGCAGCCTCTGCAGAACAGGCCCAGAAGACCGAGAAGTTCTCTGGTAAGAAGAGCAAGGCCGCGGCCAAGACTGTTAAGATGAAGTACCAGTTCCAGATTATGCTGGCCATCGATGTTCCTCTGGAGGAGATTCACAAGTTCGCCGATGCTAACCACTGGCTGCAACACTTCCCCCTCTTGCCATCCGTGACCTTGACAGCCTTGGTGCTCGCATTGACTGGCGAAGACAGTTTGTCACCACTGATGCCAACCCTTACTACGATTCCTTTGTTGGATGGCAGATGCGTGCCCTTAAAAATCTAGACAAGATCATGTACGGATCTCGCTACACTGTCTACTCGCCTAAGGATGGACAGCCGTGTATGGACCACGACCGCACTGAGGGTGAGGGTGTTGGACCCCAGGAGTACACCGCTTTGAAGCTCCAGGTGAAGGAGTGGTCTCCAGAGCTTGCACAGCTTGTGAAGGGTAAGATCGAGGACGATGCCAAGGTCTACTTTGTTCCTGCTACTCTGCGCCCTGAAACTATGTACGGCCAGACCAACTGCTTCGTTGGCCCCAAGATCAACTACGGTCTCTTCAAGCTCAATGAGAAGGAGTACGTCGTCGTCACCAAGCGTGCTGCATGGAACATGGCTTTCCAGGGTCACTTCTTCGGCGAGACTTTCCCTAAGACCCAGGATCAATTGCCTTTGGTCTTCGAGGCACCAGGATCTGCCTTTGTTGGTACCCTGGTCAATGCTCCTCTTTCTCTCCACACTGACGGTGTCTACATTCTGCCTATGGATAGTGTTTCTGCTGCTAAGGGTACTGGTGTTGTTACCTCCGTCCCCTCCGACAGCCCAGACGACTACGCCACTCTGATGGATCTGATTAAGAAGGCTGATTTCTACGGTATTAAGAAGGAGTGGGCTGAGAAGGAGATTTTCCCCGTTATTGAAACACCGACATACGGTAACCTGACTGCCCCCGCCCTGGTCAAGCAGCTTAAGATCAACTCCCCCAAGGATGTCACCCAGTTGGCCCAGGCCAAGGACCTGGCTTACACCGAAGGTTTCTACAAGGGAAAGATGCTGGTTGGCGGCGATCTGTACAAGGGCCGACCCGTTCAAGAGGTGAAGGACGAGATCCGACAGGCTCTCTACAAGAGCGGTGACGCTTTCCCCTTCGCCGACCCTATGGGCAAGGTTGTCAGCCGCAGTGGAGATGATTGTGTTGTTGCATACCTCGGTCAGTGGTTCTTGAACTACGGCGAGAACGACCCCAAGTGGCAGCAGGACACCCTGGCATATGTCCGGGACGGCCTGAACTCATACAGCGCCGAGGCCAAGAACGGATTCGAAAAGAACCTCGACTGGCTAAACCGCTGGGCATGCGCTCGTACATACGGTCTGGGATCTAAGCTACCTTGGGATCAGCAATTTTTGGTGGAGAGTCTGAGTGATAGTACTGTTTACATGGCCTACTATACTATTGCTCATCTCCTGCACGGGGACCGATACGGAAAGACCACTGGCCCTCTCAAGATTACACCCGACCAGATGACCGATGAGGTTTGGGACTACGTCTTCTGTCGCCAGGAGATAAGCGAGGAGGTGATCACCAAGAGCGGTATCAGCAAGGATACCCTACTGCGCTTGCGCCGCGAGTTCGATTACTGGTACCCCCTGGACGTTCGTGTCTCTGGCAAGGATCTTATCCAGAACCACCTTACCTTCTTCCTTTACAACCACGTCGCATTGTTCCCTAACCACATGCCCAAGGGTATTCGTGCAAACGGTCACCTCATGCTGAACGGCAGTAAGATGTCGAAGTCTACTGGAAACTTTTTGACTCTGAAGGATGCCGTCGACAAGTTCGGTGCTGATGCTACTCGTATCGCGTTCGCTGACGCTGGTGACAGCATCGAGGATGCTAACTTTGAGGAGTCGGTTGCTAACAGCAACATTTTGCGTTTGCACACTCTGAAGGAATGGATCGAGGAGGTCGTTAAGGATGAAACCCTGCGCACTGGCTCAGCTGACGCCTTCTCGGATAAGCTGTTTGAGAACGAGCTCAACAGTCTTGTCAGAGAGGCCCAAAAACATTACCGGGAGTAAGTTGGTTCTGGATTCTACCTGTGGAAACCTCATTACTAACTATGCATTAGCACTAACTTCAAGCTTGCCCTGAAGAGCGGTCTTTACGAGTGAGTACCATCTATTATCTTTCTATTGACAAACACGACTGACAGTGCAATTCCAGCTTCACCAGTGCCCGTGATAGCTACCGCGAGGCTGCCACCGCTGCCGGAGTGGGTATGCACCGGGATGTCATCCTGCGCTACATTGAGCTGCAGGCTCTTATGTTGGCTCCCATCACCCCTCACTGGGCCGAGTACATTTGGCTCGAGATTCTCAACAAGGTCAGTGTCTATTATCCAATCATACTCAATCAAACAAAGCCTAACATCTCTCAGCCCGAATCTATTCACTTTGCTAAGTTCCCTGAGGTGCCCGAGCCTTCTCCCGCGCTTTCTGCCGCTCAGGCCTACGTCCGTGGCACTGCCTCGAACATCCTGTCTTCAGAGGCCCAGTTCACCAAGCGTCTGTCCAAGGGCAAGGCTTCCACCTTCGACCCTCGCAAGCCCAAGAAGCTCACCATCTTCGCCGCCAAGAAGTACCCCGCTTGGCAGGAGAAGTACATCGACCTGGTTCGCGAGGCCTTTGATGCTCTGACCGTCTCTATCAACGACAAGGACCTCAGTGCCAAGGTTGGCAAGCTCGGTGAGATGAAGAAGGCCATGCCTTTCATCCAGACCTTGAAGCGCCGCCTGGTGCAGAACCGTGATGACCCAGAGACTGTCTTCGAGCGTAAGCTTCCATTCGATGAGTTTGCCATTCTTGCCGAGATGGTCGATGGCCTGAAGCGTGTGTCTGGATACAAGGAGGTTGAGGTCATCGCTGTTGATGAGGGTGGCAAGACTGGTGAGGTTCTTGGTTCTGGTGAGAAGCGAGAGGGTTTGTCTGGTGAGAATGCCGTCCCTGGACAGCCTTCTTTCCAGTTCTCCAACATTGAGTAGGTTTGATGAAAATATATGGCGCCTCTTCATTTGTTTCGTTTAAGAGTCATGTTTGATGAGCTTATGCTAAAAAAATAAATTCCCTGCTTCATGGTTCTAGACGTATTTGTTTCGGTCGTACCACGAACTACGAATCATATCAGTGGCAGGTTAAAATTTAGAATAGCTGCTTATGAGCTACCTAGGTGCCTAGTGGATGGAAGATGTACACTACCTTCTCTCACATTGATTCTAAAGTTGCAAAATGATCTAGACCTGGGTTCTAATTCGGCATTAGAGTAAATCCTAGCTTAGCTATTAAAGGATAAAGACTATTCAACTAGCTAATTAACTTGAATAGTAAGAGATACACAATACCTCTGTCGTCTATAATGATATTTACCCAGGGTACATGCTCGTGTCTGATGATAGGATTGTATGGATTGATTTTGATGCCGCGGAAACTTTCGACAATATAGGTCCCCTTTAGAACAGTTCTTACGACAATGAAATCGGTGCAGAGCTTGGGAAGACTATGTCCGTTTCCATTTGGATATTATATCTGACGAGTTTCAGGCCCAGGACCAAAAAGAAGGGCTTCCCCCTCATGCAACATTTTTCTGAGATAAACCGGCGCAATTGCCCAGTTGGGCTCTAGAAAGTGTTTCAAAGTTACGTGACTTGAATATGACCCTGGAATGGAGATTTATCGATTTACAATCAAAAACACCAAGCGCTATGCGGCTATTTTATCGTACATTTTTTGAAGGTTGAAGATTTTAGTTATTACACGAGCTCAGCTATAGCGGTACCTCATGCGTGGCCTATTCCGCTTATCTGCTTTGAGCTTTTCAGCTATAAAGTCCCAGCATCCGATAGGCCGCCGAGATCCTATATGATTTCCGTTTGGAGTAAAAACCTCAAGTTGGGGATAAGCTGGCAAGTCATCTTCGGCACTCCGCTTAGCGCGAATTTGGATGCTGACTTCAATCCAGCCGCAACCCTCAATGAGAATATCAGCTGCCATCACGCGGTAAGGTAGTGCGGGAATTGGAACTCCCTTGTCCTTCACGGCTTTTGCGACCAAGGATGGCAGGTTAGACGATGTGATGTCCCATTTCAAGTCAAACTTTCCTGCAGAGGATATGGAGCTTCCGGCGCCTTCCTTCAAGATGGAAGTTCCCGGATAGGCTCGCTCCTCAGTCTGCATCTCAATTGCCTTGTCTGTTCGGGTAATGTGGGTTCCGATTGGTACAAAGCAAGCTGCCAATATGGTATCTTCCGGGTTCACAGCAGTGATCCGCACGAGGCCACCACCGAGAAGAAGCGATTGACCCGGCTTGACGGTGATACGAGTAGGCTTGATTCTTTTCGTCATGATTAGATCACGCTTGTGCTCATCACGCACAAAATCCTCGAGCTCTGTTCGCTCCATGCCCGGTAGGTCAATTACCTCGCCCTTTCCACGTCCAAAGGGGATGCGGATGGGTGAGACAGTTGTTCCTGGCATCGATGACACAACTGGAAGTACAGGGTAGATATCCTCACGAGGAGCAGGGGGCAGCAGGCTATTAGGATCAAAAAGGGATACCTGGCGTTGCTTAAGGAGTTCATTTTCCAACCGTTGCTGGTGAATCCACTCGCCGATATTCTCCAGACTCTTCGAGTCTTTTGGAAAGCAGGCCTCGATAAAGCTGCTTTTTCCAACGTTTGCTTTACCAACCACCCAGATTCCACCACCGTGTGTCTGAATTTCTTCCTTGAGCTGTTTGGTCCACCAGCCTCGGTGTGCACTAATCATATGTACGTTTCCCAGGCGAACGGCTTTGCCTGCTTGCCCCAGAGACTTGCGGAGTACCGAGCGAACGTATTCCATCTTTGAGTCCACTTGATCCTTTGTAGCTGCCAGCAGATCTGACCGCGTGATAACGAAGCTGACTGTGGGCAGTTTCTTTCCAGCGTGGTATTTTTCAGTTGCAGAGCGTCGATTATGGGAGCGTTGATCTTGAGCAGAAAGGGCCTGGTGTATGCGCGGAACAAGTGACATCGGAAAGTCGGCAGCATCTAAAATGTGGTATACTCGATTGTTCTTGTACGGTGACTCGTCCAGGAGGTCGCGAATGGAGAATATTGATGGTTTAGGCGAAGAAACGGCCTTATTGTGATGTATGAGATCATGACAGCGATCACATATATGAGGAGTTAGGCTTAGAGGATCTGAAGGATCTGAGACTTCGATAGAATCTATAGAAGTATGCTGAGGGTTCAGAGCTTCCTCCGGAAAAGCTGCATCTGTTGCATCGGTTAGCATACCAGATCTAGGAAAATTGTCCAATGGAGTTATCTCACCCGTAGTAGGCATAAGTACTGAGGAATACTCATTAGCTTCGGGATCGGTAGCCTCTGCTAATTGCAACGCCTTATTCTGATTGACAGCTTTCTTCCTGGATGCTAACAGCTTTCGCGTCTGTTTCTGAGTTTGGCCATAGTACCCTGGCTCATTGGCCTCTATTGTCTGCGAATATGCACCACATCCCGGGCAGCATAAAGGCAAGATATGGGTTATATCACCAATAGGAGCTTCTTGTCTTTGAAAGGTGGAGGTTGAAAAACAGCGATGCGATAATTGTATTTTCCGGCTTGGCGAGTACGGCGCAAACGACTCTACGCAAAGTCGAGGATAAATGGAAGGCGGCAACTGACGATAGCATGAAGTTGGTCTATAACGAGATATTTCAAGCCTTAAAGCCCTGGATATGGCCGCTCGCGAGCAAGGCGACATGATGTGTTGTTGGCTTTGCGGAGTTTGAGCGGAGCTTTTCTCTTTAATCTGTTATCGATAACTTATCGTAATTTTAGATAAACTCTGCTCCAGCTATAAGGTGGATCTTGAAATTGATATGAAGTACTGGATGAGTTATTTTAAATTATCTCTCAGAGAAATTGGTAAATTACTAAGTAAATGAAAGTGCTGAAAACGCTAGGAAAGCCCGCAGGAGAACCATCAATATCAAAAAAACGCCGCCATGACCCATGCTTAGAGCTTTTCGATAAGCTCATGCGCGTGCTTTTCCCTTGTTCCTGACATCCGATTCATCTGCTTCCTCTTCGCCGGAGTCGCTCATGAATTCGTCATCATCATCGAATCCAATGAAGCGTCGAGGGGCAGGTTTTGATACCGGAGCAGAAGGTCCAGCCGTGTTCGGGGTACTTATGGTCTTATTCCCCTCATCAGAGTCCGAATTCGACGAAGAAGCCTCCTCGCTGCCGTCACTAGCACTGGTGCTGGAACCTCCCATAATTGCGTCGCGAAGGTTGTCGGTCCAGTCACCCTCCTTCATGGCCAAAAGGACAGCTTCTCGGGCTTTTTCGGTCATTTCTTCCTTATCATTCATCCACTGGCCGTCAATTCTTTCTTTTCCGCCTCTTTTAAGCTCGTCCTGGCGCCGCTCTGCCACTTCCACTACGGATTGCCATCGTTTACGTCGTTCTTCCTTCTCCTTTTGTTCCATTTCTGGCTTGACGACAAGGTACTCTGCAAGGGCTTTCGCCTCGTTGACAGTTCGCAGGCGTCGGCCGTCAAGGTTGCGACTGGAACTATTCTGGTCACCCTGGTTGCGCTTGTGTTTTGAGGACATGCGTCCACCGGCGGCACGAAGTTGAGATCCAAATCCACCCTTTCCACCGCATAGGGGAACAGAGAGACGGAGAGGCAGTAGAGTCGAACCGGAGTCACCATTTCGGGCGACCAGAAGTGACTGAAGTGAATCGGATGACGGCAGAACTTGTTTGTTATCGGTTGTTGTAAGGATGAGAGATTTCACCGAGAGTGAAGATGGGAGGTAAGATGCGACTTTTTCGGTTAGGTCAAAGATGCTGGAAGTGGAAGGAAGTGAAAATGAGACGGTTGGTGGAAGCGACAGTCCAGGAAAAGACGACAACAGGATGTTGACATTTGAAGAAGTCATCTTGAGCGAGGGTTTGCAGATGTCTCTGTACTAGCTATCTCTGAGATGTGGAAAAGGAAGATATAGCAAGGTAAAGATAGTCAAGATGTGATGAGGCCGTAGTGGTCATGTGATAGAGAGATAGATGACTCAGCATAGTTAGCGTAGAGATAACTAGTCATGTCAGGTGATAATGTTCAACCTTAATCCTTATGTTATATAATCAGGGCTGGGCCCTAGCGAGATCCGAAAGAGGAATATTCACACTTTTTACCATCGCCAAGCTCCACTTTCCCTTCTTTAAATCACAACTATTCCCGACTTTGTCAAAGCGATTCCACGAATTGCGCCAGGAACTCGCGACAATGTAAGATGAAGCCCTTTACCACTTTTGGACTCGATCAAATGACTAACAATCTACTAGGCTTATCCCTAAGGACGACCGCAAGAAGATCCACGAGTACCTCTTCCGCGGTATGTGATCATTACCTTTGTCGGCTTCGACCCATTGCAGCAATGCGCGCGGCATGACCAACATTATTCGGAACATGTGAACTGACTTATATTTCAGAGGGTGTGCTCGTGGCCAAGAAGGACTTCAACCTCCCCAAGCACGCTGACATTGACACCAAGAACCTCTTCGTAAGTCCGCCGTCTCAAACACCGCCAATTCCTCCGCCACTGCTTGCCAGCCGACTCCAGGTTTCTAACACTTCTCGCTATATAGGTCATCAAGGCTCTCCAGTCTCTTGACTCCCGTGGTTTCGTCAAGACCCGCTTCTCGTGGCAGTACTACTACTACACCCTCACCCCCGAGGGTCTGGACTACCTCCGCGAGTGGCTGCACCTCCCCGCTGAGGTTGTCCCCGCTACCCACATCAAGCAGCAGCGTTCCCACGCTCCCCCTCGTGGTATGATGGGTGGTGAGGAGCGTGAGCGCCGTGCTCCCCGTGCTCCCCGTGAGGGCGGCTACCGCCGCCGCGAACAGGAGGGCAAGGAGGGTGGTGCCCCTGGCGAGTTCGCTCCTTCTTTCCGTGGTGGCTTCGGCCGTGGCCGTGGTGCTCCCCAGCAGTAAGCTGTTGGACCACTTCGGTGCTATCCACTTCCGGTCATCTTAGGGTAGTCGGTAGAATAAAAAAAAATCAGAGCATTGGAAACATTGCTCTGAAATATTATTATTCAACGAGTGAATTTTGTAGTGCTATTCCCGTATATCTAGCCAAGACGGTTACCAGATGGAGGCTCGGGTAGAGATCGACACTTGACTACTTGAGTTTTGTGGTGTCCATTCATTCACGTCACTAAATCGAAACGAAAATATTTCAACTATCTATGCAAATCTCTTCCGATCATACCTCACCACAGCCTGCAGAATGACAGATGTTCCAATGGCGCAATCATCTGCAGAGCAAAACTCCTCAGGGTGATGGCTAAGACCATCCTTACATGGAACAAAGATCATACTGGTTGGTACACGCTTCGAGGTGAAAACACTGTCATGGCCGGCACCGCTCATAATATGTCGCACTAGTGACTTCGTGTCCTTGACAGGTGCATCTGCAACAACGGCATGGGCAGATCGTTCCACACATTCAATGCAGTCATCATGAAATTTGACCGCAGGTGAGTCGAAGTCGAGTGTCCACTCAACACGGCAGGGCTTTCCGATGCCAGCACCCTCTGCTGCTGCAATGGCATCAAATTCACGGCGGAGATCTTTCTCTACCTCAGCAACGAGGTCTGTTTTTGGTCCACGGATATCAAGTGAGAACCCCACCTCACCTGGTACTGTATTCACACTGCCTGGCTTCACTTCAATAATACCAACGCTGGCAAGGCAGCCACGAGCCTTGGCAACTTCTCGTGCTTTTACCATCATGCAAGAAAAGGCATACAATGCATCTGCGCGGTGCTCGAATGCTGTCGTTCCCGTATGTGTGTCTCGTCCGATCACCTTCAATCTAAACCATCGATAGGCTTGTACCGCTGTAACCACTCCGACCAGTTGGCCAGCTGATACGAGGTGTGGACCTTGTTCAATGTGCAGCTCGAAATGTGCAGCAATTGGCGTTGCCTTGTATGAACAAGGTACGCTTCCGAGGTAGCCGATTTTGCGCAGAGCAGTCTTCATAGATTCGGGACTGGAAGCTGCTGTAGGTAGAGAAGCGACAGTCGATACTTCTTTGAGATCATGAGCCACTGATAGTGGAATGCACTCTGCCCACACTCCAGCGGAAACCATGCTAATTGGGAATCGGGCCCCTTCTTCACTGCGATAGAAGGTCAGTCAATCGTATAAGAGGGATATAAGCTTTTTAGCTTCCTATACTTTGTCCAGTTTACCACGCCGACGCCTCCTTCTGTCTCCAGGCCCATTTCGTCCATTCTTTTGATCGTTTCAACGCCAGACAAGACTCCCAAGATCCCATCATATCGACCTCCTGTTGGCTGTGTGTCCAGATGACTTCCGATAAAAGTGGCCGGTACATCTGCTCTTCTTCCTGGGCGAATTGCGAAAATATTGCCCATCTCATCTATGGTAATTTGGCACTTAAGGTCTTCCATGGTTTGGACAAACCAGTCCCGAACACTCTTATCCTCTTCTGATAGAGAAAGACGCTGCATTCCGGTGTCAGTTGGTCCCCTACAGCCAAAAATATGATATTTAGCTCATATTGCAAAGTTGACAGAAACAGATTATTGTATCTTGGCCAGACAATTTCTGCTAATGCGTTGCTTAGACACTTACTCCCCCCATCGGATTCCAAACCCCCACTGACAAGAGTCATGTAGATCTTTTGCCAACCTGTCCTTGTTGGCTCTCAAGGCCGAAATCTCGGCTTCGGAGAGTTCCGTTGTCAACATGGCTTGGTACTTGGTCGTTGAGAATTGTAGATTTGAACCTAAAGTCGGCTTACGTATCCTTCGAGAAGATATTCTCGATGATCTTACCAAGGCTAAGAAGCTGTACATGCTGAAATTCCCGGTATCTTATAATGAGGTGGAGGTTATAGATAAGGAAGTGGGGAAGCGGACAAAGTCCGTCTTTGATAAATTAAGCAAGTAGTAGTCACTACACCGGCGATTTTTGAAGGCCAGCTCATATGCATGACCCATATTCGAACATCCATTAGAAATTTTGACCGAGACAATCTTGGAATGCCTTCTAAAGGTTCTTAGTCTATAACTGGTGGGTTTAAGCTCAAAAGCGCTTAACCATATATAGTTAGTGTTGAGTCAAGCTGACCCAAATATAACCTTTTCTGGTTAGGTTTACACGTCATGTGACACAGTACATTGTATATCACCAACTTCAAAGCATTCCATCTCCCATCTTCACCCGACGAACTTACAATATTAAAATCAATATGGTGTCACTTGAGACTGTTCTTAAGCATAACTCTAGCCTGAAGGGGTACGGTCCCAACCTCGTGGCAGTCTTTGGTATTATTGGCCCATATCTCTCCCTTGTTAGTTACAATGCTGACATACCCTAAGTGGGTGGAACGAGCGGAATCGGTGAAGCAACTGCCCGCGCATTCGTGAGAGATACAATATCCTCTAAGATTTATCTTGTCGGACGCAATGAGGTGCAAGCATCCAAGATCATCGAGGATCTACGTCAAATCAACCCGGATGGTCAGATCAGCTTTGTCAAGTGCGATGCCGCGCGTCTACAGAGCGTAGATGAAGCCTGCAAAACTATCCAAGAGAAGGAAGAAAAGATAAATTTGTTGTTCATGAGCGCTGGAATTCTAACAACAAAGGGTCCAGATGGTACATGTGTTTCTGAACATTAATCGTGGACACCTGCTAATAGTTTCCAGAAACCGACGAGGGTATAGACAAGAAGTTCAGCTTGCATTACTACTCTCGTATGCGATTTTTAGCAAATATGCTGCCTCAACTCACAAAGGCTGGAGATGTCAGCGATGGTGATTCTCCAGTTCAGCCTGGCCTACGTCGCAATCTGTCTAGTGTGGTGTCTGTGTTAGACGGCCGCGGCGAGGGACTCCTGATAATGGATGATCTGTCCTTGAAGAGAAATTACTCACTACGTAACTGTGCTACGCATGCCATCACCATGACTACTCTGTCTATGACAGAACTCGCGGAATCGAATCCGAAAATATCATTTGTACATTCCTATCCGGGTGTCGTGAAAACAGGTCTAGCGCGTAACTTTGGCACTTTCACTCGACTAGGAATGAATGCGATCATGGTCCTAGCAAAACCCTGGATGGTACCCTTGAGTGATAGTGGCGAGCGTCATCTATACGCCGCAACCAGTTCGCAGTTCCCACCACGAGCCAGCGGTGAAGCCAATGCCGCACCTGGCGCAGATGGAACTAATGGCAGCGGCGTTTATCGGTTATCCTGGGACGGATCTACTGCTGAAAATAGCAGCTACTTGCAAGAATACCGCAAGAGTGAGACAGGGAAATTGGTGTGGAAACATACTTTGGAGGTATTTGAGACCATCTGTGGCAAACCGTGATCATTGTGATGGAGCCTACTCTCTCTCTCTCTCTCCGCTCATGTTTTCTAGTTAACTATCAATTTTTAAATTGTGTCCATGATTTAATTTATAAATTATATCATAACCCTCTATCAAGTTTGTTCAAGACAACTAGAAACCAATCAAACTGGGTCAAAGTCACGTGGTATTGCCTCCCTCGTAGCCCGCAGGCTCATCGAGGAAATTTTTCAGCCGGAGGCGAAAACACTCTCGGGATTTCAACCCCGAGCATTATATAAACGTTCATTAATGTGCTTACCCCTGAAAAATCCTAGAATTGTCTCGCTGCGGACTCGAGCGAACGCCCCCTGAGTGCGCATTGACTTAATCTCGCGCCCCTTGAGATTCAAACCTCTGCCACAATCATGTTCGAGGACTTCTCCTTTTCGTCGCCGACTTCACAGCCTCCCCGGCTTGGGATAGATACTGAGGATAGACTTATGATAGATTGCGACAGTGCTCTCATCTCACCATTATCATCACGTTGTTCATCTCCGTCGCGTCGGTTCCGCACGCTCTCCCGGTCGAAGTCCTCATACTTCCGGTCTCAGCAGCCACCTCCAACTTCTGTCCCCTTCTCTTACGAACAGAAGCGTCTCTCTATTTCCACTCTTACACAGAAACTCCATGAACATACTTTACAAACTCCTAACGAATCCGTTGCCGATCGAGGCCGGCTAAATTATGATGGGTTTCGGCTATCCGGGAGATATCCCGGGTGTATTTTGACGCCACCGGATATGGATCATGATGATACAGGCCGTTCCGATTCATCCCTTTCACTTTGTTCAATTCCAAGTCCAACTTCCATACCACCGGAATTTTCCAGAGGATCCTTAGAAGGCCCGATGGATTTTCCACAACTGGATCATCTCAATGTGCGCACTCGACGACAGAACCTCTCACAGTTGCAATGTAACAAAGATGACATGGAAGCTATTCGCTGCGCAGTACTGTCCGAAGATTCCATGGACCCTGAACTCTCTCAAGACGACTGCCATCCCAGTTCATTGCCGCCGCGATCTTCACCGCGCCGGAGAGTCTTGGCGTTGCACCGGAGTCGCTTCGGCCCACCAGATATCTCGGCTGACCCGCGTGGTCGGCGGAGAAGTAACTCGATAACAATGCAGTCTCATCGTATTGAGAAGAGCCATATTCCGTTTCCTGGTCGAGATGCGTCTAAGCGCTGTGAACAGGGCCTTCGGCGGAAGAGTATGGTGAGTGCCGCCTTGGCATCTGTCGTGGAACATGCGTGATATGCACGTATTCAACTTTATATTTCAAATGATACCCAAATTTCAAATCAAATCTTCACTCTATAGAGCAGCTCGGCTCTTTCCATTACATAAGAACCAATCCAGTCAAGGTTCAATCTTTGAAATTATTGTTCGAAATCACTTGAGCTCACTAATTCCGGGGTTCCCAGTACCCTTGGAAACTGAGCTTGTTGGCCACCTGAATGTGCCTCAAATCAAGGAATATATTACTGCTAAGATCCATTGTGATGCCTAGGTAGGTATGCTTCCAAACCCTTGTTTGTCGCTATTACCTGAACATAGTTAGCAATCTCCACGGGGACAGGGCTGACAAAATTTCCTTTATAACCATACGGTTGGGAATTAAATATAAGTGCTAATAGTACATTCTTCTCCATATGTTTGCAACTCTTGCCTAATGGCCAATTGGCGACAGATGTTTCCATCCAATCATTTTAGGATTGAATATACGGTATAACGTGTTTCAATGTGAGCGTGCTCACAGCTATTATCTAACCACCTGGTCAAACCCTCATCTAGGTCTAGATCCATCCATAGATTCGATGTGAGCACGGGGTCTACTATTCTCGTTATCGATATATTCCAAGGTTATTCAATTCATCCCGAGGTCCCTATCTTTATGTTCTCCTGCTATTATATCATTTTAACTAGGTCATTTCATCTTGCGTATTTTTGCTATCTCACATATGTGATAGAGATTCTGATTTTCTGAGTGGCAGAAAGGTCGATGAGGCAAATGGAGAATGTCCGGAGCACCTGGAATTATCGAGATCGTAGTAAATTTCGCGCTTTTTCCAGCTGCACTACTTCGTAGTTCAGCCACCTGGGCAGGGCTTGGAATGAACCACCAAATCTATCTATTGACAAAACACTTGTAGCCTATAAGTTTGATACTCTTGGCCACGCGGCAAGTCAATCTGTATAATTTTTCTGTACTTGTTCATTCGTTCTTAAAAGCAGGTGGATTATAATACCTAGGTCTCAACAATGATCACTTAGGTATGTTAAGTATCACCAAATCCTGGTATTTCAGAACGTTGGAAGCAGGTGAGTGCGTATAATATGGTCAATTCTCTGGCTCCTTAATCTCAATTGATGGATACAGTGTCCTTAGAGATCCCCTATACCACTTATTTAGCGCCAACTCCTTGCGAGATGCTCTCAACATCCCTGCCTCAGCTAACATACCCAGATGATTGATTGCCTTAGGACCAATCAAACCCCTTGTGGATAGCAGAATAGTCCCTTCTAAATGAAAATATATCCCATGGTTTGAGGCCATACAAGGATGTACTTGATTGCTAAAAGTCATTGGTCAACAAAAATAAGTCATGATCTTCTCAAAATGATAAGCAGAATTGTGGCGGCGCTACGCCGAGGCAAATCTGGCGTTCAATCCACAGCGTGGGATGGAAAAACTGTCCACTAATCATCCAGATATACTAAGTACAGCTATAGGGAAAAAGTCTGCCGACAGCCGGGTTTTAGACCCCAAATATGTATATGATTACTTTCAACGCCAATAACTCCACCAATATCATAGATATAGGTTTATAATCTATATTTCCATATACATAATTGGCCATAAAATAGACTCCAATCTAAAATTCAGTATAATAGCCTCCTAAACCATCGTATAGAAGCAAATCTGCGGGGCATAGATAGAAATAAGCTATCAACTGTAGACTAGAATGGCATTATCTTGCTGGAATACATTACTATTAATAAAGGATCAATGAAACTTCCAATTAGAGCAGAAGATGAGGACATAATGCTTTGATATGCTGTAAACTTGATGATTCCACCTGCACACCACTTTTACTGCTTGCAAATTATACCTGTTCATCCGTACGGGATAACAAGTGAGCTACACTTCGGGTATTCAAAAAGATGATGAGTACTCAATTCCGAAACCCGAGGACCATCCGATGAAGAAGCTCCAGTTTGCGAAACTTTTAGGTAAGACCAACCTAGAAAAATGCCTCTCGGCTCCATCGCATGTTGCGCGAATCCGACTCCGAATAGTATCTATGTCCTGCTTATTCTACACACTGAGACCAAAAGTTCCGATTGTAAATTCCGTGACAGCAAACCTACATCTTTCGGTGCATCTTTAGCGATGCTTTTCTAGTACATTCGGCGAAGAATTCCGCGAAAATTGTACCTCTGTCGGTCCTTTCATCTTATGGCAACTGACCTGCTTTTCTGTCGTGATAGGGCTAAGCCCCATGTAGAAATTTGTACATTGTCAAAGCTTGAGCCTATTAAGGAATAAAAGAGTGCTCAGTTTCGACAAAGAGTAAATCATTCCAGAACTACAACTATCACATAAGCTCGAGCATATCTGCCCATCTCATTTACAATGACAATCCCGAAAGAATATAAGGATGTCCCAACTGCTGAACTCTCCACCATCCGGTTTATCAATCTTTTTGATAAAGACAAATCCGAATTGAGAAAATTGATAGCCGCCTGTGAAAACGATGGTTTCTTCTATCTTGATCTTGAGAGTAGTGGCTCCGAAAAGTTTTGGGCAGACCTGTATGAGATTGATAGCATCACGAAGAAGTGGTTTTCTCAGTCCACAGATGTGAAGCTGAAAACTCCTACTGTGTCTCTTGCACATGGGTTAGTTGTACCTGTTCAAATTTGAACTCTGCTTTCAACATCTCCACTAACTAGTTCAATCCAATTAGGTTCAAGGCTATGGGCAATCAATCGGGAGCCGTCGAATCCCAAAAGAATGGCTTTGAAGCCCTCAAGGTAAGCATTTCAAAGCATGCACCGATACCTGACACAAAGACTAAGAATATCAGATTGGGAAGTTTGAATTGGATGGTCGATGGGCACTCCCTCTTGTTGTCCAGGAAAACCTTGCATTGTTTGAACAGTTCACCGCTGCCTGTCATTTCATCTCAAAGCTTTTGCTAGACTGCATCTCGGATGAATTGGGCCTTAAGGGAGATGCTCGCCTCGAGACCCATCACCCGGGATGACTGTCGCTCAAAGAGCACACTTTACTTCCTTCACTACCCCCCCCCCCCCCCCCCCCCCCACCATCAACGATCCAAAAAAAGTCGGTCAGAGCATGCACACCGATATTGGCAGTCTCACAATCCTCTACGCGCCACAATAGGGTCTTCAAGTCTTCTCTTCGGAGGATGCTACTTGGAAGTATGTTGAGCCACGACCAGGTCATGCAATTATCAACGTGGGAGACACTCTACGTTTCCTCTCGAACAAGCAACTTCGCTCTGCGCTGCATCGCGTGCTACCCCTGGGCCGAGTCCAGACTGAAGATCGGTACTCTATTTCGTACTTCCTGCGAGCTTCGGACTCAACTGAGTTTGAGGACAGCAACGGAGATGACTCGAGTGCCAAAAAGTGATACGCTAAGAAATATCAAATGTATGAGTTACCACTCGCGGTTCAGAAGCAGCACACGACTCTTTCTGGTGGAATGGCGCAGGAGCTACAGGCTAGTTTTTAAACTACAAGAAGAACTGGAGCCTCTATATGCGAATCAATATGGAAGTAGTAACGTGAAGAACATATAAGGACAATATTTTTCAATATTTAGCTCTTCTTGCTCAATCCATCAAATTTACTTGATTATCAATTGTACTACTGAGTGGACAGCAAGTCCTGTTCACCATCCTGCAGTCATATATACCAGATCAGTAGTGCTGCATTGGTCGATAAGATAGATGTTCAGAAGACCGGTGATGGTGATTCCAATCTTCCTTTGTCTAAGAATCTACAACGTATGTCAGGAAGGGCCCAGAATGTCCTCGATAGGATGGGTTTGAAACACATCAGTCTCCTATACCTAATAGATGAATCAAATCATTATTATCATTATAATTTCAACGCTCATAAGTAGCTAGATGCTAAAAGATAACAAACAAAACACCAAAATATTACGTAGAATATTCAAATCAAGTTCTACAGCCGCTTTTCTTAGTAAAATACCCATGAGATGTCCATAGCCCGTCCATGGGCTTTGAAAAGATCTAGCAGGTATAATTGTTTTGGAAAATATTTTGATGTGAAGTAATAAACCATGGTAGTATCAGTCCGAAAATCCTCAAATATAGCCGACATTAAAAAGGCGTTCTGTGATTGAACGACATCCTACACAACACTTCGGAATTCAGTTATCCTGTTGGAAGAAAGACAAGTTTCTGCAACCACCTTGTACGACTGTATTTGACTATGCGTCCTTTGGTCTTTGGTCTCATACATTTTCCCATGGAGTATTATTTTAGTCCATCCAAAACTTTGGCCTAATATTGCATAAGAGTAGAATCTGAATACTTTTTGCTACATGTTCTAAGCACTATACCCTCGTCCAACACTATATGGGTATCGGAGTTGGTGATCATAGATTGAGACTTCTCCGTAACAAAAATGGAATTAACGCCATATCTTACCTTGATCTTTAAAGCAGAATCTACTTGAACTTTGACACCAAATGTGGCAAAACTCAGATTGATTGGGCTCTATTTACTGCCGCACTTCGTAAGGCGTAGGACAAAACAGACGGTTTTATTCTCAGCCTACCCCACCGAATCTCAGTCATTGAAAAACTAAAGGATAATATAATAAGGGTTAATAAGCATGTTTATATTGTTTCGTTAAGATGTTCAATTTTAAAAGTTCTAATTTTTGCGGGAATTTGACGGTGTGCCAAACTTTTGACTATGTATCCATTATAGTAAATACTGTTCTAAGTGACTTGATGCCGACGGTCTTATTTCATTCATGATAATTGAAGCTTAATCTACTTCAAAAAATGATGATTCTGTTAGTCACTGATGTAGGAAGCTGTGTAAATTGCGTCTTATAACCCCGGTGGAGCCGGAAGTTTGTACATAGTAGTAGTAAGTCCGAGAGGCCGAAATCTTCCTATTAGTCGAGAACAGGCTCTGGGAACTATTAGATATTGCTAGTTTATCTTTACCTTCTGCAAAGGGCCGAGAAAATGCCCCGGTAATACAATTAACTTTCTATCTCAGGCTATCTTGGAAAGCCCTTCAGTTGTATGGCCTACAAGAAACCCGACATCTAAGCTCAGGGTATATTGCCATCATAAAAGATTAAAGATCGCTCAAGGTATGCCAAAAACCTCACATGAAGCTTCAAAGCAAAATGGGCGATGGACATGAAGATCACGATGATATCTCGAGCACGGAGTAGGATGAGAATTTACCACCAGACGGGGGCTGGAAAGCATGGCTAAGCGGTATAGTAACTACCATATTACAGATTTTATCATCATTCTCATCATCATTCTTCTTTTTTCAGTACTCTGCGGTCATCTTCTTCTTATGAATACCTGGGGTATTGTCAACAGTTTTGGTGTATTTCAGACGTACTACACCGCGCTTTTGAACCGCTCAGCTGCAGATATCTCTTGGATAGGATCTATCCAGATATTCCTTTGCTTTTTTGTGGGTGGTTTAAGTGGTCGCTTTGCAGATAGTGGCCTCTTACGCTATGTCTTGATATCCGGCACAGTAATGGTGATCCTTGGCATATTCACCGCTTCAGTTTCTACTCAATATTGGCATTTGATACTTTCACAGGGAATATGCTGTGGACTGGGTAGTGGTTGCCTTGTTACTCCAGCAGTATCTGTGGTTTCCACATACTTCGAAAGAAAACGTTCACTAGCCATTGGTATCGCTACTTGTGGCTCTGTCACAGGAGGGCTCATCTTCTCTGCCATGGCAAGACAACTTATACCCTGTGCTGGAATTGGGTGGGCACTACGAGGTATCGGATTTGTACAGGTGATCACACTGTTGTTTGTGACTGCATTTATGAAGACACGACTACCGCCATGTAAAGCTGACAGGCTTGTGGAATGGAATACTTTCAAAGAACTTGAGTATACATTCTTTACAGTGGGAATGTTTTTTGTATGTACCTCCTTCTTAATTCAAGTGCCGGTTCAAACAGCTGATATTGCTTTTTACAGAATTTTTGGGCCGTATTTTTCGGCTTCTACTATCTCGCCTCATACAGCAGCAGTATTGTCATTCCTCGATTTACCTATACCAATTCCTTGGATATTCTTCTGATACTCAATAGCATTGGTGTGGTTGGGCGTATGATATCAACCTACTTTGCTGACATCGTAGGACCACTAAACATGATGATACCGACATCTCTGATAGCCGGGATCGCAGTTTACTCATGGATTGCTGTACTTACCCAAGCCCAACTCTATGCAAGGACAGTCGTGTATGGAATCATTGCTGGCAGTATGTTGAGTCTGTTCCCTGCGGGAATATCAAGCCTTACAAAGGATTTATCGAAACGTGGCACACGTACTGGGATGAACTTTACCATTGTCAGCTTTGCAACGCTGACAGAGGACTCGATTGCAGGAGCATTAATCTCGGCCAATGGAGGCAGTTATATTGGGGCTCAAGCATTTATGGGTAGCTGTTTTTTAGTTGGCGGGGGTTTGTTTTCGCGGCGAGACTGATTAGACAACGGAGAAGCAATGGAGGTTGGTGGATTAAAATTTAGATGATAGAAGATGTTAAAATATGATGCTATTATGGAAGAAGATAGTACGTCAATGATAGAATATAGATGAATATTTGCGCATATCAGGTTGTATCTTAGATGTTAACTGGAGGAGAGATACGGAAAACCTACAGGGGTGACATTGGGCGAGGCAAGAACGTGGGAATTTACCTGTTGGGCAGCAACTATAGTTTCTTTTGTATTTAATTTCTAACTGGTGTTGGGCACAAGGTCCTGCTTCGGATGGCTGAAGCGCCTGCATAACATATACACGATTAGTAAAGCTCGATGGAGTTAATTGAATCGAATCGAATTGAATTGAATCAGATTGTAACCAATAATGCAATTTTAACCTCTGATCCCTAAGTAGCTTTTAGTAAAGTGAATCCCTATCCCTGTCGTTCAGGAAGCCAATCAAAATATTATGTTTATAGCAGCTCTCTATTTTCAAACACCCACCATCCCACCAATTCGTTCAAAAAAGAAAAAGACAAAACAGAAATCTGTCTATGAGGAGGGCCGTATGAGAGTGGCCATTGAAGCTATAGAAAATGGCAGATTCCATCAGCTTTAACTGCAGCATGTTCATTTAATGTTACAAAGTAAACTCTCTATGATCGTTTAAATAGTGTTGAAATTGGGTCGAGAAACGACCATCTGGTCATCAATTGACTCCTCCTGAAGAAATATCTATAGAGAGGTGACTAGCATCTATAAATGAGAGAGTTGTAGCTTCTACCTCATCTATGTAAAAGTCATGACCAATAATTTACTCTGATCGTAGCCTTCAGCCACCTCTTTAACCACCTCTTCTGTAAGCAAAAACTAGTCACCATAGTTCTTTCAACGCTGTCTAGATCTTAAAATACAATTTTCTCGGAGGTATAGTTATAAGAGCTGGGAATCGCGAATGAGTCAAATATATAAAGGCTTCTAGAGTTACTTTACCGTGTAAATCATGATTAGTGCAAGAGGACAAAAACCGCCCCCTGAGCCAAAAAGACTACTTTAATCTTCCAACGGGAAGATTAACTTCTAAAAACACTTATATACCAATTATTCGACGTCAGACAACCTATTCTGGATGTATTAATAAAGGTCATGCATATACTAAATGGTCTGATCGAGTCTTTGAGCCATATTTATTTTATTATGGGTTCTGAAATCGCGGTTAAAAAATGTAAATTTTGAAATTTGATGGGGTTTCCGGAATGGCATTGCCTAATTATTATTAGCTTGCAACTCTTTGGATGTAATAACAACACAATTCATTCAATCTGCCCTATTCTTGACACTATGGTCAAAGTCTACTAGTTTCATGAGAACCGTGAATTATTGGACTCATTGACGATGTCCATGTCAACCGACATTGATCAGTCAGTACAGAGTAGACGTACGGATCAGGACCCTCGACCCACTTATCAGACCGACCCACAGCGCCTCAACCACGGCACTAACGGGTGTTAGTTCTTCACATCTCATCACATTGGTATTATATATACACCACCCTCATACAAGATTCAAATTGAGCTGATTCATTTGACCTATCAGATAAAATCTTTTTGTTGATATTCTTTGATCTCATGGTTTCTTCATCTGAAAAACTTACGTGACACGTGACACACTACAGTGTTTTCTGTACCTGGGTAGCTTTGCAAAGATTTTAAAGTGAACAAGAACTTCTAATCATTTGAGGGACTACTGAAAGCCTATCCAGCCGTACTGATCCAAACACGATCGATGTGAATCACGCTAAACCACTTTCTATACAAAATCAACAAAGTCGAATCCGACGAGTGTCGCTGCGGGGAGAGGTCTTCAAGAAGACACGTTCTCATGAAGTTCCTGTTATATACATATATGAGGAGAAACTGATGTTGGCCAAGGTCTCAAGGACGGACTTAGATAGCCCTACAGACTACGACTCCGTGGTATCACACTCGCAGGCCGCCCACTATATAGCCAAGCCAAATTTATCATCTAGACAGATATTTTTGGACAATTCAGGAATATCAATGCCGACTTAGATTCTGAGGAAGATGAGTTGGACCGAGAGGACCACGACAACGACTAGCTACAAGATTGCAACATCGTAGCGTGGTGAAGACGCTGGGTAACACAGCTTACAGAAAAAGCGCGGACGAATACATCCTACCACAATCGAATGACAAAGAAGGAATGAAACGAGAGGAAGATTCTACGGGACAATGGGAGCAAAGGAAGTGGAAAATAAGGATATGAGGGCGATAGCATGGACGGTATTTTAGTATTTATTTATAAGGGTTTAGGCGACTTTACTTTGGCACGACGCCAAATATCCTTTGTATCTACTGTCTACATTCCGGCGTTTGGAATGCGCCTGTTTCCGCTGGAGGAAACACCTACATAGCTATACACTACTAGTTTGGCTGTATCAGGTTATAGAATATTGATTGATTGATCAATGATCATGTGGCGAATACGACAAGTATTTGATATCATCCATGGCGACTCATAGTCCAATGAAAACCCTTGAATAATGCCTTCTTTACCCTCAGATGAAAATACTCCCATCAAGACTTGTCCTTCTTTCCCTTTCCACGACCTTGAAAGCTCCAATCAATCTGTCTAGCCATTCTCACATTCACTCCAAGCTCATTGGCGAAGGCAGGTGGGGTATCCCCATGACTTCAATATCTACTGGGGATATACCTCTTTGCTCAACCTGATTGACTATCCTTCTGTAATTTTGCCAATTACGAACTTCAAGGTGGATCCTCTGCTCGATCCTGTAGATCACAGCTACAAGCCACTGGAAACAAATCCCTACGACAAACCTAATTACGTCTTGTGTAAGTTATCTAAGCTGATTTTGTTTTCTTGATTAATGCGGTGTCTCAATATCACTCACTCCCTAATAGATGATCCTGATCTGTTCACAAATTAGCCCTCAACCATTCGGATCGTTGGGCGTCCCTTCGGGGACGAAGAAGCTATTCGTGTAGCTTCCATTCTGGACAAATTGTTCAAGAGTCGGTAGGCAAGAATTGGCTGGCATCCTCTCACTGGTCAATCGGTCAACTTAATTTCAACTGGCGTGCCATACGGATAATCTTCGAGCAAGCTGGTTAGATAGAACTTGAACTTTGTTCAAGATGAAACAGGTTTAAATGACCGGCTCACCCTCAGGTTTTGCTCAAAATTTTATGTTTTTTTCTATCAGTTTTCGATCCCTCTAGTAGTAGTGGTGTATAATGTAGTGTAATCGGCGATTATGAATCCTACACTCACCCTGTCACCTAGGCAACACCTACCTGACAATTGGCCGTGGATAAGCCACAGACCGATCAGTTAGTAGTATGTTGAATGACCGTATGCGTTGTATGTTTCTATATTTGGTGTTTTTTTGTCAAGTGGGTGATCTAAGTGAGAATTTTCCGAGTATCGAGAATAGCAGTGACCCTGATCTACTGGTTAGAAGGGTATAACTTGGAAGAAAAACTCAATCTGACTCTCTGGGCTGATAATAAACTGGCTCAACTCAAGCAGAACATCAATACTTGATATGAAGAATTTGAGGACAAGAATTAGGTATGGGAAATAAATTGGATATATAGAGAAGTCATATAGTAAAAACATGTGAGAAGAATACCTAAAGAGGTTTAGAGAGCACCATTTCCATTATATCGTATCGATGTGGAATCCAATCAATTTCCAGATCGCCAGCTAAAAAGCTTTCTCAATCTCTTACGCGAAGATGGAGAATGTTTTCGGGTATTTCCATTTCCAGCTGCCAGAGAAGTGTGGTATCCACGTTGTTGCATGTCGTCCAGTGCACGAGGAGAATGGCCGCGGAGGCCCATTGTCTCCGCATTAGCTGCGGCCAGCACGGATTGAACATGTGGGTCGAAGTATATTGGATCGTAGGCGTCGTGATTTTCGGCATAAGATGGGGACTTGGTGTTTGCATAAGTGTCATATGGAGATGGCATCTCAAAGAAGATACCGCGATCACGCTCGTCAACTTGAGCCCAATTGCCGTTGGCATATACTGGGGAGCCCGGCTCGCCAATGTCGCTTTCTTCGGAGTAAAAAGTTGGTGGAGATGAGGATAAGGGTCGCGAAGATTCAAGATCGTCGGAGTTAAGGTCGTCGTCTTCGTCTGCATGCTCTGATATAGATGCTATGCGTGTATTTGAAGGGTCGTCTACTAGGTCGTGATATGTGTGGTTATCGTGTTCATTGTTTTGTTCTCTGACCATCCTCCAGTAGTCATAATCGTGAATGGAGTAATCGGATAACGAGCGAACTCGGTCGTACACCCCAGGTGACGACGAGGGAATATCCGCTATCTGCCGCTTGGGCGTGGAACATCCCGTTGAATTGGGAGTGTAAAGCGAGTGTGAGTAGTGGGATGGCAAGGAAACATCCGTAAATTGAGAAAGCCCCTCATCTAGAGAGTACGAATTGGAGGAGACTCGAGCTTGATCGCGGTTGCCGGAAAAGAGTGAACAGTTGTCAACGTCTTCAATGAATGACACGATGCGGGTGACATCTAAAGACTCCCGTGGATTCAGAATCTCAAAGGACGCTCCTCCGTGCGAGATGGTGGCAACGGCCTGCGTGTTGGCCAACATCGAGTCAGACGTTCGGGGACAAGACAGAGGCAAATCTAAAGCCTGACCCCGAGCCTGAGCCTTTTCCTCAAGCTTTTGGCGGAAAGTGTTCTAGATAAACCTTGTCAGAATTGGGGACAGATAGGTCTTTATAATGTTTCAGTCCACTCACCAATCGCTTCCTGTTCTGTCTTGGACGGGTCAGGTTTGCCGAGACAAGATACTCTCGTGGCCCCTGTAAGGGATCCGTGCCTGCAAAGTCGGTGAGTCTCTTGTGTATAATGACCATGATGTTATTTCACGTTGCATTGAGGTAGTACTGACCTAATGATAGTTCTGTGATATAATCTTGCTCGCTTTGCTGAGTAAGGATGCTATTTGAGTAAGAAGGTGATAATGGCGGAGGACTGGATTCTGTAGACGATATAGACTCGGCGTAAGGAACTATATAGATTGGCTGTGGTCGACTCAAATTTTTTATTGCCTGTTTGCGCCTGACTTTCAGTTCAGAAAGGTCGACGAGATCGGCAACACACTCTGCACTCTCCGCAAGATTTTTCCGGTATTCATGAAGTGATAAGGCACCTGTGACCCCAAATGAACGAGGGGGGAGTGACACTGCATGTGCTAAAAGGGGTTTGGAGATAGTGCATGCTTCTGCATGAACGCAGTTCCTTTCCTCGTAGATAGGGAACGTTGAATGGTCAGAATCTTGACCGTTGCTCCAGATCCTAATGGAGTAATGAGAGGAGTCATCCATGTTGTTCCTTGTAGTGGTTTTTGGGTAGTTCTTTTCTTCAATCGCGTGTTTAGCGCTGTGACGTATCTCCTAACAGTCCATTCGCAATCTATACATCGGATTGATCAGAGCGGGGAGACTGCAAGGGATAATAATCTATTGGCTTACCAGTTCACCGTCAATGTAAGGTACACAATTGAAATCCCAGAGATGAAATTTTTGTTTACAAGAAATATATCGGAAATTTGACTGAAGTAATGGTTGGTCTAGACTTCGAATTATTCTGTTCATTTGATCTTTCCAAGGTTGGTGGATGAACCCACTGGACCCACATGCAATGTCAGCGTGGAGCCAAACATTTAGAACCAGGAACGATGGGTCGAACCAGTGGTTCTTATCATAATGGGTTTATGTAGGAGTGAAGAGCGTCATCACTCCCACCATTTCCGGCGAGAAAATCTAGGGTCCGAAAAGGCGAAATCTCGGTATCGGCCTGACGGTGCCCAGCTCTGACAATGAGCATTTTAGTGAGGTAAAACGGCCGATTGATTGGACATATCTTCTTATATTATGACGTGCATATTGCAATTCGGGCGATCGTCTGATCTTAGTGTGTTGTTAGCTGCTCCATATCAGCCAATTATGGACTGTATAATCCAAATATAGCCATTCTCGGTCCACTTCTCTGACCAGTGAATGTTCAGAATGAGTACTTCTGATGGAAGGCCTAAAACCCTTGTCTTCTTGTGTTCTCGGAGGCTCGGGAATCGTAGAGATTTCCCAGTGGCGATAAGACTCGTAAGTACGATGAAGAACCTTGATGCGCTGTTGGTCTAGCCCTGTAGCAACTTCCAAGGTCCACTTGAATTTCTCGTCCATGGTTCAACTTCGCCAATGAGGACGAAAAGGCACGAGGGTACCTGACATCTGAATGCATGATCAGCATGGTAAAAGTTACTCCCCGGACCTTGGAAATGCCTCGCTTAGAGTCTCCCCTGAGTGGTTGGCATTGCCATGAAGTAGGTAGAAGTTGAATCTTAGTTTGGGTCGGGTATGGAGGCATTTCCATTTACCGCGTGAGTTTAACCAATGTCGGCGAAGTCCGCTGAAATATCTAGCGAATTAGGATTATTCATCATGATTCATGACTCGTTCATGATGTGGGCATCAATGATGGACGAGTGGGTTAAAGTCATGCTTAGTTCTACTTTCAGAAGCCTCAGGCACTAATATCATTAGAAACTAACAATCCACTTCGTAGTTGTGGACAAAGTTTTTTCTGCTATGAAGTTATTCAATTCTAAAAATCTAGAACAAATTTATTAAAGACTGGATTCAATCTAGGTATCTGCACTCAAGTAGTCGTGATGAATACGCTCAAAAATCAGAGTAGAGAACCTTGGAAATATTAAACAATATTCACATGATAATACTCCAGAATCATGCTTCATCGGCGCAGGTGTATGCGTCGTCATATCCTCAGGTTCTTGTGGTATCGTCGCAGCAAAGTTAGTATTCACATCTACCGGAATATGAGGAAAAGAAAGAATAGAAGCAAATCATCAAAAATATCAAACAAAAATAGCAGTCTCGCTATGAAACTCGGATCTCAGTGATGTTTATATTTCTAGAAAGAGCGTTAGCGCTTGTTCTGTTCAGGGGAGAAACAATTGTACTCACATCTTCCATTTTCCGCCTATTACTCGGGTCCAGCGTATTTCCGGCTCCTAGAAGAGTTTGCCCTAGAGCCTTCGAAACTCCAATCGCGGGTCGAAGAATCACCGTTGGGGCACGCTTCCACACGGCTTTGGCTGCCGCTTTGGCACTGCCACTCTCAACAACTTCTCCGGGGACAGCAACAATAGCATCGCGAGCTAAGAGAAGATCACGCTCAAGACCACTGAAGGCACCTCGGAGGCCCTGAACAACACCGATCGGTTGATCTGCATAGGGAGAAATCTTTTTGGCTTCTTCGTCATCGTCCCAGTCTTCATCGGGAGCGCCAGAGGCACCGGTCGGGGATGTGAGCATCTCTTCCGCACCCTGAAGGGCCGTCTGTGTTCCGATTGCCAGTTTGGCACCCATCTTAACAAGTTCACTGGATGTAGTCTTGGCAAATGCCAGAGCTCCCTTCTGGATGCTACGCACAATGCGCCCGTCTTTCTTATACTCGCGCATCGGGATGACAACGAGGTCCTTCACACCGCCTCCTACGTTGACAAGGGACCGTATTGGCGCTAAACCTGCAAGTACACCAGGAAGCTGGTTCCGTTTGACATCGGGCATCCAGATATCGTTAAGACTAACACCGAGACGATCGAAACCGGAAACTCCATAGATAATAACGTGTCGTAGAACCATATCGGCACCATCGAGCACGAAGAAGTTCATCATTTCCGTTGTACGGCCAGATCGGAGACCGGCATAATCCACTCTTTTGGGCTTAAAATCCAACTTCACCTGGATAGCATTCACCTCTACTCGTTGAAGGAACGGTATGTCTCCTGGAGTGCTGGGGACCTCGACAGATTCGTCTCGGAACTCAAAGAACCGGCTCATGAAGTCCAGGGCATCTTGATCAACAATCAAGCGAATGGGTAAGACCGTGGCCTAAATTCGTTGTTAGAAAAGCCATATTCGAGCAGAAACAGTTCTGCTTACCTTGAGAACAATCTCCGATGCAGCGAGCTCGGGAACAGGCTTTACGGTTAGGACTTCCAGATGAATCATGCTAGTGCCGCTCTCCCTCTCCCCAGCTTCATGCATGTAGGTTGCGAACTTCTTCCAAGTCGAGGTAGGCACGTGGTCAAATATCTCTAAATCTCTCACTCGCACATCTAGAGAGCTCTGGGTTTCCCCAGAGCCTGGTGGGAATGCGACCAAGTCGGCACAAACACCTCGGAGCTCAAAGGTCATTTTGTGGTGCTTGCTACGCCTGAGACGGAGATTCTTCTCCCGATCTGGTCTAGATCTACTAGGGCGACTAGTACCGCCGGTGATCGTAGTTGTTGTCGCGTAGCTTCCAGTCTCGCTGGCGAGGTCGTTGATGTCACGGTTGATTTCACGATGCAGCTCGCGTGGGTCCTTGTTCGCCGGAATGCCGATGTATATTGAATTGAAGAGGAAATCACCAATGACAGACTCCTCATCTTCTTCAGTCTCGGGTGAGGCACGAGCTCGTCGCTCGGTAGCCTTGATTTCAACATCGTTGACGGCTTTGGAGATGGTATCACGGGTACGTTGCCAGTCGTATCCATCAAAAAGATTCCAAATTATATGCATATCCCGGATTCTCACACGAAGAGGACTTCGCTGAAGCTTCTTGTCGTTAGTCAAGCCGTATGTATTGTAAGTGGAGTTCCAGCGATGAGCAGTCCCTCCAACAGCTGACTGTCTGGCGAAATGATCATCTTGAAAATCAAGCTCCGAGAGGCTGGACGAAACTTGATACTGGGAATGGAAGCTGTCCAGAGGGTCATTGGCGCCGGACGCTTGCAGATGCAGTTTTTCGTCATCAATCCCAGTTCCCTCTGGCCCCGGGTAGAAATCGCTAACATACTCAAGTTCATCGTTCAAGTCGTCCTCCAGAACTACATCCAGTGTATGATTGTCGCGCACTGACTGTGTAGGATTGGTCGTAAAGGCATCTCCTGTGAATGACGCAAGCATGTCTTGAATTGGCATGACCTCTGTTCGGTACTTGGCAATAACACTCGGGGGTGTGGGGGGCTGGAGTCCATTCAGTATGCTAATTAGTGTCTGCGTTGAATCTGCACACGTCTCAAGTATCAGGAGGTCATCTCTCAGTTCAACATCCAATGACTTTGTCCCGTCCTCGATGAGATGCATCATTTTGACAACGACCATTGCAGAGGAGATCGTCGTCACTGGTACATAGCCCTCATCTATATATGCTTGCACTTGACTGCTTTGGGTGGCAGCAGAGCTACGTTGACGGAGATTGTCCGCACTCCCTGCATTTCTCACGTCGTCAATGATCATGACAGACGCTTTTCTGATATCCAATGTGGCGTCTGAGGATTCATCGGCGTGCAAGGCACCGCTGAATTTGGCATTGGTGAGCACGAGTAGTCCCTTCGATTGTGAATTACGAGGATTGAGACCAAGAACACTATCTCTAAAAACAACTGCTAACTTCATCGGCTTGGGAGACCTCGATGTCTCTGATATTGGCGATGAAAATGATGACATCGCGGTCATCCGAGAGGAATGCTCTGCAATATTGGAAATGGAATTCGCCATCTCGTTGGCAATGTCGGTGCCCGTTGTATCACAACCCAGCCCAAGGAATGCCATGATGGAAGGTATCGTATACTCGATGCGAAGATGGTGCAGTTTAATCTTGAATGTGGGATCCATCTCATCTGGTATGAATCGAGCCATAAAAGCTGGTGGATGAGGTTGAGTTGAGCTTTGATCTTTACTAGGCAGTGAAGCCTCACCCATCAGCTCTTCATCTTCGTTGCGGTTGACATTCATTGTTCCTATCTGGGTAGCAAGGAGGGAAGGCATGCTGATATATCCGACCTCAACATTTGTAAGATGCGCATTGATATCACCAACCTCCCCTCTCATTTGAACATGAGCTTCAAAGTCGCGAATCAAGGTCAATGTAAGTAGGCCAGGGCGATCGTCCTCTGGTAGATATTTGGTCACATTAGACAAGCGACTCATTTCACTTCCCAGTGACGACAGAGGTGCCATGCCGCCGATGTTCGAAATTGTCGTCTTCATTCCTGCTACTGTCACTCGAAGAACAGAGCCCTGTCGTCTCTGCCGCAGAAGGGTGTCAAGCATTATATCGTCGTCATCGTCATACTTGTCCTGAGAAGGAGTTATCAAAGTCAGAAGACGATCCAAATCAACTTCCTTCGGCGTGAAAAGATGCTCAATGCGGATATTGGTCAAGGTAACTTTAGCAGGTGCAGCCACGAAGTTAGTGAGGGAATGGGGCCCACTCAAACGCGCTTTATCAATTTGTACACCAATCCCTTCAAATCGGCTGACCATTTTAACAGCAGTCGTAGTGAGCTTGAGATAGTGTGTTTCTCCGGTAACATCTAACACAATGCCACCGATTCGGGCATTGACCTTCAATGGAGCGGAAGAAGCATGATCTTTGTCTGATGCTGGAGCTGGGGTTTCAAAGTGAACACCTCGAGGGCGTTTTCTTGGAGGGATGGGTCCTCCTTTCATTGTGGAGGCAGACGATATGGAGCTTCCTAGCTCGATTATGGTGCTAAGACCACCAACCCAGCCCAGGACCTCCTCCAAACGCTGAATGTTCAGATTGAGATGAAGAGGAAGTGTGGTTACGTCAAGTTTGACTGATTCAGTGAACTTGGTCAACGTCAAAGAAATATCTTCTTGCGAGGGTGACATGACATCACGGGTAGATTCACGCATCTTCAATGATTCGTTGAACGATATCAAATCATCAGAGCCAAACCCAAATGCAACTTTGGCAATACCAATTTGAATTTGAGTTGCCTTCTCATTTACCGAAAGGTAAGTTTTCAAGCCTGATACTGTAGCTTTGAGGACAATGTCTTCTATGGAGGTGTACGGTGGTAGAGGAGATCCGGTACTCTCAAGAGAATGAGGTTGACCCGATAAGTGTTCAAGGAACTTAATGGAAATCTCACGAGCCGAAAGCTTGATGGAAAATTGAGTTGTTTGGTCTGAGGATGGCTGTCTCTGGGAGCGGGGAGTCTCAGCAGCACCCAATACCTGTGAGACCTTTTGACATGCTTTTGTCAAAAGCCAGCCGGTAGCTATGTCAAAGTGAATAGCCACAGAAAATACTTCAGCTTCTAGCTGGGTGAGATCGCTTTCAGGGTTATTTTGCTGCTGATTCAAACGATTCACCCCAGATAGGCGAGTGGATGCGAAGATTTCAGAGGCTAGAATATTTTCCTCAATCCGGGACTCGCCCAAGCCAGATGCAAGATTAACAGAGTCAATATCCGACTTATCCAGGCCAGTCGGAATTGAAGAGGGCTCGACACTTTGCTCACCAAGTGTTGATGGAAGCCAGATGAAGATCTTATCAATGTTGATAATTGGCTTTCTCATCTCGGATATTTTGTGTAGATAGGGAGATGAAGCAGCAGAAGCCCTTTCAGTCGCCGAGGCTTCGAATTGTGTTTGTTTTTCTTCCGTGCTTTGATGATCCCCAAAGTAGGTGTCTGATGGGACAGTCGATTTCGGTGTTGAGACCTCAGCCGCATTAGTAGAATTCGCGTTTTCTTTCTGGTCATGTTCCGCATCTCTGTCATGAAATGAGTCCCATGCTCCAGGCATGTTTGGCATAAAGCTCGCACCGGCACTCCGGCTAATAGCACTCATGTATAAGCTCTGTGCTTCATCATGAGAGAAAAATTTGGATTCGGTAAGGTGCGCATCCATTGCCGATGATGCCGAATCTTCACTGCCAGACTCAGAGGGCGGAGCAGATACAAGTGGGTTGTTTCCTGGGTCACTCATTTGTAGTGAAGAAATCCCTTCCTCTTGGCGATGGGAATATGGTATCGATGCTGCCATGTCAGCTGGTTCAAGCCCAAATTGGCTACCATGTTGTGAAATGTGAGTTCCAGTTCCAATAATGCCCCCTGATGAGTCTGCATTCTCGTGCTCTTCTATACTCTCGGCAGCATGCAATGAAGAATTGCCATCGGGTAATATCGCATGACTTTCTTCGATAGGATGCCGTTGAGGCTCAAAAAAGCTGGGCGTCTCGGCACCAAAGTCATCTAACTGGGTTTCTATCACCGAATCCAGATACCCAGGGTTATCTTCAAATGTGTGACCTAGAAGTTGTGAATCCTCCGAGTAGTGATGCGCTCTGTCCCCTATTTCTGAATCTGCATCCGAGAAACGCCCATCATGAGAGATAGCAGATGACTCCAATTCATGGTCAGCGATGCTTACCCGGCTAAGCTCCGGAAGAGGATCAAAGATTGTTGATTGAGTCATGCACATCGAATTCTCCGGACTTGGAGAATCCAGCGGGGGAGAATGATCTCTGCTTGTGGATTGGCTTTCTTTTGATCGCGTAGTCGTTGGTGATGCAGGCGCAGTGAAGTGCGAATAATTTGCGAAGACAGCCGGATCCGAGACTAGACCGGCGTTGAAATCAACAAGGCTAACAAGCCGCTTGCCTTCTTTGAATGGGAGAGATCCGTCTGAATTTGCTGTAAACCCAGAAACACCAAGTACCTCGACCTCACCCAGGGTCAAGAAGCCTGAAACAAGATCCGACTTGTATTCAGGCTGTTTCTTGGAAGGTCCATCCTGCTCAAGTTCCATATCGAGCCGTACAGAAACGTTCTTTATTTTAAGCTGCAGCCGATCCGCAACGCCTTTCAGAAACCCTGCAACGAAGCTGGGCAAAGACATTTCGCCCCCAAGCCCAAGTTCTTCTTCCTCTTCATCACCAAATGATGATGAATTTTGTAAGACATGTGATTGCGATGATATTGCGGCTTGTAGTTCCTCCTTTTCTTCACTCGGTTCAGATTCTAAGAACGACTCAGCAAGTCTCGTTGGTGTTGGCAGGATCTGTTCGTCCAGTGAGCCATGGACACCCATATAAGGTTGTTTTTCCGTCGAATTTTCATGTTTTCCATGTTTCGATACATAGTCTTCCGACAAGCATCGAACATGAACGTTGATACCGTCCGCCTCGCATATGATCCCGCTGCTGTAGATGTCGGCTGGGACAGTGAGGCGAAGAAAGTGGATCCGGGCACTAAGTAGTTCGAAGGTTTCCGGGAGGCTGAGGAGAGTTGCTAGTTTCTATTTCAAGTATACGCGTGAGAATCCATCAAGCCAGAGAGATTGGAGAGGCCGCGATGGCTACCCCACATTCTTTCTAAAAGTTAGGGGCTCAAGACTCACGTTCAACTTCAGGCCAATATCACGCAGTTCAACTGTGCTCCGCTGTCCCCATTGGATGCCCAAATTGTCTAGATCCAGGTCTTCTGTATCCACGACCCCCAAACGAGACAGGGCATATTTGAGGAGTCGCTTTTGAAAGAACGACGGTAAGAAGTAGGCCATTTCCGAGAGAGCACCGATCGCTCTGTCACTGGCTATTATTAAAGAGCAAACATTATAACAAAAAATCAAAGTCAGGAGAAGATAGAATTAGCAACCCCAGAGAAATGAGGGTTGGGAGATTAATGACGTGCGGAGCGGAGCCGTAAGAGCACCTGATAACTAAAGATAAGTAATAAGTGATCAGCCCAAGTCAGGTGTCTTTCCACACACCAACCACAACAACTACACCAACCGCCAGTTGTTACTCAATATTGGAGATTGCGCCTTGCCACTAATCCTCTTTGATACATAGTGACATACACCGCCTCACCTTTCAATTCTACTGTTAAAGTTTGAAGTTGCAATTTGTTTGCTTTGATTGTTTCTTGAGTATTTAGGCATTGTGGGGTCTTTCCTGGAAGTATCTTCAGGTACCGCAGCATCAGGGACTACTCTATAGAACTCGGGACCTTCCATTCTATCCCTCCTTTGGGATTTTCGGCATCAACTAGATCGCACAGTATGCCATTGCGTGCTATTCTAGGACAAGCCACAAGACCATTGCCCATGGAGAAAATTTTGTAATTCTGGAATAATCTGGGACCCTGGGAACTAATGGATCTATGAAGATCCAGCCTAGATCCTTAAGCCCTAAGTGAAAAGAAAACTGGCCCGCTTCTAGGCCATAGAGCAAAAGGAACAAACCCCGTTTTCCCTATTCTTAAGATAGCATCTTGATACAAGTCATAGGAGTATCCTGGTGGTAGTTTCCGTAATTATGGATCCTGCATACCAATTATATTAATAGCTTCCTTCGGCCCCTATCCGCCCTATAGAAGCATCCTTCAGTCTGATATCCCAGAAAGAAAAATCGGTTCATACTATAATATTATATAATCTTTGTCTCATTCCGAAGTGAAGTCATAACTTAAGAGTCGACTTAGGACACCAGGCTAGGAAGCAGCAGCCTTCATCACCCGGGCAGGTATATTCAAGGTAACAACAGGTTGATGATCATCTGGAACCTCTAAATTAGCTAACTTGGAATACGTTACCTCCAGATGCTTCTATCATATTCAACAATTTTCCTGGCCGTATATATCCAATCTCAAGCCTCCAATGTCGCAGCTTTGGTTATACCCGACTATACCTTGGACAACGGCACTCTTCACGATGGAGAAGAGCCCCTGGATCACATTTCTGCACGAGATAACGCAGTGAAGTTGTTATTCCAGGATACTGAGAACGATGAAATGAAGTTCATTTCGCAGCCTCTTGAAACCGAGTTAGATAAGCTTGAAGATTACACCTTTATGAATTTTGCTGGATCTGGAGTCACAGTATATGTCCATGACAGTGGCATCAATCTGCAACACGATGAGTTTACTCAATCATTCCCTGGGGTGCGAAAAGGCACCATTAGGTGGCTATATCCCTATAGGTCAATACTCGACCCCCCACCGACAACAGATCCATCTTGGCATGGAACCTGTGTCGCAGATAAGATAATAGGTCATAAATTCGGAGTGGCTAAGGGGGCTGATCTCCTTATGGTGCCGTGGATCGATTTACAAGACCGGGAATGGATGAAAGCAGGGTTGAGAGTTATCATCCACGATATCAAAGCGAAGAGGAGAATGAACTCAAATTTTGTGGCAGTTGTGAACTTCAGCTATTTAATTGGAACAGCAAATGATTTAGGTGACCAACTAGAGACTTACCGAGCTCTATATAAGGAGATATACGACTTGGACGTTGTTATGGTATTTGCTGCAGGGAATAATGGAGACTTTGGCCGGACTGAAGTGGACCAGTATCCTGCGCTCTTTGCTAAAGAATTACCGAACGTTATTGTCGTTGGGTCAGTTGATGTCAATGGTTACCCATCGAAGTTCACTAAGGGTGGATCCCTAGTGGATATCTCGGCTCCAGGAGCAGTTAACAGCAAAATTGGAATCGAGTGCGCTCATGGCACAGAGTCTAATACCGTGAGAGTAGAAGGCACTTCTTTTGCTGCGCCAACTGTTGCCGGGCTTGCAGCATATTTGATGTCGTTTGAATCCGCTTTACAAAAGCCAGGAACTGTGGCAAAGAACGTGAAAGCAAGAATTCTCAGACTGGGCAATATACGTGCGGTTGGGGATCTAGCGGGTGTGCCACCTAAGCTTGCTATTTGCAACTGGCTACAAGGATCGCCATGTTAAAGATCGAAACGACAATGTTGTTACTTTGGGACCTACTTAATTCTATGAGCAAGTCAAATTTCGATTATGCCGACTCAATGTCCTCAGATTCTTTATGCAAATTTTTAGATCATTACCTAGTGTAGTGGGGGACTAGGTCACCTGACATTAGTGGAGATTGTGTATTTAATCATTCAGTTGAGAGATTAGACCATCAGACTCCCTTTACCTTCTTGAGTTACCCCTTGGTTCTCCTTCCTTTCTCCCATACAGTCCCTAGAGGACGGACTTTGACTGCATCTACCATACTCCATGATTTAGCTAGGTTCCCAGACTAGCTAGGACGTCCCTGTTCCCTGTATCACTAGGTAGTGACTTTAGGGATTAAACCCCCACTAGCCTCCTTGATCATCCAAACCTCCACTCATTCGCAGATCTTGATCTTCTAACCAGACCACCATGCCGGAAGCCGACCATTATATCACCATCTCAGATCTCGGATGCTTCTGATGACTTGAGATCCTATTCGACTAATTGTTTCATCGGAGGAACCTTTGAATATCATTACTATACTCAAACGTCGGTACAGAGCAGGCGGACCGCGGACCGCGGGCCACCAGTGTAAATAAATTCGAAGGCACCAGCTTCACCAAGTGCAACAGGAAGTGCCTGGTCTTCCCCCAAGGTGCCGATTTACAATGGATCCAGCAGGTTGGTACAGCCAAATCTGCAGCTCAGCTTAACGTGTGATGTTGAGTTGATATGCACTTCAGGGGCCGCAAGAAAACTCGGCGATGATTTGACTCTTGTCAAAGTCAAACAAAGCATAGGGCTGGCTAAATGGAAGTGTTAGTGATGTATATGCAGTTGAAGAGGTGACTAGGTCGGTCTGATAGAACTTTGGAAATATCACTTGTAGGATTCGGCTCTGATTAAAGGAGACATTCTCATCAAATACTTATCAGTTTGCTTCATAGTGAAAACCTTAGAAGTGGCCTTCCCTGAAATAATCATTCTTGAAGAAACACTGAGAGTATAGGAGCACAGGCCAGGCGATCTAATCTAGTGCGATTGCTTGCGGGTCTTAGCTTGGAAGAAAATTGATCAATAATTAATTGAAAGTCGAGATATTGGAAAAACTTAAGAGTACTGTGTCCTTCTATTGTGTAATCCCCATTTTGTTCTATTCTTCACGCAGTATTACTGTTACTGTACATTGGCCATCATAAACAGATTACCCGAAAAGGGCTAAAGTGGTCCGCGTTCCGCGATCTTCTCTTTCTCTCTGCCCTTACTTCCAAGTTCCCAAGGTTGTCGCCTTGCTGCCTTGCTTCTCTTCATCCCACTCTTTTCATCATGCCCTAAAGTTCTTTCTTCATTTATTTCTCTCATTAATAACTTTCACTATGCAGCACTCTCAGTTAGCTCCGCTGCCATGCGACGTGCCCTTTCGCATTGTCAGCAAGACAATCGGCCAAGGAGCTTATGCCTGGTGAGTACTTATTGAACACTCCAATCATTTGTTCTCGAAATGAAGAAGCTGATAGATTGATTTTCCTTCAAGCATCAAAAAAGCCTGTCCCTTGGACTCGGACAATCCCGTCTTCGCCGTTAAGTATATCCACAAGGACTACGCCGCGCGACATGGAAAGATCAGTGCACGACAATTGCAGCTCGAAGTCACCGTTCATCGACACGTCACTGGCCATAATAATATTATAAGCTTCTATCAGACGGGCGAGGATGATATCTGGCGATGGATTGCGATGGAATTGGCCGAGGGTGGTGACCTTTTTGACAAGATCGAAGCTGACGAGGGTGTAGGAGAAGATGTCGCACATGTCTACTTCTCACAGCTTATCAGTGCTGTCAGCTTCATGCATTCCAAGGGTGTTGGACACCGAGATATTAAACCCGAGAACATGTTGCTCACCGGTGATGGAAATTTGAAAATTGCAGATTTCGGCTTGGCAGCACTGTTCGAATACAAGGGAACCAGGAAGCTATCTACCACATTCTGTGGCAGTCCACCATACATTGCACCAGAGGTCATTACCTGTAGTACTCGGGGCCATGCCAAGGGTTCAGGGTATTATCCACATTTGGTTGATATCTGGTCCTGCGGAATTGTCCTTTTTGTTCTCCTTGCAGGCAATACACCCTGGGACAGTCCCACCAATGACAGTTATGAATTTCACGAATACATCGCTACAAATGCAAGGACAACAGATGAATTGTGGCAGAAGCTACCTGCATCAACGTTGTCTCTACTGCGAGGTATGTTGACCATAGATCCCAAGGGTCGCTTCTCACTGGAGGATGTGCGAAGACATCCATGGTATACCCGGTCAAACAAATACCTTTCATCCGATGGTAAATTGAGAGACCCTATCAACCTTGCTACATCAATGTTCGAGTCATTGCACATCGACTTCAGTCAAGACCCCCTTCCACAGAGGCGCAGATGTGGCAGTCAAAGTGATATGGACCTGGACGGCGGCCATGAGGCATTTTCATCCACTCAGCCAGAGATGCTGGGAGGCGGTATGGTGATGGACTGGGACACGCCGTACGCGTCGGCTGAATTGTCCTCCACACAACCTGTGGGTAAGCCGTTTGCATTCCAGGATATTGTCATGGCAGGCCACTTTGAGGACGAGCCGTCCATGTCACAATTTTCACAACAGCCATCCGTACCTTTAAGCCGAACTCAGAATGCCCGGAAGTTCCAAGATATCATTCCCTCACGCACTATGACACGCTTCTACTCCGCCTGGGAACTCAAACTGCTTGTACCTTTGGTCTGTGAAGCTCTTCATCGGCTTGGCGTTCCAGTTCCCACGGTTTCTGCCGTACATAACGGGGATACTTCCGCTATGATTCGTGTCATTGCCAAAGATGGCCGGATGTGCCAACTTCAGGGTAAAATCCTCATTGAATGTGTCGCCGAGGGTGTATTTGAAGTGGAATTTGCCAAGATTAAGGGTGACCCCTTGGAATGGCGCCGATTCTTTAAAAAAGTGGCAATCCTTTGCAAGGAGGCCGTCTACATGCCTGATGAATGATGAGCCTGTTGCGGTCTTTAATACAGCGGTTCTTTTTTTTTTTTTTTTTTTACTTTTCGTTTTGATGATAAGTTATGACTTTCTAGTGCAGCGCCCGGGCGGGATTTTTATCCCTAGGCCGTTTCGATTTATTTTATACGGCGATATATCCTTGATTTTTATAGCTTCCGGGCTTCGAGGCATACTAAGATGCCATCACAGCCTTCAGATATGAACACATTTGAACGTACTCCCAAAGAGCAGAATCCATGGATTGAGTAGTCAATAAGTTCAAACAAGCAATATACCGAGACTGCGGAATTTGGATGGCTTGCACAGTTATTTGGGCACCTTTGAACCATATGAATATCATTCATTATTGTCGACTGTTTCGCCCCCACACCACGTGACCTCAGTGTAGATCGTGGGGAAGGTAAGCTTAAATCTCATCTCCACTCGCCGTCCTATTCTCATTTCTCCTTTCTCCTTCCATGTGCCCTTGATGCTACAGTATACTCTTTCCTCATGGAAAACCTTCCGGTAGAGATCCTTAACAAGATCATAGATTGTAAGCGCCGCCGAACCCCCCCCCCCCCCCCCCCCCCCATTTCACCGCTCCCGAACGCTGATTAGTTCGCGATAACCAGTTCTCACCCCGCGAGAGAAGGTGCAGCTACAATCTGTTTGCAAGAAGCTTTTCAGTCTCGGTCGAGATAATGCCCCATGGAAAATACACTGCTATGAGCAGTCATGGGCTGCTATACAAGCATCTCGCCCCTCAGGGCGGATATCGGAAAGCCTCACACATCCCACTGCAACTTTGAATATCCTTGGGCAAAATTCACTACGTGATCTTATTCAGCCCGTAGCTCCACAAGCAGGGGACAATGGTTTCGATAAGCTTCGGGGTTTGGCGCCTTGTGATTTGGCAAGGGCGGCAGCGGATTGGGATTCATCGATTGAGGGGGAGCATGTGGATTGGTATTCAGAATACATTGCTCGGCATGGTCCTGTGTCACTCTCATGGGTACAACATCCCACGATACAAGATGGCGAGAGTCGAGAGCGTATCCCTAATGATGTTAAGGGTATGGGACTTCTGAGAGACTGGACTGCTACGAGACAGAATAAGATTGTTGCACCTCTCGAAGATGGAAGTGTTTGCATTTGGGATCTGAATCATTCCCACAGTGCCGATTCACAATTGACCAGGGGGAGGATTGCTGGTATAAGTGAACCAAGTATACTTTTGGCTAACCACTCACGGCGAGACCACTGTGAAGGGGTAAATGTGGATTCTTTTCAACGAAGAGCCTATCTAGCCGTTGGAAACGTTCTCAATGAGGTCGACCTGGAGACTTTAAGGGTAATTTCTCAACAGCGCTATCCTTGGACAGTTTGGACTATGTCACAAGAGACCGATTACTCAGTACCACTGACCCTAGCTACTACTGTTAGCCTGCATATCTATGACTCAAGATTATCTGCGGTTGAAGAGGATGAGGCGATCAGTCTGCGATGCGAGGACTCTGTGTCTAAAATTCCAGAGTTGGGAATCTTCACTTATCCAGACTCACCACAAATTCGGCTCCAATCAAACGGGTTACCTCCTCATAGGATTCGCAGTCCAGGTCCATCTGAAAATGAAAACTATGCACCTCTCTTTCAACCTGGTCCTCTTTCTATTCTTCACCCGCCGGCCCCGCATGTAAACACCATTATTCTCGCAGGCCGCTTCCCTAGTATTCTTTGTTATGATCGCCGCTTCTTCCCCCGCCTCGAAAGTACTGTTCATTCCGGTGGCCGGTTATGCGGGCTTGCATCCGCTCCAGGACCGCAGTTTCCCTTCTCCGACTCAACTTATCCAACCACTCATAGTGTCGTGGCATGTGGCGAGTACAATGGACGAGGGTCTCTAGAGCTCTACAGTCTCGATTCATCATCCAAGGACTCCCAAAGTGACCCATTAGAGGGAACTTCGACCCTGGTTCCAGCTTATAATAATCGTCAAAGTGCAGCTAGCTCCAAATTGCTATCTGTGGCATCTCACGGGAATCGACTCGTGTACTCTGATCTCGATGGCAATATCAAATGGGCTGAGCGTAACGGCCGGTCAGAGGTCCGCCGCTGGAACATCAATAGTTATGACTCACCGCGTCCATTTCCCCGGCCTGGTGAGCCATCAACGATTGGAAGTTTTGGTGGTCAGACTTCTCAGTCAAATCAGGGCAGCGAGGTTGCACGTAAGATTCTTCCTACCGGAGGAAATCTTACTGGAGATGAACTTTTAATATGGACTGGAGAACGCATTGGTCGTGTCAAATTCTCCATTAGTGCTAGTTGTGAAACGGGCATAGAGGAAGAGGAAGACGACTGGTTCATGCATGCTGAGGTTGATGAAGAAACTCGAGAAGCAATGCGGCATAAGCAGCGCGATGATTGGGAGAAGGAGCAGAGATATATCGAGACAATGCGCCGAGCTCTCGCGAGACAAGCTGATGAAGTACGATGGATGGGGACATACTGATAGATTTTTAAATATTTGATTTCTTTTTGTTGAGCGAAGCGAGACTGATAATTATACCGGCATCTTGATATGGGAACCTTGGAACAGATAGATACTGAATATCTAGAGCATACATATTACAGCCGAACTGTATCATACGGTAGATTTCGCCATCTTCCAAGGAATATTAAAGATTGCAATATCCCGTATTAGGCCAAGAACAACGAAACCCCGAGGCCGACATCCGAGCACCGAGCACCGAGATACTGCCATCTGCCACCGCCGGCCCCCCGCGATCGCGACATGCCCGTGACAAATGCACTTGTAAGCGTTAGCTTAGTGATTACGGCCAACTTCCGCTGTAAACTTTCTAGAACAGTCTTCGTCTTCCTTCTGATTTAATTCCACTTCGTCAGTTTTTCTTGCTTTTAATTTCGAAATTTGTCTTGTGAGAAGCATAAAGAACGCTTATAAGCCATACACACTGCCCGAGATGCCTTCCCCCACAGACCCTGTGCATCAATTTAACTCAATTGAGGACACAATTGCGGCATTTAGTGAGTTCCAACCTCAATCGAAGTTCTCCATCTCTATACTGCAGCATTGGACTTCATGCAGACTTCGCTATCGATTTCACTACTAACAGTGACTCACCATAGAGGATGGTGAATTCATTATTGTTCTTGATTCACAAGACCGAGAGAATGAGGGTGATCTTATAATTGCAGCCGAAGCAATTACAGCAGCTCAGATGGCATTTTTGGTGCGCCATACAAGGTTAGTACGCCAATCTACCTTTCGTGCGGGAAAATCGGTGCAAGAAAATGTGCCTCCTCTTCAAGCTTATCGATTTCTGATCATGTCAATTTTCCTGTAGCGGATTAATTTGTGCACCAATTACCCCAGAGATAGCCACTCGTCTGGCATTACCTCAAATGGTGGCCACAAACGAGGACCCCAAATGTACCGCCTACACCATTACAATTGACTCCAGTGACGATTCCGTGACAACTGGAATCTCTGCGCAAGACCGTGCACTCACATGTCGCACCCTGGCCTCAAAGGACGCTCATCCTGATTCCTTCCGCAGACCAGGTCACATTATTCCGTTGCAAGCACGCCCTGGTGGTGTCCGCGAGCGCAATGGCCATACTGAGGCTGGTGTGGAGTTCTGTCGGCTTACTGGAAAGGTGCAAGCTGCTGTTATTGCCGAGCTGGTTGAAGGTGGTGACGTTGTTGAGGGTGTTGCGGAGATTCAGGGAAATAACGGAATGATGCGCCGGGATGCGTGTCTTGCCTTTGGGAAACGTTGGGGCATTAAGGTGTGTACTATTGAGGATCTAGTCGATTACCTGGAAAAAACCGAAGGGACTGGATCTGCTACGAATGGGCGGCAATGATTTGGTCTCTGCTCTTTTTGGTGTGTATACTCAATTTGATCTTTCCGCTGTACATCATGGATATCTTTATATGAATTGACAAAAGTCGTTCGATTTTGACCGAATGGTGAATCAAGAATTCAACTCTGATACGGGCTGGATTTGAATGTAAGAGATACCTAGGTACCCAGGTAACCTTGGCTCGACCATATTGCTACTAGTATCATCCAATAAAGGACGGCTATGTACTGAATACTTATGAACATGGGATATTCTGTTATTGCGTATCCCGTAGAATTAGAGGCCTTTCCAAGTCTCTTACGGGACACTAGCAAGCAGAAACTACTGAGAAATACACGAGCCAGAGATTAAATGAGTTAGGTAATCATTGAGGTCTGTGAGACGTTGGCGTATTGGTCATCTTTCTACTCTATTTAATAGACTATAGAAGAATGTAAGAAGACGGGGGCTTGGATTAGGTTATCGTTAGATAACTTAATTTAGGGAATTTGAGAAATAGAAAGGACAGCGAAATAGAACGCTCGCTTGTTTATGGAGATGGCACCTCGAGATAGCGCCTCCTGCTTGCCTCGTAGTCTTCTTGCATGTAGTTCCTTACCGCTTTAAGTGTGAGTAGTCTCGCAAGATACCCGTCATATGAGTATTGGTTGTCTTCCCACTGCGCCGGGGCTTCTTGACCTTCTTCGACTCCATCCGCGGACGTGGTTTAATCACCTTGTTCTTGTTTGTGGGTGTAATACCGGCTCGTTCCAACTCTTCTTTGACAGCCTGCACATCTGGAATCTTGATTTTATCCCAAATCTGTTTGAACTCGTCGTCGAAATGCTCGATAAGAGAAGGATCATTCGCCCAGATCATTTTAGCATGATCATCCTTCTTATTTCGAGTCACGAGCAGCTTGCCCTCCTTTTCCATCTGATTGATGGTTTCCTCAACATTCGGCCAACCCTCCCGAAGTTCACGTACACTCATACCAGCTGCAGTAGTCTGAGCCTGTAGTTTTTGAAGCAGTTGTTCAGCGGTGCGAACGTTGTGAGGGGGGCGAAATCTGAAGGTGCCTTCATCGTTCGCGCCGCTGGGGTCGTATTCGACCTTCTCGTGCATCTGCAAGATGCTTCTAAGGGCCTGAACGTACCCTTGATCATGCGCGCGGTGTTGGAGGGACAAATAAGATACGATATCCGCAAACTTGAGAGCCACACCCTTAGACTTCATGTGTTCGATAGCAAAAAGGACCTGAGTCATGATATCCTTGCCAGTTCCCGTGTTGGCCGGCTGAGAGTAAACGATGTCAACATCATGTCTCTTTTTCTTGTGTTCGCTGGACGACGAAGGAGTTGGCACAGATGAGGGTACCTGCGAACTGCTGCCAGAGAGTGGGTTATTGTTAACCACTCGACGCTGTTGAGGCATGCGGTTTGCCGACTCCACGACGCTCGCTGTGAAGCTTTTGAGCTCTTTTTGAAGGTACGACATGATTATTGAGACCAAGTTCCGCACTGGAGGTTAGAGGGTGAAAGTAAGCGAACGGAGGTGTTGCTGGCTGTCGCGTACGAGCTGGAAGCTCTGTCTTTTTAAACAGCTCAGGTCATAGGAGATGCGGCGAAGGAAAAGGTCGCACAGGGACAAGGGTTTAATCAAAGAAATTAATTAGAAGGTGAGAGATTAATTACTCTGCCTCGAGTGTTCAGAAGTCGAAGTGAAACCAAAAGTCGAAGTACAAGAGATTGGATGGTCGGTCATGTGACTTCTATTGTCTGCGATGAAAGCGTGCCAAAGCGTGTTCCGCGCTTTGGAATCTCTCAACTCCCCATTGTCTCCCCCATCAAATCCCCTTTGTCGCTTGCTTTAATTTTGCGACACTACATTCTTTTGGCCAACTCGCCATGTCATAGGGCTGTCTTGCCTGCGCTGTGTACCTCTCTGAGCTATACAAATTGCGCGTCAGTCTTTACGGACTGAGCTTCGCTTGAGCTTCGCATCACCATCCACACCTCCAACTACTCGTTATTTGCGGCAATTCCCCCATCATGGCAGACACCGCCATCGACCTCCCTTATTTGTCTTCTCATTTCTCCATCCCGGAGACAACACTTTCTACCCTCACCCAAGCTCCAACCATTGAGCTTGTTAATCAAGTTTTGAATTCGATCGCAGCCAAGGCAAACGAGTTTGACAACCTCAAGTCCGATAAACTTCGCCTTGAAGTAGAGCTCGAAAATGCGGTTCGCAGTAACGAATCAAAGACCAAGGTCTTGAAAAAAACGGTGGAAAAGGGACATTCTGAAGTAGAAGAACTGAGGAAGAAGTTGCATGAGTCAGGTAAGTATATTTTGAAAAAACAGCACTTCTTTCTTGCTTTAACATTCAACAGAGAATACGCGATCCACCCTTGAATCCGAGATTTCAAACCTCAAATCGTCAACGACCACCAACGAAACTGAAGTGAGCTCACTCAAATCCCGCATTACGTCCCTTGAGGCATCGAATCGAGAAACCCTTGCTCTACTTGAGTCAAAGTCTGCGGCTTATGATCAATTGGCGGAAGAATTATCAACCCAGCACAAGAAGACTCTCGAGTTGCGCCGCGAACTGTCGACCGCTGAGCAGAACCTCCAAAATGCAAACTCTGCTGCTGGTAGTGCACGTTTCCGGGAGCAGAGCCTTCAACAGGAGCTAGATCTCACCAAGAAAAACAACGAATGGTTCGACGCCGAGCTGAAGACCAAGAGCGCCGAGCATATCAAGTTCCGCAAGGAGAAGAGTGCACGGATCGCTCAGCTACAACGTGAAAACGAAGAGGCAAACGCCACGATTGATTCTCTCCGGCGTAGCGAAAATTCTCTCAAGAGTCGTCTGGACGAAACTGAACAGCGCTTCGAGGAGTCGATTGCCGCCAACAGTCAGCTGAAGGAAGATCTTATCCAAGCTACCGAGTCCTTCCGCATTGAACTCGATAGTTCCAACAGACTAGCCGAGCTGCAGGGATCTTCCGCCGAAACTGCAAAGCAACGTGTTCAGGAATGTCAGCTCGAACTTCAAAAGGCGAAAGACCATGCCGCCGAGGTGATCTCACGCTTGCGTGTCGAAATTGAAACCGAGAACTCTGACAAGCAGGCTGCCGAACGTCGCGTGGCCGAGCTTGAAGTAGCCGTGGGTCAACTCGAATCCGAACGCGGGCGGCATAGGTCTATGAGTCCTGCTCGATCTTTGAACGGACTCGGGCCAAGCACTCCCATGCGCCCAGGAACACCAGGAAGCACGTCTACCCCTCGGGCCATTCGCACTAAGAATGGTCTTACTTTCACCCAGATGTACACCGAATACGAGCGCATGCGTGATATTCTGGCCGCCGAGCAACGTACCAGCCAAGAATTACGAACTGCCCTCGACGAGATGATGCAGGAACTTGAATCAAGCAAGCCAGAGATTGATGAGCTACGTGCGGATCATGCCCGTCTAGAGGAAGCAATCGTGGACATGTCTGGTATCTTGGAAGCTGCCGGAAAAGAACGAGACAGCGCCATAAAGGAGTCGCGCAAATGGCAGGGTCAGGTCGAGGGCCTCACCCGCGAAGGTGTTATTCTTCGCCAGCAGCTTCGTGATTTGAGCACTCAAGTCAAGGTTCTCGTTCTGGAAGTGGCTATTACGAAGAAGGGTGAAGATTATGACCGTGAAGAACTTGAGAAGATCGCTCGTAATGAAATCGAAGATTCTGCCGCTGAATTAAGCGAAACTGGCCGTTTCATTACCCGGAACCTTACTGCTTTCAAGGATCTCCACGAGCTTCAAGAGCAAAACATCACTCTTCGACGCATGATTCGTGAACTGAGCGATAAGCTGGAAGGTGATGAAACTCGTGCCAAGGACGCAGTCCGACAACAAGAAGCCGAAGAACTTAAGGACCTCAGGATTCGTGTGCAAACTTATCGTGACGAGATTGCCAACCTTCTTGCGCAATCGAAGAGTTACGTTAAGGAGCGTGATACCTTCCGTAGCATGCTAACTCATAGGCGGCAAACCATTGGCGAGGCATCAATATTTTCGCAGTCTGTTCCACTTGGTGCAGTTCCTGCAGGTGCCCCTGATGGGCAGTCGAACAACAACACAGATTACGCGGAACTGCTTCGCAAGTTGCAGGCGCACTTTGACTCATATCGTGAGGAGACATCAACCGACCACACAGCTCTTCGACAGCAGGTTAATGAGCTTTCGCGGAAGAACAGTGAACTGCAAAGCGAAATCAGCCGTTCAAGCAGTCAACTTGCGGCTGCTACTCAACGTGCTGAACTTCTTCAGAACAATTTCAGCATGCTCAAGAGTGAGAACGGCGATCTCCACAAGCGCTTTACTACTCTCTTTGAAAATGCCAATCGCCAGGAACTCCGTACACAACAAGCTGCCGAGGATCTAGTCGAAGCCAAGGGCCTTGTTGAGAGTCTGCAGAGAGAGACTGCAAACCTGAAGGCCGAAAAAGATCTTTGGAAAAGCATTGAGAAACGCTTGGTTGAGGACTTGGAGAATCTCCGAAATGAGCGCAACCGACTTGACTCATTGAATGCAAACTTGCAAACTCTTCAGAACGAGCGTGAGCATACTGAAGCCGAAAATCGTCGCCGCCTTCAGTCCAGTGTTGAATCCCTCGAATCGGAGCTACAATCGACTAAACGAAAGCTCAGTAACGAGGTCGAGGATTCGAAGAAGGCAACTATGCGCCGGGAGTATGAACACCAACAGAGTCAGAAGCGTATCGACGATCTGGTTGCTAGCCTGGGCTCCGTACGGGAGGAATTGGTCGCGATAAAGACTACGCGCGATCACCTTCAGTCCCGTGTTGATGAACTTGCTGTTGAACTCAAGAGTGCCGAGGAACGTATTCAGGTTCTTCAGTCACGCCCAGCTGTTTCTGCCGCTTGGACTGATATTCCTACTGTTGCCCAAAGCTCGGAAGATTCCAGCGGGCTGACTAGAGAACAGGAACTCGCCATTGAAGTGTCGGAACTCAAGCGTGACTTAGACCTAGCGAAGGGTGAACTTGCGCATGCTAAAGAACGTGTTGAAGAATACCAAGCCATCAGCCAATCCACAGAGGAGCGTATGGAATCTGAGTCTGAGACACATGCACAATACCGCGATGAGACAGATCTTCTTATCGAAGAGAAGAACAAGACAATCAATGATCTCGAGTCTCGGGTTGAAGAAATCTCCGCTGAGCTTGCAGCTACAAACACAGAGGTTTCCAAGCTCCGCGACGAGCAAGGCGAAGCCACACGTCACGTCGAGGAGCAGAAAGCTATCCTCCAGTCAGAAATCACTCGATTGAAGGATGAGAATGAGCGATATATCACCACCGCCCAATTCCACCAGGATGACTTGAAAGCACAGGCTGAGATCGCCCAGCACGCCCAGCAAAACTACGAGAGCGAGCTTGTGAAGCATGCCGAGGCTGCAAAGAATGTTCAGACTGTTCGTACTGAAGCTCATCAGTTGAAACTTGAGGTGACTGAGCTCCGCGCCCAGTCAGAGAATTACAAAAAAGATCTGGCCCAAAAAGAGGAGAGCTGGGTCGAACAGCGTGCCAGATACGAGGGCGAGCTCACCGAGTTGCATAAGCGCCGGGAAGAAGTCATTCATCAAAACACTGTGCTTCACTCCCAACTTGAGAACATTACCTCTCAGATCTCATCTCTACAACGTGATCGTGCTGCCAATTATCATGAAAACGATGAACAGGAAGGCGAGCAATCAGCACCAAACCTGGAGGGTCTTCAAGAAGTCATCAAATTCTTGCGTCGTGAGAAAGAGATTGTGGAAGTTCAATATCATCTTTCTACCCAAGAGGGCAAGCGACTTCGCCAGCAGCTAGACTACACTCAGGCACAACTGGACGAAACCCGTCTCAAACTTGAGCAGCAACGTCGTGCCGCTGCCGACAATGAGCACAACACCCTCAACCACAACAAGCTCTTGGAAACCCTCAACGAGCTCAATCTGTTCCGGGAGAGTAGTGTTACACTTCGCAACCAGGTGAAGCAGGCAGAAAGCGCTCTAGCTGAGAAGTCGGCTCGCGTGGATGAATTACTTCAACAAATTGAGCCCCTTGAGACTCGAATTCATGAATTGGAGAACAACTTGGAGGCCAAAGATGGCGAGATGCAATTACTGCAGGCTGACCGGGACCGCTATCAGCAGCGCATTCAAAACATTCTTCAGAAGTACGATCGAGTCGATCCAGCGGAGATGGAAGGACTCAAAGAAAAGCTCAGTACTCTTGAAAAGGAGCGTGATGAGGCCAAGTCTTCTGTGGAGACCCTTCAAACCAGCGCCACAGCCTTTGAAGAGCAAGCCAAAAACGCTGAGGCTCGTCTTAGTGATCTCCGCAATAAACTTACTGAACAGTTCAAGGCGCGATCTAAGGAGCTTTCTTCGCAAATCAGGGCTCAGAAACTGGAGCTCAGTGGGGTAGTGGAAGAGAAAGAGGCCATTCAGGAAGAGCTCAAGGCAACTAAGATCGAACTGGAGGGCTTGAAGGCGAAGTTTGCCAATTCTTCCACTGGAGCAACTCCAGCACCCGTGAACTCGACACCTGCTTCCCAATTCCCTGCTACGACAGCTCAAGTTGCCCCTGGTGACGAGCTGAAGATCAAGCAGCTCGAGGAGAAAATTCAGCATCTCGAGGCCACCATTGTTGAGAAGGATGCTCTGTATGCTGCAAAGGATGCAGAACACGAAGCGAAAATTAAGGAACAAGCGGTCCAGTTCCAAGAAACTTTGAAGGCTAAGATGCTTGAGATCAATGCTGCTCGACAGGAGCAAGAGAAGGGACCTGCTGGTGAACAGCATACTGTTGCTCCTAGTGCAGCTACCGATCAAGTTCCCGCGACACCTTCCAAGACCGGTGTTACTTTACCCGAGCTGTCTGATGCTCAGGTACGTGAGCTTGTCTCTAGGAGCGAGGTCGTCAAAAACATTGTTCGCCAAAACATCCGGACCATGGTGGCAAGAGAGCGTGAAAAGGACAAGCAGGAGGCTCGGACTGCAAACGGTGACACAGCCACTTTGGAGGCCAATTTCAATCTAGAGAGAGAGGCTTTGAAAAAGAGTCACGAGGCAGAGCTGGGTGAGAAAGTCAAGTCTGCTGTTGAGCTTAATGATAAAAAGTATGCCGCTCGGCTCAGTATGAACGAAACTCGATTCAAGTCTGCGCAAGCCAAGATCGAGGTTGTTCAGAAGGCGGCTCAGGAGACTCCACAGCAGCCCGTTGTGGAAGTGTGGGAAATTGCCAAGGCAGCAAAACCTGCTGCGGTTAGCAAGCCAGCCGCTTCGTCTTCCTCAGCACCAGCTCCAGCTGCAGTTCAACAGGTACCAGTCGCACCAGCTCCAGCGCCCACTCCAGCGCCCACTCCAGCCCCGGTTGCCACGGCCGTGGAGCAACCCGCTGCGAGTGGACAACAAGCTACCCAATCTCAATCTGCCCCAGTGACAAACAACAGTCCTTTTGGTCAGGTTCAGCAAAATGATCAGAACAAACCAGTCTCGTCGCTGCCCGTCAAGCCCCCGACTAGCAACGCACCGGGTATGCTACGAGCTCTACAGTCCGGACTTCCAACGAGGGGAGGCCGCGGCGGCCGCGGTGGTCAACAAACCCAGTTAGGACATGAGCAAGTCAACCAGCAGCTCCAAAATCAACAGCAGTCGCAACAGGGCCAGGGTCAAGGCCAGGCTCAGCGTGGGTCAGGTCTTCCTCGAGGCCGCGGTGGACGTGGTGGCCAGGGCCGGGGACAGAACGTTGCCAATGCGCAACAGCAAAACCAACACCAGAATCAGAACCAAGCCAGCCCTACCAATCGTGGAGGCCTAAATGTCCAAGCTAAGCAATTCGTGCCAGGGGGCAAACGAACTCGTGAGGAGGGCGAGGTTGCCCAGGATGGCGGCAGTGCTGGAAAGCGGATGCGCGGAGGAGGTCAAACTCGAGGAGCTTGAAGGGGGAGCTGGGGAGCCTTCAAATGCTAAAAACATATGGTTTTTGATGTGAAATGCCTAGGACAATGCAAGGCGTTGCCTCAAAACAGAATCATCTTCTATTTTCTATTTCTTTTGTTCCTGCTATTTCTCATATACCATAGTGTGAGAATCTTACAAAATCTTCTTCATATCAACCTTAAGAGTCCAATAGTAAAACTACGCCGTATTTAAGGAGCCGACTCATTAGTTACTACCACGCCGAATGAAATAAATTGGGTATAAGCTGCGAACAATAACAAAGCCACCTAAGAAGTCAATGGATAGCACGGCTCATACAGACCTCAAGAATTCCACTTTCGAGTGAGAAGCCTTAATATAAAAATCATTTTTTCCTTCCTGTACCAGCAGGCACGATCATTCGAGCCAATGCCTCTCTCTCCTTTTTCAAGACCATCAACCTAGCATCCTCAATCAACTTGCCCTCAGGTGCAGGCGCAGGTAGAGGGACTTGTGCAACCTGCGCCGCAACAACAATGGCAGGGCCAGGTGCTTTGGCCTCTCGCGCTCTCCTCCTTCGCTGGCCCACACCAGAGCCCCAAACAACCATCCATTCCGCCACAGAGCTTCGCTCAGGGACTACGCACCCTGAGCAGATCTTCGCGTGGGATCCAATGTCGGCATTTCGGTTTATTGTTACAAGGGGCTCGACCACTGCAGCGGAATGAATATGTGCGCCTGGGTAGATAGTGGATTGAGGACCGATCGTCACGAAGTAGGAGAGGTGGGTTGCTATTTCCCTGGTGGAGGTGGGATCGGGTGTTGTTGATCTTGACCCTCTTGTCGGAGCAACTCCAATCACAACCTTTTCGCTAATGACGCATCCATCGCCAATTGTTATCGGTCCTTCGTAGGTATAGAATTTGGCGCGAGGGTGGATCACTGTGCCTGCGCCGATGGTGACTGGGTATGTGCCTTGGAAGACTGCTGTATCGGCGATTGTTGCTGTAGGATCAACTTTGAGAGGGGCTTTAGGAGGCGAAGGTGATGAGGAGGATGAGCGGTGCTGGACTGGAGGGGGCTTGAGTGTGGCCATCTTGATATGGGTTGTTGTTATGAAGCTGTTCGGCGATTGCGGAGTTTGGGCGCAACGTCAAGCTCAAAACCCACCTACCGCTCTTATACCTTTTTTCGAAGAAATTAATATGGCGACTTTGGACTATACCGATTTTCCAATGCATCTGGCAGCTGGCTGTACCACTGTATGGTATTTTGCTTTAATCAAGGTGAAAACAATCATAACATGTAAAAAATGTGGCATCGGAGTACATTTATCGCTTAATCAAACTGGAAGCATCAATGGTAGCAGGACAAACTGGTGCACTCGAAACCTATGAAAATCAAAAATGGAAGGCATCAAACTCTAACCATTTACCGGTTTCTTTCTCGGCATTGCCCATTCAAATTCAAAAATTACTATATTCTGCCACATTCTACTCTTCGCCATTAAAGATATCCTTGAACATCTGTTCACTCTCTACAAGGACAATTTCAACTTCTCCCTTCTTCACCCTTAGCCACTTCTGCTCCTCTCGGCTAGCATACATGTTGGCTCTGCCACGCCCTATAACCTCAATAGCAGTCTTCTTGCTTGTGGGGAAATATAGACTCAACACTTACCACTCTCGCTCATGCAGCGTTTGTATGCGTTGCTCATAACCTGGCAGATTGATGGAATAAACGCGCGATTGATCTCTTACTGTTACGCGCTGATCATATTCGCTATCACATCATTTGCAAAATCCTTAAACCTGGCCTCATACACAGTCAGCTAGCTGGCGAGTAAGCCTAAGCGCAGAATGAATCTTCCACTTTGGTTTTCACGCTCTGTGAGTCCCCTATAGAATAATGTTAGGGCATCAGAAAGCCCAATGCCGCAAGTATAAAATACCTGAGGCAAGACTCGTTGGAATGCCCTCTCCCAGATAGAAGCAATATGTTTGAACATAAGGCTCAGCTCTATATATTGCATCGTTTTGAGCCATACCTAGATAGGCACTTGTCATTCTCCACAAATAGACCTAAATTTTGGCATTAATGTCTCGGAATCCAGCGCATTGAATACACCATCACGGCTAACAGTCGCCTTGTAAGTCATTCATCTTAAACGAGCTCCTCACGTCGAAGAGGATGGGATTGCAGCACCGAAGCTAGGCTAATCACATGGTTAACCTTTTCGATAATGCGGCTGTTGGGAGCTATTTTAATATGTAAAATTGTGTTTTTATAGGCAGCTTGCCTTGCTCTCTCGTTGCTCGCAACTTGAATCGAAACTGGTACCATCATCAGATACCGACAAACTAAGAGATATGAGCCAGCTTTATATGCCGTTCAAGAACTGACAGCAAGCTTTCACTCTGGTACCCCCGGTCATTTTCTTATAGTTGAGCTTGAAGGGCCTTGCTAAGGTCATCGTCCTCTGAATCTCGAATCTGAGAGTCCAAGTTGGCTGCAGCATTTCAAGTAGTAGTGGAAGTGGGAGTTCCAGTCTGACTTATGAATATGAACTAGAATTTCCATGGAAACGGGTTATGAGGGGGTATACGAGTGGGATTGGCTTTTTGCGCTTCATCTGAGTGATTGGATCTATATATGTTGCAGCCTGAGGCCACTATTAATATCATGCGATGATTAGTGTCATATTATTTGCTCATTTTGCAATTGCTCTACCTAGTTATGTACATTTACCTCGTGTAAAGTTCTCACGCTAATTGTAGAAATCAATTACTCTATAATCAGTTCACTTCTTCATCCCCGTTCTTCTGTTTGATCCCATTTCTCTTTCTCCAGGCCCAAACACCCTGATCTACCTCATCTATGGTCATTCCCCTTCGTACCAGATAAAAAGTGACTCCGAGTTCCGATTCAACATTGCGATTCCGCGCCTCATCATCGAAAAAGAGCATATCTTCATATGCAGTCCCGCTTGCCTGTTGGATTCGGGAGAAATGCTGCGTCTTGTTCCCCGGGAATATTTGAACGTAGTCAAAATATTCTAACGCGCGAGTTGTTCGTGTGTTTGCGGTCGATTTGTCCGAAAAGGCCGGGATAATATGCAGAGATTTGAGCATCTCGCGTGCTAGTTCAGGGGCGCTTGTTCGTGAGGCTAGAGCTAATGGGATTGAACGGCTCGCGCAAGCTTGTATTATTGAGGAGACTGCGGGGTAGAATGCAAAAGATTCATTCCATCTAATGCTTTGTTAGCTGGGGCGCATCCCATAAGAGAAGATACTTCTTACCGGTCCGTTACGCGAGAATTATTATCACGAGACTTTATGGGTGTACTGACGTCCATATCGACCCAGAATGGCCATAGTGTGTAGTCAAGATCGAATGTGATCAGTTTAGGCAGCGGCAGACCATCGGAGAAGGTTGAGGGGGCCACCGATATATCCTCGAGGGGCTGGGTATTTTGGCGTCTCACTCGCACCATACTTGATATAATTAGATAATATTTCGAAGAATGCGAAAAGAAGGGAGCGAAGTTCACGGTAAAACCTTGAAGTGAATCTAACTTTACGCGATCTACATAGGAGATACCGATAGTGGAAGTGATAAGGTCACATGACTCGGATTCAGTTACCCATGTTTGCACGGTTTTGTATTATGAGTTCTTATCTAGCCCACTGCAGCCTAACCATTTTAGGCTCTTTCCCCTTGTTTTTCCGGCTCTATTTTTCTCCTGTATTTCAAATCTACTGCAAAATTTGTAATTCGAGAGATTTTGAAAGGTGGTAACTTAGAGGCTAGCTGTTAGAACTTAGAAGCCAGTTTGAAGTTAGGTTGAAGATTCCGCTTTGTCTCGATAATTTGCCCAGTCGATGTCCAGAAGTATGGGAAATTCTTGAAGACTTCGATGCTCATGTATATACTAGGGCAATTTCCTACTGTCATTCACCTCCAGGGCTGGCACCCCCTTCTAACCTTGGAAGATTCATTACCTGGGTATTTGCTCAACAACGGATAGATCCTTAGATAGAGAAGATCTTGGTTTTCCCATTTAATAAATAAAATTGTAAGAGGTCAAGGTGATTTTGAATTGACGCTGCCTAGGTGTATTCTGAAGAGGATAATATTGGTTTATTGCATACTTCTACAAAAAAATCATAAGAATACCTTCATTGATGCGATCTTAAAACAGTGTATCTATATTCAATAACAAGGCATGGATAAAAGTCAACCTCCTAAAATCGTTTAGTCGATACATGCTGAGATACCTGGAGATATAATATCGCATTAAAGTCAGCCCTTCCGAGTCATGAATTCAAACCAAACTTGCAGGCAATATGGATGTAAGCATGCCAATATCGCTTTTTCGCTTGCCAAAGCCATTCAGGCAGACTGGTCAATAAAAGTTGATAATGTCATTAAACTCCTCCATCATCATTCGGTCAACATCATCCCATTCCATAGATGCATTGTCAGGATCAGTAGGTGAGTGAACCAGCTCCAGAGCTGCTGGGTCAACTGTCATGGTATCCTGCAATTTGGGGTTTTCATAATCCATGGACGTACAACGTTCAGCTCGCTTCTGGCTTGCTTTGTTCTCGATGAGATCGAGAACTCTAGCCTTTCGTTTTGGAGTGCGGGGAAAACCTTCCGAGGTGAAGTGTGCGGTCGTGGCAGAGCTGCCGAGTGTATTCGCATCTGTGAATATTCCGTCTCTGCCTGAGTCGCCGGTAGGGGTGTCATCCCAGATATCCATTGACTCTGTCTGTGTGGGCACCGGCAGTGATCTTTCACTCCAGTTTGATGGTCCTGCTTTCACGGTATTGTTTTTCAGCTCCATACATTCCTGGAACATGATGCGTGGTATGGGAGGGGTGATGAAGCCTTTGCTGAGACTGATTGTTTTTTCGGTTGCTGGAGCTAGAACGGGGCCAGAATTTGCAAGACAGAGGCCTGCATCTTCAAATAGGAACTGTAGATCGCCGAGTTCATCTCCATAGTTACTGGAGACAGTATCCGAGGGACTTCTTGCACTACTATTCTCGATACTACCGGTTGACAATTCCCGCTTGGTTGACTTTCCAGTCTTCTTTGCAGATAGTTTACCTCCTACCACGCCAATTGCCTGAGCCTTGTCAGTTGGTTTTCGCTTTGTTGCAGCTTTTTGGCTCTCTTTGCGGGAACTTCCTGGCTTTTCTTTATTTGGAATGGCATCGGAAAGGGTCAGTTGGTTCAGTCCACTAGTTTTGTTTGCGAGGACTGTTCGTTTTTTGCTGGGTTTTGGGGGCTTCTCAAGACCTTCCTTGCAGCAGAGATGTTTGCAGCTAGATATTTTGTTAGCACTGAATATAGCCGAGGGGTTGCGATATGAACTGACTTTTTTCTGTCTTTGCACCTGTGGTGGCAGGCCCAGTTTCCATTTGGAAGCTTGATAGCCTCAGACTCTTCACAGTCGTCATGGTCATATTGCTCCATGTTCTCCTTCCACTGGTCCTTTTCTCGTTGTGTTGTCTCTCGTGAGTGTCTGGGTGGACTTGGAGTGTCTTCAATCGACAGCCACTCAATATCATCATCAAAATGCAAGCTTTTCATGCTGGTGGATTCTTTTGGCTGCTCAAGTCGCTGATTTTCAGTTATAAAATCGTCAAGCTCCAGGTCATCCCCGTCAAAGTCGTCCCGCGCTTTGGAAGGGTTGAGTCTCTGTGTGTCTGTCTTGTTTGCTGCTTTATTTTGCGCTGAGAATAAATATGATGGCATGTCTGGCTTGATGATGGCTTGTCTTGAAGTCCCGGCTTGATTGCTTTTAGTAAACACCCGGTATATTCCGTGAGGTGCTCACCTATCTCATCACACATGACGTGGCAGACGATTTGTTGATCTGAACTCGTCAACTCCGCAATAAGAGTTACTTCTAAGCCCTTTTGAAGCTTGCTGGCACTGAAAGAAAGTCAGCATATCATGATATTCGAACTGAGGATCTATAGTATCATCACCTTATCCGTCGAAAATCGATCATGCGCCCATCAGACGTTTCTGTTAGACAACAGACATATATCGGCTTCCGTTGAAAGTGGGAAGGAACCGTATTGTTCATGAAAGCTACTTCAAGCTCAAAATGTATCTTGACATTGGGCTTCGCTTCCTAGTACCAGTATAAGCAGATTTTTGGAATATTTGAAAAATCACACACCTGTCCGACCATCTTCGCGGTTATTCTGAGATTAGGGAAGTCTTTCAGTCGAGCCAACAGCTTGGTGCCAAAGGGAGGATGTCTGCTAAGAATCATTTCAATATTGTGAGCTTCGGTAAGTCCAAGGTCGTCAATTCCTGTAATTCCAGCTGCAGCTAGTTTTCGAACAGCTACGACTCCTATCTGCTCAATCTGCTTCATCTGAAGTGGAGAATGATCCCAAACCCTTGAACTGAGGCTACGTGCCAGCTCTAGGGCGTTTCGAATACTTGTAGAGTCCTCGCGCGAAATCTGGCAGTCGATAATGCACCGAATTAATCGGTTCACATGTGTGAAGACGAAATTTCTGTCCTGTTGCATTGAAAACTTGTGTTTCTGAAATTGATCACCTCCTGGAAATTCTATTGCCGCAAGCTCTGACTGGAGAAGCAGCGAAACCTTGTGAGCTGAAAGTGTGACGTCAACCATGATAGGATACCTTATTCCAGGATCACGGTTAATCTCACGGTATAGCGACTTTTCGCCGGCTCGAAGACGAACTTCTTGGAAGTCGTCGGCTTGAACAATCAAGTAAAGCTGGTTCTATCAGTATGGCCCAGTAAAGAAGTCAGTCGGCATTACTCACGATTTCATGTATGGATGCCCCGAGTCTTAGAGACATGAGGATTCTCATGGTTTCAAAACGAACGCAGTATCGAGCCATAGCATCGCCAAATTGAGTTGAACCTAGCTTTTCAATTGTAACAAGGCCACACTCTTGAAGAAGTGTAATATCCTTTTCACATATCTGACGAAGTAGCTCATCTTCGTCATCTTCGCTTGCTTCTTCTTTCAGCTGGTAGTAAGATGGATTTCGGCGTAATCTCACGAACAGGAAAGTACCGGCAAGCCACTTCGTGGCCGATTCCAGGTTGGTAATATGTCCCAGTCCAATCTCAGCATTCAAATGATCGATGAGATTCAGGTGTAAGCAGCTCTCAAGGCTTTCCGAGCCTGACACAAGCTTTTCGTAGCGTGAAACGCGCTCTCTTTTAGTTAGTATAACGGCAACTGCACTGTCGTCAAATTGTGGCCGACCTGCTCGGCCAAGCATCTGCATCATTTCCAGATCGGAATATTCCTTGCATTGACCTTCTTGCCAACCGACTGTGTTCTTGATAATCACAAGGTGGCATGGAAGGTTGACACCAACTGCCAAGGTTGATGTGCAACATATGACATTGATGTGGCCATCTCTAAAGCCTTTCTCAACAGCATTTCTGTCACCAATACTGAGACCTGCATGGTGGAATGCAACTCCAGATGGGATAGTCGCTATTTGTGAGTTAAGAAAAACTTCACGCAATCTTTTCAACCCAGTATCACTTACTGTTTAGGTCTTCATTGTGCACCTCAATGGGCCTGCCGGGACCCTTCCAAACTCTAGAAGGTGGATTGGTCATAGACCATGAATTAGCAAGAATTTTGGCCGTGGCGACAGTCGAGTTTCGAGTGCAGCAGAAGATCATAATCGGTTTCTTGCACGAATGAGCTGCAACATGATCGAGGAGCCTGATTAATAAGATATCAGCAAGCCATCGCAATTACCAGGATCTTGGACTTTGACTGACTTAGAGCTGAGGACTTTGTCGAATGCAAAATCATTGACGTTCGACTGATAGCCATATACAAACTTCTGCAATTTGACAGGTCTGAAGTCTTCTCCGAAATGCTCTCTATGCGCAGGCACATGTTGGTTTGTGGCATCCTTCCCAAGCCATGTCGCAATGTCCTCCGAGTTCGGGATTGTGGCGCTGAGCGCTACAAAACGGACATTTGATCCGATTGTCTTCATGCGCGACACCACTGCTTCGAGGGTAGCACCCCGAGACTCCTTCAGGATATGGACCTCATCGACAAGGAACAATTTCACCAACTGCATCAGCCGCATGTGGTCTTTCCATTTCCGTGTCATGCTGTCCCACTTCTCGGGCGTCGTGATGATGATTTGGCTACTCTGGACGTTTCGCAGATGCGTATAATCCGTGTCTCCTGTCAGTTCTGCGCATTTAAGATTTAATGCTGCGAACTTGGAGTTCCAGTCGCGAAATCTTTCTGCACAAAGAGATTTGGTAGGTGCCTGGTATACGACTTTGAAACGCTCATCTTTCAAGGTGTTGAGTAGTCTGCAGACCGCAAGCTCCATGATCACTGTCTTGCCACTTCCTGTAGGTGCAGAGAGTACCAGGTTGTTGTTTGTGTTATACACTGAAAGAAAACATTTGGACTGGATAGCATTGAACAATGGAAACGAGAAAAGCGACCGGTATTTATATGGCAATTCATTGACAGAAACCAGTACAATGCCTCGGATGGAGGGTGGAATCTGGTTGAACGGAGAGAATGGTTGGTGCTGACCACGATTATGGCTTGCTGGAACAACTTTGGATGACGAGGGCAACTGTTGTGAAGACTGGTTACTATCGGGCTGATGTGGGGTAAAGGGAGACCCCAGTTGGGTCGGCTTCTGCAATATGCCCTGTTTCCGTTCATTGAGTAGAGCAAGTGGGCTGGGTGGAGATCCAAATCTCGACTCTACCTGGCTGGACGCTTGTCCACGAAGAGGAGTGAGGCTAGAGCTTGCTGTTTTTCATCAGAATCAATGGAATGGTAAAAAAAAAGCATGACAGATGAGCATGGCTGATATCACTCACGATCAAAAAAACGGGAGGTCACTTGAGGGGCAGCTTGATACTCAGAATTTCGAAATAGCGAGGCATGTCGAGGAGTATATCTCACTACGCCTTCTTCCTGATATGGATTCTTCTGCTTACTTCCCTGTGCTAGCAGCTCAAGATCTGAGAGGCTATCAGCAACCGCCAACATGTGGCACAAGATGATATCAACTCACCAAAGGCATCCAGTTCAGTGTCCTCGTCGCCAACTGATGGACCTGGGTTATCGATTGATAGAGACTCGTGGGGGAATACGGTGGGTCTTCTTTCCTGTCTTGAACCCTCGATGAGGTTCGAGTCAACCAACCCAGGCCGGCTGCTTTGAGAAGAACCAGCGACATTGGGACTACCAACTCGCCGCCTCTTTGCCGGTTGCCCAATGGTGTTGGACTCGGAAAAGGGGGGTTTCCCCATGACGAACTGACTCTGAATGATTGGGGTAATGAAATGAAATTGCGGACCAATTTAGGGTATGAGGTCAAGAAGTTGGAAGACGAGCGGAACGGCACGTGGACGACATCATGAGACTCGATGCTCAGCAAGCCCTGGAGGTTCATCCAGTCTGGATCTGTGAAATGTATGAACATATGAATAGTATCTCATTTCTTCGTATATAGATATGCATACATGACCAAAAATCCCAGTGGCCTCTCATATGGAACACGCTAGCAAGCAGACCACTCAATTCATTCAGGTGTTATGTTAGAAAAGAAAATAAAGGCTCACGAGTGCGTTTACACGGGCTGAACTCAGTCTATCAGTTATCCAAAATCGCAAGTCCATAACAAGGGGATAAGATGAATATGTAGAGGGCAGCCTCTTTTTTTACTCTTTAGCAAAGTAGCTATTACCACGGTTCGAGTTCACCCGAGTATGACCCCTAGTGTGACCTGGGGCGGGGGAATTGGGACGAGAGGTTGATACGCCATCCGAGAGAAATGGAGTAGTAGGGAGTTGGATAGAGAACTCTTTGGACGCACCTACGGCGGAGCCACTGTCCACCCCATCATTCTTTTCATAAGAATTCACGCGGATGGGTGGAGGGCGTGAGTCACTTTTAGAAGAAGGGTTAAAGTCTGGATTACCGTAGTAGTGGGTGGCTACCAGGACTACAGCAGAACCCAGCAGGAACTAGAGATTATCGTCAGTATTTGCTGTGATAGAGCAGAAAATCAAGTAGACATACGGTTGTGGTCAATTCAAACTCGAATAGCCATGCACTTCCAAGGATGCTGAGAATAATGCTGGCAGTAGTGGCCGGACACCTGGTGTCTTTCTGTGTATTGCCAATAGAGAAAGTTCCGAAGATACCTCCAACAGCATGGATGACAATGGTAGACCAAACAACCGGATTATAACCCTGGAAGAAGCCATTATTCGCAATTGTTTCACCATCCGGGAAGAGGACGCCGATAAACAAAGCTGGGAAAACAGAATACACGGCCAACTGCACGTTTCGAACCCACATGGAACTCTTCTGGGAGCTATCTCTGAGAACTTTCTCGAAGTAGACACTCTCGAAACTAGAGGCCATGGCAGCACCAATAATGGCGATGAGACCAATAACCGGGTCCAGACGTGGGTCAGCGGTCTGCATGTCTTCCTCAATGCCCTCATAAGTGGCAGACCGCTTGCGCAGACTACCCGTGGCCCCTTTCACAGCCTTCCATTCTTCCAGAGAACGAGGAAAGTGGAGTGACGATGCTTCTTCATTGAGTGCCATATCATCAGAGCTGGCATTGGGAATATGTACCAAAACCAACCCCACAAGGAGGAGCAACAGCAAACCCCACTTACGGAGAGGAATGCTTCGTCTGAGCAGAATTACTCCAAAGATCGCAGTGGTCAAAAATTGCAGTTGAAATGTGACCTGGAACAATGCCGCCCGCATGTTGGATAGAGCAACGTATTGTAGAGAACTGGACAAAACGCCAAGTCCTGCGGGTATGGCCAATTTCCAACTATCGCCTGAGAAGACGGAACTGATGAGGGAGTAGAGGAGCGATGTTGCTGGCATTGATGGTGGGGCAGCCTTTGAGACGTCGTACAGGGCCATTGTTAGGGAGATGGCCAACTTGACTACTTCATTCATCACGACCGCCGTGGAGGTCAGGTATCGCTTACCACCGGTAGGTGGCATGACTCGAGAATAATGGCTTATCTAGAGTAAGAGTGCACCATGATTAGCTTATTGGCCTTGATAAAGATCGTATCTGATCGGCTTGTAATACATACCAACGCAAATGCAGTGGATTGAGCAGTCAGCTGCGAGAAAGAAAGCAAGGCAAGTCAGTAATTGGCCTTGGACTGCAGTAGCCGTTGTAAAGCATAACTTGGAGTTCATACCAAAATCCAAGGCACATTTCTGGTCCCGGTTTGTAGCCATGATGGCCGGTGCTGTGTGCGTTCCCCCATTGCTATGACGTTTGAATTGTGATTGCGCCCTCGCGATGGTATCTTCGTAAACAAAAAGGAAAGAAACTCGGTGATTTAGACCACGAGAAACGAGACGAGCGTATGGAACGACGGCCGAAAATCAAAGAGCGAGAAATATAATTCAACCTGCTACACCGCGTTTGAGGCCAAGACTTCCTAGGTTAGGGTACGGGAAGATCTTCACTGGGCCCCTGAGGGCTGTGGGTGACGGCGATCACGGCTCTTTCTGAAGGTGGCTGGGAGGTGAAGAGAATGATATGAGTTTTTCAACTTGGAAACGACAACAGGGGTTGAAACTCGATAGTGAACTTGAAACTCTTCAGGACTTTAGTCCGGGGTAAAGTGGTTAAAGGATGGGATTATGGGCGGTTGATCCACCTCATGGGCGGTGAGGTCCACACTTCTTTTTCCAAGATTTCATAGCCTTGGTATTTGACATGTCTTCCATGGTACAGTATATGATCTACCTGAATATGCCATATTGATATGCAGCTTCAATCGATATTAATTTTGTGATTTCACGGGTATTCTGAATATCCTCTCCATCTACTACCAGTTGGTTCTCTGACGTCAAGCCCCCGCCTCCTTGCCTCCCTCTCCCTCGTCATCCATAGATTGATTCGCCTCATAATCCTAGATTCTGATAAAGACCGATACGAGGCAATGCCTTGAATATGATAATATGATACGAGGCTATTGAGGTCTGGCCACTGTCTGATTAGGCTTTGGCCTATATGCATGTCAGCCACATCAACTATGGCTAGTTAAACCTCCGATCTATATGTACCTAAAGTACCTAGGCAGCAAGTTTCATGTGTTGGAAGTTGGGAATCAATTACCTAGGTAGATAGTACCAATGACTGGGGAATCAAAGTGCTTGAAAACATGTGGAAATAACAGTAAATTGCCACCCATTAAAGAACATAAGGGTGTATGTATTGTGCTCAAATTATGAACTGGACAGGATTCAATGAGATGATAATTAGAGAATGGTGGTCAAATAGTAAGGAAATTCGTTAAAAATCAAGCGATGGAGAGAACTGTTAAGTTTCTGGAAAGGATAGAGTAGTTGGAACGCCCAAAGGCAAAGAATGACGGGTATGAGATATCATGGCAGGAAAAGGGTGCGACAAGTCAGTTCGGCAGCAAATGGGCAGGTCAAGATGTCGATTATTGTACAACACTCAGCGCATTGGCTCGTTCGTGATCCCATTCAAAGTCGAATGACCAATGATTACTGTCAGGGCCACCCTGGCTGAGCATAATAGCTCCACTGCTGTCGGTACGACGACGAGCGTGTTGCTTTCTGTCCTCTGGGATGGCGGGGGAGGGCCACATGGCTGTGGCTTCGGGGAAGGTAGGGGTGAGAAGCGATGAATTGGAAGGCTCGGAGTTATCGGAGAAGCAATGCTCGTGGCTGGCGATGGGAGACTCTCGGAGTAACTATTGCTGAACTGAGGCGACGCAATCCAGTTACCAGTCTTCTGTTCAGTATCAGAATTTGAACTCTGCGAGGGAGGGCCACGTTTATCCATGTGAGTAGCACCTTGGTCTGTCCGGTTGTAAACCGACGGGAAACCTGCACTGAGACGTAGGAAGGAGGTGTTGTTGTTGGCACAGAACAAATCACTTGATGGAGCCGACGCCATCGAGGAGCGATCAGACTCGGAGATATTGGTGCTGTTATAGTGGAAAATACTCGGGGTTATCTTGCCCTTGCGTTGGCGCATGGCTGCCAGCAGATCCTCCTCTTGTCGAGTCACTGCCATGACTCGACTTCTTCGGTTCATCTCCTTAATCTCTTGCGGTGTTTGCGAAGGCTGCTGCGGGAATCTATCCAAGATGTTGGGTTCTTCGATGATAGTGTTGCCAGAATGTCGAGTCTCGGGCGTTCGGAGAGTGTTTTGGGACGAATTCCCAATCGATAAAGTTGAATGAGAGGCCTGTCGGTATTTGGTTTGAGTCCGTGAGCTCTGATCGGATCCATGACTGCTATTTGATGGCGCACGCTTGACCTTCCTTAGCTGTTGGCCAGTGGTAGCGTGGGCAGTTGAGGCAGTGTATATCTGAGGCTCCATTTTATGGTAATTGTCCACCACATTCCTATCTCGGATGTGATTATCGCGGATGTGAAACTCAGTCGGTGTCTCCAGATCGTCTTCGTCCTCTGACGAAGATAGAGAGAGGAAACTTGAATTCTGCAGATCCGTGTTCTTGAATGTGCTCTTGCCCTCCTTCTTGATCACGGGATTCTTCCGGCTTCGGGATTGACTCCGGGACTGACTTCGGGATTGGCTTCGGGAGTAAGTTCGTTCCTCCGGAATTCTTGACTCCGGAAGTCTTGGCTCATGAAAATTCGTTTGATGGGGGATATACTCTGGCATCAATCCAGAGTTCCAGTGCACGTCCTTTCGTTGTTTACCAGCTAGACTACGGCCCCGTTGTGCATCGACTTCCGTTGCAGAGGGCTGACGCTGGTCTACCGTTGGATGTTCCTGGCCGTTACTACAAACACTGGAACGGCTGTAAAGTGATCGTTGACCTGAATATCTATCCAATGCGAGGTCGATCTCACTCGTAGGCACTGTCCGCTCGAAAGACTGGCCATACAAATTGGCATCTTTTATCTCGGGAATTGTCGAAAGATCAAAACGATCAATTGTGAGCTGTGGAGCATCATCATGGACGACTGAAATTCGAGGTAATGAGTCTCCAAATCGGTGTACTTGTGAAGGGTTTCCTGCACTATTTGGTTTCATGTAATGGCGATCCGAGACGACGGTTGACACTGGAGAGGGAGAATCGGTCATGCGGTGAGGTGAGAAAAGAGGCGGGGCGGGATTTCGTGGCTTTGGGAAGAGAATGGACAAGTCGATGCGTGGTGGACGGATCTTTCGTTTGGAATCCATTTCCTTGGGAATGGTCCGAGTTTGTTTGAATGTGACATGCGGGTCCATTGACAGCTCGTTCTGAATCACAGGCTGCAGGCCCTTGGGAGTTATAGGTCTCGCCTTGTTACGGTTCAGACCTTCTTTTGAGCTGAAGTATGAGAACAAAGTAGAGGAGGAGCCTACATGGTGGACCTTTTTCGAAGACTTTGGCTGTGGGGAAGTCAAATATTGAGATCGATATTCACGGCCCAGCAGTGGTGATGAAGCCCTTACACGCAATTCTTGGGGTGGAACGGTTATATCCTCAGAAGATGGGGGAGGCATGACACTGCTGGGCTGCCAGGCGTGCTGTTGGCTATTATTCTGGCTATGGTGTTGACTGTACTGTTGGCTGTGTTGCTGCCTCGAAGAGCTATCGGGGGTCCGAATGTTGTGACGAGACTTGGACTTTGATGCATTAACATGGGTGGGTAGATTGAAATTGGTGCCCAGTATCCGTTGCGCCTTAGAGACTCTTCGCTCATTATATTCTTCGTGATCCATCTGGCCGGGGGATTGTAGCGGGGCCCGACTAGATCGAAATGATACATGCAATTGAGAGCGATCCTTAGGCGCCATGGAAGATCATGTACCGAAAAAGTCGGGTTTCGTCATGAACTTGTATAAGAATCAATTGGATATCGGGAATATCGGAAAATGAAAAGGTGTGGCGTTTTTGAGATGTTCAATCTCCCTCTCTTTTTTTTTCTTTCAATCCGGTCAACACGGTCAGTACAAGGTAATTCCCGGCTGAACCTGTACCATCACATACCCAAGTTCTCTTTTTCCCAAAAAAAAAACTCCGTTAAATAAGAAAAGAGGGGAATCTTGACAAGTGGGGGAAATACATATTCCAGTTTCCCTGTGGGGGAGGGAAAAGCACTTATTTTGTAGGGTCGGAGCGTCACGATCTCAATCCTTGGTTAAAGGGGGGAGGGAGACTTAGCGGGATATACTCGCACGATGTGGAGTGGAAAAGTAACAACGCCATTGGAAAAAGTAGAAATTGGACGAATTAGATAGACTTGAACAGGTAAGAATCGTCAGGTACCCACACAATGTCCACTTGTATGTGGACTTTATTATCCACTGTTATTTTTCCATGGCTCGATTCAGCGGTAGGTTCAAGTCCGTTCACAACCCATGGTATACTTAGTCTAATCCTGCCACTAGGTATCCAAGATCTGGATTTAATAGGTCTATTTTCAAGTAGAATTACTAGATACCTCGGTACGGAGACTTGTACTACAGGATTCACTTTATCTAATTTTATTTTAAAATGAGGTTTATTAGTAGCAAGTTATTTATTTACTCCAAAATTAACTACACTAGTACCATTGATCTACTTCACCCGAGCTTAGCTTGCCCCTTTCTTTTGCGAGCACTAACATTATCGACACTGATACTGATGGGTATGGAGCCACTAACATATGTACCGTGATACCCATACTTCGTAACTATTACTGAGGTGGACCTATATCCATAAATGTCCCTAAAGAGGCCATCTCTACCTAGGTAGTAGTGATCGTCCACCTCGTTTATTGACCCGGTCTGTCGACTCTTTCGATCGTGCACTTCTATCGGCAAACGATATTCCTTCATCCTCCCGAGGTCGTATCCTGCCATGATCGATTAGGTTCGCAATCTCCGAATCTATGATCACAGTTGTGATGAAACATTTCCAGGTCTAGATCCTTTGCTGAGGTTCCGAGGTTCCACCTGGTATATATTACCTTACTCCATACCTAGGTAATTGAAACGTCAACATATATCACAAGCTTGCATACTTGAGGCCCTTTTTACCGCTCCAAGGTTCTAGTATGTATGGCCATATTCCTTTCAAAGTCTTCCAAAGTTGGTCCGACCAAATCCGATCGATCGCCAACGAGATTCGATCTCTGTCTGCTCTGTGCCGTGTCTGAGCTGAGGCCCGTGATAATCCAGACTATTTTTATCTAAACAGATCCGTCATCGCTTAGGCAGATCTCGCTTAGGGCTTTGCTCCGGAAATCAAAATGGAAGGGGTGAAACCAGTAAGCTTCTGGAAGATGGTAAATTATTAGGGTGGAGTAAGGAGTATAATATAAGTACTCCTTACAGTACGGAGTAAATAACAGATAAAGATACTACTAGGTAAGTACCTCAGCTAGGTGGGTGGATTTAGGGCTTTATATGGAGTCCACCTGGGCACATTTACTAGTTGACCTATAATAACATTGGAATGTTTCATGCCTGATATGGAGTAGTCCATCCTGTGCAGTTACCTAATGTTGTACAAGTAAATAGCTAGTTTAGTTACATGTAGTTAGTACCTCTACGCATGATTAAATGAAGTCCACCGGAGTAAATCCGACGTCAAAATATTTTGTTTGCTTCAATTTTTAATATTAAGAGTAATTTTGTACCTAAGACCGCTAGGTAGCCCTGTATTGCAGTTCAAATAAACCCGGTAAGTGGAGATTGATATGGAGAATAAAAGGGAAGGGATCTTGTACCTGCAGGAGGCGCACCGAGTGATAAGTACTACACTGTTCATATTCCACATCTCTTATAGCTGCAACAAAGTGTAGAATAGTAGTAGAAGGTAGTTGATATCGTTAATATTGATCAGTTAACTGACAGAAGAGATGATGACGAAGAATCGCATGTAACCCCATATCACGTGATCGTAGTGGCGATTGCCGGCTGCCGGTACAAACAGGTTTGTCTTTATACTCCATATTGGAATGAGAATCAGGGTCTAGAGATAATGTAGAGAGTAGACCCATTTATTTGAGATGTTCTAGAAACGTACAGCTATAAACGACACTAGGTTGGTTATCTAGTAGGATATCCAATTTCCCAATTTTCCAATTTTCCAGTTTTTAGCGTTTTATCTATTTTTACTTAGTTGATGTTAGAAATACGTAGGCACAGCAGAGAAGGTGAAAAGTAATTAAAGTAGAATATTAAAGACCTTAATGTAGTGACATCAAAGTGAAGTGAAAATCTCAAAAGTAGTCTTAAAATGACATCGTCTAATACGGGGGCTCGGTTGTTGTTCTCCGCCCCAAAAGTCCCCTTGTCAGCAGCCGCCACTGCTTTCTTCTTCTTCCCCTTCCTTTGACTTCCTTACTTCTCCCCTTCAACTCTCCCCACATTAAATTCTTAGATGGTCGAGCATATCTACTCTCTCGGGTTGTTTTGCTGACACCCAAGAAAAATAAACCCCCGTTCGAGGTGCTACGAGGTACTCTTCATCGACTGCATTTGCATTTCCCCCACCTCCAACTCTGTTACGTGATGTCTTCAGACTCACCAACAGCCTTCCGTGCCACCGAATTGAACCCTTCGCCTAAGAAAAACTTGGCTGCTTCTCCGTCACTATCCCATGCAACACACAACTCCGATTCTCGCTTGATGCACACTCGACCACACCAAATGGAGGACCACAAGACTGATAACTTCGGGCAAAGTCCATCAAACAACGCCTTTGGGCAGTTCTCATTTGCCCCCGCCACTCGTACAACAGTCGTCACTACTACCACCACCACCACTACCTCCTTCCCACCTCTCATCATCCGACCCCCACGTGCGGCAAAGGACCTAGATACAAGACTGTATCCTCTCGCCGCGGCCCCTACTCCTGCATCCCTAAGAAACCTGACATTCAAGGTCGGCGACAGGTCGATTGTTTTCAATGAACCGGATGACTCTGCTTCCATGGCACACGAAGTAAGCTGCGCTAAAATCACTTTTTATGCAACCGTTCTTACAACCCATTCCAGATGAAAGAACAGCATGACGCACTCCGGTCTTCTAACGGCCAGATCCGGTCTATCAACTCATACACTTCAGAGAATAGTAAAAATGCCCGTCCCCTGGGACCTTCGGGACAGAATCGCTCAAACTACTCAAATATCCAACGACCCGTCTCTCCCATCTCTATTCCAGACGCTCGCCCTATCATCCTCCCTCGAACACGTGCAACCCGAGTCCCTTCTGAGCCTGTATTACGGCGCACCCGTCAAGGTGCCTCTGCACCCACCCGTCTTTCTACTGCCGGGTTGGCTACTCCGGAAACTGAAGTCAATACCGGGAGCTTGGGTGAGCCTACGGTTCCAAGACAAAGAGTACATAGTGCCACAATTCCGCGCAGAGAAGCTCTGCTTCGTTCACCTCTCACATCTGAGCCTGTAGCTTCAGTAAATGCGAGCAGCTCGGGAACTCTCCTCAATCGCGAGTTGCAAGGCATAATAACCTCGACTGTGAATGGCTCCCCCGTACCTGAATCCTCTGCCAGTCGATCTGTATCATTCTCAACTGCCGGAGATACAACTCAACCGCGATCTGATTTAACATCTCAGCTTTCAGCAATCGAAAATGCCATCGCCCAGGATATGTGTTTGCCAAGCCCCAGCTTATCACCGGTTACCGCCATGAATGCTCTCAACGTCGAGTCATCTTTCGATTCCGAGGAACCTGATAACGACACAGACTCCAGCCTAGACCATAACATGTCACGGTACCCCAAGGCAATCCGTTTACGCGATCCAGATCATCAAATGACGAGCCATCCGACATCTACTGCAGAATCTCCGTCATCTCTGATGGACATGCCCAAGGTATTGGAATTTTTCGACTCTGTGCCTGAGGAGATGAAAACCTACATGATGTATCAGTTCTTGCGGCGATGCCCAAAACCCACTCTGCATTTTGTGGCCGATGTGGTGAATCCAACCCTGAAATGTGACTTCCTGTCCCTTCTTCCCATCGAACTGAGCCTGAACATCGTACAGTTCTTGGATGTGCGAACCATGTGCCGTGCAGCTCAGGTTTCTAAGAAGTGGCGCCATATCATAAATTCAGATGAGAAAACATGGAAAGATCTTCTAGACAAGGACGGCTATTGTCTTTCCGATGTGGAACTAGAACGAGCTATCACGGAGGGCTGGGGCTGGCAAGGCAGTATCGTGGATAACGTTGAGAAGGATGTCCGTCGCCATTCTGTCTACTACCCTAACAACGATTCCGATCCCAAAGGTCATGAATTCTCACCCGTCCCGTCCCCCTCTCCCTCTGGAGCCGTTGAAGGATATTCTTTGTCACTCAACAGACGTCCCAAGCGGAAAGCAGGTAACACGCGGATTTTCAGTCGAAAGTTAGCTAAACGCAAGGTCTCGACGTGTGAAACGGACGTCGACCAAGACTGGAAGAAAGACGCTTCGGCTTCCGAGGCACCTTATGCTGCGGCCAATGCTGCTGCCAGGGCAGTCCCAGTCCCTACGATCGGTATTCCCGCACTGAGTGGGCTTTATCTATACAAGGCGCTGTATCGTCGACACCACGCAATCCGTCGCGCATGGATGAACCCTGAAGTCAAGCCTAAACACATCGCTTTCCGTGCTCATGGGCGCCACGTAGTCACCTGCCTGCAGTTCGATTCTGACAAGATCTTGACAGGTAGCGATGATACAAACATCCATGTGTATGATACCAAGACCGGGGCTCTGAAGACGACATTGAAGGGCCACGACGGAGGTGTATGGGCCCTTGAATACTACGGGAACACGCTGGTATCTGGCTCTACTGATCGATCCGTGCGTGTGTGGGACATTGAAGGAGCCCGGTGCACCCAGATCTTCCACGGCCATACTTCAACTGTCCGTTGCTTGCAGATTGTGTTGCCCACCGAAGTGGGCAAGGATGCCAACGGCCAACCGGAGATGATGCCTAAGGAACCTTTGATCATCACCGGCTCGCGTGATTCAAATCTGCGAGTGTGGAAGCTTCCAAAACCCGGTGACCCAACGTACTATCCCAGTGGACCTCATGCAGATGATGTTGATTGCCCATACTTTGTCCGCATGTTGTCTGGTCACACTCACTCTGTTCGTGCCATTGCTGCTCATGGCGATACTCTGGTGAGCGGCAGCTATGATACCACTGTGAGGGTGTGGAAGGTTTCCACGGGGCAAATCCTGCACACACTTACAGGCCACACTCTGAAGGTTTATAGCGTTGTCTTGGATCCCAAGCGCAATCGCTGCATCAGCGGTGCCATGGACCACATGGTCAAGGTTTGGTCCCTACATGATGGATCTCTACTGTATAATCTGGAAGGCCATACCTCACTTGTTGGTCTACTCTCACTGCAGAGTGATCATCTCGTCTCGGCTGCCGCAGATTCCACCCTTCGAATCTGGGATCCTGCGCATGGCCACTGCAAAAACATGCTTAGCGCTCACACCGGTGCCATCACTTGTTTCCAGCATGATGGTCAGAAGGTCATCTCGGGCTCAGATCGTACCTTGAAGATGTGGGACGTGAACAACGGTGCATGTGTTCGGGATCTGCTCACTGACCTCAGTGGAGTGTGGCAGGTCAAATTTAACGACCGACGATGTGTTGCTGCTGTGCAGCGCGATAGCTTCACTTATATCGAAGTAAGTTTCTTCCGTTCATACTGTGGAAATTAATTTCTAACATTCTCTATAGGTTCTTGATTTCGGTGCTTCACGCGACGGTGTACCCGAAAATGTTCTCGGAAATCGTGTCACTGTCAATGAAAACGGAGTGGAAATCCAATCCATGAACGGTGACACCGACTCTGATTCCGACTAAGACCGACCCTAACCTCACGAAAAGTGCATTAACGAAAATTGCAGCATTAAGATAAAGCCCCGCTGTGCGGTCTTCATTTTTGAATTTCTTGTTTTGTTTATCACCTCATCCTTCATCCTCCTTTACTCTACACACGATACCCCATCCTTATGGCTCTTGACTTCTCTCGGAACCTCTTTGCATAGCGTGTTCGGCATTTCTTCGTCATCCAGCATTACTATGAAGAACAGGCGTTGTGACGTTTGGTTCTTTCGAGGATTTTATTATGACTTCATCTTATCTCGATATTGAATAATATCCTCTGCATCCTTTCCTCATTTATTGTTATTATTGTACTTGCATCTCATATGCTTTGGCACTTCATCGTTTTTGTCTCATCTTCGGCGACACCAGATTGGTGTTTCAAGGCCGCTTTCTTCTCATGGATATCTATCTTTTCTTCTATGTTTAACGTGTGATAATACTTCAATATCTTTGCATCGACAATTCAGATCCTGATTTATTGTAACAACCTTATCATATAAGTGATTTGGATCTTTCCAAGATTCTATTTCACGGATGTACATGATGGCCCGTATCTATGCGCCGATAGCAGGAGCGAGGTACCCGCCCTCTAAGCTCCCGTCAATCCCTGCAGCAGATAGAACTGCCCATCGTATAGCATCCATACCCAACACCCGATCATAACTGATGGGAGTATCTGCACTGCATGTTAAAATCTCACCCAATGCACCAGGGCCTTCAGAAACACTTGGATCTGGTTGAACGATCGGTTTCAGTTCTTGTATCTTGGTCTGAAGCCGTTGAAGACCAGCAGCCGACACGCCAGTCTTGGCCAACTTCTTATTCCTAGCAAGGATTTTATCTGCCTTAGACATAATGATTTGATGGGGGATTGCGTAGCGGCGGAAAAGGCTGAGAATATCTTCATCATTCTGCTTAATGCCGTGTTCGCTATCTATGAGAATGAACGCTCGTCGGAGTCTAATTTTTAAGCATATTAGCACGATGTTCTGGTCTAGATCTCTTGCACACTGAATACTCACTGTCTGCGCCCTTGGAGATATTTCATGATTTCCATCCCCCATTCTGATCGACTGGCCTTTCCATATCCTGGCATATCAAGCAATACCACCTTAGACTCTCCACCCTTGGTACCTCCAATGCCAAACGCATTCATTTCTCTCGTTTTTCCTGGTTTCGATGAAGTCCAGCAGATCTTCTGGCCCATGAGAGCATTCAACAGGGAGCTCTTCCCGACATTAGAACGGCCTAAGAACGCGACTTCCGGCTCGATTGACGAGATCGGTGTTGTGCGAAACTTGGCGGCAGACCATAGCTTTATTGGTGAATGGCGTGACGGTATGAATAAGTTGTCTGCAAATGCTAATTGGGCCGCTGTGGGTGGTATCGTATCCCAGTACGAGCAGAGATCGGTGGGTGTAAGTTCTTCGAGATTGTATTTATTTCGGGTCTTTAGGCGGGTTGACGACATAGGATTAATCTTTCCTGGATCTGCCGTTGAGTATAGACTCCGCATGGGCGTAAACGACCTGCAGGCGCATCTCTTCATGGTAAATTGTGAATAACTTCAGAGGAAAGGAGAAGAAAAAAAAGCGCCGCGTTGATCTCCGGAAATTCAATGTGCACGGACTATACGCTTATCAGTAGTTATCGATAAGATCATGAGAGAATCAGTTCCAGATCCAGACATTCAACTCAGCTTTCCCCTCCATACCCTCATCATGATTAACGCAGTGCTTGTCTTCAATAATAATGGCCAGCCTCGGCTGACAAAGTTCTACACACAGCTGGTCCGTCCTCTACCAACACACTTAATAGCCAAACTAACCTGCCCCTCAGGACACTCAAACGCAACAATCCCTCATCGCGCAAATATATCGTCTAGTCTCACAACGACCAGCAAGCGCATGCAATTTCCTCCCACTTCCCCCTCTCCTGTCACAAGGCGCCAGCTCCGGCGCAAGCGGTCCCTCCGATGCCCCGACACAGATAACATATCGCACTTATGCCACATTGTCATTCATCATGATCTCCACGTCGACGGAATCTCCGCTCGCGCTCATTGACCTGATCCAGGTCTTTGTCGAGTCGCTAGACCGCATGTTTGAGAATGTCTGTGAGTTGGACCTCATCTTCGGCTATGAGACTATGCATGCTGTGTTGAGTGAGATGATCGTTGGCGGTGTCGTCGTCGAGACCAATACTGATAGGATCGTTGCTGGTGTACGTGGTCAGGAGGGCACGTTGGGCAAGAAAAAGGCCGTTCAGGCTGCTAGTGCTTCTTTGGGTCGCGGAGCTCTTCCGGGCCTTGGTGCGTGGCGGTGATTGAGGTTGTAATATGATGAAATATTGCAATCTTCTTTACAGTCATGCTCTGCGATATGCTTTGATTTGGTTGTGTTGATAGACTTGGGGAACGACAGCTGCTTGGTTTCTATTTCGATGCCTGATACCTACGATGTGCTATATGACCTCAACGATCCAATCTCTCATTATTATGAGACTACTCCTAGGTCCGTCCGCTTCGAACAGTCCATGGCTGGAAGCTCTCTATATATACCCACAAACTTTATATCTCTATCCATCAATCTTCATGTCAAGTTGCGCGAGACTAAGGAGCCTACAATTGTACCATCATTAATAAACATGCTTCAGGCGTCCGAACCAAACTTGGAATCACCTTGCTAGAAAGTATCGTTGCTCTCATGGAATGCAATTCACCAAAGTCAACCCGACGCCAGGGCTTGATTAGGAATTAGAAGGGAATGTTTTGAAAGTATATGATTCTAGAAAAAGTTAGGTATCACTACCAACTTGGGCTGGCACTGGCCCTTACTTCGACGCATGCGAATGAAAATCTGCCGAGAGCAACCGATATCTCATGTAAATTATCCAAATGATGTTCTAGCAGGAATTCAAAATTAGGGTTAAACATATTCATTCATGAGGGTAGTCCATAACGTAGATAAACATCACAAGTAGTCAATGACTTCACTCTTGGCGCAAGATTAGAGATGTTAGAGATTGGTTGCACATTGGGCCTATGGTATGACTAAACTACAAATAGTCTGTTTTGAAAATCGACCCTGGAAGAACCATGAAACTTCGGGGTATGAATGGAGATACGAAGGAACTTGAATTCGATGAACAAATAGTGATTGAGGACATAGCACTAGTGGCTAGCATGACCCAACGAAGACACCATAAAGCCTTTGACCACCATCCATCCTCAAATTAACAAGTCAGATGCGCCATGGATCAAGAAAGATGTATTCATGCATTGATCTATGGAGCATAGAATCGAAGAATTCAGTACTAGAATAAAGGGAAAGACCAATGAAATCTCCGATGTTCTGATGGTGGATTATCATGTGACCGTTATACCCTAGCCCTGGCACGTGATCGCACTAGCGCGATCCACTCAAAATTCATAAGCCGCTTGGAGTCCATTTCTTTTTCTTTCCTCGACATCCCTCGCCCAACACAGCAATCAGTCGACAACATGGTGGTAAGCAATTGATCGCCTTTTATCCAGGCTTCGCCTGCTGCAGCGATGCCGTAGAGACATTTATGTCTTGCTTCTGATCCTTGTGATCGAAGCGCCGTTAATTTCCCACAGCCTCGAAAGAGATGTGGGCAATTGGCGATGATCTGGCTGGAGGCACGAACCAGAGCCTGTGAAATGGCTTTGGCTCATGTCCTCTCTAGAGTTCAAAAGAAGATGCAGCTCTAGTGGATAGTTAGCTGATCTTCTTTTTCTCAATGAATAGCCTCCCAAGTCCGGAAAGAAGACCGCCTCCCTTCCCTACCCCCAGGGCAAGGCTGGTTCGTCCAAGAAGACCGCCAAGGTTCGTTTCTCTTTTCTTTCCACTGGGAGTATGAGAAAAAAGAAGATGCTAATTTTGCTCACCCTCTCCACAGAACCCTCTTATCGAGAAGCGCACCCGCAACTTCGGTATTGGTCAGGACATCCAGCCCAAGCGCAACTTGTCCCGCTTTGTTAAGTGGCCCGAGTATGTTCGCCTGCAGCGCCAGAAGAAGATTCTGAACCTGCGCTTGAAGGTTCCTCCTTCCATTGCTCAGTTCCAGAACACCCTCGACCGCAACACCGCTGCTCAGACCTTCAAGCTCCTGGCCAAGTACCGCCCCGAGACCAAGGCTGAGAAGAAGGAGCGTCTCGTCCAGGAGGCCACCGCTGTCTCCGAGGGCAAGAAGAAGGAGGATGTCTCCAAGAAGCCCTACCACGTCAAGTACGGTCTCAACCACGTTGTTGGCCTTGTTGAGAACAAGAAGGCTTCCCTCGTCCTGATCGCTCACGACGTTGACCCCATTGAGTTGGTTGTCTTCCTCCCCGCTCTCTGCCGCAAGATGGGTGTCCCCTACGCCATTGTGAAGGGCAAGGCCCGTCTCGGTACCGTCGTTCACAAGAAGACCTCCGCCGTCCTGGCTCTTACTGAGGTCCGCTCCGAGGACAAGACCGAGTTCTCCAAGCTCCTCTCCACCATCAAGGAGGGTTACACCGACAAGTACGAGGAGTCCCGCCGCCACTGGGGTGGTGGTATCATGGGTGCCAAGGCCAACGCCCGCCAGGAGAAGAAGCGCAAGGCTGTTGAGAGCGCTATCAAGGTTTAAATTGTCCATCTGTGACTGTTCCTGTGTTGGAAGGACTCTTAATCCAAAAAGCTTCTCTTTTAAACCAAAATTCTAATGTGGAAACGGTGTTTTTAGCTTTTCAAGATAAAACCATTACTCTCACCATTCTCCTAACAGCCTTTTTATGTACCACTCTTTGCAGATACCCATGAATGCATTTCTTCACCAGTTCAAATGCTTGTCGTTATGACTCACATGGCTTCTGTCGATGTAGAGATAGATAATCATGTCTGCTTAGATTCGTAGAAGTAAATAAAGCTTCACTAAAATTTTCATCACCTATCGCTTTCACCGCCTAATTGCCTACTTGATACATTTTGCATGGCAGAATCACCTAAGTCTTGTACAGTCTAAGTCCAACATGTGCATGATGAATAATTCCATCTGTTTTGTTTCCAAATAGTAGTACATTATCAGTGACCCAAAAAAAGAGACACTAGATAGAAGTTTTTAGATAAAGAAAGAAAAAAAAAGCTAATGCTCGAAATTTGGTATGAAGAAATCACGAAGATGAAGAATCACTGATGAATAAAAGCAACGTTCACCAAGAGATACAGAGTAACCAAAAACCCAAGAAACCAATCCAAAATTAAACCAATGCTCCTGTGTCAAGAATGACCGCGTCAAGTAATGTAGTACCGAGAGAAAATCCCAGTCTTAAGTCAGATGGGCAAGAAAGAAGAAAAGTCGGAACATGATGGGTTATTTGTTCATTGGCGTTGAGCAGGTTGTCGTGATGAAATCCCTTGTTTGAGCTATAAACTTTTAAGTAGCAGATTCTTGAATAAAAGGAGTGGAAAGTAAGCTCACCTTCATTTCCTCGATTCTGGCCTTCAATGCACTCGTAACTTCAGCGGCTCTCTTCCATGGTTCAGGCTGTCTCAGCTGGTCCTCATCTGATGGATTGATGGATGCTCGTGAACGAGTGGGGCTTGCAAGGGCTGACTGGAAGTTGTTATAAGTCGGACTCAACTTGCGTCGACTTAGACCCGGTGATGCAAGACCACCGTTTTCTTTCTCCTCACTCGGACTAGCCGAGGCGAAGCTTCGAGACCGTGAATTGTCGAAGCGGGATCCAATTTGCAGACCAGGACCAGAGCGTGGTGGTACAGCACCAATGATCGGCTCATGGTATATGGAGGCTGACTCACTTCCCTCCGACATGTCATTGGATGGACTTGTCGCGGATGCACGAAGGGCTCGTGCCAACTCACGCTTCAAACGCTCAATCTCTCGTTGCTGCTTCTGGACATTTTGCTCGGCAGCTTCAGCGTCACTTCGTGCGCGAACAAGCTGGGTTTCCTTCGCCTTGATGCTCAAGACATCCCGGGTATGGTCCTCAATCAACTGGGCGTTCTGGTTCTGGAGTTCAGTAATCTGTGAGTTCAACCTGGAGCGGTCAGACTTCATCTCCTCGATAGTCCGGGTGAAACTTTCTTTCTCCGCAACACGGAGCTCTTCTAGCTCCGCACGTTCGGCTGCTGAGATAGCATTCACTGCTGGAGCGGCAGGTGCTGGAGGAGCCTCAGCATAAGCCGAGGGCTTTGCGATAGGACGACCAGCCAGACCGCGTCCGAGGCCAAGCTTAGGAGCAGCCGGAGGAGGTGCGAGTTCCTCCGATGGTGGGGAGGCAACCCGTCTCTGGGGCGATGCCAACCCTCCTGGGCCACCAAGCTTGCTCTTGAGCCTCATGCCAGCCGCAGGAGGAGCCACAGACTTGGGAGCACCACCTAGCTTTGACAGAGCAGCCCGAGGTGTTGGCTTAGTTGGTGATTCAGGCGGTGCGGCGGCAGCAGCAGCAGGTGTCGCCTTCTTCAAACCGAGTGCCGGTTTCTTTCCTGGCACAGCCTTCTTTACGGCAGGGGCAGCGGGTTTGGGAGGTGCCACTATTGGCTTTGGTCTATCCTTGGCCTTGACCTCCGCTGTTTCAAAGAATTCTTTGATTCTGGTCTTCCGAATCTCATCCAAACCGTCAAGATAAGGGTTCATGGCTCTTTCGCCCATGATTTTCATCAAAGTACCCAGAACCTCTGCTCCGCCGGACCGTACAACTTCTGTAGACTCTGTCAATAGCTTGGTACCGGCCTCGGCAATCGACTTCACCTCCGGTTTGGATGGTACAACCCGAGTCGTGCGAAGGCAGCGGATCAGAAATTTGAGGGTTTCCTGCTTCACTTGAGGATTCTTGTGCTTCAGAAATTCAAAAATGTCTTCGAGGCAGTCAGAGAGATCTGTCGATAAGAACACTGCATCAAGCGCATGACCTAGTGCATCTGCAACAGACTGTTTCTTCTCCTTCAAACGCTCTAGGATCGGGACCATAATGGTAGAACGGTACTTTGCGAAGCTGAGTCGGAGACCCCTAGCCAGCAAATCGACACAGTTAGCCGCAACTGTGACAACTGCAACATTGGCATCTTTCATACACTTTGCCAGTGCCCGCACAATTTCATCAAACGGGCCCTCTTTGATGCGAGGTACGTTGAGTACATTGTAAAGCGCATCCAGCGCTTCCTTTCGGTCTTTCCATTTCGATGAGCCGAGGTTGTCATGAAGATCTTTGGGTACTTTGGGCATTATATCGACAGGCTCTGCCAAATCAATCACCTCGGCTTCCTCCTCCTCCTCGTCAAATTCTTCCCCTCCTTCCTCACCTTCCTCAGCAACTGGGGCGTTACTGGCCTCAGCCATAGCATCCTGTTGAACGCGCGTGAATCGCTCCTGTTTTGGGGTAGGCTCTTGCTTAACAGCTTCAAATAGTTTTTCTAGATCCGCCTGCTGCATAGGCTTCAAATCGGCCCAAAAAAGGGGCTTGATGGCCTCGCGGAGCCATCGATACAGTTCCACAGTCAGATTCTGTGCCTCTGCACGAACGTTCTTATCTGCATGGCCGAAGACCTTCGGCAAGGCCTTCAGTGTTGGTTTTGGGTCGACAATCTTGCAGCCGAAATTATGGTAGATGAGTGTCAAGGTGGACAATGTAGCAGCGACCACCTTTGGTACTTTATGTGTTGTGACTGGGATGAGATCTTCGAGAACTGGAGTTGCCTTGTCTAATTCGACACATAGTAAAAGCGCTTCTTGTGCGCTGGCTTTTCCGGCAGGTCTGGCGCATGGGAGACCCTTTTCTGCGATCGGGCCAATCGTAAGACTGCGAGTCCTAAGGAACTAGTTAGTACATCCATCCTACACTCAATTTCTGAGCCCGATCCCGAGCTCGACCCTTCTTGACGTACTTTATACATGCTTGTACACCTCCGAATTTCAAGAATGAACAGTATGACGCCAGGCCTTCTACCTGTGCAGCGACATTGGAATCTGCAACTGCCCCTTTCCACAAATTTGAATCTTGTAAGAATGGCGCAAACACAGGATGATCTTCGTCGGGAGTCTTTTCGAATTGCGCTTTTGCGTCTTCGTATCCCTCCTTCCGGACTTTCCAGTTCTAATATTTTTTTGTCCAAGGTCAGCGGAGTCTTCGCCATCATCCTATCTCGGGATCATATGGAACAGTGGATAAGCGCACCTTATGAGTGAATCGGTCCGGTAAGGGTAAAGAACTGAAATCTTGCTCGGCTTCGGCCATGGCGATGATTATTCAAGGTAGATGGGCGGCGCAAAGTTTCTAGTACGTTGTCTGGGTCAGTAAGTATTGCAGGATAAGTTACACAGCACATGTAAGATTGGTGACAATGAGCAGAATCCGAGAGGGTTGCCCTGACACCGGGGCTCAGTATTGCCTTACCGTGGAGCGTTAGGGACTTTTGATGCCCAAGAAACGGGACAGTCTCAGACCGACAGTAAAACAAAATGCGAACTGAAAGGGTCAGTTGATGAGGAGAAATGAATTCCAAAATCTCAATGATAAGAGCGAGTGGAGTTTAAGTCGATTAGGGAAGGAGAAATAAAGTACTGGGGAAGAAACGGGGGGAAGTAAACAGTGTATGTCTTGGCGGTCTTGTTTTTTGTTTTGGGAGAAGAAGAAGAGACCCCGCGGTGGATCTTCATCTCACAGATCTCCCATTTACTTTCGTTCTCTATTTCTGCCTTATTTCCCTTATTTCGGTTTTTCCCCTTTCTCCCCTCTTTCTAGCAACTCAATTCAAGTATACTTTCCTCTCTCTTTCACTTTTTCTCGAAACGCAAGCGACACCTCCGATATATACGGAAATGGCGATTTACGTCTAGGTCTAGGTACAATCATGAGCCAACTACTTACCGCGCGACAAGCGGAGGAACTGTATGGCTCAACTGATCACTTGATATCTGAGAATGAATGGCTAATAAGAGTCTTGCTGCAGACACAAATCTATCATCGCCTACCTTGCGTCGGCGAACCTGCCTCAAAGCTCCGCGGTGATACGGGAAGAACTGGGTGAATCAATCTCTGTTGATGACTCTACTCTGAAGAAATATGAGGGTCTATTAGAGAAGAAATGGACGAGTGTGGTCCGCTTACAGAAAAAAGTGCGCAGACAACCTCGAAACACGTTTTTGATTTAGGGCCCAGGGGCTGATCTTTTTGTAGATTATGGACTTGGAGTCACGATGCGCCTCACTACAAGCCGAGGTAGATACTGCAACCCCCACCTCACTGTCTCGGAAAAATCAAGATCCAGCTTCATGGCTACCCCGAGCACCAGCCCGCCACGACCTTGAGTCTCATCGGAGCCCCGTCACCTGTGTCGCCTTTCACCCCATATTTTCCTCTCTCGCCTCCGGTTCAGAAGATAACACAATCAAGATTTGGGATTGGGAATTAGGTGAACTAGAACGAACGATCAAGGGTCACACAAGGGCCGTATTGGATGTGGACTATGGAGGCCCGCGAGGGGGCACTCTCCTTGCATCATGTTCCTCTGATCTCACAATCAAGCTATGGGACCCTGCCGATGAATACAAAAATATCCGAACTCTTCCAGGACATGATCACAGCGTGTCTGCTGTCCGCTTCATCCCATCAGGAGCTGCGGGGTCTCCGATGTCTGGAAACCTTTTGGTATCAGCTTCTCGTGATTTGACATTGCGGATTTGGGACGTAACGACGGGATACTGCGTCAAGACATTACAGGGGCATGCCGCTTGGGTACGTGATGTTGTGCCATCTCCCGATGGTCGGTTTCTCTTCTCTGCTGGAGATGATCAAGTTCCGCGCCTCTGGGATCTCTCGTCAGGAGAGACGAAGGCTACTTTCCTTGGCCATGAGCACTACATCGAGTGTGTTGCCTTTGCCCCATCTACGAGTTACCAGTATCTTGCACCGCTTGCGGGTCAGAAGAAACCACCTCCCGTAACGTCATCCGCTGAGTTTGTTGCCTCTGCAGGCCGTGACAAGGTTATTATGCTTTGGGATGCCCGAGGTAACTTGATCAAAAAACTCATTGGTCATGACAACTGGGTTCGGGGGCTGGCCTTCCATCCCGGTGGCAAGTATCTGCTGTCAGTGGCCGATGACAAAACACTACGATGCTGGGACTTGACTCAGGAGTGCAAGTGCGTTCGTACTATCGCAGCCCATGATCATTTCATCAGCTCAATCCGATGGGCGCCTTCATTGATCAAGGACTCCGGCACCAATGATGCTGGGGCCAACGGTGCCGAATCAGCATCAAAGGAAGATGCGAAGGTGCCTAGCAAGGTGTCTATTCGATGTGTGATTGCCACTGGCAGTGTTGATCGCAAGGTCCGCGTCTTTGCATCATGAGGCAGCTTCCATCAAGACTGGAGCAGACAAATTGATGAATTTTTGGGAAACACCGAACTCCAAGAGTTCAGCGTATGAAGTAACGGGACCCGAGGCCACCACTCGGTGCCAGAAGGATTGCAGTTGGTCATTTTGGGGCAAAGGAGTTGGCTTCTATTCTGTGATACCAGGCTTCATTTACTGGAGATTTAGGAATTGGGATTGTTGCGTCCGCCAAAAGGCAAATGTTTATCGTTGCTTTCCAAAGTTGTATCTGGGGGTTCGATCTGACCCTCTTCTCGTATATACTTTTCTAATGCCGAAATGTGTCAGATATTCGATTTCATGACTCCTACATGTAGAGAGAATATACCTAATAGCCACTTGGGCAACGCGAGAAGGATATCACTATCTGCCTAGGTAGGTAGGTATGGCAAACCTTGGGAGAATATGGATGTGGTCGTATGTGATCAAGGGCGTAAATAAATCAAATGGAAGCTGTATAGTATAGTACATATAATTCAAAATGCAACACCAATATGGATATCACAAAGTTCTTTAACACTCAAAGGATATATAATGGCTCCGGCTCATTCCAGGAGCTGCTCAATCTACTCCTCGGGCTGGCGAGCAGTACGTTCCAGAACCAGTCTCTTAACCCTTCCCACGCGCTCATTGCCTTTATGAACCAGGTGGATCAATTCAGCGGATGAGAACTTGCTCGCAGCTGTCTTTCCTACTAACTTCGCCGCCGGAGCCACCAGATCGACCTCTTGGCCCAGCCGCCTCGACTCTCTCCGGATGTATTTAGCAGCCCAGCGAGCCTCACGTTCCTTCTCAAGCTCCGCCCGCGACATGACGGCCGGTCGCTCCTCGATGGGTACAGCAAAGGGAGTGATAATACGCTCGACGATGTGGTGCACGTGACGACTCTTGGGAGCACCGGACGAGAACTCGATCACATCGCCCTCGCGAAGGGAGTCGCGCGGGTCGGAGACGAGGTAGCGGGTTTCGACGGGATAATACTTTCGAATGCGCTTGTCCCAGGTGCTATGGCGATAAGTGACCGTGACGGTGCGTTCCATGCGGCCGACGGACGTGACGGTGCCGGTCTTGAGGGCGTAGGCATAGCTTCGGAGCAATGTTGGGGGTTGAAGATGCCCTGAGGCAGGAGATGTGGATTTTTGTTTTGAGAGAGTCTGGGAGGATGTCGATGCGAATCGAAGACTAGGGATCGAGAGAGGCATTGTTGATCGTGCTGCCATTGGGGCAATTGCCCGGATAGGCAGGGTTGCCCGGAGTAGATGGCTCGGGGTCATTGTGCAGTGAGACACCTGAGTTGAAAAGGAACTAAGAAAGACCTAGAGGAGGGTGTTCAAAGGGCTTAATGTGAATGCGGAGTTGAGGTTGGGTTTCCGAGAATTTCGGCATAATTTGTTTGCATGGTTTGCACCCTATCTATACTAAAGACTACCCTTATATCTGCTAAATACGGATTGTAATCTAGTAAACTGGAGTCTGATCAGATAAGTTACTCAGGTCTAAGTCCTAGCTGATGGGACGACTATCAACTATGCAGAATTCAGGTATAAACTCGGCATATAGTGCTTTCAGCGGATAGGCAGGTATGGTGCAATCAGCCATGACAATTGGCACAATTCAGCCATATCTTGTCAATATTGTCATTTCTTGCCAAGGGTAATTGGAAGATAAGCCCCTTCATGCTATAGCCATTTATAAGTGACAGCCGATCCCCTTTGCTTCAAACATCAACCTTCAAACTTCGAATTGAAAATCGAGAACTAAAAATGGCTCATTTGGAAGCACGAAAACACATTTCGCCTGATTCAGGCCAGCCCATCACTCTTCATCCTAACTTTAACAGCAGAATCAGGGATCATGTACCTCCGGATCCAATTCGTGAGCCGATCACCCCACCAAAAGACAGAGCCTTCTTTGCAGACCCCGAGAAGAAGGCTTTGTTTTCGACTGCAACCCGGGTAGATCTGACTGAATCTATCGGTACTATTCTGGAGAATGTACAACTCTCTCAACTCAACGAGAAGCAGCTGGATGAGCTGGCACTTTTGGTCAATGAACGAGGCGTGGTCTTCTTCCGTGGTCAGGATCTAACTACCGAGCAGCAAGTCCATCTGTTCCAGCACTATGGTATGTATGGACTAGCATTGCCGCTTCATCCACTTACTTAATTATTCTGGATAGGAATATTGGATAAGCATCCTGCTCAGAGAGATCAAAAAGTATGTCCTCTTCATCCATGCCTTGTTTCAATGTTGTAGGTCTAAAAATGAGTTCCAGTTCTTCACCATTGGTGGAAGCGTTGATGATCATCGAGAAAACCTGGGGTATACACCTTGGGTAAGATAGATCACTATTTCAAATTCAACATAATAGATCTGACAAGTGATACAGCCAAGAGCAGACTTCCATGCAGATACATCTTTCGAAATCAACCGTAGGTTTCGCAGTATCAATCCCAACTTGGTCCTTACTGATCTTATGTAGCGCCATCATACTCTCTTTTGAGAATGGAAGAGCATCCCGATGTTGGAGGTGATACAGCCTGGGTATGAAAAACCAGTAGACTCTATTCAATTTAATATCCAGATGGATATCGAGACTAATTGAGGTACTAGGTCTCGCAATATGGTTTATATGATGCCCTAAGTGGCGCATATCAACGATTCCTCGATGGTTTGCATGCAGTGCACACTTCGAGACTACAGTGTAAATGCTTGCAAAATACAAAACAGTGAATCTGAGCATGTTCTTACTAGAATCACAGATGATACCCTTCTTGATCTGTGGGGCTCTGGTCCCAATCGTCCTCCGATCGATACCCACCATCCGGCTGTCAGAACCCATCCTGTCACGAAGCTGAAGGCACTTAACGTCAACCCTGGGTTCGTAACTGGACTTGCAGAGCTCAAGAAAGTTGAATCAGGTAAGTCCTTTAAAGCTACCTAGCCAATCTTGAGCCTCTACTAACACGTCTCAGACAAGGTTCTTGATTTCCTAGCATACCACATCCATTCTGCCGATGATCACTATGTTCGCTGGAAGTGGGCAGTCGGCAGTATTGCGATGTGGGACAACCGGTATGCTCACTTCAAAGTACTATAGGAAATTCGGGCTAATATCATAACAGTTGCACTCTTCATCGAGTTATTCCGGGTAAATACAACGGAGCACGTCGAGGAATTCGAACAACCGTTTATGGAGAAAAGCGTATGTTTCCTATATTGATTGTCCTGCAACATACTAAGTCATGATTTAGCATATTTCGATCGCGATAGTGAAAGTCGGGAAGAGCGCAAGGAGCGAGAAAGTCAAGAAAAAAAACCAACTGCGTAAAGTGTGTAACCAACACCCTTGGAAGCAAGCTCAAGTCTTCAGACAAGAAGAAAGCCAAGATCTTCCATGATGAATTGCAGCAAGAATACTTTTATCCATTTAACTGGACAGAACGAGCATCCACGTTACAAGATTTACAATTCTGCTGTCGAAACTGAGCTTTTGATTGACAAGAATGAATATTCCAAGGTTGCTATATTCTTTAGTCCTTAATCAGGAACCTCCAGGGCTGACTTAGTTTAAGATATGTTTTCCTTGCTGATTCTCTATCTCTTGTTTATATCCTTTTCCAAGGTTCTCATTACTTCAATCCAAATTAGGGTAACTTTCCACAATCTTCAAAGGAGCCCCAGAATCCGTAGCCATATAAAACTACAAAGACAATGGGGAAAGTATGAGGGAATACCGTGTGCTACTGGGAATCAAATTTAGAGACGAATATATTCAGGAAACATTGTTACCTAAGTAGACAACCCTTGAAGACCCTAATGGTTAGGGCAAATTCTGCATCTAGAGGAGTAGGAGTTATTCCTTTAGCCGAAACCCCTTGAAAATAAAAGCAAGATCCCATGCTGGCCATAAGTGCAAAAACAAAAAATAAGATCAAAAAATTTCGCCACGTCCATGTCGTAAGAGCATCTAATTTCAACGGAAAACACGTTGGACACTTTCTAGTTTTAGAAGTTTAGACTGAAGGTGCCTGCTCGGCGAGCTCGGTCTCGCTGGAGCTGGGGGTGATGGCCAAGTTCTTGGCCTGGAACTTGTCGGCTGAGTGTGTGGATATCCGTCGGAGCTCAGTGACGAAGGACTGGCCCCAGAAGGCACTTGTGTATTTGTTCACGTATTTGTCCAATTTGGCGAAGTTTAGGGCACGCTGCTCATCACTCATTGTGACAGCCTCCTGGTAGGCACCAGCCAATTCCTCGGTGTTCCAGGGGTTGACAATGATGCTGCCGTTGAGACTTTGGGCAGCACCAGCAAACTCGGAAAGCACGAGGACGCCGTGCCGCTTCCGTTGAGTAGCAATGTACTCGTAGGCCACCAAGTTCATACCATCACGAGTAGAAGACACAATGCAGGCATCGGACACGGCGTAGAGCGCAATGAGTTCATCAAAGTTGACAGACTTGTGCAGGAAATGGATAGGCATGAATTCAACCGTGCCTATGAGCCAGATTAGTGGAGAAAATATCAGAGGAGCAAGGGAATGATCTACCGAATTTGCCGTTGATGCGGCCCACCAACTCGTTCACCACAGCACGCAGATTTTGGTACTCTTCGACATCCTGGCGACTGGGAACGGCGACCTGGACAAGGACAACCTTTCCAACCCACTCTGGGTGATCACTCAGAAAGACCTCCAAGGCATGAAGCTTCTGCGGCACACCCTTGATGTAATCCAAGCGATCCACACCAACCATCAGCTTGACACCCTGGAACTTTTGCTCCAACGCGGCAATACGCTTCTGTACCTTCTCCTTCTTGAGTCCCTCGCTGAACTTATCGGGGTCAATACCAATTGGGAAAGCACCACAGGTGATGATCTTGCCCTGAAACTCGATACCGTTCGGGGTAGTAGCAAGTCCACTGCATAATGTGAGTTATCATCCATGACATATATTGCAAAGGGTACTTACAGCAAGCGCGAGCAACTGCTCAGGAAATGGCGTGTGTAGTCATAGGTATGGAAGCCAATGAGATCGCAGTGCAAAACACCCAGAAGGAGCTCATTGCGCACAGGAAGAATGCGATAGATTTCACTGCTAGGGAAAGGGGTGTGCAGGAAGAAACCGATCTTAATGTTCTTCTTTGATTCGCCGATCTCCTCGCGCAGCATCTCTGGGAGGAGCATGAGATGGTAGTCATGCACCCAGATCAAGTCACCATCTTGCACTTCCTTCGCTATAGCCTTTGCGAACAGACGGTTCGCCTCCTTGTAAGCTTCCCAAGCCGACTCGTCGAAGGTGATCTCACCCGGGTGGTAGTGGAACAGCGGCCAAAGAATCGAGTCTAGGAGAGAAAAAAAAAAGATCATACGGTTAGCATCTGCAGCGTGGCATAATGTCCGAGGTTGTCTCACTAGAGAACCCATTGTAGTGGCGATCTGCCAATTCGTCATCGATAAACACCGGAATTGCACCGTATTCATCCTTCAGGCGCTGCTTGACCATGGGGACCTCTTCCTCGGGAACCTCCAACCCCGGCCAGCCGTACCATTGGAAGGTTGTTGCCTTGGACAGTCCACTCAGTCCACTAACCAAACCACCGGATGACATGGAAAAGTCATATTTTCCATCCTCGGAACGCTTGATGGTAATGGGAAGTCGGTTCGAGACGAGCAACAGGCGTGCCTCGGTCTGGGGTTCTTCCAAAGAAGGCATGACGCAAGAGCTTGGATGGCAAATGTGAAACGAGAGTTACTGTAATTTGCAGTAACAAGAAACAGAAATTTGCTGTGAAGACTGTGAAAGATAAATCGCACTTTTTCAGGAAGAGTGTTAGTCTAGAAGTTTGGATGCGTCAGTGGTCTAGCGCTGGCGGTGGAGCGGAGGGGCGCGGGGTGAAGGCAGGATAACTACTGACCGAAAGGACAACTTGAAAGAGAAGAAAAGGGATGATTCAAGATTCACGAGATCCTGAACCTGAGGACGCAATAGTCCAATTGTGTAAGTTAATAGAAAAGAGGAGAGTTGGAGATGGAAAGGGCGGGGGGGGGGAAGAGAAGAAGTGAGGTCAGCGATTATGGCACCGAAAACTGGGAAATGAAAGAAAAAGAGCTCAAGTGGATATTGGTCTTCATTAACGCTCACATCAGGATATTAGTTTTAATGGTTTATCCTTGTGGTGATTCCAGGTTGAAATGGAATTCTCTTAGCGGGATTCTTATAATACTCTCACTTATTGGGCTAGTATTTGCTACCCGATATGATTGAAAACTGACGAAATACTACCCCCGCTTTCTATATAAGGAAGTATGAAGTATGAGGCCCCTTTCGGAAATCAGTATAGAACACAACGTAGTAAGAAGGTCACTCACTCAATACTTATATTCAGGTAGCTCCAGATCTACACTCTAGATCTACACTATAATGCCGACTTCTCAATACTCCACTGTCCATCTTCATGTACGATCTGCCCCTCATCCTCCAATTTCATCAACACCTGCAGTACCCCATGCGATGCGCGGGGATGCAGAACCTCAGGTACATTCTTGTAGATTAGCTTAACCAGGTCCATTGGCGTCCACCCCTTGCGCTCCGGCGTGGCGCCGACCGAGACGTCTACCTTTCCATATCGTAACACTCGCAGCAGCTCATCCTCCCGCTGCTGACGGTGCTCAATATATTCCGTAATTCGGCATGTTGCATCTTCGATCACTGCTCCATGACCAGGATATCCACGGCCTGAGACCCGGTCGCGCATACGCTGCAAACTGCGGATATATACCTTCAGGTCTTCGAACACTGCTGTGCCATGACCCAGGACATCTGGGTTGCTAGTTAGCAATTGGCGAACAACGTGGTTGGGGTTTGTTCTCACTATCGCCTGTGAACATGGAATTCTCTTCTTCTAAGATAAACACCATATGGTCCACTGCATGGCCCGGAGTATGGAATGCCGTCAAGGTGGCGCCCTCGGCGCGGAATACCTGCCCATCTTGGATTTCCGTTTGTCCGTTAGTTGGCTTGTTCTTGAAGATCTGAGCGTCTGGGCAAATTTGAAGCAGATCCGAGACTCCGTTGACATGGTCAGGGTGCCAGTGTGTGAGCAGCGCCTGGTGGATAGTGGCTCGTTCCTCGGAAAGCACTGCTTTCAATCTACTTGCCCACGTGGGCTTGCCTTCGCCGGTGTCTATGAGGATACGCTGCTTCCCCCGCCCGATAAGGTATGTGTTGGTGCCTTGGGACTAGTGAGCCGGTGGAAGAATAGTCAAGAGGCGCACACTTACCTTGTAGTGTAAACTGGATATATATCAGCCACAGAATCAGTAACTTAAAAGGGTTGACCCACCTTGCCTGGATTCCCACCCAAGATCCTAATAACTGACGCACTGAGGCGCTCTACTTCAAGGAGCGGGGTTAATGTGGCCATGATTGATGAGGAATGGTGCTCCGGGATGAAGATGAAAGGTTGGGGGTCGATTATTAATAGCCGAAGAAATGTAACTATAACTATAATGAAACTATCTGGAAGTATCTGGAAATCTAGGATATTCCGTTATTTATCTCGTGTACGGAGTAATGTTTCTACTAATATTGCGAAATCTTCGAATGCGATTACGATCGATGGCGGACCTCGGTAAAGACCCAAATAATGAACAAATAAGAGTATATAGATGCATGCTATCTTGGGAAATACGGAAACAGTGATATAAAAAGAAACCAGAAAGTCATATCTCCATTGAGCCCACCCAGAAGAAATCGGGAATCCAACGCAAAAGACAAAGATCGTAAAGAAAAGTTTTTGACCAGAGCGCCACTACCACGCTCAAAATATGGAAGCGCAAAATGGAGTGACCACCCCTCTATTTATCGGAGGATGTTTTCATATGTCACTGAGGTCTCTGAGAGAGCCGTAGTTTACACAGGCGGGTAAGGTGCCTGGGGTATGGGAAGGAAAATAATTTAGTTGGCGGCCTTGCGAGCCATGGTGTTCAGGGCAGAACCATCACGGAACCACTCGAGCTGGGACTCGTTGAAGGTGTGGCTGAGCTTGATGTCGAAGGTGGCGCTGCCATCGGCGGGGTGGACGCGCAGAGTAACGGGCTTGCCAACGGCAACCTCGGTGCAAAGCAGGTCAACCTTGTCCTCGGGCTTGATCTTCTCGTAGTCGGCGGGGTCAGAGAAGGTCAAGGGAAGCATACCCTGCTTCTTCAGGTTGGTCTCGTGAATACGAGCGAAGGAGCGGGTGATGATGGCGAGACCACCGAGGTGACGGGGCTCAAGAGCGGCGTGCTCACGCGAAGAACCCTCACCGTAGTTCCAGTCACCAATGACAACCCACTTGATACCACGGGCCTTGTAGTCACGGGCAGTGGCGGGGACGGCGTCGTACTTGCCAGTGAAGGCGTTCTTAACCGAGTTGGCCTTGCCGTTCTCCTCGTTGGTGGCACCGATCAACATGTTGTTGGAGATGTTATCCAAGTGACCACGGTACTTCAACCAGGGACCAGCCATGGAGATGTGGTCAGTAGTGGTCTTGCCCTGGCACTTGATGAGAATGGGCAGGTCAGTGGCATCCTTGCCATCCCAGGCCTCGAAGCCGGCAAGGAGCTGGAGACGGTCACTGGTGGGAGAGACAGCGACGCTGATGGAAGCACGGTCGGCGGGAGGAGCCTGGTAGGTGTCACGGCCGGCATCGTAGCCGCGGGCGGGGAGACCTTCACCGGTGGGGGGCTTGAGCAAGAACTCGTTACCATCCTTGTCCTTGAGCTTGTCGGTCAAGGGGTTGAAGTTGAGGGTACCGGCAACGGTCAAGGCGACGACGAGATCGGGGGAGGCAACGAAGGCGTGGGTAGCGGGGTTGGCATCGTTACGACCAGTGAAGTTACGGTTGTAGGAGGAGATGATGGAGTTGGCATCACCCTTCTTCACGTCCTTGCGGTCCCACTGACCAATGCAGGGTCCACAGGCGTTGGCCAGGATGACACCGCCGTACTCCTCGAGGGTCTGAAGCTGGCCATCACGCTCGATGGTGGCACGGATCTGCTCGGAACCGGGGGTGATGGTGAAGAGGGACTTGGACTTAAGACCGTGGTCGAGAGCGTCACGGGCAATGGAAGCGGCACGGGACATATCCTCGTACGAGGAGTTGGTGCAAGAACCGATGAGACCGACCTTGAGCTCCTCGGGCCACTTGTTGGTCTTGACAGCCTCCTTGAACTGAGAGATGGGGGTAGCGAGATCAGGGGTGAAGGGGCCGTTGACGTGGGGCTCGAGCTCAGACAGGTTGATCTCGATGAGCTGGTCGTACTCGGCACCCTGGTCCTCGCGGAGGTTGGCGGCGTATTCGCGGGAAGAGTTACCAATGTGCTCACGCTTGGTGGCCTTGAGGTAGTCGTACATGCGCTCGTTGAAGGGGAACATAGAGGTGGTGGCACCAATCTCGGCACCCATGTTGCAAATAGTGGCCATACCAGTGCAGGACAGGGAGTCGACACCGGGACCGTGGTACTCAATGATGGCACCGGTACCACCCTTGACGGTCAGGAGACCGGCAACCTTCAGAATGATATCCTTAGGAGTGGTCCAGCCAGACATCTCACCAGTGAGACGGACACCAATGACCTTGGGGGCCTTCAGCTCCCAAGGGAGACCAGCCATAACATCGACAGCGTCAGCACCACCGACACCAATGGCGGCCATACCGAGACCACCGGCGTTAGGGGTGTGGGAGTCAGTACCGATCATAAGACCACCGGGGAAAGCGTAGTTCTCGAGGACAATCTGGTGAATGATACCGGAACCGGGCTTCCAGAAACCGATGTTGTACTTGGCAGTGGAGGAGGCAAGGAAGTCGTAGACCTCCTTGTTGATGTCGTTGGCACGAGCCAGATCCTTCTCACCACCAACCTGAGCCTCGATCAAGTGGTCACAATGGACGGTGGTAGGGGTCTGAACGCGGTCCATGCCGGCGGACATGAACTGCAGAATAGCCATCTGGGCGGTAGCATCCTGACAAGCAACACGGTCGGGGCGGAGCTTCAGATATGAGATACCACGCTCGATGTCCTGGCCCTGAGGATCGTCAAGGTGAGAGTAGAGGACCTTCTCGGCGTAGGTCAAGGGGCGCTGGAGACGACCGCGGACGATGTCGAGGTTCTCAGACATCTTCTTGTAACTGATGTAGTTACCCTTCTCCTGGTTGGTCATCTCGACCTTCTCAAGGGCGGTGGCATAGCTGCGAGTTCCGAGGAACTGTGAAATTCAGTTAGTTTTAATTTAGCTGCGATAGGTCACAAGGAGCATCACTTTCCGCCCACGGTGCTCTTACGGCGCGCCGCGGAAAGCAATGGCAAGCTGGGGGAAATGCCGCTTACCAGACGGGATTTGGGTGCCTATATGCAATGTCAGATCTTGATCTTAATTCAATCGATGTTTTTGGAGAGCATATGGAGCATTGTCCCAGACAAGCAAGAAGCTGCAGGGCCGTCCATAGCCGAAGAATTAGAAACGTACCAGCGCACCGACGCGAGCGAGGCGAGAGGTAATCATTATGGTAGCAGTCTATTAAAAGTCAAGACGCATCCAATTTAAAGCTACCACCTTCCTGGTAAGCTGTAAGTGAGTGGAGAGTAGGAAAAGGAAAGAGGAAATGAAGAGAATAAAAGGAAGTCTTGGAGGTTTTGAGCCGAAGAAAGGGCCGAACAGCCGTAATCCGCTGTTACCCCAGGGATAAAACGGTATTGGTGGCGTATTGAAGTCTTCATAGGGTTTGACTACCAATAATTATAGTGTCGACCTTTACCTTGGAACTGGTCTATAAAATGGAAAATAAAATCAGAATAACGTAGAACTAATCATTAGTAAATACATCTTATGCCAAATGAAGTCTTCAAATGAGTATATCTCCAATATATTGAAGGATCTGGATTACACAATGAAGGACTCCCATATTGACAATACTGTACTGGAAATACACGGCATGTGACGGGGGCTAAATGCGCCCAATCATGTAAATTGCAATTACTGCGATCAGAAGCATCGGACCAAAGGCAGAACACAGGGAATTTGGTATGGAGAAGTGGACCATGCGGAGATCTCTCAATACCCAGCTTCCCCGTTCATCCGCGAGATTGGGCCGTCTGTCTAATACTATTCTGATAATTCAAATAATTGGATCAAAACCAGTTTGAATATGAAGTCAGTGATTACTACTCCAAGTAATAATCCCTGCAATAGGATAGACATGACCGCAATAGGACGTCATAAATTACCGGATATGTATATGTATGTATTGTAAAATAGTGTATTTACTGCCGAAGTGTGCCGACTTGATCTTCTGCTCTATTCAACCAATTAAAAGTGACGTTTTTCAATCGCTTGACAGACTCCACAAGCCGGATTTCTCAATGCAAAACTTACCAAAACTTACCCACTTCCTTTATCACTCCGACTATCGGTGATAAGCCTCTTCTTTTTTTACTCTCTATCAATCATCAAGATGGGTGGTGCTCATGCTGTAAGCAGACTGAGGCATAAGACTAAGCGTCACACAAGGTATGTATTGAATTAGGATTGGAAGATTTGGAGTTCGAGCTAACAGCCGAGATAGAGATTTCGATCAAGTGTGCGCCGACATCAAATCAGCTCGTCATCTTGAGCTATACAAAAACACCAAAGATGTAGAAGACCTTCCAGGTCTTGGACGCCATTACTGCATCGAATGCTCAAAATGGTTCGAGAGTGAATACAATATGAAGGCTCACAAAAAGGGCAAGATTCATAAGCGAAGGTGAGTTCTCACTTATCTGGTCTCGCATATCTCCTCAGGGCCTTTACTGATCACTTTTAAATCTATACAGGCTTCGTGACCTTAAAGGTGAACCTCACACTCAACAATCTGCCGAGGCTGCCGTTGGACTGGGAAAGGTAGACAACGGCAAGCGATCAGAGACTGTGGCCATGGAAATGGACTGAACAGGTTTCCGATTCGCCCAGGAACTTCTCCCGGAGAGGTTATACTTCCTTCTACGCGCAGCTTGTTCAGAGGAAACGTGCACCATGAACATCAAAATTAAAACCAACATCTCCAACCATCAATGGTTGATATCCCAGAACTCCGCATGTACCAAGCGGAGTCAGGCACGTGATAGATTTTTTTTTATATTGCCGATAATCGCTGATATTCCGTTTTGCCGGTTCGCGGCTCTCGGTGAAACTACCGATTTCGGAAATTCCACTTTCAAGGCTACCTTGGAAACATTTCAATGGAAATCCCTCAATACCAATAGCGTCTAACCTCAAATGGTCTTCGGTATACATCTTGACTTTTAAATTTTATCTATCCCATCCGTACTCCATAGTAGACAATCCATGGACACAGAGCACCTAGACTCGATGGGACCTCGGGATTTTACTTGAATTGTTTCATCAGCCATTCGTATGATGCCCACTACACACAAGATCGCATTAGTCTTGGATTTTAGAAGTCCCAAAATAGAACATACCTGGACAGCATTCACAATAAAAGCTCTGATACTACAGATTCCTAGTCCGCGATAGAAGACTTTCAAGCCCTCATTTCGGTACGTCGTTTGAACAATTTGAATTGTGTTCAATATCTTCCTCTGGGGCTGTAAAAGAGCCTCTCTCTCTGCGGACTGTAGGGAATGATCATGCATTGTCTGGGCTTGCAGTCTCGTCTTCACCATGTCGAGGGGGAATACAGAAGCCCAGGTCACGACACCCGCTATGCCACCGCATGTAAGAACTTTGAGGGCTGTTTGGTTTGAAGTTTCGTCACTGGATGTCATCAGACGTTTGCAGAGTTCATAGGACCAGAAGCTATTGAACATTAGTCAGTGAAGCCTGTGTAACCACAATCCATGTTTTGATAGACGTGAATTTTCATACTAGAATCCATAACCAATAGAGTCTCGAGCGCTAGTGGTTGCTCCCCCATAGTACAATCCTCGCCAACCACGAGTGCGATAAATATTTTTCGCAACGGCCCATGACGAGACTTCTGGACGGGACTCGAGCTGCGCTCGACATTTGATAAACTCTGTAGGAGAAGAGATGGTCCAACTGACTAGTCCACCAACAGCACCAGCAATCCATATCTTGTACAAGGATGTACCTTCTGGATTGGTGGGGTCTTGAATGGAACTGTCCATGGCCATCAATGACTGATTGTAGGTCACAAAAAGAAGAGCATTGAGGGCCCCATATCCCAAGATGGGGGCTGCCACACCTATCACTGGAATTAGTATATTTTGGGGGTATGCTGTCATTAAAAGCAAACCTCGAAGGAGAGAACGGGCCTGCTCCAACCGGGTTGAAGCTTGGGAGGGTGCATCTGCAGATCTACCTGCCTGCAGGCGAACCTTGACCACATCAAGAGGATTTCCAATGAGGATCCCAAGAGCACCACTCAAGTAGCCAGCCCAGAAATCTGACCCCATTGTAAGTAAGTCTACTCCGTGGAGTCCCACTTTCATTCCCCGGATTTCTATGCCGGAATCACGTGATGTAATCTGCATATTATTGAATCGTTCAGTCGGTTTTAGGCTGGATCATGAATCAGGATAGTGAAACTAGCCCAGTAATTCACTGGAGAGAGAAATAATCATTGAGTTAGATCCATGATTAAATTACGAATAATGCAGAGATGTTTAGCAACAAATTATGGCATCTATCCAGGAGAAGACATATTGGAAAGAGCCTCCTAACAGCATCTTTGAGACTAAAGACCAGAGACATGAGAAATTGAATGCTCAACATTATGAGGTGGAAATGTGTATGTAGTTGTTGTTCGGGTGCGCTCTTGGCATTGTTAAGTGATTGATAGATGGTCACGTGGGGCCGCGGCACTTTGGTGTGTTTAGCCGACGCGCCAGGCAGAACAGGCAGAGGCAGGCGCGTTGATGGACACTGCCCATTCCATAACTAACCCTTATTCCAAGTCTTTTATTGTATCATTTACATGTACAGTGTGATTTATATCTCAACAAATGTAGGTCTACTCTGCTGCCACTTTTGCTTACTTATGCTGACCTCCAAAGGTATCGCGCTCGCCCTACCGCAGATGGTGGTGTCAAGACACCACTGCAGCCTAAATCTGCAAATTCTGTAAATTCCCTTGATCGTCTTTCCAAGCCATTCAAATGTCCAGGGTCTGCAACTCCAACTCGAGCATCAATGAAGCCAGCAAGGAAGAAAAGAAAGGTCAACTATGCAGACGCCGATGGCAGCGTCGAGAATGGCGCAGAAAAACCCTACACAAATGATGACAGACTCGCACTAGAGACTCGAGAGGTCAACAAGTTCCCTGTTTTCCAACCAAAGGACAAGGATACAGCTTTCAGGCAGAGATTCCGAATCCCTCTTATAAACAAAGCGACCGATGCCTATAATACAGACCGGCCAGCTCCTACTTTGGGTCTACGACAAGGTGCCTCCTTCGTCGTGAAGCCACTGCATGACCCAAGTGGAGAATTTGCCATTGTTCTTTACGATCCCACTGTCGACGATGTCCCCGAAGAGTCCACTCAGGAAACACCAATCGAAGAGGATAAGGAAAAGTTGGACGAGCCGTTAATGCATAAGAGCTTGGCAGATATTCTTGGCCTGAAGAAAAAGACAGAAGAGCGCCCTAAAGTCCCCGTCGTGATTGACCCAAGGCTATCCAAAGTTCTTCGGCCACATCAAGTGGAAGGTGTAAAGGTATAGTACCCAAACACTTCAATCGATGTTCACTTGAAAGCTAACCTCAGAAAATTCATAGTTCTTATATCGATGTACAACCGGCTTGATAGACAAAAATGCCAATGGATGCATCATGGCAGATGGTATGGGTCTGGGTAAAACGGTACGTCACCAAGAATTCCCTGCCTCGATTTATGCGGTACTGATATCTGCAGCTTCAATGCATATCGTTGATGTGGACGCTACTAAAGCAAGATCCTGAGGCCGGCAAGACCACCATCCAAAAGTGCGTGATCGCATGCCCTTCCAGTTTGGTTGGAAACTGGGCGAACGAATTAGGTAAGTCGTTGAAATGCCTCGCTCTTCAACCCGACTGACTCGTGTAGATAAATGGCTTGGAAAGGGTGCCACTACTCCCTTCGCTATAGATGGAAAAGCTTCGAAAGCAGAGCTCACTCTTCAGATCAAACAGTGGGCCATTGCATCGGGCCGAGGAATCGTGAGACCAGTCCTTATTGTTTCTTATGAAACCCTTCGTATGTATGTGGATTCATTGAAAGAAACGCCAATCGGTCTTCTTCTGTGCGATGAAGGTCATCGACTCAAGAACAAGGAAAGCTTGACCTGGACGGCCCTGAATAGCCTCAATGTCAATCGCCGCGTCATTCTTTCCGGAACTCCCATCCAAAACGACCTGTCAGAGTACTTTGCTTTGCTGAATTTTGCAAATCCCAATTTACTGGGCACCCAGGCCGAATTCCGAAAGAGATATGAGTTGCCAATTCTTCGTGGCCGCGACGCAGCAGGATCGGAAGAGCAGCGCAAGCTGGGAGACGAACGCCTCTTGGAGCTATCAGGCGTTGTCAACAAGTTTATTATTCGTCGCACAAACGACATTTTGTCAAAGTATCTGCCGGTCAAATATGAGCATGTCGTCTTCTGCAATATGGCACCGTTCCAGTTGGAGCTTTACAATCACTTCATTCAAAGTCCAGAAATTCGAAGTCTCCTCCGAGGTAAAGGTAGTCAGCCATTGAAGGCGATTGGTATCCTGAAAAAGCTCTGCAATCATCCAGATCTGCTTGACTTGGAGAAGGATCTCCCTGGATGTGAACATACATTCCCTACCGACTTTACGCGTCCCGACGCCCGAGGCCGCGACAGAGATGTCAAAAGCTGGTATTCAGGAAAGATGATGGTTCTTGACCGAATGCTTGCTCGGATCCGTCAAGACACCAATGACAAAATCGTCTTGATTAGCAACTACACGCAGACCCTGGATCTATTTGAAAGACTTTGCCGGTCGCGAGGTTACGGCAGCTTGCGACTGGACGGAACCATGAACATCAAAAAACGCTCGAAGCTAGTGGATAAGTTCAATGATCCAGATGGCCCTGAAACTGTGTTTCTACTGAGTAGTAAGGCCGGTGGCTGCGGTCTGAACCTAATCGGTGCCAACCGGCTTGTACTATTCGATCCGGATTGGAATCCGGCTGCTGACCAGCAGGCTTTGGCCCGAGTATGGCGAGATGGACAGAAGAAAGATTGTTTCGTGTATCGCTTCATTGCAACTGGCTCAATCGAAGAAAAAATCTTCCAACGTCAGTCCCATAAGCAATCACTTTCATCCTGTGTTGTAGATTCAGCAGAAGATGTCGAGCGTCACTTCTCATTGGATTCTCTGCGAGAACTTTTCCACTTCAAACCGGAGACCCGCAGTGACACTCATGACACTTTCAAATGCAAGCGTTGCCGTCCAGACGGAATGCAGTTCATGAAGGCCCCAGCCATGCTTTACGGTGACACAAGCTCATGGAACCATTTCGTTAACAGTGGGGAGCAAGGTCCTCTAGCCAAGATCCAGGATCTCTTGATCCGACAAGAGGCAGGAGAACGAGATGTCTCTGCTGTTTTCCAGTACATCAGTCACTGATTTATCTGTAAAGGTACAGGCTGCTTCTTCATATACTGCCTTTATTAGGTATCATCTAAATATGGTTCGAATCATGTCCTTTTATGACGAATCAAGTTTATATTAAGAAAGTGCTACCAAATAGGTAGAAAGCTGTAGACTGTACTAACTCTGACAAAGATCTACGCAATGTATCATGACTTCAAGGCACATGAAATATTCAAGGAACTGGGATTGTCTCGGTCAAATTTACGTTCTCTTCTTTCTCACACCGAAACTTCTTGACTGTGCCTTCCTTAACTAGTCAACTAGTTAACACTGAGGTCCACACGTGTGGCGCATGCTTATGACTTGACTTAGTAGAAGAAATTTAACTCAGTAATAGTGTAATAACTAGCGCAGTTAATTCAGATCATCTGGGTATTGAGATTGACATGAAAATAGGTAATAAACAGATAGTAGAGCAGTATCAAGTCGTTATGTTTGTACTATGTAGGGCACTCCACTAAATACAGGTTAACTCACTTATCGCGATTCCTTGCTGACGTACGTCACACCACTAAACTTCTCCGCGTTGACAACACATCTCTTTCTTTCACCCCCACTTCTAAGCTTGTACTGAACCAACAGAAAGGAACTAATCCAATAGAATCTGGTTCCAAGAGGCTTTGTTCTTGAGTCCGAGTTTCATTCACCGCGCCCCTGACCCTCCCGTTCGCATCAAGATACCGATGATGAACATTGCTTAGCTATCATAGCTCGGAACAGCACTTTCCGCCTAGAGTAATGGATCCATCAATCCAGAGGCTTCTTAATGATAAGCTCTACGATAAACGAAAGCAAGGAGCTCTCGAGTACGTCGTCCTGGTTCACGAGATCGAGTGCCATGCTAACACGGACCACCTAGACTTGAGAAAGTCGTCCGCGATGCCGTTTTCACTGCGGACCATGATACAATCAAGAAGATAGTCGAACAACTTTGCCACGATTATGCCTACGCCGTGCATCAACCTCACGCTCGAAATGGCGGCCTGATTGGATTAGCGGCGGCATCGATCGCCCTCGGATCAGTGAGTCGGGAAGACAAATAAGGAAACGGTGGCTGAGTATTCCGAGCTAATACTGAGGCATCTAGGAAGGAGTCGCCCCGTACTTGAAGGAAATCGTGCCGCCTGTTTTGGCATGCTTTTCTGACCAGGATGCGCGGGTCAGATATTACGCTTGCGAGAGCATGTACAATATCGCCAAGGTGGCTAAAGGAGAAATACTTCTCTTCTTTAATGAAATATTTGACGCACTCGCCAAGGTGAGACCAGAAAATCCCCTTCAAAATCATCAAATGCTGATAGAGTGTCTTGAGCTTGCCTCCGACTCTGAACTCTCCGTGAAGAATGGCGCAGAGCTTCTTGACCGGCTGGTCAAGGATATTGTCGCCGAGTCTGCAGCTTCATACATATCAGTGCTACATCTACCAGAGAAGGGACAAACGGACACCGAGGAACCCGAAAATGAAGCAGAAGACGCTGATCTGCCCATGGCTTTCTCTCTAGCAAAATTCATCCCTTTGCTAAAAGATAGGATTTACGTTATTGGACCATTCACTCGACTGTTCTTGGTCTCTTGGCTCACTCTGCTAGATACGATCCCCGATTTGGAGCTCGTGAGCTACTTGCCAGAATTTTTGGAGGGATTGATTAAGTTCCTCGGCGGTCCGAGTAAAGACGTCAACGAGGATACCCAGCTGCTCCTAGGTCGATTCCTTTCCGAAATCAAAAGGATTACACTCTTGAAAAAAGGCATTGCAGAGAACCACCGTGGTCAGCAAAGTCGTAGGCAATCTGGTGTGAGCGAAAATTTGAGTACTAGCAACAAAACAGAACATACAGTCGAAACTATTTCTGCAGATGGAGGTGACAGATACAACATTGCTGTGGATGATTCAGTTTCTGATTCACTTGCTGGCGAGGGAGCTTCCCAAATATACGGGGACTGGATCCCAGGCCAAGACGTGCAGATCGATTATCCGAAGATACTGGATATTCTCGTCGGTTTCGTCGACACCTCACATGGTAGATCCCCCACGTTTTATCATTCTTATCTCTCAGGATATGACAATTGACCGCAATATAGAGGAGGAAATGCAGCTTACTGCGCTCCGTTGGATCGACGCCTTTTTCGAAATCAGCCCCGAAGACATTCTTCGTTTTGTCCCACGGCTTCTAACACAGGTGCTTCCAGCCATGTCCAGCGGCTCGGATCAGGTGCGGGAATTTGCCGATAAAGTAAACAAATCACTACTTGAATATATCTATTCCCTTTCCGATGATACCGAAGAAAATGTACAACCTCCCAAGGTTTGGTCCACCACAACAGGCATAGAGCGACAGCCCTCGGATATGTCAATGAGCGATGCGAAAAAAGCCACGGACTGGTCCACCACTTGGTCCACCAATATGACGCCACGCAGCAGTCTTGACGTCTCGCAACAGCCGGCGGAGTTAGATTACGCCGCCGCTGTCAGCTCGCTTACTCTACAATTTTTGAATGAGAACGAAGCGACTCGGGTAGCTGCACTCTCATGGCTCATAATGTTACACCGCAAGGCGCCCCGCAAAGTCGTTGCTTTCAATGATGGAACCTTCCCGGCTCTATTGAAAACCCTGTCGGACCCTGCAGAGGCAGTTGTAACCAAGGATTTGCAGCTTCTGTCGCAAATCTCGAGAAACAGCGAGGATGGCTACTTTACGTCATTCATGGTGAATCTGCTGCAGCTCTTCTCTACCGATAGAGACTTGCTAGAGGTCCGGGGGAATCTCATCATTAGACAGCTTTGTCTCAACCTGAGTCCGGAACGTATCTATCGGACTTTGGCCGACTGTCTTGAGAAGGAGGAGGTCTGTACACATTCGAGATGTAAACTATGATGAATTGAGCTTACATACTTGTCCAGGATATCGAGTTTGCTAGTATCATGGTGCAGAACCTCAACAACAACCTAATCACCGCACCAGAACTGGCGGACATGAGGAAGCGACTGAGAAATCTGGACTCTAGAGTAATTACTTACCGGAGAAATATCTTCTGCAATACGAGGACTAATATCCTTTTTAGGAGGGCCAAATGTTTTTTGTCGCCCTTTTCCGATCTTGGTGTCACAACGCTGTCTCCACCTTCTCCCTGTGTCTTCTTGCACAGGCATATGAACAAGCCTACAATCTTCTCCAGATATTGTAATGATTCCTGGTCTATATTTCATTATGAAGTGCTAACAGTTGACTCACAGCGCCGAGCTCGAAATGACCATTAATATGCTAATCCAGATTGACAAGTTGGTGCAGCTTTTGGAGTCTCCAGTTTTCACCTGTATGTATCTCGCTGCAATTTCCCAGATCGCATCTAACATGCTTATTTAGATCTTCGACTTCAGCTCCTTGAACCGGATAAATACCCCTACCTGTACAAATGCCTTTACGGAGTGCTTATGCTCCTCCCTCAGAGTTCCGCATTTGCCGCGCTTAAGAACCGCCTGAACAGTGTCAGCAACACCAGTGTTCTTCACAGTGGACCCCGTAGGTACGAACATGCTATATTGAAGTGGATATCACTGCAGCGCTAATTTGCCTTCCAGCATCGGCCCAGTTGCTCCATCATACGACCGCCCAACTGGAACACGCCTCAAGACTCGCGAGGATAATAGCATCCGTTGGGTTGAGCTCCTCGACAAGTTCAAAAATGTCCAGGAACGAACCCGCCGCTCGCAGGGTCCTCAAAGCCACTCTCTCTGGCCGACTGAGCCATTCAGCAATTCGTCACTTGCTGCCGCTTCTTTCGACCGCAGAGATCGGGAAACACCACGTGGCGGGACGATGGGGCTTGGTACTCGTAGCCCTATCGAGGGTGCTGCGAAAAGCACTCCATCTACTTCGTTCATGGGTTCTGCGCACAAGCACAAGTCCAGCCTACCGAACTTGGGTAGACTGGCTATTGGACGCAGGTCGAAGAAATGATGTGTTCAAAGTAGTATTGACGTGGTGGAGCTAGCAAAGATACCCATCATATTCCTTTTACTTTAGATTTCCATTCCTGTGTAATATCTATACAGTGTAGCTCGAGTTCACGGTGTCACTATCACCTCACTTCACCTTTATTTCATCTCGAGGCCTTGAGTTCACCTTTATTACTTGTTCCTTCCCCTAAAAAGCCAGTGAATTTTTCTTTTCTTTCTTTCTCTCTCTCTCTCTCTCTCTCTCTCTCTCTCTCTCTCTCTCTCTCTCTCTCTCTCTCTCTCTCTCTCTCTACCTTCTATCACTATAAATACCTTCAATATATTCTTCTTCTCTCTTCTTGATTCTCTTTTCCTCATCAATCCCAACCTGCATCTTCCTCTCCTTGGTCATCTATACAGATGATTCTGCATCCAATATTAAATATTTATAACCAGTTGCCAAGAGAAGTACCACTGAACCCCTTATCACTGGCATGAGCTTGAATCTCATCACCACTCAGACAGACGGGATGGTTCTACATAGTATCTTCCGTGGCCAAAAAACTTCTTCAAATTGCACACCAGAACTTACCTAGGCCTCCAGTATAGCAACCAGCCTCTTTCATAAAATACCAATTCATGATAGGGACTATTTTTTGAAGAAAAAAAAAAATTAAATTAAATTAGTGTATAGTCCGCTAGATAGGTAGGTATGTACTCCTCGATTTCATATGCATGATATGTCTTTAACATAGATCCATGGATGCTTCCGGATGTCCATTCCAAGGTCCCGGGATTATATTTTGATGGTCAGTTTAGCACCACCCACAATGATTCTGGCCACAACAAATACCGTTGCTCCAGCCACCATAACAACACCACCGAAAACCTGCAGCCGGGTATAAGAGCCATGCAGAACATCAGGGACCAAGGCACCACCAATTGGGGTCCCGGTCAGAGCGGCGAAAGAGATAATTGCAAAGGCCGTGCCATTACGGATACCAACCTCGCGCAAGTCCGAAATCTCTGCAATCAGAGCTGGGAGTAGAGAGACAAAGGCACCGGATGCAAAGCCGTATAGACCACTGAACACGATTGCTGGGGCGTTTCCGCGGGATGGGAGCCAAAGTGCGAGAACTAGGATGCCGGCAAAGTAGCTGAATATGATCATCATGTTGAAGCGGCCAAATCGATCGGCTAGTATACCGGGGATTGTACGACCGAAGATACTATAAAAATCCAGTCATTAATCATGTTCAAAATCTTGGAAGGGGAGATGGGAGAGCAATCAAAGACTGCAAATGCCTTACCTGGCTGCGTTCAAAATGGGGATCAAGTACTGGGACAAATTGGATGACATCCCATATCGCTCTGCCTGGGTGATCACAAAGGTGAAGGGCAAGAACATGCCCCAGAAAAACAAAAATGCGGCCACTACAGTCACGATAAATTTGATATCCGTGAGTGGCTTTGCGAAGATCTTTGGGTGGAAAGGCTTCTTCCGGTGAATCAATCTTGATTTTATGGTGGCATTTGCAATCACCAGCAGGCCTAGAATGAGAAAGGCACAAATGCGCATGGCCCATGGAAAGCCAACCTCAGGGATAAGATGTGACACCATGATTGGGAATATGACTCCTCCGAGACTCGAGCCTGCGGTCATGATACCTAGGGCTGCACCGCGGCGCTTCCCAAACCAGGTGCTGACGGAGTTCACACAGGCGCTGAAGATGGCACTGGCACCCAAAGGGCTGCAAATTCCCTGTGAGAGGATGAACTGGTAGTACTCTGTTGAGAGAGAGGTCATCATGAGGCCAAAAACATGGAGGAAAGTGCCGGCTAGCAGGATCCATCGTGGGCCATAGCTGTCGAACAGAATTCCGAAGATTGGGCTCTGGTTGTGGGTTGTTGATTAGTTTGAGTATAACAGACAGTTTGGCGGGCTATACATACTGGAAAGAACATTAGGAAGGTCTCCAGTGAGGTGATCCAGCTCACTGTACTGGTAGACATATCTTGCAACTGGTGACTCTCATAATAGGTTTGGAAGACACCGATGCCTATCCATCCAGGAATTAATAATGACATTCATACATATTAGCAACTTCTCGAACTTACAGTTGATCCAGCCAAAGCTCACAAAAAGACCACAGAAAGCTCCCAGTACAGACGTCCATGCATTGACACCTCCATCAGGTGGGGGTCCCAGCTCCGGGCCTTTAGGGCTTGACTTCTCAGACTCGAGATTTCCAGACTCAGGGTCATGAAACTCGTCCTGCTCATTCATAGTGGTCTTCGAATGATTTGATGGAGCAATAGGGGTTTTTGTATGCTCGATAGACATTTCAAGGGTATTCCTCCGGACTTCAGTAGTCACGTATATGGATTGATCCGTAATTGTTGGTAGATAAACCTAATGAGCCACAAAATGAGAAATCTGTTACAAAATTGTTAGAATGCCGTTGAATTTAATCATATATGACCTCGCTACGAGGTACGGATGATGAAGCATTTGTCTAGTAAAGCTTGGAGCAAAGACAGCCCTGGAGGGTATTAGGTACCTAGATAAATGGACACTTCTATACAAAGGCTTCCTTTGATGCAAATCGATCTGATTATAATGACTATTACAGGGGACTCATAGTTTATCTTATACGTTTAAATCTCTTTCCGAAGTATATAGTTTGAAACGGGGAATTATGGTTAAATCCGAGGCCGAGGCCGACGCCCCAATTTCCAATGACCAGGCATTACTGACTAATGGAAACTTAGTTAGTCAGTAATTACTAATAGAAACTTAGTAATTACTTAATAGAAATTAGAAATTGATGGGGCGCAAAAAGGAATTGCTAGACCCCAAAGTTTTTGCTAGGGGCACAAAACCAAGATTATGTCAGCCATCCACACCATCAAAAAAAATCAGTCTTTACTACAAAACATAGTAGCAAAACATAGTAATATTAAAACGTTTTCTATCGTTGTGACAACTATAGTAGCTTAAATTGCTGTTCGCTGTCTCAGGACCCTTCTGCTGTAGTTTGTTTACTATATTTTATTCTGTTAATTATCGGCCTTATTATTCAGGCCGCAGCACTCACGTGTTGATAGCCTCGTTTCTCAGGCTACCATCACAACTATTCGCAAAATGTGTCTATTTTGGTAAGAGATTCAAGATTTAGTAGATTCTAGAGAGAAAAAGGTTCAGCAAAAGCAGTTAGATCTTATTTAAGGTCGTAAAAAATATGTTACAACAGTAACAATTTAAAATCTAGTCATTACAATCAAACTTGATGGGGTGAGCGGCTGACATACGCTTTAGTTTTGCGGTGTCCCTATCAATTTCCATAGAAACTTAGTAACAGAACAACTTTATTCAACTAAGTTTGATGGGTACATATTGACTTCGGACCGGTGGCTAGATGTGAGATTTCTATGATACTGTACAGAATGCCATCTTAAGCAAAGCCCGTCGCTAGCACAGGGACATTTGTGAAGATCCACGCTGGGTCTTATTTTTTTCCGCTATTTGATCGGAGGTCTGTAACACTCTGGCTGATTCCTTGGATCTCTTGGCTTAGTGCATCCACGGAGCGGCTCAGCTCTGGTAGACCCCGGGCTGTTTCCTCGGACTGAGCAGGAGAAATCAATCCCCGCGGAGTGTCCGCGAGCTCGTTCACCTCTCGTCCGGATAAGATATCGTTCAAGCGAGGGCCACGTGATTGCACGAGGAGGGTTGCTGGGCCATCAAATTGTAGGAAGAGCTAAAAGAAACAGTGTCAGTCGGTATGACAGCAATACAAGAAAGAATGAGCATTACCCTATCTCCCCAAATGGTCATTCGAGACCAAGTGCGCAGCTTATGGAAAAAGCGCATAGTGGACTTCCATGCGTCGGATTTGATCACTTTTTGGACCTGTTCATTGTTCTGGAGCAGTCGGGGGAGCTTTTGCAGCCCCGGAATCTGCAACTGAAGCGTAGTAGACTTGAAGCGGAAGGGTCGAGGAGGGGTTGAGGACATAGTGTAGGCGACCACGTTACTGTAGAACGTGCGCATTAGCAAAGGCAGATCGTAGCCATGCGGGCACAACATACCTAGGATGAGCGATGTACTGCTCTCCATCCTTCAATTCAATGGAGTAGACCTGGCCGTTGCCAACCAATGCCATCAGCCCCCTTCCAGTGACCTGGGAGCTTCCCCAGTGAGACAAGCTCTGTATTACAGTCAGATATATCCTTCCAAGCTAGCGATATTTCACGAACCAGGCGGGTGTTGATAGTAGGCTTAATGGATAGAGACCGGCCTGTCCATGCCAACAGAGCCCGACGCTGGGCAACCATCCAATCTACGGAGCCATTGACATCGACGAGAGCGAAGGAGGTTGAGGGAGACCGAACGGAGATGAGGGCTGTGACCGGGCTTGCCGAGGAGACCTAATTGATCGTTAGAAATGCCTTCCATCACGGAGTAAGTATGCGCGGCACCTTTTGATAGAGAAAAGGCACTCCGACAACAGCCCTTCGGAAGGGTTCTAGAACACTGAGTGTTGAAATAACCTGTCACACAAGAAAACAAGGTTAATGACCATGTCGCTACCAACTGATTTAACCTAACTGCTCACATTATCCGCCTTTCCGCTCAATCCTACCAAAGTGCCCCGGCGCGTATAGAGGTTCTGCGAGGCCGAGAGCGACACCGACAGGAGTGAGTATGGGGCCCCGATAACGTCAAATCGCGCATCTAAAATTTCAAGTGAGTGTATATTCTCTAGCGCATCTTCCAATATCACAAACCTCGTGACTCTGCGGAGTTTGAAGGGCTGGCGAGAGGCAAGTGGTCTCCATTCACGGTTGGATCCTCCGAGGGCGTCGCGCGGATCTGGAAGCACCGGGTCTGTCGATGGACGCTAGAAATAGGAGTTCTGGATAAAGTCCGGACACCTCGCTGGAGGGCTGGACGCATTGTGAAGCAAGAACAAAATGGACCTGGAAGGTTGGCTTGACGTCAGTTTGAGCTTCAAAGGTTGCAATCGGGAAAATCATGGTCCCGAGCGCATCACATTTGTACTTGGCGATATTTTTTGCCAATTGAAGTATTTCCATTTAATTATCTCCCATTTTCTAACTACTGTCTTCTATTATTTTCATCCAAGAATTAAAATTCTCGACATTTTCTGATCATCTATACTCCATAACTCCATAACTCCATTCTTACCTCCGACTCTTTCTACCGAAGCCGGCGGTTTCCTCCACTCAAGAGCACGAGCGATCGCGAACACCTCGCACGTCATTTCTCTCACATATTTGAGCTTCATTATGCTCCTCTGACAATCCCACGATATAAACCTCCTGTAGTCTACTGTGGTCAGGCTGTAGGAATTGTTTCAACCATGCTGCCCAGAGCAGTTCGGTCTCCATGCTGGCGCCCAGCTCGTCATTTACCTCCGAATTACGCCGGTCGGTCGCCATGGATCAGGCTCAACGGCTCCCAGCTGCGCGTATTTACATCTGGCTCTCTCCTTCGTAACCAATTGTCGAAAGATTCGACGTCAAAGAAGAGTGCAACCCCCGCAACCCCGCCGCAATCGCAGCTCGAAGCGGCCAATATTGCTCCAAAGCCGGATAGCCAGGCCCCTCCACCCAAAAAGAATGAATTACTGAATGAATCAGCAGTGACAAAGAAGGAGCAGCGGAAGGCTGACTGGGCCATTATGCGGGAAATGGCCAAGTACCTGTGGCCCAAGGTAAATAGCTACAGTGTCGCATGCGACTGTACAGGCATTAATGATGTTATAGGATGATTGGGGAACCAAGATTCGAGTTGGGACAGCTTTGTCGCTGTTGGTTGGCGGAAAAGTCAGTTTTCTTCTATATCTCATTGGAGCTGATTCTAATGGCGTCTAGATCCTCAATGTAGAAGTGCCTTTTTACTTCAAGAGCATTGTCGATTCCATGAACGTGGACTTTGCAACCCTGGGTGGTACTGCCTATACAGTGGCGGGTTCCATGATTATAGCCTGTAAGGACGCCGGATCTCTCTCCACTTCTGAGTTCTAAAGTTGTGATAGATGGAGTTACGCGGATAAGTGCGACTCTGTTTCAAGAGCTTCGCAATGCGGTCTTTGCCAGTGTTGCGCAAAAAGCCATCCGAAAAGTGGCAGCCAATGTATTCGATCATCTTCTACGACTAGATCTCAATTTCCATCTCTCGCGCCAAACTGGTGGTCTCACCCGAGCCATTGATCGGGGAACCAAAGGTATCAGCTTCTTGCTGACCTCCATGGTGTTTCATGTCGTACCAACCGCTCTTGAAATCTCACTTGTGTGCGGCATCCTTGTAAGGAAGCTTCCTTTACTCGTTTATTTTTCTTCCGCTCATATCTCCTAGACATATCAATATGGCCTCCAATTCGCTGCGATCACGGCCACGACCATGGTCGCGTACACAGCTTTTACGATTAGTACGACGGCCTGGCGAACCAAGTTCCGACGACAGGCTAATGCGGCCGATAATCGTGGGGCTACTGTGGCCGTCGACTCACTAATTAACTACGAGGCAGTCAAGTACTTCAACAACGAGAAGTTCGAAGTGGCTCGATATGACAAGGCTCTGAAGAATTACGAAGATGCATCCATCAAGGTGACTACGTCCTTAGCCCTTTTGAACTCAGGCCAGAATATGATCTTCTCTTCGGCGCTGGCGGCCATGATGTACTTGGCTGCAGACGGGGTGGCCACGGGAACACTGACTGTGGGTGATTTGGTCATGGTCAACCAGCTGGTCTTTCAACTGTCGGTGCCCCTCAACTTCCTGGGATCTGTATACCGTGAACTGCGCCAATCCTTGCTGGACATGGAGACGCTGTTTAACCTGCAAAAGGTTAATGTGACTATCAAGGAGAGCCCCAACGCCAAACCATTAGAGCTGAAGCGGGGCGGCGAGATCCGCTTTGAAAACGTGACATTTGGATATCATCCGGACCGTCCGATTCTAAAGAATACCACCTTCACCATCCCCGCTGGATCGAAGTTTGCGATTGTGGGACCCAGCGGTTGCGGCAAGTCTACGATTCTTCGCTTGTTGTTCCGCTTCTACGACACACAGTCTGGTAGAATCTTGATCGATGGGCAAGATATTCGCGAAATCACGCTCGAGAGCCTCCGCAAGGCGATTGGCGTGGTGCCACAAGATACCCCGCTCTTTAATGACACTATTGCCCACAACATCCGATATGGAAGAATTGATGCAACCGATGAAGAGGTTCGACAGGCTGCAAAGAGGGCTCATATTGACCAGCTAATTGAGCGACTTCCCGATGGCTACCAAACGGCGGTCGGAGAGCGTGGGATGATGATCTCAGGGGGTGAAAAGCAGCGATTGGCAATATCTCGACTGATACTGAAGGACCCACAACTCTTGTTCTTCGACGAAGCGGTAAGTTTGAACTAGTTTAGGCTTAATGAGAATTCCCGGGCGTTTTGGAAACTGGCTAATGTTTGACCTGATATGTAGACATCGGCACTTGACACCCATACCGAACAGATGTTACTACAGAACATCAACAGCATTCTCAAAGAGAAGAGCCGCACAAGTGTCTTTGTGGCGCACAGACTGCGCACGATCTATGACAGTGAGCAGATCTTAGTGTTGAAAGATGGACAAGTTGTGGAGATGGGCCCACATCGAGAGTTGTTGGCACAGAATGGCGTTTATGCCGAACTATGGAACGGTAAGTGTGGGACGTACCTGGTATAGCCGGAGACGATTGGCTGACCTCACTATTCTAGCCCAGGAAACGTTTGCCGACGAATTAGATATCGAAATAGAGGGGAAGGAAGGGAAATAGAGATTGCAACTACTATCTACTTAAACCACTAGCAAAGTCAATGGATCTCATTAGTCAATAAGAACATAACTAAGATAACTAGTAAACAACTAGTATAGAAGTATAATAAATTAGCCCCTAATCGGTTGAAAGTGAATAAAAAAAGGCTAGATTAAATAGACCGAATTCTAACCAAAACACTACGCCTTTACTTCTCCACTTTTTGTTTGTTTCGTCGAATCCTAGTCAAGTCTCGCTTTCTCCTTGACTCCTCTTATCTTCATTTCTTCTCCTTCTTCCCAACCTTCTCTTCCATATCACACTCACTTATCCTACTTTGCTTCTAAAGTCATTCCATTCGTTTTCTGACTTTCTTCAGACTCCCTGTCTCGAATCTCTCTCCCCCTTTCGACTCCCTATCGTGTGTGTGGCACACGCTAAATTCTAAGCGCTTCCCTCGTGCGAAACGGGTTAAACCCCTCACAACTTCCTCTTCCCCCTATTATTCAGCTGCTATCATCTTCTATGATATAGGTATGTGAATTATTCATCTTCACCCTCCATTTCGTCAATTGACCCCATGACTCGCTTAGTGACGTGGTTGCTATTCCGTCCAGTGCCGGCACTCGCATGTGAGAAACTTGTTTTTTCCATAAGAATACCTTCCATTTTCTTCCTACCTTTCTACCTTCTTCACAATCCAAAATGGGTCTCAGTTTCTTCGATAAGCTACAAGCCAGTATGTGGGAACCTTGAAACATGATCGACGTGGGGAAGAAACTCGGACTAATCAATCCACTTGGAACCTTAGAACTCGAGCTCTACCGTCTAGAGCAGCGTTACGCTCGTCGCAAACATCGCAGTAACTTCTCTACTGGTGCTTTGTACGTCGACGGGGAATATGTCTACCAGGCTCCAACCAGCCCTGTAACGAAACATTCGACTGGTACCCATTGGCGCCCATCTGGATGGGGCGGATCCCACGATTCTCGCGTCCGATCATGATACGATGATTTCGATTTTATTCCTTTCGACCTTCGAATCATGCCATATCGCCATAGAGCATCACCCTTCTTTCGTCTCGCTTCCCTTAGCCTTTGATTATGATTTGGCTCTTCTTCGCGTGATGATTCTGCAAAGATGAAGATCTTGACGTTGACGTTGATGACACCTTACGGTGCTACTGGGTCCCTCTCTTTGGGTATGAAGCGTTAGCCCAGGTGGTCTCCCAAAGAGCTCTCGGGTCCTGGGGGTTTTTTTTTTTTTTTTTTTTTCCTTTTTTTCATGTCGTACCCATGGCTTGAATGCTCAGCGAGCATTACGTTCTCAACATCTGTTTTTCTTTTTCTTTTTTTGTGAATGTCACAGGTTGTATCTCGTTCTTGTACATAGATATATCAATTTTTATCCCGGGTTTGACAAGTGAGATAGAAATGGCAGTAAAGCCGAACAGAGTTGTAGGTCCTCCGTATAGTTCGGTGTTACCTAGGGAACCAATACTTAGCTCTGGAGGTACCTTGACCTAGATATGGTAAATACCCAGAGGTTTCCAGCCTTCCAATTTAACTCATCGAAGTCGACCTAAAAAGTCAGTATAGTTAGATTAAAGCGATACATGCACGCGAGTTCTTAGCAGCTCAACGAACCAACCCTTGAAATATTGTGATGCTATCAGTAAGTCTATCTTTCAGTGGCCGCCTCGACAGGGAAAGAAAAGCCTGCAGGTTGGAAGTCAATCTCGTGACACTTTCACTTCATTTCCGGCCATGGTCGAGCTGTTTAATGGAAGAAAATCGAGCTAAGGATGTTTACGTCCTACGAAGTTATAATCTTGACAATCGGGGGTGTTGAAGGCCTAGGAGACTGGGTGCAGTGGGTAGTCGTCAGAATGACATGGGCAAGAATGGATAGGAATGATTAACTCAACACGTCTATGCTGAGAGGCAAACTCCAAACTTGAAACTTGCTATATAGCGGAACCAGAACGCCCCAGCACCATCGCTGAAGGATGAAACAAAAATGTAGAAAGGAAACACCCGCATAACTATGATTGCGCCGTGAAAATGCGATCAGATAAATACACCATTCCGCATATTCTCAACTGTGCGAATGCCTACGCCCTTCAGAGTGCTCAGCTGAGCTAGACTGTTCACCTGGAACTGGGACTGATCTGAAACTGCGGAATCTTGGTCCATCTCACAGAGGCAATCGACAATCGCCTCTGCCTTTTTGACCCCAACTCCTTTCAACAGCTTGATCTGACTGACATCCCGCGAGTTCACGATGGAAAGCAGGTGTAGGGTTCGAGGGGATAGCGACCCATTCTCGTATTCATCCAGAGTTTCAAGCCTAGTGCCGTTCTGACGGATGGACTTGGTGGTGCGTTTTTTCTGTTTTGGGCCCATGAAACTGTTCTCATCACTTGAGAACCCTTCATCAGCCTGGTTCATGGAATCACTGTCGTAGTCAGCCTGACGCTTCCCAAGAGTGAGAGTGGTATCCTTCTTGAGGGATAGCATGCTTCCGAACTTTCCCTTGGGAGGTGAAGCAGCGGGCTGTTGTGTCTCGATCCTTTGCTTGAGAGCAGAGATCTTAGCTGTTAACTTTTCATTATGCGGAAAGTGTGGCTGTGCCAGTTGGTACATCCTCAACGCGGAGCTGTTCTCTCCACGTGCCTGGTGTTGCTTTGCCATAAGGAGATACGACAGACCCTCTGCGCGAGCATCCTCAGTGCCCTCAATGCGCTGTTCCAGCATTTCCAATCTACGCTGGAGTTGTTCATTGAGCTCGCGGACCTGCGTTTGTCTCGATTGCTCACTCACGGCCCGCGTGGCCATAATTTCTTCCACTTTCCTCTCCACCATCTCCTCAATTCTAGCGGCAGATAAATCTGCATTGCTTGAAGTCTGACGGGAAGGCTTTAAAGGCCGAGCGGCCAGGGCATCAGATGAGAGGGATGTTCTCTTGACAGGCTCAGGCTTCCGGGTCTGAGACACTGCTTTGGGTCCATCAGAGTAGACGCTGAAAGCCTTCAGGGGTTTGTCATCCTTCGGTGGATCCTTGGTCGCAGGTGCCGGCATATTCACGTTGACGGAGGCTGTGAGAGCCCGTAAAGGTTGTCGAGAGCGGGCCAAAGAAGGCCGAGCCGCTGGTCTCGCAGGGCCTTTAAAGATAGGATCATTTTCTACTTCTCGTACCTCAATCTTTCGGGTACGGTTGGCAACATTCAACGAACTGATCGTGTCCAAGTGGTATGACCGGACGGGTGCAAGGTTGAGAACCATCACAGTAAGTCCATTGTTCTGGCCTAGAGACAGTATTCTTGTCATTTTCGATTCGCGGTACGGAATGCGGTGCTGTTTCTTTGTGATCGCCTCAACACACTGGGCCAGAACGAAAAGACTCTTGTTGATGCTGGCAGACTCTACCATTCTCTCTCTGTCATTTTCCGTCCGTCGATTATCCTCAGAGCCTGCAAGGTCGATGGCAGAGATGGTACTGACTCGAGTCTTGTCGGCTGAGCAGATGGTAACCTTCACCCCGAGAATGGCGTGAGAGCGAGACGAATGGGCATTCAACTAAGATCACATCGTCAGCCGCAACACCATAGCTCAGTGTCAACGAGTAAACATACCTTGGTCGCGGAAGTTGAACGGTTATTATTTGCTTGATCGTATAAACCTTCAAACTCTTTCAAGCTTGTACACGCCTTTTCGACAAGACCAACTACAACCGTCTTGCCGCCATTATCGCGAAGAGGCAGGCCTGATAGGGTCCGCTTCTCTGGTGGCTCAAACAGATCATAGACCTTGTCGTTATATATCTCATAATAGCTCAGAGCGACTTGAACCGTCGTTTCTCCGTCGGTATCCTTTTCGATCTTCCGGCTTCGTCTATAGATACCACTCAGCAGCCGGGGAATGACACCCCTATCAGCCAGAGTTTTACCACCGCGCATGGTGTGTGTTTTTCCGGTACCGGTTACGCCGTATGCAAAAATGGTGACATCAAATCCGTTGAACAAGTGCTTAATGGTTGGCGCAACTATATTAGTCAGTATTGACGTTGATGTTTGCACCTGCCACTGGAGGATATTCACCTTCGGCATCGAACATCTCCTGCTGGGCTACATCTGCGTCGTAGACTGCATTGAACTGAAAAGTATATTCTTCCCCCTCATTCTTGGGATTAGGGATCCGAACGACATTATCCCTATCCCTCAATGCGGCGAGCTTTCGGTCTTCGCTCGAGGACTGTTGGGACTTGGTTTCGGTGCCGGGGGATGCACCAGTGCGTAGAATGACATCAACTTCTCGTTCGGACTTGAGAAGTGGACGAACTCGTGCAACGACTCGGACACTCATTATGCCGGCTAAACATGCACGTTTCTGCAAGAGGTATTCCGATTGTTCGAGGTCTTGAAGAGCAATTGATGACCGAATGGAAAGGAAAGAAAAGGACAAAAACAAAAAATCGCTATAAGCCAAAACGAAAAGCAAAACTACCTACCGTGGCTGGGCGCAGTGATGGCGATTGAGCATGTGGAGGAGTTCGTGCGCAAAAGACGGTGGTGTGGTGCTTAAGGGTTGGCAGGGCAACAGCTAGTAGCCCACATTCCTTACAGATCAATGCATTGTATATAACTTCCCGCTCCATTAGAATAGTTAGGTAGATGAGCCTACACCTGTGATCTGTTTTTTTTTTTCATTTATGTATATAAAAGAAACCTAATGTAAACCTCATTGGAAAATTCCAAGGTTCATCACCGTGACCTAGGTATTTATATTCTTTGTCGCCCCCAAGGCCAAGGGATATTAGCCCTATAGGTAGATAAGACGCAGGATCATTGCATTTGAGCAAAAATAGCATTAATTTTAAACCATATCATTCAGATAGTTGGAGCAATCTAGCTAGATAGACTAGATCAGGAATAGGTATTGAATTCAGTGTACTTTGTACTTCAAGGTTGCTCTAGTCCGCGGCCTACGTTCCCCGTGATTGGCTAAGCAGCCGCAACCTAAAGGCCACCGTACACCATCGGCCTTCTGTCTTCTGCTTCTACTTGCTCGTCTTTAGTGCCAATATATCTATGTAAGTCCCTTCTGGTCCGTTATGCCTCGAGGATTTATTGGCCAGCTCAGACCTACCTGTACGCTGGTTCCTCATTCCTTGATCGATCAGTTAACTGATTGTTGTGGGGTTGTAGCAAAGCTGTTCCCCCCTCATATCAATCCATAATATCTCCCGGAATTCGTCACCTTTCCGGTCCTATCCATCATCCTCGCGAAACTCCATACTAAATCCACCGACCCTATTAGCCCTTCATGGCAGCTCCTCAAGGGGGTTATCCTCCACAGGAAGGGTATGCCCAGCCCGGCTACGATTCACCGGCTCCCGCGCAACAGTCACCAGCGCCTGCACAACCTGCCCCTCACGCGGCTCCGAGTGGAAAGAAGAAAAGAGCGTATGCTGGTGAAGCGTTCGAGTTTGGCTCGGGTGCTAATGCCGCTCTTGGGGGACAGCAGACGGCGGGAGGTGCCTATGGAGCATACCCTCAACAGGCCCAGCCTGCTGGATACCAGCAGCCCGTATACAACGCAGACCCGAACCAGATGCAGCAAGCATCAGCAGGTTATCCTGCACCGGCTGCCGATGTCGCTCAAATGACACAGCAGTTCGGTGGAATGGGCATGTCAGAGCCACACCACATGCCCGCTGTCCCGCCGCTCGCGCCTGTTCAGCCTGCGCAGAACATCCAGCTGAACCAGCTATACCCAACAGACCTCATCTCTCAACCATTCAGTGTGGCAGAGCTGGATTATCCTCCACCTCCAATTATTGTTCCTGCAGGGGTGCGTCGCAAACCCTTTCCCTAGCAACTGGGCGGTGATGTGCTGACAATCAATAGACTAGTGTTTACCCGTCTCCCAACGCTATTTGCCCCCCAAAATTCATGCGGTCGACATTGAACGCAGTCCCGACAACCTACAATCTCCAAAAGAAGTCTAAGTTGCCATTTGCGCTCGTCATCCAGCCATACACGTCCCTTCACGAATCGGAAGATCCGATCCCTGTGATCCCCGACCAAGTTATTTCGCGATGCCGACGCTGTCGCTCTTATATCCATCCCTTTGTTACGTTCCTCGACCATGGTCACCGGTGGCGCTGTAACATGTGCAATTTAACCAACGATGTGCCACAGGCCTTTGACTGGGATGCCGCAACACAGACGCCAGCCGACCGTTCGTTGCGTGCCGATCTGAACTATAGCGTGGTCGAGTTTGTTGCGCCCCAGGAATACATGGTCCGACCCCCACAGCCGCTTGTCTATCTATTCGTGATTGACGTCAGCTATTCGTCCGTGCAAACTGGTCTTCTAGCCACGATTGCGCGAACTATCAAGGAGAGTCTCGATCGTATACCCAATGCCGACCGCCGGACTCGATTGGGCTTCCTCGCGGTTGATTCAAGTCTGCACTACTTTAGCATTCCTCGAGATGGCCCTGAGGTTTCCGAGCCACGGATGTTGGTCGTCAGTGACCTTGAAGAGCCATTCCTACCAATTCCTGGTGATCTTCTTGTGACACTTAGCGAATGCCGACAGAACGTTGAGAATTTCCTTGACAAACTCCAAAAGATGTTCGAAAACACTCAGAACAACAGCCTTGCATTGGGATCGGCCCTGCGGGCTGGTTACAAACTAATCTCCCCCGTTGGTGGTAAGTTAACTGTACTGAGCGCCTCACTGCCTAACATTGGCCCTGGAGCGCTCCCTGTCCGGGAAGATAAGAAGTTGCTGGGCACAAGCAAGGAATCGAGCCTTTTGCAGGCTGGTAACGCTTTCTACAAGAGCTTCGCTATTGAGTGCTCGAAGGCTCAGGTGTCCGTAGATATGTTCTTGTTCAGCTCTCAGTACACCGATGTCGCAACACTAAGCTGTCTTCCTCGGTATACCGGAGGACAAACCTTCTGTAGGTTTTATTTCCATATAGTTGTCTATTTGCATAGATGCTAACTCCTTGATAGTCTACCCAGGTTGGACCGCCTCCAGAAGCGAAGATGCCGTCAAATTCGCACGTGAGTTCTCCGACTACCTGTCTGCTGAGATCGGTTTGGAAGCCGTTCTTCGTGTGCGCGCAACCACTGGTCTACGCATGAGCAGCTTCTACGGAAACTTCTTTAACCGCAGTACCGACCTTTGTGCTTTCCCCGCATTCCCCCGCGATCAAGGATATGTGGTGGAAGTTTCAATTGACGAAAGCATGACAAAGCCTGTTATTTGCTTGCAGGCTGCGGTTCTTCACACCACTTGCAATGGCGAGCGCCGTATTCGTGTCATCACCATGGTCCTCCCTACCACCACCAACCTGGCCGATGTCTATGCCTCGGCTGATCAACAGGCCATCGCAACCTTCTACTGTCACAAGGCCACTGAAAAGGCTTTGAGCAGCGGCTTGGATCCTGCTCGCGATCTTCTGCAGTCCAAGATTATCGAACTGCTGACAACCTACCGCAAGGAGCTTGCTGGTGGCAGCGTCGGCGGCGGTGGTCTCCAATTCCCAGCCAACCTCCGGGCTCTGCCAATTCTTTTCCTCGCATTGATGAAAAATGTAGGCTTTCTCTCCTTCCCAGATGATTTTCATTGCTAATTCTAACCTCTTATATAGCTTGGCCTTCGCAAGTCTGCACAGATACCCTCGGATATGCGGTCTGCCGCGATCTGTCTCTTGTCTACTCTGCCCCTACCTCTTCTCATCCAATACATCTACCCCAAGATGTACTCCCTCCATGATATGCCCGACTTCGCCGGTCTTCCGGACGAGGCGACCGGCGAGATCATTCTTCCGCCAACTCTTAAGCTGTCTTCCCAGGCTCTAGCTGCATATGGTCTGTACCTGATTGATGATGGACAGACACAGTTCCTCTGGGTCGGCCGTGATACGGTACCCCAGCTCATTCAGGATGTGTTTGGTGTTGCTGACCGTAGCGAGCTACGGGTTGGTAAACAGAGCTTACCCGAGGTTGAGAACGAGTTCAGTCAGCGCGTGCGGGCGGTGATTGAGAAGAGTCGTGATCACCGATCCAAGGGTGTTGGAAGTATTATCGTACCCCATCTGTATGTTGTGCGTGAGGATGGCGAGCCTGGACTTCGCCTGTGGGCTCAAACGATGTTGGTTGAGGACCGCGCAGACCAGGCTCTTAGCTTGGATCAATGGATGGCTACTCTACGGGAGAAGGTAAGAGATATCCTCTTTTTTATATATGATTGAATGCGTTTACTAACTGGCTTTTCCTTCTTAGGTTGTTCAGTAATAGAAGATCTTTCAGTAATAGGAGTTTTGATCTAAATTCTCTTCCACATTCTCTTTTGTAGACGAGGCGTTCAATGGAATATTCATGAAGTCGGGTTGTTTTGAAAGTATTGTATCATGATGTGTGTCTGAAACCAGGATGAAGCAGTAACAATCCAATCAAGACTGCCCAAGTGGGGATTATGTGAATAGTGATATGTGATCGTGAATTGTGATCAGTTCCAGCGCTTGAGAATCCTTCTGTTGGCGCTGGTGGCGGAGACTTACCATTGACTTGGGCTACGTATTCGTTTCAGTGCGTCAAGTCAAGTACCTTGCAAGTATCTAATTGGGGAATGTGGGCTATGGCCCCTCCCCCAGAGTAAATCCAAGGTTCGACTGGTTGATAAACAATTTAATCATACGAGGAAATAGAACTATAGTTTATCCTTACTGTAGATCAGAAATGTAAAATGTAAAAATGCAAGAAGTATGAACTAGAGTACATAATGTTATGATCTCCTAATATTAGAATCTCTGACAGTAGTGCCCGTTCTTTCCTTCTCTCTCAACCCTCCCCCTCATTACTTACTGCTACTACTTCTTACCCCCCCTTTTGATTCACTGGCCCCACCACCTTCTGGCTGAGCTTGAGTATCCTTCTCGTTCTCTTCCTCTCTATTCAGATCTCTCGAGAAGTGAGCAGAAGATCGGCAGATCAACCCCGCCTCGGCACGGCTGGTCTGTTCGCAAAGAATACGGCATAGCGCGCTAACACCATCTCAGACCCTCCCCGAGACCTCATCTCCCGTTGAAGTGTACACCCGTCGTCAGGATCTGCTCTAGTTTCTCACTGTTCTCTTCACCCTTTTGCTTTCTGATCGTTTTGATCGTTTGCTGGTGAAAGACCCGTGCGACCCCTCCCGTCCCGTTGGAGTAGTGCATCGAAGTTCAGGAATCGCCTCGCATCTACTCGCCAGCGCACCGGTGGAAAGCGAAATGTAAGATGGGTTACCTTGGATACCTCTGGCGCTCTGCCAAAAAACTCTTCTCCAAACTCGCTAAGTAGTAGGAGGGGCATCTCATTGTTGTTATTTTTGAAGCTGACCGTGTCCTGTCACCCCTCAGATCCACCGATATGGTTCAACAACCCCCCCAACCAGGAGGTTCGCGGAAGATCTCCTTCAACGTTTCCGACCAATACGAAATCCAAGATGTCATCGGCGAGGGCGCTTATGGTGTGGTCTGGTAAGAATCAACCCATTGGAAGCGGGATGAGGCATATCCAAGCTAATATACTCTTAGCTCTGCCATTCACAAGCCGTCCAGCCAGAAGGTTGCGATCAAGAAGATCACTCCATTCGACCACTCCATGTTCTGCTTGCGAACACTGCGCGAAATGAAGCTGCTGCGGTACTTTAACCACGAGAACATCATCTCCATTCTGGATATCCAACGGCCTCGCAACTACGAGGGGTTCAATGAGGTTTACCTGATTCAAGTACGCAAACTATTCATTTTGCACAAAGACAGAGTGTTCAATGGCTAACTAGTTTTTTAGGAACTCATGGAAACTGACATGCACCGAGTCATTCGTACACAAGACCTGTCCGATGACCACTGCCAATACTTTATCTACCAGACCCTTCGAGCCCTCAAGGCCATGCACTCCGCCAATGTCCTTCACCGAGATCTCAAGCCTTCCAACTTGCTTCTCAACGCCAATTGCGACTTGAAAGTGTGTGATTTCGGTCTGGCGCGATCGGCCGCATCCACCGACGACAACTCCGGATTCATGACGGAATATGTGGCCACTCGCTGGTACCGTGCACCGGAAATCATGTTGACCTTCAAAGAATACACCAAGGCCATTGACGTGTGGAGTGTTGGATGCATTTTGGCTGAGATGTTGAGCGGAAAGCCTCTTTTCCCCGGAAAGGATTGTACGTGGTCCCTGTATTTTCTACTGACATTCCATCTAATAGTTTATATGCAGATCATCACCAGTTGACACTCATCTTGGATGTGCTTGGCACACCCACCATGGAAGACTACTACGGTATCAAGTCTCGCAGAGCGCGCGAGTACATCCGTTCTCTCCCCTTCAAGAAAAAGATTCCTTTTAGAGCTCTCTTCCCTAAGAGTAACGATCTGGCCTTGGATCTTCTCGAGAAGTTGCTATCTTTCAACCCCGCCAAGCGTATCACTGTGGAGGATGCCTTGCGTCACCCCTACCTGGAGCCCTACCACGACCCCGATGATGAACCAACTGCACCTCCCATTCCAGATGGGTTCTTCGATTTCGACAAGAACAAGGATGTATTGAGCAAGGAGCAGCTGAAGCGTAAGTGCCTATTCCAACCCTTTAAAAGTCAATGCTAAGAATCCTTCCAGTCCTGATTTACGAGGAGATTATGCGGTAAGAGAGGATGAGCTGCGAAACGAAACATCTTATTACGCATCATTTAGTCGGTCACGAAAGCATACAATTTATGCCTGGTGTAGAGAGAAAAAGAGAAAAGCAGCTGGAAATTCAATGTAATTGTCTTCTTGACATCAATTCGAGTTCGTACAGTATACTATATGCCTTCCTGTAAAGAACTAGGGGTATGAATATGTAATAGATAGAAATGGGTATCATCGCCTGTTCGTCTGCGCATCCATAAACTGACGAATGCCATCTCCAACTCCAAGAGGAGTAGGATTCTCCGCACAAACATCAGCCTCGAACGCAAACTTACTCTGCAAATAATTGCGAGTAGTCGGTCCAATCGTACTAATAAATAGTCTGCGCGAATCATCCTTAATAGCATCTGCAAACGGACCGAGTCCCAAAACACGAAGCATAGCCTCACACCCAGACGGCGAAAACACCACAACCCAAAGAACAGGCTCACTCGCATACCTCTGAACAGCGCTCTCAAAATCCCCTTCAAACGAGCCCATCTCCCCCGTTTCGTACACCACAATCTCATCCACTGAGATCCGGTCTGCCAGGGAAGAGGGCCCCATGAGGGTTTTTGGAATGATGTCGCGGCGTTGTTCACCGACTAGGAATAGCAGGCTTGGTTTTGTGGAGCTCGAGCTGAGTGGGTATATGGCGTTGTAGTGCGCGAGAATCATGTGGGCGAGGTTCTCGCCTGTACCGGTGTCGGCGCCGTGGATTGTTGCTGTGGGGAGATATTGGTCTCGTAGTGTGGTTAGGGAGCGGGCTGTGGCTGGTCCGACGGTATATAGTATTAAAGAGGTGGTAGTGTCATATTCAATGGGGACTGTAGGGCTCCAGTTAGTACTGAGTCTTGGTTTTTTTTTTTTTTTGCTGGATCAAGATCAGCGTTGATGCTCGACATACGGCCATCTTCCTCGATCATCTTGGCAAATCCCTCCACTGCACGCTGGCTGGTGAAGATGAGTCCGCCATATTTCTTAGGCTCGGTATCCGTATTGGCATTGGCATTTGTATTGTTGCTCGTGTCGAATGCGCCAGACGCGAATAGACCCCGCACGTGAGCTAGGTTCTCGGCGTGGAAGCGATGCTCTAGCACTGGAATGAAGGTGGGATCATAGCCTTGTTCAAGAAAGAAATCATCGTAGCCATCATGGGGGGATGATTTGGTCTTGAGGAGTAGAATTGGTGAAGGCATCGTTGAATTGAGAAGTGAGAAATTTCATTTTCATTTTTGTTATCAGGAAATAAAAAGTGGCCCCGCATCACGGAGTTACTCCATCGTACTCCGTACGTTACTCCGTAGTTCTATAGTATATTTGGAGGAGATATAGAAGTATAATAAGGGTTTAACGATTTGTTCCTGATCAATTTCTAGACAAAAGGAAAGGTGGAATTTGAATTGGCTTTAGAAGCGGCTTTATATACAGTAAAAACACAAACTACTGGCTGTCCAGCACATGCACGTACTTCTTATCCTCCTGCAGCTCCTGCTCGGTGGCTGGGGGAAGATCGTAGTAGGATGCGCTACGGTATCCTTGCTGTAAAAATGGTCAGTGATTATCCCCAGATCAGGACCAGTGGGTAAACGTACCAAGTAGTGGAAGGTCAGGTCAGCCAGATCGGAGGTCTCGGTCATGCCTAGGTCCTTGAAGGTCTTGGCTGTGGGGTCGATAACCTGGTCGATAAACTCACGCTCCACCTCGTCGGCGGAAATGGTGGGCCACCACAGGAACTTGTTGAGGTTGTGGGCAAGAGGCTTGAAGACAGCCTTAGGGAGGTTGATATGGCGGCGCTTCTTGATGATCTCACGGTCGACGAGCTCAGCGATCTCGGCGGTCGAGTAATTCTTGGGACCGTAAAGCTCGAAGGTCTGGCCGGCAGTGCTGTCATCGTGCAGCATCCGCTCCAGCGCATGACCGACATCAATGGCCTTGACACGAGTTAATTGGAACGGATCTTCATTTATATTGACAAAAACTTACGTGAACGGGCCAGTAGCGCTCCTGCATGTGGTTGGCAGTGAGCAAGTTGGTGACACCAGCGAGCTTGTGCAGGAGATTGTCTTCGAAGCCGAAAAGAGGGGCCGGTCGCACGATGGTGGTCTCGGGGTAGATGGAGCGGACGACCTCCTCACCCCACGCCTTTGTGGCGAAGAACTCGGAGGGGGAGTCCCGGCTGGCATTGTAGGAAGAAACATGGACGAACCGGTCGATATCGTATTTAGCGACAGCCTCGGCGATGCGCTCAGCGCCGTCCACGTGGACATCAGTGTAGGAGAAGTTCCTGCTTCAAGCGTCAATGGGACATTCCGCATCTCCAGTAATAGCTTGACGCTGGCTCTTGACTCACTTGGTGGGATGTTGGCGACCAACAAGGTTGTAGACGATATCGGAGTGACGAACGGCCTCCTCGATGGACTGCGTGTTGCGCAGGTCGTATTCCTGTGGAGAGGGATCAGAAAAGGGTTTGAAGGCGATTTGAGCATAGCAGAGTCCTCATACGATAAAGTTAACACGGCCGAGATCACCGGTGACCTTCAAGTGACGCTTGGCCATCTCCTCGCGGTAAGGGACCACAACGGTGCAACCCTGGGTAGCTGCGCGATATCAGTATTTGTCCAGCACCCAAGGACCAACTTATTTAGGGCTTCCACATACCGAGTTTGTTGACAATGTAGCGACCCAAGAAGCCAGTGGCACCGAAGACGGTGGCAGTATAACCTAGAGTTCCATGGTGAGCCAATCGAAGCGAGTATAGGGTCGAGGTGACGAGGGTGCGGTACCTCCGAGGGATGAGCTAGAGGCGTAGATTGTGAGCCAAAAAGAATTGAACCTCAAAAAGTAATTGAGGACTTACCGGCCACCTTGGACCTTCAAGATCGGCTTTCCGGTGCGAGTAATGGCAACATCTTGGAGGTTGCGCTGGAACTGAACGTGGAAACGAGGGGCAGCGAAGGCGCGTGGCCCTAGGGCGGACTGGATGGCCCGGGACTTCTGCATGGTCTCTGATAGAGCGTATACGAGACCAGCGGGGAATTGGAGCGGAGAAGGGTGACAGTCGATGTACAGCAGGAGCAAGCGGATGAGATGCAATTCGCAGGTTTCGGCACGGGACTTGACGCTAGACCTGATTCGGAAGTAGAGCAATGGTAATCGTTCAATCGATGGCGCTTTAATGGGGAATCGGATTGATCAACGATGTTTAATTGTGATATATATTCTTGCAATTTGCAGTTTCAATTCTATGCAGCTTTTATATGCCTTGTCGGGCTTGTAGTAGTTTCATCGATATAGGGTCTGACAATTCATCCATTGTGATTGGATGCAACTTCAAGTACTCGACCTGCTGTCTAGTTGACTTGGCCTCAATGATATATGAGGGCAATACTATATGGCGGCGACTTCGTTCTGTTATGATTAATTTGAATCTTACATTTCAAGATATGGCCCTCGTGAATCATCACTAGTATATTGCATCTTTCATTGAGTGGCAGAAGCGAACAAAGTATAGTAAATGGAGGACTATTTAACTATGGGAAGTGGCATTAAAACATATATATACCAAGGGCTTACAGCTACGCACACCAACCTTGCTATAACCACACAACGGGGCCTTTAATTACGGGAAAAAAACGAGGAATAGCAAAATGTGATAAAATTTAAATTGAACAAGCTAAAAAAACAGCAAAAATATACAACTGCTGTGTTGCAATGTGGGGTTCCAAAGAATAGTTAGAGGATTATGTTGGGCAAACCACGGCCATCTCTGGTAAAAGGCAAGAAATGGGTTCTGCACTAGTATGTCCCAATCCTCGACATTTACACCAAATTTGGGTACTTATCTACCCTTTGAAAAATGGTGGACGCGGGTTCGATCCCCCCAACTTCCACTTTTTCTTTTTACAATTACATAACGACTTCAAAACAAACCCCGCATCATTCCGTACCTGCTAATTGTTATCATCTTAATTACTCACTTCTAGCCATGTCTTCTGCTTCCTGCATCTTCTGCAAGATCATCAAGGGTAATTCCAACTTCTTCGACTTTCGACTCTATGCGCTATCCCATATTTGATACTAATGGTAGTAGGTGATATCCCTTCTTTCAAACTCTTTGAGAGTGACAAGGTCTTTGCCTTTCTCGATATCCAGCCCTTGAGCCGCGGCCATGCTGTGAGTTTTCATTCCATGCTGTGGCAATAGGCAATATATTTGCACGCCATGTACTAGTGCTAATACACCTGAAAAGCTTGTGATTCCCAAGTTCCACGGCGAGAAGCTCATTGATATCCCTGACGAGGACCTTGTCGAAATCCTGGTAAGTTAATCTGAACTGATAGTATAGAGAAAAGCCCTAATATGATCATTATAGCCTCTGGTCAAAAAGATTGCCAAAGCTTTTGGTGCCCAGGATTTCAATGTTTTGCAGAACAACGGACGTATCGCCAACCAGGCCGTCGACCATGTAAGTACAATTGATGTTACTGATTGATCCTTTACTGACCATTGACCAGGTTCATTTCCATATGGTATGCCATTCGGCCTGATATCCATTCCAAACTGCTACGAGTGTTCCAAGAAGATATGCTAACTCTGATATAGATCCCCAAGCCCAATGAGAAAGATGGTTTGACCCTTGGCTGGCCTGCACGGGCCACCGATATGGAAAAACTGAAGATTCTTCATGAAGAAATTAAGGCCAAGATGTGAACAGCTTGTACTCCAAGTACTCCTCAGCTCAGTGAACTGAACTTGGATTTGATGACTTGCAAAAGATCAAATTCCAATTTATGAAAATTCCATGAGATTCGCAGCTAAACCTTTCTAAACCCTTATCATCAATCGGTACACACTCCGTACTCCGAAGGGTAGAATCTGCCCACAAGTCTAGATTAGATGATCAGGTCCACTCGCCATAGTCTTGAATCATAGCTCATCAGATTAAACAAATTTCACACATGTCATGTAAGCAGTTCCCAATCCCAATCAGGCCGCCACTTCCTTGGAATCGGCATTCTCCGCAGCTGGGTAGAATTCAACGGTGCCACCTGGCTGGATTATGTTGATTCGATCGTAGAGTGAGCGAGTTCGAATATACGGATCCAGCTCCCAGTATTGCTTGCGAAGCTGTGCAATCAAGTCATTACGCTTCTCCTGGACAGCGGAGACTGCTTCTGTTTCCTTCTTGAGACTGGCACCAATCCATTCGATGGTGGTATCCTGAATCTCCACGGCCAACTTTTGGCGCTCGGCGAGCAAGGCATCCCGGGTCTCGGTGTCTTCCATCTTGATGTTCTCGTCCTTTTGCGGCTCTTTGTACTCGTATTCCCATTGTTCATCACCGTCCAACTCCTTCATAATTTGGCCAGGGGCGATAAAGGCCTCCAAATCTTCGCGATTTTTGGTGAAATTGATCTTGGATGCAACGACAGGGTCCAACCAGCCCTTAATGACGCTCCAGATACCTAGAAGGGAAATCAGTAATTGTAAGGAGAATTTCAAAAAGGATACGAACTGGAAAACACCCATGGCGCCTTGTGGATTAGCACAGCACCCAGAGATTCGGGATAGTTAGCTTCGAAGCACTTGATCATGAACTTGACCGGTGTATAGTCCTGAAAAGAATGTGAGTTAGCGAATCAAAAAGCGAGAGAAAGGATCTCACCATGTTGGCCAAACCAAAGCCTGTCATATCAAAGATGATTGTCTATTGCCGCGTTAGATCAGACGAAAAAGAAGTAGTGGTGCTGGAATTTCTTACAGCGGTCTCAACGGGATGATTGAGGAGTAAGCGGGCCGTCTCAATTGTATAGACAGTGAAGCGCTCCAGTGGTTCCGGCTGCTGATCACCAGCGCGGTGCAGGCGCACTCGCACCACGCAAATGGGACGACCAAACTTGTCCACACCGTGGAGGAAGCTCTTACCTAGGCGCATCTGCAGTAAGAACTCCTCGCCATTCTTCTTCTCGATGGGATCAGAGCTCTGACTCTGCTTCAGAGCCTGCGCTTCGCCATTAGCCATGACGTCGTCGTCCACGTGCACATCCTGCAAGCGCCAGCGCATGGTGGAGATCAACATGATCAGAGCCTTGTTCACATCCCACTTGCGAGCGCGTAGGAATCGCAACAGCAATGAGTCCGGGTTGTCATGCTTCACCATGTTCCAGAAGGATGTTCGGATCTCGTCCGGAGTCATCTCCTGCAGGGCCTGCTGGAACTCCTTGGATTGTCCATATTTGTCATCGCCGTCGGTAATGTTGATAGAAGCCAGGTTGGATGAGACGGAAGTAACGCTCTTGGTATCTTCTTCATCATCTCCTCCGCGGCCAAACCAACGGTGCTTGGACTTCTTCTTGCCCTTATCCTTCTCCTTTTCCGCGGCGGAAGGCTCCGCAGTGGGTTTCGCATTCAGATTCAGGGCATCGAGCTTGACTCCAAAAACCTTGAGGGCCAATATCCAGAACTCTCGAAGTTTCACCTCCTGCTCCGGGGTGAGGGTACTAATGGTACCTGGCGCGGGCTGGAGAGACATGACGTCGAGCGTATTGATTCTTCCGAGAAAGGGTTCTTGCGCCGGGCCTTTAGAAGGAGTGAAGGGTGAATCCTGGGAAGAAAAGTAGTTGTGCAGCCAAGTGCCGCCACCAATGGCCAAGATAGAGAAAGTGATCCAAAAAGTCGAGGCCTCTTTAGGACGTGGTGTGGAGTAAGGATGTAGATAGGAGTGTGATCGGATGCACGCGATCTGTGGGCGGACAAGTGGAATTGATTTGGCCGAGGAGTGGAGATGTCGGCGCAAGATTGAACAAGCGCGCATGAGAAAAAGAAAGAAGATAGGAAAGTGAGGAGCCTGAAACAAGATAAGATGGAAGAGAGAAGTTGCGTTGTGGCAGAGGTGGATTCCCTCAAAATCAAGATAATGACGATCGTTTTAAGTAGAGCGTCCTACGAGGTGTACTGTTCCTATTTCTAAATTTCGATTCAATTCAGATCCAGCACACTCCTAAATATTATGAATTATGAATTAGAGGAGTAAATTGTATTAAAATATAGAAGGAGTAGAATTAATTACTTCATCCCCCTCCAACGACACCGCCTTTGATGGGTCTCGATCTTGAAAACTAACATCAACATCGGCATCAATACAACAACAACATCACTCAATCAACATGGAAGTCCCAACACGATCAGCCTCACGTCCGAGACCTACCTCTCGCCCGACAACACCTCTACGAGCGAGTTCTCGATCCTCCCTCCGCGAAGCTCATGGCGGATACAGCATTGGAAATGCGAGAAACTCTCAGCCCGCCATTAATGCCCTTGAACCCCAGTTTGCAGAACTGGCTGATTCAATGGCCGATCTCGAGGCCAACTTCATGCATCTACAGCTCATGCACGAGAGTTTGACTCGATTCAGCGAGAGCTTTGCCAGTTTTTTGTATGGCATGAACATGAACGCGTTCTGCGTGGATTTTCCCGAGGTTAGATCAGAGACAAAGTCTTTTTATTTGTATAGTTCACTGATCAGTCAAAGGCCCCTATTCCCGATTCCTTCCGGAGAGCCCAACAGGCAGAAGAACAAAAAGGTAAGAGTATTCTGATACTCTGAACAGGCTTTGAGTCTAACGCCATACAGAAGCAGAGATTGAACCCACCCGACCAGACGATGGAGAGATGACTTTCCTGTATGTATTTCCTATGAGAGTTTCATGTGCGAGTTCCAATGGACTAACAGTTGATCTAGAACCACGGACACCACATTTGTCGAGCACCCACCCAGCACAGTCTCCAAGCCGTCCAGATACGCCACACGAGGAGGTACTACGCGAGGCACGCGTGTACCCGCCAGTAACCGGTATACTACGAGAGGGGCCAGCTCCAGTCGTACTCGACCTAGTGCCCTTCCCAGAGGGCGTGGAACTGGAACTGGAACACGATGACCCACGGCCTCACATCCTTACGAAATGCTGGAAGATAGAGATACCCCCTTCGATTATATTCATGAAGATGCTGTTTGACTTGATATGAGAAATGAAAATGGATGAAAGAATTAAGGAATGAAGTAGAAATAAAGAGTATGGAGTATAACGGAGATAATAAGCAATGGAGATATGGATGGATCCTGAGGCGGTAAATCAAGATCACGCGAAAAAAAGATATCCCGACCGGATCTCTTGCTCCGAGTCATTAGAAGAGATACCGTATCTTAATATCTTGATATAGTAGTTGCTATATCCAACTTCGCTCATCTTCTTAGACGAATACTGAAGATGGAATATTAATCGAAAACAGAAACAGTGGGGCATCATTGCATCACCTCCAAGGCTGGAAACATCAGCCGCAACCCTTGCACATTTGCTCCTCTCCCTTCTAGACGTATTTTCACTGGTACAGTGGTAGGTATAAAGTCCACCCTCTTCTTCAATCTATCATGGACCTATTTTTAACTATCTGATAGTATAATGCTGGTCTTGCTCAGGGGGAGTCTGTGAGGCCCGAAACACATCGCTTTCTCTATTCACCATAGTGGGACTTGCACTTCGACTTCGGCTTATTATTACCTACTTGGGTATTCAGCCCTGACTTCCAAGCTTCTATATTTGCTTGTCTACTGCTTGTCTACTTCCATATTCCAAATTTTGGAATATAAAAGTCCATTACCAGGCTCCTTCTTTACTCTTATTTCCTCCCATTTCGTCGCATATCCTTTGCGTCTAACCCTCATTAATCGTTACCTTGCCCTATTATTCTTTTTCATAACATTTCAACATGGCTAATCTCGACTCTGTTCATCTCCTCTCCGAGGCGGCCTATGGTTGCGGTATGTATACCCTCAATGCCCTGCGTAACCGGGGCTTGGCTAATCATACTGATTAGAACACCTTGCTGCCATCTTGAAGAACGATCAAGTTGCAATCCAATTCAAGAATGGATTCCGCAAGCACTTCCACTCACTTGCCCCATACACCAAGCCCGAGGTAGTGCCCATTCAGGTCACCGGTCTTCGGACCGTGGCATCCCTCAAGCCGAAGTACAATTGCTTGCTCTGTCCGGAAACCTGCTTGGCTACGGAACGCAAAGCTCACACAAAAAAGACAGGACATTCTTTCTGTAAGTGCTTATAATGTGACAGAATTTATACCCCCACTAATACTCTCATGCAGATATGGAATCTCGCAATCGATTCGTTTTCTGTGAGAATTGCCTCGATTTTGTTTATGACCATGGACTTGAGCGAATGTGCGGCCCTATCGCATCGTTCGACGTAGAAGGTAAATCTTCCAATCTCTTCTTCGCTACAAAGCAGCTAACTAACTTCTGTATAGAAGTTAAGGGCAGATGTGTCCCTGACTCGGCTTCTGAACTTTATGTCAAGACAAATGCTAACAAGAATCCATGTTCCCGCCGTGGGGCTCGCGGTGTATGGAACATGGGACAAACTTGCTATCAAGCCGTGATCCTACAGGCACTTCTTCATGACCCAACTCTCAACGCCTACTTCCTGGCTGGTGGCCACGATATCCACACATGTAACCGCAATTTTTGCATGGCATGTGCCGCCAGCGAAGTCTTCATGGACTTCAACAGCGGCGAAAAGACCGAAGCCGTGTCCGCGGCAACCCTTCTCTATCACGGATGGGATGCATCAAGAGTAAGTGACGGAAGGAGACTGCTGTAGACAAAGTCTAACTTTCAAATAGGAAATGGCAGGATATCGTCAGCAAGATGCCCATGAATACTTCCAATTCTTAGTTAATGCACTGCACGCCTCAACTCCCGGACACGCAGAGGGTTACGATACAAAGTGTAATTGCTTCTTCCACCAGACCTTCTACGGCGAGCTACGCAGCAGCGTTATGTGCCGCAAGTGCGGCAAAACCACTCACACTTACGACCCAATGGCCGATCTTAGTCTGGACGTACAACTTCAGAGCAAGAAGCGCAAGCTGGGTGCTCGCTCTACCGGACCGGCTGCAAGCCTGATTGGTTGTCTTGAGAGCTTCACTGCAGTTGAGGACTTGCATGCCTCGACTTACAACTGTGAAAAATGCGGCAGTACTCCGCAGGGAGCTTCTAAGCGATTGCAAATCGGCAAGCTTCCCCTTATTCTTTGCATGCAGATCAAGGTTAGTATCTTAGTTCCCTTTATACCTTTTTGCATACTGATCTCTTTCCCTAGCGATATGAGCACAAGTCGAATACTTCGGAGAAGATGGATGGCCATATTGATTTCCCCCTGACTATAAATATGCTTCCTTACACCGTCAAAAAGGACAAAGAGCCCGTGGACACGTCAAAGTACATCTACGACCTATCCACTGTTGTGGTCCACAAGGGCACTATGGACACTGGCCACTATTACGCCTTCACCCGCGTAGCTGGCGATCAGGTACGTGGGCATCAGCCTTTGATCATGAATGCGTTTTATCTAACTGCTTGACTAGTGGGTTCTGATGGATGACAACAAGGTGACCGTTGCTACGGCGGCAGAAGTTCTGCGCCAAGATGCGTATATGCTCTTTTACGGCATTCGTTCAATCGAGTCGGATAAAGCCAAATCTTAAGTATTGTAAGGAGTTGAATGATGAGTTAAAAATTGGATTCGTAACATGTACATAGCGCGCGAAAATAGTCGTCTACAGTAAATTGAATCTCTATGGCCGTCTACTCTCGTAGAGTAGAAGCGAAATGTACCTTATCCAACTTACCACATAGACAGGCCTAGACTTCAGTGGAAACTCGCAAGCTTGCTTCTTTGCGGGATTGGCACCTGCTGAGAAGACATGTGTCAAATCGGAGATATACGGTGCTCATCCTTGTCCGGAATATACGGGAAAATGGTCCAATGGTCGTGAGTTGAGGAGGCCAGTGAAGAGAATTCCGTCATAGGTATTTGATAAGGAAAAAAGGATGATTTAACATAACATCCTTGATTTTTTTTTCAAAATCTCCATCACACAACAACCCCAGTCCCCTCCTCGTCCGAAAATGTCTAGGCGAGACACAAGCAAAGAAAAAAAATGTCTCCATGACGAAACAATGATATTTTGGAGCCGTCATGCGAAAGAACGAAGTAGTCGTATTCGTAAGCTTCGAAACTTTCTCCCCACCCTAGACGCTATTGAGACCGAGCGTCGGGGCACTTAAAAAACGGATCATGGACGCAAACGGATCGAGAAGGGCGTAAATAGGCGGACATGGGTTTTTGATTGCTTAGCGGTACTGTTGTAAAAAAAAGGGTGAACCAGTCAGTCTCCGTCACGACAAGAATTCCTTCCACTCGGGCTTTTTTGATTTATCGTGGTCGATCGAGTCGAAGAATGCGAATAAGAAACGAACCTTGTTGAAACCGATGTCGGTGGACTTCTCACGGAAGCACTGACGGCAGATGTTCATCTGTAGAAACATATTAGCCACAATTGTTCCATTTAAATATTCCATCCATAGCTTTGCGTATCCATGGAAGAGATCGGATATGGTGGTTTCACATACACCGTACTTGCGGATCAAACCAGCGCGGTGGGCGCAAACACGGCTGTGATCGAATATGTATTAGCAAAGGCCATCCGTCCAGTAATTCCTCCTGATTCGTTGTTTCCAGATCGATTCCATTTCTCGTATTGTCGATTGCTTTCGTTGAATCTTTCATCGGGAGATAGGAGATCCTAGGGGGAAACACACCATTCACGGGAACCCTTGCCGTACCTAAAATGCTATTAGTTCCTGGAGAGGTTGTCGAGGCTCGGAGATGAACTTACTTGCGGGGGCGGCTGTACCAAACGGACTCGTGAGTCATCTTGAGATGTCGTGGGGGGAGTTGACGGGGTTGTTGAAGAGGTCGTTGGCGCTGTTGAAGAAAGTCGGAGGTTAGGGTTGGAAAATCATTGTGTGCCTCCCCAATTTGGAATGCACGGACCACACTCGCTTGCGATGCGCTAGTCTATAATGGGAGATTGAGTCATGTGACTCGATATACTGTATCATGGGGGGGTACTGGGCTCCTGAAAAATGTCGCACACGTGATATTTTTATCAGGCTTAGCGTCTTGGCGTAAATGTTTACAATCGCGTCTAGGTGTTCATCCCTATCTATACACGCCCTATCTATACACGCGTCATTAAAAATTACCCTGCACCATGGATACCACTACCTTTTTTTGCTCGAAATGCCGTAATCCCCGTCCGACCGAGGATTTTGATCTTAATAAGCAAGGGAAGCGAAAAAGCCTTTGTAATCGTCATACAAAGAAGCGTTCTCTTCAGCGCGATGATTGGGATGAATTTACTATGCTTCTCTCCCAGCCTCAGCCTCTTAATCATGACTTTGAATTTGATCTTGATGCTTTGCCTATCAAGTTTGGCTCTGAGTTTGATAAAGAGGAGATGGGAATAGCAATGCATAGTCTTTCAGATTTGATCTGGCAGGAAGGTGGATTCCGATTCCGCCATACCTCAACTGATTCCCAATATCATCGGTATAGATATCATTGCTCTCAGGATGAAGCGCATACCCGAAGCTATCAATCTAAGGTAGAAGTTGAAAAACAGAGAGATGGCCGCCGTATAGAGCGATTTCCTTGTGGAAGTAAGCTTATTATACAGCCATCCTTACTTGATCGGACCCTCCGTCTTTCTATTCAACATCACTGGCACCCGCCTTATAAAGATCTTCAAGTTCCGCAAGTCATACACGATCTTATTGACTCCCTTGTCTTGACCCATGCTCCTGCAGAGATTTTCCGCCAGGTTAGGGAGCATCCTAAAGGAAAGGAAGTGTCAAGGCACCAGGTCTATTATATCTGGCATAAGGCAAACTCAAAGAACTGGCGACGCCATGATGATCCTCTAACCTCAGCTCAAATGCTTCTAAATAAGGCAGATTTCCAGAATGGAAGGTATCAGGCCCACCAAGAGATCTTTAAAGCAGGCAACTTATCAGCATTAGGTAAGTGTTGCGACAGCCGAGAAACAAGGCCATCAACAGACGGAAAGTATTTCGGCCGAAAAAGCTTCTGCCAAGACAGTGACTCTGGAACTAGATTAGTATATCACGGCATCCTTGAACGATACGCATTCATCGCAAACGACACCCTTGAGCGATGCGCATTCGCGACAGCAATGTCCCGTCTTCACCGTCTCTTCTGTCTCGGACGAATGATGACATTCGTCTAGGGCAGAGGGGCACCCATATACTATAAGTAGCTAGTTCTTTCATCAATGAAAAAGCAGACTTCACAACAACCATAATATTCAGTATTGTAGAGACCACTACACTTGGTGGTTTATCTACGGTGTTGAGTAGTGGTTTGTTGAAGCTCACCAACTCCTTTCTACTGCAGTAAACTCCAATTCCCTTTTACTGCAGTAAGAACTCGAGCACCATTCTCAGTAACGAGCGACTAGCTAGCTACGCTCGCTAAGCGAGCGATAGTTCTACTAAGTCGTCTCGTCCCTGATATGGTCTATTAAATGAAGGCTATATTAGGTAGAGAGCAGCGGATCTTTAAAGGACGATGGAGAGAAGCCTTTAAAAGGTAATGGAAAAAGGATGCAAGAAAAACTGTTTGTCTAGATCAGATAAAACAGCATCATACAGATCCTTATCAATGGGTTTGTGCCTGTCCTACCTTCTTACTTAGTCGATTCTTATGCTGTAAGCATATTATCTACTGTTTTAAGACGCCACCTCCTCAATTCTTTAATACTGTTTCCCGCCATGATACTTGTCCTTTTTGGCGGGATGAGCGATTAGAACTTAAACCAGAGTTCAAACGCAGTGGTAAAGAGCCTACTCCACTACCAGATTATGAAAGCGATACCTCTTCAGCATCAGATAGTGAGGAAGAAATAGAGGAGGATGAGGAAGAGGAGGAGGATATTCAAGCTCAATTAATAGCTTGGCGCCAATTCCAATTTGATACTATATCAATGGTTGATGATCAAGGAGAAAGGTTTGCAAAGAAGTGGCTTCAGTATATCAAAAGCCAAAGGACTCAAACCCAGAAGCTGATTAATGAAGCTAAAACTATTCGGAGCATGCGGACGATGCCTAAAACTTGGCGGAAGCACGATCATCCACTAGGTGTTTATTTACAGTAGTTAGAATCGGACTTAGAAGAATTGAACTTGATTTGAATTAGTAATGCTATTGAGATTAGTAAGGCTTGGCAAATATCACGTGTGCGACAGTTTTTCGGCTGCCCATTACGCACACTTTACTGTATCTAATCTACATCACGTGGCTCTTTCCTGCCTTGTTCCGATACCGGAAGTTGCTTCTTCGTAAGTATTACTAATGCGCCTCGTCATTCATCGAGCAATGATGTTATGTTTTATTCTGTCCCCTGCTTAATAGATGCAATTTTTCAATGTTGAGAAATTTGCATACCATTAGCATACCGTAAACTCTCAAAATCACCACCATTACTCCATGTTTTTTTCAGTGATAGTCCATGATATATGGAGTATTATTAAGAGTATCCAGGTATACAAAATTAGCCTGCCGAGGTGCCCGCAGTCCGACTAAACTCCCCGTGGTTTAGATTGGAAACTGGCCGAAGTGGGGTGAGAACTAACTGTAGAAGACGTTATTTAACCCCAATTTCCGTTTATCAAAGATTCACCCAAACAACTCTCTTCTCACAGCTCACCCATACATAACTTCAAAATGGCCTCTAACCCTCCCGGACCTTGCTGTGCCACTGGCTTCAGACACGAGGGCGCACCCACCGGCGAGATCAAGACAATTGACGGCGGTATGTTTCCTGCTCTGGCTCCCCCGCTACCCTCAGTACTTACTATCTTATAGTCAAAACCTATATTGTTTCTCCCAAGAATCAGCAGAGACCTGAGAAGGCCATTGTCTTTCTCACTGATATCTTTGGCATTTTTAGTAACTCTCAATTGCTGGCCGATGAGTTTGCTAACAATGGCTACCTGACTGTCATTCCTGATCTTTTTAACGGAGATCAGATCAGTGTCAGTGACATGGAATCTGGCAAGGCCGATCTTGGTGCTTGGCTTCCAAACCACCAGCCCGCGAACATTGACCCCATTGTTGAATCGATCGTCAAATATGTCCGGAGTCTGGGCGTGAAGAAGATCGGGGCTGTCGGATATTGCTTCGGTGCTAAAGTATGTTGCGATCTATACTCCGATGCTATTTCCAACATCATTAATCTCCTCTAGTATGTTATCCGCCACCTGAAGTCCGGCAAGATCGATGTCGGTTACTCGGCTCACCCCTCTTTTGTCACCCACGAGGAGCTCGGTGCTATCGAGGGACCCCTCTCTATCTCCGCTGCTGGTAAGTCGTGAACCCCCAGACCCGTATTGAGAGGAGTACTGAACCGGGATATCTGTGTTTTTAAGAGACCGACTCGATCTTCACCACTCAGCTCCGCCACGAGTCCGAAGAGACTCTGATCAAGGTTGGAAAGCCATGGCAGATCAACCTGTTCAGCGCTGTCACTCACGGCTTTGCCGTCCGTGGCGACCTGAACGTTCCCATTCAGAAGTGGGCTAAGGAGCAGGCCTTCTGCCAGGCTGTTGCGTGGTTCCGCCAGTATTTATAAGGGTCACACGAATAAACCAAAATGGTGAAATATACATAGGCACTTAATAGTGATAAATCGCTAACGATATTAGAGAGACATCTGTTCAGACAGCCAAGCTATAAAGTGGATAGAATGATTTTTACCGATGAATATCTGTACTTGGTAGATTGTTGTGAAGTTGTACACTCGTAAGCTCCGGTCCGAACGGGGAATAGTGGCGATCGCGACCACGCGCCCACGCTTTTTCACTTGTCGAATCTTCACGTACTCTTCCGTCTTCTCCTGTAGAACAAGCTTCCTTTCTCTACTTTGGTCTTTAACCTGAATATTTTTCTAATTCTCTGCTTCTACCGTGTCGCGCGTCTTTTACTTGACTTGATCGCGTGCCGTGAGTTATATCCCTGGTCAACTCAAAAGACTCTCCCCCCTTTGGTTCTAACCAGCGTCTAGACCATTCGTGCTCTCATCTCGCCGTCAACCTCATATAACTCTAATACTTCTGCATCATTGTGTGGTTGTCGCGATTTCATCTTCTTTTCAGCTCTCGGTAAAAGCCAGGTTGTCCTTGAACCCTTGACCTGCTGAAATTATTCCGAACCTCTTGCATCTGCCCCGTTCAAGCAATTGTTTCTGGGTAAATAAGCCTATAATTATTCCGACATTTTCATTTCCTTTTACGACTGTCAAGATGGCTACTCCGACCGCTCTGCCACCGCTCCCCTTCAACCCTTCTCGGGTACGATCATATTTGATGCGACTACCTCTGTTCACGCGCCTCGTTGTGTTGGTGATTTTCGCATTCTGGCTCGCAGAACTGCAAAGTGCATGGAATGTGGTACAATGGGGTGCCCTGATTCCGGACGAGATCAACTTCGGAACTAGTATGTCTTGAATTCTCCCATCGCACTTCACAGGGAAAAGGAGAAGTACGACAAATTCGCTAACTGCAATTCTTTCCTAGTGTACCGACTTAACACTTTCCCTTTCATTCATACGGGATTCTTTCACGCCGTATTGAATACCGTGGCCCTTATCCCGCTTTTGGAACGATTCGAGGCGGAACATGGAACCCTCACCTCGATCGCCTTGTTCGTTGGACGTAAGTAGTCCTTGGTTTGCGAATGACCTGGAACATTTATCAGGCAGATGTGGAAATTTCTAGGGAAGCTAGTCGTGCTAATACATTGGCCAGCGCTTTCTACATTCCCCGCCGGTATCTACCTCTTCATTGAGAAGCTGGTTTTGCACCGGAACACTGCTGTGGTTGGCTCCAGGTGAGTTCTACCCCATTTAGAAGGAAATGACTATAGCTAAAGTGATCTGAAGCGTCTGGGTGTTTTTACTTCTGGGCTCCGAGGCCATTCGCACATTCAAGTCCCATCCGTACTTCAGGTGAGTTTTCCACCCAGCGTATCTGACCTCTTGTCCCGCAACTAATAGATCATGAAGTCTCGGTCCGTATAAGATTCCTACTTGGACATCACCCTTGTTTGCTTGTGTCGTGCTTTCCATTCTGGTATCCAACGTGAGCTTCCTGGGCCATCTTGCTGCTATTGCAGTTGGATATCTATGTAAGTATCCCTTTTTCTTTTACCTCGGCTGATGTTGGATAAGTCGCTGATTTGACCAGTTGGACTTGGATATCTCAAGGTGTTCGTGCCTCCGGAGAAGGTCCTTCGATGGATTGAGGGCAAGCTCAACCTCTTAGGCCGACTGCCTCACTACGTCTCCGTCGATCAGAAGACCTACGGACGTTATGGGGTGCTGCCTTCAAACAACGCAGCTGGTTTGAGTGGAAACCCAATTCCCATGTCCTTCATGGGATCCACACAGCGTCTGGGTTCGTGAGAGTTACAATTTTAATTTCTAATGTATATTTTGCCAATGATTTTTATGATTGGGGAGGCAGAATTATGCATTTAGACAGAGTCAAATCTCTTAGCATAGCGTTGTTTTTATTTGATTACAATTAAATCTATAAAACTTCGAGAAATATCTAAAAGAGCTACTATGAACTGAGGCTATGTCAACTCCAAAGAAACCCCAGCCTTTTTACGCCCGAGTGAACCAACCTTGGAACATTTTATTTCTGCATCTGGCCGATGCGATTAACAGATCTGTTACTAACGATTATTCCATACCATATTGCAAAATATTGTAGTCTGAGTGGACATTTCAATGAGATGCGCTCATTGCAATGGTAATGTCGTTTGAATTCGCCGGCGAGGGTTCGCGTCGACTGCGCATATATTGATTCTGGCCAGCTGAGGTCCGAGACTGGACCTGTGATGCTGCACTCGTATCTTCAAGATGCGCAAACCAGATGGAAGAGTATGGTAACACGAAAGTGTTTGGGATATAGATCATGGTCACATGACCTAAATCACATGATAGCTAGACAGTGATACCAACATCGAAAGCGACCACGCTCCACGTTAAGGCAATACTGAGCCCCGGTGTCAGGGCAATCTTTAAAGTTTCAATTCATTGTTCTATCTAGCCTCGCACTCACTGTGTAAATTATCCTGCAATCTCTACCGACCCAAAAAATCGCGCTAGAAACGGCCTCTACTCCGTACTCCGTACTCCGCACTCTCTGGCCTCTTCACCTCCTTTTTATTGAGTCGCGACATGGGAATGACTCTCGCATATCTATAAAATGGCAATTAAATGTGCGCGTGAAAGCTTGAAATAGCTCACTCCCTACCCCGTAACCAAACAAATCAGGAACAATTCCGAGGCTAACTCGTGATTGATAGCTGCTATCCGCAACTTGCGGAGCAATCCCCAGTTTCTTTACGTCCGACTTCCCAACCTCTTGTCGCTCCTGTGTATCGTTGTTGGTGTGGCCTGGCTTCTACTCCTTCCCTTGAACGAGTACTCGCGACAAACCTACATCTCCGAGAACGCGCTCTTGCCCGGCCAGGTTCATGCCTATTTCACAGGCAGTGAACAGAACATATTTCGAGGATACAAGAAGGAATTGGAAGGGTTGTTAAACGAGTCGCCCGAAACCGAGATCGAATTGACCCCGTCGTAGGTGGAACGGTTCGAAATATGGTGACTGGGGAGCTGTGTACTAACAACCGTACAGGATCTTTGACAAAATACACTCGATTCTACAAGTTGCAGGACTAAAAGTTGCGACGCAAAAGTACCAATATACCTCTGCCGGCATCACGCATCAGGGGGAGAACATCTACGGCATTATCCATGCGCCACGAGGCGATGCAACAGAAGCTATTGTTTTGGTTGCCGCATGGAAAACTGCCGATGACGAACTCAACCTGAATGGAGTCACTCTGGCTCTCACTCTTGCCCGCTACTTCAAAAGTGAGTTTTGCACCGACTTATCCAATCTTTGTAGAACTGGCGAAGCTTACAGTCACTAGGATGGTCATTATGGTCCAAAGATATCATTTTCCTTTTCCCATCCGACAGTAAATCTGGCACGCAAGCATGGATTGATGCTTATCACGACCTACACCCAGCATCTGTGCAACCGTTGCCGCTGAAGAGTGGCGCATTGCAAGGTGCTTTGGTCATTGAGTATCCATTCGACCACAGGTTCCAGACATTGCACATTGTATATGACGGTGTCAATGGTCAGTTGCCCAATTTAGATCTATTCAACACAGCCGTAGCCATTGCGGGAGGTCAGATGGGATTCGGAGCCAACCTGCAAGAAATGTGGGAGCACGACGACAGCTATAAGTCACGTTTAAAGACGATGCTTCGCGGTATGACCAAACAGGGTCTCGGACATGCCACGGGAGCTCATAGCAGCTTCATGCCATATCATATCGACGCTATCACCCTACAGCCCAAGGGCGAAGGTTGGGAGGACGAAATGGCACTGGGACGGACTATTGAGAGTCTTTGCCGCAGTTTAAATAATCTGCTAGAGCATCTTCATCAGAGCTTCTTCTTCTACCTGCTCATGCAGTCTAATCGCTTTGTCAGTATCGGCACTTACCTTCCAAGTGCCATGCTCATCGCTGGAAACTTTACCATCATGGCAATTGCCTTGTGGATGCGAACAGGGTTGGACTCGGCTACTAAATCTAAGCCATCTGCCCCTGTTGAAAAGTCGGAGACTGGGGCAAAGGTCCTTGAAGTGCCTGTTACTGAACGACTACTTGCGTTACCACTCACCCTTGTCACTGGGCTACACATTCTTGGCCTAGTTCCGCTCTGGATTTTCAATAACCTTTCACACCAAGTACGTTATATTTACCACGTAATCAGCCCCATTGGGCCATCTTACTGACCATCTTCATAGTACTTCACGGCAGCCACTTACATCTTCGTCGCCGTAGATGTTGTCATTCCATTACTTCTAGCTGCTCTACTCTCTCACGGCTTGGGTCTATCAGTACCCATCATCCCCCAACAGTACTTGTTGATTAAATCGTTCGCACTGCTTCTGTTGGGCCTGTGCCTTTCCACCCTCGCAACCCTCAATTTCTCCCTTTCTTTTATGATTGGCCTGCTCTGCGTGCCGCTCAGCTTCATTACTCGGATCCACGGCCCTTCGGTGCCTGTGCGATTCGCCGCATCGAGTTTGGGATTGATTCTTCTCAATCTTCTCTCTCCGCCCACCGTTCTGCTGGGCATCTGCTGGTACATGCAGGTGTCTATGGAGAGCATCCTGACACAAGCTGCTTTTGGATGGGATGTTTGGGGTATGTGGACCCAGGTGGTGGTATGGTGTGTATGGTGGCCCGCCTGGCTCATCGGATGTGTCTTGTTGGGATCGTCGATGTTCTGATCTGCATGCTACGATTACGCTGAAATTACCATGACTCTTCTGAAGTCCATGAGTATATGTATAATGCAAGATAGATTAATCTTTACCACACAACAAACCACCGTATTCATTCATTAAAGATAACATGGTTGAGACAATTATCTAGGTAAATAAACTTATGCAGCCCAGACATCCTTGCCAACACCCTCGATCCAGTGGCCCAGCTGGTTCACACCGGCATCCCAGTCCTTCAACCTGTTTCGCATTCCATCGATCTGCTTCATATCTAAGACCTTCGGCTGGACCCAGTTGATTTGTGCCACCTGTGCCATCTGATCGATCGAGCCATGCAGCAAGCCCAGTGACAGAGCCTTCATGATCAAATGCTCAATCTCATCTGGTTGCACCTTGGTCTCGGAGGCAATTGCGGCAAAAGTGAGGGATCGGTCGTGGGGCGGGCGTCGGAACACCATCTCTGTCAGCGCCGACAAGGAGATCTTCTGGTACAAGAACACTCGGTGCGATTCTAGCAGCTTGTTCTTGCTAATGTTGCCTGCAAGAACATCATATGCGGTCAAATCACCCCGGTTGAAGGCGAAGAGGAGATCACGGAGCCACTTGTGAGGTGTGTCGGTCAAGGAATCTAGGAGGGGGTGCAGAAGGAGCTCGCCAAAGTTGTAAATTGAGTCGGAGACAAGGGCAGCAACACTGAGATTGTAGGCGCGCGACACACGCTCGGTCTCTGATAGTTCCTCCAGGTCAATGCACGCCAGGTACAGAAGGGCGTTCTTGTAAAACGAGGCAAATTCTTCCTTGGCCTGGAATATTGTAAGTTAGGGTTTTATTTTCGATTAATATCACGGCCAGCTTCTTGTCAGGCTTTCGAAAAAGAGAAACATACGTGGTAGTAGTCTGCATTCACTTTGTAGAATGAGGCATGCACAGCGGTCTCGACTGAGTCGAACGAGTCCAAAATTCGCTGGCAGGCGGCTAAGTCCTTCTGTGTTCCATCCAGGTCTGGTAGTCGCAGTTTCACGTTGGCAACTTCGGCAAGTGCATAGACATAAGCGTCTTGTGATTCGGGTTGGTCCACCTTGTTCGCGATGGATGTGAGGAAAGACAGGCGCTCTTTGTCATCTAGTAAAGCCCTCTGCTGTTAACCATTGTCGTTGAAGACCTCGAACAATATGATATGGACTAACCTGCGCATTCCGTTGATGCCATCAAACCCAGGGAAGCGAACTTCAATTGGTTGATGCGGTCGGCAAAGGTGAGCACGAACTTCTTGAAGATGGCCAAGCGCTGTGGAGCACTCTCAGGCATACGGAAAAATTCCACGAGGGAGTCTGTGAGCTGATGCCATAGCTTTCGCTCCCAAAAGTCTTCAAAGGTAAGGAAATAGGGTTGCGTCTCGGGAGTGCCATATGCTGTTTGCTCAGTCAGGAAGTCGGGGATTTTGGACTCCATAATGGAAAGCGTTGGTTGGAGAGGTGGGAGGTGGAAAATGGATGCAAAGATAGTAAGTAGAGGAAGGAAGAGGGTAATGAATGAGAAGATTGTTTTGGATTGCAGGTTTGTGATGAAGAAGATGGAGCTGTGGTGATGAGTTGGGGAGCTCCGGGCGGTGAGAGCTTTCCAAGGCACTTCATTTGCCAAGCAGTGACGTGCAATCAACATAGTTAATCACCACACCTATTAACTAATATCTCATCTGAAACAAGTTGACACGATTGTATCAGAATGCTGCGAACATCTCATCCTTTTTCTGCTAGGTGACCGATATACGAATCAATAGCGTTATATCCATCGACGGGTCCTACGTGGTTTGATATATTTCCAAGGTTACTTAACGAAAATAGCGTATCCCTTCTCTCCTATATACGAGCACAATTAAGCTAGGATATACCTCTTTGGAGACGGGAATATATAGAATACGTTCTGGACCATTTCACAGATGTTCTGAAAGACTCATCTTTATGTCATTCCTTTATTATGATTGATGCGTTAGATATATGTACGTGAATGGTCTCCACTCTCTTTTGGATTCTATCGCCCAGGAGTCACCAGCGTACCTATAATTAAAGTAGGTCGTCTCGAGCCGTAATTAACCTAATATTATAGAGTGTCTTGATCCTACTAGATAGCTTTGATATCATCAGCGCTAAACTAAAATTCATGTCGAAAGCTGTAAAAAGCTTTATCAACCACAAGCTCGACTTTCAAGGCTATTAGCGAAAGCCAAAGGATATAAAGATGATACCTATGACACGATCTATCACTACTTGCCGTCAAACTCGGAAGACACTTTTCTATAGGTAGTTTTAGTCTATGAAAACCTTGATCGAGTACTACCGAGGAATGTTTCCAATAAAATGATGGACTAATTCAACCAGAATGCCAATGCGATGGAATTTACAAGCCAAGCAGTCAGATACTAAGTAATCTATTCGCCGATGAACTTCTAAAGAAGTTCTGGGAGCCAAAATTCACTGGATTTGATAAAGTGGTCATCAGTATGGCCTTGCATCACGTCGAGCACCCTGATTGTGCACTAAAGCTACTATCGGATCACTGTAAGAGATGGGTGTGTGCTTCATTATTGATATTGTACCATATTTGGACAAATAAAGTGACTACGAAAAGCACAATAAGTGATTCGCTGACGAAGCTACAGCTACTCATACATTAAGAGCCATTGATTCTCTCAGGAAGAGATGTCAGCAGTTATTACAGGGAGCTAACTTGAAGACTGGATTAGAGTACGAAATGTTGTCCAAGCCAGTTGTATTCAACGGAATACTCACTAAGACAGTGTTCATAGATCGTGCTGATAAATAGAACAAAGTACGGAGTAAAAATAGGGGAACATTGGACCCTGGATCCATAATTTAAGGTTTCAGGGATTTTCTACATTTTGATCTGAAAACAAGACTTCCCCTTCCTCTTGTCCTTCTTCTCCTTTCGAATTCCAGTATTATTCACTTGTCTTCTTGCAAAAATGAAGGTCTCCGTTTTACCAATCCTGCTAGGCCTGGCTGGCCTCTCGACTGCCCGCACTGATATTAGCGGTTGTATCTCGTCGCAAACCACCAATCAGTGGCATGAAGCCAGCTTGATATGGTACGTGCCTGGCAGCGGTGAGATCTGTGACTTTGTCGACTGTGGAGGTGGTAGAGCTCCCCCAAAGACAGATCAGCCTGGATGCCCTCTCTACTCAGGCACTGCGACCTTGACAGCCAGCTATTTGCCTGGTTACGGACCCAACATTATAGTGGCTTCCGCCACTACAGCTTCGGAGGAATCCTCTTCTATAGATACTTCCTTGGCTTCATCAACTTCCTCAGCCTCTTCAGACTCATCAGCTTCCTCTGCAACCGACACTTCGGCTGGCACAACCTCTACCGGTGATAGTATGATTACCCCGGCACCGACCTCCTCGCCTATTGGTTCAACCAAAATGCCTGCTTCCTCATTTGGAAATTCTACCGCAACAGCAGCAACCACAACTGCGACTGGCAATATGGCAGGAATCTTTGGCCCAAGCCCGGGTTTGATGATGGTTCTTGTTGCTGCGATTGGGGCAATTTCGCTTTAATTCAGACTCTGTAGTGGACAAAGAAAACGGTGATTCTGGGCGAATCAGCGATGTCATGTAATAACAATCATGTTTCAATATTGCGCAAAATAATACAATAATCTATTCTGGAGTAGTCAAAGTGAAAGCTGCTGAGTAATCAAGAACAGCACAATCGTGCCTGATGGATGTGGCGACAGGCATCAATATTCGGGGAAACTACATTGATTCCGATACTAGGTGGATTTGCAGGTTATATAAAAAACATCAGTAGCAGTGATATGTTTTCCTGAAAAACTTTTTCTTTCTCTAGTCTCCTTTCTGGAAGGCTTGTACACTTCACGTACGAGACTGAAGTCTCATCTGAGGCCTAAAGACGAAATTCGGTCATAATGGATGGCAAGAGGCGCCGAACCAGGACAGGTTGTCTGACATGCCGAACACGACGAATCAAATGCGATGAGCGAAAGCCGACATGCGAGCGTTGCGAGTCTGCCAATGTTGAATGCGCTGGGTATGCTCAAAAACGCCGTGTCATGACTAGGCACTCGATGCCCACCTCACCACCTGATGCAATGGCAGCTATGCCGCATAATTCAGACCTTGTCTTGGGACATAAATACACACAACCTGTGCTCCAAGAAGATACTACACCACATCCACAATCAAACGCTGATGGCCTACCGTTGATAGGACTTCCTAACAATCCAAACTCATTACAGCGGCCACACACGCGGGCCCGTGATGTGCTGGCCTATCACCAATTCCTTTTTAGGACTATGCCGACCATATTTCCTCCAGGGACAATGCCTTACTGGAGAGATTACATTTGCCAAGAAGCATGGGAGATCGAATATGTTTTTGATGCCCTTGCTGCCCTTGGATCAATGCATCGGGCTACTTTGTTATTATCGCAACAAAGTGAGAATGACCGCCATAGAGGTTTAGATACCAAAGTTATTGCAATCCAGGCATATGCGAACGCCCTACAAGGTGTCTCAGATCATCTGGCTAGTAATCAAATCTCAATGGCTCTTCTTTTGGGAGTATTGATACTTTTTGCATATGTCGAGGTAAATTTCCCCCGCCAGAAGTGTTTTCTCGGTACTAAGCTATGATAATTTAGTGCTTTGACGGAAATGTTCCTGCAACAATGCGACACATCCATATGGCTCAGCATTATTTTCGAGCAATGTGCTCCATGGAGACCCGACAGCCGGAAGTATACAAGACAGCTATCGAGTTATGCCTCCAAGACCTGGATCTTATCCGTCGTGTTACCCTACCAGATCCGAAGGTGATCAAAATGATATATCCACCTAATAGGCAAGGTCAAAATTGTGGCCTACCATTATCGTCATTCGAGGTACCCCTGGAATCATCATCAAGAGCTATGCTACAGCAATTACTCGATATTGGCTCCATGGATGCCGAAGTCAAACAATTGATATGGTGTCCAGTCTCGGTTAACCTGAGACCGATACCAGATGACAAGCTCCTGACTGTCGTTGACAGCTTGAAAGCATGGAAAGCTTCCCATGCCATCCTGTTCCATAGCTTCGAAGTTGATGAATCTTTAGTTGATCACGTTAATTTTGGGTTTGAGGCTCTGGACAAACTCACCTTCCCTCCAGTACCTCACCCAACTCTGCCGGATGATTATTGTCTTCCACTAGCATTATACTCTCTCTACCGAGTACGGCTTCTGTGGGCATTGAGCATTTTCAACCATGGTGAAAGCAATATCGAACTCGATGCCTACCACTTCCTGTACCAGCTACTACGATTTGTCAAAACATTCACGGGTAGTCAATCTCCAGCTTCCCAAGATACCACACTAGGATGCGAAGCATTGAGAATTGGCTTTCCCCCAATGCTTTTCCTCGCTGGGCAATCATGTCCCAAGCCAGCCTGGCTTCGTTGGATATCACACGAACTAAATAGAGTTGGCCAAGAAGGTGTCTTCAATAGCAAAGCTTTTGCCTCAAGCCTTGATGTACTTTCAACCCTCGAAAAGCGCGTCCATCGAGACTGTGGACTTCCTGGTATCGAGCACTTCTCATGCCCGACTTCACGCGTGATTTCTGTTCTTTTTCCCGACATGGACGGCCGCTCTTACTTAACACTTTACGGGCATGTCCGAGGTCAAGATGCAGATGGCGGCAACTTGTATTCTCCCTTGTGCATAGCCCGCTATTCGGCCTTTGTAAATGGTGGCAGGCCTATTGTTGATACTTTTGATGGTGACCATGAAATGATGTACAGTGAATGGGTGTTGAATCAAGGTCTGATATTGGAATGGGTGCAGTGGTTGACTTTTTCTGAGTTTGATCTTAATCAGACGCTTCATGATCATATGAATGGAAGCCGGCTATTGCCAAATCGTGGTGATATGGAGTGGTGATTATGGGTTCGATGAAAGTGAACATAGCAGCTATATTAAGCAAATGTAATGTTCTTTTCAATTTGCAAAAGTAGGCTACATGAAATTGGCTAATGGCTCAGCTGTGAACCTACCTGGATAGTGATACGGGGAACAGGGACCTAGCTAGTCTGCGAACCTAGCCAAATCATGGAGTATGGTAGATGCAGTCAGAGTCCATCCTCTAGGGGCTGTCTGGGAGAAAGGAAGGAGAACCAAGGAGTAGCTCAAGAAGTTAAATGTGGTCTGATGGTCTCATCTATCAACTGAATGCTTAAATACACAATCTCCACTAATATCAGGTGACATTTTCCCTAGGTAGCAGGCAGCTTTGCTTATCATATAAATCAATGGCTAGGACTTGAGGACACCAGGAATAATTTTAAATTATCCAGCCACAGTTCAGACATAGTGGCCCATCAAGAAGTCAAATAATTTGGAATCAGGAGGTCAATTGATATGACATCTTAGTCGGCATTCCACAATGGAGTGAAAGAGAACCCTTGCACGTCCGAAGCGAATGACAAACAGGTGCCATCATCGTCAGGAGTGATTACCAGCACCTCACCACCTGTGCAGTCTGTGGTCGCATAGCCCTTAATATTCCAACCCTGGTTGTTTACCGAGATTCCAGATTTCCATAGCTCAACGACACCGAGATTGAGATACCAGCAGTCTGAAGGCCCTTTCACCGTGAATGTGGCATGGTCTGAGCAGGAGTTATTGATGGGGCTGAGCTCCAATTCGGTGACGAAACTAGAAGGCACCGGGTAGGATAAGTCGGCAGGAATCGAGGTAATAGCTCCCGTAAGATTGGAGAGAAGGTGGCCACTGTAGTTGTCGATGTGTTGCTCTATTAGATTGTTAGGTGTGAATCAAATTCAAATATCTCCTATAGAAAGAGAGAAGAGAGTCTTACCTAGGTCTAAAGTACTGGTTCCATCCTGGGATGCATATGTACCATAACAGTAACATTGAAGTGTCGAGTTACTATCAATCAGCTCGCAGTCCTGGCAGGTGTTGGAGTATTGACCACTTGAGACATTTGTAAGTTTTGGGATTAGAAAATAAATAAACATGACTTCAAAACTTACTCGGCGCTCCACTGTAAAAAAAATCATAGAGTTAGCCATATGCATGGAGATGGAGGCAATTAATTCAACATACAGCAAGCGTTCCCTGGCTATTCTCAATCTTACTAGGAAGATACACACTGCTCTTGATCTCTGTGCCATCACCTTTGGGACAAGTTCCAACAAGCCAAGAATCCACAAGGGAGATATCTGAACATGTAGTAGAGAATCCAGACGATAGGACGGTGGATCCACCAAGTCCAGTAAGAAGGAGAGAGGCCTTAAAGTACTTCATTCTGAAGGAGCTACTTGTTGATTTGAAGAGAAGAATGAGAGTGAGGGTGAGAGTGAAAGTTGATGCCGGGCACCTTAGAGGTTTAAATACTAGATGCCTCTCTATGCCAACGAATAAACAGTTTCTCCAGCGTTAGGGTATTGTAAGAATAAATTGATGACCATTGATCCACCTATTCAATGTTATTATTCGCTCAGTTTCGGGTGGGTTAAATTTTCAGGGGTCTTTGGGCTTTTTTATCGTAAGCCCTAGTACCAATTGATCAAGTCCTAATGTGAAGGATGAACCTCAATATGTCCCGAGGTCTCCGTGCCCCAGATGCGCCATTAATTCAAATGTCCGCGAACAACCAGAGTTCCAAAGATACAGTACTCAATAGCCAGGTATTGAAGAGTCTAGATGGTAAGCACTAAGTACCAGGGCAAGGCTTATCTATGGATTACTAAAACTTCAAGCCGGAGTACATTTGTTCTGGAGATGAATCTGGTCAGTAGAATGGTACTTTGTCCCAGCGACGATAGCATTTGAAATCGTTTGTCAGCTCTTCAGCCAAGGATCATGGAAATATAGAGAAACATCAAGGACAAATTTGATCCAAATGAGGTTTAATTAAATCGTTTCTCTGCGGGGGATGGAATCCTTCTACAGAACTAGTCTTGGCAAAGGATTGAATACCGAATATAGGCAATGAAGTCTGTTTTCCAACACCCGGACTAGCTGGAAACGATGAGACCTTTTGACCGGTCTCTTCCAGACGGGATTTGCTTCATTTTAGAAGTGGGTCTTTCATTCGGAGGAAAGCGCGTCTCATGGGAAACTTGTCAAGAGACGCCGCAACGCTAGAGACCAGTACCTGATGGAAAAATCTCTCTCAAAGCTGCAAGATCAGCTATTTCCAAGGAATACTACTTGAAGGCTCTTCCAAGGCTTAGTTTAGATAAGATATAAAGTATTTCACCACTGAACGGGTCACACTACTGAACGGGTCACCCCATCAATTTTACGCGTCAGTCTGGTGTTTCCATTTTCAACTACCCACCATGCCCCCCTAAATGCTCTATATGTCCAAGACAAACAGGATCAGGAGAATAGGGTCTTATTAGCTTACCAAGCTTACAAGAATGGCGATATATCATCAATGCGTAAAGCTGCAGCTATGTTTAATATACCATTTTCAACCCTCCAACGCCGCCATTCTGGTGTCCAATTTCGTCTTGAAACACACCCACCGCAGTCTAAACTGACTGAATCTGAAGAGGATTCATTACTTCAATGGGTCGTCTCTCTAGATGATCGCGGCTGTGCTCCTAGAACTAAAGATGTTGGTAGAATGGCTAATATCCTACTCGCCGACCGCGGAACCAACCCTCCTCTTACGATCGGTAAAAACTGGGTTACTAGGTTTGCGACGCGTTTACCTGAACTTAAGACGACCTATTCAACACCGCGCGATTTTACACGTGCGCGTCAAGAGGACTATAATGTGATCAATAATTGGTTCAAACTGGTTGAAAACACGATCGCAAAATATGGTATCACCACCGACGATATCTATAATTTTGACGAGACTGGGTTTGCGATGGGACGATGTGCGACCGCGAGAGTGGTTACTAGAGCTGGTTATTATGGTAAACGCGCAAAAAAACAGCCTGGTAACCGGGAATGGGTTACTGTGATAGAGTGTTTAGGCGCGTCTGGTTACGCACCTCCACCCTGTATTATCTTTAAGGGTAAGGTGATGATGCAGAGCTGGTTTGCTCCTGATCTAGGTTTACCACCTAATTGGCGTCTTGAGATTAGTCCTAATGGCTGGACATCAAATCAAATAGGGCTCCGTTGGCTTGAAAAGCTCTTTATACCTGCTACTGCTCGTACTAAAGGACGGTATCGCCTTCTGATCTTAGATGGCCATGGTAGCCATTTAACACCTGATTTCGACAAAATCTGCCAGGAGCATGATATTATACCATTATGTATGCCTGCGCATGCGTCTCATCTTCTTCAACCTCTTGATGTTGGGTGTTTTGCGGTGTTAAAACGCTCTTATTCTCGGCTGGTTGAGTCTAGAGTAGAGCTTGGTTTTTCCCACATTAGTAAAGGAGATTTCCTAGAGATATATCCTACTGCGCGTATTGAAGCATTTGCATCTGCTTCTAATGCGTTTGCTGCAACTGGAATCGTGCCACTTGACCCTACTAGGGTGTTAAAAAAGCTTACTATGCGCGTCGATACACCACCACCACCACCCTCTATAGGAAGCGATTCAAGTCGAAATTGGACACCTAAGACGCCTAGGACGCAGAAAGATTTACGACGTCAACACCAAGCTATATTACGCACTGTATCTCGAACGCCACCAACACCATCTAAGAGAGCATTAGACCAGATAGTAAAGGGTGCAAATTACCTATATCAAGAGAATGCTCTCTTACGCCTGGAAAACAGAGATTTACGCGCCGCCCATGAGAAAAAGAAAAAACAAAAAGAACGTCCGAATCGTCAATTAACAGTAGTAGGGGGTCTTACAATTCAGGAGGGATTAGACCTGGTTGACGCGTCGAATGGTGGCCCTAAACTTAATGATGCCAATTTACAAGAGGGCCAGGCGCCTGTAAGGGCGCCTGTAACCCAACGCCGGTGTGGGATATGTAAGACACCTGGACATAGGAGGGAAACCTGTCCTAGTAGGCCCATTCAGTAGTTTTTTTTTACTATATTACATAGTAAATAATGGAGTTATTGGGATTCATAAAAATAAGTGGGTCAAACTGACCCGTTCAGTAGTGTGACCCGTTCAGTGGTGAAATACTTTAGTAGTGATCAACGGGTTACTTATGCAAGGCGCTGACCAAGAACTGCCGGATTCGATCCATGAAATTGGGGTGAGGTATTGATATCCACTTCGAACACAGAGAGATGTTATTGGAAGAATCTTATTGCAGGATCAATGTTCGCAGACGAAGTACTTTGTACTGAGTACAAACTGTACAACATCTCGTAAGTACTTCGTAGTTATCTCGCTATCATTACAAACTTTGGAATTAATAGTCTCCTGAAATGAATAGGACTGGGCGGTCATTCTAAATACAGGTCAGATCCCTCAAGCAGAATCCACCAATAGTTAACCTCAAAGTGGTGAATATAAAATTTTGGTATATTTTCAAGGCATCCAAATAGTTAACTAAGCGCAAATTATATTATCTTGCTTCAGAAAAAGAGTAAAAAAAGATCACTTTACTGCAGCTGATTCATATCGTCATTTAATAGAAGCCTTCCCTGTGGATCTGAGTCAGTGGAAATCCAACTGCTTGTAATCCCTCAATGGCGGAGTCTCCAAATCCCTTGGGCCCACAGATGAAGACCTCTTTTTCTTTTGATAAACCTTTCCAGTACTTAAAATCAATCCGGCCTCTGGATATGGAAACCTTTTGACTCGGCGTATTGCGATATGAGATATCAGCACCAGAGTCATTAGTGAAGATGGTGATCTTGATCTTGACTGTAGTCGGCATATTTTCAAGAGCTGGTTTCATCAAGTCCATCATAATCTGTGGTTCCCTTGTCGCCAAAGCGAGCACGACATCTTTCTCGTCATTGGACCCGCGCTCCGCTAGTGCACTAAGCATAGCTAGGAATGGTGTTATCCCAATTCCACCAGCTACCAATAGCATATTGAGGTTGCCCGGACCCATGAAAAAGTCTCCTGTGATACCAACAATCTCTGCAGAGACGAGAACTCCAAACGAGACAGATTGACCAAGCCCCTTCGAAGAAGCTTTTCTCATTAGGTCAAACAAAGCTCCTGTCACTGTGCCTCCTTTCGCTTCGCGCATAGTTAATTCAAACCGAGTTGCTTTTTCATTTTCATGGGCACTCGACACTGTCCAGGTGCGGACCCGATCATCATTAATTGACCCGGGGGTAGAGTTAGCCATGTGTTGATACTGAGGCGGTCCTATCCAGTCCATAAAGTCTAACACGATAGCTTGCCCGGGGCGAATTTTTAGATCATCGGCTCCTGGAGTTGATTTGACTTTGAATTTGAATACAGCAAGGTCAGACGACAGCTGCACTGCCTCTTCAAGTAGTGCTCTGTGTTGTTGAGAACCCCCAATCTTTGATCCAGCTTCTTCCAACAAGTATTTGACCTTTGGGCTGTATGGGCTGCGTTCAGGAGAGGTACCAGCTTGCTGTCGAACAGGAAAAGCGTCTCGAACAAAGGTAAATCCAGTCACGTTCACTGATGTAACGCTGGAATGTCTAACCATGATCTTGAGAGCAGGCGGGCCGACAACATTCTTCGCTGTCCCTGTTAGATAGAGAATATCACCTGTTGTGAAGGACATAATGGTCAAGCCCACCAATCCACTTGACTCAATGTTCCCCAAGCTGGAGACAAACCGGTTTCCAGAGTAGTCTGGGATCACAATTGTGCGACCATCAGATGGACTGACGCGGATGAAGCCAGGTAGTCCACTTCGAGCGTTCATTCCTGCGTGTGAGGGGAACTCTAAAGATTTTGACTTGTAGATAGACCCAATGAAGACAGTATCAGCATCTAGAATGAACTGAATCACCTCTTCTGGAAGCCTTAACTGCGGGGCCAAATGCTGATGCTGATACACTACCTCCGGTCGCGTATTTGGGTTTGGGAGAAGTTTTCGAACATTGATATACTTCGGACAATTACTAAGACATGTCAGTTTTCATATACAGAAAAAGCAAAGTTTCTCGGGGTTTGCCTACCCCATTGCCTCGATAACTTCTACATTAATTTGATAATCTGAGTCCGTCAAACGTTGCACACTCCGTATAGGCCCTGCGAATTTGTTGCGCCGCCTTGTTGAGAGCTCAATTCCGATACCAGCAGTGAGAAATCTTTCAGAGAGCACCTTTTGATGCCCTTGATCGATCCATGCTTTGGCTGTGTTCAAGAATGGATCACCCTCCCACAATCGAGTGTGAATAGAAAGGGTTCGTGAGTCTGGACTCTTCACAAATCCAAGTTCACCTGCTGTTCCAGCAACAATGGACGCCCAGGGCCGACCCTCTTCATCGAGAGTGGTGATAGGAATGAAGGGTAGATTAGAAGTATAAAAAAGCCGGTGTTGGTCAGGCATGAAGTCTCTGATGTGCGACCAGCTATTAGTGACAGCTTTATCAAACCCGAGCTTGCGCTGAATGGTAATTTCGCCGGGATGCCACCCGTGAAGCGCTGTTGTGGTCATGATGGAATGTTGGTGGAGTTGTTAGCAATGGTGTGGGGGTCCGAGGAGGCCGAGGCCATTCAATGCTTCTTATCCTCTACATCGTATTTGTAATATTCGATTCATCACGTCATTTCATCATTCCCATTTTACTAGGGGAATATCGGTGTGACGGGAAAAACTCTCATAAGAATACTGTCAAGTCTAGAATAATCCAATGCATCAAGTGATGAAGATGTTGCAAACGGTATTTTTGCATTGATTTACCTAGCTACATGATTATACCGCCCACCGTAATCAGATTTTACAGGTCCATGCTCCTGATTCTGCCTCTTAAAATACATAGAAAATAGATAAAAACGGTATAATACGGGTGAAATTCAAGTTTGCAGCATTTCCACTATTTGCGGCCGTCGTGGTGGAATGACATAACTCGCTCGCTTATCTCGCTAATATTCGCTACGACTCGCTTATACGCTTCATCTCGATTCCATGCAAGGTTGAACCCAGATTTATCGCCATGATGTGCGGGCCAATTCGTAAGCTTATTGCATATGTGGAGTCCTAAAAAAGCTATATAAGTAGGTATGAGATGGTTAGACAGTTGCAACAGCTTTGTTCAAAGAAATTCAATCCCCCTCAACCTCTTGACTTGAATACTACTCGACAGTTTACATTTGCTCAAAATGACTTCAAAGAGTGCAGCAGTCTATCACTACCTTGACATTGGCAGGCTCGGTAGAGGAGAAGTTGTCAAGTAGGTTTTATATCCTCCTTTACACCCCTTCTGCAGTACGTGGACTAACTAAAAGAAAGGCTCTTTATGAAAGACGCCGGTATTGATTTCACGGAAGATCGGTTTCCTTGGGATAAGACTTGGCCACAGAAGAGCAAGGCGCTCCAGAACCAGGGTCTCACAAGAACGGGGAAAGTCCCTGTGCTCGAGTACCAGGGCTTGATCCTATCGCAGGTCTGCTACCTCTAATCCATTTCGCCGTTAAAAAAAAATATTCTGACTCAACTGCTAGCACATCCCGATCTTGCGTTATATTTCTCGGGATCTTGGCTCGTACGATGGTGAAACCAATCGAGAGAAATATGTAGTGGACTCTGTTGCAGATATCTACATCGATTGGAGAGTAAGTAATAGTCACCTCGGAATCCCAATCATCAATTCAGTTAATAATTTCATATAGTCCCAATGGGTAGCTAATTTAGGCACCAAAACCGATCAGTATAAGGATGAGGTTGTGCCAGAGTACTATCGTGTCTTGGCACTGTACTACAGCGACAACAGCGGCCCGTACCTTCTCGGCGATAAGATTACTTATGCTGATTTCGCGGTTTACCAATCCATTGACAATGACAGAAGAACTGGAACCCTTCCAGTATGTCCTTTCTAATCAAAGTTATTGATGGCTCTCTCACTGACCACTTTTCAGACATCCCTCCCAAAATCTCTCATCAACCTTCAAGAGGCTATCGAGAATCGACCCAATATTGCCGGGTACATTAAAGAAAACAGCTATTAGAAGGTCATATTTGGAGAGACTTCCAGGGGTATCTTCTAAGGTTCTCTTGAGCGCACCTGATCTTCAGTTGGCAATATAGTCTAAATAGCGACCCATGATGTTTCTAGGTCAGCCCTGGAGGTCCACCATGATTAGTCTTTGGAAACTTCGGGACATAATGTCCTTGTCTAAAATCAATGAATAGGTCACAATCATCCATATCAATTGAATAAATAGTAGTGTTTTCTAGCAGTTCTCTATTTTTGACTATATCACTTACCCCCATCAAAGAACCTTGGAAGTACTCGCTAGAGCTGGCATCTTTTCCGACCACATAGTTAGGCATGCACCACTGCCCAAGAAAGAACCTTGAAACCTATATAGGCCATCATACTAAGCAGATCTCTATCTACAAAAAGGCACAAATTTGACAAGGCCTTTGGGAGCTAAAGAAGTATAAGACCTGCTGGCTCCTGGGTCGAAAAGACCAAAAATATCTTTAGAGGCAAAAATACGAGGCGGACATTGAAGTTTGCATACGAGCTCAAGCATCGACTATGCCAGGGTGTGACTGGTGGATTGAAGGGGTGATGGAGTAGGTGTGTAGATAGGGGAATGACCTCAGGCGAGTAGCTGAATTATCGTGTGAATGTCTGCTTGAGCGCTGTCATGGGAGCGATACGAGGATAGGAAATGAAGACTTGGAAAGTACATATATAAACGTGTAGAAAGGAAGTAAGGGAAATGTGGGGGAGGATCTATGATAAAGTCGGTGAGCTTTTATGCAGAGTCAACCCTTACCAAAAACAATAACAAACGGGAAGTCAAGAAATGTAAGAAAGAAAATGAACTAGGTAACTCAATTTGAAACGCCTAGGTTACATAAGTGATTGTTCCAATCTATGTTTAGGGAATATATCCATGTTCAAAGATATTCCCTATGAGTCATTATGCGTAATATATACTCTGTAATATCCATGGAAACTTGGTGGGTCGCATGTGGGTCATATAGGAATTCTAATGAGTCGATTTGACTCCATCACGCGAATCAGTACTTATAAGACTGCTCACCTCGGATCAATGAACATTCTCAGATCTTGTAAACTTCATCAATTCATACAATACATGATACATCAAACCTCTACGACTTCCAATTGCGAAAATTACACCATGACCTCAACTACATCTACATCTACATCATCCACCACGGCCCTAATGACCTTTTATGACATCGCCCTCGCAGCCCCTGTCTCCGAATCATCCTGTTCCCCAAACCCATGGAAGTCACGCTACGCTCTGAACTTCAAGGGGATTCCCTACAAAACAAACTGGGTACCCCTGCTAGACATCAGCTCTGTACGCGGCGCTCTGAACATCCCCGCCTCGCGCACATTCGCCGATGGATCTCCCTACCACACTCTCCCCGTTCTGTCCGACCCAGCTACCGGGAGCATAGTGGGTGACTCCTTTGAAATCGCGACATACCTCCAGGAACAATATCCGTCCTCGGGGGCAGGAGACTTGTTCCCGGTGCAAGAATTGGATTTCGTCTTCGGAAGGGACTTGGCGCTTATCGCGCCAATTGCAGAGTCACAGAAAGCTGAAGGGCATCTTCTATTATATGCGAAATTTAATACAAATGTGGATGCCGCGTTTAGTGCCCATGTGCAACTGATGATGGAAGGGATGCCTTTTGATGCGGTTGATGAGTGCAGGGCGGAGTTCTCGCGGAGGGCGGGAGGAATACCATGGGAGCTTATGAGGGTTAAAGAGGAGAAGAGGGATGACTTATTGAACTCGTTTGAGGAGACTCTGGGTGGTCTTGCAAGTCTGTATCTGAGGGATGCGAGTGGGCCATTCCTTATGGGGCAAAGGGCAAGTTATGCGGATTTTATTGTGGGAGGATGGCTGCGCATGAGTCGGGTCTCGTTGCCCGAAGAGGAGTGGGATGCATTGAAGGGGTGGCATAGTGGTGTCTTTGGCAGATTACACGAGGCTCTGAAGATGTTTGCGCAGACGTGAGGCAGAATTACTCACTCACCGCCCACTCGAAGTGATTAAGCTTGATTATAATTGCCCTTCATTTCACTAACTTTAGTATATTCAATTTCCATTTTAGTAATAAAAATCCTTGCATTGACAATTCGCCTTGATTTGGCCATGACGAATGCTGATTCCTGCACCTTTTTTCTTTTTTCGCAATAAACCCCTCTATCCTCCATAGACTCAGCTGGTCATGAGTGACGGGCTTGGAACCCGTGTGCCCAAGGCCTGTCGGACCTGTGCCAAGGCTAAAGTAAGATGTGAACCAGAAGCTGATGGGAACTGCAAACGGTGAGCTGAAAGTTGCTCAAGGAGAGATTCTTCAGTCATCACTAAACAGAACAAGATGTCGGCGTTTAAATAAGGAATGTGGGAACCAAGCCCCTGGTGCACATCGTCATAAATCCACCAAGAGCAGCTTGTAGGTGATGTTTTCAATTGCATAACTCTAGTTTATTAACAATGTAAACAGGCAGGTGGCGGTTCTGGAAGAAAAGCTAGATCGGATGACCGCTTTACTCGCGACGTTAGATCGCTCTTCTCATGATTTGCAGTCTGATTATCATCCGTCGCCTGGACAGTACTCAACGTATATTGAAGATTTTTCAACACCTAGTAATCAGGAGGAGCATATTTTGATGGAAGTGTTTTCTAAACGAATGCTTCCTCTCTTCCCATTCGTTGTCATTCCAGTTGATATGACTGCGGAACAGCTGCATCGAGAAAGGCCATTTCTTTATCTTAACATCTCCATGGTCGCTTGCCAATATGCTCCACGCCAGAGGCAGATTACCAAGGCAGTTCAAGAATATATCGCAAAGCATATCGTTCTACGCGGGGAATATAGCTTGGACCTGCTCCAAGGCCTCCTAGTTCATCTGGCTTGGTTTATCTCAATCTCTCGTCAGCCAAATCGGTATGCCTCCAACGAAGCGACCAGTACATTGGACTCGAATCTCGCATTTCAGGCCAATGCAAAGTCCCAAGGTAGTTCTCAGCTAGATGCCTTCGTGCAACTGGCAGTTGCACAGGTCGTTAGTTTGAGGCTTAATCAGGGATTAGTCTCCTTGAAAAGTCTGGACCGACCCCTATCCTACCTCAAAGCTACTGATCTAAACCCAGATCAGATACCAGAGCGTACTTTAGAAGAACGCCGAGCGTATCTTGGATGCTACTATTTGACTTTAATGTACCGCTATTATACCCCTCTCTTGCTCTATGGAGTAAAGGACTGACGAAACCAGATTGTCTGCATGCGTTAAGAACATCGAGGTATAACTCTAGTCATGAGTTTAAGTTCACAATTTACTAATGAATCAACTATAGCCGATCCGATTTACTAAGTACTCTCAGGAATGCTGCCAAAAAATACAAGAAGCCGCAGAGTTTCCCACCGATAGCTATCTTGTCCAACTTGTGCGAGTCATGCGCCTCACTGACAAGATCCAACACACTGTCTCTGTCGATGAGCTAGACTCTCCTGCGATTCTATCAGCCCCGTTTGGCTTAGCTATAAACTGGCATCAAGCTGAACTTCAAGAGCTCAAAGGAGCTTTCTGCTGTGAGAATCCATACTCTTGTAAGTCTACTAGGTTAACACCTGCACCTCAAAGAATGCCCGCTAATCTGGCTACCTACCAGCTATTTTGTCTTTTCATTATGATACTCTCGAAATGATTCTATACCGAGTGGCACTTATAGAAGACTTCTCTGATGCGCAATATGGCAACACTCCCATTACTCAGGTTGATCTTCTACTTGGCTGCTTGCAGGCCACCAAATCCTTTTTTAAACATTTTTACTCCCTTCCATCCATCTACCTGCCATTTTTTCCTTTCACTTTCTGGGGCCAATTTGGCCAAGCTGTTGTCACCATGTCTCGTCTGCTATTGTTTCAAGGGAACAAACTAGGATGGGATCGAGCCTATGCCAAGAACAACATTGATTTTGACCAAATTCTTGATGAATTGACGCAGAAACTGGAAGGTTTACGACCAGTTCTTAGTAATGACTGGAGCCAGAGCAGTCCTGAGATGCCGGAAATATTTGGGAGAATGATGGCAAGGATAAAGCTAATGAAAGAAGTGCATCATTCGAGGCTCATAGCTCAAGATAAAACCGAACTACAGGCTCTACCGGAACCCCCAGACTTTAGCTTCATGTTGAACATGCCCATTGACTTGTTCTTTCCTTACGGTGACTACGGTGAGCTCCCAGAGACTTTACACTGACCTTCTATATCCAACCTCTGGCCTGACCCCTATCAATATGGACGGTCTTGTGTTCAGCAATGATGAATTGATAACATGCACTGAGATTCTTGCTTGCTGATACATTCTTCCAGCTTCCACACCCAGACCCGACCCTCTATTAACACAGACGCCCCAGTGATTGATCTCGCATGCTCAATAAAGTTCATTCGGTACAGAAAGCCATTCTTGCCTTTGAAATTATGTCTGAGGGTTTCGGTCGTTCTTATCCGCTCGGGCGATTGATGAGATGACAGTAGTTGAAAGCCATGTTCTCTTCATGAAATCTTCGTCATATCCCTTCGACTCGAGAAGAAAGAGCATGTATCAGATTCTGCCAGACAATAGTGATCAGAGATCCCTACATGTGTACGATCAATCTGTAAATATTTATCAAGAGCCTGCTAGCTGCATATATCGACTAGTCAGGGTGCTCTACCATCTTGAAAAATTGCCGAAGTCACCCTCGTACAAAATTCCAAGTGCGAAAAAAGCTTCTGGAGAATGTTGGTTGGCATGAAACCACCAAGTTAGTATGAGCTCCCCTCTGTTATTGGCAAATTGAGCAGGGATTTTAAATATGGACTTTAGCTTCTTCTACATTTGACCATTGGACTGGTTTTTGGGTTGACTCTCGTGATTCGATAATGTAGGGAGCCAGTTCCCTCCAGTAAGATGAGGCCTTACTGTGGCTAGGTACCTAGATAGGTTCCAGGCAAAGCTATATGGATTAGGAAAAGCAAAATGTATGGTTGCTTAAGAATTCTATTGATTGCATCGACAACAAATTCTGCGTTCAGTCCCCATATTATCAAGCTGTCCGCCTTTTTGAGCTACAAGGCTTACTGCCCGTGGGCCTAATCCTGGAGGTACCTATTGTAGTGGGGAGCCCTATACCTATACAGTATAGAGGAGAAAGCGGTTCATAACGGTAGAACCGAGTAGTATCCTTTATCTAGAAGTTGTGATAGTTACAGACTGATCACCTTTACACACCTCTCCACTTTTTGACTCCCACCTTCACTGAGCTTTCCCTCGTGGTTGTGGTTGGTTTTTCCTAGCTGAATAGACCTGCACGTTACGACCGTGCTGCCTAGAGCATTCCCCATTTCACTATGTACCTTTCAAGCAATTGCCTCCTGAGGTCACCCTCCTGACTCATAGCTAAGTGAGCACCCGGAAGTTGGATCTCTCATTTTGCTATATTTTTGCGAGACGAATTCATCATCTACAGGTTTCTTGAATTCACTGATGCTTGTGACGACTCGTAATTCATCTAGTTCCACAAATCCGAGATTCACAAGCATGGAAATCATCTTGTTGAAGTATTTGGAGTTGTTGCAAGAACTTCCAGAGCTAATGAAATCATTTGAATATGTTAGTATTTATTGATGAGCAATTTTAAAGAGGTATCCATTGGTGTATCTGCTAACTCACTCTCTTATCAAATGTGATTGGTACGTCACCCATTCATTGAGCTTTGTAATGTAGGCAGTAACAAGAATGAATATCAAAGTTGCGCTGTGAACCCTGCTTTGATAAATACTGATAGTCGAAGCCAGCGGAATTGAGACTGCATATATCTGGCTATTTGAATAATATCGCATGTATGGTGTATGGACGAAATAGAAGATTGCCAATCGGGCATAGATGAAGCCATCTAGCGCGCGGACTGATACCGTGTATAAGCTAGAAATGCCGTAGATATATGATACAAGTGTTGCTACCGGTCGTAGACAAGCAGCAGCCTGATAAGGAGGTCGAGTGGTTCGAGGATCTCCTCGGCGGAGTGTCTTCACAAGCTCCAAGCTTGTCCACGACCACAGGAAAGAGGATAATACGTCCAGAGCGTCGGGCAACACGAAAGATTGGTTCTGAAACTCTCGAAATCTGTACCGGGATGCCTCTGCTAGGCCTGTGAAGATGTGAATGTAAAGATAGATCTTCCGCTTGTGAAATTTTCGATGATAGATTGGAACTTGGTGTTGAGTGTGGTAGAGAAGTACGGACACAAGACAAATGAAGAATACAATAAGGCCCATATGGTCATGCACTCCTGAAGAGTAGAACAAGTCAAAAACAGGAAGACGATGATGCATTGCGAGAGCCATCATAGAAGAGGAGACTGATAGTTGTCCGATTCCTGAGTGTAGAAAGTATGTAGCCATTAGATGGCATCATAAAGGCAATCATGGGCTTTTAAATCAAGTTATTTTAAAGTTAGTATGAGGCAGCCAAATCGGGTAAAGATCTAACAAAGATAGATCTACACAGTAGAAATTCCAAATCGATCAAGCTCCACTGCCGCTATCTTTAGTCGAAATAATGTCTACTACATTGACTGGACATTTGCCACCCGGGTAATCTTGAATCTTTTCTTCAGGATTTGTGAAATGTGAGAACATTTGAGTTTGTGACTTATCTGGTGTCGGTGAACTTTCTAGTTTGTATCCGTCATGCCGAGATATAGTGGAGACTTAGAACGAATTCCATCATAGTGGAAGTTTGTCACCTAGGTCCACTAGGAAGGTTGTATCACTGTATGGAGAACCTAGGTACCTTCTTTCATCGTTAATTAACAAGAAGGACAACCAGGTACCCTAAGAGTGAGATTGGTTGAATATCTACCTGAAAGCCTGGAACTTCAAACTCTCAATTAGAAAAATTGGCCAGGGGCTTCGTAATTTTTGTATGAAGAGAATTTTACTTTCTATTCTGCCGGTAGAAGCCATACCTAGGTACAGTGCTGTCCCATAAGTTTCCGGACCCCGGTACAAGCCCCATGCCAAGAAAAAATATTGCTGCGCAGAAACTTCTCAATTCTCAATGCTTCTAATACTTAGTTATGAGACCCTATTGTACTATATAGCCCTGCAGAGCATCGTGTTACTTAGGAAAGTGGAAATCTAAGAATTATAAAGCTCCGTTTAGTGTAACCACAATCTGTATAAAATCTTATCGAAGTTAGCTTATCATTCTTGTTTAGCCTCGTATTTCTATAGATCATCGCAGATCACGGATAAGAATCTTCCAGCTCGCTGCACGTGTGGTGGTGAGGTTGTATGTGGAAATACGGACAGGGGCGGACTTGCACACCTTACTCCTTTGAGCTAGACTCACATCTCTTTCTTCATTCTGTTTCAATAATGCAAAGCTCTCAGTCTGGGGAAGGTATGTTAAGCAGTGATTATGAACAACATTTGCGGATCCGATGGAATGAACGTTGGAATCGTTAAATGACCCCGAAAAGGCACCGGGACTTGACATGCCGAAATAACTAAATTAAACTAATAGAGTCACTTGATTGTCGTAAATTGTCACAGTAGCATGAAAATGAAATTGTATCAGCGTGGAGTATGTTGGAATCCACTGAAAGACATTGAGACCTGAGGCCCCACAATACAGGGCACAGGTCGGACTACAGGTCGACCTTGTGCGAGCAGCTCGCGTCACATATCACGTGATATTCTTGATATGTTGAACTAAATGCTGAATCAGCCGACGAAATGAAATGATTCAACTGATTGATTGGTTTCGAGTGTGGGAATTCCTAAAGGAAAGTGTCTAAGGGGGGGGGGGCATGTTTGTACTGTTTGCAGGATCCACAATGCGTGTATTTAAGCAGGTTTTCCTATTTGACATTTGACAGAAAGCTATTACTAAACAAACATGTATGACTAATGAATTAGTCTGACATGATAAAATTGAAATAAATAAATAGTTATTTAGTTAAACCCATCAGGGGTAAGGTAAACCCATACCCATATGGGTATTTTTGATGCCTAAATGCCTGAATTTTGCCTCAACCTAAACTAAATTAGGGTAATCAGTGCCTTGCTGCCTGGATTTTGACTCAATCTAGTACTAACTAGGTGACAAATATCACGTGAAATAAAAGTCTTGGCAAAAAATGGGTTTATGGGTTTACCCAACCCAATGAACATGTCTACGAAAAACCCCTGAGTTCTCCAAGAATCAGTCTCGATACAATTTAATCTGTTCTTACCATTCTATCACTTTATCATTCTAGTAAACCCCAACAATTCTGATCCTTCTCTCGATTAATAAGGAGATAAAATGGTTCCAGGAACTCGAAGCAGATGGACACAGCGGAGACTCCATTGACTACTTCACATCCCTTTCTCGTCTCGTATCAAGACAGCACGATTTTCTTCTAGTTCTTCGCCGAAACGAACGAAGGTGTCAAAACTCGTTTCGGAACGACATACTTCATCTATCAAAATGATGACTCAAAATCAGTAAAAGGAGAGTGGTTGTGGCCTAGCTGCGTGTTTTACCGAATAACATTACTTATAGGTCATACTATAGTAAACAAGATGAACGACCGTGCCCTACCATTAATAGATCAAGAAATAATAAAGAGAGCTCAAGTCAATCCTTATGTTGTCTGACCCCTGGGGATCCCATGGAAATTTGTCAGTAATATTGGGTTGATAGCAACACAGAAATTGAGCTTCTCATCGTGTCGAAGAATGGATAATCTCTACCTGTATACTTAGAATAGTTTCAAAATGAAATTAGGCATAGACGGTAGTATCCTATTGGTCAATTGTCCGCGCTAAAATCTTACGCCTAGACCCTTAGATCAGTGGACTAGGATATCTTTCAGCTGAAAAATGCCATTATTAGCTACTAGCAATCCTTTCAGAGGTTGTGTTGGCTAGCTCCTTATTTTTTGAATTTTTTTCCCCCTCGGCTATGCGGACAGTATCCTGGATTTATAAGGCTAGCAGTAGCTCCTATCATTTTCGATTTCACATCACCTTCTTTTTGCCCTGGCGGCTCACATACAGAATATGTTTAAGCTATTGAGCACCTTAATAATCCTGTTAATACTCCTCCGATCGGCCTCCACAACATGCTACCATCCTAATGGTACTGCGTTAACTGCCTCCGTTTATGAGCCATGCTCGACCAACACAACTCATTCAATGTGCTGTGCAATCGGCGATAGATACAATGACTATCCAGATGATAGTTGTTTACCTAATGGCCTCTGTTTCAATCCATGCCTGCAAGACGAAAATGCAACTTGCGACGCTGCACAAGGAGCAGGGACCTACTGGCGCGAATCGTGCACAGATCCTACCTGGAGCAGCCCACAGTGCTTAAAAAATGTCTGCACTAATTCAACGGTAAGTCCTTAACCAAAGAAGCTTGTTGAACTAGAATCATATAAGCTGATCATCAAATTACACTGAAGGTTGCCAACGCATCCGACTCGGAGGATGTTGTTATGACAATGTGCCCAATTGATGGGAAATGGTGTTGTGGATCTGTATCAGCACGAGAGTGCTGCGCAAATGCCGAGCGTATTGAGATAAAAGCGAAGATTTATGAGACTACGACATCGGCTACGACATTGACGTCAACATCGACAACCCAATCATCAGCTACATCAAGTACTGACAAAGCACAATCAACATTGTCTGCACTAAGTGCCACTCAGGATAAAGAGACTAGCGACAAAGAGGCAAGAAATACAGGTCTTGGGGTCGGTTTTGGATTGGGCATACCGCTTCTGATGAGCGTGGTAGGCATAGCATGGATTTTGTATCGCAGGAGACAGTCTGGTTTACTTCAATTCCCAGCCTATATGGAAGCCCATCAGGCTCCAAATCAACCTGGAGAACTTGCTGCGACTCCAAAAGTTTCCGAGATTTATTCAACTGAGCAAGAACCGTCTCATGAGATGGACGGATGGAATCATAATCCAACTGACACCCGACAAGCAGTGTAATGGTTTAACAAGTACATAGATACCTTCCTAGATAGGTAATACATTAGCTCTAAGCACACTAGGCGAGAGATAGAGACAAATATACCGCCGTACGAAATGAATAAAGGAATGAATACATAATCATTGCATAAGTGGCTTATACCTCCGTGAGCACTGCCACGGCAAGGATATGACCTACATCAAGAACACTGCCATTGAAGTCATCGGGTTCGTCCAAGGGCATTGAGGCCCGTTTCTCACCTGAGGACTCCTTCCGCTCAGACCTTATTGACCTGCTCTCTATCTACTCGGCCGTTGATAAGGTCGGCGTGAACCGTGTTGGTATTGCCGACAATGTCGGTTGCACCTCCCCTCTCCAGGTCTATGAGCTCGTTCGCGTACTGCGTGGTGTTGTCGGCTGTGACATCGAGACTAGCTTCCACGACGATACTGGCTGCGCCATTTCCAACGCCTAGTGTGCCCTTGAGGCTGGTGCCACTCACATTGATACCTCAGTTTTGGGTATTGGTGAACGTAACGGTATCATCCCACTCGGTGGCCTAATGGCCCGTATGATGATTGCTGACCGCAACTACATTAAGAGCAAGTATAAGCTTGAGAAGCTCAAGGATATTGAAGATCTTGTTGCCTAGACCGTTGAGTTCAACATTTCCTTCAACAACTACATCACAGGTTTCTGTTCTTTCACCCACAAAGCCGGTATCCACGCCACTACCTACCTTCACGGCTCCGGAGTGTAATAAAGCATTCCAAATTTGGAAGTACCTAAGTATGCTAGATACATAGATAGCGAGTCAAAACCTGGAAACTCTCTAAACAAAGCTGCTTGCTTGCTTTCTTTTGGTTGATACATGCTAGTAACTATTTTATTAGTCTGGCGTAATATGTATTTGATATATCTATTTTCATTCAAATTTCGGGTCTTTTAACCCTAGAATATGTCCATTCCTAGCCGTTACAATTTTTGCGTTGTCCATTAACTTCTATCATTTTTGATACTCTGGAGAATCATATGAATAACGACTCCGTTTATGCAGACGGTAGTGGGAAAAAGGGTCAAATGGGCGTTTCTGCTGTAGCTCTAAACGAGAACGAGGTTCCCAGACGGCTTCTCGAATCACCTGAGAATGATTTAATAGTCAACGCAATGGAGCTCAACAGAATAAGGATAGCAATTGCCCACTTTTCCAAGTTCCAACCGGTCAGGTTACAGTAGGCTAATCTCTAACGAATCAACCCTCAGCAAGATCTAAACAATGATAGCCCCGGATATGTTAAGATAATTATTGTTGGAATATGGAACAAAGCAGTCATGTGATCAAATTGTTACTTTATAATAGATAGCAATCTAAGAATGAAAACCAGACTTTACAACCACTTCAAAGGACACATAGATATCATAGGGGCGTAAAGAGTTTCCTGTGATAGGTGTCAGAAGTGGGCGTTAGCCTCTTATCAACTTTATCGAGTTGCTATATCCACCGGTGTACCGACAATTATCTTTTCCAACTATCTGGCTGTTATTCAAGTAGTAGCTAATCCAAAGGGATCGTCAGGCTAGTTCGTACTCCCTCAAATTTATGACCACGTCCGGACCCTTCGATCGCTACAACCGCCCGCGTTCAATACGATTCCTATCAAAATCCACGCGGGTACCCCTGACAATGGCAGTGTGGATGTGAAAACGAAGCCAGCGGCCGAAAATGCTTCTGGATCGGAACAAGGGCGTGCGGCCGTGGGAGTGGACAAAGGAAGCAATTCGTAAACCTAACTAAAGGCTCACAAAGGTGCCGGGAAGTAAGAACTAACGGTGATTTGAGGGATCACTGCAAGCCTATTCAGTTTGATGACCTAAATGTAATCAATGCGAATCGAAGTCGAATCGGATGAGTGTCGATACAGATGGAGACTCAGACACCGAGACACGCTATAATATAGTGTTCGTTATACAGGGATTTGAGGAAATGGATTTTGGCCAAGATCCGGGCACGTACAGACTTGGATAGCCCTACAGATTACGATTCTGTGGTATCATACTCGCAGGAGGCGCGCTATATGGCCAAGTTCATGATCCAGATAGGTCTTCTCAGTCGGCTCAGGAACATGAATGCTGAATCAGACTTATAAAATCACGAAGATAACCTGCCATAATATGGCAACGGCACAGCTGGGTATTGGGAACTCCAGAACCAGTGGTTTACCGAGAAACCATAGGCGAGTATATCTCACCACATTCAAACGACGAAGCAGACTGAAACGGGAGGGGAGATGATACAAAGAGGAACGAAAGGAGCAAGGAAGTGGTAAATAAAGATATGAGGGCGATAACATGGACGGTTTGAACAATTCCTACGATGATCAAGCTTCGCGTAGGTTTGCAGCCTTCATAACAATGATCCTGTCATAATTTATGATGATTGACAGCTTGTGCACAATGGCTAGAATACTTCTATCGTTAAAGGCTCATTTGGGGACCTCTTGAATGGCACTGTCACTGATACCATGGCCTCGTAAACGATAGGAAACTTCGATCGCCGAACGATGGCTCTCGCAAGAATAAACACTTGTCTCTGATCAACAGCAATTTTCAAGCCTTGGGCGTGACTACGATGTCAAGGTCCAATCAATAACTAAAACAGAGGTGTTGGTATCACTCAATGGTGATGAAAATTCGCTCAGGTTGCAGGGGCCACTTGGTGACTCGAGTATGCTACATCGCTGGATTGCCTTCGCCAACTGCTGCCGATCTGAATTTTGGGAAGGATCAAGAATTAAGCGGAAATAACCACGTAGTCTTGGCTAGAAGGATTCATAGCTTGTTTCCACAGTATCATATGCTTTCTAAATTGACTTTGATATCTTTAAATAAACTCCACGTCTATTCAGGATATGAATAAGATAATCATAACTGTGCACCAGGCAGTGAATTAGGGGCTAATATGCTGTAAATAATTCAAGCAGGCTCCAGGGACTGAGAGATACTGGCTAGAATTTCGATATTTATAGATGATAGATCCTGCACTATTTATTAGTTCGGCCTTTAGTTTTTGAATATACCCTCTTTTTACATGAATTCAAGTATATTTTGAGCATGGTGGTGGTTCAAAAATGAAGGATACAGATAAACTTTTTAACCGGGCAGCTGCCGTAACAAGAACAACCTTATTATCATCGAGAATTTTCTCAATTTCTTTGATGAATCTTTTCATAGTGAATTCTTATGAGAAGGCATGAAGTCATCAATGAAGTGGAAGAATTCCCCCAGTCTTCAAATTCTTAGAGTTTAATCCAAGACCTTCCCATAAGCAGAGCGCTTATCACCGATAACAGACCAAAATTGCTCCACAAACTCTTTCTGTCCTTCAAGTGCAGGCCTGACTGCTAGATACCGACGGCCATCGATAGGTGGACTCCATTCGCCGGGGTGCCCATCAACCATGATGCCCCCAGCCTCGGTTAGGATACACCAGCTTGCCGCAACATCCCAAGCCCAGGAACCACATTCCCAAAAAGCATCCTGTTGACCTGCTGCTACTCTGCAAATTGCAAGAGCAGCTGAGCCGGTGAATCGGAGCGAGTTGACAAAGCGTCCGCCTGTCCTTTTGGTGCGAGCTAGTGTTGTGAAAACATGTAAATTGAGATCAAAGTTGGGCCCCTCTCGGTCACTGCCCCATTCAAGTCCAATGCATGCTTTTTCAAACTCTAGAGATGACCGTGTGAAGGGAAGCGTTTGTTTGCCATTGACACCACAGAAAAATGCTCCCTGGCCCCTTGTAGCCGCCCACAGCTCGTTACGGAATGGGTTATATACCACTCCAACAGTCGGCTGTTTCTTGATAACGAATCCAATCGATACGCATACTTCTGGAAATCCATGGACAAAATTCGAAGTTCCATCGATTGGGTCGACTATGAAAGTTGGTTCATCTGATACTCCAGATTTAGAGTCAAAGCTCTCCTCGCCGACGAATGAAAATTGAGGATATTGGTCTTGTAGGCGTTTTCGAATCAGTGCCTCAGCCTTCCGATCAGTTTCCGTCACAATATCAGTCGCTTCAAAAACGTCATTTCACATACAAAACCATTATAGATTGCAGAAAACATACTGTTTTTTTTTTCATCGATTGTACTTGCGCTCGGTTGGGCAGTATTTATGAGGAGTCCGGCCTCCTGAGCAACTTCCACTAGAAAGAGGCGTAATTTTTGAAGATCTCTTTGATTCATTTTATTCGATACTTTTTTCAAGGATTGCAATTGAAATTCGAAGGAATTGAGAACTTCGAAATTCAAGTACTTTCTATCCAGAGCTAAGCCCGCCGGCTGATAAAAGAGACCACGTGCTTAGTTCTGTACAGGCTCTTTAAGATATGATATTTGAATCGGTAAATATTCGGGGAATTATCAAACCTTGGAAATCATATGAATCATTAAGAATTATTTACAAGATTCCCAATATTAAGCAGCACTCTCTAGTACTCAATGCGAAAGGACCAATAAGCTATATTCGAAGATTTTTTCATCGAGCCTTTATTTTCGAAAAACTTCGCTTTTTACACTATTTCTCTATATCAATGCAATTGAAATAAGAGTACTCTTAGATTTAATGAACAAGATAAGCCTATATGGGTTTTATATTAAAGTTTGCCTCTAGGAAGTATAAGATTGAAAATGAAAGTTGAAAATTCAGCAATTATCCGTTTCTATTGTTACTGGCATCAACCACGTGTCGATTTGGTACGTCGATGATTTATCCGAGGATTTGTCTAAAATGTGGGGTCCTATGTGCAGCTTATCCTGCCGAGTAATGTAATTGATCCGGAGAATTCATCGAAAATGTGGGGTATCTTATCCCATGTATAGCTTATCCTACCGAGTAGGCGTCTGGTTTAATCATGTGATTGCTGCTCAAATGGGGTTTCATTGTAGAAGTCCCACGTGGGCATGTTGTGCTCTGGGATTTATTTCTGTAATAATTCACCTTATATAGCTAGATTCAAGGTGTTTATTTTCGCTCGTTCAACTCTTATTACACTTTGCATCAGCCTCAGTTCAGCTGCTTGGGACTGAACCATGTCCGCAACAAATACACTCAACCCAACCGAGCGTCCTGCTTATCCCGATGGTGTCGCATTGAAGTTCTCACTTGAGGGCGATATTCGGAGATATCCAGGGAATACTACTGTTTGCCACCTCCCAACCGACTGTTCTCTTCAGCCTGGCCTTCGCACCTTGTATGAAAACCTCAAGTCCCACACATCCATCGGTAAAGGCATCCGCCTCGTGCCACAGGAGTCATGGCATATGACGCTCCTAGACTGCTATAGAGAGATTGAGTGCGATAATGATGGCTGGCCCGAAGGAATGACCAAAAAGTCTATCCCTGAGTACACGGCGGAGCTTTCAAGAACCCTACGAAAACTTGGACCTGAACTTGAGAGAGAAGGATTAGCACCGCCTTATCGCATGCGTGCCACTGGTTTCAATTCTGGCCAAATTGCACTGGGACTCCGTGTTGAGGGCGCGACGCCAGAAGAGGAGCGTCGTATGCGCAGGTTGAGAGATAGGCTTGCCGACGCTGTTGGTTTCCGGGCGCCGAACCATGAATACTACGGATTCCACGTCACTATTGCATACTTTCTCTGCTGGGTGGAGGGAGAATTCAAAGGAGAGCTAGACAAGGTCTTGGAGGAACAAAGACCAGCTATATCATTGGAGTTTGAGCTTGGCTCGGTAGAATTCTGCACATTTGAAGATATGTGTGCCTATCCCAGAGAATTTTATCTCACAGGCCAAAAATCATGATCGGGACTTGGGGTGATAACTTGAAGAGAGAATTCAAAATATTTTCTAGAAGAACTCCGCTAATTTCTCAGTACTCCCAACAGTCATCGCCGAAGCGCCAGAATACTTGACTATAAACAGCTTTAATTTTTTCTAAAATTTAATATAAACCCTTTAATTTTCTTTATATTTACACCTCATAACCAGAAATCCGCATTGTCTACTCACAGCATCATATATAGCGCTGAAATCACGAAAATTGAAAAGCTTTTGCGATGGTATCACCCATATATATGATGTTAGCTCATCACTAGCGCCCCACTTGGTAGATCCATTTTAATGACCACCAAATGTATTGGAGGAGGCTCAAGCGATAACCTGGGGGAGTCATAGGCTAAACCTAAGCCGGAAATGGACTATGATAGCCAGGAGCGTGGCCGCAGCCAAGTGGTTGGCGGTCTGGCATCCAGACGCAGAATTTCAGCGGTATAGTTATGCCTGAGGCAGCTTTATGCCTCCCTTCTAACTAAATTTGACTAGTTCGCGCTAACGTTATATATGGATCATACCTTAGTACCTTCGGAATTCAAGAGCAATTTGATAGGAAAATGTCTTCCACGATTTTTCATTTTTGCTGGGGTTTAAGCACACTTGTAAACCAGTAATCATACGGTGCATATCCTCCGAACAATCTCTGTCGATGTCGGATCTTACCCGTGAAGGCAATAAATTCGAAAAGTCCTTCCGAGAAACTTCCGAGGTTGTGCTATTTGATGCTCTGTATCCTACCTTCGCCTGTAATATCCTAAAGGTGTAATTTAGGCTAATTTAGATTTAACCCCAATCCATGTGTATAAATTCCAAGGTTGATATTTCTCCGACATTACGCCGAGCGGCCTGCATGCTGTACTTACCGAGAACCCGATTGGTCCTCAGCATTGATAATGTTTGCTTGGCAATAATGGAGAACTGCTTAACTCAAGATCGGTTTCTGATAGGAATCGGTCCATCTACAATTGCACTATCAGAGGCTGAACTCCCGAGATCGTGTCCAACATGTGCTCAACATGGCCTTTTTCACTGGCTTATTTGAAATAAACAATTCTGATCTGCAGTATAAAGCACTTCTCACGTTTTTGACATAAATATCATATAGATATCCATCTCAAACGCAGGGTCTATTCAAAAAACATCTCATCTTCGCAAACACCTCTCTGAAGCCACATTAAGCCAGTGCTTAATCTACTCATCATGGGAAATCAGAACGAGATTGTTAACGTTGCTGGGGCTTCAAACCCTGCAGCCGAATGGGTTGTTGATGCTCAAGATTTGACTGATCAGGAACATTCTTTGAACTTGTTCCAAGCCCTGAAGCTCTATCCAAAGGCTGTCTTCTGGAGTATGGTTATGTCGACTGCCATTATTATGGATGGCTATGATACCATGTTGATGGGAAATCTCCTCGCTCAGCCAGCATTCCAAAAGCATTATGGCATCCCCGCAAAAGCAGGCAAGTACGAGATTCCAGCAGCATGGCAGTCAGGCCTCAATCAAGGCTCTGCCTGTGGACAAATTATCGGTCTTCTCGCCGCTGGATATATAAGTGAATATATCGGGTTCCGCAAGACAATGTCTATTGGCCTCTTAGCCACGATCGCCCTTATCTTCATTCCTTTTTTTGCTCCAAGTCTCGCTGTTCTTGAAGTTGGACAAGTTATTTTTGGTACATTTCCAAGCCCCAAGAATTTTTGAAGCAGCTCTAATCGGCTACAATAGGTATTCCATTGGGTCTTTTCCAAACAGTCCCTGTCGTTTATGCCATGGAAGTATCGCCAATGTGTCTTCGCCCATACCTTACGACTTATATCAATTTTTGCTGGGCATGTCTATTGATAGTCAATGTTTGAACGGCAACTAACAATTCATAGGCTATTGGCCACCTTATTGGGTCTGGCATTCTTCGCGGCAGTTTGTCAATTAGTGGTGAATGGGGTTTCAGAGTCCCATTTGCAATTCAGTAAGCATTTCCACGCGAGTGAATCTATTTTGATCGATTATTGACTGTTTTAAGATGGGTATGGCCGGTTGTTCTGCTTCCTCTTATCTTTTTCGCCCCTGAGTCACCCTGGTGGCTTGTTCGAAAAGGTCGCATGGAGGAGGCCGGTAATGAGCTCAAAAGGCTTACTTCAGCCCGTAACGAGGGATTCGATATCCAGAAGAACATTAATTTGATTGCTTTTACCATCGAACACGAGCGTGCGCTTAGCTCAGAGACATCCTACATGGCTTGCTTCAAGGGAACAGATCTCAAAAGAACTTTGATCGGTATTGGAATCTACTGCATTCAAACACTGAGTGGAAATCCTCTCCGTGGTTATTCGACATATTTCATGGAAGAGGCCGGTCTTGCAAGCACTATGTCCTTCGATATGACTATCGTGAACTATTCATTGGCGCTTCTCGGCAGCTTCTTTTCGGTAAGGAATTTGTCTTTTAGATTATAAGGCCCTTCAAACTGATGATAATATAGTGGGTCCTCCTACCTATTTATGGTCGCCGATCAATTTACTTCTGGAGTCTTGTGATGATGTTTGTGCTGATGATTTTGATTGGAGCCCTTGGTGTTCCTCAAGCCAAATCCGATAATTCTTCCTACTCTTGGGCCATCGGAGCTATTCTGATCATTTCTTCATTCCTCTACAACTGCTCAATGGGCCCTCTTACGAATACACTCTGCGCTGAGATCCCTACGGCTTTACTTCGCAGCAAATCTATCGTTTTAGCACGTGCTACATACTCCGTGAGCACTATTGTTGCCGGTATCCTTACAACTTACCAGCTTAATAGCACCGCATGGAACTGGGGTGCCAAGACCGGCTTTTTCTGGGCTGGAGGTTGCTTGATCTCTGCAATTTTTGCCTACTTCTTCGTTCCAGAATCCAAAAATCGGACTGTGGCAGAAATGGACATTCTTTTCGAGAAAAAGGTTTCGCTACGACACTTCGCTGAGACACGTGTTGACTTGACCACCGCTACTGAGAAGACGGAACAAAATTGAGGAGAACCAACATCTCAAGACCGGACAAGCTGAAAGTTTCTGTTGTACGTAATGACCAAATACAGATGAAGCTCGTTTTGAAGAATATGTGATTCGACTTTTGAAAGGTCCAAAATGGACTGATAAAGCACATTTGAGTCTCGAAGACTGAAAATAAGACTGAACAATTTTGATGCTGGATAGCAAAGGAGGGTACTTGTCGGTTGACTAGGTTATTACCGAAGCAGACAGCTATTGATATCGTTTCTGTACGTATATAATAGGTGTATGCATATTGGGTAAAAGTGAAGTGTCATTCTAAAATGCTCAGATGAAAGAAGATATAGTAGCTGCCATGCCAAGATCACATGATCTTGGTATGTTGTCAGACGGTTACTGTTTGCTTTGTTTGCATGTTATTTGGACTATTTAGTTTCTGTGGATTTCCCACGTAATTAGCCAATCAATCAATCGTTAACATTTCCTTCCGCCCAATTTGCTGACATATGTCAGCTGATATTCGTTCCAACAGTACTCTAATTTATTTATAATTCTAATTAATATTTATACCTTGGCTGGTATACTTAAAGCCCTCGGTCTTTTTAGTAAAAAGAATTGCACCTACTCAAAGCCATATGATCCCTCAAACCGTACTTCTGAGGAAAGGTTCAAATTCGGTACTCCTCATAGGAGCTTAAGGGAGCTTACAACTTTAGGCTTAACATTGAGTCTCTTAAAGAAGGCAGCTAAAAACGGATTATTCTATAAAAACTCATAGTTTATTTTTCGGCTCGTAGCCGAAATAAGCGTAAACCTTGTTTGGCTTAGTATGTAATTCCAATACATAGCTTCTGCATACACCACCTGGGTGAAACATCTAGGAATATTGGCTCACTAATTTGAAATCATAGCCGTCCTCGTCGCTGCATCACAATGTTTGAGAGATATAAGATTGTCGGAAGACTGATGTTTCCTACGAATGCATTTGCATCTATTCTGTGATAAATGTATGGTTCCAAAGCTCTGAGAGGTCTGTCTCGTTCTTGAAGTGGACTATAACTCAATAAACTCAAGTCCCCACTTTGGCTTTGGTCCTCTCTGACCAATCAGACAACCCTTTAGCCATCTGATTTCTAGCAAAGATGAAAGACAATCAAGATATGTATGAATTACTCTATAAGCTACCAAAAAGAATCAGAAGAAATGCAGGGTATAAATATGAAAGCTAGGTCACTTTTGGTTAGGTTAGGTTGAATCTCCCTAATCTAACGTCCTGTTGTCTGACCCCAATCACCGATAAAGCCAATGTTTTACATCCGGATATTGCGTCAGCCATAGACGAATGGAACTGAACGGGTAGGAGAAGAAGTTCCAGCCAGTTTTCGAATCCGTGTATTGCTGATCGAGCGTCGTTAATACTCAAAGTGAAAAAAGATGAAACGAAATCAAAATCAAAATCAAAACTGGCGCCGAGACTTACATTTGAGCAACTCTGCGACAATACTGTTTTTTTGAGGGCAGACTGTATGGTAGTATACCACTCGGCCTCGGCCTCTTTGCGCACCTCAACAAGCAGTGCCTGGTTCTTAAGAATGGGGCGTATGATTTTGATCACAAGATTCACCACGCTAGGTTATGTCGTTAGCTGAACTCTGTGATTTGTCTTCAGGGTAAATTGACTCAAGGGAGTACTTACCACTCCATAGCAAACAAAACAGATGTGTGGCCACTCCCTGAGTTGGGACCCAAAATAAAGAACATATTGGGGAAATCACTCATCGAAACTGTCCCATAAGCTCCAATGCCTCCAAGATTATCCCAATGTTGCTGTAGACTTTGTCCATCTCGTCCGATCACGGCATCAGCTTTCCATTGCGTGAATTGAAATCCAGTCGCTAAGATCTGTAAATTACCGAGTCAGCATCATAGCCTGAAGTCACTTTTTTTGTAATGAACCTACGATAAAGTCCACTTCATGTTGTTTGCCTGACGCGGTGATCAGACTTTTCGGCCCGACTTTTGTGATAGTGTCTTTGACTAGCTGTACTTTGGGACTATAAAGAGAGCGAATGTATTTATTATCCAAGATTCGCCGTCTGCATCCCAAATCATGCTCAGGTGTAAGCAAAGGGCGGTATCTCTCTAAGACATAAGCGTTAGAAATGAACATGAGATGTGAATGAGCTGAGATTTCTTCTGGACGAAAGAATTCTTACCTGGCGCGTGGTCGTTGATGTACTGCTGGCTGATGTCAAGCCTCTCTTTTCTGGATTTTTGCCCTTGTGAATCATTGTAGAATTGAGCAAGGGATGAATCCAGAATCCAGAAGACAAGCCATCTCAGAAACATCAAGAGAATGGGGAAGTAGGAGAAGATTGCATGGTATACCTTTCCGAATTGAAAGTTTCCGACAGTCATAGGTATGTAATGTTGTGAGCTCTATAATTTTTGAATTTAGAATGAGATAAAAAAGTTTAGAAACTTGGGGATTTGGTTGAAACATGATGAACAACCATAATTACGTACCCGAATAAATTGCGTGAGGCTACCGACATCCTCTATGATAGCAGGAACGACTTGAGATCCGGAACCTAGGAACTAATTAGCTTTGGCTTTCTCCAATGTTATGAGGGATGTAAATCATACATCCATTACCGATAACTGCCACTTTGCGGCCCCGTAGATCATAGTCTTTGTCCCACTTAGCTGTATGAACGACCGGGCCTTCAAAATTCTCAATGCCAGGTAAAACTGGGTATTTGGGGTTTGTATATCCTCCAACGGCAGAAATCAACACTTTTGCCTCATGGATAAAATCATTTCCTGTTTTCAAATCGGAGAGGTATATATGCCAGGTGTTCGAACATTCCATCCATTTGGCGCCTTTCCACTCGGTCTGCAGCCTTGTGCGTTCGGGAACTCGGTATGCATTAGCCACATTTTGAACATATGCTAGGATTTCCGATTGAGATGGGAAGAGGCTAGTAAATTGAGGATTGGGAAACCATGAGAGCGAGTATAACACCCCTGGAATATCAACTCCACATCCAGGATCTATTGCGGTACTATTAGCATTCCAAAACTTATCAATCCAGTCAGTAGTATCATGAAAAAACTTTACACTTGTTCGCTGCCCAGGCTCCGCCTAGCTCTGAAGCTCTATCATAGAGTACGAAGTCATTCACTTTGAGTTGTCGTTGAAGCTGACAAGCCATATTAATGCCTGATAGGCCAGCCCCAATGATGACAACATCACTTTGAAGGGTATTTTGCTTCTCCATGGTCTAATATTCGAATATGGTGTAGAAATGAGAAGAAGAGTATGGAGGTCAAAGTTCATATTTATGCGATAGCTCTGACAAGCGACGACAATGGAAGAGGAGACTCGATGATAATCTTGTCGATCCATTTAAGTAATATCTCCGAGATATTCGAGCTTGGCCGGGTGGAAGTGCCTAGGTTGGAGCTCTAGCCGCTAATGGATACATGCATGCGTGTTTGCATAGTTCGCCCCCATCACTAGCCGCAAATCAATATGATTCCGTGGAGATATCCATATTATTGCTTCAATTTGCAACCTTGCTCAGAAATCACTCAGATCGCTCTTTTCATTAGAAACCCGACTGAAGTTATATCCGAGACACCTTTAAGGGCGAAGGATCAACTAGCAAAGTGTGAATACGTTGGAATTGGGGGAGGGGGCTAGTGGTTGAATCTTTGTATACGATCTGCATTTTCGAACTTGGCTAGATGGAAGTTCCGAGGTTGGAACTCTAGCCGCTAAAGGATCTATAGATACATACATGTGTGTTTGTATAGTTCGCCCCCATCACTAGCCGCAAATTAATATAATTCTGTGGAGACATCCATCTTGTTGCTCAGAAATCGCTCAGATTGCTCTTTTCATTAGAAACCCGACTGAAGTTATATCCGAGGCTCCTTTAAGGGCGAAGGATCAACTAGCAAAGTGTTAATACGTTGGAATTGGGTGTATGTGGGGGGACGGCTAGGGATAGAGGTTGAATCTTTACATATGATCTGCATTTTAATGAAGGATTGAAGGTCAATGCTTATTCAGATTCACCAGCGTGAAATTAAATTTTGCTTCATTGCACGCTAAATGTTGATTATTCAGTATCTCTGAATATAAATACGGCTTTATATGTGAACTACAGAGCGTCCTTGCAAATGATCTATAGACGTCGGTAAATAAAGTGAAGTGACAGTATTTTAAATCAACACACTCTTCTCTTGTAGCATCTGCAAGTGAAGCCGGAACTAGCTTATTTAGTTCATTATCTTTACGTATGGTGGGGTAAAACAAGGCGTTGATAGAAAATGTTGAAGCCATTCATTTGTATTGTGTGATGGGCTGGTTCTAGTGAGATTGCTCTCTAGAATTGTCTTCATCTACACTTCAAATTGCAGACTGCGCAAGTTTTCTCGTCTGTGCTCTTGGCCCCCTAACGCAGATCTCAGTTATTCAATTGATTCTTCAGAATGCTTAATTTTTAAATTGGCCTAAACTGGCCTAAATTGGCCTAGATTCGGCAGGATTTGGCTTTCTACCAGTCTAATAATGACATTATGCCTGATAAATAGTTAATTCTTCTGCAATTCCGACATTTTGGTTAAGTGGAGTTTTTGTGGGGCGAGATATGTCTTCATGCAAGTACTTAGTAAAGCTGGTAGGTGGGTCTGCTTTGGATGTTTTCGGCAGTATCAAGCTAACCTTCCCATCTCTTTAGATATTATGACTAGTCGCATTCGGAATTCTGCCATGCCTGTTATTTCAGATCAATACCTTTTTCCAAATATAGATACTTCGATAATCTCCTATGCAATCACTGTTTTAGAAATATAATATAAGCTGATCACATGTTGATCGGTCTTAAGGCTACCCCCGAATACATATCCTCCATATTCCCGAACTCATGATAAAGCCATGGGGCCGTTTGAGATGACGAAACATCCACATAATTCATTACATGAAACTATTGGAATATCCCGTCGTTGCAATAAAGAGTAGTACTCCAGCCAACGTGGTAGATACCTATCCGGTTCCTTCCACATGGTGGTTTGAATCTCGATAATTGGATCACAGGAATAGTCCACTAACGGAATTATGCATCAATCCATCCAGAGGTCCCATATTTGATAAAAATGTCCGAGCCGCTCTTCCAGATCGATTACGATATTTCTTCATTCTAAGTTAGAACTACTCTAGTTAATAACCCCTGTGGCATATCATACCATCTGTTCACTAATTTGAAGACTGAGAAAGTGGGGGCTAGCCCTGAATGGTCATGCTGCCGAGGTAATAATCACTAGATGTGTAATGTAGGATTGTGACAATATTTAAAAGCTTCGCTCAAAATCTCAAATCTCCAATACTTTAACTTAGTGCATTCCGACCAATTGTATCACTAGCGATCGCCTTTGGTTTATGACCTTCACAATGGCATCTTGGGGATATGTTCTTTCATTGCTTGGCCTCTTGTTACTCCGTCAATCCCTAGAGAAGCAGACGGCGCTGTGCCTGGCGGAAAATATTTTTCTCATCATAATCCAATACGTTGACCTCAAATGGAAGTCGTATCCCATTATATTGACGTTTTTCCTTGCGTCTGCCTTCTTGAAAACACAGTTTGAGTATTTCAATTTGAAGCAAGCGACAAAAAATGGATGCACGCGAGCCTCTCAGCTGACTTCCATGTCCAAAGATCAAAGTGCTCAATGTCCTTTTTCCGCTGATTTAAACAAAATCTCCGAATCCAAATTAACAAATTTTAGGAGAAAGGAGCTTTCGAAATGGAACAAAGCAGCCTCAGAACAGGCAGATGTGTACGGAAAAGTTACAATGTACCCATGTGTTCTGAGACATATCCGTCTTGCCCCCAGCGGTTTCAAAGATGAATTTTCTCATACATATCTCTACATTGGTGTTCCAATCGGTCTGCGTGCTTGCTACAGTCCTTTGATATCTGTAGACTCGCCACCTGAGTCCCGAGCTTGGTATAACAAGGCCTTCTTCAGCATCAGACCCCAAGACAATTTGTTCAGAGGAGGAGCGGCTCTATCATTAGCACAGAAGCTCGAAGAATTTCTTCTTACTGAGGTTCGCAGTCAAATCCCCCTTGGTTGAGACCATCATAGATTGAAATCCTTATGACTGATAATATTTCAGGGCGAAAACCCCAACGAATGGGGATATTGTTATTTCTTGACTCTGCCAAGCGCCAATGGCCAGTCATTCAACCCTTTATCCTTCTACTATCTGTACACACCCGAAAAGAAGCTCGGTGCAATGATTATTCAGCTGGACACTTCCTACGTGACTCGAAGGCTGTGGTTTGCACGCAATTGCCGAGAAGAGGGATCAAAAAGTGGTCCCTTCACTTTCCGATGCAAATTCGAGAAAGACTTACAAATCTCACCTTTCATGCCTGTATCCGGGGCCAACTATGTTATTGATAGTTCTGATCCTTTAGCCAGTCCCAATAATCATGCCAATCTCCTGATAAACTTGAGAAACGGCAACGAGAGTTTCATGCTCGGTCGAGTCACCACGATATCAGAGCCCCTGGTTGTTGAAGAGGCGAGTTTTGGCTCCAGATTACTTTTCCTCGCAAAGTGGTGGTATATTCCAACAGGTGGCTTTATAGCCTTCAGGATTCTCAGAGAAGCTGCTAGGATTTACCTCAAGCAACCTAAAGAAAATCTTAACATCCAAACACGAACGGAGCAGTCAACAACATCAATCGCAAGATACGCCAGCAAATCTGAAATGTAAGTGTTTCTTCTCCGTGCTAGATATGAGGCCTTGAGAATACATTTCTGACTAGTTTGCAGGCTGATGGAGAAATATTTCTTCACAATCCTTTCCGCTATGGTGGGCCACCAGACGGCCATCAAGAGCGTGAAATATGAAACTCCAGGGGAGCATTGCGAGAGAATACGGTTCATTGGCTCCAGCGTCACGTCTGAGAAAACCAGAGGATGTCCTATGGCCGGAAATGAAATCGTGGACGATGATGGACATGAGCAGATCACGTTCAAAGTCACTACCCCGACATTTTTCACCCGATTTTTCCACTACAATTCGCCCCTTGCTGCCATCAGAAGTGAGCTTCTCGATGACGAAAAAACTCGAACAGTCTGGTGTTCGCATCCCGAGAAATTCGCATCCCTATTCTCTGGAACCCAAAAGGAAGAATATCTCGAGTCTCCGGATTGGCGCTGGAAAGTCATCAAAAGTCTCAGAACTGCCCCGCTGGCAACCAACTTTCCTCGAAAAGTGCGTTATGAGCCATGCAAGGGATTATCTGCGACAGATATTCTGGTTTTACAGCTTCTTCCCAAAGATAAAATCGATGTCTACAGACGCGACCTTCTACAGGTATTTCTCAGCTACTGGTTGGGTTCCATCTCGTGGCCTGTGAACACAGACTTTGAGCTGCTTGGCCTGAGTGGTGATGGTATGGTTACTGTATACGAGGCATTTTTCAAGACTGTTCTTGTCATTTTGATGCTTTTTGTATATGATGAAACCATGAGGCAGTCAGCTGCAGTCTGGTATCTACCTCTTGGATTGTTCGCATTGGGAGGTCTAAACATCTGGGCATGTATTAAATCTATTTTCTAGAATCTGCCAATATGATAATTCCGCAATATTTCCAATGCATACAGATGTTTTGTACTACCGAAGATAGATTATAGATAACACTGATTTGGGCCTACTAGAAATTACCTGACTTGATATGAATGGATTTTTCGCTTAACAATCATCAAAAGTTTTGAAAAATTCATGGGCCTTAATAAAGGGACTCGATGATTGCGGCCGATTTCACTCCTATCAAATCATTCAGTTTTGTACGATTTTACAATTGGTTCGATCTGAAAAGTTGACTGTGCCTTTCACGTGATAGGTATTGTTGCCAAGGCTGTCCTCCTTGAAGATCCGGACTCTCCCTCAAAGAGATTCCATAAAATTTGGGATCTCAATCATTCATATTTTCATTAGCCACGCAAAACCTCTCAAGCTAAAATAGTATGGAGGGCCGGCGGCTCCAGCCCCGGCTGATATTAGCAGCTAGGTTCCTTTAGAGGATTCTATGGGCATCAATATTCCCTCACGACGGTCATTAATCAACAGCAACTTGCAGTCCTATTAGATAGTCCCGAGCTCCAGTGGTTCATGATCGTCGATGGCGGACCGTGGACGGCGCTCCATAAGTATTACTATGCGCCCTACACAAAGCTCTTCGTCTGGAGCCTCTACGACATCTGGCAGAAGCTGCACAGCCACACCGTCTTCGCCCCGGAATACCTTCTCAACTCGCACCCGCACGAGGACCACTACGAGGAGCTGATGGACCTTCTCAAATCCTCACTGCCCGACGAGTTCCAGATACACGAGACAAGTCCCATGTACTTCAACTCCTTCATCCTGCCCTACCAGCAGCCCACGCCTAAGGCCGGGAGCGTCCAGGAGACGAGAGACTATCTCGCTGGTGACTGAGAAGACGGCCCGGTCGCTGGACTACAATATCGAGGGTCACGTCACCGTCTTTAAGCCCACCATTTCCAGATGACTCGTATTCATCCTGAGCAGCCTCAAAGCCCTCGTCCTGGGCACGGTGGCCACCCTGTGAGTCAAGGACGTGTTTTCTGACCTTTTCCACAAGCATGGCGCCTGGGATGCAGTCAGCTGGCTCGATGAATTTGGCGACATGAAGCTCTAGAGCGCTAGACTCTATTATCTCCGAGGTACGAACAAGCAGACGGTGGCGTTTGTGGGCGACAAGCCCCCCGTCATCCCGGAGCCCGGCTTCCACATGCACGCCACCATGGAGTTGTTTACGCTGGCCAGGATCGACCGGAGCCGCTTGTCCATCACTGATGGCTACCAATGCCCCCTCGACTTTGGCTCCTATGCCTTTATCAAGACCAAGACCAAGACCACCGAAGGCCCTCATGTCTCTGCCTCAGCCTGTCACGACAAGAACAAAAACACTGCCCTGTACTTCACCCCGGAGGCCGGGCTTCGTCTCTTAAACAGCCCTAACTTCTCTCTCAAGCTTAACTACGGTGCCGGTGCCTACTCCGGCACGGTCCGGTACGAGGGCAAGGGCCTCGGCATCGCCATTGCCGATATCAAGACCCCGCCCCTGACCCTCCAGCACAAGAACAAGTACTTTCACATTCGCGGCTTCACCATCACCAAGGCCATGCACGATGCCGGCAAGACCCGCCGGCTGACCTGCCGGCTATCGACTACAACTTGCCTGGCCACGATCACAACAACCCCAAGAAGCCTAAGGAACCCGACAGGTGGCTGATCGAGCTGACAATCGGTTTAATGCTCCTGGCCATGAGCGTTGCTACCATTATCGTCGCCGTCACCGCCTTCTGCGAGGCCGAGGCCGACATCGTCGCCTTCGAGGAGGCAGCCAAGGACATCATCGTCATGCTGGACAAGCATCCCAGCTGGCCAGCCAGGAGACGGGGCAGGGAGCTGCGGGCACGGCCCGTCTGCAAAGATATCCACATCTTCGAATCCTGTTCAAGGAGTACCCGTTGAGGCCCGGGTGAAGCTAGCCGACATCAAGAGGACGGTCCAGCAGAAGATGAACTTCATAGACAAGGATGATCTCAACAATCTGTTCTACAAAGTGATGGCCACTGATGGTGATTTCGATATAACCGACCCCTTTCATAAATTACCAATTTATGAAAGGGGCCGGCTAGTTGTTAGCTCGGAATAGACAATTATTAGTTTGCGGATGTGTTGCTGTTTAGTATAAAATTTTTGTGGGGGCTAACCTATTTTGGTCATCGGGTTTTGACCGAGACGAGACAGCTAGAAAATATAGGAAATGACGAGTGATGTAATTGAGCATAGCCTGTTTTCTATCTTAATTACTGAGAACCGATGGACGCTTTATAATCGTTGAGTTCCATAGTTATGTCGGAAATCCACCCGACCGGTATATTGCACGCCAATCTTGGGATTCATCAAAAGATTCATTTGTCTAGGCTTTGGTCCTAGTCCTGTAACAAACACAGAGCTGAAACCATTCTGAACTCGAATAAATTGATGAAATGGCATAAAAACTTATTGTTTTATTTTTAGGCAATGAATCCAGACATTAATTTTCAAATGAGGGTCTCGCTTTAGAACTAATGAGTGGTCAGACATATCAGAGGTTGAGGCAGGTGGGCAACCTCTAAATGAAACTTCTAATATGGCCCCCATCCTAGCCCAGGCTGTGAAATTTCTAAGGTTGTGAAATTTCTATGGGTCAAGGATGAGGCTCTAGATAATATTGGGGGCTATGATCGTAGTATTTAATATATGAGACCAACCCGTTAGCGCTTCCTCGATTATACAATTCCAAGCCCTCTAAGCCTTGGAAGATATACTCTGTCCAAAATTCAAGATGTTGCTCTTGGACAACAGAGTGCTAGCTCTGGTAATGGTCTGTTTTTTGCAGATATCCTTCGCCAGCCTACTAGAGAAACGTGCTATGCCTCTTTTTATCAGGCAATGGCAGCTCTGGCACACCTATAGCGGAGTAGTCAACCAAGTAGACCCCTTTACTGCGCCGACGATACCAGCCAGCATTCCCTATGGCTATATAGGATCGAACAACGGAAAGATCTCATCTTTCCTTTTCCAGGCGCAGCCTGAAGATTGCGACAATACAAATGTTCAAGCGGTGAAGGTACTGGGCGAAGGTTCTTACGGAGTGGTGTATAAGGGCAAGGTTGTTGAACCGGCATCCCAAGCCGGTACATTTGTGGCAGTCAAATACACCAAGTCGAGAAATCCGACAGCAAGAATGTTGACTGGTGCGCGTATCCAGTCGAGCATCGACAGCCAATATGTCCTCAAGGTTTATGGTTATTTTCAGACTCAGCAGGGTACAGGTGGTTTGATTACGCCCATTATCGCCGGTGGTGGGCTAAGAGATCAGACAATTGATATTCAAGGTGTGGGCGAGAGCATGGTTAATAAGGTATTCAAGCAAATTCTCCAGGGGGTATCTGCCCTCCATAGCCGAAGGGTGATGCATCGTGATATCAAGCCTGATAATATCCTGTGGGATGGTACTACTGCTTATATCGCCGACATGGACACCGCATCGACAGAGTCATCTACGAGAGAGATTGTTGTGGCCAAGGGAGATGGAATTGGTACTCCTGGATACATTTCGCCTGGTAAGAACACCGATCTTTTTGTTCATATCAAAATGGCAGGCTCGCTTCTATAGTTGAGTTGGAACTAAAAGGCTCGAACTAGAACAATTGAATCTCCAAATGTACACCAAATCAGTTGATGTCTTCGCAGTGGGCATGACATGGGTAAGTTCAAACCTTCAAACTTGGAAAGGAATGATCGCACACTAATCATTAGCTGGTAATTAGGTGAGGATGAACGTCAATGAGATGTGGGAAGGAAAGCCATTCCTAAAGTTCTGGAAGGCCGTTGTGCAGCCAGTGAGTGGAAACATGTACAACACACCACAGGAAGTCAGTTCCATACTTCAGGAGTACGAAATATCCCGGGATATGCGGAACCTTTTGAAAGATGTGCTTTGTGGACCAGCTGAGCGTATAACCATTGACCAGTTTTTGGCTCGCTGGCGCACAATAAAAGGCTGATACCTAGGTCTCTCAAAAAAAAAAAAAAAAAAAAAAAAAAAAAAACCCCCGGCCAGGCATTGGGTTAGGTTCGAGAATCTCGTTGTGCTGTTTGGCACATACCCTCTCATAAATCAATTTATTCAATTTATTACGGACACACGGGGACCCAAATGAAAAACTTTCATCATCTCCATCTTTTTATCCAAATTTATCAACCATAACCTTGCTTTTCCAAAATAGACGTTGGGATAGCCTATTACTCCCTTGCTTGAGGAAACAACATCTCGGGTTCCTGACTTGTAAAGGCGTGGGATTAGGCTAATGCAAGTGAGAACTTGGCATTAAGCTATTACAGCGCGGTTGAATCCTGGTTGAATTGGTGATGAGTCAACTAATGTTTACTGTTACTGGCGGTCGGGAGTCGGCGACGTATCAACGATCGATCGCCCAATAATCGCGAAAATATCATAGATACTATAGACTAGATTCACCGCCTATCTAAAGTATCCCAACAGGACTTCAAGAGTTGTTCTTGTAATATGCTAGATCCTTGCTTCGAACCATTCCTCGCCCGTCTTATTATAGCCTACGTCAACTTTGGTTCTTCTCTCATTTACAGCCCTCCATCCGTATTAGATTTATCAACTCTTCCAATAAGAATAGACAAAACCCTACAGAGAATTCAGCCTCCACTGATCTGTCAGCACTTAGAATGGCTTCCTAGAGAAGTATAAGACACAACGAGTAGGCTTTGATCAACAGAAATAGGCGTTCAACTACTCTTGCCAATCCAACATCCCTTCGATAATCGTCTCTTTCCCTCATGTTATAAAGTCTAAATCCTGCACAACTGATACTATTGTTTAGTCAGGGGTCCTGGATTCAGAGAAAATATAAAGAGTCTATGTCAAATTGCCGAGTATGACATCTCCACCCCATCGGTCACCCGTGCCCTCATCAGTGACCGCGTAAAGAGCAATATTCTCACGAAAAGACTCTCGCCGAGCATAGAGGGCTGCATAGAAAATCAGCAAGGACCCCTTTCCCATAGATGCGGCCGCCCTCGATATCGCCAGACCAAGGATCATGGGTCTAACCATACGTATTTTTTTTGGCCAGGAAACACATCGATGTAACCATTCAGAGCCATCCATAGACCAAAACCTGGCCCTTATTGAATTTGCTCAAAAATTCTAAAGGCATGATTGAGCTTTAAAGATCTCTCTAAGCATTCCGCGATCGGACGAATACTGCCTCAGGACCTTGATAGCTTCCATTGTACTTCAAGGTTGCTTGTACGAACGATTGCAGTAGTCGGGGTTGGCTCTCATTGTCAGACTTAGGGCTTCCAACAGTAATATCTTGGTAGACATTTTAGATGAATGTCAGAATGTGTTTAAAATTGAAACTTGATGGCAAGTTTGCTGCTGGTCGAATATTCAAGGAGCAAAGACAGGGTAACTAACGAACTATGATAGAGTTTTAGTCACACCGGGTAGATTAAGCGCTAGTCTATGTTTGGACTAATCGTGCAATGGCCCTCTTCATGAAGTTCTCTCGTTCTCCTTTCTCATTGTAGGCCGAGAACATATAAAGAAGTGTGGTTGAGGTTAGATGAACAGTATATTGAAGTTAATGCAGTGATTGATCCCTGAAGGACCATTTCAACTTTCAGTGACCGACATGCACTTCATATCAGCGGAGACCGCCTCGTTTCCGAAATGGGAACAGGAATAGAATGATCTTGGGGCGCTCGCTACAATCGGACAGGCCGATAGTTCATCGAAAAATTGAACTTCCACCATTCAATAAATTTAACACCTACTGATCGGCTGACCGACAATATTTTCCGCTGATGTTTATCGGTATTCGAAAGCCCGAGATGCTGTTACCTTAAGCAAGGGAATCTGTGACCCCGTAAGTGCTCGCATAGGAGCCGGTTCTAGGTACCTAAGAGTTTCCCAGAGTTCCTATTTAACTCATGGCGGGTTCGGGCTTTTGAGTAGTTGTTTTAGCGAGATTTAGTATAGTTCCAAAGGAACTCTCATTTCGAAATATTTGTTCCTTTGTACGCCGTTACATTTTTTTTTATACCCACCCGCTAAGATACCTCGGTATACTTCGCCACACAGGGCCTCATAGGATAGAAGTTTACCTGACTTTCAGATGACTCCATCTCTGACTTAGAGAGCGATAAATTCTAAACCGCGGAGCTGCTGGTTAGGAGGGCCCAGTGAAGCTCTGGAGTGTTGCTCTTCAAATCTCTTCTGGAAATCGTGGGTCAAATTATGTACAGGTCACAAGTCAATCAATAAATACTTCAAGCAGGGCTAGGTACAATTTTAGCACCTAAACTTTCAATTTTACAGTCAATCTTCAAAATTTTGAGTCAGGATCAATATTTTCTATCTATGATGTCTTCTTCGGAATGAATTGTCCCGAACGCTCAGATCCATGTATCCACTAGTCCCAAAAGCTACATCATGGAACCAATGGCAGAGTTGAAAGGACGTTCAATTTCTTTACCCCACAATTCCTTTACCCCACGTTCCTTTACCCCACGGGGAACTAGACATCGTCGTCGGAGTTTCTCCGAGAGCTCAGTCATTATAAGGATCCTTGACCCCGCATATTATGGAAGGGTATCGTTCTCTGTCTTTGTCACGATGAATAAGTCTTCAGCAGAACACATTGAGTCCCGAGAAAATAATGAGAAAGAATCTCTTGCGACGCAAGATGCACTCTATCAAGTCTATGCATCAAAAAGCCCAGAATGGCATCAAAAGATGACTGGCAAGCTTCTGCGTAAGGTGGATTTACACTTGCTGCCCTTCTTGATTCTCATGTATCTTCTGAATTTCTTGGACCGCAAGTAAGTACCTAAACGCATTCTTAGACTATCAATCTGTATTCATTTTATCTTTAGTAATTTATCCCAGGCACGACTGGGTTCACTGGAGGCTGATTTGGGAATGAAAGGCACAAATTATAACCTAGCTACGAGCATCTTGTTCGTTGGATACCTACTGATGCAGCTTCCTTCTAATCTTTTACTTACTCGTATTCGGCCGGCCCGTTTTCTGGGTGTGACTATGGCCATTTGGTAAGTACTATATCAGAGCTTATAAGGTATTGCCTGCTGATTATATTCTCAGGGGTGTGATATCTTGCTGTCAAGCTGCTGTGCATTCTTTTTCAACACTAATTGTGTGCCGGTTCTTCCTTGGATTTGTTGAGGCGCCGTTCTTCCCGGGTGCCATCATGCTCATGTTAGCTCAAGCAGTCCTGAGTGAGTGTTTCATTGCTGACTAGTATATAGGTCGAGCTGGTATACGAGGCAGGAAGTGAGTATTACTTGAGTCTTATGAAAGATTTTTTCTGACTTCTGCTAGTTGAGTCACCGTATTGCCTGGTTTTATTCGGGGAGCTCGCTAGCCAATGCCTTTGGCGGCCTGATCGGAGCCGGTGTTTTGGGTAGCCTAGATGGAGCACACGGATTGGCCGGTTGGCGATGGCTTTTCATTATAGAAGGATCCATCACTGTGGGGGTGTCCATTCTCGCAGCGTGAGTTCATATATGGCATATGGATGTAGCTGTGTTCTGACTTTTCGTTAGTATTTTTCTTCCTAACTATCCAGCAACAACATCCTGGCTGGATGAACAAGAGCAAGGATATGCCCAATGGAGACTCATGCACGATACAGGAGAAGCTGATGATGCCACCTCCACCGGCATCAAGGACGCTCTATCATTGGTATTTTCTGATAAACGTATTTACCTCTTCATCCTCCTTCAGCACGCTTCCCTTCTGTCTCAGAACTTTCAGTACTTCTTCCCAACCATCGTGCAAACTTTGGGCTACAACAACATCGAAACCCTTCTAATTACTGCGCCTGTCTGGGTTGCCACCTTCCTAGTCTCACTTCTCGTGACCTGGACTTCGGGGAAGACAAACGATCGCAGCATACACATCATTTGCTTGATGTTGATTAGCGTCGCAGGAGGTGTGATCATGACTGCGACAACTAACATTGGTGCTAAATTCTTTGCAATGTTTCTGTAAGACAAGCAACCTTCACTATATTCTTGATGACCCTAACCTTCTTCAGAATGCCTATGGGCGCTGTTTCGGCATATCAAATTATCATCGCATGGATTTCAAATAGCTTTCCTCGGCCACTTGTCAAGCGATCTGCCGCGATTGCCATCGCGAACGCGCTTGGCAATACATCTTCTATTTATGGGAGCTACATGTGGCCCTCCTCATCGGGACCTCGATACATACCAGGTGGTAGTGGGACAGCTGCCATTGCTTTCTTGGTCGCAATATTAGCGATGGTCATCCGCTTGGTTCATAAAAGAATGAACAATCGACTTGAGGCAGATTCAGCTATAGATGGCTCTCAAGTAGATACGAATGATCTCGAGACTCGTGCGGTTGGGTTCCGTTACATCCTGTAAACCGAGCCATGACAACAAGTGGACCATTAGCAGTCGATAGTCATTCCGTAGTAAATGATAACTGTAGTTTCTTCTTTCTCAATACTGAAAGCTTTCTTATCTCAGAATGATTTTGAAGGTTCTAAATAATTTTAAATTATTTACTTGACCTTCTATGCGTCAAATCAGTAACCTTGGAACTTTTTGCGGAAGATAAGTTTGCTCAATTACTCGATTGGGGCCAGAGAATAAAATATTTAGACATCACAAAAAATTCTAGGCATGCGATAGCGTGAAGTTAGCTAGGCTGTTTACCTGGTGGCATTCTTTTATATTCGCCGCCGAATTAGAATTATCACCGTGTTCTGTTTTCGGGGCGCTCTAAATGAGGACACAAATCCATATTCAGAACACAGGTGAGCTCCATTTTTGACTCCCGCTAGAAAAGATGAGGCCGCCACGATCCGGCCATAAGCAATGAGGATGCAGGACTAATTCACCTTACCCCAGACACATCAAATCACTTACTCATGTCATCCTCGGTGCACAATTTGGTATTTTGTTCCTAAAAGGTTTTTCAATTTCTAAGATGTGTGTCGGTTGACTAGGTTATTACCGAAGCAGACAGCTATTGATATCGTTTCTGTACGTATATAATAGGTGTATGCATATTGGGTAAAAGTGAAGTGTCATTCTAAAATGCTCAGATGAAAGAAGATATAGTAGCTGCCATGCCAAGATCACATGATCTTGGTATGTCCGCTGATATTCGTTCCAACAATGTGGTTCCTTTTGCCCAGTTTTGGCCATGCAACGAGTTTTAGCTAGCGAGGTCTTCGGCTCGGTCTGTCTCAGCAAATTGACTACTGTTTCGCAATGTGGTACTTAGATTCGCAGCCTCGCAGCTTAATTTTGTCTGTAATCTGCTGATTATCACGCCGTTGGCTGTTGGAGTTGGGAAGGTCCATAAGGAGCGCAGAGGCAGTTTGCTGATGCTATTGAGCGGCCTGCGAGGTGAGTAAATTTGGGGTGGAAGGAGAATGACGAGTATTGTCTTGAGATTGAGAGGACTTGGGTGTTGTGAGTGAGTTTTGTTATTTGTTGAGGTGTCCACTTATATGGCGACTAGTGAGTATTTGTTATAGGCATATATATTTTATATTATTCAAGAGAAACGATGGAAGCTTTTCATTAAACATTTATTTCCCTATTCCTTCATAGAATGAAATCTACTCCTACATTCTTTAAGGGCAGGTTGACCCCAGCCCTTCATCCATTCCGAGTGCAACTCCTATTGTGCAGTCGCTCTTTCCCCAGGCCGGAAGGTCAGCATTGGGCGAGGCATCGCCTCAAATGCCCTCCTCTCACTCTCCGTCTCGATCTCCAGGCTCGCCTCGGCCCGAAGCTTCTGTATGCTATAGTCAAACCTCATGTCCCAGGTCCTGCGCACGCTACCATGGCCCCTAGATATTCCATCAAGTTCTTCCTCTTCATTAAAACATTCGAGCCTTTTATGCCAATTCTTCCACCACTCGGCAGGTAAGATTCTAAGAGCTTCGACTTGCTCCGCGGTGACACGATCAGCGGTTGCCCAGAAAGCGTCAAACAAAGGTCGGTGGCCAAAAATCTCCCAAATAGTGCAGGCAAGTGTCCAAATGTCCCAGGCAAAGGAGAGAGGTACACCAGAGAATCGGGCCTCGGGTGGTTGAATGAGAGGAAGAGTCTTTGAAGAAGACCTAGCAATTTTATAAGGGTTAAAAGATTCCCCAAAGTCGCTAAGGACGGTCCTTTCCTTTCCAAGAGCAATATCATCGCTGCGAACGCCAGACCAGCCCGGAATAAATACATGTACAGGTATTCCATTAGATAATGGCATGCCATCCAGACAAATAACGGCCTCTAATTCTGGCTCTCCAAATTTCTCGTATAGTTCTGACGTGGAATAACGATCAATGGATTCAGGAAACTGGACTAGGATGTTACCCAGATGAAGGTCTTGGAAGAAATTGAGGTCAGCTAGGCTACCCAGCTAATCCATTTATAGGCTTCACGTACCGCCGTAGCCGTGTACAATGTCGTTACTATGCAGGAAGGCCACCCCACGAATGAGCTGAGCGATAATTGACTGCGCAACCTTGGACTGGACAAGACCGAAAGTCGAAGCCTCTTTAGCATCAAACAAACTCATCTGCGCGGGTAAAGTGGCGATCCACCTATGCTTCCCATTAGGTCCAGTAACCCAGAATTCGTCGAGGAGGGGTGGAATGACTTCTCCACCCGGTGTAGACGGTAACTTCCCAAGGGAATACATAAAACTAGCCTCAGGTGTGCAAGAACTGGAATCTGCGGTAATCGCCTTCACTACCACGAATCTAGCCCCTTGTTGATCGCGGGCTAGCCATATAGTTGAATATCCTCCGTATCCAAGCTTTTCAACCAGTTGATATCGGCCGTCATTTAGGTCTTCCCCGATTTTTAGAGGATAATATCCCCCGGGACAGTATCTGTCCAGGTCTTCGACGTTTTCAATAAGTCTGTACTAATTCCTGTCGGGTCCCGTAGTCGATGGTCGAGATCCGCTGGATCCATTTGTATCTCCGCTCATTTCATCTACTTTCAGGGAGATGAAGGTGGGCATGGATGGCGTCTTTCGAACAGGAGACTGGTTTGAGACACAATAGCATACCTGTTTATGAATTCGTCGGGCATTAATGTAATTACGTGCGAACATCTGCAGAGGTTGCGCAACATCCAGCGCAGGACCAGTCGCGCTCGCCTCGCGTTGGTATCTTGACATGAACTCGACCCACCCACTCTCGGTGGTGTCAATTCTGTCCCCCAGACTTCTAGATGGCTACTAAGGCCGAGATATTCGATCTGATAGATGAACAGCCACTAGGAGGACTTTCACCCGATCGAAAACAGATGAATTGAGTGCGGTTATATTCCTTAAGAAAACTAAGCTCTGTAGCTATGATAAAACCCCATGTCCTTCCGCCTCCCGATTCCTCTAGCAGAAAACATAACCTCTCACCCGACGTCTACAGGTAGAGAGGTATCATCTCAGCCCTCCAGTAACTTCCATGGATGTATCAATGTGACTTTATATTTGACTAATCGTACCAGCTACATACACGAACTCCAGGGCTCCATACATATATATGTATGTAGGTACAAATGCATATACATAAAATGTCAGACATCCTGCTCGTTATTTCCGTTTCTTGTCGTGAGGGGAATACAATATGATCTCTGAGGTTCACTTCTGCGGTTCTTTGTTGCATAGCTTATTCTTCGTTCTAAACTTATAGTGTGGTTGCTGTGGTCCATCAATCGCTATCTAAAGTGCGATCGTGTAAGCGCCTACTGAGTTACTGCACAGGGTCCGTTTCGAGTGATGCCTCAGTGCTTGGGACGTCTGTCTTAGCAGCCAATCCATTCCCTGAAACATGAAGTGTTTTATATGTCATCGTGTCCAATTTTAGTTAGACGTTCAAGTCATCCAGGACGCGAATATTGAATGACACGATTCGTCAGTCACTGGCGCCCATAGCTGCACCGAAAACAATCTCTAATCCTTGGTCTCTTTTACCAGTCGCATTGAGGCTAGAGGCTAGAGCACTGGAAAATAGTAGAGGTCGGCACGGTTTTACGGATACGGATACGAATAAAAGCTCTACGGTTACGGTTACGAATAAATGCCCTCTATCCGTAATATCCTTAGCTTATATCACGTGTCTAGAACCGCAGTTTTAATATATATTTCCACATCTATAGAGTTATTGTCGGTACATCGGTGGGTATAGCAATGTTGGTGAGAGGCTAACGCCCACTTCTAACACTTATTACAGTAGAGCTCGGCACGAATAATATTCGCACTTATTTCAGGTTATTTGTATTCGCAGTTGCTACCACTAGCTATTATTCGTATTCGCACTCGCAGTTGATGCGATTATTCGCGAATATTCACAGTTTTCTGCCACTGCCTACAGCCTAGTTATACTAGTTAGTACTAGTTAGTTGAAAATGTTTCTCGTACGATAATAATAGCCTTTGATTTCTCACTACCCTAAAATCAGACAATGAGTGATAATCAACGCCCTAAACGGGCACGACGGGAATGGAACTATCTTAACCTTAATGGTGGAAGTGATGATGAAACTGATCCTAGTGATCGGATTCCTCAGTCTAATAAACGACAACATTCACCCGATGAATCTTCTATTTATCTAGATGATTCAGCTAGCCAAACTCCTTTTCTGATGCCTTCAGATTCTACTTCCTTGCCGACTAGCCTGATTCCAACATCAAATTTCAATCTACCAGATCCAATCAAGAAGAGACGTTCAAAGATAGTGAATACAGCACTCTGGGATCATTTTACAAGAACTATGCTTCCAGGCGAGACATGGAAGCGTAAAGGATTTACCAAACCTCAACAGAACTGGCTGGTTGAATGATCAATTGAATACATAATTTAATGCTCAATTAAATACACAACCTCCAGATTTTCTAATCGATCGATCAATACGCCGAAAGTTATCGGCATTTGACTATGCACGATCACAAGAAGGAGCTAGGGGTAAAGGCGCGAAAACTCCAAATGCTGCTTGTAATGCTGCTCGTGTCGCCGGCGTGGCGATGAAACAGGGTTTAGAAAGCACCATGGGTGGTGACAGCACTCAGAGTGACTCCCAAAGACCTGTTCTAAGTCGGCGAAGAGTTGAAGACCCTGATATGCAGTATTATTAGCTCAAGTTGAATGCTTTATTCTCGTTGAAACAAACACGTAACGATACGTAAAATATATTCTTAAGTATGCAAATTGGAATACAAAACAAACTGAATAAAAGAAGAAATACGGAGATGGAAAAGTGAAGTTGAAATTGTGATGTGGCTTGAAAGTCTGAATTAGGGAATTGATATTCCCACGACCCCTTCGCTAATCTGACGACCCCCTGCCTTATTTTTAAGGTTTTAAGACATCAACCTTCATTTTGCCATATATTCTGCCAAAATTAAATAATTAGTGGAAATAGATATAACGTGCAGCGGGGCGGAAGTGTGATTTGAAAATCAGCTTTCGGCCGTCAATCTCGCCCCATGTCATGTCGTTTGTAATATACGTATCCATCTGGTCCCACTCCTTGTCAAGGATCTTCACGCGAAATTTTCGGGGTGAGTTCATCAGCCAATTAATTATCACCTGCAGCTTTGTGTCACCCTCAACATCAGGAACCAGGACCACCTTGCCCTTGTCAAAGTGTTTTTCGAAATTGATTGAAACTGTTGCGACAGCCGAGAAACAAGGCCATCAACAGACGGAAAGTATTTCGGCCGAAAAAGCTTCTGCCGAGACAGCGACTCCGGAACTGGAGTAAACTCCAATTCCCTTTTACTGCAGTAAGGACTCGAGCACCGTTCTCAGTTATCGGCGACTAGCTAGCTACGCTCGCTAAGCGAGCGACAGAAACCAACAACCCATTACGGGGGTCATTGATTTTGGCACCTTTTCCGTATATGGCACCCATTGTAGTTTCACCATGCATATATGCAAACAAATGTGCTGCGACCATGTGAGAGGCAGGATGGTATCGCCCAGTGATCGCAGACCAAGCACTGTCTTTGATTGTCGGGTGTTTGGCGTTGTATCTGTCCAACATTTCGTTTTTGAATTCCATCTAGTGGTTGCGCTTGCGTTTTCCCGCCCCAGTCTATGAAATATCTATTCCTATTTTCGATGTGGTAAAGAGTCGCATGAAGGACGCACGTAAGTACGCCCTTTCTTCCCCTCATCGAGTCTTTCCGCCTAAGAGTTCAAAAACTTTTCAGTGGCCTCGTATTCGCGGATTTCTTCCAAGAGTCGCTTGGCCTCCTCAGTCGCTTCATAGTCGATCGCGGGTCCATTATAACTGCTTTAGGAAATTGATCGATCGATCTTTTTGGATGCTGCTGACAACTTGGCAACATTCGCGCCTTGCTGGTAATAGCTCTGGTCAAACAGACCCGGAGGTTTCCAATACTCTCGAGCTGTTGCAATTTCACGTCTCAAACACTTTTTTTGATTGATGAGATCTTCTAAGTCGGTCTGATTGATTGGGGGGACCATGGTCATGTTAGGATCCAGCTTCGCCGCTTTTTCACATGAAGATCTGGAACACTAGTATCCAAGTCGCTTTCTGAATGATTAACGCGCTGTAAGCGCTCACAGATATCTTCCATTAGGGACGGAGAAAGAGCGACCAGGCGGTATCCAGCTAAACCTTAATTAAAGCACTTGAGGCGATTCAAATTTCGAGTTCCAGTTAGAAGTCGAGACAGCCGTCTTCTAAGGCTGGCTGTGAAGGACGTAGAAGTCGAAACTGTGAAGGATATGAAAGTTGGGGTAGAGAAGTTATAAAAGTTTCATAGTAGCTAAAATACAGAGTTGAAGGAATGATTTGAATTAGAGGAAGAAGGTAAATTAAGTAAAAGAAGCACTAGGTAAATAGTTGGCCAGCAAGAACTGAAAACAACAACATCCACTACCTTCTATTCACTTCACTACCTTCTATTCAATTCACTACCTTCTATTCACCTCACTACCTTTTATTCACTTCACTACCTTCTATTCACTTACCACCATCTATTCATCCAAGGAAATGAGAGAAAGCATCTTAAGGGTATATTTTTTCTTTCTTTAATTTTCACATGCCCCTCTGCATTACATCTTCAATCCAAGTCAGCCTACATCTTAAAAAAATGTATGTATACTCTCATTCTTGTTAATCCTTGTTGATACTTGTTATCTTTCTTTAACTTATCGGTTCTACACCTCTTGTGCGTGACTAAATTCATCATCTAACACTACTGCACTTTCGGATTCTCACAGCAAAAGTTCTAGAGGGTTTTATTCAGCCTTTAATCCTCACCAGAATAACCGACAATTCATTTCCCTCGTACTCTATGTCTTCAATCCGCCTCTAAATGGCGACTTAAATAATTCGGAACAATCTCTTTCTCTTTTTGTTTCCATTTTATATTCCGTGTCTTTAGCCTGCCTCCGAAAGGCGACTCTTCAAACAGTTTAGAACACTCTTTTCCTCACGATGGCAACCATATTTGAATTTTCAGAGCATTTAAAACACGAAGAGGAATGGTACGATGGCTTTAAAAGACATACCATAGACCTATCTTCCTTTGACCGGAAGCACTGGTCATTACTTCCAGCTCGCACCTGGACACTTAATCAGTATCAGCCTTTCAGCTAGAATGTTGTCTGTGGCTTTATGATCTGGCTTCCTAGCATGAGCGGGCAAATTCAAGGAATATATTCCGATCCCAATACGCAGCTGAGATTTTTCATTTCTGGTGAAATCCCCCACTTTGGACTCAATCTGCGTCTAGTATACAAATATGACGCTCACCATGATATGGATTTCGTGGGATGAACATGAATTTGATAAGAGGGAGACTGCAACAACACCAGAAACCTTATATAGCCCTCAAATTGAGAACCACGCCTTTTCCGCAAGACTGGGTCAAACAAGCCTCACAGCAATCAAGCTCACAGAAGAGCAAGCCAAGTCATGTCAAGGCATCTCCGAAGCAGATGGATTCCAAGTCCGCTGGAAGTGCAAGGTCAGCCCCTACTGTTATGGATTTAACATTGAGATTTCATCATTAGAGTGGTTCAATAAGGCACAGAGAGAATCTATCAGACTCTTCAAACAGGCTGCAAAGGCAGACAGCTTCAAAGTATACACGCGTGTATAGTCTCCTGTCCTTGTTGAAAATTAGAACATGCTTAAGTCAGTACATAATCCAACTTTTGCGCCATACCCGCTCTATGATTACCGTTGGCATAATGAGGTGAAGAGGGTTGAGAGAATCGAGCACATCCCTGATATTTAGGAACCATGTGTCCAAATTTCAACGCTGCTCGATTAATATACAGATAGCTGGGAGGAAGGTGGTCAATTTGACTAAAGGGGAGGTGTTCGTGCGTGGTGGCAATGTCAATGACCATTTTTAGTAATTGTATCCAAGGCCTGGTGGGAACTATTGCTCGAGTCATAGGCCCTTGGGGAGTCGCGGGTGGGTGAGCCGAGGAGGTGTCAATGAAGAAAAAACAATGCACTACGCGTTCCCATCAGATTAAATCGATTACTTTGAGAGATAAAATCAGAATCATGGGGAGGAACAGACCGGCTCGTTAGAGCGATTGGAACACAGAATATTCTATAGTTGCCCCTATGCTGTTGCATCACAACAGCTAGAAAGGACTGTAGTTTTCGATCACATTCAGTTATATGTGCCTGTTTCTGGTCCGGGTCCGCCATGGATGGATCCTGCAGCACCCCATCAAGGAGCCATGCTGCCTGAGCGCTGCGCCTGAAGCCGCCAACCCCGGGAGAGTTCAGCGCATGGATCGCGACGCGAGATGCGAGCACCACCGCATGATTCATCTGGTCTAAAATGGAGGGTTCGAGTGGTAGACAATCATCCTGGGCGGGTATCACGGAGCCCAATGGCTGACCCACAATGGCTAACTCACAAAGGAACGTTTTATGCCACCGTGAACCAATGGTCTTATGGGGTGTGGAGAGGACCAAGTACGTACCGCTCAAATATCCGGATTCCCCACCAGGTATTAATTTCCTCTTCTTCTATGGTCCAATCAGTCTGCGGCGAAGCATTTCTGGTTAGAGCAGGAATGGATCGTAGCTGGGCTGCATACGCCATCCTCGTATAGCTTCCGATCGTCCCGAAAGCCTGCTCCGGATGACCATGGGCATACTCGTAAACTGATAACAACACGCCAGCTTGAATGAGGCGGGTTGTGGATGCGTGTAGTGCTTGTGCCTGGGCTATAAGGGATTTAGTGGCAACGTGGAGCGTCAGATCTTCGACACGATGGCCCCCCTGAAGCCCCAAGAGATCGGAAGAGTCTGTGGAGGAGACAATTAATGCCATGCATAGAACGAGTAAAGCGAAATCAGCCTGGGGATTGACCCCAAAAGAAAGCAGTTGTGGGTGGAACCGCCGTCGGGAGATAATTGGTACGAATTATGCACACCCTGGAAGTATCGGACACTGATTTCATCAAGATAAAGTCCCGTTGTTTCGAGTAACTGCTGAGCTGAGAGGCATAGTGTGGACTCAACTGTCGAGACTGGCACTTTGCGGGGAATGTGCGCGCTGCATGCGAGGCTGTAGAAAAGTAGTTGTGTCGATGCACTGACAGGGTTGTTAGCTCGTAGAGAGCCAGAGTTTCCAAACGCCGCTTTCGGACTGAGGACTGGCTGCGGATGCAAGGGTGGAATCTGCGATTGCTTGATGTCGCGGACTATGATTCAGGGTCTGTTATAGACAGGGTAAATCATGGCTAAAGGAGATTGTGGGTCAGCGGGTATTCCAATCCTCGGTTGGAGTAGAAGCAGCATGGTACTCAGCGCAGTAGCGACAGCGCGGCAGAGACTTGTCACATCGTTTCTTGCGGGCCTTACAGTTGGCGCATACATTAGGAGACTTCAAAGTGGCGTCCGCTGGCATGGTTGCTTGAATTAAATTGACAGTAGGTGGTGGTTTGTGTGGGACCTGTCGGGGATTGTTGGTCGCAATACCAACCATCGGCCGCCGCTAAAAATCCTCGAAGGAAGAAAAATAAAACACAAAGCGCCGGCAACGCCCGCTGGAGGATGCAACGGGATCTGCAGGGTCATTGCCACTTGCTTGATTTAGTTTAGATCATCACTAGTCGAAGATAGTGCTTACTGCCTCCGACAGCCCGCACTTCCCCGACGGCTGCACCGACGAAGCCTCTTCATTGATAAATGATCCCTCAGCTTCCAAGATCAGTCCGCGTCAGCTGTCCTCAACGATCGTCTCATAGAAGCTGTTCGCCATCAATGTTGAACTCCATACCGCTGGATGAACCCCGTCGGGCAACATCTAGCTGTACCCCTCGCGTGGCCGCTAGTGTGATTCGGCGGCCACTACGCCCAGCAGCTCACTATTGTACTAATCAATCAGCGTGTTCACGGTCGCATTATGATCAGAGATCAGCTAAATGTATCGTTGCGAGTTGTAAGAGGTGTGTTATTCAATCTTGTCCTCGCTGCAACTGAATAGATAAAACTTACTAGATTCACTTCATGTCGGACAAACAGCATCTTGACCATTCTCATTGGTCCTGTGCCCACTTTGGTCTGGTGGTATCGACAAAGGTATTACGCCAACACAAGAACTCTCTAATAGTGCCTCCCATCGGTAATCCTTCCCTACGCCACCGTTCAAGGAAGTATGGTCTTTTCTAGCGTTTTCCCGTCATTCTGGCCACTACATCGTCTAAAATTTAACTCGACCGGATATATCTAGGCACTCATCGCACTCCCGGCTAAGTCAAAATGTGTCTGTGCGAGTCAGAGCCCCATCCCCGTTGACCAACTATCGAAAGGATGATATAAGTAGCTGGGCTTAGGGTACGTACTCGATGCGTGCACCGAGTCATATCTAGGCTTCCGGGAAGAACACAATATTATGAACGGTCTCTGTACCCCAAGAGTTGGAACCAGTAGATTACAATATGTCCTAGGCCCCTCGATCTTCGGGTGTCCGCGGAAATGTCCCTAACTGACCTTGCCATGACCCGGTGAGAAAGCTTGCCGCTTCATTGGAATTGATTCTTGCCCGATGGTGCGATGACAAAATATTGATACGATGGACTGAAAGTGGCTTTTCAACCACGAGTGGAGCCCAGATTTACTGCAGTAAATATGTGGCACCTAATTGGTTTGTTGGTTAATAAGCGGGGCTAGAACTACCTACTTTAGGCAGTTCTGGAGTAAACAAATAACACACCTCTTACAACTCGCAACGTTACATTTACACAATAGATGCATATGCACCAGTAAGACGCGTCAGTTTTCCGACACAAAGCCTTTCAAAAATGCAAGCCGATATTCATTGATTGTCTCGGTGGCTCTCCAGAATCCAGAAATTACTCGAGCAAAAAGAAGAACCAATTGAGCGGGTAACCTTTATCTGAACAAGCATAGGATCAAAGTCGTAGATAGCCCATATAGTTCAGGATTTTGAATTACCAGGATATACTACGAAAGGAGCTTTCAAGTTTCGCATCATTGCTTTACAATGTTTATCGCATTTGAAAATGGGCAAATGGCGAAGAATAGAACTTTTGGGCTGGTCCTAGAATTTTGGGAGAAGTTGGATTACAGAGACCTTTGTCCTTGACCCCTATGATTCCAACATGTAACAAATAAATGCTATTTTATCGCATACTTTCCAATAGATCCTTCTACCTCTCAACGGCGTAAACATGATATATTGCACTTCAGAGAGTGGAAAAGCTTACAAGGTCTGCTGAAGTTGAAATACCAAACAGTTTCTGGGCACAAGATATAAAAAGTCCACTGATTTGCTGTGGCCCTTTTGCCTGAGGACTTTCGGAATTTATTATCTCTTCTTGGTGACATGTGTTTAAGCGACAGCGACCGCCTTTCCTTTCAGCCCCATGGTTGATCCTCGCTGTAGGGAGTTTGATCTCACCATCGCTTTCGAAAATTGGATTTTGTCAGGCGTAATCTTAACGATCTTGCTTGTCGTCCTACTTCCGCGGATATATCACCTTTCTTCGCTATGCCGAAAAGCAAGAAGAGGACAGTTATACTTCTGCAGGCTAGTTGGTACTCCCACCTCGCTTGGATGCCTATGAAGAAGTAAAACAAGTTATACGCATTGGCTAACAAATCATACTGCTAGCTTTTACTTGGTGCTCTCTTAATGTTACAATTGATTCTCCTTATACTTCAATTCTGTACAGCCTCATTACGCGATCAAATCAGTATAGCATCTGCTATTCTGGCGCGAGCAGCAACCACAGGATACATGGTTCTCTCTTATTATGAACACATTCAGACTATTAGCCCCTCTATAACTATGAACATATATTTCTTTAGGCACAGTGTCTGTGACGGAACATAAGTGCGGACCTCCTGATTTAGCGGAGATTTACCATCGATATCGATAGTACTCATATTAATCCTTCTCGTGGATGTTATAGTATTTGCATCAGAATTGATAAAGACCTATCTCCCTAGCCGGAAGAGCTAGCTAGGGGTCGAGCACTCTTTCTATGGCTACGACCACTTTTCCGACAGGGATATCGTCAGATCTTGCGGGATTGCGATCTGCCACCCATCGATCAAAAGCTCTAGTCGAGCAAGGTGCACAGGCGGCTCGATGAGATGTGGGATAAATGTCAGCTTATTTTGCCGTATCATGCTCCTCCCCTGGTGCATTGCCTACTGAAAATGTCCCTAGAAAAATATAAAAGGGCCTACGCATTGCTTCTCACCACCTGGCGCAGCTACAAGTGGCAGACCTTAGCTACGGCTGTACTTCGATTGGCACTTCCGCGTCGAAGATTGCCCAGCCATTCCTTATGAATAAATTCACGGTATATATGGAGAACTTGCAGGATGAACAAGAGGCTCGGAATATGGGCTATGACTTGGTATATGCGAGCATTGCGGTAAGGCTATTTTGTAACCTAACCTGTAACGCATTTAATATTCACAATAAGTATCTCAGGTGTCTACCCAGTGTATTGGCAACATACGTACTGCTTCATCACCATAGCCCGAGGGGGCTTGATATCCATGATTTACCAGAAGACGACGAAACTGAAGCTAATAGCGGGTAAGACCGTCGACCCTGTGACTCTGATGGGCACGAATATCGAGAAGATCTTATTGAGTCTGCGGACCTTCCACGAAGCTTAGGCCTCTTTAGTCGATATTGTACTCGCCTTATGGCTCCTCGAAGGCCAAGTGTCGGTTTCCTTCATGATGTCTGTCATTTTCGTTATAGGTATGATGGACGTAAGATCGCTTTGCTTCGGGCTTTTGTGACCTGAACTAAGATCATTCACCATAGTATGTCTCAGAGTGTCTGGGCTTATTTCCCTACGCGCTAGTGCAAGTCAACGAGAGTGGGTTGAGAAGGTCGAAACTCGTCTCCAAGCTACTACGAACATATTGGAAAACTGTCGGAATACTGACGCGTCTTACTGGTACATATGCATCTACCTTGTAAATTTGTTCTTGCGAGTTGTAAGAGATGTGTTATTCAAGTCTATTCTAGAACTGCCTAAAGTAGTTCTTCATTTATTAACCAACAAAACTAATTAGGTGCCAAAGATTTACTGCAGTATTACTGCAGTAAGTCTGGGCTCCACTCGTGATTGAAACCACTTCCAGTCCATCGTATCAACAAAAACATAACTTCTGTCAAACTCTTAGGTCTGGACAAAATGCTATCCGAGAGCCTGGATAATTGGCGGGATAGGGAAATCCGGGCTTTGTCCCGCTACCGCAAACTTCTGGTTACCTCAATCTTATTGGGTAAGCCAAGCATGTCGTTGTTGCGTTCAATACTAACTCGTAGCCCATTTTATACGCGCAGGTAATGTACCTGATCTTCTTGCTCCAATTGTGACTTTCGCGCTCTTTATCCTTATCAGTGTAACCAGGCACAGTGACTCTCTTTAAACAACCCAAGCCTTTACTTCACTCTCACTGATCTCGCTTCCGACCTTTGCATCAAATAACATTTCCAGGCTGTCCCAAACCTCCTGTCATGTACTGAATGTTTTAACCGCATTCAAGAGTTCCTGCAGCTCCAGCAAATACAGGAAATTGCCGTCCCATATTTTCGTGATAGAGATTCTGAAGGCTACTTAAAGAGCAATTCCAAGCTGGCCTTACAGCAGCTAGTCTTCAGCCAACCAATCGACCATCCATTCCTGCATTCAATACAATCCAACTACTTGCATATTTTTCTCGGCACATAGTCAACTTACTCACAAGAAATGCAGCGAAAAATGCACATAGAAGCACCTAATCAGGACAACCGAGGAGTATAGACCGGACCAGAAAACTCCTCGACTGTGACGTTAGATGCAACTTTATAGACAAACCTACCGGGGGCGATTGGCAAATTTAATCTAGCTGGCGAATTTTTTCATTGCAGAACGTAGGGACCGTATTAACTCCTGGCTTCTGCAGGTCCAAAAATGGTTGATTTGCATATGAAGTTTTCAAGATCTATGAGCAGTCAATTGTTCATCGACTGCGAGCTGAAAAGGAAAATTTGGAAATGGATTTCTTTATCTACACAGATTGAGATAATATCACAAGTGCTCTTAAACACATAGCTTTTCTTTTGAAATACAGAAAGATACCTTGTTTGAAGCATTCAGACTCGAAGCACTTACGGAGCCTGGTTCCAAAACATTCTTGCCCCGTTAGGAGATAGCCAACTGCCCTGCGTTTTGATAAATTTTCGAACAGCAACAACAAATTCTCTTGTACCAGCTCCATGATGAGTTGCATCGTAGAATGGGCCCTCTTTCTGAGACATGTAGACTCCAATTCCCCCAGCGCCTAGAGGAGTGCCTAAAATCCTATTAATTGATATTGGGATACCCTTGTCATTGTCAAGTACTTACTGAAAGAAGTTCCAGCGACCAGTCCATCTCTACCGACACACCTAATTCCAACACCATCAAGATATACGGCAACCTTAGGACCTCTCAGAGAAGATTCATAGATCTGGCCGTCTGAAAATGCGTTTCCGATGTTAATAGCCGGGAAATCATCGCTTTCCCAAACTTGTGGATATATATCCAGTTCCAAACTGAGACCATCTTCGCCACGACGATTGCCTGCAGCCATCACTATTGGAATCCCCAGATCAAAGATCTCTTCCATTGATTTTTTCATCTCCGAGAAGGGCGGTTCGTTTGGATTTATACCAGCCTCGGCCAGGTCCTCTGGATCGAAGCCACTTGAGAAGAACAAAATACTGGATTTGTACCTGACAGGCAGTTTGCTTTCTTTGTCTTCTTTGATATTACTGATGATCAAGTCCAGTGATTCAATGAAATCTACGAAATCACTCTCATGAATGACAGGCACAATTTTGGCTTTTTTGGCCGATCCAAGGTGCTTTCCCACAGCCTTAGCGGCGACACATGTACTGTGCCAGACGTCTAATCTTTTGTCAATATCACCGTCATCTTGCCAGGAGGCTTCGGTTCTCAATGCAGGTTCTACTCGATTCTCAAATTCCTGGAAACTCAGTCAATTAATGCATCAATTTGCCAACAAAATGCATATAGACAAACCTTTTCATATCCCGATTGAACTCCCTAAGTCGATATTCAGTCAGAATTTATATGTTAACAAAGCACCTGTATAAGAGGAACTTACGTCTTCAATCTGATAGAGGTAGATGTCTGAACCCGCTTCAGCAGGATAGATATACTTCCCATCTCGGCATTGCCAATCTTCACCAGGTGGAGTGCTCATGGCAATAAGCTCTTCGGGTGCGTCAAATGGAATTAGTGGACTGGGCTGCCACTCATATTGCTGAGTACGCTTCCCAAGATTAATTTGGGATTCATCCTGACTAATGTTGTGCAACTGAGATTGACGATCCTGGTATTTAGCAGGTATTACTGCTTGTTTCTTGGATGACAGGTTTAAGACAATATTCTTCACATCGCTAGATTTCTTGAGAATGGTAAGTTGAGACTCGGCCAAGCGGACTGTATACCAACTTAATACCCCAGATCTCGTCCGGGAGCTTATTTCCGATTGATTGGTAGTTGATTGTATAGTGGCCTTGAGGCGTTTCAAGGAACTAGGGTCGCTGCCATCTTTTGGAATGACAAGGTAGCTTTTTGTGGTCGCTTCCTGTGATCGTTTGTTGACAATTGAGGTTTTACTGAATAGAGGAGCCAAACTCGGGCACAGAATGAAGCAAATTGCTAAAGTGCTCAAGAAAAGAAGAAGGGCCAAAGAGCGCATTCTGGAAGAACAAAACAGTCCAGACTGGCATCTGTATTCTCAGCTACAGTAGGGATTTATAAACATAATAGCTGAGATCTAATTTCCGTGAAACATCCTACATTGAGAGCTAGTAGGGACTTGACATAAGTTGCAATCCTGCAATTGCCCGAGTGAGACAATCAATAATGCTGAGAGTAACGAAAGGATTCTGACAGGGAGATCATTTGGGGCTATTATAAGACCCCGACCCCAAGCCTTTCCTTATTACTAAAAAAAGGTGCTCAAGTGGGAATTTGGGATGATGTCGTGAGATGTGGCCTGATTTATCTATCAATTATGATGTTTCGCTGGCAGGTGTGTTTTAAAATATACTTGTCTGGTTGAGTTGCTGTCGAGTTCATCGACTTGCTCTCTCTCGAGTCGGGTCTGTCCAGTCAGAAATACCATCGGAAGATATAGATGTTACAGGATAATTCGTCATATTATTGACAACGTTCCTGATTATTGGAGGATAGCTGCCATAGAAAAGTCAAGAGACATTCGTTTTTGGAAGTACTAATACAATAATAATACAAAAGTTTAAGCTCTAGTGCCGACGGCGTGACGACAAAATCGTACGCTTCCAACACTCACTATCCAGCTTTCACTCATTGGAAATATCAAGTATAAGCTCGGAGGGTCGCGGGGTCCCCCCTCACTATAGTGAATCTAGGTAACAGGATCAGCCACGGGCGTGCCGGAACAGATTCGTCACAGTCCCTGTAGATATCGGTCTCATTTAGGTCTGCCCCGTACAGCAGCAACGACTAAGCGATGTCTAGCCTTCCTAAGCGAAGGGCCAAAAATAGAGATTTGTTTTCTGTAAAGTCATTCACCCACTATGATCTCAAGAGACTCTTTGCAATACGATATAGCGTCGCATTGACTAATGGCAAGTAATTTTTGTAGATGGCCACATTTAGTGGTGGTAGGCCTTTATAAGCCGATTGCTTCATCCGTAGAGTTTAGGTCCGTTACATAGTTCAACGTGTGAACCCTGTCCTTTCAATGTAGTTGATCGACAGAGATGTTTTTAGCAGCTGCGTAGAGCTGTTTAAAATTTGGAGGCATTCCAATTTGATCACAATAATCAATCCAGTTCTTAAGGGAAAATTTCTGAGCTTCATCAAGTCTGCGTCCATTTGGTGGCCTCTCAAATAGCGATTTACCACCCTGGACGCGTCGTCGAAACCGTTGATAGTTTACATCAAAAGCTCGCGCAGTTGATGACATTGAACGGTAATCTCCATTTTTGAAGGCGCTTATAGCTTCAATAATACGTTTCTCTTGGTCCAAATTCCTAAAAACCATGGTGGTGGGTAATGGTGGGTGATACTAGATAGGAGGTGTGGAGAGTATACAGGCGGCGGGGTGGCAGGGTCGACCCCGCCACCCTACCACCCGACGAACGTTTCGTCTTATCGGCCAATAAAAACTCTGTATTTCATTTTTTGTGGGTAATATGATATATCATAATAAGTTTGTCGGGGAGCTAAAAAAAAAAGGTCGTCGGGTAGTGGTAAATAGCCATCTTATGTGGTAATATGCAAGATTTGACTTACGGTGCTTCAACCCTACCACCCCGCCACCTAGCTTCAATTTTCGATAATTTACCAGGAATTTGTAAAATGTTTCTTCATTCATTCAACAATAAAACAGTCAACTCAATTCAGATTTTGATAATATAGATATAATTATTAAAGGAATTCCTAAGAATAATACTTTGGAACTGGTTTTAGGAACTTATTATCATTTTTTGAAGTTTTCATCTAAAATTATAAAATTTCATAACAATATATCTATTGTCGCTCGCTTAGCGAGCGTAGCTAGCTAGTCGCTCGTTACTGAGAACAGTGAGCTCCAACGAACCGCTACTCAACACCGTAGACAATCCACCGATCTGGTAGTGGATTCCTCCTAGTTGAATATTGCAGTTGTTGTGAAGTCTGCTTTTTCATTGATGAAAGAACTAGCTACTTATAGTATATGGGCGCCCCTCTGCTCTGGACGAATGTCAACATTCGTCCGAGACAGAAGAGACGGTGAAGACGGGACATTACTGTCGCGAATGCGCATCGCTCAAGGGTGTCGTTTGCGATGAATGCATATCGTTCAAGGATGCCGTGATATACTAATCCAGTTCCGGAGTCGCTGTCTCGGCAGAAGCTTTTTCGGCCGAAATACTTTCCGTCTGTTGATGGCCTTGTTTCTCGGCTGTCGCAACAAATATGGTATAAGCTAATAAAGCCTGACTACATGAAACTATCGAAAATGGGCAAGAAAGTTGCGAATGAGGTCCTCAAGACCACTTGGTATGATATCTCTCGATCGCAGCTGGGTTTTTAGCCCAATTACTGTACAACTATCTCTATTTACAAAAGTATGGGAAGGCCTTCAAGGAAAGCTTAATAACTAGTTGTTATTATAATCAGAGACCCTAATACATAGCTACCTCCCAAGAGTAAAGACGATTCTACTCCTGCAGTGAGCCCAAATCAGTGATGCGGGATTTTCCCTTCTTACAGCATCGCTCATTCTTCAGGATTGTGCCACCGTCCTTTATGATAGGACCCTTAGTGGGAGTAGCACTGATTAGGGATCCTGCAGGATGTCTGGTGTTATACTCCACCTTCACGGCAGATATATGCCTTTCCAAGTTCCCGGCCATTCGGGTTGACTAAGGTGGTGGTCTCGAGATAGGCCTTTTCAAATACATTCCAGATAAAAAGGTCTTCCGCACCCTTCCAGTCGGGCCGTGGATAGTACCAGGCATTGTCCCAAGTTTCCCTGAGCAGCAAACATGACTGAATATTACAAATGGATCCTTATGCTATGCTTACAAGCGACGTTATATCTCCGACCATGTTGACAGATCTCCTGATTAAGTTACTAAATAGGCGAAGAATGCGGAGAATAGCCTATTGTAAGTTAGTATCAGCCTCGTGACTCCGTGTCTACTAACGAGTATACACGTACGCACCCTCCAAACGCCGACAGGAAAAGCTACAACTTACCCCACAAAATCTTGATAAGCTTGGAGTTTTAGCATTTCTCCAGCATGTCGGGAGTTATTTTCCCGTCCTGGATGCTAGTTAGTGAATGTGTTTTAGTGAAACGATGATAAATTGGGGATAATATGCCGTGGATTTCTCCACTAATCGCCATTGAGATATGAGGAGAATGACCAAATCAAAAAGTACGACGTTCCTTAGATATCGCAATGAATCTTTAGATAATGACATAGCCTCTTTTCCTTGGTGGTTTGTGATTATGTGGAAGAAAAATAGATTGTTTCTGTAAATATTTGAAGTGACACTCCTAATAGGAAGAGATTAAAAGATTTTTCTTATATCCCGCTTTTTGAACTGGCGCACTCATGTATATTTGTCATAGCTACTCTCAAGCTCACAAGGGCTGGACCTCAGATAATCGACAGCGATATCTTGGAATCATGACTCGTAGAGCTCTTTAAATGCACTATCTGTCTTCAGAAGTGCTTCGGGTGTATCAAACTCAATCAGCATGCCATCTTGCATCACCGCAATGCGATCAAAATTTATAATAGTCTCCAGCCGATGCGCAACAGCCAAGATCGTGCAGTCTGAAAACTCCTCACGAATCACGCGCTGCATCAATGCATCCGAAGCAACATCAACATTACTGGTGACTTCATCAAGCACCAAGATCTTGCTACTGCGTAACAAAGCCCGCGCAAGACAAAAGAGCTGTCTTTGGCCGTGTGAGAAAAAGTTGGCATCAAGAGCCACGTCCAGTCCACCTTTCGCTACAACGACATCCCAAAGCTCCACTCGACGTAGAGCTCGCTCAATCTGCTCAGGACTCTTGATATCAGATGGATCCATGTTAGCGCGAACAGAGCCATGGGTGAGAAAGGGCTCTTGGGGAATGGCGTTAAGAGCATTGCGCGTTATCTGTGGCGGGAGACTTGTGATTTCTACGCCGTCAATCAAGATTTGGCTCTGGGGCTCGACTTCTAGCATTCGGAGCAGGGTTGCCAGGAGCGAGCTCTTGCCACTGCCACTGCGACCGCAGATTCCGATCTTCTGGCCGGGCTGGATAGAGAGATTCAAGCTTCTCAGAACACGCGGCTCGTTTTCACCCGCTTTATAAGATGCGTAGACATCTCGAAGCTCGATTGCTCCCTCTGATGGCCAGGAAGACAGAGTAGGCTCCAACCCGTCGTTACGGGATTTTTTGTGCTCGGAAGCGGTGTTGGCCACAAAATCTCTTACTCGAGCGACCGCACCCATAGAAGTCTCAAGCTGGGCCCACATTCGGAGAATCTGTGACAGAGACTGACTGAAAGTGATCACGTTGAGGATGGCGAGACCAACATATCCAGCACCCACCTCACCCCGTAGCTTAACGACTATAATCATGAGAATACCACCGAGGACAGCCACCATCAGATCCAAAGCTAGTTCAAGCCAGCGCTGGATACAAAAGAGCAGATAGAACGGCTTCTGCGACGTGTCGAGTAGATCCAAATTTTGGTCTTTGAACACGGCCGCCCAGCCCATGGCGCGGATCGTCACCAGGCCTGACAAACTTTCAATGAATTGAGAGAAGAGGGGGGACTTGGCTTCGAGGTCAAGAATTCGCATCTGCCGCGAAGTGCGCAGGTAGAACTTCTGCAATACCCACATAAAAAGGAATACCGGTGGCATGACAACAGCGAAATATCGTGCTGATGTACACATCAGAACTACGGACATGAGACCAATGAAAAATGAAACGACAAAATCGGCGGCTGAGTATGGCAAATCATGGTCAATCAAGGTCATGTCTTGACTGAACCTGATAATGATAATAGAGATGGTCAGTGGGCAATGAAATAAACTAGTTCAAATTGAATAGGTTGTACATACCTGTTCGTAATCGTTCCTATATCGACAGAGGTGAAGAATGTCAAGGGTGCATGCATAACCGTTTTAAGAAGACGTTCGTGAAGTCTAATAGAGCTCAGGGGTGTGAAAATCATAATATAGTGATAAGCTCCGCCAACCAGAGTCACGTTGGTCATGATGGATAACATCCCATAAAGACCTAAATAGAAAGGATTGACACTGCTGCCGGTCCTTTCCAAAGCGCTGACCCAAATATTGACCAACAGATCACTCAGTTTTCCTACAACTCCCGCAATTGCTAGGAGAATGATACTCAAAGCTGCAGAGGCCCAACTTACAGAGCGAAAGTAGTAAGCGTATAGGGACAAATCCCCATTTTGTCGGCTCAGCACTTCTGTCATAGCGTCAATAGTGTGACCAGGACCAGAGCTAGTGATCACATTCCTTGGAGTCTTCTGCTGTTGGCCATCGCCTTCATCCCGGGCTTGAGTTTTATGCTGCGCCATGAGTGTAACATACCCACCGTCAGCCTTGAGCTTCTTTAGTGTGCCCTGCTCAAATATTGAACCATCGCTGCCCATGGCAACGATATGGTCTGCGTAAGAAAGGCGATGCACAGCATGAGTAGCTAGTAGCACAGTTGTGCGCAGCCGACGGAATAATCCATTTCTTGAAAACAGATTCTTGAAGATGTGCTCTTCTGTTTCTGCATCCAGACCAGAGAATATATCATCGAGTATGACAACGGGCTTTTCTGCGTAGACGGCACGAGCCAGGGCTAGTCGCTGCTTTTGTCCCCCGGACAAGGAAATCCCAGCGGAGCCGACCTTTGTAACTAGGGGTGAGAATAAATGGTTAGTACAGTGCAAAGTTTTATTACAAAAAAAAAAAAATCTTACAATGACCATTTGGGAGATTTGCAGCGTCTTGCTCCAAACCACAGGCATTGACAACCTCATCGTACCAACCCTTTGTGTAGTTTGAGACACCTAGAATATTATCCTTGAATGAAGTGTTGCGTATCCAGGGACTTTGATCAACGTATGCGGTGTGGATGGATTTAGAGTAGAGAAAGCCCTTTATGGATGGTGTTTCGCCTAAAATTCCCTTCATGAGGGTACTCTTACCGCAACCTGTCGGCCCAATGATTAGACAAAATTGTCCCTTTCGAACAGTGAGATTGATATCATGGACCGAAAAAGTAGCGTGGTCGCTCCATGCAAAGCTCACATCTCGAGCGACAATGACTTCTGATGATGGGGAGAACGTCAAATGACTCAAGTCCGAAAGTTCTATCTCATCCGAGGTTGATTGGCTCGGTCGCGTAGGAGGCCTAGAATCTTCCAGATAAATGCGGTGATCCCGTCTAGCCTCGGACTAAAGGAATTCCTGAATGCGACCGAGAGAGGTCAGGGCAATTAACATGGCTGGAATGGATCGGATAAAGCCATTAACAGGTGAGCTGAGCAGCGAGACCAGTGACAAGGTTGTGTAAGCCGAATTGACATTGAAAGGATGTGATTTCTCTGGAATCATTGCGAAGAAGACAAAAGTTACGAATGGAGCCAGTGTGCTAATGCTGTTTTGCCAAAATACTCGCACCACGAGCAGTCTGCGAGAGAGGGTTGACTCCTTAAGCTCCGTCACTCTCAATCCTTGAACAAGAGCCGCAAGCCACTCAGTAAAGCCTAGCATTTTGACAGATTTCATAGATCCTAACATTGTCGCCGTGACATCGACTCTTGTCTATATAGCCTCCATCCATATTTTTTAAGCCCTTCCCATGAGCTTTGCCATAGAAAAGATAGCAACAATAGACACGAGTGACAAGATGGCTGGTGCGAGTATTGCAAGACCAAGCTGGCGAGTCAATAGATAGAGACAGACGGCTAGCTCGATGGGCACTCCCCACAGTTCATTCATCAATGCGAAGCCGTTACAGATGGACTGCACATCACTGGACATCAGAGTCACTGCAGCTGACTCGTCGAGCGCCGTGATGCTGAGGTCAACCGTTTTGGCGTAAATGATGCTGATCAAATTGCCACGAGCACTAGTCACAAGGCGATAAGTCATATGGTAGGTGATGCCATTTGAAATCGCAACACCAAGAAGCACGACGAAGAAAGCGCCCGTGAGGCCCCAGCCAATGTTGTCTGGCTGAGATGCGTCGTTCGCAAACGCGATTGTTCGTGTCAGAAGGAAAGGCTGTGTGTACTTGAAGCCGATCTGGAAGAGACGGGGGATGATACAGTAAACGAGCTGCTTCTTGTTCGCGCGCATCACAGCCCAAAAAAGAGCCCTCTTCTTATTCTATGTCGCAGAATCCCATGCATTCTTCATTCGCTGTTGAAGTACATGGGAAGACATATCGCTATCAATCGGGTAAAGATCTTGACTTTTGATAACGCGCTGGAACCCAGATGTCATGAGCTGATTCAACCAGAAGAAGAACGATTTGCTGTATATGCCACTTGTTTCCTCTGGTGATAAACCCCGATATGGCTCTAGGAGAATATTGCGCTTTTCGACCGCCTCGGCAAGCAGGACCATCACCTTGACGCCAATCATTCCAGAGAAAATCCCAGCGACGAACTTACTGTTCAAATCAAGAAACATCGATCGCACACGAGCCACGTCAAAGATTAATGTGATAAGGATGTACCCATTGATGATGGGCGATGGGCGAATAGAACGAGAATGCTCAAAGTGTGAAAGCACACACAGCCCTAAACTGGCCACGAAGGACAATACCGATGCGGCAATCGTAGCAGTGGTGCGCAGAGATGAGTTGAGAATGTGGACAATCAGCAGCACTAGCTGGAGCAGGGCAAACATGGCTAAAAAAATCAATTTGCTTTCGTGCAAGAAGCCCCCAGAGGCCACCTTGGCTCGCTGGCCATAAAGGGCTACCAGGCGATGTGGAATACATAGTAAAAGCAAAGTCGATGGCAGCAAAGAGAGGATGGTATCTTCAAAAAGAGGCGTAAAGTCGAAACCGACGGAGGTCACCGGACCAAACGAGATGAGACTCGGCTCGATTAGCAAAGAGTTATTAGCCACATGATCAAAAATTTCGTACATGATTCAGAAATTAAACCAGCAATGGAACCAGCTAAGCTACCAAAGGGAATCTGTGTTAGGTCATTATAAGCCCAATGTACAGTGCTAGTCGCTTATATATTGAATCCCTACTAGGCAGCAATCTTGGAAAAGTGTGGTCTGAGATCTTGAGGCAGCAAAATAAAACTGCGGGGTTTTCGAAATGGCGAGACTTTGATCTACTTTGTTATCTTGATCTAATCTTAATCTGATCCGACGTGCTAAGCGGGGTGTCATCCGTAGTGGAGACGCGATTAGAAGGAACCTGTTTAACAGGTTAACCTTTTATTGTCCTATACTCCGTACTTATATTTAAAGCCGCGGAAACGTCTTATCTTATTGCAGTTCCCACTAATGACGGCGTTAAATGGCTCATAGTGGTAATGGATCGTGGAATGCATCTAGCAGCATCAGCGATCTAGGATGTGGTGACTTGCTCAAAATCATATCGCGAATGAACTCCCAAGTAGAAGAGGGCAGGTTGGGAGTCATTGTGTTGTGTTGTTTTCGGGTAGTGGGCTAGTAACAGCATGTTCAGAAAAGGATGATAACGTATTTACCGTACGTTTAATTCAAGCCTTTAGAACATTGTTCTGTCAAATATTTTACGTTTCCAGTTTCACAGTAAAGATAATTTGGAGCCCGTATTAAGACTAGGCAATTTCACCATACTCTCTTCATTAGACGTATAATGTCGGGATAATCGACACACAGCACGGCCTTAGCGTTAGGTTTACAGAAGGATCCTCTATGTAAAACATGGAATTTGATTTTGAATCTTTCTGTAAATGATCCCTGCTGTGAAGGGCTAAAGCTAATCTTGAATTCAGAACTAGCTAGGCACATGCTATTTACAAAATCCTTGAAGAACGTGAACAATTCGGGGTGGAATCGTGAGGTATGCGGTTGGTGGGTCACGTGGTACAACCACGTGATAGTTCACCAGGATTCAACCTGTTACAATACCCCCCTCCTATTCTCCTGTTTTCCGGGGTCCATTCGAAGTCGTAATTGGTCCGTATCGTAGTTCAAAGGTGTCGAGAGCTGTGCAGTTTTCCATTGCGTCGATAGGTTCCCATGTCAGTTCTGCGTATCCTCGCCATTTCACTAATGCTTCCCTCCGCGATCCACGTCCAATTTTTCGTGTCCTTGCTTGTAGGATCTCTTCAATTTCGTATTCCAGATCTCCTTCGACTAACAGCGGAGGCGGTTGCGAATCGTCCACGATTTGTGACGGTAACGGGTCCGTTGCCGCGGGTCTTATTAACTCAACATGGAAGACAGGATGTATGCCGCTTGGCACATCCAGCTTCACTGTATGAGAGGATGGCACTTCTAGAACTGTGTATTTGGCGTGGAGCCAGTCTAGTTTCTTTGAAGGCCGTATCGTGCGTACATTCCGTAGGTTTAGCCATACTTTATCGTTGATATTATAGACTGGAGCGGCTCGTCTTGAACGATTCGCTTGTTCCTGTTGGCGTTCTTGGGCGATAGCCATCGCTGCATTTGCCCAATCGGTGGCGTCTCGTAGCCGGTTCGTGAACGTTTCCGCTGCGATCTCTGGTCCTCTCTCTGCTTGGACTTCTATCACTTCGACTGGATCGACATGGTATCCGTGTGTGAAGAAGAATGGAGATAGTCCAGTAGAGGTTGCGTCTCGGTTATTGATCGCCATGGCTACGATAGGTAGTAAACTTGCCCAGTCGTCCTGTGCGTACGTAGTAAAGGCGCGTAGAATTCGTTCGACTTCTTGATTTGCGCGTTCCGTAGCTCCATCAGTTTGGGGGTGGAATGCGGTAGATAATCGGCGTCGAATCTTTAGCTTTTCGCACACGATTCGCCAGAACCCCCCTACGAACTGTGGGCCGCGGTCACTAGTGATCGCTATCGGTAAACCATGATGCATATAAATATGCTTCATAAAGACATCTGCGACGCTTTCCGCAGTAATACTATGCATATCTATTAGGATCACTCCTTTAGATAGCCGATCAGTAATTACTAGACAATTCGTCGCTCTTTCTTTCCCAGTAGGTGGAAGTTCTGTGATGAAATCCATGGATAGTTCGGCCCAGATTCGTTGTGGAATCGGTAACGGTTTAAGTAGGCCTTGCTTCGAATCTCTCCAAATCGTGTTTCGTCCGCAAATGGTGCAATTCCTTAAGAATCTCCGTACATCGTTCGTCATTCCTGGCCAAAAGAATCTACGGGCCAGTATCGTATAGGTTGCGTCCCGTCCTGGATGTCTAGTCGTGTAGGAATCATGGACCTTCTGGATCAAGGTTGTGCGTAGTGGTTCGTTGTCTGGAATCTATGTCCTTTTCCTAAAGCGTAGAAGATTTCGTTCATCTAAGTCACACTCGGATAGGCTTATTTTCAGGTTCGATTCGGCAGGGATTCGTCGGTCTCCCTTTTCAAGTGCGAGTGCGAACTGCTGGTATATTTGATCTTCCTTCCGCGCGTTATTCCATGCTTCCTGCGTTTCTGCTTCTTCAAACATCGCCACTGGTATATCAAAGTCTAAAGGTGGACTTGGTTTAGTGCTATTGTTACGGATTGTTACTGATTCGAAGAGTTTCCGGAAACGATTCGTGAGCCTCTCATCAGAGATTCCTTTAGGTTCGTCTTGTCCTCGCCGGGATAGAGCATCTGGTTGGATCGCCTGTTTCCCGGGTCGATATCGTAGCTCAAAGTCGAATTCGGCCAGGATGTCTGCCCATCTCATTTGTCGTTCGCTTAGATCCTGCGCCTTATGAAAGTATCGTAGATTTTTGTGGTCCGTTAAGACCACGAATCGCGGGACCATCTTCAGCTCTGGCTTCCATTCCCGTAGCGCATGGATGATAGCGAGTAATTCCTTATCGTGTATCATATAATTAGTCTCTGCAGGTGAGAACTTACGCGAGAGATAGGCGCATGGTCTTAGTGTCCCATCTTCTTGTCTTTGTGATAAGACTGCTCCTGTCGCCCATCCAGATGCGTCTGTTTCCACTATTGTTTCGGTGTCTTCTCGGAAATGAGCCAATATTGGTGCAGAGATAAAGAGGTCCTTTAGGGTCTCGAATGATTCTTGTTTCTCCTTGTCCCATTTGAATATCGTATCTTTCTTTGTCAACTGCACCAATGGTGCAGAGACATCTGCGAATCGTGGTATAAACGTCCGGTAGAAGTTAGCGAATCCAACAAAACCACGTACTTCTCGGATATTAGTAGGTGCTTCCCATAGCTTAATGGCTTCAACTTTCTTCGGGTCTACACATAGACCTTCTCCAGCTCGTATGATGAACCCTAGGTATTTCACAGAGCTCTGTTCAAATTCAGATTTCTCGATATCGCATTGAAGTCCAGCATCTCTTAGCTTCTGGAGCACCTCGCGTACTTTTCGTCTATGATCCGTGATCGATCCGTCGGAGTAAATAATGATATCGTCCACATATGCTGACACAAACTCGTCGAGAAATTCGCGTAGAACTTCATTGATATACCGTTGGAAGGTTGCGGGAGCGCCAGTCAGGCCAAAAGGTGTAACTAGCCACTCATAGAGCCCGTATCGTGTTCGAAACGCTGTCTTCTATTCTTCGCCTTCCTGCATTCTGATCTTATGGAAAGCCGCTATGATATCGAGTTTGGTAAACCAGCGAGCCTTCGACATGTTTCGTAGTGTTTCTTGAATCAGAGGTAGGGGGTAACGGTCCTTGATGGTTATGGAGTTTAACCCTCTATAATCGACACAGAATCGGATGCCTCCACCAGGTTTTCGTACTAATAATACTGGTGAAGCTGCTGGCGATTTGCTGACTCGTATGAATCCTTTTCCCAGTAGATCGGTAAGAGTTTTTCGTAGAACTAATAGCTCTTCTCTATTCATTCCATATAATGGCCCATGAGGTGGTGTCGATTCGTTACTATTTCCATCGCGTGTCAAGGGTATCTTATGATCGATCCCTGGGCGATGGCTCGGAAGCTTGTCTGCTTTCTCCTGGCTAAAAACATCTAACCAAGGGAGATATTGTGGGGGAAGTTTAGCTCTCGGATCGGTGAATTTCTTAGGTTGCAGCGCCTTGTCGATATCGTCCATAGTCACTTTGGCTATTCGGAGGTGGTCCGGCGACGAAACGCTATCGAATAGTTCTTTGATTTCTCCCGCAGATGATTGCTGTACTTTCAATCTCTTTACTTTTATTGGACCGATTGACGGGTCGATACGGTTCCAACAACGAATGCGCTCTCCATTTCTCGAATGGATATCTAAATACCCTCGTTTCGCAGCGTAAACTCCGTCGACATCTTTTAACCAAGGCGTCCCAAGTATCATTTCGTCTGACTGTCTTGGAATGATGTAGGCAAAGACTTTCTGCTGTTGTAGTCCATTAACATCAAGATCGAAGTATGTGGCCTGAGTGATCCGTCCTTGATTCTTGATGACTCCGTTCAGGATTCGCGGTGGAATCGGGATACGCGGAAGGTTAAGAGATTGCGCTAGGTGTCCGCTGATAGATGCATAGCTATCGCTTCCGTTGTCTACTAAAGTCTTCGCGAATTGAATTCCATTAACTCTAGCATCGACATAGAATGACGCCTCTTTCTTTAGCAGCTTCTCAACCCCCTTCTGCTCCTGCTCGCGGTTTAGTGCAGGAGCTAATCTTTTCCCGAATCATTCTCCGCTTCATCTTCTTCGATCGCTGGCGAATACTCCCTTCTTCGGGGGTGGCTCGATCTTGGTTCTTCGACTACTGCATTCTGTACCACTACTTGGTTCGGATTCCGTGCGGGCAGTAAAGGGCATATACTTTGCCAACAGTTATCTCGACCACATCGTAGACATCTCTTTTCTGTACGGCGACGTTGGAGTTCTTCTTTCTCGACCCATTTTGCACGTTTTCCCACGAGATGTTGATCCTCTTTACGAACCTGTCCCTTTTCGTTCACGAATCGGGACGAATTCGTCTATGTGGTGTTCGTGTTTACTGTTAGAGTCCAGTCCATCCTATCCTCTATGGCTATGGTTGATTGATCTCTTTGGATTCGCTGGCGAGTGGATAACTGGCGTCTGCCTAATGCGATATTCAGTGTCTCGCTATCAGTGTCGATTTCGTGGAGCCGTGTGATAAGACCTATAAAATCATAGGGAACACCACGATTCATAAGCGAATTCGTCATATCTTCGTTAAGAGCGTTTAGTAAGAGTTGTCGTTTTGCTTCGTCGTGCCATTCGGTTGCACCAGCATCTGCGAGCTCTCTTTCTAACTAGGGAAGGAATCGTGAAAAAGGCTGGTCGGGCTTCTGTTTAAGCTGATGTAGACGCCGAGCTGCTCGTGATCGAGCGTTAGGGTCTCCATACATCCTCTCAAGATATTCCAGAAGCATATACGGGTTGCCTTCGCTTCGTTGTGTCTTCACAAACGTTCTGGTGTTCTTGGCGGCCATTTTCTCTAGGCGGGAAAATATATAGAGGAATTGCTCTTATGGGGTACCGATGGCAGCTCCGTCTACTAGCAATTTGTTCTCTATCGAGATTCTCCAGGTTGGCCAATCAGAGATGTTTCCTGCATACATCGCGGGGTCGGGGAGACGAGGGCGAGGTCGTCGACTCTGGTTATTATCGCTGGTTGATTCGATTGGTATCCCTTGTGGTTCCGTGGGTGGTTCGGGAGCGGCCCGCTCCTGGGACCGAACCACTAATTCTTCGAGTCTTCTAATTCTCTCATCGGTACTAATACTTGTCTGACTGATGTGCTGCATCAACGTCCTGGCCCACTCGGGTGGGCTCGACGGTTCGCTTGCAGCCATGATGATGAAGATATTCGTTTTCTTCTCGTGTTTGAATCGGATGCTTTCCGTCTTCAATTCGTTTGTAGGATGCTCAACTAGATACTTTCTAAGAGCTTTTCGTATTCGTTGGTATGCTCGATCGGATTCTTTCCGAGAGCGATTCGTTCGTCTGTCGTATGTGGCTCGATCAGATACTTTCTGAGAGCGCTTTTCTTATCGTCGGTCGTGGGTTTTACTCTCGTTAGAGGAAGGATTTTGTATGTGAAGGGCTAAAGCTAATCTTGAATTCAGAACTAGCTAGGCACATGCTATTTACAAAATCCTTGAAGAACGTGAACAATTCGGGGTGGAATCGTGAGGTATGCGGTTGGTGGGTCACGTGGTACAACCACGTGATAGTTCACCAGGATTCAACCTGTTACACCTGCTGAGCTTCGTTTTGCGAGTTTATCCCTTGCAAATTGAGGTAATTAATCCGAAAATACGTGATTCTGCTAATACAGTAGTACCCCATTTTTCGAGCTTCCAATTTGCGAATTTGTCCGGCGCTTCATCGATCAGCATTTTACGCGAGTCGCTTGTTCCTGGAAGGTCCGTTTTACTTTTCTTAGGATCCGCGAAAGTCTTATCGCGACTGAACAACAACTCTAGGATTTACTATTTTCCGCTCTCACTTATGATACCAGAGCTTCATTTGTTTGCTAGCAAACTTCGGTAACTCTCTATATAGCTCTCTATATAACCAGCTGCATGTTAAAGGAGTTTAGGTAATTGGCGTTAAAGTCAAAATTCCAAGGTTGAAGCATATATCTACTTGAGCCTCATCTTAGTTCAAGTACTGTCAAGTCGACTGGTTCAGACTGGCCAATCATTCAAATGCCACAAATGAATGAAACTGAATTTTCTAACTAGAGTGTAATCTGGCTTAAATACACACCGAAAAGTGGGTCCCAAATCACTTCCTTTGACAAGTACTACAACACACGTGACATCTATCACCTTCGATTCCTATGCTCCTTGAGTCCTCGAAGGTCATTTTATCTTAAGAATTCTAAACCAAATGATAAGGACTCCTGCGCTCAAATATAGTGGACAAAGTTATGTAACTATATGGAATACTATTTTGGACTACAGTCCTGGTATATAGCATGTAGCATCTGACAAACGCTCAAGACAAAAGACGCACCTTAGGTTCATCACAATTTACTCTCAGGTGCCACTCTTCCCACAGCACCACTCATATAAGGTCCACTTTCATCTGCGGTCTGAAGAGGGCCAGAAGCAGACTCAGCTCCATAAATGATGAGCTCACGTCCACCCCAAGTGCTCCACCACTCTACACAGAAATGCGCTCGATCCACATCCATCTCCCCATTACTTAACACTTCCCAAAAACGATCAGCGCAGGTTTGGCGCAAGCCAGAATTAGATATGATATTGATGAGGTTTACAGTCAGAGGAAGCCATTCTTTGAGGTCATCCACTCCAAGGAAAGAGAGGGAATCGATGAGGGCGAGGGTGAAGACAGCTTGCTCAGAAAGAGCTGGTTGAGTATCCAAATTACCAGAAGACACATTTTGAGGAGTTGGGGGAATAATTATAGAGGATGCGTGGAGCGCACGATCTCCAACCACTTCGAATAAGTGCCTGATTTTTGCCTCTAACTAGGCGATAAATATCACGTGAAATAAAAGGCTTGTGTATGGGTTTTGCTTCAAACCCATACCCAACCCCATAAACATATCTAATTCCTTCAAGAATCAGTCTTACCAAATATACACTAAGTTCTTGGTTCCATTGTTTTCTCTAATTAATCCAGTAACCCCATTATACTAGGCAAGTCTCGATACCGATATTTTTGAGCATCTAGCTATAGATATGCCCTATAGAATAGCGGAGGTGATCAAAAGTTATGGCTGGAATACAAACTTCTAGTTTACTATTTGAATTTGATTTAATTTTCAGAGATTTCTGCAGGGGAGTAAAAAAAGTGGGGCTTATGTAAGAAGCTCACTTTTTGTCAAACAGGATAGTACTTACAATTTTAAATTTGAAAAATGACTTGGTTTTGCGATATTCGGTAGTTCATCTGCCAGTTGTTCTGCTTCAAAAGTCAAGGGTCACTAAGGGATCGGGTAGTTAGCATGATTGGCTGCTGAGCAGTAATAGAGTATCCATAGTAGTTTGATTTATTGGGGGTTGAGCAAACGACGAATCTAAACCGATCTTATTTCCCGCGCAATGATTGAAAAAGTTTCATTCGGTGCTACAAATCGAATCCATGAACTCGCCAGGCCAAACATGCAATTCAGCTTGGACTCTGCTTTTCCAAAGGAGGCTCGTATATATAACTGCTTCATCTCTGAAAACTTCGGTTGTGCCGACATCAATGAAGGCTCAGACATTTTTAGAGAGCCCAGTGACTCGAGAAGGGCATCATAAATGCTATCATTTTCTTATCCGCCCCAACAGACACTTCCAACTTGTCTGATTGCTGTCTCGACTGCAATTACCTTCCTCAACATACTGCTGACCCGAGACTGTAACGTTACGATCATCCAGCATGGGACAAATAAGTACCTGGGCATATAGCAGTTATCCGCCACGATCTCTAGCTAGTAGCGCTGTGCTGCTGCCAGTCTTTCTCTAGCATATGATCCCGCAATCATCATGAAATTTGAATTGATCTCAAGGCCTCGAGTGTTCATGCTGGTCCACCTTGAGTCCCGCATATCAGTTTTCAATTGGTGTCAGGTCCGGATGCTCGGGGAGAATTCGATACTTAATTGACACGCAAACCGCATCAAATTTCTCCATCGAGTCAAGAATCATACCAATTCCTAGGAATCGATTGCCTGCAATCATTCCGCTACAGTGTGTGAAAAAAATCCCTGGATAGTTTCCATATCCCAACAAAAAAGCCGGCTGATTCTCAAAAATGCCAATCCAAACACCCTCGAATCTGAACTGCCGTCAGAGCCGAGTATGTGCATTCTTTATGCGTATTTTCTCAGTCTGCGAGGGCATTATTAGCAGTAGGGCTTGATTCTTCTCGCACGCCTCCGATATGTGCTGTCATGACTGTAGGCTTGAAATAAAATCTCCGCTCGAGGGCAAATAGCGGCCGGGGCAACTAGAAGGCATCGTCCCAAGGTTTTTTTCCGTATTGGTTTGCTTACTGAATATGCAGAGAAATAAATGATTTTTGATCGGTGAAAAGACCAAGTGCTTATATACATTGTAACCTTGAAAATTTATTCTCAAGGCCAGACGTATGTCTGCACCAACCCAGGTTTCGTGTTCAAGTTCATCTTTTCAGCTTCTGCTGCGACAGCCGAGAAACAAGGCCATCAACAGACGGAAAGTATTTCGGCCGAAAAAGCTTCTGCCAAGACAGTGACTCTGGAACTGGATTAGTATATCACGGCATCCTTGAACGATATGCATTCATCGCAAACGACACCCTTGAGCGATGCGCATTCGCGACAGTAATGTCCCGTCTTCACCGTCTCTTCTGTCTCGGACGAATGTTGACATTCGTCCAGAGCAGAGGGGCGCCCATATACTATAAGTAGCTAGTTCTTTCATCAATGAAAAAGCAGACTTCACAACAACTGCAATATTCAACTAGTAGGAATCCACTACCAGATCGGTGGATTGTCTACGGTGTTGAGTAGCGGTTCGTTGGAGCTCACTGTTCTTAGTAACGAGCGACTAGCTAGCTACGCTCGCTAAGCGAGCGACAGCTTCTTTGATTGTTTAGACCTAGATTAATGGTCACTAAAATTCAAGATTTACTTCTGCCCCTGTGATCACAGCGTTAGGCTGCTGTTCTTTTGTTCATACGAGTGGTTAAGCGAAGTAGTTATTGTCCGAATTTTATGGGAAGTCGGAATCATCCTTTCTGATTGGATGATTCCACCAGCGACTCCTATTGGACGCAGCCTCCCAAATAAGTGGGGCAGAGGTCTTCTTTAGTTTCAGTTAGCAGTAATAGAATCTACACTTCTTACCATCCTTACAACTGCAGTTATTAGTACTACACGTGTAAAAGGAGTCACATCTTACGACAGTTATTGTGGCATGAAAAGTTCAAGTTAAAGTTGCGGGATTATGTGTTCGGATCTATCAATTGTCTTTTTTTCTGTTTATGGGGCTCACCTCTGTTCAGTTATTATTTCCTTGTATGAATAGAACACGCTGATACTCAACAAACCTCTAGGTTTTTAGGACAGAATCAACCATATGTCGGTTCCATACGAGCTCTGTACAATGATGTTAATATCTGTCGGATAAGATCCCCTTATACATCTCCCTCTCAGGCTGTAGATAGAATGGAACTTTAATCACACTCGGTATCATGCCTGTATGGAAATGAATGTCTTTTCAAGACATCCCGCGGTAGATCCGAAATGCGCATTGAAACCATAAATCCGCAAATAACAGCTCCGATATTCTCTGGCAGCCGAGTGGAGATCCATGACTGATGCATAAAGGGTATATATAAAGCTAACAGGATGTTTAATCACAGTCTTTCTCAACCTGGCGAGACAATCTCCGATCAATAAACAGCATACTGTTATCCCGAAAGACCATTCTCGTTGAAAACAAGGTTCCAATGGACAAGTTAGTAGCACAACAAAAATTGACGTACTAACTCGTCCCTTCCTTATCATATCATAACTCGGAGTCAGACAAACTCCTGTCAATTTCGGGGGTTGACCGAATTCCAAGGTTTTGAGTTCCATTCAGGAAACCCCCCCCCTGGGCCACAGGAACTAGTCTTTATTATCAAGTTATTCAAGCAAGTGCCTAATTACCTTAGCACGATGGCATCCAATTATGGTAATCAACTTTTCAAGGTCACTTTGACAATAGAGAGGAGAGATTGGCATGTAGGAAAGAATGACATTTGACAATGTGCTAAATCCACGACGTATGAACTCTAGATCTTGCTTTTCTTTGATCCCAGTAGTCTCTCATAACATCTAACTCCAAACGGACCTTTACCAGGAAAATGTAGTTCCGCCAAAATTTGACAGATTAAACATTCATTTTTGTTTAAAGCGAAGTTTTTTAAAAGATTTCAAATGATCTCTATAAATTTGAATGCAGAACCTCATGATATCAGAAACTGTTGGAACGAATATCAGCTGACATACCAAGATCATGTGATCTTGGCATGGCAGCTACTATATCTTCCTTCATCTGAGCATTTTAGAATGACACTTCACTTTTACCCAATATGCATACACCTATTATATACGTACAGAAACGATATCAATAGCTGTCTGCTTCGGTAATAACCTAGTCAACCGACAGAAACCTAATAGATTGTAAGGATAACGTTTCAGGGGGGATCCTAAGGATAAGCTGTGATCCATGGGTTCTATTTTTGCCCTAATGGATATGTTTTAAATATTAAAGTCTGTTACAATCCTTCCACCTTCATCCTTCCCGATGAGGGAAAAAAAAGACCATCTTGAATTTTCAAACGTTGGAACTCATAATCGTCATATTATGGGATCTAGAACCATATTTCTCAAAAGGAGCATCCAGTAGTATTCAAGGCTACCTAGACAAGGCTACCTAAAAATAGATTCAAGTTTTGAAGTATTCCTGCCCAAGTAAGAAACAAACTTCAAAAAGATTACAGAGCGGGCCCTTCATGATTGAAATTAATGATGCGCAAAGATATCAATTTCCTTTATATTTCCGATTGTGCTAGATTTTAATTATAATCTGAATGACAATAATCACCGACTCAGCCGGAGTTGACTATAAACTATTCAAAATGCAGCTCAAGAGCATCTCGCTCGTTCTACTGAGCCTTTGCGCGTTTTTGATATCCCCAATTTTCTCTACCCCAATCAGCGAGACAACAAAATCTATACGCGAACATGAGGATGTCGAGACTCATATTTTCCGTCGGAGTTTGCCTTCATTCATCACAGACTGGGACCTCTGGCAGAACTGGGAAAAGGCTGCCAAAGAGAACCCCTCAAAACTCGTGACGATGCCTTTGGACACTCCAAGTGGAGAAAGAGAATACCAATCGGGATCTGACGGAATTGAACAGCCATTTTGGACGTACTGGGTATCAGATGAAGATGAGTGTTATGTGGTTGAGAAAACCCTCCAGATAATGGGAAAACTTGGGAGTGGGGCTTATGGCGATGTCTACAAGGGTGTACTAAGCAATTTTGACGAGGACACAAATACATGGAACCAAGATTGGAATATGGCAGTCAAGAGATCAAAAAAGTTGCCAGCTGAAATGATTGCCGGAGCAAAACTAAGACAATCAGTTTCTAGCGACTACCTCGTTTCAGTGGTGGACTACTTCTATGTTAAGAAGTATCGTGAGGCATTCCTGATTATGCCAAAAGCCAGCACGGACTTGAACGCAATAATATCTAATAAGAGCATGTCACGAGCAATCTTAAACGAACTATTTTATGAGATACTGCTCGGTGTACAGACACTTCACACTCCGACCAAAGATTACCCTAATGGTATCATGCACCGTGATCTAAAGCCAGGCAATGTCTTGGTGTTCAAAAACATTCCTAAAATCTCCGATTTTGACTCCATGACAGCTGATGCAGCATCCGAGCGCTGGGATATTGGAACACCAGGTTATGTTGCACCCGGTAAGAACTCCTCTTTATTCTAACAAAATAAAAAGTCTCGCTAACTTCGCCTTGATGCGACACTAGAGGTCGTGAGAGCTCAATCGCCATATAGCAAGAAAGTCGATATCTTTGCATTAGGGATAAGTTATTTAGACATGGCCATGCATGGTCTCTCGGACGATACTTTTTATGAGACTTGGAAAGCTCTTGTAGGCCCTACTGAAAGCAAAACGCTTGGCCTTATACCAGATGATGTTGAAAAGGTTTTGATTGAGAAGTTTGGGACTGAATTTGACAGCGATGAACGAGCGGTCTTATCGTATATTCTTTGCGAGCCAAATGAGCGGTTCGATATTGATAGTTATGTAAGATACTTTGGCGTGTTAATGGGTAGTTAAAGTCACTACAATAGTCAACTTATCCACCTGTACTATGAGTACAATTGTGATTCCAACTCTTGATCGCGGGAAGTAAATGATCAATGAGATGGAAATAAAAGAGCCACAATCCTACTAATGAACCTTTCTGCTGGGACAGATAAAGGCTTATGTTGGACAAAACATATAAGGTGATTCGGTATATGTTCAAGTGGACTATGACATCTAAGACACTATTCTATGTAATCTCATCCTAATTCTAATGAGCCTGGCTATCAATTCGCCCTGTGCCTAGTTAATGAGATTAACAGAAAGACAATTGGATAGGTTTGAGTCAAAATGTGACTCAAGCCTAAATATTAGGTACTAATACGGGGAACAGGGACGTCCTAGCTAGTGTGCGAACCTAGCTAAATCATGGAGTATGGTAGATACAGTCAGAGTCCGTCCTCTAGGGGCTGTGTGGGAGAAAGGAAGGAGTAGCTCAAGAAGGTAAAGGTAGTCTGATGGAGAAGGTAAAAATACATCAGTATGGTCTCACAGTAGACCATAAAATCCATCTGGTATCAACCCGTTACATTATCCCCCTCCTCCTTTCCAAGGTGCAACCGTCGCTCAAGGTTCATCATCGTACGAGATCCGGCATCGTACGGCATTCAGGGGTAGCCAGACAGGGGGGCTCGAAGGGTTCGCCATCGTACGGAATTCAGGGGTAGCCAGGCAGAGGGCTCGAAGACAGCCAGATACGGGCTTAAGATCCTTGTTCATCGTAGAGGCCTCCATAATAGTATAACTTCTTATACAATCCTGCTATATAAGTTCAGGATGTTAGGCTCGGCAACCTTGCGACACCGACCATGTGTCGTACGTGTCCTCAAGAGGTTCCGGGAAGAGCGACGCCAGCTTCCTGCTATTTAGTCATCTCTGTCTATTAGGCTTTTCAGGCTTTTCGGAGCTTTAACAAAGGAAACAAGTTAAACTATGACCAGGGACCCTGATGTTTGGTCAAGAAGAATTAACTAAGGACTAGAAAGGGATCTATGAAATGGTAGCTCTTATAGAGCGTCCTAGTTCCGCATAGGAACCATTGGTATAGTATCTATAGGAGACTACACCTTATACATATCGGGCTTGACCCGTTACAATAACATAGAAGAGTGGAAGCGATCGATTAATAATGATCCCTATAATAATCATATCCCCTTCTAGTTCTTCAAGTGTTTTTGATTCAAGGAAAGAGATTAATGTTTCATTTTGTTGCTAGGATTACTCAGAATTCAACCAGGAGAAAGGATTGGGTGAAACATATAAGTGATAATTTGTGCCTTGTATGATCTGACGAAATACTAATCAAGATTGAACTTCTGATAATATCTATAGAGTATTTCTTCACCAATCAGGATACTTCCAATGCTGATAAAGGTACTGTGATCGGAACAAAGTACGCACTGAAGCCTGATGGAAAGAAGTTAGTACTTCTGGGACTTCCTTATAAACTACTGTTTTACTCAGAGGTGTTATATATTCGGGGATCAAGTCACCTTAACACGTAAAGAGTGATTCATATCTATGTAGGGATCTAGGTTTGTAGTTGATGAGGGTAATCTTATCTAGGCTTTCAGAACTTCTGAGTAATCTAGTCCGCGATAATTGCACTTGATCTAGATAGAGGGCAATATAAAGCGAAATAGCTACTAATATTAAGAAGCTTCCGTGAAAATGCCATATTGAAAAGATAATATATTTTGAATGATAGTACAAGTTCATTTTGTTTTTCAATAGAAGAAAAAACAAAATATTCGAATGAGTGAATAGCGATAGAAAAGAACATCTAGAGAGTCTATTCATTTAACAATTGGGCCTGGTACATTCGTTTCCGGATACCATATGCATCTCCAGGACCAATCAATCGTGCGTGATCGTAGTCGGCCTCATGACCTGCGGCCTCCATCTCTAGATATCCCGGTGCGTAGATCTTAATATCTTCTGTCCAACCGTCTCGACCGCCATCAAATCCGTCAAGCTGTCGATGTGCCCGAGCTCCTTCTAGGATATCAATCACTGGTTGAGTCATATCTAAGCTGGGTTATAATTAGCTATAGTCATACTCACTTGTCCAGATCACTTACTCAGGATTAGACCAACTATATCCTCTATGCTCTATTACATGTCCAAGAGGTCGTCGGTAAATGAAGAGATCGAGATATACTGGCGACATATTGAAAACCTGTCTGTTGAAGGTTTCATGAACTTGACCATTTCGCTCGAAGTCAACGACAGTAACGTGGCCAGTATTTAGGTCATCCCAAGTGGCTATAAACCAGCTCCACAAGCCATGCACAAAAAGGAGTGTGCCTCGATAGGTCATAGTGACAGAGGAGAAATTAGCCATTTCGAGAAAGGCTCTAGGGAGGATATCGGTGATTTGTGGATTAGAGGGATCCGAAACCGTGAAAGGATTAGGGTCGAGGCCGCCATGAGATGCGCCATGATCTTCCATACAATGGCCCATTTCTCCATCTAACCGACATGAAAGGATATATAGCTTAATCCATTTAGACCGGTTAGAGTGATCAGATAGACCAAGAGGTGGTAGGCAGACAAATCTGGGCGTATCATACATAGCAATAGTGAATATTTTCCAAAAATTCTGCTGGGTAATCTTTTGCATTTCTTAGGTTGGCTCGTTATTGATAAGAATTGCGGAAATCCTGGCTAGCCTTTGCCCAGGTCACCATAAGTTCTCGACGTTGGCGAACCTCATAATCTCCGTCTTCATCAGGGATATTGGTACTCGCACGAGAAACCCATTGTTATTCCACGAAAAGCAACCATCCTTTAGCCTCTTCATTAGCCTGTTCGGAAGTGAAATGGCTATTAGTATCCGGTTTGATCTCGGGTGGGATACCGCCTGGCCAGTGAAAAGGCTGGGAAGGAAGGGCAATCATGATTGAAAGATGATAGGAAAGTTGGCAAGGAAAAGAAAAGTAAAGAAAAATAAAGAGGTATATGGGAAAAAGAGAACAAGGTTTGCTACCGACGATCAAGTCTTACATAATGTAATTTCTCAGAGTAAAGTAGTAGCCCGCTCGGATATCTGGAAACTAGATTTTGTATCAGTGTTGCGACTCGGTTCTGCCGTTGCAGACCGCTTTCTTCTCTATACTATATAGGGCTCCCCACTAACAATACGTACGTCCGCTGTTTTAGATTTATCAACTCCTTATCCCTATCTCCATCTATCCACTGGTAAATATCTCACAATATCATTTCTTATACCAGTGCTTGAACATGTTGAGTTGATGATTTGAGATCTTCATTTTTTTTTTTTTTTTTCAAAATTGGCAAAAGATGATACCACAGGTTTGGTCTCCGGTAAATTTGTCCGTTAAGCAATATCCTTACTTCCTCCTCGTGGGTTCTAGATGCATAGTCTGCGATCCGATATGATAAACACAGCCTGAATTCTTGCTGTGTTCAATCCGTTAACTTTTCTAAGGTTGAGAGGGTAATTTGGGTCTTTTCTGTGGCTTCATGAAAATGTATTGTAACATAAGAAAAAATGTGATGTATCCTTTTGATCTTTGCTTACGCTTTTTATCATCTTCAACGATACAACAGATCGATCCACAGCGAATTGCTAAGTTTGAAAGAATGGAAAACTTCGTTCGGCAGAAACATTGGCAGCTGATCTTTAGCTATGCTATTCATATGGTCTATTTAATTAGAAGTTTTGAGTATGATGTTTCGCTCGCATGCACTCTAGGCATATAGACTAGAGCGACGTATGGGCGTTATTAATTTCACGGACAACTGCATAAACCTTTGCGTCTTATTGATCACTGATAATGCAGCTCGATAATGCAGCTCAATGAATCATACTGTCAAAGTTACTGCAAGGGCTGAATACCTAGATACCTGGGTACCATGTATCTGTACCATATATCCAGGTAATTTTCAGTCAGACTTAACACAAAAAGAGAGGAAAAAAACTCTTCTACGGTCATATTATTCTCGAAGTTGATTATAATCAATACTTGTGAAAACAGCACTTGAGCAGCCATGGAACAGGCAAAAAAGCCTTTGGGCTACTCATGGCGTTCCTCTAAGGTGTTCATCATCGCCGCCATCTCAGTCGCCTTGTTTTCCGGTAGGTTGCCACCTGCTTTGTCGCACAAATCTGACCTCGAGACATCGTAGGTGCCTTCCTATACAGCTTTGTCGTTCCAATTCTCAGCTACATGCTCGAAGAGCGTATGCATATAGATCCATCCAAAACCCAGCGTCTCACTTCCGCAATCCTTGCTACCCATGGCTTCGTCTCAGTCATCTCCGGACCCGTCGTGGGTCATTTTGCAGACAAGACTCCCAGTAGAAAAATACCACTTTTGCTATCGCTCTCCGGAGGACTCGTGGGGACTGCTCTAGTTGCATGCTCACTTTCTCTCTGGGTTCTTTTTTTGGGGCGCATTTTACAGGGCGTTGCGGGGTCGGCCATTGGGATCATCGGCCTGGCGACAGTCGCAGATAGGGTCGGCGAGGCACACATGGGAAAGGTCATGGGGCTAATTAGCTCAATTTTAATTAGCGGCTCAATCTTAGGCCCCGTAATTTCAGGGCTACTCTTATATGCGGTAGGATATTGGCTCACATGGACAGTGCCAATGGTTGTGCTATTCATAGACATGGTTGTGCGTTTACTCATGGTCGACCCGACGAAAGTTCCATCGAAACCTCGATCAGCCTCTGCTTCTAATGACGAACAGCAAGAGGACAGCCCCCTCCTTCCAGAAGCCGTACCATCATACCAGACTGCCTCGGTAGAAAGCCAAGGCCCCAATCAGAAGGACCTCTCGACCCCCTCCGCATTTTATCGTCAAATGATCACCAATGGCCGTGTTTTGACGGCACTTTTCGTCACTGGTGCATCAGGTATGGTCTTGGTAAGCTTTGACACCACACTGCCCCTTCATTTACGGGATGCATTTGGCTGGGGACCCTCGAAAACCGGTCTCATGTTTTTCTGTCTCGAGATACCATCAGTTGTTATTGGGCCTTTATCCGGCTGGCTGCGTGACAAAATTGGCGTTCGTTATCCTGTCGCAATCAGCTTGTTTGTCCTAGCGCCATTGATGTGGCTGCTGGGTGTTCCTGGAGACCCAAAATTTCCTTGGGCTAGTGCAGATACTAGAGGTCCGGCTATCTATATCACGGCTATATTTGGCATCGGAGCAGTTGCTCCTTTCCTAGCTGGCATTGGAAACATGGAATTGGCTGGTGAGTACTTGCTCGATCAAATTCCATCTAGTTTGAATGTCTAGTTCTTTCTGACCTTAAACCAGATGTTATCCGTGCGCAAGTTTAGGGTATTAGGGTATTAGGGTATTAGGGTATTAGGGTATTAGGGTATTAGGGTATTAGGGTATTAGGGTATTAGGGTATTAGGGTATTAGGGTATTAGGGTATTAGGGTATTAGGGTATTAGGGT